TATGAAAAGAGAATAAATCAATAAATAAGTAGGAAGACTGATTTATTTATTTATTTTTTTACAATGTTAGAAATTAAATAAGAATATTTAAAAAAGAAAATCATTAATATTTTGTAATTCATCAAAATTATTAATTTCTGATAATAATTAATTAATTAATTAATAATCAAAAAAATATAAATGGGAAATAAAAAAAAAAAAATGGAGTAATAGAATAACTCTTCAAATATTCTATAAGATGTAACCATCATTATTAATTTTATTTATTATTATAAAACCTTTTTTTTAAATAAATAGTTAATGAAATCTAACTTAGAAACTCTAACTCATATTGACTTACAGTTATAGTAAGAAATATATAATTATATTTACTAATTAAATTTTTAATCATACATTTTTCAATATAATATTTTTTTTAACAAAAATAAATATTTTAAAGCTTTTTCTCATTTTAGTAATTTACAAAATTAAGAATATATAAAATCTCATATATTTCATTCAATCATTTATTCATAAATTAAATTTTTTTGTTATTATTTATAAAATAAATAGAAATTGTACTCTTAGTTATTAATAAATTGTATAACTTAACAATACTTTAGTAAAATGTTAAAAATTAGAATCTTTAGTACTAAATTAAAAGTAATAATTTAATTTTATTATCTTAAATATCATAATTTCTTTTTGCTACCAATCTAACATGTAGTAAGGAAACTATTTCAGATGATTAGATAAATTAATTATTTGCTTAATATTCTTGCATAAATGATTATGTTGAAACTGATAAAAATATGAGGTAAATACATTTTTTGTTAATAAATCTTAACATAGCCAACAAATTGAATAATAAATTATAACATGATCTTATATCCTAGTTATTTTTACAGTTTATAAAAGGCTAAAAGTTTGAATCTTGCCTTTAAAATTATGATAAATAAAATATTAATTATTATCTTTTTATTAATTTAATAATTTAAATTAATTAAAATAGTTTTAATTTTATTTTATATTTATAGCAATGATTAAATATATGTCCAAATTTAGTTTTTCAAAAGTATTTTTTACTTTGGATATGGAGATATTCAAGAACCTAGGTAAAATAGAAATAATGCTATTTATTTAATTGATTTATTTTTAAAGATTAAATGAAATTGAAGGTTAAGGAAATATTCTATTAGAAGAAACTATGAGCAATCTAATTAATCTCAACAGTTTATAGCTAAATTTAGAGTACACTTTTTTTAATTTATTTTTTTTTTTAATTAAGTTCATCTTTCAATACTCATTACATTTTTCATTATATAAACTAAATCACCCAAATTTCTCGTTTAAAATATTTGAACGAAAATCGAGAAATTAAAAAGATTTTGATAGAATGAAGGAAAAACTTGAATTTCTAGTCAAAATACCCCTAATATTGTCTGAATTTTCAAGAAATACCCTAAATTCTGCATATTTATTTCTTAATTTTTGATAATTTGTAACTTTTTAAGAAATTTTCTAATCCTCACTTCGGAGTTAGTCTTTACCTTAATTCGATGAAGAGGATTCGCGTGTGAAGCTACGGTATATTAAATAATATTTTACAATAAAAGTGGGAATTTAATTGGAGATGAAGGTGCAGCTTCGATTTGCACATTATTACGTAAATGCAAAACACTTACTAACTTAAATATGTAGCTTTGGTAATTTTATTTTAATAAAATTATACATATTCAGCTATATTTATTGTATTGCTTTAAAATCAAATAAATTATTTATTAAAAATATCTATTTTAAAAGGAAAAATAAAATGGGTGACAGAGGGATATCGAGTATTGCAGAAGGAATTAGTTGTTGCGCTAAACTCACAACTTTAACTTTATATGCAGTGTACATTTTATTGATTATTGTTTAAAAATTAAAAAAATATTTTTTAATATAATTTTATACCTAATTGCAAATAAAAACATAAAAAAGTGCAAATTTATTTGGAAAAGAAGGTGCATTTTCTATAAGTAGAACATTAAGTAGCTGCAAAATGTTGACTCATCTAGATATTGACCTCTCGTAACTAATAAATTTTTTTTTTAAGGATAAATTTAAATTAATTGTAGACAATTTAATAATTTTTTTAATCTATTAAATCCTTAAATATTTTTTAAGTTGTCAATAATTAGAATTTATATTTCGTTTTATGTTTTATTAGTAATAATTAAATTGGAGAAGAAGGAACATCAGCTATTTGTATGGCATTAGGTAGCTGTAAATTACTTAAGAATTTAAAATTGGTGTTACGGTAATTTTGATTTTACATTTTTTAAAAATTGAAAATATTTTTATTTTTTATATTTTTAGTAGTTTTTAAAATGTTTTAAATTATCAATTAAAGAAAATATTATAAATTTATTTATTTTATAGCATATCATTTTTTATTATAAAAGTAAAAATTAAATTGGGGATGAAGGAGGATATTCTTTAGGAATAGCATTAAGTAACTTACACTTACTTATTAATTTAAAATTATGTCTAAGGTAATTTTAATTTTACAATTTTGATAATCAAAAACAACTTAATTCAATTATTATTTTTGAGATTAGTTTAAAATTTGTAAGTAATTTGATTTACTTTATTTGAAAAGGGAAAATTAAATATGTGATGAAGGAGCATTAAACGTTGGTTTAGGTTTAAGTAAATGTAATCAACTTTAGAATTTACATATTGAAATGGAGTAAATATCTCTTTTTATTATTTAAAAAGATGAAATAATTTATTTTTATTCAAATTAAATTTAAAAAATTTTAATTTTATTAGTTTTTATTGGTTTATGTATTTATTATTTTTGTTAATAATAGATTTAATTAAATTGGAAATGATGGAGCTTCTGCTATTGCTAGTGCTATTGGTAAATGCAAATCCCTTACTAATCTCTAATTTTTGATTTAGTAACATAAAATTTATTTTTTAATTAAATTCTAAAATAAATTTAAATAATTAATTAAACTATTTATTTATTTGAAAAGTGGAAATTAAATTGGAGATTATGGAGCATTAAATATAGGATTAGGTTTGAGTAAATGCACTCAACTTACAAATTTACAACTTGGGATATGGTAAATTTATTTCATTTATAACTTTAAAAAAAAATTATGTAAAATTTTTTCATTTAAACTGAATTAATAAACTTAAAATCTATAAAATATCTTACATTTTTAATTAAACATGATTTGAATTAATAAAAGGTAAAATTAAATTGGGGATGATGGAGCTTCTGCCATTGGTAAAGCACTTGGTAACTGCAAATTCCTTACTAATCTCAACTTTTAAATTTGGTAAAATTATTTTTTATTTATTTATTGATAACTTAAAATAGTTTAAATTATTTTTTTATTTTGATTTCAATTTCAAATCAAATTTAAATAATCAGTAAATTGATTTATTTTGTTTGAAAAGGAAAAATAAAATCGGTGATAAAGGAGCATAAGATATTGGAATAGGTTTGAGTAACTGCACTCAACTTACAAATTTACAATTTGGGATATCGTAAATTTATTTCATTTATAATTAAAAAAAATTATATCAAAGTTTTTAATTTTCAATTAAAAATAACTTAAAATTTATAAAATGTCTTATATTTTTAATTAAACATGATTTTCATTTATAAAAGCTAAAATTAAATTGGGGATGATGGAGCTTCTGCTATTGGTAAAGCACTTGGTAACTGCAAATTCCTTACTAATCTCAACTTTTAAATTTGGTAAAATTATTTTATATTTATTTATTGATAACTTAAAAAGTTTAAATTATTTTTTATTTTGATTTAAATTTCAAAACAAATTTAAATAGTTAATAAATTGATTTATTTTATATGAATAGGGAAAATAAAATCGGTGATAAAGGAGCATAAGATATTGGAATAGGTTTGAGTAACTGCACTCAACTTACAAATTTACAATTTGGGATAGGGTAAATTTATTTTATTTATAACTTTTAAAAAAAATTATGCAAAGTTTTTAATTTAAGCTGAATTAAAAAAACTTAAAATTTATAAAATCTTAAATTTTTAATTAAACGCGATTTGCATTTGTAAAAGCTAAAATTAAATTGGGTATGATGGAGCTTCTACTATCGGTAAAGCACTTGGTAACTGCAAATTCCTTACTAATCTCCACATTTCAATTTGGTAAAATTATTTTATATTTATTTATTGATAATTTAAAAAAGTTTAAATTATTTTCTTATTTTATTTGAAAAGGGGAAATAAAATCATTGATAAAGGAGCATAAAATATTGGATTAGGCTTGAGTAACTGCACTTAACTTATAAATTTAGAATTTGGGATATGGTAAATTTATTTTATTTATAACTTTTTAAAAAAATTATGTTGAAAATTTTAAATTTAAACTGAATTAAAAAAACTTAAAATTTATAAATTTTAAATTAAAATGATTTGCATTTATAAAAGCTAAAATTAAATTGGGGATGATGGAGCTTCTGCCATTGGTAAAGCACTTGGTAACTGCAAATTCCTTACTAATCTCAACTTTTCAATTTGGTAAAATTATTTTATATTTATTTATTGATAACTTAAAAAGTTTAAATTATTTTTTATTTTGATTTAAATTTCAAAACAAATTTAAATAGTTAATAAATTGATTTATTTTATATGAATAGGGAAAATAAAATCGGTGATAAAGGAGCATAAGATATTGGAATAGGTTTGAGTAACTGCACTCAACTTACAAATTTACAATTTGGGATATCGTAAATTTATTTCATTTATAATTAAAAAAAAATTATATCAAAGTTTTTAATTTTCAATTAAAAATAACTTAAAATTTATAAAATCTTAAATTTTTAATTAAACGCGATTTGCATTTGTAAAAGCTAAAATTAAATTGGGGATGATGGAGCTTCTGCTATTGGTAATGCACTTGGTAACTGCAAGTTCCTTACTAATCTCTACTTTTCAATTTGGTAAAATTATTTTATATTTATTTATTGATAACTTAAAAAGTTTAAATTATTTTTTATTTTGATTTAAATTTCAAAACAAATTTAAATAGTTAATAAATTGATTTATTTTATATGAATAGGGAAAATAAAATCGGTGATAAAGGAGCATAAGATATTGGAATAGGTTTGAGTAACTGCACTCAACTTACAAATTTACAATTTGGGATATCGTAAATTTATTTCATTTATAATTAAAAAAAAATTATATCAAAGTTTTTAATTTTCAATTAAAAATAACTTAAAATTTATAAAATGTCTTATATTTTTAATTAAACATGATTTGCATTTATAAAAGCTAAAATTAAATTGGGGATGATGGAGCTTCTGCTATTGGTAAAGCACTTGGTAACTGCAAGTTCCTTACTAATCTCTACTTTTCAATTTGGTAAAATTATTTTATATTTATTTATTGATAACTTAAAAAGTTTAAATTATTTTTTATTTTGATTTAAATTTCAAAACAAATTTAAATAGTTAATAAATTGATTTATTTTATATGAATAGGGAAAATAAAATCGGTGATAAAGGAGCATAAGATATTGGAATAGGTTTGAGTAACTGCACTCAACTTACAAATTTACAATTTGGGATAGAGTAAATTTATTTTATTTATAACTTTTAAAAAAAATTATGCAAAGTTTTTAATTTAAGCTGAATTAAAAAAACTTAAAATTTATAAAATCTTAAATTTTTAATTAAACGCGATTTGCATTTGTAAAAGCTAAAATTAAATTGGGGATGATGGAGCTTCTGCTATTGGTAATGCACTTGGTAACTGCAAGTTCCTTACTAATCTCCACTTTTCAATTTGGTAAAATTATTTTATATTTATTTATTGATAACTTAAAAAGTTTAAATTATTTTTTATTTTGATTTAAATTTCAAAACAAATTTAAATAGTTAATAAATTGATTTATTTTATATGAATAGGGAAAATAAAATCGGTGATAAAGGAGCATAAGATATTGGAATAGGTTTGAGTAACTGCACTCAACTTACAAATTTACAATTTGGGATAGGGTAAATTTATTTTATTTATAACTTTTAAAAAAAATTATGCAAAGTTTTTAATTTAAGCTGAATTAAAAAAACTTAAAATTTATAAAATCTTAAATTTTTAATTAAACGCGATTTGCATTTGTAAAAGCTAAAATTAAATTGGGGATGATGGAGCTTCTACTATCGGTAAAGCACTTGGTAACTGCAAATTCCTTACTAATCTCCACATTTCAATTTGGTAAAATTATTTTATATTTATTTATTGATAATTTAAAAAAGTTTAAATTATTTTCTTATTTTATTTGAAAAGGGGAAATAAAATCATTGATAAAGGAGCATAAAATATTGGATTAGGCTTGAGTAACTGCACTTAAATTATAAATTTAGAATTTGGTTTAAGGTAAATTTATCTAATTTATAACTTTTTAAAAAAATTATGTTGAAAATTTTAAATTTAAACTGATTTAAAAAAACTTAAAATTTATAAATTTTAAATTAACATGATTTGCATTTATAAAAGCTAAAATTAAATTGGGGATGATGGAGCTTCTGCTATTGGTAAAGCACTTGGTAACTGCAAATTCCTTACTAATCTCAACTTTTAAATTTGGTAAAATTATTTAATATTTATTTCTTGATAAATAACTTAAAAAGTTTAAATTATTTTTTATTTTGATTTAAATTTCAAAACAAATTTAAATAGTTAATAAATTGATTTATTTTATATGAATAGGGAAAATAAAATCGGTGATAAAGGAGCATAAGATATTGGAATAGGTTTGAGTAACTGCACTCAGCTTACAAATTTACAATTTGGGATATGGTAAATTTATTTCATTTATAACTTTTAAAAAAAATTATGTAAAAGTTTTTAAATAAACTGAATTAAAAATATTTTTAATTTATAAAATGTCTTAAATTTCTAATTAAAATTCATTTGCATTTACAAAAGCAAAAATTAAATTGGGGATGATGGAGCTTCTGCTATTGGTAAAGCACTTGGTAACTGCAAATTCCTTACTAATCTCCAATTTTCAATTTGGTAAAATTATTTTTATATATTTATTGATAAATAACTTAAAAAAGTTTATATTATTTTTTTTTTTATTTAAATTTAAAATTAATAAATTTAAATAGTTAATAAATTGATTTATTTTGTTTGAAAAGGGGAAATAAAATCGGTGATAAAGGAGCATAAGATATTGGAATAGGTTTGAGTAACTGCACTCAACTTACAAATTTAGAATTTGGGATATGGTAAATTTATTTTATTTATAACTTTTAAAAAAAATTATTTAAAAGTATTTAATTTAAACTGATTTTAAAAAAGCTTAAAATTTATAAAATGTCTTAAACTTTTAATTAAACACGATTTTCATTTATAAAAGCTAAAATTAAATTGGAGATGATGGAGCTTCTACTATTATTAAAGCACTCGATAACTTCAAATTCCTTACTAATCTCCACTTTTCAATAGAGTAAAATTATTTTATATTTATTTATTGATAACTAAAAAAGTTGAAATTATTTTTTTTATTTTGATTTAAATTTCAAAACAAATTTAAATAATCAGTAAAATGATTTATTTTATTTAAAAAGGAACAATAAAATCAGTAATAAAGAATCATAAAATATTGGATTATGTTTGAGTAAAATCACTTAACTTACAAATTTAGTTTTTAGCTCAGAGTAAATTTCATTTATTATTTTAAAAATAAAATCATTTTAAGGTTTTTAAGATGTTATTTAAAATATCTTTATTTTATAAGTAATAATGAAGCATTTCTAAAATCCAAAGAAATTATCAACTGTAAAAATATAAAGTTGTTGAATCTATCTATAAAGTAAATACATTTTTTTGTTTAAAAATAGATAATTTTAAGTAAAATTATTTATTTATCTAAACAATAAATTTATATTTATTAAAAGAGAATTGTCTGAAGAAAAAAAAAGAAAAATCAAAAGATTAGCTTAAAATATAAAAAGATTAGTCAAATTAAATATAGATTGAATTTATATTTATTTATTAATAGTAAATAAAAATTATTGAATATAAAAATTGTAAAATGAGTATATTTTTTATTTAATTCCATTTTTTGGAAAAAACAACTGAAAAATATAATAATTTAATAAAAATTAAAACAAATAAATAAAATGTTTTATATATTATGGTTTATTTAATGTTGGAAACTACATAAATTCAAACCGATTTCTATTTGTGTTATTAACTCTATATTATCATAAAATACTAGCAAGCTAAAAATTTTTAGTAAAAGATAAGATTATAATAAATAAATTATACTTTCTTTTTTTCTATTTTATTTATCAATAAATAAATTTAAATTAATTAGTTTTATATTATGAGTTTTTTTCTGAACAGATTTTTAAAGTTAGAAGTAACCTTCTATATTTATTTTTTTGATCATCAAATAGTATAATTTCTCTCCTGCTTAAAAAAAATAAATAAATAATAGTATTTACTAAGGTAATAATTAAAAATCATGACTGTTAGATAGTTTTAGATATTTGATTAACTATTTTGTTTTGGATTTTTAATTTAAATAACAAATTTAATTATTTTCTGCTCGTTAATAATAGGGATACCGAATTTGAAATTTGTTAATTATTAATAATTAAAAATGTAAGAATAGACAGATATACAATAAGCTATAGAAATATTTCAATTAAAAAAAGCAAATAAGAATGATTAAATATTTTAAATTTATCTTTCATTTTCTTTTTATCATTCATTTACTTACTACTGTAAAACCAAAATAAAACATATCATATTTTAATACTATCAAGCTAAAATAAGTGTGTAAAGATAATAATGTAATCTTTCTTTTTTCTATTTTATTTATTAATAAATAAATTTAAATTGTTAAATTTAACAAAGTGATAACTTTTTTTCTGAACAAATTTAATTAGCTAGCAGTAAATTTTTTAATTTATTTCTCTGATCAGCAAATTTAACAATTTATTTTTGTAACATTTAAATAAAAAACAGTATTATACTAAAATAGTAATTAAATAAATTAATTCTACCCCCTAAAAGAACACATTAAAATGAAAATTTTAATATTGATTCTTCTTATTAGCTTCTGCTATGCTTAAGTTAACCTTAGAAGTGGTTAATAAATGAATACTTTAAGTTAATGTTAAAAACCTTGTCTTTTATAGAAAGATAAGCTTTTGAAAGGTGCTGCTATTGGATATCCTGCAAACGTTAACAATGATGATAAATATATAGACATTTCAGGCATTTACGAAAATGATAAGCTTTATTTGTGCTGCGACTAATAGAGAACCTTTGATTTCTTGGATGGCTTGATAGTCCCTGATTTTGTAAATGTAAAAAGCTTAAATTTAGATGATTTAAATCAGATTGAAGTCAATATTAGAAAAGAAGAAAACCCTAATTAATTTAAAATTTAAATTAATCATCGTTTGTTTTTAGAGAGTAGCTCTTTAAGTTTCATCAAACAGATAGCCATAGGCAAATATGACTACTGTCTTATAAAAAATTGACCCTAATTCATGCCAAAAATCTTTACAAGTTGGGATGGTATTTTCTTGAATCTCGGTAAAACAGTTGTAACATCAATGTATCTTGGATGTGAATCTTCCTTAAATATCTATCTCTCAACAAGCAAAAATTATACTAAAGAAGAAATTACCAATATTTACTGGTAGCATATTTAGAATAATACACTTTTAACTCTTTGCAAAAACTTTGAGGGCTGTGAATATGCAGGAAAGAGTGGTTGGACAAGAGGAGTTTAACTTTTAGGAGATGATTAAAGCTTTTAAATGTTCTTAAGAAGCATAGGCTTATAAAATTACACATATTTAACCCCATTAAAAGAATTTAACATCTAAAATGATATAACAGTCATAAATTCTTATAATCTCTTTAATCAAGAATCTTCAAGTACTTAGGAATGTAGTTTAAAGCAGTGGAATTACAAATATAATCAATCTTAACTTACATCCTGAGGAAAAAGTATCATAATAATAGGAATAAATAATTTTATATAAATAAAATTAAAAATAATTTTTTTTAAAATGCTATAAAATAAAATATATATAAATATATAATTACATATAAAATATTGAATATGATTTTTTTTAATACCTTCAAATTATTTGGCAGATAACATTTATTTATGATAGAATACTTCTGCAAATAGAAGCTTCTCAATTTAAGCATAAAAAATTAAAAAAGTTTTTAAAATGTTTGTTATTTTATTGATTTAATATAATATATTACATAAAAAAATATTTTTTGTAATAATGGTGTCAAAGTTAAAATTCTAAAGAATTATACCTCAAAAAACATAAAAAATTGTAATTTTATACAGGTTTAAATTCCAGTATTTACAATATATATCTTTTTATAAAAAGAGAAAATAAGGAGACTGATTTATTAATATATTTTTTAGAATGGTACAAATTAAATAAGAATATTTAAAAAGAAAGTCAATAATATTTCGTAATTAATCAAAATTATTAATTTCTGGTAATAATTAATAATCAAAGAAAATTAATGGTAAATAAATAAAAAAAAATGGAGTAATAGAATAACTCTTTAAATATTCTATAAGATGTATCCATCATTATTAATTTTATTTATTATTATAAAACCTTTTTTTAAATAAATAGTTAATGAAATCTAACTTAGAAACTCAAACTCATATTGACTTACAGTTAAAGTAAGGAGAAAAAAATTTATTAATAAAATTTTTGTCATATATTTTTCAATCTTATACTTTTTTTTATAAAAAAAATATTTTAAAGCTTTTTCTCATTTTAGTAATTTACAAAATTAAGAAAATATAAAATCTCATATATTTCATTCAATCATTTATTCATAAATTAAATTTTTTTGTTATTATTTATAAAATAAATAGAAATTGTACTCTTAGTTAAAAACAAATTGATTAACTTAACAATACTTTAGTAAAATGTTAAAAGTTAGAATCTTTAGTATTAAATCTAAAGTAATAATTTAACTTTATTATCTTAAATATCATAATTTCTTTTTGCTACAAATTTAACATGTAGTAAGGAAAATATTTCAGATGAGAAGATAAATTAATTATTTGCTTAATATTCTTACCTAAAGGATTATGTTGAAACTGATAATAATATGAGGTAAATACAATTTTTTTGTTAATAAATCTTAAAATAACCAACAAATTGTTTAATAAATTATAACATTATCTTATATATAACTTTTTACAATTAATAAAAAGCTGAAAGTTTGAATTTTGCTTTTAAAATTATGATAAATAAAATATTAAATTTATCTTTTTCTTAATTTAATAATTTAATTTATGACAATAAATTTCCCATAATTTCGGTTCTGTTAAATGTCGATTGAGATGCTGTTCGGTTCTGTTAATTTAAATTTTCTGAAATTTAAAATAATAATTTTATGTAAAGATATTTTTAAAAAATGAATACATTAAATATAAATTCTCTTTATTTAATTAAACATTTTTATAATTAATCTTTTATTAGAGTAATTAATTCACAAATTAAGATTTAAGACGAAATCTTTTTTCATTTATTAGATATCATGCTTTAGAAAAAATATATTCACTTGGAAAATTTGAAGCTTTTAAACTCAAATAGTTACACAAGCAACATATTTTCTCAATATTAGTCATTGGTAAAATAAACCCAAACTAATTACATATTCAATTTTTCCTCTTTTTAGATATTATTGTTCTTTATTAATTTAATCAAATAAATAGATTAGGAACAAAAAAATAAGCAAATATTTCTCAAAAAGACTTCAGCTAAATTTAATTAAGTAATATAAATATATAACATATTATATAGCAAAATACCGTACAAAAATATAGTGGTTGGCATGCCACTTTTATGAAATAGATTTTTTAGTTATTTATAAATTTTAAATTTATTTTTTATTTTTATTTAAATAAAATTGGTAGAGACAAATTTTTTACAGTATTTTGGATTTAATATAATTTTATTTTTTTTAAATATATATCAAGAGTCTTATTGAAATAATTCAATTTTTTCTAATTACTAATGTAAAAAGCAAAATAAAATATATCATAAAATACTAGCAAGCTAAAACATTTTAGTAAAGATAAGATTTTTATATGATGAGTTTTTTTCTGAATAGATTTTTATAGTTAGAAGTAACCTTCTTTATTTATTTTTTTTGATTAGTAAATAAAATAATTTGTCGATTGCTGATAAGAAAAAGAAAAAAAAAATAGTATTTACTAAGATAATAATTAAATATCCTGACTTTTAGACAGTTGATTAGTAATTTTGCTTTGGATTTTTAATTTAAATAACAAATTTAATTATTTTCTGCTCGTTAATAATAGGGATATGAAATTGAAATTTGTTAATTATTAATAATTAAAAATGTAAGAATAGACAGAAACACAATAAGCTATAGAAATATTTCAATTAAAAAAAGCAAATAAGAATGATTAAATATTCTAAATTTACTTTTCTTTTTCTTTTTATCATTCATTTACTTACTACTGTAAAACCAAAATAAAACATATAATATTTTAATACTATCAAGCTAAAATAATTGTGTAAAGATAATAATGTAAAATTTCTTTTTTTCTATTTTATTTATTAATAAATAAATTTAAATTGTTAAATGTAACAAATGATAACTTTTTTTTCTGAACAAATTTAATTAGTCAGCAGAATATTTTTTAATTTATTTCTCTGATCAGCAAATTTAACAATTTATTTTTCTAACATTTAAATAAAAAACAGTATTATACTAAAATAGTAATTAAATAAATTAATACTACTCCCTATAAGAACAAATTAAAATGAAAACTTTAATATTGACTCTTCTTATTAGCTTCTGCTATGCTTAAGTTAACCTTAGAAGTGGTTACTAAATGAATACTTTAAGTTAATGTTAAAAACCTTGTTTTTTATAGAAAGATAAGCTTTTTAAAGGTGCTGCTATTGGATTTCCCGCATATAGTAACAAAGGATATTATTATACATAATCAACCATTTACGAAAATGACATGCTTTATTTGTGCTGTGACTAATAGAGAACCTTTGATTTCTTGGATGGCCTGATAGTCCCTGATTTTGTAGATGTAAAAAAATTAAATCTAGATGATTTAAATCAGATAGAAGTCAGCATTAGAAAAGAAGACAACCCTAATTAATTTAAAATTTAAATTAGTCATCATTTTTAGAGAGTAGCCTTTTAAGTTTCATCAAACAGATAACCATATGCAAATATGACTACTGTTTTATAAAAAATTGACCCTAATTCATGCCCTTAACCAAAATTCAGTGCAAATTGGAATAATATTTACTTGAATCTTGGTGTAAATGTTATAACATCGATGTATATTGGAGGTGAATTTGACATAAATTTCTATCTCTCAACAAGCAAAGATTATACTAAAGAAGAAATTACCAATATTTACTGGTAGCATATTTAGAATAATACAATTTAAAGTCTTTGTAAATACTTTGAGGGCTGTGAATATGTATCTAGCGATGGTTGGACAAGAGGAATTGAGTTTTTACGAGTTGATTAAAGCTTTTAAATGTTCTTAAAAAGCATAGACATATAAAATTACGAATATTAAAAACCATCAAAAGAATTTAACATCTAAAATGATATAACAGTCTTGAATTCTTATTATCTCTTTAATGAAGAATCTTCGAGTTTTTAGGAATGTAGTTTAAAGCAATGGAAATAATATAAGGATAGGTTTTACTCTACATACTGAAGAAAAAATAAATATCACAATGATAGAAATAAATAATTTTATATAAATAAAATGAAAAATAATTTTTTTAAATGCTTTTAAATAAAATATATATAAATATATAATTACATATAATATGAAATATGATTATTTTTAATACCTTCAAATTAATTAGAGATAAAATTTATTTATGATAGAGCACTTCTGCAAATAGAAGTTTCTCAATTTAAGCATAAAAAACTAAAGAATTAGTTAAATGTTTGTTATTTTATTGATTGAATATAATATATTACATAAAAAAATATTTTTTGTAATAATGGTGTCAAAGTTAAAATTCTAAAGAATTATTTTTTAATGTGCTAAAATATTTTAGTACCTAATTCAGTAAAAAGTAGTAATATAAATACATAAATAAATATATATATTGGTTTGAACATAAATGAGAAAGATATTTGTTCTTTTAGGTTTTTGATGAATTTGAATTTTTTTGATGAGAAAAAAGTTTTTATTTATTTTATTTAGCTGGTCAATAAATGAGAAAGATATTCTTTTATTTATACTTTTAATGAATTTATTTGGATTTTTTGATGTGAAAAACGTATCTTTATTATTTTATTTGATTTTTAAATATTAACTATTCACACTTTTCAATAAAAAATTCATTAAATTAGATAAAAAAGAAGTAAAATTCATAAGTAAAGCTCAAAATAAATGATTAGATTTCTATAAAAATAAAAATCTTTTTATAGATTAATGCAACAACAACCAAGCATTTTAATTGCGAAACCATGGTCTAATAATATTTTCAAAATAAATTAGCAGTTACCATATCAATTAAATTTTAAAATTAACTAATTTTAATATTCTACTTAATCCGACAATTTTTATGAGCTTGAATACTTATAAAAGTATGAAATTCATCCATCCGATTAAATAGACTCTTAAATGCTAATGGATAAATTTCAAAATAAGATAAAAAAAGTTAAAGATTTAACATAGGTAGTGACTATTTGCTAATATTACGCTGCATTGTTTAGAGCTAGAATGGAATTAGATATGGCACTTTAAGTAAAATCTTACCAAATGCAGTAAATTCAACTAATGCAGATAAATATTCTATACCTTACATATAAATTATAGCAGATGGAATTTTATTTTATCTCAGGAGATTTGATAGAAGTAAAAAGAATAGCTGATTAAATGTATGAAGATTATAAAGAATCTCTAAATCATTAGCTTGATCTTTAAAATATTAGACTTCTGATTAACGCAGCAGAGAAAATGTGTTTTACTAATTAGTTTGAAAGAGGGGTAGATTTGATATTAATAACTATTAAACATCTTGAAAAGATGTAAGATAAATCAGAAGCTATAAAAGATTTATCTAAAGCATAATTGCTGTGCGCTGCTGGCTATTTCGCACTAAAAGAATACAAAATTGCTGCAAAATACTCAGAAATGTCTTATCAAGCTAATAAATCAACTGATTAACCACTTTTTATAGCCTGTGTTAGCTATAAGAAGCTTGGAGATTATGATAAAGTAGAAGAAATTTCCTAAATATTAAAGGGCAAAATTTCAGAAGATACGTTAAAAAATATTGAAAAAAGTTTCAAAGCATTTAAATATATGTTTATCTATACAAATGTCTATTAAAAATAGGTTGATTAAATTCTAAAATCAGAAGCACAATTAGATTAAGAGGATAAAAATAGTGGAAGGAAAATTATTAATTTGAAGAATGAAGTAGATAGAATTTCAAATTATATGAAAAATAGAAATTATGAAGAAGGAATTAAGTTTTATACTAAAATTTTGTAATAACTGGATCCTAAATTTGACTTTTTTAAGAAGTTATAAGTAATGGATTTAATCTCAAAATTTTATTTTAAACAAAAATAATTCAGCAAAGCTTTAGAAATACTTTTAGATATACATTAATAGCTCCTTGAAAAAAGAAACTATTTAATAATTAATGATTTTATCACTTATGATAATTTTACTTTTATATTTGCAAACTATTTAGAAAATAAAGATTATGATAAAGCTGCTTAGTGGTTTAAAAAATGTCATTCATTTTTGTTGTTAAATGGTTACTTCACAGAATTTGATAATCAAAGATGTCTATTTATCCTCCATTATATTCAGTGTTTGTTCAATATAGAGAATTTTGATGAAGCTCTTGAATACACTAAGCTTTTTGAAAGATATTTAGATTAATTTTAATAAGAAAAATAATACATTGAATTGTATAATTAATTGATAAATGCAAGGATCTCAATTTTAGATAAATGCTAAAATCAAGAAATGATTTAAAAAGAGTTAGAAAAATACTACTAATTTTTATTGCCAATAAAGAACTAAGAAATTTAATAATTCTATTTGTGCATAACCAATTTAATAAGAACTTTTTAAAAAACAAACAATAATGAGGGTTTAGTAAAATATGGTTTGGAATACCTTAAAGTAAGACCTTAGTTTGAAAAAGAAGAGGACTTTCTTCACTAGAGATGCATAGTCTATTATTAATTGATATTAAATTGTATGAATACTGGATAATTCGAGTTAGCTAATAAGTTGATTGTTGAATCCTAATCATGCTTTTTAAAATAAAAAGATTATTTATATCTTTACCATATTCTCCTCTTTTAGATAGTCTTGGATATAAATTTTAATAAGTATGAGTGTGTTGATAATAGTATCAGGAATGCAGAAAATTTTCTTTCTTAATACTTTGTAGGGCATTAAAATGAAAAAGAAATGAGAGCTTTAGGATATTAAGCTATATCATCTGCTTACTTTAAATTAAGAGACTACCAAAAGAGCTTTGAATATATTGAAAAGTATGTTTCTTTAGGCTGCTCTTCTTAATAAGATAAGGAGAAATAAAAGGTATTAATTGATAATCTTTTAAAAATCGAAGAATTTAAGGAAAAAACAGAAAATATGATATCATAATATGGCCTTAACAAGGAATCAAAATAATGAATGACTTGTCAAATCAGTTATTTAAAAAATTAGTTCAAGACAAATTTTATAATAATTAAAAATAGAACTACCAAATAAAAATTAATTTTTAATGATATTAGGATTTTTAACTTGCTTTTATTGAGAAAAAAATTTCTATAAATTTAATTATTTTTAAAAATAAATAGATAAAATAATCAAAACATAGTTAAGATTTTGTCTTTCTTTTTAAATATTTTGTGGAATTTATTTTTATGTTTCTTATTTTGATTTGGCATTAGCCATATCCTAATCTTAAATTTGTTGGCTAGCCGGCTTAGAGCAATTTTAACTTTTGTTTATATTATTTTTCACATTATAAGAATGATAATATAGCACTTCCAGTTATGAAATTCTAGTGATAAAGTAAGAATTGAAAACCTGTATTTGTTATACTTTTGATTAATAATTTAATTAAATAATTTTATTTTACTTTTTATAAAAAAATCTTTATTTTCTGATTTTTATTAAAAATATATAATTACAGATATTATATTTTTAATTTATAATATGCTTCATTATTTTAAAAGAAAATATTGATTATTTAATTATCAAATATGAATGAAAATGTAAAAAACTCTAATTAAAAAATTTTTTAACAATTTTTTTAAAAATTCAATCAAAAATTAATACAAAATTTATTTTTTTTCAATAATATATATAAAGATAAAATTTTGAGAATTATTTGTAAAAAATTTCCTTTAACTCCTATTTTAAGTTGCTGAGTTTTGAAATTTATTCTCAAAGATATGTTTCTTGAGAGTTTTGTAAGTAAATTTTAAACATCTAAAATTAAATAAAATCCTGAAAAAACTAAATCCTTAATTTATTTAATTTTTAGAAGTCATTTTTGGCTTTTAAATAATAATAGGTTTTTATGAATAGATTATTAAGAAGTAGCCTTTACTTTATATAGTAGTTTATTTGGATATAAAAATCGTTTTTTATTGCTTAATTATGTAAAAATAATTTAAACTAAAAAAACTGATGATCTCATTAGATAAATATGGGCGGAGTCATAAAGAATATAATTTTATTTTATAATTAGATGCTATTTAATTATTTTATTTAAAATTTTATTAATTTGTTTAAAAATTAATATTTTTTGTTTTCAAATTTTTAAACTGAAAAAAGTGTTTTATATTATTTTAAACCTAATTCAGTAAAAATTAGTAATAAAAATACATAAATACATTTAGTTTTTACATAAATGAGAAAGATATTTGCTCTTTTAAGTTTTGAATGAATTTGAATTTTTTTGATGAGAAAAAAGTTTTTATTTATTTAGCTGAAACCTAAATTAAAAGATGTTTGTCCTTTTAAGTAATGAATGAATTTGAATTTTTTGATGAGAAAAATGCTTCTTATTTATTTTATTTAGCTGGTCAATAAATGAGAAAGATATTCTTTTATTTATGTTTTAATGAATTTATTTAGATTTTTTGATAAGAAAAACATATCTTTATTATTTTATTGGCTTTTTAAATATTCACTATTAAAATTTTGGTTTAAATAATTCATTAAATTAGATTAAAAAAAAAAGAGAGTAGATAAAAAAGAAGTAAAATTCATAAGTAAAGCTCAAAATAAATGATTAAATTTCTATAAAAATAAAAATCTTTTTATAGATTTATGCAACAACCAAGCATTTTAATTGCGAAACCATGGTCTAATAATATTTTCAAAATAAATTAGAAGTTACCATATCAATTAAATTTTAAAATTAACTAATTTTAATATTCTACTTAATCCGACAACTTTTATGAGCTTGAATACTTATAAAAGTATGAAATTCATCCATCAGATTAAATAGACTCTTAAATGCTAATAGATAAATTTCAAAATAAGATAAAAAAAGCTAAAGATTTATAATAGGTATTGACTATTTGCTAATATTACGCTGCAGTATTTAGAGCTAGAATGGAATTAGATAAGACACTACAAGTATTATCTTACCAAATGGAGCAAATTCAACTTATGTAGAGATATGATATATATGGTGAATATAAATAATAGCAGATGAAATATTGTTTTATCGCAGGAGATTTTATAGAGGTAAAAATAATAGCTGATAAAATGTATGAAGATTTCAAATAATCTCTAAATGATTAACTTAATCTTTAACAGATTAAAGGTATCATTGATTTAGCAGATCAGTTATATCTTTCTAATTAGTATGAAAGAGGGGTAGACATGATATTAATAGCTATTAAACATCTTGAAAAGATATAAGATAAATCAGTAGCTGCAAAAGATTTATCTTAAGCGTATTTACTCTGCGCTGTTGGCTATTTAACACTAAAAGAATACGAAATTGCTGCAAAATACTCAGAAATGTCTTACCAGGCTAATAAATCAACTTATTAATCACTTAAAACAGCCTATGTAAGCTATAAGAAGCTTGGATTATAAGATAAAGCAGAAGAAATTTACTAAATATTAAAAGGCAAAATTTCAGAAGATTAGTTAAAAGAAATTGAAAAAAATTACGCAGTATTTAAATAAATGTTTAATTTTACAGATATTTATTAATAATAGGCTGATTAAATCCTAAAAGCAGAAGCACAATTAGATTAAGAGGATAAAAATAGTGGAAGGAAAATTATTTTTAATTTGGATGGTGAAGCAGATAGAATTTCTAACTATTTCAAAAATAGAAATTATGAAGAAGGAATTAAGTTTTATACAAACATTTTGGGATAATTGGATCCTAAATTTGACTTTTTTAGGAAGTTATAAGTAATGAGTTTAATCTCATAATTTCATGTATAACAAAAATAATTCAGCAAAGCTTTAGAAATATTTTTAGATATTCACTAATAACTTCTTGAAAAAAGAAACTATTTAATAATTAATGATTTTATCACTTCAAATAATCTTAATTCTATATGTGCTCTCTACTCATTTAATAAAGATTATTACATTGCTGCTTAGTGGTATAAAATATATCATTCTTTTATGTTAATAAATCGTTACTATACAAAATTTGATTATCAAAGATGTCTATCAATGTTCTATTATATTAACTGTTTATTCAATACAAAGGATTTTGATCAAGCTCTTGAATACTCTAAGTTTGTTGAAAGATATTTAGATTAATTTTAGCAAGAAGAATAATATGTTGAAATGTATTAATAGTTGATAAATTTAAGGATGAATATTTTATCATAACTTTAAGATCATGAAATGATTTAGAAAGAATTAGAAAAATTCTACTAGTTTTTATTGCCAATAAAGAACTAAGAAAGTCACTAATTCTACGTTTGCCTAATGAATTTGATAAATTTATTTTTAAAAACAAATAATAATTAAGGCTTAGTAAAATATGGTTAGGAATACCTTAAAGTAAGACTTTAATTTGAAAAAGAAGATGATTTTCTTCACAACACATGCAATGTCTATTTTAGATTGATATTTAATTATATGAATTCTAAATAATTCGAGTTAGCTAATAAGTTGATTGTTGAATCCTAATCATATTTTTTAAAATAAAAAGATTATTCATCTCTTTACAAAATTCACCTCTTTTAGATATCTTTGGATATACATTTTAATAAGTATGAGTGTGTTGATAATAGTATCAAGAATGCAGAAAATATTCTTTCTTAATATTTTGTAGGGCATTAAGATGAAAAGGAAATGAGATCTTTAGGATATTTTGCTATATCATCTTCTTATTTATAAATAAGAGACTATCAGAGAAGCTTTGAATATTTTGAAAAGTTAGTGTCTTTACGCTACTCTTCTTAAAAATGTAAGGAAAATTAAAAGTATTTAATTGATAATCTTTTAAAAATCGAAGGATTTAAGGAAAAAACAGAAAATATGATATAATAATATGGCCTTAATAACGAATCAAAATAATGACTTGTCAGATGAGTTTATTTTAAAAATAAGTTAAAGAAAAAATTTGAAATATTTAAAAATAGAATCACCAATTAAAATTTTATTAATACTTTATTTAATAATATTAGGGTTTCTACATTACTTTTAATCAGAAAAAAATTCGTACAAATTTAATTATTTACCAAAACAAATTAATAAATAGTAAGATTTTTCTTGTTATAATAATTTGTGGATTTTATTTTTATGTTACTTATTGTGTCTTGGGATAAGCTAAATCTCAATTTTGTTATCTTAGAACTATTTTAGCTATTGCTTATATTCATTTATCGCATTATAACGAAATGATATATTAATGTAATTCTTTTTTATTATTATTTTTATATAAAAGCTCACTACTTAAATTAATAAATCACTACTAAAAAATAGTTTTATTTAATATTTTTAATTTATTTAATTTAAATAAATTTATCATTTTTTCTGTTTTAATTTTTTATTTAATATAAATCTAATATTTGAAACTTTTTCAGAGAAATATTTTTATTTTTTGTTCAATTGTTAATTTGAAAGTAACAGTATTTTTCACTTATATACATACATGAGACTTTAACTGATATCATAAAAATTACAGAAAAAAATATATTTTATAAAGAATTATTACTTTATTGTATAATATTAAATTAATTACATCATATAGATAATAATTGAAATTTTTTAGCTTTTTAAATTTAATTCAATTATTAATTTTCCAGTAGCATAATCTTAACTATATACATAAGACTTTAAAAGATAGGATAAAATTTACTGATAAAATATATTTTATTTAGACTTATTACTTTAAAATATGATATTTAATTTAATCAAATAATATACAATTACATCATAATAGATAACAATTTTTCAACTTTATTAAAACTTTTCTTTGAAGCTGCTTTAATACTTTTTGAATATGAATACTGAGAAAGTAAGTATTTTCATATGGGTATGAAAGATATGTAGATCAGTATACTTCAAAGACAACACTTTTAAAAAGTAAATATAATTGTCTTTTTAGTAATTACTGTTACTGATAAGTTTAATTACTTTGGTAGATTTAAATTACTTGGAGGGATTATCTTTGAATAGAAATATCCTTAAATCATACAGATGATAAGCTATACTCAACATATTTATTCAATTTACCAGAAAAATATTAATTACTTATATGAGCTAATTTAAGGAACCTAACATTTTTTGCAAGGTAAAAATCTTTAGGAAATCATGATTTTTTAGCATCTATTGATAAATTATCATTTTTTTTTCTTTTAAATCTAAATAATAAATTTTTAAATAATTTTTTTTTTCTTCTTTTAATGATAGAAATGGTAAGATATTTTATTAAAATAATTATTATTTTGAAAGGTATGATTAATTTATTCATTTTTACATTAATAACTCATTTTTAGGAAAAATAGATATTTTAAAGATATTAAGTCTATACAGTTTTTATAAATTAGCAAATTTTTTTAGTCTATTATTAAAATAAAAATAAATTAGATCACATTAAATATAGTTATTATTAAAGAATATTAATGACGCATGTAATTATTATTTGGAAAATGATAGTATGAACAAAAAAAACATTGGAATTAAATATTTAAAATTTTAAATAAATTTAGTGATAATGCACTTTAAATTTATATAAAATTTATAAATTTAGAAATGATGATTTTTACTTTTCATTTAATTCAAGAAGATATCAAATTTTTATTAAAGCTATTTATTAATTATTTTAATTAATGTTTAAATAAAAAATATTTTTAATTCATAGTTTTTTGATTTATTTAATTTTACTTAATTTTTACTTAAAATTATTTATTTGACTTTATTTCAAAATCTTTAATTTTTATTAATTGAATTTAAATATATAATTAAAGAATGATAATTTGTTAGACAATATTCTTTTATTTTTACTGAGTTATTTATTAATCAATATATATACAATATATTTGAGAAATTCATTTATATATATAGAGCTATTAAAGATATTATTTATATAAATTGATGGTTTATAATTGTTATGTGATCTTTAATATATATTATTGCGCTTAAGCTGTACTCTTTATAAATTCATTCTTTATTTAAATGAGGAATGGGAGAAATTATTTATTTATTTATTTATTTTTTGATATTCGCTGATAAGAGGACTTATAAAGAATTCGATTTGCAAACTTAGAAAAGCTATAAATTTAAGAAGAATAATATTTCTTACTTATAATTAATTAATTTTAAATAAAAAAGAAAAAATATAGTTTAGAAAAAAAGATAAGATTTTAGTTGTTTCTCTTCTCTAAAAGATATTTAATAAATTAATTAAAGAGATCGATCAATAGTTTAATTAAGATCAAACAAAAGCATAAAATAAATAGTAAATAAAGCGTTTAGAAAAATATTTTTGGAATGAGTGATTAATAAGTGTAGGAATAGGACTATTAATATAACGAAGAAAATCAAGAGGTGAATCATGATTAAGGTACTTATTTTTATAAGATTTAATCTATTTATCACATTTGTCTTTTTTTGTTTTTGAATCTATCTTGCTTTATCTAAATAATATTTTTAAAATTTAGAATAAGAGCATAGGGGTGATGGATCTAATTTAAATTTTGATGAGGAAAACAATTAGTAGGATTAAGTAGCAGAAGAAGGTGGTGAGATGGAGTTGGAATAGCATCAAGATTTGAACGAAGAGCATTAGCAAAATGAATAAATTGAACACAATCAAGATCATTAATAATATGATGAAGGCAATTATGAACATTAAGAACAAGGAGAAGGATAAGAAATGCATCATCAAGAAAACTAAGAAGACTAAATGCAAGAAGGCGGAGAATAGCTAATGGAATAATAAAATGAAAATTACCATTAATAGGAAGGTTAAGAAGAGGAATAAGAATAGTAGTACTAATAAGAGTAGGAGGATTAGATTCAAGATGAAAATGAAGAGTAGAATTATGATGGTAATGAAGAGCTTTAGTAAGAACAAGTAGAATAGCAAGAAGAGTAAAATCAAGGTATATATATTACGTTAACTTGCTGAATTAGTTTATTTATTAAAGCAATTTTTGTAAATTTAAGGTGATGAAAATTAAGAGCAATAATAACATGAGGAGGATGAGCAAAAATTGGAATATCAAAACGAAGATCAACAACATTAAGAGTAATAAGAAGGAGAACAAGAAAATTAGGATGATGTCTAATTCTAAAATGATCAAAACGAAGGATACGAATAAATAGAAGTTAAGGAAGATGAAAACAAAATTGAAGAAGAATAAGAATAAGAATACAACCAAGAAATGAAGAATGAAGAAGAAGATGAATAATAATAGGATCAAAACTAAGAATAAGTTAGCTAATCTTAGTAAAATCATATGGAGCATTTAGAATAATAGCAAGAGCATTAATAACAAAAGGAAGAGGAGGAATAATATTAGCAGTAGCAAGAAGCCAACGAAAACTAGTAGTTATAACACCAATAATAATTTGAATAATAAAAGCAAGAAGCTAAGTATGAAGAGCCATCTGAACCTGTCAAAATGCTCTCTCCAGAGGAATTAAACAACATTTTTAATGAATTTAAAGCTTCTATTCGCAATTACTTAGTTGATAAAGTTGTTGACATATTGAGTATAGATTGATTTTTACTATTTACTAGAATTCTTAAAAGATTAAATTTTATTTTAAAACAGAAAAGTACTAGAAAATTTATAACATTGCTAATAAGGTAGACACTTAAACTAGATAAATCAGTACCTACATAGCTGCTAACTTAGCAACCGACGAATAGACTTATAACATGCTCAAAACCTTAATTGATTATGGTACTTTATTCACTTTTAGCCTTATTTTTCTATTTAAATCTTCTTCAATATTTTTAAAGTGTTTAAAAGAAAAAATAAAAAAATAGACAATGAAATTAAAATAGATTTTTCTTTTTTTTAAAAAAATTAAACAAAATAAAGTTTCTTAAACAATGAATTTAAAATGCTTTTTTTTCATAAAAAATTTCTAGATTTTAAATAATAGCAATTTATTATGACCAATAAACTGAAAAATTAATATTTTTTAACTTAGCTTTTTTTTTGAATGCAACTCAAGCAAATTTAATTTATTCATTTTATTGAATCTCTTGTTAATAAATTTTAAATTAAAAACATAGGCGCTAATCCTTTGTTTAGAGATTAATTAAAGGAATCAGTTTTGTTCTATATAGCTAAAGATGGTAAAATGAAATCCTTCTAGCTCCTTATGGAACATGGCGCTCAACCCAACGAAGAGGATTCCAACGGATAAACCCCTCTTTTCTTTGCTTCTAGAGATAATAGAATTGAAATGGTTAAAGAATTAATTAGATGTGGAGCTGATGCTTTCCATACTGATAAAATTTGCAGCTAAACTGCTCTTTTCTACGCTGCCAGAGAAGGAAATAACGAAATTTGTAACATTTTGATAACTAATGGATGCAAAGTTAACCACTAAGATTCCACTAAGAAGAATGCTGTTTTCTTCGCTAGGAGAAACAACAAAAAAGATACTGTAGAACTTTTGTAAGAATACATGAATAAAATAAAAAATGAAGAATAAAAAGCTAAAGAAATTCCCCCTAAGAAAGTTACAAAAGGCGCAGTCAAAGAAATAGCACCTCCTAACCCAGTTGCTGAGCCTACTTCTCAATCGGCTGAGTAATTGATGTCTTTTGATTAAAAATCTATAGGTAATTTAATTATAATTTGAATAAGTAGCTTTTTGAACTTACAAAATATTTAAATTTATAAGATAAAAAGAATGATTCAAAGCAAAGAAACAGAAAGTCAAACAAGGATTAAGCCAAAATGTCTTATAAGTTAGTTTATACAGATGAAAATGGGTAATAAAGAGAATTATCAAGAGCAGAATATTTAGAGTTCAAAGCAAAATATCCTCAAATTACAAAGATTATTGAGCACGCAGACGAAATGATTAATGAAGACGTTTATGGAAAGGAAAAAGATAGTTGGGAAAAAGTTGCTAAGAAAGTTTTATAAGCAATTTCTAAAGTTAAAGGTTGCTATTTATTCCAACAACCTGTAGATGTTGTTCGTTATAAAATTGATGATTATTATGACATAGTTAAAAAGCCAATGGATTTCGGTACAATTAAGGTATGAATTTTAATAATTTAATATTATTTTTTAAATCACATATTTAAATAATTTAATAGAATAAATTAAACACAAATGTGTATGAAAATTGCAAGTAGTACTTAGAAGATATGGAATTGTAATTTAGTTTTTATTGATGTGAATAAATATATATTATTAAAACGCATATAATAGGGTCTTCTATAACTGTATTTTATATAATGGATCTGACTCAGAAGTTGGCAGAGTTTGTCTCAACGTTAAATAAGAATTTAAGAAATAGTGCCTATTATTTGACATTTACCAATATCTCTCTCCAGACCAATGTAAGCACTTAAATTATTTTTGTTTTTTGAAAAATGTAATACAAAATACTTATCTCAGTAGAATTGCTTTATTTTATTAAAACATTTTTTCATTTTTAATTTCTAAAAATGATTTTAATGCTTTTTATTATTTATTTTATAAACAAAATAACTAAATTACATTTTCAATTTAGTTAAAAACAAACTACTTTTTTATTTATTTTTCAATGATAAAAATTCAATAACATAAATTTAACATAAAAAAATGTATTTAATTTGATGGTAAAATTTATTTTGAATAACAGAAGAAGGATATGGAAATGAGATGAATGACAGAGATTAATTACAATTAGCTCAATAAGGATAAGGATAACAAATTTCTCATTATAATGATCAACAATAAATGTAAAGCTAATAAAATGTTGAAGAATAAGAAGGAAATAATAACCAATAGCACATTAGTTAATCCTATAATTAAGAATCTTAAAATGATATGGGATATAATTAAGGTGAACAATCTAACAGTAATTAGTAAATGAGCTCACAATATTGAAAAAGATTTCATTAATTTTGAAATAAATGCTAAGAATACAATAAAACAAATAAATATCTAATTCTATTTATCTATTTTAAATAAATTTACCCTTAATAATTTATATACAATTTTTCTCTCATATATAAAATATATTTAGAGTTGACGTTTATTCGTTCTTTCGTTATTTAGTTGGTTGGTTGAAAATTAAACATATTATGTGTTTGTTTACACAACCAAATCAAATTTATTATTATTATTATTACTAATTTTTTTTTATGTTTTGCAATTTATATTATTTTATCTACTACTTTCAATTCTTCCACATCTTATTAGTGTCGTACATAAATTTTAATTTCAAAGTTTAATCGATCAGTCCTGTTTATTTTGCGCTATTTTTTTCAAAATTTTTCTGTTTAAAATCGCTTCGCTCGTTAAATAATTAAGTTATTACTAAATCCTTATTCCTTTCAAGGATCTAAATAATCAAAATTAAAATAAGGGATAAATTATTTATTGAATTTTAATTTAGTGATTAATATATAAAAAGAACTCTTTAGTTTTATTAAATAATTTAATCTTGATATGGGAAAGAATACTAAGGATAAAGAAACTGCAGATTCCAAAACTGGATAAGCAAAAAAGGCAAAAGTTTCTTCAAAAGAAAAGAAATTAACTAGTAAATCTCCAAAGAAAGTTAAAAATGGAGGAAATGTTAAAAATAGTAAAATAAACGGAGCATTGAAGCCAACAAAAAATTCTGCAAAAGCTAAAGTAGGAAATAAGGAAAAAAGCACTTAAAAAACCGAAAAAGCCAAAAAAATTTAATATTAGCCAACTCCTAACACTCGTTCTAATGCACTTAAAAATAAACTAACTAGATAAAACACTTTTGGTAAACTAGATTTTCTAGCTGATTCTTAGCAAAAAGAAAACAAGCAAAATATGAAGTAAAAAATTTAGATACAATAGACACCATCTATTCATGATGAAGAAGAAATAAGCCATACACCTACTTTTGGTTGCTGATTAAAATTATTTAGAAAATATAATATTAAATTAAATAAAATGTATGCAATTATCTAAGCAATATGTGTATTATCCATAATTTTGTAGAGTTTTAATAAATTTTTTTAAAGTATCTCTATTAGTTTAAATAAATAATATTTCATATTTTTTAGATTATAATAGGAAATTAATTTAAGATTTGAATTTACTACTATAAATAAAACAAATTAGTCTGGCTATAAAGTTTAGAACTTTTATAGATCTTCTAAAATATAGTAAGAAAGTTACATTTTTTAATAATATTTTCATTTTATTTATTTAATTTATTCTAAACAGTAACTTGATCATAATTTTTTGAGTAAATTTCTACTTTGATTTAACCCTTATAATTTTTTTTTTTCAATCTTTGTTAATTTTTGCAAAAATATATTGGAAATTTTTGAAGATTATTTACTTTTTTGTTTTGTCTGAGAAATACTTTTTTGATGAACTAAATAAAATCTGATCACATTTTTTAAAGCTGAATATATCAATCAAGTTACCAAATTAAGATAGATAAAATAGAAATAATCCATTTTTATAATGGTTAAACTAAATTTTTTTTCTATAACAAATTTCTTTTTTATAGATTTTATAGTAAAAGAAAATATTAAAAATAATAAAAACTAATTCTAATCTCGATTAGAAATCAATCTGTAGCCAAATATTTTATGAATAATAAAATTTATAAAAGGGATAATTTTATTTTAAAATTATAAGAGATTATAAAATAAAACTAATAAAAATTCATGATTACTTTAAATTTAAAATAAGGCTCCTTTTATTCTTAACTTATAAAATTTGCTAAAATATATCAATAAAAGCTTGCAATTACACTAATATAACTACAAAGAATAATAAACTTTAGATAAAGTTTGATAGAAAATTAATAGCAACAAAAATAAAATATATTTAAGATCTAAACTATTTATAATATTAAATTTTATATTTATTTATTTTTATAATTTTTTAATTTTTAGGATTAGATTGAACTTATTTGTTTATCTTAACTAAGATATTAAGAAAATATTTTAATTAAGTTTCTTTTAAAAATAGAAATGTTCATAAGCTATTTATATTATCTTAAATTATTTAGAAAATTAGAAATTTCTGAAGAGAAAATCAATTTTAATATAATGCTTTAAAAAGCTTATTTTTCTTTTTATAATAATTCCAAATAGATATTTCAATATAAAACCACGTGTCTAAAATAGTTGAAGAAATAAAGAGTTTATTTATTAAATAAAAACCTTTTATATAATTTTTAATATATTTGTTTGATTTTTGTTTTTTGTATCTTAAATCATCAAATTTAATTTTAATTTTAAAAACTACTCAGAAGCTCTTTTACATAAATGATTCTCAAATTTATTAAAAATTAACATAAAAAATCATAAATGATTTAACATTCTTTTCAGAAATAGTTTATTTTAATTGTGAAAGATTCTAAATAGGAATTTTCTCAAAATAGGAAAAATCTTTTAGAAAGGAATATTAAATGATAATATCCTTAATAATTTTTGTTATAATAGATTTAAATTATTATTTGAAAGCTTATAATCAATCACCAACGTGTTTGTTTGGATTTCTAAAAAAGTAGAACTTGACTTTTCTCTGTTATTTAATTACTTTTGGCTGATACTTTTTCTACACGTATGAATTAATAAATTAATTTAATATTTTTCTGAATTTGCAAGTAAGCTTTTCCAACAAAAATCTTGTAGGAAATAATTAATCTTATCAAAAAAGAATTAAATTATTAGTTTTTACTCAATTGAAAAGTAAATTGATTTAATTAAAATATAATATAAAAAATATCTCAAAAGTTGACTAATTATTAGTTTAAGTAAAAAATCTTTTCAAGCCTATCAATACGCATCCAAAGAAGAAATACCTTAAAATATTTCATTTAATAAATACACTTAAAGCTAGAAGTTTTAAAATTAAGGAATCTTAAGCTTATTAAGGAAATTCTTAATATTGTTTTTAGTTATAATCAATGATATTATGCCCAGAGGGATAAGTAAGCAATGAGCTTACACCAAATAGAGATAAAATTGACATGATAAGAAGAGTTTTATTGATGATTTGGTCTCTTTAATTATTTTTAGCGCTATCCAAGATTGTTGTTTCCTTTTGGCTTTGTTTAAGCGAATTAATTGCATGCTTGATTTTATATTTGTCTATCACTCAATTAAACTTTTGTAATTGTGTTGGATATATTGTTCTTTCAATTTTTAATCTAGTGGCAGTAATAGCATTTATTGGTAATCAACTTTGCCACAATATTGATATAATCTAAGTAAATATGTTTAAAACTGTTGTCTGTTATGCTACTATGGGATTTTATTCCTTCTCACTACCAATTGCTTTTTAGGGTTATAAAAATTTTAAAGGGATTGTTTATGATATGCTTTTAAGTCAGACAAATTGTGAGTAGGAATTTGTAACCAGAGAAAGTAATATATCTATAAATGGTTTTTAGTAGCCATTAAAAATATCTGATTTAGAACCATAATCTCCTAATGAGGATACTACAAAAGTAGAATCATTTTCAATTTCGATTGATGATATTAATTAAAGTTTAAATACAGAGATAGATTTGCAAGATGCTATTTGAAATTTAAATATTAAATGAATACAAAGCTAAATTATATTAAAAAAACAACTAAATGTGATTACTGTAATTATATTAATTGACAATTTATTCTTTACTTCCTATATATTTAACAAATTATATGTACATATCTTACTAATTAGCTCTGTTCTTAAATTTAAACTATACTTTATTTTATTTGCTAGAGTAGAGTTAAATAACTAATATATATTTATCAAATAAAACGCACTTAAAACCATATTGGTTCAAAAAATTTCTTAAATAAACACATATTATTTGAATAATGAATTTGTAAAAAAATTAAACAAAAAAGGCTTTTTTAACATAAAATTTAAAACTTTAAAATTAATTGTTTCCTAATAATTTAATTGGATTTATTTGCTGCTTGTTATTTTTTTATAATTATGATTCAATGTATAAAATAAATATTTAGACAAATAAGTTCATTCTTAAATATTTTAAAATAATTAATTTAAAAAGTCTTTTATTTCAAATATAAAAATTAAATTTGAAACTATTGAAAAATTTATTTAGAAAAAATAAAAAAAAGAAATTTTATTGTGAAGAAATAATTAAAACTATTTTGAAATAAACAAAGATATTTTTTAGGAATAAAACATAGCATATAATATTTCTTTAAAAATAAAATTATTAACATTTAAGTAAGTACTGAGGTTTATTAAAAACAATCAAACATATATTTTATTTATAAGAATAGAGAAAAATAAATAAGCCCATTTGCTTGCTAATTTTAATACTTATTTTAGTCAGAAATTATTTTTTACTCTGATTCCTCAAGAAGTGTATTTGCTTTAAATTCTTTTATGCATATCGCATAAGAAGGCATTATAAGACATTATTCCACGACTTTCGTCTTCTACAAAAAAGGGTTTCAAGTTATTTTCAAATGGATCTTTGTAAAGGACAGTGCGAATATTGTGGTAAGCACCGTTTCTGTTTCTTCTAATTTAATCAATAATAGCATTAACACGTGTTGCAAAATCGTTATCACTAATTGAAGGATATTGTTGAATTTCTCTAAGTTATTCATAGTCGGAAGTACCGTAGAGCTATTCAAAAAGTTAAGGATTAGCATCCTTCATGACGTAAATATAGATAGTCTCACCGTTATCAATTAGATATATACCAAAGCTTGATAAACGATCAATAGAACTAGGAATATTTGTAGGCATGATGACTTTGTCTTCAGCTATATAAGAGCCTGGAGCTAATTCAAGGCTTTGTTGATTTTCAAGGATTGAATGGAGGGCGTATATTTTGGGGTATAAGAAGTTACTTAATTAGTTAGGAGGGAAAGAAAACAAACGATAAATGTCGTAGTAACGATGGTCAGGTCTTGCTCCATTAGTTTTAAATACTTCGGATTTCAATACAGAGAGAATATATATTATTAAATATTTAGTAGATTCTGGTAAAATAAGCTAACTTGGAGAGCTGCTAGCTGCTACATTATTACGGTAAGAATAGAAAATATTGACTATTTGAGATATTAAAGAGTCGTGAAGTTGCTTGAGAGTTTGGCTGCTAATGTTAGAAAGGGTTCTACGAACAATTAATGAGAAAGTTGCATCTAAATCACCTTATTTAAACATGTTCTAAATGCTTGAATTTACAGGGACAGCCAAATTGATTACTCTGATCATGTTTTGACCATATATGTTTGTGTAAAGACATGCATATTAAATGTAGGCTTCGGCTGTACTGATTTTATCTTCTTGCTTGTACATAACTCCTAAAACTGAGTCAGGATTCATTGAACTCATTTGCAAATCCTTTACAGAAACTTTACCTTTAGTAGTGTAGTAATCTTCTAAAATAATACCTAAGCTAGTACGAACAGTCATAATGCAATCAATAAAGTATGGTCTTGTTAGATTTCTGAATAATTCATAGTGGACCTTTTCTGCATCGCTAACAGTATAATGAGGGTAGTAGTATAACTAACCACCAGTTTCAGTGCAAAGAAGACTAGTAGTTACCAAATCACAGTAATCAGGACTAAATATGAAAAGATCAACAGTAATTGAGTTTCTGAGGAGATTTACTGCTAATTCTTGGTATGATTTATCTTGTGGGGCATACAGAGTCTTTTCTTAATCAGTATTCATTACTTTTACATCATCCCTACGCTTTAATTTTCCATAACCTAAAGTGGGAAGCTAAGATGAAAAAACAATAATACGAGCAGGGTGGTCTTCTAACATTGAAGCAATGCTCTGAACTACAGAACCTACTGATGCTGTTTTAACATGAAAAACTTTGCTTGCTTCAGCTTCTTAAAGAACTAATTCGCTATTTTTTTAAAGCTTTTCGACAAGATAGTCAATCTTTTCACGATCTTCTATAATGTTTAAGAAGAGAGCATTACGAGGGAATGGACAATAAGGATCATCAAGATCTGAAACTACAATTAATTGAGGATCGTTGCTGAGATCCTTTGGAATGCTATAAAAGTTTATCTAAGATCCATAAGTGCAAATAGAAACGGCTGTACGCTCTGGAGCAGGAATGCTACCCAAAGCCATGCTTAAGGAATAGAGAGCTTAAGCGAATATGCCTGACTGAATAGTAGCAGGAGTCATCTCTAAACAAAGCATAATATAGTTATTGCTAACTTTCTTCTTGGCGTAGTTGCTAGGAGCAACCATATCATAAACAGCCTTTGATAATTCAGGACGAGCTTATTTATCGCTACGCTCGTTATAGCCATTTAGAGGGCTGTAATACTCATTTGGTACTTTGTTAGGTTTTTAACATATATTACAAATAGCTACATTTCCTCCATCCTAAAACTTAAAATAAGGGTTGGCATATGCGTGGCAACGCATACATCTAAATAAAGATTACATTTGCACAACCTTTCCATTTTCTGATTCTTCTTTTGTGAAATAGTCTGAAACAGGAACAGGTTCTTCCTAACCGACAGGATCGCTAAAAGGCTATACTATGCAACCTTAGGGGAATTAAGTTTAGGCCATCACGTTAGGCTCAGTTGCGAATGAATAGATACTTGGACGTATGAAGCGAGGTCCAGCATTTCCATCATCGCGTTAAATAAAATATTGATAAGAGTGAGGAGGAATTGCTTGGGTGCTTGTTGACAAAGAACTGCAAATTACTTCTCTATATTTTTGAGTTTCTTCTTAGAAAACCAAAGGACGAGGATAATCCATGCTAGATTTGCTACTTTTCCTAGCAGGAGACTGAGTACCTCCCATGACATCCTATCCAGATGATTATCTTCTAACTAAATCGTTGGCGCTTTAATCTGGTAAAGTACTTTGGGTTGAGCCCATTCCATAATTAGGATTGTAATTTGGATTTAGGTTTTGCTTATGCATTTCATGCTATTTCTCATAGTAAGCCTAGTTTGGGTTTTAATTGGAGATGTTAGGGTCTTAATAACCTTAATTTTAATTTTGATATTAATATTAGCTTTATCCCTAATATTAATTATATTAATTCTATCCATATTATGCTCCCTAATCAGGCTATTCCTATGTTTACTGTACTTGATGGTGGCCAGCAGCTCCACCTTTTCTTAAGTGTGGTAATCTATTTGACATTTATCTATCTATCGCTCTTCTTTAAAATCTTATTTTACTCTTAAAAAAAATTAAATATCTTTTTTCTTAACAAAAAACCTTTATTTTGTTTGATATATTTGATAAAACATACAAAAGCAAATTTTTTGAATGAAAGAAAGAAAGACCCTTCATTCAGTTTTTGTATATGTAATTTATTTATTTTTCTATTCATAAAACTTAAAATTTGTCAAGTTAACATGATTAAAAAACAAGCAAAAAATAAAAAGAAAGGCGTATCTATTCAATTTTTGACAATAATTTGCTCACAAATGGTCATCCGTAAAGACATAAATCAAATAAACTAAATCTTCTTAGTGCTTTTATTTACACGTAATTTTTTATTTTCAATTATTTTTTAATAAGCAATCTTAATTAATAATTTATTCAACTTCATAGTACCTACATATATTCAATATATTAAATCACATTTATAATTTTACTAAATGATAATTAATTTCTTCATGTGATAAAAATTTATTTATTTTAATTAATTGAAAAATAAAAAAATCCGAACTCCCGGGTTCGAACCGGGGACCACCGGATGACTACAAACTTTACAGTCCGATGCTCTTCCAACTGAGCTAAGTTCGGTTCGTTAACAAAATTATCAACCATTTGACTTTCTTATTTATCTCTTTATTAAATAGAATAAGATTATAAATTTAACTCGAAATAAACATTTATTTCAATTAACCTTAAAACATTATCAAAGTATTAAAAACATTATTAAAAAATATTATTGTTTACAATAAAATTTGTAATACCGTTATCCATCAATTAATATCTATTCGAATGATACAAAAATTTCTAAAAAGAGAGTACATAGATTAAATAAGAATTTTAGTTAAAAATATTATCTAAAAATTAATTAATGAGGATTTATAGTATCTTTATCTTTTAATATAAAATTATTTTTTTAGAAAATCTTGATATAAACTTAAATTTTAATTTTATTGGTTTGACTATTAGCAAATAAAAAAATCTATTTATACTATCATTATTACTATGCTTTTATTTAAATAGTATTATTTGATTAATTTTAAAAATCGAGTCTTAATCTAAATAAAATACCCTTTGAATTAAAATTGAAACAAATAATAATAATTTTTTATTAATATTTATAAAATTGATCTCAAAAAATACTTATTTTATTTCAAATTAAAAATTATTTATTCTTAAAAATTTTATATTTCAATTAAAGTAAAGAATTCATTTTAATTATTTAATGAATCAAAATTTGATATTTTATTAAATAGGATTATAATTGTTGCTTTTTGTCTCCTACTTGCTTAAATGAAATTCTTGCTTTAAAAAAATAATAAAAATTTATTAATTTATTAAATTTGATCATATCTAATCAACTTAAGTTTTAATTTACATAAAATTGGTAAATAAATTGTTTTAAAATATTATTTTGCTAAATTTACCTAGAATTATAGAGATTTTAATTTGTTTGGAAGCTGCACTAAAGTATAATAAAATTTAAATCAACAGAAAGAATAATATATTTATTTTATACTTAAATAAATTTTATGATTACCTTAAAACAACTTTATTAATATTATAGAATATTAAATTAAAAAAATATTAAAGTTATTTTAGATTAAAAAAATGGTAAAAAAAAATAAACTAATCATCAGTTATAGAAATATTATATTAATATTCAATATAACTCTTTTAATTGCTTAATCAGCAAGTAACCAATGCATAAGTAATTGTTTAGTGTGTTAGGGATAAAAATGTTTATAATGCAATTAAGACTATATTTTGAATAGCTCATTAAACATTTGTGTTTATCAAAATTGCCAAAAAGGTATGGCTTTGTAGCAAGCAATTGATTCTACTGGATAAATTTAAAATAAGTGTGTTGCTATTTGTTAGTAATAACAATATTTGAATGGATTGACTAATACTTGTTAGTCATTAAGTTAATGCTCTTCATCTTATTTTACTTCTACTAGCAGTACTACTAACTCTAATAACATTATTGATTTAAAAATGTTAAATGATAGCAGCCTTTTAGCATTTTACTCAAATTTTATGTCACAGATTAGAGTTGATACAGGACAACTCGAATTAAGTCTTAGCTATGGAGCATAAGCAATAAAGTCTTAATATTTTAATGGTTTGTATTACATATTTAAGACAGATAACTCTATTATTCTGTGGGAAGTAGAGTTTGATAAAAAATTGTTAGTCTCTTAAATTTAATTTGGAGTCAGTATAAGTGATAGCCAGATAATTAATATTAGTGAATTAATTGGTGCTTATTTAACGTTTGATGTCTTAAATTCAATAATATATATCAACCCACTAATAGAATTAGTTAATAATCAAATTTTATAAAATAAAATTCCTTTAAAAATATCATATGCAAACAATAGTTATTTTATCTAATAGAATTTGATTTTTGTTTTTTCCTCTCAAAGTCTTAAGGTATAAGTAATTGAAACTGATTAATCTTTTAAATTAACATCTACAGTTTTGCTTTAAGTAAACAACTTTGCAAATTCATTTTAAAATGTTATTAATGCAATTTACCAAAATGCGCAAAATGTTTTTTTTATAATTACATAAAATGCTTCTTTTGTATATAGATGCAAAATATCATCTTGCAGTACTGTAAGTTTACCTTCATAACCAAAAAAAATGATATAATCAGAATCAAGTTAATAAAAATTAAATATAATAATTTAATGCTATTTAAGTTTATTAATATTTGATGACAACTTAACTATTGTTCAACAATTTAACTTTGATAATCAAATTTTAGATTTCACAATTTCTTATTTCTCCTAAAACAGAATGAGAGAAATTTATTTGCTTTCTAACAACTAATAACTTATAATCTATTAAGAAACATAGTAAATAAATTAAATTTTGTTTGTTAAAACAGATTAAATAAAAGTCTATTCTTAATAACTGCAAAATTTGATTACCGTTAATTAAGATAATGGAATAATTAATTATTTGGCTATAATTGGTAACGGACTCTAAATTATAAGTAAATCTAATAATCAACAACAATAATAATAGAAATAAATTATCTCATCTTAATTTTAGCCAAATTATATTACTAACTAAGGAATTGTTACAGATATTCTTATCTTTGATGATTTAAACGCTTTAGCTACTTGCTCAAAAGAGGGAAGATTGTTTGTGTGGGATATAACCAAAGTGTATGATGCTTAATTTAGCTATCTTTATTATAATAACCAAGATAGCTGCTTAAAGTTATATAGGTTATCAATTTATTAGATAATTGCTCTTTTCTAAAATACTATTGTCATCTTAGATATAAGATAGTCAACACCTTTAAAAGTAATTTAGAAAAATAATCCAAATCCAACAAAAGAATTCATTACCTCTAATAAAAATTTAGGAATTCTAATTTATGATGGAATCCTAAACTGTATTAAAAATGATGGTAGCTTACTATTTTCAACAAATGATCCAAGCTTTACATAAAATATATATAATATATATATAAGCTACAATAATCTCCTATTCTTTTAATATTAAAACTAAATGAAGGTATATAAGGTAGATCCTACTTAAAATACAATCTAAAATCAAATGACACTTTTTTCAACTTACAATAGTCCAAGTAAAGTAAATATTTAGCTCTCAAAAATTAAACCTTTTCCAGAGTCACTTTATTCCTCAGTAGGATATACTTTTGAAGTAGTTATTTTTGATACAAGTTCTTCCTTTTATATTTTCGATGAATAATTTCACGTTTTATAGCAAGTTAATCAAGTTCCATTAATTTCAGCTGTTGATTTTAATTTCCTTATTTCTAACCCCTTAGATCCAAATTATTTTGTGATGGGATATACGACCTAGCAGACAGCGGCATTTAAATTTTAGGTTTATAATATTTAAAAAGGAGTAAATGCTGCTAATTTAGCTGCATTTATAGTTTCAGGATCTTATCTGATGGAGCCACGAAAAGTACCAAATAAACCGAGTTAGTATGATCTTGAAATTGTAATTCCTTTGAGCTATTTTACTTCGAATAATGTCTTCAGATATGATACGAATGTGGCAGCAAATGTATTCTAAATGGGGAAACAAATATAGAATGAAATTCAGTCAATCTATAAAACCTTTCCAGATTTATCATATAATTTTTTTGGAGGATAATCAGGATTTGTCGGAATATCACCTTTAAATACAAATTATGTTAAGCAGGTTTTTTCTCTTTCTTCCAATGACATTATAAATGTTTAATAATGTTACAGTTTAGGAGTTTATTTTGTAATTTCTAAAAAAATTTAAATAGTAAATATCCACACAAATAGCTTGATAGAGGAAATCATATTTAAAGACACTACACAATAATCAGTTCAGGGATTTTAAATTTTTGCTGATTTATAAATAGCAATTGCCTTTAAATCTTCATAGCTAATATTAAAAAATTTTAAGGATGGACAAACTTATTCCTATACAAACATAAATAACTTATCTTTTTACAATTTAGAAAAAGAAAATCAATTGATTACTATCTTTGGGTCAAAAGTAGTAAAGTTACAATTAAATTTAAATGAATATTAGTAAATCGGAGCTCTCATTTTGTAAAATAACTACATTGTTGGATGTGTATTATCTTCAGTAAATTACTATTGTAAATTATAGGATGGATCTATCAATATCATAACCCAAAATAAATTAAGCATATTGAATTCAATTTAAAACAAATTTTTAGGAAATAATTATAATTTTTAGTTAGATGAAACAAACAATTAACTCTTTTTATTTAATACATCTATTTTTGTTTATGATTTGACAGGAATTTTTTAGATTTAATTAACACAGTCGAATGGCCTGATAAGTATATTTAGCTTATGTACTAACGACATATCATATGTAACAGCCTCAAGTAATTTTTATTAATTTTTTATTTATTAAATTAGTCATTTAGTGTTTATTTTATTAATCAATTTCAATATTCTAATTAAAAAAAATAAATTTAGGTGTCACTGTTATGCAAAGAGGTAGTTTAGTAGTAAGAACAGTTATCAGTAGTCCAGGTGGAGGTAATATCGTATAATTAATGTACTTACCGAATTAGAATCACATATTGTTCTTCACAACTCAAATGAGATTTGGATAAATATTTGTATACAGTTTGAGTACACTTTTGTAAGTAACTTCTATAAAAAATACATACACCTAAAATCCAATTTCTCTAACATGTGCTATGATTTATGACATTTTTCAAAATTATCTTGTATACATAGATCTTACTGGGAATATTCTCATTATTTCTTACACTGGGGCATATTCTATGGTTAATTTTTTAAAAATGAACTAATTTGATGATGGTTTTAGTGCTCCTATTGGGTTTTCTTTAGACTTTGATATGAATAACATTCTTGTTTACAGCAGTTCAAATGTCTTTTAAATTCCTTATTCTTCTATCAATTTATGGTACAACAGGATAATTAATTATCCTAAAAATTAATACTTTGCTTTAAACAGTGGATAAAATTCTGAGCAGTATTTCATTGTTGGTACATAGAACATTCTTTATACTTATTAGAATAATCAATTTTAAAGTTTCAACTACTTTAATGAAGATGATCGTTTAAGTTCAGTCAGCTATATTCCTGATTAGCAACTCTTAATAGTCGGTTTTACTCAGTAAATTAATATCTATTAACAATTTTCTTCAAATAACTTATCTCTTAGCAATAAAGTAATTATCACAGGTTATAAGTTGAAAGAATTTATTACTCCAAATATTTTTTTGACTTTTGAAAATTCTATAGTAGATTATAATTTTTAGTAAAATTCTGAGAATTATAAAATAACATGGAATTTAGGTGTTTCTATAACAAGCTATTTATGGCTTAATTCTTCTTCACTTATTATTGTAGGATTTAATACTGGAGATCTCTTATTTTACAATTATTAATTATAAAAATAAACCAATATAAATGTAGATTCTACTCCTATTATTTTTATTTAAGAAGGACTGAACTCAATTTGGGCTTGTTCAGTTATAGGGATTATATAGTAAATCAGCACATCTTCTCAATAAACTACCTAAACTTTTAACTTGGCTTCTATTGTAACTCTCTAATAAGCAGATAAAATAAACGTCTTTTCAATAGATGAATAAAATTAGAGAATTTTTGTTAGTCTTTTAGAATAATATTTATTATATATATTTTCTTACTCAACTTAAGCTTTGCAAATACAGTAATATTTGAGCTTCCCACACCACGAAAAGAATAATATTTATTTTTCTAAAAATTATCTTATCATGTATTCAACATCTTAAATAAATATTCACAATAGGTCAAGTTTACAGTTTTTAAAAAGTTTAAAAAGAGAAAATGTTTATGATCAAATAATGTCTATTTACTTTGTAAATGAGACCTATTTAATAATACCATTCTAGAGGAAACTTGAGTTATACTCATATGATGTTATTTCTAACACTATGCAATTTTTAGATCAAATAATAACAATATTACCTTAAGTCATAAAAACTCAAATCATATCTAATGGTTAATAACTATAGCTAATAGGATTTTCTAACAATATGGTATTTGAAAATAGATACTCTGTTCAATTGATAAGTAGCCAATCTACTTAATGCAGCCTAAATATTGATGTTTAAGATTATACCAGTACTTAGCAACAGCTTTCATTAATACCTCCTACTACAGTTCCTTATTTTACATGGTAGAATAGGATAACTGTTACTTCTTCTAATAGTAATAATTATTTTTATATGAACATGTTTTCAGATAATTTAGATTTAGTGAGTACTTCATCAACTTAAAATACTCTCCTTGTAATATAATCTCCTATTAATAGTAACAATAATTTAATAAATGGCATGCAGACAATAAGTTTAAGCAATTAAATTTTCGCTTAGTTTTCTAAATAGTAAGTATTATTAAACAGCTTATAATTTTAATTAATTGATACAAGTAATTATCAGTCAAGTATAGTTATTGCTTTCAATTCTTTTGTATAACAGGTGAGCTTCTAAAATATTGTACTTCCTAACTAAAAAACTCTTTCTTAAGCACAATTTTAGTTTAAAAATATGAAAACTATTGTTTTCAATAATATTGTCATAGATAAATGGAATTTACTTTAAAATCTAAGAAATCTATAGCAATAATAACAAACAGCTTCTCAACTTTCAAGTTAAAATTCAGGCTTTTTTAATTTCTAAAATTGTAGTAGTGTTTATTTATATGGAATTTCAATTAAAAATTCTATCATAAATATTAGTAATTTTTCTACACTATTCTTATTCAACACAATTAACGAAGTTATTTTGGAAGACTTTTATGTAGAAAACTTGTAAACAATTGTATAATTAGCCACATTTTAAAATGTCTAAAAAATAACAATAAAAAACTTAACAATAAGTGATTCTTAATTCCTTTTATCTAAATAAAGCAGTACTAGCTTAAATTAATTTATAATCTAAATTTCAGGCTGTCAAAATACTATTATATAAAACTCTTTATTTACTTCAAATTAAAATATGCTCTTTTTAAATACAAAAAATTACATCGTAATTAATTAACAATTAGTGTATCTAGAAAGCGATTAGCTTACTCTATTGAATATTAGGCTTGAAAATAATTAAAATATACAATAAAACACAGGTTTAGCAATAATGAGCATAAGTTCTTCAATAAATAATTTGGATACCTTAAATATAACGCAAAATCAATTTAACATTTAATTTGAATCAACAGTTTCTATTTTTATTCAGAATTCTGTATTTTAGTATAATATTGGTATTAATGGGGGAGCTTTATCTATTATCAATAACATTGGCTCTGTTATTATATAAAGAAGTTAGTTTTTATTTAACAAAGCCTAAGGAAGTGGAGGAGCTATTTATCTAAATTTGGCTTAAGGTTCTGTAAATTTAGACTAATCTAATCAAATAAGCAATAACAAAGCAATTATAGGTGGTGGAATTAGGTTGTATAGTTATGCAAACTCAATTTAAGTATCTATACATAAAGGTATTATTGAAAATAATAATGCTGACATTTATGGAAACAATTTTGCTACTTTTTTAGAATCAATCTTTGCTTCTTGCTCAAATATGAATTGTTTTTTCAATAAGTCTAATAATTAGTTAAGTATAGAGAGGTTTAATAGTGGAGATACAGCTCACTTATCTATCATTTTTTTAGACTAAGATGGTAGATCCATGAGTTTTGATCCCTCAAAAGTAGATTCAAACAGTTACCCAAGTGAAATAATTGACGAAATTAAAAGTTATTAATTATAAGTAACAACATCATTAAATGGTAATGAAAAAATAAATATTAATGGTGAAAACTTCATTAGTTACAACAGATTCTCATAAAATACCTCTGCTTTCGAGCTAAACAATTTCCAAATTTTATCAATTCCATAAACAACCTAGCAAATTAATATAAACTACTAAATACTTCCTACAAAAATACAACAATTGAGTAATTCTAGCAAAAATTCAATTTTAACAAGTATATAATTTAGAGAATGTATTGTAGGAGAAATAATGAAAGCTTACTCTTAAACTATATTTTCTTGCTAAAAGTGTTTGGCAGGAACTTATTCTTTTGCAGAAACTGACCTTATCATGGAAAACAAGTAAGGTTAAATATAGTGCAAAAAATGTCCTTACTCTGCTATCAGCTGTGAAGGAAATTAAATTTAACTTAAAAATAGTTATTGGAAAATGAATGACACAACTGACGAAATAATTTATTGTGTCAATAATCCAAATTCTTGCCAATCTGAAAATAGCGAAAGTAGAAAAGGGTGTATAAAAGGATATATAGGACCTTTATGTGAAACATGTGATTTAATCGGTGATGTTTGGGATGGTTAAAGGTACACTAAATCTTTATCTTCTAGTTATGAATGCTCACAGTGTAGCTCTCTTTATTACCAAATAATTTTTATTGTCCTTTCTATTTTATTTTTATCAATATATTTTTTGATGAGCTTGGAAATCTTTATGAATAATTTTTATCATAGTCAGCTATGTCACTATTTGAGGTTTTTGCAGATTATACCAATATCCTAAAGCTAGATCAAAGATAGATCTTCTTTATACATAAAAATTTTAACAAATTACATTTAAAACTCTTCAGTTTTAATTAACTATTCTTACTACTTCATCCCAAGCTTAATCTCTGTAATTCCTAACTCTTTTGGATAGCCAAGTAACAAACTAGTAATTGGATTATAGTGTTTACTAAGTATATAGTACCTAAAAAAAAATGGAATTTTACAGACAGTTTCTATATTTCAGTCCTTAATTCCTCTAATTTTTATATTTTTATTAACTCTCATTTTGTTTATAGCATTTTTAATAAAGAGAGGAAAGTTCTAAAAAGCTAAATTCTATACCCTCTATAATATATTGTTTGTGTTCTTCTAGCCTGATCAAGTAAATTAACAAATTTCAAAAACTTTTTCTTTGAATAAATAATATTTTATGCAATATTACTAATAAAAAATACATTACTATTAGTAAATTTATTTTAAACTTCTTATTTTTAGTTTTTAAATAAATTTATTTTTTCATTTTTAACAAATTTTTGGTTTCATTTTTACTATTATTAATTAGGTAACATTTTTGACTAAATTGTTAAGTTGTAGATAAATTGGATCTTATAGTTACGCAAGTGAAAATTTACTACTACTCTGTGATGATGATAATTACTAATCATTTCAAAGAAAATTCGCAATTCCACTTCTGGTTTTTTGGATAGGAGTACCTGTGATATCTCTGATAGCAATATATAAAAAAAGAAATAAATTAAACACTTGCTATACTTAATACAGATTAGGATATTTTACAACTGGATTTAAATAGAAATTCTTCTATTGGGAGTTTGTTAGAATGTATTTGAAAATTTTAATTATTTTGATTTTTACTATTTACAATTCTAATTTATATATAACTTATTTGATAATAATACTAATTTTCTTTGGTTACATAAAAATGACAAAAAGCTATTAGCCATTTTAAAGTATTAGTCTTTCTAACATGGAAATAACATCTTATGCTATATTAATAACAAATGTGACTTTATAAATATTTTAGTTAGAGTACGACACAATAGTTTTATAAATATTTTCAGCTACAATTCATAGTTGGATGATTTTATATTTGATTTTGGTCATCATATTTATAAAAATTAATGATTAGTAAAATTTATTTGGGAAAATATTTAGATGTTTCCTTAGATTTATTCTACCTTAAAAGTATTATATTAAACTTACTTCAAGCAACAAGATAAAATTTTCAACGTTTTTAATGTGGAAAAAAGTCAGAAAAAATATATAATTGATTATATTAAAGAAAGCTTTTGAAAAAGTAGAAACATCAGAAGTTTTAAATCTGAATGTTAATAATACAACTATAAAAGACAGTATCAGTAAATTAAATTATTATTTTAATTAATTGTTCTATTTGTAAAATTTTACTTTATACTTTAAAATAGTGAAGAATATCAGTAAATCTATCCATAATTCAATGAGATTAATATCTAATTTAACAAGTCAATAAAATGATGTACAACTGAATTAAACAAATAGTAATAGCAGAATAAAAATCTTGGACCATGACAAATAAAAATAAAAAAGCAATTTTATTTAAAGATTAAAAATTAGCGATTCATCATAGTAGCAGGAAAATTATATGTAATAAGATTATGTAATTTAAAGTATGATAGATTTAGAAGATATTAATGAATTAAATGAAAATAAAATTTAAGATTAAAATGAGCTTTAATTTTCTTAATTTTAGACTTTATCTATGAAGAATTCAATGTAAAAAGGAAATAAATAAATATAAAAGTAAACAAAATTAGAATGCAAATGATACTTTTACCTAATTACATAAAAATTTGTTTTTATTTACTTATTTATTATTTTGTGATTTACTTAATCTATTACTTGTATTTTTAAATAAGCAGGAATATCAACCACTGTATTCTTTTAATGTTCAGAAAGAAATCTAAGAATATCTTTATGATAAAATTCTTTTAAATTAATTTTTTCTTAATAAATTTTTAATTTAGCTTTTTCAAAATGTTTTTTATTACATTGACTATAACATTAACCTCTAGTTTTTGTTTATTTCAATGGATTGTATTTTCTAATATGAATTTAGAGTTAATTTTATTTAAATTAGAACTAATAAAAAAAATTTTAGATATTAATCAAAATTTGATAATATACCCAAATCCTAACTTTATTTGATATTTCTACAAAAGTCTTTAAAGATATTAATTTATAAGTAAATCTAATAAACACAAAAAATATATATATATAAATGTGAATATTCAAGTAATTAAATAATTTATTTGAATTATTTTTATAAGGCCATCTTAAATTTAATGGTATTCAAATTATATTCATACATTCATATATAACAAATACATATAAACTTAATAATTTCTAAATTTTACTCATGAATATTAAGTGATAAATTTTTATTTATTTTTTTTCTTTTTTGCTCTTTATAAAATATTTATTTTTAAATTTCATGTAGCGTAGGCAAGAAATTTAGTAAGTTAAATCAAATTGTTTGTAGATATTATGTTGGTCTCCTTTTTTATATTCTATTTTGATTTTTTCAGATAATAATCCTTCCTTCACTTAGGAAATATCTTAAATGAATAATTCAGTAAATAAGAGCTATAACCTTTAATTTTGGTCTTTAACTAGTTCTTTGAATTTCTTCCTTCAGAGCTATTTTCGTCGTAAACTCTTCTAGGAATCTAAATACTTGGTCTGTGATTTCTTCTAAAGCTTCAATGACCATCAATCATATCTAGGTTCTTTACTAATACCGAATTAAAACTCTTTGTAATGGTTCGGAGATGAAGTTCTAAGATCGAAAGGAATCTTTTAATTATTTTATTTTGTTTAAAATTAAAATTTTAACATCATATTTCATCCTTCCACTATTTTCAAATTTATCTATTATATATTCAAAGATATTATCTTCGTTCTAATTTAATAAATCATCAAAATTATCATAATTTTTATCAATATAAATAGTTGGAATAGAAGTATCAAAGAAATATTTATTTTTTATTAAACTTATATTGTTAATATTATTAAACAGATAGAGTATGTTACCATACAAATTTACAGAAAAAGGTTTCATATATCTTGTTTTTATATTTTATAAAATTAATTAATTAATTTCAAAAATAGTAAATCCCCGCGGGTTACTTCAGGCGAAACATCTGTATTAATTAAATTATAAAATTATATATTTTTATATAAATCATATTCAAACGCATCAACCATTCAAAAAAATAGTGATCTCAATTCACTAAATTTTTGAATGGCATTTTGCTATATCTTATTTCAGTAATTCAATACAATTGAATAAAGACAATTTTAAAAATTATTTTTTTATAATAAATGAGATGAGTAAGCTATGATAAAATAATGATTAATTATTTTTGTTTTGATTTAGTATGCAGTTTTTTTGAAATAATGAATTACAGATATTAATAGATCTACATGTAATATTGAAAAATTAAGGAAAAAGCTTAATGACTTTGCATTTTCACTTATATATAAATTTAATTTAATCCAAAAAAGAACTTAAAAAATTCTAGACTTGAATTTAAAATAACTTTTATCATTATAAAAAGTGTAATTAAAAAATATTAAAGATATTTAATATTAAAAATATGGAAAAAAAGAACAAACTAATCATCAGTAATAGAAATATCATATTATTATTGAGTATAACTTTTTTAGTTGCATAACCAGGTAATGGCGAATGCATCAGTAATTGTTTAGTGTGTTAGGATCAAAAATGTTTAGAATGCTTTTAAGACTATACTTTAAATACTTCATTAAACATTTGTGTTTACAAAAATTGCCAAAAAGGTATGGCTTTGTAGCAAGTAGTTGATTCATCTGGAGTAATTGAAAAAAAATGCGTTGCTATTTGTTAGTAATAACAATATTTGAATGCATTAACTAATACTTGTTAGTCATTAAGTTAATGCTCTTCATCTTACTTTACTTCTTCTAGTAGTACTACTAACTCTAATAACATTATTGATTTAAAAATATTAAATGCTAGAAGCCTTCTAGCGTTTTACTCAAATGTTGTGTCGCAGATAAGAGTTGATACAGGTTAACTGGAATTAAGTCTTAGTTATGGAGCTTAAGCTATAAAGTCTTAATATTTTAACGGTTTGTATTACATATTTAGGACAGATAACTCTATTATACTGTGGGAAGTAGAGTTTGATAAAAAATTGTTGATCTCTTAAATTTAATTTGGAGTCAGCATAAATGATAGTCGGATAATTAATATTAGTGAATTAATTGGTGCTTATTTAACTTTTGATGTCTTAAATTCAATAATATATATCAACCCATTAATAGAATTAGTTAATAATCAAATTTTATAAAAGTAAATTCCTTTAAAAATATCATATGCAAATAATAGTTATTTTATTTCTTAGAATTTGATTTTTATTTTTTCCTCTTAAAGTCTTACAGTTTACGCCATTGATACTGACTAATCTTTTAAACTAAAATATACAGCTTTACTTTAAATAAACAACTTTGTAAATTCATTTTCAAATGTCATAGATGCAATTTATCAAAATGCGCAGAATGTTTTTTTTATAATTACATAAAATGCTGCTTTTATATATAAATGCAAAGTATCATCTTGCAGTACAGTAAGTTTACCTTCATAACCAAAAAAAATGATGTAATCAGTATCAAATTAATAAAAATTAAATGTATTAATTTAGTTTTAGTTAAATTTATCATTATATGATGATAACTTAGTTATTATTCAATAATTTAATCTTGAAAATCAAATTTTAGATTTCACAATTTCTTATTTCACTTTAAATAGAATGAGAGAAATTTATGTGCTTTCTAACAACTAATAACTTAAAATCTATTAAGAAACATAGTAAATGAATAAAATTTTATTTATTCAAACAGATCAAATAAAAGTCTATTCTTAATAACTGCAAAATTTGATTACTCTTAATTAAGATAATGGAATAATTAATTATTTGGCAATAATTGGTAACGGACTCTAAATCATAATTAAAGCTAATAATCAGCAATAATAATAGAAATAAATTATCTCATCTTAATTTTAGCCAAATTATATTACTAACTAAGGAATTGTTACAGATATTCTTATCTTCAATGATTTAAATGTTTTAGCTACTTGCTCAAAAGAGGGAAGATTGTTTGTGTGGGATATAACCAAAGTGTATGATGCTTAATATAGATATCTATATTACAATAACCAAGATAGCTGTTTAAAGTTATAAAGGCTTTCAATTTATTAGATAATTGCTCTTTTCTAAAATACTATTGTCATCTTAGATATAAGATAGTCAACACCTTTAAAAGTAATTTAGAAAAATAATCCAAATCCAACAAAAGAATTCATTACTGCTAATAAATATTTAGGAATTCTAATTTATGATGGAATCCTAAACTGCATTAAAAATGATGGTAGCTTACTATTTTCAACAAATGATCCAAGCTTTATTTAAAATATATATAATATATATATAAGCTATAACAATCTCCTATTCTTTTAATATTAAAGTTAAATGAAGGTATATAAGGTAGATCCTACTTAAAATACAATCTAAAGTCAAATGACACTTTTTTCAACTTACAATAGTCCAAGTAAAGTAAATATTTAGCTATCAAAAATTAAACCATTTCCAGAGTCACTTTATTCCTCAGTAGGATATACTTTTGAAGTAGTTATTTTTGATACAAGTTCTTCCTTTTATATTTTCGATGAATAATTTCACGTTTTATAGCAAGTTAATCAAGTTCCATTAGTATCAGCTGTTGATTTTAATTTCCTTATTTCTAACCCCTTAGATCCAAACTATTTTGTGATGGGATATACGACCTAGCAGACAGCAGCATTTAAATTTTAGGTTTATAATATTTAAAAAGGAGTAAATGTTGCTAATTTAGCTGCGTTTATAGTTTCAGGATCTTATCTGATGGAGCCAAGAAAAGTACCAAATAAACCGAGTTAGTATGATCTTGAAATTGTAATTCCTTTGAGCTATTTTACTGCAAATAATGTCTTTAGATATGATACTAATGTTGCAGCAAATGTATTCTAAATGGGGAAACAAATATAAAACGAAATTCAGTCAATTTATAAAACCTTTCCAGATTTATCATATAATTTTTTTGGAGGATAATCAGGATTTGTTGGAGTATCACCTTTAAATACAAATTATGTTAAGCAAGTTTTTTCTCTTTCTTCGAATGACATTATAAATGTTTAATAATGTTACAGTTTAGGTGTTTATTTTGTAATTTCTAAAAAAATTTAAATAGTAAATATCCACACAAATAGCTTGATAGAGGAAATCATATTTAAAGATACTACACAATAATCAGTTCAGGGATTTTAAATTTTTGCTGATTTTTAAATAGCAATTGCTTTTAAATCATCATAATTAATATTGAAAAATTTTAAGGATGGACAAACTTATTCCTATACAAACATAAATAATTTATCTTTTTACAATTTAGAATAAGAAAATCAATTGATTACTATCTTTGGTTCAAAAGTAGTAAAGTTACAATTAAATTTAAATGAATATTAGTAAATCGGAGCTCTTATTATGTAAAGTAGTTATATTATTGGATGTATATTATCTTCTGTAAATTACTATTGTAAATTACAGGATGGATAAATCAATATCATCACCAAAAATAATTTAAGCATTTTGGCTTCCATTCAGAACAAATTTTTAGGAAATAATTATAATTTTTAGCTTGATGAATCAAATAATTAACTCTTTTTATTTAATACATTGATTTATGTTTATGATTTGACAGGAATTTTTTAGATTTAATTAACACAGTCGAATGGCCTAATAAGTATATTTAACTTATGTACTGACGATATATCATATGTAACAGCCTCAAGTAATTTATTAATTTTCAATAAAAAATAATGGATATTTAGTTTTTACTTATTAATTTCAATATTCTAATTTTAAAAAAATAAATTTAGGTGTCACTGTTATGCAAAGAGGTAGCTTAGTAATAAGAACAGTTATCAGTAGTCCAGGTGGAGGTAATATCCTATAATTGATGTACTTACAAAATTAGAATCACATATTATTCTTCACAACTCAAATGAGATATGGATAAATATTTGTATACAGTTTGAGTACTCTTTTGTAAGTAACTTCTATAAAAAATACATACACCTAAAATCCGATTTCTCTAACATGTGCTATGATTTATGACATTTTTCAAAATTATCTTGTATACATAGATCTTACTGGGAATATTCTCATTATTTCTTACACTGGAGCATATTCTATGATTAATTTTTTAAAAATGAACTAATTTGATGATGGTTTGAGTGCACCTATTGGGTTTTCTTTAGACTTTGATATGAATAACATTCTTGTTTACAGCAGTTCAAATGTCTTTTAAATTCCTTATTCTTCTATCAATTTATGGTACAACAGGATAATTAATTATCCTAAAAATTAATACTTTGCTTTAAACAGTGGATTAAATTCTGAGTAGTTCTTTATAGTAGGTACTTAGAACATTCTTTATACTTATTAGAATAATCATTTTTAAAGTTTCAATTACTTTAATGAAGATGATCGTTTAAGTTCAGTCAGCTATATTCCTGATTAGCAACTCTTAATAGTCGGTTTTACTCAGTAAATTAATATCTATTAACAATTTTCTTCAAATAACTTATCTCTTAGCAATAAAGTAATTATCACAGGTTATAAGTTGAAAGAATTTATTACTCCAAATATTTTTTTGACTTTTGAAAATTCAATAGTAGATTATAATTTTTAGTAAAATTCTGAGAATTATAAAATAATATGGAATTTAGGTATTTCTATAACAAGCTATTTATGGCTTAATTCTTCTTCACTTATTATTGTAGGATTTAATACTGGAGATCTCTTATTTTACAATTATTAATTATAAAAATAAAACAATATAAATGTAGATTCTACTCCTATTATTTTTATTTAAGAAGGACTGAACTCAATTTGGGCTTGTTCAGTTATAGGGGTTATATAGTAAATCAGCACATCTTCTCAATAAACTACCTAAACTTTTAACTTGGCTTCTATTGTAACTCTCTAATAAGCAGATAAAATAAACGTCTTTTCAATAGATGAATAAAATTAGAGAATTTTCGTTAGTCTTTTAGAATAATATTTATTATATATATTTTCATATTCAACTCAAGCTCTGAAAATATAATAATATTTGAGCTTCCCACACCACGAAAAGAATAATATTTATTTTTCTAAAAATTACCTTATCATGTATTCAACATCTTAAATAAATATTCACAATAGGTCAAGTTTACAATTTCTAAAAAGTTTAAAAAGAGAAAATAATTTCGATCAAATAGTGCAAATTTACTTTGTAAATGGGATTTATTTAGTAATACAATTCTAGAGGAAACTTGAGTTATATTCATATGATGCTATTTTTAACTCTTTACAATTTTTAGATCAAATAGTTACAGTGTTACCATAAGTGATTAAATTTCAAATCATATCTAATGGTTAATAACTATAGCTATTAGGATTTTCTAACAATATGGTATTTGAAAACAAGTACACAATTCAATTAGTGAGTCATCAATCTACTCAATGTAGCATGAGTATTGATGTTTAAGATTATACCAGTACTTAGCAACAGCTTGCATTAATACCTCAAATTACAGTTCCTTATTTTACATGGTAGAATAGGATAACTGTTATTTCTACTAGTAGTAATAATTATTTTTACATGAACATGCTTTCTGGTAACTTAGATTTATTGAGTGCCTCTTCAACTTAAAATACCCTCCTTGTAGTATAATCTCCTATCAATAGTAACAATAATTTAATCAATGGTTTACAGACAATAAGTTTAAACAATTAAACTTTTGCTTAGTTTTCTTAATAGTAGCTATTATTAAACAGCTTATAACTTTAATTAATTGATACGAGTAATTATCTATCAAGTATAGTTATTTCTTTTAATTCATTTGTAAAGTAGGTGAGTTTTTAAAATATTGTATTTCCTAACTAAAAAACTCTTTCTTAAGCACAATTTTAATTTAAAAATATGAGCAATATTGTTTTCAATAATATTGTCATAGATAAATGGAATTTAATTTAAAATCTAAGAAATCTTTAGTAATAATAACAATAAATTTAGCAGCAATCAAGTCAAAATTTAGGCTTTTTTAATTTCTAAAATTGTAGTAGCGTTTATTTATATGGAGTTTCAATTAAAAATTCTATTATAAATATTACCAATTTTTCTACAATATTCTTATTCAACACAATTAATGAAGTTGTTTTGGAGGACTTTTATGTAGAAAACTTGTAAACAATTGTATAATTAGCGACATTTTAAAATGTCTAAAAAATAACAATAAAAAACTTAACAATAAGTGATTCTAAATTTATTTTATCTGAATAAAGCAGTACTAGCTTAAATTAATTTATAATCTAAATTATAGGTTGCCTAAATACAAAGATATTAAACTCTTTATTTATATCTAATAAAGATATGCTCTTTTTAAATACAAAAAATTATTTCACAATTAACTAATAATTAGTGTATCTAGAAAGCGATTAGCTTACTCTATTGAATGTTAGGCTTGAAAATAATTAAAATCTTCAATAAAACGCAGGTTTAGCTATAATGAGCATAAGCTCTTCAATAAATAATTTGGATACCTTAAATATAGCTCAAAATCAATTTAACATTTAATTTGAATCAACAGTTTCTATTTTTATTCAGAATTCTGCGTTTTAGTATAATGCTGGTATTAATGGGGGAGCTTTATCTATTATCAATAATATTGGTTCTGTTATTATATAAAGCAGTTAGTTTTTATTTAACAAAGCCTAAGGAAGTGGAGGAGCTATTTATCTAAATTTGGATTAAGGTTCTATAAATTTAGACTAATCTAATCAAATTAGCTATAACAAAGCAATTATAGGAGGTGGAATTAGATTGTATAGCTAAGCAAACTTAGTTTAAGTATCTATAAATAAAAATATTATATAAAAGAACAAAGCTGATATTTATGGAAATAATTTTGCTACTTTTTTAGAATCAGTATTTGTTTCTTGCCCAAATACGAAATGTATATTCAATAATTCCAATAATTAGTTAAGTATAGAGAGGTTTAATAGTGGAGATACTGCTTAACTGTCCATTATATTTTTAGACTAAGATGGTAGATCCTTGAGCTTTGATCCGTCAAAAGTAGATTCTAATAATTATCCTAGTGAAATAATTGACGAAATTAAAAGTTATCATTTATAAGTAACAACATCATTAGATGGTAATGAAAAAATAAATATTAATGGAGAAAACTTCATTAGCTATAGCAGATTCTCATAAAATACTTCTGCTTTTGTGCTAAACAACTTCCAAATTTTATCAATTCCATAAACAACCTAGCAAATTAATATAAACTATTAAATACTTCCTTCAAAAATACAACAATTGAGTAATTCTAGCAAAAATTCAATTTTAACAAGTATATAATTTAGAGAATGTATTGTAGGAGAGATAATGAAAGCTTACTCTTAAACTATATTTTCTTGCTAAAAGTGCCAGGTTGGAACTTATTCTCTTGTAGATTCTTACCATATTATGGAAAGCAAGCAAGGTTAAATATAATGTAAAAAATGTCCTTACTCTGCTATCAGCTGTGAAGGAAATTAAATATAACTTAAAAATAGTTATTGGAAAATGAATGACACAACTGACGAAATAATTTATTGTGTCAATAATCCAAATTCTTGCCAATCAGAAAATAGCGAAAGTAGAAAAGGGTGTATAAAAGGATATATAGGACCTTTATGTGAAACGTGTGATTTAATTGGCGATATTTGGGAAAGCTAAAGGTACACAAAATCTTTATCATCTAGTTATGAATGCTCACAATGCAGCTCTCTTTATTACCAAATAGTTTTTATTGTCCTTTCTATTTTGATTTTATCAATATATTTTTTGATGAGTTTGGAAATCTTTATGAATAATTTTTATCATAGTCAACTATGTCACTATTTGAGGTTTTTGCATATTCTACCAATATCATAAAGCTAAATCAAAGATAGATCTTCTTTATATATAAAAATTTTAACAAATTACATTTAAATATCCTCAGTTTTAATTAACTATTCTTACTACTTCATCCCAAGCTTTGTCTCTATAGTTCCTAATTCTTTTGGATAGCCAAGTAACAAACTAATAATTGGATTATAGTGTTTACTCAGTATATAGTTCCTAAAAAAAAATGGAATTTTACAGACATTTTCTATACTTCAATCCTTAATTCCTTTAATTTTTATATCTTTATTAACTCTCATTTTGATGATAGAATTTTTATTAAAGAGAAGAAAGTTCTAAAAAGCTAAATTCTATACCCTCTTTAATATATTGTTTGTATTCTTCTAGCCTGATCAAGTAAATTAAAAAATTTTTAATAAATTTAAAAAAGTTATCAATGAGTAAATAATATTTTTAAAAATATTATTAGTACAAAAGTAATTATTCTTAATAAATTATTAGTTTAAAAGTTCTCATTTTTAATTTTTAAATAAATAAATTAATTTTTAATATTTTTTTGATTTCATTTAAACTATTATGAATTAGGTAACATTTTTGACTAATTTATTAAGTTGTAGATAAATTGGCTCATTTAGTTATGCAAGTAAAAATTTACTACTACTCTGTGATGATAATGATTACTAATCATTTCAAAGGAAATTTGCTATTCCACTTCTAATTTTTTGGATAGGAGTACCTGTAATATCTCTAATAGCAATATATAAAAAAAGAAATAAATTAAACACTTGCTATACTTAATACAGATTAGGTTATTTTACAACAGGATTTAAATAGAAATTCTTCTATTGGGAGTTTGTTAGAATGTATTTGAAAATTTTAATTGTTTTACTTTTTACTATTTACAATTCAAATTTATATAACACTTATTTGATAATTATTCTCATTTTCTTTGGTTACATAAAGATAACACAAGGCTATTAACCATTTTAAAGCATTGGCCTTTCTAATATGGAAGTAGCATCTTACACTATATTAATAATAAATGTGACTTTATAAGTATTTTAATTGGAGTATAACACAATAGGTTTATAAATATTTTCAGCTTTAATTCATAGTTGGATGATTCTACATATGATTTTGGTCATCATATTTATAAAAATTAAGGATTATTAAAATTAATTTGGAAAATTACTTAGATTTCTCCTTAGATTTATACTACCTAAAAAATATTACAATAAACTTATTTCAAACAATAAGATAAAATTTTCAACGTTTTTAATGTGGAAAAAAGTGAGAAAAAATATAAAATTGATTATATTAAAGAAAGCTTTTGAAAAAGTAGAAACATAAGATGTTTTAAATCTCAATGCTAATAATTCACCTATAAAAGACAATATAAGTAAATTATATTATTAAGTAATAACTTTTTTATTTATTAAATTTTATTTTATATTAAAATAGCAAGAAATATCAGTAAATCCATCCATAATTCAATGAGACTAATATCTAATTTTACGAGTCAATAAAATGATGTATTACTGTCTCCAGTAAGTAGTAATAGCAGAATCAAAATCTTTGACAATGAAAAATCACAATAAAAGGGCAATTTTATTCAAAGATTAAAAATAAATGATTAAAAATAGTAACAAGATGGTTAGATTTAATAAGATTGTATGATATAAAGTATGATAGATCTGGAAGATGTTAATTAATTACATGAAAAAAATATTTAAGATTAAAATGAGCTTTAATTTTCTTAATTTTAGACTTTATCAATGAAGAATTCAATGTAAAATGCAAACAAGCAAATATAAAAATAAACAAAATTAGATAGTAAATGACACTTTAATCTAATTACTTAAAAATATGTTATCTTTTTTTATTAAATTTATTGTTTTTATAGTTTACTCAATCTATTACTTAACATCTTGCTTGGTAAATATGAATGCCTAAGCTTAAAATCAATTTTTTTTTGTTCAAAAACCTAAAGGTCTTAAATAATAAAATTATTTTTTTCTAATTTTTTCTTAATAAGTTTTTAATTTAAATTTTTTACTTTTAAAAATAATAATTAGGATACAAAATTAACTTGTTTTTTAATGGATAGAATTTTCTAATTATTAATTTAGAGATTGTTTTTATTTAGAATATAATATTTTTTTACTAAAATTTATGAAATAATTAATCAAAATTAAATTATTTATCCAAAACCCAATTTTTTGATATTTCTACTGCAAAGCTTTTAAAAATATTAATTTTTAATTTAACATGAAAATCATAAAAAATAAAGAAATATCAATATAAAAGTTATTATAAAATTTTTTAAATTATTTTTAAAAATACCATCAATAATGTAATGGAATTCATACCCTTAATATTTATTTTGATATTTAAGTAAATTTTAAAGTGTTCTTGGTTAAAAAATACTGAGTCAAAGCTTAAAATAAAATATTTTCATTTAAATCTAAATAAATAAAAATCAATTTAAATATGTATTCTTTAAAAAAAAAATATGTAATCTTTTATCAAAAGAAGTATTTAAAAAATATATTAATTTTATTATTTGTATTAAAATAAATTATGCAATGACACACGTTAATTAATCAAAATTAAAAAAATTTTTTTTACTGAGAAATAACTTTTCATTATTAAAATTAGTTTTGATTAATTAATTATTTAGCTAACAACAAGCTTTTTTCTTAGAAATAATAAAGAAACAATTTATTTGAAAAGTTTTTGTTTTCAATATGAAACTTTTGAAAGTTATTATAGGATTAAATATTATATTTTCAATAAACCAAATACTAGTAACTGGATAATGCTTATAAAATTGTTTGATTTGCAATAACCCGCTTTCTTGCGCTTAATGTGAGGAAGGATTTGTTTATGATTACTAGAAAAATATTTGCTCTTTTGCATCATGTAGGGATTAGCTAGCTATTTCAGAATTTTAAGACTCTTAAGGAAATAATTATTCATAATGTGTTTCTATCTGCTAAAACTCATTTTTCAGAAATATCCAAGATCATGTCTGTTAGTAGCTTTAACAGTGTTCATCATAGTATTTCGTATCAACATCTTTTATCTCCAGATAAGGAGGCGCTTAGTAGATTATTTTGTATCAATCTAACTACTTCCTAGTATTATACAATTAAATGGCTGATTATATTAAAAAGTCAAACGGATAATTAGAGTATTCGATTAAGTATGTAGATAATATAATAAAATGGTAATATTTTAATGATCAAATTTACTTTTTTAGTAATAACAACTAAATAATATTTTGGGATGTTAATTTAAATGTGTAAACTCCAATACTATAAGTTTTATAAGGTCAAATCATACTTGATAGTGTTATAATTTAATCAAACTCTCAAATTGGCTGTTTACTAGCATTTAACTTAGAGAAATCATTAATCTATATTTATCCTTTTCTTGATATATTATCATCGAATTTTATTTCTTCACCTCAACCATTAGAATTATCATTTAACAATAAGGTATTTTTTGTAATTAAAAATTAAATATTTTTAACAACATAATAATCGATAGAGATATTTGCATTAGAAAATGATTCAAGTGGTAAAACTTAAGTAAAAAATATCTAGATATGTTAACTTGATAAAGCTAGTAGTACAAATATTAGCATCATAGATTAAGTTTACATTTAATAAATGAACACATTTTACTTAATATTAAATGGTATTTAAGGAATAGTAGTATGTGATTAAATAAATACAAATATTATCTTAACTAGCTAACAACCTTCTAAACTACAAATTTTCAACAGTTATCTAGCACAGCCGCTTATTTTAGTGCTTTATACTGACTCTATAATAATTTATCACAAACTTGAGTCCATTTAAACTATATAAGCGGTTTAAAACCAGAAAATTATTGATTTTTCGTTTATCTAAATAAATAATTTTATAAATGAATTATATTTACTACTTAGCTCACAATAAATTTAAATTTTTATTGATAATTAATAAAACTATATATGGGAATCGGAAGAAAATTTCTTAAGACTGATAAATTTTACGATTATCCCTATTTATTAAATATAGCGATTCGATGTTTCAATATAAACTTTATGATAACGATTTGATCGATAAGTACCGACTTCATTTTCAATTTTAAAATCGGATCGCAAAAAATCATAAATCGGTAAGATTATGATACGATTCCCACATATAAATAAAACTACACTTCTCAGCTTGTAAATTTCTTGTTAACAGAAAGCATTTCCATTAATTCTGCTTAATTTAATAGTTTAAATACAGTATTTACTAGTGATTTTTCAGAAATATATTTAGCTGTTTTAGGATTAAATAGTTTTTAAGTTATTAATAGAAATAAAATTCAACTAAATTCAAATAAACATGAATAGTTTGTATTTTCTCCTTTTTAAGTAATGCCAATAACTAACATAGCTACTATTAACGATATTTTAATTTTAGAAGATCTAAATTTGGTATTAAGTTGCTCTTCTGATGGATTTATTTTTATTTTAGATAACACCCATAGATATAAGACGATACTTAATTTTTAACTTTAAGTTGCTGAAGATCAATGTCTCAAATTATACAGATTTACTACTACAAATATAATCGCTCTATTTTAAAATAAAATTATAATTTTTGATGTATCGTAAGGTTTAATTAGATCCACCATTTAGAAAAAAAATCCTGACCCTTCTAATGAATTTATTAGTTGTAGTAACAATTAAGCTGTAATGATCTATGATTAGAGTTTAAATTTAATCGACTCAGATTTTAATGTATTGCTTCAAATTTAATCAAATAGCGAATTTATAAATATTTAAATGATATATTTCTATATAGATTCTACAATTTTCATTTAACAAACCTCAAACATTAGTATTTATCAGATTGATTTGACTTAGACTTAGCAATAATATAAAATAGCTTTAAAATATTAGTATCAATTTAGATAAAGTGAGATATAAATTGCTAAGATAAAATAATATCCTCTACCAATTTAACAAAGTATAAATTACTAGTTTGAAATAGTTGTTTTTGATTCTTAATAAAATTTTTACATTTTTGATAATAAATTAAATCTTCTGTTTTAAATAAGAAACATTCCTATTCAGGAAGCATTAGATATTAATTTTTCATTAAAATATCCTTTAGATCCTACTTATTTTGTTTTTGGAATTACCTCTTAATTGGGAATTTCCTTTCCTTATTAAGTTTATACTTTAACTAAAGGCTCTTAAATTTCAAATTTTGCTGCAAGTCTTGCTTATGGTACAGGTATGATGGAGCCTGTTTTAAATTATGATGACTAAGGGAATGTTAAATCCTATTAGATTACCTTAATTATGCCTCTAAATTACTTTACCTTGAACAATGTATTTAGATACTTCCCATTAAGTCAATCCAATAATTTTTATACAACTTTATAAATTATTTACGAAAATTAGACATCTAACTAGGTTTATCAAGATTTATCATACAACTATATTGGCTATCAAAGCGGGTATTTAGCAGTTGTACCTATTGTAAATTCTTTTTCTCAATTAGTACTAAAAGACACATAAAATGATATAATTAATGTTATTTAGAATTTTTCAGTGCAAAAATATTTTGTAATTTCGAAAAAAATTCAAATTTATAATATCCATAATAACCAATTAATAGAAGAAATAATTTTTAATGACTCAAATACATATTATGTCAGATAATTTTAGCTATTCCCTGAGTAATAACTTTTTATTGCTTTTAAATCAAATTAACTTTTAATGAAAAACTTACAAACAAACCAAACATTTTCATATGAAAATATAACATCAATAAATATATATTTTTTAGAAAATAATTTTATAACTGTTTTTGGTAGCAAGATTGTTTAACTTAACCTAGATCTAACAGAAAAATCTTCGGTTAATTAAATAAATATTTAAAATAATTTACCATAAAATGCAATAAGTTCATCTCTCTATTATTATTGTAAATAATAAGATGGAAATTTATTGATTTTAAATAAGCAGAACCTTTAAATCATAGTTTCAGTAAAAAATAAATAAATTGGACTAAATTATTAAATCTTTCTAGATGAGTAAATGAATAATCTTTTTCTTTATAATTCTATTCTTTATATTTATGACTTGAAAGGAGTGAATCAAAATAAACAAATAGACGTAAGTTATTAAATTAATTAGATACAAATATTGAGACAGTACTTATGCGTTATCAATTCAGCAAGTAAATCATTATTAATTAATTGTTATTTGCTTATTTTTTTTAAATAATTATTTTTGAATTAAGCGCAGTATATTTAGGTGGGAAATTTTTTGAATAAATATATTTATGAATTTAAAAATACTAATAGAATATAATTTTTTTTTTTTGAAAAAAGAGTGAAATTATGACTTTTTATGCTTTTACCTTTATATCATGCAATATTATGCTGATTAACTCTTGAAAAATATTTAAATTAGAATTATTTCAGTAATTTAAATTTTACCTAAAGTCAAATAAAAAAATATATTTTTATTAAACAAAACTTTAGCAAAGCTTATTATAAAATAATAAATTATGTTTGTCTTTCAAAGTCATAAATAATTAATTTAAATCATATTAAATAGATGTAAATATCTTATAGAGATAGACACTTATACAGTAAGCAAAATATCTAAACTCAAAAGGTGGATAGATAATTAACGTAAAATATATAGATGAAGTTTAATATCTATTTATATGGACTAGCTTGACGAGATATTCTTAGATTACAGTTTACAGTATTTAAACATTTACAATAGTTTAAGAGATAAAAAATACATTTATTCAGAATAACCCATCAGTTGTAGTTGATTTATCTTTTGATTTGGCTTCGTTTTAAATTATTTATTTAGATAACACTGGAAATATAAATTGTTTTGGAATGGATACTTTTGATTAAAATTGTGTTTTTAAAATGAGCGAATTTAGTGATTAAAATATCCTTCCTATTGGTATGACGATAGACTATGAAACGAATAATATATTTGTCTACAGCTCTAGTAATATTTATTAAATAAGTTATGCTGCACTTTATATGAGATTTAGCAGGATCATACATTATAAATAAAATCAATTCATAAAGATTAATGGTTTGACACCGATTTAAAATTACTTTTATGTGATTAATTCTAATAATATCATTTATTAGTATCAAAATTAAAACTTTTCTTTTTTAAATTACTTTGATGAATAAGACACTTTATAATAAGTTGTTTATATTCAAAGAATTACTACTCTTATTGCTAGTTTTCAAAATATTATTAATGTTTATCCTCAATTTACTCCATATAGCCCTGATTTTAATAAAAAAATAACAATTTCTGGTTATAAATTTAAATAATTTTTATCAGATAATATTTTTATCACAACAGATGGCTCTTTAGTTGATTATGATTTCTAGAACATCAAAGAAAATTTTAGATTAACTTGGGGATCAACAACAAGAACAACAGTTTATCTAAGCATTAGTTCTATTAATTTAATTATAATAGGTTTGTATTAAGGCAATTGTATAATTTACAACTAAGAATCTAAAGTTTATAATTAAATAAAAATAGATAGCAAGCCTATCTAATATATTAGCTCTACTGAAAATTATTTTTGGATTTGCTCTTCAGGTGGAATTGTTAATTAATTAATAAATAAAACAAAGTAAGTAGCATAAACTTATGATATAGGTTAGATTATATAGCAACAAGTGAGTGGTATGATAGGTGTTTTTGAAATTGATGAAGTGAATACCAGGTTATTTACACATATTATTGAACAGAAGCTTATTTATGTAATAAATTACTCTCAATCTTAATATCAGATTTCATATCTAAGCTTTCCTTTTAATAGCAATTGCTAGATTTAAATTAGTCTAAATTTTGTTTTGTTTTACAGCAGTTTCTAAATAAATATTCATAATAGATCAACTTTGTAAATCTTAAGAAGCTTAAGAAGAGATATAAATTCTGATGAAATTAAATTTCTTAATTTTCTATAAGAATAATTTTTTGTTATCTGTTTTTTATAAAAATTTGAAATATTTTACTACAATTATACATAAAATAATATTACCATGATAGATTAAGTAATTACTGCAGCACCTTAAATTATGGATATAGATATTATATAGGATATAAACGATCAACTCTAGGTCATAGTCTTTTCTTAGGATCTCTTTTTTGTAAAAAGGTATACAATTAGTCAAATTGTATAAAATTAAATATAGTGTAGTGCGATTATTTAGGTTAGTGATTACATTAATACTTAACTGTAGCTTTCTTTAATTCAAAAACCTCTCTAACCATCTATTAATTGGAGAAATATGATATAATAATAATAAATTAATTCAGATGCTTAGCAATATTTTTTAATACTTCAAAATGGAAATTTAAATTATATAAATTCTCTTCTTATTTAAAGTGGTGAATTAGTAATTTCTTCTGATCCTAGTATTAATAAATATGTTTAGCTCTTGATTTAATAGCAATCTTTTACATCATTCTAAAAGACAGGCTTAAATCTCAAAAATTTTGAGTTTATTTTTGATATTAATGAAATGCAATCAACATAAATAAATCTCTCACAAAATATTTTAAATGTTAGGTTTTAGAATATTAATATACAGAATTCAAATAATATGAATTAAGTGTAGCTTAATTTTTTTAACCTCAATAAAGTGGTATTCTAAAACTTAATAATAGATGGGTAGAATTAAGTTTAAAAGAATATATTATTGTAAAACTACCAAAATAATTAGCTTGAAGGACTTGTTTACTTTTATAATTGTTCGGAAGTCTATATTTACAACATCACAATTTAAAATTTTGAGTTCACAAATTAATTTTAAAAGAGCATGTTTAAATTTTACAAAATTTAAAAACTAGTTATTGATGGCTTACAAATTGATTAGATAGTCACAATTAAATAGTTTTTTCAAATACAAAGTGTTGATTAAGTAATACTAAACAATATCAAAATTCAAAATTCTTCAATTTAAAAAGCAACTCTAACTTAAATTAACTATTCTTATATAATCTACATATCAGGGTGCTAATAGACAAATATAACTTAGGTAATTTACTAAAATAATTAAAATCTATCATTTCTTTCAATATCAAATGAAATTTAAATAGAAAATGGCTTGTATTACCTCTAAACAGATTAAGTTTTTATATCAAACTCTTAATTCATCAATAATACTTATTCAATTATATCTGAAAACTAAGCAACTTTGTTAATTTCATCAAGCTATGTTTAATTTTCTTATATCTCTTCTAAAAACAACTCTGCAAATATATAGATAATAAAGTCTTAGTATGTTAATATTGATAATGGTAATTTTTTTAACAATACAAGTGTAAATGGAGGTGCAATATATTTCTATCTAATTAGCCAAGCAGTTATTATCAAATTGAGCTATTTTATAAAAAACTAAGCTGAAGCTAGTGGTGGTGGATTGTATTTTCTTCAAGAATAAGGAAATATTACAATAGATAGTTCTAATTTAATTAGCCAAAACGTTGCTTGCATAGGAGGTGGAATAAGACTTTATTCTTCAAATGTAAGCAATATCTAATAAATGATAGATAAAGTAATATTTTTAAAAAACAATGCTTATATCTATGGAAATAACTTTGCCACTTTTGCTTAAGGGATTACAGTTTCTAGCCCAGCTTTGAAAAGTGAATACTAAAGATTTTAAGATTTGAGTAATTAACTATAAAATTCTTATTCAGGTTAATTAAATGTTGACAATTTTAAAAGTGGCGATACAGGAGTATTTGAAGTTGCTTTTTATGATTAAGATGATAGATAAATTACTTTTGATGCATAAAAAGTAAATTAAAAAATATATCATTAAAGTATAGTAGAGGAGATTAAAAGCTTTTCCATTTAATTTGTAAGCAATAATCTAACTTACATCACAATTAACGGAGAAAATTTTGTAAATTATAATAAATTCAACTCAACAACGAATACATTTTATTTAGATAACTTTAACATTCTCTCTGTTCCAATGTCAACCTAATTTTTATAAATAAATTATTAAATAAAACCATCTTTAGTAAATGAAGTTCTATAACCTAATCCACTTCCAATTTTAGCATAAATTTATTTTAGAAATTGTGAAATAGGAGAAATTATTAAGTCTTTTACTGAAATCATATCAACATGCTCTTATTGCTCAAAAGGTACTTACTCATTATAAGAACCACAATCTAAAGATTTGTAGTGCTTAAAATGCCCAGATTCTGCCATAGACTGTGAAGGTAATAGCATAACTATAAAGAATGGTTATTGGAGAGAAAATAAATAAACTGATCAAATAATTTATTGTATAAATAATCCAGATTTATGTAGAGAAGATCCTAAAATTTCTTAAGAGTGCATAGAAGGTTATGTTGGTCCTCTATGTGAAACGTGTGATAATCTAGGTCAAGTTTGGATTGGAAAAAGATATACAAAAATATTTGATAAGCAATATTAATGCAGCGAATGTAGTCAGGTGAAGGTTTATAATGTATTTATACTAATTATGGTGATCTGTTTTATGATTTACTTCATTATTAGTATAAATATGTTTATGAAGAGTTTTTAACATATTTAAATATGTTACTATTTAAGAAAATTAAAACTACTTCCCATATCAAACAGTGAGATTAGAGATCAATCAACATTTTATTTTAAAATACTAACTAATTATTTGTAATTGTCTTCTATTATAATTTAGAATACTTAATTATCATTTTTTAACTCAATCTCTTTTTTACCAAGCGTAGTAGGATAACCTAGTTTTGCTGTTACAATAGGAGTAGATTGTATTATAAATGTTAGGTCTTTTGAATAATTTGGGTATTTACAATACATAACTTTGATTTAAGCAATTGCTCCTGCTTTCTTTCTACTTTTTCTTATTTCATTTTATCGAATAATTAATTGCTTAAATAAAAAAATAATTACTAAAAATCATCAGTTTATAACTCGAGGCTTTATATTTGTTTTCTTTCAACCAAACTAAGTAAAATTATTTCAATTATTCTAATATTTTAAATAAAATAAAATGTAGGTTAACATGCTAACAAAGCTTTTTATTTGCAGATAGATTGGTAATAAATATTATGTGAGCCAAGATCTTCGATTAGATTGTTACGATAATGACTATTAAATATTTGTAAAAGTTTTAGCAATCCCATTATTAATATTTTGGATTATGGTACCTTTGATAATATTTAGAAATTTGAAAAAATAAAAAGAGTGTCTTTATTAATACAGGACGCTTTATAGGTACGGTTTTTTCTATGGTGAGTTTAGACATCAACTATTTTATTGGGAATTCATTAGGATTTATCATAAAATAATTATAGTGCTCTTATTCACTTTTTATAGATCAAACTTAATTTTAACATACCTCTTAGCTATAACCATCTTGTTTATTTATGCTAAATTAGTCCTAACTTTAAGTCCATTAAAGTGCATAAACTTACAGAAATTTGAAATTCTTTCGTTAATTGTTGTTATTTTTAATTCAATTCTTTCAATATTTGCTATAATTTATGATAATAATGCTTTTATTATTATAATTTAATTAGCACATATTCTTTTAATAGTAGTAGTATTATCCATAATTTGTTATTATCAATTGATTAATTAATTTAGTTTGGTAGGGAAAATACTAAGAATAATATTAAAAGCTATTTTGCCAGGTAGAATTTTCTTAAAAATCATTAAAGGTTACAAAATTAACTTAAATACATTTTTAAGATGGAAAAAAGTATATAAAAATATTTAATTTATTATTGGTAGAAAGGCAATCAATAATTTAGAGCACATTTAGAAAGACTCATTTAAAGCATCAAAAATTTAATTAAATAAATAAAATCTTAATTAAAATTAGTTGAGAGAACAATTTTTTAATACTAACCATTAAAAGTTTACTATATTATCTAATTTTGATATAACGAAGGGAGATTCAGCCACTTTGAATAAAAAATATTAGCAATCTTAATAAGTTTCGATAGAGGAATCTTTAGATTTCTAAAGCTTTGTTTCAAATCCAATCAAAGAAGATTTAGATGAAAAAAAACAATCAATAACTTTCAGTCCAAAAGAATAATATTTTAGTTCAAATATAATGGAATTAAATTCAATTAAAAGTCAATCTAACTTAAAAGATTTTAAAATTTCAAAATGAAAGAAAAAAGACCTTCCTATTTGAATTTATTCAAATTTTAATTTAATAAAAGATGAGATAAATGAATTAAATCAATATAATTTTAATTTTTTTTATAAGAAATGGCAGTATTATCTAAAAAATATTATTATTAATAAACACGAAAATAAATAGAACTTAAGATAAATACATATACTAGAAAAGCTATCCAAAATAATTTTATATAAATTAATACTTACAGGAGGAGATGATGAATTAGGATTCATAAATTTAGAATAGAGGTAATTATTTCAGGTCTTTAATATGAAGGAATTGATCATATATTTAAAATAAGATAAATTTATATCCTATGTTAATTCAAAAATTCTAGTAGAATATGCCTAAATATATACATATATGATTTATATGTAGTACTTTATACATGTTTACAATCATATTCTATGAATCCTGATTTATAGTTAATAATAAATATATTTTGATATTATCAAATATTTAAAAACTGAAAATCATTACCATAGAACAGAGATTAAAAAATTGAGATAAGATTAGAGATTTTGCAAGATAAAATATTTAAAATAATTTTCAATATGCTTATCAATAATCATTATTCAAAAAAAATTTTTTTACTTCAATATAATTTATCTCAATTTGCTAACTGTGATTTAATAGATATCATCTTGCTTTATAGAGCTCTTTCTTATCCCAAGAAAATCAATTTGTCAATCTAGTCTTTAGTTTCAGATTAGAGATTTTCAACTAACTGTTTGCTTTGAAAATATTCAAAAATTAATTTATTAAGAAATTGTTATTATAAATCCAAATAAAGTAAATTTAGACAAAAATAAGCAAATAAACAATTTAAACACATTAATCAACTTTTAATTAAAAAAATATTTTCAACAAATACTTTAAGATCATAATTAAATGACAATTAAATTGAAAAATAATTCATCAAGAAGTTTTTTTTTATTAAACTGTTTTAGAATGAATCAATTTACTTTATTTCTTATTGAAAAGAAAAATAAATATTATATATCTATCTAAAAATCAATAAATAATAAAAATTAACTAAAAAACCTAAAAATAGAATTTAAATTTTAAAAATTATTTTCATGTTTATATATAATTGATATTTTTTTCAAATAAAATTATCATTTTTTGATACTAAAATTAATTGAAGTAACTTTAATTTAATAAAAGATTGCAATTTCATTTTTATTTATATAGGACTAAACTATTAGACATTCATTTTTATGTTTTTCTGAATATTTTAAGATCGTAATTTTAATTTTTAAATCAAAAATGTTTTTAAATTTAATCATTTGCTTCTGAAATTAGCTTATCTCCTTTTATTTCCTGTTTTTGAGAGATGAAATTGCCCTTTCCAGTGTGTTCATGTTGAAATTTCTGTTCGTCTTATGTAAGCTTGATAAATATTAAAGCTAGTTTAATATTTTAATATGAAAATTTTATATTTACTGGAACTTTTAGCTCGCTGCTCATTTAGTTAATAAGATTTAGCTTTTCCTTAGTGAGCTATTCTAAATTAACTTATTTTAGGTGATATGCTTATTCAATTTTTTGGATCTTAACTCTGATAGCAGCTGCTTCCTACTAAACTTGAGCATTTAGAATACCTTATATTTTACTTTCCTAAACACAATTTAAAAATAATGCTTAAAATTTCGAAACTAGCATTTTATAATTACTTTTAATTCTACTTTCTTACTTCCTTCAGATTCTTTCAAACCTTTATTGAAAGTTTCTAGTTGCTCTAAAGTTTCTTTTTTCAATTATCTTAATAATATTCATGTTATTTTACATTTATTATCATACTTAATTTACTCATATTCATCCTTGTCCAATTCGTCTTTCATTTACTCAATTTCCTCAAGCTGATCTTCTAATCTATAAATTTTTAATGTTCTAATTAAATCCTTAATTCTATGAATGAATTCACCTTTTTCTTTATTTTTCCATATTGTCTTAGAGTGAAACCTTGTTCATTTTTAGAAAACCTAAAAGATATTTATATTTATTTATGTTTTTTAATCAAAATTAATTAATTGATATTTAATTACAAATAACCACAAAAACTAGATATTTGTAAATCATATTGAAATTGGCATTAAATAATATTGATCTTTTATTAATTATTAATCGTTATACTGATAAAGCAGCTTAAAACACACAAAATATGATTGATTCTCAATTTAAAAAGAAAATATAAAATGTAGATTATGATCCATCGCAGCAAAGCAGAGTCTTTGGCATGAAATAGATAAACTTAGAAAAAAATAAAAAAGACCAAGAGAAATACTTGACAATAAAATATTATGCATTCGCCTTTTTTTGGATATAAATTTTATTTCTTTCTTTTATTTTGAATTCAAATTACATAGGCGATTATAACAATTTTATAAATGATCAATAAGTAGTAAATGATGGACTCTCAAATTAAAGTTAATTTGATACTTTATTTGCCAAATCAATAGCGGTACTCTCATTTACTATAGTTGTTGAAATTATTTCTCTGTTTCAGATAATTGCAGTTCATATACTATCATTAAATATTGTTAAGATTTCTTCTATTTTAACCATTTTCTTCTACTTGGTGCGATTCTCATTAGGAGTCGCTTTTTTAGCAGACTAATAAAAACAAGGAATGTTCAACTTAAAAACATAAATTGATTAAATAAAATAAAACCAACCTTCATACTGCTATGATGGATAACCCTCAGAAGTAAAATAATGCAAATACATATACTCTTTTAATTTCTTTTATGGATAAGAGATTTTTCTATTAATTGTAGCAAGTTTACTTATAGTACCTTATTTAATTTACAGTTTTCAATTTAAAAATCTAAAACTTGAATAAATACTAAGAAAAAATATGGAAAACATTAAAACTATTCAGTAAAATTAGTAAATAGTTTTATAGGATCTTAATGAAACTAGAGATTATCTAAAATAGGAATACTAGTAATAAAACACTAGCATTGCTTATGATAATTTTGCAATAAAATAAAGAAATGTTACATAAGAAAAAGATGAAATCAACTAGTACTGCGATTAATATATTTAAAATAAGTAAAAAGGATCTAAAATATGATAAATTCAATCTTTATCTTTTTTGTATGACTTGTATAATTAATTATAATATTATTAATATTTTTATTTTTATTAAATCGGAAATAGATTCTCCAACCTTGATTACAATTTCCTCTAACATTAAAAGATAATTAACTAACTAAACATAATTCAAAAAGACTAATTTCATATTTAATATTTATGAATTCATTTTTTTATTTTTCAATTTAATTTTCAAATATTCTCAAAAAAAAACTAATAAAAATTATAATATTTTTCTATTTTAAAATTAAATTAATCTATATAAAAATAATAGCTAGGTATATTCTTAATACAAATATAATAAATATATGGATAGCTATTTTACTTGTAATATTTTGACTGAAAGCTTCGGATAGAGAATTAATAATATATTGATTGTTTCCTTATTCTGGAGACTTACTGTTTTGTGAATATAATTAAGTCAATTGCAAGCAAGTAGTGTAATGACAGCTGATAAAGTTTGATATAATTTCAAAAATAAAAAGAAAGTTATTATTTATGATTTTTGACAGATTAAATTGCGGATTTAATTTTAATTAAAAAATTATCAGACAAATCTCTACATAAGAAGATCTAAAAAATTGATTGTTTTTATTATAATATTAAAATTTCAATAATTTATTAGATATTGTGACTAATTCTTATTAGAAAAAAATTTTAAAAACTTATTCAATCTAAATAAACTACAAACTGGCAAATACATAAAAACATAAATAAATGGGTTGGTTCACAAAGAGTAAAGATAAAAAGAAAAAGGAAGAAGAAGAAAAGAAAAAGAAGGAAGCTGAATTAAAATAGGCGAACGAAAAAAAATTACAAGAAGAGCAAAAGTAAAACTTTTCCAACAGAAAACCTGCAGACGATGAGCCAGAGTAATAATAGGAATTTATCAAGGAAGAAGATGTAAAATAAATGAAAATAATAAAATTAAAAGTGAATCATCTAATTTTATACAAAAGGTGTGGATTTTTGAAAGTATTCTTTAGTTCTTAGTTTCTCCAGTTTTCAAAGCGCCTGTTCATTAGATGATAGATGACAAATGCATTTATTTTGAGGACATTAAAAACATTTCTAATGATCATAAAGAAATTCATCAGGTAAATCTATTTAATCAAAAAGAAAATTTGATTCATATGTATATTAATAAAACTGCTTTCTTACCTAATTATTATAGGAATATAAGAACATGTTAAATGAGCTTATTATTGGGTTGTCTTAAGATATTGGAGCAGAACCAGGTAAAATTATGGAACTTTGTGAGCACGCTGTTAATCTGAGATCTCATAGAAAATATTTTGTCTACTTTTAATTGTACTATCACTTAGATGATTTTGTAAAGATGATGGCCAAGAGAAATGTAGACCTTGAAACTGAGGCATTAAGGTAGCTCTAAAAAAAGAACTAAGGCAGCAATTAATAAAGAGGAATGCAGTTCAACGAGCAAGATGAATATGAAAGAGCAATTCAAAATAGTTTGAGCAACACTCAAAATATTGGAGGAGATGAACTTTAAAGAGCTATTCTAGCTTCATAATAAGAATTTGAAAATAAGAAAAAACTTTAAGATTAGGTAGATAGATTGATAGATAATTTATTTATTTAGAAAATGTTTTTTAAGAATAATAAATCAATGAAAAAAATAAGATTTTTTATTAATTTTTGACTTATTTAATTCTCTTTTTTACCAAATAAACGCTGCTCTTTAGAAATTTATAAATACTTAATATCAATAAAAATAAATGAATACTAAAAATATTAAAAGGAAGATGAAATGTTATAGTAAGCACTAAGAATATCGAAGATGGAAAATGAAGGTAAATAAAATAAAGTAGAGTTTTAAAATGGTCATGTAGAAAGCAAAAAAATACATAAACCTTAGTAAAAGGGAAATGATGATGATGATGATTTAATCTAAATAAATGATAGTGATGATGATTTAGGCGGTGATGATGACGATGACAATCTTTATTTTGATTTTAAGAAAGATAAGAATGAATAGCAATAAAAACCTGACTAGAATTTTGATAAAATGTTATTTGAAAGTAGATAAAATCTCTTAAAAAATCTTGATAATTTGAATATAAATCAAAACAACTCTTCATCTTAACAATAAGCATAGCAATAGCCAGCTGAGACTTTGGAAGAAAGAAAAGAAAGACTCAAAAAGCAAAGAGAAATGTTGTTAGAAAAGAAAAGAATGGAGAGAGCCAACGAACTTGATGAGTATGCAGATAAACAAAACTAAGAATTACTCAATCAAGATGATGACGAAGATGATACTAAAGTAAAAAAAATCTATTTATTTTTAATTCTAATTAATATATTAAATTTTTTATAATAATTGATAGAGCTAAATGGAAATTAAAAAGAAGAAAGAATTAGTTAATAAAATCAAGGCTGAAATAGCTGGAAATAAATGAATAAATAAATAAATAATCTTTATTTTTGATAAATAATTTAATTAAAATTACTATTAAACCAACATATTATATTGATAGTATTTTATTTATCACTATTGCATATCAAAGTTAAGTTGTTAATTAAATTCTAATTTTAAAATATAATTAAAATAAATACAATGTTGAAGATTTTTTTACTTTTACTTTAAAATCATTTTTAAAACTTTTTTATTACATTTAGATTTTTGTTGAATTAAAAAAAAATATTTATTACTCTACTAAATATATATATATTAATTCTAGAAACATAGATTGCTATTGCAGCACATTTCAAAATATTATTTGAGTTATTTACCAAAAATATTTTAAAATGTTAATAATATCATCATAAATATGATAAAGGGTATTATTTAAAATTTAATAAATGCTAAATAAATATTTTAATTAACTTAAAAAAAAACGTAAATACCTTATTAAATAAATGATAAATAACTATTATTTGAAATAGTTTGAAAATATAAATATATAACAATTCTTTACTATCAAATTGGTATTTTTAATTATTTTTACAATCAAAAAAATGTTTTTCAATATTAAATTTTTCATAAAAATGAAAAAGGTTAAAAAATAAATTTAGATAGTCTGTAGTTGGAATGAAAAATATTTGAAAAATCATTAACCAGCTTTAAATAGTTAAAGAACTTATCTAATATAGCTGTTTAAATTTATAAAATAGGTTTAGATTGTGAAATGAATGAAAATTAATTGCTATCTTAAAATATAATTTTAGATTTGTTTAGAACACAAAATTAGAAATAGCTGACAATGATTTATTTATTTATTATTTATTAATATAATATATTGATTACTTAAATAATTTATTTTTTTTTATTGATTTTTAACTATTAACATAATGAAGAATTATTTATTTTTAAAAAATTATTTATTTACTACTCTTTCATTCATTCATTCTTTCATTTATATATTTTTATATTGATAGATTGATTTATTTGTTTTTTGTTATTTTATGTCTCACTCAGCTTACACTTATTCTTCTTTATCAAAGAGTATGCTGAGAATATCCAAGAAACAATCTCTATATTCACTATCCTCTTCATTAAAACTCTTTTTGAGGGCATATGAGTGAATAAGCAAGTTTGCTACCTAGAGGTATAGAATATAAAATACATACAGAATGTCACTATTTTTGACTTTTAAGAAGAAGAACTATTATACTTAGTTGTTTTTTGCTCTTTGGGATAAATTGAGACCCCATGTTTCAATCTATTCAAGTTCTATTACTTCTAATGTAGACAAGCTGTTAACATCTAGGATAACTATTTAGTATGGTCTGATTGCCAAGTGTACTAATCTTCCCTCTTTATTTTTTTAAAATTTGTCTCCATTTTATTTGATACAAAATTAGTGAGCTTCCAACTAGTAAGACATGAATGCATCTTTTGTTCTAAGGAGCTCCAAATATTACCACCTAGCTTAATTTTAAGATTCGAACTACAATTATTTGTATATGAGAAGCACTTTCTAATAAAGATCAGGTGGGGATTTTGGGATAACCCTCTTACTAGGGAGAAAATCTTAAAACTTTTCTCTGCACTCTTTTTCATAAATTGGATTATAAGGTCCGAACTCTATATAAAGATGGTAAGCAGCTAGTGTTTATTCTTCTATTTCTTTCAGGTAATACTTATTATAGCGGACATCAAATGCATTTTAAATAAAATACATAATAGTTGAATCTATGTCATGTTTGTAAAGTTTGTAACATATTTTAATTCTTAAGTAAAATTTTGTAATAACTTGCTTTTTGTAGCCTTCTAAAAATTTAGTGTCATTTATAACAGTGTTAAGTGCATCTAACATCTTTTAGTTGTTTTTGAGGAAATGCTCGTAATGTTTACCTTCTGATATCTTTGATTGAACAATACCAAAATATTAACTTCTATATTTTAATCCCAATTCTTTAAGGACTAAATCTCTGACCTACTTAACAGAGAAAGACGAGTCGATGATAACAGAAATACTAGTTTCATTAAGTAAATATATTTTCACTTTAAACAATTTATGCTCGTTTGCTATAGATAATTCCCAATCTGTAGGAATTTGTTCTCTTGAATCCACTCTTTATAAATGATTGTAGAAGAAATCAAATTAAGATATTTGCTTTTTTAAGACTTCACTTGTCCACTAGTCTTTATCAATTGATTTAAATATTTTATTTTCTTCTAAAAATTATTGATTGTACTAAGTAAAATCTACCATTTTAATCATATTAAAACTCTACCATAACTTAGCTAGCTTAACAAAAATGTATTTGCATTCTTTTTAGACCTATTTAATAAAATAAAAAATATTAATAAACAAAGACAAATAGTATAAAGTTAGTATTTACTTATAAATTAAATTTCAAAAGTTAAATTTATGGAAATTAATATAATATGTATTAAATAAAATTTGATTTAATTAATTTAATAATTATTAATAAAAAATCAACAAAAAAATGCTTATGATTCTGTAATAATTAATAAAATATTTAATTAACTACATTCCTAAAATTATTAAAATATTTTTATAATGAAAAAAGCTAACCATAACTATTTATTAAATATGGTTTATTAATGAAATGATTTGGTCTCTAAAAAAATTTGCACTTAATTGGTATTTACTTTTGTACAAGCAGATTGAGTAGCTATGTATTTGAAGAAGCTCATTAAAGGGATTAATAGGTAATCGCTTGGAGGGAAAAGCCCTATCAATTCAGTAAAGAATTACAGGAGGATCCTTTGACTGTCTAATATTGGCTAGTTATGAATTTGCTTGCAAACTTACATGAAGGTCTCGTCTCTGATTGGCTGATGGCTATTATTGACTATTTACATTATTTTATTACCAAGAATTTCTTTAATATTTGGTTCATCGTCATCATCATTATTTCCCTAAATTGCACTTTAATTTATAGTAGATCCCATCGACTGATGGCTCTGGTTTAAGCTATCATTGGGTTTCTATTCTCGTTAGATGGAATTAGTTTACATTTTTGATGCATAGTTTTCCATAATCTTAGAATTTTCATCTTTTACAGAGGAAAAAATAGATTCGTTCATTTTTTCAGGAGTTCCTTTTTTAAGTAATAAATAAATAAATTAAAAAGAATAAGCAAGTAAATATTTTTGAATAATAAAAATATTTATAATTATCAAAAATAAATAAATTTTAAATAGAAATTACCATAACACATCAATATAATGTTTTCAATATGAGTATTTGGTGGGAAACGTGATCTCCTATTTTTGGCTAATTTTAGAAGAGATCTAAAAATTAGTTAAGAATGATTCTATATTGTAGGGCTTTGAGTAAGAGGATCAACGAGATTGCTGCTGGAGTAGCTCATAATTTATTTTATTGGAGGCATTTTCTTTCCGAAGTTCTTTTCTAAAATAAGTTTTAAGATTTGGTTTAATTTTCATATTTTTTTGATGAAAATATTTGAATGAATGAATTAATTACTTGATTTTACTATATAACTCTCACAAAATGAGAAAAAGTCATTATCCTCTACTTTTCTCATAAGTGCACCATCAATATCATCGAATTATATTTCATAATCAGGATCTATTGGAAGTTGTGATGGCTTTTCTAAATCTATGTGAGACTACTTAGGATTGAGAGTACTATATTAAGATACATATCCATTTCTAAAAAATGACATTAGATTATCACTTTTGTTCTCCTCAATAAGTTATCTCTCATTTTTATCTTCTAGCTAAGTCATTAATGGCCATACTTCCAAGCCATTAGTTGAGAATTCATCTAAGAAATAAATTATTTTAATTTTATGCATTAATGGATTAATTAATTACCTCTAATATTTCTTTCCTATGGCTACTCACTTTCATTTTCATTTAAAATATTATGAAAATAATCTTGCTGATTTTCAGTATTTCTGTTACTGTTTTCATTAGTTTGATTGGAATTTATTAGAGAAGAAGATTAATTACTTGGCTCATTAGATGAACCATTCTATTTTTATAAAATATTTTAATTTTCTGTTTACTTTTTTTATTACTCCTCATCGGTAATTAAGTTATCTATTTGTTAAATTTGATTTCCAATTATATTTGCTTTTTGCTGAGGTGAAAACTTTAACTTAAGTAAAGTAAAGACATGCTAATAGTTCTACTAAGCTGTACGCTTAAAAGCTGTATCTAAAACTTTGAAAAATTACAATTTTTTATCCTACAATGAAGCTTCTTTCAATATATTAAATGCATAGTAGAGTCTCATTACATATAATAAATTAAAACTTTCTAAAGCTTATAGCTTTTTTTACTACTTAGCTAATTGCTTTTCTTTGAATTTCTTTACTAAAATATTTAATTTAGCTCTCTACTCTTTAAGCCATTTGATCTTTAAAAATACATTTTTTTTATAAATACATAATTTTAAAAACTTTTTTATTTTATTAGCTTTTTCTTCTTAAGCCTTATAAAATTCAAGTAACAAAAAGTCTAAATGGTTCGAAACAGCTAATTTCATGTAAATTTTAGTTTTACCAAATAACACATTTTTGTTTAATACCAATTTTAAATCCTTAATTAATGTTTGAATTAATTAAGTGCATAAATCTTACTTATTTTAAATAGCTAATTAATTAAATTTGTTTGGATTTGTATGTTTAAATGATTAGCATAGTTCGTAATATCTTTTGTAGAATATATCATAATCAAAACGCGAAGGGAAACCTTCTTTACGAACTCTTACAGATTCTAAAATACCTAAATACCTAATTTAAAGCATAACGAAATTTTAATCAAACAATTCTTTTTATTTTAATTCATTTGGTTTTATGCAACGAATAAAATGGACATCGCAGCACTGAAGTTCATCCATCAATTCTTTAATTTAATTACGGAACTTTGCTCCTAAAAATTTATTAGACTTAGACTTAACTTAAATTTTTTGATTCAAAATTTAATCGACCTATTAAGAATTTTGTAAGTCATCAAAAGTCCAAATGGTTTTAATTTCATTAATTTAAGTTTTGCTTAAGGCATCATTAATTGAATCACTAATTTCGTCTTTGTTTTTTACTCTAAATCCATTAATGTTGTATTCGACATCTTTTGCTGTATGTCTAATAGAAAAAGTATCTTTTATGAGATGGGGTTTTACGTTAACAAGATATTAGTTTTAAGCATGTTCTTTAAGAATCTTTTTAAGCAATGATTCGTCAGATCCTGTATTGATTGTACTTTCATCATCAAGTAAATCGTAGATACTCTTCTTAGGCAAAGAAATCAAATCAATAATTCCTTAATTATCCTTGAATTGTATTTAATTCATATAATCATTTAATCCCTCTGCTTTAAATTCTAGCTCTTCAGACTTGAAAACATAAACAATATATAATTGCTGCAGCTTTTCATTTGTGTAATTAATGCAAAGTTATTCGAAAGAGTTCACTTTAAAATTTTCAAATCCAAAAATATCCAATAATCCCAAACTCAAACAATCAGCAATATTTACACTGCTATTAGGCATAATATTTTAATTTAGCTTGCTAACCAGCCAATTAAAAAGCTTATCATAAAGAGCTCTAGCCAAAGAATCTCTAATAAAAATTAAAAAAATTAGACTTTTCTTAAAATAGTAAATCAATTAATTATCAAGAGTTTTTGTTTATAAAAAACTTTTTAATAAAAATTTCTTTTATAAGAAAATAGTATAAAATTATTAAATAAATATTGAATTAATTACCTTGTAATGTTGCATTCTTATTTGCTTATTGGAGAGTCAATCTATTTGATAGAAAATTAAATTAGAAATATAAAACATTTCAATAATTTTTAGATATTTTATTGAAGTAAAATATTTAGAAATAATTTTTTATGTAAATTAATTTATCTTAAAAAGTGCTTTTTGCTGATAAATTATTTAGATAAAATTATAAATTTATATAATTTCTCAAATTTTATTATTTTTTGAGAAGGATTTATGTACAATAATTTTAATTGTTTGTAATTACAGGCTTTCCCCCAGGCAGGACTCTTCTTTTATAAACTAAACAGTTTTTAAGTTCTTCTTTGTCTACCTTCAAAACAAACGCAGCTTTTTCTAAGGCTTCTTAATTTATAAGAGAACAAGGTTTTTCTCCTTCAGAATAGGTCTTATCATCAAAACTAATATTTCCCAATTGCAAAATACCTGCAAGAATTGAATAAATTGACTTTTCTTCTTAGGATGTAAAATTTAACTTTTAGAATGATTGTTACACTTCGTTAAAATTCTCAACATCATCTATGCCTTCAGCTTGGAAGGATGAACTTTAGTTGAGGTAATTAAACTGTTTTGGATCTCTTAATATTTTGAACTCTTCAAGTATCTATTGATTCACACCCGCAAGAAATGAATAAAAAATATGATAATTTCTTTCGCCTTCAGCAACCATAGTAACACGAGATTTTTCAAGCAAATAATTAGAAATCTCAGCTCCTTAAATTAGTCTTTTCTTTTTCTCTATCCAAATTCTGACATATTTACCAAATCTACTTGAGTTATTATTTCTGACTGTCTTCGCATTACCAAATGATTCCAAAATAGGATTACATCCTAGAATCTTCTCTTCAATTGGTGCTTGTTTAGCTCCTTATTACTTTTTATTTGTTGTATAACCATTGTGCTCGCTATGAGAATGAGCAGCATCACTCAATGAAGTTATATATTTCATAGAATATTTTGCATTTTCTGTCTTTCCTGCACCTGATTCGCCTGAAATTACAATTGCTTATTTTTTATTATTTGAAAATAGCTGAATATAAGCATTTGCTGAGAGTGCATAAACATGAGGAGGATATTCTGACTACTAAAATGCTTCGCCTTTTTAAACAGCTCTCTAAAACATGTTCATAACTTGAGGATTAAAGCTTTACTAAATAATTTTATAAGGATTCATGACTATAAGAGTGGGACCAATGTATGAAAATATTAAATCTTGTGAGAATCTCTTTTTCACATTAATCAATATTTCCGCATCGTTTAGAGTATTCATCTAAACCATATCATCCCATCCTTGGGGCCTGGATTCTTTATTACACTCTTAAAGCAAAGAGACGCTCACCTTGATCTCTGATCCTTGTGGCTTTCCTTGCTCATCTATAATTACAATATTCGCACTTTATTTATTATTATCTAAACTTTTGATAATGGCTTTCTTAAACAAAACATCGCTATCACTTTTAGAGTCCTATTCTACCCAACATTATTCGTCAGGAAGCATCCAACTAGTGTTAACCTAATTAGCTAACATTTATCAACCTATTTACTTAAATTTCTAAAAAAGATGACTTGTTTATTTTATTTCCTATAAAATTATATTTTGTTATCCTTCCTTCCTTCGTTCGCTTTCTGATAGTATATGTTTAATAATTAAGAAATTAACTTAAAAACTTCGATTAGACTTTATTAAAAATATATAATGAATGATCATTAAATTTTTCAATATTAATTAACATCCCTAAAAATTTATAAGTATATTTTTATTGCCAATTGAGAATTGTAAGTATGCAAATTTTAATTGAGGCATGAGAGAAAAAATTCATTAAAAAAAAAAAGATTTATATAAATAATATAATCAATTAAATATTGAACTGTTGGTTACTTTAGTACCTAAAAGCAAAGTACAAAAGAAATCAAAATTATCTATATAAGACCTTTATTTTGTATTAATTTATCTATGTCCAGCCAGCAAAAGCATCTCTTCTTTATACAATCCCTTTTTATCATTTAACAAAAATATTACTAAAAATAAATAAAATTAATAAATAAATGAATATACTTTATTTTAGACAAAAAGCCAAATTACAATTTTTAGTAAAAGCTTTTTTGTTTATAAATTAATTGATTGATTTTAAGATTTAACATTAAATACATATTTGTTAATTTATTAACAGTGTAAACTGTAGAATAAAATAAAGTTATGTTGAAAACAATAATAAAATCAATTAATTCTTTAATGAATAGAATAAATAATATTTTAATCTTCAATCTTTCCCATTAATAAATTAAATAAAATTATTTTTAACTTAAGATTTTTATAAATAATATGGGGGGTTTTTTAAGTATTGTTTATGCTTTTTCATTTAAATTTGCTGTAAATTTCATTAAAAAGTGATTTGGTAAATATTCTAAATTAATACCTAGCTAATTAAGAAAATTAATTTAATAAGACCTTGTAAGCAGTAAGATATTAAAATTAATGAATTTTTTTATGCTAATAATAAATAACCAATATGTGAATAGAAAAATCAACTATTAAATTTATTCATCTAAGACATAAATATTTCTATAAATTTGGTTGTTAAATATTTATTCTATTTGATATTTATTTCTGTTTATTAGTATGGTTATTAAATATCAAAAATAAGATGCGGGATATTGGTTGGATTTAATAAAATAAATGAATATATTTAATGTATTGGTAATAAATAATTGATTAATATAGATAAATAATTAACATTTTTCCTTTTATATTTTTTAATACCAAAAATCTTATTTTAGCTCTTATTCATTTCAAAAAGTAAATTGAAATACAACACAAACAATACAATTTAATTAAAATTAAAAAATAAAAATTTTTCTATTGATGAGATTTAATTATTTATAATAACAATTTTTCCTATTTCTAAAATGAAAATCTACTTTCCTAAATAAACTTGAATAAAAATTATAAAGAGTTATTATATAAAAATTATTAGAAATATTTTGAAGCAAATGTTTCTATTAGAATAATTTATTTTATAATAGTTAGAATATCTTTCTTGTAGTGAGTATTTCTATGTTTCATGTTATAGATGCTTAAATTATTTTTTTAAATCAGATTATAAATTTTTATTGATTGAAAATTTTTAAAATTTATTTCATTATTTTTGCTTATTTTCAAATAAAAGTGAACTGAATATGTTATATTTTAAAAAAAAAAAGAAAATTAATTATAAGTAATTATAAGTTTTAATTAAAAATAAAGTTAAAATTAAAATTTAATAAAGTTGAATTTAGTTACAAGTTTATTTTTTTGTAAGAAAGAATACAATAAAGATTGATAATTAAAATAAATTTAGAATCCAAAAAGAAACAGAAAAATAGAGTTTAATTAATTAATCATATGTCTTAATATTATTTTATATTTATTTTAAAGAGTTTTATTAAATTAATTTAATTTTTTCAATTTCATTTATTTATTAATTTTCTTCAAATTCATCAAGTTTATTTTTAACTCCTAATTGACTTAATTAAATAAAATAAGATCAATTGTTCATTATAAATCACCTTGTTCAAAATGCATCATTTGAGATTGCTACTAGTAATTCATCATCTATAAATTCTAATTTTATAAGTTATATATTATTTTCTGAATGAATAATTAAAAATATAAATAAACTTACTTATTGATGGAACATGAAAAGGTTGTTTATTTCTAAAGGAGTTAGTCCGTATTAGCCTAAAAGATGTTAAAATTAAGTGGCTTCAAGATTGGTATTTTCTTTTTAAATTTTATCGATTTCTTCAATAAGTTCTTATTCTTTTTCACTTTAGCCGTCTCTTAGTATCTAGTAGAGTGCTTATATGCAACCTTCTGGATTTCCAGATCTATTCATGATTTCAGCACTCTTGAAATACTCGCTATGTTTAGACTTATCAATTACCTATTCGATTTAAGGCATTAATGAATAGAGAGCAACAGATAACTTATGCATCAAAAGAGTTTAGAGAAAACTGTATTAAGCAGCCATTTATTGCTATTGCATGGTGATCATTTGCATGTCATATTGCATTAAAGCATTCATCATAGGATTCATAGGCTAGTTTTTCATCTATATTTAATTAATTAATTAAATTTGAGCATTATTTATCTCTTTTACTTGTATTTTAAAAATAAATTTTTTTTTTTACATCTAATCTCTCACGCAATTCTTCTTTAGAATGTGCAAAATTACATTTACTTTCATACTTGCAATTGCATTATCCTAATTATTTATTTGTTATTTTATCTTTAAAATATTTCCAGTTGATTAATCATTTTACCTGTTTCTTAATCGTAATATCTGCATAACTAAGATTTGTAGTTGTTTTACATAGGATTTTGAATCATAGTTGCCATTTGATTCATCTTTTTGAAAGGTTTAACCTGAATTTTATTCATAATGTTAAATGTAAATTTTCAAAAACCAAACAATAGAATTCCTTACTTATGCACCCATTCCTCCTTATAATTCATGTTCACCCTTTTATATTAATAATTTAAATTAAACAAGTTTATTTATACTAATTAATATGCTTACATGAGCAAATGCACATTCGTTCTTTTTAGGACAGTTTCCAGCTATTAGTTAAATAATAAAAATAATATTTTATAAATAATATTAGAATTTCAAAATAAACAATCCAAAATAAAATGTGAAATACAAAAAGAAGGATTTATTCATTTACTTTAACTGAAATGTTTGCACAAAGCAGTCTTATATTTGTTATTAGCCATGCCACCAGGTTGTCTTGCGTCGTTCATTTTAATATATTTATCAGCTAACTACTTAAAATAAATATTGATTGATTTAATTAGATAAATTGAAGGTGTCTAATTTATAAAATAATTGATATTTCTTTTAAAATTTGTTTATAAAATTATATCTTATCTAAAGCTATTAATGAGTAGATTCTTTCTCTAATTAATCTATCTAACATTTTCCTATATATAACTATCTACTAATTAATTGAACTTAAACTCTTTATCCACAAAATTATTTCTTATATTTAAAAAAATAATTATTTCCTAAATGTTAAAATTATAAATAAATAAATAAATTTCAATAAGAAATAATCTCAACTAATCTTAACTTTACTCAAATTTTATGAAATTTTTTCATTATTTATTTAAATTTTTTATTTATTTTTAAAATTAATTTAAGTGAATGAAAATATTTTGAAAATAAAAATATTATTTTATTTTAATATAATAAATTCTTTCTTTTTATAAAAGATTCATTTGTATAAAGTGAGAACTTTTATTGGTTAAAATCAAATTTTAATTAATAGAAGCATATCTGATCACATAAACTCTTGTTTTGTTGTAGATTGATAGAGCTACAAGATAATTTAATAGTTAAGCTAGATTTTAGACATTTTGATTATTAAATATGATTTGATAATATTTCATTCACTTGATATTTCAGATAAAGAAAATTTGATTGAGTACATTCATTTTAATAAAAAATTAAAAAAAAAACATATTTGTTAGAATAGACAGAGAGGTTGATTGATTGATTGATTGTGATTCAGATAAACAAACATTCATCTACAAAAACATAAAAATAAAGCAAAAATAGATTACCTAAAATGGACAAAGAAAATTGGCCAATAATTAATAATAAATATATAGTTCATAAAAAAATAGCTACAGGAACATAAGGCAGGTAACTTATTCACTTAATATAGCATTTCATAAACCAAGGATGCATTTTTATAGCTTCAAAAATATCAAAACCTTTAAAAAAATTATTTGTTGATTTTTTAATTTTAAAATCTTTTATTATAGCGTAGTGCTAGCAACAGATAAAGACAGTAGATCTCGTTATGCAATTAAGATTTATAAGTAAAAACAGTAAAAGGATTACTTTACAAAATATGTCAAATTAGAAATGGAAAAGCTAAAATAGTCAAAAAGTTAATATATTATTCGCTTAGAAGATATATTAGTTGATGCAAATTATATGAAACCTGATAACTCAGTCACCACAATCAACGCAATTGTAATGGAATATGCATCATATGGAAATTTCCATGATTTGATATATTTAACTGGTCCTTTTAATGAAAAAGTTGCAAAATATTACTTCAAACAGCTTATTCTAGGTAATATTTTAAATATTAGCATTAATAAACAGCATTTCATCAAGCTAATTTTCTCAACTAAGTTTTGATTTTAGCAAAGTTGTAAAGAAAATGATACCGTTTTACAAATTATCTACCAATTAAAACAAAATTTACACTTTAATATAAATTATACATAATATATATATATCTCGCATAAGTATAATCAAGCTTCAACTTTTATATTTTTTATTTTATTTTGAACACTAGGAATAAATTATCTGCATAATGAGTAAAATATTTGCCACAGAGATCTAAAACCTGATAATATGCTTCTAAATGAGAATTTAGAAATGAAGATTTGTGATTTAGCTATGAGTGCTACACTTTCTAATCAACTGACAACAACAGTTGGAAATCTTTAATTCTAGGCACCTGAATTACATAAATTAAATTAGGTCGAAGAAATCAATAACCAGTAACAAGAGTAACAAGTAGTAGGTTATAATGGGAGAGCAACTGATATATTTTCTGCAGGAGTTATTTTATATTTAATGCTAACTGGGACATACCCATTTTTCAGCACCAAGTGCTACAATGATACAACCATAGACAAAATATGGTAAAGCTATAGAATTAAAGCTCAAGCTGCTTCCAATTGTAGTAATTCAGAGGATTAAAAGAAATCTTCTTTTATTCCTCTTTCTTAAGAGGTTATAGATCTTATAAATCAAATGCTCCAAAAAGAGCCCCTCAATAGAATTTCTTTGGCAGAAATAATCTCTCATCCATGGTTATAACAAGAAGTATTTATTATTTTACTATACATACAACTTCATCATTTTATGCTCATTGCTATTTATTAAAATAATCACATAATAATAATTCATAGGTTGATAAAAAGGAAATAACTTAATTCATGCAAGAAAAGATTAACACTTATTTGAAAGAAACTAGAACAGAATATAGATAAAAAAAGAGTGAATTAGAGAAGCAAGGAAGCACTGGAAATCGTAACTCATTAGGTTATATTATATATTAATATATTTTTACTAATAATACTTTTAAAATTATCACAGTCTATAATGGAGTTTAAAAGTTCAGATCAGACAGCTCAGGCATTTATGAAAAACAAGTCCTAGCTTAAGAAATGGTTGAGACACTCTAACTTGATAAAAAAACAAGACAATTCAAAATTTATTCAGTAATAATTTAAAAATAAAAGCTAATTTTTTAACTTAATTTATTAAAAAGGATTCAGACATATGGATTCATGATTATGAGTTCGAAGCAAAGCCAGAATAAGGTTGCATAGAAGAAATTAAAAAAATAATGAACTATTTGTATTGTGAAAACACTATCTCTAATGTGATCTTAGATGATAATTTCTATAAAGTAATTCATTCAAATATAATTTAATTTTTTGGCTTTGAGTTTACGATTTAAATTATTTAATCAAGTTTTTTACTCATTTTTCTCATTATGTTTGATCAAAATTTTAATGCTATTTGGTAATTTTCATAATGAAAGCAATTTTTATTTTAAGGTCATCCATTTAATATACAAGATGTTTGTAGAACTATTATTTATTTCTACTTATCCCAGATTAGTTTGATATCAAATATAATAAAAAGGGTTACCATTAAATATACCATTAAATTTAATTTTAAAAATTAAGATAAGCTTTTAAGTCCAAGGCAGTGAGTAAAATATGGCTGAAGTTAAGATTTCGATCAAAACAAAATAAAATCACAAAGATGTTTATTTAATTGCTCTTTCTAAAAACTAGGTTTTTACATTGTTTTTTGATATGTTTTTTTATTTAATAATTTTGTTTTTATTTAGGGAATGAAGTCATTAGGATTAAATATTTATTAGAAAATCAAACAAATACTCTAATGATGGTGAAGATGAATTGTGTGTTTAGTGAGTATGAATCTTTAAATATAAATTTTGTAAATATTGTATTGTAAACATAAATATTAAGTTATAAGTGTTGTATTACTTTAATAATATTTTACATAAATAAGATTTTAGTGAGGGTTTTTATCTTTACTAACTTTAAAAGATTTATTTTCTCTATTATTTATTACTGAATTGAATTTTTTACTGTCAAATTATATGATAGAAGCAAATATATAAAACGAATAGTAACTTGGAGTAAGCAATAAAAATTTGATTTAAGATATGATAAAATACTATTGAATTAAAAGAAAATCATAATAAAATCTAATCAGTAATGTATTAATTTACTTAAAATAAAGAAAAGAAAAGGAATATTCGATATTGAAAATCTTACTTTGATCATTACAATTTAATTTACCAATAGCATAAAGACTTTTTTGATAAATCTTTTACATTTACTTAATTATTTTTTACAAATAGCAATTAAACTTAATCTTACTCCTAGAAAATAGAAATATATTTGATTCATTAATATTTTTTGAAATATATTTAATGAACACTATTAAACATTATAATAAATATCACTATGTTGTTACATCTTTAACAAACTTTTGTTATTTTTTAATTATTAAAAAATGATTTGAATTATTTAATTATAGAGGATGATCTAAGTAAAGTATGTAAAGTATTAATGTAGAATAAAAATGATCAATAAGAAGATTATTAATTAAGTCATTAGTCAAAAAAACAAACAAACAAAAAAAAAAATTAAACAAATAGATTTGCATTTATTAATGATTTGTTAATACGAAAGAAAGTTTAATTATTAACAAAATAATGAGAAAGTAATTGTTTATATTTTATTAATCAATTTTTTTATTTATTTGTTTTAATGAAATGAAATATGAGTACTTATTTATTTATTAAAATGAATGTTAATTTGCTTGTTTATTTGGATTTTATTATTTTGGTAGTTACTTAGTGATATGAAGCTTGTTTGATTATTTAAGATAATTAGGTGAATATATTAACAATATTACTACGCCATATGAAAAGATTAGAGGATAGTGCTGACTGTCAATATTTTTATTAGGCGTAAATAAAAGATTAGTTAGTTGGTACTTGACGAATTGAATAATAAATAAAAAAAATAAATTGCTGAAAAAGATTTAAATATATTAAATAATTAATTATTAATAATTCCATATCCTAACTAAATAAAGAACAGTTTAACAAATAAATAAATAACTAATAGATAAGAGATAGGAAGAAATAATAGAAAGAAATGTCAGCAGTAAATACTAATTATCTTAAGCAATAATTGATTATTTTCTCATTATATTTTATTAATTCGCTCAATTTCTAAATATTCTTTTATAATATGTATGATTTGTTCATTCATAGCAAAAGGGACGTTTGAGTATTAGAAGAAAGTCTATTGTACACTCAGAACTACAAGTAGCTGGTGGTTATAGACCTGAGTTTGCTTCTTCAGTAGGCAATACTCCAGTAGCCAGTTAATCCACTAGTAAGATATGGAAGTTGATGGAAAAATATTTGCCAAATTCAAAAGAAGCAATTTAAAGTAGTGTTGTTAACCACGTCGAATACACTCTCGCTAAGACTAGATTTGACTTTACTCTTCTTCACTGCTACTAAGTACATTATTTTTCACACAATTTTTTTATAATTTTAAATATTTAAATACTATTCTCATTGGAATTAAATACTTTAAGAATTTCTTCATAGTTACAAATGCAATGTAGAGCAAAGTGTTCATCATTCTTATGTTTATTTATTTTTAATAGGCTGTTTCTCATTCAGTAAGAGATAGATTGATTGAAGCCTTCAATGATACATACCAGTATTTTAATAACAAAGATGTTAAGTATGTCTATTACCTCTCCTTAGAATATTTAATTGGTAGATGTTTGCAAAATGCTCTTGTTAATTTAGAACTTGAAGGCTAATATAAAGAAGCTATGCTTGACATGGGATACAATTTGGAATCAGTTTACGAATAAGTATTTGATTGATTTATTGCTTTATTATTATTACCGTTTTTAGCATTCTTCTACTAAATCATAAGCAATTAATTATCTGCAATTTTCACAATATTTAGAACGAATTTTAAAGAATAAATATTATTTTATAAAAAATCAAGGAAGTAGATCCTGCTCTTGGTAATGGTGGTCTTGGGTAAATAATTAATTGATTGATTGACCAGTTTTTACTACTAATAGCAAATTAATATAGAACAGAAAGAAAGAAAGCTAAGCAAGCAAATAAATTTCTAATAAATAGATATTACAAATAATATAAATTTTAAATAATTAAATTAAATTGATTTTGATTAGAGTTTTATCATTTAATTTAAATTAAATATTAATAGTCGTTTAGCAGCATGCTTTTTAGATTCAATGGCTACTCTTAACTACCCTGCTTGGGGATACGGTTTAAGATACAGTTATGGCATTTTTAGATAGTAAATTAAAGATGGTTACTAAGTAGAAGTACCTGATTACTGGTTGGATAGAGGTAATCCATGGGAAATCGAAAGATTGGACGTCAACTATTAAATAAAGTTCTACGGTTCCATTACAAAGAAAGTAGAAGATGGTAAAGAAAGAACTATTTGGGAAGGAAGTGAAATCATTGTAGCAAGAGCTTACGATAATCCTATCCCAGGTTATAACACATTCAATACTATTAACTTAAGATTGTGGAGATCTCTTCCCTCTTCCGAATTTGATTTCAAGTCCTTTAATTAAGGTGATTACTTCAAGGCTCTTGAAAGCAGACAAAGAGCTGAATTTATAACAAGTGTACTTTACCCTAACGATTCCACCTATGCTGGCAAAGAGCTAAGATTAAAATAGCAATATCTTTTAGTATCAGCAACCATTCAAGATGCAATTAGGTATTTAAAAATAAATATTTTTTTAATTTAAGAAATCCAAAATATTTAAATAGATTTTTAAACAATTTAAGGGTATTTTTATCATATATTTTATTCAAAAGAGTTATTTTTTTAAGCTTTTTAATTTAAATCAATTTTGATTGATTTTGTTAGAATTTTTTTGAGGGTTTTTAAAATTAATCTTTAAATAAAAGAAATAGCTTAAGTTTTTTGTCAGAATTCATAGTATTTAATTAAAAAAATTGGATTTAAAAAAATAAATCGCCAAATTTATTATTTTTATTTAAATTGATTTTGATTTTGTTTATCAAATTTTTAAATTAACAAAAAGACGTTTCAAGAAGAAAAGAAAAGAATGGAAGGAATGGCCCAAGTATAATGCTTTATAGTTGAATGATACTCACCCCGCACTTGCTATTGTTGAATTAATGCGTATATTAACTGATATTGAAGGTTTAGAATATGAAGAAGCTTGGGAAGTCGTCTATAATTCGTTTGCTTATACAAATCACACCATTCTCCCCGAAGCCCTTGAAAAATGGGGGGTCGAATTGCTTGGAAATCTACTTCCTAGACATTTAGAAATTATCTACAATGTAAATTGATAGCTCCAAGTGTTTTTTTATAAACATTTATTTATATTTAATAGATCAATCACATATTCTTAGAAAAGATCTCTAGAAAGTATCCTAATGACTGGAGAAAGCTTTCAACTCTTTCTTTGGTTGAAGAAGGAACTCATAAGACAATTAGAATGGCTAACTTGGTATTAATCATTTTTTTTAATTTCATGAGAATTTATTTTTTAAATAAATAAATAATACTTTGCAAAATGATAATGAATTTTTAGTTTTATTTATTGAGTTCATTTGAATTAAAAATTATTTTAATTAACTAAAAGAGTATTGTTGGTTCTCATGCTGTTAATGGTGTTGCTGCTTTACACTCATAGCTTTTGACTACTAATCTATTCAAGGATTTCTATGAGCTACGTCCTGCTAAATTCTAAAACAAGGTTATTTTTTAACATTTTTAAGATATTAGGAATTTATTTAAATAATATTTAAAAAGACTAATGGTGTTACTCCTAGAAGATGGATTAGATGTGCTAATCCAGGTTTATCTGCTTTACTTAATGATGTTGTCGGTTCAGATGACTGGATTCTTGACATGGATATCCTCAAGAACTTCCAAAAAATAGCTGATGATCCTGCTATCTAAAACAGATGGATGCAAGTTAAGAGACAAAATAAAGAAAAGCTTTATTGGTGGGTGAAAGAAAGATGTGGCGTAGATTTGAACATTGACTCACTCTTTGATATTTAAGTAAATATTTTTAATTCAAACCTTTTAATTAAATATTTTTAATTGTATTAATTTTAAAGGTCAAGCGTATTCATGAATACAAGAGATAGTTAATGAATATTCTCTATGTTATTAGAAGATATTTAGACATAAAGAAGACTCCAGCTGAAGAAAGAAGAAAATTATTTGTACCTCGTTCTATCATGTTTGGTGGAAAGGTATTTTTTATATATTTATTTATGAAATGTTAATTGAAATAATTATAAAAATAGGCTGCACCTGGATATATTACTGCCAAAAGAATTATCAGATTGGTCAACGCAGTTAGCTAAAAGGTTAATAACGATCAAGAAGTTGGTGATTTACTTAAGGTTGTCTTCTTACCCAATTACAATGTCTCAAATGCATAAGTTATTATTCCAGCTAGTGAACTCAGTTAACACATTTCAACTGCAGGTTTGGAAGCATCTGGTACTTCCAATATGAAATTCGTAATGAATGGATGCTTGATCATTGGTACAATGGATGGTAATTTAAAATTAAGAGAAATTTTACAGAAAAAAAAAATTATTAATCTAAAAAAAGGTGCTAACGTTGAAATAGCTGAAGAAGTTGGTGAAGAAAATATGTTTATATTTGGTGCCAGAGTTGAATAAGTAGAAGAATTAAGAAATAAGGTTGTTAATAAAGATTTATTCAGGAAGTTCAATTTTTTATTTTTAATATTTGAATAAATAGATGAGAAATTCTAATTATAGAGATTATTTTGGTCCTAGATTAACAGAAGTATGTGATGCTATTAGCAGCGACTTGTTCGGTTACAAGTACGATTTAGATGCTCTTTTAGACACCATCAGAAACAAAAACGACTACTATATTCTTGGAGCCGATTTCGAATCATATTGTGAAGCCTAACAAAGAGTATTTATTTGTTCATTTATATATTGAATAATTTAGCTAAAATTTCAAGTTGCTGATTTAAATTTTATTTTTTAATAATTTAAAGGTTGACAATCTTTATAGAAACAAGAGTGAGTGGACCAAAAAGTCAATATTAAATAGTTTAAGATCAGGTAAATTTAGTAGTGATAGAACTATTAGATAGTATGCAGAAGAAATATGGTATGAAACTTATATTTAAATCTTCAACAAATTAAAAATATTTAACTAAATAAATAAAAAGGGATCTTGAACCTTGTGAAATTCCTAATCCTTCTAAATCCGAGAAGGAAAGATTTATCCAAAGAAATATAAATTGATTAATTGATAAATGATTAAAATAAACAGAATAAAGTTTAATTTTTATAAAAAAATATTGGCAATATACTATTAAATAATAAATAAACTTTTATACTTTTTCTCGTAAATTACTTACATATTTTATAATATATATTGCTCATATAGATCGATCATTAATTTTGATTCTCAAAAATTAATTACCTATGAAATCAATTTTATTTCTATTTTTTTAATAAATTTACTTTATTTTATAATTTTTAAATGACGCTATAGGTTACTTAATATAAATTCAATAGTTAATTCTTATTATATCTTTATTAAGTAATCATTTATTTCAAGATTAATTTGTATTTAATAAATATTTTATTTTCATTTAATTTTTATAGCTGGCTTTTATTGTTGATAAAGATCCTATCATTCAATCAAGTTGTTCATTTTAAAACAAAAGTTGGAAAAAAAAAACTTGAAATATAAACTAATTTAAAATACAGACTTTTAATATTTGTTTTTAAAAATAAAAGAAAAAATCACTGACTTAGAATATTTTTTCAATTAATTTGTGATTGTAAGTAAGTAAGTAAATACATACATAATCAACCATACTTTAATTAAATTTTTATTTTTTTAAAACCTATTAATAAGTTATTTTAATAATAGCTATTATATTAGTGTAAATTGATTTAAATAGATTCTAATATATTGATTGATTGATTGATTGAAGATAACTCAAAAAATTAAATTCTAAATTATGTTTAAAAAAAATTTTTATACATTTTTAATAGAATACACATACATCAATCTACACACATAAATTGTTTTAAAACATGTTTAAATTTGAATTATTTTTGTTTAAGGAGTATTTGCATTTAAAGTTAAAATCTTCAAAGTAAATAACTTCTTAGACAAATGAAGTATTAACACAGACATTCTCCAAATTATTATTTGCTCATTACATAGGAGGTAAGTTCATTCCACCTCCTCCAATATTAAACTTGCTGGGATCAAATGGCTATCCTTTAAATGGAGAACCTTCTGCATTCCAGGCTTTCTTTAATGCTTCTAATTACTACTCTTCTTCTGTTGATGGTAATCCCATTTGTTTTCTTTATTACTCATACATAATTTTTCTCAAAGCACCCTTTTAATTATTTATTATATTATAATATTTTAAAAATAGATTATTTAAATTGATTGAAGTTATTATTTTACTTAAGTCTCTGTATCAAAGGATTCCAAAGGCTTTGAATTTTCTACTTTTGTTGCATCTATTTCTTAGTCTCCTTTGATAATTGTTTTCCAAATAGTTTCAATACCCTTTTCCATAGTAATTTAAAGAAGGTCCCCATCTATGTTCCACAAAGAATCTTCAACCTTGATTTTTTCATATAATTCGCCATCAATTAAAACAGTATTTTCAGGTTTCAAAGTGACTTTGAGATGATTAACTTTAAACTCTACATTTAACTTTATTTAAATAATTTATTTTGCTACTTTGTATTTATTATTAATTAACAAAAAATATATGCAATTACTTCTTTCGATTTAACTTTTCTAGGCAATCTTAATTCTACAGTGATATCATTAATACTTTATGACCATTTATACTTCTCAGTTTCTCCACCATTGTAAGTAGAAATATTGCTTGAAGGTTTTTGATTTGTTTCCTTTTGGTTTTATATTTGCTTTTCTTGGTTTTCTGTTTAAACTTTAGCAGTTTGAGATGTATTAACTTCCTTCTTTTATGATGTTTGGTTTTCTGATGGTTTTTCAACCTATGGTGAAACTGCTTATTCACCAATCTTAGACTCCTATTCTTTTTTCTTTTTATATTCTTCAATTTTCTTGGCATATTGTTCTGGGTCTTTAGGAGGGAATCTTTTGTAGTGCTCGTTTTAATACTAGTCAAAGATTTTATTAACCTAATAGCAATAAAATAAATTAAAGCAACTATTAGATTTCTTAAAATTGTTTACTAATTGCTTGGATTGACCTGGAATAAATCCCATTTTATCACCTGGATCAGCTGTATTGTTTTAATAGTTCAATTTATACTCTAGATATTCAATAAAATAAAATATTTACCTTCGTAGAAGAAATCAGTTCTTCTAAAAAGGAAATTGAACATAGAGTGGAGGACTCCTTCAATTCCACCTGTTTCTTTGCAAATAGTGAAATAATAATCGTCGAATCTTAAAAAGTTTTCCATGATTGCTTTCTTAAAAATTTTTTTAGCTTAAATTAATAATTAAATTTTGATGAGTTTTTAAATATTTTGAAAATTTATTTATTTTAATTTGATTAATTAATTAATTTGCGTAGATTTAATAAAATAAATTGAAATTTTCTTGCTTCTAAAAGATTCCTGAAAACTTAAAATTAATTGCTTAGTTAATATATGTGTATAAATATCATTCATATACACTCAAAAGCCTTCATACTTTTTATTGATAAATAAATGAATGATAAATGACAATATTCTATTTTTTATGTTTGATAAAATTTAAATTATTATTTTAATCACATAACAATTTGCGAATTTCTTCTTTGTTTTCTTTTATTTAAAATAATTTATTAGGTAAATAAATAGTTTTCAAAATTTAAATAAACTCTTATCATTTTTAGCTATTTTTAAAACTCTTTTCTTTTTTTTAAAAAGTATAAGACAACATTATTTTTCAACAAAGAAAAAATGAATCACCTATTTAATATTTTAGCATTTATTTGAAATAAATTTAATCCAACTAAAGATTACTTTATCAAAATAATTGCTTAATTAACAAAAATTGTGTTTGTTTTTCATTTATTCTAATAAATTCTAATTTAAAAAAAGAATAATTTTTCAAAAAAATAAATAAAAAATTTGATTTTAAAATAGGATAAAAAATTAAAAATAAAATGAATGCAAAACACATAATTAGTAAATGAAAAAATTATTTGTAATAATTTTTATAAATCTTTATTTTATTTATTATATAACTTTAATAAGTTAAAATAAATCTAAGTGATAAAAAAGACAAAATTATAAATTTAAAAATATTTCATTCAACCTACTTTTTTTCAACTTTATCTTTCTTTTTATCATAAAATGTCAAGTGTTTTGTTTTTTTCCTCAAACGCTTATTATACTTATTTAATATGTTTACTAAATTTCCTTATGGGAAATAGACCATCCAATTTTTATAAAGATCAAAATCAAAAATGAAGAGCTTCTAATTCTTCTCTTCTTCTAAGATTTACATCATACTCATCGGCTTTTAGAGAATAGAAGTTTTTCTCTTTTGTGCTGATCTAAAATGATTTTCATAATCAGATTTTTTATCTCTTTTTTTAGAATTAGCCAACCTTGATGTGTTTTATAATTGTTAAATTCCTTACTTTTAAATTGAATTGCTAGGCGTCAAACTGAAGTCTTATGTTATTCTTTATTTAGATTTTACTTATTAAGAATCATCATTTTGGTTATAATAAGTATTGTTATTCATAATAGCATTTTAATATAAGAAACTATGTCTTTTAGAAAAGTTTTCTGCATCTTGGTTATTGTTCTTTTTATTAAAATCTATCACTTAAATACTATTTCTATGCTTTTTATTTTTAGTCTTAAATATGCTCCCTCTCTTATTTACTTGATCTTAATATTTATTCATAATTTCTAGTTATATAAGATTAATTGGTGGCGCTTATTAAGCTCCGATATCTTTAAGTGAAGTAATTTCTTGAGATTTTTATTTCTTTAGAGAGTTTTAATTAAGTTAAATAATTTTGTTGCTTTAAAAATACCTTGAATTTTTAACTTTTTATGCTGTAACAGCTGATTGCTCATTTTCTTCTTCAGAAGATTACTAAGAAGATAAAATTTAAAAAGTTGAAAACATGCGTATAGAGTTTTCAGATTCATACTCGTCAGAATCATTTGAGGGAAAATTGTTTTTTTTTTGGATAAATGTGTTAATCTTTAGTGCCTTTTTTTCTTCAAACATATATTTGCTTACTGACTGCTGAACAGCTATTCTAATCATATAAGAATTTTAATTGATTTGCTTTCTAACATATTTTAATCTAGACTGACAAAAATTCTGCTAAAATTTAGCAACAAATACGCTTGATTACCTATCCATATGAACGAGATTACACTCAGTAGTCTGATGTGTGTATTAATGGCAAAAAGTGCATTTTACTTAAACAATATTGTATTACATATAAAACTGCTACTTATCTCTTATGTAGCAAAATTTTTCGTAATCTTTTTCTCTCTTTTGTATGATTTCAAGAAATTTTTCTCTATCGAGTTTGATTACTTTGGTGAAATCAACCGATTTAACACTATATTCAAATTACAGTCCTGTAAAAAAATTAATTTATCCAATTACATCTCCTTCTTTGAGAAATTAAATAGGTTAAGTTTATTTATCGATTGTCTAACATATTTACAAAGAACCTTATAAAATCAATATCAAGCTTAAATTATTCGCTTGCTTATCTGTAAATACAATCTAATTAGGAGAATAAAATTCTTCATTGAATTCTAAACTTAAATCTTGTATTGTCTCTTTGCTGAAATTTTTGTTTAAGAAATTAAACTTTTCTAGTGCAGATTTGGTCTGCTCTAGTTTAAGCAGTCTTTGTAGATGAGGAGATATTTTGCTAATAACTTCCTACTTTTGTTCCTGATCCTTCTTGAGATTATGTAAATACTAATATTCCAAATCAAGATTTACTCTTCCCTGTAGCCCTTTAGAAATTTTATTCTAGCGCATAAAATCATTAAGAATATTTAAATCCTTTCTTTTCTCTTCATCTCTTTAATTCAGCTAAGAGAGTATGATCCCTGTCGTGTTAAGCATATAACCAAAAATGATAGCTGTAAAAAGCATTATAAAAGATGTGTAAAACATTTATGCAGTCGTTTTAGCCTCATTTGATCCTGTAATCATTAACGTGAGAGACCAATACATAGATTATAAGTATAGCTTCCACCAGATTCCATCAGAGCCTATACTTTCATCATACCATGTAGTCTCTTCTTTCAAAAGATGTAATTCAATTTAGCCTATCAAATACCAGACGCAAGCAACTGTGTGACTCAAAGCAGATATCTTAAATATCAAATTGAGCAATTAAATGATATAGTAGTTCTTCACCGACATACACAACTATTTTTGCATATTATTTGTGTCTTTTAGCACATTTTTAAGCTTCAAAAATGATAATACTTAAAGACACTTTTATATATAAGCTTTTTCAAAAGTATACGTAGAAAGAAAAATGGAAGCAAGTGGAATCATATCATAGATAGCTCTATTTTTAATATATTAAGAGATGATCTTTTCTCGATCACTGATTAGATTAGTTTTCTTATAAATTTGTGTGTTTAATTGAACTAGTATGTCTAAAATCCAAGTTGTAATAATAAAGTGAGCAATCATCTTTTCGTAAGTCAAATAGCCTTAGTAAATTATGATAATAGAAAGCAAGAAGAAAAATAGATAATTAAATGAGCAAAAGAAAACCAATGAAAGCATGTTGAACAGACTATTTGGGACTATGATAAAGCAAGATCTATTCTAGAAAAACCTTTTGAAAACTTAAAAGCAAGATAGAAAATTTATGAAGCACCTGATTAAGAATACAACTTTGTCTTTGTTCTTAGGCTGAATGTAATCTCCATTATCATTAATTGCCTTTCTTATTTGTTAGTGCTTTTCGTTGTTTAAAAATTTAATTCTACCAGTGGAAGTAAAATTTTAAAAAAAGTATGTCATTTTTTAATGAATTTGCTTCAGCAGTACAAAATTTATAAGTTTTTTTTCTTCAGTCTAGCTTCCTCGTAAACCCAGCACCATCTTTAAATTTTGTTTAGATCTTTAAAGATGCTTTTTGTTATTTTCTGAAAGGAAAATAGATTTTAAATGATTAGAAGATCGCGTCCTTAAAGATCTTTAGGCCGTATTTTGTACTTAAGAAACAGTAGGGATTTCTTTATCAGATTCATTAATCGAATCTTAAAACTCGTTTTTTTCAACCCCCAACGTTTTGAATTTTTCAGACTAAATATTCGTCCTACTCAATTATGAAGTCTAAATAATTTAATTTAATGATGGTGAACCTTAGCTCAGCAATTCGTTTCCATTATCAATTAAACTGTTGATCTCATCTCTTCTTGTTTAAGAGTTTAATTATAACCCATTCAAGTTAAATGTGACATCATTCTGCTTGCTTTCTTCAAAATTTTAATCTTAAAAAAGTTTTTTTTTTTCTTTTTTGAAGCTAGAACGATGATTCTACAAATCCATTTATTTCCTTCGCCAACCAAAAACAAATCAATATCAAAATCAACCTTTTTAATTAAACTCGATAGCAGTAATAGTTAACGCTATTTTATAATAAAATTAGAAATTAATTAAGAAATTAGTTTTTTTTAAGCAAATTATATATTATTAATTGCCAAGATTTTGCTATCGAAAATTAAATATTCTTTAAAACTTTTGAGCTGGTTCAATTTAATATATGGATTTGGTTTACCAAAAATATATTTAAACTTATATTCAGAAAAATAGATGAATAATGATTATTAATATTCAATTCTTTTATGTTAAAAACCTGATTTGAGAAAAAGTAAAATTTTTATTTATTTACTTATTGAAATTTCATTTTCAAGTTTTCAGATATTCAAAATAAGCTTTGAAATTAATGAATTTTTAGCAATAAATAAATGAATTCCTTTGAATTTAAAATGAATTAAATGTATTTTCTTTTTTTTGATATTTACATTTGAATTCTACCATGTTTTTAACAAAAACTGCATGAAAATAATATTAAATAAATAAATAACTTTAATAATAAATAAGCAAGTGCGAATGCTGATTTAAAGTAAAAATTGTAATAAATAAAGGTTTACTGATTAGAAATAAGAAATATTATTTATTTTTTCTTTTTGTTAAATAAAAATTCTATAAGTTATAAAGCAAATCAAATAAATATTAGGAAATACTGAGTATTTATAATACAAATATTATCAAATAAATGTATTTAGGTATCGATTAAATGAAAAAAAATACTGCCTATATTGTGTTTCTTTTTCATATTTTTGGTTTTAATTTGTAATAATTTAATTGCTCAAAAATAATTTGTATTTACTAGTACAAATTTAGCATTTTCTGCCAGTGAATGTTTGTTTTTTTTCTTGTTTCTTCATTATTCAAATAAGCATAAAGTGATTCTACAATATTATTTATTATTTTAGAAAAACTATTGTTAGATGAGCTTTAACAATTAGTATTTTTATTAAAGCTTAATAGATTAATTCATGATGAATTTTATTAAAAATAATTCAATTTATAACATTTTTACTAAAACATGATATTTAATTAATAATAATTTTATTATGCTAATATCAAGAAATAGACAGCAAAATACAAGCAAAAAATAGGTAAAAATTATATTTTTTACTAGTTAATCATACTATTATATTTAAATATTCCTAATTACACTAAAAAAAATTTTAAAAAATCAATTAATATCCTTCAAATTAAACACCTATTCAAGAAATAAATACTATCATAAATTTCTTCATTTTTATTAAAGTTAGCAAACAATTTTTTATTTTTTTTACTCTAAATTTGAAAAGTATTTTCAGGTAAGAATAAATATTTTTAACCATAATATTTATCATCGGTGGTTTTTTTTCAATATCAATATATATTATATTTTTAGCTTAATCTACCTCTTTTATTTCTATTAGTTTTTATATATTAAATAAATGTTTGTGTTTATTTTACAATTACTTTTTGTTAAAAGTTAAAATGACAAACACTTCTTTTTTAAACTTTAAAAGTTTGTATTTTTTGCTATAAAATTTTTAAAACATACTTCCAAAGCTTTAGTGGAAACTATTTTTGATAAATTTAAAGTTACAAATTATTTTATTTTTTGATTTTTTTATGAACTATTTTTTTAGGCAATGATTTTTAGAATTTTTCTACTTTTAATTGTAATAGATCTGGAAAAATTGAAAACTAACTAAAATCATATTTTGTTAATATAAATTTTATTTTAAAAAATAAATTTACTTTTTAAAAATGATCAAACAAATATTTATTTAAACATAAGGAATATTATTAAATATAATTTTTTATTGTTTTTAATATTTAATTCACATTTAATAAAGTGGTAGATTTTTAATTTTTGTGAATTCCATTACTTATTTCTATTTAGATTGATTATTTATTGTCAAATTCTTTAAATAACTTAAAAATAATACATTATTTTAAAGTTAATCTTGTTTGCAATATAGTTATTATTTATTAAATTAAAAATTGAAAAGTAATTGCTGCTTTAATTAAATTTAGAATAATGATTCAAAGATAATCAGTAGAGTAAATGCTAGGCCCTTAAGCTAATTTTCAAAAGGTTGAGTTAGTGTTTAGCAATGATGACTTAGGAATAAAATTTCAAAGCGATTTAAATTAGTTAGAAGGAAAAGACTAAGACTATTTGAACAGCCAAATTCATTAAGATAAGTTTAAAGCAACTCAGATATAGCTTGATAATACCACTTTTTTTAATAAAACAATGGAATAATCAATAGCAAATCTATAACTATAAAAGCTTATGACAAATAACCTATTCAACAATTCAGACACTGATTAATTAAAGTCTTTAACTTAAAGAGCTCAAAATAATGATGAATAAACATCGAGTAATATTTTATATAATCTAGAATAAAAAAAGCACTCTATGACATAGAGCTTGATTAGAAATAAAGAAAAAGAACAAACTTAAATACCAAAATAGTAACACGATGAATATATATAAAGCCCAATAATTAATAAATAAAAACAAAACAATTAATTTTCTTGTGAGAAGCAGAAAATGAAAGCAAGGAATGATGAAATCTTAAAAAAAAATTTTATGATGAACTCAAAAAAGAACATAATGTATTTCTTATAAAAACTAACACCTTTTGGGAGAAATAGGTATTTCAAAAGCAAAAGAATTGTAAAAATAATAGGGGATAAGAGCTATGTTATTTAGAAAAACGCTTTTACTGAAGGAGAACACAGCATTAAAAGCTTATTTTGTAGAACTGTTGCAAAAATAATCTAATTACTGAATAGTAGAAGTTTGCTTATTAATCCTATAAATTAGTTCTATTTAGCTATTTTGTCTGTATTTTCTTGCTTTAATGTAGTATTTTACATTATACTTTCTATTTATCTTGTTTTTATATAAAGTCAAGAATTAGAAATAAATTATTAAAGATCAGTCTGCATTCTTTGGTTATTAGAAATTATTCTTCATCTCAATACTTAAATTTTCGACTCTTCAAAATTAATTACAAATAGAATTTAAATCTTTAGCATTTATATAAAGAAAAGGGCAATCTTTGACTTTATACCTTTAATAATTCTACTTAATTCTGGAAGTTCTTTAGAAGGATAAAAAATATATTTGATTTTCAGCTTCATCAAGCTTAAAAACACCTTAAGTGATCTTGAATCAATTTAAAAAACCTTAAAAATTTTTTTTTAGAAATAACATATTTTGATGCTATTCGAGTTAATTTTTAATATATTCATTTTCTCTCATTTAATTGCATGCTTTTGGTATTTAATTGGTTAAATCGAAATAAATCTACTGAATTTAAATAAAACATGGTATAGCCATTTAGATTCTGATGATTTAACATGGTGGAATATCTATTTAGATTCTTTTAATTGGTCTATCACGGTTCTTGTCACTGGACAAAATACAGTTTCCTCTCCTCTTTAAAGATTATTTGCAAATTTCATTATGATGTTTGCTGTACTATTTTTTGGATATATTTTAAACTAAATTCACGAGATAATAAATTTATACCAATAGGATAGTAAGCAATTGAGTGAATGTAATACTAAAATAAATAACTACATGAATAAAATTAAAACTTCAAGTCTTATATAAATGAAAGCAAACATTTAATTAGAAAATTTTCATCAGTACTTCCAAAACAAAAATAGCGAAGAAGCTCAAAGTATTCTTAAATAAATATCTCCAGAAACATACAAAACGATTAAAATAGAGTATTTGTAAAATATACTTAAAAAAATAGATTTCCTAAATCAAAATTTTTCAAAGCAAACCTTGTTTGAGCTTGCAGAAACAATACAAGAAGATTTTTATGGAATGGGTTAAACAATAATTAGCCAAAGAGAATAAAGTTAGGCAAGTTTAATTTACGTTGTAGAAGGAGAATTGTAAGTGTTTTAACATTTTTAAAAGAATGAATAGAATTAAATCCCAATTTAAATTTTAAAGAATGGAGATTTGTTTGGCAAATATAACTTTTTCTCAGGCTAAATAGGTTAAATTTCAGTAAAAACAAAAATACCAACTAAGATCATTAAAATAAATAGAGATAAATTTATAGAAATAGTAAAAAATAAGGAAGGTGATTATGAAGTCTTTTGTGATTTAAAAGATAGAATTACACTAAGCGAAAATTATGAACTGATAGGAGAGAACTGTATTTTTTGCTAAAGTAACTTCCACTTACAAATTGAATGTCCAGTAATCCATCTTCCTAAAAAACTGATTTACTATACAAGTAAATTCGCTTAAAATGTTGAGCAATCAAGGTAAACTCAAGAAAGAAAAAAGAATAAACAAAATCCTTTATATTCCTTCAAATAAAATAAAATGATTGCAAAGAAATTCATAAGGAATTTTAGGATTCAGCTAAAAGAAAATAATGATATGAAAAGGAACATTAATTTGTGTTTACTTTACAATTTATCTTCTGAAGATATCTCTTCAGAAGAAAATGATAATATGAGTGCAAGTGCAAAAGAAAGTTCTTTTTAAGAGGAATCAAAAGATGATAACTAGAAATTGCAACAACGATTAAGTTCTAAAAGAATAAGCTCTAATGTATAAGAAAATGCAAATCATAAAACTTAAAATATTATCCCAACTTCACAGCAGTAAATGGACACAATGATCATAGATTCTTTATTAAATAATGTTGAAGAATTTAAAATAATTTCCTAAAAATCAGCACAAACAATTCAGTATAGTAGCAAGTATCAACTAGGAACTCAATCATAAAAAAACAGATTATCAACATCTTAATTTCTGATAGAAGATGAAATTAGCAATAAAAAAAATACTAACGTCCTACTACCAAATTCAACTTCTTTCTTCAATAACCTTGATCCTGAGTTTAAATCAGAAGCACCGTTAACAACGAGTTTAGGAACTAAATATACCAAGTAATAGACCTCAATTGCAGAATTCAGTAATGGTAGAACCAAAAGTTTAGATAGGAACGAAAATGAAAAGGCCTAACAATATGATTTAGATTTAAATTCTATAAGCAAATACTTAAAGGCTAAAAAATCAGTCTTTTTCAGCCAGCAAGATAATAACAGTGATTTTGATAAGTTAAGAAATTATAATTTTTATTTCCCTTCTGGAAATTCTTAGAATATTTTTAAAAGATACTAAAGATACTAAAAAAAATTATATTATTAACATAGATATAAATTATGAATAATTTTCATCTATTTTCTCAAAATTTTGATATTTATTTATTTGTATAAATATATGTATATGTATTTCTTCATTTAGCAATTTATGAGACCGTTCAAATTTCAATCATATTATTTTAATTTTGTGCACATTATAATTTCTTAAAAATAAAAATAAAATAATGTAAATTCTCACACATTATACCTTAATTTATAGATAGAGAATTCTATAAATTATGAATTATATGCAAATCATATTTTTCAAAATAATAAAGAAAAAAAATAAATAGCATAAATTAATTAATTAAAACATTTGAGATAAAATATTTAAAATTAGGTTGTAATAATAATATGAATTTACAACATAAATATATAGTATATTGTAAGCATAGCAAAAAGGTAAAATTATATATGAACAGTATTGTTTTTAATAAAAATAGATAGATAGGTAAAGAGAGAAAGATATATTTCTTTTTATAATGTACTAATATAAGTAAGTATCATATCTTTCTAGTTAATAAATGTTATTAAAATATTTCTTTTCATTTATTTATTTATTTATTTGATTTCGTCTAATATATAGATAGATATTAAGTTATTTATTTATTTATTTATTTACTTAGTTAGTTAGTTAGTTGGTTAGTTTGTTAGTATGATTTAGTTATTTATTTATCTAGTCATTTACTTAAAGTTCTAAATATTTATCTTCATAAATTATTTCAAGTAGAAAAATCGTCTAACACCTTAACAGGAGCAAATGACTATAATTCATCCTCCAGCTTTTATTGAAGCTTTTTGACTTGATCTATTTTCTTTTATAACTGCATTTTTTTGTAATTTTTATCCTCTCTAAATTTGTTTAAAAAAATTAGTTTAAAAAAAAATTATTTAATTAATTTATTTATTAATTAATTACATCATTTGATTAGCTTCTTAAATGTTTTATTCAGCAACTAAATCAGGTCTTTCGAGTGCCTTCAATCCTTCTTATAATTTTTTGCTAACGTCATCAGTTTTTCTCATTCCTTGCTTGATATTTAAAGAGTTTAAGAATTATTGCATCTATTCTTTATCTTTTTCTCTCTTTTCTTTAGCTTCTTATGTCTGCTTGCTCTTGGGCTAGATGGGAGGTCTTTAGCTTCTCAATTTATTCCATTTAATATCTAATTATAAAAGTATTTAGTATTTAAGTTTAATTTCTAATTGATAATACTTTAGAAGAATGCATGCTCTTTAATTTCCTTTACACCTTTAGCTCCTAGTCTCTCTTTGTAATTAGGATTTAACAATCTCTTAATCAAATCATAAGCTTCAGGAGATATTTTATCACCATCATTAATATCACCTAAAAATATTGAAGTTATATTATATTGTAAATCATTTAATTATAATTTTACCTATTTCAGGCCATTCCATTCTTAAATTTTTAATGTTATCAAATATTTCTTCAACGCTGTCTGCATTGAAGGGAGGCAATCCTACCAAGAACTCATACATAATTACTCCCATGCTCCACCAATCAAGGGATTTATTGTTTGTTGACTCTCCTGTGATAATTTCAGGAGCTATGTAATCTGGAGTACCAACAATTCTTTTTTATTATTCTTTTTCGTTATTGATCATACCTTCTACCTAAATTTCTATTTTAAACTCATTTTCTTTATTTGCCTCATCGATATTAATTCCAACCAACTCTCCAGCTCCTTATTAGCTAGGATCTTCATCGGTTTTATTAATATGTTTATTAAGTTTAGTTTTAAAACCTACTTCTGATAGACCAAAATCAGCTAACTTTAAATGACCTGTGGTGTCTATAAGCATATTATCTGGCTTTAGATCTCTATGAACAATATCCATAGAGTGCAGATATTCAATAGCAAGAACTAGCTCTGCAATATATATTTCTACAATCCATTAATCGAGAGCAGTATATAAACTTAAAATTTTATTGAAATCACCACCCATCATGTATTCAAGAACAAAGCAGAGATAATTTTCATGCACAAATGAGTAAAACTAATTTTATTTAAATTCATAAATCAATCAAATAAGTTAAATATCAAAAATAAAAATTTATTTATTTACAGCCTTTACTACCCAGTCTCCAGTGATAACTTCGAAAACATTTTTTTCAGATTAAAGTGTTTCCAAATATTTTTTATCCAACTTTTGAGAAATTAAAATAAATAAGTTAGTAAGTTTTCTGAAAATTAAATTGAATTCTTGAATTAAAAATATTTATTAAAATATTTTTTATTTCAAATTAATAAAAAATTTTAATTTAATTTTGAAAAATTTCCATAAAAGGTTGTTGAATAGATAATAAAATTTAAATCATTAAGAAAAATGTCAAATTTGATAAATTTTGTTTAAATTAGTATTAAAAAAAATTGAATTATTCATTAAAAAGTCATTAGTGTAAGTAAATTAAAATGTTCAATTAAAATTAATTAAAATTGTAGAAAAAAAAAATTTAATAAATACTTTGCCAGAGCAATCAATAACTTTCATAGCAAATAAATCATTTGTATTTTTCTTTTTAACTAGGTAGACTCCTCCGTAAGCACCCTTTCCTAGCATTTTTATGAACTCAAAATCTTTGAAGCCTACTGTCATTTGATCTTTCTTCTTTTGTGTATCCAATTTAACAAATTCAGAATCACTATTGAAACCTTTTTCAGTAATAATATTGTATTGTGAAAAGTCAGGCATATCAGGATAATTTGTGTAGACTGAGGGTATATTGCTGTATTTTTTGACAACTTACTACTCTTCATTATTAGGAGCGCCATTTTGATTGCTTTGCTCTTCTTCCTCGTTGTTATCTTCTTCTTCTTTAACATTATTTTCTTTAATAGGCTCACTAATCTAATTATCGTTTGATGGTTTGTGATTTGTAGATGCCTACTGTTAGTCTTAATTATTAGAGTTTTACAAATTATTTGCTTATTCTGCTAAATTATTTATTCAAAATCATATTAGAAACATCATAAAAAGTTTATATTAAATTCTTGAAATTATTAAAAAAATGTTAAATTTTACTTAAAATTTTTGACTCATATCCTTAATCTTCAGAATCGTCAGAAATCATTTAGGGTGTAATAAATGAAAATCTACTCTTTTAACTCTCAAGTAATTTTATTTGCTCTTTGTCTTTAATTATTTTCATGAATGCAGGTTTATCGGAATCATCAGAATCGCTTCCTGAACCTAAAGCACTTTCGTTTAAAAGTGAAGCTATCATTTAGTCTGCTTCACTATCATCACTATCTGAACTCGAACTGAAGTACTTCATGTTTTTCTTATCAGTTTACTGTTCTTTATTTAAATCATTATCAAAGCTATCACTTGATATTTTACTGTCAATAAGATTCTTTGAATCCTCGAAACGAGCAAAGTCTAAATCATTTTATTTATCATTTTTAGATAATGACTCTAAATCTTCAGCTAAGATGTTGTCGTAATCTTTAGAACTTAATTCTTTGTTTTCATTTTCCTCATCGATTTTCAAGCTTTTAGATTCCTTAAAGAATCTACTCTTTTACTGCTATTCATCATTTTTATCACCTCCTTTTTCTGTTGGTGAATCTTCTTATGTAGAGAGATGATCTTAGTCTTTATTTTAATCTTTACATGTATTTGATTATAATTATTCTTTCTCTTAATTATCTTAATTATTTCCACTATTATTATTACTATTTTAATTCTCTTTCAAAGCATCATTTTAATCATTTGCAGGTAAAAATTTTTCTAGGCTTTGTAATGATAATTTTATTTACTTAGATTTACTTGCGTCTTTTGGAGGAGACAAAGTCTGTGCTTATTAAGAATCTTAAAAAATCTATGAACTTTAAGGAGTGTTTGATAAAGTCATTAAATTGTTTATGATTAAAAGCTAGGAATCTGATGGTAAATTTGACTCACTGATCTTTCCAATTGTGCTCTCACTAAATTAAACAGAGCTGCCACTCTCACTTTCTTCAGGAATAATCTAAGAATTTTATTCTCCCAACATATTCTCAGAAGGAATCTCAGAAAGAGAAGAGTTATTTTTCATAATCTTTAAGGCAAGTTTTGCAACTGGATCATTTTCATCTATGTCAGTTGGTATATCTTACTCAGCTTATTATTTGTTTTTAGATTCTTAAATTTACTAAGGCTATGCTTACAATTCGTCTAATGAACTATTTGAATCTGTTTATAGACTTTTAATACTTGCTAACGACTTCAAATCTAATTTATCGCTTGATTGTATTTATGGTGTTTATTATGTTTATGGGCTATCTCCTTCACTCTTTCTTTTCATACTTTAATAGTACTTAAATTGGTTTAGCTTATCTTATTGGCTTGGACTTTAATCTAATTTTCTAGGAGGCATGGGAGTTGATCCAAGGACTTTAGCGAATGCAGATTGCCTTCTATCCTCTATTTTGGCTTTAGGAAACTCTCTCTTTTGTACATTTAATTAAGGAGAATCTACATTTTCATTTTCATCTTCCTAAATAGCCTCAACATTTTCCAAAGACTTTTTAGAAAAAGATTTGCTTACAGAACTTACAGAACTTTCACTATCTTCATCTTCTAAATCTTCGTCTTCCTCCATAATATTAGATGCGTTTCTTTTAAAGAGTTTTCTTTTTGCATTACTGTCTTTGCTTTTAATTTCGCCTTCTTCTTTTATCATTTTTTCAGAATTGCTATTAACTTCTTCCTCTTGCTTAGGTAGATCATTTTATGTTTCCTTTTCTAGAGCTTATTCTTTTTTAGCGGTGTTTTATTCTATTTTATTTTCTTCTTCAGTTTACTTTGTTTCAGATTTCAAAGGATTATTTTCTTCTACCTTCTATTTATTTACTCCATTTTATTCAGGTTCTTTAATGACTTAGGTTTACGGAGTCTATGTTTATGCTTATGGTGGAGTCTATGCAGCTGTTTATGGCTAACTTTGAGTTGTTGATTGAGCTACTGAGGACTAAGGTTTATCTAATGATTAGGAGACAGTTTCTTGCTTAGTTTGATTTTTCATAGTTAGATTTTGCTTCAGCTTAGAGCTAATTATATTAAACTTCTTAGGTGCTTCTTATTTTGGAGCACTATTTTCAGATGTTGAATTAGGCTGAGCAGTTTTATTTTAATCACTCTATGCAGTAGGAGTATTATTTTAAGAATTTTATGCTGGAATATTTATGCTTTCACTGGTTGAAAGATTTGCTTGAAGGGAATCCAATGAAGCATTTATTGATGCACTTGTTCCTTGTGCACTATTCAAACTATTACTCATTGATGATGTTGCTTACTACTGTAGTTCACTTGGTTCTATAATGCCTGACTATGTTTTTTTAGCAGCTTATTTTTCTTACAATTTTTTATTTGCATTTGAACCAAATACCATCATTTTTTTCTTCGGTTCCTCTTTTTTCTCTTCTGGTTTAGGCGAGGCAACTGCAGCAGCTTCCTGTGACTGGGACTGTGAATCTTGTTAAGGCTATTAAGCATCACTTTCACTATTTGCAGTAGCTTATTAAGCAGTAGGAGTATTAAACCCGCTCTTTGGCTTATTCAAAGAAGTCGTACCAAATTTAAAATTCTTAACTTTAACAGAACCAGAAATACCAGTCAACATATTTTTTTTATTTTGAGCTTAAGCACTAGAGTTTACATTTGTGTTAGAAGAGCTAGTATCTCTTAAGTTTTAATCATACTTTTAAGCCTTCTTAGTGATTTCTATTCTTTCTTATAAATGTAACTCAAATTTATTAATTAATTAGCTCATAATCTGATCATCTTCTGATGTGAAAGACCCCTTTAAAGATTCAATCATTTATTTAAGCTAAATTTCATCTATTTATTAATTGAATAAAAGTTCAAAAAATTTCCCAAGCAATATAAAAGATAAAATTTTATTCTGTAAAACAGATTAAAAAAATATCATGAAATAAATAAATGAATGAATGATTTGTTACTTCTAATATCTAAAGTTTATTCGTTTGCATTAATGACCTTCTCTCCATAAGTAATCAATTCTTTTAAGACATCACCATTTTTCTTGAATTGTTCTAATTTTTATTCATCTAATTCAACTATTTTCTTAGGTATATTTGATATAGAAGGAATCTTTTCACTATGTATTTATGTTCCAATACGTCTTCCAGACTTTCTCTCAATACGAATAGAAGGAGATATATTATGGCCAATTCTACTTTAGCTAGAATTTGACAAGCTATCTTCATCAACTACGCTAAGGGAGTGATTTGATATAGCCTCATTATTTGTGTTTTCATCCTCTTTATAAACTTGATCTGAAGAGCACATGGAGAGCATAGGTCTTAATCTCCTACTGCTAGTTGTAGGTTTAGCTAGAGTGTGTTAACTATTATTAGTAGGAGATTAGTCTTCCCCAAATTTATCTAAACCATCTTCCTTTTATGCATTTCTTATTTACCTTGCCTGCTTAACTCTAATAGAAACATTTGATTTATTATAAATATTTATTTGATTTAAATTAAATAAAATAATTACATCATTAAATTCATGTCTTTACGATACTAATTTCTGAGTTTAACAGACTCATTAATTAAATGTACCAACTCTTAATCCATAGCCAATATTTTTTTCTTTGTTTAAGAATTTTTCAGACAAATTTCAGAATGAGGTTTTGCTTCAGAAACATCTATTTTAGAATCACAAAGTCTACATTTTAAAGTTAACTTTTCTTTATCAAGAAGTCCCAATTAATTGCTTAAATGACTTAAAATAAAAAATTTTTAAAAAAGTTAATAACAAACAAAATCTATTCAAAGTTACTTTAAAACATGTTTGCACCATTTCTTAATTTTCCATTTCTCTAATTTATGTACTTTTTAGTCAGCAGCAGTTGTTTAGTTTTCTAAATGTTGAATATTGAATCCAAATAGCCTAATCAATTAAGCATGGTTTTTTACAATTTCTTATTATTCTTGTGTATGACTTTCATAATTAACTCTTGCTACTTATAAGTAGTGTACCATTGGGAACAAGCTGTACTTGAATAATTTAATTTCTTTTCCAATAAGTCTAATTAAAATATTAAATTAAAATGTTAAGGACAAATGATTTTTTTCAACTTTAGTAAATTATAATTATCACTCAATCTAATGACAGATTTGATTATTTGAGAATGAAATAATAAACTAATCTAAATATAAAATAATAGTTTAAATAAATTGAATTTTAATTGAATTATGAATCTAACCAAGTATTTTCATTTTATTTTTCTGTAAATAATTTTAATGTCATACTTTACATAAGATGGCTCATCTGTTATGAGAATTTTAACTACTTTTTTTTTAGAGGGAGCAACAAGAAGCTACTTAGTTTTAGTACTTTGATGAGATGTTCCTATATTAATTAGATTAAATTGTGATTTTATTAATATCTAAATTTAATAATAAATATTATTTACCTTCTTCCTTTTTCTCAGTTGCAACATTCTCTTTTTTTTTAACAATTTTTTCCTAAGCTGCTATAATATCAAGTAGCTTCAAAACGTTTTTATACAAAAAATTGTCTTCAAAAGCAGAGAGATAAAGGTCAATATCGCTGGAATTGTAAATTTAATAAAATAAAACAATCATTTCTTAAATAGTTTCTTTCTATAAAATAAAATAAAAAATACATTTAATTTAATTAATGAAAATTCTTAAATTAAATTAATTTCATCCATTCATATAACCAAACAACATTTTGAATACAGCCTAAGCTTGTAAAAAATAAAGGAATTTTATTGCATTAAAATAAAACTTAAGTTCTTTTCTAATTAGTTAATTAATCAATTAATTTTTTTAAAAAAGTGGGGTTTTAATAAAAAAGGTTAATATTTTTGTAAGATATAATCACAACTCAAAAGCATTTTAAAAAAATAAATAAATAGAGCTTATTTAGGATGGATGAATAGATGATGAATTGATAGTAAATTTAAGTATAAAACTTACATATATTTCAACTCCACAGGACTCGTAAAGATGCCTCAAAGTCGGTAGTACGCACATAATTCTTTTTTTTGTCTATTTAATATGAAATAAATGAATATCTTTATCATTAATTATCTTCGTTTTTTAAAGTTGCAATTATTATTGAATAAACAAACATTTATAGTCAATTATTTATTTATTTATTATTTAATCTATTAATAATTAACTAACTAACTATCTAATTATAGTTATTTATTATTTACGATCGCTTAGAAATCTCCAAAAATAAATGTCTTAAAAATTAACAATTCTATGTTTATTTATCATCCTAATTAATTCATAATTCTCATTTAAATTTATAATGTCTTAATATTCTTGCTGCCTTTATTTTATATATGTTTCAAATCCTATAACTGTATTTAATTACCTCATGATGAGCTTTACACGGATTCCAAAATATTTATTTGCTGTCTTCAGAAAAGGATTTCATGTATTTGTTTTATCCCTTTAAGAAATGAGTAGTATAATTATGGCTAGGCAAATATGTCTCTATAAATTTTATTATATTTGCTATATATGTTTCTGGAGAATTTTATTCAAGAGACAAGCTCTCCAAATTTTTTTTCTATATGACTTCTTTAAGTGCTTATGCTTTTTCATCATTAACTTAATCTACTTTGAGTAACTACTCGATTGTTTATTTTTTTTAAAACCTTTCTAATCTATCACGTCTCTGCCAAACCTATTCCTTTTTATAGTAAATTGATTAGTTTATATCTGAATATTGCCATATTTTAATTCGGGTTTGATTCAAATTGTGAAATATTCTTTTTTTGCTTTTTTTTTGTCTCATAAGCAACTAAATAATTGAATAAATCATCATCAAACTCGATTTCTTGCTATTTGTTAATAAAAATATCAATACAATATCAGAAATGGATAACTTCTCAGTCTTGTAAATTGTCCTCTCTGGCTCGTAGAGTTATCTTAACTTTAACTCATCTAAACTAAGAGAAGTCCTTTAAATTTTACTAATATGCTAGTGGTTCATACAGAATAAATATTAAAATTATTAGGTCAATCAATCAATCTCTTTTATATTCTATCCTTCTTTTGTTACCTATATTAAAGTTATTAATGATGTTTAAAATAAAGAATAATTAATTATTAGTTAATTTATCAATTAAAAAATTTTGTTTAATAATCTTTTCATCTATTCATATCTCATTCACTTTACCCTCATTCTTCCTTAATTCTTTCTAATTATTTTTTCTATAAAATAGCTTGTCAATAAATAAATAAACAATCCACCAAGCATGAGTATTTCATCTGTTGAATGAATGGATTAGCAATCAATTAATCATTTATTTTTTTTTATCAAATTTATTGTAGCAATTAATTAGCAAATCAAAACTTACAACACTTCTTTTTAAATAACTACTTGGTTTTATTTATTAAATCCTTCTATTTCTTTACTTTGATTATATAATTTTATAAATAAAAATCATTTTAAAGTTAATAATTTACATAATATTGGTATTTTAATTTAACTCTTTTGTTTTATAAGAGAAAAAACTATAGTAGATCATTTATACCGTATTTCTTCAAGGCAAATGGCGAATCTAAAAGGTATATGAATAATGGTGAATTTCAATTATTCACTATAGAAATTGATTGCCCTAAAATCCTTGTATTTTTTTTTGGCTACCCCACTTCAGAAAATTTGGCTAAATTTAAAATTTTTGATGTAAATAAATTACTTATTTTTAAAATTATTATTTATTAAATTATTAATTATAATCCTATTATAAAATATAAAAATCATATTTTTAATAAATAAAAAATCTATTTCATTATAAGTGGCATCCCAACCACGAAATTTTTGTATGGCATTTTGCTATAATTAGATACATATATTATAAATATTAAATACTAGAATTTTTTCAAATATGACTAAATAACTGGCCATCTCTAATTCTTACTCTTTTTTAAGTATTTGTTTTAAATACAAATATTAAGATTAAATAATTTTTGTTAAATTAATTTTCTGTGATATCTATCTCTTCATAAAACCAAATATATAAATTAATATTTGATAATTAATTAATTATTATATTTTATTTGTTTTTTTTATCCATTTGTAATTAATTAAATTCCATAAGTTGCTTACTATTCAATAATTTTGAAAAAATAAATAAATGATGTAATAGATTAAATATTATAAAAAATTAAAAGAAGTAATTATTAATTTTTTTATTAATATCCTTTATATTTATATAAATTAATAAAAAAAGTTTTTAAACTCTTAACTTATATCTCATTAGGTTCTCCATATTAATCTAATGTATATTTTATTAATTAATACTATTTTTATTATTATTAATATTTTTATATATTTAGCTATGTTAACTTAATTTTCATTTCAATTTTTAATTAATTATTATTCATTTTTTATTATTTTTTAATATTAAAACTTACACTTAATAAGAGCAGTTTATTTGTTTTGGATTGTAATATTTTTAACTATAAAAGTTGATATAAAACATTAAATCTCTTTTAATTTATTTGATTTATTTTCCTTTTTCTTTTTATTGTGATTTTTTTTTTTTTCATTCTTTGTTAATTTTACTAATTATTAATTAATCTTATTATTTCATATTTTTTCTTCAATTTTTCCTTTGAATTAACTATTTAATAGTATATTTTTTCTTCAATATTTAAAAAGTAGCAATTAAATTGGTGACGAAGATGCATCAGGCTTAGGTACTGCTTTAGCAAATTGCATTAATCTCTAAAATTTGACACTTGAGCTTGGGTAAAAACAGTTTATTTGTTTTGGATTGTGATATATTTTTAATTATAAAAACTAATTTAAAACAATAAAGCTCATTTTTCTTTTTATTGTGCTTGCTTTTTTGTTCTTTCTTTGTTAATTTAACTCATCATTTTATTTTCAACTTTTGCTTTTATTATTAATTAATTAATCTTATTATTTTATATTTTTTCTTCATTTTTTCCTTCTAATTAAAATTTAATGATATATTTTTTCTTCAATATTTAAAAAGTTACAATAAAATTGGTGACAAAGGTGCATCAGGCTTAGGTTCTTCTTTAGAAAATTGTATTAATCTCTCAAATTTGAAACTTGATCTTAGGTAAAAACAGTTTATTTGTTTTGGATTGTGATATTTTAAACTATAAACAAAAAAGCTTTTTTTTCTTTTTCTTTTATTGTGCTTGCTTTTTTTTGTTCTTTGTTTACTAATTTAACTCATAATTTAATAAAAAATTTTGCTTTTATTATTAATTAATCTTATAATTTCATATTTTTTCCTACTAATAAACTATTTAATGATATATTTTTTCTTCAATATTTAAAAAGTTCCAATAAAATTGGTGACAAAAGTGCATCAGGCTTAGGTTCTGCTTTAGCAAATTGCATTAATCTATAAAATTTGACACTTGAGCTTGGGTAAAAACAGTTTATTTGTTTTGGATTGTGATATATTTTTAATTATAAAAACTAATTTAAAACAATAAAGCTCTTTTTTTTTTCTTTTTATTGTGCTTGCTTTTTTTTGTTGTTACTTTGTTAATTTAACTCATCATTTTATTTCCAACTTTTGCTTTTATTATTAATTAATTAATCTTATTATTTTATATTTTTTCTTCATTTTTTCCTTCTAATTAAATATTTAATGGTATATTTTTTCTTCAATATTTAAAAAGTTTCAATTAAATTGGTGATAGAATAGAATAGAAATACTCGCACATATAAATGCACTCAGAATACAACTTAAAAATTAATTTTTATAATGTTTATATATTTATTTATTTAATTATGTATTTATAGTTAGAAGCTATTATCGAATTATTTTAAATTCACCAATTTTTAAATAATATACAGCGTATCAGTGGTATGCTTTAGCTCGTTTATTGCGTTTATCTCGTTTATTTTTACATGGAATTTTTCGAAATAAAGGGGGCGGTATAGGATTCGAACCCCCGATATCACTGCTAAGACCCTCCGACTCGCCCACTCGAGCCGCTTAGCCCTTCTTAATTTGGTGATGAAGGTGCATCAGGCTTAGGTTCTGCTTTAGCAAAGTGCATTAATCTCTCAATATTGACACTTAAGCTTGGGTAAAAACAGTTTATTTGTTTTGGATTGTGATATATTTTTAATTATAAAAACTAATTTAAAACAATAAAGCTCTTTTTTCTTTTTCTTTTTATCGTGCTTCTTGCTTTTATTGTTCTTTCTTTGTTAATTTAACTTATCATTTTATTTTCAACTTTTGCTTTTATCATTAATTAATTAATCTTATTATTTCATATTTTTTCTTCATTTTTTCCTTCTAATTAAAATTTAATGATATATTTTTTCTTCAATATTTAAATAGTTACAATAAAATTGGTGACAAAGGTGCATCAGGCTTAGGTTCTGCTTTAGTAAATTGCATTAATCTCTCAAATTTGTCACTACATCTTCAGTAAAAACAGCTTATTTGTTTTGGATTGTGATATATTTTTAATTATAAAACTAATTTAAAACAATAAAGCTCTTTTTTTTCTTCTTTTTATTGTGCTTGCTTTTTTTTGTTATTTGTTTGTTAATTTAACTCATCATTTTATTTTCAACTTTTGCTTTTATTAATAATTAATCTTATTATTTCATACTTTTTCTTAATTTTTTCCTTCTAATTAACTATTTAATGAAATATTTTTTCTTCAATATTTAAAAAGTAACAATTAAATTAGTGAGGAAGGTGCATCAGGCTTAAGTTCTGCTTTAGAAAATTGCATTAATCTCTCAAATTTAACACTTTAGCTTAAGTAAAAACAGTTTATTTGTTTTGGATTGTGATATTTTAAACTATAAAAATGAATATTAAACAAAAAAGCTTTTTAAATTTATTTGATAGATTATAATTATTTATTTTTTTATCTTTTTTATTGCACTAATGTTATTTTGTTTGTTTGTTAACTTAAGAAATAATTTATAATTTAAAAGTTTATTCTATTTGATATTTATTTAAAATTTACATAAATTTTTTATAAAATTTTTAGCTCAATGAATAAATCATAAAAATTCAAAGTAATAAGCAAGTGTCTTAAATCAAAAAGATTAGTTGTCTTTAAAAAATAACTCTGATGATAAATAAATGACTAAAAAAGGATGAATAAATATTAAATGTTTGAATAATAAAATATATTTTATTAAATAATATTTTGAAAAAGTTTTTTAAACATAAAATATAAATAGATAGATTTTATTATTGTTTTTATATTATAAATATCATTCATATTTTTGTAAGTAAATAAATGATTTATAAAAAATAAAAAAATTAAAAAATTAAATTGACTTAATTAATTTTGAGAGAGTATTTTTCAATTAAATTTAGTTTGATACTGGTTTTTCATACCTATCTATATTTATATTTTTTTGAATGATATTTAATTAATTAATCATAATATTTATATAAATGTTGTTTAATTAATTTATACATCAATTCAAACATTAACTTTTATAATTTAATCTTAATTGTATAAATTTTTTTAAAAATTATTCATAAATAATTCTTGAAAGGTTAATCCATACAAATAATGTAAACATACAAAAACTTTTAATAATTAAATAATAAAAAATTTAGTTTTAAAATAGTTAAAAAATATATAACTTTATATCCTGAATTTATCAAACTTATATTCAATCAGTTTAATAAAAAACGTTTATATTTAATGAATAGTTTCTACCTATTATCTTTATTTAGTTAAATTTATTTGATGTTTTATTTTTTCTAAAAGTATTTTTAAAAATAAAATATTTCTTTCAAACATTTTTATATTATATTGAAGATAATATTCTATGATTGATGTCATTCTTTTTAAAATTATCTTATGAGTTATTTTTAAAAAACTTTTTAATATATTTGCACTTTAAATCACATGAATTCAAAATATCTTACTATTCTTCAAAATAATTTTTACATTTTTTATTTCCTAAAATTAAAATTGAATTAATTTTGTTTAAATTAAAATTTATTTACTTAAGTTTTCATTTTTTTATTTGTTAAATTCATCTGTCACATATTAACAGGAGTATCCTATAAGCTATATTGCAGCTAGCTACTCTTTGCTTAAAAGCATCATTATAGATTTCTTTATAAAAAGCATATCTTTATAAAAATCTAAAATATTAAGTTATTTGTTTATCTGTTTTCTGATTAAACTTAGAGATTAATATGTTTAATGATTATCAGCATTCTTTTTTTTAAACAAGCTTGATATGAATTGCATTAGTTGCTACAATTTTTTGGGTATTTTATATGCTTATCTATTCATAAAGAAAGTTTAGTCAAAAAAACATAAAAATAAAAATATTTTTATTTATTTATTTATTTTACCTTTTTTAGAACATAAATTTTTTTACTTTATTAAAAAGATTTGTGTCTTAAATAGCTCTAAATGTAGACTCAAAAAATTTATAGCTTTTTATTTTTGAGTTTTGATCAATATGAGGTCTTTTTAAATTTATTTTATTTGTTTTGTTCTAAATATTTTAACATAAACTTCTGTCTTAAATGAATGTAATCTAACTCTTATTTAATTTCGGCCCTTATAATTGCTTAGAAAAAATATTTTTCATTTAATTTAAATATTATAAAAATACTTCATTTTAAGTTGAATTAATTTTTTCGATCTACGTCTCAATAGAAGAGAGATAAAATTCACAAACCATATTATCTTTTTAATTTTCAATAATTTTATCTTTTTGATTTTCTATGATTTCATCCTATTTATTATAAATTTTCACTTCCTTATGTTAGGTTTATGAACCTTACTCTAAATAATTTCTAAACTTTGTAGAAAATTCAGGCAAGGAAATATTGTCAGACACATCCTTTTCTTGTATATTTTATTCAGCTTGGTTTTGGTTAGAGTTTTCCTCAACTTGAGTGCATTAGTTTTACTAAATTAAATTTCTTTCTTTTAATATCTCTTGATAGTTTTCTTAATACATAGTTTGCAAAAAGACTTTAAAAAAATCTTAAAGTATTTCCTGCTATGAAAAAGCTTTAAAAATGAATCCAACTGTAAGAAGCAAAGCAAAAGTAGAATTTACCAAAGCTAATATTTCAGGAAGTGTAGGGAATTAAATAGAAATTTATTATACGATTTAATCCATTTATAAAGAAATTTATATATAAGGAGCATCAAATGAATTACCAAACGTAGTAATATATTAATTATAATTTATTGGGCTAGAAATTTATGATTCTGATTGAATAACTAGACCTTAATAAATTTTTGTTATTTATTACTATGAATATAAAGTATTTAATTGGAATTAATAAGGACTTGTGTAGATAAATTTATTCATAAAATTGATTTAATTTTTCTGTGAAGTTGTGTTGTATTAGGATGTAAATAGTTTTATATTTAATCCTGCTTAACCACTATTAACCAAGCTTTCTATTTCAGTTTGATTGGCACAATTATTTGGTACACTTGTTTTAAAATAATCAGTAACTTAGCATGGATAAATAAACATATAAATGAATGACTAAATATTATCTTTTACACTTTAAATCAAAGTGTAATTTGATAAGTTAGAGAAATCTAGGCATTTATATCCTTGGAGCTAAGTGTTTTAACACTAAGTTATGTTTAATTAAATCATTATAGAATTATTTTAATCAGAATATATAAAATAAGCAATAGGAACAAGATATGTTTTATTTGTTTATGCTTCAAGTTAATCTAATGAAACATTTATATTTTATTAGTAATAAAATGCAAATAAATCATTTTAAAGAGAAATCTCGGTAGCTTCATCAGTAACGAAAATTTGAGATCTGAATTTAGGATCTATTTAATTATTTGCAAATTACTAAACGAGATAAATGAAGTAACTAATAACTATGGCTAATATTGAAAGAGATATAAAAGTTCCTATATAAGTTCCTTTTTTCGTTTGTTAGTTTACTAAATAAAAGCTAAAAGATGACGAAAAAAAATCTAAATTTTTGAGGAAATTCATAGCTAGCTTATTTACTTCTACTTTTTACTTTTTTAATATTTATTTATTTACTGTTTATTTATAGGTTTTTTTCTCTTTATTTTATTATTATCATTATTTAAATAATTAAATTTCTCTTTGAGAATGAAATTCAAATAAAATTAAAAATTATTCATAACTTCTTCTAGAAATATAAAATTTTTAAATGAACTTCCTATCTATATTAGCATTTTGTTAAAAAGCGAATGCATAACTAACAAATATTTTATACATTCATTGAAAGTTTTATTTTTTAAAAAGAATATTTTATTTATTGAAAAATATATAATAACTATCTTAGTAAAATAATTTTTTAAAAGTAATTTTAAAAATATTTGATTAAATTAAATTTTTATTTTAAGTCTTTATTTTTAAATATAAGATCAATTTAATTTGTATTCTAATGATTTTTAGGGTATTAGTTTGATTATTTAAGTTCTAAAAAAGAATTTATTGATTTAAATTTGAGGAGAGAGATAGGTTATTTGGGCTTGATAATTATTTTACTTATTATTATTCATTAACTAAATTTTTTCTGTTCTATAATTTATCAAAAGTATGCGTAGCTTAGCTCTCTTTAATTATATTCTATTCATTTATTTCAATAATTTCATCTTTTTAAAGATTTATTTCTTAATGTTCTATTCATATGAAGGACTATAATATAATTAAGATCTAAATTTTGAAGAAAAATTAGGTACAAAATTGTATCAATAACTTCATTTTCTTACATTTCTTCTTCATTTTACTTTTTATATAACCTAAGTTAGTGTGTTATTGCTTGATAACTTATCTTGACAAACTTTATTAGCTTTAAGCATTATTTCATAAGTGTCTTATTACACATTTTATAAAAATAGGTGCAAAAAATCTTGAAATATATCTCTTTAAGAAATAAATCTAAAATAAAGCCTAAAATAAGAAGCACAGCAAAGGTACTATTTGCTAAGGCTATAATATCTGGGATTGTAGGAAGGAAATTAAATAGAAATAATTTAAACCCCTTAATCCATTTCAAAAATCACTTTCAAGTAAGGAGAATTAAATTGGTTACTAAAAGCATCATGTTAAGAGTTGTAATTGATTGGGCCGGAATATTAATTTTCTGATTGAATAATAAGCCCTTGACTTATTTTGTTATTTGCTACTATGGATTTAATTAATTTATAATGTATTAATCTGATTTAGTGTAAATAAATTTTTTCATACAATTAATTAACCTGGTTTTGTTAAGAATTAATATTTTTGTAACTTCAAATTCAAGCCAACAATATATCCATTTCCAAAAATCCTCAATATCAGATTTATTAGCACAGTTATTAGGAACAACAGTTTTTAAGCTATCTGTTATTTGACAAGGATATTAAATAAGAAATATATAAGATTTAATATTATTTCTAACGCTTTAAATTAAGGTATAATTGGTTTATGCTTGAAAAATCTATAGAGCTATAGCCATAAATTTAAGGATCTTTACACTCAATTATGTTCACTGTATTTTGTAAATCTATGTCAGCAGATTTATAGATAAAGTAAGCAATAGGAACTAAAATATTTTTGGTCATTTGCTATTAAAACTAGTCTAAACTGGTTTATATATCATATTAGAACTTAAATACAAACAAATTATTTTTGAGGGAGATTTCTGTAGCTTCATCAGCAATAAACATTTATGATCTAAATTTAGGATCAATTTTATTATTTAAGCATTATAAGACAAGATAAATGAAGTAGCTAATCCCTATATTTAGGATTATTAATAAGATTAGAGCTCCTTAAAAAGATCCTTTCTTAGTTTATTGATATAAGGTTAGGAATATAAATCTGTTTTAGTGAAGAGATTTATCATATTAATTAAATTACTTCTAGTTAATAATTTTCTATTTTAGAATTTAATATATAAACAAATAAAATACATATTTAAATAAATAAACACTTTTTAATTTCTTCAATCAATATTTTAGAGACAATTAAAAATTTACAAAATATTTGATTTTTAAAAAATAAAATAAAATTTTAACAATATATCTTATATATAATTCTGTAAAATAATAAATACCTTTAAATGAAAGCTGAATCAATGAATCAAGTTAATTATTATATAAAAATTAATTAATTAATTAAACTTTATTTATTTAATATTTAAAAAATATTATATTAGGATTTTTGTTAACACTTAAACAAATATTAAATTTTATATATCACAATCATAAAATAAATGTAATTAATCTGGCTGATTTTTTAGCTCATCTTATCAAAATACTATCTTACTCGAGTTAATATTGAGGTTATCTATTAAATAAAATAATTTATAAAAATATATTATTGAAATTTAACACAAAAATTATCTTTTTAAAATTTAATTTTATACAAAACCAAAGCTATAACAATACAATTTTTGAAACTAAATGAACTAGCTTCTTATTTATGGAAATTCCTAACTCTTTATTTTATCATAGATTTTGGTGTAAATTAAAATAGTTAATTTTTATCTTTAAATTAATTAATAACTCATTATTTGGTAATACAACGGAGAATTTTAGAAATAGGTAGAGTATCGAATTATTATTTTCTCAATAGAGAATTAAAAAAAATTACCTTAGCTATGTGTAATTAGCTTAACAATTCTGGTTCTAAATGAATATAATAATAAGGTAAGTTATATTTAGTCAAATTTATATTTTTAAAACTTAAATTAATTTACAATTTTTTTATTCAATTATTATTTATTGCAGAGAATATCCTATTATCTATGTCAAGTTTATTATAGCTATCATCTTATAACTTGGAAAAAAACTTTTTAATATACTTTTATTATAATTCACAAGAATTAAGAATATTTTATTATTCTTCGAAGTGGTTTTTATACTTTTACTTAACTATATTTTACAGGATTAATAAATTATTAATTATTTATTTATTTAATTAAAAAAAAAATTTACTTTGTTTAATACTATTTTGTTTGCTAGTTTAATCTGCTAAGTATTAAGAAGAATACCCTACAAGTTGAATAGCAGCTAATTATTCTTTACTTAAAATAATCATTATAGATTTTTTAATAAATAATAAATCTTTATAAAAATCTAAAATATTCAGTGATTGGTATATTTATTACTCTATAAGCACTTTTTATGTTTGAAATTCTTACTTTTCATCTAAACTTTCTTTTTTTTTCTTCCAGAAGCATATTATTTTTTTCAATTAAGTTATTAAACTAATAAATAAATCATAAAAACAAAATTAATATCTCTTTAAATAATTTAAATACTTACTTTTACTTTTTTTCAAAAATAGAATTTTTAAATTTTTGAAATATTTTGAGGTCTTTGATAACTCTTAATTTCTAAATCATATTTTCAGAATTTATATCTCGCTTTTGTTTAGCCTTTTGATTTTAGATTATTTAGTTTTATTTCTTTATTATTTTGTTGCTTTAGCTTAAATTTCTACTTTCAATTAATTTTGATTCATGAATATTAGAAGTTAAATTATTTTCTTATGTGTACTACTCTTATTAAGTAAAGCAGAGATAATTTTTATCATTTTGTGTATCTAATATTTTATTTTAAGCTGAAATTTTATTACTTAACTCTTGAGTTTCAATCACATAATCTTTATCAAATTTAAATTCAGTTTTATTTTCTTTATATTATGGGCTTTATTCTATGTGATATTTAAACTTTGTAGAAAATTAAGGAAGTTCTATGTTATCTGACTTATCCTTTTCTAAAAGGTCTTACCCTACAAACTGGACTTCTTATTGATGAATTGACTAGACTTAAGATTTGCAGTCTGATAATTTATGATCCTATATTAATTGGTGGTATGTAGCCTAATACAAATTTTCTAAAAAAACATGGAGAAAATCTTAAATGATAACGTTTTATGAAAGAATTCTAAAAACTAACCCAAAAGCAAGAAGTGTAGCAAAGGTAGAATTAACTAAAGCTAAGACTTCAGGAATTGTAGGAAATTAAATAGATATTTCTTAAACTAACTAGTCCATTTACAATTAGACTTATATATAAGGCTAATCAAATTAATTGCTTAAAACATTATATTGATCAGTATAGTAAATTGGACCAGAATATTATGTTTTTGATTAGATGACATTGCCTTAACTAATTTTTGTTACTTATTGTTATGTATTTATTGTATTTAATACAAATTAATCAGATTCTGTAAAAATAAATTTATTCATAAAATTTACTTAGTCTATGAAAATGCATTTTTATAAAAATTTGCTTTTGAAATTTTATTTAACATAATTTATGTTAGTTTGCTTTATTTATTTATCTATTTTTTATCTAAAAGCTAATTAACCTTAATTCTTTTATTAATTTATATGAATGCTTTTTAAATTAAACTTTAAAAGAAGTTTTGACTATTTTAAAGGAAATTTTATCCATCCTATCCTATCACACACAAATCTGACTGAATTATAGATAATGATATAAAACTAACAAATAATAATTTTATTTTAAAATAATTTAACCAAATATTTTACTTATTAATTAATTAATTCATAATTTTGCTTAGTTTTATTTTATGGAATATAATATCCTTTTATTAACATCTGCATTATTGTAATTTTTATCAATCTAGCACTTCTAAAAAAATTTATTGACATATTTACATTGTAAATCACATGAATTCAATATATCTTACTACTTTTCAAAGTAGCTTTTCACTATCATTTATTTATATATATATTTTTATTATAATTAATATAATTTAAAAAATAAATTAAAATACTCTATTTCTTATCTTTGTAGTTTTTGAAATCTCCTGTTAAGTACTAAGAAGTATATCCTACCAATTAGATAGCTGCTAATTATTCCTTGCTAAGGAGTAGCATCACAGATTTCTTTAAAAATAATATATCCTGATATAAATTCTAAATATTTAGACACTTATACATTTATTTTTCAATTAGTCTTTTATATCTTGGAGTCTAATCTTTTTAATATTTGATTCCCTACTTATTTCTCCATAGTTTCCATATTTCTTTTATTCTTTTAATTTTCTGAAAGAGACTGCTGTTGATTAATTACCATATTAATTTAAAAACAAATATTTGTAGTAAACTCTTAAAATAAAAAAATAATACCTTTTATTGAAAATCATTTTTTTAGAATATTGAAATATCTTTACATCCTTAATAATCTTCAACTTACTTATAAAGCAATCTAAATTACTTGCCTAACTTACTATTGTCTTTTAATTTTAATTTGAATAATTTTTAGGATTATTAGTTGGATTATTTAAATTCTAAAAAAGAATTTATTTGTTAGAATTTGAGCTGAGAGATAGGTTATTTGGACTTAATAATTATTTTACTTATAAATCATTCACTAAATTTTGATTTTTTTATTAATTAGCAAAAGTATGAGTAGCTTTACTCTCTTTAACAATATTTAATTCATTTATTTCAATAATTTCATCTTTTTAATGATTTGCATCTTAAGTATTCTATTCATATGAAGGACTTTATTCTAATTAAGATCTAAATTTTGAAGAAAAGTTAGGTATAAAAATTGTATCAATAACCTCTCTTTCTTAAACTTCTTCTTCATTTGCTTTTACTAACACCTAATTTAATGTGTTATTGCCTGATAACTTATCTTCACAAACTTTATTAGCTTTAAGCATTACTTCATAAGTGTCTTAGTACATATTTTATAAAAATACGTGCAAAAAATCTTAAAATATATCTCTTTAAGCAACCATTCTAAAAATGAAGCCTAAAGTAAGAAGCAAAGCAAAACCACTGTTTGCTAAGGCCAAAATATCTGGAATAGTAGGAAATTAAATAGAAATAAATTAAACTATTTAATCCATTTCAAAATTTATTTGTATGTATGGAGAATCAAACTGGTTACTAAAAACATCATTATAAGAGTTGTAATTGATTGGGCCGGAGTATTAATTTTCTGATTGAATAATAAGTCCTTAACTTATTTTTGTTATTTACTACTAGGGATTTAAGCGATTAATAATGTATTAATCTGATTCAGTGTAAATAAATTTTCTCATATAATTAACCTGGTTTTGTTAAGAACTAATATTGAACTGATATGTATATAACTTCAAATTCAAGCCAACAGTTTCTCCATTCACAAAGTCTTCTATCTCAGTTTGATTAGCACAGTTATTAGGAACAGTAGTTTTTAAGCTATCTGTTATTGGACAAGGGTAATAAACAAGCTATAACTAAGATCGGATATTATTTCTAACACTTTCAATCAAGGTGAAATTGTTTATGCTTGAAAAATCTACACAGCTATAGCCTTAAAGTTAAGGATCTGTACACTCAATTATGTTGAGTATTTTTTGTAATTTAATGTCAGGAGATTTATAGACAAAGAAAGCAATGGGAACGATATAAGTTTTGTTCATTTGCTATTAATATTAGTCTAAACTAGTTTTTAAATCGTATTAGAACTTAAAAGCAAACAAATCATTATGAAGGGAGATTTCAGTAGCTTCATCCGTGATAAACATTTGTGATCTAAATTTCGGATCAATCTTATTGTTAAGGTATTATAAGACCAGATAAATGAAGTAGCTAACCACTATTGCTAGGATTATTAATGAGATTAGAGCCCCTTAAAAAGTTCCTTTCTTAGTTTATTAATTTCCTAGGTAAAAGTTAAAGGGTTAGGAAAACAAATCTGTTTTAGTGAAGAGATTTATCATAATAACTAAATTACTTCTACTTACTTATTTTGTATTTTAGAATTTAATTTATAAACAAATAAAATACATATTTAAATAATCAATATTCTAGAGATAATTAATAAAAAATTTACAAAATATATATTTGATAGAAATTCTTTGAATAATAAAATAAAATTTTAACAATTTATCTGATATATAATGAATTATATATTTAAAGTAAAGCTTAATCAAGTTATTTTTTATATAAAAATTAATTAATTAGTTAAGTTTTATTAATTTAATATTTTAAAAATATTATTTAATATTCTAAATCCATTTATAATTTGAACAAAAGAATAAAATTAAATTTAGGTTTTTGTTATTAAATATTTATTAATATTGAAATTTTATGATATATTATAAGATATAAAATATTTTATGATAGTAATTAATTTTTATTTATTTATTTATTTATTTATTTATTTATTTATTTATTTTATATTACAAACATAAAATAAATGTAATTAATCTTATTGGTTTTTTAGATCTTATTATCTAAATTAATACATATAAGAATACGAACCCAGTTGAATAATAACCGATTTTGCCAAATTTACAAGTATTTCTGTGATTACTTGTATTTTCAAATTTTATAAAAATAAATCCTACATTTTTGAATAGGAATAATTTTAAAAAAAGGCATATTAATATAACTCTCACATCAATTCACTTGTACTAAAAAATAATCACTTTAAAAAATTATAGATAATATCATGGAAATTTTATTTATTGTAATATTTTTTTTGAATAAAGAATGAGTGAAATGTAAATGATAACAAGAATTATAACTTTTTGAAATTAAATGAGATTTTCATAAATAATTTGTTCAGATACTAAATATAAAAATAAGGTAAGTAACATTTAGTCAAATTTATATTTTTAAAACTTAAAATAATTTTTATTTTTTTATTCAATTATTATTTATTGCAGAGAATATCCTATAATCTATGTCAAGTTTATTATAGCTATCATCTTATAACTTGGAAAAAAACTTTTTAATATACTTTTATTATAATTCACAAGAATTAAGAATATTTTATTATTGCTCGAAGTGGTTTTTATACTTTTATTTAACTATATTTTATAGATTAATTAAAAATTATAAATTTACTTAAGTTAAAACAAATATTTACCTTATTTAATACTATTTTGCTTGCTAGTTTAATCTGCTAAGTATTAAGAAGAATACCCTACAAGTTGAATAGCAGCTAATTATTCTTTACTTAAAATAATCATTATAGATTTCTTAATAAATAATAAATCTTTATAAAAATCTAAAATATTTAGTTATTGGTTAATTTATTTCTCAATTAGCACTTTTTATGCTTCAAATTCTTACTTTTCATTTAAACTTTCTTTTTTCTTCTTCTTCCAGAAATATCTTAATTTTTGCAATTAAGTTACTAAACTAATAAATAAATTATAAAAATAAAATTAATATTTCTTTAAATAATTTAAATACTTTTACTTTTATTTAAAAATAGAATTTTTAAATGTTTGAAATATTTTGAGGTCTTTGATAACTCTTAATTTCTAAATTATGTTTTCAAAATTGATATTTTGCTTTTGGTTAGTCTCTTGATTTTGCATTATTTAGTTTTATTTCTTTATAATTGTCTTGCTCAAGCTTAAATTTCTACTTTCATTTTATTTTGAGTCATTAATTTTAGAAATTAAATTATTTTCTAATGTGCACTACTTTTACTAAGTAAAGCAGAAAGAATTTTTATCATTTTATAAATCTAATGTTTTATTTTAAACTGAAGTTTTATTACTTAACTCTTGGTTTTCTATAACATAATCTTATTTAATTGTAAAATCAATATTATTTTATTAATACTATGGGCTTTATTCTAAGTAACATCTAAACTTTGAAGAAAATGATGGAAGATGTATGTTATCTGATGTATCCTTTTCTAAAAGGTCTTACCCTAAAAACTGGCCTTCTTGATGAATTTACTAGACTTAAGATTTGCAGTCTGATAATTTATGATCCTTTAATAATTGGTGATATGTATCCTAATACAAATTTTCTAAAAATACATGGAGAAAATCTTAAACAATATCATTTTATGAAAGAATTCTAAAAAAGAACCCCAAGGTTAGAAGCAAAGCAAAGGCAGAATTTACTAAAGCTAAGATTTCAGGAATTGTAGGAAATTAAATAGATATCTCTTACACTAACTAATCCATTTACAAGAAGACTTATATATAAGGCTAATCAAATTAATTGCTAAAAACATTATATTGATCAGTATAATAAATTGGACTAGAGTATTAAGTTTTTGATTAGATGACATGACCTTAACTAATTTTTGTTACTTATTATTATGTACTTATTGTATTTAAAATATATTAATCTGATTCTGCATAAATAAATTTATCCATAAAATTTACTTAATTCTGCTGAGAAGTAATATTATACTAGGAAGTATAAAGCTTTAAATTTAATCCAGATGCATCTTCGTTCACAAAATTTTCTATTTCAGTTTAGTTAGCACAGTTATCAGGCATAGTGGTTTTAAAACGATCAAGAAGAGGACACGGATAAAAGATCAAAAAAACCTCAGATCTAATATTTTACTTGCCATTTAAAATCAATGTGTAATTTGAAAAATTTGAGAAGTCTAAACATTTAAAACCTTGAAGTTATTCATTTTAACAATCCATTATGTTTAATGGGAAAATAGTAGTATTCTTTTAAGTAGAATAGATAAAAAGAGCTAGAGGAACAAGATAAGTTTTATTCATTTCTGCCTAATATTGTTCAAGTGTAATGTATTTACTTTTTTGAAAACTAAATGCTATCAAATCATTTTAGAGTGAGACTTCAGTTGCGCTATCTGTTACAAAAATTTGAGATCTAAACTTAGGATCAATTTAATTATCAAAAAATTATAACATGAGGTATATAAAATAGCTAAACACTATGATTGTTATTGAAAGAGAAACTACTGATCCTTAAAATGTCCCCTTTTTTGTCTGTTTGTTTCCTAATTAAAATTAAAAAGGCATAGAAAAAAAATCTATTTTTTTTATGAAGTTCATTTTTTTATTGATTGTTTTCTTACTTATTTACTTAGTTCTACTATTTTTTGTATATTTATTCAATTATCTACTTAAATAATATATAATTATTTAACTTATTTAATTATTATTGAATATTTAATTTTTATTTGCATTTATCCCTTATTTTTTTTAAATTAGAAAAATAATTAGCAATAATATACTATTTTTAAAATGATATTACCTCTTCAAACATTATATCAAAATATTTATTTTTTTTAATTCATCATTGAAATTAATAAATTTTTTGAGATAAATCACTTTCATGCTTTTACATTTCGAAAAATTGATTTTTATTAATTTTTTTAGTTTTTTTTAACTTAAATTTAAAAGGATAATTTGAAATATGCTTTCTAATATATTTAACTATCTCTAATATTTTATCAAAATCCATTTTTATAAAAATTGGCTATTTTAATTTTATTGAGTTTGCTTTATTTAACTATTTTTTATTTTATCAACTAATTTACTCTCATTATTTTATTAATTTATCTGATTATTTTTTAAAATAAACTTTAAAGCAAAAGTATGGCTATTTTAATAAAACTTTTACCATCCAATTACACATAAATCAATAAATCAGAATTATTGATAATCAATAATATAAAAATTTACAAAGAATAATTTTTATTTTAAAATAATTTAACCACAAATTTTACTAATTAATTAATTCACAATTTTGCTTTATCTTATTTTATGGAATTAAATATCCTTTTATTCACTTCTTAATTATTGTAATTTTTATCAATCTAGCACTTCTAAAAAAACATCTTGACATATTTACATTGTAAATCACATGAATTCAATATATCTTACTATTTTTCAAAGTGATTTTTCTCTATTTTATTTATTTTAGTTAATATAATTTGTATAAAATAAATTAAAATACTTTATTTCTTATCTTCGTAATTTTTGGAATCTTCTGTTAAGTACTATTAAGAGTATCCTACCAATTAGATAGCAGCTAATTATTCCTTGCTAAGGAGTAACATGACAGATTTCTTTAAAAATAATATTTCCTGATATAAATTCTAAATATTTAGACATTTGTACATTTATTCTTCAATTAGTCTTTTATATCTCGAAGTCTAATCTTCTTAATATTTGATTCTATATTTGCTTCTCCATTGTTTCCATATGTCTTTTATTTTTTTAAATTTCTGAAAGAAACTAGTGCTGATTAATTACCATATTAAAAATATAAATACAAATATTTGTAATAAACATTTAAAATAAAAGAATACCTTTAATTGAAAATATTTTTATTAGAATATTGAAATATCTTTACATCCTTAATCATTCTCAACTTACTTATAAAGCATTCTAAATTACTCTCTTATCTTGCTTTTGTCTTTTAATTAATACTGGTATTTCTTAAGTTTTCTTTTTTAAATTTTAAATCAATTTAATTTGAGCTTTAATGATTTTGAAGAGTGTATGCTGGAGTTTTTAAATTCTAAAAAATAATTTATTAATTTGAACTTGAGGTGAGAGATACGTTATTTGGATTTAATAATTATTTTATTTGTTAATCATTCACTGAATATTGATTGTTTTATAAATTATCAAAAGCCTGCTTAGCTTAACTCTCTTTAATTATATTTTATTCATTTGTGTCAATAATTTCATCTTTTTATTGATTTGAATCTTAAGTATTCTATTATTATGAAGGACTTTATTCTAATTAAGATCTAAATTTTGAAGTAAAGTAAGGTATAAAAATGGTATCAATAACCTTTTTTTCTTAAACCTCTTCTTCATTTGCTTTTTCTAGCACCTAAGCTAGTGTGTTATTGCTTTATAACTCATCTTCACAAGCTCTATTAGCTTTAAGCATTATTTCATAAGTGTCTTAGTACACATTTTATAAAAATATGTGCAAAAAATCTTGAAATATACCCCTTTAAGAAATCATTCTAAAAATAAAGCCTAAACTAAGAAGTAAAGCAAAGGCACTGTTTGCTAAGGCTAAAATATCTGGGATAGTAGGAAATTAAATAGAAATAATTTAAATTGCTTAATCCATTTCAAAAATAACTTGCAAGTAAGGAGAATCAAACTGGTTACTAAAAACATTGTTTTAAGAATTATAATTTATTGGACCAGAGTATTCATTTTCTGATTGAATAATAGGTCCTTAACTTATTTTTGTTATTTGCTGCTATGTACTTATTCGATTGAAAACATATTAATCAGATTCAGTGAAAATAAATTTTCTCATATAATTAACTTGGTTTTGTTAAGAACTAATATTGAACTGACGTGTTTGTAACTTCAAATTCAAGCCAGCAGAAATTACATTCACAAAATCTTCTATTTCAGTTTGATTAGCACAGTTATTAGGAACAGTAGTCTTTAAGTCATCTGTCATTGGACAAGGGAAGTAGATAAATGAAGTAGCTCATGACAACCGTTAGGATTGTTAAAGAGATTAGAGCTCCTTAAAAAGTTCCTTTCTTAGTTTATTAATTTCCTACATAAAAATTAAAGGGTTAGCAAAACAAATCTGCTTTAGTGAAGAGACTCATCATTTTAACTAAATTACTTCTACTTATCAATTAATAATTAAAAATAAAAATAAACACTTTTTAAAATTACATTTAAACTTTTTAATTTCTTCAATCAATATTTTAGATAGAGATAATTAAAAATTTATAAAATATATACTAAATTGAAATTCTAAAAACTAAAATATAATTTTAACTAATTTAATATAAATATGTAAACTCCAAATAATCAAGAGAAAAAAGTAAATAAATAAATAAACAAACAAACAAACAAACAAACAAACAAACAAATAGTAAATTGCATTTAAACTTTTTAATTTCTTCAATTAAAATATAAGAGATGGTTTAAAATATGTAAAATTTATACTTAATTGAAACAAAAATATAATTTTAACTAATTTAATATAAATATGTAAACTCCAAATAATCAGTAGAAAAAAAGTAAAACAACTAATTAAAATATATAAAAAAAACAAAAATGGAGTAACAAAAATAAAATGGATAATTTATAGCTATTTTTGATATTTTATCTATTACTTAATTATAATTTTAATATTAAATATGTTGTTTATATTTTATTTTACAAATATTTTAAAATGATTTATTTTTTTATATATAAATAAATATATTGAAAGGATTTTTTTTGTCTAATTAAAATCGCAGGTAAATAAATCTGTAAGATAAATTCTGATAAACAAAAATAAAATAAGCTAGAAGACTAATTACTTAGTATTCAATTTTTAAATAAAAAAGTATTGGTTGAAATTCAGCTAACATTGTATGTACACAGTCAGCAAAATTTCAATACCTGTATTAGATTGATATTTTTAATATTTAAATTTATATATTCACTCATTTACTAATTTGAAAAATGTAATATTAATTGTATAAAATTTAAAAAAAAAATAATCGTAAACTATTCTAGAAAGGTTAATTTGTACTAAAAATGTAAACATAAAAAAACTTTTAATAATAAAATCAGAAAAGAATTAATTTTAAAATACGTATAACTAATTTAAAAACTGAATTTATTAAATTTAATGATAGAGTAATTAACTTCTACTTTATTTAGTTAGTTAGATTTATTGAATATTTAATTTTTTCTAACAGTAATTTTCAAAGTAAATTATTGCTTCAAGCATTTTTATATTATATAGAAGACAATATTCTACTATTAATGTCATTCTTATAAAAATTATCTGATGAATAATTTTTAAAAAACTTTTTAATATATTTGCACTTTAAATCACAGGAATTCAAAATATCTTACTATTCTTCAAAATAATTTTTCAATTTTTTGCTTCCTAATATAAAAATTTAATTAAGATTATTTAAATTTAAATAAATTTACTTAAGTTTTCATCATTTTATTTATTTAATTCATCTGTCACATATTAGCAGGAATATCCTACAAGCTAAATTGCAGCTAGCTATTCTTTGCTTAAAAGCAGCATAATAGATTTCTTAATAAAAAGCATATCTTTATAAAAATCTAAAATATTAAGTTATTTGTTTATTTGTTATTTGATTTTCATTAGAGATTAATATGTTTAATAATTATAAGAATTGTCTTTTTTAAAGAAGTCTGATATCAATTGGATTAGTTGTTACATTTTTTTGGGTATTTTAAATGCTTATCTATTAATAAAGAAAGTTAATTTGAAAAATATATAACAATAATAATATTTTTATTTATTTATTTAATTTACCTTTTTTTGAACATAAATTTTTTTACTTTATTAAAAAGATTTGTGTCTTAAATAACTCTAAACGTAGACTCAAAAAATTTATAGCCTCTTATTTTTGAGTTTTTATCTATGCATGAACTTTTCAAATTTATGCTATTTGTTTTGCTCTAGGTATTTTGATTTAAACTTCTTTCTTTAATCAATGTAAACAAACTCTAATTTGATTTTTACTATTTTTATTCCTTAAAAAAAAAATATATTTCAAAATTTATATTTTAAAAATAAATACTTCATTTTAAGTTGAATTAATTTTGTCGCTCTCTGTCTCTATAGAAGTGAGATAAAATTCACAACGTTTTTTGTCTTTTTAGTTTTCAATAATTTCATCTTTTTGGTTTTCTATGATTTCATCTTATTTACTATAAATGTCAAATTAATCTTCTTATGACTATAAACTTTATTCTAAATGGTCTCTAAATTTTGTAGAAAATTCTGGCAAGGAAATATTGTCAGACACATCCTTTTCTTGTACATTGTATTCAGCTTAGTTTTGGTTAGTATTTTCCTCAACTTGAATGCATTAGTTTTACTAAATTAAATTTCTTTCTTTTAGTATCTATTAATAGTTATCTTAATACATGGTCTATAAAAAGATTTTTAAAAATTCTTCAAGTATTTCCTGCTACGAATAAGCTCTAAAAATGAATCCGACTGTAAGAAGCAAAGCAAAAGTGGAATTTACCAAAGCTAATATTTCAGGAAGCGTAGGGAACTAAATAGAAATTTATTATACCACTTAATCCATTTATAAAGAAATTTATATATAAGGTAAATTAAATGAATTACTAAATGTAGAAATTTACTAATTATAATTTATTGGGCTTGAAATTTATTATTCTGATTGAATAAATAGGCCTTAATAAATTTTTGTTATTTATTACTATGAATATATAGTATTTAATTGGTATTAACTTGAACTTGTGTAGATAAATTTATTCATAAAATTGATTTAATTTTTCTGTGAAGTTGTGTTATATTAGGATGTAAATAGTTTTAAATTTAATCCTGTTGAGCTTCCATCAACTATGCCCTCTATTTCTGTTTGATTAGCACAATTATCTGGTACACTTGTTTTAAAATAATCAGTAACTTAGCATGGATAAATAACCATATAAACAAATGACTAAATATTATCTTTTACACTTTAAATCAAAGTGTAATTTGATAAATTAGAGAAATCTAGGCATTTATATCCTTGGAGCTAAGTGCTTTAACATTAAGTTATGTTTAATTAAATCATTGTAGGATTATTCTAATCAGAATATACAAAATAAGCAATAGGAACAAGATATGTTTTATTCATTTATGCTTCAAATTAATCTAATGTAATATTTGTATTTGTTTGGAATTAAAATGCAAGTAAATCGTTTTAAAGTGAAACCTCAGTCGCTTCATCTGTAACGAAAATTTAAGATCTGAATTTAGGATCAATTTTATTATTTGCAAATTACAAAACTAGATAAATGAAGTAACCAATAACTATTGCTAATATTGAAAGAGATATAAAAGTTCCTATATAAGTTCCTTTTTTCGTATGTTAGTTTACTAAATAAAAACTAAAAGATGACGAAAAAAAATCTAAATTTTTGAGGAAATTCATAGCTAATTTATTTACTTCTACTAACTATCTAACTATCTATCTATTTATTTTTTATATATTTATTTATTGTGTATTTACTTTTTGGTTTTTCTTCTTTCTTTTATTATTATTGTTATTTAAATAATTAATTTTTTATATGAGAATCAAATGCAAATAAATTTTAAAATTATTCATAACTAACTTCTCTAAGAAATATAAAATTTTTAAATGAACTTTCGAATTATATTGGCTGGCATACTGTTTAAAAATAAATTTTGAAAAATGTTATTTTCATTCAAAATTTAAATAAACATTTTGTTTATTTAAAGGATGTTTTATTTTATAAAAATTGATTTACAAAATAGTTGATTAAGTTAATATTTATTTTTTATTTTTCCTTTAATACATTTTTTTTGAAAAATAGATTTATTTTCCAAATTTTAATAATGAAACATAAATAAATAGCTTTTATTCTATTTTTATATATTTAAAACAGTTTTTAACTTAACGATAAAATTTAATTCATTATTGAAATCTTATAAACTAATTAGCTCTCATTCTTTTATTAATTTATCAGATTATATTTTAAACAAACTTCAAAATGAAAGCTTTTACTTTTTAACTAAAATCTTATCCATCTAATTATACATAAATATGAATCATCGATAATGAATGAATGATATAAAAAACTTATAAAAAATAGCTTAACCATAAATTTTACTAATTAATTAATTCAGAATTTTGATTAGTCTTATTTTATAGAATAAAATATCCTTTTACTCACTTTTTAATTATTGTAATTTTTATCAATCTCGCACTTCATAAAAAACTTCTTGGCATATTTACATTGTAAATCACATGAATTCAATATATCTTACTACTTTTCAAAGTGGTTTTTCACTATTTTTTTAATTTTTTTATTATAGCTAATATAATTTTTATAAAATAATTTAAAATACTTTAGTTTTTAAAATCTTATGTTAAGTACTATTAAGAGAATCCTACCAATTAGATAGCAGCTAATTATTTCTTGCTAAGGAGTAACATGACAGATTTCTTTAAAAATAATATATCCTAATATAAATTCTAAACATTTAGATACTTATATATTTATTCTTCAATTAATCTTTTGTATTTTGGAGTTTAATCTTCTTAATATTTGGTTTTCTATTTACTTCTCCATTGTTTCCATATGTCTTTTATTTTTTTAATTTTCTGAAAGAAACTAGTGCTGATTAATTACAATAGTAAAAATGTAAATATAATTATTTGCAATGAATATGTTTAAAATAAAAGAATACCTTTAATTGAAAATATTTTTTTTGGAATATTGAAATATTTTTACATCCTTAATCATTCTCAACTTATTTATAAAGCATTCTAAATTAATCACTTACTTTTCTTTTGTCTTTTAATATAAACAGTTATTTTTTAAGTTATTATTTTTAAATTTTAGATTAATTTAATTTAAATTTTAATGATTTTGAGAATTATTAGTTGGATTGTTTGAATTCTAGAAAATAATTTATTAATTTGAACTTTAGGAGAGAGATGCGTTATTTGGACTTGATAATTATTTTACTTATTAATCATTAACTAAATATTGATTGTCCTATGAATTATCAAAAGCTTGCGCAGCTTAGTTTAATTCACTTGTCTCAATAATTTCATCTTTTTAATAATTTGCATCTTAAGTATTCTATTTGTATGAAGGACTTTATTCTAATATAGATCTAAATTTTGAAGAAAAATTTGGTATAAAAATGGTATCAATAATCTCTTTTTCTTAAACTTCTTCTTCATTTGCTTTTTCTAGCACCTAATCTGGTGTTTTATTGATTTATAACTCATTTTAACAAACTTTATTAGCTTTAAGCATTATTTCATAAGTGTCTTAGTACACATTTTATAAAAATATGTGCAAAAAATCTTGAAATATACCCCTTTAAGAAATCATTCTAAAAATAAAGCCTAAACTAAGAAACAAAGCAAAGGCGCTGTTTGCTAAGGCTAAAATATCTGGGATAATAGGAAATTAAATAGAAATAATTTAAACTATTTAATCCATTTCAAAAATAACTTGCAAGTAAGGAGAATCAAAGTTGTTACTAAAAACACTGTTTTAAGAGTTATAATTGATTGGACCAGAGTATTCATTTTCTGATTGAATAATAAGTCCTTAACTTACTTTTGTTATTTGCTGCTATGCACTTACTCGACTTAAAATGTATTAATCAGATTCAGTGAAAATAAATTTTCTCATATAATTGACCTAGTTTTGTTAAGAACTAATATTGAACTGATGTGTTTGTAACTTCAAATTCAAACCAGCACTCGCTTCATTAACAAAATCTTCTATTTCAGTTTGATTAGCACAGTTATTAGGAGCAGTTGTTTTAAAATCATCTATAAATGAGCAAGGGAAGTAAAAAAGTTAAAACTAAGATCGAACATTATTTCTAACACTTTAAATTAATGTATAATTGCTTATTCCTGAAAAATCTACACAGCTATAGCCTTAAAGTTGAGGATCTTTACATTCAGTTATGTTTAATATAGTTTGAAAATATATATCAGCAGATGAATAGATAAAGAAAGCAATGGGAACGATGTAAGTCTTGTTCATTTGCTATTAATATTAGTCTAAGCTAGTTTAGGAAGCGTATTAGAACTTAAATGCAAACAAATCATTATTGAGGGTGATTTCAGTAGTTTCATCCGTAGTAAACATTTATGATCTAAATTTTGGATCAATCTTATTATTAAAGTATTATAAGACAAGATAAATAAAGTAGCTAATCACTACTGTTAGGATTACTAATGAGATTAGAGCTCCTTAAAAAGTTCCTTTCTTAGTTTATTAATTTCCTATGTAAAAATTGAAGGGTTAGGAAAATAAATCTGCTTTAGAGAAGAGATTCATCGTTTTAACTAATTTTCTTCTACTTAATAATATATTTTTTTATTTTTTTTTTGAAATTAATATTTAAACAAATAATATGCATAAATTGATAATAAATAAATCAAAGAACACTTTTTGAAATTGCATTGAAACTTTTATATTTCTATAATCAAAATTTTAGAAACAGCCAGCTGAAATTTAATAAACTATATAATTGATTGAAATTCAATAAAAACTAAAATATAATTTTAACTCTTTTAATTCAAATTGTAAACTCCAAATAGTAAGGAGAAAAAAAGTAAAACAACTAATTCAATAATATAAAAACAAAAATGGAATAACAAAATTAAAACAGGATATGATAAACCTATTCTCAATATTTTATCCATTACTTAACTATAATTCAATTATTAAATAATTATATATTGCTTATAGAGGTATTGGAATTCCGCTGACTAGATACATACATAATTTCAGCGGAATTTCAATAAGTTTTTATTTAAAAATTGAATTTTTAGTATCCTTCTAGCTTTTTTTATTTTTGTTTATGAGAATTTATCTTACAGATCTACCTTTGATTTTATTAAAAATAAATGCCCATAGCCTTTTATGAAAAACTAATTTTTTTGCTTTAACTACCTTTAATGGGCAAATTTCTGATTCATGATGTAGTCCACATTCTTGACAAGTTTTACTGTATATATTATATTTGATGGATTAATGAAATTGTTCTTTCATGAATATTTAATTTTTATATTATTATAAATAAATTAGCTAAGCTTTATTAATTTTATATTTTAAAAATTTTATAAAATACTCCAAATCTATTTATAATTTGAATAAAATTAAATTTAAGTGTTTGTTATTAAATATATTGTAATTTTTTAATCTTGTGCATTTATTTGAGAAATAAAAAGAATTGATCATATTAATTTTATTTATTTTGATTTATTTATTTTAACAATAAATATATAAATGGACTTTTGCCAAGGCTGGCTTAATCAAATATTAAATTATTTTTATCAAAAACATAAATTAAATGAAATTAATCTGACTGATTTTTTAGCTCTTCTTATTAAAATGGACTCTTAATCTAGTTAGAATTGAGATTATCTATTTAATAATTAATAAAAATTATATGAACACATTTTTATTAAATTGAAATTCAAAACTAAATTATATAAATAAAATTTTATTTTGTACCTAAACCAAAGCGCTAACTTTAATAACTTTTGAAACTTCATTAACTCTCTTCCTATTTATGGTAATTCCTAATTGTTTATGTTATTGAAGCTTTTGGTGTAAAATAAAATAAAATATTTAATTTACATGCTTATTTATTTAAATAAAGTTGAAAGAAATATATATATATAATAAATTTACCCAAATTTCAATGTTAAATCTTTAAGATTTAAGCATTTTTATAAAGCTTATATTAAAATGACTATTCCTTAACTGGTTAGTATATTAGAGCTTTTGTTTTATCAAATAATTTATTCAAAATATATAAAAAATTTAAATAAATTTTACCTCAAAAAAATCTTTAAAGTAGCCAAATCTTTGCAATTATTAAAAGAACTACTTAGATATGATATTCCTCTATCGCTAATCTAATTATTTCTAAAAAATATTTTTACTTCACTTTAAAAAATAAAGCATCAAATATTTTTTAAAAATAAATCAGCTTCTAAATTTTAATTATTATTTTCTAAATGCAAAACGTAATGTTTATAATTTTATATGTATTAAAAAATAGTTATCTATTAGCAAAAAGGCAGAATATTTAATTAAGATAAAAATTAAATTGAAATAATTTATTTTCAGCTTTTAAAATTCTCTATTTAATATAAAAATAGCAACTTTAAAATAAACATTAAAAACTTTATCAAAATGATTTATTTTCATTAAAAAATTGAAAATGAATTGGATATGAATTTATATAATCTTTAAATATTATGTATGCTTTTTAACAATAAGTTTTTAAAAATTTTACTATAATTATAATATGACAGTCTTAAGATTCAAGCAGCTTTCAAAGATTTAACAAAGACAATTGACACCTTCATCTTAAATATTATTATATCTTTTAATGTTTAGCAAAACAATAATTACAAACAATTATTTAATTTTAGACTATTGTGATTTTTATTCTTATTTAGTCAAAAACGATAAAAATATTAAAAAAAGAATCTGATAAATAGATTTATTTATTTATTTATTCGATTATGAATTTTATTAATTGCAGAACATAGTAATAATAAAAAAATACTCTAATCCAATTTATAGGTACTCTAAATTTAAGCAATTTTTCAAGCTTTAACTTAAATTATATGAACCTTTTACCATGAGATTATTTTCCCTTGTTTAACAAAATTTATTAGAATTAATTATTTATTTTAAGAAATTTTGAAAATAATCCAAATAAATTTAATTTAAATATCTACGATAATTGAAGAGTCAACTTTTTAAGATTTTTGAGATTCTCAAACACAGAGTTTATTATTGAAGAATTCTAAAAACAAATTTAGTTTCTACTTTATTTATAATAAAATATCAGAATATGCAAGATACTTAATATTTTAAATAAATATATGAAAACTTTATTTAATTTACCATAAAATAAGTTACAACTACTCTAAAGCTTAACAATTTGATAAACCATTTATCAAATATTCTATTCCTGAAGCAGCTGTATATATCCATCTTTTGATTTAAATTATCATTATAAATTTAGATACTCAGTAACTAACAAATATCATTTCAATAGCAATTTATAATTTCTTATAATTAAAAAATATATTGATTTACGCTAAATTAATTAATAAGCCCTTAATATTTGATAAATTTTGCAAATATTATCCCAATATTTATATACTATTTGAGCATATCTATTTATTTTAACTTTAAGTAAAAAAAGTTTATTAAAAAACTGAACTACTATTAAAAAATGCTATGCTAATTATAATATATCTAAGAAAACATTAATTACTATAACTCTAAAGTTAAATATTAGATGTTTGTACTTTCTTTTAGTGAAGAAGCTAAATCTTAAAAACCTTTATCTCCAATTTAATTATATCTAAACAAACAAATTAAAATTATTTAGTTTTTCAAACTTTAAAAAATAAAATCATATAATATATTTAATAGTTTTATCAAATTTTACTAAAGTTAGAGAGATATATCTTGTAATTTTACACAATTTTTCAAGCAAATAGCTAAACCTGATACTCCTTTATCACCTAAATTATTTTTACTTTAAAAATATTAGAAAAAAAATTAAATTGCTATTTTAATTTCAAAAATTGCATTAAATATACATAATAAATTAAATAAACTTAATAAAATTACATTAAATTAAGTTTTAAACCTTCCAGGTTTTTATTATTCGATATCGCTAATGAAAAATCATAAATTCCTTAATCTCCAGCATAGTTTTACCTTTTAATGTTCGTACAAAGAAATTAAATTAAATACAAAATATATTTTTTAATTTCCAAATTTTTATTCAAAATAAAAACGTATTTATTTATTTATTTTGTTTACTTTTAATTATTTATTTGATAAATAAATGTAAAAATACTAAAAAATTTTCTTAGGATTCAAGTAAATATTTAAAATGTATCTGAATAGTTTAGATAATAATGCTAAAAATAATAAATTAACTAATTAATCCTCTGATTTAATTAATATCCTTTATTTTAAAAGCTTAAGTAAGTAAACCATATAAATTAATATTTTACTCTAATATTAAAGTTAGTCTCTTCAAGTTTTGGTATTAACCTAACTCAGTACCTAAATTTCTTATTCCTTATTCTCCTATTTAATTATGGCTAACAAAAAATTTTTTAGTTTTTGTGAAATGTTTTTGGTTCAAATACGTTAAATCTATTGATAAAGTGGTAAGATTGATAACATTTTTCAATCCAGTTCCTAAAATCTAAGCACCGTCATTTCTTAAACTATTTCTGCTAATTTTAATTAAAATGACCAAATAATGAAAATTGTTAATAAAACAATTGAAATATATAGAGAGAAATTAATTTTAATTATTCTAAATAAATAAATAATTGATAATATTTATATAAAATTACCACAAATCAATATTTAACTAAGTAAGTTTACTGCATTTTTGGATTCCATCACATAACTTTTATGTGCCATTTGTTTTGAACTAACAATTTCTATTTTTCAAATAATAAATATTTACTAATTATTCATTTATTTTAAAGAAAGCAAAATGAATTTATTCTGAAATACTAATTAAGTAAGGCAGGTTGGCTTTTATTTTATTGTTTTCCTAAAAAATTAATAATATTTACTGTAAATTTATAGTTAAATCAGTTAAGTTTTCACATTTTGATAATCCTATTCCCAAACGTGAATTAGCACCAATCATGTATCTTCTATTATAATAATTAGTTTATCTTACAATTTTGAATATCTTTATAAATCAGATTGAGTTTCTTGGGAAAAGTGAAATTTAATTTATTTACCTTAGATCGAAAATAAGTATGTTGTGCTATTAAAAGCATGAACTATTAAACTTTTTATATGAAAAAATAAATTAATCTTGAAAAACAAATAATTAATTAGGTATCACCTTTTTTAATTTGTAATATGTTTTTTATTTTACTTAATTCATTTTATTTTTTTAATTTCAAAAATTTAATCTCACAATTGAATAATTTTTTCAATTAATTTTTGGTTTATACGTTTATACTCCACATACATGCATCTAATTAATAATTATTTGATATATTAAAATAAATTTTTCCTCTATAGATAATCTTTAATCATTCATTACCTCTTATTTTATCTTAATATCTATTTATTTTTTTATTGATTCAATTACTATTAATATCCATCAATTTTCTACAAAATACACCAATTTTATTAAAAATGAATAATAAATAAATAAATCAATTATCGTAAAAATCTACAAATAAAGATTTGGCGATATTTAATGAGGGAAAATTGAAAAAAATAAAAAGTTTAATGCTTAAAATTGATAAATTATTTTTTATCAAATAATTTTTAGCTTTAATTCTCACTAACTAAAAACTTCAGAATTTTCAAATTATTCCATAAGAATGTTTTGATTTTAGTGACGGATCGGTGTGAATTAATGAGATTTAAGTAATTAAAATAGTTTAAATAAAAATATGGGGATGATAGATTAGACACATTTAATATTTCAAAATTTCTATAGAAATGGAATTAGATTTTTCTATATTTATATTTTTAATAACAAAGATATATATTTGGTTTTATTTATTTATATTTAATTTATTAAAAATTTTTTTTTTTAGTCAATATAAAATTTTAAATAAAATGAAGAATAAGCACATTTTGTTGAACGAATATTAATTAATTAATTTTCATTATTTTATTTCTTAATTGTAATTGATTATAGATAATATCCTATGATTAATATCTATTTCACTAAAATTATCATTTTAGGATTTCTAAAAAAATTTTTTGATATATTTGCATTGCAAATCACAAGAATCTAGAATATTTTACTGTTCTTCTAAGTAGTTTTTGTACTTACATTTTGCTTGTATTAAAAAAAATAAATTTTATATAAATTAAAAAAGAATTTACTTTATTTTATATTTTTAAATGAACTGCTTTCATATCTTAAATATTAAGATGAATACCCTGCTAGCTAAATTGCAGCTAACTGCTCTTTACTTAAGAGGATCATAATGGATTTTTTAATAAAGAGCATATCTTTAATAAAATCTAAGATATTAAGTTACTCAGTAACTTATTATTCTATTACTCTCTTATTTATTTAAAACTAGTTTATTTCATCTTGAACTATTTTCTTTTTTTATTTACACAATCTAATTTTTTTCCATAATTATTTCATTAATGACAATAACTTGGTTCTCCTATTTAAAATTAGTGTTATTAATTTTTTATCTAATATCTTGTTTAAAATTAAATACCTTTATTCAAAAATAACTTTCTTTGCTTTCTACAATATTTCTTTATCTTTTATATATCTTAGCTAAATAGAAATATTCTCAGGACTGGTTGTAAGTTTAATTTAATTTTTTTGCTCTCTTGATATTTCTTACAATTTTATAGAATTTGTGTCCTTTATACTAAAATTTTTTCCATCACCAAATTTTTGTTTTTTAAATAGAGATGATTTAATTTAACTTTAGTTTTATTATGATTTTTTTTAATTGGAATATGTTTTACTTTGATCACATTATTACCTTATCTTTCTATTTTAAGTCAAGTTAAATTTTTACAAAGAATTTTCAATAGAAGAATTTTAACTTTCACTATTGAAATTATATTCAATGGTTTCTTTAACTTATACTTTTTGATTTTTGAAATTCGAACTATTGTTTTTTAATGAATTTTATTTTAAAAATCCAATAAACTTTGAAGAAAATTAAGGTAATTAAGAATCATTTGTTGATTATTTTTCAAATAAATTAATTTCATCTTGTTGTTGTTAATCTTCTTAAGTTTACATTTATTCATTTTAAAACTTCTATTCAAACAAACTATTTTTCTTCAATGTCTCTTAATATGTATCTTAATATATATTTTATAGAAAGACACAGAAAAAATCTTTAAGTATCTCATTTTAAGCTATACCTCTAAAAATAAATCCTATAGTAAGAAGTAAAGCAAAAGTAGAATTGACTAAGGCTAAAATTTCAGGAATAGTAGGGAATTAAATAGATATTTCTTATACAATTTAATCCATTTACAATATAATCTATATGTAAGGTAAATTAAATTTATTGCTGAATACATTATTTTCTAGATTATAGTTAATAGGACCAGAATATTATGAATCTGACTGAATAATAAAACCTTAACTAACTTTAGTTCTTTATTATTATATATTTAAAGTGTTTAAGACATATTAATCTGAATCTGTAAAAATAAATTTATTCATATAATTAACTTAGTTTTTTTATGAAGTTATATTAAATTACGAAATATACAGCTTTAAATTTAATCCTGCTGCATTTAAATCCACCAAATTTTCTATTTCAGTTTAATTAGCACAATTATCTGGCATAGTTGTTTTAAAAGCATCAACAACAGGGCATGGATAAAAAAACAAATATATTTAAGAATAATAATTTTATTTCCCATCTAAAATCAAGCTGTAATTAGATAAGTTAGAGAAATCAATGCATTTATATCCTTAAAGTTTAACACTTGAACATTCTGTGAAGTTGAGCGAGATATAGGTATTATCATTTTGATTAGGATAAAGAAAAAATGCAATTGGAACTAGATAAGTTTTATTATTTTGTTTTTAAAGTGTATCTAACGAATTAAATGCATCTACCTAGTATTGGAAAGCTAATAAGTCATTTCGAAGAGATATTTCAGTTGGTTCATCTGTGACAAAAATTTAAGATCTAAACTTCGGATCAATTTAGTTATTAAGGAACTATAGAATGAGATATATGAAATAACTAAGCACTACTACTAAGATTGATAGTGATACTAGCGCTCCTTAAAATGTCCCTCTTTTATTTTATTTGTTTGTTAAGTAAAAATTAAAATTGGATGAAAAAAAATCAAATTTTATCAGATAATTCATTATGGACTTATAATTATTTACTTATTTCTACTTTCAATCAATCAATTAATTATTAATTTAATGTCTTAACTTTTATTTTGCATCTAACGCTTTTTTTTCTTATAAAATTAATTTTAAACAACTTTTTAAGTAAATTTAATAGAAATTTTAAGTGCACACTAATTTTTATCTTTATAAAAATATAAAAATCAGAACTTTTAATCACAAAAGAAAGTGTGACTTATGAAATAATTTTAAATGTTATTTATTGTTTTTTGCTAATGATAAATATAATTTAAATACCCCATTAGATTTGAATAAAAAAGTATATAAATTGTAAAAAAAAATAAGAAAAAGAATTAAAAAGAGTTATTATTAATTTTTTAATATGTTAATTAATATGCTTGCTATTGATTATCTTATTTTTGTTTGTTTTCTAATGATAAAGGTACTTAAAGCTATGTTACTGATAATGTCTTCAAATAATATTTTACTAAAAAATATAAATATTCTGGTGTTACTTAATATAAGACAATAAAAGAAATATTGAGAACATTTTTCAATTAATATTTATCTATTAAATTGATTTGGTTATACGATTGATTATTAAATAGACTTATCCTAACCAAACTAAAATTCAACAACCTTCATTATTTTTTCAAATGAAAAATTAAAATATCTATCCTTTAGTAGGTATTATTTTAAATTGTCTATAATTAAAATAAAAGTATCTTAATTTATGCAAAATAAATTCTGTATTGTCTATGATAGTATTCACTATAATACTGAAGAAAAATAACTTTATCGTAGCCTATTCCATTATTTTTAAATTATTGTTTTAATACAGTAATTATATTAAAAAATTTACTTTGATTTCTTTTGAATACTAAATTTCCTTTTCTTTAATCTGAAAATCGATGTACCGTTATCCCTCTAAGTTAAGCCGAAATCTAAATTAAGCCTAAATTTTGAAGAAAAAATTATTTTTATAAAATTAGTTTTTAAAATTAATTAATTAGATAATAATTAATAAGCATCTATGGTATATAAGATCATTTTACCTTTCAAAAATTTATAAAATGAAAAAGGATAGTTGAATTAAAACTTTTTGTAAGAAATAAATAAATAAATAAATATTTAGATAGATTTTACTTCATATATATTTTTAATAAAAATGATATTTTATTTCATTTGTATTTATAATTTATTAGAAATTTTTTATTTTTAGTCAATATAAAATTAATTTAATTAATTTTCTTTTTAATTTTTATAAATTAAATTTTTGAAATATTTAAATAAAATATAACTAACACACACATTTTTGTTTTAACGAAATATTAATTTTCATTATTTTATTTTTTAATTATAATTCATTGTAGATAATATCCTATGATTAATATCTAATTCACTAAAATTGCCATTTTAGGATTTCTAAAAAAACTTTTTGATATATTTGCATTGTAAATCACAAGAATCTAGGATATTTTACTGCTCTTCTAAGTAGTTTTTGTGCCTAAATTTTGCTATATCAAAAAAATAAATTTTATGTAAATTAAAATAGAATTTACTTTATTTTGTGTTTTTAAATGAACTGCTTTCATATCTTAAATATTATGATGAATACCCTGCTAGCTAAATTGCAGCTAATTGCTCTTTGCTTAAGAGAATCATGATAGATTTTTTAATAAAGAGTATATCTTTTATTAAATCTAAGATATTAAGTTACTCACTTACTTATTATTCTATTACTCTCTTCTTTATTTAAAATTAGTTTTTTTCATCTTGAACTATTTTCTTTTTTTTCATACATAATCTTATTTTATTCCATAACTATTTCACTAATGACCATATCTTAGTTTTCCTATTTAAAATTAGTTTAATTAAAATTTTTAACTTTTTTCTTGATTAAAAATTGTATACCTCTTTTCAAAAATAATTCTTTTGGCTTTCTACATTATATCTTTATCTTTTATGTTTCTTAGCTAAATAGAAATATCCTCAGGACTGCTTGCAAGTTTAATTTAATTTTTTTACTCTCCTAATATTTCTTTAAATTTTATAGAATTTCCATTTTTTAAACTTAAATTTTTTCCTTCACTAAATTTTCGTTTTTAGAGTTCAGGTGATTTAATTTAACTTAAGCTTAATTATGTTTTATTTTAACTGTAAAAAGTTTTACTTGGATCACATTATTACCTTATCTTTTTATTTTAAGTCAAGGTAAATTTTTATAAAGAATTTTCGATAGAAGAAATTTAACTCTCATTATTGAAATTACATTCAATGGTTTCTTTAACTTCATCTTTTTAATTTATGATATTTGAGCTATTAATATGTTTTAATGTATTTTATTTTAAAAAACTAATAAACTTTGAAGAAAATTAAGGTAATTAAGAATTATTTGTTGATTATTTTTCAAATAAATTAATCTCATCTTGTTATTGCTAATCTTCTTCAGTTTGTATTTATTAGTTTTAAATTTTCTATTCAAACAAATTATTTTTTTTCAATGCCTCTTGATATGTATCTTAATATATATTTTATAGAAAGATGCAGAAAAAATCTTTAAGTATTTCTTTTTAAGCCACACTTCTAAAAATAAATCCTAAAGTAAGAAACAGAGCAAAAGTAGAATTAACCAAGGCTAAAATTTCAGGAAGAGTAGGGTATTAAATAGATATTTCTTATACAACTTAATCCATTTACAATGTTATCTATATGTAAGGTTAATTAAATTTATTACCAAATATATTATTTTATTGATTATAGTTAATAGGACCAGAATATTATGATTCTGATTAAATAATAAGACCTTTGCTTACTTTTGTTTTTTGCTATTATATATTTAAAGTGTTTAAAACATAAAAATTTGATTCTGTAAAAATATATTTATTCATATAATTGACTTAGTTTTGTTATGAAGTTATATTAAATTAGGAGGTTTAAAGCTTTAAATTTAATCCTGCCGCATCTCTATTCACCAAATTTTCTATTTCAGTTTAATTAGCACAGTTATCTGGCATAGTTGTTTTAAAATCATCAATAACAGGACAAGGGTAAAAAAGCAAATATATTTAAGAATAATTATTTTATTTCCCATCTAAAATCAAGCTATAATTAGATACGTTAGAAAAATCAAGGCATTTATATCCTTAAAGATTAGCACTTGAACATTCAGTGAAGTTGAGTTAAATATGCATATTATTATTTTGATTAGGATAAATCAAAAATGCTATTGGAACCAGATAAGTTTTATTATTTTATGCTTAAAATGTATCTAAAGAATATTATGTATCTACCTAGTAATAGAAAGCTAATAAGTCACTTCGAAGAGATATTTCAGTTGGCTCATCTGTGACAAAAATCTAAGATCTAAACTTCGGATCAATTTAGTTATTAAAGAACTGAAGAATGAGATATATGAAATAACTAAGCACTACTACTAAGATCGAAAGTGATATTAGTGCTCCTTAAAATGTCCCTCTTTTATTTTATTTGTTTGTCAAGTAAAAATTAAAATGGGATGAAAAAAAATCAAATTTTATGAGATAATTCATTATGGGCCTATATTTATTTATTTCTACTTTCAATCAATTAATTAATTATTAAATTAATGGTCTAACTTTTGTTTTAGATCTAACACTTTATCTTCTTCTAAAATTAATGTTAAACAACTTAATAAGGAAATTTCAATAGTAATTTTCAGTGTGCACTGAAATTTCACTTTTTAAAAATATAGAAATTTGACTAATGAAATATTTTTAAATATTATTTATTGTTTCTGATTAGTAAAATAATTTAAATACTTCCATTTAATTGAATGATAAAATTACACTAAAATAAAATTAATATATATTATACAGAAGGTCTAAGTTAAGTAAGATGTTTCTCTTCTAATTTAGGAAAATTCTTTAATAAAGCAATTATTTTTACGTTTTCTTTATTCAATCAAATATGTAAAATATATTTTATTACTAATTTTTTCATTTACTTGTAAAAAAAACATTTTTTATTTGTATTTTTATGAAAAATGTTAAACCATTTATATTTTTTTGTTATATTTCACTTAAGGTGTCAGACAGACAAACCCCTATTTTAAAAAACATTGATTGATAAAATAATTTTTTTCAAATAAAATTAAATTTTTTCCTTCTCTAATTTAATAATTTAAGAGATCCCCCTTTTTTTAAGTTGTTTGCTATTAAAATAATAATATTTCAAAAAATAAAGCTAAATATTTAAACTTGTGAACAATGTCTATATATAAGTTAAGTAGTCAATTTTAAATTAATTTTACAATAAAATTTTAAAAAATAACACAATATTTTTAAGAGAATATCTATTTTAAATCTTATTAGTTAACAATAATATTAATCATTAATAAAATCTTTTAAAACAAATTAGAAATCTTTAAAATTTCTTAATATTCTAATTTATAAATATAATGATGAAAATAAATATACACAAAATCACAGTTCATAAATTATAATATATATAATATAGTTAGTTTATATGATAAAAATTTTGGTGATTTAGTTTTATATATTCTAGAATGCTATTTAATTAATTAATTGATTATAGAATTTATTCAAATTAAATTGCTAAATTTATTTTTGTAACAAGAATAAACTTTTTAAAAAACAAACTAAAAATCAATTTAATATTTTTTTATTTCACAGTTTTTTTTATGAAATTCAATACATATAAGGAATTGGTTATTTTTTGAAGATATTTATTTTATTAATTTATTTATTGATTTCATTAAAATAAATAATCTAAATCAAAATAATCTGAGATATTTTATTTACTTATTTAGTTATTATAAAAAATAATTTCTATATTTTATTTTATCCTAGAGATAAAATCAGATAATTGATTATCATTATGGTTAAAATCAGGTATTTCTTATTATTCTATTAATTTGTCAAGTATTTGCTTATATATTATAGCAGCTTTAGTAGGATCATCCATAATCTTTAGTATCTCGCAAATTCTAAAACTTAATGCATGTCTATCTTTAAAATTAGAGATTTTTATCCTAGATAAAACCTCTTCTGCTTAAAAGTAAGCTTATAAAGCATCATCTACTAAATGGATATTACCTAAATTATTTTCTGCAATATATCTATAGCAATCACCTCTAATACTATAGCAGTAGTATCTCTATAAATCAGACTATTTAAAATTATTTATAAATTATTATTTTTGTTACTAAAATAAAAAAAAGATTTTTCTTTTTAAGTTTTTAATTAAATAAAAATATTTTTTGAAGTAAAAATTTTGTTAAGTTTATTTTATAAGAAAAAACAATTAATTAATTAATGATGTCAAGATTATTCAAATTATCTTTTTATTTATTTTAATTTTTAGATAATTTGCTTAATGATTTTAATAAAAAAATAATCAGTTTATTTCTTACAATATTTTTATTCATAAGCAGTCTTTCAATTGTTTGTATCATCTCTTCGCTTTCACTAATAATGTTAAGTTTATAATTGTTTATGATATTCTATAAAAAATTTTATCCCAATTTTTCATATTAATAATAATCCAAATTTTTTTGTTCCATCTTTTTAATAGGTTGTATTTTTGAACAAAAATAAAAACTAAGCGCTTTATCAAATAATTTATATTCTTCTTCACAAAGCTATTCATTATGCATTGAAAGTAGCTTTACTATCTCAAGTACCTCATCATATCTTTCTAATCTTGAAGATAACTTTAGTGCATATGCAAGTTCTTCTCTTGAAAGTTAATGAATCTTGAATTAAAAATGATTCAAATTATTATCCATTTTGTTTATTTTATTTTTTTCTTTAACTTTATTTAATTTTATTTTAAATATTTGATAATTAAGATTTGATTTCATATTGTTTTAAATTTAATATAAAAATAATTTGTTCTCAAAAAAAATTGGATGATACTTTCTTATTTCTATTAATATTATAAAAGAATTTACATTCTTTTATTATTACAAGAATGAAATTAATATCTCAACCAGCTAAAAAATGTTAGTTGTATATTTTAATGAAAGTGTTTATATTTATATTATATACCACTTAAAATTTCAATTTTTAAGCAAATAAAGATTGATTGGTTCATTAAAATTTTGGTGTTTTAAATTATTAAAAAATAAAGGGCTTTGTAAAAAATAGTGATTCACTTCACTAGATATTAAGGCATTTAGCTTTATAATATTAAAGATTTCAATTATTGTTTTTTTTAATTTATTTTTTCTAATTTTTAATAAAAAATCAATGACAATATTATATTCCTTTTTTTAAAAACTCAATGTATCATTAAGCTAATTAATTAATTAATTAATTAACAAGCAATAAATTTATAATTATAAATCTACTTTTTCAAAAGCTTAAAATTTTACTTTTAAAAATAATTTTCTTTGTAATAATAAATAAAAAAAATATTAAATTATTTAAACTTTAAACTAAAATTTTAAGTAAATTAATTTTAAATATAAGAAAGTAAATTTTGTTTATAAGTAATTTATTTATTTATTTATTTATAATTTAATTTGTTAATTATTACAGCAGCAAGAAATATTAAAGAAATAAATTTGTTGATAGTTAGTTAATGGATAAATTTCATAAAAACTTTATTTACTAAGTGAATATAGAAGAAAATGAAGATTAATTTAATTAAAATACGCTGTATTTTTCTTAATAACTAACAAAAACTTTGCAAAGTGAAAATGAAAATCAAAGTTCAATTGAAAACGAATCTAATTTTTAATTTAGAGAAAGAATGTAGCATCCATTTATAGTAAGAATCAATAATTAGCAGTAGAACTAAAACTAAGGGGATTAGTCAAACTCTTTGAAAAATTTTCCTTCATCGCTTAAAATGAGTTAGAAAAAAATTAGTCTAAAAAAATTATCAGATACAAATAGAGGAAATAACAACCATCTGCCTATTTATCAAAATACTCAACAAGGTTTACTATTTATTTTAATATACATTATCAATCTAGAGTTTACACAAAGTTTTTTTCAATTAAGCAAAAAAAAACGCTTTTAACATTTTTATAACTTTAAAAATGAATTAAATTTCATATTTATTTTAACAATAAAGTATTTTAAATTAATTAAATAGCTTGATTTTTAATATTTAAAATGAGGAATTTATGATTTGTATATCATTTTTAGTTACTTCTACTTTGATGATTTTTGTTTGATTTTAACAAAGCACTCAAAATAAATAATTGCTTTATAACATTATAAAAAATTAATATTTTTTGCATCGTTTTATATATTTATTTATCGATTATGTTTATACTAAATTTTATTTGATTTATATAAAGAAGGTAACACAACAGATAGCTTTATTTAAAATAAAAGTGATTTTTAATAAAAAATAGATTGCAATTAAAATTTTCTTTGTGATCTTGACGAGTCTAATACAAATTATTCTAATACTTAACATTAATCTTAACAAGCTAATAGTATAAAGCGTTAGAAGAGTTTTTCTATCTAAAAGTTTAATATTTTGAAAGCAAATCAATTCGATTTTAAGAAGAAAAAAAAACTATCTCTAAATGATATTCAAAATGAATAAAAAAATAAATCTAAACCTGAAAATATTCAGGGAACTAATTTTATAGAAAATGAATAAAAGAACTTTAAAAAAAGGAATAATCTTGTGTTTATGGATTATTAAACTTAAAAAAATATATGGAGGACAAAGTGGATTTAAATCACATCTTTGATAAGTAAAATGAAAAAAATAGCTCATAATAGCTCTCTATTTTTTAGGCCAAACGAACTAAGTGAGTTATAAATTAGACTTATTGATGATGTATCTAGTAACTAAATTTCTTTAAAGTTTTCTAGTTTTTCAAAGTATAAGTTAGGATCTGTGTTTTCTTATGAAAACCTTCAAAACATAATTTCATTTAAAAATTATAGAAAAATGGTAAAGCTAATAATGAAATACTTTGGATGCATTATTAAAGCATATAAATGCATCAAAAAAATAATTAGGAGTTAAGGGATAAAAGTGTTAAATAAGTTACCTCTTTTCCATAACCTCTCTTTCTTATATATATTGTGGGAGTTTATTATTTGCATATCCTCTTCCATTCTGTTTATTTACATTCCTTTTGAATACTCTTTTTCCTTGGGGAGAAATTAATTCTTTGACTTTTATATGAAATACTATAGCTAAATTATTTTTGGATTAGATATCTTCATCAAGTTCAACACGAAATCAACAGAATAAGGTACATTCACAGATCAACATTTATAGATTTTCTCAAATTACTTCAAGTCTTCCTTTATAGTTGATTTACTTAGTTTGCTGAGCCTAAACTACAACTTCTTAGCAATCGATTTTATTCAATTTTTTTTCTTTCTCAGAATATTTTCATCTTTCAGGATTTTAGAAATAATAAAAGAGTAATTCTTGCTAAAAATGAAAATGTTTGGTAAAATTTATTTATTTATTTTTATTAATTTGCTAATACCGTATATTCTTGGCACCAAAAACTCCAAAAAAGAGGTTTTTTATATAAAAAGTGCAAAAAGTGCCAAAATTTTTTATCTAAAAAAATAGCTTACTAATTTAAATATTTTTTAATTTTTCTTCATTAATCTTACAAAAATAAATAAATAAATATTATTTATTTTAATGTAAATATTATTTATTTTAATGATAATGAATTTTTAGAAAATGTGGCGAGAATTAATGAGCATTTATAGCATTTAATTTGTTATTGTTTTAAAAACTAAAAATAAAATAAAATTATGATTAAGTTAACAATAATATTAACTTAGGTATAATATCACTTCTGTATCTCTTAGGATAAGTTATATATTTTGGTCACTTATTTACATGTCTATGGAATTACATAGGACTTTTGTAGCTGTAGGAAAATTAAGGATGGATGGTATTCTATTAATTTTAAAACTAATCCATAGCAAGTCGATATATCTAAATCTTTTACTATGCTACAGTTACTATGACTACAATAGGATACGGAGATTTCACTGCATAAACTTAACTAGAAAAATTACTTATGATCTTTATTGCTTTCTTTTCTTGTGGTATTTTTGGATACACTATTAATTCTATAGGTAAATTAATAACTCAATTAAATTATATTCTTCTTTTTATAATAAATTAATTAATTAATTTACTTATTTATTTATTTATTTATTAAGGTAATATTTTGTACGATTTCAAACAGAAAAAGGATCTTTATCTTTAAGAACTAGCAAAAATAAACAAATACTTTAAATAGAATAATGTAGAGCTTGGGCTACAATGTAGGGCTAGAAAATATATTCAATATTAATATAGCGATGAAAATAGTGACAATATAAGTTCTATAAAATCGCTTTCAAATTTATCAGAGTACCTATAAAAGGAAATATAAACAGATGTCTACATCAGGAAGTTAAAAAAAATAAAAGTGTTTTCGGAAATATTCACAGATGAAGTTTTAGTTGAGCTTTCACTTTAAATGAAAGAAGCATTTTATTGCCATGATTAAATAATATAATAAAATGAAGAAGAAAGTGATTAATATCTTTATTTTGTCAATAATGGAATCATTTTAGAGTACTGTTAGTACCAATAAAATACAGTAGTTAAAGAAATACAAGTAACTAACTATTCATTCATAAGATTTAGTTTGGTTGTTCAAAAATTATATATTCATTCATTCCTTTATTTAAATTAAAGGAATACAGACAGGGAGAGTTTTTTGGTTTGTTGGCATTTTTATAAGGGGATAATAGTAGGAAAGTCAAGTACAAAAGTGTTGGAGTTTCTTCTATATTAAAAATAAGCTTTAGTAGCTTTATAAACGTCTTAAAAGATCACAATCTTGCTTACTAAAAATTTTGCTTCATTAGAGATGAAGTAAAATTTTCTAACAAACTGATAAAAATAAATGCTTATTGCGATTCTTGTTAGCAATAGAATCATGTACTTGAATAATGCCCTTATCTATTCTATGAAGGTAAAAAATAGGTGATATTGAGGAATTATTTTAGACAATAGGATAATATTTATAAAAATTTTCGAAGATAATCAACAACAAAATCATAGAATGCTCTATTAAATTAAAATCTAATTTCCAAGTAAGCGGATAGATATTACATTTCAAATATAGAGTTTTTTTCTATGTGGGATTTGACAGATGATTCAGGCTATGAAAATGATGACGATCTTAAAAATTTCTCCTAATAAAATTCTTCCAAATTAGGCATTGAAAAACAAAAAACTAATTAAGAGGGATCTACTGATAAAAATATGAGTTCAAGCAGTAAAAGGGAATCTTTTTTCCCTTCCGAACAGCACAAAGAATTATCTGTATAGTGTTTAAGTGAAAAATAAATTATTTTTTAAGAAATCGAAAAAAATCATAGTTCCTCAAGTAAATAAAAATTAATTAATTTTACATTTGTCAATAATTAATTAATTTTTTATAAATTAAAATAGAATTTTAAGAAATTTATTCTGGTGAAATTCCTACAGAATAACAAGGAAGATATTTAAACTTGATTAAAAATATAGACATTTTGTACAGGTAATTTTTCTTAAAATCATTTGTTATTTATTTATTTATTTGTTCAAGTTGAATAATTTCCAAATATAAGTTTATGATAAATAACGAATGCTATTATTGGCATTAGCAATACCTGAAATTTTATAAATTATTAAATAGGTCTTAAAACCACAATTTTAATAGTTGCTAAAATTAAAATTGTGTGTAATGCAATTAACAAATTCAACTACTATATAATTTGTTGGAAAAAAATACTGCCAAGTAAGAGCGAAATAGTAAACTTTCTAATCCTTTTAAAAACTTAGTAGCTGATAATAATAAACATAAAAATAGCTCAATATTTTGTTACAAAGAAAAAAATGAAACAGATTTTAATTAATAAAGCAAAAAATTTAGCCAAAACTAGCAGAAAATATAAAAACAAAACAGCTTTATTGACATTCATTAAAAAATTAGTGAAATTGAAAAACTTCTTAAAAAAAACTCAATCAAATCAGTTACAATTTAATAATAAGATTAACTATTCTACTATGATTTCGATTCACCATAAGATTTTATACTTTACTATCCATATGGAAACGTAGAAAACATTATCAAATAAATCAATTCTATAATTTAGAGTAATAATTGATTATCAATTAATTATCTATTTCCTTAATTTATTTACTTTAATTTTATAAACATAGAAATTAATTTAATCACATTTTAAATTATTTTTACAAAAAGTACTTATTATTATCAAATAAAAGTAAGTGAACAAACATAAATTAATTTTTAAATTATAATAATTTATTTGTTCTCTGCGTTTGAAGTTATTTATTTTGGTAAATAAATTAATTAACTTTAGAAAATAATAATCAGGTTAAATAATAAATTTAGTCTTATGAATTAGTTGATTTTGTATTTTATTTTTAATGTTTGTTTATTTTATATTAAATTAAATAATTACAATTTGATTGTTTATAATTAAATTATTTTAGATTGAAAACCAAATAATTTTTTTCATTTTGTAAATAATCTATTTTAAGGAGTGAGGGTAAAATAAATCAGAACCTATGTAGATTTAGTGTGGAAATATAAATATAGCAAACCATTAAGGTTTATGATAAAATTCTTTCATACCTTCATTCATTAATAAATTAAATTAATAAAACAAATAATAATTTATGGTTTCTAGCAGCTATTAAAAATACATAAAAAATTAAATGCATCTATGCATTAAGAATTTATTGGCCTTAATTTAATTTAGATTTAACAAAAAATTTAATACTTTTAGTTATTTATTAATATTTTTTTGTTGAGATAAAATGTGTAAATTGTTTTAAAAAATATTATTAAAAAATTCTAATATTTTTTAAACACAAATAAATAAATAAACAAACAAACAAACAAAAGTACAAAAAATATTTCAAATTATTTTTTGTTTTTCTGATTAATTTCAATCATAAAGTGTTAATTACAAAGAAGAGAGCAATCTTTCATCTACTATGCTCATATTTTGTTATTTTTAGCATTTTTATAAAAATTGTTAAATATAATAGGCTTGTATTTCGTTTGATTATTGTAAATTAAACTGCTCTTCGAAATAATTTTAGTCTCTTTATTTAATTTCTATAAATTAATTTAAAAGAAATTTATAAAAAATAATTTAAGTAAAATATTTGATTTACTTGGTGAAAATATGTCTCTCTTAGAATTTAGATCTGTTAATGATCTAGCTTAATTATCCGAAAAACCAACTAACTGTAAGGCTGCCAGTTGCTCTTTACTTAAAAGGATGAATATAGCTTTCTTTAACATAAGAATGTCTTTGTAAATCTTAAAATAGTCTAAACTATCATTTACTTATTCTTCTATGTCATGTATCATTTATTTACTTAATCCTTAAGATTCTAAAAATTTTCTTTTCCTGCATAGCCTATGAAATAAAAATTTTATGGATCAAAAAATGTTTATTTAATTTATTGCTTTTCATTTATTATTTTTTATTGTAAATCATTAAATGATTGTGATTGCATAGCTAAAAGAATATATTTGCAATAGTTATGATTTTTATAACATATTTATTTTATAAGAATAATAATAAAGCAAAAATTTACCTTATTTTGAATAGAAAGCTTTGTACCTTCTGAGAAATCAGCTTTTGGCTTAGAGCGTTTATTTTTTTACTTATTTCTTATAAGAAACTTTAATCTTTTGAAGCGCCTGCTTCAGTTTAATTAGTTTAATTGCATTAATATGTTTTTTATTATATTTCTTATAAAGTTGTACTTTTCTGCTATTGTCTAAAATAATTAAAAGAAGAACAAACATCTGTTGTTGTTTAGTTTGAATTAAACAAATTGATTTTGAATTAATTCTTTTACTGAACCATCTATTTTGTACTCTTATTTGTGATAGAATTTATTCTTTTTTTATAATTTAATCTGGCACTTTAAATCCTATTGGTATATTCTTTCCTTTTTAATTCTATTCTTTGCTCTAAAGAAGTACAGAGAGAATTTTAATCTTAACTAGACTGTTACTCTTCACTTACTAAATCATTATTTATTGTAAATAAAGTATGAGCAAGCTTAGGAGAAGTAAATGGAATAAATATAGGACTAGATTTTTCAGATATTTTATCATCATCATTCTCTTCTTTCTTTTAAGTTTGTTCTACCTTTTTTGCTGTTTAAATTTGTTTAAGCCTAGCATCTAAATTTACTAATTTGTTTAATTTTAATATTTTAGAATAAGTTTCCTAATAAATATTTTGTAAAATGAGGATAAACATCTCTTAAAGAATCATGTTTTGAGTTATTTTTCTTGCAAAGAAACCTAAAATCATCATAAAGCTAAAAGCACTATTGCAAAGAGCCAAGATATCAGCTAAGGTAGGATATTAAACACTAAAAAGTTAAGTATTTTCGTCAAGGCTTATGTAAATTTTAAAAATCAGATTATTTCCGGTTTGTTGAATATAACTAATTTTATCTAAAGTTTGTTGTGTGAAACTGTGTGATATTGGGCCAGAAAATGTTTCCTAATTCTGAATTAAAAAACCTGATTTTACTGTGGTTATTTGCTTAGTTGTTTAAATTGAACCTATTCCTACTTTATCAATAAGATTATGCATATATTAATTTCTATAATTTGTTTACAACTTTTTAGATGTTGTATTAAATTATTAGGCCTTTAATCTTATATTTTGTTATCCATACTTTATGGCATTATCTATTTCACTAGAGTTTGCACAATTACTTGGTATAAAAGTTTTTATTGGATCAGTGTCTTAGCATCTGTAAGCTGCGATAATTAAGTAAGATTTAACATTTAGTCTATTGTCCATACTTAATGAAATATTTTAATAATTATCAAAATTAATGCAATCATAACCATCCAAAAGTGTATTTTTACATTTTGTAAAATTTAGAGGTAAAACGTTGTAACTTGTTGCATTTGATTATATCAAAAGAGGTATAAATACTAGATATGTCTTATTTTACTGAGCTTCTATTTCGCTTAAACTTTAATATTTACCATTCTTGTAATTGTAAGAAAACTGAAACCCAACAAAATCATTATCTAAAGTTAAGTCTATGGCATCATTTGTAACAAAACTTTGCATTCTAAATATTGGGTCAATTTAATTAGTAAGAAACAGGTTTAGCAAATAGGTGAAGTACATCAGAGAAGTTATTATTATAGAAATAGTTAAGAAGGCTCCACAAAAAGTTCTCTTTCTTATTTTTTAATTATAAGCATTAAATTATACAGGTTAAGAAAAAATATCAAAGTTTTTTAAAAAGCTCATTTTTATTTATTATTTCTACTTAATATATTTAGGCTTTTTTTCTTTCTTTTTCTAATTTAATTTCTATCTTCCTCTTTTCTGCTATTACAAATTTTAATTAATTAATTAATTCCACCAAGATTAACTATAACAAAAAAATACAGTTTTTATAAAAATTTATTGTTTTTTTAGACACTTAAATAAACATTTTTATTAATTAATACTAGTCTCTTTTTATTGATTGGTCGGAAATCAGAGGTTACTAACCTAAGAGATTTTTAAATGATGCAATTTTTGTGCTATTAGTTGTATTTTTGATGTTTAATTATATCAAGTATTAATAATAAAAATAAGTTGAAAAATATTACAAAACTCTACCTATTATCATAGTAATTTTACTTGATTTTTTTGTTCAAATATATTTATTTTTATTCATTTCTAAGATATTTTAATTATTTTTAATTTCTATAATAAAATATAATTTAATTTAGGTTTTAAGTAACATGCATGTATGAATGAAGAGAAGAAGCAAACATAAAAAATTTAATTTGATAAAAAATAAAATACATTAATAATTAATCAGTAAGTAAATACTATTTATTTAAAATGCGTTGCAATAATTTAGGTAAATTATAAAAAAAATAATACTGTATTAATTCAAGCAAAAATACAATTTATTTATACGGTAATTAAAAATTTTAAAGAGTTGGTTTTTCAGAATGTGACAGACAGACTTCAGTAATTTTTAAAATTTATATTCATACATATTCTTTAAAAAGATAAAAATGAAGCCAAAAGTTATAAATAAAGCAAAAACTTAATTCCTATAAATTTAAATTTAAGGAATTGAATAGAATTAAATTGATTTTTACTAAACAATGTAATCCGTTTCTAACTCTACTTCTAAATAAGACATGGGACATTAAATTATTTACTTATATATATAATTTTTCAACTATAGTATTTTAGGTTTGAATATTAAAATTAGAGCATAATAGAGACTTAATTTATTTAGGTGAATTATTATTAACAATTAATTATATTTATTATAATTTAGCTCATATATGAATAAATTCCCTTATATATTTATTTAAATAATTAGTTTAGTTTTACTTTACTTTACTTTACTTATTTTGCTTTTTATAGAGAAATAAATCTCTTTTGTTTTATTTATCTTTAACTACTAACTTTTTATGAATTTAATCTAAATTATTTTTACAATTTAGGAATAGCAACAGAGGATATATGATAAAGCCAAAAACAATAAGCATTGTTGCAATTGATATTAACAAATATTCTAAATTACCTATTTTAATTTATTAGTGGCTTAACTAGCATATCTTCTTGGTTACTTCAAAACTCTTACTAGATAAAAAATTAATTATCTAATTTTTTCAATCTAATCTCAAAAATGAAAAATATAATAATTAATTTAAGTTTGTTTTTATCATACATACCTAAATTAAATAATTAAATTGAAAATATTAATTAAATCACAATCAATTTGTTAATATTAGATTTTTTCTTTGAATTTAGAAAATGTATGAGTATCAAAGTAGAAAAAATAAAATTTTTGTTTAGGTGATAATTGATTTATTGTAAATAATCAAAGTTTATTTTAATAAAAAATAATATAAATCCTTTTAAATAGTAAATAGTAAAGAGAATTGTCATATTAATTTTTAAAAGAGTGTTAAAATATCAACAACAAAATATTTAGTTAACTAACTAAAATGATAAAGATTTTAAATATAATTTAAAATTGAATGTAAAATAAATTAATAACAAAAATAAATAGATAGTTTTTTATATAATTTTTAATCTTGTTTTTAAGCATAAAAACCATTTCACTGTTTTCTGATTGTAGATATTATTCTTTTATCAATGTCTGACTCGTTATCAATTTTGTATTAGAATTTCTAAAAAAATTACTAAATATACTTGCATTATAAATCCTATGAATTCAGGATATCTTACTGCTCTTCGAAGTAACTTTTGAAACTTTAATTACCTATAAATAAATATTTTGAAAATTTAACTTTAAAAATATTTTTTAAAAATGAAATACTTTATGTTTAAAATTTTATTTGATCTGTTTAATACTCAGAAGAATATCCTACTAGATGCATGGCAGCTAATTATTCTTTACTCAGAAGCATCATAATAGACTTCTTAATAAATAGAAAGTCTTTATATAAATCTAAAATACTAAGTTATTTATTGATTTATTATTCTATTATATTTTTATGAGACTAAAATTCACATGTTTCATCTTTGTCTTTTTTCTTATTTTTCCACAAATTTGCAGTTTTTAACAATTTAAATTAAGATCTTTTAATAAATAAATAAAAAATATTTAAGTAAAAATTATCTTTAAGCAAAAAATCATTTTTAATAAAAAAAATTACGTTTTCAAGAAAATAAATTTTTTAGCTTTTTCAAAGATTTTTGCATCTTAAATATTTCTTAACTTTTAAATTAAATATTCATAGTTGCTATCAGAGCTTAATTTAATACTTAGATTTGAATTTGTTACATTTTTATTCAAATCACTTAAAATTCTCTCTCTATCATTACCAATTTCTTACTATGAATTTTTAAATTTAGAAATTTAAATTTAACTGGATTAATTTTTTATCTTTTATCCAAGTGAACACATTTATTTTATATTTATTTACTTGTTTATTATTGTGTTAGATTATTGATTTGGTTGTTCAGAATCTGTAAATAATAAATCATTATTTTTACTATTTTCTGTATTTTGTATTTAATCTTTTTCAATTGTACATACAGAATTATTTTATTTGCTTTATTGACTCTATTCGATGTAATTTCTAAATTTAGATTAAAATAAAGGTAAAAATATATTGTTAAATCTTTCTTTTTCTTATGTTTCTTATTCATTAGTGAGTTATGTATTTGGTTGAATTGATTAACTTTATGGTTTCTCTTCAATTAATTTATTTGCCTTTAGTAATTTTTAATATGTATCTTAATACATATTCTATAAAAACACAAAGAAAAAATCTTTAAGTATTTCTTTCTGAGAAAAAATTCTAAAAATGAAACCAAAAGTTAGAAGTAAAGCAAAAATTGAATTCACTTAAGCTAAAATTTCTGGAATTGTTGAGAATTGAATTGAGATTTGCTAAACAATTTAATCCATTTATAACTCAACTTCTATGTAAGGATCATTCTATTATTAGCCAACAATATTACTTTACAAATTATAGTTTATTGGGCTAGAATATTAAGATTATGATTGAATGAAAAGCCCTTAGCTTATTTAAGTTACTTACTATTAAGCATATATTGTACTCAAAACAAATTAATCTTAAAATGGATAAATTAGCTTATTCAAATAATTTATTTAATTTTACTACGAAGTTGTATTGTACTGAGAAGTGTATAGCTTCAGATTTAGACCTGCTTATTCGCTATTCACAAATTAGTCTATTTCATCTTAGCTGGCGCAATTATCTGGTACAGTTTTTTTGAAGTCATCAATAGTTGAACAAGAATAGATAAGTAAATAAAGTTTAGATTATATATCTTTCTTTCCACTTTACATTAATGTGTAATTTGATATACTTGAAAAATCTATGCAATTATAGCCTACAAGATTGCTATTAGAGCACTTAGTGATGTTAAGTTAAATAACTGTTGTATTTGTGCCATAATAAAAAAAGTATGCTATTGGAACTAAATAAGTTTTATTCATTTGCATTTAGTATGTTTCTAAAGTTATTTACTTTGTATACTGTAAATCAAAGGCTATCATCTTATAGAGAAACCTCTGTTGTTTCATCTGTTATAAATACCTGAGATCTAAACTTAGGATCAATTTTATTATTTAACAATAATAACATTAGATATATGAGATAACTAAGAACAATAGATATGATCGAAAATGACATTAATGATCCTAAAAAAGTACCTTTTTTTACTTATTAGTTACCTATGTAAAAATTAAAAGGCAAAGAAAAGAAATCTATCTTTTTGATGAAATCCATTTATTTATTTATTTTTCAAAAACTTCTACTTTTGTTTAGACAGATGTTATCTATCAATCACTCTTTTTTTTAATTTTTTTTTAATAATAATAATAATTAATAGTCTTTTAATTCATTAAAATTAAATAGTTATTAAAAAATAAGAACATTATATGATAAAAAACACTATATATAGCATAACTTTTTATTCATTCTAGTTAGATAAGTTGTTTGCTAAAGTATCATTCATTCTAACTTATCTCATAAAAACATATCAAATTTAAATATATTTACTTTCTGAATTTTTAATGGATCTTATTTATATTTTAATATAATGTAGGTCCTTCCTTATTGCTATTTCTGAAAAAAAAAACATTTGATGGCTATAAACTAATTTTTTTTTAAATAAATTTTTAAAATTAAATCAGTAACTAGAGATATATAAATAATTAAGTGCAGTAAACAAACAAACATCTATATTATTTATAAAATAAAAATTATATTTGTTACTATTATCCAATTAATTTTCAAGTAATATAAATATAAATATCATAATCATTTAGTGTGTGGCTTCATTCTTAATGAAAAAATCAAATTAAATTCATAAATACATAGAGGTAAGACAATTTATTCATAATAGTAAGAATACTTTACTAAAATTAGATTACCATTTCAATCAAATTTACGATTCTAATTAATTAATAACACATAATAAATTAGATATACATATTATGAATGAATAGTCTATGTTTAATAGAAAATTTCCTAATTTTAACAATCCTTAAATTATTTGTACTTTTTATTCTATATAAAAATGTTGAATAGAAATGTTTGTTCTTAAAAAATAAATAAATAAATTATTAAAATAAAATATTAAATATATTTCTTATATTTAGCAAAATAAATAAATTATTAAAATAAAATATTAATTATATTTCTTATATTTAGCAAAATAAATACTAAAGAATCATTTTTTTAAATATAAGTTAGAATGATTTATTTTTAAAGAAGTCAGCAATCTTTTATCTACTATACTCGTGTTTTGTTATTTTTAGCATCTTAATAAAAATTATTAAATGTATTAGGCTTGTACTTCGCTTGATTTGTGTATATTAAATTGCTCTTCAAAATAATTTTTATCTCTTTAGCCAATTTCTAAAATTTAATTTAAAATAAATTAGCAAAAAATAAATTACTCTATAATGAATGAATTATTGATTTACATGCTGAAAATATATCTATCTTAGAATTCAAATCTGTTAATGATCGAGCTTAATTATCCGAAAAACCTACTAGTTGTAAGGCTGCAAGCTGCTCTTTTGTTAAAAGAATAAATATAGCTTTCTTTAACATAAGAATGTCTTTATAAATCTTAAAGTAGTCTAAACTATCATTTACTTATTCTTCAATATCAATTATCATTTATCTGTTCAATCCCTAAGATTCTAAAAACATCCTTTTTTTGCATAGCCTAATAATTTATTTAAATTATATTAATAAAATAAATAGGTTAATTAAACAAAATTTAACAGTGGTAAGTAAACTCACTCATAAATTGTGAAACACTAAATATTTGAAAACAAAATAAATTTAATAAATAATGTTTAAATTACTTTAAATAAATTAAATTATTTAGTATAAAGATCACATACAAGAATTAAAAATGTTTTTACCTTGTTTTAAATAGAAGGTTTTATACTTTCTACGAAATTGGTTTTTCACTTAGAGTTTTTATTTTTTTGATTAATATCTACTTGAAACTTTAGTTTTCTAAAGAATCTGTTTCAATTTAATTACATTAATATACCCTTTATTATTTATCTTATTAAATAGAGCTTTTCTATTACTGGATAAAATTGAGTGAAGAAGGGGAATCTATTTTTGTTGAATTTTAATTAATTAAATTAATTTTGAATTTATTTTTTTGTTCAATTGACTAATTTGTATTTTTATTTGTGATAGAATTATTTCTTTTTATACATAGCCCTTTAGCACTTTAAATCCTACCTCCACAATCTTACCTAATTAATTCTGCTTTTTGTTCAATACAAGAATAGATAGAGTTCTAATCTTAAAACGACTATTGCTCTTAGTTAACTGAATCAGCATTTATTATAAACCTAGTTAGTCCTAGCTTAGGCTAAGCAAATGGTACCATTTTAGGGATAGATTTTTCTGAAATTTTATCATCTTCTTCTTCTTCATCATCATCTTCTTAATCTTCTTCTTCTTTGCTTACTGGTTCTTCTACCTTTTTATCTACTTACATTTATTTAAGCTACAAATCCAAGCTGAAATTTACAAATTTGTTTATTTTCAATATCTTAGAATAAGTCTCTTAATAAATATTTTGTAAAATTAAGATGAACATCTCTTAAAGTATCATGTTTTGAGTTATTTTTCTAGCAAAGAAACCTAAAATCATCATAAAGCTAAAGGTACTATTACAAAGAGCCAAGATATCAGGAAAGGTAGGATATTATATACTAAAAAGCTAAATATTCTCATCAACACTTATGTAAATTTCATAAATCAATTTATTTCCTGTTTGCTAGATATAACTAGCTTTATCTAAAGTTTGTTGAGAGAAAGTGTGTGATATTGGGCCATAAAATGTTTCCTAATTCTGAATTAAAAACCCTGATTTTACATTAGTTATCTGCTTAGTTGTTTGAATTGAACCTATACCTATTTAGCCATTAAAATTTTGCATAAACTAATTTTTAAAATTGGTTTCAATATTATTTGATGTTGTATTAAATTATGTGGTCTTTAATCTTATATTTTGTTGTCCATATATGACTGCTTTATCTATTTGACTAGCATTTGCACAATTATTAGGAACAAAAGTTTTTATTGAATCAGTGTCTTAGCATCTGTAAGCTGTAATAACTAAGTAAGATTTAAGATTTAGTTTGTTGTCCATAGTTAAAGATAAGTTTTTATAGCTATCAAAGTCTATGCAATCATAACCATCTAAAAGTTAATTTTAGCATTTTGTCATATTTAGACGTGTAACATTGTAACTCGTTGCATTTGACTAAAATAAAATAGGTATAAACACAATGTATGTCTTATTTTAATGAGCTTCTATTTCACTTAAGCTTTAATATAAACCATTCATTTTATTGTATGAGAACTGAAACCCAACAAACTCATTATCTAAAGGAATGTCTATGGCATCTTTTGAAACAAAAGTTTGCATTCTAAATTTAGGGTCAATTTGATTAGTAAAAAACAGGTTTAGCAAATAAATGAAATATATCAGAGTCGTTATTATTATAGAAATAGTTAAGAATGCTCCGAAGAAGGTTCTCTTTCTTATTTTTTAATTATAGGAATTAAATTCAATAGGCTAAGAGAAAATATCAAAGTTTTTCAAAAATTCCATTTTTTATTAGTTCTACTATATATGTATAATTATTTAATTAAGACTTTTCTTTTTTTTTTCTAAATTTTTTCTTTTATTTTGTGTGGTATTATATACTAATTTAAGAAATGTTTTGTTAAATTTGATATTATCCACATTAATTATATAAAATTTTGTTTTTGTTAAAATAAAATCTTCTCTTCAGACTCATACTTTTTTGTTTTTACTTCTATTGAATGTATAAATATATAGATAGATAGATTTTAGCTTCATTTAATTTAAATAAGGCTATTAAGTGGTTAGAATTTTAATTTATTTCTGCTTAATTATTTTAAATTTAATAAAAAAAAATAGGCTGAAAAAAAATACAAAATTCTTATGAACTAAGATGAGAATTAATTATATCATGTTTATTTTATTTCAAATTTCTTTTAGTTTAATTACTTTTAACATATTTTAAACATTATAAATACCAAAAATAAAATATTTTTTATTACAGTTTGTTTACACACACACAAACAAAGAAAATAAAGTAATATCAAAAATAAAATTTAATTTGACTAAACAAACCAAATAATAATAAATAATTCATTCATTAAAAAAAAACATGTAATAATAAAATGGGTAAAAAATAGAGTTAAAATAAATTATTTATTCAATAATAAATAAATTTATCTCTAATATTGTGTGCCCAAAAAGAAAAATAAATATTAGCTAAAATAAATTAAAAAATTAATGAAAGATTAAAATTTTGCTTATTAATGTTAATTAAATTATGTATGTAGTTTTAATTTTTGTTTGAGTATGAAGTGATTATAATAATTCTTATTTATAAATTATAAAATTGATTTTAATTAGTTTATTTCAAAATTTAAAAATAAAATAAATTTTTTTTCATTCATTTTATTAGCAAATTATGAAATTTAAATAAAAATCCAAAAAATTACAAAAAAAGCCTAAGATGAAAAATTAAGTATTTTATCTACTTTTTATGATAAAAATAAATTAATAAACTTTGTGATTTATTTTTTATTAATATTATGGTAAATAACAAACATGTAAATATTTCTTTATTTCATATAATAATCAAACAAAACTAAAATTAATTAGCTATTAACAACATATTAACCCAAAATTATTTTGAGGGTATTTATTTTTTTGATATAAATACACAAACAAATTCAAAAAAATTTGTCCAAATTTCTTTTAATTAAATAAATATTCATTAGTATAGATAGCCTATCCAAAATTAAAAAGGCATTTAACTCTAAATATATAATGTTTATTTTTAATAGAAAGTTTCCTAATTTTAATTAACTATTAATTTATTTATGATTTTTCTATGGTTTAAAAATGTTAATAGAAATATTTGTTCTTAAAAATCTATAAACTAAATAAAATACAAAATATATTTCTTATATTTCACAACAAAAAAATTTTTTTAATTCTGATTGATTTCAGTTTGAATGGTTTATTTTTAAAGAAGAAAGCAATCTTTCATCTACTATGCTCAAGTTTTTTTATTTTTAGCATTTTAATATAAATTAGTAAATGTATTAGGCTTGTATTTCGCTTGATTTGTGTATATTAAATTGCTCTTCAAAATAATTTTTATCTCTTTAGCCAATTTCTAAAATTTAAAATAAATTAGCAAATATAATTCTATAAATTTAATTTACATGCTGAAAATATATCTCTCTTAGAATTCAAATCTGTTAATGATCGAGCTTAATTATCAGAAAAACCTACTAGTTGTAATGCTGCCAGTTGCTCTTTACTTAAAAGAATAAATATAGCTTTCTTTAACATAAGAATGTCTTAGTAAATCTTAAAGTAGTCTAAACTATCATTTACTTATTCTTCCATATCAGTTATCATTTATTTATTTAATCCTTAAGATTCTAAAAACTTCCTTTTTTTGCATAGCCTAATAATTTATTTAAATTATATTAATAAAATAAATAGGTTAATTAAACAAAATTTAACAGTGATAAAATTTATAAATTATGAAACTCTAAATAATTGAAAATAAAATAAATCTAATAAATAATGTTGAAATTATTTTAAATAAATCAGTTTATTTTAAAATAAAGATCATTAATTTAAAAATTTATTTACCTTGTTTTAAAAAGAAGGTTTTGTACTTTCTATGAAATTGGCTTTTCACTTAGAGCTTTTATTTTTTTGCTTAATGTCTAAAAGAGACTTTAGTCATCTAAAACATCTGTTGCAGTTTAATTGCATTATTATGTCCTTGATAATGTATCTTGTTAGGTTGGACTTTTTTGTTAATTGATAAAATTGAATGAAGAAGGGGACTCTGCTTTTGTTGAATTTTAATTAAATAAATTAATTTTGAATTTATTTTTAAGTTGAATTGGCGACTATATTGCATTTTTATTTGTGATAGAATTGTTTCTTTTTTTATATATCAGTCTAGCACTTTAAATCCTACTTCCATAATCTTACCTAGTTAATTCTGTTTTTTGCTCTAAAGAAGTATAGATGGAATTCTAATCTTAAATAGACTACTGCTCTTCGTTAATTAAATCAGTATTTATTGTAAATCTAGTATGGCCAATCTTAGGTGAAGTATATGGAATTATTATAGGGCTAGATTTTTCAGAAATTTTATCATCGTCTTCTTCTTTGTTTGCTGCTTCTTCTACCTTTTTAGCTACTAGCATTTGTTTGAGCTTCAAATCCAAGCTGAATTATACAAATTTATTTATTTTCAATATCTTAGAATAAGTCTCTTAATAAATATTTTGTAAAATTAAGATGAACATCTCTTAAATAATCATTTTTTGAGCTATTTTCCTAGCAAAGAAACCTAAAATCATCATAAAGCTAAAGGTACTATTGCAAAGAGCCAAGATATCAGGAAAGGTAGGATATTGTATACTAAAAAGCTAAATATTCTCATCAACACTTATGTAAATTTCATAAATCAATTTATTTCCTGTTTGCTTAATATAACTAGCTTTATCTAAAGTTTGTTGAGAGAAAGTGTGTGATATTGGGCCATAAAATGTTTCCTTATTCTGAATTAAAAACCCTGATTTTACATTAGTTATCTGCTTAGTTGTTTGAATTGAACCTATACCTATTTAGCCATTAAAATTATGCATAAACTAATTTTTAAAATTTGTTTCAATTTTATTTGATGAAGTATTAAATTATGTGGTTTTTAATCTTATATTTTGTTATCCATATATGACTGCTTTATCTATTTCACTAGAGTTTGCGCAATTATTAGGAACAAAAGTTTTTATTGAATCAGTGTCTTAGCATCTGTAAGCTGTAATAACTAAGTAAGATTTAAGATTTAGTTTGTTGTCCATAGTTAAAGATAAGTTTTTATAGCTATCAAAATCTATGCAATCATAACCATCTAAAAGTTAATTTTAGCATTTTGTCATATTTAGACGTGTAACATTGTAACTCGTTGCATTTGACTATAATAAAATAGGTATAAACATAAGGTATGTTTTGTTTTACTGAGCCTCTATTTCACTCAAGCTTTAATATTTACCATTCTAGTAATTGTACGAAAACTGAAGCCCAACAAATTCATTATCTAAAGGAATATCTATGGCATCTTTTGAAACAAAACTTTGCATTCTAAATTTAGGATCAATTTGATTAGTAAAAAACAGGTTTAGCAAATAGATGAAATACATTAGAGTTGTTATCACTATAGAAATAGTTAAGAAGGCTCCGAAGAATGATCTCTTTCTTATTTTTTAATTATACGCATTAAATTAAATAGGTTAAGAGAAAATATCAAAGTTTTTTATTATATTCATTTATTCGTAGTTCTACTTTTTTTAATTAATTAATTAATTAACACTTTTCTTTTCTTTTTTTTTATTATCAATTTAAGAATTTTCTATGCTAAATTATTATTACCAAGTTATATATATAAAATATTGTTTTTATAACAATTTATTCTTCTTTTTTGGCTCATACTTAAACCTTTATTATTCCTACTAGTCTTTTTTTATTGGATTGAAGAAATATTATTTATTCATTTAATTTAAACAATGCTATTTTAGTGGTTAGAATTTAAATTGCTTTTGGTTTCTAAATTCATGAAACAAAATAAGATGAAAAAAATTACAAAATTCTTATGAAGTAAGATGAATAATTATTATCATATTTTTTTCAAATTTCTTTTAGTTTAATTACTTATAGCTAATTTTAAATATTATAAATAGCAAAAATAAAATATTTTTTATTTTAAGTTACACACAAATAGAGAAGATGAAGCAATATCAAAAATAAAATTTAACTTGACTAAAAAACCATACAATAATAAATAATACATATATACATATTACATAAAAATGTCTAATAGCAAATATATTAAAATGGGTAAATAATAGAATTAAAAATAAAGTATTAAATCAAATATGAATATAATTTATCTCTATTATGGTGTGCCCTAAAAGAAAAACAAATATTAGCTAAAATACATTACAAAATAAATTTAAAGATTAAAAATGTGCTATTAATACTATAAAAGAAAAACTTTACTTGATAGGAACTGTAAAGAAATTGTGGTAAAAAATTATGTTTTAATATTATCTTATTTAGTGTTTAAATTTAATTAAATTATGTATATACATATATGTATATTTAATTTTTGATAATGGAGCGATTATAAAAATTTTCATTTATTTAGAAATTATTAAAATAATATTGATTATTTAAATTTTTTTATTTCAAAATATTAAAAGAAAATAATGTAAAAATGCTACCTAAACAATACATTTTGTTTGTTTAAATTTATATGACTTATTTGATTATTATTTTTTATTACAGTTTTTGAAATTTACTTTTTCAATTTGATGATCTGATAATAAAAATAAATATGCAAATTTATTTTTTCAAGATAGATTTAGTAATTTAAGTACTTACTAAGACTATCTATCTATCTATCTATCTATCTATCTATCTATCTATCTATCTATCTATCTATCTATCTATCTATCTATCTATCTATCTATCTATCTATCTATAAATAAACATAATTGAAATTTCTATTAATTGGTTTTTTATTTTGAAACAAATAAAGAGTAAAAGTATATATAAATCAACTAATTGATTTATTATTCAGTAATTTAAAATGTGGAAGTAAAAAAGAAATTAATACTTTTGATAAAGCATGAGTTATTTTTAATCATTCATTTACTGTTTAAAATTACACATCAAACAACCTAAAGTATTAATTAATATTTTTTAACGCAAATATAAATCTATATAATGCAGTTCCTCAATTATTAAGACTCCAAGATATTAACATTAATTTCTTAAGAAATAAATATACGAATAAATCTTCAAAATTTAATCAATAAAAAAATAAAAAGCAATATATCATTAGTAGAGTAAATATCAAATTTTTAATAAAATAAAAATATATTTGTGAGTATTATCTAAGCTTTCAAGCAAAATAAATCTAAAATTATGATCACTTAGAGTGTGGTATGGTTCAAAATGAAGGAAAAAAAAATCAGAGATGAATATGAAGGCAAAGATAGTTTATTTAATAATAGTAAGAATACTCGAATATTAGAATAACCTTGATATTAAATTTACAATTCCAGTAGCAATATAATTAATTATATATATCAAAATTTGTATCTAAATTATCTATGTTCAATAGAAAGTTTCCTAATTTTAATTTTCTATTAATTTATTTATTATTTTTTATTCAGTTTAAAAATCTTAAACATAAATATCTGTCCTTAAAAATTAAATATATCAACTAAATAAAATACAAAATGTATTTATTTATTACACATATTTCATAAAATACAAAAAAAAATATTTTTTTTCTCCTTATTTATTTCAGTTACAATGGTTTATTTTTAAAGAAGAAAGTAATCTTTGATCTACTATGCTCATGTTTTGTTATTTTTAGCATTTTGATATAAATTAATAAATGTATTAGGCTTGTACTTAGCTTGATTTGTGTATATTAAATTGCTCTTCAAAATAATTTTTATCTGTTTTGTCAATTTCTAATGTTTTATTTAAAATAAATTAGCAAAAAATAATTATTAAATTTGATTGATTGATTTACATGCTGAGAATATATCTATCTTAGAATTCAAATCTGTTACTGATCTAGCTTAATTATCCGAAAAACCTACTAGTTGTAAGGCTGCAAGCTGCTCTTTTGTTAAAAGTATAAATATAGCTTTCTTTAGCATAAGAATGTCTTAGTAAATCTTTAAGTAGTCTAAACTATCATTTACTTATTCTTCAATATCAATTATCATTTATCTATTTAATCCCTAAGATTCTAAAAACTTCCTTTCTTTGAAAAACCTAATAATTTATTTAAATTATAGTAATAAATTAAATAGTTTAAAAATTTAAAAGTAGCACTTTTATTAATTGTGAAACACTAAGTAAATATTTGAAAATAAAATAAATCTAAAAATTTTTGAATCAAATTGATCAATATAATTTAAAATAAAGATTATGAATCAAAATTTATTTACCTTGTTTTGAATACAAGGTTTTGTACTTTCTACGAAATTGGCTTTTCACTTAGAGCTTTTATTTTTTGGCTTATTGTCTAAAAGAGACTTTAGTCTTTTAAAACGTCTGTTGCAGTTTAATTGAATTAATATGACTTTTATAATTAATCTTATTAGGTTGGACTTTTTGGTTAATTGATAAAATTGAATGATGAAGGGGACTCTGCTTTTGTTGAATTTTAATTAAATTAATTAAATTTGAATTTATTTTTATGTAGAATTAGCGGCTATTTAGCATTTTTATTCGTGATAGAATTGTTTTTTTTTCTATTTTTCAATCCTGCACTTTAAATCCTACTTCCATAATCTTAACTGATTAATTCTGTTTTTTGCTCTAAAGAAGTATAGATGGAATTTTAATCTTAAATAGACTACTGTTCTTCATTAACTAAATTTTTATTTATTGTAAACTTAGTATGACCAAGCCTAGGCGAAATAAATGGAATCATTATAGGGCTAGACTTTTATGAGATTTTATCATCTCCTTCTTCTATGTTTACTGCTTCTTCTACCTTTTTAGCTACTTACATTTGTTTGAGCTACAAATCCAAGCTGAAATTTACAAATTTGTTTATTTTCAATATCTTAGAATAAGTTTCTTAATAAATATTTTGTAAAATTAAGATAAACATCTCTTAAAGAATCAATTTTTGAGTTATTTTCCTAGCAAAGAAACCTAAAATCATCATAAAGCTAAAGGTACTATTGCAAAGAGCCAAGACATCAGGTAAGGTAGGATATTATATACTAAAAAGCTAAATATTTTCATCAACACGTATTTAAATTTCATAAATCAATTTATTTCCTGTTTGTTTGATATAACTATCTCTATCCAAAGTTTGCTGAGTGAAACTGTGTGATATTGGGCCAGAAAAATTTTCTTAATTCTGAATTAAATAACCTGAGTCTACTTTAGTTATTTGCTTAGTTGTTTGGATTTAACCTATACCTATTTAACCATTAAAATTATGCATAAATTAATTTTAAAAATTTGTTTCAATATTATTTGATGTTGTATTAAATTATGTGGTCTTTAATCTTATATTTTGTTCTCCATATATGACTGCTCTATCTATTTCACTAGCGTTTGCGCAATTATTAGGAACAAAAGTTTTTATTGAATCAGTGTCTTAGCACCTGTAAGCTGCAATAATTTTAAGTAAGACTTAACATTTAGTTTGTTGTCCATAATTAAAGAAAAGTTTTTATAGCTATCAAAGTCTATGCAATCATAACCCTCTAAAAGCGTATTTTAGCATTTTGTGAAATTTAGACGAATAGCATTGTAATTTGTTGCATTTGAATATAATAAAATAGGTATAAACACAAGGTATGTCTTATTTTACTGAGCTTGTATTTCACTTAAGCTTTAATAGTTACCATTCTATTAATTGTAAGAGAACTGAAGCCCAACAAATTCATTATCTAAAGGAATGTCTATGGCATCTTTAGAAACAAAACTTTGCATTCTAAATTTAGGATCAATTTGATTAGTAAAAAACAGGTTTAGCAAATAGATGAAATACATTAGAGTTGTTATCACTATAGAAATAGTTAAGAAGGCTCCGAAGAATGATCTCTTTCTTATTTTTTAATTATAGGCATTAAATTAAATAGGTTAAGAGAAAATATCAATGTTTTTTATAATATTCATTTATTATTTATTAGTTTTACTTTTTTTAATTAATAATAAACACTTTTCTTTTTTATTTTTTCTGGTATAATCAATTTAATATTTTTCTTTATTAAATTTATTATTACTCAAATTATTAATATAAAATATTGTTTTTGTAAAAATGTATTATCCTTTTATATCTCATAATTAATCATTTACTACTTCTACTAGTCTCTTTTTTATTGAAATGTAGAAAGATTTTATGTTTTTTCTTTATTTAATTTAAATAATAATGCTATTTTAGTGGTTAGAATTTTAATTCTTTTCTGCTTAATTTTATTAAATTCTAGAAACAAAATAAGCTAAAAAAATAATGCATAATTATTATGAAGTAATATAAATATCATATCATGTTTTTTTTTAAATATCTTTTAGTTTAATTACTTATAGCATATTTTAAACATTATAAATATCAAAAAGAAATTATTATTTTATTTTTACTCTTAAGTTACACACAAATAGAGAAGTATCAAAAATAAAATTTAATTTGACTAAAAAAACCATACAATAATAAATAAATAAATAAAATATACATTCATACGACATTAAAATGTATGTTAACCCTTTTAGAGCAAGGTAGTTTATAATGAAAAATAATCTAATCTATAAAGTAATATTAATTTTAAGCATTATAAAAAGATAATAGAGAAATGGGAAAGTATTTTGAATATTTAATCAGGCTATAATATAGAGATTAATTGGTATATTTTAGAAATTAAACAGTCTAAAAGAATTTGCAAATTATTGTTCATTAAATAATAAATATGGTATACGAATATAAATATTTATAATTAATGTTCTAAAATATTTACAAAAAGTTTATAGATTATGATGTCTATATTATGAGATATTTAATAATGAAATACTGCTAGAAAAATTAGATGTAATAAATAATATATATGCATTTTAATGCTTCAAAATTAATTAAGCCCTCAATTTTTGAAATAAAAATATTATTTAGAGTAACTTTATTTATTTTAAAAAGTTATTTAAGTTGATATTAAATGCACTTATTTGGTGGATGCTATATCTACCTAAATAAAATGTGCTTACAAAAAAAAAACTAATGTGATTTGAGAATAATTAGAGAAATTATTAATATTCCTATAATTAACTATAGAGCTAAAACAGAAAAATCTACTTATAAACATTATTTTTATAAAATTTAAGAACATTAATTAATTAATAAAATTCTTTCAAATATGACTAACTGCACATCTCTAATTCCTATTATATTTTAAATACAAATATTAAGATTAAATAATGAATATTAAATTAAATTGTATGTGATATCTCTTCATAAAACCAAATTTATAATTTAATATTTATTAATTAATTATTATATTATATTTTTTCTTTTTGTCCATTTATAATTAATTAATTAAATTCCATAAATTGCTTGCTATTCGGTATTTTTGAAAAAAAAATAAATGATATAATAGATTAAACATTACAAAAGATTAGATGAAGTAATTATTAAGTTTGTTATTAATAACTTTTAAATTTAAATAAATTAATAAAAAAAGTTTTTAAGCTCTTCACTTTCATCTCATTAGGTTCTCCATATTGGTTTGTAGTATATTTAATTTATAAATCTTATTTTTATTATTATTGATATTTTTTATGTATATAACTTTCAATTTATTTAAATAAATAAATTTTGTTATAGAAATTCTCATCATTATTTATTGATTTCTATTAAAACAAGAATTTTTAGCTATTTAAACTTAATTTTCAATTCAATTTTTAGTTATTTTTTTATTATTCATTTTTTATTATTTGATATTTTTTCTTCATTTTTTCCTACTAATTAACTAGAGTGAAATGCCTATTTAATTTACAAAAGGCAAAATGTAATATATTTTAATAATACAATAAATAAAGCTAAATTAGCTTGATATAGCTTTATTTTTGAAAGCTTTAAATTCAGAAAGTGTAAAATTTGAAATAATATATACCTTATATTCTTGAAAAAAAATCAGATTAAAAATTTTTTTTATATATTCTGATAGAGCAAAATCCTTCTTTGTTATTTAAAAAATTAAAATCCCATCTATGTATGACCCTCCCCTCATTAATTATCTTATTACTTCATTTTTTACTTCTAATTAATTATTTAATGATAGATTTTTTCTTCTATATTTAAAAAGTGAAAAATAAATTGGCGCAATTGGTGCATCAAGTTTAGGTTCTGGTTTAGCAAAGTGCTTTAATCTCTCAAATCTGACACTTAACATTGAGTAAAAACAGTTTATTTGTTTTGGATTGTGATGCTTTTAATTATAAAAACAAATTTAAAACAATAAAGCTATTTTTTATATTTCTTTTTATTGTGCATGCTTTTTTTTGTTAATTGAATTCATCATTTTATTATCAATTTCATTTTTGATTAATCTTATTATTTCATATTTTTCTTCATTTTTTCCTTCTAATTAACTATTTAATGATTAATTTTTTCTTCAATATTTAAAAAGTTTTAATTAAATTGGAGACGAAGGAGCATAAGGCTTAGGTTCTGGTTTAGCAAATTGCATTAATCTTTCAAATTTAACACTTAACCTTGAGTAAAAACAGTTTATTTGTTTTGGATTGTGATATTTTTAATTATAAAAACTAATTTAAAACAATAAATCTCTTTTTTATATTTCTTTTTATTGTGCTTGCTTTTTTTTGTTCTTTCTTTGTAATATAACTCATCATTTTATTTTCAACTTTTGCTTTTATTATTAATTAATTAATCTTATTATTTCATATTTTTTCTTCATTTTTTGCTTCCAATTAACTATTTAATGATATTTTTTTTTTCCAATATTTAAAAAGTAAAAACTTAATTGGCGACGAAGGAGCATTAGGCTTAGGTTCTGGTTTAGCAAAGTGCATTAATCTCTCAAATTTGACACTTTATCTATTGTAAAAACAGTTTATTTGTTTTGGATTGTGATATTTTTAATTATAAAAACTAATTTAAAACAAAAAAACTCTTTTTTATTTTTTTATTGTGCTTACTTTTTTTTTGTTGTTTCTTTGTTAATTGAACTCATCATTTTATGGTTAACTTTTGCTTTTATTATTAATTAATTCAATATTTAAAAAGTGACAATTAAATTGGTGCAATTGGTGCATCAGGCTTAGGTTCTGGTTTAGCAAAGTGCATTAATCTCTCAAATTTGACACTTAATTTTGAGTAAAAACTGTTTATTTGTTTTGGATCTGTGATATTTTTAATTATAAAAACTAATTAAAAACAATAAAGATCTTTTTTCTTTTTCTTTTTATTGTTCTTTCTTTTTTAATTTTACTATTCATTTTATTTTCAACTTTTGATTTTATTATTTATCTTATTATTTCAAATTATTTCTTCATTATTTCCTTCTAATTAACTATTTTATGAGATATTTTTTCTTCAATATTTAAAAAGAAGCAATTAAATTGGTGGCTAAGGTGCATCAGGCTTAGGTTCTGGTTTAGCAAAGTGCATTAATCTCTCAAATTTGACACTTTATCTATAGTAAAAACAGTTTATTTGTTTTGGATTGCGATATTATTAATTATAAAAACTAATTTAAAACAATAAAGCTCTTTTTTATTATTCTTTTTATTTTTTTATTGTGCTTGCTTTTTTTTGTTCTTTCTTTGTTAATTTAACTCATAATTTTAAAGTACTTTTGCTTTAATTATAAATTAATATTATTATTTCATATTATTTCTTCATTTTTTCCTTCTAATTATTTTTTTTGATTAATTTTTTCTTCAATATTTAAAAAGTGACAATTAAATTGGTGACGAAGGTTCATCAGGCTTAGGTTTTGGTTTAACAAAGTGCATTAATCTCTCAAATTTGACTCTTAGCCTAAGGTAAAAATAGTTTATTTGTATTGGTTTGTAATATATTTAATTTTTAAAACTAATTTAAAACAATAAAGCTCTTTTTTCTTTTCATTTATATATTGTGCTTGCTTTTTTTGTCTTTTTTTTATATAAATTAACTCATAGTTTTATTTTCAACTTTTGTTTTTATAATTAATTAATCTTATTATTTCAAATTTATTGTTCATTTCTTCCTTCCAATTAACTATTTAATGATATATTTTTTCTTCAATATTTAAAAAGTAAAAACTAAATTGGTATTGAAGGTGCATCAGAATTAGGTTTTGGTTTAGCATAGTGTATTAATCTCTCAAATTTGACACTTTATCTTTTGTAAAAACAATTTATTTGTTTTGGATTTTGATATTTTTAATTATAAAAACTAATTTAAAACAATAAAGCTCTTTTTTCTTTTAATTTTAATCGTGCTTGCTTTTTTTTGTTCTTTCTTTATTAATTTAACTCATCATTTTATTTTAGAACTTTTATTTGATTTATTTTTTTATCTTTTAATTCCACTAATTTTATTTTATTTATTAATTAATTTAAGAAATAATTTTTAATTTAAATGTTTATTCAATTTGATATTTATTTAAAATTAAACAAATTTATTTTAAAAGTTAAAACTAATTGGATGAATCATAAAAATTGAAAGTAATAAGCAAGTGTCTTAAATCAAAAAGATTAGTTGTCTTTATAAAAATATTCTACTGATAAACAAGTGGCAAAAAAATGATTATTTAATATTAAATGTTTGAATAATTGAATATTATATTTTGAAAAATTTTTATCCTAAAATAAAAATAGGAATATAGATTTAATTATTGTTTTTATAATATAAATATCATTCATATTTTTGTAAGTAAATAAATTATTTATAAAAAATAAAAAATTTAAAGATTTACTTAAATAAATTAATTCCTCTTAAGCAAACCCTCAGTTTCTCCAAAAACGATCAAATAATTTGAAACTTTTTTCTCCTTCCAAGTATTTCACTAGGAGGGCTACTTTTTTAGACTTTTAAAAAAACATTTTTAACAAATTTTTAATAAGTAATATCCAATTTATTTATAAAATAAAAATTTTATTTTTACCTTACCAGTATTATCCAAGTTTTCAATAAAAATAAATTAATTCTCACGATTAGGTTAAATCAGATATTAATAAAGGTAGAGAGAATTTATTCAATAATAGTTGGAATACCCTATAATTATATTAAACTTTCTATAAAATTTACAATTCCAGTAACAATATAATTATACATATAAAAATTGGTATATTTAACTTCTATGTTTAATAGAAACTTTCCTAATTTTAATATTCTATTAATTTATTTATTTATGATTTTTTATTTGGTTTAAAATATTAAATAAATAGAAATATTTTTTTGTTCTTAAAAAATATATCAACTGAATAAAATACAAAACAATTATTTTTTTTAATTCTGATTTATGTCATTTCATTGGTTTATTTTTAAAGAAGAAAACAATCTTTCATCTACCAAGCTCATGTTTTGTTATTTTTAGCATTTTAATAAAAATTAGTAAATGTATTAGGCTTGAATTTCACTTGATTTGTGTATATTAAATTGCTCTTCAAAATAATTTTTATCTCTTTAACCAATTTCTAAAATTTAATTTAAAATAAATTAGCTAAAAATAATTCTATATATTTAATTTACATGCTGAAAATATATCTCTCTTAGAATTCAAATCCGTTAATGATCGAGCTTAATTTTCCGAAAAACCTACTAGTTGTAAGGCTGCAAGCTGCTCTTTTGTTAAAAGGATAAATATAGCTTTCTTTAACATAAGAATGTCTTTGTAGATCTTAAAGTAGTCTAAACTTTCATTTACTTATTCTTCCACATCAATTATCATTTATCTGTTTAATCCCTGAGATTCTAAAAATTTCCTTTTTTTGCATAGCCTAATAATTTATTTAAATTACATTAATAAAATAAATTGGTTGGTTAAAAAGTCACACTTTATAAATTGCGAAACACAAAGTAAATATTAGAAAATAAAATAAATCTAATAATTTTGGAGTCATTATTAATTTATCAATATATTTTAAAATAAAGATGATGGATTAAAATTTAATTTACCTTGTTTTGAATAAAAGGTTTTGTACTTTATATGAAATTGGTTTTTAAATTAGAGCTTTTATTTTTTTGTTTAATGTCTAAAAGAGACTTTAGTCTTCTAAAACATCTGCTACAGTTTAATTGCATTATTATGTCCTTTATAATGTATCTTATTATGTTGGACTTTTTTGTTACTGGATAAAATTGAATGAAGAAGGGGATTCTGCTTTTGCTGAATTTTAATTAAATAAATTAATTTTAAATTTATTTTTATGTTGAATTGGCGGCTATTTTGCATTTTTATTTGTGATAGAATTGTTTCTTTTTTTATATATAAGTCTAGCACTTTAAATCCTACTTCCATAAGTGTTTTGCTCTAAAGAAGAAAAGATGGAATTCTAATCTTAAATAGACTACTGCTCTTCGTTAACTAAATCAGTATTTATTGTAAATCTAGTATGGCCAACCTTCGGTGAAGTAAATGGAATTATTATAGGGCTAGATTTTTCAGAAATTTTATCATCGTCTTCTTCTCTGTTTGTTGCTTCTTCTACCTTTTTAGCTACTAGCATTTGTTTGAGCTTCAAATCCAAGCTGAATTATACAAATTTGTTTATTTTTAATATCTTAGAATAAGTTTCTTAATAAATATTTTGTAAAATTAAGATGAACATCTCTTAAAGAATCATTTTTTGAGTTATTTTCCTAGCAAAGAAACCTAAAATCATCATAAAGCTAAAAGTACTATTGCAAAGAGCCAAGACATCAGGAAAGGTAGGATATTATATACTAAAAAGCTAAATATTTTCATCAATACTTATGTAAATTTCATAAATCAATTTATTTCGCGTTTGCTAGATATAACTAGCTTTATCTAAAGTTTGTTGTGTGAAACTGTGTGATATTGGACCAGAAAATGTTTCCTTATTCTGAATTAAAAACCCTGATTTTACATTAGTTATCTACTTAGTTGTTTGAATTTAACCTATACCTATTTAGCCATTAAAATTATGCATAAACTAATTTTTAAAATTTGTTTCAATTTTATTTGATGAAGTATTAAATTATGTGGTCTTTAATCTTATATTTTGTTGTCCATATATGACTGCATTATCTATTTCACTAGCGTTTGCGCAATTATTAGGAACAAAAGTTTTTATTGAATCAGTGTCTTAGCATCTGTAAACTGTAATAACTAAGTAAGATTTAACATTTAGTTTGTTGTCCATAGTTAAAGATAAGTTTTTATAGCTATCAAAATCTATGCAATCATAACCATCTAAAAGTGCATTTTAGCATTTTGTCATATTTAGACGTGTAACATTGTAACTCGTTGCATTTGACTAAAATAAAATAGGTATAAACACAAGGTATGTTTTGTTTTACTGAGCCTCTATTTCACTTAAGCTTTAATATTTACCATTCATGTAATTATACGAAAACTGAAGCCCAACAAATTCACTATCTAAAGGAATGTCTATGGCATCTTTTGAGACAAAGCTTTGCATTCTAAATTTAGGATCAATTTGATTAGTAAAAAACAGGTTTAGCAAATATATGAAATACATTAGAGTTGTTATCACTATAGAAATAGTTAAGAAGGCTCCGAAGAATGATCTCTTTCTTATTTTTTAATTATAGGCATTAAATTAAATAGGTTAAGAGAAAATATCAAAGTTTTTTATAAAATTCATTTATTATTAGTTCTACTTTTTTTAGTTAATTAATTGATTAACACTTTTCTTTTTTATTTTTTCTGGTATTATCAATTTAAGTTTGTTAGATTTATTATTACCCAATATAAAAAATATTGTTTTTATAAAAATGTATACTACTTTTATTTCTCATATTTAATTGTTTATTATTTCTACTTGTCTCTTTTTATAGAATTGAAGAAATACAATATGTTTTTTCTTCATTTAATTTAAATATTAATGCTATTTTAGTGGTTAGAATTTAATTCTTTTCTGCTTAATTTTATTAAATTCAAGTCCAAACATATTTTTAATTTTAAAATTATTTTATTGATTAAAATTTTTTTGTTTTATAGCTATTTTCTAAATATTAAAAGGCTTACTCAAATTAAATAAAATAGAAAAGCTGTTTTCAAATTTTGAGTTATTGCCATTTTTTTATTTTATTATGGTTTTATCTATTATTTATTCTAAATTAAAATAATAAAATTTAGTAAAATTTATAAAGCCAATCTAATAAATTTATTATTTTTTAAAATATAAAGTTATAAATAAATAATACAAATTAGAATTTATTTTATTATTCAATTAATACTTTTTATTTTAAAAGATTTACAGATTTTGCTATTTTAATCAATCAAGCAACTTCTTAGAATTTTATATATTAATAAAAAAAACTAATTTCTAATCAAGTAAATGATTAAATGTCTACTAAGGCTCACTCTAAGAGTCTGTTTGATAACTATTTTTGAAGTTAATAAAGTTGTTCTCTTTCTACTATTTTGTTCATACTAGAATACAGATCTTCAGGACCATCCATAGTATATTCACCATAAAAGTAGTTTTATTTTAACAAATCACCAAACCAAATATGGTTTTCACACCACATATCTTGAAAAGGAATATTTTAAAATTCAAACCATTAGGGCCTCATTTCTTCAGATTCTTATATTGAACCTTCATATTCACTAATGATAAACTAATGAGATAAAATTATCATCTTAAGTTTTGGTAGTGTGTATTTTATTAATCCAACAAACTTTAATTTAGTAGGAGTGATATTACATTCTTCTTACATTTCTCTTATTGCACCTTATAAAATTGTTTCATTTGAATCTACTTTGCCTCCAAATCCATTCCATTTTGCAATACCAAAACCTCTCTTTTTAAATCCAAGTAAAACTTTGTTTTCCTATATGAGATAGCAAGTAGTGCAGTTTTTAAAATCAAAATTCTCTTGGCTGTTATTCATTACGCTATAATCAAAATTATGTTCTGAGTTATATATATATATATTTAAAACTATAATTATAGTTTTTTATTTAAATTAATTTGATCTGCATATATATACATACAACTAGAACTATTAAAAGCAGCAATTATAAATTTAACTAAATATTAAAAAGATATTATTTTTAAACATTTTTAAATATTATGCTTAAGATTCCTAAAACAAACACAACCAATAAATAAGAGAAATAATCATAATTTAATTAATATATTAACGATGAATTGATAAATATCAAATGTAATAACTAAAATTTAGTTGGCTTTAGTTGTTAAAACATTTTTTTCTTATACTCTCTCTTAATCCATAACTTAGCATATTGAATCCAAGTAATACTTTGTTTTCTTTAATTAAATAACAAGTATTTAGTGTAGTTTTTATATTTTAAATTATCCAAATGATGATTGATTATTAGTTTATAAAAAATGCTGGCATTTTTGTTTTAGTAAAAAAATTAGATAGATTCCATAATAAGATGGTTTTTATAATATCTTTAATTTTCTAAAAATAATTCAAATGGTTAGCTAGATATATGAAAAAAATATATGATAATTTTTAAATATTATTTATTTTGAAATTTAAATACTTGATATTCAAACATTTAGCTGATGAATTCTAAATTAGTTATTTGTAAATAAAATTCTAATAGATACTGATATTTATTTATATGCTTATTTATGTCTTTCTTAAGTACTGAATTTAAAAAATATTATAATTTTTATCTTTATTATATTTATGAACAATTTTTATAAGAAATTATTATCTACTATATTTTTTCTAGTTATTAATAATGAACTCCAATATAAATTCTTTTAGTATCTAAAATATTGACTGATTGTAAATGGTTTTGTAATGAAAAGTAAATAAAGTGAATTGATGAAGATTTGCAGTATATATACAAATACAAATTGATTTTAATATAAATAATTAATTATTTTTTAATAATATAAAGTATATCTATTAAATATACTAACTAATTAGATTGGTTATTTTAATTAATAGCTTTTTTCATAGAAATCTATAATACCAATATTTTAATTGAGCATATAATTGATTGATTGTTTGTTTGTTTGTTTGTTTTTTTGCTTATTTATTATGTTGTATAAATAAATTCCTTAAAGTTAAACTCATTAACAAAATGTTGTATGGCTAATATATAAATTAACGCATTTTCGAGGGAGGAAAAAGTAAGTAATTTAAGAATACTATGAAATCTTATATTTTTTCTTCTTCTTTATTTGTTTGTTTGTTTGTGTGTTTAGCTCAAAGGGAATGAAATATTTTTGATTGAAGTTTTGATAATTTTAAATTGAATAATTAAAGAATGATTTTCATTTAATTTATAAGGGTGAGTTCTTTTATTAGTTATTTTTTATTTATCCTGGTTGGTCAGTTATTGTTATATTATCAACAAAACTGCTATTTTATGTAGGAGGAGCGGGTATTAGAAGTTTTAAGTAATCAGAGAATTAAAGTTTGAATTTATTTTCTTCGTCCTCCTCTTATTCATTTTAGTTTACATTATTATTGATATTGAATAACGCAAGTATCTCTTCCTTTAATAGTTTTATGTAACATTAAGAATAGTTGATTCCTTCTCTTTTCAGGCAGTTGCCAATATCCTCTTTTAAAATGACACCTTTCTTTTGAGTGTCAATATAATTAAATATTTTTTATTGGTAATCTTCATTAATCAGAATATTTCTATCAATATTTGCTTCTAAGAATTGGGTGTATTCAATGTATTCATCCATTTTAGTGTTGATTTATCCCACCTTTGATATAGAAGACTCAGACATGTTGCTTACTATTTTTTGAATTTCAGCAACAGATTAATTGTAACCAAGACTCGTCATTGATTTTTAAAGAGTTGCTGTATTAATGATGCCTTCATTGTTGTAATCAATGGCTCTTTATATAATAAATACATTTTTTATTATAATTTAATTGTAATAATTATTTTACCTGAAAACTCGAGTCAGATCTTTGATGAATGAATTATTTGAAAACATTTTATGGTAGAGATGAATGTAAAGACGCTAGAAGGGAGTTAATTTTTAGGGGTATGACTTAAGATTGTTGATGTGCTTAAGTTATACTATTCTTCCTTAATCATATTAATGAGTATTTTACATTTTAAACCATGGATGTTTGAGAGCAGATGACATGTCAATTCTTTTATTTGGATCCACACAAATCATTTTGGTTATAAGATCTTTCGCTTACTTAGAAATAGTAACTTCGTCTCTGAATTCAAAATTTCCTTTTCTTATTTATTCAAATATCTCTGTGTCATTTCTTCCTGTAAAGGGAAACTCTCCATAAAGTATGCAGTACAGTATTACTCCAAGACTCCAGATATCGCAACGTTTGTCATAATTTTGAGTAAGGACTTCAGGAGCAATATATTGAACAGTTCCTACTATAGTTTACATATTGTTTGACTTAGAAGAATAATTTGATTAAGGAGTATAAATAGATAAGCGCGATTGCTCTAATTTGTAGTTTTCATTCAGTTAGTATTTTATCATTTCAAGTTAGCTATTGTATTGCTTTGATAGGCCAAAGTCTATCATTTTCAGTTCTGACTAATCTCTCGTAAAAAGAAAATTTTCAGGCTTTAAATCTCTATGAACTATTCCTAGTTCATGTAAATATTTGACTGCTGATAACATCTAAGACATAACCTAGCTAGCCATTTACTCTGAAAATCTTTTTTATTCTAAGACTAGTTATAGTAATTATCCTCCATCACAATTCTATAAAATAAATAAATGATTGAATTGATAAATTTAAATTTATGTAGAAATAATTAACTATGTAAAGAAAGCGATTTGTTATATTAGAAATTTTTAAAGATTACAATTCACTTTATCGACTCTTTGTTGCGTTATGATAAAAATAGATGAAAGACAGATATATGCTTGTAATATTGTACAATCATGTGAATGATTTATTATAATTTATCTAAATTAAATGCCTTCTCAAATAAGCAGTATTCTTTCTTTAGTTGGGGAAAAAACTTTTTTATCAAAATATTGCACTTATGATGTTCAAATTTGATTATTATAATCAGAGAAGACGTATTATCCTTTGTTATTTTATAAGGTAGTTAATCAAATATCGTATCAAACAAACTAACAAGCAAGATAAATTATTTATTTAAAATTTTATAAGTACTATTTTTAGCTGTTTATTTAAAATTGTTTGGCTTAACAAAAATGTTTGTGATAGATACATACTAAAAGAAATTGCTCTTGATATTTTCAGTCAATTTTTTTGAAAATTCTTTTTGGTAGAGAAATTTTACATCAAAGTAGCATGTTTTGTGTATTTAATGAACTTTAAATCTTATTTATTTTGAAAAATTTACTATCAACTTTTAGAAACAAAAAACCTTTTAATGAATAGATAAACTCTTCAGATTTTAATCAGAGGAAAAGAAATAGAAAATCCAAAATTAAGATAAAAATTGAAATTTATTCAGATTTGCAAAGTTATTTTTGTCATGCTAAATAATAAAGTGATAGTTGACCATTTACTTATTTTGCTTGTTGAATTACTTTTATGTAGAAATTTTTTATTGCTTTTAAAAGAAACAAATTGAAATTGTATCTTTAATAGATTATTAAAGGCAAAGTAGAGTTATTCAAAATAATATTTTGCTTTCTTTTTAGCTAGTTATTTTTGTAAATTAATTTAATTATTTTAATACCTCCATAACCAAGTAAAAATGTTTATCATCCTGGTAGCATTCATAGAGTTTTGCAATGTTTGGATGGTCCAGTTGGCGAAAGATGCTAACTTCTCTATAAAGCCAGTCAAAATTTTTTGTATCTCCTCCTGCTTCTTTGGATATACACTTTACTGCAAACCTTTTTGAAGGGTTGGAAATTAAACTTGCTTCTTTTACTGTACCAAAAGTTCCTTTGCCTTGAATGAATATAAATAAGTATATATAAATTATTTAAATAACACAAATCAAATTTAAAATAAGTCTATATCAATATAAATGATGTAGATTTTAATAGAACCAGATTATTTATTGCTCTGAAATTGAAAAATTACACAGAGAATATTTTTCTAATGCAAAAATAAATAAAAAGCAAGCTTTCTTTACCTAAAACTGTATCTGAAATGTTATAAACGTTTTTGATATTTTCAGTGGTTATAAAGCACCCTAGCGAATCGCTAATTGAAGAATCGATGCAGATTTTTTTGTTCTTCCTCACTTCTGCTGCGCTGTTTGTCAAGGAGTTCTTTTACCCATCAAGGAGACATTCTTGAATGAGCTTATCGGGCTTTTGATTCTAGTTAGCTGTAGCAGCTGCATAGTTTTTAGATTTATCTGTAGTTTAGACATCCTTATCCTCTATTCTATGAGTTTTTTTAGGTTTACCATTAATACAAGCTTAGCCCATGTCTTAAAATCAGCTATAAACTATTTACTTAACAGTATAAATTAAATCCCTTTTGTCTTAGTATGATATGATGATAGAATAACTAAGTGTTTGCTAGTTTATTCTCTGCTTGATTCCTCTTTTTTTTATAGCTTTTATATACTATTATTATAAATATTATTAAACTTATTGAATTTTTTATGTATGTATTAAATATTTTTAATTAAAAGAATTATCATAATTAATTTAGTGATTCATATCGATTATATTTGCTTATTTGTAATATCTTGATTGATTTCTTCTTAGTTATTAATTGTGTATTTAGCTATCTATCTATCTATCAATCAGTCAATCTATTTATTAATCTATTTATTAAATGTGAATAACACAAATTTTTTCTAATATTTATATGCATTTTATTGAATCCCTTGCATTTTGAAGCTTAGTTGAAATTTTATACATTTACCAAACATTAAATCTATTAACTTGTTTATTTATTTATTGCTCTATGCAGAATGTAAATTTTTTATTTATTTTCTTCAACTTAAAATTCATTTCTATTTTATCAAAGTCAAACACAAATAAGCATTTTATTGATATATTTATTGTAAATACTTTTTACTTCTGGTCTGTTTCTGTACTCATGTTAATTTGAAAAATTAAGAAATAGATAATTAGATTGTTTATTTCCTTCTAAAAACATAAAAAATATTAAAATTTACTTACACAAAAAAATATGCGGTAAGCAGTTAACTTAAAATGCATTTAAAAAATCGCATTATTCAATTAATTTTAGTTTAGAAACAATAATCTTGGTAATAAAAGTAAATAGGTAATGAATCTATTGAATCTAAATTAGCTTAAAACATCTCTAATTGAAAATAAGATATATCTATTTAGTTTAAAGTTTTTTTTATTGTTTTGTCTATTATTGTAAGTAAGACAAAATATTCTAATCAAGATGATGTATATTACATACAATAATTCGTAATACTTAATTTTTATAGAATACATTTCAAACAGTTGATTGCATAATATAATTAAAACTTGTAGAATAATAAAGTTAAGTACATGTTAAGTGTACAAACAAGTTAATCAAAAAAAAATAAATTTTTTTTCTCTTTCAAGAATTAAAAATTTTATCTATTCCTAATGTAAAATTTTCTTATTGATATTATAATAAAAATATTCTAATCTAATAATAAATAAACATATTAAGAAAATTTAAGTGCTTTGATTAATTTATTCTAAAAATTAGACCTTTAACAAATAAAATTATAGATAAAAATAAATAACAAAAACAGTAATTTTATTTATTTAATTATGTGTACAAGATATTAACAAATTATTATTAATAAGTGCTATGAGGTTTGTAAAGAATATCAATTTAATTCTGATTTTATATCTGCAGCAAAAATAAAATCCTTTAAATTTTGGCATGTAGTAACTATACTTTAATTTAAATAAGTAAATCTTCTGTCTTTCATATAAGCATCTAACTAACTCTTCTCTTTAACTGTAATCTATATTTTTAAATATATAATTAGTTCTAGAATTAATCTACAATAAATTATTTTTAGATAATTTCTTTTCAATCGAATTTTTTCTGATCTTATTGCATAGAAAAATTAAAACAAAAGAAAAACTCTGGAACAGTCTTACTTTAATTCAGCTATATTTTATTGTAACTAAAAAACGAAAAAATTATTTGAATTTCTAGAATTATTCATTATTGTTTTATTTTTATTTAAAAATGATTTGCATTTTTTCTAAAAATAGTTATTGATCTATAAATGCTTTTAAAGGCTATTAAAAAATATATTTTCTATAATTTTAATTTTCAGAGGTTTTATAATAGGTATTAATATTAAAATTATTATTTTTTATCCTTTTTATAGTATATGCCTGATCTTGCTGTTTAAAATAGTTATAAAGAAATTAGAATTACTCTTCTAGAGGTGTTATAAAGATAAGTTATGCACATCGGGAATACCCTAGAATTATTTAAATAAGCAATTTAAAATCTGTACTTTAATTCATATAAATATATTTACATAAATGCAATAGGCGAATTGCATAAAAAGAATATAAGGTGGCATAAGGGAGTCATATAAAATAATCTGCTTTCATCATGGCACAACACAGCAATAAGAATTAAACTTATTAGGAAACCTATTTAAACTAAGAATCTAAGATTTCTATGCATTCCACAACTTTAAATAATTTAATCAAAATATTAACTTAGAAATAAATTGCTTATTTGAAATAAAATTATTACATAATTCCATAGATCCATAAAAAGCAGAAAAAGTAAAATCCGTATTTCAAAACAGGCCAGTCATCAAGTTTTGATCCAAAATCATCAGTTTTATTATATAAATCAATTGAAGCAGCCAAACTTGTTCCCATCCAAATTAACCCTAAAAAATATTAATAATGAAATTTAATAAAAAACTTCAAGATAATTTGGTATTATTTCAATAATATTTTGAGTAATATTTTCTGAATTTAATATTTTTTATTTTTTTACCAACTAAAGTCATGGATGTTAGGAAGTAAACGAAATATTTGTAGTTTCTTGCTCCAACACAATTTCCAATAAAATAGCAATGACTTTTTTAATAAACAAAAAAATTTATTTCAATATGTAGTAAAGTATGAAATTTTGATAACATTTTATCTATATCAAATCCACTTTTTTTATGAATCTCTATTTTTAACTAAATATTTATTTATCAACTTGTTTTAGTATTATTATGATATTTTTTATATAGAATATAATATGTTATCAGTCTTTTTATTAAATTTCAACTAATATTATTACTGGTCGTAGCCTTTTACGCAGTAATCACATCTAGGACAATGAGAAGCTTTGGGAGGACGAATGATCTTACAGGTAGCGCAATATCTCTATGTGTAAAATTATATGGGTTGCTCATGCTTAATTTACTCTATAAAAGCACCTCCTTAATGATCATAATCAATTTTATACTTTATATCTGCCTTTTTCTATTGAATTATAATGAATAAAAAAAACTAATTTAACTTTATTAATTTTTACAGGTTCTTCCTTCTTATTTTATTAAGGTTCTACGATGTTTATCTCTTTTAAATTATCTTTATGATGTTCTTCTGGATTTTCTGGTTGATATTTTTAATCAGCTTTTGTTGAGTCTAAACTACTTTCTTGAGATTGCTATTCCTTTTCTAAATCTTTAAATGGATCCTATTCAATATTTCCTTTAGGAATGACTCCTGGTTCGGTTGTTATACATCTGATATAGCTGTATGCAAACCAAATATTAAATACAATGCTTAAATAAACAAGGTAGTCAACATCGAAAGTCTCTAATGTGTATCTACCAACGAAAGTATAATAGTACACTTTTTTATTTTAAAACAAATTATGAAGAGCTATGTGATTTTTTGTATTTATTTTTATTACATGTTGAAAGAATCAACCAACTTCCTACAAAAGTTACATTCCACTTATCACCTGAATTGAAAAGCCAGATATTTCTATTTAGATTTACAAACAATTCATTAAAATACCTATTTATTTTTTAATAATCTCTTTACCCTAATTTCAAAATTGGCTTTTTTTCAATTGGTTTTCTCTATCTGGTTCTTCTGCCACTGCTGCTTGGTTAATTTTACTATTCTTCAACTTGCAACATATTAGTGCTGGGATTTGCCATTTAGTATCCCAGGGATTCGTACTTAACATCCATTCCTAATAAATCTTGCTTTATTTATATATATTATTTAATAGATCTTTTAATTAACTATTTGCTTTTAAATTATATTTTAACAAACTTTTCAATAGAAGCAATTATATCCAATTAAATTATGACGCCTTTTATTATTTATCAGCCTCTGTAAATTTTAAAGCATAAATTTACATATCACTAATTAAAACAATACTTTTTACTCTTTCTCAACAAGAATGCATAAAAACTAAGATGAAATATAGTTTTCTGGGTTCCTTATCTATGTTATTATTACTTGATATTTGATACAAAATAGCTATTTTGTGTACCAAATTAATAATTTGAGCTCCAAAATTTTTCTAAATTCTTTTGCTTGCTTACTTCTTTAAAAATCATCCTAATTTCTAATTCAAAGATTTCTGCAAAAAAAAATTTTTTGATCAGAATTTATCTTTGCATATTTTCAAAGAATTAATAGTGAAATAAATCAAAAGCTAAAATAATTAATTCTAAAGATATATTTTGAAGTAATTTAGATGAATTTATTATATAAGATCTATTTCTGCAATTTTAAATCAAATGGTAAATATAAAAACAAATAAAATTTTAGTATTCAAATAAAAAATCATTAAAACAAATTATGTTTATTTAAAATACCTTAAATCTTCATGAATTCTCAATTACTCCCAACTCAAATTCCAAACGACCCTTATAGTAATAATTAATTAATTTACTTTAAATTTTTTAGGAAATGTGGTTAGAATTAATGAGGATTTACAGTATAATAATTTGTAATCCATAGACTGTTTAAAGTATTTATTTAATTTTAGATAAGTATAAAATTTTTTTTGAAGACAAATATTGAATAAATAAACTATAATACAATCATTTTGTTGAAATATACTATCTCTATATTATTATTTTTGATAATGGCTAAAACAGTTGCTTTTGAACATAAAATATTGTCTTTGATCAATTTAGCTCTATCTATAGAAAAAGGTAAAATCCTTTTTTAAGCTCTTTTTATCGAATGACTAATAAAGTTTAAATTATAAAATAAATCCTTAATTGATATTTTAAGAATAGTTTATTTATTTATTATATGTGGAATACAAATTTAGGTATTAAATTGAGAAAGTAGAATTTAGATGTTTTTAAATTAAAAATATTAATATCATTTAATTTAATAGCTTCTGAATCTTTTATATTTGCATTTGTCTACAAATTATTAAAATCATTAAAATTCTAAATAATTAAAAACTTAAATTAGTAAAAGATTAAGATGAAAAGAAAGGCAAGATTAAATTTTAGTACTGACTATTTACCTATAGGCTAGCATTAAACTAGTAAGAGAGTACATAGAGAAACTGAAGAGGATGATGAATAGCAAAATAAAACTAATTGTGATAGGTTATAGGAAGAATAAAGTAATTAAAATCATACTTAAGGTGAAGAAAATAATATTTAGATTGACTAAGATAAACCTTTAAGAGAAAAACGAGCAATTTAGGATGATTCAAGCAAAGTAGAATCAGTTGAAGAAATTATTTAAAGAAAATTATCAACAAATCCAATAAATTTAATCAAACAAGGTAAAGAAAATTAATATGGAAACTTTAGAAGCTACTATGATCACAGATACGAAAAGAAATGGAGTGATCCAAGATTAAAGGTTTTAGATAGAAATTGGTTTTTAAACAAGGAAGTTCTAGATATAGGATGTAATGATGGGTCCCTGACATTACTGATTGCAATAAAGTACTTTCCATTTAAAATAGTTGGAATTGATATTGATTTCAATCTGATTAATAAAGCTGTAGGTAATTATAATTTGTTAGAAAAGGAGTAGTCTAAATGCAAAAGCAGCTGCAACGAACACAGTGAGGATAATAATAGCTCTTAGAATTAGTAAGATAACTATAAAAAAATTAAAGATAAACTGAGTAAGATCCCTAAAAGTTATTTAATTGATAGGAGTAAATAAAATGAAAAATTAAAAGAGATGTTTCTCAAAAAAAATGCTGACAACATATTATAAAATCCTGATTCTAATCACTTTTAAATGGAACTTGAAAAGCCATAAGGTCATACAAATTTAATTGGCAATAATGATAGCTTAAATAACAAAGATAATTTAACTGAAAATATTTAAAATATCTAATAAAATTTGATATTATCTGAATTTAATAATGAATAAGCATAAACAGAAGATAAGAAATAAATTTAATGTTAAAATAACGAAGAGGTTATCAAAGTTTAACAAGAAGATAGTCTTAAATAGTTAAACTAAGAAAATTAATTAGAGAAGGATAAAGATTAAAAATTCAATGAGAGTAATGTTAAAATTTAAGAGGAATCTTAAACATTTGAGTAATAAACTGAATGTAAATAAAATTAGAATTTGAATAGTTAAGTTGATGATAATTAGTAAGAAAAAAAAGATGAAGACACTGAAAATATAAAAGATGAAACAAATAATTTAAATAAAGAACTAACTTTAGAATAGCAAAATAATGTTAGCAGCGAACACACATAAGTTTAGTAAGAAGGAGATAACCAAATTTAAAGTTTTCCTTAGTAGATTGTGATTAAAAGAAGATTTCCATAAAATACAAAATTTAGATTAGAAAATTATGTTGAGAGTACTGAGCTTACTGAGAAGTTTGATACCATTTGCTGCTTTTCTACTACAAAATGGATTCACTTAAATTTTGGTGACTAAGGTATAAAGAGACTATTTGATAAAGTGTATAGGAGTCTGAGAGTTAATGGAATTTTTATTCTTGAACCATAAGAGTGGAGATCATATAAAAAGAAATAAAGTTTTAGTGAAGAATTTAGATAAATACTCAAATCAATCAAGTTGCATCCAGGAGAATTCAAGCAACATTTATTGGAAAATTACAAATTTATCTTGGAAAAAGAAATTATACCTGAGCTCAACAGTAATAAGGTTCCTGCCTTTTTCAAAAGAGTTGTCTATGTTTTTAGAAAAGTTGAATGAAATTAAAATAATGCAAACCATTTTACTTTATTTAAAATTGAATAAATTTCTATTTATTTTTCAATATATTAATAAATAAATAAAAAATATTTATTTTTATCTCTTGTGTTGTCTACTTTAAAAGTAAAATACTTAAATAAATACAGTATATTATATATATTTCGTTTAATTTCATTAAACTAAGAAATTTGAAAGCTAAACAGATGATATTAAATATATTTTATACTTCTTGGCTGATTAATAAAGACAATCTATTAAGAGTAACTTTTAGTAGCTTATTTTAGAAAATTATAAAATAAATATATTCAATTTTAACTATTATAATTGTATTCTATCTTAAAAATTATATAATTTTTTTGGTTTGTTGGCTAAGTCATTTTATAAATCTATCGTTAAAAATAAACATATAGAAATGAGTTTTGATTAGTTTTTTTGGGATTAAAGTAAACTGTCTATCAGCAGAACAAATCCTATTTATTTAATTATCTGCTTTATTATTATTAATTTATTAATAACTAAAAATTAAAAGATATCCAAGAACTTCTAGTTCGTAATTTATTATTAATTTTGCAAATATCAAAAATGAGTGACAGCGAAGAAAGCAAAGTTTCTTAAAACGAAAAAAAATAATAGCTTATCAAATAAAATTAGTAAAGAAAATAAAACTTAGAAAGCGCAGATGTTGGTCCTTCTGTTAAGTTATTAAAAAATAGTAATTTGAATTGAATTTATCTGTTTTTTTGAAAAATAATCATCATAAAATAATAGTTGATATTGTTGATGTGCTATTAAAAAATGTTCCAAGTGGAGAAATGTATGAAAAAAGTTACATGCATAGGGAGGTTGTTAATATGAGTAAAGCTTATAAATTAATTTCTAAAAGTATTTAATTTTATTCTTTATATTTTACTTAGTTATAGGAGCTCCTAAAAACGATACGATTATCACAATTAGTGTAGACGGACATGTCAAATTTTGGAGAAAAATTTATCAACTAATTGAACAAATCAAATACTTTAGATGTCATAAAGGTCCAGTAACAGGAGCATGTATTTCTTTGAGTTAAGATTCTCTTATTACTGTTTGTGCTTCTGACTAAACCATGAAGAAATTCGATTTACTGAGCACTGATTTAAATAACTTTTAGAAATTCGATTTTAGACCTGCCACTTGCTAATTTGTTTAGTTAGATGACAGAGAAACAACATACTTATGTGTGTAAATAAATTTATAAACATATTTAAAAACAAATAAATTTTTTATTAAATACAAATTTTAAATTAACTTATAAAAATTTTTTTTTTTTAAAGAAATTTCAAAAATTTTTTATTTTTAAATAAAATCTAGATAAACTTTTGTAGTTTTATTTAGAAATTTAAAATAATATTTGATTTTTTTGAAATATTTTGCTGAAAAATTCATGTTTGTTATTTTAATATATAGGAGTGATTTCGATAGTGGAAAAATTAATGTTTATGATGATGTCAATGAAGAAAAATTAAATTTGGTAAAGACTCTTGAAATACATTCTAATTCAGTTAGGTTCTTGTTCTTTAATAAAGAATACGATTGCTGTGTTAGCATTGATAAAGGAGGATTTATTGAAATTTGGGACCCAAAGACTTTTGATTTTCCTGAGAATAGTAAGTTCAAGTTCAGCTCTAAGCTTTAAACAGATTATTTCGAGTTATTGAAGAAGTAAGTTGTACCCTTAGGAGCTTGTTTGTCTAACAATGGCTAATATTTAGCTATTTACGGCAGTGATAAGCAAATTCGTATTTTTAATTTTAAGACAGGCAAAATAATTCACACTATTGATGAAAGTGACAAGCGTATTTAAGAAATTTAAGATAATGATTAAGATCCAGAATACAAATTGCATAAGTTAGATAAATTTGCTTTCAGTAGACGTATGGCTACAGAGAGAGAAACCGAAAAAATATTTGATCCTACAAATTTGGAAGCCAATAGCATTTCCCTTTAATTTGACGAAAACAACGAAATGTTAGTTTACCCAACACTGGTTGGTATTAAATACTACTCTTTGTCTAAAGCAAAAATAGTCTAAGTTTAAGGTAAAAACGAACAAGAACGCTTTCTTAAATTATTCCTCTATCAAGGTAAGCCCATGAAAAATCCAAGCAACACTGGTGGTTCTTAAAAGCTTGCATCAGACCCTCTACTCATAGCTTCTGCATTCAAGAAAAATCGTTTCTATTTGTTTTCAGGTAGAGAACCTGAAGATTAGCAAGATAAGATTTTATCAAGAGATGTATTAAATGAGCGTCCTTCAAAAGAAGAACAATAAATGGCATCCTAACTTCTAAGTTAGCAACAAGAAAAGAAAAATAACTCAACAGCTAGCTCCGCAAGAATAGAAACCACATAAGGTGACATTGAAGTAGAGCTCTATGATAAATTAGTACCAAAGACAGTAGAAAACTTTGTAACTCATTCTAAAAATGGCTACTATAATAATCTCATTTTCCATAGAGTTATACCTAATTTCATGATTCAAACAGGTTGTCCTAAAGGTGATGGAACAGGAGGTAAAATAAAATAAAAAAATAAATAATTTTAAAAAAATTAATTTGCTAATAAATGAACGAAAAATTAGTTCTATGAATAGCTTTTTAAGAAGCATATTTGTTCTAGTTAAAAAATAACTAATTTATTTTTAAAATTTTAGGAGAGTCAATTTGGGGTGGCGAGTTTGAAGATGAGTTTCATCCTAAGCTTAAGCATGATAAAGCAGGCACTCTTTCTATGGCAAATGCTGGTCCAAATACAAATGGATCCTAATTTTTCATAACATGCAATCCAACTGAGTGGTTGGATAATAAGGTATATTAATTGTAAAAACTATTTTATATTTAAATTTTAATGAATTATAAAAAGCACACTGTTTTTGGAAGAGTTACAAAAGGAATGGATATTGTTTAATAAATTGCTACAGCAAAAAAAGATAAATTTGATAGACCTTTAAAAGATATAAAAATTAGAACTATTGTGATTATATCCTGATTTTTAAAGTAATTGATTTAAGTAAAATAAGAAATTAAGTATTAAAGTTACATATAATCAAATTAATTTTATTTTCTTGTATATTTATTTTTAAATCAATCTTAAGTAACATAAAAATCTTTACAATAACTATCTAAGTATTTTTATATTATATTTCGCTTATTATTATTTACTTACTGCCTAGTAAATCTAGCTAGGCTCTTTTTAATATAATTAAAAAAAAATACTATCTGTTTTAAATCAATTTAAGGTTACATGCAAAAGCTTTGTAAGATTTTATACTTTTATTTGTAGAGAGCTTACTTTCCAAATAATTATTGCATCTTATAAGGATAAAAGGTTTAAGTTCTGTAAAAGCCTGTATATATAATTAGATGACTTTAGTTGGTTTATAAATCATACAAATAATAATAAATTGATTAAGATTTTCTAACAAAAAAAACATTAGAAATACTGAAAATTATTGAAATTATTAAAAACAATTAAAAGGAAAATTAAACCAAGAAACAAGCCATAGCTTTTTTAAAAATATGTCAATGGACTAATCTATATTAGGTTAACTACAGATCATCTAAAACTTTAAAATGATGACAAGTGGTAATTTTGGAGATTTCAATTCAAGATGCTCACTTCAAAGCTTTAAAAATATTTTTATTTGCAAAATAGGTGCTTTCTTTATTAAACATCACAGATTTACTTGTCCTAAGTTGAGATTTATATGGGTTACAGAAGATATAAAGGAGATCTGTTGGAGTGAACCTAAAAGCTAGAAACAGAAAGTTTCTGGAAAAATAAGGGTAGAAGTAATATACTTTCATTTTTGCTAAAAAAGTTTTTTATAACTATATTTTTTTTGTTTTTTAAGGAGATCACAAATGTAAAGGTAGGAGCTGTAAAATCTAAAACACTACCAAAAGAAGAAATGAGTAAGTTTAATTTAAATAGATAGATAGATAATATTAAATCTTACTGCATATATTATAATTAGACAGAAATAACAACATTATAAGTCTTGTAACAGAGAAAAGAACTCTTGAAATAGAAGCAAACAGCTCAGTAAATAATTTAATATTTTTGATTTAGTCAACATAAGCGTTTACACTCAAAAAAATTTCAGTGGTTCTAAATATTATCTTTTTATAGAACTTTTGAGTGCTTTATATTCAAAAAACTAATTTTTAAATAGATCATATCTTAATACATATTTGAATTTTTATTAGATATAAAGAGATCAGTGGTTAAATTTTATAGAAATTCTGCTTGAAAAGAATGGTATTGCTGCTATTTAAATCCAAAATCATAACTAAAATAATTAATATTTATCCTGATTTGATTGCTGTCTTCATCCGACCAGAAAAATTTCAAAATAATTAATAATTAAATTAATTACATTTTTTCAAATTTTATTCAAATTATAATTAAAAGAAAATTTACACTAAAATAAACTATTAATTAACAATTTATTAATCTACTACTAATCTGTAAATATTTATACTCGTTTCAAGAATTTATATTGTATCCTCTTTTCACTTTTATTCAAGATTTATTCAAACCCATCTAATTAAGTATTAACCATTAAGTAAATCTTCATTTTATTTTCATTTCTCTTCAATATTCTAGTAACCTAATTCATTATTTATTTTTTTTAATATCTTTATTGATTATCTAATTTTTGTTATTTTGGATTGCTTAGAGCTGAAGAAAGAAAATGAAAGGTTAAGCCGATATTTATAAAAAAGGAAAACAATTAAACTAAAATCTATTTATCAGATCAAACCGTTAAAAAGGTACTTTTTCTTACATTTTTTTAAGAAAATAACCGCAGAGACAATAATATTAATTCTAAAAATACTAAAGAAAAGTAGATTTTTTAAAATATTCAATTTTTAATGATTTGATAAAATATTTAATTGTTAATTAATAATTTTAATGATTTTATAAAATATTTAATTGTTAATTAATAATTTTATTATTAAAAATAATAAATAAAAAAATCTTAGAATATTTTGAAAAAAAATCAAGCTAGGCTAATAATTTAGTTAATATTTATTTTTTTTATTTAAACAAGCTAATTTAAAGCGCAATAATTCAAATAAACCGAATAAATTAAATCTAAATTCAATTATTTTAAAATAGAGATTACATTTTAATTATTTTTATGATTAAAATATTTTAGATAAAAAGTAGATTTATTTATTATATTTTTTTTATAATGAATATTTTTTTAGTCTATTTTTAAATGTTGATATATAGATAGAGTGAGGAGATTTTAGAAATAATACAGAATAAATACTAAGTTTTTGTATTACCAAACACTTATATATAAGATAGATAGAAGCTTAAATCATAAGTACTTAGATTAATAGATAGAATTTAAAATAATAAAGAAATTCAGCGAAATTTTCTTGCATATTTAAGAAAGAATGATTAAATTAGCTTAATAGATGAAGAATGCCAACAAAAATATGATGATAGAAGAAGAGGAAGAGTCTATTTAGCATTCAAACAGCAGTGCAAATAGTTAAATGAATGAATAGTTAGCTTAAATCAGCAAAAGCGTTGAACTGTATTCTGTTAACTAAAACCATTTGAATGATTACAACAATACATTAAGTTTTTCTGATTTAAATAATTCCCTCCGCTTGCAACATTCGCATGAGTTAGATTATTAATATTTATAAAGCAGACATGATTAATTTCAATTTTATTTCATTTATTAAATTCACAGAGGGATAAGCAATGAAACTCCTTTTTAGCAAAAAGCATTTAACAAACAATCTAACTTAAAGAAAAGGTAATTGAATCATTTAAAAAATTTTTAGTTTTTTTAAAAAAAATCTCATAAATAGACAATTAAATAAATGGTTTATTTGTGGTATTTTAGGTTTAAATTTTGTTTTTTATTTATTTTATTTCATGCTTTAAATCAATTTAGTTAGAATACCATTTTTAATAGCAAAAAAGGGATTTTAGGAGTATTTGAGAATTAATCTTATTAAAATAGCGAGTGTTCGAGTACCTTAAAGCTATAGAAATTTAAAAGTTTTTGGCATATTAGATTTTCTAAAGATTATTAGGAAATACTAAAACAAAATCTGAATGATGAAAACTGCTTAGTTTATGTCTGCGAACCTTAATTTTATAATAGTCATATTAAATTAAGGGTACTTCTTTAACCATAATAAGGCGTTTTTAGTGGAGCAACTATTAGAGTAATAAAATAATTATTTTACTTAATAAGCAAATAAATTTTCAACACTTAATTTAAATTGTAGATTTATTTCATAGTAACGAAAGACTACCCTTATAAACCTGTTTTAGCATTTGCAGAAGAGTATATTTATCATCCTAATATAAACAATAACACAAAGCAAATATATTGGAAAATACTTGATGACAGAGAATGGAAACCAACATTGACGTAAATAAAATTTTTATATATTTTTTTTTATCAAGCTTTTAAAATAAATAGATTGTATTTCATTATTCTTTAGCTTAAATTTGCATTCATAGAACCTGATCTTACTTTTGTTCCTAATAATATTGAGAATGTGCAATGTGCAGAGCTCTTTCAATGCAACCAATAAGAATTTAGAAGAAAATTTTTAATTTTCTATCAGTCAAATGACACTAGTTCTTTGGAAAAAGATTTATCTAATAAGATGAACCTAGAAGAAAATCATATCGAGGACTCTGAAAGAGAATTCGGAACATTAAACCAATTAGATTATCAATGCAAACCTAGCCATGTTATATAAAATAATATACCAAGGACATTCCAAAATTAGAATCATTTTCCAAATTAACAAAATTAGCATTAATAATTTACAAGCTTAAAAAGTTAAAATATTTTTCATGGTTTTTAAAATATTGACTAACATTTGAATGCCGATAGCTTTGAAAGCAATTTAAAAATATTTGATCCTTCTTCTGCATAAATTTTCCAGAATATAAATTATAATGGTGGAAGTAGCACTTTGAATAAAAATAATCCTTTCTAATCCAGCAATTTCGAAAACATAAACTAATAATAAGAAGGAGATATGAATTATAACTAAAATTTCAACTACTTTCAGCCATAGCCTTAAATAAGCAATTTTGATAACCAAACAAATAAGAATATACTAGATGCTGAATATAATAACTTTGAAAATCACTTAAATATTGCATTTTAAAAGAATTAAACAAATTAAAATTACAATTTTTTCAATAACAATTTAATGAATTTTAACAACAACAACAACAACAACAACAATAATAACAACAATACCAACAACTATATGAATAGTTACTGCTCTTCAATTTCTTCTGCTTCTTCATCAGCCTCTGTAGAATAAGAAAATCAATAAAAAATGGAAGATGAAGCCAATAACTTTAAACAAAGCTCATTCAACAAACTTCACATTTTAACAAGACACCTTTCCTTGGGTCAAAATAGTAGATCCCAAAACAATGAAACAGCTTTAACTCCAACATTAAGAAGTGATAGAGATCATTCCATTAGAAATTAATTTATAAGAGGATCTAATGAGCCTCTAGCAGAAGACTAAGAAGAAGTCTTATTATCAGGAGATTCTAGCAACAACCAATCTAATTACCTTCTAATACAAAATCCTTTCGATTCTACTAAAGAACAAAGCTTTCTCATTACCAGTCAGCTAAACACTACAAGTTGTCAAATGCATCCTAAAAAGAGAAAGTACAAACACAATCAAACACAAGAAGATTCAAATACTTTTGACTTAGGAAAATAAAGTAAGCTAGCTTGAGATGCTGCTCAAAGACTAATTTAACTAATTAACCAGGATTAGATTTTAAATAACTTTCCTCATTTTATGAAATTACAAAAATAAAAAATAAAAACAATAAATAATAAATCAACCATTTTAAACCTAATGTAGCTTATCCAATTTTCAAAATAAATCAAAAAACAAATAAAAATAAATAAATAAATAAAAAAAGTAAATAAATTGTTTTAAAATAAAAATATATTTCAATTAATTCAATATAAATTAATAAAAAATATAAATAAATATTTTAGCTAAAAATTTAAAAACAAAAAACGGAAAATTACTTAATTTAATAGCTAATTGTATATTTTACTCTATTTTCTATTAAAATTCATTCAATTAATTATTCTTTTAACTTATCAGAGCTTATTTATTATTTATTAATTATGCAAAAAATTCAAAATAAATTATTCTTCATCTATTCCAACATTTCAAAAGTGCAATAAACTTTATCAAAAACTTTCAAACATTTTTAATCTAATGAATTCTTAAATAAATATGTTTGAATACATTTTTTAGGTTTATATGCTTTAATCGTACTGAAAACTATACATGATAGTAATTAGTTAAAACCAAAACTGACTTAGAATTTTAAAATAAAAATTGAATATTGGTTGAGAATAAAAAATATTAAGAGGAATTTCTAAAATTAACCTTTGACAAAAAAAATCAAAATTTTTCATTTTAATCCTTAATTTAAAGAAAAAAAAATGAATAATATTAATGAAAATGGAGGTTAAGTTGGAATGTTTTTTTTTAATTTAGAATAATTATAACTTCATCAATTATTAGTGTTTTTTAAAAAAGCTTTTTTATTTTCTTTACCAAAAAACTTTTAATGGAATTCATTAAATTAGTTAACTAATTTATTTTTATACCAATAAAGTTGTTACAAATAGAATATTTAATTTATTTATGAATTTTCATATTATTATGCTTTTGTAATATAGACAATTATGTGAAAATGTTTGTTTACATTTATTTGGTCAAATATTAGAAATAAATAATTGTTTTCTACAACAAGAGAATAAATTTATATTTTAATAGTATATTAAGAAATTAACACGCGTTTGTAATGTGATTTTCTTATGTATTCTAAGAGGACTAATTTTGAATGGAAATGAACAGCTCTTATATTTACAATTTTACAGCCTAACATTTTGATTAAAAAGGTCTTTATTTAATTAAAAAAATATATAAAAAAAAAGTATTAAAATTTTCATTAAGTTTACATAAAAAATTAAGCACAAATTTAGAAAAATGAATGGAGGTAATAAAAAGCAAAACGGCAGCGCTGTTTATAGGGATATAGAAGAATAAAAAGTAGAAGAATTGCAAGAATCAGTTTAGAGTTTGAAATTTCTAGCTTAAGACATAAGTAACCATTTAGATAGCGAAAAGAAAGACCTCTTAAATAAAATGAGTTCTAATTATGAAAATGGCACGTAATCATTGAAAAATGTACTTTCTAAGATCGACGATGTTCTTAAACATGGAGGAGCTTCAAGAACTACATGCTATTTAATTGGAATAATAGTTATTTTTTTCTTTTTGATGTACATTATCAAATGATTACCAAAAAATTAATCATAAAGAGTACCTTAAACTTGATTGAATTTTAAAAACATAACAAAATAAATTTAGCACAAATAGTTAAATATGAAAGCTTTTTTCTATCTATTAATAAAATATCTTTAGCTATAGCGACATAATTAAATTATATTAAAAAGCACTAAAATATATAATAAATTCTATTTATAACTTCACTTATCTGTCATTCCAGTATATTTTTGTAAATATCAATAAATCTCATTTTAAAAAGATTTTCAAAAAATTTACATCAATAATCGATCGCTCAATAAAATTTCCTTTTATTACATACTGTAAAAAATTTTTTGTAATACAATTTAATCGGATTTCTTTTAAAAAATCCTTATTTTTTATATAATTTAGATCATATTATGATATAGACTTACTTAAATCTATTCTAGTTTTTCTAATATCCTTAAATGTTTTTGGTGTAAAGACTCATTAAGTATCTTTGTGTAACTTAAAATGGGAATTGAATAATATTACTCTCAAGTTAAATAGAAAAATAAAATTTATATATTTACCATCATAATAAATAAAGAATGAAATCAAACATTGAAAAATACTTTTTATAATTTATTTCAAATTAGATAATAAAATTGCTTTATTATTAATTTACACAGACAGAAAGAGTATGACTATGTGAATTTAATATAAAAGTAAAAACTAGATAATTATATATAAATTAATGTTGAGTTTCAAAAAAATGTACAATTATCACTATTTTATTAATTGAATAAAATTAGTTTGTTAATAATTTACACAAAGATGGTAATTCATTGTTTAAATTTATATCTAATTAATTAATATAAATTTTAGAATTTATTATTTACTTTAAAAATAAAATTATTTGATTAATAATTTCATTTATTTACTATAAAAAGTAAATATCTAGTAATTAATACTTTAATTTATCTCTATCTAGTTAGTATAAAATTTATGGTAATTATTATTTTTTTGATACAATTAAAATATCACCTTATAAATAATATATGAAGAAGTTAATATACTTCTCATTTATTGAGTATTAAAAAAGATAATTTGGTAATAAATATAAAAAATTTATCCTTAGTTTGCATAAGATTTATGATGATAATTATTTTATTTATATACAATATTACATCACTAATAATTTATACTTAAAATTTAATTATTTATTATAAAAATATGAAAATTTGGTAATTAACACTTTAAATTTATGTCTAGCTAGATATTATAAAATGAACGTTAATAATTATTTAATTTGTATAATAAAATTGTTTCATTGCTATTAATTTATACATAAAAGTTAATTATGATACGTGTATACTTATTTAGTATAATTTTATTTAAATTTTAGTCATTTAAGGGAAATAAATAATTTTTTGTGTGTGAATAATATGTGAATTTATTATTTTACAATAGAAAGTAACGTCATGTAAAAGAAATTAAATATTTTTTACTATTTGTTAAATATTATACTTATTTTAAGAACATGAATTTTATTAATAATTAATTGTCACTATCAAATTTCTTTTGAATTTTGAACAATATCTTTTTTGTTTTATTGATTAATATGCGTTGATTTCAATCAGTATAATCAGTTAAACACATTATCATTAAAAGATGACTAGTTTGTCTTGATTTTTTTTTCCGCGCTTATTCGATGGAAAAGTATTTTAACAATATTAATAGGCAGGTATACTATTTATCTATCTTTCGTTGGTCTATTTTAAACATTAATTTAAGATATACTCATATTCTAATTAATTAATTAATAATTAATTAAATTGATTATCAATTAAGATACTTAAAAAAAATTAAAAAGCAAAAGTAAATAAATAAAGATTAAAATTTCAAATGAAGTAAATTTGCTATTATTAAAAACAAAATTTAACTTAAATTTTTAAAGTTAAAAGAAAAGAATAGGTATTTTAGGAGGTACTTTTGATCCTCCAACTTTAAGCCACATTGAGATAGCTAAACAGTCTCTACTTCAACATGTTGTAGACGAAGTTTGGGTAGATTTTATTTTATTAAAATAAAACAGAAAGTTAATTTTTATTATATTTAGATTGTTCCATGTGGCTTAAGAACTGATAAAATTACTCAAACTGAACCCAAGCATAGATTAGAAATGGTTAGTATTGCGGTAAAGGAAGTGATCGAATAAAATCCCTCCCTAGAAGGAAAATTAGTCACGTAAGTCTTAATTTATCTATTTTTTTAGATTAATCTTGTTTTATTAATAACAAAGAAATGATATTGAAGTTAAGAATAACAGAACCATCCCAACTTATCCACTAATGAAAAGATTCGAAAAAGAAAACCCTGAATATGATTTTTATTTTTTAATGGGCTACGATCTTATCAAAGGTCTTCTTAGCTGGGATCAAGGTTAAGAATTAGTAAATGAAATAAAGTTTATCATTGCTGGCTAACCAAATTTAGAATGGAAGCAATTCGATGATTATTTTCCTAAAAATTATAAATTGATTAAAATATATGAGAATGTAAGATCAACTAACTACAGAAAAATAATAGTAGAGAGCTACAAGCAAAATAATAACTCTTACCCAGCAGATTTAGGTCTAGAAGCTGGACTGCTATCTTAAAATATAATAAATTATATCATCTAAAACAATCTTTATGTTTAACAAATTTGATATATATTAAGTGTAATTATTTATAAGCTTATTAATTAATTCTACAAAAAAATACTTCTAAAAAGAATTAATAAGTTTTAAAAGAAAGTAATTTTTTATTTATGTGTTTAAATTTGGATAAAAAACGCATTAAAATTATTTTCTTAAAAATTAATTTTTAAAAATTTAATATATTTTACATATTGTTTGTTAAGGCCATCTTCATATTATTGGTAAAAAATATTAATAACTCGTTTTAGTGAACAAATAAAAAAATTTTTATGTTTCCTAGTTATTTTATTGTAAAAAGTGAAACAATAATATTCATGAATTACCAAAAAATTGAAAAGTTATTTTTATAATAAAAGTTATTTAAGAGATGTCATTTTTCAAATTTAATTTAATTTTTTTGTAAAAATAAATTTAAAGTATTTCAGTGGAAAGTAAATTAAATATTATTTTAGTATTTTTTTGTGCATTATTCTTAATGATAAAATCAATTAATTAATAAAAAAATGTTTACTAATAAAGTCTTAGAAATTTATGAAGTATATAAAAATCAATATAATGTTTTTTACTTACTTTTTCAAATAATTAAGTATGGTTAATTTTTTTAAGATATAACATTTTTTTTCAATTATTATTTTATTTTCATTCTCATTAATTTTTTAAGCTTTCAAAAATATATTTTTTAATTTTGCTTTTTAAAAAATAAATGACATATTTTACCAATTTGAATAACACAAACAAGATTTTTACTAAATTTAAATATTTGATAAAAACAATAGTGTTCGATAAGCTCTATCTAATTCAAATTATATAATAATATCTAATGAAAATTTAGCTATTAATTTATTTACTTTAAACAAATTTAAATCAAAAGAAGATGAAAGACAAACTAAAATTTCAAAATTTTATTGCTTTTGATTGATTCTTCTTTGAATAATTAAATGATTTGAATTTTCTCCTACTGAACACAATAATGAAAGAAAATAAATTACAAATAAAGTTATTCAAATAGATTAATTTGATTTTTACATATGATATTTTTATTAATAAAATATTTTTAGATTTAAAATAACTTGATATTCATTTTTTTCTTAAGAACCTGTCTTCATTATTTTTAAAACTGAAATTGTATTATTCATTCTAATCGTTTGACTGACTATTCTTTTTTGTTGATTACTGCATACTTTGAATCTATTCCGAACTTTGTTAATTTCTCATATTACTCTGTGAACTTAAACTATCAGAGCCTAGTTGGTCTTTTGTTTATAACTTGTTTTTTGAGATTATTGTTTGGTTGCTTTATACTATTTGAGGAAGTTTTTCGTTTGTTAATTTACTAGGAATCGACCTGCGGCTAATCAATTTATCAGAAACGTGTTCTTTACTCTTATTAAAAGATTAATCAACATCATTATTCATTTTACTTAAAGAAGTATGAGTATTACTTTCAGATTTCAATTAATTAAAATTAATTTAATTTTAAGTGTTTAATTTTGTCTCATTTTGCATATCAATAGTATTCTTTGTTTATCTTACACTCATACTGTTATCTCTTTATGGTATTTAATATTACTATCTTTCTTCTAAATCATTATTTTAATTTGCTGTATCCTAGCTGTTTTGATCAATAGCATTTAATTCTTAAGTTTATGGAAGCTGAAATGGCATAACATTTTATGAAGAATATAACTAATTTTAAGACTAGCTTAGCATATTTTATGAATTATTGAGAAAATTTTGAGAATAAATTAACTCCTAAGTGTTTATAAATTGTTGAGGATAGACTCCTGTATTGGAAATAAATTGCTGCTGCTATCTGTGATTATTGATTATATTTTCAATATTATTCTTTAAATAACCATGCTATTTATCTTTGTTTATTGTATTATTTTCTTATTTTTTTTCATATCGTATTTATGAATTGCTGAGAAAAGGGAAAAATTTATTCAGTTCTTCATTTATTTATTTAAGTTCGCTGTTGACTTACTTAATTTCTTCTCTCACCTTACAAATTTATTCTTCTGATTTGAATATAAATCCTGATTTGCTCAAATATTCTCCAGCAATTGATTAATTTACTTTATCATCTGTATCTTCTTCTGCTTATTGTTTCTAATTTTTTTTATCATTTTATTTGTTTCTATTTTTATTTTTTTTTTTATTTTTTTTAACAGGTGATGGAGATTTGTTTTCTTCTTCACTCTCTTAATCTGACTGATTGCTAGCTGCTGATTTTCTTGGTGAATTTGATTAGGAATTACTTAAATTTTTATTATTATTGCCATCATCATCTTCTTCTTCATCTTCTGAGTTTTCCCTGGAGCTACTTTTACTTCTTTCTTCGCTTGAAGTCCTAGAAGTTCTGCTAGATTTTGAAGAATTATCTTCTGAATCACTTTCACTTTAATTTTTAATTTCTGCTTCGCTATCAGAATCTCTTTGCTTGTCTTCATCATCACTGCTTTTTCTGGATTCTTAAGAATTTGACCTTGATGAATGTTAGAAATTTGCAACTTTTTTTAAAGTTTGCATTTATTATTATTCACTCACTTTTTAATTTTGTATCGGCTTTTCATAATTTTCATAAGTCAATCTATTACCATAAGAGCTTTAAATTTGCTAAAATTGATATTATTATTGTGGCATTTACTACTATCTATATTATTAATTTTGAATTGTTGATTATGCTGTAGCATTAGTATTCTAAGTCTATCTACTTATAGGAAGCTGATAGCTATTTGACATTTTCTAGTTAAATTATTATTAATGTTGCATATAACCTTGCTATTGTTAAAGCTACTATTAGTAGGGATTCTACTTATAACTATTGCCGCTATTGTATTATTCATAAGGATTACTATAACCTGGAATATTTTATCTATTGTTCATTTTTATAAATTCTTAGATTTAATTTTGATAAATTAAAAATTTAAGTAGAAATTAAATGATTTTAAGTGCATTTAAAATTTAATCAAATTTTTTTTCAAAATCTTAAGTCAAAATTTAAATAAAGAATTTATTTATTTATTTATTTGTTTGTTTTTGGGTGGTTTACAGTAATGAAAGACTATATATTTATTTAAAAATAATAATTAAAATAATTCTAGAATTTAAATTAGAAATATTTATTAATAATGAATGAGCAATTAATTTATAGTTTTTAATAAATAATTAATTAGCAATTTGAATATAAAATTTACAAATAATTTATTTAAATATAATTTTAATTATTTATTATTTTAACTAAAAGTTAAATGAAATAATTTTTATTTAATAAATATCATCTGAATAAGATAGTCTTAAAAGTATACAAAAGATTGTATAACTCAATATCAATGTATATGTATGTGTGTGTGAGTTTTTATAGTGAAAATAGATAGAAAATTTATCAAAGTTTTTGATTGAAAAAGTTGTTTTTTATAGTTGTTGGTTGGTTGGTTGTTTAGTTAGTATTTAGAATTGCTTTCTTTTATATTTATAGATATAAGAAATAGTAAGTAAGATGTTTTCGAAAAGTTTAATTTAATTAATTAGTAAATTATTTAATTCATAGAGTTTTTGTTTAGGAAGTGAGAATAAGAATATCTAATTAATTGATAAGCCATTTAAATATTTACGCTAATTCTAATAGTTGATATAATTAGTCATTTATTAGTTAAGCTATCTTTTTATTTCTAAGAAATAGCGATTACATTTTAGTTATTAATTACTGTTTTATAAATCTTTTATTTATTGGTAAATTATTTCTTAATATTGTTTAGTTTTTATTATTATTAATAATATTTTATTCATCAATTTATATCAATCATTTAATAGTTTAGAAACAAAATATTTTATTAAAAGGTTTGATTAAATTTTTTAATTTTTAAAGTGAATGCATATAATATTTATTATATTTTAGTGAGCTTTTATATCATACTCATTTCTCTTACTCATTGATTTACTTATGATGCATCAATTTCATTTCCATAGAGCCGCTTTTCTTGATACATATCTTTGAAAAATAGACATGTCCCTGGTATAAATGTAATTAGCAGCCAAACTGGATATAAAATAATTCCTAAGAGAAACAAGGAAAATAATAGCAAATATTTTTTAAATCCACTATATTACAATCTATTTCCTTTGAAATAAGCATAGATAATCAAAGGCATAAATAAACTAACAATAGCTACAATAAATGGATAAAGAGCTAATCCAATCACTGAAAGGAAAATGTACATCATCAATTTCATAACACCCCATAAAAATATACAGAATTTTTCACAGCATTGAGGCTCTTCTAGACTGTATTTTTAACCTTTTTTTATTTTTATTTCTTTAAATATTTAATTTAATAATTTGAATTTTTTACCTGGACATCCATAACAAATGTTCCAAGGAGCAAAGTGAAATTATCCACATTATCTGCGGCAAAGATTGCAAAAAGGTTTGTTGCAAGCAGAACACATTATTTTATTAGAGTCTTTTTTATAAAAAAAAATCTATTTTAAGTTTTTTTTAATTGATTTTATTTACATTAGACTCCATCAATTTATTAGAGGATATTTAACTTTGAATTACACATTGGACATGTTTGCTTTCCTATTTCTTTTTAAGCGTCTTCCGTTTCTTCTTCTAAAATTGCTTAGTCGCACCTTAAACCTTTTTATAATTTAATCATTAATGTAAAGACATATTTAATTTAACTTTACCTTGATGCCAGTTATTGCAGCAGTGAAAACAAACTTCTTAAAAGCATTTTTTACATGTTAATTTTGGATGCTCTTCGTCTCCTATCATGTAGCCATCACAATCAGCTCTTGTACAATCTTTTTTAATTGGATAATTTTTTAAATATGAATTAAGATAAAATTAAAACTTACATCTGACATTAGGATTCATCCTTTTAAATACTATTTTTCTGAGAGCTTTAAATTTGTCAAACATCTCTTGTGAAATGTATGGCTTTAAGTGTTCTGAACGAAGTTTGAATCTACAATTTTTGTAGGGACAAAATATTTTCATGACATCATTGTTATAGATTTTATTTTCTATATATTACCTTATGCAGTACATACAAAATTTATGCTCACATTTATAGTTTAGAGCAAACAACTAAGTTTCGTGTTAGCATATGGGACAAATATTTTAATTATTAAAACTAAAGCTTTGCTCTCTTTGGTTGATTTGAAATTCTGCTAATTTTGAAGATTGCTAAGATGGAAGAACTGCTTGAACATAAGCACTTATTGTCTAAGGGTTTTGTTTGTATTCTAAGCTCTTTGATTCTTTGTTTGCATTAATTTAAGATGAAATCAAACTTTTTTTAGAATTATTAGGCAATTTTGGAGTGACAATAGCATGAATTGGATCTATTGATACTGATATTGAACTTAAATCCATCATCTTTGTATTGAAGTTATGATGTTTGCTTATTTCTTTTTTTTTGTGTTAAGCTTGTTTATCGCTACCGATTTATTAATAACTTATTGGAGCGTTAACTTTTTTATGCTTCTATCCATCTTGTTCTAAGATGATTGATTATTGCTAGTTGTTAGACATATCAAATTAGTTTATGTTTTTATTGCTCTTTTTAATGCGTATTGTTTTGTCTTTTTGGTTTGGTGAAAACAAAGAAACTTATTAAGAATTTTATTATACTAACTGGATATTAGACGAACTGCATATAGATCCATTAATAATTGCGCCTGGAATGTTGTTATCACTAATTATATTGACAGAGTTAGGACAAGTTGAATGATTAACTGCGTTATTGTATGATACATTAGAAATAGCTTTAAGAGCTTGATTACTTGCACTAGGCAGATTATTTATTGATGACAAAGTGTTAATTGTATTATTCTTATCATTGCTTGTTCCTTTTAAGTAATTTGCCTTTTTGCTAATAAATGAATTAGGCAAATTATTAATACTATGAATATGTGAGTTATTGTTATAAACACTTAATTGACCTGCTGCAGTAGTTGTAGCCATTGTTGTTTGAATGATATCTTTATAATTGTGTACTTATGTGTTTTTTGCATATGCCTTTTTCTCATCTTCATATGAGTTATTCTCTTAAATGTAATCTTTCTCATAGCGAGTGCAGTCTTCTTATTCACAAGTAACTTAATTGTCATTCGTAGTAGTCCTGTTATTTAACGTGGTCGCTACTGCAGCTTAAGTGCCATTGTTAACCATTCTTTGCATCATTTTCTGCTATATTTCTTGCTATGATGGGTTCGAGTTACTTGTGCTTGTGAAGAGTTGAGAAACTGAGCGGAAAATTTAAGTTGTTCTGTTTTTAGCAGCCTAAACAACAGAAACTTCATTGTTATTATCCTTCTTTTTAAGCTTTCCTTTAAGCGTTTAATATGAGAGAATACTTTGAATGAGTTTTTCTAAGATGACTTCTTTAGAATGCTAATATAAATTTATCTCTTCAATAAGCTAATTAGCTAGTCTAGGATCAATTTGCATTTTACTGGCTCTACTTAAAACCCATTTCTTTTTAATTTGAGGGTCTTCCAAATAAGGTTGCTAACTGTAAACTCTTTATTTTGTATTTTTATTATCATCATTGTTTGTGTTGTTATCCAAAAGTACAGTAGACATGCAAATTTTAACACAGCTTTTGCTTTACTTATGTTTTTTGCTTTTCTTATTCTAACTTTATAATTTCTGTTGTACTTAAATATTTTAAGTATTATTGTTGTTGTTGTTGTTGTTTGGAGAGTTTGAAAGATGGTTAGTAATGCTAGTTGTATCGTCTGATTACTTCTTTTTCAGCTGTTATTTGTTTTTGTTTGCTAAGTATGACTTTAAATTATCTTGTTAGTCTTCTAAAAAGAACTAATCTCGTTTTAGTTAGTTAAATTGTTGAGGAATAAATAGGATACTTTATGTTATCTATGTGTTATTTATCTGATCGTTTCCGTAAAGTCTAGGAGAAATAGTAAAGTTATTTAGGTTAATAATACCCTTTTGAGGAGTGTTTCCAAGTTGAGAACCCTAGGGTGTGACTTCTGCAGAAGACAAATGCATCAACTTAACTTTTGATTTAGCATCAATTATTTGGTTATTATTGTTAGAGGCGCTTTAAAGAGTGTAAAAAGAGCCTCTCTTGCTGTTATTATTGTTGTTATTCTGTTCCAAATTTTTTAAAGAGTTTTGATTGGTATTTACTTTTGAAGCAGAAGATGAAAATGAGTTTTTATGAGTATAATTAATTATATTGTTTACCTACTAAATCTCGTGTTTAGAATATTGAGAACCAGCAGGAGGTGGAGGCTCTGGCACTTATTTTTCAATTATAGAATTATTAACATCATTAACCTCGTAAATTTAATCAAATCCTTTAATTTGATGTTGTAAATTAATATCGCTTTAATTAACTTTCATGTTTTCATTCTAGTTATTATTTTTGAATAATATCTTCTGATTATCAATAATTTAAGAAACATTTCCAGGATGCTGAATATTAACATTTTGAATATTAAACTTATATTGGTTACAGTTATTGAATTAAACTTATTGTTGTTACTAAGCAAAGATAATACTTCCTACTTGATTGCCTTGAAAGTATTCATTATTAATCTCAACTCCTGCTTAAAACGCATCTTTATTGAAGTTTTGGTAAAGAATTTAATGCTAAGGTTAAAAATTGGCAGTTTTCGATTTTTTTTTAGAGTTATTTCTGATAGTAACAGGTAAATTGAAATTTTGGTTTTGTTAAATTCCCTAAGATGTTTGTAAAAATTAAGAAGGGTTCTTTTGCATAATTTTATTTCCTTCTTACATCTACTCCTGCTCGCTAACATAGCTTCCTCTTGAGCTTATTGTATTTGATTTTTTCTTAAATTTTGTTTATTTATTGACCAAGTTTGGGATACTTTTATAAAATGGAATATTTCATTGTTATCTAATACTAATTAATTTTTAATTTACTTTGATGGATTTTTATTATTAGCAAAGCTGGTCAAGTGAGAGTCTTCCTCGTCATCCATTTCTAGTTCAATTTAGTTGTTTCCATCTTCACCAAGACTTGTATTGCTTCTCATTTAATTATTATTACTATTGCTTTTCTGAAATTTAAGAGTGCTAAATTGTTAGTAGGAACTTACTCTGCTTTTTGGGGAGATTAGAGACTTCATTTGATCATAGTTTGAGGTATTTACTTAAGTTAAGGAATTTATTTTATCAACTGATAGATTGTTTTTACTCCCCATGTTAATCCTTGTTTATTGATATTCAGCTTAATTATACATTTTCATATCATTTTTTTAAGCATCGAAATCACTTGATTAAAATTAATTTTCAACATCATCTTCAAACAATCTATTTTTATTTATTTTATTTTTGACTCTAGACTAGCTTTCGTCATCGTAGTCTACATCATCCTCATCTTGATCCTCTTCACTCACTTCTTATTCTTCTTACTCATTATTCCTAAAATAAATATCATTTTGCCTGTTTCCCATAAAAATAATTTATTTATTTTCCTACTCTTCTGTTTCTTCTTCTTCATCTTCTTCTTCCTCTTCCTCTTCCTCTTCATCGTCGTCTTCATCATCTTCCCCTTCTGTTATTTCATAGACTTAGTTTCCATTTTAATTTGGATTAATAGTAATATTTTAACCCTGCTAGTATAATTAATATAAGTGTTAGTCATAATAAAGAGGAAAATTTTTTTCACTGTAAAATCGAATATTTTGAAGTTAATTCTCGTGTTCATCTTCCTCTTAAAAATCGTCACTATTATACTAACTATATAAATTTTAATCTTAAATAGGCTATAAATTCGACTGTATTTAGCTCTGTTGTAAGTTTTAAAGTGCTTAATTATACTATAAATTTTATTGCATTTATCCATGTTATAAATTTTACTATATTTAGCTTTGCTATAAAGTTTATTGCATTTAATTATGCTAAATATTTTACTGTATTTATTTATTTGCAGATTATTTATTCGTTTAACCAATAAATAAATGAGTCCATTTATTTTATTTATTGATTTGATGATTGTTATTGTTTTCATGCATAAATTATTATTATTGTTATTTAATTTAATCGATTACTTCCTCTTCTTCATCATCATCTTCCTCTTCTTCTTCCTCTTCTTCTTCATCTTCTTCTTCTTTTACTTCGTGTTTATCATTGTTCTATTCTAAGTAATATAAGTAATTTTCTTGAGGATTTTAGAGTCTATTCTAATTATATATGCCTTATTATTATTGATTGGTATTTTTATAAAAAGTTTAAGATTTAGCGAGCGAGTTTTTTTTGTTAGACTTTTTTGATTAATTTTGACTAGTAATCAAATTTTTATTTGCTTATAAATTAATTGTATTAAATATTTAGGAATTGTTTTTAGCATTTAGCTTTTTTTCACTGTTTTAAGCAGTACTTTGTTAATTTTCTGATTAATTGGCCATCTACCCAGAAGAATTGGAAGAGACAGAAGAAGTGAGAAGATTGACTTCTTTGAACTACTACTAACTCTCAAAGTAGTTTGGAATTATAGATTAATACTATGAAAATTAATTTGGTTATTTTAGCTAATATTACTGAAGTGATACATGAGCAGGATTAATCTAAAAATTATTGTAGCTGGTTTTTTAATATAAATTGTAATCTTAAGGTTCTGCGTATTTTGTTTATATTTATTGATAAATTTAAGGTGGCATATTTTACTACTACTATTATTATACAGACTGATGTTGTTGAATGTGCTTTTATGATTAAAACTATTAAGAAAAAGGAGTCTTCATTCCATTAAATGAGGGTAAAAATTACGCCACGCTTTCTTGATGTTCATAATTAAGCAAATAAGATTGTTTTGATTCTAGTGTTTTTTAATCATCTTGTAATTTATCATCTAAAAAGTTATTTTTAGATTATTTCTTTTAAGTAGATTTATTTTTAAGGGCTAGTTCTATCATTCCTCCTTGCATATTATTTGAGAAAGCAGGAGCTTGCATTGTTTGATAGTTTTTATTTTAATTTTTGTTAGAAGGACTCCCTTTTTTAACTGATTTATTGCCTTTTTTAGAAAATAAATCCGCTTCTATCAATTAGTTAGATAAAAAATTTGGAGTAAGAGGACTTCTATGTATATTAAAATTTTATTTTGCCGTTTATTCTATCTGATAATTTGCTGTGATAGGCTAACTTTTACCTCTTCCAACTTATTACATAATTGGAACTCTCTTTGAAGTTCCAGCTGATTCTTCCTGCTTTTTGCTTTTAGAACCTTTTTTTTTCATTTTAACATCACTTTCTTTTACATTTCCTTTGAATTTACTTTGTTCTTTTGTATGTGATTTTGGAGGAGTTAAATTTACTAAAGGAACACTAGCGGATTAAGAAGTCTAAGACAGCAGCAATGGAGTCGTAGAAATTTATTTAAATAATTAAGGAGTAGGCGTAGATTCTAGCTTTTATATCTAAATACAAGCACTATTGCTGCTGCTATTTTTATTAATACTATTTGCATTTGCTAATAAGGCAGGTGATGGAAATTAATGAGCAAATGATGAATTTGTTTGAGGAGTAGCAGTAGTAGAAATTTGGCTGAAAGGTTTTGCTTTCTTCAAATACAAGTGTGGTAATTCAACACCGATGTACGGCGATTGATTATACTAAGAATTTTATACATTCTGCATCGTTGGCTGCAGATTTGTTTGTAATTGCTATTGCTGTTGCTAAGGCTATTATTGTTACTGTTGTTATTATATTTGCTGCTACTAACTAAATTGAGCCTACTACATATATTAACAAAGGTGCTTTTTACACTGGAATTTTATGACAAAAATGAAAAATTAATTTTTGTTATCATAAAAATTATGAAAATAATAAAAGATATATTATTTAATTATACGCCCTTAGAATAATACACTATTTTTAATGTTAAATTCTATTCATTTCATTTCTTTTAATTGTTTAATCAATCAATTATTATTTCATTACTAATATCAGTCACTTAAAGTAAACAATAAAAAATCATTCATTTATTCATTATTAGTTATTTAGTTAGTTGTTAATCATATTAGAAACAAAAACCCATCTAATCTAATTTAATTCATTCAAATTTTACAATAAATCAAAAAATATTATTTTATTCTACTATCAAAATACAAAGAAACTACAAAAGTATCAAGAATATATTTCTTATCAATTTTAATCCAAATTAGTATTATGTACTAAATAAATACCATAGAATACAATAAAATAGTAACTAAACTAATTAGTGAAACATATTTTTTTGAAAAATTTTGCTTAAAAATTATAATTTTATTCTATTTTTTTAAAATTTTAGTTTGTTAGCTTTTAAAGTTTTTAATTTAAAATAATTTAAAATTGTGTAAAAATATCAATTTATTTGTTAATAAAAATACAATTGAATTTATAAACAGATAAAAAAATTAAAATTTAGTCATTAATATTAAAAACTTAAGAAGTATTTTTAAAATTAATGTTTAAATGAAAACTTTAAATTTTTTATTAAATTTCTTTTTTAATTAATTTTGTTTTCTTTATTAGTTTGCTAAATAAATCAATACTGATGTAATTGATTAAAATTTTATATTTGATAACAATAAATTTAATATTAAAATATTTAGAAAGGAAAGATTTGTAAAATAAGCAAAATTTAGATAAAAGAAATTAATTTTTTTGATGAGATAAAGATATATATAATTCGGAATAATAAATAAATAATTAATTTAGTTAAATCAGACTTAATATTTCTTTTTTGATTTATATTGGAAAGGTAAAGAAATTTTTTATTATGTATTTTTAAGTTCCTAACTGCTTTCGACTCTGTCTCCTAGAGCTTTTTATTAATTTTCAATGTTTTTTAAGAAAATTTCTAGTTATTCAAGAATTTAGAATGAGCATAGCTCAGTATTAATATAAGCATTAAAAACTTCTATCACTTTATCACTATTTTAGATATCCATATTTTTTAAAAAGATTAACTCTAGTTTATCTAAGAGCTGTTAGTCTTATTTGCTAAAAACAGTATTCAAGGTATTATTTTATTTTTCCAGACTGCTGTTCCTAGCTAATAAATATAACCATTAGATTATTATATCTTTGTTTTCATTTCTTTTTATCTTGTAATAAATAAATGAAGATCTTAGCTATTAAACTAATATCTGTTTATCCTATTCTTATAGACTATTTGAGTTTTTGTGCAAGAATGATTCTACTTATAAGTACATTCTCATTAACGTTTGCAAACAAGGAGTCTAAGTTAGTATTTATTCTCTGTTTTCTTCTTATATTAATTCGAATAGCCTCTAGAAATTCTAAAGATTTATATGAGTGTGTTTATCGTTTCTTTTGCACATTTCATTGACATAATAACATCCTTAAATTAATTCTTTTAAATTTAAATTAATTTTCTTCTGATATTAATTGAAAAGACCATTTATTGTAAGGGAAGCATTTTAAGGAGTGATCAATACTTTTTAGTTATCTGTCTGAGCTCTAAAGTAATAGAATAATTGCAAATATAAAAATAGGTTTGTAGATTTTTATGGAGGAATAAATGTTTCTGAGTTCATGAACTTAGTTTTTAAGTAATTCAAAAAATCAATGTCCTAAGGAGTATGTTAAGGTGCTTTGATAAGGTAGAATTGCAATTTCTCGAAAAGTATTTAACTTCTATTAAAAACATCTGATTTTATATCATTTATTTCCTCATTAATATCTTAATAGTATTCTTTGTTGAAGTTTTGCGCTATTTAAGGAGGTTCTATCTTTTTTAAAGCCAATCTTTCTAAATCATAATTAGCAAAGATCTAAATAAACTTCAGCAAGTATTCATTTTATAAAGCATCTTTCTCAAACTGAATTTATTGTAAGTTAAGAGATTAAAGAGTCTAAGGTTTAAATTTACTCAAAAATAAGAAAATCCAGTATGTCTAGTCATTAATTTAAGGGAGATACTTATAAGCGTTTTAAGAAATGCCTGAAGTAAATCTTGAAGGATGGTATTTAGATTTAAAGTAGTACTTCTTTAAGAGCACAGCCATATTTGTATGATTAATCAAGTTTAATTTATTGATAATTTCATTTTCAAGTAAAAATAGGGTTTTGTAATCAAAATCATCTAAAGAAAAAGCCTTTAATAGGTTGAGAGAATTTTTCAAATTAAGATGTTCCTGCTTGATAATAGACATAATTCTCTTTTAAATTGAAGAGTGAACTCTAGGATCTCTCATATTTGTAGTGTTAATAAACTACTTAGAAAACATTAATCCTGTAAAATCCATGTAGTTTACATTATTAATAATGAAATTGACAATTGTCTGGAAATCGATGCTTTTTGTTTGATTTTCTAGGCATAAACGAGTGAAGAAAAGCACTTCTCCAAATATTTTCTCTCCATCATTTTATTATTTCTAGCTTAAATAATTACCCTTGGTTTCTATAGTCTTTTCAGTCATTTAGTCACTATTATTTTTTTCACTACCCGAAATCTCCTGAGTCAAATTACTCTGCTATTTATTAAAAAATTATTATAATCAATTATAAAATTATTCAATTAGCCAAAAAATAAATTAATTTTTTGAAAACATGAATTTTATAATAAAAAATTACTTAAAATTAATAATTTTTTTTTAAAATATTAAATTTTGTAAAACTTTTCTCTTATCAAATTAATAAAAGTCAAATTAAAAAATAACCTGAGAATTGCTTGTTTGGATAATGTGGCTATAGTCAGCTTTAAGTAAGAAGATAGTATAATTTCTTATTAATTCAAAGTAATTCGGATTTTATTACAGCTCTTTTCTTATTGAGTTCTAGGTTCTGATAATTTCAAAAATATCATTTGGGTTTGGGAAGTTGTTTGCTATTTGATACTCTATCTATTCGAATATGTATTTTTTCTTTTTTTATAGAGTAATTTCGCTACTTTCTTCATAAATGTATTGTTCTAGGAAAAGTTTTAGGTTCTTGTTTTGGCTTGATATTTTTTTGACTAATTCGATATTGAAGGGGAAGCAAATTTATTTTGTGTCAATGCTTAAGTCGTCATCACTCTCTGAATTATTTTCTAAATTCTTTTGCTTGTTTATTTTTAAAATATTTGAAGGAGTGTATTCAGATATGTCTACTATTTTTATGTGGTACTTTTTCAGAAATAGACTGTTAAACGAAATGTAGTTACGAAGAGTCACACAAAAAGCGATAGGAAAATTTAATTAGTAAGGGGTTTGCTTAAGAATAACATAGCAAATGTCTTGCAAATGCAAGAATGTTTAAATTTTATTTCTATCCTCAAGCATCCAGTGAGAGTGATTGGACAGAATAGATTCATACATATAAGAAAATGGTCTTTGATCATTTTTAGGTAAAAATTTAACCAATTTGTCAATAAAATCTAGCTCTAAATCCTTAATGAATTTAAATTTAGTTGCGAATCTAATATAGCTGCAAATTCTGTAATGAATTGTTATTTTGATGCTATTTTAATCAATATCTTCTATTTCAAGGTCGAATTACTTGTTGCTGCTTTTCGGGTTACTCTCCATTTAACTTATTTATTGCTCTTAATAGCGATTGTAATCTAATTACTCTTGCTAATCTTGGAAAAGCTATTTGAAGTTTTGTTTGACATAATTATTAATTTCTGTAAACTTTTGCATGTCATATAAAACTGATGTATTCACTAAGATATCCATTATTTAATACAATATTATTTAACTTTAAGTGTAAACTTGATGGATTAAAATATTCTCAATAAAAGTCATAAAGAGAACTTTTGTTTCAGGATTCATTTCAGTTTGTTAGTTTTTGCTTAATATGTGTACGCATCTTGCAAATCTTTCTGTTGATTGAATGTCTTTAAAAGCTTGAATCTAGAAATGATTGTTATCAGCATCTCCCTCTGCTTCAGGAATGTGAAAACATCCACCATACAAATGAAGTGAAGCCTCAACGAGATAATCTTGAATTTTTTGTTTGGTTTTGATTGACTTAATTGTTGTACAAATTTTCATTAAATCAAAAAAGCATGGCTTTAAAGAAAGCATATCTAATTGTTAATTTGAGAAAATTCTATTTTACAAAAAATTTTCTATCTAATTTTCTAATACAAGATCTTCAGTATAAAACTTGCAAAATATAACTTCTGATGAAATTCTAACGATATCAACTATTTGGCCTATCAACAAGTCGTCTCCTTTCTATTTTAGCAATTGCTTTAAACATTCTATAGAAAATTTAATTTCTATGTTCTTGACCTAGGAAATAATGTAAATCAAATTTTCAACTGAAATATTTTAATACACATCAAGAGACTATTATAAAAGATGAGTTAAATACTCAGTTGTTTGAATGGTAGTTATCCTTCTTAAAAAATTCTAGACAATAACATCGTCTTTAGCCTCTCCCATTATAGATTGTTCATAGTATTTTAGGATGAGATAAAGTGCATACAAGTTTTGCTCTTCTTCCATTTTTTTTACTAGATAGTTAAAATTACTAGCAGCAGAATTTGTAAATTCTATTTCTGCTAACTTTAAAAAATCATCATTTAAGATTTAATATGAAACTTCTTGATTTTACAAGTCTCTTAAAGTAATATATAATTCAGAATTCTCAAATTAGCTTTTAATTATATTGCTTTCATAGTAGTTAATGTTATTTTCCTCCCATTGATTATCTAGAAGATTCTTGTAGGTACTAGCTTTTTAGTTTTCTTCTACTGGAGTACTTTCAGCTAGTTCTATATCTTTTTTCAAACTATTTTCCTCTACCTAACTAAAGTTTTCATCCTAATTTAAATCGATATCTGGAAATTAGCTTAAAATCCCCTTCATGCTAATGCTTTCTTCGTTTTGCGCCTTTGTTATAAACTGCTTAAGGAATTTTTTATTCTTTTTAATGCAATCTGAGAATAAACCAAATTCATTTTTTCTAAGCATCTAGTTGAGCTGATTACATAAATATGACTCTATTTTCGCAGTTTAAAAAATGGGATTGATAGACAAACTAAAAATCTTTAAAATAAGATCATTGCTCTGTTATTTCTGCTCGAAAATAGACTATATAGTTTCTATTATCTTATTTTCTGTATCTGGTTTTTCATGAATCTTTTGTGCAATATTCTTTGTAATAATCAAAAACAAAGGATTTTCTAAGTACTAAATACTAAATTTTAAGGTCTGTTCGCTCTCCTACGCATTATTGCTCAAAAATGAAATACTTTTTAAATCCCACTAAATTTCATTCAAAAAACTTTAGCGCTTTTCATACATCCTTCTTTACTAAAGCCCATATCTCCTAAATTGATTAATTAGATTCTTATTACTAAAACCTCTCTTGATTAAATTTGCAAGCATCGCTTTTAACCCTACAAAAGATATGTTAAATTTTCTATTTATTTATTTTTCAAATAAATTATATGCATGTATTGGAGTATTATCACTCAATATTAAAAAAATAAATCTTAATTAATAAAAAAAAAAATTATAACAAGCTTTTTAATTTTCTCCCAATACTACTATTTAGTAGCTAAAATAAAGTAAATAATTTTAATTAAAAGCAATAAAAAATAATTTATTATTTATTTACTTCTTTTTTTATCAATAAAAATATTTTTGAAATATATAAATATTATATTAATATGAAATTTATTAATTATTTAGAGTTAATTACATTTTTATTTTAACAATTTTATTCATAAATCTAATAATAATTCGTATTAAAAAATTTATTAAAAAAAGTAGTCTGGTATACTATAATTTCTCATATTTTAAGACCAAGTAATAAGATTCTGAAACAAATAAAATTAGAATGAAACATTTTTTTTGAGCTGGTAACAAAAATAATATGAGCAATTACAGTAAATTTATTAACCATTAAATTGAATAGCTAAATTTTACTTATTATGCTATTTAAGGAAAAGCTTTATTTCAGTTTGTATTTTTTTATTATGAGCTTTTATATATCATTAAAACGAAATTAAAGAAAAAACTAAGATGTTTTTCTTTTTAACTTAATATTTATTTCAAATTATTAGCTTTAACTATTTTATTTCAAAATTTATTTATTTATGTTTTTTATTCCATTATATGCTTTAAAAACTCTGTTGATTTATTTATTTTCAGAATAAATCAGTTTAAAATAAGCAAGCATAAAAAAGACCTAAAAATTAATTTTGCTATGAAGGTATTCTTTAATTGAATATAACCAACCTAATAATCATATCTATATAAATTTAAATTAAAATAATAAATATTATATTTTATTAAATATTAGATGCAAAATAAGTAAAGAAGTTTGAAAAAAATTATAAGTTAAAGATAGAAAACTTAAAAATAAATTGAATTACTTATCTCTATAAAAAAAATTAATTTGAAAACTACTCTGTCTTGTAATTAGAATCACTCTAAATGTTTATTTTCTGAACTTAATTAAATTATTTTTATATTAAAAAATTAATGCTTATTTATTTAAAATGTATGATTACTATTATTAATTCATATATGAAAATAAAATTTTATGATCAAAATAAATATTTATATTTTTTTAAATATTTGTGAATCTATTTTGATTTTATATTTATGTTCATAAAGTTTTTTTTAATCTAAATCAGATTGAAATATAAAAATTTTTTTATTAATTAAAAGAGGGATTGATTTAATTTTGGTATGTATGCATAATAACAATAATAATAATATTCTAAGATATTGTAAAACTCCACAAATAATCATTCATAAATATAAAATTAAAATAATTTTTTTTTTAAATTTATTAATTGGTAATTATTTACAAAATTGATTTTATCTTCATATTAAAAGCCTTAATTAATTAAATAAATATATTTTTTAAAAATACTGTCAGAGCTTTATTTAAAAATTCAAGTGAAATAATTTATCATTCATTTAGGAAAATAGTTAGGGCTAAAATTTCACAGAAAAAAAAGGTTAATTAAACTTTCTCTTAAGAAGATATTAAAATTATTTATGATTCTTTTTCTTTTAATTTTTAAAATGCAAGCAAAAATTAATTTTGCTTTGTAAGGAAACCTAAGATAAATACTTAGGATAATTTTTATTTTATTTTAATTGAATATTTATTTTAAATAAGATAGATGCAATGCAATCAATCAATAAATCAATTATTTGTATTATCATAAATACATTTTTAGAGAGATTACATATAACTCATGCATTTTACAAATAAATATATAGATAGAATGTTAGTGATTGGTTGAATTTAAATTTTTAATTTATGGAGAGTTATTAGTGAGGTATTTGGATGAAGTTAATTGTTTAAATAAAGTCAATATAAATATCTTCTTTACACATTAAAATATATTAATATTTATACTGTTAGAATTAAAAATTTATTTTTATATATTAAGTTAATTCATAATCAGTTTTTCTTTTCCAAGGCAGCGGCGGCAGCTTGTTCTTCTTATAACTTCTTAAGACGGTTCATGGTAGTCTTAGCAGTGACGGCGGGAGGGGTGGTAAGTTCCCAAGCACCACCAGCGATGATCTTCTTGCAGGGCTTGCACTTCCAGATACCAACGGCGGCTCTCTTGACAGCAACCTATTTAATTCAAATAAAATGATTAATTACTACTTCTAATTATATATTATCTTATATTAATATGCCATATATCTTTAATTATCAATCAACATGTGAACGTTTATACATTTCTTTTATTTTCTTTCTTTTTTGAATAATTAACAGCTAGCTAAGTTGCTTGGTTCATATTTCATTCGTTTATTTATTTCCTTATTAGCTGGAAAATCTATTTTGCTAAATCTTTCTACTTTATTGGTATTATTTACATTTTTAAATGAAATATATTGTTTGCATTAACTTTTAGGTTTAATTATATTACTCTAAATACAGTCAATTTTTATTTATAAATTGCTCTAATTTTGTTAGCTAAGCATTTAAACTACTATTTGATGATACCGTTTCATAACCTTTTTTCATTAGATTACATTTATTTATTTTGTATTTCTGAATGCTAATTAACTAACTATCTTAATTTTCATCTTAAAAAACGTTTCTACTTTTCCTTAATGGCTAAGTTAGTTTACACACAGCATTTCAAAAAGACTCTTTTTTAGTCTCTTTATTGCTGATTTATAAATTTTCTACTAAATCACTTTGATTAATGCAGATCCAACATTATAAGCAAATTGATTCTTCATTTATTTTCATTATATCTTTTGATTTTCTGGGTAAAATCTCTACAATAATCATATTTAACAAACGTAAGGCTATTGGCTTGATGAAATGGATATTCTCTATAAACTAAAATGGCTTTTACGCGTTTTCTCCACAAATTCAAGCACATTTAATGAGAAGATATTCTAGTTTATTTTTAGTTCGGCTTTGATGATTTATATTTGGCCAAAATTTAAAGCTGCTGAACTGGATTTTATCTTATTTACGCTGCAAGGAGTAGCTTATGAAATTTAAATAAGCTAAACATTAACATTCTTTTAAATTGATTTTATTTTGATATTTTATTGGTCTAATTTGGTTGTTTGATTGATTGATATATGGCAACTAAATGCGAGTGAACAATTCAGTTCAATCGCAAACAAACAAACTAAAATGGGAAAATATTGAGAATATTTTATCTTACCTTACCGCAGAAGGGGCAACCGTACTTAGCGTGTTGGGTAATTTCGAACTTCTTGACGACCTTTCTGAGGGAAGCACCATATCTTGTTCCGTACTTTCTGGTGATACCGACCTTTTGAGTTCTCTTAGCCATTTTTATTTATATGTTTGAAGTTTGTTTATTAGTTTATTTTGTTTTTAATTATCTTTGATTTCTTCTTTAGATAATGCTTGATGATTTCTTTTCTTAATTTCACTCAATCAAAATTTTCTTCCTCTTTATTTTCAGCCTTTCCCCACACTTTTTTGAACTTTGCTCAATTGATTTAATTCAATAAATACTTTTGATCTCTATTATATATATTTTACAATAGCAAAGAATTTCATTTTACAAGCAACCTGATCCCTTATTCATTCATTTATAAATAAATCTTTCATTTTTTTGATTTACCTTCATTTATATCAAATTTTTCAACATTAATTTCACTAATTAATTTATAATATAAAAAAAAATCATTTTTTAAGTAGAATATAAATTATTTTATCGTAAATATTTATTTTATTTATCAAAAATTCTGCACAAAATATTTTTAGAAATTAAATTATCATTTTAATAACAAAATTAAAAAAGACTATTCATTTATTTATATGATAAATAAATCATATATTTTATATATTAAGCTTGATTTTAATGTAAATATATTTTAGATCTACCTTCAACTAAACCAACAAATTAAGTAATAAATAAAATTGAGATATTCAATTTACTTAGCATAATACAAAATTTAATATCATATTTTTTTAAATGCATTAAGAAATATTATCCTATCTTACTCATAATAAAAAAATATTAGTAATTCTTTTACTTGTTTAAAATTAATTTATAATTAAAAAATAATAAATTATTTTTTTAAAATCAACAAATATTTAATAGAAATAAATTTCTATTTTAATTTATTATAAATTTAATTCACTTAGATTATGTAATGTGGTTTTGATCAAGAAATAATAAGAAACCAATAAATTAGTCTATTTTTACTAAAAAAAGTGTCAAATAAGATTTGCTTTCATTAGAATTTTACTAAATTATTTTAATTTAAAAAATAAGATATTTAAAACTATTATATTATTAATGATTAAAAAATAAATTTCTTTTTCAAAAATCAACTAAATGTTAAAAAAAATATTAAAAATCTTAAAATTATTATATTTTTGATAAATTAATAAAAATTTCATTGGTACATTATTTTTCATCATATTTTTAAAGATATTAAGTTATTTTTTTTTTTTGAGTTTTTAATTTTTGCTTGTTGTATTTTATATTTTAGATAGAAAATTTACTTTGATAGAATAATTAAGATGAATTTTAAATAATTCTTGAACATTTTTTTATTAAATTTCTTTTTTAAACTAAATAATTTAATTATAGATTACAAAGTATAATTTTAACTTAAAACCCGATTTTATTTTTAAAAATAGTTTTTTGTTTTTGCAACACTTTTACAAAATAAATAAATTTCTGATTAATAACTAAAATTAACTTTTTTTATATTTATTTTATTAAGAAAATAAAATATACAAGCAAATCACAAATTTCTGTATGAAGAAGATTTATTATTTGTTTATATATTGTTGGTTATCTAGAAATCATCAAGAACATTATTGTTTGATAGAATATTATTATAGCTTTAATTATTATAGCTTCTATATGAAGTAGACTGGTTGTTTTATCCAACTTTTGTCTTTTAGTAATCCATATTAATATTCTGATTATTATTTGCTATATTTCTAGCATATTAATTTAAATGATGTGAATTACCTTCTAAAGTTTGTTTTAACTAGCTTAAACTTTACTTTAATTCCTACTCTTCTTTTATTCTTGCTTCACGAATTTATCTTTTCTTATCCATGAGTTGCTTCAAAGCCGCTTCTTCTTTATACAAATTTTAAAGATTGTCCTACAATTCGAAATTTTATTTTTCAAGTAATTAGTTTTTTCTTTGAATCTTTTCAAATTCTTATATTAATTCTTATCTTTAATCTACAACATCATTGAGTTAATTTTTCAATTAGCGGTTTTCAGTCAATTTTTCATTTAATTATTCATCTTTAAATCTTATTTCTGCTATTACATCTTTCACTTATTTGTGACTTTCAGCCAACTAGCTTTTAAGATCTAAATTTTCTTGTTTTAATTTATCATTCTTTCTTTATTACTTTTTATAATCATCCTCCAGCTTCAAAAGAGTTTGAAGTGAATTCTAGCTTTATTCTTCAATTTAATTCATAGTTTATTCTTTTATATCAAGTTACTAAGATAATTTATTCACCTAGCCTTTTAAATCTTGAACAGCTAAATGCAACTATCCATTTTCTTTTGAAAGATCATCATTTTTCTATTTAAATGACATGATCAAATCTTTATCTTTTTCTTCTCTTTTATGATAATCTTCTATTCTGCTTTACTTTAATTAATTTTCATTTTAAATCTGCATTATATCCCTCTTCTAATTTCTATTAACCTCCATTAGCTCTTCACTAATTTGTCTTAATTCCGTCTCTCTTCTTTCCAAGTCATTAATTAACTCTTCTCTTTCCCTCAAAGCATCTTCTAATTCCCTTATTAACAAATAAAAAAATCATTCAAAAAATAACCAATTTAATTTTTTAATCTATTAATCAATTAAACAAAATAATCTTAACAACCATGATAAATATTTTAATATATAATAAATATCTATATTTAATAAAGAAAAGAAACTTACCTGTTTGCATTAACTAAGTCTAGATTTCTGTTGATTTCATTCTTTATTCTTGAATTGTTTTCATCAAGTTCATTTTTAATCCAATCGTAGTCTTTGATGATATCTTTATTTTCAGATTCTAAGCGTAAAATTGTTTCTAAAGCTTTTGTGCTTTGCTGCTCCATTTCGCTGAGGAGTTCGTTTTTTTCATCAATCTCCCTCTTTAAAATTGAGATTTCTTCTTCTTTTTTCATAAACTCTTAACGACTCTCTCTTTCTTTGTCATTTAATCTTTTTTTAGTTGATTCATTTTCTACTATTAGAGAATCATTTCTTTCTTACATCTCTTCTACTCTTCTTAATAAAACTTCTGCATGATCTTATGCTTTCTTAGACTCTTCTAAGGCAAGTGTATAGTTATTTTATAATGATTTTAGCTCCTTATAATTCTAATCAAGCTGACTTTATTTATCCTTAACACATTGATCAAGATTAAAAATATCCTCTTTCTAATTTTTATTAATATGTCTTAGCTCCTCTAACTCTTACTTAAGCTTCATAACTTCTGAAGACTTATTACCTTTATCGCTCTCTAAAGTAAGTATTTGCTTAAGTTAATGGCTATTTTAAGACTCTAGTTCTGAAATTATTTAATTTTTCCTTCTTAACTCTTCATTTAAAAGTTCATATTCACTTTATAGCTGTGCATGTAAGTTTTCTAGGTTGCGCTTGTCTTTTTCACTTTCCTCTAAAACTCTTTCTAAATCTTCGTTTTTTTCCATAACTTCCTCTTTATTTATTTTATTTAATTTAGAATTAACTTGTCATTTATAACATTCTAAGTTTTGAAGAATTCAAAATTCAAAAAATTTAATATTTACCAATATTCAATGTAAGCTGATCCATCCTTTCCATTAGGTTTTTTTTTTCTTCTTTTTACCATCTCAATTAAGTTTCCATAGACTAATTATCCTCCTTAAGACGTTAATTATTTTCAAAAGATTGCTTTAATTCAACTTTAAGCCTTTCAGTGTTGATTTATTTGTGATCAGATACTTCTTTAATAGCCTTCAGCTCTGCGACAGCATCATCCAACTCTCTTTGTTTGTATTTTAGAGTTTCTTTTAAAGTATCTACTTCAGTCTTTAAATTTGCAATCTATCTGATTTATACATCAGTGCGGTCATTAAAGTCTAACTCTAATTGTCTCTTTTCATCATTTAACAATTAATACCTACTTTCAAGATTTGTCAATAAAAAATTCAAATCTTAATAATCTTTTTCATTCTAACGAAGCTCTTCTACTTCTCTCCTTAACTCATCAATCAACCTGTCTTTGTTAGTGTTTGAAAGCATGCTTATAATACTTATTTGTTTATATTTAAATGAATATTTATATTGAATGTAAGTAACAAAATAAATCACTGAATTTTATTTAATTTAATAAACAATTTATAAATCATTCGTATATTAATTTGTTAGTATCTTTTGTGATATTCAAAAATTTGAACAATAAATAGGTTTAAATTAAAACAATCACTTTATATTTTTATTGAATTCAATTGATAATATAGTTCTTAATTTATTTTATTATTGTTCAGTCATTTTTTTTAAACATATTATTTATTCAAGCAATTTTTATTAATGCAACAAATTTAAATATGTATTAACAAAAATTATCTTTTTATTAATTTTCCTTTGCCATAATAAAATTATTTTTTTTCTTCTTTAGAACGAGTTTTATTTAATTATTTCCCATATACATCTTTTAAAAAATTAGATTTAAAATAAGGTTAGAAAAAATTAAAAAATCATTTGTATATTGAACCTTATTAAAAAAAGGTTTAATAAATATAAATGTTGAGTTTTTTTAGTTATTTAATATAAATTATTTTAAATAAAGTTTTTATTTTATTTTTTGTTAATAAGATTAAACTTTAAAAATTTACAAATTTAAGAATTCTAACAAAATTTATAAAAAAATAAATAAAAATTGAAAATGAAATAACTAACTATTCATAGATTTTAAAGAATAGTTGTGATGAATGAAGCAATTTGGAATTATGAAAAAAAATAAATAGTACTAGTGATATCATACATGGAACTGCTAGCCAAGAAACTTGAAGCATTATTATCTGACCTGGCTTCTCTTTTTCTTGATCTTTTCTTTTAGAATTTCTCAAAGCTAAGTTACTTTAAGTCAAAATAGAGCCCCTCAACTGACTTTGAAGAAAGAGTTGAATTTGCTCTTCAACCAGAGATTCTTATCAACCTCTTGAGGAATTCTATTGAATCAAACTCTTTCTTAAGCAGCTTTAAGGATATTGAATAATATTTGTTTTTTAGCCTGTAAAATTTGAGATTATAAATTAATTTTTTTTTATGTACTTGTTTTTCAAATCGCATATGTTAAATTTTTTTATATGTAGGGTTTGAAACACTTTTCTTGGTTACTGCTAATTGTTTTCTCTTCTTCTATTTGCTTTTTAAAATCACTAATTTATTAATTTACACATAAAAAGATTTTTTCCTAATATAATTTGTGTTTGCGTTGTTGGGAGTTATTAGAATAAGTGGTTTTTTAATAAAAATTAGAATAAATTTTTTTGGAGATTGGCTAGCTATTGAAAAAAAGTAGGTTATTATTGTCATTTCGCCTTTATCATTTTTTTTCTTCTATTGGTTTAATTATCAGAAACACCCATTTCTTGATTGTTTTCTCTTTTTTTATTTGCTTTTGAAATCAATAGTTTGTAAATGTTCACATAGAGAGATTTTTTTCTATTATTGTATGCTTCTTTGTATTATTAGAATATTTAGCTGCTTTTTAATAAAAATTAGAATAAAATTTTTTGGAGATTGAATAAGTATAAAAAATAGTACATCGTTATCATTTTGTCTTTGTCTAATTTTTTTCTATAGGTTAGATTATCCGAAATACACTTTTCTTGATTATTGTTGATTGCTTTCTCTTTTTTTATTTGCTTATTAAATCACTGAATTATAAATTTAAGCATAAATATATTTTTTGCAATTATTGTTTTTGTCAAAGTGTTTAGGATTTAATAGAATATTTAGAAGCTTTTTAATAAAAATTAGAATAAATTTTTTGGAGATTGTCTAGCTAAACCTAATCATAATCTTACATTTAGACTACTAATTTATGATTTGAAAATTTTATTAAAGCATCTTTATAAGATAAAATATTTTAAAAATCTTTTTATTTTAAATTAGTGAATTCACCTATGTTAGTTTAGTTTAATTTCCGAAAAAGCCATTTCTTGATTGATACTGATTGTTTTCTCTTTTTTTATTTGCTTTTGAAATCACTAATTTGTAAATGTACACACAGAGAGATTTTTTTCTATTATTATATCTGTCTTTGTATTATTAGAATATATAGTGGCTTTTTAATAAATATTAGAATAAAATTTTTTTGAGATAGACTAAGTAAAGAAAATAGTAGATCGTTATCATTTCGTCTGTGTTTAATTTTTTTCTAGAGGTTGGATTATCCGAAATTCACCTTTCTTGATTATTGTTGATTATTTTCTCTTTTTTTATTTGCTTATTAAATCACTGAATTATAAATTTAGGCATAGAGACATTTTTTACAATTATTGCTTGTATCTGAGTGTTTGGGATTTATTATAATATTTAGCAGCTTTTGAATAAAATTAGAATTAAATTTTTTGGAGATTGCCTAGATATAGAAAAAAGTTGATCTGAAAAATGTAAGGGGCTCAGAAATCTCCCCTTCTGGGTATTTGCCACAGATTACATAGTAGATACAATATCTAATTTTATATCTTATAAAGATGCTTTAATAAAATTTTCTAATAATAAATTAATAGTCTAAATGTAAGATTATGATTAGATTTGTCAGTTATAAATTTTAAAAATCTTTTTATTTTAAATGACTGAAAGGCCCTTAAAATTATTTGTTATTTAAATAAGTCTTTGATGATGAAATAAATGATAATCTAATTAATTGCAATTAAAAGTGTTTATAGATACTAATTAAAGTAAATTAAATAATTCTGAGACAGTAGCGCACTTTGAAGATTAATCAGCTTATATTCCAAGAATTCTTAATAACTCTATGTCAAATTAAAATTAATCTTCTAAGTTGAGTAGCATGAAAAATGCTAAAGAAATAACTTAAATAGAGCTAAGTAGTCTACACCTACCGAAAATGTTTTTTGATCTACACTAGAGGATTAATATCGAATTTGTAGCAGGTGAGATCAAAATTACTCCTTAATGTTTAAAATAGTCTTTTAGTGTTCAGAAAGCCAATTAATTAATATTAAATGCTTAGTAAATGTTTGAAAATTTAACAGCTGTTTGCAATTTAATTATTTGCTCCGATATTGATTAAGCAACTAAAATGTATTTAGCTAAAATTGTAAAATACTCAGTAAGAAAATAAGGTAATATTGAATATAGTTAACTCATAAAAATACTAAAAGATAGTAAGAATAAACATATAAACTCTGAAATAGCATATGCTATAGGTTACAAAATTAGAAATTCTAAAGAGTAAGTAAAATAGACAGTTATAGAGCAATTAGAAATATTAATTAATGAAGAAATCGAGTCTGATGCGAAAAACTTTTTAAATATTCTATTAAAAAACTAATATGATGAAGGTAATACAATTTATTCAATAAAAAGTTTTGGTAAAATAAGAGTACCAAATAATTACCCTAGAAAAAGACTGGCAGCAGTTGTTACAAAAACTTAGCAAAAAGTTAAATTTACCTTTAAAAATAGCAAGTCAGAAGAAATAGCTATTAATCTGTTAAGCTTAACTAATGCTTTAAAAAGTAGAAGCAAAAAAATAAAAGCAAATTCTAATGCTTAAATTTTACCAGAGATCAAACAGAATCACGAAGGTAATGACCGTACTTGGTTTGGTGGTACCTATACAGATGTCAAAATCATTTATGGTTTGGCTAAAAATGGTAAGGTTATTAAAGATGACGATAAAGATAGATATTTAGTAAACAAATTCATAAGTACATCGAAATGGTTTACAGGAGGTCTTCTAGGTTCGCTTCTAACTGATAGGATGATTGCTGCAACATTCAACATTATATCAAAAAGGTAGAGTTTGACCTATTCAGCTATTAATAAATTAATTAGTTGTATAGGCAATTTAAATTTTATAAAAACCAAATTTTTTCAAAAAGATAATATTTAACTTACAATTGAAATGCTTGATTCTTGGAAACCAACTGAATTCGATCACATTGGAAGAGATTCTGTAAAAGAAATTGATTTATTAAGTAAGGTGTTTTTTAAAAAAACATTTACATAAACTTGTTAATGTTATAAATCCTGCGATTGTAGAATTATTGCTTTAAAAAGAACTTTAGAAAACACACCTATTTTAGTGTAAAAGATTGAGCATATATTTCGAAATGAAGTTAATCAAATTAGGCTGGATGCGATTAGTGCTATTTATAACTGTGCATTACGAGACAGAAAAATTTTAAATCCAAATCATCTAAAAATAATTTAATCTTGCTTAGATGATAATGATACAAAATTCAAAGGCTTTACAATAAAAATATTAGGCACATTAGCAGATAGCAAAGAAATAAATTATAAAAAAATTTTCTATGCGTGCTTAGAATAGCTAGAGATTAACACTGAATTAGAACAATCAATAGGTTACATAAATTAACAAACAAAAGATATCAAGAGGTGTAAAGAATTATTTGAAGATGAAACAATACTAAGGCTTAGCAAATTATTAAAGCATGATTCTTTTGATGACCAAACAAAAGTATATTGTTGTGAGATTATTAATAACTATCTTGAGCACACTTTTAGTAAAGGTTTGAATGACTAGGAGCTTATATATTGCAAAGATGTTATTGAGAATATAGGCTCAGGTAATGAACTAAAAACTGAAGTTTTAAGGTGTATATTATTGACTGCTGAAAAGGCCAAGGATTTACCGGAGCAAATAGCTAATTCTTTGGTAAATAATATAGATAGTTTAGACGAAAAGATGGTTAACTTAGTTGTTATAACTTTAGGGAGTATTTGTGAAAAAACACCTGTAACCAATCTTGACAAATTGTCCAGTAAGTTATTGGATGATCAAGTAGTAGTTGGTGAAATAGGAGATATTACATTTGAGCTGCGTTCTAAGGAAAATCTTACTTCCCCATCTATTTCATCAATTACTAGTAAGATTTTTGTTGATTCTCTACAGAAAGGTGGTCGAATCACGGAAAGAGGAGTTGCTCATCTTGTATCTGCTCTTGATAGCAATGATAAACAAACATAAATCCTATCTTCAAAAGCTTTATCTATCTTAGCAAATCATAATGTAATGAGTGACTTTGTTTTAAAAAATATAAGGGAATATGTTGATAATCAAATAGCTGACGTCTCGACTTATACTACTCTAGCTTATACTGAAGGTTTAAATAAGTTAGTTCAGAATAGAGTTCCTGTTTCTCCCAGTCATATTGAATTTTTACCTAAAGTTTATGCTTTTGAAAATCTAAGACTGGGAGAACAAGATTTCACTGAACATGTAAATGATAATATTTTATCAATATTACTACATGAAGCAGATAAACAGGAGTTTGGTGAAAGCGTCTTTAGTATTTTTGATCATATTTTGTTTGCTGATGGATATAATTAAAAAAAAGTTGTTAAGATACTTGATATATATACCTCTGGTAAATACCTAATCCTTCAAAATACTATTGCAGCTTTGGAAAATGTACTTGGTATACCAGAAGTATGTGATATGGCACTTAAGGCACTTGGAAATGTAATTCTGAATGGCTAAAGAGTTTTAAGCGAAAAAACTTTACATATATTTAGCGATGACCTTCATTTAGCAGAAGATTCAAGCTTAAGATTAAAATCTTTTAAACTTTTAGATGCTGCTGAGAATAACCAGGAGTTGTCTGATGGAGTATTTGATAATTTGGAGTTGTAAAGAGCAGGTTGTGCTATCTCTAATGATCTAATTTACAAAGAAAAAGCTATTTCCTACCTAAAGATCAAAACTGATGAAGGGTAAAAGCTGCCTATTGACACTCTGAAAGCACTGACTAGTGAGTTAACTAACAAATAAGTTTTATCTATTTTAAATAACATATCTAGAAATAAACAGCTTGTACCTGATTACTTAATAGATAAGTTAATATTATAATTTTATCCTGAACAAGCATGTAATCAAATAATTGAAATTTTTTATAGTATTGCAAAAAATAATCAAAATATTCCAAGAATACTTTTAGTAAAATTAGAAAAAGGTTTAGATAATCATTTGATTTCTGACCAAATATTATCAATCTTTGCCCTGCAAGGACAAAAAGGTGAGGAATTATCAGAAAAAGTAATAACTAAGATATGTAATAAGTTTTTAATTACTGACAACGAACCAATCAAACAGGAATTTTTATCTACAATTTGTTCTATCATCTAAAAAAGCTTGTTTGATAAACATCTTATAAAAAAAGTTCTAAAGTATGGAATTACACAAGAAAATAAGAATATTGTTGAAAGTAGCATCATTGGATTTAGGAGCTTTGCTAAGTTTTTAGAGTTAGATGGAGATCAAGAGTGCATAAATGCTTTAGTAGAAAAGGCAGATAATACAAATTCTAATGAGTCTATTAAAAAAAATATTCTTACAATATTAGGTTCTTGTAAATTAGACAGTGCTCACAAATAAAAGCTGGAACTATCTAGCTTAGATCCTACTACAGACAGTGAATATCTAGAAAAAATATCTAATCTTTCAAAGCAATCTCCATTACTTAAACAAAATTTTAAGCAATTAAATTTCATTATTGATAATTATCCCGACTCACAATTCAAAGTAATATATATTTTAATTTAATGCTTAAATAAACAAGATATTTCTGATGAATTAATGAACAGTATAGCAATTTTATCTGCTAGCACTAAGTCAAGTGACCTAAAGAGATCATGCTATCATTTAGTAAATCAAATTATAGCAACTGGTAGAAAATTTAATGATAAGATCATGTCATTGTTAGTACGTGACGAAAGTAGGGAGCTAGTACAATCCACTTTAGAACTAGCTGCTAAAAATCAGGAAATTTCATTTCAAGCAAGCCTGTTACTAAGGATTGATAGTATAAAACCTCCAATTAGTACACAAGATTCAAATAAATTACTTAAAGATATTCATCATGAACTTAGAAATGGATTTGAGCTAACTGATTTTACTATTCAAAAGTTGTTAGAGATATAATTTTTTGAGCAAAAAATGGAAGACTACTCAAATTTAGAAAATTTCTCCAATATTTTTGCATACATTTTAGTTTAATAACCTAAATATTGTTCAAATCAAACAATTGTTTCGGTTATCGAACAACGAATATTGTCTAAAAAAGTAAGCAGCGATATCATTAATGGGTATAACAAAATTATCAGAGAAGGGAGTTATTTAAATTTAGATAATGCAGTCGATACTTTGGCAGAATGCTTGTAAGAGGGTAACTAAACTGAAAAATTGAATTTAGCAATGCTTCGTTGCATAAGCAGTGCAGCTGAAGTAGCTAAGAATATATCTAAAAAATGTTTATCTGTTCTAGAAAGTAATATAGATAGCTCTGATGAAAATATTAGGAGTTTATCATTTAGAGGATTATGGGCTGCTTAGGATAAGGGGCATACATCAGAAATATTTAAAATATGGTGCAGTGATGCTATTACTAATTTAAGACTTAAAGTTAGTACAGAAGTTAAGCTTGATTTAGAATTACTTGATACTCTAGCTTCATTAAAATATTTAGATCTCAACAAGATTGCTCAAAAACCTTAAATTTAATGGAAGAGAGAGCTATTACTTTCTGATTTACTAGCAAGATTTGATTTAAGTGAGGGAGATTAGTTTAACTTTTATAAAAATTGGATATATATTGAATAAAGTAAAAAATTTCAAATAGGAAAATCAGAAGAAATACTTAAAGCTCTCATAATTAGTCGAAATAATGACAATTTATCATTTGAGCAGTTAAATGACATCGTAGTGATATTTTTTTCAACTATTGATTCTGAAACAGCACATAATATATTGTTGAATAGTACTAACAGTTATTTTGATCTAAAGCAAAAGTGGGTAGAACAGTTACTATTAGAGCGCATAAACCAAGAAACAAGTAATATTTATATTTAAAAACTTGCTTTTGATATCTGTAACAAATTTGATACTGCAGTAGTTGAAAAATTGCTAAATTCCATATCCACTATAACATATCTGAGAGAATTTGAACTTTTATTAGATTTTGCTAAAATAAATTAAATCAAAGTGTCCGATATAAATATACAATAGGCCAGAGTTAATTAATTAATAAGATCATTAGAGCTAAAGATTTTAGGTAATTATTTTCAAGGATCTGTAGATCGTTTTAAGTTAGCTAATATACTTAATAATCTTTTAGAGAAAGGATGGGCTCTTGAACAATTAAAAGCCATGTTTATCAATCTTAAATCTTTAAATACCATAGAACAAGTCTTCAAAGAATAAAACCTTATTTCCATAATTCAAATATTAGATGAATACAAAATTGCCCAGTTTTACCACCAAGATATTTTAACTGTGCTTATGTAGTAAAATCCAGAGGATTGGTTAAAGGGAATAAATCAAATCGCAGTAAGACATAATTTTCAAACTATAGGCAAGGTAAAAAATACTACTGAGCTAGTGGGTGAATTAAAAAGTAGAAATTTACACAACTAATAAGTATTGGAGATGATTGATGGTGGCTTAATTAGCTAGATAGCACAAATTTAAAACACAAGATTAGAAAGTAAAATTTATTTAAATGTGAGAAATTTAAATAGATCTCAATTAATTATTAAATGGGACAAATCAGATATATAAGAATGGTCCAGAATTGTTAAATCTGATCCTGATAGCTTAAAAAATTATAATTCTCTTATTGAGGCACTTGCTGTAATAAAAAGAGCAAATTTTTTACATACAGGCTTTCTTATGACAGATTCTCAAATTTTGAGTTGCTTAGTGACATTACAGGCTAATCAAGATCAGGGAAGACTGTTGCAAATAGCAACTGGTGAGGGTAAATCCACTATTATTAGTGTGCTTGCTATAATTAGTGCGTTGAAAGGTAAGAAAGTAGATATTATAACTAGTTCGCCAGTACTTGCTGAACGAGATGCTAAGGAAAAAGCTGGACTATATAATATCTTTGGATTAAGCTGTACCGATAATAATGATAAATCTGTTTATATTAAAGGAGCTAAACCTTGCTACTAAATGGATATAGTATATGGCGAAGTAGCTCAATTCCAGTTTGATAGTTTAAGAGATGGATATAGCTAACTTGGTACATTGGATAATAGAAAATATGAAGTTGCAATTATTGATGAAGTAGACAGTATGCTTATTGATGATAGTTCTAAAATTGCAAGACTCAGTTCTGCTATTGCCGGTATGGATCAACTACAACCTTTATATCATTTTCTATGGCAAAGGCTGATCTCTATGCAAGAGAAAATTGTTGAAATTGATGGTAAAATGTGTCTCTTGTATGGTAAAATAAGTTATGAGCACAACAATATTATATTAGAATATGCAGATGAAAAAGGACAGCTTATAAAAGTACCTGATCTAAAAAACTATATTAAATCTATTAAAGATATAAGTGATATTGGTCAATTTATAGAAGGTGAAATCGAAGTATTTCTTAAAAGTCATCTTTCGGATTACATAAATGAACTATTTGAGAATAGTTTTATAAAAATACCTGGTAATTTTAAAGAATTTGTAGAAAATCAAGCATCTAAATGGATAGACAATGCTGTCGTAGCCTTTGGCTATCAAGAGAATGTACATTATGTCGTACAAGAAGGAGTTATAAAACCTGTAGACTATAACAGCACAGGGATTGTTCAAAGTTCTACTAATTGGAGTGATGGTTTGCACTAATTCTTATAGATTAAGCACTCTCTGAAAGTGACTTCTGAGACTTTTATGACAAATTTTAGATCAAATATGGGGTATTTTAATAATTATGGTAGTAATCTTTTTGGTCTTACTGGTACCCTTGGGTCTATGAAAGCAAAAGAAGTATTATCAGAAGTTTATAATGTAGATCTTGTCGATATCCCTAGTTTGCATCAAAAGCAGTATCTTGAGTTATCTACTGTAGTCACTGCTAATTAAACCAAGTGGTTTAATGAAATATGTTCTTCTGCAATAAATGAAGCGAATAAGGAAAGAGGAACTTTAATTATTTGTGAAACAATAGAGCACGCTAAACTAATAGCAGAAAATCTTAAATCAGAGTATAGAGCAGGAGCAATAAAGCTTTACACAATGAATAGCATGAACTAAGAAAGAGAAATAGAAAAAGTCAATCCTGGAGAAATAATAATCGCAACAAATCTTGCAGGGCGAGGAACTGATATCAAAACTGATGAAATTGAAAAGAATGGTGGTATGCATGTAATTGTAACCTTTATGCCATCTAATTAGCGTGTTGAAGAGCAAGCATTTGGTAGGACTGCAAGATAAGGTAAATGTGGTACAGGTTAAATGATATTAAACGCAGTTGACTTAATGGAATATGGTGAATTTAATCCACAGAAAGTAAAAGAGCTAAGGGATGGCCTTGAAGTGAAAATATTGAACGAATTTCAAAAGGAAGAACTAAAATTAATAGAGATAAAAGATAAGTTGTTTAATCATTTTTGTTCATTATTAAATAAGATACGTCAGAGCATTAGAAAAAAAAGTAAACAGTTGGTTTTTTTTTAAAAAACTACACCATCAGTATACGAGGTTAATCTGCTTTCAGCTATTGAAGAACAGTGGTCGATGTTTTTACGTAAGATAGATGAGGGATTAATTCCAATTGAAGATGCTGAGAATGAATATTAAGAATTTAGAGTAAAAATTGAAAATGATTATAAATGTAATAATGTAATAAAAAATCCTTATTACCACATTTCTATAGCTAACGATTTAGTGATTAATGATTCCTCACTGAATGATAAATACAATCAGGCGATGAGTCATTTTGATCAAGCAGTTTAGCTTGATTAACACTGCAGCGCAGCGGCATTTGCAGGTAAGGCGTGGCTATTATTAAAAGGTAAAGAAAAGTTTTGGACTTAAAATGATCAGAGTAGAAATTATAAACAGCAAGCCATTATAGAATTTAGCAAAGCCCTAACTGTTTTAAATGATGAAATGGCGTTATTGAATTCTATGCAATTTATACTACAGTAGAGTTAGGCAGACATTAAAAATGATTTATCTAAACAGTTAATTCAAAAGATATAAATTTTAGATTCTTATTCAAATAGTTTACAAAATGCTGTCTCTACTATTAAGAAATCACAAAGGTTAATAGACATAACATGCATAAGAAACTACCAAGATAAGAAATAATATATTTAGATAGTCAATGGTAATAGCAATACTTAATAAAAGAGCACTGATTATAATACTGAAATTTATAAAGTAGCAGTTTCTTATAATGGTCTTGAAAGAAATGGGCTTGGGGAGATATATCGAGAACTGGGTTGCTATGATGAATTTGAAGTTGTTTTTAATGATTTGACAGTAAGGGAAGATAGTGGTACTATTGACCAAGCTATTGATACTATAACGAAAGCCTTTCTTAATTCTAAGCCCTTCTATAATATATTTAATAAGGGTTCTAAAATTCTAGATAACTATAAGAATATTAGTATTAATTTAACTCAAGTTAATGCAGAAAGACTAAAATTAATGATAAATCCTGATATTGCAGTCAAAGAAGCAACTAACGTATTACCTTATTCAAGGTTAAATATTGAGTTTCCAAGATTAGACTCCATTAATGCTAAAAATAAACTCCGTGAAATAAAATCTTAAAATGTTAGTCTTGAAATAACAGGTAAGAAAGATGAAATACTCACAGCTATTAGCAATCTTAATGTTCATACTGTAGACTTCTTCAATTCAGAAAATAATATTACTGAATCTGTATATCTCCATAAAGCTAAAGAAAAAATTAGTCATATCTAAGAAAGTATTATTAGTATAAAACTTGAAAATTTAGATAGCTTGGTTGTTAATGAAATTATAGATTTATGCCAAAATGCAAGTTTTAGTATTCATTTTATAGCAATAACCCTTAAAGAAAGCTTAGGAGGATTAAATGAAGAACAGATCAATGTAAGCTTTAATGATTTGGGGTAAATTGAAGCAATTAAACTTATTTCCAGTATTAGAAAAAAAAATATGGATTTTAGTTTAGTGTTTAGACATCTAAAAGCGCAGCAGTTAGAATGGATAATTGGAAAAGCATCATTAGATCAAGAAAATATTAAAATAAGTAAAGTAAGAACTTTGAGTGAACTTTTTATGGATGAAACTAAACCTATCTTAGAGTTATCAGAATTTGCTGCTAGGGGAATTGAGTATTTAGTGGTGATTAATGAAAAAAGATTTATCCCCTGGCGAAGTGTTATAGAAGTTGGAGCTCTTGCTGGTATTCAAATTGCAGTAGGTGGTGTGTTAATAACAACAGGATTCTGGTCCTCTTTTGGAATGGGCTTAATTACTGAAGGTGCAGCAGATATAATTACTGCTTATGGAGCTTACAGCACAAGGTAATTTTCTTGGTCAGATTATTGGAATCAGAAAGCAACTAGTTTAGTTATATCACTGCTATCTTGGGGATGGCAAAGATTAAAAAATGCATGTAATGGAGCTAAAAATTTATTATTAGAATTAGAATAAGAGGCATTAGAGCAGGTAAGTACCAAAGTTATTATGAATGGTTAAAAAGTAATACTTAAAGAAGCATAAAATCAAGTTAAAAGTTATGCATCTCACTCTGCATTAAAATATTTCAATCCACAAATTTCCTTATTTATACAAAATTAAGTTAATAGTAAGTTATGCCATTCAAACTTAATGGGTTTAATACGTAAGATGTATGCATTAGATAGTATGAGTAAATCACAAAAAAATCTCAGAGGATTAATAGATAGAATAGTGTCTGAAACTATCAATCCAGAGAGCATAGGTATAAAAATATTAGATATTTATAATGTCATGCATTAGATTCCAATTATTGTTGATAAAATTCATGACCAGCTAGTTAAAAAATTTTCCCAAATTGATAAGGAAACGTTACAGATAGCTCAACTGCTACACAAATATTGTCATATAGAAGAAAATGATGCTATATAAATTACTGAAATATTAAAAAAAGAAGATGTTATAAAAATAGATAACGGGAATTTGGATCAAGTTTAGTATTTTTGCAGTAGTATTACTTGGGAAAAAATTAAAAAATAAGAATATTTTAGCAAATACATGAAATAATTAACCTTTTATTATGAATACGTAAATCCTCTAGCATTCGAAGCTAACGTGTAAGACCATGGAAACTATAAAAAGCCAAAAACTAGCCTTGATAGACTAAATTTTGGTAATCACAACCAACATAAAAGTAAAGTACTCCATTTCTGTAAAACTTTGCATGAAAGCACTTCATCTGTACAAATAGCAGATCTAAGTCAAATAATTAAATCGGTATCGGATTTAATTATGGAATAATTTATTCAGATTACAGATGAGCTATTGATTTTAAAATGAAGCAACTATGTCATCGGAGATCTTACTACTATAATATCTAATAGCATTCAAGACAGAACATTTATTCTAGGTTTTAAAATTCTGTAGATAAGATATGTGTAATTAGCTGAATTTCTAAAAATATTAAAATAAAAAATGATTAAATGAAAATTTGCTTGTTTTTTTTTTCTTTTTTAAATCTTTTCTTTTTAACTACGAAGAGTATTTTATTTTTTATGCTAAAGTTATTTTTACAATTAAGAGATAAAATTTAATTAAAATTTTCAAATTGAAAAAATAGGATCTAAAAGAAGGCTTAAGTTATTTTATTCAATTCTATATGAAAAGCAAAACCTTCTTTTTTAGCTAAAAATGTTTGTCTTTAAAAAAGTTCAAAGCAAAAAAATTAATTTACTGTAAAAAATATTTTTTTATTCTATAAATTTCAAAAAAACTTTCTATATTTTAATTAATTTTTATATTAACTATTAAACAATGACAGCTAAAGTTGAGGCTGGTTTGTAAAAAAAATATGGTGATCCATCCACCCATCAATTTTTCATTATTCATCTAAAAATAAATTTTTTAATTATTGAACTAATTTTATTTATTTGGCTTCTTTTTAAATAATGCAAGATAATTAAGCTAAATCTAATCTTTTTTGTAAATCTTAATGTTTTGTTACTTAAACAGATGTTCCTGTTGGTAATTTATCTTCTATTTATCCCATAAATAAGTTTGAAATAAATGATAAACCTTTTTTAATTTTTTACAATATAATATCATAAGGAATTGAATTCTAGCTATCAGGTAGTTAAAATAAATTCCCTGATCTTCATATTTTATCAAAATATAAAATTTTTAATAAACATTATGAAAATTATATTTGAAAAGCTAATTTAATTGAATAAAAAAAATAAATTAATTTAATAATAAAAAGATATAATTAAAGATAAAATAAATAGATTGATAATTGGTTTAGAATTTATTTGTTTGCAGAAAAGCTACGAAAACTTTACAACTAATTAATGTTTTTTCAATCGATCTTTATGAGTTGGTTTCAGGTTACATTTGTTTAAAATTATTTTGAAATAATCCATTATTGGGTTATTTTGTTTTTGATACTAATAGCGGAAATTATTATGTAATATTAATTTATCGTTTAGATTTTAAATCCATCTTTACATAATATTTAATTAAATATACCAAATTATTGTTGCTTAATAAGATACTATGTATACTAATAAATTAGCTAGAGTATTTGATTAATTAAGACAAAGTTAATATTTATTGATTATTTCCATACATTTTGAAAGTTTGGATCTTCTTCTTTTTATTTCTCGAGCTTACTAAATATTTAAAATCAATTATAGTTCTAAAGAAAGGAATCAAAATATACTCTACTTTTTTACACTTTTTTAAGTTGATGTATTTGCTTTTATAAACTGTCATATCATCAATACTTTAGTTATATATTCAAGATATTAAGAATAGAAGTTTAGAAATATACTGATATTCATTTTTATTTTTAGTTCTGTCTTTACATAATAACAGATTTTTTAATATATCTAATATACTATCCATACATCTTGATTTAATACGTTATTACTATTCTCATAGCTTTATTATAAGCTTAGAGTTTAATCATTTAGGGAAATCATTAATTAACAAAAATACTGATAATAAGATGTTTTATATTATTCTGCTCATTTAATTATGAATTTCTTATTTATCCTATTTACAATGAACCTCTGAGTAAGTATTATAAAATTTACTGTAAAGGAAAAAGATTCTATCTCCTTTTATCTTAAAGGGTTTTATTCTTGTGTGAAATAGTTATATATATATATATATTTAGCACTGCTGAATTTTAGCAACAATAAATGATATATTGCTCTAGATAATAATAACTATTTATTTGGTATTTTCTATTATTTCTCTCATCTTTATGATAGCTAAAGTCTTTAACTTATTTGAATCGGCCATAGAGATAAAAGGTTTAATTGCTGAAAATATTACTAATCCTAATTATTAGTAAATTTAATACTAATTAATCGAAGATTGGCAATAATAATATTTATAATAAATTATTGAGAAAATTAATTAAACAACATTTTTAAATTAATTAACCATTATAAACATTAACAAATTAGTTGTTCGTTATGAAAGTGATTTGAATATATAATTTTAGAATTTTTGTTGAAGAGGAAAGACAATCAAAGCTTTTTTATTTGCTATGATAACAAATATTGGTTTGCTAAGGATTGTAATAAATTATCAATACTTTTAAGTGATTCAAATGTCCAATAATTTTCTAATTTTTTGATTAAGTTTAAGTCTCCTTTCATTTATTATCTATATATTGCGTTGAAAGCTAAATTAAGCAAAAAAAATGAAAAGATTTTAGTTAAAAGATTGGTAGCTTAAATATTCCATATGAAAATACATTTTAAAAGTTAATCAAAAGGTTTTGAATCTTTAATTAAGATAATGAATGAACAGGAATCAATTATTACAAAAAATATTTTATAGATTGTTGCCTCCAAAAATTATTTGTCTTCGTCTTAAAAAATAAATTAAATTTAAGTATTGTATGATTTATATGATTGAGATAAATTATCATATTGTATGCTATATATATATTTATTATTTGCATAATTATTAAATATAAACAGTAAAACTGCCATAATTAATTAACTTCCTACAATTTTCTAGTTTTAGATATTTCTTGATTTTTTATCTAAAATTTTTATCTACCATTTAAAATTTATATCTAATTAATATAAAATTTAATTAGATTTATGGGTGTATTGATGATTATCACCAATATTCGGAGAAAAAATTTTTTTTTTGAGCTGGTGTTAATTAAGGAGGATTTACAGTATATATTTTTTTTGATTTACTTGTTTCTAAAAATGTAAACAACTAGAATCCAAAATTTAATAAAATAAGAGAGCTTACATAAATTTTTATTTTTAAAGATTCCATAGATTGCTCATTAAAATCTAAGAATGGCTTTGAGCTATTTTTGTGTATTATAGATTTTATTAAGTTAATAATTTTTCAATAAAAAATTTTTCTTTTTTAATATAAAAGTAAACATTTATTGTTTTGAATTTTTATCACTTTAGCTATATTTTTTTAATAGCAAATATATGATCATATCACAAACTTATTTGTCTATAATAAGCTTTTTAAGTGTATACATTTAAAAATTCCATAAGGAATATCTTTTAAAATACTCAATAAACTTTTTAAATTTTAAAATATTTTTTAATTCTTCTAAGATGTTCAATTTTTTTATCATATTTTGTAATTGTTGAAAAACAAAAAATTTGTGTAAAAATTTAAATAAATCATTTTAAAGATTAATAATTGAAATATTTTAACTGGTTTAACAATCAAAAATCAAATTTTTAATAGAATCTAAGAGAGAAAAACATTTTAAGATTACTGAAAAATTATTAAAACAAAAATAAATCATATTTATCAATAATGTTACTGAGTGAGTATTACGGAAATTTTTATAAATTTTGAAAAGACTATGATTGGCTTTAACAATTGCTTAAAAACCTTATTTTAATTAGTGACAAAATATCATAATTAATAAAAAAAATTAGAGAAATTTAACATTAAAGATTTAACAAGTAAATTTACTTTTTAAAAAGTTATTCAGTGTAAATCATAAGTTTTGTGCTGTTTCTCATAATTAAATGTTCATACAAAACGAAGTAGTAAATGAGGAATTAGATATAATATTTTCTAGGACAAGACATTAAATTAAAGAATAACTAAATAGAAATGCAGTTAACAATTAATCACCATAGTTAAACAGTAATTTAGAAGGATTTGGTTAAGAAAAAAATACTTAAAATAATGATCAAACAAAAGCTGATTAAAATGAGAAAGTAAATAATCTTTAGAAAAAGCTAAATAATATTTAAAAAGCTCAAAGTACAACCTTGAATCGAAAGCTAAATGCTATCATTTAATCTGAAAAAGTAGATTTTAAAAGAGAAGAAGACACTGAAGTAATTAAAATTTTAATTTGGTCATTTCATAAAATTGCATTTTAAAAAAGATTCTTCTGGGTGCTATAAATAACTAACAAAAATCACTCTATGAAGCAAAGTTAGCTGTTATGGCATTTTAACAATTAGATTTTTTTGCTAAGAAATAAATATTTTAAGTTAACGATTCTATGACTGAAATAATAAATGCATCTATTAAAGTTCATTCTTTCTCTAAATACAGCTGCATATAAGAGCATGGTAAATAATATTCTACCTTTTTGTTCTACTATTTATTCAATTAATAAATAAGTTTTTCTTATTTCTTTCATTATAATTAAATTTAGGTTAATAATCAAATTTTATATACATTATCCTACGAGGTTAAGCTGCTGTACTTAGAGTTGAGCCAACTAAGAAACGTCATAGTATTTCTTTACTTTCTATTAAAGAAAAGAGCAAAAAATAATTAGAAACTCAAAATTTAATCAAACATAAATAAGATTTAAATATTTCTCTAACCTAAACTCATGAAAACTAACATAAAAATGAGTAAGAAATATTTAAAAGCAGTCTTCACAGTATAGATGAATAGCATCATAGCCATTCACATTAAAATATGAGTGATAAGGAAAAATTTATTGAATATAGAATTCAACATGAACTAATTAAGTATTTTCAAAATTTAAACAAAGATATTATCAAAAAAAATTACTCTAATGGTTAAGCTAAGAAGGAGGCTTTAGCCAAGTATATGTCAAAGACTGATCTGATTTAAACATTTAAGCAAAAAGTAGAATCAATAAAGGAAAGTGACAATATTTACTAACAACTAAACTCTTAAGATAAAGATCATATCTAATTAAACTATCCTCATCATCACTTAACATATATTTTAAATGTTGGAGACTACTTTTGTGAAGAATCTCTGATTTACAAAACTCACAGGTAAAAGTTGCATGAAAGCACTTGAATTTATTTTTTATTTTTTGAGTAATAAATAAATCATGAATAAATAGATTATTTTATGATAAAAATAAAAATCAAAATATTTAAAAGAAATAAAAATGTATTTTATGAAATCATTTTTTCAAGAACCTAATAAAATTAAAAATTTTAAATAAAAGCAAAGAATTTTACTTGATTACTTCAAATTTCAAGAAGCAAGCAGTAATATTTTTAAAAACCATAAAAATTTATCATATAATTTCATATTTCAAGTTAATAAAAACACAAAAAATCTTTATGAAACAAAAAATGTTAGCTTATTTCATTTATCAAGAAATGAAAATCACAAAAATCATTAAATAGCATAAAATTTAATTAAAAATGACTTCATATAAGCAAGTAAATAGAAATTTAATAAATAAATAAATCTAAAATAATTTAAAAAAGGAGATTCATAGAATTTGTTTAAGTAAGTTTTTAATAGTAATAAAATCTATTTTTTTATGATAGTCTTAATTTATTAAAAGATAAGATTAAAGACAGTAATTTTATTAAAAGCTCATGCTTTTTGTTTTATTTTCCACTTAAAAATCTAAATTTTTAATTTGATTACTTTTTTTATTTAAGTGCATAAAGAAATTAAATATTTGAAATATACGATGATAGCTAAAATTTACAAATTTTTACAGTTTTTTTATATTTTAATTTATTTAATAGCAATGGGAATATAATTAGCTTAGATGATGACTGCCTAGTGATTTCTCTAAGCAGAGATGGATTTGAAAATATTGTAAAAAGCTATTATCTTAAGATAGTTAGCAGTAGGTTAAACTTTTTGAAATAATACAAATTCTTTGATTGCATTGCAGAAAGAGATATTTTAAATATTATTCCTGAAATCAAGGAATTATCTCTAGGTAAAAACAGTCTATTATTTAAAGAAGGAGATCCAACTGATGAAATTTTTTTTCTGTATTCTGGATAGCTTGAATTGCAAAAGAATTATTCTGTTTAGGAGCTTAACTAAATTATTGTTGATTATAAAAATGAATTGAGGGGGAAATTTGCAGAAAATAACAATAAATTTTATATTGACATTTCTAATAATGTAAATTAAAAAAGAAAGCATATAAATCCTGTTGATAAAATTATTTAAAACTGCTAAGGAATTTCTGTAAAACGCACTAATAAAGATAAAACAAATCTTAATTTATTATCAATTGCAAGAGATAACTTTAGAAATATGAGATTAGTCACTTTATATTAATATACACCTGGTTCATTTTGTGGAGATAAAGAGTTATTTGAAGAAATCACAGTTAGACAAAATAGGGTGGTTGTTGTGTCTCACCAAGCAATTATTTTGTCAATTACAGCTTAGGTAAAATTTTCAATATTCTAAATTAATTTATTCAATTTTTATTTTTGAAAAGCTTCTTCTGAATGTTTTAAAATTAAATAAAACTTATGATATGATGGTTGCAGAAAGTTAAAAAAAGGATGAGTTTTATATGCAAAGAACTATTGATTATATTTTGCTGAACTAGAATTTTAACAAGAAGAAATCGCTTGGCACTTCAGAGTTGATGGAAATAATCAATTAGAGAAAAAAAATAAATATTAAAATGAAAGAAGAGGAAGAAAAATAAGAGGAATAAATTCAATAGGAAGAAAATAAAGCAGATTTAAAAATTTATGAAGTCAAATAAAAGAAATTAGAAACAAAAAATAAAACTAAATAAGCTCATAAAAATTAAGTAGAAGAAGAGAATTTGGATTAGCTTTAACTAAATCAAAAGGAAAATATTCATTCAGAATATGCTTAACAACAGTAGAATAAAGCTGATTACAAAGAAATTTTTGACAAAGATGATTTTGAAGGAATGGACAATTTGAATAAATCTTTAGTTAAAAGAATGAATATTCTAAAATAGGGTGATTCAATTTTCGATTCAACAATGCCAAAGCATATGAAAGAAATTATTATAAAAAAAATAAAATAGTTAAGGCATTTAACTCCTGCATCAGTAAAAGGTGTTATAGCCAAAGTCCTCAATGAGGATAAGAAAATTAGATCAGTTTCTATATAAAATAAAAACTAGTAAAATAATTAGCAATAATCTCATTCTCCCAAACATTAAAAAAATTATCAAAGACCTAAAACTGTTTTGATTAATTCATCTCAGGAAACTGAATAAAGTTTTACAGAATTTAATGAAAATTTACATTAATAAATTTAAAAAAGTGCAAGGAAAAATTATTAAGATTAAAACTTATCTAAGTCGCTTATACTTATAAGCAAACAAGATCATGGTTTATTTTCTTTAGAAAAGCAATAAACAGATCAAGATGAATTAATTAAATAATTAGCAAACAACCCAATAAAGCAGATATTTAAATCATATTAAAAGGGAAAGAAAAACTTTAAATAAATCTTCTTGTAATCAATTGAAAATAAATAGCAAGTAAAATTAAAAAAATTTTTTTTATTATTTCCTTTCAATTTTAATCTTTAAACAAATCCATTCTTAAATTAAAAAAGAAGTTGTTTTAATTAAACTATTTAAGTGTTAAGTGTTAATTTTAAGCATAATATTTTCCTTTAAATTTTTTATGTTATAAATATTTTCTTTTGTAACATAATAGTTTTTATTTTTATTTTTAAGTTTCAAGTTTTTTTTATTATTTAACATTTTATTTTGCTTTTTTTGGTTGATTTTTAAATTTTATTTAAAAAAAAATTTATTTTACTTAAATTAGAGAAGAGATTCAATTTAGATGCTAAAGAAAGGAATTAAGATAGAAGCTATTATGAGAGAAAAAAGAGAAAAGGAGTTTTAAGAATATATGAATGAAGAATTGGAAGACAAAAGAATCAAAGTACTCAAAAGAAAACCAGAAGAAAATAAGCTTTAGTCAAATGAAAACCAAAAAAATTAGATTGAAGATCAAAAAGTTTACAGAAAAGATCAAAACAAATTAGAATTAAACAGATAAAATATTAAAATAAATAGAAATTTCAGTGCAAACTATATTTAAAAAGGTAATATTCTTAATGAGAACAAGAGTTTTACATAAGAAAGATCTATTTCACCTACTGCTGCTTTATCTAAATTTAGTTCTGCTCGTTTTTAAGCAATATAAGCTGCATAAAGCAATAATTTTGTGGGAACTATTTTATCATAAGAGGGTAACTTAGCAAAGCAAAATATATTGTAAGGTTAAATTTAGGGAATTCAAAATAATAAGGATAAAACTAGTATTAGAGAAAGTATTTTGTCTCATTTTACTGAGAAAAATACACAAGGCTCTTTCCAATCATTTCCTGAAACATAATTTATGACTGAAAGAAATGACACAGAGTATTAATTACAAGATATTAAAAGATTTAATAGTGAATAGGCTAAGTCTTAGATTAGTTAATTTTGCTAAACAACTCAATATAACGAATAAAGCAATCTTAAAAATGATGATATTCTTGTGAAAGATTTTCTCACTGAGAGAGATATTCCTCAAACTAAAAAATAAATTCAATTAGCTAATGCATAAATGTCTCAAAAAAATACTTAAAGTAGCTTAAAAGATTTTATTTAACATCAAACAAGCTCAAGAAAATTAGCTTAATTTTCATAAATGAAAAAAATGAATAATAATTATAGAAAGTTACATGATCAATCTATTGATGCTATTAAAGAAGACTATTTTGTTAACCAAACGCCAAATAATAAATGTTAGCATCCTAATCTTTTAATAACACTAGGTGATTATGAAGAAAATAAATTAATTTTCAATAAAGTAGAATAAAAAAATATCAACTAGTTAGACAAAATAAAATAATTAATACAGCAAAACAAAAAGTTGAATTTGAATAACAGTAATACCAACAATTAAAACAGATTTCAATCTTCTGCAACTGGTTTTAAAAAAGATGCATCAAATAATTAGACCAATAACTATAAGAATAGATCTTTTATTGTAACTGATTTTCAGCCGAATAATAATTCTGTTTACGGATTAACATCCAGCAAAGGCCATAGAAAACTTTTATAAACAACAAGCTTATGTAAAGGTAAATTTTATACTCTTAATTTACTTAAAATAAATAATTAAATCAGTTTAAACAATTTCTAATAGCAAAAAGATGACATTTTATCTCTAATTTTACATATAGAAAGATTTCAAAAGATTTATTTAACGATAAGCATATTTTTTTACAACAAAATGAAATTAAAATATTTTTATTTAAATAATTTAAATCATCCAATTATAAAATTTAATTAATTAAATAGATAAATTGCAAAACAATATCAATGAAGTTTTATCTCCAAAAACTAATCCAATTACTTATTCTACCTTGTCAACCAAAATTACATCAAGATTAGCTTAAAATAATACACCAAAGGAAACAAACATCCATAAAATTAATCTTGAAAAAAGTAAATAAAGATAAATTAATATACCTATTTCTATGGGGATTCGAAGGAAATGCCTTTCATAAAATTAATGTGAATTTAGTTCTGCATATTGATAAATCATTTTATTAATGCTACTTGATTGAAAAATATCTTTCAAACATATAAAAATTTTTTTCTATTTAAAAATGGTAACTTAGATAGCTATTAAAATAATTAGTTAAAATATCAAAATTAAAAAAATAACTTAAATTAAATAATTATATTAATAAAAAAGTCTAAATTATTAAACAAGTTATTTTATATCTTTTAAAAGTATTGTAAAATAATAAATTAAACCTAATATTTTCATTTAAATCATTGAGTAAAACCTTGTATTTGCCAGCAATAGAAAAAATTTTTGTTCATAGTAAAAAAAAGTTTTCTTAAATTATTGATGATTTTTAAAGGTTCAAAAACAGAAATAATGAATAAATTATCTTTTTTGTCTAAACAATACATTTAAGCATAAAACTTGTTGAATTTTATCAAAAGATGAAATTTTATAAGAAATTTATTTTGAATATATTTATTTATAGGAGTTGGCAACTTAACAGATAAATTTTTCCTACATTAAAAAAATTATTTTCAATTTTTTAAATACTAAAAATATTGTAAATATGTAAATAAGATCTAAATAGTTTAGTTAACATTTTCTATTTATAAAAATACAAACCATTTAGATCAATTAAGCCTTATTTGTTAAATATTCTAATTAGCTTTTATTAAAAAACAGTTCAATAAGAAAAAAAATAATTGATTGATATTAAGAAAGAATGATAGAAAAAAATATTATTTGAAATAAAAGTATTTTTACTCTTTTTATCTCATAAATAATAAGATTGAGTTAGCGAAGTAGTTTTAAGTAAAAAACAGTTCAGGAAGAAATTAAAGATTTATATTAAAATTTGATGATAGCTGTAAAGATAATTTGAGATAAAAGTGTTTTAATTTTTATTTATCCTCGGAGAAATATTATTTAGTTAAAATGACTCTTTATCTGTTATGATTTTGAGATGTAAAATAATATCAAAGATATAAAAATATTAAACAAAATATATCATTATAATTCGTAAAAAATATTTCACAATGAAAGTGGTATAAAAACAATTTTATTTTACCAAAAAAAAATTGACAGTAAAATCATAATTTTTATTTATTTATATGATAAAAACAAAACTATAAATAATATTTACAATATAAAGGTATTTTTTATTAGAAACTATTTTTTTTAATACTGAATAACTATTTTTAGCTAAATAATAAATGATTAAAAAATAAAATTTCAAATAAAAAAATTATTTTCAATTTTCTATACAAAAATTAAAGTTTTGTAAATATATATGTAAATAAGGTCTAATAAACTTGCTAAAATTTTCTATTTGTAAAAAAACCAAAAAAGATCAAAAGAGTTTTTTGTTAAATATTCTAATCACTTTTAAGTAAAAAATAGTTCAACCTGAATATAAAATATTAATATTAAGATTTAATGATAGCTGTTAAGATGATTTGAAATAAAAGTATTTTTACTCTTTTTTTACCACGGAGAAATAAAATTTAGTTCAATTTTCTTTTAATCTGTGGTTATTTTGCATATAAAAATCATATCAAAGATATATAAATAAAAACTAATTATTAATTCTTACAACAATTGGTGCTAAATAAAGTTTTAATATTATTAAGTTAAAAAATTCATATTTTATAAATTAATTCAATGATTAAAAATTCAATATCATTCAATTTCTTATTCCTCCTTCTTTCTTTGGAAGTTAGGCTTACCCTTTAGAGAATTTTAAAGCAAAATCATGAACAAAGGCTTTGGATTCTTAGGGAGTTGAGATACCTAAATAAAATTCAGTTTTAGGCTTCATAAAATTGTGGGAATTATTTTTCAAATTCTTAAAAAATAATTAGCCATGAATGGTATATTAAAAATAATTTATTTTACCAAAAAATATTGATAGTAAAATCATAATTCATTTATGATTAAAAGAGTTTTATTTATACTTTTTGCCGGGATTGGTTTATAATTATTAAAAACCAGCTATTATTAATATTGATGTGCAAGGTAAAGGTATTTATTGTTAGAAACTATTTTTTTTATTACTGAATAAAGATTCTAATCTTACCAATTAATTAATGAATAAAAGTAAAATTTTAAATGATGAGAATTGATTTAGTAAAAAAATCTTAAATTAATAATTAGAATATTTATTACATTTAATTTACAAAAATATAAAATTTAATATAAATATTTACATTAACATTTTAAAGCTTGAACATTTTTTATTGATAATTGAAAAAAAAAAAAAAAAATTTCAAAGTGCAATCTCTTTAAATGCCAGATTATTTTCCAAATGTTTTTTTATAAATTGGTCTTTAAATTCATCAATTTATTAATTACTACTGTCTGTTTGGATTTCTTCCATTTTTAATGAGTTTTCATTTTAATTAAATATCTCAATTGAATTTTTATTTTAATTGTTATCTTCATCCACTAAGCAATCTTTTAAACTTTTGAATACATCATTGTTTAAATACTTAAAAGGTAAGTTTAAGTTTTGTTTGCAAGAAAACATGAGAAAGCCAAGTAGGTACTATTACATCATTTGTAAAATATTCTCTTTCTTGATTTTAATCCAAATAGGTTAAAGTCTAATGTTCTCTCTTTAGAGCTCAGTTTAAAAATTATGGACGTTATATGTTTAAACAATGTTTTATATGAGATCATTAATATATTTAAAAATCAATCTAATTTCATCATCTGATAGTTACTAGCTTTAATTTATGTCTTTACTGTATACTTTTTCCAAATAAAGTCTTTCAGATTTTACTATCTTTTTATTTCTACCACCAGGAACTCCTCTGGGAATTCTAAACTCTTACTAGAGATTATTATGTTCATTTTTTATGTGGTTTGTTAAAGAAGAAAGAGTATCATATTCTCTTCTGCATTTGCACTCAAATTTAGGAAGAATAAGCAATGATTTTTTCTAATTTTCAATTATTTTTTTTCCCATTTATTAGCTTTTTAGATACAAAAAGTTAGCAAGTTAGATAATATTTTTTTTTAGTTTACAAATAAAATACTAATTTTATGAATTATTTTTAATTTATTGAATTATTAATTATATCATGTTTTTAACCTTAATTTATTTTGATTCTATAAAAGTGTTTTATATCCTAAAAAAATAAAAGTGTTTTTTAAAAAATAAAAGTGTTAAATTTTTATATATTATTGAGTGTTATAGACAATTTAACATATTTTAAGAATTTTAATATTTTTTATTTTAAATACTTTTTTTTTTGTATTTAATTAAAATAAGATTAATTAGTTGTTAATACTTAAAAGTATAAAGGAAATGATTTTTTGAATTTATATTATGCTTTATCATTTTAGTTAGTTTCTTTGCTTTCATATTATCTTTCATTCTAAATGAATAATTAGACTATTTCTTATTTATATCTTTAACATTATTAAAAAAATTAAAATGCAATTTTTTATAGATTCTAATCATTAATGAAAAGCTAAGAATTTTATAATTTATGTATTTTGTTTGATTACTATTTTTAAATACTTTACAATAGATCTGAGATAATACTCTTTTATGATTAAGAGTGAAAAATATAGATATTTTTTGAGAAAAAATATATTTTCACAATAGAAAATAAAAAAAGTTATTAAACTAGACACAATTAATAGAAAGTAATATTTAATTATAAACAACAGTACGTTTTTTAAGACATATTTTTTAATTTAATAACTTAAATTATTTAAACTGTTTTAATTTCAAGATTATTTTAAAACAGTTTTATTTATTTTAAACTTATTAATCATCTACTTTTAAAGAAATTTTTTTATTTATTATGTTCGAAAATACTTGAAAAAAAGAAAATATTGCGAAACCATTATAATGAAATAAATTTCTATTTTATAAAGAACAATTATGTTTTAAATTAGATAAAATTGAAATTCTCGAATAATAAATTTTATATTAAATTAACTAATTTAATTTTTTAAAATATTAATATTTTAATTAATTTAATTTTCAAATATTTTTTGAGAAATTTTGTTTTTTTAATTAAAATAAGTATTTCTTTCATCAAAAAAACTAGATTTTAAAAACTTCAGATGAACAAATACAAATATATAAATACATTCATACTTACATACATACAGAGATCATATAGGACTTATTGTTTTAGTCATATAATTACCGTACTTTCTCTATATTCCGAACAAGAGAAATTGATATTTTTAGGGAAAAAAATTTAAGCTAAAAAACTCAAAATTTTGACTCTGTTCTAGGGTCTAGGACAGACTATTTTAATGATAAATTAAGGTAATTAACTAAGGATATTAAGTTCTCTTATTAAAATCATAACTTAGATTATTGATTTTTTATCATAAACGTAATTATTTCTTTTTGTCAAATTTTGATGATCAAATATCTAAAATGATGTAGTAATGTTATTCTACATAAATTTAGATCAGCCTTTTTCTCAAATTCAATAAAAACTCTATAACTTTTAACTTTAACAAATAAAAGCAAAAATTTAATTATTTGAACTTGAAATCATTTTATTTAATTTTAACTTAATAGATCAAACAAATAAAATAGGAAACTATTATCTTAAATTGAAATTGAGTTTTTTTTAATTTAGAAGAAATTTTTCTCTAAGCTTTATTAGATAAAAATTTGAATGCAAATAATTACAATTTAGATATTGAAAGCCCTTGTATCTTCATTGTTTGTTTTAAAAATTAAGCAAAATATTTCTTAAATCAAACAAATTTTAAAAAGTAAATAAATATATAGTTAATATTAATAAAAAACCATTTCTTAATAATCAAAAAATGTGTTTTAATTTTTAAAGAGAATTTATGCGAGATTAATTTTAATAAATAATTTTTTAAATAAAATTAATTTTTACTAATTTAATGAATGAGTAGCGAGCTCATTAATTATCTTACTTTCAAATTTTTAATTATTTTTTTATAATACCTTTGTTAAAGGATCCTTTTGTTAAATATTAATAATAAGGAGTGATTAATTACTCATTTTTTTTCATTATGAAATTTTTTAGTAAGTCTTATTAAATTTTTTAAAAGTCATAATTGTAAAATAAGGTGTTATTATTTTGATTGAAGTTAAACAAACAAACAAACAAACAAACAATCTATATATTTATATTTGATATTTTGATAATTTATATTGATTGATATTACACGATATATATAATATAAATAATATTTTAATAAATTAATAATGATACTATCTATCATATTTTTAAATAATAATTTTTAGTAAAAAATTTTGGAAAAGTATTTTTTTTGATTAATTTGATTGTAAATGCTAAGGAGTAAATAATATATTAAAAATAAGTTCTACTAATTATAATAATTTATTGATTAATTAATATTAAACATAGAAAATACATTGATTTCATTCTTATTTATTTAAAGTAATAATTATTTTGAGGTGCTTTTATCATTTTTATTTTTATTGTAAAAATTAAATAACATTTTTTTAAAACTATATATTTCATTCATATGCTCCAATTCGAAAATTTTTTGATTAATTATGTGATTGTAAATGCTAAGGAGTAAATAATATATTAAAAATAAGTTCTACTAATTTTAATAATTTATTGATAAATTAATATTAAACATAGAAAATTCATTGATTTTATTCTTATTTATTTAAAGTAATAATTATTTTATCATTTTTATTGTAAAAACTAAATAACATTTTTTAAAAATTATTCTTTTCATTCCTATTCTCCAATTGGAAAATTTTTTGATTATTTATTTTATTAAAAGGATTTAGAAATGTCAATTTCTGTTTTATAAGTACAAAATTACTTGCAATTAAGTGATTAAAAATAACTAAAATGTTATTTATTTATTATTTTAAAATCAAATTTATTTATTTTTGAAATTGACTGTTGTTTTTTAAAAGAAAAGTAGGAATAAAATTATGATAAATTAATTAAATCTGCTAAATAAAATAAACAAATAAACAATTTTCAATAAATTATTATTTATTGTAAGCTCTTCAATCTTCAATTTGTTTGTTGAAATTAATATAAATAATTTATTTCAATCAAAGTAGCCAACCAATAAACTAACTAACTAACTAACTCAGCTCATATTAGAGGTAGTTCAAATATTAGCTTTTTATATTTTATGATAAGTTGTGATTATTTTTGATTTTGTAAAAAAATCATAGCATACATTCTCACCATCAACATTTGTTATTTTTATTGCTTTCGTAACAAATAATCTCAAGAAAAAGTAGAGAGAAATTAAGAAAAGCAATCCTTAGCCTCCAATTGTGTAGTAAGTAATTACATCATATGTGCTATCTATGATAGTATAAATATAATTCAAATTATTAAATACAGATACACCTGTTAACATAGCAACGACAAGCAAACACAAGAATGTCTTAACAATAATATGATTAGAATCATTCATAAAACCCAATCTTAGCAATAAGTAAATACAAAATAAACTTTATACGCAAGTAGCTATCAACCTGGCCATATGGACATTTTAAGAGTCATAAAGGGGAAGACTAGTCAAGAAAAATGATAGTTATTAAATGACTTCAAAAGCTGCTACTAAAGTAATAAGCAATATCATAATGCGATTGATAATAGTAGAGAGTTATTCTATTTTCATACTCTAAAAATTTTAAAATTAGAAATTCAATTGGTGTTTCTTGTACAAGTTATTGATTGCCATAATAAACTCAATTTTCAAATTTTGTAACTCAGGAAGCTCCATTTTTGAGACATTCTTTGAGATTTGTGTTTCCAAACTATCAGGAATATTAATGCTCTAAGCTACCTTTGTGAAAGGCTGGTTTTCTTGACCCGGTTCTGTCATTAATATATTTTTATTTCAGTGATTTTTTTTCTTTTTATTATTTAAATTATTATACTAATTCGTTAATTGGGAATCAGCTAAGCAATATTTAAAATGCCAGATTTTTAATTTAAATGATCAAATTATTAAATTTTTTGTTTTGATAGATAAATAAACAAGTAAAAAAATAAATGAATAGTTAGATAGATAGAGCTTATTTTAAAGATCATTTATGTTTTGATTGCTCCCAATTTCAAATTACTCTTTCATTTATTAATATTATTTAAAAAAACATACAAACTACTTTCAAATGATATAATTTTTTGTAGACTTTTAAGTAATAAAAATATCTTATTAAATCCTACAAGTTTTAAAACCATTCAATACTTAAATGGAGTTATTATCTTTATATTTTTATTATCTATCCATCATTTAAATAATTCAATTTCTAAAAATGTTTTAAAATATTCCTACTGATAAAAAAATAATTTACTATTCCATTTTTTGGTTTAGCTGATTAACTGATCATATATTTATTTTGTTTAAATATTAATAAATTTTAATTAATCGCTTTTTAAATGCTAACTTTTTGTTAATCTTTGAATATAAAAATATATCAAAGGAATTTGCATAAGTTAAAAACAAACGCATATACTATTCTAAATAAAAAATGTTTATTAATTAAAATATATATAATTTTGTTATAATATTTAAATTTTAAAGAAATTACTACTGTAAATATATAATTGTCTTATTATTTATTTATTTTTCTTTTATATTAAACGAATCTAAAGTTTCAACCAAATAAATATTAAAAACTTCCTAATTTAGATTATTTGATTTAAATATATTACTTGCTTCAATATGATTAATAAAAGCCAATTAATTTATAATCAATTAATAACCTAACACTTTCTTTATTTCTTATTAAGTATTAATTTTCATGTTTTTAAAGGGTTACTTAAATTTAGTAATATGATTTATCAATTTGTTTCATAAGTTTATTAAAATTTTATATAAATTTCTATTAAAGATATTTTATGATAATTTAATAATTAATATAAAATATAATTACTAAAAATAATTATTAATATAATTGATGTTTAAAGATTTTTATAAAAAATATTTTTATTTTGAAAAATACATTAAAGAAAAAATAAATATTTATGAGAAAATTCTTAAAGTAATTCAATAGTAACTCTATTTATAATATAAATAACTATTTCTCTGTTATTGAATAGAATTATATGAGGAAATAACCAAAATTTAATTTAAAATATAACTATTTATTAATCAAAAATTTTTAAATCTAACATTCTATTGTAACTCATTTTTTTGTTTTAAAATAACATTTAAAATGCAAAGCACATAATCAAAAAATGAAAAGTTGAAATTATTCAATGTTTAGTCATGTAGAAAGAGCACAACATATAGCCTATGCACCTTAATTAAACAAATTTTAGACTCATTAATCATTTATAAACTAACCATAAATAAAGAAAATACTGTAAATACTCGTTAATTAAAGTCAATTTTTTAATAAAATAAAAATTAAGACATAAAGTCAGGTCAAATTTTAATGTAAAATTTTATTTTTTCTGAGTTGGTCTTAATTGATAAGAAATTAAAGTATTTATTTATTTAAGAAATGATTAAAAAAATCAATAATTTAATTGATTTTTTGTTATTTGTTTTAGATAACCTCTTTTTAATTTGTTAAAGATAAAATACTTAGTAGAGCATAGAGAAACCAGTAAGTATGTAATTTATAATTAATAATAAACAAATATTATAAAGAGCAGGTTTTTATATAATGAAAATGCAACAATCAATTGACACTCTTAATTGTTTTTTTGTTTGTTTGTTTTTAAGGATAATTTATTACCTTATTAATCTCTGATTGATAGATAACTTTTAAGAAAAATGTAGAATGCCAATTCTGATTAATTTTTTAAGAGAGGCGAAGAATCATATAAAAGATTGGAGATAAAGTTTAATTAAAGAGGTTTTTTAGTTTCAAAATAAAAACATTCTAATTGTAAAACATTGTAGTCTATTTTTTTTAAGTTTTCAAAGGAAGCAATAAATAGTTAGCCAAGGTATATTTCAAAGGATGCAAATACACATGGATTAATGGAATGTTAACAATAATCACTAGTTTCAAAGGAATTAGTATGGAGGAGCTAACCAATGGAATCCTCAGATGCAATCTTATTAATAATATTAGCCATCTTCTTATACTTAGCAAACTAACATGGGTATGTAGTATCCACATTCAGCGAATCAGTCAGCACAGAATATCTACAGACCAAACTATTTGACAAAAGATGAAAGAAAGGGAAATTTAGCACTCACAGGAGAATTAGCTTTAGGTATTTATTTTAAATTATTTTTTGTTTAATATTTTAGGTTAGAATTTTGACTCAGTCATCTTGAAGTTTTACTTTTTAATTAATTTAAAGGGAAGAACAATAATTACTAGCAAGTTAATGGAGGAAGATTGAATTACACTGGCAATATGAATTTTGATAATTAAGGATACAGTACGGACCCATATAAAAATAATAACAATAGCTACTAAGCTAACCATTTTAATATGAATGCTAATCAGTAACCTTACATGAGAATTTAATAGCAATAACAACAATAGCAATAATAATTTGGGTCAGGAGCTAAGAATATAAATCCTAGTGATTTTGAGCAAGCTCAGAGCTCGCTGCGTTTATTAAAGCAAAAAATGCAAAACAAGGAAACTAATAACTACTACAGCAAGCAAGATTTGTAAAATAACTTAAACGATGGATATTAGGGAGCCAACTCACAAAGTACAACAAATACATCACTCAATTAAAATAAATAGTTTCGCAAAGTTTTTAAAGTAGATGTATAAAACAATGGCAGTGATACGCTTTAAGAATTTAAAAATTAGAGATCCAACGAGTTTTCAGATAATGAGTTCGCTCCTTAACCATCGCTTAGATAAAGAGGATCTCTATAACGCCCTCAGTAGTAATAGAATTCAGATAATTAATATGGAAGCAATTAAAATAGCTAGAGACAAGATAATTTTGCAAGAGCAGATAGTAATTAGCAAATTAAAAATTATAACAATACAAATTTAAATGGAAGCTTAAAAAGAGATAATAGCAACAATATATAAATTCAATACTAGTCATCCATGCAAAGGACGATGGAAAAGAAAGACCCATAAATGGTCTATAACTCTTAGAGATAAAATTAGATGTAGAATTATGAATATTAGGGTAACTAAGATGCAAACGATGACGATTTAATATTTTCTAATCAGATGAAAAAGAAACCTGCTGTCAAGAAACCACCTTTGCAAAATAAAGTTCAGCCTGATTATAGCTAGTAAAATAGCTACAGCAGCAATATTGGTAATAAAAAGCAGTTTAATTCACCTAACTAAGGAGATTTTAGCTAAAGATAGCAGCAATAACAATAGTAATAATAACAACCACCAAGAACTAGTTCATACAGAGGAGAAGTAAATGGCCAAAAGTATTACAATTTTTCAAAAAATTTAGATACTTCAATTCATAAAGATGACGATGATGACGAGTAAGAGAATGCTGCAAACTAGAAATTTGTATCAAAAACAAAGTTTTCTAACAATTAGGGAAAATATAGCTCAAAGACATTCACTGATGAAGAAGAAAAATAGTACGACAATGGCTAATATAAAAATAACTATTAAAATAATAACTAGCAACAAAAAAATAATAAATTAGCTTAATTAAATAAGAATAATTCATAGAAACAAGTAAATAGTGCTTTAGAATAGCCAATTATATCAAATTAAAAAGTAAACGAACCTAGTAAGTACGATCTTACTTAAATAAATGCGAGAGAAGCTATTTAAGATAATTTAGATAATTTAGAAGAGTGTCCTGAGGGCTGCGGGAGAAGATTTGCTCCAGAAGCTCTAGAAAAACACGCTAAAATATGTAAAAAGGTATTTTAGTAAAAAAGAAAAAAATTTGATACAAAAAAATAAAGAATAAATGATGAAGAACATGAATAAATATTGTAATAAGCATAAATGGAAGAAAAGATGAGAAATTAATATGCATCTAAAAATAAATAGCCTGCCAAAACGAACACATAGTAATAAGACAAAAAATCTAAGTGGCGTATGCAATCTGAATAGTTTAGAGCTGTTTTAAGGTCAAATAAAGGAGGAGAATAAGCATAAGATATACCATAATATGATGACAGAATAGAATGTCCTCACTGTAAAAGAAAATTCTAGGAGTCTTCTTATAACAAACATGAATAAATATGTGCTAATCGTGCAAAAATAGCTAAGGCATCTGGAAAACCTTTCATAAAAAAATGATTAATCTGAAAATTGTAAAAAAAAAAATTTTAATTTTCAAGTATTTTGTAGTCAAAATAAATAAAAAATTTAATAAAAATATAAGTAAATCTAAATTAAAAGAAAGAAAGACAATATCAAAATAATTAAGAGGAATTAAATTTAATTCACTTAATATTATTTATTAACTAACTAAATATAAATATTTTTGGTATATCAAATAAAACGATTATTGATTATGAATTAATACATTAATTAATAAATAAAATATTAATTGATAGCTTGATTAATTTATTTATTTATTGAATTATTGAAAAGATAATTTACAAATAAAACAACTTTTAAAATATATGAAATATTTTTGTAGGTTATTTTATAAAAAGTAAAATAGAAAAATTCAACATATTATTTATTAATAATTTGTTTATTCTTCTAATCAATATGGTATATATATCCTTTAAAAATATTAGTTGAATTGTATTTTTATTTATTAATAATTTGTTTATTCTTCTAATCAATATGGTATATATATCCTTTAAAAATATTAATTAAATTGTATTTATCTTATATACTTACTTGCCTTTATTTCATCAAATTTAATTAAATATCAGAGTTTAACTTTCAAATGAATTAGAAAGCATTTGCAAGCTTAACATAAAAAATATTTAATTAATAAAAATTTAAAGGGTCCAAATAAATGTGTTTTTTCAAAATATTCCAAATGCAGAATAAGACAATGTTTTTTTTTTTATAGATTTTTTTGGTTTTATTTTTAAAAAGCAATTATCTACACTAAATTATGGTATGGCAATTGTTTTTTACCAATCAAGCTTTAGTTTGGATTTAATTTAATTTATTTTAAAATTTTTATATTCAAATAAATAAAAAAATTGTATATTTTTTTTTAATTTAATTTATGAAATAAATAAAAATGTTAAATTTTTTATTGTTAAAAAAGTAATCTATGTCTTGTTCACAAATCATAAATGTTTGATTTTTTTAATTGCGATGAATAATTTATTTTTATAAATTAAATTACATCATAAACTTATCAAAGATTAACCTTAATAATATTTGTAATTCAATAAATATCTTTTAAAAAAAATGATGATATAATAGAAATAAAAATTATTAAGTTTAAATTAAGTAATAGATTTTTTACATATTTACAACATTAATTTTATTTATAATTAAAAAGTTTTTAGAATGGCCTTCTCTATCATCTGAAACTAATCTTTGTATTGATGCTAAGTAAAAATAATTAACTTTTAATCCTACCTCTTATATATTTTTAAATTTATTTATTTATTTAATTAATTTTTATAAATATAAATAAAATTTATATTTACTTTAATTTATAAATTATATCTTTCTTATAGTTATGATTTTTTTATTCTATTTAAATTTATTTAATCTAAAATGTAACAAGTGATTTAATTATTGATGACTAGGCTATATTTTGCTTAGGTTCTAAATTAGAAAAATGCACTAACCTCAAAACTTTCGAGCTTTGGCTTTAGTAAAAATACATATATTAATTATTTGATTTAGTTTGTATTATAAGAAGATATTTATTTAGAATAAACAAAAATTCTAAGTTAATGTTAAAAAATGTATTTGATTTATAATTAGAATAAACTTAAAATTTAATGGTTTTAATATTTACTCTTAATTAACTTATACATAATTATTTGTTTAATTAAAATAAAAGAGGAAATTAAATTAGTGCTTAAAATGCTTCAGTAATAGGTTTAGCTATATCAAAACTTACTGATATCTCTAATATGTCACTATATTTTGGGTAAACATAGATTTATTTTTTTTAATGCTACTATTAACTAGCTTATTTTAACATTTCTATTTAATTATGTAGATAAACTATACTTTATTATTTTTATGTGGGAGGAGTGATATTTATGATATTTTTATAATAATTAAGCAATTAATTAAATTGAAAATAAAACTTTTATTCTAACTAAAAAATCCCCACCCATTTTTTAATTAATTACCTTTAAATTTTCCTTTAATTATCTAACAATTTTGTATTTATATTTTTAGTGTCAATAAGCTGGGTAATAAGGGGACATCACACTTGATATCTAGATTATCTAACTGTATTAATCTATCAACTTTGAATCTTATGCTATCGTAATATATTTATTTCCTTTTTATTTTGTAAACATTAAACAATATTATTAAAAAAAATAAATAAATGAAAATTAATAACATAAGAATAAGTTTTTATTAATAAATAAGATTTATATTTTAACAATTTTAACTAATTGATTTATTAGATTTAGCATTATTGCTTCAATATTTATTTAATTATTGATCTATTTTTTCTCATTTTTTTATTCTAATTTTAATTTATTAATATATTTATCTTAAATAAACCTAAAGTGGTAATAAAATTGGTGCATAGGGTGTTTAAGGCTTACAAGATAGCTTAGAAAAATGCATTAATCTTTAAAACTTAATTATTGATCTGGGGTAAAAATAATTTATTGATTTAATTTAATTTTAAGTTATTTGTGAAAAAGTTTAATAATATATAATTTAGAAAAAATAAATTAAGCAATATTTGTATGATTTAACAATTTCTTTAGCATAATAACCTTAATTAATTATAACTATTTTACTATTAACTTATTTTTTATTTTTAAAACCAATGAAAAGAGTAAATTAAATTGGAAATGAGGGAACTTCTTACATAGGTTCTGCCTTAACAAAATGCATTAGTCTTACAAATCTATCACTTTACCTAAAGTAAAATATATATATAGTTTATTATCTTTTCTTGCAGAATTGATGAATTATATTTATTTATTTATATTTTATTTTAAACTTTTTATAATTTATTTATTTTAAAAAATGTTTATTATTTATTTAAATATTTACTAATTTTATTTCAATTTTACTTTTAATAAATATCTTCTTATCATCAATTTTATTTGAAATATATTTAATAAATAAAAAGTGACACTAAAATTAGTGCAATTGGTGCATCAGCATTATCTTAAGCTCTAGAAAAATGCTTCAAACTTTCAATATTAAATATAGATTTTAGGTAATAATATATTTTTTTAATTAATTTTCGAATTTATATTTTAAGTAAAAAATTATCAAGAGAGAGCATTTTTAAATTCTGTTTTTTGTAAACTTTACTGGTTGGTTTATTTTACATACATTTTATAATTACCATAAAATTTTTATTTCTTCGACTTCGATTTTAGGAAAAATCCTAAATCTGATATTTAATTTAATTTATAATATTTTAAAAATCGAACCTCAATAATTAGTTAGTTGAGAGTTAAACAAGGTTCTACTGTAATTAAAATTTAGCATTTAAATTTTCATATTATTTTATTATTTTAATTTATAAATTTCTTTTATTTTATTTATATTTATTTTTTTATTCATTAAAGAGCTAATTAAATTGATGATGAAGGTATATCAGATATAGGCTCTGCTTTGGCTAAGCGTACAAATCTCTTAAATTTAACAATAAACTTTGGGTAAATATAATTATTGGTTTTTTCTACTCACTAGTTAGTGTTTCTTGTTCTTTTTTTAAATTAAATATTTTCTAAACATTTAATTTTGTTATTATTTCTTTTTTTATTTTTATTAAATAATATTTTTCCTTTTTAAACTTAATTTTAACTTTGATTTAATTATATTTTCTTTTGTTCACTTTATATAATTGATTCAAAGTAAATATTTTTATTTTAAAAGATACAATTTAATTAGTGATAATGGTGTTTCTCGTTTTAGTTAATTTTTAGAAAAGTGCATAAATATTTCTAAATTAACTCTTAGTTTACGGTAAAAATATTATCTTATAACATTAATATTATTTATTTTTTTACAAACAAAACAATATTTAAGAGATAAAAAAGATTTAATAAATTAACTCAAATTTATTTTATTTATTTATTTTTTTACAAACAAAACAGTATTTAAGAGATAAAAAAGATATAATAAATTAACTCAAATTTATTTTATTTATTTATTTGTTTTTGTTTTTTTTTTCAGAATTTTTATCTTTTAAAAATATTTTCAATTTACTTTCAAATATTTAAAAGTAAAAATAAAATCGGTGCATTGGGTGCTTCAAACTTAGGTTTAGCTTTGGCTAAGCAGTCTAATATTTATGATTTTTCAATCGATTTAGGGTAAATTTATTATTTTTCTTTATTTAAATTTATTATTAAGAACTAAATAAATAATAAAAACTAATTTTTATTTTTATTATTTCGCTTGAACTAACTTTTTAATGAAAGTTTTAATTCTATTGGTGACCAAGGAGTCTCAGGTTTATGGTCTGGTTTATCAAAATGCATTAATATCTCAACTTTAAATGTTGACCTAACGTAAAATATGTTTATAGTTTTGTTGAATCTTTTTTACATAATTTTATTTCTAATTTATTAAAACAAAACAACCAAAATCATTCATAGATTTATTAAATAACTATCTCAATTTTTCATTTAATAATAAAATATTTATTTAAAGTCATAATGAAATTTGTGATGAGGGTCCATAAGTCCTAAATTCTTCTTTAGCAAAATTATCTAATCTCAAAAATTTGTAGATTTATCTTGGGTAAATATAATTTATTTTTTTCAATTTAAATTACTTAATTCATTCACATAAAAACTTTTTAAAATAAAAAACACATTTACATTTTCAAATAAAAAATATTTTATTTAGGCATTTTTATTTAATAAATTATTTTTGTTTTAATAAAATAATTTATGCTTTATTCATTAAAAGTGACAATTAAATTGGTGATTAAAGTGTCTCAGGCTTAGGCTTTGCTTTATAAAGCTGCCCTCAGCTTTAAAAGTTAGATCTTGAGCTCTAGTAACCAAAATTGTTTATTTATTTTAATTTTTTTATTATATTAACTTAAAGAATAAATAAAAAATATAGTAAATCCTCAATAATTATGGTTAAAAAGTGAAAAAAAATTTTATTCTTAATATTAAAGCCTAAATTTCTTTAATGGTCTTAATTATTGGACTTGGTTTAAAGAAATAGTTTTTTCAGAAATTAATCTAATAAAAGTAGAAAAGAAAATAAATTACATAAATTAGATATACTCTTGAATAACGATTATAGTAAAAAAATAGTTTAAAAAATTTTCATCAATTTTAAGAACAAAAAATTTTTTTGGTCTTAATTAATGAGGATTTAAATTAGATAATTCCAAGAAATTAAAATTCATTTTTCATGCAATAGAAATCAATATATAAAATATGTATTTAATTTTCTGATTTATCTATTTTTTGAGAATCAATCAGTTTATTAAATTTTTTAAAATTTGTGTATATATAGCTCATTTATTAATGTTTAAAGATAGAAAATTCTTTCTTTCATCTATTTTAATTATTCTTAATATTTAAAACATTTGAAACAAAACCTCTAAAATTGTTATTTAGATAAATAATGATTAAACTTAACTATGTTTAAAATTAATTTAAAAGCTGTAATGAATTCGAAGATAAAAGTGCTTTAGCTTTTGGATTAGCTTTATCTAAATGTCCTTACCTTTAAATCTTTACTGCTAATTTGTAAAAAAAAAAAAATTTTTTTTTATTATTTTGCGAAAAGTTGTTTGCCTTGATTATTTTATTTTTTACTATTTTATTGTTTATTTCACTTTGAATTTATTAATTTGTTTTATATATATTTTTTTTTATTAAATATTTTTTTAACATTTAAAAAAAAGAGGTAGTGGTTTAAATCAGTAAACAAAATTCAAGATAAAGGCCAACATTTTTAAAATAAAGAAATTGATTTAATAAAGAATTTCATTATGATTACTAACTTAAGCATTACAGCTAAATTCTCTATTCATAGATTTGTATAGGGGATTCTCATATTTAGCTATTTGATTTTGCTTTTATCAAATATTTTTTGATTAGAATCTATCTTCAAAAAATAAATAAATTTGCAAACAAATTTTTTAAATAAGAAGTAAACTTTATGTTTTTATATTTAATATTATTTAAACAGTTGTAAATATTGCTTAGAAGCCAAATTTAAATATTTAATTTTCTAGTTTATTTTTTTCCCTCTTTTCTCTATCATAAAGAATTAATCTTAAATAAAATTAATTAAATTAATGAATAACAATAAAAAAGATGAATTGTAAAAATAAATGAATTATTAATTGAATATTTTTAACAATCTAAATAAATATTCAAATTAAAAATTTAATTTTAATCTAAATAATTTATTTTTAATAAAAAATCCTAATTTTATTTTTCAAAAGTTAAAAAATTATTTTTTAATTTTAAAATATTTGAAAATCAAATAAATAAATAAATAAATTTAAAATAAAACTGGTTTACTAATTAAAATGTAGTTAAAAAATAAACATCCGCAAAAAACTGAAAAGAAAATATTATGAAAAGTATTAAGTAAGATATTGTATTATCCTATTAGATTACATACATACATAAATTCTTATAAACAAAAAGTGAATATTAATTAATATTTAGTTTATTTATTTATTTACTTTATTTGATTTAATAATTTAATTTTAAAGTAGACTGACGATTGACTGATTTATTGATTAACTAACTGAATCATTAACTCAATTATGGTTATTATTCATGTTAATTTCTTGCTATTAATTTTTCTTTTTCAACTTTACTATTTTTCTAATTGATTATAATTCTTCTTAGGTTTCTTGTTAGTTAATAACACGTTTTGTTTTGAGAATTTCTTCAAGATGTTAAATTTAATATTAAGTCAATGAAGAAGTTAATTTGGTAATATCTTGCCCTAACTTTTATTTGAGTTCAATAAACATCTTTTAGAATACAGTAAACTCATCTAGCTTCTTCAGAGGTGTGTGCAAAAGCTTTAAGCTCTTTTAAGCACGCTAAATTTTATTTTAAAAGAAAGAGTTAATTAATTTAAATGTAACTTAATTTATTACTTTCAATTTTCTTAAGTCATCATAAGAGTTTTCTGAATGCTTTTCTAGAGCTCCAAGAGTCATAGAATTTTTGATTTCTGGAAGATCTTCAATAAAAGTAGTTTATATGTATTTTTCAACTTTTTTGTAATCATTAATGTCTTCATACATTTCTTAAGCATCTCTATGCATGTAAGTATGAGCTAATTATTTCTTTCTGCTTTAGATAACTTGTGCGTCTTCAGAGACTTGCATGACATCATCTTTATTTTTATTTCTTGAATATATTTCTTTTAAAGAACTGTTTTCTCTATCAGAATTATTATCATCATCGTCGTCGTCATCACTAATTTAATTGTTATCCTTGGCTTCTTCATCATAAAAACCATCAAGGTCAGAGGAATCAGATTCAGAATCTAAATCTTTTTTTTTTTTAACAATTTTCACTTCATCAACTAAATTCTTTCTTTGTTCCATCTATTTAGCAACAAATTCTTAGTCATTCTTAATAGAAAGGAGCATGTTTAGTACTCTAGTGAAGAGCTCAATGAAATTAGCTTATATATATGGAATCTATTCATAGTTCAGAAGCAGCTTACAGCATCCAATAATATAGAGTTTCTTATCATAAACTTCTTAAAATATACCAAACTTATAAAGAAGGATTTCTAACCTATTTCATTCAATTTTATTTTAAGATATATTATAAAATAAATAAATAATAAATAGTTAATTAATTACATTTTGTCTAATACTTGTTGACATTTTTTTTCGGTCTATTGTAATTCTTACAAGACTGTTAATGTATGCTAAAAGTTTATTTCAAAGCAACTCAATATTACTTCCATTAATCTAATTATTTATTGATATAAAATTAAATCCTTTGAAAAAAAGCACTTTTCAATTAAGAAAAAATTGAAAAATGTTAATAAAATTTTAAAAATTCAAATAAAATATTAAAAGCTAAAATAAAATATTGAAAAAGATAAAAAAAGTATTAAGAAATTCAAATAAAATATAGAAAAAGCAATTATATTTTGCTGATTGTTTAAATTATTTTATTCAATAAATGTAGAAATAAATACCTTGTTTCAAGATACTGCTCATAAAACTCTTGCTTAAAAGAATAGCAGGTACTTTGAATAATTGATCTGTAATAATCCAAGGAAATGTGAGTATTAAAATGATGCATCATAAGATGAACAACAAGGCATCCAAGGGATTTATCAAAAGCGCAGGAAAATCTTGAAGTAGTCTTGATACCATTTATACCCATTTCAAGGAACTTTTAAAAAATATTAATTAATTTTATATTTATTTTTAAAGCTATTTACGAATTAGAAAAGAGCTTAATTTTCAGTGAGGTATTGTGGTTACTGTTAAATGATGTAGTTGATAATCTTATAAATTTCAAATATAAAGATTTCCTCTTTTTCATAAACATATTTCAATAAGTATATTGTTTATAATTAAATTTCTGATTTTATTCCATTCTGCCTTTCCATGTTAAGACGGAAAATTCTGAGGATACTCACAGCTAAATCGTGCTCTTTCGAAGTTTATAAAGTTTTATACAAAGGATCTAATAATTAATCTATATTTTAGCGCATATCTGGAGTTAACTCATCCCATGATGTAATAATTTCAAGCATTAAAAGAGGGTTTTTAACACCTTCTAAATGCATTTTCGATTTATTTTTTGAAAGTGTGCAAGATTCAAAAAGCTTACATAAAAGAGTATTCATAGTAGTGTAAATTATTTCTTGTTATATAAAGATCTCATTTTTATAAGTTTGCATAATAGCATTTAGGCACTCAAAGTACATGTCAAATTTTCTATCTTAAATTTATGATAGAATAAATTAGAAAATTTAAGTTGCATGAGGTTTTAAACGTTTCGACGAATTTTTATTTGAAACAATATCGTAGATGTTTTTATATACTTAGTAACAAAAACCAACAAGGTCTTTCTATCCATGGCTATTTGTACAGTCAAGCAATAATTAAAAGTATCTCATGAAAATATCTTAATTATTATGCAAAACTGTATCAGACATTTCAGTAAAAAACAATAAAATTTATGATATTGCGAAATAAGATATTTTTCTATTTTCTAAGCTGCAGATTAACTAGCAATTGTTAGTTAAAAATCCATCAACAATTTCAATAAGATCTTTTCTTTATTTAATCAAATTCCTTACAGAAATCAATACAACCGTTGACATATCAAGCTGATTTTCATCTTAATATTTTTATTTTATCAAGCTATTTTAAGCAGCTCCTAATACCTTTTATTTACAAATTATAAAAATGTTTTTAGTTTAATTTTATTCAAAATCATATAATGATGTCTTTCAAAAATTTTCAAATAAATTTTGATAATTTTTTTCTTCAAAATGGTATTCAAAATCTTTTGATTCAATTTTTTGGATAAATTAAAAAAACATTTAAAAGATAAATTTCGTTTCAAAATTATAAAATTATGAAAAAACAAAAAACAAAAAAAATTTTTTTTGTAAATATTTTTCAAAAATAAAAATAGAAAATAAAATTGATTTACCTAAAAGACTGGATCAGATGAAGGGATGCCGTTTATGATTGAATGTATATTTTCTAAGAAAAACTAAACGAAGAAAGTAAGAGCACCGTGGACGTATTTGCTGTATCTAATTATTAATTTAGCAGCTGTAGTTTTGTTTTTATCTTGATCTTTCATGTTTATGAAATCCTCGAGATATTATAGAAAAGAAGGACCAAACTTTTTAAAATCTTCATAATCATTAGGCGTAACTTATAGCAAAGGAGCGATATAATCACAGATGAAGGAGACTTTAATATCAAAGAAATAATTTTGTAATTCAGAAATTTTTAGAGACTTTTTGACAATGTTCATAATTTGATTTTTAGTTTCTTCTACTTTGAATTCATTATAAAGTGAAGCGAAGTTAATTAAAAATGAATTCAAACCCTTAAGTGAGACGACGGCCCTAGGAATTAAATCCCTTTAATTTTTAGTAAGGAAAATTATTAATATTATTTTTTTATTTATGAATGTATGAGGAATTTACTTTAACATCAAGCAAAAAGGAGTGTTTTTTATGTTTTCGGGGAGAGTGTAGTCGTTGTTTCTGTGCTTTAGCAAGACCTTAATGAAACGAGAGACAATTTTAAGATAATTAACTAAATTTGAATTCAACTATGAGTCTAAGCCATAGGATGTTGTGAATGAAATTAAACAGTCATTTATTTACTCCTCTACTTTAACTTACATATTAATTAATTTATACAAAACTTAGAAATAGAAAGCGTTGTTTAAAATTTGAAAAGAGTTTTCTTTAGTCAATATTTTTTTTTTAAATGTGATTAGCCCTACAATCTTATTCATTAACTGGCCCCAATTTTCTAAATATACTAAGTCATCCTCTAAATCTTGACTTTAAACTTTAAATTTATCAATAGTTTCATCTTCCCAATCTTGAGGTTGTCTTTTCCAGGTTAGCCTTGCTTGATTTATCTAAAAAAGAATTATTATTCACTGAAAGTTTTAATATTCATTTAAATTTTATAAAAGTTTTTGTTTAAGTTAAAGCTAATTTTTAGTATTGATTTATTTTAACTAACTTTTATAATTTTTTGTTAAAAATAAAGAAAATTTACCTAATTTTGATATATCATCAAACCGTCATTGCACTTTTAGTAAAGCTAATCTGCTATTTAGTACAAGGGATTAAAGAAGTTATTTAAAATATATTAAGCTTATGAATCATTCAAAGGAACACTAATAACAGATTCTATGCAAAGTAAAGATCCAATCTACTTATCAAACTATTAAGCTTATAAAATTTAAGAAACAAATTTCAAAACTTCATCTTTCGTTTCTTCTATTAAATATATAAAAAATATTAATATACTTTTACTAATTATCTTAAAAAATTTATTCTAGAATAAATTTATTTATTCAAATATAAATCTGGTTAAAGCAAAAAAAATTTGATTAAATTTAAAAATAGTAGCTAGCTTTATCAGTAAAAATCTAATTAATTTTAGATCAACAAACATTTTTAATTGTTTTTCAATAAAATAAACTTTACTTACTTTGCATAAATACAATTTTTCTATTTGTCATTATTGAATAATCTTATTATAAATGATATAAATTTGGGAATTCAAATTATTGCTGATAATTAATATTTGTTTTAAAACAAGTAATTCTATAATAATTTAATTTTATTTGCAACAAGCTATCAAATTTTAAATAAAATAATAAAATGAAAAATAAAAATAAAAAATTAAGCTTAAATTCATGTTTTGCTATCAATAAAATTTATTTTTTATTTTTTATTTTTGAAAAATGATAAAATGGATTATAAAATTGGTTAATAAAAATGATAATTAATAATTGATATTTTGCTGAAATTTTATTTTAACTATTTTTGCTAAATGCTATTATTAAATAAAGTAATTATTACAAATTTTTATTGACATTAATTAATTGTATGTATCCTTTTATTTAAAAAGCTTTAATTGATGATAATAAATATCTGCTGATATTTTATTTTTAAAAAAACTTTTTTTATTATTTTATTAAATAAAACAATTATTTCAAACTTTTTTAAAGTTACTTAGTCAATATCCTTTTAATTAAAAAAGTATCTAACATTTTCTAAGCACTTAATTTGAAGAAACTTGATACATTTTAATTCCAATAAATTTAAAGAATTATTTTTGGGAAAAGTGTTTTATTTTGAGATAAAAGTGTTTTTAAAAGAATATTTTGTAGAACAAATATTCTAAGATTAAGCGTTTTGATTAATATTAAAAATTGTAAATATAATATTGCAGCTAGCTGTATTTTGAATGAAGATTTACAAAGAAAATAATTTGCTTTTGTGAAGATTATTTTTTATTTTATTTGAAGTCATAAATTTTGCAAATTATTTAAATGAAATTTGAAAAAATATGATTTATTTACATTTTTCTTTTTCTAAGATAGAAATGAGGGCTTTGCTCATATGCCTTTTAACTTGTGTGCTATTAGATGACTGGCAAAGGATTACCATAATACTCTTAATCAATATTAATTTATTTTCATCACTAATTCTTATGGCTTAATATGAAGACTTGTTAATTAAACCAAGTTGTACAGCAGCTGCAGTTTTCACTAAATCAGTAGTTCCTAATTTATTTATTTATTTTATTTAGAAATATAATTAATACTGCTATATCGAAGCTAAAGTTTTACCCATTTTAGACTTTTTTGGTTTTAATTTTCCATCATTGATAGTATTTTCATTCATAACTTAAGTGTCATCTTAAGTATCGCTTACAATTTCGATAAGCATTCCTATTGCTCTCATACAATCGTTTTTAATTTCTCTGAAAATACGATCCTCAGCATACTTTTATATCTAATCTTGATGATGACTTGATTCAAATGTGAATCTCAGCAAGTAAACCAATAATCTTTTTGTGAGAGGTAACTACTCTAATTTTTTCAATTTATTACTTTTTTTTTTTTGGTTTGATCTATCTGACTATTCTCTTAATCCAGTTTATCCAATACGTTCTTTTTTAAGTCCCTGGCCCTTGAAACTAACTTCATTACTTTGCATACTTTCCTCTAATAATTCAAAAAAAATAAATTAAGTTGTAATTGAAATTAGATAATTTTGGATCAATAATCATAAAATGATCAATTAATAAATGAGTGAATTAATTAATTAATTACATTCAAGCAAATTGAAAAAATCATCTTCGTTAATGTTTTCATATTCATCTTCTCCATTCTGCTCAATGTTAATTCTATTAGCTTACTCACACTGCATAATATTCAATGTATTCTTTCCTTCTCCTATGTCCATTTTTTAAATGCTAATTACCCCTTTTTAAAGCTAATATTTTACTAAAACTTGTTTTAAAGAGTTTGAAATCCAATCAAAATAATACAAATTGTTTATAGAATAAATTCATATAAAAACTTAAATAATCAATCTATTTGTCTGTCTCATATAAAGTTCTCAAAAAGATATTAATTCATTATTTTTCTCATCTAAAGTCTTTATGTCTGATGAAGTACAATAAAAATTTGATCATTCTATCATATAAAAAGAATTTTAAAATAAATTAAAAATTGTGCTAATATTCATTTGTAGTTTACAATTGCCATTTTTTCTTTAACTTTTCTATTTAATTCATATAGAATGTGCTTAATTTCTATGATGTGCTTCACAGTTATCTTAATAGTGTTATATGTTTTCCTTAAAATAATAAAATTCTTTGAGATCTAATTAATTTTAACTAAAAATTTTATTTAACCAAAAATATTTTTGCTATTAATTATTTTAATAAAAATTGAAAATAAAATTGTTATTTTGCTTTTAATTTTTGATATTATTTATTTTGTTTTAAATATTTTTGTTTCTTTATTTTAAAAAATAATCAATTTACTTTTATATAAATGAGCTAATCATAGCAAAAATAATTTTATTTTTTAAAATAAAGCAACCTAGTTTATGTTTTAAAGAATAATTATTTTTTTAGATATCAAAGAAAATTTGTAAATTATACACAGAAATTTTGATAGTTTATCAAAATCATCATTTGATTATGAATATTAGAATTTATTATTTTATTTTTTAACACTTTAATGATAGAAAATTGTAAAAAAATAACTTTCTCTAAACATTTTTAGACTTTGATGAACGTCTATCACCCACCAATTTTAAAAATTCAATAATAATCCCTGAATATCTAAGAAAACTTTTGATTATCAAAGAAATTTTTTTTTAATATATGTTTTAGTAAAGGTAAAATGAATGAGGATTTTGATTTGATATTTAAATGGGTTAATGAAGGAAAACAATAACTTAGAATTAAAATTTTATTTGAGAATTATGAAAAAAATTTTTAAAAAAAGTAAATTTAAAAAATTGTTTATAAGCAAGCTATATATAAATTCTTTAGAATGAATTAGACATACAACAACGGTATGAATATAAAATTGTCATATTTTATAATCAGGAAGATCTTTATAAATTTATAAATTTATTTTAAGCTATTATTTTTTAAATAACATAAATAAAATGATTACTCATGATTAAAATGATAATGAATTGGAAGTAGACGACAGAAGAGAAATTGAGAGGCTTAAATTGATTGAATAATCTATCAGGACAAAAGTGTAAATGCTATGTGAATACCACTCAGAGGTTAACAGGCAGATAATGTATTTAGAGAAAAATTATGAAAATTTACAGGGTGGCAGCTTGCTTGGAGATATTTAAAGTTAGATTTAGTTATAAAATACGAATAAACTTACTAAAAATGGTTCAAACGTATATAATGATAATATAACAAATAACTATAATTATTACTAAGACAAAAATGATGGTGGCAATATTTTTTAGGAAGATGAAGAAGAGTACTTTGAAGAAGAATAAGACGAAGAAGATTAAAATGAGTTGAATTTATCTAAATAAAATGATAGAAGCTTATTTCAAAATGAGATAATAGATAAAAATCATTTGTTAGTTGATATGAGTTAGATGTTTCCAAAACTAATGAAACCAAGACAACAGAATATCCAAAAAGATGAACCAAAAAAGAAAAGAATATCGACATTATTATAAACTAAGAAAATGTATCCTTTTAAAAAGATGAAACCACTTCCTAACGATGAGCCTGGGATTGTTTGCCAAAAGTTGGCCATGAAAGATAAATATGAGAAATTTTTGAAGAAATTGAAACAAGAAATGCCTTATTATATAAGTGATTATGGATAAATTAGGTATCCGATTTATGTAAAAAAGAAAGTGGCATTTTTTTGCAGATATATAAGCAGAACTAAACTTGTAGAAGACACAAGAATAGGTGCTGAGGCAGTAGCCAAATGGGTAAAAGTATACTGTGATTACATGGACGACAAACTTGAGAACGGAGAACCTAACGAAACTTTTGAAGAATACGTCAAATAAAAACAAACAAAAAGCGCATATATAATAAAAAAAAAGCAGCTTAATTGCTAACCAAACTTAAATCAGGCCATTTTAAAGCAAGTCCAACCAGCTAGTTGGTAAAATCAGGAAAATCATAAAAAAGTAGACAATTAGAAAAACAAATATAATTTCAAAATGTCTTGATTGATAAAGGAGTTTGCTTCAAAATAAAATTTTGAATTCAATGAAAAAACTAAAATGCAAAATAACTAACTAACAAACAAAATTGATAAATAAGGTTTATAACCTACTCATAATAATTGTATATTTAATTAATAATATATAATTGCTTACTACAAGTTAATCACGTATTAGGCTATTATTACATAATTAATTTCTATTGAGATAATATATTACTATTGGTTTTTATTGATTTGACCTTTATATTTATACAAACGTAATTATTAAATGGAGATTTTGCAAATTATAGAAAATACTTGCTAACACTATTCACTGAAACTCAAATTATCTCTTCATTTTTTTAAAACATGTTTCATAGTTAGAAATTATTGAATAGTTTTATTTTATCTCCCATAATAGTGATAGATCAAACAATGAAATTTGGCAATCTACCATAAATTTATATTTTTTAAATTACTTTAATAATAGAAGCAATTATTCTAAAAGAATATATATTTAAATGTGTATAGATATAAATTAATATTACTTTTTTATTGAAACAAATAACATTTGTAAATGAACTTGCTTAAACATTTCTTTGAAGGATAAAACAATCAAAAATTAAAACATTTTAAATTTATGCATTTTATTTCTAAATTATTTTTGAATAAAAATATTCTTTTCATTTAAAATATAATGTTTATAAAAATTAAGAAGACAATTTATTTATTAAACGTTGATTTATTTAATTTACAGTTGATAATTATATTACATAAGAATTCGTTGGTGTTTTACTAATTATAGATTATGTAATTAAGGTAAAATAGTAAATGAGCTCTTTTTAGGTTTTATTCTTGTTATTCAATTCATATTTTGTTTGATATCTTTAAGAGAAATGGTAGATAGGTTATTAATTAATTAATTAATGTTTGTTTTTAGATTGAAATTAATATTTTTCTATTTATAATAAAAATCATATTTAATAAATTACATTGATTCAATGAAATAGATAGATAATTTGAATGATTGATAGTTTTGTTTGATTATTAAATCAAATGGTTTCAAATTTAATCAAAAGGAAACTTGAGAGAAAAAAGAGACCTTGAGAGAGAAAAATGTGTTTTAATTGGTTAAAAATATTTTTAAACAATTATGCTTACTTTAAATAAAACCAATAATTAAATAAAGTCTAATGAGTGACCATGATTAAGTTAAATGTGAATTAAATATGTTCGATGTGAATTTTATATATGTAAAGTTTATACTTTTAGTTCAAAAATGTTATGTTTGTGTAAAATCTGAATAATAATTAATTTGTATCTTGAGAGCCCTTTTATAATTGCTTGTTTAAGTCATCAATCCACAGATTGAAATATAAAAATTATTTAAAAAAAAGAAATTATAAATAAGCAATAATTAAGGGATTTTATAAAGTATTCTTATTCAATTAAATAACAGTAAGAAATATAAAAAAGAGATTGATTGATTTTTGATAATTAATTAAATCAATAAATCAGATTTGCATTATTTTAATATACTGTAAAAAACTCATTTAGCAGCAGCAAATATTTGCATCTATTACTAGCATTTCAATTACTCCTCGATAGATTAAAGCATTGTTATAAGATATTTAATTAGTTATAAAATGGGTTGCTGCCAATCAGATGAAAGAGATTTCAACATAATAACTGGTAATCAATAACTTCAATCATCCTTTTATATTTCAGATTTAATTTAATCATCTGCTTACATTGGCATGAATATATTTTAAGAGCGTTTTTTCACAAATGATTGAAAAATACTTAGACTATTAAATGAATGGAACAAATAGGAATTCATAAATCTGAATGATTTGACTCATTCCTTCTAAAAACTATGACTTTTTGATTGATTCATTTAATTTTTTTACAAAATAATAAATAGACTATTAATAAAATTACAGCATGAGAAGCATAGCAAGTAGTAGCGATATGGCTAGCGAGAAAATAAGTGAATTTAATAAAGGATCAACATGGAGTTCATTAAGATATGACCAAATAATAGAAGTACAAAACAATATTTTTTTGCTTTTTTAAACAACAATAAATGAAATTCTCATATAAAACGATTATTTTTAATTGAACTCTCATTCATTTATTAACAGAGAAGATAGAAACAAGGGACAAGTCATATGAAATATAATCTTGGATATATAAATGTAAATGTTTGTAACACTCCCAAAGCAGACTTTTTTAGCCAATATACTATGGGGAAATTTCTTGGTCAAGGTATTTACTTACTTGCTTAATTCAACGGTTCTAATTACATACTGACTTAGTTATAAATTAAAATAGAATTTATTTATTTACGTGCAATTTTAAAAAAATCTATAATTAAATTTATCTAAAAATAATCTAGATACATAAGCATTTTTAATTAATACAGTAAAAGTTTAATTCATGTTTACAACAAGAAATTCAGTACTCAGATTTATTTTATTTATTTATTGTTTTTTTGTTTTAAATAATATTAGGAGGGTTTGGAACTGTTTGTGTAGGAATTTAAAAGGTAACTAATGTTAAAAGAGCCATTAAGATGGTCAGCAAAGTTACACTTAGCGAAAAAGATAAACAAATACTTTTGTAGGAACTCGCTCTACTAAAGTCAATAGACCACCCTAACATTCTAAAAATTCTTGAACACTACGAAGATGATCAACACCACTTCTTTGTTACAGAGTAAAATTCCAATTCTTTATCCTTGGCAATCTAACTAAACTTAAATAAGTGGAATTGAAAAAAAAGAAATAAAATTCAACATAATCTATAAATTATTACCATTTAATTCCATACTATAAAAGCTCATAAAAAGCACTTATTTTGAAATTATCAATTAAATTTATATAAAAGAAAACTTAATAAAGTAGCCACTACCACTACTCAAAATTTTTGAAAAACAGAGATAATTAATTTCTTTGGATTTTGATTGATTTATTAATTTATTTACTTATTTTATATTATTGCTTGGTAAATCTCGCATTAAAATAAATAAATATCAATTCTATTTATAGATTAACTGGTAAACAAATTAATTAATAAATAAATATTTTTTTTTTACTTTTTAGACTTCTGTCAGGTGGTGAGCTGTTCACTAAAATTATGGAGTTAAATGGCTTCAATGAAGCTCAAGCATCAGGTTATATGCGCCAAATACTTTCAGCTGTTTCTTATTGTCACCAACAAAATATTGTGCACAGAGACTTAAAGCCTGAAAACATTCTGTTTACGAGTAAAAAGTCTGATTAAATCAAAGTAATATTTTCAGATATTTTGTTTATTCTTATTATTTAATTTACTCTATTATTCTCATTTTCTTTCAATTTCAATTAATTTTTTTGAATATTATCGCATGAATTTCTCTAACTTTTATTTATTGATGTATTTACTCTAACATAACAAACAAACTTTTATATCAAAACAAATAATCAAATCTATTAATTAAATCAACCATCCGTTCAATTGAATTTTTGAAGTTACCTATGTAACTTTTTAAATAAAAGTTTACTTGAATGATAGTAACTTAGTTAGTACTATTATTGCTTCTAGTTATTTTATACATGAATTAAAATAAAAAAAATAAATAAATAATAAAGGTTATCGATTTTGGATGCTCGACAAAGTTTGATAAAGCTAAAAAAATAAAAGACATTGCTGGAACAGTTTTATATCTTGCTCCAGAAGTAATCAAAAAAAATTTATATGATGAAAAGTGCGATATTTGGAGTTTAGGGGTTGTACTTTACATTATGCTTTGTGGCTATCCACCTTTCGATGGCAAAAACGATGAAGAAGTTTTTAATTCAATTTAAAATAAATAAGTATAATTCGAAGGTATATCAAATTATTTTATCATCAATCAATCGTTTTCTTACTAACTTATTTTAATAAAGGTAAAGAATGGGAAAAAATTAGTGTTTAAGCTAAGGATCTAATAGAAAAAATGCTCTAAAAGGATCCAAATCTTCGTATTAGTGCATAATAGGCCTACTAACATCCTTGGATATAAAAGAGTATTAAAAGCTCTAACATTTAAGATGCGGTAATGAAAAATCTAGCATAATTTTCAGCTAGGAATAAAGTGAAAACTGCACTTTTAAATATGATCTCTTTGCATATACTGAAAAATAAAGAGAAAGAGTAAATTTTTTAAAATTTTATCGAACTTGATAAAGATGGCGATGGCTAACTTTCAAAAGAAGAGCTAATTGAAGGTAAATAATTTTTAAATTAATATAAATATTCTTCAGTTATTATATTGTATTTCAAATTAGGTTACGAAAGATTAATAGGAGACAAACAACAAGCATAGAAAATCGTTGAATATGTATTCAAAGAGATTGATTATGATGGATCTGGGAAAGTTAGTTTCTAGGAATTCTTAGTTGCCACTGCTAGCAAAGAACAGATTATTACCAAAGAAAACCTCTACAAAGCATTTGATTTGATTGATGAAGTAAAATTTTATTATTTTAATTTTAAAAATGAAGAGTGGAAATAAATTTAATTATTAACAAATTAGGATAGAAATGGATAAATTACAAAGGATGAGCTGCAAAGAGTGATAGGAGGAACCTCTTTAAATGACCAGGTTTGGGAACAAATGATGAAAGAATGCGATGTGAATGGTGATGGATAAGTAAAAATAATGATTTTTTGTATCAATTTAAAAATTTATTAAAAATAAACTCTTATTAAATTAATTAGATTAATAAACAAGAATTTGTTGATTTAATGCTAAAATGGGTAGATTATGATTTATTTAAAGCCAAAGACGAAGTTATATAAGCTGAAGATAGGAGGGGATAAAGAAAAGCCTCTTTAACAGATGATACTGCTCCAGTTAAAAGCTTATAGAATAAGTCATCCACACCAAAAAATAATCTATAGCTAAAAGATTAAAGATATAACTATAAAAATCCTCCTTAGAGTAGCTCTTTGAAATAAAATTATGTGCAGTACTCACCTAGCAAATCAAGCTCCTAAAGAGGACCAAACTATTCTTTATACAATAATTACTACAGCAGTAGCCAAGGAAACTTCTATTCAAGTCATAAATCGATGGTAAAAAATCAAATTGAGTAGAGCAGCCCATTGAAAAATTATAATTAAAGATCCATCCAAGAAAATAAAACATCAAAAAATAGCATTTAAAAGAGTTTCAAAAATCTCAATGCTGAGACTGAAAGCTACTACAGCAACTTCTAAAACAATTTTGATTCAGCATCCTTAGAAGTACACTCATTGAAGAAAATACCAACAATCTCTGCTGCAATTCAAGAAAAATCTAATAATTCTATAAACAATTACAATAAAATAAATACATTTAGTAGTAATGTTAAGACATTTTAACCTTTAAATACGGTTACAAGTAGCATTTAAAATTCTAAAGTTAATTGAAAACAAATACCTAAATCAATAAATAAATAAAAATAAATACTAGATGAAACACTTTTATACTCATAATTCTTTTTTCCTTATTCTTCAAATAAATAAATAATAAACTAATTATATTGAATTAAATAAAATAAATTTATATATTAAAGTTTCATATTATTTATAATAATATTATTAATTAATTAATGTTCTTATATTAAATATAAACTCTTTCAAATAAATACTAAAATCTACTAAAAAAAACAAAATATTTTATTTATTATTTAATTGTAAAAATTATTTTTATTTTTTAATTATAAAATAAATTTGAATTAAATTTAATAAGCTATTTTATTTTTTTGCCTATTTAAATAGCATAAACATTTTAGGTGAACAGTCATTATTTTTTGAGTAGTTAATTCAAAAATCTGTTTATTGGAAAATATTTATATGAGTGAGGTGAGAATCTACGAAGATCTACAGAAAATATTTTTTTAGAATTTATTTTTTAAGTTACCATGCTCAAATAAATTTGAATTAAATTAATTAAATATATTATTTGTTGATTTTCTTTATTTAAAAATATTAAATACTAACTTAAATAACAAATATATTATAAGTTTTAATATATTTTCATTAATTCTAATTACATGCAAAAAAAATTTATTTTGACTAAAGTTTTTTTCTGTTTTTAATTTTTTTAATTTTTAAAAGAAAGATTCCTTTTGTAAATTTTTTTTCTTTCAATTCTGGAATTGTATTTATGATAATAAAACTATACTCACCTTCCTCTTCACTTTCATATGATATGTTTTTTAATATACAGGATCTACTTATTATAAGCTTGTTTCTTTTAAATACTAAAATATTCTAATTTTAAAAATCTGAAAAATTATAAAAATTTAAATTTAAATTATTCTATTGTCGTCAATAAATTTTAATTGATTTTCTATTGTTCATTTTATTTAATTGACCAAAATTTTGACATTTGCTATGGGTTTATTAAGAATCTTAAAAATTCGATTTACAACACTCGGAAAAATATAACTTATTAAATATTAAGAAAAAAAAGATTTATTAATAAAATTCAAAAAAAAAATGGTTTTTTTTAATAATATTTTTATATTCCAGATTTATTAAGCTAAATGCACAAAGAAACATAGAAAATATATCAAATTTTAGAGATATTATACAATTTATGAGCATAATAAAGCTTCAATTGGCTGCATTGGGTCTATAATTTTGAATAAATTCTATTTCATCATTCACATAATAAAATAAGACACAAGCATGAAGAGGATCGTTATCAATGTGAGTTATATCAAGTTTGTAAGTTGAGTCAGGTTTTTTCTCTTTAGAGAATTTTACTGTTTTACCGATTGGATCATAATCAACAATTACTACATCATTTTTTGCAAAGCTAAATGCCTTAACTACATTGTTGAATGCACTTTAGCTAGTTGACCAAGTACCTGCGTTTGAGCTAATCATATAAGCACCATGTCCTAAATTTTAAATAAATTAATATTAATTTTCAATATAGTCAACTTAATTTATTATTTTTATTTAATTGATTAATAATATATACCTAGATTTGAAAATTGGAAACCATAATTCTTGGAGACTATTGTGTTCTTGTGACAAATACCGACTGCTAGCCAGTTGTTAGTAGATCCTTGCTTAATTTTAAAGGCAAATTTGCATTACTTATTTTTAGGCAAGGCAGGTTCCATAATTGCAAATCTATAGCTAGGATTTGAGCCATTTGATTTAACAATATTCTTGGAAACAAGAGTAATTTGTGCATGCTTATATGTATTAGAAAACCAGAACTTAATGTTATTCTTATAAATTATGTTTGCTTAAAGAATCTGTTCTGACAGACTCTTTTTCTGAGTTTCTAATAAAGTTTCTATTTCCTTATTACCTTTTTCTAATGTTCTTTATATTTCCTAATATTGATTTTCTATGTTAATCTTGATAGTTTTTTATTCCAATTCAGCTTCTCCTTCTTCATCGCTTTATTTTTAATTTAATAAAAGTTAATTTGATTGAATATTAAAATATAATTAATTATTTAAGAGCAAATAACATGTCATTTCTAGCATAAAACATTAGAAATAACTAACTGACCTGCTCTTGCGCTTATGAAATTTTAGCATGTATATTCATGAATATTTATTTATTAATTAATTAATTACTCTTCTTGAGGAATGAAATTAACAAGCCTTGAAACGGAACTTTTAAGTTTGTCTACATCTCCATTAAACTCATATACATTGTCGAAGAGGTTGTTAATTTCAGTTGTGGCTGATGTATGAGAAAGCACTTAATCCTTCATTTTATCGAAAAAGCTAAGAATAGAAGTTTTAATTGAAAGAATTTTTTCATTGAATGATTCATATATTTAATTGAGTTCTTTTTCTGCTAGTTTTTATTATTCATCTAGATAAATTAGAAGTTCATCACAATTGAATTCAGACTTTGCTTGTTTAGCTGAATTTTCCAAAGCTTGATGGAGCAACACCTTCAAGGGTTTCCATTAACCTTTTTTATTTTCTTCTTGGCAAACAGCACATCCTAAAACGTCTTCCTTATTTGTTGTGTTTAAATAAACGTAGTTGAGCAACTCTCCTTCATGGAAATTGCCTTTCTAGCAAACAGGGTATTTAATTTTTTATATTTATGGTGCTATCTATTTAACTTTTTATTTTATGGGCGATTATGTGGGTTCAGTTTTACCTTCACTTGGAGATGCATTTGCATTTGCGTTTGCATTTCCATTTTACTAATTAACAAAAAAATATTAATCGACAGAATAATAAGTCTAAAACAGAACCCAATTAGTTTGATTTTGTAGCTTAATCAACTAAAAGGGTAATAAATTGATTCTAATTTAATTCGTTTACTTGAGGTGCTTGCTCTTATGTCTCACCTTCAACTAATTCGGCTTTAAGTTTTGTAAATTCTCCTTCCATATCTTGAGTTATTAAATAATTATTTAATGAACTTAAAATAAAATAAAATGAAAGAGATAGTTTAAAAGTAAACAAATTTCTAACTAACTGATAAAGGTATTTTATAAAAAATTCTAATTTCAATCAATACTAAATAAATTATATCTAACTACTTTTTTATAATGCTATTCTATAACTTTTTCTTTTGAGTTCTTTCTTTTTTGCTAACTTTTTTATCTTTACTGCAAAACAAATACTTTTTATTTTTACAAAATATAAGCGACTAATTTGTTAATTAACTAATTTGAGATATATATATATAATCTTTTGTTAGTGCCAAATCATTCATAAAAACTTATCTCATCAATAAATCTTAATGAACATAATCAAAACAATTAATTCATTAGTTTTTTTAATGCACTCTTTATCTAATTCATCAGATCATAAATGAATATGTGTGTGTGTGTGTGTGTGTTTTCATTTAAATCTGTTCAACTTAATCTTTAATTAGAAATAAATCAAATTATATTTATAAAATTCTTTTGATTCCTAATTGGCAAACTCATTCATTATTTTTTAATTAATTTAGAAAGAATAAATTTTTCATTCACAACCTGTCTGCCCTAATACCTACTTTAAGATATCATAGATCAGAGAGCGCATTACTTATCAACAGGAAGGTAGAATAATAAATAAACAATCCATTAAAATGAGGATTGATTTATTAAATATTGTTTTTTACTTACTTTATTAATTTGTGTACAATTTTAAAATTAAAACATATTATTTTGTTTTTAGATTCAAATTAATTTATTTGTTTTATTTTCTAAATTTTAAATTTTATTTTATAATTTGTCAACACATTATTAAAAATGTTTAATTTTTTTTTTAGTCAAATTAATTATTCATAATATATAATATCAGAATCTCTAATAGAATCTTTGATTAAAATAATCTTGAGAATTTAATCTAATATTTTATTTTAAGATTTAATTGATTAAATTATAATAATAATATTTGGTCACAATTAAATTAGATTATTCTTTTACATTTATTGTGGATTAATTGTATTTATTTATTTACTGCTTTCATTGAATCAATTAAATATCTTAAATCAAAATTATTTTTATTCAAAGTAAATTCTCAAAGACAAATAAATAAATATTCGTGTTTAAAAAAATTTTGATAAGCTTTGAATTGTAAGAAATAAAAACTTGTTTTTGATAAATAAGAAAAAAGAGCTAGAATTGCTTTAAAATGTGTAGTAAGCATGAAACGAAAAGCTAATTAAAAATACAAAGATTTACATTAATAAAAAAAATTTATCTAAAAGCGATTTAATTAATTTAGAAATATTGCTTTAGGAACATCATAAATAAATACAAAAGAAGATATTTTTTGTATTGAAGAAAAAAAAAATAAACATTAAAAAAATAAGAATTTGATTCACTAAAATAGAATTTTAATCAGATTTAATTATTAGCAGAACATTTCCCTAAAATTAGAAATTAACAAATTATTTATATTTTTTTTGGGGGAATCAAAAATCAAATTAGATGAGTGCTAAAAGAAGATACCCAATTTAGAATGTTATAAAAACAAACTTAATATTTTGTGTAAGGGTGGGTGTTCATATCTAATATATTTAACTATCTTACTATATCTTAGACTCTTTTTATAAATCTTTTTTAAAACTAAATTTTATTGAGATAGATAGAAGAAATATAATCTGAATATGGTGAAGATAAAGTAATTTAAAGCAAGTAACAAAATGAAAATAGAATTTTGATTATTTTTTATTGAGTTAATAATTAATTGTTTATAAATTTTTGTTTTTCATTTTTTGATTTATCAAGCAAGAAAGAATCTACAGCTAAAAACTTAGCTTACTTTATTATCATCTATTACTGGGAAGTCAAAAAAAAAATTGTGGAAAAGAATTTGCCAAAACCTAAGATATATAAAAAGAATTGCTTTGAGTAAATGTCTCCTTAGTTTTTTATAATTAAATTTTGAGAATAAAGAAAATCAATTTGTTTGAATAATTAAGAAAAACACATTAAATAACATAACATAGTTTTAATTAATTAATTAATTAGGCAAACATGAAGGAGAGTCGAAAAAATTTCGAATTTTCTATTAAATTCATATTGCTAGTTGGTTTCTTTTTCGTGTAAACTTTCTCAAAGCTAGTTAATGATGATCCAAATTTAGATGATTTTAGCAGAGCCCTTTTTAATTGTGCAGATTTCGATATTACTTAGGATAATTACAAAGTCGAAAGTGATTAAATTGTATTTGAAATTCAATCTCTCAGTGAATAAGTACAGTAAAATGTCTTAAAGTTTAGAGAATTAACTATAAGCAAGGCTGAATAAGTATTAACTAATTATAAAAATTTTAAAAGCATTGTTTTTTAAAATGGACCTAAATCTACTTTGCTTTTCGACGGAATTTATATATTAGGAGATTAAGAAAAAAAAATATCAGTATAAGTATTACAATTACTTTATAAGGATTTATTTATGCTTTAATTTTTCAATATATCAAGCGTCTTTATTACAAAGAGTTCATTTAGTTACTCTACTTGGGTCTAATCATAATTTACACTTTTTAATAATGTTAAAACAATTTATATTTAAACTTTTTAAGTAAATCAATCATAATTTTCATCAAACTATTTAATGTAAGTATTAAACTCTTACAACACAACTATCGGATTTGCTGATTTAAATTAAAACAACTAAAACTACATTGCTGATGTTTAAAATGTAAATATTTTCAAGATATTAAAAATGAACATATATAAGTGTTAAATCAAAAATGCAGGCTAACCTCTAAATTAAAATATATTTAATTTTAACTCAGTTCAACAACTCTCACTTTACGAAATGATAATAACTAATAATACCATTAGAACACAGAATACTTTTAAGTTTATTTCAATCTAAGGAAGTGATGTTGTTAAAATTAACAAATCTCTCATTAAATTTAATAATGCTACTAACTCTTACTCTTCAATGGAAATTCTTAAGTCAGTCAACATAGCATTAGTGAGGTATAAATTTTTTATTGCTATTATTTGCAATTTATATCATTTTTTTAAAATTATTTAATAAATATCAATCGATAATGATTTTAGCAAAACAGATAAAGTGGGTATCAAAAAAAATTTTTGCGATTTATCAAAATTTTTATTGACTATCTTAACATAAAAAATTGTAAAATTTAATGTATGCCACCTGCTTACCTACCCACCCTATTAAATATTTTTAACTTTTTATTTAAAAAACTAAATAAAAATTTCTTTTTTTATTTTAGTGTTTTTGTGGAAAATAACATCCAACTTGGTAACTTTGGAGGTACTATGGCGATAGATTCAACAGGAGTTGAAAATTCACTTGTCACAATAACAGATAGCGTTTTTAAAAAAAATTTTGCTTATACATCTGGTGGTGCAATTTACATAAATGCGTAATTTATAAACATTTACCACACTAAATTTGTGGATAATGTAAGTTAAGGGAATGGAGGAGCTCTTTTCGTAGAAAGTACAAACACAATAGACATTAATAATGTGCTATTTTAGTCCAACTCTGCCATTTAAAGTGGAGGAGCAATTTTTCTTTCATCAAATACTTTATCAAACGCTTTAAAAGTATTCAATGCAACTTTTAAAAATAATTATGTACACTATTGTAATGGAGGTGCATTATTTACAAATAAATTTAATTCTATTTAATTAGAATTTGCTGACTTCGATCATAATTAGGCATTTGAAGGTGATGGTGGAGCTATTTATGGCAGGTAAATATTTTACAAATTTTATAAATATATTAATAAATAATTAATTAATTAAATTGTTTATATAAAAGGAATATTGAGACAATTTTTGTTAGATATGTAAATTTTACAAAAAATTAAGCTTTTAAAGGAGGATCGTTGAGAGTGGACTATTCCAATTTAATTAATATTATTTTATCTAATTTTACCAAAAATTTTGCTAATAACACTGGAGGAGCTTGCTATTTTATTCAAATTAACTATTCTTCTGATTTCAATGGTTGTAACTTCAAAGAAAATCAAGCAATATTTGGAGGCGCTTTATATCTCTATGAAAATTCAGCATTTTAACTCACAAATTCTCTTTTTGAAAAGAATTAGGCTTTATAAGATGGTGGAGCTGTTTTCTTATCAGAAAATACACATGTTTTGGAAATGGTTAACACTAAATTTCATTTCAATATAGCTTAAGGAATAGGAGGGGCTATTTATGCTAAATAAATTAAGCATTCTGTTGACTAAAGTTCGATAATTTCAAATAACTCTGCTTTGATTGGTGGAGGTTTAGCTTGTAGCAACATTTCTAGATATTAAGATTTATCTAAAATACAAATAGATGAAATAGTTTAAGATAATAATGCTCAAATTTATGGAAATAACATTGGGCTTATCCCCAAATCAATTTTTTTAACACATATTAGTTATTATGATGAAGGATCTCAATAATTGAAACCTCTTAATTTTACCAAATAAATTATGCTCTAATAATAAGAGATACAAAGTTTTGTCGTTAATGATGTAAAGAGTCCATCTAATTTAGTTTTCTTTTGGAAATTGGTAGATGAAAATGATTAAATAATAGCTCCAATTAAGCCAACCCAAAATGATATAACTCAGATAGTTAGCATTAACAACACACCTGAAATATAAGAGCGTATGACTGAGTACAATCTTTTTTAAAAGTAGTCCTTTTTACAAAATTATACAATATTTTCTGAGAATGAATTCTCAACTATATTTTTCACGATTGGTGAGCCTTCAAAAGACTAATAAGTATAAATAAGTTTTCTTTCTGGAATATAGGGCTCTGCAAAGGTGGTTAATATTTTATTCAACTATAGAAAATGTTAGATTGGTGAAGTATATATTTAAAGTACTTTTTAGCTTTGCTAAGAATGCAGATAAGGAACTTATTCATTCAGCGATCCTTACAATGCCAGCTGCTTCAATTAGCCTGAAGGAGTTCAAAAAAGCTTTGGATCTACTTTAATTATGCAACCTGGATACTGGCGCTCTTCTTAATACTCTGCAACTATATTAGAGTGCCAATTTTAAGGCTCATGCATTGGTGGAGAAGGTGCATTTTTAAAACTATTTTTATAATTTTTTTATTTATTTAGAAATAAAAATAAGCTTATTAATTCCTAAAATTTATTCTTTAATTTTACAAAGAGGAAAGAAAACTGATGTTCCAATTTTTTATTATTAATAAAGATCAATTTATTAAGGATGATTATGTCTGAAGTATTATTTGTTTTTAAATTATAAGTTCAAAATAATTTATCTCATTAGGCAATCACAATTATCTTTAATTCCCATTACTTTACTACTTAAAATTCTTACAAAGATAATGATTAAAATTTTAATATTTCAAACAAATTTTGAAATCACTTTGTAGTCAAAAATAAAATTAATGAATTGAATAAAATAACTTTTAAATTTTACAATTTAACAAAGTTTTTTAATATTTTTTGAAAAATAAAATTAGGATATGGAAATGGTTTGTGTTAAAACGGATACTAAGGAGTTATGTGCAAATAATGTGCTTTTAATGATAACACAAAGTACACTCAAAATTTGTTTGACTTAGAATGCACAAATTGTGAAGAAAAATAAGGCTAGAGTATATTTTAAATTGTATTACTTTGTATATACTTGGTAGCTATTTCTTTTTTAGTAATGAATTCCTTGGTTTAAGATTTCTTGCTAGAGAAAATGTCATTCACGTTAACTAAAATGAAAGTGTTTTTATTTGATAAGAGACAGAGTTAAAGAAGACTTTCAGTTGTTTACATTAAAATGTTTTTACATTTTTGCTAAATCTCAATTTGCTTGAATTTTATGCAAATCCAAAATGCCAATATTAGTTCTAATTTGTATGTGATCCCTAAATATTTAACTGACACAATTACTGTTATTATTCAGCTTAGTACTTGCTTTTTTGTTCCAAATTCTGGACTTAACAGTTCCTCAGTTGCATTCACTTAGTTAATTCTTGTAGAGATTTCTCCTATTATTTTCTTTTTATTTGGCTATCTCTTGATTTATGCTTTGCACAAAGTTAAAAAGCTTGATTTACAGTAAAAGCAGTATTATTCTAGGAATCTGTTTTGGTTCTGCTTCTGTAGCTTGTTTTCTATTTCAATAATTAGATATTTAGTTTCTATTTCGGCTTGCACATAAGTAGGAGATTAAAACAGAATGTTTGCTGATTACAATATTCAATGTGACAATAATACAACAAGAATAGTCTTAATTTATTCTCTCATTCTGCCAATATTTGCATTTTTCTGTGCTTATCTTCCTTTAACTCTTATTTAAATTTTAACAAGACAATCTAATATTCATAGACCAGTTAGAAAGAGTGTCGAGCTTTAAGATACCTAAAAATAACTTAGTAATACTGAAAATTAAACGAATCAAGAAAAAATAAATATTTTGAGTGATGGAAGCACTCTACAATTAAGCAAAAACAGTGATAACTACTTATATAGAATTAATGGAAGCGATCGTTTTAGTAAATCAAATTATACTGATAACAGTGCTTCATAATTGCCATACGATGAAAGACAAGATAATATAATCTAAATGGAATACGATGTTGAGGATCAAGTAATAAATTATGTTAGAGAGAAAAGTTGTTCACATAATGGAGACCTAAAAAAACCATTATTTGGTAAAAAAATTGAAGGAAAGTTAACAGAAAAATCTTTAAATTAAATAAATTACTGGTACTTAACAGTTGGCTACAAACCAGAATATTAGTATTGGGAAATAGTTAAATTCATTTTTAGATAAGTAATCATTATTATGATATTTTTCTCTAATGAAATACCAATTTTTGCAGGAAGTCTTTCAATAGTTTTTTACATTTTTTATTTTTATTTTTTGAGCAAGAAGCAGCCATTTGTCACTAAATAACTCAATAATTTAGAAAACGAATGTCATTTAATACAAGCAGGTTGTCTATTCTCATTTTTGATTATTTAATAAATTAATGGAGATTATAGATTTGAGTACATGACCTATATATTTGTCTTTTTTGCTTATTTTGTCTTCTTTTGGTTTTTATTTAAGATGCTTTTCTTAATAGTTGTTTCATTAATGGAAAATAATTCAAAGATAGACAATGTTAAGATGGCTTTTAATCTGGTAATCCCAAATACATATAAGATAAATAACGAAAAAAGTTAAAAGAAGTGGATGTTAATTTAAAATAATTTAAAATTGATTTTATCCAGAGGACTTGATGATAAGCTTTTAGACAGGCAATTTTTGATTCACTAAAACAAAAATTTGCTTAGAAGTATGAAAAATAAAAGAGACAGCAATGAAGAAGTAATTGATTTGGATAAGTAGAGCTGATTAAATGCCAAAAAATATTGAATAATAAAATTAATATAATGCAATAAAAAATAACTCTTGTATTTTAATCAACCTAATTAATGAAAATTTTAAGAATTATACTAAAATATAATTTACTTAATTAATTTTTATGTAAAATCATTTACTTATTTTATCACCCAAATCATAATATTTAGTTATAATCATGTATCTTTAGTAGTAAAAATAGTAGCATATATTTTAATTAAAACAAATTTTAATTTGTGTAAATATCATATAAAAGGAAAAATGTTGTCTGAAACCACTTTATTAAAAACTAATTTTTATTGTGTTTTAAAAAACTTTTTATTTTTTATTATTTATTTTAAGGTTAGATTAGATTAAATAAGATTTACATCATATAAAATTTTTACCATCCATGATAATATATTTTTATTTAAAATTCTTAATAATTTTGTTCTCATAAATATTTCTAATGATACTCTTTATGAAATTAGCTTCAATTTATTACATGTTTAAATTAAATTTGATTTCAATCAAAAAATAAATTACAGAAAAATGTAAATATTATTGCTTATTTTTAAGATTTACTTTAAGAGGTTTTCTTTTATTTCTTTTTGTAAGAATCTTAGAGAAATTAGATTATCTTAGTAAGGACATAAATTTTATAAAATATATTGGTTGAATATTATTTATTTATTGCAAACAAGATTTATTAACAAAAAAATGTAAATAAAATCTATTTCGATAGAATTTAATTTGTTTGTTTTATTACTATAATTTGTGGATTTTTAGCTTTTTATTAATAATACTTCATACAAGCAAGAGCATATATTTAACAGCTAAATTTTAGTAATTTATGAATTAGCAATTCGACAAGATAAAGAATTATGAACAGAAGCTTTAATTTACGATCAATAAATTAGAGCCGTAGCATCGACTGCCAACTGAAAATTCAATTAATAATGCCAGCTATATGGGAGGAATCCTTAAGCAGAGTTAGAATAACAACCAAAATTATATTTAATTTTTAGAATCCATTACACCTTAATCAAATAAATCTAATTAATTCAATAGAAGCTTTTTGGTTGAGAGACAAAACACTGATTAAGAATAAACGAGAGACAATATTTTACCTTAAATCAATAATCCAAGGTCGAAAAGCGAAAATAAAAATGGTGCTCAAAATAATAGCAGCTAATAATATTTGGACTAATAAAAATAAACTTTTTACAACAATAGATAGTCATCTTCTAAAAATTAAAAGAGAAGTCACAATTACAATTTTTATGCTTAACCAAAGAATGCTGTTGAAGTCATAATTACGCAGAATGAATTTGAATCAACAAACTCTTCTAATTTATGGAATGAACTACAAATGAGAAAGCCTAATTATAGATATCCAAATACAACTAAATACTCATAATCTAACAAAATTACTCTTTAGCAAAGTAATGGTAGATAATTACAAAGCAGAGATCTCATTAGATCATTAACTATAGATAACAATAATTGCAACTCTTCAAATAGTAAATCAAGAAATTATTTAGATGATCTTTAAATCTACAATAACGCAGTTAATAGATTAGATACATCTTCATCATAAAATTTTAGCCAACCTCTATCAAAACATATGATAAATATAAAAAATATAGTCAAAAATCAAAGTTTAACACCTATTTCACAATCATTCAACAACAATAGATTTTAGGAACTTTAAATTAATACAAACGATAATAATGGCAATTACTCTAATCTAAGATTATCTAACTAATGTTTTTCAACTCCTCACAAGGGTTACTATAAAGATATGAATTCTAAAATGTTTTTGAATAAAAGCTATGACTATGATTTAAAGATAAAACCTCCTTTGCTTCATAAGACTAAAACTAATGAAAAAAACATTTAAACCGAGTTAAAAGAAATAGAAGAATAAAATGATTAATTAAGTGAAAATATTATCAAAAATGAAAATATTTAAATTTCTCTAAACAGAAATCATTTGAAAAACATATCAAGCTCATCTAATAGGTATAATAAGCATAATTACAATTTATCTTCACCTTAAATGATGCTTTAATAGCATAGTAAATAACAATAAGCAAATATTTAGTAATAATATTATGAGAGGATAGTAACTGATAGTGAAATTTAATCTAATAGGAGCAATTAAAATAACTTAAGTTTTCATCACACTTCATTTTCTAAAAACTAATACTTGATAGACGAAAGAAAGGTGGTCAACATTTAAGTTTAAAATGCAGAAATGGATCAATACATCAGATAGATATAAAAGTATGTTTTTAAGAAGTAGCACGATATTGATAACAACAGCAGCTTGAGTTTTAAAAGACCAAACGTAATACATCCCTCTGATCTAGCTGAGCACGTTTTCAATAATTAAATGAAAATCAATTCATCGAACTAATAATTGCTGAATAATTTATAATAAACTGACTCAAACTAAGATTTGAGATAAACTCTCATAGAAAATGACATTCACTTAGAATAGCCTCTTATAATGTAGCAACATACATTTTAATAATAAAATTAAGATATTAAGTAGCTTCAAGTGGTAGATTAGAATTTATATTAAATGAATCCTAAACAAGATATTGATTTTAATTAATAGGATAAGAACTCTTTAGAACAAACAGAAACGAAAAACCAAAATAATTTATAATTATAAAAAAATTATCAAGACATGAAGAACAAAGATTAAATATAAAATATTGATTAATAAAATAAAAATGATGAAAAACTGAATAATAATTAAATGAATGAAACTCTTTCAAGACAATATAGTTTTTCAGCTTGTTATAATTAGAACAAAAGTATTCTTCCTTTATCGAGAAATAGCGAGTAGGTAGATTAAACTCCAAAACTTAATTCATAAGAACAATTATAAATCCCATCTCAAAAATCTTCTTTGGATGAAAACAGCAGTCAACAAAATTAATAAATAAATTAAGAAGATATAGATTTTTTTGACAAAAAGCGGTCTGCTGAATTTGGAATAAATTATAATTCAAATAAAGGCAGCAAGAAATAAATAAAGAACAGTTCTCATCAATAAATAAATAGTAAAAACACTCAACTAGAACTACTACAAGAAAATACTCAATAATAAATAAATTAAAGTCCTAAAAACAATTAAAATAATAATTCATCTAAAGGATTACTTAAAAATCATTAATATTTAACATAGACAGCATAACTTTCTTCATAAAAATCAAGCAATTAAACCTCCTATAATTCGCCATAATCTTATAAAATAGTAAATCAATAATCCTCACAAAGCTCTTATTATTAATCCTCTTAAATTTCTAATTAACCTAATTCTTAAAATTCACCTAATGAATAATCTTATAAAAGCTCAAAAGAACTATCATAGAGAAACTCTGAATAATATTCTCCTTAAGACTTAAGTAGTTAATCACAATAGGATTCGAATAGATTATTATCTTAAGGATCTAACTAATTTCCTTCTTAAAATTCAAATAATTTTTCTCCTTATAATTGTTCAAAGACAAAATTGCTTGAAAACAACTAAAGATTAGATTCATAAAGGGTTTAATAGCAATAGTAACATTAAGAGTCAAGTCATCAGAGTTAAAATGCATTTATGAAGTTTAATCCTGATAAGAGAAATTAAATTATAATAGCATAAGAAGGAAATTCAAAGCAAATAAGCAAAAGAAATAGCAATTCATCAAGTAAATCAAAATAGATTTAAATTGAAACAAACTCAGCTAGGAATAATTAAGAGGAGCTTTTATAGTAAAAAAGTAATGATAAAATTAATCTACCTATTCAAATGAATTAGAATCAAATTTAAAATGGAAGCATATAAATTAATTTAGACCATAATTAAATATCTTTACAAGGTGCTTCAGCTCTCGAGTCTCATTAAACAGCATCCTAACAAACATCAAAAAAGAATAGTGTTTCTTAATAATTTTATCAAGGAATATTTATGAATACTCTTAGAAAAGACCCGAGTTTTTAAAACAGTGATAGTAATCCTAATTAATACAATTAAGAAGAAACTCCATACTCGAGCAATTAAAATACTAATAGAGATTAAATTAATGAAGAATTGCATTAATAAAACATAGAAAATGCCTAATTTATTCAAAAGAGAGAGAACAACATTGACAAAATTGAGCAAATGTCCTAAATAAACAACCAAAAGTAAGATATGCTATTGAATTAATCATAAAATGGTTTTCAAAATCACTAATTTTATGAAAAAGAAAGAAGAAAATTAAAAGCCTAAATTTAATAACAACAAAAATATAAAAAATAAGACAAGAAGAGTGAGGCAGAAGAAAAAACCAATCAGACAGAGACGAGTAACAAATATCCTAATGACAGTCGTTATATTTAAAAGTAAATTTTTCACAAAGAGTCTCTAGAAACTTAAAATGCGAGAGGCTAAAACAGACATATAGAATTTTTAACAACAGAAGCAGCTCATGAAGATGAATAAAGTTAGAGAAAAAAAAGATTCAACACAGTTGAGAATGAAGGAAGATATTTGAGGACAGATAGCTAAGACAGCAGCTAGTGGTTGAGAGAGAATATAATTGTGAAAAATGAGAGTCCAAATATAAACCAAGCTAATAGCACATAAAAATCATTTAAATCTAAATCAAAAGACTCGACACTTTAATCCTTCTACCAATCAAATATGTTCAACATAATTAATATTGGAGGAAGTGTGGAAGATCCAATAAAAATAGTTAAAAAATGCAACTAATTTAAAAAGTAAGGTTACATTAAATTAAGCTACAAAGAAACTTAGTTTGTAAATTCTCAAAAGAAGTCAAATCAACTAACACCAAAAAAGAAATCTATAAATAAAGTGAGTATTTCTCCCACAAGAAATTAGGATTCAAATGTTACTTCAATTAAAACAAGTCCTCAATCAAAAATACAAAGCAAAACAAAGCTGATTAATTCAAGCGAAATTTCATTTCAAAGTCCAAACAAATTTCATGTTTCAAAATAACTTTGAAAATTGATAGATTTATTGTAATTAATTAATTTTTCCTATTTAAATATTAGTTATTTGTAATTCATATTAATTAATTTGTTTGGTTCATATTTCAATTAGCAAACCATTTATTAATTTTTATTTCTTTTAATTTATCAAAGCAGTTTATTTTATTAAAATTAAATAAAAATCTTCAGATATTTTAAACAAATTAACTCTCCTAAATTTTCTAATATTATTAACTAGAGTAATTATAACAAAATTAGCATAATATAATTAAATTTTATAATCTTAATAAATTATTTATGTAATAAAAAATGAAAAATAAACAAACATTGCCTATTAAAATTCATGAAATTAATTAGAGAAAATGTAAATTTAATTTTATTTTATTCAAAACAAAAAACTAATAAAAAATGACTAACTATCTACTTATTTAATTATCTAACTAACTAGCTAAATTATTTAATTTTGGCTTTTGATAACTTTTTGAATAAAACTGAAATTAATTGTTGAAATTTTAAATAGTTTTTAAATTAAATTATAAGATAAAGTGATTCAAATATTTATTTTAATTTTTTATGATTATTTAAATAATGTTCATAAAACTTTGTTTATTTATCAGTCTTTTTTTTTTTTTTTTGAATAGCCGAAATGCATTTTAAATTGTAAAGTAGTTTTTGTTGCAATAATAAATAATCTTTTCAATAAATAATTTTTGAAATTTCTTTTAATATGCAGGAAACTTCTTTAATTAAAAATGAAAAAATTTTAATTTAAACAACAAATTTATTGTTTATTTTTTTCTTGCTAATTTGTGTCAAATTTTATTTTGACATGAAGTTCTGAAAAATTAATTTAAATAAATTTTAAGACATAGAATATATTTTTTAATAAATTTTTTTACTCTTCAACAAGAATTAAGCATCTTTAACAGATAAATTGTTTATATTGTATTGTATTGATGAAATTTCTCGTTATTTTATATTAATAAAATAAAAAGAAATAACTTGCTCTTTAATAGTTAGTACAGCTTGTAAACATAAATAGTAATTAATTTGAATATTTTTGAAATGGATATGTAAAATTCTTGGCTGACTAATTGATTAATTTGTTAATTATAGTTTTTTCAAGTAAAATCAATCAAAAAGGTTTTTGTATTATTCAATTAAAAAGAATTATATTAGAGATAACAAAGAAAGATAGATAAAATAGCACTAAAATTTAATAAGGTAGCTAAAAAGCAACCCAAATAACTTTCAAAGCTCAAACTAGGTGATTTAGTTGTATTGAGAAAATGATTATGCAAAATAAAAAAATAATTTTTGAAGATATGTCTCAGTTTGAGAGAATCATTAATGAGATAAAACTACAATTCTTTACTTTAATGAATTATATTGTAGAAGCCAATTTTGTCTCTCCTTTTCTCTATAGAATATTTATTGTACTAGAAGCTTGCTAGCTAGCTATTTTTTCAATTCATCCAAGACTTAGCTTTGTATGGAACAATCAAGTAGTTTAGACGATTCAAAGTATACTGAAGAACATTTAAGTAAATAAAATTTAAAAACTACATTTTTAATTTGCTAGCATTATTTATATTTTCTACTTAATATAAAACCTATAAAAATAAATTACAAATAAGTCAGTCAAACAATATTCAGTTTCTTTCTAGTTTACAATTGAAAAGCAAGCTAACATTTTTTATAAAGTTTTAAGGTATATTGGACAATGGCTAGGGATAAGTAATGGAATCTTTAGTTTATTTCTGCTTTGGTATCAATTTTTTTATGCTATTAATATTTATTGCGGCAGGAATCGCACTTAGAAAGAAGTAGAAAAAGTAATTTATTTTACATAATTATTTGAACATGTATAATTTAAGAATAAAAAAAGTATCAACATTTGCTAGTAATATTGCAAGCAAGTCTTTACTTGCATTTCAAACACTGACATAATCTTAGTTATTTTACATTTAAGGATATATTTAAAGAACAATTATTTTAAATATCAAATGAATTTATTAAATAGAATAGCATTCAGTTTAAATTGATAAATAGATAATCAAAATTATTAAATAATAATTGTAAATATGAATGAATAAATCAGTGTTTTTTTAATCAATTAATAATTACTATAGTTAATTATTAGAATTTAAATAATATTAAATTAATGTAATTAATTTCTTTGAATATTTAAAAAGCAAATAAGTGTCAGGATTTGTTACGTATGGATTGAAGCTGTTGTCATTTTTTGGGATACTTGTTAAGACGGTACAGCCTTTGCCTTTCTTTGATATTTTTTTGAATGCAATTGTTTGTCAAAGCAGTAAATTCACTGATATTTAGTGTTATAGTGGATTATACTTCATTTATGTAACGCTATCGGTTATTGGACTTTTAATATAAATATTCTTTAGCTTTGTTTTTAACATGACAATGATTGATATAAATCCATTCTCAAAGTTAGCTTTTGCAACTCCTCCAAATTCTATTACTGAAATTAAACTTTTGCTTAAATTTATTCTTTGCCTCTATTTTGCTATCGATTACAAAGCATAACTCCAACTCACTCTTACCATTCTTCTTACTCTTTACTATGTTATATTTTTGGTGTAAACTTATAATAAACTGCCTTATTTTGATTATACCACTCAGAAGGTTCAAATAGTTATAGATGTCCTTTTGTTTTGGATATCATTTTGTGCATCTGCCTAAGCAATACTTATACCTAGCGGAAACGCTTCAGCCAATAATGTTCCTGCTTTTTATTTGCTTATAGGTATGCCTATGGTAAGTATGATCTACATTAATATCCTGAAATATAGAGATAATAAATACATTTAACTATATCCTGATGAAATAAAAAAGCCAGATGATATGGAAAATTATTCTCTAATTTTAATTTACCTTATTGAAAACAGGCATGATAGATCTTGTCTGATTAAGTTGGAAGGTATTTTACGTATGCATAGTGAAAAATGTAAGGAATCTCCAGAAGTTTGTCCATGCTCTTTATTGATAGCCAAAGAAGTATAAATAAACGATGAAGCAAGCCACATGGAACATAACTCGTAAACAAAGCAACACCTAGAAGAGTATCTAAAATCAAAATTATTTAAATTTAAAACAAGATTTTAATTTCATTAAGCAATAAAGATATTTACTTTATTTTTTAAAACAGTTAAGAAAAAAAATGGTATCTTTTCCTAAAAAGTGTGATTGGTGTCATTCTAAGGAAATATAATAAATGCTCCTAGCTGCACTTGTTAAATGCTTATTTATACCATGAAAAACTAAAATTAAAATTTAAGGCACTCACTGAAATGATGACATCTGAGATGTTTAAACCTTCAATCCATGAAAAATTCTCAATGTTTAGGTAATTTATTTATCAGTTTATTAAAAGAAACATCAATTTTATGTTCGAAATAAATAAATCTTGTTTTTTTTCAATTTTATTTACTTCCAAAAAAGTTATTTATTTTATTTTGAATAAAATTAATTGATTTTTAAAAAAGATAAATTTATTTGAATTATCATAAAAACTATTAGAAAACAAATTTATTGAATTGCATACATAAATAATTTTAAAGTATCAAATATTTTAGCAAATAAGTTAATTCAAATTTTGTATATTAAACAAAATAAATAAATAAATAAATAATTGTTTCCATTTTAGCTAGCTTATTTGTTTTATTAAAAAATTTAAAAAATTCTATTTTAAACTTGTAAAAAGTTAACAAGTCTTTAAATATAAATGAAATTATTATTTATAATTAGTATCAATTAAATTCTTAATATTATCCTTAATTAAAATATTAAAAATTTTGACTTGATTAATTAATAGGGTTTATTAAATATATTTGCAATATTCAATTAAAATTCATTGTTTTAAATTAAATTAATTTGTTGACTAATTTATCTTTTTTAATATTAATTTTTTTGATGAAAACTAAAGATACAAATATTTGATCGAACTTGATATTATTGAAACTGATATGAGGAATGAGCAAAACAAAAATGTTGATGTAAATGGAATTGTTCACTTTGAAAACTAACTTGTTGTTTTCATGAAGTCAATAGAGAATTCTGTAAGTTTACATTTAGAGTTTTGGAGAGAATTACTCGAAGAAAGTCCTGATATCGAAAAGCTTTAGATTGTGGGAAGTAGAATTACTAATACAATTGAAGATGCTAAGACCTGTTTTATTAGCTTGTGTTCTATTCGCTAAAACAATATTAGATCATTGCTCATCTATGGTAATTTTATAAAGGAAGTAAGAATATTTTTTATTTTTAGCAAAAAATATGAAATATTTATTTAATTTAAAAAGGTTGTTAATGACGAAATAGAAGCTTAAGTGTATCTAGAAAAAGCAGCTTACGTTAGCAAGAACACAGTTGTTAATAAATAATTTGCTGATAATGAAAATATGAAATATAACGAAAACTCCAATACTGGTATCCTAACTATGAGTGCAAATTTGGATACCAGATTCTTTGTTCAAAACACCAATTACGGTAAAATTAATTCATCAATCAATCTGATTTTTATATTTTTTCTTTGCATAAAAATTTAATTAAATTATTTACAATGAACTAAATTTAATTTTGATTCAACTATTCATTTTTATTTAGTCAATATAAAAAAAATTAATATAGAAAAGATTGAAAAAAAAAAAAATTGTTGCAACTTTTTAAAAACTGAATTAATTTATTTTTTTTTAATGGAACTAACTAACTGCCTTTATACAAAAAAAATAAGAGATTTATTTTAATGAATGAGTTCACATTAGTTAATTTAAACATTTTTCCTTAAAATTGTTTAATTAGATTAATAAAAAGAATAAATTTCTTCAGTTTTTTGAAAATTTAATTTATTATTTTCTTACAATCATAGGCAAAATAAATAAATTTTATTTCTCATTTTACATATTTGATTTAATTCTTTTTATATTCACTTACTCTTATCCTTCTTGCTGTTTAAAGATTTGACTTTTAAAATTTGATTCAGATTTAAATTCTTTAGTGGATAAAATTTATTTATATCAGAAAACACAAATAAATTTTTATTCAATAACAAATTGGTTTAATTAAATAAAATAGTTTAAACTTATTTTATTTAGTGAATTTTAAACTATTTTATTTAGTGAATAATTTAATTTTGTTAAAATTAATTAAATTAAATTGAAAGAATATAAATAATTTTTATAAAACCTTTATATTTGAAAAGATTTTACTAGAATTCTTGGATGGCCTAAACATGAAATTGTAGATTAAAATATAAAAAACCATATTATGCCTAAACTTATTTAATCTATTCATGATGGATTGGTTAGTCACTACATAGAATCTTCTATTCCTAGAGCTATAGGAATCGAAAGAATCATAACTCCAACAAATAAAGAAGGGTTCTTAGTACCTTCGATTCTTATGATTAAGATTTTACCTAATTTGGAAGAAGGTTTGCAATTTGTTGGATTTTTCAAAGAAAAAGATGAAATCTATTGCTCACCTTATGTAAGGACAGATAATGCTGATGATGAAGTTTTGCATTATTTAATATATAAGCTAGATAATAATCTCCAAAATCAGACTATTGTAGGAATTACTCATTCAGTGTATGAGAACTTTGGAATTCCTACTTCACTTATTAATAATAATAGTCCTATGAGCAATTAGTTTACTATCGATCTTATTATGCCATAGATTTTAGACCCCAAAGTATAAGAAGACATTCAAACTGAGCAAGGAGCTTAGATCACTATGGACACAACTATTATAGAGCAACTATTTTTAATTTCATAAGAGAGTGAGGAAGAAGAAGTTAAAATTAAAGAATTAAGAGATCCATTGAAGGACGATGAAGATGGAAAAGGAGATGAAAGCCTAGGAGAGTCTGATTATGAAAAACATTAACTAAACAAAAAGTATAAAAAATGTGAAATTAATCTATGGTTGGAAGAAGAATTTACTTACAAAGTAACTTATTTATTCATTCATTCATGTTTTTTTTATATTAATATTAATAATTTGTATGCTTAGGACACCACTATTCACATTCTGAAATTTGTTGAGTTATTAGGAGAGGGCACTTCAAGGAATGAAGAGGGACTTGATTAAAATGTCTTGTAGCAAACTTAAACAAAGCAAATCGAAATTGATTAGCAAGTTATTGATCAGAATAACATTCACAACGAGGAAGAATAAAATATTGAAAATAATTAAGAAAATGAAAATGAGGAAGCAGCAGGTCATTCGAGTATATCTCAAACATCGTAAGATTATGAAGAACTAAGATAATTGAAGGATATAAAGTAGGCTATTTCTGAAAAGACAAAACCAAAAACAATAAAAATATTACAAAGAACAGTCGTACTAATTGTTCTTTTCTTATTTATTCTAACTAGTGTAGATCTTGCTTATAAATTTAAAGAATACGACATGTTGTAAGAAGCGATGAATGCCATTTACTACTCTTATAACAGACATAGTATCATGGCAGATATCAATTATTCAACTAGAAAAATATGGTTCCTAAGCAAGTAATTTAGTTTATATTTTCAAATCTTAAAAAATTTTTTTAATTTTTATAGCTCTTACATACAAGCTCCTTCTTCTTCTACATAAAGTGCTTATGGTGCTTCTTTGCAATCAACAGTAACTAACCATTAAATTCATTGTTAAAAAAATCAATTTCTTTTTAAAATAAAAACAATCAAAAAATAAATAAATCAATCAATAAATCAATAAGTAAATTAATAAAATAAAAAATTAAGAAAATAATAAAAAATAAATAAAAAAGTAATTTAATAAATCAATAAAATCCATCCAGTTGTTTTAATTTATTTGAGTTTTTTAATTAATTTTTAAAGTTTAAAATACTTTTTAAAAATTTATTTAACTCATTAAATTTTTGATTAAAATAAATTAAAATAAGAAATTTATCTAAATTAAAAATTTAAAACCTTATTTTTTTTATTTTTCTTTCTTTTTTGAGGATTTTTTATAATTTGCTAAAAAAAAAATTTCTTGTTGTTAAATAAAATAATTTAATAAACTAGCTTGGAACTTAAGTTTAGAATTTGAATAATATCCAATTCAACACTTAGTAAGCTTAAATGAATATTGAATAGAGAAAAGGGAGCAGCATGGATTCCGTTGTTGTTAGCACAGAAGTAAATCATATTATTTAATTTAAATTTACTTATTTTATTAAAGTTAAAATAAGAAATAATTATTTATTTGAACAATGGCATTTTTAAAATTGCGTTTTTTATTTAAAATATAAAGAAACTTCTTCCAAATGGGTAAATAACGGAACAGTAAGCCAACTTTACAGATTCTTTGAATGTTTATATGGCATAAGCTGGTGGATTAGCTAATACTACTCTTTCAGATTTTTAAGATTCCCTTTCAACACCAACCTCAGTAACAACTACTAAGTCAAATTTCTTCTCTGTAAACTATAACGGGATATATCCTTTAAGAAATGGATCTGAGTATATTGCACAAACCTATTTTGATTTTTACTACAAATAGATCAATACTTATTAAAGCATTTTCTTGGCAATTATGATTTTAGCTATTATAATTCTTTCAACTTCTCAGTTTATTTTACTCCCAATAGTTTTTTCTGTTCAGAAAACGAATGCTATTGTGCTGAGCTTTTTTGCTATAGTACCAATGGAAGAGATAAATAAATTTGCTAAGCGTTGTGAGAAATTCCTCAAAGTTTTTATAGAAAGAAAACAAGATGTAGACACCGAAGAGAGCAATCGAGACAATAAATCTATGTTAGGAGGTCAGACTGAGGAATAAAAGCAAATAGAAGATGTTAATGGTGAAATAACAAAAATACCTGGAGTTTATATCATAGCAAATGAAAATAATAATTAAAATTAGTCAATATTAAACTACAATCAAAACCCAAACATGTCAATCCTAAACTAGACATAAAACCCAAATATGTCATTAAATTAAAGCTATAATTTATATAATCCCTAAGAGCAAGGTTTAATCAGTGCAGTTAATAATTAATAACTAAAAGTCGCCTAGGGTTAATCATCATTTAATCCTTCTTATGCAAACACATAACGAGTCTTAAATAATAACTAATTAGGTAATTCCGTTGTGCAAAAATAGGTTTTAGATAAATAAAAAGAAGAAGAAGATAAGAAAAACGAAGATGAAGAAAACCAAAGAATGAAGATTTTAAATGCAAAAGATCACAAAAAGTAAAAAATAATTTAGTTTTTTTTTTTTTCATTACAATTTTATCATTTTTTTAAATTGAAAAATAAATAAAATTTTTTATTCGAAATGCTTGATTATAAAAATAAAATTTATTCTTTAATGAATTTATTACAAAAATTAAAAAAATCAATGAACTAAATATTATTTTAATTTAACTAATTCAAGGAAATTTGTGATTCTATAGTTTACTTTATTGACAGCTATGCTGATGTTGTATTTTATATTAGTCTATGCTGTACTTGAGATTAACTTTTAATAAAATATTTAATCACTTTTATAACATACTCAATACACAAGATAGAGGCCTTCGTTGCTTAAGTACTACTTTGACTTCATTTAAGAAGGATTAGTAAACCTTTCTCCTATATTATCTGATCCTAAAGTACCGAGCTCTCAGAATTTATAAAACATGTACACAAATTTAATATAGAATAATGATAATGTGATAACTTCAAGCTTTAAAAACTCTTTCCCTTCCTAATTTTCAACTTATTATACCGACTTTGAAAACATAAATTATGGATCAGTGTGCTAATATACTAAATATACAGTCTCTTCTGATCAACAACTTAATTGCAAAAACATCCCTGCTCTTTAAAATGGTTTATCAAGAGTAGTTACACAAATCGGAGTAGATGGCAACTCTATACTAGCAAATACTTTGGCTTATGTAAAATTTATTATATATTTTTTCAGTAAAAAATTATTTGGTTTATTCATTAGACTTCTGGAGATAAAGTGGCATATTCTTCAGCTATTTTGTAAGGTGCTACATATCAAGAAATAGAAAACATGATGGTGTTTGTTTCTCCAACAATAGATCAGCTTAATAGCGAATTTTAGTAACAGTATCAATCATATTTAGACTTTAAAAACATGCTGGATAAGCTCTGCTACGCTTTGTTCATTGTATTTGTTTGCATAATTTTTGTTTTCATTTGGATACCTTACTTAGGAGCCTTAATCAAAAGAATATGGATGACTAAAGGCGTTTTAAATATGATTCCAATAGATATAATTTTAAAGCACGAAAGGCTTAGATAGGCTTTTACAGCAGGAGATATCCTCTCTGCTGTGAAATGAATGACTTAAAAATAAATTTAAAAATTTAATCGGAGTTAATTTAATTAATCAAATAATATAAATATTGTATATAAATAAACTTCAAAATGTATACTATAATAGTATAATTTATAATTAAATAAATAAATACATATAACTAAATATATTTTGTATTCTATCTAATCTTTTTTACTTCGCTTAATTTTTAACAAATAAATCAAATTAACTTAAACAAAATCTTTACTTTAAATTATTTCTAATTATAAATAAACTAAAAAATTAATTTATACCCTATCTAATTTATAATTTAAATGAATAAATAAAGATATTTAAATAGGTTTTATATTCTATCAAATCTTTTTTACTACACTTACTTTTCAACAAATAAATAAATAAAATCTATTTAATAAACAAAGTCTTTACTTAAAATTATTTCTAATTATAAATAAACTTTAAATTTATACTCTATCTAATTTATAATTTAAATGAATAAATAAAGATATTTAAATATGTTTTGTATTCTATCAAATCTTTTTTACTACACTTACTTTTCAACAAATAAATAAAAAAAATCTATTTAATAAATAAAGTCTTTACTTAAAATTATTTCTAATTCTAAATAAACTTTAAAATTTATACTCAATCTAATTTATAATTTAAATGAATAAATAAAGATATTTAAATATGTTTTATATTCTATCAAATCTTTTTTACTACACTTACTTTTCAACAAATAAATAAATAAAATCTATTTAATAAACAAAGTCTTTACTTAAAATTATTTCTAATTATAAATAAACTTTAAAATGAAAACTAGTATAATTTATAATTTAAATAAAGAAATACATATATTTAAATATATTTTATATTTTATTAAATTTTTTTTTCCCCTTACATTTAACAAATAAATAAACTTTAAAATGTGTACTAGTATAATTTATAATTTAAATGAATAAATAAATAGAAAAATTAAATATATTTTGTATTCTATCAAATCTTTTTTCTTCACTTACATTTAAGAAATTTTAAAAAAAATAAAGTAAATTTTAAAAAGTTTGCTTTAGATAATTACCAAACATTTATTTATCTCTTTTTATTAATAAACAAGTAAAAAAATAAATTATTTAAAATTATTTTTATACATTGATTTATTTGCTTTAGTTTTTTTTAACTGTTTGACTATTTAGTTTGGTATAAATTAAAATGCTAAATTTCTAATTAGATTTTCAAATGCAATGTTTTATATTTTATTTAAGACATATCTTACATACTTAAAATTTATACTGAAAAAGATTTAAGAATATTTGAGAAGCTTTTGAATCTGATTGGATATACTAAAGGAAAAAATAATTCACAAATAAATAGGAAAATAAATAACTAGCTTTATGAATGATTAAGATTGAAATTTATAAAAGAAAGCAGATAATAAGTAAATAACAGAGATACTATTAAATAGAAAAGTAACATTGACATAAAAAGTATAGCTAAGCGTAATAAAAGAATTTCAATTTGCAGATCAATTCAATACTCTAAGAAAGTTAGATAGATAGATAGATAGATAGATAGATAGATAGATAGATAGATAAATTCATAGATATTTAATCTTAGAAAAAGAATTTATTTAATTAGTTAATTAATTAATTAAAAGTTAAACAAATTAGTTAAGACTTACTTTTTAAAAAGATAAAAGAAAGAAAGATGATTAAGTATATTATTTTTGCTACTCTTCTTTTAAGTGTAGTATCTTGCAAGCCAAAATGGCACTAACTTTAAAATTACACTTTTGAATAGTACATAGTTGATTTCGAAAAGGAATACGAAGTCGATTCTGTAGAATACAATCAAAGAAAGTAGACCTTCGAAAAGAATTTGGTTGAAATCATTGCTTTTAATAATAAGGATCATTCATACAAAAAGGGTGTTAACAGAAACACTGACTTAACTACTAAGGAGTTCTAAGTTTAACTTGGTTTAAAGAAGTCAATGAAGAACAGAAAAAATCCTATTCAACGTTTGCTCGCTAAAAATAATACTGCTGCCAGCTTAACTGATTTACCTTAAAGTGTTGATTGGAGATAAAAGGGTGTTGTTTCACCTGTTAAGGACTAAGGTGGTTGTGGTTCATGCTGGGCTTTCGCTTCAGCTGCTGTTTTAGAAAGCGCTGCTGCTATTGCTGCTGGACCTGGCTAATTAAAAACTCTTTCTACTTAACAACTTGTTTCTTGCGTTCCTAATCCCAACTAGTGTGGTGGTACTGGTGGTTGCTCTGGAGCAGTTGCTGAATTAGCCTTCTCTTACACTACCTTATATGGTATTACTTCTGAATATAAATATAGTTATTAGTCCTACTTTGGTACAACTTACAGCTGCAAGTACGATCCTAAGACTTAAAGTGCTGAAGTTATTAACTAAGGTTATGCTAATGTTACTCCCAACGATTAAAATGCTCTCCTTGAAGCTGTTGCTACAGTTGGTCCTATTGCCATTTCTGTAGATGCTTCTAACTGGGCTAGCTACGAAGAAGGTGTTTTTGATGGTTGTGACTATTCTAAAAACGTTGACATCAATCATGCTGTCGTTTTAGTTGGTTATGGTACTGATCCTAAGTACGGTGATTACTGGTTAGTCAGAAACTCTTGGGGAACCGACTACGGTGAGGATGGTTACATTAGAGTCAAGAGAGAATCAGTTGCCTAATGTGCTATGGATACAACTCCTACTGATGGTTTTGGTTGTGCTGGTGATGAAGAACCTATTAAAGTTTGTGGTATGTGTGGTATTCTCTCTGACAGCGCTTATCCTCTTAAAGTCCAAGTTATTGGTTGAGTAGATAAATAAATAAAATTAAAAATAGTAATATGAATTAATGAATGAATGTACATGATTTATATTACCATATATATTTATTAAAAATAAATAAAATGTTAAATAAATAAATAAATTAATCTCTAAATAAAAAAATAAGTTTTTTGATTGTTAATAAAATTGTTATTTTTAATTTCATTAATAATTTATTGAATTATTTTGATTGAATAAAAACATTTAAATTTAATCAACAATTTCTTAATTTATTAAACATAATAGAAATTATACTCAACCAAAATTTAAAATATTTTAGTTTGTTTTTCCAGAATTAAGATATTAACTAACACCTATTTCTTAAGAAATATTAATTTTTTTCACCAAATTTTAACAATGATATAAAGTATTTTCAAAAATGGGGTCATTTCAGAGGAGTAATTTTAAAGGAATATGGTATGTTGAAAAATAATTTGAATAGTCATATCTAAACATTATTTAAACTTAAATATTATCATAATTAGGAAGGAAACTAAAGATTAAATAAAATAATTTGCATAAAAAATGAAGAAATAGTTTGATAAGTATTTTTATTTCCATAATTAATTAATTCCGTCCATCTTAAAAATGCTGTTTTAAAAAAACTCAAAGAAAAAATGATGTAAAGTTTAGTTGATCAAAATCTTAAAATTAAATCTCTCAAATAATTACTTAATTTTAGTAAAAATAATTAATATTATATCGGTTTTTAATAATTAAAATTCATTAGATCTACAAAAGATTTTTATCTATAATTTTTACTTCTCAATATTATTTATTTTTTTTTGATATAAGAACCAAAGTTTTGGTAGAGCTCTATTAAATAAGCACAGACATACACACACTTTAACAATTTAGAAAATTAAATATAAAATATTAGCCAAAATAATTTGTTTATATTGATTTTATATATCGTATGTTTTTTTAGGTTATTCTTTAATTTTGAATAAATTGTTTATTTTTTTGTAGACTAACAATAGATAGATTTTTTATTTTTCTATTTGTAATTAACAAGAATAGACAATAATTATTGGTATTTTATGATATTCTGTATTTTAAACAATCATAAATATTTGAATTTATTACTTCTATTCTTTTTCATGCTATTTATTTTTCAATTCAATTTAGAAATCTTGTTTTTTTATGCTTTATAACAAAAATATAAATAAATCATAATAAATTAAATTACTGAAAAATTTTAGTTTTTTTTTAGGTTTACACAAAGAATTTATAGCTGAACATAAAGATTGATAGATAGATCTATTTATATATTTAATCAATCATAATGGGGAAAAATAATAAGCAAAAAAAGTAAGCAAGTAATAAAGAAGAGGATTAAGACGAAGATATGTATATGCAATTGACAGAAATAAAATAAGATGACTCGCCAAATAACAAAAATAAATTGATTAGCAGCCAAAATTCTAAAAAAAGAAAATCTTCTTCTTCAGGAAAAAAAAATAAAAAGCATATTGATGATGATGAAGAGGAATTAGATGAAATAGACATGTTTGATGGCTAAGTAGAGTCTCAAAATAATTTTCCTAATTTAAAGAATATGAAAGGATTTATAGTTAAATAGTAATTTAGACCTTGCGAGGCACTTACTGGGTTTTAAACAAGAAATGTTTATGATGTTTTTCCTGCTGATTAAGAAGATGAAGAAATTGATAAATAAAGCATTCCAATTATGAGGTCACTTGAAGAAAGCAACTGTTTCGTTAGAAATTTATTATCAGGAAGATGCAGACCCTTTGAAATGTCTATTTCTACACATAATAGTTATGGAGATAGTGAATTTCAGGAACATGTGATATTAGTTCTCAATAGAGAATTTAAATGCACTTTTCTTTGTTGGTAAAGACCTACCATTGAGGTTTTTTAAGTTAAAAATGGAATTAATGAGTTATTGGGAAGAGTTGTTAACCCTTTTAACTTTTGTGATTTAGATATTTTAGTCTTTGATAGGTTTGATAAATAAATTTTTACTATAGAGGGTTCTTGCTGTTCATGCGGCTTTTTGTGTTAAAACTTTGGATGTAAACCATGCTAAGAATTAGAGTTCTTTGTAAAAGACAGTGAAGGAAACGATTTTACATAAATAAAAAAGAAGTAAATAGGATGCTATGTTGGATGTGTTAGTGATACTTCAAAATATTTTATTTCATTCCCTGAAGCAATAGATAACACTAAAAAAACTTTATTGCTAGCTGCTACTATTCTCTTAGACTACATATATTTCGAAGGCGGAAGCAAGATATGCTTAAATCTTTGAAGCATATTTTACTTAAATATTCCCTATAAAAACAATAAAAAGAGTTGTTAATTTAAAGATTCTACATAAATTAAGATAGTTAATTAATCAAAGTCTTTTTTTTAGAAAGAAAAACGAAGATTTAAAAAAATAAATTATTATATAAGATTCAAGTAAGATTATCTTGCTTAAATCAAAAATAAATAATAGTTAATTATGTTTATAAGTAAATGTTTTTTAGCACTAAATATTATCATTAGAATATTAAATTATTTTATTTATATTAATAAAAAAATATTTTTTTATTATTAATTTAATTACAAAATTATATGAAAATGATTCATTTTTCATCTTTCTTTAACAATTTAACAAAATTGCTAAGGATGGGTTGATAAAACAAATTTTATAACTTTTTCTGCATGAAAAATTGCTAGAAATTTTTTAATTTTCCCCAGTTTTTATTATTCTTTTTATATTTTACCAAAAATTTTCTTTATGTTTCCTTCAGCAGAATTCAATCAGCCATCATCAAATAGCCAGCATCCGACAGCCACCGAATCGGCAGAAAGCATAAATACTAGCCGACAGCCAGCATCAAATAGACAGCTGTAGGATGCTGACTGTTTGATGCTGGCCGTCAGCTAGTCTTTTCGCCATCTGCCGACTCGGGCAGCTGTCAGATGCTGGCTGTCAGCTAGTCTTTCTGCTTTCTGCTTTCTGCAGACTCGGCGACTTGGCTGTTTGATGCTGGCTATTTGATGATGGCTGTAGGCTAGTCTTTCTTCTTTCTGTTGACTCAGCGGCTGTCGGCTAGTCTTTCTGCCTTCTGCTGACTCGGCAGCTTTCAGTTGCTGGCTGTCAGCTAATCTTTCAGCTTTCTGCCGACTCCGCGGCTTGGCTGTTTGATGCTGGCTATTTGATGATGGCTGTTGGCTACTCTTTCTACTTTCTACCTACTCGGCGGCTATCTTATGCTGGCTATCGGATAGTATTTCTGCCTTCTGCTGACTAGGAGGCTTGGCTGTTTGATGATGGCTGTAGGCTAGTCTTCCTGCTTTCTGCCGAATCTGCGGCTGTTGGATTCTGGCTGTTTGATGGTGGCTGTCAGTTAGTCTTTCTGCCTTCTGCTGACTCGGCGGCTTGGCTGTTTGATGCTGGCAGCTAGTCTTTCTGCTTTCTGCCAACTCGGCGGCTGTCAGATGCTGGCTATTTGATGCTGGCAGCTAGTCTTTCTGCTTTCTGCGACTTGGAGGTTGTTTGATGCTGGCTATTTGATGATGGCAGCTAGTCTTTCTGCTTTCTACCGACTCGGCTGCTTGGCTGTTTGATGCTGGCAGCTAGTCTTTCTGCTTTCTGCCAACTCGGCAGCTGTCGGATGCTGGATATTTGATGCTGGTAGCTAGTCTTTCTGCTTTCTGCCGACTTGGAGGTTGTTTGATGCTGGCTATTTGATGATGGCAGCAGGTCTTTCTACCTTCTGCCAACTCGGCAGCTGTCAGATGCTGGCTATTTGATGCTGGTAGCTAGTCTTTCTGCTTTCTGCCGACTTGGAGGTTGTTTGATGCTGGCTATTTGATGATGGCAACTAGTCTTTCTGCTTTCTGCGACTTGGAGGTTGTTTGATGCTGGCTATTTGATGATGGCAGCTAGTCTTTCTGCCTTCTGCCAACTCGGCAGCTGTCAGATGCTGGCTATTTGATGATGGCAGCTAGTCTTTCTGCTTCTGCCAACTCGGCAGCTGTCAGATGCTGGCTATTTGATGATGGCAGCTAGTCTTTCAGCTTTCTGCCGACTCGGCTGCTTGGCTGTTTGATGCTGGCAGCTAGTCTTTCTGCTTTCTGCCAACTCGGCGGCTGTCAGATGCTGGATATTTGATGCTGGTAGCTAGTCTTTCTGCTTTCTGCCGACTTGGAGGTTGTTTGATGATGGCAGCTAGTCTTTCTACCTTCTGCCAACTCGGCAGCTGTCAGATCCTGGCTATTTGATGATGGCAGCTAGTCTTTCTGCTTTGTGCCGACTTGGAGGTTGTTTGATGCTGGCTATTTGATGATGGCAGCTAGTCTTTCTACCTTCTGCCAACTCGGCAGCTGTCAGATGCTGGCTATTTGATGCTGGTAGCTAGTTTTTCTGCTTTCTGCCGACTTGGAGGTTGTTTGATGCTGGCTATTTGATGATGGCAGCTAGTCTTTCTACCTTCTGCCAACTCGGCAGCTGTCAGATGCTGGCTATTTGATGCTGGTAGCTAGTCTTTCTGCTTTCTGCCGACTTGGAGGTTGTTTGATGCTGGCTATTTGATGATGGCAGCTAGTCTTTCTACCTTCTGCCAACTCGGCAGCTGTCGGATGCTAGCTATTTGATGCTGGCAGCTAGTCTTTCTGCTTTCTGCCGACTTGGAGGTTGTTTGATGCTGGCTATTTGATGCTGGCAGCTAGTCTTTCTGCTTTCTGCCGACTCGGCGGTTGTTTAATGCTGGCAGCTAGTCTTTCTGCTTTCTGCCAACTCGGCGGCTGTCAGATGCTGGCTATTTGATGCTGGCAACTAGTCTTTCTGCTTTCTGCGACTTGGAGGTTGTTTGATGCTGGCTATTTGATGATGGCAGCTAGTCTTTCTGCCTTCTGCCAACTCGGCAGCTGTCAGATGCTGGCTATTTGATGATGGCAGCTAGTCTTTCTGCTTTCTGCCAACTCGGCAGCTGTCGATGCTGGCTATTTGATGATGGCAGCTAGTCTTTCAGCTTTCTGCCGACTCGGCTGCTTGGCTGTTTGATGCTGGCAGCTAGTCTTTCTGCTTTCTGCCAACTCGGCGGCTGTCGGATGCTGGATATTTGATGCTGGTAGCTAGTCTTTCTGCTTTCTGCCGACTTGGAGGTTGTTTGATGCTGGCTACTTGATGATGGCAGCTAGTCTTTCTGCCTTCTGCCAACTCGGCAGCTGTCAGATGCTGGCTATTTGATGCTGGTAGCTAGTCTTTCTGCTTTCTGCGACTTGGAGGTTGTTTGATGCTGGCTATTTGATGATGGCAGCTAGTCTTTCTGCTTTCTGCCGACTTCGAGGTTGTTTGATGCTGGCTATTTGATGCTGGCAGCTAGTCTTTCAGCTTTCTGTCGACTCGGCAGCTGTTAGATGCTGGCTATTTGATGCTGGTAGCTAGTCTTTCTGCTTTCTGCCGACTCGGCGGTTGTTTAATGCTGGCAGCTAGTCTTTCTGCTTTCTGCCAACTCGGCGGCTGTCAGATGCTAGCTATTTGATGCTGGCAACTAGTCTTTCTGCTTTCTGCGACTTGGAGGTTGTTTGATGCTGGCTATTTGATGATGGCAGCTAGTCTTTCTGCTTTCTGCCGACTTCGAGGTTGTTTGATGCTGGCTATTTGATGCTGGCAGCTAGTCTTTCAGCTTTCTGTCGACTCGGCAGCTGTTAGATGCTGGCTATTTGATGCTGGTAGCTAGTCTTTCTGCTTTCTGCCGACTCGGCGGTTGTTTAATGCTGGCAGCTAGTCTTTCTGCTTTCTGCCAACTCGGCGGCTGTCAGATGCTAGCTATTTGATGCTGGCAACTAGTCTTTCTGCTTTCTGCGACTTGGAGGTTGTTTGATGCTGGCTATTTGATGATGGCTATAGGCTAGTCTTTCTGCTTTCTGACGACTCAGCTGCTGTCGGGTGCTGGCTGTTTCTTTCTGCTTTCCTTTACTAGGATTAAATGCTGACTTGGTTGTCGGATGCAGGCTGTCAGATTCTGGGTATTGGATGTTGGCTGAAGGCTTGTCTTTTTGCTTTCCTTCAGCGCTTGGCTATCTTTCTACTTTGCTTCAACAGGTCTCAATGCAGACTCAGCTATTTTTTCTGTTTTCCTTCTGGATTTAATCTCGGCTCGATATTTTCCTCATTCCGAATGATATCACATTCTTGATTAATTGATAAATAGAATACATCAGTTTCCTTTACTTTAAGATCTGAGATCATAATTATCAAATTTTTTTTATTAAAGGTTTGTCATCGATTGCTATTTCTAATAAATACCTCAACTTTAAAAATGTACGGGATTCGGGATAATTTAATAAAAATAATAACTACAAAAAGATTAATTAAGAAAAAAAAAAATTGAAAATAAATTTGAAATGAGTTCTCGCATTACTAGCAGAATCAATAAACTTTTGCACAACCCGCAAGTAGTTTTAAAAAAATTATTTTACAATATACAAGAACCTTCATCAAAAAATATCATAATTAAAAAAGGAAGAATTTGAAGATATATAAAATAATGATGGACGCAATGATTCTGATATTTCTATTGAAGAAAATCTAAAAACCTAAAAAAACTAATTTATATTTCTTGAAACACTCAATAATGAATCACGTTACGCAAACAATAATGCCGTGGGTTTGGTCAATTCTCTCGTCGAAAGATCACAACAAAAATAGTAGGTATCTTAAAGATATTAGATTATAGGATTCTACAAGGTAAAAAAAAGCAATATCAATGCGAAAGATATTTGTTTTTTTGTCATGCACAAAATCTTGAGAAGTATTGTCAAAAGTCTCAAAAATGTAAATAATTAAAATGATAATTAAATTGGAAATTAAAATAATAATTAGAAATCATAAGATAAAGATCATAAAGATTTGAACCATGAATTAATATGGTGTGACTTTATTGTTTGTTAAAGTGACAACTTGGCTGCTTGTATCATTGATTTCAGAAGTTGTATAACTGCCTTTAATAAGGATTTTTTTTCCGATATTCTTAGGATCTAAGAATACAAGTTCGCACCCTATTATCATCTCGCCTGCGCAAGGAGCTCATTAGACAATCTGAAAATGTTAGGAAGAAATACTTAAGTTGAGATTAAAAATTTGCAGGTATATAGTTTCTTCAAGGCGTATATGGGTGATATAAAAATCAAAACCCTGGGAGAATTTAAAAAATTTTTAACTGAGGCTTAAGAAACTAATAGAAAAATGTAACAAATCTTCGATTCATGGTCTGAAACTTAAAACTTTAACAAATAGTAGTAATATTTGAAGGAATTTTAAGACTTTTATATAAAAAAGTTTTATGGACTTGTAGATATATGCTCTGTCTTGAATGGCTTTGAGTAACATTGTATAGCGCATAAATGTAGGAAACAATAAAAATGTAAGCAGTAGATATAATAATTTCAGATTATTAACAACACATCTATTAGCTGTAAGGATAGATTATAAAAATGCCAGAATGTATAAGAAATTTGGATTTAATTGTACTTGCTAGATGTAGAATTTACATAGTGTGCTCTCTTGATGGTCTCTAAAATGAACAAATTCACATACTAAGAGTTGGATAAAGGATGGGAAAAATTTTTAAAAAGGCTAAACAATAACGAATAAAAAGTTTAAAAAATCTTCGATATCTTCTAGTCTACTTTTAAATTGGAAGAAGAGCAAAATGACTAAAGAACATAGGGTATGCTAATTTAAGAAGAGAATCATTAACCAGTAAAATGGGATGTAGATGAGTATATTATGGATGATAATACGTTGATGACTCCATATTAATTTGATAATAATTATGTCTTTATGTATGGGTATGATAATGAAGAAAATAATGGAAATTAATCACAGTATCAACATGACTATAGTGATGAAATAGAAGAAGAAACTAATAACAAGAATATGAAGAAGCTTCATATTAGTTTGACACCGAGTCATCAATAATATGAGTCAAGTAGCAGATCCTATATAAGTTATTAATGGTGATGGTGCTCCCACTAATAAAGCAACTACTGAATTCTTAAATAGATGAAAATGACTATGGATCCTTGGTAAATCCATAAAATTTAAAAATAATATTTGAGATTTTACAATTGTTGTAATAAAACAAGTATATAAAGTTAATTGTTAGGTTTAAATTAATTTATTCTGTAATTTGTATTAATATATATGCTTTTATATATTTATGTTTGCAATCATTATAAATTTTTAATGCTATGCAGAATTTAAAATCGGAGCATTTTAGGGCGGATAGGTTCGAAATCGAGACCTATCATGCCAAAATTTTCTTAGAAGGTAGATTAGAGTTTGACTAGACTTGAATAATACCCAAGTGATATGGAATAATAATGAGACTGTATAAATCTTAATAAATTTCCTTCCTATTACCTATTAATTAAATAATTCTAATTAATTTAGGTTTTTTAAATATGTGATTATTATTACATTTTTATTTCTTTTCTATTTATTTAATGAATAAATATTGCTAATCTATGTATTGAAATTCTGCTGACTGGATACATAATGTCAACTGAATTTCAATAAGTTTTTATTGAAAATTTAACTAGAAAAATAAAAAATAAATATATTATTTTATTCTAAACAAATAAATTTCTTCACTCACCATATATAAATAAAATAATTTCAATATTAATTAAATTTTATTCTTTTAACTCTTCTAATTAAAAATATATAAAAGAATCTAAAAGAATATAACATATTATCAAAATAATAATTGGCGAAATAAAAATTCGGCAAAAAAATAATTGGACATCTTATTTGCTTATAAATAATTTAGTTTAGTTTATTATCATTTTTTTATTATTATTTTCTTAAAATTTCTATTATAAAAAAACCTTTAATTTATTATAATAAATTTAAATATATTAAGAAGCAATCTTTTTAATAATAGAATAAATCTTCTTTAATCTATTTTAGCAATCTCATTTAATCAAATATTCTGTGAGATTGACAATACTTATCATACATACAATATATCTTTACATAAAACTAATCTCCATTCCTGTTCAAGGACAATAAAAGAAAAAAGATATTTATTAGAATTTCAACATTAAATTATTTAATTATTTATATTAATATGTATTACATAAAAGTAAATTAAAAAGTTTTTGATATAAAGATGAATCTTTAGACTCATATTAAAGAGTAAAATATAGAATTTTTAAAATATTATTTTTGAGTTTATTATTTACATTATTTATTTGTTTATTTCTTGTTAGATTCAAAATGAGATCAATTATTTATTTTACTTAATTCGTTTACTATGATTGCAGATATGATGCAAACTCCAAAAGTTCCTAAATTATAAAGTAATGATCTTAGTTTATTTTTTTCAAAGTTATTGATTGTGTCATTGGCCCATGAAGAAACTGTTGAAAGAGAACCCATCGAACCAAATTAGATCTAATAGCATACAGACTTCTCTATGCATGTGACTTACAATATGAAAGCAATAACAGTTCCAAACCAATTAGATAAAAGTGTACCAAGTTAAAAACAAGAAAATAAGTAATTGAGTTTAGTGCTCAAAATATATCTTGGTAAAGCACCAATAGGTCCGAAAAGTATTTCATATAAATAGTTTAAATCAAAATATGAAGAAAAAGCTATGCTAAAGCCTATAATTTCTATAGAGATAATAAATAAAATAACTGCTATTTCGTAATATCTATTTTTGTTAACTTAATTGTGGGAATCTACTTATTATTGAGGCATACTCATTATTTTTTCTCTTTTTCTTGAATAAAAAGCTATATCTGCAATTTTTCTTCCTATATATACAAAGATTAAAGGAAGAATTATCCCACAAATAATATCAACAGCTATATATTTATTTTCTTGTTTGTCTAAAATTCCTAATATCCAACTAGAAAATGTTGTCAAAGAACCACAAAAACCTACAGTTATTCCTAGATGCATTAAACTAAATGTTGATTTAAAATCTGGTGATTAAAATAAACCCATAACAAAAGATCCTACTGAGTTAGGTAGAAATTCTGAATTTTAAATAAATATTTCATGTTTACTTGTTAGGTTTGATAATAATAATCTAACGAGAACTCCTGGTAAACAAAAGGCAATAACAGTAATTACTTAAATTAATATATCTTTAACAATTTTATTGTTGCTATCTTTAACTATTTCTTCATTTTCTATTTTGAAATATGAGTAGAATTCAATAACAAAATCAATTAATTTATATTTTAATTCAAAATCTATTTAAATTTTTTTTGTGTTTTTAATACGAAGCAAAAAATTAAATAGATCTCTGATCAAAAAGCCATTTTTTGCTAATTTATCACTTAAAAATGATTATTTTAATTAAGAAAACATGAATTAACTTATTATCAAAGAAATTCAGCTAAATTGTGATAAAATTACGCTGGAAAATAGCATGTTAACCTTTAAATTTAGCTAAAAACTATACATTTTTGATTGAATAGATTATATATCGAATAAACCATTTTTTTAAAAATTGAATCTAAGATTCTTAAATTTATAATAAAAAATTACTTGGATCAATGGGCTTTTACTAAATTTCAATCATAACAAAGAAGATATCTTATTTTTATTATTAAAATTGTTTTATATTTTCTAAAAGTGGCTTATTTTTAACTTTTGAATAAGATTGCTATTTATTTTAATTACTTTTTTATATTAAATACTTAGAAGTAAAAACTTGTTTATATTTGTATCTAAAAAAGTCAAATAATTTAATTGAGTGCTTTTATATCCTGAAATTGAAATATCTATAACATTAAAATAAATAAGATTAAAATTAGTATGTTATTGATAATACTTTAGTTCTATTAATATTAATAACTAATGCAAGTTACTAGCTTAGTTAGTGTTTTCAGAATAGTAAAATAAATTGCATTTAAGTGATTTTAAATTAATATCTTTGAAAATATTAACTCTACTTCTCTTAAATAGTATTAATCAATTAACTATATCTTTATCTATTTAAAGCTAATATGTAATTTAAAGCATTCATTATTGTTTTTTAATAGATTATAGAATGATATTGATTTGATGAGTAAAAATAACAAAGATTAAGAACTATAAAAACTTATTTTTCAGTAGAACATATTTCATTTTATTTATTAAAAATAATCAAAATTTTAAGCAGGGATTTAAATCAAAATATTTGATTTTAAAACCAAAAAATTTGATTTATTGAAATATTTTTAATAAGCTTTATGTAGATATTTTATTTATTTATAACCCTCTAGTTTAAACTATCAATTTGAGGATTGTTTTTAAATTTTTATATCCTATATTCAAAAAATTTAGTTAAAATTGCATAAGAATTAGTGTGTAAAAAAGTTTGCTTAGTCATAAACACTAGAATATCTGTTAGATAAAATGAGGAAAAATAAAAAATTTGTTTTATTTAATCTTATAAAATTTTTGTAAATTCAATATATTAATTAATGAAATTGAAAGCAAGAATATTGAATTATGATCAAATTAGTGATTCTATAATAGAGTTTTGCATTTCTGGTTTATTTTTATGAGATAATTCATCATATTTAGTTTTGATAATTATTTTTATTAGAAAATTATTTGGCAATAAAAACAGAATAATGAGTCTGAATGTCTTTGAGGATTATTCTGATAGGAAAATAAATAATAAATTTTTATGATAAAATATAAATATCATTTGAATAAGTAAAAGGTGATCTATCTATAATATTGCAAAATATTTCTACATATAACCTAATTTAAAAAATCTTGTTATTAATTATCTACTCATAATAATATTATTTATGTTTAAAAATAATATGATTATTAATGAAACAATCCATAATTTCAGCCGTTGACCTTTCAAATGATTTTCAAAATCGAATAATTTTTTTGATTAAATAACCTCTACCAAGAAATATAAATTGATAGTAAAATATTGCTGGGCAATTAAACCCTTCTAAAAACTTATATTATATGAGCAACCCCTGATTAATGAGTTAATTAATAAACTAACTTAACGAGATATATATTTTAATTATTGATAATTAAATTTTAAAATATATCCTTTAGCTACTTTAAGAAAAATAATTTTAAGTTTTAATATTGTCAAAAAATCAACTATATTTAATTCAAAATTTAGTTAATCAATCTATTATATTAGAAAGTATTTAGGTCTATTATCTATTATATTAGCAAATTACATGAATTTTGGAAAGATTTTTATTAAATAGATATTAATTTAATACATTTAGTTAAGAAAATTTAATCTATGTAACTAATCGAGTATTTTAATTTTATTATCTTCACCAATAACCTATTTATTTTATAATAAATTTTCTATTTAAGCAATTAAAATTAATTGCATATTATCTATTTATTAAGGTTAAATTAACTCATAAAAGAAATTTTAAATTATTCATTAATTCCATTTTATGTATATAAATATGAATAATAATTTTTAGAAGACTTTCCACATATTTATTTATTTATTTATTTACTTTAACTTCGTACTAGTTTTTATAATTTGAAGTTTTTTTTTGAATTTAAAAAGAAATGAAGATAAATTTCACAAATATTAATCTCTTTTAATTAATTTGTTTTTTTAAATATTACCAACATTCCATTCTTACTTTTTAAAAATAAAAAAAATACATTTTTTTTCTATCTTTAATTAATTTAGAATTTTTATTTAAAAAGAAGTAAAATTGAATTAAATCAAATTTTCATTCGAAATATTTAGTTACTTACTTATCTTTATTACATACATTTTTTAATTGATTAGAAATATCTAATTTATTCTTTGATACAATATCTAATTATAGTTCTTCTTCTTATAATTTAAATGAATACACTATTAATAAAAATTATGAAATTTTTTAGATAATCCTATGAAAATCATACAATAATTAAAGATAACTTTCAGTAAACTATTCTGTTTGATTTTTATTTTTCTCTCAAGAATTTGTTTTTTGTGATAGTAATTAATTTATTATATGTTGTTTGTTTATTTATTAATTTTCGTGTTAAATAAATTGAGTTTTTCAATAGCTAAAAGCTTTCATTTCATTCATTCATGAAATCTTTAATGGAGTGAGATATTTAATATGAAAGAATTATTTGGGAAGAAAAAGAATACTTTGTATAAGAAAATTAATTTCACAATAAAAGAAATTGCTTAAAGCATTACTTTAGGCTTAAACACTAATTTTGTCTTTTCAGAATACTCCGATACAACAAAAGTAAGTTAGGAAGAACTAAATAAGATATCTTAATTTACTAGGAAATATTATGATTAAATGATTCGCTATAAATATCTATATAATTTAAATCTGATTCGCATCGATATTTTTTATAAATTTATTAATTAATTATTTTTAGAATTAACAAAAAAGAAAATTAAGTTTAAGGAAATATGAGTCCTTGTATTAAATAAATTTTCTTACTCTGTGCTCTTTTCTGTTTGGTTTTATGTGCTCCCAAATGGAATTAACTAAATAATTATACCTTTGATTAGTATATAACTGATTTCAATAAGGGTTACACTCCTAACTCTCCTGAATACCATATGAGAAAGACTATCTTTAATAAGAAGCTCCAAGCTATCATTTCATTCAACAGCTTATAAGGCACCTACTATAAGAAAGGTGTTAATTAGTTTACTGATCAAAGTGAGCAAGAATTAGAAAACTAAACACTTGGTTATGTCTCTTCTGGATAAAAATCACCCTTCTCATCCTCAAGTAGATTGTTGTCATCCACCCTTTCAAATGTAACTCTTTAAGAGTTGCCTGCTTCAGTTGATTGGAGAGAAAAGAATGTTGTTACTCCTGTCAAAGATTAAGGAAAATGCGGATCTTGCTGGGCTTTTGCCTCAGCTGCTACTATTGAAAGTCATGCTGCTATTGCTAGTGGTAAGCTAAAGACTCTTTCTACTCAATAGCTAGTAAGTTGTGCCCAAAATAGCTACAATTGTGGAGGTGTTGGAGGTTGTCATGGTTCTATTGCTGAATTGGCTTTTAGTTATGTCTAGTTATTTGGTATTACCTCTGATTATAAATACTCATATTCTTCATATTAGGGAGTCGAAGAAGGTAGCTGCAGCTTTAATCCCGATAAATAATCAGTTGAAGTTATGCTTGATGGCTACTTGAAGTTGACTACTAATAGCTATGAAGATATTATGGTTGCATTAGCTACTGTTGGTCCTTTGGCTGTTGCAGTTGATGCTTCTAAATGGCATGATTATGAAGGTGGTGTATTCGATGGTTGCGACTACACAGCCAACATGAATGTCAATCATGCTGTCGTCTTGGTAGGCTACGGAACAGATGAAGTCGAAGGTGATTACTGGCTCGTTAGAAATTCTTGGGGTACCAAATTCGGAGAAAATGGCTACATCAGATTAAGAAGAGAGTCTCAAACAAAGTGCGGTGTCGACTATACTCCTTTGAAAGGACAAGCATGCAAAGGCCAAGAAGCCCCAACTAGAGTTTGCGGTTAATGCGCTATCTTATACGATGCTTCCTACCCCTTAAACGTCAGAGTTGTTGGATGAAATAAATCTAACAAATAAAAAATAAACAAATATATTAGTAGAAAATTTATGTATTTATATAGATATTTTTGAATACTGTAATCTTTTTATTAGTTTTTAAGTAGTTTCTATCTGCCTTTGGTTACATTCATTCTTTTTTTAATTTTTTTACTCAGTCTTTGTAGATTTTTTCACACATAAATAATATAAATTTAATTGAATTAATTAATGACGTTCTTTGAAAAGAATTTTCTCATAGACAATTAAATATTATTCATATTTAAATACAAAGTTTTTTTAGAAATGAAAATTGCTTGCTTTCTTTTAGTAGAGTTAGTCGTTTGTTTAATTTGTGAGTAAAGTAAAAATCAGTTTTTAGTTAATTTATTTTATAATCAAAGCTAAAAAAACTTTAAAGTGTTGATAATTATATCAAAATAAAAAAAATAAAAAGTATTTATTTTAAATCAGTAAGTTTCAAGGTAAAATATTTTTATTTTGCATTTTTGCATTTGGCCGCTTGTTAATTTTACAAATATCTTAATAAAAGGTAGAAAATCCAAAATAATGATTAAGTATTCTTTATTTGCTATATTTTAGAAGTAATAAACATTATTTTAAGATTACAAGTAGAAAATAGCAGGGAGATAGACCTTTCACCTGATCAATTTTCAAATATTTTAGCATAGCGATAAAACTTAGAATACCCAAAGCTTTCAATTTATGAAGAAAAATAAGAGCATTCTCTCATTTCTTCTTTCTAGATTATAATAAAATAGTATGAAAAAATAAGAAAATTGTTTATGAAAAATATTTTATTTTAGAAATAACTAAATAGATAGCCAATTTTGTTAAAGCATAGCTAATATTTTGATTTTAAATAAAAATCTTACTAACATTTAATTCATTATTGAGGGGTAATAGTAATCTAATGAATTCACAAGATTTAATAATCTATTAAACAAATAATAGTTCAAATAAATTAGATGAAGAGTGCTCCTTTTATTTGGGAGAAGCCATTAAAGAATGCTAGAATATTTAGCACTTAACTTTTAAAATTGAAGAGTAACTATTTTATAGATTCATTATTAAAATAGCAGCTATTTTCATTTATTTTTTTATAATAAAGTTAAAATAATATGAATCAGATTTTGGCTTACATTTTGTAAGGAATTAGCTTTTGCAAGAAAATAAAAGAATTTAGATTTCATGTAGGAGAATAACAAATGTATTTATTAATTAGATTTATACTTTTCATATTAAAATTATAAGTTATAATTCAGTGGAGAAGAGTTTGGTGTTGATGGTTCGAGAATGCTTGGTTTTGTCTTAAATGAGCTTAAGCAATTAGAGAAGCTGCATATTACTTTAGGAAAGTATGCAAAAAAAAATTAATTTAAATAATATTTATGAATCTTCCATAGTAATAATTTGATAGATGCAGAGTCAGTTGAGTTAATTTGCCAAGGAATTAAAGATTAATCTCTCCTTTAAGAGTTCTCGTTTGTATTTGGAGAGTATTTTCTTATCATTTAATTTATAATCAAAATTATCACAAAGTTTTATCATATTTGATTTTGTATGGGAATTTTACCTCATGCTTTGACCAACTATCAATATTTTTTATTTTTACATTTTATAGCTTTAATGGATTAGGAGTTTAAGGTTTAGATCAAATATCTTAAATGGTTGCTAGCAATTAAGGGCTTAAATTTCTAAGTTTAAAATTTGGAAAGTAATTTATGTCTTTTTTAGATGGTTGCAAAAAATTATATTTTTCAAAGACAAAATTAAGTAAGCGACTAAGGATTAAGATTGCTTGAAAGAGGGTTTTAAAATTGCCATTTTTTAGAATATTTTTCACTTTAAATATAGCAGTAATATTTAAATTGTAATTTACATAAAATAATCAAACAATTTTAAAGAGACAACTAAATAGGAGAAAATGGACTCAAAAGTATTGGAGGTTTATTGCATAATTTACCTAAATTAGTTTAGTTAGATATATATTTAGGAAAGTAAATTTACATACACATCGCTGCTTAAATACAATTTATTAAATTTATAAAAAATTAGATAGTGTTGTACTAACTCTAAGGGGTTTTAGCATTTATTCAGCTCAATTAAATCTTGTTAAAATCTCAAAAACCTAAAAATTTTCATTGGAGAGTATTTTAAATTGTTCAAAGCATCTATCTATCTTATTTATTATTTAATTGAATTTAATAGAGGAAATAATTTTGGAGAAATGGAATCTCTTGGATTTGAATAAGGAATCTAAGAATTACTATATATAGAAGAATTGAGTATTTTAGTTGGAGAGTAAGGTTTTTAATTTGAAAAATTAATGAAAATGTTAATTTTAATTAATAGTAATAACAACCTAAAAAGTACAGGCACAAAAAATATAGCTAACTCGATAAGAAAATATCAAAATCTAAAAACACTGACAATAAATATTCTTTAGTAAGTTAAACTTAATAAAATCATTTTTTAAATCAATATTTATTTATTATTGAAAAATAGTAATGAAATAGGGAAATTAGGAGCTTAGGAATTAGCTTGTTCCTTGCAAAATTTTAATTCACTGATTTAATTGAATTTACTTCTAGGCAAGTAAGGAATTTATTTTTAAAATATTATATTAATTTTTCTTGATATTAATTTTGAAGCTGTAACTTCATAGAATCTGAAGGAGCTGAGAGTTTATCATAAGCCATTTAGAAATTAAAGAATTTAAGATATTTAGATATTCACTTAGGAAAGTAAAATTTTTAGATATTAAATAAGAGTAATCAAATTAATAATTATTTAGTGGGAACAAAATAGGTAATCAAGGTATTATTGAAATATCGAAATCTCTTTCTCAGCTGAAAACGCTTGTCTATCTAGGACTATCATTTGGATCGTAAATATCTTTCAAATATTAAATGTTTCAATCCTCTCATTCTTAATAGAAATAAGTTAAATAGAGAATCACTTAAATGCCTTTAAAAATGTATTCTTACTTTATCAAATTTGAATGCGTTTAGATTCAATATCTATAAGTAAATAATTAGAAAATTTAACTAAAATAAAATATTTAATCAATCAATCAATCAATTAAATATTAAAAAGGAACGAAAAAATTCAGTCTTAGGATATTAGCTAATTCCTTAAGTAATTCATGAAATTGAGAAAATTAGTAAATATATTAACTTAATGATTTTTTTTAGTTAGAATAAACATCATCTTAACTTTGGAATATATATATTTATGTATGTAAAAAAAATATATATTACATTCAAAATATAAATACTTGTCATAAATTATAATTTATTGTTACAAAAAAAAAGCATATTTTGTTTAAATTTTACAATTTTAAGGAGCTATTTTTAAAAGGTCAACTAAAATATCTTCAAATTAATAATTTACTTTTATAATTATGAGCTCATTTTTAGAATTTATACATTCTTCATTTTATAAAATTCCACAGAGACATAATTATTAGATAATATTGAGCTATTTCATTAATTTTGGATAAGATATAAGACTAGTCTCAGGTATTATGTATCTATATTGCATTAAAATAAATAAAAAATGAAAACTTAATTATTTTTATGCGTTAACAAACATATTCTTTAATATTTGTGAGCTATGTCTTAAATCTTGAATTTGAGATAGACACCTATTTCTAAAAAGAATTATAGGTAATTAATTCATTATTAGCTCTACTTTTAATTTCAAAAAATTTATTAATAATAATTATTTAGAAACCCATAATAATTATTTTTTAATTTAGCTATATAAATAAGAAGGCTTTTCCAAACGAAAGACTTTACTTACCTGGCTGGAGTTTGCTATCGATCATGAAGGGTAGCGGCTTAGGGTGGAGCAGGTCATTGCACAAAAGATGTCTGTAATACCTTATTGTTCCCCGTGCGGGGAACCGAAACAGCACAATTTCTGCTAGGGGAGACGTGCACTTAGTGCTGTCTCCGCTCACACACCCCTTAATTAATCAAACAAAAACAAATTCTTTTCTTCTTTCAATATATTTTATAAATTTAAATAAATAAACAAAAATACTTTAAAAACTTAACAAAACAAAACCTTAAAAAAATTAAATTAAACATAAAATAAGAAGAAAAGTAAATATGAATTATTTATTTATTTACAAAATACTGAAAAAAACTTGATTTTAAAAGTTTTAAAAACTAAAAAAATGTTAGAACTATTTAAATATAATTCTGTATTAGTAAATTGTATTCAATTTTTGATAAGTATTATCATTTACTATTTACATATTAAAAGTAAGTATTCATTTAATTTTAATTTCTAAATTGTTTATAAAAAGTTTTTATCATCAAAGTATTGTATTTCTAAACGAAAATAAAAGCCAAGCTAATTAATATTAACAGTAAATGTTATTTATATTTAAATTATTTATTTTAGATTTTGATATTTAAATAATCATTCAGATTTAACATTTAAAGACAAACCTTTAATCTATGAAATTAGGTTTTTAATAAATGAAATTCTTAAATAAAAAAGTGTATTGAAGTAAGATTTTGCTCATAAAAATTCTTATCATCAGTTATTTTTAAGAATAATAAATTATATTTGAAACTCTTAAGGTTAATAGTTGCATGCTAGCTGTTAACCATTTATAAATGCTTAGTCTTCAGTTGGTTAAATGTAAATAATTTTTTAGTTTACTACTCTTTCAATTCCATATTATATTTAAAAGAATAATATCATTATCAGTTTAGCCAATTCAAAATGGGAAAGAAAAACTATCATTTACATATATTATAATAGAGAAGGGGAATTATAGCCCAACCAATACCATTTTAATGCGTAAAAATCAAATTTTAAAGAATTCTTGGTAAACATTTATGCCTTCAACTTAAAACTTTTTTTACTTATAATTATTCTACATATATATATAAATGTATAATTTTTAAAATAGCATATATCCCAAATAATTTGAAATATTTGTGATTACATATTATATTTTATCAGATAATTACTTGTTCAGTATTCTTAATCAAAATTTAATAGTTACTTAAGCTTTCCACATTTAAATTATACATATTTTCAAATAAAGTGTTTCTTATGCCTCTAATTTTTTGGCTTTCTACATAAAAGTTTGTATCATCTTACTTACTGCCTAAAAACAGAACAAATACAATTTAAAAATATTATTATATTAAAAACTCTAATAATTTTTTATTTTATTTTAAAATTTAGAAAATAATATTTCAATATTATCCTTTAAATATTAACCATTTTTAAAATGGATAAATTAGAAAATTAATTTAAATAAAACTAAAATTAGCCAAAAAAACAGATTTTTCTCATCTTTGAATTGAATAATAAATATATCAAAATAAAATTAATTTATTAAGAATAATAAAAGCTATTTTAGCTTGAATATAGGTGGGTTTATTTTTCTTTTAAAATTTTGATCTAAAAGAATTAAATAAGATAAAATTGAAATTATTAGTAGATTGATGAGTCCTTTTATTTATTTAATTATCAATGATAAAAGAATTTGGGTTTGTGACAAAATTTTAAATAAAATATAAATTAATCATTTAATTTTATTAGAAAAAATCTGTAATTAAATAATTTACTGATTGGATTTCCTTTTTACAAATTAAAGCAGAATTTTTAAAAACAACAACTCAATCAATTTTTTCTTTATTATTTATTATCAATTGTAGGTTTTAAATGAAAAATATTTATATATTTTCTTAGAAACGAAATATGAATGGTTTAATCAGTTATTTTATTATATTTTTATTTATATTATGGATATGCGCAATGCATTTTCCTCATTTATTACCTTCATATTCTTCTGTTTTAAGTATAATAATCATAATAATAATAATATAAAGTAATGTATATTTAATCAGTATATTAGATTAGGGAACATAAAAATGTAGTAATAATATTCTGAAATAAATAAAAATAAATGAAATTTGAGTTTTTTTATTAAAAAAAATTTAATATTTGAAATAAATTGTTTTAGTAATTAGTTTTATATTAAAAACGAAATAATTCTTACACCCAATAATTAAGACTTAAAAAATAAAAAGTTATTCTTGCTATTTGATTTCATTTTGGTTAATTGATATTTAATTTTTTAGATTGTAATTTATATCATAACTTTTTCATACAAATTTCGTTTAGTTTCCTTTATTATTAATTTATTCACTGATTGATTTTTAATACTTTTAAATTTCATCAGTTAGTAATTAAATATTATTGATAGTGACAAAATAAACAAATAAACAGTATAAAAACAAACAAACAAATCACAATATAAATAAATAAAATTTTTTTAAGTTAAAAATGAAATAATTATTTAAACCCCAATAATTGAGACTATAACAATAAAAAGTTATCCTTGCTTTTTGATTTCCTTTTGATTTATAGATATTAAATATTTTAGATTATAATTTAAATTATAACGCTTTCATACAAAATTCGTACAATTTTCTTTATTTTTAATTTATTAGATGATTGGTTTTTAATACTTTCAAATTTCATTAGTTAGTAATTAAATATTATTGATATAGATAAAACAAGAAAATAAGCAGTAGAAAAAATAAGCAAAAAAATAAAAAAATATATAAATATAATAATTTTTAAGTTAAAAATAAAGTAATTATATACACCCATTAATAATTAAGACTTAAAAAATAAATAGTTATCCATACTCTTTGATTTCATTTTTGTTAATAGATATTTAAATTTTAGATGATATAATTTAAATCTTAAAATCAGGTTTTTTCCTACATAATTAGTTCAATTTAAACTACATCATTTAGTGAAAGTTTTTTAAATAAATTAATTAAAATTGATAGTGACATAACAAACATACAAACAAGGGAAAAAAATACAAATAAACAATTTATCAAATAAATAGTAAAACAAAAAATCAAACAAGCTAGTATACAATCAAGCAAACTAGTTCATAAATTGTAAAAAAGCAAACAAAAAAACTTCCATAAATAGTAAAAAATAAACAAACTAACTAACTCATAAGAGGTTACAAAAACAAACAAACAAATTAGTTAGCTAATAAACAATAAATATTCAACAAAAATCAAGCAAAAAAACAAATAAACAAACAAACAAACTAGCTTATAAATAGTAAAAAATAAACAAATAATAAAGCAAGCAAGTAAACAAACTAGTTAATAAACAGTAAAAAAAACAAACAAAAATCAAGTAAGCAAGCAAACAGGCTAGCTCATAAGCGGTACAAAAAACAAACAAACAAACAAGTTAGCTAATAAACAATAAACAAATAAACAAATAAACAAACTAGCTAATAAACAGTAAAAAAACAAACAATACATCAATTAAGCAAACAAACAAACAAACAAGATAGCTTGCTAATAAACAGTAAAATAAGAAACTAACAAACAAAAAACACAAAAAAAAAGTGTAATACAAAATTAAATATGAAAATAGATTATTGTATAATTATATTTTCTGTTGTAGTTTCAAAGTTGTTGTGCTAGTAGTGCTTGAATGGGGAAATTTATAATATATTGACTTAATAGTGCTTGAAATGTTCTAGCAGCTGCTAACAATGCTTTAATACTAATGAAGACAACTGTATAAAATGCCAAACTGACACCTTTAGTAGCATATAAAATAACTTTTAATGTACTTAAACTTGTCTATAAGGCTAAATAAATACACAAAACTAATAATGTGTTTAATGCTTAGTTGAAGGATGCATCTAATGTGATGCTAGCTAAAATTGCTTAAAATGTGAAGATAATTTATAACTTAATTAAGAAAATAATAAGTGCTTTATATAATAAAACTTTTGTGAGTCAAGTGTTGAATTTATTGAGTCCCCTTTTTCAAAAAATCAATGCTCAAAAATCTGCTCCTCTTTCACTTATTAAAATTTTGAAACTCATCAATGCGAATAAACACAACAGTGCCCATATTTTGAAAGTAGTATTAATAATTTCAATTAAAGAATAGTGTAAGTTAACTTATTTTTAGGTAATTAATACTTTATTAGAGGTAATTAATGCTAATTCGCACTGGCTAACTAAAATTTTGAGATAATCAATTCAAATATACTATAAAATTTAAATAATTTTGAAGAATTATACATGTAATATGGGGTAGAATTTAATTAAAAAAGCTTTATTGTAGGGAATTATGGTGGATGCTTAGCAAGTAAAAGCTTAGTTATTGCGAATTTCGCTACATCCTAAACTGTTTATTCAGAGACAGGGTTTTAGGATGATCTTAATGTAGGATATATTGATATTGATAACTAAATTGTATTTTTAACAAGCTATAGTTAAAACCAAATAATAGTTTTTGATGGAATAAGTTCATAAGTAAGTAAGTTGCCAATAAATTAATCTCCACCATAAATACTATTTTAAATTCAAAATAAATAAAATGTGACTTATTACGCTATGGATACTTAATTGAAGGTAATAATAGAATTATTTTTTTTAAAATGTATTTTAAATAAATTTTGTTAAAAATAAATAATAGGAAATATTGGTAAATAGAGATAGATCCTTAATAATAAAAAATAGTACTATAAATTTCGATTTATCATCTACTATTGTCTATTCAATATAAAAAAATGATTTTTTAATAACTATTTCTAGGGATGTATATAGTCGCTAATTTATTATTCAAAAAGTAGTTTTTGAAAATAATTAAATATCATTTTATTAAATTAAGCAAGCTCCTCTTTACAATTATAAAGAATTTTATAGCTTGAATTTAAATTCGATCATTGAATACAACTAAATAGATTACAGCATAAACATTTCAATTTTAGACGCAAGTTCAGAATAAATTATTAATCAGTTCAACATAACTTCTTCGCAGTAATTAAATTAGATTAATATCTTTGAAAACTAGTGGGATAATAGCACATTTATTTTTTACATTTAAAATAAACTACTACAATTCATTAATATGACAGATTATTTAAGGATAATAATATAGGATGGATAATCATAAATCAAAATCGAGTAATTAGTAAAAACAGTAAACACTCCTTTTATTACTGAGTTATCAACTTTGACAACTGTAATATTTTACAAGAAAAATATTTTAGACATATTCATGTCTCAAATTTTATAAACTAAAACCTATAATTATGAATAGATTAGAGTGCAATACAATCTATCAGATAATACTTTTTAAATAAAGTATTTTTTTAATAATTAATACAAAAAATTATACTATGTAGATAATTTTATGGTTAATTAAAACTAATTAATGATTAGCATTGATAATAGTCAATAAAATAATTAATTTTATATATTTGATGGTAACCAAGTCTATGATTAGTAATCTTTAAGATTTTCTAAACTTCAATTTTACTTGCAAAGTTTATAAAAAATGCCAAGACTTAACACTAGATAAATTTAATATTAAGTCTAATAAGATTTCTAAAGTTATGACAACCTTTAATTAGTAAGCAATCAATATTTTATTTTAAGTAAAATAATAGATTCAACTGTTTACGAATACGTTTTCAGCATATCTAACAAATAATTACTTGCTAAATATACTTATGACTACTTTTATTTATTTAGTTCAAACTACTATATCTAAAAGTGGGACATGCTTTTAGTCTAAAATATTCCTCAAATTTATAATCTGAAAACACAATAAACATTCATAAATAATCCAGAAAATTATTATTTTTCTTTAGAAAGTTTTATTATTATAAACGAGGACTAAATAATCTATTTAACTACAAACGATCAATATGTAAATGTGCTATACATGGTAGACTTTTAATTAAACTAAATCTAGAGTATATTTACATTTGATTAAAATTAAAACCCAAGCTTTTGGTTAATTTATGGATCTGTTTATCCTTATCCATTAATTGCATAAAGCGATATTATTTATATTTATTCTTCCAGGACTATCTGCTAACCATTCTCTATTAAGAATTAATAATTTATTTATTAACCAGCAAATTTAAAGGATTCATTTTAACAATATCCTTCTATAAATTATTAACTAACTGGAGAAATATTTATATTTTATGAGTAGCTGATATATGTATATTCTCTTGATTTATAAGAAAGCGCTCTTCTTAATATAGGACTCACCTATCCAAGTCCTTAGAATGGTTACTAACCATTAATTTTTAACCAACAATTTGTGTTTTACTATGACCAAAATTACTTTTACGCGTTTGATATGTAAAAAAAATAATATACTCAAATAACGGCGACTACTAGCTTTACTCTTTACTAAAATGGTTATATTGACTTTTATGCAATAGACAATTAAAATTAGTATATAAAAAAATCTGAAAGTATTTTAGATGTAAGTAATTAGATAACCATTAAGAATAAACTAGAAAATAGTAATTATTTGGGAAATATTTCTACTGATGACAACACATTAATTCACTTTTTTTAATCTCAAAATGGAATATTTTGGTATCTAAATTTATTTAATTATCCATTTAATATTTACAACATAACATAAAGTCAAATAATATAAGATATTTAACTATAACAAAACAGAATAGCAATTTATGATAATTCAACTAAAATGTTAATATTAATAAATACAGTTAAAATTAATGGAATAAGAAGCTTTAAATTTGACTAAAAATTTGAATTTTAACTTTTTATGTTAAACTGGGAATCTCTTTCTTTTGCTTTTATAAGTAATAACACTATTTATTAATTTAATGAATTAGATAGTCAATAAATTTAAACTATTTCTCAGATATAATCTAACATAATAATGTATGAATACTGTCCATAATAATAAATAATAGTATTACAAACAGCTGATTACTAATTATATTCAATTAATGTAATTTTTTTTAATTTCACAATATTAAAATCATTTTAATTATGGAATAATAGTTTAATAATAAAGCAAGAGTTACAATAGGAGCACATAATGATAGACCCAAAAAAAAGATACTTTTTAATCTAAAATGCGAACAGAGTTTGATTATAATTTATTATACTTACCTTTAAATATTTGATTTAAATACAGGAATGAATATTGATGCGTTTAAATCGGTAAATTTATTTATTTTTTTCTTATTTCATAATTTCAGACTTAATATTATTCTTTTTATTTGAAAACAATCAATTAATTTTTCAAAAAACCTATATTAATATCTTACAAGGAATATAAATAAATTACCTAAACCCCCTCAATTTTGCTTTGTGCATCTTTTTTCAATTTATTCTAAATTTCTATAAAAAATTAATTTTTTTATTAGCTCAGTGAATTTAAAAAAAATAAAACATAATTTTTAAACCCTTCCTTAAATTTTTTTAAATATAAAGCAACCTATGAAGAATATACGATAGATAACACCGTTAGTAGATATTTAAGGCCCATTATTAGTTATTTTTTACAAATTTACTACTAATGTATTCTTTTATGGAAATTTTTAAAGCTTAGATTACTTGTTTGATTACAGAGAAAATGCAACTAATTTGCTTTATGATTTTGATAGTAATATATTAATTGGAGTTACTGGAATACTCAAATAAATTAATTCTATAAATATACCTGGAGATAAGTAATTATTTACTTATTATACAGCAAGCTAATTTTCTAAAAATGCTTTTTTCTTTTACCAAGAGAAAAACGTTATACTTCTAGTTGACTAAACTCCAATTATGTATTCTTATAACTATTTAACAAAAAATGCAACTCTTTATCAAATTGAAGTATAAAATACTTAAGGAATTTTAATAGACAAACATAAAAATATAATTTTTTTATATTCAGATTTTTATATTTCAGCTTTTGAATATTCTTCTATGTAATTGATTGAAACATTTACACAGCCATACAATTTAACGCCTATTTAGAGTGTTTTTCTGGATACAAATCTATCTATATTAACAGTTTTATCCTTAGATAAAGTTATCACTTTTGATTTAACAGAAGTTCTTTATGCGAGTGAGGTAAATCTCCTTTAGTATCAAAACATCTAAACTTTAAATATAAATAGTGAATATTAAGTTTATTATAACATAGTTAATCTCTCTTTAAATTTGTATTAAAACACAAAATTAATTGATACCTTATTATTTGAGCCGTCTATCTATAATGTTTATCCTTATTTAACATAGTTAATTAAGATGGATGATAGCAGCTTTATCTATATTTAATTCGAGAATTTAAATTTAATTTAATTTGATTAAGAAAAATAATAATTAACTTTAGTTAAATCAATCAAATTAAAAAATTTACCTGATAACTTTTTTTATGATAATATACAAAATTAAGTTCTAATTTTGTATGAGAATAGCTATCAATTAACCAGTGTGAGTTTAGAAATGTAAAATTCTGCAGAGGTAAATATAACTAACTTTAATGGAGGAGATATTTCCAAATCTTTAATATATTATTAATATATTATAATTCCTTCTACCAATATGATTTATACATTTGATTTTATTCAGCAAAAATAAAATCAAATTGTTTTTTAAAATTCACTTTAAATTTAATTTGTTTTCAAACTTCAAGTTAAATTATTTTAGAATTTTTCTAATTAATGGTGGAATATCCCTTATGAATACGAAGAAAGGTATAACAGTAACGATTCTTATCAATAGCTTCTTATTTGTGTAGTAGCTAAAGAAAATAGTACATTTAGTATATTTATAGCCCAATTAGATACCTAAGAAATAAAATACACTTATTCAATTTAAGACAGTACTATAACAAATGCTGTCAATGATCCTTTCCGCTAATTAATATTTTTAGTAAATAACTAAGGATAGACTCTAGTATTTAATTACAGCTTAAAATTAATTAAAATATTATAAAACTCTTGCTTAAAGTAAGCTAAGATTTCTTTTGATTCCTATTTCATTTACTCTATATGTCCAAATGATATCATAATTTATAATGGTTTAAGCTTATAGTAGTAGTACCCTAAAATTCAATCAGGTTTAAAAGAAGTGACAAATATAATTAACATCTAATATGATAATTTATTTATTATCACATAAAAACTTAATTCTTTACTAGTAAAATTGAGTTTTGATTCCTAATATGAGCTTATTTAAATTATAGATTAAGAAGGCTTGCAGCTTTCTTAAGTTCAATTAAACAAAGATTCAAATAATAACATCTTTCTGGAAATGCTATTTTTTTCTTATCAAAATATAATCTACTAGATAATACCTTTGTCTAAAAAATAATCTTGTAATATAGAAATTATTTAGCAAAATAGACCTTTAGAAAACATCTATTTTCAAATTGAACTAAGTAACAGTCTTAATACTTTATAAACCAGCTAGGAAAAACTTTCAGTTTTTAAAATAAATTACTTAGATCAACAATATATTTAAAGTATTGATTTAGATAGTATATCAGATAATAATATAGATCCTAATAAACCTCTTTCTTTAGTTATCTAATCTAGCTAAATTATTAACAATATTTATTGGTCTAAAAATCAAACTAACTCACAAAACATTAGAAATGTATTAATAAACAATATGAGCTTAAATATAATTGATAGCATTACCATAAACTAAAATACTTAAATGAAAAATTTCTAGATGATTGACATAATATTAAATATTGAAAATTCTCTTAATATTTCTAATTTTGATCAGGTTTATCTTTAAAATATAAAATTCAATAACACAAAGCTTGGAAATAATCAAATAATTATTTCTAACAATAAATTTGTAATTATTGAAAATATTACAATTGATAGCGTTTAGACTGAGTAGCTTACATTTTATTTATCAGATAATACCAATTTAGTCATAAAGTAAATATTCATTAAAAATTTAAGTAAAAACAACATTTTTTAGATATAAAACAATCAATACATTGATATATAAGATATCTTAATATCTGATTCTATCTAGATTTCAGTTTTCTTAATTTCTCTTTGCTAAAAATTAAATATCACAAATATTTATTTAAATTAAGTAAATTCTACTTAATTATTCTATCTATAAGGGGTTACTGAAATTTAAGTTGACCAAATTACTGTAAATAGAAGCAATTAAATTAAAATATTAAGAATAGAACCATTTTATGTAAAAAATATTTATTATATTTGTATATCTGATAAAATTTAATACATCAGTGTTTTAAATTCTTAAGAAGTTTCATTTGATATTTAGGCCTCTGATACTTCTATATCTGATTTTTATATTTATTAATCATCAATATCAAAAATTTGCTTTTAAGTATAATCAACAAATTTACTAATTATGAATTTCAAAATCGAAGAAGTGCAACCACAAGTAGACACCACCTCAATATAAAGTTAATATATTAATAATAATAAATATGTATTTCTCTAGATTGTTGGCTTCTAAAATTGCACCATAAATAACTTAACTTCTTTGAATAATTAAATAACAGTATTATCAATAAATTAGCAACCTGATGATGGTGGTAATTTTATTATGAGTTTTTCAAGGCTTTCAGGTTAAGAGATTAATTAGCCGTTAATTGAATTGAATTTCTTAGACACGATTCTTTTTAATGAAGTTTTATTAGAAAATAATGTGTTAAAGCAAAATTCCTATTCATCAATAGTTTATGTGAGCTAATGTAATAATATAACAATAAATAATAGTCAATTTCAAAATAACACTAATTTTAATGGACTAGGAGGTTCTTTGTATGTTTTTAATTGTTTGCATATTTTGATATAGAATTGCATATTTAAATAAAATAAATGCTTGAGATTAAATGGTGGAGCTATTAGTATTTAGAATTTGGTTAACATTGCTTAAGTATTTATATATAAGTGTTCATTTATACTTAATTCAGCTGTATTTTCAACTGGTGGAGCAATTAACTTATCATATTCAAATTTGATAATAGAAAGTTCTAATATTACTTCTAATACTGCGCTTATAGGAGGAGGGATCTACTATGAATAAGTTATACCAGATTTTGTATTCGAAAAATCAAATAATACTAGTAATAATAAAAATAAAATCATAAACAATAATGCCAAAATTTTTGGTCATAATATAGGCTCAACTATTAGGAAACTTGATATAGACTTATAGAATATTAAAATACCAAAAGGAAGTGTAAAATTTTTGGGTGAAAGACAAATAGAAATAAGAGAGTTTAAAAGTGGAAATTAAATCACTTTTGAAGGAATATAATTACTTGATGAAGAAAATAATCCAATATAAACTTCAAATATAAATATAAATGAATTTTAATTTTACAGCAGTGATGTCCAAAGTTTTATATAGTCATTATCGGTATCTTTGAATTGGGATTAGTCAAATAAAAAAATACAGGTGATAGGATAAGTTTAATCTAAACAATAAATTAACAACGGAATTAACTTACAATCTCAGATTATGTATATGCCTTAAAGTAAAATGAATCTGTAAATAGTTTTAGATAGTTTACCAAAATTAATTGACTCTAAAGGGAATATTTTCTTCAATTAAGATTCGTTTTAAAAAAATTTTATAATTAATTTTACTTCTTGTTCAATCGGAGAAATTACCACGCAATAAATTGAGTCTATAATTTGCCAAGAGTGTCCAGAAGGAAAGTACTCTTTAGATTAATACAGCACCTCTTGTAAATAGTGTCCTGATTCTGCTAAAGAATGCTAGGGTTCTACAATAAACTTAATGAATGGATATTGGAGAGAAAATGATAAAACTGATATAATAGTATATTGCAATAAAAATCCAGAATTTTGTTAAGCTGAGTCACCAGATTCAAAAGTAATTTTTATTTCCTTTAAAACCAGTATTTTAATCATGAAAATATTTAAGATCTTCTGATTTTGAATTTTTGAAGATATTTATTTTTGAAATTTTAAGACCTTTTTTATGAGAATATTTTGTTAATTTTAAAAATCTAATTATATTTAAAATTCATAAAAAAAATTTTTTCATTTAGTTTTCTTATATTCATTTCTTTTGATAATTTTTTATTTTTGTATCATAGTTCTTGTGTTTACGTGGATACATAGGCCCACTTTGCTAATAGTGTGATTCGTATGGAATAATTTGGGGAAATAGATACTCTTAAATTTTTAGTTCTGATGCATGCTATGATTGTAATGATAGTGTTTTACTTATAGCTTTTGAAAATTCTCTAACATTTTTGCTTATCTTTTTATATATTTTTATGATTTTAATTAAAATCATCTAAAAAATGCAAGCAAAAATTATTGGTTATTATCTGAACAGATCAGAAATCTTATTTTTAGGATCAACACGTAACTAATTATAAAATATATCTACCATTACATAATCATTACATTTTTATTATTGAATAGTAAGACAATCAGATAAACCTTAAATAATTACTAAAATATTAACTGATCATTTTTAAATGCTTTCATTGCTGAATTCATTTTCAGTAAATATACCTGCTTTTTTTTAATTTCCGGTTCTATTATATGGAAATTCACTTAGTATTACAAGCAAATCTTTTGATTGCATTATATCCAAATATTTAACTCTACAGCCTTTATGGTTCTATTAAACCTTATTCTCATTAGCTCTACCTTTTTTAGTCCTTATTTTCTATATTTTATTGGCATTAATTTTTAAACTGATAAAAAAAGATAAGTTTTTCCTAAATTATTTAAGAACAGCTTTAATTTTTACATATCTTTATTTCTTCCCTATGGTAGTTACTTTATTGAGCAGATCTATAAATTGCATACAAATTGGTGATAAGTAATATTTAGATCTTGACTATAATATTCACTGTATGGATTCTAAATATCACTAACCCTATGTAATTTACTTCTCTTTGCCTTTGCTAATAATTTGGACTTTAATAATACCTTTATTCCTATTCAGAAATGTTAGAAATGGAAAAAAATAAAAATGGTCTATTTTCAGAGAGGTTAAATATTCGTTTGTATTTGCTGGATTCAAAGATAAATTTTTTTATTGGGAATTTGGTAAACTATTCTATAAGTCACTACTAATATCAATTTCCATATTACTACAATAAAATTAATAACTAAAGGTAAAATTAATTATCGATTTAAATATAAAATCTTTTCAATTTTTTTATTTAAAATATTTTGTTTTTTTAAATTTAGACCTCATTGATGAATGGTATTATTTTATTGTGGATTTGTATAATCTTTAAATTAAATCCTTATGTCGTTTAAGACTTTAACAATTTATTATAGTAATCAGCCATTTTAAGTTCAATTTCATTGAATATATTATCTATCTTAGACAATAAGTTAACTGATTAGATATTTTAAAGAACACTTCTCACTTTGGCTTTATTCATTGTAAACTTAATGTTTATTTTGTAACTAGCTTAAGGTTTATTTACAAAGATCATTCCGTTTGATTAAAATGACAGAAATGTAATTCATAAAATTCTCTATTATCTAAAAGTTAAATATCCACGATTTTTTAAAAATATTTAAATTGAGAATAAGCTAAAAATTAAATCTCTCATCAAGTTAAAAAATGTAAAAAGAAAAATTAGAATGCTTGTACAATATTTCAAAAATAATGATTTTTATAATCAAGAAAGTGTTCAATAACATTTCGGTCTATCAAAAGTTTTAGTAGATAATAGTAGCTCTTAGCGATTACAAACTTCCAAATTTGCACTTTAAAACTTCAATCAAATTTCTAGTAAAAATACTTAAAGAAAACTAAATTAAATGTCCACCTTAAGGAATAAATGGTCATTTTATACAAGGACAACAAATTAAAGCCCTTTAAGTAAATAAATTTAAGTATATTAAAATTCAAACTAATTTTTTTATAATAAGTTAAAGATAAATAATAAAGTATACAGACTGAAAAATCTTAAGAAAATATTTTTACTCTTAATTCACCCTAATCTGAAAAATGTGAGACAGTCAACGAAAGAGATTCTATAAACTATTGAATATATATATTTATTGGTAAAATAAAATCAATTACTTAGAAACGCTATATCAACAGCAATTTCGTTATTAATTATATATTCATAAATTATTCTAAAAATATTGTATCCAAATAAAATTTATTTAAAATAAATTCTCCCATTATTTTTTCAAACTTTTATAAAGTTTAAATTTCATTAAATAAATTTTTTTTTAAAACTTAATTATCTTAATTAAATCAAAACACTAAAAACTAAATTTTGCTTATAATAAATTGATATGGTACTTACTCTATATTGACTAAAAAATTATTATTTTCACAATTAATTCAAAAATCTGGGCAATAAACATCATGATTATTTCAAACAAAAATATGGAAATATAATTAATGTTTTTTATAAAAGTAAATAATTTAAATTTTACTTAAAAAATATTGAAAAACTATTCTACCTTTAAAGAAAAAAATATAAAATATATTTCATTATCATAAATGCTCTCAAATTATTATGTCTAGACCTTCACTTTAATTAATTATATTAAACTTCATAATTTTTTTAAAAGAAATATTTCATTTATTTTTTAAGCAACTAAAATAAACTAAAAAAATTATATTTTAGATTTTTAGTATCAACTAGCATTTATACAAATAAATATAATTATTCTTCTTCTTCTTCTTCTTCTTCTTATTCTTCATATTTTTGTTTAAAGTGATTTCGAATAAATACATCAAATAATATTTTATGTTAGTCAATCAATACTTAAGTTCTAATTTTAGAATTTACTAGACGACATGTTATCATATTAAATCTAATGAAAATTTTATTTAATAAACTCAATTTTTCAAAATTCAATCTCTATTTATTTTCCCGTTTTTAATTATATTTTAATGAAGACACATAATTTAAGTAAGTATTATAAAATATAAAAATAAAAAATTAAATTAAAAACCCATAAAATTTTAAGAAATAATATACTATATTAGTTGAGACTATTTGCTAAATTAAAATTTTAAATTACAATATTGTAGTTAGCTGTATATCAAAAAATATAGCAACTAAGGTGGAGCAAATCATTGTACAAAAGATGTTTGTAATACCTTGATGTTCCAGATTGGAGCAATAAGAACAAAATTTCTGATCGGAAATAGTCATTAAATTAACCAGTTATTTCCTCTATATCTCTAAACTAATCAAACAAAATACTCTCTTCTCTAAAAAATTTTAAAAAACAAAATGAAAAAGAAACTAAAAATCATGAAATCTATTTTTTTTTTAATAAAAATATGATAATTTATATTATTTTTGCCATAAAATAAAATGGCTATTTTGATTATATTGAAAAACTGTAAAAATTCATGAATTAAATAATTAATATTTAACTTATTATTTTATAATATTTAAAATAAACAATTAATTTTTAAAACTTAAGAAATAACTTAATAAAGTATCCGACAAATAGTCTATTTATTCTTAATAAAAAAAAATAGACAAAACTGAAAATAGAAAGGTAAGAGGACAAATACATTTTCTATTTATAAAATATAATTGTTGTATTTATAATATTTAAGCTCAAATATATTTGAAACATTTTAATTTCAAAAGAATTAATTTTGAAATTGAAAAATATTTAAACAAATGTTATGCATGGCCATTAAAACAATAGGTACTTGCGAAAAAATTTAATTTTCAAATATTTATCAAAGATATCAAAAGTAAATAATATCTATTAATTGATTTTAATAATTATCTATTTATTAATTTAAAACCCATAAAAAATATAATTACTCTTAACTATTTAATTAAGAAAGGTTTCGCATAACGAAAGACTTTACTTACCTGGCTGGAGTTAGCTATCGATCATGAAGGGTAGCGGCTTAGGGTGGAGCAGGTCATTGCACAAAAGATGTCTGTAATACCTTATTGTTCCCCGTGCGGGGAACCGAAACAGCACAATTTCTGCTAGGGGAGACGTGCACTTAGTGCTGTCTCCGCTCACACACCCCTTAATTAATCAAAAAAAACAAATTCTTTTCTTCTTACAATATATTTTAGAAATTTAAATATATTAACAAAAATACTTAAAAAATTTAACAAAATAAAACCCACAAAAATTAAATTAAATATGAAAAAGAAGAAATATTTTATTTATTTACAGAATACTGAAAAAAACTTGATTTTAAAAGCATTAAAAGCTAAAAAAAATGTTAGAACTTTTAAAATATAAATCAGTATTAGTAAATTATATTAATAATTTTTATATATAATAAATATCAATTACTATATGCAGTAAATTTGTATAAAAACAAAGAAATGATTTGTATACATTTATTATTATTTTTTTTTAATTAAAAGTATTCATTTGGTTTTCATTTCTAAATTGTAAATAAAAAGTTTTAATTATCAGTATTGTATTTATAAACGAAGAGAAATACCAAGCAAGCTAAATATGATCAATAATGTTATTTATATTTATATTATTTAATCTTAGGTTTTAATATTAAAATAATCATTGAGAAACAACATTTAAAAACTGACCTTAAATATTTCATATATTTGGTTTTTTTAAATCAAATTTTATAATTAAAAAAAGTATATTGAAGAATTTGCTCATAAAAATTCTTATGAAATTTGCAAGTATCAATAATTTTTATAATAAAATAAATTATATTTGAAACTCTTAACCCAAATAATTTGAAATATTTGTAATTATAAATTATTTTTGATCAGATAAGTACTTGGTGTGTATTCTTAATCAAAATTTATTAGTTATACATATGCATAATATAAAAAAAATGTATTTAAAATAACAAAAATAAATATTTTGGATAATTTTAGTTTTATTTAAATTAATGTTCTAATTTATCCAGTTTATAAATGTTAAATATATATAGGATACAATTAAAATGTTATTTTAGAAATTTTAAAATAAAATAAAAATTATAAGAATTTGAATATAATATTTGTTTTATGAAATAAATATTTATTTTTAAATCTTATTTGTTTTTTGTTAGGTGGTATGTTAGATGAGACAGACTTTTAAAGAGAATCAAAAAAACAGAGGCATATGAAAAATTTTAATTAAAAATATGTATAATTAAAAGGAGGAAAGCTTAAGTAACATGCAATCCGTTTCCTCTTTTATTACCTTCATATTCTTCTGTTTTAGTAAAAAAATAATTTAAAGTAATGTATATTTATTCATAATATTAGATTAAGAAGCATAAAAATGTAGTAATAATATTCTGAAACAAATAAAAATAAGTGAGATTTGAGTTTTTTTAATTAAAAATGTTTTAGTAATAAGTTTTATTAAAATTTTTCATAATTCAAGTTAAAAATGAAATAATTATTTACACTCAATAAATAAGAATTAAAAAAAAAAATTATCCTTGCTTTTTGATTTCGCTTTAGTTATTAGATATTAATAATTTTTTAGATTATATAATTTAAATCTTAAAATTTGGGTTTTTTCATTAATAATTAGTTCAGTTTAAATTACATCATTTAGTGAAAGTTTTTTAAAAAAATTAAATATTATTGATAGAGACAAAAAACACAAACAAACCGAATAAATAGTAAAACAATCAAACAAACAAAATTGCTAATAAACAGTAAAAAAATAAGCAAGCTAGCTCATAAACAGTAAAAAAACAAACAAAAAATCAATCGATAAGCAAGCAAAAAGCAAAAAAAGTAGCTAATAAACAGTAAAATAATAAACTAACATACAAAAAACACAAAAACAATAGGTGCAATACAAAATTAACTATGAAAATAGATTATTATATAATTATATTTTCTGTTTTATTTTCAAAGTTGCTGTGCTAGTGCTTGAATGGGGAAATTTATAATATATTGACTTAATAGTGCTTGAAATGTTCTATCAGCTGCTAACAATGCTTTAATACTAATGAAGACAACTGTATAAAATGCCAAACTAACACCTTTAATAGTATATAAAATAACTTTTAATGTACTTAAACTTGTCTATAAGGTTAAATAAATACAGAAAATTAATAATGTGTTTAATGCTTAGTTGAAGGATGTATCTAATGTGATGCTAACTAAAATTGCTTAAAATGCGAAGTTAATTTATAACTTAGTTAAGAAAACAATAAGTGCTTTCTAAAATAAAATTTTTGTGAATCAAGCGTTGAATTTATTGAATCTCCTTTTACAAAAAATTAATGCTCAAAAATATGCTCCTCTTTCACTTATTAAAATTTTGAAACTCATCAATGCGAGTAAACACAACAATGTCCATATTTTCAAAGTAGCTTTGATAATTTTAATTAAAGAATAGTGTAAGTTAACTCATTTTTAGGTAATTAATACTTTATTAGAGGTAATTAATGCTAATTTGCACTGGTCAACTAAAATTTTGAGATAATCAATTCAAATATACTATAAAATTTAAATAATTTTGAAGAATTATACATGTAATATGGGGTAGAAGTTAATTAAAAAAGCTTTATAGTAGGGAATTATGGCGGATGCTTAGCAAATAACAGCTTAGTTATTGCGAATTTCGCTACATCCTAAACTGTTTATTCAGAGATAGGGTTTTAGGATGATCTTAATGTAGGATATATTGATACTAATAACTAAATTGTATTTTTAATAAGCACTAATTACAAACAAATAATTGTTTTTGATGGAATTAGTTCTTAAGTAAGTAAGTTGCCAATAAATTAATCTCCACCATAAATACTATTTTAAATTTCAAATAAATAAAATGTTACTTATTATATTATAGATTATTAATTGAAGGTAATAATAAAATTATTTTTTTTAAAACATGTATTAAATAAATTTTATTAAAATAAATAATAGGAAATATTGTTAAGTAGAGATAGATCCTTAATAATAAAAAATAGTACTCTAAATCTCGATTTATCATCTACTATTGTTTATTCAATATAAAAAAATGATTTTTTAATAACTGTTTCTATGGATGTATATAGTATTCCTCGCTAATTTATTATTCAAAAAGCGGTTTTTGAAAATAATTAAATATCATTTTAAAAAATTAAGCAAGCTCCTCTTTACAATTATAAAGTATTTTATAGCTTGAATTTAAATTCTATCATAGAATACAACTAAATAGATTACAGCATAAAAATTTCAATTTTAGATGCAAATTCAGAATAAATTATTAATCAATTCAACGTAACTTCTTCATAGAAATTAAATTAGATTAGTATCTTTGAAAACTAGTGGGATAATAGCACATATATTTTTTACATTTAAAATAAACTACTATAATTCATTAATATGACAGATTATTTAAGGATAATAACATAGGATGGATAATCATAAATCAAATTCGAATAATTAGTATAAACAGTAGACACTCCTTTTATTACTGAGTTATCAACTTTTACAACTGCAATATTTTACAAGAACAATATATTAGACATATTCCTGTCTCAAATTTTATAACCTAAAACCTATAATTATCAATAGATTAGAGTGCAATACAATATATCAGATAATACTTTTTAAATGAAGTATTTTTATAATAATTAATACCAATAATTATACTATGTAGATAATTTTATGGTTAATTAAAACTAATTAATGCTTAGCATTGATAATAGTCAGTAGAAGAATATATTTTATATATTTGATGGTAATTAAATTTATGATTAGTAATCATTAAGATTTTCTAAAATTTAATTTTACTTGCAAAGTTTATAAAAAATGCCAAGACTTAACACTAGATAAATTTAATATTAAGTCTAATAAGATTTCTAAAGTTATGATAACCTTTAATTAGTAAGCAATAAATATCTTATTCTAAGTAAAATAATAGACTCAACAGTTTACGAATACGTTTTCAGCATATCTAACAAATAGTTACTTATTAACTATACTTATAACTATACTTATTTATTTAGTTCAAACTACTATCTCTAAAAGTGGGACATGCTTTTAGTCTAAGATGTTCCTCAAATATACAATCTAAAAGAACAGTTAAAATTCATAAATAATGAATAAAATTATTTTTTTTCTTTAGAAAATTTTATTATTATAAATGAGGATTAAATAATCTATTTAACTACAAATGATTAAAATATAAATGTGCTATACATGGTAGACTTTTAATTAAACTAAATCTAGAGTATATTTATATTTGATTAAAATTAAAGCCCAAGCTTTTGGTTAATTTATGGATCTGATTATCCTTATCCCTTAATTGCATAAAGTGATATTATTTATATTTATTTTTCTATGACTATGTGCTAACCATTCTCTATAAAAAAAAAATAATTTATTTATTAACCAGTTAATTTAAAGGGTTAATTTTAACTATATCCCTCTATAAATTATTAACAAACTGGAGAAATATTTATATTTTAAAATTAGCTGATATATGTATATTCACTTGATTTATAAGAAAGCACTTTTCTTAATATTGGACTAACCTATCCAATTCCTTAGACCAACTACTAACCATTAATTTTTAATCAACAATTTGTGTTTTATTATGACCAAAATTACTTTTACACTTTTGATATGTAAAAAAAATAATATACTCAAATAACGGCAACTACTAGCTTTACTCTTTACTAAAATGGTTATATTGACTTTTACGCAATAGACAATTAAAATTAGTATATAAAAAAATCTGAAAGTATTATAGATGTAAATAATTAGATAACTATTAAGAATAAAATTGAAAATAGTAATCATTTGGGAAATATTTCTACCGATGAAAATACATTAATTCACTTTTTTTAATCTCAAAATGGAATATTTTGGCATCTAAATTTATTTAATTATCCATTTAATATTTACATAATCACATAAAGTCAAATAATATAAGATATTTAACTTTATTAAAACCGAATAGCAATTTATGATAATTCAACTAAAATGCTAATACTAATTAATACAGTTAAAATTAATGGAATAAGAAGCTTTCAATTTGACTAAAAATTTGATTTTAAAATTTTTATTTTAAACTGGGAACCTCTTTCTTTTGCCTTTATAAGTAATAACACGATTTATTAATTTAATGAATTAGACAGTCAATAAATATAAACTATTTATCAGATAGAATCTAACATAATTATGTATGAATACTGCTCCTAATAACAAATAATAGTAGTATAAACAGCTGATTACTAATTATATTCTATTAATGTAATTTTTTTTTAATTTCACAATATTAAAATCATTTTAATTATAAAATACTAGTTTAATAATAAGACAACAGTTCCTATTAGACCAAAAAATGATAGACCAAAATAACAGATACTTTTTAATCTAAAATGTGAACAGAATTTGGTTATAATATATTTTACCTATATTTAAATATATGATTTAAATACTGGAATGTTATCTGATAAGTTTAAATAGGTAAATTTATAAATATTTTTTCTTATTACAAAATTTCAAACTCAATATTATTTTTTTCTATGAAAAAAATCAACTAATTTTATAAAAATATTTTTCATATAATTTAAAAATCTTTTGATTTTAAGTTAAATAAATAAATAATTTTAATTTTATATTTTGAAAAACCTATATCAATAACCTCCTGTGGAGGATAAATTACCTTAACCACTCATTTTTATTTTTGTGCATCTTTTTTCAAGTTTTATTCTAAATTTCTTTAAAAATTTTTAAACCCTTCCTTAAATTTTTTTAATAATAAAGCAACTTATGAAGAACTTACAATTGATAACACCATTAGTAGATATTTAAGGCCCATTATTAGTTATTTTTTATAAATTTAGCAGTAATTTTTTCTACTATGGAAATTTTAAAAGCTATAAATACTTGTTTGATTACAGAGAAAATGTAACTAATTTGCTTTATGATTTTGATCATAATATATTAATTGGAGTTACTGGAACACTCAAATAAATTAACTCTATAAATATACCTGGAGATAAATAATTATTTACTTATTAGACAGTAAGCTAATTTTCTAAAAACGCTTTTTTCTATTACCAAGAGAAAAATATTTTACTTTTAGTTGATTAAACTCCAATTATGTATTTTTATAATTATTTAACAAAAAATATAACTCTTTATCAAATCGAAGTCTAAAATACTTAAGGAATTTTATTCGATAAATATAAAAATATAGTTTTTTTATATTCAGATTTTTATATCTCAGCTTTTGAATATTCTACAATGTAATTGATTGAAACATTTACACAGCTATAAGATTAAACACCTATTTAGAGTGTATTTTTGGATATAAATCTATCTATATTAACAGCTTTAACCTTAAATAAAGTTATCACTTTTGATTTAACAGAAGTTCTTTATGCGAGTGAGGTAAATCTTCTTTAGTATCAAAACATCTAAACTTTAAATATAAATAGTGAATATTAAGTTTATTATAACATAGTTAATCTCTCTTTAAATTTGTATTAAAACACAAAATTAATTGATACCTTATTATTTGAAACATCTATCTATAATGTTTATCCTTATTTAACATAGCTAATTAAGATAAATGATAACAACTTTATCTATATTTAATTCGAGAATTTAAATTTAATCTAATTTGATTAAGAAAAATAAAAATTAGCTTTAGTTAAAAGAATCAAATTAAACAATTTACCTGATAACTTTTTTTATGATAAATTACAAAATTAAGTTCTAATTTTGTATGAGAATAGCTATCAACTAACCAGTTTGAGTTTAGAAACGCAACATTCTGCAGAGGTTAATATAACTAACTTTAATGACGGAGATATTTCCAAATCGTTAATATATTATTAATATATTATAATTCCTTCTACCTATATGATTTATACATTTAATTTTATTCAGCAAAAATAAAATCAAATTACTTTTTAAAATACACTTTAAATTTAATTTGTTTTCAAACTTCAAGTTAAATTATTTTAGAATTATTCTAATTAATCGTGGAATATCCCTTATGAATACGAAGAAAGGTATAACACTAATGACTCATATCAATAGCTTCTTATTTGTGTTATAGCTAAAGAAAATAGTATATTTAGTATATATATAGTCCAATTAGATACCTAAGAAATAAAATACACTTATTCAATTTAAGACAGTATCATAACGAATGCTGTCAATGATCCTTTCCGCTAATTAATATTTTTAGTTAATAACTAAGGTTAAACTCTAGTACTTAATTACAGTTTAAAATTAATAAAAATAATATAAAACTCTTGCTTAAAGTAAGCTAAGATTTCTTTTGATTCCTATTTCATTTACTCTATATGCCCAAATGATATCATAATTTATAATGGTTTAAGCTTCTAGTAGTAGTACCCTAAAATTCAATCAGGTTTAAAAGAAGTGACAAATATAGTTAACATCTAATATGATAATTTATTTATTATCACATAAAAATTTAGTTCTTTACTAGTAAAATTGAGTTTTGATTCCTAGCATGAGCTCATTTAAATTATTGATTAAAAAGGTTTGTAACTTTCTAAAGTTGAATTAAACAAAGATTCAAATAATAACTTTTTTTTGGAAATGCTATTTTCTTCTTATCAAAATATAATCTACTAGATTATACCTTTGTCTAAAAAATAATCTTGTAATATAGAAATTATTTAGCAAAATAGACCTTTAGAAAACATTTATTTTCAAATTGAACTAAGTAACAGTCTTAATACTTTATAAAGCAGTTAGCAAAAACTTTCAGTTTTAAAAATAAATTACTTAGATCAGCAATATATTTAAAGCATTTATTTAGACAGTATCTAACAAAAAAATATAGATCCTAATAAACCTCTTTCTTTAGTTATCTAATCTAACTTAATAACTAACAATATTTATTGGTCGAAAAATTAAACTAACTCACAAAACATTAGAAATTTATTAATAAACAATATGAGCTTAAATATAATTGATAGCATTACCTTAAACTAAAATGCTGAAATGAAAAATTTCTAGATGATTGACATAATTTTAAATATTGAAAATTCTCTTAATATTTCCAATTTTGATTAAGTTTATATTTAAAATATAAAATTCAATAGCACAAAACTTGGAAATAATCAAATAATTATTTCTAACAATAAATTGGTAATTATTGAAAATATTACAATTGATAGCGTTTAGATTGAGTAGCTTGCATTTTATTTATCAGACAATACCAATTTGGTCATAAAGTAAATTTTCATTAAAAATTTAAGTAAAAGAAACATTTTTTAGATCTAAAACAATCAATATATTGATATATAAGATATTTAAGTATCTGATGCTATCTTGATTTCAGTTTTCTAAATTTCTCTGTGTTAAAAATTAAATATCACAAATATTTATTTAAATTAAGTAAATTCTACTTAATTATTCTATCTATAAGGGGCTACTGAAATTTAAGTTGAGCAAATTACTGTAAATAGAAGTAATTAAATTAAAATATTAAGAATAGAACCACTTTACTCAAAAAATGTTTAATATATTTGTCTATCTGATCAATTATAATACATCAGTGTTTTAAATTCTTAAGAAGTTTCATTTGATATTTAGGCCTCTGAAACTTCTATATCTGATTTTTATATTTATTAATCATCAATATCAAAAATGTTCTTTTAAGTATAATCAATAAATTTAGTAATTAAGAATTTAAAAATCGAAGAAGTGCAACCACAAGTAGACAACTCCTCAATATATAGTTAATATATTAATAATAATAAATATGTATTTCTATAGATTGTTGGCTTCTAAAATTGCACCATAAATAATTTAACATCTTTGAATAATTAAATAACAGTATTATCAATAAATTAGCATATTGATGATAGTGGCAATTTTATTATGAGTTTTTCAAGGCTTTCTGGATAAGAGATTAATTAACCGTTAATTGAATTGAATTTCATAGATACGATTCTTTTTAATGAAGTTTTAATAGAAAATAATGTGTTAAAGTAAAATTCCTTTTCATCAATAGTATATGTGAGCTAATGTAATAATATGACAATAAATAATAGCCAATTTTAAAATAACACTAATTTTAATGGGATAGGAGGTTCTTTGTATGTTTTTAATTGCTTGCATATTTTGATATAAAATTCCATGTTTATATAAAATAAATGCTTAAAATTGAATGGTGGAGCTATAAGTATTTAGAATTCAGTTAACATTGCTTAAGTACATATATATAAGTGTTCATTTATACTTAATTCAGCTTCATTTTCAACTGGTGGAGCGATTAATTTGTCATACTCAAATTTGATAATAGAAAATTCTAATATTACTTCTAATAATGCGCTTATAGGAGGTGGGATCTACTATGAATAAGTTATACCAGATTTTGTATTAGAAAAATCAAATAATACTGCTAATAATAAAAATAAAATCATAAACAATAATGCTAAAATTTTTGGTCATAATATAGGCTCAACTATTAGGAAACTTGATATAGACTTATAGAATATTAAAATACCAAATGGTAGTATAAAAATTTTGGGTGAAAGACAGATAGAAATAAGAGAGTTTAAAAGTGGAAATTAAATAACTTTTGAAGGAATATAATTACTCGATGAAGAAAATAGTCCAATTTTGACATCAAATATAAATATAAATGAATTTTAATTTTATAGCAGTGATGTTCAAAGTTTTATATAGTCATTATCTGTATCTTTGAATTGGGATTAGTCAAATAAGAAAATACAGGTGATAGGATAAGTATAATCTAGGCAATATATTAACAACGGAATTAACTTACAATCTTAGATTATGTATACGCCTTAAAGTAAAATGAATCTGTAAATAGTTTTAGATAGTTTACCTAAATTAATTGACTCTTAAGGGAATATTTTCTTCAATTAAGATTAGTTTTAAAAAAATTTTACAATTAATTTCGCTTCTTGTTCAATCGGAGAAATTACAATGCAATAAATTGAGTCTATAATTTGCCAAGAGTGTCCAGAAGGAAAGTATTCTTTGGATCAATACAGCACCTCTTGTAAATAGTGTCCGGATTCTGCTAAATAATGCTATGGTTCTACAATAAACTTAATGAATGGATATTGGAGAGAAAATGATAAAACTGATATAATAATATATTGTAATAAAAATCCATAATTTTGTTAAGCTGAGTCACCAGATTCAAAAGTAATTTTTTTCCTTTAAAAACAGGGTATTTAATCATGAAAATATTTAAGATCTTCTGATTATGAATTTTTGAAAATAATTATTTTGCGATTTTAAGGTGTTGGTGATAGAAATTTTCAAAAATAATTAATTTTCTCTATCCATTTTTAACTTTTTATGAGGACCTTTCATTAATTCTAAAAATCTAATTATTTTCAAAGTTTATAAAAAAATTTTTCATTAAGCTTTCTTATATTTTTTCATTTGATAATTTTTTATTTTTGTATCATAGTTCATGTGTTTACGTGGACACATAGGACCACTTTGCTAATAATGCGATTCATATGGAGTAATATGGGGAAATAGATATTCTTAATTTTTTAGTTCTGATGTATGCTATAATTGTAATGATAGTGTTTTACTTATAGCTTTAGAAAATTCTCTAATATTTTTAGTAGTCCTTTTTTATATTATTATTATTTTAATTAAAATCATCTAAAAAATGCAAGCAAAGATTATTGGTTATTTTGTGAACAAGTCAGAAATCTTATTTTTAGGATCAACATGTAATTAATTATAAAATATATCATTATTTAATCTTTCATTTTAAAAATTTTATTATTGAACAGTGGGACAATCAGATAAACCTTAAATAGTAACTAAAATATTGACTGATCATTTTTAAATGCTTTCATTACTGAATTCATTTTCAGTAAATATACCTATTTTTTTTAAATTTCCAGTGCTATTATATGGAAATTCACTTAGTATTACAAGCAAATCTTTTGATTGCATTATATCCAAATATTTAATCCTGCAGCCTTTATGGTTCTATTAAACCTTATTCTCATTAGCTCTACCTTTTTTAGTCCTTATTTTTTATATTTTATTGGCATTAGTTTTTAAACTGATAAAAAAAGATAACTTTTTACTGAATTATTTAAGAACTGCTTTAATTTTTACATATCTTTATTTCTTCCCTATGGTAGTTACTCTATTGAGCAGATCTATAAATTGCATATAAATAGGTGATAAGTAATATTTAGATCTTGACTATAATATTCACTGTATGGATTCTAAATATCATTAACCTTATGTAATTTATTTTTCTCTGCCTTTGCTAATAATTTGGACTTTAATAATACCTGTATTCCTATTCAGAAATGTTAGAAATGGAAAAAAATAAAAATGGTCTATTTTCGAAGAGGTTAAATATTCGTTTGTATTTGCTGGATTCAAAGATAAATTTTATTATTGGGAATTTGGTAAACTATTTTATAAATCACTATTAATATCAATTTCCATATTACTACAATAAAATTAATAATTAAAGGTAAATTTAATTTATAATTTAAATATAAAATCTACAACAATTTTTTTTTATTTAAAATATTTTGTTTTTTAAATTTAGACCTCATTGATGAATGGTATTATTTTATTGTGGATTTGTATAATCTTTAAATTAAATCCTTATGTCGTTAAAGACTTTAACAATTTATTATAGTAATCAGCTATTCTAAGTGCGATTTCATTGAATGTATTATCTATATTAGACAATAATTTATCTGATTAAATATTCTAAAAAACTTTTGTCACTCTGGCTTTATTCTTTATAAATTTAATGTTTGTTTTGTAAATAGCTTAAGGTCTATTTATAAAAATCATTCCGTTTGATTAAAATGACAGAAATGTAATTGATAAAATTCTCTACTATCTAAAAGTTAAATATCCAAGATTTTTTAAGAATATTTAAATTGAGAATAAGCTAAAAATTTAATCTCTCATTAAGTTAAAAAATGTAAAAAGAAAAATTAGAATGCTTGTACAATATCTCAAAAATTATGATTTTTATAATCAGGAAAGTGTTCAATAATATTTTGGTTTATCAAAAGTTTTAATAGATAATAGCTCTTAGCGATTACAAACTTCCAAATTTACACTTTAAAATTTTAACTAAATTAGTAAAAATACTTAGAGAAAACTAAATTCAATGTCAAACTTAAAGAAAAAATGGTCATATTATACAAGAAGAACAAACTAAAGCCCTTTAAGTAAATAAATTTAAGTGTATTAAAATTCAAACTAATTTTTAAAATTTAATAATAAGTTAAAGAAAAATAATAAAGTATACAGACTGATAAATCTTAAGAAAATATACTTACTCTTAATTCACCCTAAACTGAAAAATGTGAGACAATCAACTATAAAGATGAAATTGTTTCTTTTAACTTTTGAATAGATTTATTGGTAAAATAGAATCAATATTTAGAAAGGCTTTATTAACTGTAATTTAGTTATTAATTATATATTCATAACCTATTCTATAAATACTTTATTCAGATAAAATTTAGTTAAAATCAAATCTCATTATTTTTTCTAACTTTTATAAAATTTAAAAAAAATTTAATCAAATGTATTTAAATTTTTTATTTACATAACTGTTTAAAAATAATAATAATACCTTTTATATATTAAAATTAAGTTATTTAAAAAATAAATTTTATTAATAAAGGATTAAAAATCTGTGATAAATTTTTAACAATTGTTTCAATTGCTTTTAATAATAAACAAATTTTATTTAAAAAAAACTTTTCCTAATTTCTAATAACTACTAAATATATGTGATCATAATTTTTTTAACTCTTTTTAAATTTATTTATTATTATTTATAAAAAAATTATTAATTATTAGAAAACAAGGAAATTAGGATATTTTTTACATTAAGTCTGAAAAATAAATTTTTTATATTATAAAATAAATAATTTATTTTTAAAACTGAAGAAATAATTTAATTAACATTAGAAGACAAACAGTATATTATTAATTCTTAAGATAAATTATATAAACAAAAAAAACTGAAGAAGATAAACATATTTTCATATTAATAAAATATAATTGTGGTATTTATAAAATTGTACTCAAATAAATTTGAAACAAGTTGATTTCGAAAGAATTAATTTTGAAATTGAAAAATATTTAAACAAATATTATATAGAGCATTTAAAATAATAGGTACTTGTGAAAAAAATTAATTTTCTAATATTTATCAAAACTAAATTATATCTATTTATTGATTTTAATAACTATATATTGATTAATTTAAAACCCATAAAAAATAAAATTACTATTAACTATTTAATTAAGAAATTTTTTGCTTAACGAAAGACTTTACTTACCTGGCTGGAGTTAGCTATCGATCATGAAGGGTAGCGGCTTAGGGTGGAGCAGGTCATTGCACAAAAGATGTCTGTAATACCTTATTGTTCCCCGTGCGGGGAACCGAAACAGCACAATTTCTGCTAGGGGAGACGTGCACTTAGTGCTGTCTCCGCTCACACACCCCTTAATTAATTAAAAAAAAGCAAACTCTTTTCTTCTTACAATATATTTTAGAAATTTAAATGTAAAAACAAAAATAATTTAAAAATTCAACATCAAAAATCCAAAAAAAAATAAATTAAATTTAAAAAAAGAAGAAACATTTTAATTATTTTCAGAATACTGAAAAAAACTTGATTTTAAAAGTTTTAAAAGCTAAAAAATATGTTAGTACGTTTAAAATATATTCTGTATTTGTAAATTGTATTAACATTTTTGATAATTAATATGATTTAATTTATGTAGCAAATATGTATAAATACAAAGCAGTTATTTGTATACATTTATTATTATTTTCTTTAAATCAAAAGTCTTAATTTGGTTTTCATTTCTAAATTGTAAATAAAAAGTTTTAATTATCAAAGTATTATTTTTCTAAACGATGATAAATACCAAGCTAGCTAGCTAATTAAGATCAATAGTGTTGTTTATATTTAAATTATTTAATATTAGCTTTAAATATTTAAATAATCATTCTGATATAACATTATATCTTATATAAAATTAGGTTTTTTAAATGAAATTTTATTAATTAAAAAAAGTATATTAAAGATTTAGCTCATAAAAATTTACTATTATCAATTATTTTTAAAATAAAATAATTTATATTTGAAACTCTTAAGGTCAATAGTTGCATGCTAGCTGTTAACCATTTATAAATTTTTTGTCTTCTGTTGAATAAATGTAAATATTTTATTATTATACTTCTCTTTCAATTACATATTATATTAAAAAAGAATAATATCATTTTCAAATTAGCCCATACAAAATAGGAAAGAAAAACTATTGTTTACATATACTATAATAGAGAGGGGGAATTCGAGTTGAACCCACACCATTTTTATGAGTAAAATTCAAATTTTAAACAATTTGCATTGAAGATTTTGATTAAAAACTATTTTGCGAAATTGGAGTTGTGGTTTAGAAATACAATATATGTTTGTTGAAAAAGTCTGAAAATGTAGGTCTTCAAGTGAAATAGTTGGAGATGAAAAGATTGGCAAGATAGTGGTTTTTTTTACCCCCTCTGGCCCATAAACGCTCCGATTGTAAATTCTCTTATTATACATATGCGCATTGAATTTCCTCATTTATTACCTTCATATTCTTCTGTTTTAAGTATTATAATAATAATAATAATAATATAAAGTAATGTATATTTATTCATGGGAACATAAAATGTAGTACTAATATTCTGAAACAAATAAATGAAATTTGAGTTTTTTTAAGTTAAAAATGAAATAATTATTTACACCCAATAATTAAGACTTAAGAAATAAAAAGTTATCATTGATTTTATGATTTTATTTTGGTTAATAGGTATTACATTTTTTAAATTGTAATTTAAATCTTAAAATGCGGGTTTTTTCATACTAAATTCCTTCAGTTTTCTTTATTATTAATTTATTAACTGATTGATTAATACTTTTAAATTTCATCAGTTAATAATTAATTATTATTGATAGAGACAAAACAAACAAAAAAGCAGTATAAAAACAAATAAATAAGCAATATAAAAACAAACAAATAATCAATATAAAAACAAATGAATAAGCAAAATAATATATAAATAAATAAAATTATTTTTAAGTTAAAAATGAAATAATTATTTACACTAAATAATTAAGACTTAAAAAATAAAAAGTTATCCTTGCTTCATGATTTCATTTTGGTTAATAGATATTTAAATTTTTTAGATTATATAATTTAAGTCTTAAAATGTGGGTTTTTACATACATACATAATACGTCAGTTTCCTTTATTTTTAATTAATAAGTAGGTTGAGTTTTTATACTTTTAAATTTCATCAATTAGTAAATAACTATTATTGATAGTGACAAAACAAACAAATAAAGAAATAAAGAGTATAAAAACAAACAAACAATAAGAAAATAAATAAATAAAATAATTTTTAAGTTAAAAATTTAATAATTAATTACACCCAATAATTAAGACTTAAAAAGTATAAAGTTATCCTTGCTTCATGATTTCATTTTGGTTAATACATATTTAAATTTTTTAAATTATATAATTTAAGTCTTAAAATGTGGGTTTTTACATACATACATAATACGTCAGTTTCCTTTATTTTTAATTAATAAGTAGGTTGAGTTTTTATACTTTTAAATTTCATCAATTAGTAAATAACTATTATTGATAGTGACAAAACAAACAAATAAAGAGTATAAAAACAAACAAATAAGAAAGTAAATAAGTAAAATAATTTTTAAGTAAAAAATTTAATAATTAATTACATCCAATAATTAAGGCTTAAAAAAAATAAGTTATCCTTGCTTTAGGATTTCATATTGGTTAATAGATATTTAAATTTTTTAGATTGCAATTTAAATCTTAAAATGTAGTTTTTTAATTGATAGTTTGTTCGTTTAAATTACATCATTTAGTGAATTTTTTTATAAAAAATGAAATATTATTGATAGAGACAAAACAAACAGTCAAATAAATCAGTAAAACAAACAAACAAACAAACAAACAAACAAACAAACAAACAAAGGAGCTCATAAATATTAAAAAACAAGCAAGCAAGCAAAAAAAACAAACAAATTATCTAATAAACAGTAAACAATCAATCAAACAAACTAGCTCATAACAAGTAAAAAAATAAAGTTTAAAAAACAATAAACAAATAAATAAATAAAAAAACAAACAAACAAATTATCTAATAAACAGTAAAACAAACAAATTAGCTCATAAATAGTAAAAAAAAAAGCAAAAAAGCACACAAACTTGCTTCTAAACAGTAAAAAAAACAAACAAGCAATTAAACAAACTAGCTCATAAAAGGTAAAAAAACAAGCAAACAAATTAGTTCATAAATAGTAAAAAACAAACAAGCAAGTAAATAATTAAATAAACAAACTAGCTGATAAGCGGTAAAAAAAGTAAACAAACAAACTAGCTAATAAACAGTAAAAAAATAAAATAAATAAATCAAACAATCAAATAAACAAAGAAATTAGCTCATAAAGTAAAAATATAAGCAAAGATTAAAGCAAACATACAAACTAGCTTATAAACAGTAAAAAAACAAACAAGCTAATAAATAGTAAGTAATAGAACAAACAAACTAGCTCATAAATTGTAAAAAACAAACAAACAAGTAAATAAATAAATAAATAGACAGACACACAAACAAACAAACAAACAAACAAGATAGCTAAAAAAAATAAAAAAATAAATAAACTATCTAATAAACAGTAAAAAATCAAGCAAAAAATCAATCAAGCAAAAAAAAGCTATCTAATAAACAGTAAAATAATAAACTAGCAAACAAAAAGCACAAAAAAATAGGTGCAATACAAAATTAAATATGAAAATAGATTATTATATTATTACATTTTCTGTTATATTTTCAAAATTACTCTGCTAGTGCTTGAGTGGGGAAATTTATAATATATTGACTTAATAATGCTTGAAATGTTAAAACAGTTGCTAACAATGCTTTAATACTAATGAAGACAACTGTATAAAATGCCAAACTGACACCTTTAATAGTATATAAAATAACTTTTAATGTACTTAAACTTGTCTATAAGGTTAAATAAATACAGAAAATTAATAATGTGTTTAATGCTTAGTTGAAGGATGTATCTATTGTGATGCTAGCTAAAATTGCTTGAAATGCGAAGTTAATTTATAACTTAGTTAAGAAAATAACAAGTGCTTTCTAAAATAAAATTTTTGTGAATCAAGCGTTGAATTTATTGAATCTCCTTTTACAAAAAATTAATGCTCAAAAATATGCTCCTCTTTCACTTATTAAAATTTTGAAACTCATCAATGCGAATAAACACAACAATGTCCATATTTTCAAAGTAGCTTTGATAATTTTAATTAAAGAATAGTGTAAGTTAACTCATTTTTAGGTAATTAATACTTTATTAGAGGTAATTAATGTTAATTTGCACTGGTCAACTAAAATTTTGAGATAATCAATTCAAATATACTATAAAATTTAAATAATTTTGAAGAATTATACATGCAATATGGGCTAGAAGTTAATTAAAAAAGTTTTATAGTAGGGAATTATGGTGGGTGTTTAGCAAATAACAGCTTAGTTATTGTGAATTACACTACATTTTAAACTGTTTATTCAGAGACAGGCTTTTAGGATGATCTTAATGTAGGATATATTGATATTGATAACTAAATTATATTTTTAACAAGCCCTAGTTAAAACCAAATAATTGTTTTTGATGGAATTAGTTCACAAGTAAGTAAGTTGCCAATAGATTAATCTCCATCATAAATCTTATTTTAAATTTAAAATAAATAAAATGTGACTTATTACGCTTTTGATACTTAATTGAAGGTAATAATAAATCAATTTTTTTTTAAACATATTTTAAATAAATTTTATTAAAATAAATAATAGGAAATATTATTAAATAAAGATAGATCCTTAATAATAAAAAATAGTACTATAAATATCGATTTATCATCTACTACTTTTATCTATTCAATATAAAAAAATGATTTTTTAATAACTATTTCTAGATAATATTTTAGTAATATTATTCAAAAAATGTCTTTTGAGAATAATTAAATATCATTTTATTAAATTAAGGAAGTTCCTTTTTTCAATTATAATGTATTTTATAGCTTGAATTTAAATTCGATCATAGAATATAATTAAATAGATTACAGCTTAATAATTTCAATTTTAGATGCGCATTCAGAATAAATTATTAATGAAATCAACATAACTTAGCAGGAATTAAATTAGATTAATATCTTTGAAAACTAGTGGGATAATAGCACATTTATTTTTTACATTTAAAATAAACTACTACAATTCATTAATATGACAGATTATTTAAGGATAATAACATAAGATGGATAAGCATAAATCCAAATCGAGTAATTAGTAAAAACAGTAGACACTCCTTTTATTACAGAGTTATCAACTTTGACAACTGTAATATTTTATGAGAACAATATATTAGACATATTCATGTCTCAAATTTTATAACCTAATTCCTATAATTATCAATAGATTAGAGTGTAATACAATCTATCAGATAATACTTTTTAAATAAAGTATTTTTATAATAATTAATACCAAATGTTTTACTATGTAGATAATTTTAACGTTAATTAAAACTAATTAATGTTTAGCATTGGTAATAATCAATAAAATAATTAATTTTATTTATTTGATGGTAACCAAGTCTATGATTAGCAATCTTTAAGATTTTCTAAACTTCAATTTTACTTGAAAAATTTATAAAAAATGCCTAGACTTAACACTAGATAAATTTAATATTAAGTCTAATAAGATTTCTAAAATTATGACAACCTTTAATTAGTAAGCAATAAATATCTTATTTTAAGTAAAATAATAGACTCAACAGTTTATGAATACGTTTTCAGCATATCTAACAAATAGTTACTTGTTAACTATACTTATAACTACTTTTATTTATTTAGTTCAAGCTACTATCTCTAAAAGTGGGAAATGCTTTTAGTCTAAAATGTTCCTCAAATTTATAATCTGAAAACACAATAAGCATTCATAAATAATCCATAAAATTATTTTTTTTCTTTATAAAATTTTATTATTGTAAATGAGGACTAAATAATTTATTTAACTAGAAACGATCAAAATATAAATGTGCTATACATGGTAGACTTTTAATTAAACTAAATTTAGAGTATATATACGTTTAGTAAAATGCAAAGACCAAGCTTTTGGTTAATTCAAGGATCTATTAATCGCTATTAACCTTATCCATTAATTGCATAAAGTGATATTATTTATATTTATTTTTCCATGACTAACTGCTAACCATTCTCTATTAAAAAAAAATAATTTATTTATTAATCAGTAAATTTATAGGATTCATTTTAACGTTATCCTTCTATAAATTATTAACAAACTGGAGAAATATTTATTTTTTATGAGTAGCTGATATATATATATTCTTTTGATTTACAATAAAGCACTCTTCTTAATATAGGAATAACCTATCCAACTATTAATAGTAATTACTAACCATTAATTTTTAATCAACAATTTGTGTTTTATTATGACCAAAATTACTTTTACACTTTTGATATGTAAAAAAAAAAATATACTCAAATAACGGCAGCTACTAGCTTTACTCTTTACTAAAATGCTGAAATTGACTTTTATGCAATAGATAATTAAAATTAGTATATAAAAAAATCTGAAAGTATTTTAGATGTAAATAATTAGATAATAATTAAGAATAAACTTGAAAATAGTAATTATTTGGGAAATGTTTCTACTGATGACAATACATTAATTCACTTTTTTTAATCTCAAAATGGAATATTTTGGCATCTAAATTTACTTAATTATCCATTTAATATTTACAACATCTCATAAAGTCAAATAATATAAGATATTTAACTCTAATAAAACCGAATAGCAATTTATGATAATTCAACTAAAATGTTAATACTAATCAACACAGTTAAAATTAATGGAATAAGAAGCTTTCAATTTGACTTAAAATTTGATTTTAAAATTTTTATTTTAAACTGGGAACCTCTTTCTTTTGCCTTTATAAGTAATAACACGATTTATTAATTTAATGAATTAGACAGTCAATAAATATAAGCCATTTATCAGATATAATCTAACATAATAATGTATGAATACTGCTCATAATAACAAGTAATAGTAGTATAAACAGCTGATTACTAATTATTTTCTATTAATGTAATTTTTTTTTAATTTCTCAATATTTAAATCATTTTAATTATTGAATACTAGTTTAAGAATAAGACAACAGTTCCTATAAGTCCAAAAAATGATAATCCAAAAAAACAGATACTTTTTAATTTAAAATGTGAACAGAGCTTGGTTATAATATATTATTCTTATATTTAAATATATGATTTAAATACTGGAATTCAAAATGATAAGTTTAATTGGGTAAATTTATTAAATTTTTTCTTATTGCATAATTTCAGGCACAAAATTATTTTTTTTTATTTGAAAATAACCAAATAATTTTTTGAAAAACCTAAATCAATAAATAACTAAAATACCTTAACCCCTCATTTTTATTTTTTGCATATTTTTTAAAGTTTTATTCTAAATTTCTTTAAAAAAATTTTTAAATCTTTCCTTAAATTTTTTAATAATAAAGCTTTATATGAAGAATCTACAATAGGTAACACCATTAGTAGATATTTAAGGCCCATTATTTGTTAGTTTTAATAAATTTAATGTCAATTAATTCAAATATGGATAATTTTCAAGCATTGATTACTTGTTTGATTACAGATAAGATGAAACTAATTTGTTTTATGATTTTGATAATAATATATTAATTGGAGTAACTGGAACACTCAAGTAGATTAACACTATAAATATACCAGGAGATATATAATTATTTACTTATTAGACAGTAAGCTAATTTTCTAAAAACGCTTTTTTCTATTACCAAGAGAAAAATATTTTACTTCTAGTTGATTAAACTCCAATTATGTATTTTTATAACTATTTAACAAAAAATATAACTCTTTATCAAATTGAAGTATAAAATACTTAAGGAATTTTAATAGACAAATATAAAAATATAGTTTTCTTATATTCAGACTTTTATATTTCAGCTTTTGAATATTCTACTATGAAATTGATTGAAACATTTACACAGCCATACAATTTAACGCCTATTTAGAGTGTTTTTCTCGATACAAATCTATCTATATTAACAGTTTTAGCCTTAGATAAAGTTATTACTTTTGATTTAACAGAAGTTCTTTATGCGAGTGAGGTAAATCTCCTTCAGTATCAAAACATCTAAACTTTAAATATAAATAGCGAATATTAAGTTTATTATAACATAGTTAATCTCTCTTTAAATTTATATTAAAATGCAAAATTAATTGATACCTTATTATTTGAGCCTTCTATCTATAATGTTTATCCTTATTTAGCATAGCTAATTAAGATAAACGATAACAACTTTATCTATATTTAATTCGAGAATTTAAATTTAATCTAATTTGATTAAGAAAAATAATAATTAACTTTAGTAAAAACAATCAAATTAAAAAATTTACCTGATAACTTTTTTTATGATAAAATACAAAACTAAGTTCTAATTTTGTATGAGAATAGCTATCAACTAACCAGTTTGAGTTTAGAAACGAAAAATTCTGCAGAGGTTAATCTGGCTAACTTTACTGACGGAGATATTTCTAACTCTTTAATATATTATTAATATATTATAATTCCTTCTACCTATATGATTTATACATTTGATTTTATTAAGTAAAAATAAAATCAAATTGTATTTTAAAATTCACTTTAAATTTAATTTGTTTTCAAACTTCAAGTTAAATTATTTTAGAATTACTCTAATTAATGGTGGAATATCCCTTACGAATACGAAGAAAGATATAACATTAATGACTCATATCAATAACTTCTTATTTGTGTTATAGCTAAAGAAAATACTTTATTTAATATATTTATAACCCAATTAGATAACTAATAAATAAAATACAGCTATTCAATTTAAGACAGTATCATAACAAATGCTGTCAATGATCCTTTCCGCTAATTAATATTTTTAGTAAATAACTTAGGATAGACTCTAGTATTTAATTACAGCTTAAACTTAATAAAAATAATATAAAACTCTTGCTTAAAGTAAGCTAAGATTTCTTTTGATTCCTATTTCATTTACTCTATATGCCCAAATGATATCATAATTTATAATGGTTTAAGCTTCTAGTAGTAGTACCCTAAAATTCAATCAGGTTTATAAGAAGTGACAAATATAGTTAACATCTAATATGATAATTTATTTATTATCACATAAAAATTTAGTTCTTTACTAGTAAAATTGAGTTTTGATTCCTAGTACGAGCTCCTTTAAATTATTGAATAAGAAGGTTTGTAACTTTCTAATGTTGATATAAACAAAGATTCAAATAATAACATCTTTCTGGAAATGCTATTTTCTTCTTATCAAAATATAATCTACAAGATAATACCTTTGTCTAAAAAACAATCTTGTAATATAGAAATTATTTAGTAAAATAGACCTTTAGAAAACATTTATTTTCAAATTGAACTAAGTAATAGTCTTAATACTTTATAAAGTAGTTAGGAAAAGCTTTCAGTTTTTAAAATGAATTACTTAGATCAACAATATATTTAAAGCATTGATTTAGACAGTATCTAACAAAAAAATATAGATCCTAATAAACCACTTTCTTTAGTTATCTAATCTAGCTTAATAACTAACAATATTTATTGGTAGAAAAATCTAACTAACTCACAAAACATTAGAAATGTATTAATAAACAATATGAGCTTAAATATAATTGATAGTATTGTCTTAAACTAAAATGCTTAAATGAAAAATTTCCAGATGATTGACATAATATTAAATATTGAGAATTCTCTTAATATTTCCAATTTTGATTAGGTTTATCTTTAAAATATAAAATTCAATAGTACAAAGCTTGGAAATAATCAAATAATTATTTCTAACAATAAATTAGTAATTATTGAAAACATTACCATTGATAGCATTTAGACTGAATAGCTGACATTTTATTTATCAGATAATGTCAATTTGGTCATAAAGAAAATAATCATTAAAAATTTAAGTAAAAACAACATTTTTTAGATCTAAAACAATCAATACGTTGATATATAAGATATCTAAGTAACTGATGCTAGCTTGATTTCAGTTTTTTAAATTTCTCTTTGCTAAAAATTAAATATCACAAATATTTATTTAAATTAAATAAATTCTACTTAATTATTCTATCTATAAGGGGTTACTGAAATTTAAATTTAGCAAATTACTGTAAATAATAGCAATTAAATTAAAATATTAACAATAGAGCCATTTTACTAAAAAAATGTTTATTATATTTGCCTATCTGATGTAATATAATATATCAGTGTTTTAAATTCTTAAGAAATTTCATTTAATATTTAGGCCTCTGATACTTCTATATCTGATTTTTATATTTATTAATCATCAATATCAAAAATTTGCTTTTAAGTATAATCGACATATTTAACAATTAAAAATTTCAAAATCGAAGAAGTACAACCATAAGTAGACACCACCTCAAAATAAAGTTAATATATTAATAATAATAAATATGTTTTATTATAGATTGTTGGCTTCTAAAATTGCACCATAAATAACCTAACATCTTTGAATAATTAAATAACACTATTTTCAATAAATTAACAACCTGATGATGGTGGTAATTTTATTATGAGTTCTTCAAGGCTTTCTGGATAAGAGATTAATGAGCCATTAATTGAATTGAATTTCGTAGACAATATACTTTTTAATGAAGTTTTAATAGAGAATAATGAGTTAAAGTAAAATTCCTATACATCAATAGTATATGCGAGCTAATGTAATAATATAACAATAAATAATAGCCAATTTCAAAATAACACTAATTTTAATGGACTAGGAGGTTCTTTGTATGTTTTTAATTGTTTGCATATTTTGATATAGAATTGCAAATTTAAATAAAATAAATGCTTGAGATTAAATGGTGGAGCTATTAGTATTTAGAATTTGGTTAATATTGCTTAAGTATATATATATAAATGTTCATTTATATTTAATTCAGCTGCATTTTCAACTGGTGGAGCAATTAATTTGTCATATTCAAATTTGATAATAGAAAATTCTAATATTACTTCTAATACTGCGCTTATAGGAGGTGGGATTTACTATGAATAAGTTATACCAGATTTTTTATTAGAAAAATCAAATAATACTGATAATAATAAAAATAAAATCATAAACAATAATGCTAAAATTTTTGGTCATAATATAGGCTCAACTATTAGGAAAATAGATATTGATTTATAGAATATTAAAATACCAAATGGAAGTGTAAAATTTTTGGGTGAAAGACAAATAGAAATAAGAGAGTTTAAAAGTGGAAATTAAATTTCTTTTGAAGGTATATAATTACTTGATGAAGAAAATAATCCAATATTGACGTCAAATATAAATATAACTGAATTTTAATTTTACAGCAGTGATGTTCAAAGCTTTGTTTAGTCATTATCTGTATCTTTGAATTGGGATTAGTCAAATAAAAAAATATAGGTGATAGGATAAGTATAATCTAAACAATAAATTAACAACGGAATTAACTTGCAATCTCAGATTATGTATATTCCTTAAAGTATTATGAGCCTGTAAATAGTTTTAGATAGTTTACCTAAATTAATTGACTCTAAAGGGAATATTTTCTTTCATTAAGATTAGTTTTAAAAAAATTTTACAATTAATTTCATTTCTTGCTCAATCGGAGAAATAACAACTCAATAAATTGAGTCTATAATTTGCCAAGAGTGTCCATAAGGAAAGTATTCTTTAGATTAATACAGCACCTCTTGTAAATAGTGTCCTGATACTGCTAAAGAATGCTATGGTTCTACAATAAACTTAATGAATGGATATTGGAGAGAAAATAATAAAACTGATATAATAGTATATTGTAATAAAAATCCTGAATTTTGTTAAGCTGAGTCACCAGATTCAAAGGTAATTTTTTTTCCTTTAAAAACAGGGTTTTTAATAGAGTCATGAAAATATTTAGGATCTTCTGATTATAAATATTTGATGATATTTATTATTTTAAGACCTTTGATGATATAAAATTGAAGAAAAAAATAATTTATCTGTTCATTTTTCACTTTTTATTAGAACCTTTCTTTAATTTAAAAAATATATTTATTATCAAAGTTTATAAATAAAAAATATTCACTTACTTTTTTATTTTAATTTCTTTTGATAATTATTTATTTTTGTATCATAGTTCATGTGTTTACGTGGACACATAGGCCCACTTTGCGAATAGTGTGATTCATATGGAGTAATATGGGGAAATAGATACTCTTAAATATTTAGTTCTGATGCATGCTATGATTGTAATGATAGTGTTTTACTTATCGCTTTTGAGAATTCTCTAATATTTTTACTTGTCTTTTTGTATATTTTTATTATTTTAATTAAAATCATCTAAAAAATGCAATCAAAGATTATTGGTTATTTTTTGAACAAGTCAGAAATCTTATTTTTGGGATCAACATGTAACTAATTATAAAATATATCTAGCTAACATAACATAATCATTAAATTATTATTAATAAACAGTAAGACTATCAGATAAACCTTAAATTATAACTAAAATATTAACTGATCACTTTTAAATGCTTTCATTACTGAATTCATTTTCAATAAATATACCTATTTATTTTAAATTTCCGGTTCTATTATATGGAAATTCACTTAGTGTTACAAGCAAATCTTTTGATTGCATTATATCCAAATATTTAATCCTGCAGCCTTTATGGTTCTATTAAACTTTATTTTCATTAGCTTAACCTATTTTAGTCCTTACTTTTTATATTTTACTGGCATTAATATTTAAACTGATAAAAAAAGATAACTTTTTCCTGAATTATTTAAGAACAGCTTTAATTTTTACATATCTTTACTTCTTCCCTATGGTAGTTACTCTCTTAAGCAGATCTATAAATTGTATACAAATAGGTGATAAGTACTATTTAGATCTTGATTATAATATTGACTGTATGGATTCTAAATATCATTAACCCTATGTAATTTACTTCTCTCTACCTTTACTAATAATTTGGGCTTTAATAATACCTTTATTCTTATTCAGAAATGTTAGAAATGGAAAAAAATAAAAATGGTCTATTTTCAAAGAGGTTAAATATTCGTTTGTATTTGCTGGATTCAAAGATAAATTTTTTTATTGGGAATTTGGCAAACTATTTTATAAATCACTATTAATATCAATTTCCATATTACTACAATAAAATTAATAGTTAAAGGTAAATATAATTTAAAATTTAAATAAAAATCTATTAAAATTTTTAATTTAAAATATTTTTTTAAAATGTAGACCTCATTGATGAATAGTATTATTTTATTGTGGATATGTATAATCTTTAAATCAAATCCTTATACTGTTAATGACTTTAATAATTTATTATAGAAATCAGCCATTATAACCTCGATTTCATTGAATATATTATCTATATTAGACAATAAGTTAACTGATTAGCTATTTTAAAGAACCATTTTCACTTTGGCTTTAATCTTTGTAAACTTAATGTTTATTTTGTAAATAGCTTAAAGATTATTTACAAAAACCATTCCTTTTGACTAAAATGAGAGAAATGTAATTCATAATATTCTGTATTATCTAAAAGTTAAATATCCACGATTTTTTAAGAATATTTAAATTGAGAATAAGCTAAAAATTTAATCTCTCATCAAGTTAAAAAATGTAAAAAGAAAAATTAGAATGCTTGTACAATATCTCAAAAATTATGATTTTTATAATCAAGAAAGTATTCAATAACATTTCGGCCTATCAAAAGCTTTAGTAGATAATAGTAGCTCTTAGCGATTTCAAACTTCAAAATTTGCACTTTAAAAATTCAATCAAATTTTTAGTAAAAATTCTTAAAGAAAACTAAATTAAAAGTCCAGCTTGAAGAAAAAATTGTCATTTTATTCAAGAGCTACGAACTAAAGCCCTTTAAGTAAATAAATTTAAGTATATTAAAACTCAAACTAATTTTTAAAATTTAATAATAAGTTAAAGAATAATAATAAAGTATACAGACTGATAAATCTTAAGAAAATATTTTTACTATTATTTCACCCTAATCAGAAAAATGTGAGACAATCAACTTTAAAGATGAAATAGATTCTACTAACTATTGAATATATATATTTATTGGTAAAATAAAATCAATTACTTAGAAACGCTTTATCAACAGCAATTTCTTTATTAATTATATATTCATAAATTATTCTAAAATTATTGTATTCAAATAAAAAAATATTTTTATATAAAAAAATTATTTTTGCTGTAAATTCATAAAATTTAACATAAACGCTCTAAATAAAATAAAAAATAATTATTAATATAAGACCCTCACTTTAATCAGTCATATTAAACTTCAGAATTATTTTAAAAGAAATATTTCATTTATTTTTTAAGCAATTAAAATTAACTAAAACAATTTTTTTTATTGATTTTAAGTATCAAATAACATTTATTTATACAAATAATTATAATTATTATTCCTCTTCATATTTTTCTTTAAAGTGATTTCAAATAAATACATCAAATAATATTTTATTTTAGTCAAACAATACTCAAGTTCTAATTTTAAAAATTTATTAGATATGATTATAAATCTAATGAAAATTCTATTTAATAGACTCAATTTCTCAAAATTAAATCTCTACATATTTTCCCGTTTTTAATTATATTTTTATGAAGACACATAATTTAAGTGTTACAAAATATAAAAATAAAAGATGATATTAAAAACCCATAAAATTTTAAGAAATAATATACTATTTTAGTTGAGACTATTTGCTAAATTAAAATTTTAAATTACAATGTTGTAGTTAGCTATATATCAAAAAATATAGCAACTAAGGTGGAGCAAGTCATTGTACTAAAGATGTTTGTAATACCTTGATGTTCCCGCTGGGAGCAATAACAACAAAATTTCTGATTGGAAATAGTCATTAAACTAACTGGCTATTTCCTCTACACCTCTAAACTAATCAAACAAAATACTCTCTTCTCTGAACATTTTAAAAAAATAAAATAGTGACTAAAAATGATGAAATCTATTTGTTTTTTTTATTTTTGGCATAAAATATAATGGCTGTTTTGATTATATTGTAAAATTAGTAAATCATGAATGATATTGTTTATATTTAACTGAGCATTTTAATTTTTGTAAATAAATAAACTATTTTTAAAACTTAAGAAATAACTTAATAAACATTAATAGACAATAGTATATTTATTCTTAATTAAAAAAAGCTAGAAAGACAAAAAATAACTAAAATAAGGAAGAAGACAAACAGATACATTTTCATATTAATAAAATATAATTGTGGTATTAATAAAATTTATGCTCAAATAAACTTGAAACATGTTAATTAATTTCAAAAGAATTAATTTTGAAATTGAAAAATATTTAAGCAAATTGCTATGTATGATCTTAAAAGTTGTTTGTCAATAAATTAAATTTTCAAAAATTTATCAAATACATCAAAAGTAAAAAATATATATTAATTGATTTTAATAATTATCTATTGATTAATTTAAAACCCATAAAAAATAAAATTACTATTAACTATTTAATTTAGAAAGTTTTCGCATAACGAAAGACTTTACTTACCTGGCTGGAGTTAGCTATCGATCATGAAGGGTAGCGGCTTAGGGTGGAGCAGGTCATTGCACAAAAGATGTCTGTAATACCTTATTGTTCCCCGTGCGGGGAACCGAAACAGCACAATTTCTGCTAGGGGAGACGTGCACTTAGTGCTGTCTCCGCTCACACACCCCTTAATTAATCAAACAAAAAAAACTCTTTTCTTCTTTTAGATTAAATCTTCTTTTCAAATTAAATAAAGTAGAATTAAAAAATATTTTTCAAAATTTAATAAGGCATTATAAAACCAACACAAAAAAATTAATTTATTCTAATTATAAAATATAATAAGCAATAAGAAAAAAAATAGCTTCAAAAATAAATAAATCAAACGAAAAAAAATCATAAGAAAAGTATTTATTTATGTCAAGGAAATATATTGTTCTTCTTCTTTTAATTCTAGACGTACTTTTTTTAATTACTAGTTATCTTACTTTTTATTTTTCTTTACTTCTATCATAATTTTTAATTAATTAATTAATTAATTTTTAAAATCTGAAATAATAATCAAATTAAAGCAAACCCATAAAATAATAAATCTTAATTAATTATATAAGCAAAAGGTCTTTGCCAAACGAAAGACTTTACTTACCTGGCTGGAGTTAGCTATCGATCATGAAGGGTAGCGGCTTAGGGTGGAGCAGGTCATTGCACAAAAGATGTCTGTAATACCTTATTGTTCCCCGTGCGGGGAACCGAAACAGCACAATTTCTGCTAGGGGAGACGTGCACTTAGTGCTGTCTCCGCTCACACACCCCTTAATTAATCAAACAAAAACCATCTCTTTTCTTATTAAATATTTAATTTTTAAAAATAATTATTTTAAATAAAACAAACAACAAAAAAAAAACAAAACAAAAAACAATATTTCAATAAAGACTTTAATTTTTCCATTCAATAAAATTTTAAAACAAGAATTAGTTTGTTTTTTAAAAAATAATCAGTATTTTTTCAATGTACATTTCTTTATACATTACTAACTAAATTTAGTAAATATATTAATTAAAATAGAATATTAAGAAATACATTTAATATATGAATATTATTATTTGTTTGAACTTAAATTATTATTTTTACTTCTAAACCTAATTTGCGTTTAAAAAATCTAAATCATAAACTAAAAAAGCAATTCAATAAATATTATTAGAGCTGAGATAAAAGATTTACTTCATTAAATAGCTAATTATTAATTGAAATTTAATTGTTAATTTGTAAATCTAATAAGTTTTTAAATATAATGAAAGTATTATGAAAAATAATAAAAAGAAATATTTAAAAGTTTATTTAATAAATAAAATATTTTATTTCCATAAATTAATTAAGATTTATTTTTAAATAATTAGAATTAATATATTCATTAAATAGCATTAACAATTAATAAATGAAGATGCTGCATTTTATTTTATTATTTTAATTAGTCACAAATATAAATTTTATTATAGATAATTACATAAATGTTTTTCCTTTTTATCAAGCAAATTATTCTTAGCCACCAATCAATTTTTTTTCTTCATTTAGAATTGCTTTGATTTTTTAGATTTTTTTGTTTAGATTTACTTTGTGATATGCCTTATTACTATAATCAATTAGTTTGTTTACTTTATTAATAAGATACGTGATATTTCTTTTTATTTTTTAAACATTTATATAAAAAAAGAAAAAAGACATAAGCTTTATAAATAAAATTTAAATTTATTTTATTTTATTATTAAAATTTTTTTCTTTTTTTTTTTCACCTGATTACTTTTTAAACTCACGCATTTTTTTAGTTGAAAAAATGTGTAAATTGATAGAAGAAAAATTTTATCTCAATTTATTATCAAAAATTTAATTAAATCTAACAAATTAATTGAATTTTATGTAAATTCCAAAAAATAAAGTTATCATGCAAAAAAGTCGATATATAAAATATATTGAATGGTATTCTGTAATCTAATGTTAATGTCATTTAATAAATTTGTCTTATTAAATATTGTTCACGAATCTAATTGTTTTGAAAAAATAATTAAATTCTGTATTGAAAATGAAAAATTTTTCATTTGGAATCGAGTAACTCCTCTGGCTGATTAATTTAAAGGCATGACATTAATTAAAAAAATAATAATTATTATTAAAACAAGATTTAACACAACAAAAATTTAAGTTTACAAAGCATACAATGTATTTTTTAGCTCTAATATTACTTCAAATAAAGTTTCTAACAGGCAAGACTAATAAATTATGAATTAACATAACTAAAACTTAATTTAAAAAAAGGTACTTGGCTCATAAGTCAAAAAAATTTAGCACCTGGGTTTGCGGGGACTGATGGGTGGAATATTGCAGGATATGATCCTTCTCTTTGTCCAAATGGTAGAAGCATCTGTGCAGGAACAATAATTTTAGGAGGCTATGGGTGCTTTGGTGTTGGAGCTACAGCTACTTAAACATTCTTAATTGCTCATCATTGGCAAGTTAAAGTTGATATAAAATTTTGGATGATCGATTCGTAAGCTTTTATTTAAAAAGCTTAAAGGTTAAGAGCATTTAAACATAATTTAGGTGGGATTGGGAATATCTCGTAGTTGATTTAGGAGATCTTCATACTTCGCAATAGAGGTAGTTATCATCAGGTACTTAAATATGTGGAGCTTCTTGGAATGATGAAATAAGAGATGTGAGCGTTACTAAATAGAATCACTATGAAAGAAATATTTAAGTAGTATTTAGCTCTACACTTGATTAAGATCCTACAGATGAAAGTTGGGGAATAACTGAGTAATATTTATTTATTAATTCATATTTCGTACTAAACATTATCCACGACAATTAATACTCACTTTTTACTATCAATTTAGTTTTACTATTTCTGTTGAGCCTTGCAATCCTACTTGTAATCGCTGTTAAGGGCAAGATGCTTTCTGTAATTATAATTTATTTTTAGAAAAAAGTGATTTATCAATTATTCTATCTATCAAATCATACGATTTGGGTTTATAAATGCAAAATTTCAAAAATTATAAGAAAAACTAATTAGTTAATTAATTAATTAATTAATTAATTAATATACTTGATCATATTTTATCTATTTGATAAAAGGAAATCCAAGGTTTATTAAAATCTTTCCAAAACCAAAAAATTAAAAATTTAATGTAAAAGTTTATACTTGTTTTAAAGAATGAGAAGTATGGTTCATTAATAAATTATTCACAAATTTAAGAAGATATTTAGAAAATATTTATTAAAATAGTATGTATTGATTGCTGGCCTAATGCTCAATTTATAGCATACCAGAATGGATTAGGATTTTGTTAATGCATAGATGGATTTTATACTGTTTCTAAAAATGTTCCGTGCTTAGATCCTATTTGTTCTCAATGCCTTCCTTGTAATGGTACTTGTGAAAGTTGCTCTGCTGGAGATTAATATTCTTGTATAAAATGTAAACCTAATTTATACAAATAATACTATGGGGCATATGAAGTAAATAATAATTTTAGTGATCCTAGATATTAGAAAACATTATGCTAAAGCGATTGTTTTGCTTAAAATTACTTCAAAGATACAGTATCTAGATAGTGTTTGAAATGTTTTTCTACATGTTAAACATGTAATGGCTAATTGGAATATGATTGTACTTCATGTATAAATGGCCTTTACTTGGATGGTGCTACCACTGGGCAATGTGTATCTAATTGTAGTACTTCATATTATAAAGATGATACAGATAAAAAGTGTAAAAAATGTGATTCTAACTGCCTACAATGTTTGGATAATTAACCAACCTTTTGTAAGTTTTTAGATTATTTAATTTAATTTTTAGCAAGATCATTAATAAAAACAATAATAAGATCAAATAAAAAACCTATGAAAGCAACATTTTTTAAATGTATAAAAATTTAAATAACAGTAACAAATTAAAATTTAAAATAAATCTTTAAAATTATTTATTTGTATTTTTTTATACTCTAAAAATTAATTGCTTATTCATACAATTAAATAGTTAAATTTAACTTTTAAAAACTAAAAAAATAAAAATCAATTATTGAAAATCAGGTTCTAAATGTGTAAATGGAAGTTTTTTGACAATAAATACTGGTAAGTGTGTGGCAGATTGTGGAATTGGTTAATGGGGAAGAAGTAATGATTGGTCTTGTTAACTTTGTGATAATACATGCTATACGTGTGTAAATAACGCTCAGAATTGCACTTCTTGTACTGGGATTTATTATTTTTACAATAATTAATGCATAATTACATGTCCAGGTGGGTATTACAAAGGTAGTAATAACACTTGCTAAAAATGTGATTAGTCTTGCAAAACTTGTGACAATGGTTCAAACATGGATTGTTTGAGCTGTTCTCCTTCTTATGGATATTTGAAGGATAGACAGTGTATTTCATGTCCACCTTAATTTTATGGTGATTCTTAAGACTAAACCTGTAAGCCTTGTAATTCCAGTTGTTACACTTGTGATGCCGGGAATAATACAGATTGTTTATCTTGTGTGACAAATTACTTAGAAGACAGGTAGTGTAAAGTTATGTGTAAAGATGGATATTGGGGAAACAGTGCAACTCACACATGTGATAAATGTGATAATAATTGTCTTACCTGCAGTCCATACGGTCCTGCTATAGACTGCTAAAGCTGCTCATCTCCTCTTTTCTTAAAAAATAAAAGATGTGTAAAATCTTGCGATCCCATAGGAGAATATGGTGATTAAAATACAAGGTATTTTTAATAGTTCTCAACTTTATTATTTATTAATTTCTTGATTTATTGATAATAATTCTATTAAATTTTAAAAGGATGATTAAAAATTTATTTTTTAAATGAAAAGAAATCATTATTTTATAAATCATTTTGTAAATAAATTTTCATCCTTTAATTTTCAATAAACTAATTTAATAATCTATAAATAAATAAATGTAAAGGTAATGTACTGCATGTGATACAACTTGCTATACTTGCATTTAAAAAACAAATACTGATTGTACTTCTTGTACAGGCTCACGATATTTTTATATTAATTAATGTTTGACCACTTGTCCTGGTCCTTCTCAATATGGTCTTAATAACAAATGTACTAACTCATGTCCTAGTAACATGTATGGAGATGATGGCACTAGATTATGCACGCTATGTAACCCAATTTGTCCCACTTGCTTTGGATCTTAGACAAGTCAATGCAAATCATGTGCTGTGCCTTATTATTTAGAGGGTAGCACATGCGGACTAACTTGTCCTTCGAATAAATATTAAAATAACAATAATAGAGAATGTAGTCCTTGTAATTCAGGTTAAAAAAATTATTATTATTTAGTATTTTTTATTAAACATATTTTAATCATTAATTTATTAGAGTGCTTAGAGTGTAACGGAGGAACAAACAGCGATTGTACTAAGTGTGATCCTGTTAAATATTTTGGATCTAATAAATGCTTTACTTCTTGTCCTCCTCCATATTTTAGTAGTACAACTACTATGGAATGTGTTCTAAAATGCCCAAAAGGTTACTGGGGAGACACAAATGATCCTTAAAGATTATGCTAACTGTGCCACCCTTAATGTGAAGAGTGCTTTGGTGGAACATTTGATAAATGCACTAAATGCAAGGTTAATTTTTATTTGTTCCAAACTACATGTGATAGTTGTCCTATCAACTATTTCCCTAATACATAGACAAGAACTTGTGATTAGTGTTTTACTACGTAAAATAAATTATTCTAATTTATTTTATTAATTAACTAATTAATTTTAATAGTTGCAAGAGTTGTGATGGCCCTTCATCATCGAATTGCTTAAGTTGTAATTCAGATAGATACTATTTGGCAAGTAAAAAAGAATGTTACGATATTTGTCCAAGCCCTTACTTTTCTCATTTTACAAAGCCAGACTGCCTACTTACTTGTCCTGCTGATTTTACAAATTATTTATTTGGTAATCCTATAACAAGAAAATGTGAAAATTGCAATGAAGCATGTATCTAGTGTACTGGCCCAAGCAATCTTGATTGTGTTAAATGTGCAGCAAAATATTATTATTATTAACAAAGTAAGTATTAAATTTTAAAGAGTTTTAAATAGCTAATTTATGTATAAAAATATAGATAATAGCTGTTTGTTAACTTGTCCTGATAATACATATGCGGATTCAATTAGCATGAAATGTTTATCTTGCGATAAAAGTTGTGCTACTTGTAATGGAGGTACCCAATTTAATTGTACTTCATGTTTGCTACCATCAGTTCTATACAGTAATTAATGCATTTAAAATTGTCCAAACCCACTTTATAAAGATGAAGATTTAAAGTAATGTGTAGTAGATTGCACTTCTAAATTTCCAAATAAATATGCAGATACTAAAAATATGATCTGCAAATATTGTCATAAGTACTGTAACAAATGCACAGGACCTTCAAATACATAATGTTAAAAGTGTAAAAGCTCATATTTTAAATACAATAATAGTTGTATTGAATAATGTTAGCCTGGAACATATCAAGAAACAAAAAAATAGAGTGAAAATGATGATGATTGTAAAAATTGTAGTAGTGATTGTCAAACATGTTATGGGCCTTCTAATTAAAATTGTTTAACATGTAATTCATCTTTATACTCTTTAAAGAAAAACGATATCCTATTTTGCTTATCAGATTGCCCTGACTTGTATGTTAAAAGCATATAAAATAAATCTTGTTAGGTATGCCCATCTTCAACGTATTTCTTTTAAGGATAGTGCAAACGTAATTATTTTTTTATATAATTAAATTATTTGGAAAATAATAAGCTGAAATTATTTGATTATGAAATAAAATTTACTGATTTTATAAAAAAATAAAAATATAATAAAATGAAAATAAATTAAAAAGATTTTTATTAATTTTTATCATAATAGTTATTTCTAAATTTGGAATTTTATAAAAAACTGTTTTAAATTTTGAGGATTTACATTCTATCATTTGTGTTAAATAAATAATCAAATTTATGATGAATTATATAATAAATTTTTTATAATTATAATATTTAGAGTGTCATTATACTTGTGAAACTTGCTCAGGTTCTTTTTAAAATTAGTGTTTAAGTTGTGCAGAAACAAGAGGGTAAAACTCTTAGAAAACTCCTTATTAGGGAGTATGTTCTTGCTAGTCTGGTTACATAGAAACATTTGAAAAACTATGCTAATAAACTCCATCTTAAGTCTAAGGTCTTACGGTTACAACTTATGTGTCTTCAGTAACTGGAACAGTAGGATCGTTTTTAATAGGAGTTATTGGTAGAAATATGTTTTTTATATATAATATTTTGGAAATAGCTTAATTCACTAGCTATTTTAGATATATCAATTTTAATTATCCTGTAAATCTGGGAAATATTTTTGATCATTTTTATATATCCCAAATATCAACAGTGTTTGACTTAAATTCTCAACCTACAGCAAGTGCAGGCTAAAACGATTAAAATAAATAAAGTGTATGATATTTTTATTTTATTTATTTTTAATTCAAACTTTATTTTATCAAAGGGGAATACTAGAATTCTTGAAAATACTAGTTTTGATGATTACAGCTTCTTATTTTAATTGAAAGGTAAAGTCTTTCCTTTGTGGAAGAGTTTCTTCTTTTTAATAATATTAAATATATTTTCTTGGGTATTTGTATTTGGATTAAACCTTCTTGCAACACATTGGAAAATAAAATACAATTAAAGTCACTTTTTAGAAAAATTAAGAACATGGACAAGCTATGGATTACCTATTTAAATGTTTTTAAGAACATAAATGGAAGCTACATTATATTTTGTTTTAGTATTTAAATATCCTGGTGAAGCTGGAGTTTTAGATTGGATATTTTCTGTATATTTCTTAGTCTTATTATTAGCTATTGTTTTTGTTATGATCAATTAAAATAGAAAATAAATTAACTTAGATGATTCTGGTGAGCCTGTCATTTATTACAAAAAAATTGTAAAAAGTAAAATAGCGAATGGTTAAATATTAAAGTAAGAAGATTCTCAAACGTATCCTCATCCTTTTAGAACTCTTTGGCAGTTTACCAAAAAAGATAAAATTTCAAGAAATTATTTCTTGTTTAACTTAATTTTTAAATTAGTATTAGTAGTATTAGTTGTAGAGCTTATTTAAAGTCCTGATAAATAAATATTATCATTTGCTATTATAAAAACAATATTCTTCATTTTAATTGTATCAATTAGACCTATGATTAGCATTTGGTATAATGCAGTTATTATTTTTAATGAATTTTTCTAAGCAATATGCTGTTATTTGATTTATATTTGCATTAAAATATAACCAAACAGCTAAAATTCTTTAGGATATTCAATTCTAGTAATATTGTTTTTATTATTCCTTGTAAACCTGATAGGGACATTAATTAGTCTAATTTTTATATTGAAATTGTTGATTGATTCAATTGTTAAGAAAAAATCTTCTACCACAACTACAACTTAAGTTTAAATCAAAAAATAGACAAGGGTAGAAGCCTTAAATAAAAGCTAAAAGTTAGATTTATTTGAGTATGAGACAAATAGAAAAGCAAAAAAAGAATCCTCAAGAATATTAGATAATTCTTCAACAGTTTAAATGCAAAAAGATAATAATTAGGATGATTTTGATCTATCAAGAGTTAACTAAAATGATTCGTTTTACTAGTATGATGTTGACAATCCTTTCTAGTTTTTATAAGTGTAACAATCTCAAATTTAATAAATAAGAAAGCATAAAAAAGCAAAAAAATTTGCAGATAATTCAGAGATTTAAAATAATAAAAAGTAAAATTAAGAAGATGAGTATTATCAAAGTTAACAAAATTCAAATGGTAGTATCTAGAAGCAAAATATAAAAGACAAAAACATAGATTAGCAAAATGATATTATAGATGTTACTAAATAAATTAAGGAGATAAATGAAAAAGAGAAAAAGTAGTCTAGTCCAGATAATAAAATTAAAGAGTTTACAGATGATTTTTAAATTATAAATGATTATTCACAAACAAACAAATAAAATCTAAGATAAAATTAAGATATTAAACACTAAACTGATTTTAAAGGCAATTAAATGCCTAATTCTGAAACACCAGCAACTTAGTTTATACCCAACACTCCTTCTCCTTTACCTTTTACTTATAAAATGTAAATAGAAGAGAGTAAATAATTCATTACTCCTACTCCAGACAGTTTTGCTATTTCAAATAATTGTTCTCCTTAACTATTAAATGAGTAATTAGGAGATTTAGAAATAAATAAGGAAACAAAAGATGGCCAGTAAAACTAAAAATAGATAAAATTAAATCCTAATATTTAGAAAAACTCATAACTATTAGTAAAATTTAATAAAGTTGAAGAGCAATAGGATTTTAATTAATAAGAATAAGAAATAAGTGATAAAACTTAATAAGAATAAACTAATTTAAATATTATTTCATTTTTAACCGAAATAACTGGATCTAAGAAAAAGAATAAAAAAGCAAATCAAAAATAAGTTTTAAAATTGTGAAATAAATAAAAATAATTATTGTAAATAAAATAAATTATTGACTCACTCATTTATTTTTGTGTATCTGTTAATTTAATTTTGTATTTAACATTTTTTCAATTTCAATTCTAAGTTTTAGTTTGTAAAATTGTATTAAAAATTCTTTATTTTATATTTTTCTAAAGTAAAAATTTTAAAATCTAAATTAATTGATAAAACCTAAATAAAATTAATGCCAAATTTTAAAAATAAAATTATTGATACTAAAATCTAGGTCAAAAAAAATGTGGGAGACCTTATATTGAGAAATTAGAGATAAATTATTTTTTATCAGAAGTTGTAAAGTATGAAAATTTTCTTTTAAATTTAAAAATAAATGTTTTGATACATTTTTAAAATATTTTGAAATTTTAGAACTATTTATGACAAACATCAATTAATACTAGTATCTTATTTTATTAAAGATTTCATACATAGAATGAGTAAAAATAATGTACTCTTTTAGTTTTAAGAAGTAATATAAATAAATATTTTTATTAATTTTTGAATACTTTATATTTAAAATAAAATGTAGCTAACTCTATTTCACCTTTTTTCTCAAAAATTTGCAAAGAAGAGAATAAAATATTAATTACACTTACACCAGATAGTTTTATCAATTCTTAAAATTGTTCTCCTTTACTATTAAATGATTGATAAGTAGATTAAAAAACAAAAGAAGAAAAGTAAAACTAAATGCAAATAAAATAAAATCTTAATACCTAGAAAAATTCCTAATTTTTAAATAAATTTAACAAAATTGAATAACAGTAAGATTTTAATTAATAACAAAAATAAGATGTAAATAATAAAGTTTAGTAAGTAAAAAATAATATAAATATTATTTCATTTTTAGCTAAAATAACTGGTTCTAAGCATACCAATAAAAAAGCAAATAAAAAATAAGTGTTATAATTTTTAATTAAATAAAATAATATTGAAATGCTTATTAAAATGACTGATTTATCTTTGTTTCACTTTCTACATTAATTTATTTAATATTTGTTATTTTACAAGTTTAGTTTTTTCTTAAATAAATTCAGAAATTAAGTTTTTTTTTAAATTATTTTTTTTTAATTAATTTTCAATAAAACTTTTTTTTAATTCAAAATCATTATCAATAATAAAATTCAACTTTAAAAAAATTTTTATTATATTAAATAAATTAAAATGTAAAATCTTATTATTAAATGAAAATTTTTAATAAACAAACAGTAGAGCAATATATTTTATTAATCTAGTTTGATTTGTCTAATTTAAATAAAATTTGGATTTTAATTTTTAAATTACCTTAATTAATTAATATAAAAATGAAATAATTTATAGATACGTTAGAAACTAAAATTACACTTTTTTACATTTAATGATTTGAGTAAATATAATAAATAATGCTATTTATTTTCTTAATATTTCTTTTACAAAAAATTATATATATTTTTTTAATAATTTTGAAGTATAATCCTTTTTGTGAATCATTTCACTTCTTTTTAAGGGGAAAAATGTATTTTTTCTATAAGGTTGTTGTTAAAAAATATTGAGGTGATTTTTGATTTGTTTTTATATTACTTTAATGATATTACACTAAAAATCAAAAGAAAATAATATAAATATTAATTTTAACCACTTTTGATTAAGAAAACTCTAATAATTAGTGGTATTTGATTTCTGAAAATATTAATACTACTGATTGATTGATAAATAAATGAAATTCCTAAAAAGTAAATAAACAAATTGATAATTAATTCAAGTAAAAAATAACAAATTAATTAAATAGAACAAAAAGAGGATTAATTAATTAGCTACAAATTGTAAAAAAAATAAAGCCAAAGAGATTTGAAATGAAATTTGTTTTTATAATTGTGATTTTTTTACTGAAAACTTTCAACTGTAAGATATATTGTTAGTTATTATTTTAATCATTTCATTATTAATTAAATTTAGGCCAGTATTGGTATTTGTTTGCTTAAAATTTGGGGAATGGTTTTTCTCAAACAGACGGTTGGTCAACAACAAATTCTTAATGCGATACTTCTTCGTGCAATAATTCAAATCTTTTAGGTGGTTCTAGTTGTTTTTAAGATCAAACAAAAGCTTTTAAAACTTTTAATAATCTACCCTAGCATTACTAAGTTAAAATTGATTTCACTTTATGGTTTCTTGGCCTGTAAATTGGTTTAATTTTTTATTATTCCTTCTCATAGATTAAATTTGTTTTTATAATTTTTAGTTATGATGGTGATTAAGTTACAGCAACAGTAGGAGGCACTTCTAAGTCTTACTAAGCATATTATGATTTTAATAACTATTATTTATGTGTTGATGGTTAAGACTAAACAAAGTAAGGATCAGTAGTCACTTCAGATTCTAATTTATCAATAAGCGTAACTTTTGAAGGGCAAATTAATTATTAATATTTCTCTTAAGGCTGGGGAGTAAGCGAGTAAATTAAATAGATACAAAAAAACTATTATTAATAAATCTTAATATTATAAAATATATAAATTAGCTTTAGTCTTTCTGTTTAGCTTTGTAATCCTACTTGCAATTAATGTAATGGAGTTGAAGCCTATTGTAAATTACTATTTTATTTGATCTATACAAATATCCTATAAAATAAATTAAAAAAATACCTTGAATTTAATTATGAAATTATTAATAATTACTATTTAGATAATAAATTATTATTACTATAATAATAAATTAGCTTGTATTTCTTGTTGGCCCAATTCTACTTTAGTCAATTATTAAGGTAATTCAGGATTTTGCCATTGTAACCCTGGTTATTATGCAGTAACTAAAGATATACCGTGTTTTAATCCTCCTTGTTTTTAGTGCAATTAATGTGATAGTTCATGTGCTACTTGTACAGCAGGAGATTAGTACTCGTGTGTAATCTGCGCTGCTAATAACTATAAGCAATATTATGGATCTGATTTAGTTAGTAATTCTGATCCAAGATACCAGAAATCTCTATGTTAACCTGCATGCTTTGCAGCAAATTATTACATAGACTAAGATAGTCAATCTTGTTTGAAGTGTGCAGATTCATGCTTAACTTGTAATGGATAGTTAGATTCTAATTGTTTAACTTGTCCTCCTAATTTTTATTTAGATGGATAAAGCTTTGGTTATTGCGTTTCAACTTGCAGTAGCTCATACTACAAAGATGACTCCACTATGAAATGCTTAAAATGTAACTCTAACTGCTTAGAATGCACTTAAAATCAACCTGATTTCTGTAAAAATTAAAAAAATATTATGGAATAAATAAATAATTAAATTAATCCCTTTATCAATCAATTTATTTGATTTGATTCTTAAATTAAGAGATGAAAATAATCAGTAAAAAATTAACATCAAATCATAAATTGAAAAATACTACAAGTATTATTTAAAACAACAATCAAATAAGCACAAATATTTCAAGTATAATACTTTAAATCATTAGAATTTTACCCCATTAATATTCAAAAAATCATTGTTTAGAAAAAAAAATTTAACCAATATGAGGGAGAAAAAGAAATTTCTGCAAAAATAGGAAAATTAATAAAAGATACCTTATATTTAATCCACTAAAAAAAAATTGTGATAATGCAATTTTTCTGAAATTATTTTAGAAGTTTAATTGGATTTTTATTTACTATTAATTTTAATTTATTATTGCACATAAACAAATTTGAATCAAATTTAATAGCTTTTATAAATCAATTAATTAAAATTGTTAGTTAGTTAGTTTCAAATCTTTTTTTAGGAATTTAGCTTATTATTTTGTTAAAAATAGGTTCTAAATGTACAAATGGTAATTATTTGACTATAGGTACTGGATTATGTGTGTCAGATTGTGGTTAAGGATAATGGGGCAGAAATACAGACTGGTCATGCTAGTATTGTAACTCTTCTTGCTATACTTGTTCTTAATCTGCAACAAATTGTACTTCTTGCACAGGAGTATTATATTTGTATAATAATTAATGCCTTAATGACTGTCCTGATGGTTATTATAAAGGGATTAATAATACTTGTTAGTAGTGTGATCCAAGTTGCAAGACTTGTGATAATGCAGGCAATACTAGTTGTTTAAGTTGTTCTCCATCTTACGGTTATCTTAAAAATGGAATGTGCATTTAATGTCCAATTTAATTTTATGGTGAAAATAATAATCAAACTTGCCAACCTTGTCATTCTAGTTGTTACTCTTGTGATGCAGGAACTTCATAAGATTGCTTATCGTGTTCAACTAATTTCTTATAAAATAGATAATGTATTCCTGTTTGTAGTGATGGATACTGGGGAAATAGCTCAACTCATACATGTGATTAATGTGATCCTAATTGTTTAACTTGTCAACCTCAAGGTCCAAGCACAAGCTGCTTAAGCTGTTCATCCCCACTTTTTTTAAAAAGTTTTACATGTATTTCTTCCTGCAATCCTATTGGAGAATATGGAGATACAAATACAAGGTAATCCAAATATAAGAAAATTATTATTATTTATTTTGCAAAAACATCAAAATTAATTAATTAATTACTGAAAATTCAGATACCAAATTTCCTTCAACAAATAACTATAAAAATTTATTTAAATATTTTTTAATTAATAACTTAAGAAAATGTACTCCATGTGATAATTCATGCTATACATGCAACTAATAAAATAATAACAACTGTCTTTCATGCACAGGTTTGCTTTAATTTTACTAAAATTAATGCTTAAATACCTGTTCACCTTCTTATTATGGGTATAATAATGTATGCCAAAAACAGTGTCCAAATAACATGTATCCTGATGACTCTACAAATTTATGTTAACCATGCAATCCAATATGTCCAACTTGTTTTGGATCGTAAACAAGCTAGTGCTACTCATGTTAAGATCCTTACTATTTAGATGTACACACTTGTGTTTTGTAATGTCCGTCTAATAAGTATAAGAATATTTAAAACTAAAAATGCGACTTATGCGATTTAAGTAAAAATTTAATTTATTTTTTGAAATTTGATTATAAAAATTAACTTTTAAAATGAATTTAATTTAATTAATTAAAATAATTTTGATTATTTAAATTTGCTAATCAATTCTTGCAGTAATAAAACTCATAAATTCTGAAAAATTTTAATTTTAAATTGGAAAATTAAAAAAAAATAATTAAAACTAATAATTTGAATTGATTTAATTATGAAAAAACTGTATTTTATTGAGCTTTTTACAAATAAAATGTCATTAAATTAAATAAAATATTTAAAAATTAAAAAATATAATTGTAAAAATAGCTTAAAAAACTATTAAATTTTTTTATTCAAATATTTGAGTAATGAGTGAAAAAAAGAATTAAAACAAGAAGAATTTATTTAAAGTAGTTTTTTTTTGTGATGATAAATCATAAGAATTATATAAAAAGTAATAAAATTGATTATTTTATAGGTTGCTTAACATGCGATGGTGGATCAAACTAAAATTGTACTTCTTGTAGTCCAACATTATATTTTGGGAATAATTAATGCTTTAGTTCATGTCTTACTCCTTACTTTAGCTCTACTGTTACTATGTAGTGTGTGCTACAATGCCCTGGAGGGTATTGGGGTGATGTCAATAGTCCTTAGAGATTGTGCTAACCTTGTAATCCCTAATGTGATCTTTGCTATGGCGGGACTTTTGCTTAATGTACTAGATGTTCTGCAAATTATTATTTGTTTTAAAACACTTGTGATAGTTGTCCTATTAATTATTTTCCAAATACAGATACCAGAAAGTGTGATAAATGTTTTCAAACGTATTCTTTAAATTTAATAATAATTTTAATATAATATCCTTTTTAAATAAATAAATAGGTGTTAAAGTTGTAATGGGCCATCTTCATCTAATTGCTTGAGCTGCAATACAGGGTATTTCTATTTGCCTGATACATAAACTTGCTATAGTGTATGTCCAATCCCTTATTTCTCTCATTTTACCTAGCCTAATTGCTTGGTATCTTGCCCAAATAACTACATTAAGCCTCTCTATGGTGATCCGAAAACTAGAGAATGCTTAATTTGTGATATCTCTTGTTAAAAATGCACAGGTCCATCAAACCTTAACTGCATTAATTGTGCATAAGGGTATTACAGTTATAGTTAAAGTAAAAAAATATTTCAAATTTAAATTATTTTCATAATAATATAATATACATTACTGATAAGAAAAGGGAGTGTAAAAAACAAAAAATTTTTAAAATGGCCATAATTTTCTTTTTTTTTAATTTTGTTTAAAAAATAAGCAGAAATATTTTAAATTGAAACAACCGTGCTGATTTTTATTTATTAAATTTTAACTAATTATCAGAGATTTCTTTCTACTAATATCAAGCTAAATAAGCTCAAGTTCAATTAAAAAAATATACCAATTATAACAATAATTAACAAGATTTAACAATATTTTGATATATATTTTATTTAAATCAAAATTAATATAAATTAATAAAAATTATTAATTAATTTTTCAATAAACTTCTTTTTATTAGATAAAAGTTGCGTTCTAACATGTCCTGATGGTACTTATGCAGATGCACAATCAATGTAATGTCTATCTTGTGACTCTTCTTGTGCTACATGCAACTAAGGATCTTCTGGAAGCTGCTTATCGTGTCTTTTACCTAGTGTTCTATATAATGGCTAATGCATTTAAAATTGTCCTAATTCTTTGTATAAAGATTTAGATTTAAAATAATGTGTTTAAGATTGTACTGCAAGATTTCCTAATAAATATCCTAATAAATCTGATATGACTTGCCAATATTGTAATCCTTATTGCTAATAATGCACAGGACCTCTTAGTACCTAATGCATAACTTGCAAAAATCCTTATTTAAAATTTAATACTTCATGCTTGAGTCAGTGCTAATAAGGAACTTACTTCAATAGCTAAAAAGTAAATAGCAATGACAATGACTGTAAATAGTGCAATCCTGCTTGCTTAGATTGCTATGGTCCTGAAAGCAATAATTGTGTTACTTGTAGTCCAACTCTGTATACTTTGACATAAAATGGATCCACTATATGTCTTTCTGATTGCCCAGATTTGTATATTAAAAACTAATAAAAAATGACATGTACTACCTGCCCTTAACTAACATATTTCAATTAAGGATAATGCTAGAGTATTTTTTATTAAAGCTTTACATTTTTTAAAAAATTTAAATATTTTTTAATCATAGAATGCCATTATTCTTGTTAATCTTGTTTTGGTTCTTTTTAAAATTAATGCTTAGCTTGCTAGAACACAAGAGGATCAGATTCTTCTAATAATCCTTTCTAGGGAATATGCTCTTGTTAATCAGGCTATATCGAAACATATTAAAGTGAGTGTGAATTAACACCTTAAAATGTTTCTGCTGCCACAAAGGCAACTTATGCATTTGCAATATCAGGAACAACAACTTCTATTTTAATTGGGATTTTAGGAAGAAATATGTTTTTTATTTATAATATTTTAGAAGCAGCTCAATTTACTAGCTTTTTAAAATATATTAACGTTAATTACCCTCTCAACCTTTAAAGTATTTTTGAGAAACTTTACATATCTTAAATTTCAAGCATAGTTGATTTGAATCCTCAATCTTCTTCTAGTACTAATTAAGCTTAAAGCAATAGCACAGTAATTTAATTTCATTCTTTTAAATTATTTATCATTTTTATAAATATTTATTTCAATTAGACCAAAAATAGGATGCTTGAGTGGAATTCCTATGAAAATAGTAATTTTATATTTGAAGTTTAAGGAAATAATTCTCCTTTGTGGTAGAGTTTCTTCTTTTTGATTCTATTGAATATCCTTTCATGGGTTTTTGTGTTAGGGTTGAATGTGCTTGTAATAAACTGGAAGATAAAATACAACTAAGTATTTCTGATTGAAAAATTAAGATGCTGGACAAGTTACGGATTACCTATTCAGACATTTTTGAGAACATCAATGGAGGCAATTTTGTTTATTGTTTTGTGTTTTAAACAAGCTTAATAATTATCAGCAGTAGACTGGATATTTTGTTTATATTTCTTACTTTTATTAGTTACAATTATTGTAGTAATGATCTATCAAAATATTTAACCTGTAAAGCTAGATTCAGAAAATTAATATGTAATATAGATACTCAAGCTGAAGAAAAACAAAGTTAATGATGAGCAAGCTTAAATTGAAAAAACTAATCAAACATACCCTCATCCTTTCAGAACTTTGTGGCAATTCACTAAGAATGATAAAATTTCTAGAAATTATTTTGTAATAAACTTAGTATCTAAAATATTTATTGTTGTTTTAACAGTTGAATTAGTATCAGATCCTTCTAAATAAATTTTATCAATAGCTATTATTAAGGCAATATATTTCCTGGTTGTTTTATTAATTCGACCAATGGTTAACTTCTTATTTAATTCTTTTATCATTTTTAATGAGCTATTGTTATCAGTAATATGCTTTTTAATTTTTAAGATCTCAGTTAGCTCGAATGAAGATTAAAATAACTATGGATTAGCAGTATTAATTCTGGTTTTAATCTTATTCTTATTGAATCTCTTAGGATCATTAATTAGCTTGATTTTTATACTGAAGAAACTTTTTTATTTATTTAAAAATAAAGAAAAAAATTAAAAACCCATTTAAATTTCTTAAGATGAATCGAGAGTTGATAATTTAAACAAATCCCAGCAAATCGATATGTTTAATTACGATTAGTAGTTAAGATAAAAAAAGGCATCCACAAATATAATAGACAATTCTTCAACAATATAGATACATAGAGACAATTAGGAAGATTTTGATTAGTCTAAAACTATCTAAAACTAAACAGTTTTTTAATATGATTATGAAAATCCATTTCAATTCTTAGAAATTTAATCTTCTGATAGATAAAACAACAAAAATATGAAAAAATCTAAAAAAAATGACTAGCATTAATAAAGTAGCCCTTAAATTAAGAAAAATTAAGAGGATCATATTGAAATAAATAAATTGGGAGATAATAAAATGAATGATTACGATGTACCTAATTAAGATAATACTGAAATAAACTATAGTGAAAATAATTAATAATAAATGTCTATCAAATAGTCGAGTTCAGATTATATTAAAAATAACTCTCATCCCAAATTGATGAAAGAAACTCTTAGCAATAAATAGCTACCAAATAATTATAAACAGTAAAGGTAGCAAAAACATTAAAAAGAATATCAACAATAAAACGAGCGTTTAAAATAATAATAATAAAAAGAGTAGCTTTAGTAATCAGATAAACTAAATTGTTAAATTTCCTAAAATTAATAAGAATTTAGAGAAGGAAGTAATTAGAATGCTGATGATTTATCAGACTATATTTATAAAGCAAATGTTTAATCTTAAACACCTGTGACTTAATTTATTTCATTTACTCCTATTTAGAATAATAATGTAATACAAAATAATGATCTTGAAAATCATTTTGAGTTAGAAAATACCTCAAATAAATAAAAATCTCCCCTTAATTTGTTCCCAATTTAAAAGCCAAAATAAGTTGAATAATTTTTTAAATTAGAAGATTTAGAAAACACAGACTTATCATAAATGAATAAATCTCCTTAGATAAAAAAAGTATCACAAAGATCAGCTGGTAACTTAGGGCATTTATAAGAAATAGATTAGTAATAAATAAAAAAATCTCCAATCACAAAAAATGCATAAAATATTCATACAAAATAGGAGTATTAATTAACTGATAATTTTGATAAAATAGAAGATTTTTAAGATACTGAATTATTATCTATAAATAGATCACCATTTATCTAAAAGATACCATCATAATTTTTGATTAAATAAGATAACTAAATGCTTGATAATTTTTAAAAATCACTATTTATTGAAGACAATCAATTTTAATAATTAAATAGAACTCCTTAAACAAAAAAAGCTTAATAATTGTAAATCAAATATGATAAAAAGCCTGATGAAGGTTATGAGGAAAAAATTGAAAATTTAAATATCAAAGAAGAAGAAATCTCTAAAAATTAATCATCTTTCATAAACAACTTGGCTAGTAAAAAATTAAAAAGAAAGAAAGTCAGAGAAGACATGAAAACATATAAAAAAGAAAATAAAGAGGAAGATGATAGCCAAAATAAGACTTCTTTTATTAATGATATATCCAAACAAAAATTATAAAAGAAAAAAACTATGCAATTAAAAATTAATGAAAATTATGAAAATTGAACTTAATTTAATATTTTTTAAATTAGCATTTGAAACAAGCAAAAAACTTGTTGAAAAAAGTAAATTTGTTTGTTTGAAAATATTATTTGTTTTTATTAAGTCAATTTATATATTAATTTTAAAAATACAAAATAAGAAAAATAAATATTTTTTAAATTTATAAACGTTTCCTAGTTAATTAAATGGTTTTAATAGTTTTTCTTTCTTTCCTTTCTTTTAATTATTTTTTAGAAATTTTACATTAATTTAATTTTTAAAATGAAACTTTTGAAACATTCTTAAATCTAATAAGCATAAATAAAATAAAAAGCATAAAAAAATATATTTTAAATTTTGGATTAGCATTAAAATAGGGATGGAATAAAATTTGTTTACTTTTAGAATATTAACAATTAAATTAAAATTATGTATTCAATTTATTTTTTATAATTCCAATTCACATAATTTATAATATTAATATTGAAGGAAATATTCATTTATTTTACTTAGAATTAAGAAGAATAAAAAACCAACCTAATAAATTAAATAAATTAAAGAATTAATTAATTAATTGTTTGATAAATAATAAATAATTTTTTTTAATAAATAATTTTCACTTTAAAATGATATAAGAATTAGAAAAATAAGAAGACACGATTTAAATGAAAGGATTTTAAAATAAATTTAATTTATAACCTGATAAATTTTATTAAAGAGTATAAGAGTTGCTTAAATAAAAATACAAAGATTTATCTGAACTTAAATTCATTTAAGTCAATGACTATGGAATATTCTTAGAGTATGACTCTTCTATTTTCAGAGTGAACTTATTTATTGACTCGATTACTTCTCCAATCGAAGAGCTAAAAAAGGAGCATTAAAGATTCTTACAAAGCCTAAAGCTAAATAATTTAGATTCTCTTTAGTCCTAATAGTATTTTCTTCCTCAGAATGCTTAATCTGATAATTTCGAATTTTATATTTTAGAAATGAAAGACAAATAAAGTAAATTATATTTTTTAAATTATTATATAAATTTTTTTTAAATTATTAATAAGGAATGGTTTTAAACAGGGTTGAAGGAATGGTAAAACTTTAAGTTTAGATATTTTTAATTAGCTAATTTATTTATTTACTTTTTTGAAAAAGGTTAAGTAAGATCAAAAATGGAAAATAGAGTATTCAGATTTATAAAATGTTTGGAAAAAAGAAAGCAAAGATGAGCTGAATATCATTTATTATGCTTTTAAATAAGCAAAGCAAGATTTTTTGCAAAAAGATAAACTTGAAATCAAGCTAAAGTATTTTAGTTATTTTTTTCATTATTTTTCTTTTAAAAATAGACAAAATAATTTAAAATTAAGGTATTCTTTACTGTCTATTGAGGGAGTAAACTTATTGTTTTATTGCATAACTAAGCTTAGTCCTTTTTCAAGTTTAACTCTGAGATTAAAGTATGAAAATTAAATTTGAAATAATAAATGAATTAATTTTTAATGAATAAAAAGTTAAATTAAATTTACAAATGAAATTTCTTTATGCTTTACTAAGTAAATGGGAGATTTAAATTTCTTAAGTAGACTACATTTAATTTTACAGTAATATAAATTTTATTTAAATTTTATATTTTATTTAATCAATTTGAATTTAAATAGTGATAATGATGTCAAAGATGAGTAGATGTGGCATATTGCATAATCTGCTCAAAAATTAACTCATTTAAGTAATTTAAAGATAGATACATGGTATAAAATGATAATATTATAAACATTCAACTAACTTTATTTTTTATGTAAAGGGGAAATTAAGTTAAGAGTAATGGTTTGTATTATGTTGTTAACTCAGCTGCATAAATAAAAAATTTAGAAAAGTTCAAGTTAAAAATTTAGTAATTATTTTTAATTTTGAAAAAATTTGAAATTAAAAAAGAAATTATTCTAAATAAAAAGCTGGAATTCAGAAATAGATGATTTTGGAACTCAATATTTAAAAGATGTTTTGCCGAATTTTATAAACCTAAAGTATCTTCTCCTAAATTTCTAGTAAAAATTAAAAAACTTTATAAAATTATTTAAAATAAAGTGTTTATTTTAATAAAAGTGATAACTAAATTACTGATGGAGGTTGCATTTTTTTAGCATAAGGATTAAAGAACATGCCTCATTTACACTATTTAATTCTATATCTAGTGTAAGTTACTTTTTAAAATAAAGCCATATATTACTTATTCATTTAATAATAATTGTTTGAATTAGAGACAATCAAATTACTTCAAGTGTTGCAGTTTAATATTTAAAGAACTCTATTTAAAAATCAAGAAGATTATGTTCATTCATTTTAAATTGTAAGAATTTCTTTTTTCAAATATAATTTTTAAATTATAAGTTTATTAAGCAAAATTATTTAATTTTTAAAATATTTATTTTAAAATTTACTCATTATTTTTTTATCTAAAAAGATTGATTATTAATGTAAAACTATTTCTAAGGAAGTAATTTAGATATAGAACAGAGAAAATCAAATAAAAAGATATTTCTTTAGTAAACAAACATATACTTCCAAATTAAAATTCGATTAATTAATTATCTAAAATATTTTTTTCATTTTAATTAGTATACACCTTCAAAGTTTCATTGAGGATTTTTTTCATCAAATTTTTTCAAACCAAAACAATTTTATATATAAAAAATAAAAATATTATTTAGAATGTAGTAGTTTGTTTTTTAGTAAAAATATATTATCCTAATTTAACTAAATTACTTTTTTATTGTAAATTTAATTTAAGAAATCGAAACAAAAAAAATATTATATTTTATTTACATTAAAATTGATAAATCTTTATGTTAAAATCTACTTGAAGATAAATTGAAAATATCCTAATTAATTAGTGTTTATCTGTATAGTATTTCTAGTTATATCAAACAATTAACAAATTTAAACTAAATATACTCATTTTACTTTATTAATTTTATATTAGAAAAAAAAAATATTATTTTAATAATAATTTCTAAAATGAATTTTCATAAAAAATACTGAAATTTCTCTCCATTTTTTATCATAATTTGATTTATTTTTGAATGAATACGAATTAAATAAATTAACTTTTTTTAATGCTGGTTTTTGGATAAAATATTTTTTTTGAAATAAAAAGATTTGAAATTAAGGATGATTAAATAAATACACAGCAAATTGATATTTAATAATGAAAGTAAGTTAAAAATATGTGTTCAAAAAAGAATAATAAATAATGGTGATTTTAACTAATAATTGGATATCTATCTTGCTTGTAAATTGAATTTGAATTTTTTTTGTAAATAAATAAAAAAAAAATTTTAGAATCATCATCATATATATGAAAAAAATGTAAGTAATTGATTAGTAAATTGAGCTTAAAAATTTAGTTCTAATAAAAAGATTTGAATTTAAGGATGATTAAATAAATACACAGCAAATTGATATTTAATAATGAAAGTAAGTTAAAAATATGTGGTAAAAAAAGAATAATAAATAATGGTGATTTTAACTAATAATTGGATATCTATCTTGTTTGTAAATTGAATTTGGAGTAAATAAAGCAAAAAAAAAAAATTTTAGAGTCATCATCATATAAATGAAAAAAATGTAAGTAATTGATTAGTAAATTGAGCTTAAAAATTTAGTTCTAGTTGAAGAAATATTTATTTCTTTATCTATATTATCAAGCAAATAATTGTAAATTGATATTAAATAAAAGCGTAATTTAATTACATTTTAATTAGAAAACTATTTATATTTGCTACAATGAGTCTTCTTAATTTTCATCAATTTTTATTATTTTGTAGCCTTTTTTTCATTGCAAAGCGTAAGCATTTTTTAAAAACTTGAATTTCATATCAATAGAGCATATTTTTTTCATTAGCTGCTTATTATGTTGGCTTTGAGGCATTTATGGGTGATGATTGGGATATAGAAGAAGCTAAATCATGGACAGTTACTAATACTTAATGTCCTAAAACAAAATATTCAGTCACCCGTTGCGGGAAAACATAAATTTTGGGAGGATACAATTGCTTGGCAGAAAACGCATAAATATCAAGGAGTTTTACTTTGCCTCACCACTGGTCTATATATATAAAAGTCACTTTCTGGCTGATTGATTCGTACTTAATTTTTACTAATTTCAAGACTAAAAATAATTAAACTTTAATCATAAAATTATAGATGGGACTCCGAGTATTTAATTATGAAACTTGGTAACATAGAGATCAAAGAATTAAGAGAACATTCTCCTTACGATGACAATTTATGCGGGGCAACAGGTAATTGGGCAGGTTTAAATAAATAAGCATATTTAGATAGAAAATATGATAAAACTCTAGAAAATAATCCTCATTATGAAAGAGCTGTCACTGCAGTTTTTACTTCAAATCTTGATGGTAAAGCAGATGATGAAAGTTTTGGGATTAATAAGTAAAAATTTCATCTTCAAATAATAAAATAAATTTAAATTCAAATTTTTTGTTTTACTTTTAATTGTTTTAATGTAAAAAATAGTTTTTAGCTATTAATTGATCCATGTAATCCTACTTGCAATTAATGTCTTTTGGGACCTGAATCATTTAGTAATTAATTAAATAAATTAAAAATTAATTAATTAAATGAATTAATGAATTTAAAATTAATTAGATTGCTTGAACTGCTGGGACAATGCTACATTCATCAAGTATAAAGAAGATTATATTTTATGCACATGCAGCCCTACAGAGTTTTATTATGCTAAGAAAGGATAAAAGTGCAAAAAAGATTGCCCTATTACAAGTTCTTAATAAGGATTTTGTAAATGCAATTAAGGATATTATACAGTATCTAAGAATGTTCCATGCAATGATCCAATTTGTACTGAATGCAAAAAATGCGATTCTACATGCAAAGATTGCTCTGGTTCAGGTCCCTATAACTGCATTACATGTGCGAATAATCTTTATAAGTAGACTTATGCTGCTCCAGATGTACCTTCAACTCATCCAAACTATGGAAAAACTATTTGTTAAGATAAATGCTTAGACGAAAGCTATTTTATAGATTAAGTTAGAAAAGAATGCATGAAATGTCATCCTTCTTGCAAAACTTGCGTTGGAGATCTATCTTAAGAGTGCTTATCATGCCCAGATGGCTTTTATCTTGATGGAAATGATATTGGAGGTGGAGTTTTTGTAGGTGGTTGTGTTTCTAAGTGCTCTTAAGGGTATTATAAGAATACTTTAAATAAAAAATGCATGAGATGCAATATTAACTGTATTGACTGTAAAGATGATCAACCAGATTATTGTAAAATATTCTACAAATATTAAATGCATTTCTTATTTAATTATTAAAAAATCAATAAAAAATATCTACTGTGTAACAAAAATAAAAAAGTTTTGATTAGGCTAGTTTAAAATCAATTTTATGATATTTTGCTTGACCTACTATTTTCTTTTGCATGCTATATTCATGAGAATAAATTCATTTAAAAAATAAATAAATAAATTCAAAAAACAAAATAAATAAACATTTTTAAATTAAAATGAAATTATAGTGGACAATTATTATTATTAAATATTTTTCTAAAAATAAGTTAATAATATTTGTTTCATTTTATGTTAGGTACCGAATGCAAAATAAAACTTTTATGGAAGGATGGAACATGCTATTAAAATTGCCCAGATGGGTATTGGAATGATACTCCTAACAAAATGTGTAGAAAATGTGATTAAAAATGCAATACTTGCTTAGGAAGTCCTACTTTTTGTACATCTTGTAATGGGGATTATTATTATTTAGAAAAATAAAATGACTGTTTAAAGGATAAATGTCCTGATGGAATGTTTAAATACAAAGACGCTTCCAAAGGGCTTAATTTTTGCCAGAAATGTCACATGAATTGCTTAACTTGTTTCGCTGGAGATATAGATAATTGTTTAAGTTGTGATCCTGCTGTTGGGTTTTTGAAAGGGAATGTTTGTGCTGCATGTAATTCAAATTAATATGGAGACACAAAAGATTAAACATGTAAGCCTTGTAACTTAAATTGTACAACTTGTGAAGGGCCTAATGACGATTAGTGCAGGAGTTGCTCTGGATCGTTATTTTTAAAAGATAAAAAATGTAATCCGACATGTCCAGATTAAACTTATCCAGATATTTCAACTCATGAATGCGCTCCTTGTGATAGTACTTGTTATAAATGTTCATCTGCTGGTCCAAATAGTTGCAAATCATGTCCTTCTGGTAGATTTTTGAAAGGAACTGTTTGTTAAACAACTTGCGATATAGTTGGAGAATATCCTGACACTACCAACAAGTTGATAAAATTATTTTAAATTTAAATCTTTTTACTTATTTTTAAATAAATTTTTTAACAGCGTTTGTGGTACTTGTAATTCAGAATGCTTAAAATGTAAGGATGGTACAAAATTAGGTTGCATAGAGTGTTCTTCAAGTAAATATTTACAGGTAAACTAGTGTGTTGACAGTTGTCTTTCTAATTTGTTTGGGTTAGAGGAAACAAAGTAATGCTTAGAAGAGTGCCCTTAAGGATATTATGGTGATTCAGTTAGCAAAAAATGTCTTAAATGTGAAGCATTTTGCCCTATTTGCAAAGCATCAGGTTTTAGTAATTGTGAGAAATGTGCTGGAGATTTATTCTTATAAGATAGTTAATGCCTAAAATAGTGCAAAGATGGTTTTTATGCAGATAAAACTGACAATATTTGCAAAAAATGTCACGATAGTAAAATTTTAAAAATATTTTTCAATTTATGAACTTTATCAAAAAATAAAAGACTGTCTAGAATGCTAAGCTGGTACTGAAAATGACTGCACAAAGTGTAAGAGTAAGCAGTTTTTAGGATAAAATACATGTTATACTAAATGTCCTAACAAATAATATGGAAATTAAGTTAATATGAACTGTGTTTAGGAATGTCCTCTTGGAACTTATGGAAATTAATATGAAAATTTATGTAGAGCTTGTCATAGTAACTGCTCTCAGTGTTATGGTTCTTCTTATTCTTAATGCTACAAGTGCAATTTAGGACACTACTTGCTTGATAGTACTTGTGATTTATGTCCATCTGGATATTACAAAAATGATCAATAAAGAACTTGTGATCCATGCTTTGATAAGTAAATAAGTAATTAAATTATTTAAATTTTATAATTTCTTTTGTTTTTAAGCTGTACTTAATGTGATGGAGGATCTCCCTCAGATTGCTTGAAATGTGCCTATGGCTATTACCATTTAAAAGAATAAAAAATGTGTGTATCAACATGTCCTGACCCTTACTACTCAGAAGAAAATAATCCTGATTGCATTCTTTCTTGTACTCAGTCTAATTAATATCCCAATAATATTACTAGAAAATGTGAAAATTGCAATATTGCTTGCAAAGAATGTTTTGGATCAGATGAGTCCAGCTGCAAGAAATGTTCAACAAACTACCTATTTTTAGAAAAAAGTAATTAATATTTTATTTTTTTTAATTTTTCAAAAATAAAAATTGTTTGGTTTAAAATTATAAAAAAAATTTAAAAAATATAAAAACAAACTTTATTTAAATAAATTATTTTTTCAAAACAATAATTTTTCTTTCATTAAAATGATTGATTTTTTGAATTAAATTGTATAAAAATTAAGAGTAAAATATGATTTAAAGATAATTTTTAGAGTAAAATTGAAGTTATTTTATTTAATTTAAAAAATTAAGCATTTAAATAAATATTTAATTTATAATAAAACCTAAAAAATTAAAGGAATTTTTTGCTTTAAATTTTATAAAAAAAAATTTTAAATATTTAAATTTATATTTATTATTAAACTTACATGAAAATTTAAAGAATTCTTTCAAAATTATTAAAATTAATTAATTATTTACTCAGGCTTATTCATTAAATTAAATACTTAGGAAATATGTGCACAAAAAAATGTCCTTATGGATATTATGAAAATTATATAACTTTTACCTGTGATCCTTGTGATAAAACGTGTTAAACTTGCTATGGTGGATCCCCAGATTAGTGTATTTCATGCAGAGAACCTAATTTCTTATTTTAAAATTATTGCACTGATACTTGTCCTCAAAATTTATATAAAGACCTTGAAATATTAAAATGTGTTGAAGATTGCACACAATACAAATCAAATAGATTTGCAAATTAATTAACAAGAAATTGCTAGTTTTGCCATTCATCATGCCAAAAATGTACAGGACCAACCAATAAGGAGTGCACTTAATGCACTTCTTCTCACCTTCTTCTTGGAACTAGTTGCTTAGATACTTGTCCATTAGGATATTACGCTGTCTATAAAGACCCAAATTTAAAGAATTCAGATTAAATTAAAGTAACTGATGATTGTTAAAAATGTCATTAAAATTGCGAGGACTGTTATGGACCGTCTGAGAGTGAGTGTAGAACATGCTCAAAAGGTCTTTATACTTATCATGCTCCCTCAATAGAAAATTAAGGAATTGAAAAGAAAACTTGTGTTGCCCAATGTCCAGACCAATATATAGTAAATCACTAAAATATGTCTTGCGAATTATGTCCACCTTACACTTTTTTCGAAAATGGAGTTTGCAAAAGTAAAATTTTATTTATTTATTTATTTTTGTTTATATTTCTTTAACTTTACATTTAAAAGATTGTCATTATTCTTGCATTAAGTGCAAAGGACAAACCTAATTTGATTGCATTAAATGCACTTCTGAAAGATCAATTTATAATGAAGGTGAACCTTTAAATGGATAGTGCAACTGCAAATAAGGTTATATGGAAACATTTTCTCATGAATGCTCATAGCTTCCTATTATAGCTACGTCTATGAGTAAGTCTATTTTTGTTTCTCTTTTGACTTCTTTATCTTGCTCTATCATTACTGGATTACTCAGCACCTCTGCATTTTCTTTCCATCAATTAATAGAAGCTTCATATTACACTGGTTATCTTAAATTTGCTAATGTTACTTATCCTTTAAACTTACATTATTTATTTGAGAGTGTTTCCACAGATTAAAGCAATCAAATCTTCGAAAATAAAAGTTAAACTTCCACATAAATAAAAGACAAAGTAATTTTAATATTTGATAAAAATTAAGAGTTTTTATTAATTTTTTACTTTTAATCTAGTCAAGAATTTTAATAAGTAAGACAGAGTTGTTGCAATCTTAAGAAGTTGGAGAAGCTCCTTAGGTGTGGAAAAAATTCATATTCACTTTAGTTATAAATATATCTTCTTGGTTTATTGTGCTCATACTCAATTTAGCAGTAATTCATATGAAAGTAAAGTATAATTAGCAAAATAAATTAGAAAAAGTAAGGGTACTACTGTAGTATACTCTTCCAATTTAAGCTTTTTTAAGGACATCACAAGAGGCATTTTAGTTTATCTTTCTCAGTGCCTATTTTAGTGCAACTTTGGATGTGTTTGGATGGCTAAATTTTGTATACATATTAATTACTATGCTTGTAGTATTTGGGATTATAATCAAATTATCTTTCCTATAACTTAATGAAAAAAAATCAGATACTTCAGATAAAGGAGCTGGAGAATATTTTATAAGGGTGAAAGTAAAAAAAAATAAAACTATAGATTATCCCCATCCTCTGAGAACGCTTTTATATTTTTTTAAAGACAATAAATTTGCTAGAAATTATTACACCTTAATGCTACTTTTCAAATTTTCAAATGTGTTTGTAATTGTTTTTACTAGCAATATTGTGATTTAAATGGTAATTATGATCATAACAAAATTACTTTTTGTTATTTACTTGATTATTTGCAAGCCATTTAAATAAAAAAATTATAATTACATCAATATTTTTAATGAAATCCTCTCTTGCTCTATTCCTTTAACTATTTTAATCATGGCTAAATCTGAAGAAAATGAAGCTAACTATAATGCTTTTGGCTGGTTAATATTTGTTGAAATGATCATTCTATTTTTGTTTAACTTTATATATGCAGTTTTTGAACTTGTAATGATGCTAAAGATTTATATAACCAAAAAACTTAAATTCTCAAAAAGATTTATAAAAATAAACTCAGAAAAATAATCAGATTCTGCTGATTAATCAGCTGATAACCAGTCTGTTTTGTTTGAAAAAAATGTTTTAAAAAATATTTAAAATGTCCCACTGAGGATAGAAGAAAAAAATGATTTTGATAAGTAAAACTCGCCTGTGAAATAACATACGAAGAATAATCACTTGAAAGTATTGCAAATTGGCTAAACAAATTAGAATCTACAGTCAAGTTGCTAATCAATAGAAGGTCCTTCAATCCAAGCTACAGGTACAAGAAAAAACATTGTTCATCCAGAATGTACAATAGAGATTGATAAATCCTAGTTAGAAAACTAAAATCAATCTTCAGTTTCTAAGTCATACAATTAATAAGAAGGCGATGAAGAAGATTTCAATCTAAATTCATCAAATGTCAAAGCATAGTCTATCCTTAAAGAAGATTATGAGTATGATGAAAACAGTGAAAACATGGGATTCCCACTTTCAATTTATGGTAAATAGCTGGAATAAAATCAAGCAAAATCACCTTTGAAAAGAAAAAAAAGAAATAAAAAAAAAGATGAATAAAAAGTATAATTTGCTTAGGAATAAGAAGACATAACAAACAAAAAGTCTTTGGAGAATCAGACTAATTCGGCAGAAGTTAGCTCTTAAAATAATACAGTAAAATCTAAGTAAGAGGAAGAAGATGAATAGAAGTAGCAGCATATATCTTAAGTTATAGAGAATGTTAATGATAAGTTATTAAAAAGCAACAATGGAAATATTCAACCAAAAAATATTACTGAAAGAACTTCACTTGATCTAATTAAGGTGATTGAGTAAGAATCTAATTCTTGGGGATTAAAGAAAAAACTATCAATAAAATAAAAGCTTTAAAAAATGTAATAAAATCCTTAAAAAGAAGTTATTGAGGATATTGATGAATCTAATGGAGAAAAAGTTATCACATAAGTTATTACTAAGTAAAAGAGTGATAGAAGTAGAACAAGTGATATAGTTTTAAATTCAAGTAAAAGGTAAAAGGAAGATAATTCTTTGAAAATAATAGAATTAAATTAGGACTAGAAATCTAATTAAGCTCAGCAATAATAACAAATTTTTGAAGAAAATGAGATCAAAATTAATTCATAAAAATAAATTTAAAACTAAAACAAAAATTAAAAAAATTAAAATATTAAAAACTCAAGTTTGAAAGATTCAAAATCTAGTAAATTAAATAATGACAGTAAAATATCAAATGAAAATAAAAAAGACAATATAGTTTTTAGAAATGAAGGATTATTTGGAGGCATAAGCGAGTTTAAAATAAAAAGGGTTGTTTAATCTTAAAGTACTAACACTAGTCCTTTGAAAAAAGTAGATTCTAGACTCAAAGAAGATAAAGAAGATGAATCTAAGTCAATACTAGATTTTATTAAACAGAAAGTTATCAAATAAAACTTGTTTAAAGAATCAAAATGAGTTTTCAATTTATATTCGCATGTTAATCTATCAAAAAAGTGGAGTTTACATTTTTTATAAAGTTTTTTTGTTGAAAATTGAAATTATTTATTTAGATCTTGATATTATAATATTTTTATTCTAAATATCAACATGAATTATGATTGTTTTTTTGCAAAACAAAACAGGCTAATCCAAAAATAAAATTTTATTTTTTTAATTTCTGAAAAAATTTATTAAATTTAAATAAATTAATATTACTTTAACCAAATAAAATAATTTTTTACCATAATTTTCTTCAAGTATGAATTCCATATGATCACTTAAATAATTAGCACATTTATCATATTATTTATTTCAAAATAGTTGGAACTCTCTTTTATTTTCAAAACGAACTAAAAAAAACATTTTTACATATCATTTTGGAAAAATAAAATGGTGTTTCTAACATTTTGAAAATCATTCATTATATACAATAAATTAATCAAATTTCTTTGGTATTTTTAAAAGTAGAGAAATTAATTAGATATTTTTGCTTATAAAAATTTTTATTTACCATATTTTTAAATAAAGACATACATACATACATACATACATACATACATACATACATACATACTTTGAACTATGAAAGAAAATTTGGTTTTAATTATTGAAGAACTACATACATTAGCTGGAATAAAATAGAAAAATCTACAAAATAAAAATAATTTTTAAAATTTAAGAACAACTTGAATTTTTTCAACGTGACGTGTGACTAATTAATTACTTTTCTCTATTTCTTACTATATTTTTAAGTACACATTTTAAATAGAATTATTAATATTAAATAATGAATTTTATTTACACTAACTTTTTTGTGATGTCTATCTCTCATTAAAAGCAAGTTTATAAATTCATTTTTATTTATTTGTTCTTTTTATCCACGAAAAATTAATTAAATTTCCAATAATTGCTCTTCAATATTTTTGAGAAAAAAAAATGATATAATTAATTAAAAATTAATATAAATTAGAAGAAGTAATTATTTATTTTTTTATCAATTAGCTTTAAATTTATTTTTGATAATATAAAAAGTTTTTAAACTCTTCTCTTTAATCTCATTAGGTTCTCGAAATTGATCTGAGGTATATTTAATTATAAATATTATTATTATTATTAATACTTTCTAAAGATTTTAACTTACAATTTATTATTATATTATTTTTCCAAAGAAATTATGTACTTGAGTTTTTTCTTTTTCTATCTTTCTTAATTTAACTTATTTGTTAATATTAAATTTTTCTTTTATTATTACTAACTAATTAATTTATCCTATTCTTCTTTCTAACAAATTAATTATATATTTTTTCTTCAATATTTAAAAAGAGAAAATGATATTGGTTATTAAAGTGTATCAGTCTTAAATTTTGCTTTAGCAAATTGCACTAATCTCTATAATTTGACAATTAGTATTGAGTATAAACATTTTTATTTGCTTTAATTATGATATTTTTAGTTATAAAATAGAATTAAAAACAATATAATTAACTCTTTTAATTTGTTTGTTTAATTCCTTTTTTGATTCTTGATTTTCTTTTTTATTTTACTTGTGTTTTATTTTTCAAACTTTTTTAATTTAACTCCTTTTTTAATTCAAATTTTGCTTTTATTATTATTAATTAATATGTTTCTTATTATATTTTTTCTTCATCTTTTCTTTCTAAATTACTAATTAATTTTTTTTATTTTCATCATAATTTAAAAAGTTAGAAATAAATTAGCACAATTTATGCATTAGGCTTGGATTCTGCTTTAGCAAATTGCACTAATCTCTCAAATTTGACTTTTCGTTTTCAGTAAATACATTTTATTTGTTTTGGAATGTGATATTTTTAGTCATAAAAATGAATTTAAATAATTTAACTATTTTAATTTGTTATAATCTTTTTTTATTTTATTTATTTTTCTCTAATTTTTTTTTATTAATTTTAAGTTAAAAATTTTATTCTATTTAATTTTTTTAATTTATAATAAAAGCGAAAACCAAATCAATTTAGAAGAATACTTTGAAATAGAGGAAAAAGTAAAGAGTAAATATCTTAAATTAAAAAAATTAGTAGCCTTAAAATTATAATTTGTTTGGCTGTGATAAACAAGTAGTAAAAAAAGGATGAATAAATATTAAGTATTTTAATAAATTATAATAATATATTTTATTATATATTATTTTTTAATAAGTTAATTTAACCTAAAATATCATGAAAAATTATTTTTAAACCTTTTCATTAATCAAAAGTAAGTATCGACTAACAGTCATTAAATTTAATATTATTTTATTTATTTAAAAATATTTAATAACTTTATTTATTATTTTTTTTAATTTAAAAATATTTTTCTATTAAATTTTTTAAAATTAAAATATTTTTTGATTATTATTTTTATCATAAAACAATTAAACTTACTTTTGATTTAATTTAATTGCTACTTTAATAATCAAAAAACATTTGCCTATATTGATAGAAAAATTTTTAGATTTTACTAATTAATTAATTAAAAATTAACAATTTTTTTGAGTTAATTTCTAAAACGATATAAATATCTTTTTAATAAAAACATAATCAAATTAAATATAAAAAACTCAAATATATATTTTATAAATATGTTAAAGTAAAGAGATTAAGAAAAAGTAGCCAAAATTAGAGAAAACTAAGTGTAGCTGATATCTTCTTTGCAAAAAGCAGAGCAAAGCGCTGAATTAATTTTTAGTAGACTGGTTAATCAGAATATTAAGCAAGCTGAGACTATAAAAAATATAAATTAAGATGTTGTATAAATAGAAAATCAAGTAGAAAAAATGAAAGCAAGGATAGAGAATATCACATCTAAAATATTGAATTTGGTAGAAATAAATGAACAAGTAAATAGGGAAGTGATGAATAGATAAGCTGCAGTAGTAATATAAAAATGTGCCATAGAAATTGAATAATATTAAAATAAAAAACAAAAAGATTTGGAAGATTTAAAATAGAATTTTAGTAAATTAGCATGATGATAAATAAAAATGATAGATTTTTCAAATACAAGCAAATAACAAACAAACTAACAAAAATAAATCCATTTACAAATAAAAACTAGCTTTTTAAAATTAAAAATGTTAAATAAATTGATTGAATACTTATTTGTATTTTTAAATAATTAATCTTTTATTTATTTATTAGTTTTATATTTCAATCCTCTCTTTTATTTTTTAAGAAATTTTAGTCTTCTTTTTCTTTCTATTCTCTCATTCTCTAAAAGTAAGATTCTGATCCTTTTAACCACTCTTTTGGAGGCATTCCTTTTATTTATTTCAACAAATTTATAAATTACTTAAATTCGCAAAATAAATGGATTATATATTTATTAATTTTCCATGATTTTTTTATTTACCTTTTTTATTATCGTTGGTTTCAACTTAAATGTTGAAAGTGTGGCAAAAACGTCTAAATGTTACATCGTCCAGTAAAACTTAGAATTTAACATTTCCATATGGATATTATTTAGTTTATTTATAATCATACATTTCATTTTCAAGTCTAGATATATTTGCATTGCTATATTAAGTAAAATATATATCTTAAATAAATTGTTAGTTAAGTAATCCAATTAAATTTACGCAAACAACCATTTATATCTCTCTTCATGAGTGTTGAGAGGATTAACTATTGTGTAGTATTTTTTATTCATCAAGTGGTTAACTTTCTATTCTAGGATTTAGGTAAGCTTCTTGATGTTTGTATTATATAAAGCAGAAACTGGTACAACTGGGAAATCGGATTTCAAAGCAGATTGGTAATCAACGTTTTCTTCTAAAAGATCCATCTTATTCCATACTTCAATCTAAAATTATAAAATAGCTTTAAAATTACAAATATTTTAAGTAGTAGTTACCATTTTGTTGGTGTAAAACTATTAATCAAATCCAAGCTATTTAAGAACTTTTAAAACAGTCTTCTTTTAGTCTTCAGTATGAGGATGAGAAATGTCTCTAACATGTAAAACTAAATCAGCATGTTCAACTTCCATCAAAGTAGATTGGAAAGAATCGACTAAAAATAATCAAAACACATTAATATTTTACAGTTAATTTTTAATTTACCTAATTCGTGAGGTAAATCTGTGATAAAACCAATAGTATCAAGTATAATTGCCTATTATCCAGAAATTAGTTTAAACCTATTTTATAATTGTTAATAAATAAATTAATGAGTTAATTCTTTTTTAAATTCGACAAAAATCTTAAAAATTTATAGAAAATTACTTATATGAAAATATTTTTTTGAAAACAAAATAATATTTTTATAAATGAATTGCAAAATAGAAACAAAATTAAAACTTTAATGAAGAAAAAAACAATAATTGAAATAAATATTTTTTAATTTTCAAAAAACTATTGCAAATTATATTAAAAAATTCAAATTTGTCTAAAGGAACAAAATAAAGAAAGATGATAAAAAGCTTTTATTTAAGAAAGTGAATCTGAAATTTAAAAGATTTATTATATTTCTTTACTTTCTGGAAGTAGTTGAAAGAGTTTAGAAAAGGTTGTCCTTGCTTTCTACAACATCTTTTTTAATTAAGGCATTCATCAATGCACTTTTACCTGCATTAGTGTACCCAATCTATATTCAGTGAATTAGTTAATATATAGTATTCAATTTCAAATAAATTATTTTAAATCAATTATTTTTTCATAAAAAAATATTTACAAGAGCAATTGTGGGTACATTGTTGTATTGCTTCTTTCTTTTTTCACGCAGGAAATTTTAATTCTCGAGCAAAGATATGAGTTCTTTTTTAAGTTTTGATAATTTGTCATTAACGAGACGTCTTTAAAGCTCGAGCTAAGTTTCACCTTCACCTTGAACTTTACCTTTAGCAGCTCTTGATTTAGCACTGACGACTTCTAAAGAAATTTCTTAAGCAGTCATTAAGTCGCCTTTAAAAATGTTATACATTGCATTAAAAGTGGTTCCTCCTTCTCTTTGAAGCTTTGTTTTCAAATAATTCAAAAAGCAAACTTCGATTTGGTGGCGAGCTATTTGAGTTTATGCTCTCTTTGCAAAGATCTAGAGAATCATTGTGAATCTATCGAATACTCTTATTTTTTTGCCACTGCTATTATCATAGTCCGAAGTTTAGATTGGTTCGTCACCTTCTGCCTCTGTGTCTGAGCTCATCATAGGATTCTTCTTAAAAAATACTTCGTCTTCTCTTCCGTTCACTATTCCAGTCCATAACCTTCACACGCCATTAAATAATAATCCATCATTTATATTTAAATATAAATTGAGTAAATATTAAGAAAATTAATAAAATGAATGAAAAAATTGTTTCAATGGATAATAAGAAAATTACATTACCTTTCCAAGTTTTTATGCTAAGTTGGGGTGAGTTCAGTATTAATAAATACACAGTCGATTGAGTTGTCTTTAATATATATTCCAATATCCATAAGCTTTCCTTTTGTGAAAAATGATTTTCCTATTATCTTTTTCATCTTAATCAATGAACTCTTTGCTATTGACTCTCTTAGAATTTTGTTTCTCCACTCATGAAACATATCACCATCATCTTCTGTATCTGACTGATCATCTACTATTATACCATTTTTCTTTTAAAAGTAAAAACATATTGAATTGCAAGTTCTATGACATTAAATAGTTAACAAATAAAACAACTAACAAACTAAATTTAATTATTTTTGTGTGAATATTCTGATATGATAAATAAGGTAGAGATAATCTCGTTATTAATCAAATAATAAAAGAGGTATGCTGCTTTAAATAAAATCTATCTTCTTTTAATAGTTTAAAATAATTTCTTACATAATAAGTTCCTTTGAAGTAATGAGTGTAAATATAATCCCCATCTTTTATATTTGTTTAATCAAAATACTACCATCCCTCATCTAATTTAGGACGGTTATCTTCTTTGGGGTTTTTTCTTTTTCTTTTATTTTTACTTTCATAATTTGCATCTTCGACATGTTCTATCTACTATTCTTCTTGTTCTTCCTCTTACAATTATATTACTTTTTTGTCATACTCTTCCTTCCAGTAAGGTCCTTTTTAAACCTAAACAATTAATTGTAATAATTAGGCATAGTTTTTTCAACAAATTAATCATATACATTCCAATCTAACGATTTAGCTAAACCCACAGCTTCTTCAGCTAAATATAATTCCATAAGAGGACCTTTGCTTTATATTATTAACAATTTTACTCTTATTTCATGTTAGTATTGTATTACTTAGGAAAAAAAATAGGATGGAGAACCATGCAATTAGTTTCATATCCAATTTATTTCTACTATTATTTATCTTAACTTAAATTTTGTTTCCTGAAGTCGAGCTACTCTTTTTCAGAATATCTGTAAACTTGCTTAAAAACGAACTATTATTTGAGGAATGTTGACCCTCTAAAGAGTAATGATTTAATCATTAGAATAAATGCAAACTTTATTTTGAAGATTATTAGTTGTATCTTTAATCCAATGTTAATATTAATATAGAAATTCTAAAATTTTCTTGAATTATTTATATCAATCAATTATTGCATATAAATTAACTTTTAAGCAAGCAAGTATTTGATTTATTCAACCTAATTTATTTCTATTTTTATCAAAATTTTGTTAAAAAAAAAACTAAATTCAAAATTTTCTTCAAATAAAAATGAATTTATAAACCAGCTTAAAACATTTCTTTTATCTTCAACATAAATTACATACAATATGTTAATCAATCATCTAACAATATTAAAAACATTTATTTGGTCAAAATCTAAAATAATATTAACAGTAAGACTTATTATATTTTTATAATCGATATTAATTTACAAAGCTTTATCAATTTTTTTTGCATGTTTTTTATTTAAACAAATATCTTTTGGTAAATTTAGTACATTTATATAAATAAAATACATATATTTATTGGCTTACAGCTAAGAAAACTTATTTGGTTTCTTTGTTATGTTATATTTTCGTTATTTATTAATTTTTTATCATTCTATTTTACTCAATATTTGTTTAAATCTCATTAATATTTTTTTTAATTTAAAATCATTCATCCTTTGGTAAATATTACTGTTATTTAAAAAAAAGATATTAATTTATTTAATTAATAAAATATTATAATTACATCTAGAGTATTGGGATCGTATCCTTCAGCAGCCATTTTTTATTTAACTGAAACAGCAGGAATTCCAACTTTAACCATTTTTATATATTTTTTCATGTTTTCTTTACATATTTAAATAAATAAATTAAAATTAAATATTATTATCTCAATTAATTACCATCTAATTCTTCTACAGGTTATGCTGTTTCTTAGCCTTATTCTGCTGCCTATGCATCGCTTTGAACTTATGCAGGAGCCATTGGGGGAGGTGGTATAGGAAGACCACCTGGGGCACTTATAGGAGGAGGTGGTAAAGACATATTAGGTGGTGGAGGAGGAGGTAATGATGAACCACCTGGAACTCCTGGAAGACCTAAACTCAAGGGTGGTGGAGGAGGTGCATTTGCATTTACAACAATACCAGGTAATGAAGGAGGTGGAGGAGGAGCATTATTGTTAACAAAAATACCTGGGGCAGTTGGAGCAGGAGGGATGTTCATTGGAGGTGGAGGAGGTATATTCATCATCGGTGGAGGAGGAAAATTTAAAGGAGGTGGTGGAGGAGCACCAGAATTAACTACAATATTAGGTAGTGAAGGAGCTGGGGGAGCATTTGAGCTAACAACTATCCCAGGTAAACCTGGGGGAGGTGGAGGAGCATTTGGATTTACCACTATACCAGGTAAACCTGGGGGTGGTGGAGGAGCACTTGAATTTACAAAAATTCCTGGAGCCAAAGGTGGTGCTGGAGGGGCATTACTGTTAACATATCCATTTTACTATTGTTATTATTACATATATTGCTGATCATACTACTATTATTATTACTACTGCTACTACTATTATTACATTCCTTACTATTAATCAGGTTGGTTAGAAGAGTTAAAATATACAGTCAATTCTGGTTTTGGAATATCAGGTAACACATTGTAGAATTCAGGATTTACTGAATCTAGCTTTTTTTCTAACAAAAGTAGTTTTTGATCTATACCTTCAAGCAACTTTTCAATTGATAGCTAATCATTTTCAAGGCGGAATCCAACTCTATTATTGTTAATAAATTATATATTTTATAATGTCATTTAATAATTTCAACTATCATCAAAATAATTTATCTCAGCTTTAGCAGTTAAATGCTGAGCTTATAAATTTGCCTAATAATGCTCCAGAAAACAAATATTTCTTATGTTAATTCAAGTTATTTACCATTTAATCTTGTTAAGACTTGTATTGATTATTTATTTGTATATGTTTGTATAAGTAAATTGAGTTTATATTTAGTATGTATTAAGAAGAATATGATTTTTTTTTTAAGAAAATGAAAATTAACTTTTATTAAATGAAAATGAGAGATTTACCTATTTATAAAATCTACTGTATTGATTATAAACTCATTAACAACTCCTAAAGAGCATCTGATTGGAATACATTCTAATTAGGATAGATCTATACCTTATTATTCTTACTATTATTAAGCACCGTTTTGGTTACCATCCATAGGTGGATTCGATGCATAATCGCTCATTTAATATAAATCAAGTTTATGATAAAATGTGTAGAAGTATTCGCTCTTATTGCTTTGTTTGTTTCGTCCTTTTTTCCTTAAGCTTTATTTTCAAAATGAACTTTTTGAAGTCCAACTATAATCAATATTTAGTAAATTACTATTAAATATATTAACTATATAAAAGAAAATAGAAATCAGAAAATTTAATTATAAAAAATAATAATTTAAGGATAAATCATTCATTTTAAGGCAAAAAGTATATCTTTCTCAAATCTTATAATCTCAAAAGAAATAAATATCATCAAAATGCATAATTGTATGAAAACATATAAACAAACAAACATACAAAGCTACCTAACCTAATCCTAATCTTATTTTTTGTTTGAAGATATCAAATATTTCCATATGAATAAAAGTTGATCAGGTATGAAAATATAAAAAAGAGTAATCTTTTCACTCAATAAATTTAGTTTGGAAATTTATTAAAATTCCTTGATTTTCAAGTTAAATTTATTTTATTTTTGATATTTTTTAATTAATTTAAAATAATTAATGAAAAAGATAATAATTTAAATAATTAACTAAATATAATTAATTGTATTATAATAAATTTGCATATTAAAAATATGTATAAAAGTTTATTATTTTTATACACTGTTTAAGCTAACCAAGAAGATAAGTAAGTATTTATTCATTTTAATTAGCTGGTTTTAATAAATTATTCAATAACACTTTCTTTTTAGTTTGTTTATAATTTTAACTCTAAAGATTGCTAGAGGTGTTATGGAGATATTTCTAAATCTAGCTTTCTTTTATTCCTAGGTCTTCCTTTCTTAGTTAAATTATAGCTTGCAAGCTTTTTCCTTGGTTTTCTACTAATTTTAATAGATCTTTTTTAATAAATATTAAGATTTTACTTAGACTTATAATTTTCCAATACTAAATTATAATTATTATGTGGTAGAAAACTTTAAAATAGCTTCATACTTTCGAATTAGGGAATCAGAAATAGTGTTTCAAATTTATCATCTTCTTATATATTTTCATCACAATTGCTTTATTCATTTAATGATTCTTTATTTAATTTTTACTAGTAGTTTTGATTTTCCTCATTTTTAGTTTAGCTCATTAAAGAATTTAATTTCGTTTGTAATTTATTACCCTTTTTTGTTTTATTTGATTATGAAAAATTAGAAAATTGCCTTGACATTAACATAGCCAAGCTTTGGAATTAATTATGAGTTTAATTTTAATTTCCAATAAAAGTTTATGATGGTTGCTGACCCTGGAAAACTCCATTTAAAGATTGTTACTATTGGTATTATAAACCTGGTTTATATTATTAAGAGCTACGTTTCGAGTATTATGAAAGTTCTTTTATTTAGCTATTAGAAATACTACTTGAACCTTAATGAGGATTCAACTCATTTAAAACTGAGAGTCTAGACTAATTTTTTTAATTTAAAGATGATGGTAAACTATTAATTGTTGTATTAATATTTTATTATCCCTAAATAACACTAAGAGAGTTTCTTTTTGGAGAAATTTATGGATTTTTAAGATTTAATAAATGGGGATTATTTGTCTAACTTTAAATAGCTTAATTCTGTTAATTTATTTGAGTTTGTTAATTATTTACATTTTTAAGGTGGAATTAAGGACTATTTTTATTTATTTAAACTTTTGGCAATTAGTTCATACTATTTTAGGGCTTACTTTTAATTAATTAATCTTCAAGGAGTGGAGATAAGCACATTGAGTATTATTAGTTTTATATATTTTAGTAAGAAAAAATTCTTTCTGTCTCTACTGTTCCCACATATCCAGTTTAAATTTGCTAATTTGAAGGAATCTAAAATTCAGAAGTCACTTTATGTATCGGTAAACTTTGTTACATGTTCTATTATTATTATTACATATATTGTGTTTTTTAAGAATCTTCGATATTCAAAGTTTGTGTTTATGTTTAAATGCTTAATTTTTTTTCATCACAAAATTCATGTTATTTTTTCTTGACAGTATTATTAGCATAGCTTTTTTGAATATCAGTTTTTGAATAAATTTGATCACCAACTACTTAATCTTACTGATTTATATTTGAATCTTTAATTTCTTGAAAATCTGTGCTATCAATTATAGAGTCTTCTTAATCGTTGAATAGTGAAGTTAAAGATTTGGATTTCAGTTAGCCAAAAGAAGATTTATTAGGCAGCATATTCTATTTATTTTTATTATATTAGTCGTCATATTTATCAAATTCACTGTTTTTGTTATAATTCTTAAAATCAGAGGAAAACGCAAAGTTCAAAATTTTATGTTATTTTTTTTTATTTTGCTATTTTTTAGAGGTTTTTGAACGATTAAATTTTGGCTACTGAGATTTTTTTTATTTGATTTATTCTTCTTATTGCGATTTATTGGAAATAAGTAACCCGTTTCTTCTTTTTATAGCATTTTACTAGCTACTTTAGTTTTCATCAAATAATCCAGAGTTTTCTATATCATCAATCATATCTTGCATTACAGTTTCTTCTTCCTCTTCATCAATAAGATATACTATATCATTTTAGCTTTCACTGAAAATTAATTGTGGTGAACAGGTTATAAAAACTTCATCGTCATCATATTCGAGTAGCTAGTAAAACTAGTTTTCTATTAAGTTAAATATAAAACCAAAATAAATTAAATAATAAAAAATACTCTATTAAATATCTTAGATTTATTCTTCTTCATCATAATTTTGGCTTTAGTAAGCATAGTCTTTTGGCAATCTGAGTCTAAAAAATCTGAGTTGATTGTGCATTTATTTAAAGTTTTTTAAATTTGATCTCTTTTTTTACTATCGGTCAAAGTCTTATCTTTTTTAAGGCTTCATAATATAACAATAAATAAATAAATAATTTAAAAATCAAAATAAATTGAAAAATTAATGAGTTACTATTTCACATATGTAACGTTTTAAAAGCAATTCTTTGTTTACTTCGTAATGCAGTAGTGGGCAATTTAATATACTATGAAATTTATTCTTGCAAGATTGACATTACTTTAACAATGCACATTCATTTTTAAAACGGATAGTGTGAACAAGCATACAATATTATTCATAATCTAATCTATAATTTTATAAGATGTTTTCAAACACTTCTTTTTATATATATGCAATTTGTGTAGTATTCTTTGAGATATACTCATATTTACATGGAGTATTACCAATAAAACTTTCATTATCGAAAGTGTCTCCCTAATTTAATAAGATTACTTGTAAATTAATTAGACTTAAAAAAAATTATCTACTGTGGTTTATCATAAAATAAATGCAGTGCATTTAAACTTTGTTAAATTTCAATTTATCGATATTTTTAGAATTAAAATTAAAAATTTGATATTTAAATGTTTTCTATTTTATGATAACCTACAGTAAGTAAGTAAGTAACAAAAATTTAATTTCAATGATTTTTACCTGTTTTAAAATTGAAACTATGATTTATTTTTATTGTTAGCTATAGGAGTTTTGTTTAAGTTTTATGACTTGTTAGATTTCTCCAGATATAATGAAATATAAATTTTTAGAGGGTTTTCCTTGATTTAGAATACAATCTCCTGGCCCGTAAACTGCTTCGCTAAATTAGGATTAAATTTCTTACCTAATTTTTTCTGAGAAGTAGTTAGTAAAAAGTGGTATTTAGTTGATGACCTTGGCAAAAAACTCGAAATATACTTCGTCTCTAACACTTTTACTCATATTTTAAATGAGTTATTTTCCTTTTTAAGGATTATCATTCTAATTTCTATGTGAATATTCTAAGAATCTAATAACCTATTTTTTAAAACATTGCTTAATTAATTAATTAATTTTTAATATGAAATATAAATTATTTTACTTTATTTTAACTTTATTTGGAAATATTTCTCACCTTCATGTAAGTGAGTACTAAATTCTTGTTAGCTTTAAGCTCTTGAGTATGTGCCTATTTTTCTTTTACAATATTCCCTATTGTATTTATAGCGAAAGCAAATATTCCACAGCTAAAACACGTTTAAAAAATAACATAAACCCTTTCGTATTTATTTATGGGAACAACATCTCCAAAACCCACAGTGATCATTGCAATAATTGCAAAATAAATTGAACTGATATAATTATCTATAAAAGGGGCTTGGTCTAATTGATTTTTAACTATCCAATTGTTGTCTTTGTCTGAATACAACCCAACAAAATGAAATCCACATCCACAAATATGAGCAACAAGTAAAATTTGATAAAGCAGCTGAAACAGTTAAAAATAAATTGGAAATTTTTGACTCAGCATGAAATTTTCATCAATCTTTTTGTATTTATTTTTTAATAATTAAAGAAAATAATATTTGTTAAAGATTATTTTGTATTTTACTTTTTCAAATATTTCTTACATTTAGAATATTCTGACTAGAAAAATCAAAGCATAATATGACTAGCTTTGATTGGCATAAAGAGCACCTGCAGTTATGATGTCGAAAAATAAATAATTTTGAAAATAATGCTTATAGGCAGAGAGTCTGTCGACAACTGCTATTCCTTCGCTATAATATCCTTTATTCATTTTAAAGAAGATCTCACAAATGAAATATATAGGAGGAATTTGTTCAAATATAAGTATAATATATTAATTGCTAATGTTGACATTAAAACAAACTTTTATTGGTAAGAAGAAAAACTGTCCTAAGATTAAAATAAAAGACTAAATCTCTAGACTAACCACTACAAAGTGAGATGGATCTATAACAGGTATTTGATTGAATTTTCTCCAAATACTTTTGATTGACCTTTTGAGTCTATCTTTAAATCTAATATTTTTATTTATTTTAGCAAATTTTACTCCAAAAGACTTGTCATTTATTAACCCAAAATGGTATTCTTGAAGTGTGAATATATTTCTAAAAGAAATAAGCTTATGTAAAAGGAATTTGAATTTAATTATGAAGTATAAGATATTTAGATAGTTTTTAGAATACGCTTTTTGACTAATAACATTTAACGTTTTGTCATTTTCTTCTGATTGCTCTTTGTAAATATTTTACTTTGTGGAAATTGATTCTTAAGATAATCTTTACATACCATAAAAAGGGTTATCCTTTACATCTTCTAATTGCTATTTTTCTGTTTGTACTTCTCCTTCTTCTGAAATTTGGCTACTTTCTTTTAATAAAATTATAATCTTATAAACCCTTCTTTAAGCTTTAAGATTTTTATGTAATTAATAGACTTAATTATTGAATATAGAAAACATTTTACAAATAGAAGACTATGGGGTTTCTATGTCATCGTAATATCTGAGATTTCTTTATTCTATCTTATCATAATTTATAATTTAATCAGCGTTTTATCTAGTACCGATGCCTAATTGTTTAAAAGTATTTCCTAATTCAAAGTTATCAGATTATTTTTACTAACAAAAAGAATAATTAAAGTGATCTTGAATTTTTTTAGTTTCCATTAAACTAGCTACGATAGCTTATTTCCTCTAATTTTAACCATTTATAAGAGCTCTGTCAGTAATATCTGCAACCATACTTTCAATATTTCGAAAAGCAGAACTGCAATCGCAGTTAATTTATTCATAATCATTATCCATTAAAGCTCTAGTAGCAAGTAAAGTTATATAAAAACTTTAAATGAAGCAATTTTAATACTGATTATCTACACTAAATCTATTCTAAAGTTACTACTTTTAAATGATATTTAAGTAGCTTAGTATTTTATAAATAAGCCTTATTTATTATAAAAATTATTTCTAAAATCAAAGCTCCTTTTTTATCTAAAAATATAGTAGAAGTTAGTTAGTTAAAAGCTGAATTCTTTTTCTTAAATAATTAATTAATTAATGCTTTTTTTTCCCTTTTACCTCAATTCATTTTATCATAAACTAATAATTTATAGAAATGGAGAGTAAAAATATTTGAATAAAAAATGGAAACATTTTAATTATTTTCTTATTTCTAAATTAAAAGTTTAAATATAAACTATTTGAGAAGAGAGCTTTTCATTTTAATATGAATATTTGAATTTAAAAAATGTTTGTGTCTAAAATTAAAATAATTAATTAATTAATTGATCAATTAATTCAGAAGCGATAAGCTACTTTTGCAATTTTTATTTTAAAAAGTTTACAGTTATTAATAATTAAAAGCAAATAAATGTATTAAATAATTTGTTAACTTTGAAATTTAAAATTTTTAGATGAAATATAGAAAGCTAAAAAAAATAAACAAATTTTTATTAAATTAAATATAAATAATTAAAATAGAAATAATATAATTTTTTATTTTTAAAAAGAATAAATAAATAAATAGTATCTGAATATTTTTATTTATCTTTAAATTTTGTTTGAATAAAAAATCTTTAATTTAAATTAATAATAGTAATTATAATTTTTGGAGTTATTTAAAAAAAAATAATTTTATCTATCGAACTATAGCAAATTTATTAGGATTATCAATTGTGTATGTCTTATGTATAATAATGTAAACCATTGTTAAAATAATTAGTAAAAAAATTCAAGGAATCTAGTGAAACTGATAAAATATTTTCTAATCTAAATAATAATAATGAAATTGGTATATAATCGTTGTTGCCGATTAGAAACCAAGAATACATAGATAGTATGGGGAAGTCAAATAATCATTAAGCAACAACTTTTTCTTAAAAAAAATAATTTTAACATTGATCTTATATTATCAAAATGAACTTTTTTTAAACATTTTAAATTTATGAGTAAATGAAAAAAAGTGAAGGTTTTGAATAATATATTAAATTTAACAACAATTTGTATTTAGAGATAAAGTTTTAAAACTAAATATTGAATAAAGAGCAAATAATAAATAAATATTTATTGAATTATGTTCAAATAATTATATCATAAATTCACTTTATATTTTTTTTATATTAGACTGTTTGTCTGAATAAAAAACATCTCAAATAAACTAATAATCATAATAATCAATCAATATTAGTATTTTTTAGAGGAAAGTGCAATAATCTTGAAAAATCATTTTTTAAAAAAAATAATTTTAGCTTTGAAATTAATTTTTCTAAATGAATTTATTTATTTTTAAACAGTTTACATAAATAAAAATAAATTAAAATATTAAATAAATAATTTATTAAATTGAATATTTAATATTTGTAGAAAATAAATATATTTTAGTGATAAAATTTAAAAAAATAAATATTGAATGAAAAGTAAGTAAAAAACAAACTAATAAATAAATTTTTATTTGATTTATATAAATAATTATTATTTTAGTAATAATAAGCTAATTTATAAAGGAGTGGAATCATTTTTAATTCTCAAAACTCTACATTTACTATTTGTTTTTATTTATCTTCAATTGTTTATTTCTATAAAAATATCTAAATTAAAACATGAAGTTTCTATTTTTATTGTTAATAAAAATATAGAAAAATAATTAGAAATAGGAAAGGATAATCACTTTACGGGCTTCAAATAAATAATAAGTGGAGATTTTGAAGAGTATAGAATTATGGACAATATTAATTTTTGGAGAAATTCTTAATAATCTCGAAACAACAATTTTTTCTTAACAAATTATTTTAACATAGATTTTATTTAATCTAAATGAAAAAAACGCATTTATTTTATTTGTAAAAAAGTAAGAGTGAGATATTATCTTTTTTTAAATATATGTTAATAATAAAATAATTGATCTTCTCTTTGTAATTGTTTTTTTAGTTATTAAAATGAAAAAGCTAATTATTTAATTAATGCTGGATTCAGATATATTAGGATTTAAATTATTGGTTATGTAATTTCTCAGATAAGATAATTTAATTTTTAAGGAAAGATATATTATTTAAATAGATAAGCAATTTGGTAGTTTATTTTGATTGATTAATTTTTTATTTAAGTACTACTTAAAAATATTTTATTTTAAATGGAAGATGCGTATTTAATTTAGTTAATTATATGTTTTATAGTTATGATCTATTAATAATTTTTGACTTGAGTCTTAATGATATAGCAAGTAATAGCAATTTATTACGATTCATTATATTTAAATAAGTAATTTCTTAAGAAATTTCTCTTTAAAATAAGAAAAAAGTTCTAAATTGCCACAGTTCACAATTTTTTATACTGATTCAAAAAACAATTTATTTATTTATTCATTAAAATAAAAAATACTCATCTTTTTTATGTGGGAAGGCAATCATTATTTTAGATCATATTATAATGTATTTTACAATTGCTCAAGGTGATTTTAATTTTATCCATATATTTATTTACAGAGTATCTTTACTATATTTTGGATAAAAGTACAAAGAAAAATTACAAAGGCTAATTGATATTTATTAACTTATGTGTTAAATATTCTATCTAATAAATTCTGTTGGCTTACAAGTCACATTAATTATCAATAAATGAATAAATAATTATTGTTTCATATTTGTTTTATATGGTTTAAAAAATTACAATCGAGTTATTCTCTTGATAAAATTAATATCTTCTAAGCGCTATTTAAACTCTACTTCTTTATTTTAAAATAGAATTTACTATTTTTTGTAATCAAAAATGTAAGTCAAAAGATAAAAACTTCTGCTGATTTTCCAAAGAAATCATTCTGGAAAGATACAGATTTATTTAAATAAACACAGACATTCGTAATCGTATTATGAATTGTCGACAGAAGTGATATACTAACAATTATTATGACTTTTTAAATCAGAGCGATAATACGTGACAAAATTTAAAATTGTACAAAAAAGAAATACCCTCGATGAAAAAAGTAATAGAGGATGAAATTTTACAATTTGCAAATAGCAATTGAACAGCATTAAAATTTATATAAAACAAGTAAATATTGATATTCTCCCTATTCAAACAAGAATGCCTTCAATTAATATACTTAATCTTAAGATAAATTTAAGAATAAATTAATTTGGGAGGAAGAAATTTAATTAGTGGTAGGGTAGAATACATTCATTCATTCTTTATTGATCAATTAATTGACTTTTTAATATTTTATCTCATTAAAAAAAAGGCAAACGATAAACATTAAAACAAGCTATTTAGCAAGCAAGCAATCAATCAATCAAACAAAAAATAAAGAAGAAAGAAACAAGCAAGCATTTAATATATAAATAAAATTAAGTCTGAGATAAAAAGATATAGATAGATATTGATAATATTTATATATTTGTTTCAATTAATTTCATTGTAAATGTACCAAGAAAACAAATAAGCAAATAATCAAACAAATTAACAGAGCAACTAAAGTAAAAAAGAAAAGTCAAGTTAATAGCATTAAAAATTATTAAAAATAAGAATAATTAAAAAACTATAATTTTAATAATACCATAAAATACCTTAAATTAACTAAATTTAATAATACAAACAAGCAAATAAATAAATAAACAAACAAATATACAAATAAATAAATAAATACTTAGCATGATTAGCGCTGCAGAAGATAAGGAGTTAACATTTGAGTGGGAAGTAAGAGAAAACGATATTCCTTACTCTAAGCATATGATAGGTTAGATATTCTACAATTAAAAATTGTGTTTTTAAGCAATAAACGTCTTGATGATTTCAAGCACTTATGTTTGATTGATTTCAAGAAATTTGTATGTATGTATTTCTGCTTGTTTTAATACTGTTTATTTAATATATATAAAGCTGGTTGCATAGCTGGTATGATCGAACATTCTACCATGTTTCCCTTCGATAATATCAAGGTAAAATCACAAATTAGAATTTAAATTCAACCTTTTATTGAATTATCTTTGACAACAGACCCATTCCCAAGTCACTAAGAATATGAACTTCTTTTAGATTGTACGTTAACTCCATTCTGAAGGAGGTATTCCTGCATTCTACAGAGGTATAGGTTTAGTAGCCTGTGGTTCTATGCCTGCACATGCTGCCTTCTTTTCAATTTATGAGTTAGCAAGAGTCAAGTTTGGAGTTAACGATGAAGAGCATCACCCTTACTTGTTTGCTTTGACAGGTGCATGTGCTTAATTCTTACACGATTTAATTATGACTCCCATTGATGGTAATTAAGTTCTTTTATTCAAATTAACATGATTGAAAATAGCAAATGGAAAATTAGGTTAAATATAAAATGCTATACTATAAAATAAATTACATTCAATTAAACCACTATAATTTTAAGAGTTAAGTTGAAAATTTGTCATAAAATTACAATCTCATAAAGGCCTATTTATTTATTACAGCTATTTTAAACTGCTCAACATAAACTAATTAAGTAATTCTGATTATATAAAAAAATGTAGTCATTAAGCAAAGAAAGTAAATTAGCAATTTGCCAGCCAATGATATCATCAGAAACATGATAAGAACTGAAGGATACACTTCACTCATTAGATCTTTCCCTGTTACTTATGTAAAAAATTCTCTACATAAAGAGTTTTAAAAATCATGAAATATTTTTTTAATAAGCTTTATTAGAGGCTATAAATCTACTTTCTAATCAAATTCAACTTTTTTTCTTAATATAAAGCTTATGAATCTTCCTCTATCAGCAATTTTAGTTGGTGCTAATGAAACACTTAAAGTAGCATTCTAAAAGAGTTACAATCATAATTTCTTGTCCTACTTCACCTGCGCTGGTGTAGCTGGTAATAAATTAGTCTATCAATTAATCATTTATTTATTTAGCTCCTATTGTATTGCTAGAAATCAAATTAATTTAACTAAGTTTATGATTTTTATAAAAATTTCTCTTCTTTTCACATACAAAAGTGACATAGCAAGTAAAAAAAATAGATATTTAAAATAGTCATTCTGCAGCAAATTTTACTGAATTCTAGCATTAAAAAATAATAGCCTCTTTAAAAATAAAGAAATAGAAAATTCTAAATTATTTATATTAATTGCTTTTTGTTTATTATTTAAATTTTGAATGAGCAAATTTGTTTGTTTAATAGTTTGAAGAGAAATGCAATACATTACATTATAAGTGCATATTTACATGCAAGTTCAATTTTATTTTAAATCTATTTAATTTTTTTGTATTTTTATTATTAAGGTGCTATAGCAGCAACTTTGACCACTCCATTTGATGTGATTAAGACAAAACTCCAAACACAAGACATTTACTAAAAGTAATTAATTATATATAAATATATTTTAGAAATGAGAGATTTGATAAAAATAAGGATAAAGTGTCAAAATGTTGAATAAAATTAATACATTTTGGTAATTTATAAAAATTGTTTATTTAAAAAATTGCTTATGGATTGATTAAAAGATAATAGATTTACTTACTAATAAAAACTAAGAATTGTGTCTAAAGAAAATTTAAGAAAAAAAAATATTGCATCATAACTAGTAAAAATTCGAAGATTATTGAGGAGTATTAAATTGTTAATTATTCTATCAAATCTTATCAATAAGCATAAAACACGCATACAAATATAATTAAATCTCATAATACAACAATTATAATCAAAAAAATTATTAGTTGATAGAATTTCACAAGAAATAAGCTCAAAAAATTAAAAACAAAATGACCATTTTAATTTTTATTAAAAAATTTTAACATTAAAAATGAACTCATTTTTACGAACTTATTAAAATAAAAATGATTTAAAATAAATTGTTAATTTGTTAAAGCTTAAAATTAGTAAGTTAAATTATTTTATTGAATTATTTTTTTTACTTAATTAGGTACTGCTCTGCTTGTGATATGACTAATGAAAATAAATAAGTAACTAATAAAAAGGGAAATAATATTAATAATCAATTTAAAAAGTAATAATAAGCTCAAGCTGCCTACAATTTTAGTAGCAAAGTTAACGGTTGTGAAATTAATGAATAAGTTGTATGTAGAAAGGCTAAATATGAAAGCTTCTTATAAACATTTAAGCTTATTTTGCAAGAAGAAGGTGTACGTGGATTATTTAGAGGATTTGGTTCTAGAATTATAATATTTTCACCATCCTCTGCTATCTCTTGGGCAAGTTATGAAACCATGAAAAGATATTTACTTAAAAAGATTCCTACTCATTGAGAGATAGTAGGTTATATTGACTTCCAATTTATTATCTTCTTACCAGCTAACTAATTTAAAATCTCTATCTTTCCATCTATTCATATATTTTTGATTAATTAATGCTTTTGGGCTATATACAGCTAGCTAGCTCTTTCACATTCTTTCTAAAAATCTAATCAAAAAATAAATAAATAAAATAATTCAACAAATAATAAAAGTAGAGCTTTTCAGAAATCAAAAATTCTTAACTATTCTTTATAAATAATAAATATAAATAATTTCCTTAAAGAAAACAAATAAAAAATAAATAAATCTTAATTAAATTATCCTTTATTTTTAAATAGCCATTTGTAAAATGTATATTTACTTAGTTCAATTAAATCATTTTCAAATTAATCAACAAATATTGCATTCCAAACAAAATCTTTATTTTAAAATAAATAAATAAATCCTTTATCACAAATAAATAAAAATGAAAAATATTCAAATAAAAAAAAATAGAAATCTCACTAAAAAAGTATATTTTTAACGTAAAAAATATTAACTTAATTTAAAATTAATTAGAATGATTTGAAAAATATTTAAAAAAGCTTAAATTTATTTTTAAATTTATAAAATAAAATTTTTACTATTCCAAACACTAAAAAAAAACATTCATTCATTTATTATTTTTTATGTAGTTTTTAAACTTTAAATTATTTAATATTTCCTTTGATTTTATTAAAATTCATTAAAATTATTTATTTATCTTTGTTTTGATATTAAGATATTAAATTAAACAATAATTGTTTCTTATCCTTATTTGATCTCTTAATGATTGTCTTATTAATGATATACAATATATAATTTAATATTTCCTTTGATTTTATTAAAATTCATTAAAATCATTTATTTATTTTTATTTTGATATGAAGATATTACATTAAACAATTATTGTTTCTTATCCTTATTTGATCTCATAATGACTGTTTTATTAACAATATACAATATATAAAATACTGAAAATTTTAAAGTAGTAAATTCTATATTTCCATCATAAAGTGATATACAAACTAAATAAATATATTTTATAATATTTAATTTTTGCTTATTTTCAAATACATTATTTTACATTCAAGCATTAAAGATTGATTTTCATATGATTAAATTATGTTGATTTTAGTTTGTTTTTGATCCATTAGATAGATAATGCTTTTTCTTTTAATTAATTAGGTTTTATTTAGAGTTAGAAAGAATTTACTTATTTCATAATAAAAGCTTTAATTTAATTAAGATATATATATATATACTATATAAACAAACTTTAAAATATAATTATGTTTTTAGTGTTTTGAATTTAATAAAATAGTTTATTTATCATATGATATTTTAGATTCAATCAACCCATTTGGTTCTTTCTACTTCATCTAAATCGAACCAGTTTTTACAATTAACCCAATCGGTATCATCAAGATATCCAGGGCAATAATATTAGCCATCAGCAAAGTAGAATCTGAGATTTTACCCACCACAAGAAGGACAATTAGGCTGAATGCCTAATACCTTAGAAAGTGCACATCTATAAACTAGTTATTCCTTAGCTCCACTTACTGAAGCATTATTTTTAGTTAACAATTCTTATAATTGTTTCACTGTTTTTTTCTCGAACAATTTCCTGTATGATTAGTATTCCTTCCATTGAGCCTTTGTTAATGTTTTTTGTTACTCAACTTTTTCTACTGGTCTGTGTTAACGGACAACAACTTTTGGGAGATGCTTTACTCTTTTATTTTTATCACCTTATTATATTTTGAGAGCATCTCTAATTTCCTTATGATATTTTTCATCTAGTTCATCTATGTCCTAAATGTCCCAAACTTTGAGATTTTTGAATTTTTCAGGCAGTGTTAAGCAACTTGGATGGTACCACTTTTTGTTAATATGAGTGTGTTCCTCATCAAAATAAACTGTATGGCCAATTCTCAAAGTTCCTTGATCAATAGTTTTTTAGCATCCTTTGCATTCTGATTTATTGCTCTTAGCTAATTCAGCACAATAGCACTCGTAATAAAAGGACTTAAAATCTGTCATGTTTATTTGTTTATTTATTTATTAATCTAATAGAAATAATTATGTTTTTTTTAATACACTTAATCTTAATTGTTTTTTTTAATAAAAAATATCTTTCTAAGTTAATTACCATCAGTTTTTGATACACAATTCGTATAGACAATATAATTAATTTGTCAGATAATAAAATCTGTTTTCTGTTTATATGGAGGAAGCCCATTCTGATAAATATTAATTTTTCTTTTTTCTTTAAAAAGCGCGGATACTTATTTGTTATACACTTATATATAATAAATACAAATAGTTGTTTGTTTTAAATAATTAATTTCGAGCTGGAATATTCAATATTAAAAAGTTCCTTCTAATAAAATTGAAAGCAAGCAAATTAATATCAAAAGGCAAGATAATCAAAGAGTTTTCATTAAATAAAGATATTTATTTAAAAAGATGTATTAAAAGATAAAGGAAATAAATAATATTGGGCTAAGTCTATAAATTTTAAAAAATATAAAGTTTAAATTATAGTTAATATAATTATGAAAATAATATTTAGCAATAGGATAAATAGGTTTGTTAACTTTAACTAAGCTGGAATATCTTACTCTATAAATACTCCAATTAAATGATTTGTATAATAGATCATTTTTAATAAATTTAGAGTTGTAATAATGTAAAGTCACTTGATCAAAAATAAATATATTTTCATCTAAAATTCAAGATTTAGTAATAATCTGTAAAAAACAACTAAAAAAATAAACAATTTATGTTGCTAAAATTATAGCAATTTTTAATTAAACTTACAATTTTATGATGGCAATTTTAAAGAAGGGAATCTTAATTAATAAAGATTTTATAAAACAAAGTTAAGATGAAATGAAAATAAATTAGAAAGCTTTAGTTTAAATTTTAATTTAGTGTCAAATATTGAATAATTTACTAAAGTAAATCAAAATAATTTGATATCGAAATAAATGAATAATAACATAATTTGTTACAGAAACCCTTCATTTGATTATTGGATTCTTAAGTTAATATTTTCTTCTATAAATTTTTTTATGAATTAAAAAAAAAAATAAAAATTATGCTATAATATGTGATAAAATTTCGTTATTTATTTTAGCATACATTTATATTATAAAAAATATAATATTTAATCAAAAAATATAAACAAATTAATTTATCAAAAATTTTTTAAAAATTTAATCAACTTATTCAAATAAACTAAAAAATATATAATTTATTAACCATTATTAATAAAAAAAAATGAAGGCATCGCGAATAATAAATTAATTAATTAATATAAATTAATTATAAGGTTAGCATATAATTAGCTAACAAAACATATTAAATTTTTCAATAATTTATTTATTTAAGATTTAATCTTTATACAGAAAGTAGCACCTTTATCTTAGTTAATTCAACTTTTATTTTTTTTTCAAGAGTGTATTTGATTTAACTGTGAAATTTGGTATTAATGTTTAAAATCAGATATTCCTAACTCTATTTTTTAGTTTGTTTTTCTGTCTCTTGGAGAAGTTAATTGTCCTTGATAATTATTCAACGCTTTTCTCAGATTGCATTCAAAAATATCATTAAAGGAAAGCTTATGTCTATCTCCACCTAAAATAATTAAAAAGTCATCAATCACAATTGCAGAGTGTCCATCTCTTGGCTGTGGTTTTATGTTTTTAATTCGAGAGTTTTCGATTTTCACTTGCTTGATTTATTAAAGCATTTAACTATTATTAAATTGTATAAATTTTTATTCTAAAAAGTTTTCAGCTCCTTTTGCTTTGCTTTCAGTCATTTGAATAGCCTTTCTCATGGCATCTGTTGTTGGGGACTTTATTCTTGGCAATTGATTCTAAGCACTGCCATCTATGAGCTTTGCCTGATGGTATTATTGTTTGCCATCGTTTTATTCTGTGTTGATGTATTTTTACGAGTTTTACTACGATTGAGACACAGGAGGATTTGCATGATCAGTAGTTGCTCTAATTTTTTTGGTTGTATTTTAATCAACAAATTCTCTCAAAAGTATTTTCTTTCTCAATTCTATTATTTATTAATATTTTTCTTATTTAGAAATTAGTGGATTCATTGACAATCTCTTGATTTTATCGAAAATTGCATTTAAAGATTCCTAAATTTATCCCTTATGCAAGAGCTAAGTTGACTGTGTTTTGAACCTTTTGGCAAAAGATTAAAAGTTTAGTTAATATTCTTATTCTTTACCAACAGCACCTAGCTATTAAATTGAATTATTTATCAGAGATGTATAATTACTCTTTTCATAGCTTTAATCTCTTTCTAGATGCTTTGGTGTTTCCTCTGACTAAACTTTATTGAAAAAAAATTTAGAATCTAATTTAAGTGCTAAAATATTATCGTTCACACTTTAAGAAACAGGAGTGTGACCTTAGCTAATACTTTTGCTAAAGTCATATATGCTATTTTCATTGAATTCAGAATTGTTACTGTATAAATATTGATGATTGAACATTTTTCTTATTTATTGTATTTTATAAAGTCTCTCAGAAGGCAATTAAGAAGGGCTTTTTTTGTATAATTATTTCGATTTCTAAGAATTTTATGAACATTCAAATAGCTCAATATTTTATCTGTTTGTGTTCTCCTCAAACACCTGTTGCTATCTACTGACAGACATACTGTGAGTATTTAATTGTTTTCTATTGAGATAGTGGCTAAATTCATTTTTATCTTCTTTTCTGTTAATTAAATGTTTTTCTGAATACTGCTTTCTTATTTTTGGAGTCTATTAATGGGAGTTCATAGATAAACCAAATTCACCTAAAATGCTAAAGTCTTCATTTAAAATTTGAGCTTTTGTTTTCGGAGTTTGCTTGTTTTATATCATCGTATTGTTGTGGCTGTCCTCAGAACTTAATTAATTCAAGAAATCTTCATGTGCAAAATCACTCCTATCGTATTTGGTCTCATATTCCAAACAAGACCATTCTTACTTTTCTGTAGAAAAGCAAAATAAATCATTTATTTCTCTAGTGATGCCTAATATCCCTCCAAATAAAATAATATTATTTTAATATTTGCACATACTATGACCACTTCTTGGCTATTTAATAAAATAAATTAATTTTTAATTTTAATTTTCTCAAAAACAAACAAACTGTTTAAATATTTTTAGTTTTAATTTCAACTCTATCTAGTAAATACTTTATGGTTTATGTTAATTTTTATTGTTTAAAAAAATATCAATATTTAAAATATTTCAAACTTATTTTTACTTCTTAATTTTCATTTAAATATATTTTAAAAACAAACTTAAACGCTATCTATGGATGAGTTCTTATTAATAAAAACTTTATTAATTATTATCCAATTAAAAAAAATTAAACCAATTACAAATATATTTCTAAAGAAGAAAGTTTAAAAATGTAGATTAAATTTTATGGGATTTAATTAAATTCAATCTCGATATTTTCTTACAGCTCCATCTTTAACTAAAATTAGCAAGATTTGAGTTAAATTAATTGAGATTTTCTGAATTTATAAGAGTTATAGATAAAATAATAACTAATGATATTTTTATTTCTTAATTTGTTATTAAATTTTAAATGAAATAACAATATTTAAGCTAGATAGGTAGGGTATTCATTAAATTTTGAAAAAAAAGCAACTTCTCCTGAAAATAAAAATAACTATTAAATTTTTTTACATAAATTGAAAAAAGATTTAATAATAATACCCTATCATTTATTTATGATAAACATAAAAATAATTATTTAATTTTATTCAAACAACTTTTTTTGCTAATAATTAAGTGAGTGAGTGAGAACTCACAGATTCTTTAAAACTGATTAAAAAATTTTTCATGATATTTAAAAATTTGATCCAAGCAAAAATCAATTTAAAAATTAGTTTTATAAATATGTTTTTTTTCAAAAAAATTTGTTTATTTTATGTGCTCTCAAATATCAGTTTAATTTATTTTTAAAAATCGATCTTTTTCAGTTTATTTATTATATCTTTGGAATTGAAAGAAAGTTCGAAATTAATTATTAAATTTTTATCTAATTTATTAACAATTTTTTCTAATATTATTTAAAAACAATTCAGTAAACAATATTATTTTACTTGAGGTTAATTTGGTGTGATTATTTCGCTCCATGCGTTATTTTATACACTAAAGCACCATAAATCTCCGAATCTTTAATTCAAATTTTATCCTCCAAAAATGTATAAGTTGCCATTGATAAAAGCAGAGCTATGAGAAGAGCGAGAACTAGGTACTTTACCTTATGAACTTTGAATTATTTTCCAGCTATTTTGGTAGATATCAAATTCATACAGCTTATTTAAGTGCCCTTTTTTATGCTCAAATCCTCCGAATATATACATCCTTCCTGTTTTTTCATCTATTGAGCTTGAATGTGACTCTAAATATGGAACTTAATTTATTTCATTTTTGTTAGCATTTTCAACAGTTGGATTCTTTCTTAACCACTTCTCTTCAATAAAATCAAACACACAAATCAAGTTACTGCTTTGCATAGCATTTTACTTTCCTCCATAAATAATTAAATTATCTTTAAACTAATTGGCTGTGTGTCTGCATAGAGGTCCTATTTTTAAAAAATTATTAATTTCTTTTCTAAAAGAACCTTGCTTATAATTTTGAGAGTAGAATTAAGCTTTAAACAAAAAAAGCTAAACTTCTAGAATCTAATATGAATACTCTTTAGAATTATCAAGGGTACTCTTGTTAAAATAATTGATTTTAATTTAAATTTCAAACTATTTAATACCAGGAGAAAGTTATGGATTTTAAGCATTTACTTTCATTGGAGTTCCTAATGTTTCTGAAGAATAATCGAAATATAAGAAATCATCTTTCACTCCAGTATGCAACTCGTATCCGCCATAAATGTAAATTCTAAATAATAAAAAGTAAGTAAAATATAAGCTCAATATAGACTTAGATAAGATAAACTTATTTTGTAAAATGAAACAATATCTTGCTTGCCATTTTGATAAATTACTTACTTATTATGATAATATGAAATGGAATGGTAACTTCTACTATTAAGAGAACCAGATGGAAGCCTTAATTAACTCCAATTATCAGTTTCACTTTACTTTAAGTGGTGCTAAGACAACTAACTCTTTTAATAATAAACAAGTAATTCCATTATAATGTTTGTAAATAGAAAATGTGTAGCTATCAATTACCATGTTTGCTAAACTATATTTGCTAAGTTGTTTCATCTCTTTATATTTGTTTGCTTGCTTAATATTCACTTGTTAACTAACAAATTAACTAATAAATTAATTTATTTATTTACTCGTTGTTATTTTTAAAGCCAATCAAAAATTTATAAATAAATAAATAAATGCTCTCACGAGATAATTAAATAATTTATGTTAAATTAATTTAAGTTAACTTAATTATTTTAAAAACAATCATTCAATCAATCAATAAATAATTATTTATCAATCAATAGTAATATATCTGCAGCTATTAAATTTTCTTTTGATCTCCTACTAATACATCATCTTTTTATGAATGATAACAACTTAAATTATAAAAATATTTATTTTTAGTTGAAAATTTGATAATTTTTTAAAAGCTATTGCATAGCATTTAACTTTTAATAATAAATAAAATAGTTTAAAAATCAAATTTCTCAAAATAATAATGTAAATAAAATGACTAAAACTTCTAATTTTTATTTAAAAAATCAAAGTTTTTATTTCAATTTGAGAATATTGAAATAATCATTTTGCAGGTATTAAAAGTAAAGCTATTAAATAAAATAAAGTTTTAATAACAATCTTAAGAATTCAAATAGATTTCATAATGTTAATGCAGTAATTTTTTCTTAAGGTAGTTAATTAAACTAACTAACTTAATAAATGAATCACTCATTTAGAAAATTTTTTTGCTCTAGAAATTTAATAATAATCTTACTTTGCATTCATATTGATTATTCTTATTTATATAAAAGCTAATCCTTTTATTAACATTTATTTATTAATAACCTATTAAACAGTCAGTTCATTTTAAATAAATAAATAATAGTTTCTTCTATTTTAAAAGGAATTTATTTAAATTATAGTTTGACCAATCAATAGTAAGAAAATATTTCTAAGTAAATTAAAAATTAATCCAATTTATTTTTCATTTTATTAATCTCTTTATTTAAAAATAATATAATTTCTCTGACTCTAATTAAATTACATAATTATACATATTATTTTTAATATTAATTATTTTTTTTTTTTTTTAATAAAAACACATTTAAATAAACAACAATGATGTTAAAGGATTTACAATATCTAGTTACAAAATAAATAAATAAAATTAAAAAAAGTAAAATTTACTTGTATTTTCTTTTAAACTAGTTAATTTATTTAATTTTCATACAGAAAGAAATAAAAATTTTTGATAACATTTTAATATTTTGTTGTTAAGAATAAAAAATATTTAAGTAAATATAAAAGATAATCTATGAAAACTGAAAAAAATTCTTAAATTAGTATAGCACAAATGGTCTATTAATTACATTTAAAATAATATAATCATCATAAAATAATAAATTTATAAAATAAAATGATAAAATATTAAATAAATAAGAAATTGATGAAAAATTGTGTAAATAAATAAATAAATAATAGAATTAAAATAGAATACTATAATTGAATTGGGAAGGGTAGCAATTTATTTTTAATTTGGATACTTGGTAAATATCTAGAAATTCTTATTTTGCTCAATATTATAAATAGAATAGTGGTAGAAGGTTAGGAAAGAAAGTTCAAAAATATTTTCTAATGATTAAATAAGAGCCAAATTTATTATTTTATACCATTTATATATCATTTGGAGGAATTTAGCTTGCTTTAAAAGTTTTAAGGATAGAGAAAAATTCTAGAAGAAAGAATTATTATAAAAAGATTAGTATTTTATCAGTATAAAATTAAATTAAAGATAAATTTAAATGAAAAATATTTGATTTGATTAATATTAATTCTTCCGAATTATTCATACATACATTCATATATAAGTAAATAAATACATAGTCAGATATATAGATAGATATATTAATTACTTTATAGTTTGTTAACGATATAAAAAAAAAACTTAGTATTTATTTTGGCAGAATTCAAAAAGATATATCGAATAATCTTATTAATTAAAATAACAAGAAATTTTTGTTACTTGTAAATTATTATCAAAACTTTAAGATAAATAGGTAGGTATAAAAATAGATATCAATCAATCAATATTAAATCACTTAGTATACAGAATGAGCACCTGCGTTGAATTTTTACAATATTTGAAATAGTATTTAGATCCTCTACTCATTAAGGAAGACATCAGCAAATTCGATAGAAGTATAATCTAAGTCGAGTTGAAGAAGTCCTTTGAAGACATTGATGAAAATGATTAGTCTCAGCTTCTTTTCAATTTACTATTGAAGAAATGCATTCAAATCAGTGATAATTTAGAGCTTAGCGTAGAGGAAGGCAAAAAATAACTTAGGGAACTCCTTGAAGTAGTTAAAGATTAGCAAAAGACAATCTTCTAAGTATTTTATACTCTTCTCACTCTCTTTTTAAAAGAAACTTGGACTGGTCCTTCATTTTTAACTACTGATTCTTTGAGAAAAATGAAATTAGAAAAGAAAACTCAAAACTAACTTTTTCAAAGCAAGAAATATCCTACTTATGATTTTAGCAGCGTTATTGCAAAGCATAATTTAGAAAAGTTTATTCCTGCTGACATCAACACCTACAATTATAAATTCATCAAAACAGCATACTTCTTGAATCGTTTTGATTCTTCAATTATATCCAGTCTCGAAGTCGATTCTGAAAACTGGCCTCGTCTTTTACCTTTATCTCATGTCTTCATTGTATTAGTAGAAATTATTTCCTACTTAAATGAGTTAGATAGCCAAAACCCTTTTTATGTTATTTATCTTGCTCGTGTAAAATTCATTCACTCTTAAATGCTCTTCCTCCCTACTGGTACTTTATATCCTTAAGTCGTTGAGAACTACTCTAAGTTTTTCAATTTGCTCAAGGAATTACAATTTAAGTTACCCCGTTAGACTTTGTCAAATTTATACGTTGAAAACTCTCATGCTCTTTTATTCTTTTACAAGTACAGCTCATCAAAGAAGTCTTTAGCTATTTCACAAGTAATAAATAACTTTAAATAAATTTTTGCATTTTTTTTTGTATTTACCAAATAACTCAAAAAATTTATTGAGAGAATTCTATTAAATTTAGTAGAAATTAGATTTTATATTTTTGGATCAATAATTTGATTGATTGATCTTTCTTTCCAAAAAACAAAAAATGAATAATAAAAATTAATCTGGTGATTATTTTTTAAAAAAATAGATTTTAATTCAAATTTAAAACAATTTTAATGAAATTAAAAAAGAATTTAGTATTTATTTATTTATTTTTTTTTTTAATAGGAATTACTTAAAATTGAATTCAACCTCACAGGTAGAATGGGTAAACGTACCAAATATTAAACTTTCAATACCTGCTAGTTAGTAGTCCAAGCTTTTGAAAAGGAAGAAGGTGAAGAAAGCAAGCCCGAAGTAGTTGATGAAGAAGAAATTAAAATTGATAAGGAAGAATTAAAGATTATTGAAGAAGAATAGAAAGATTCAGTAGACGCTAAGAAATTAATTAATGAAATGCAACTTAACATAGCCCCTTAAAATATTTAACTCGATGAAGAATGTGTTCTTTTGGAAAAGCCAGTGATAGATGATAATGATGATTTCAACAAGAGTGATATAGTCAAAAAAGATGAAAAATCAGAATTAAATATTTTTGAATAAGTGCTTGTTCTTGGTATTATGAAACACCACGAAATAGTTAATCCTCATGATGATTTATATCACGAATACATCTAGGTAAATAAATAAATAATTGTTTTAATTAATATTGATGCTTAATAAAAAAAAAGGCCTATTGCAATTTGCTTATTGACAAGAGTTTGAACTGGATGGTTTTTTCTTGCGGTTTGTTATACAGATCAATTAACGAATATATCAGATTTAAGAAGATGGAAAGAGCTCTCTTACAAATGCAAACTTTAGTTGATTAATATAATGATGCCTTACCCACTTGCTATGAAAGAATTAAGTATCTCTTCTCTTTGAATTATCCTCACTACTTCGACTTGCAAAAAACACTCGCCGAAAAATACATGAAAGTAGGTATTGTTATGTCTGGATGTCAAATTTTCGAAAGACTTGGCATGCATGAAGAATGTGTAGAGTGCTTATAATCAGCTGGCCACAATGATAGAGCTAAAAAACTTGCTGAATAACACTTAAATGCAACTATTTTATTTCAAGATATTTATTTATTTATTAATCATTTTCATTTTTATTAGAATCCCACTCCTAAGTTACTTTGTATATATGGTGAATTGACAAGAGATATCAAATACTTTAAGTAAGCTTGGAAACTTTCTGGTAAAAAGTTTGCTAGAGCTTAGAGGTCATTGGGTAGAGCTTACTTTTACTCAGGATTATTTGACAAATCAATTAAAGCATTCAAGAAGGCCGTCTCTATTAATAGATATAATACAGCTCCTTGGTTCACTATGGGTTGTGCTTACATCAAAATAAATGAATTATAAAATGCTGCTAATTGTTTCAGTACTGTAGTTTCCATCAATGAATCTGATGGTGAATCATGGGCAAATCTTTCATCTTGTTTGATGAAATTAGGTAAAAAGCAAGAGGCCTTAAGCACTCTAGAATAAGCAACCAAATTCTGTGAAAGAAACTGGCGTATATGGGAAAACTTGCTTTATATTTCTCTTTCAAACTAAAAGTTTTACAAATATTTCGAATGTATCGAAAAATTAGCTGCATTAAATCAAAAATCAGTCATAGATGAAGAAACTGTAGCCAAGGTAGTTTAAATCTTTAAATTCTAAATGTCAAAGTACCACACTTCCGACTATAAGTACTAGTTCTTTACTTACAGAAACAGGTAAATTAAAATTCAAACAATATTTTTTTTATCTAAATTTTTTCATTTTAATTATGCTTAATTTATTTTCAACACATATTCATATTTGCTTATCAAATATTTTATTTCATCTTAATCTATTTAAATCGTATTTTTAATCACAATTTTTAAAATATATTTATAAATTTATAGAATTGAAAGGCTATTTAATTTCTTGCAAAAAGAAATTGGTGAGAAGCACTATGTTTGGAAATACTGGGCTGAATTTAAGGAAATAGAAATAGATTTTGAAGAACTTCAAACCCTCTTTTTGATTGAAACAAGAAAGACTAGAAAATCTGAGAAGGAATAAGGAATAGTAAATAGCAAGCACGATAATTCATACTTTGGTGAAGATCCATCATGGGAAGAAAAAGAGTTATAAGAAGATTTCGAAATGAAAAAGATCTAGCTTTTAAATAAAATCGCTGATTTGAGAATGAAAACCTGCTAAGTGATATAAATTGCTGGCTGGTAGGTTGAAAAGTAAAATTTTTAATTAAAAAAAAATTAAGCAAGTATATTAATTTATTTATAATATAAAAAATTAATAGGAAATAATGCGAGCTTTTGTTTGAACACACATAATTACTAGTAGAAGCATATAAAAAAATAAATAACGAAGAAAAAAATAAAGAACTTGATATGTTCATCAAATCTATAAAAAACACAATAGAACAAACATTAGAAAAATAAGTGAAATTTAATAAATGAATGAATGATCAAATTTAACAAATAATTTAATAATAGCTTAAATTAAAAAAATATTATATAATGTATACAATTAATTAATTGGATTAGATGCATGTTGGTTGTTTATATTTTTTAATAATTGATAATATTCCTTTTATAATCTATATTTTAATTTACCTATTCATATGTTTTTACAATAATTAACCAAATTAAATATTTAAACATGCATATATCAGTTTTAAAACCATTATTTCATAAGAAAAGAAATTAATGAAAGTTCATTTTTGCAATAATGAGTAAATTTTAAAAAAATTGACTATAACAAAAGATTAAACTAGTTTACTTTTGGTTACTTGATATTTTAGTAAAAATGTAATAAGAAACAAAAAAAAATAAAATATAATAGAACCATTAATTTTTTGGAATAAAGAGTAAGTTAAAAAATTTATTTACACTCTTAATTATTCATTTGCTTCCTTCTATTAATTAGTAACAATTGTAATGATACTACAAAAATCATTTGAATTTATAAAAAAAGTTTATGCATTTGGATTTCAGAGCAAATAATTTTTAAAGTAAATTCCAATTATTTGCTTCATTCCATTAGTTTAGTAAAAATTGTTTAATTGCTAACAAAAACCAGTTGAGTTTTTTTAAAGAAATTTAGGTATTTGGTAGATAGAGTTTTCCATTCATATATTAAATTGAATTAATTATTAACAATTTTTAACAAAAATCGCTTGAATTTATAAAAGAAATTTAGGAATTTTGATTTTAGAGCAAATATTTTTTAAAGTTAATTGCATTAGTTTGCTTCATTCTATTAATTAGTAACAATTGTTTTAATGCTGAAAAAAAATATTTGAATTTATAAAAGAAATTTAGGTATGGAATGCAGAGCAAATATTTGAATTTATAAAAGATATTTAGGTATGGAATGCAGAGCAAATATTTTTTAAAGTTAATTCTATTCATTTGCTTAATTGAATTAATTTGTAACAATTATTTTTAAACCTAATATAACCAAATAAATTTATAAAAGAAATAAGTTATTCTCCTTATTCTTCGTTTATCATAAATTATAAGATTTAATATACATATTATTCCATTAATACTTTTAAGAAAGGATTAATTGATTAACTGACTGACTTTATATTAATTTAGCTAAATAAGGTATAAATTATTTTGAAAAATGTATCATTTTGTTTTATTTAAATCCTTTGAAATTAATAACTAAAAATAACTTTTTGAATTTTTACTATATCTAATAATATAAAATTCACTTTTTTTGAAAATATTTTATGAGTTTTTGAAAAATGATTTGGTTTTTCTAAGCAGTTAGTTACTTATTTCAAAATTATTAATAAACTTTTCATTTAAATAAATATCGTTGTCTGTTTATTTTGGGGCTAGATACAGGTCTAACGAAATTTATTATCTTTGCAGTAAAAAAGCTAGATATAAAAATGTTAGGTATCATTTACTATATTTATTTTATTTATATTGATTCTAATGTGAAATAATATATATATCTCTTGAACTGCTTCTAAAAAGCTAGGTTAGCTTAAAAAGATATCAAGAAATTTAAGATCATCAAATTAAATTATTCAAAATTGCTATTATATTATTTTAATCCTAGAATTACAAACAAATATTATCTTTTTTTGTTAAAAAAACTGTTTAATAGAGTAATTAATGATCATATATTTCTTCATTTTAAATCTTATTTCTTAAGAAAAAACAAAACAAATAAATAAATAAATCTATCTTGAAATGACATCTTAAAAAATAAACTAAATTTGGAATCAATTCAATAAATAAATATTGCTTAATGTTCTTTTTAAAATAGTAATTAGTTATATATAAGTAGAAACTTTAATAGATAGTACTATCATAAAATAGAAAAATAAATAAGTAAAGCTTCAAAAATATTTCTAGAAAAGTATTTTATGGTTGCACTATCTTTTTAGTAAAATTAAGAAAATGATGGCATTTGAAACTGAATCTGCATGCACTTTAGTCATTTATTAAAATTTATGAAGCTTAAGCAAAAATATAGAGTAGAAGGGGGTATTTATGAATGTACGTATGTATGTAATAGTTAATCTAGTGATTTATTTGATACAGAATATAACAGATTTGTTGGTTTTTTAGCTTGAAAATAAATACGAACAATCTTTTTTTTAAATATAATCAAAATTAATTAAATAAATTATTAAAGATATTAATCAATCAATATAGATTTAGTAGCTAAATTTAAAATTAATAAATATTAATGAATATCAGCAGTAATCACAAAGCCCTCTTAATGGGTCTCCTAGGAGGATCTATTGTTTCCCTTCTTATATGGTCTAAGTATAAAAAGTAATTAAAAGAAATGATGAGATTAAAGAAATACTATCTCCCATTCGAGCCAGTTAACCAACATAAGAAGAGAGTAGTAGAAGGATGTGGAGTTCTGAGTGATATGAAAGAGAAGGACCACGATTCCGAAAATGAAGGAATTTTCATTAGCGATAAAGAGCATTTAAAGAGAAAATTAGCTCACATGAGAAAGGAAGGTCTTCAAGAATTATAAATTCTTAGTGATTACGATCAAACAATTACTGCTTTTGGATGCCCCAATGAATAAGAAATTTCTACTTTTGGAGTAATTGCTAAGTCAAAGAGAGTAAGTTAAAAGTATTTGGATGACATGACTGCATTATATCAACATTACAGCCCTTATGAAAAGGATTCTACCATTGATAAGGAAACACTTGTGAAATATGTTACTGAATGGTATTCAAAAACAGCTGAATGCTTCAGAAACGAACATATGACAAAAGAATTATTATTGGAAGCTATCCATGACTCCGGTGTTGCTTTAAGATATAATTTTAAACAGTTTGTTAATGCTTTGCAACATATAAACTTACCCTTTTACGTTATCTCTGGAGGTGTTTCTCCAATCATCATGTCTTGCTTGGAAAGTGTTGTCTGTACTAAGAAATTCTCAAACTTTTTCTTGTTCTCTCAAGAAGGTTACTTCGATGAAAAGGGAGTTTTAGTTGACTTGTAAATGAATGTTAATACTTGTTCAAAGCACGAAAAAGTTAATAGTAAGGAATTCAACTTAAGAAAAAACACCTTGATTTTTGGAGATTTGCATCATGATATCTATATGAAAAATGAATTAGACGGTGAAAATGTTATCTCAATTCTATTCTTAAGAGATAAGATGAAAGACCAAATACCTAGCTTAAAAGAACACTGGGATATTATCCTTACTGGTAATGGTTCTTTTATCACCCATCAAGCTCTCATCAACTACATTGCAGGTGCTGAATACGAAAACTTAAAAATGGAAGGAGAAGCTAAAGAAATCTATACAAAAAGCAGCTAATACAGTGAACTTAGAGATATTTTAAGTAACTGATTAAAATAAATAAAAGAGATAAATAACTTCACAATTAATTACAAGAAATAAATAAATAAACTAGCTTTATAAAATATATTAAACAAATAAATAAATATATATAAATCAATAATTAATATTTTGTATTTTCTATAAAATAATAATTAATATTTTTCTTTCATTAAAATTAATTTATTTATTTCCTATATTCGATTCACTTCAGTTCAGTTCAGTTCATTTCCTAACCATAGTTTAAATACAATTAATTTATTATATAAAGTAAAATGCCATTTCAATTAAAAATAAGCGAAATTTAATGTTTTGATTTAATTAAGATAATTAAATAGAATTTTAAAATACTTTTCAAAATTGAACCTTAATTAATTAATGAGAATTTACAGTATTTATTTTATAATAAAATTAAACATTTTAATAATACTTTTTGTTATTTTACATTAAATATTTTAATATATAGAATATAAATTTATTATTTAGGAAATTCATTTTTTAAATACGATATTTTTTTGCAGAAAACAATTTTATTTCACTAAGTTACATTAAATATAGATATTTATGTAAACAACTGATATCTGATTGAAATAAATTTAATCAAGCAAGCAAGTAAATATTAGTTAATTAATTTAAAAAACATATTTTTTTTTTGAAAAATATATTTTTAATTTATTAAGAATAAAAATATATTTAATTTGATTTAGCTAAATTACAGAAAATAAAAAATATTTATGTTTTAAGTTGATAGCTAGAGAGAAATAAATTTAATTCGAATATTGGACATTATGTAATTAATTTAAAATATACATTTTATTGCTTTTTATATTTGAAAAAATATAAATTTAATTTAAATTTTAATTAATAATAATTATGATTGATTGATTTATTGATTTATTTATTGATTTCCTAAGTTTTGAAAAATGTTTTTATTTGAATTAGATAGGTTCAAGGTTTTTATTCTTGTTATTTTTATTGTTATGGTTGCTATTCTCCACTTATTTATTAATCTTAAATTTAATCTTTAAACTCGAATTTTAAACGGTTGTGGAAGTCTTGCAAATCTTGGTCTTCTTGCACTCTGAGGAAGAGTTATGACCCTTTATCGATTCTTTTATAAATTTCGTGTCTTCTTTCTAATGCTTATTGAACGATAGGAATACTAATTAAAATGATTGCAGCTAGTGCAATTTTTTCTAATTTCCTTGCTTTCTTTTCTTTTTTTTTCATAACGTAGTCAACAGCTGCATCAGTAGCAGCAGCCTTTTAATTCATAATATCAATATTTTCATTGAGAATATCTTAATATTTATGTTAATGCCCAAATCTAAAATTTATTTCATTTTCATTATTTTTTATAAAAGTAAATTCATGTCTAACTCTTTCATCCATTGACATTTGTCTTTCTACAACATCTTCATATGCAACAACTTCTTCAGGCTAGCGTTCAATTGGCTTTGAAAAGAATTTTTCATACTCTTTATTAAGATCAATTGTATCATCTATTTTCATTCCATCAAAAGAAAATCCTCTTTTTTACTCTTTTTTACCATCAGCTGTGTAATTTTCTTAATTGGCGTCATCTTAATTTTCAGAATTCTAAAACCCTTTGTCATATTTAGTTTGTTTTCCTTCCTTTTCAGCTAATTCTTCGTCATATTATCTTCTGCTTTAAGGTTTTTTTAATACTTGATAAGCTACTTTGATAAATTTAAATCTATCCACATCTGAACCTTTATACACATCAGGGTGATAAGTCTTAGCCAATCTTAAATAATTTTATTTAATTTCTCTTGCAGTTGCATCTTTGCGTACCTCTAGTAATTCATAATAAGACAACTTTTCTAAATGTGATGAATTGAGTTGTGCTTTATTATCACTTGTACTAAACCAATAAGATAAAACTGGCCTATTGCTTTTATAGAAAGTTGATTAAGGTGACTTAAAACCTAAATTAAAGATCTTTCTTATCATATCCTGTTTGATTAAATGCCACTTACTATATTTTTTCTGAGCTAATCCTTGATACAAATAACCAAAACTAAAAAGAAAAGTTTATTTTAATTAATTTTAAGTTAAATTTTTATCAAATACAATGTATTAGCACTATTAAAATTAATAAACAAAATTTGACAAGATTCTTGATATCTATTTGCGTAAAGATTTAGAGTTTCTAGAAAATTAGAATCCTACTTATTTACATAAACTTATAAAATAATCCAAATAACATTTTTCATACAATTTAACTCATTAAAGTTTGTTTGAATTTTTACAAAAATAAAAAAATAATATTTTAGTTTTATACAAACAAACAAACACGTACAAATAAAATAAAATTAACATGTGTTTTTAAATATTTAAATCAAACAGTTTTGCATTAATTTTTCTTTTGGAATTTATTAATTTAATTATAATTATATTAAAATATTAAATTAAAGTATTTTAGCTTATAAATATCTTTTATAGCTAATATTAAAAAAAAAGTATTACTTTTCACATTAAGTAAATATGATAATATCATTTTTTAAAATCAAATATTTAATAGCTTATATCATCAAAATTTAGAATTTTATAAATTCATTTCAAATAAATAGTTATGTTCAAGGCTAATCTCCTTAAATTAAAAATTAAATAAAGCTATTCCTAAAAAAAATAAAACTAATTTCCATTCAAATTATTTTTAATAAAATTTTTTTCTTTTTTCCTAAGTTTGAGTGTCACTATAATGAAATAAAATTTACAAAATTTTGAATTGATTTTATTTAAAAAAATAATTTTCAAAATAATAATCTATCTATCTGACTTAAATAAGTTCTTAATTAAAGTTTTTGATATTTAAAAGAAGATTTAATTTATTGTTTTAATGGAGTAAATAAAAATTTAAATGTATTTAAAATTAAAAGTAATGAAAATTATTTTGTCTGTCTTATTCCATTTAAATATTTCATAATAGAAACTTTATTAAATTGTTTTTAAAATAAATTTTATTTGATGAAATATTTAAAATTAGTTATTGAGGATATTGATTTTTAGAATTAATGAAAATAAACTTGTCTGTTGAAAATCAAATAAATGCCATTTTAGAATAAATTGACTCAATTAGAAAATCATTTAATTTATTGATTAAAATAAAAAACTTTTAATAAACAATAAATAGCTTGCTCTTACCAGTAATTTATTTCAAATTATCTTAAGTATGCTTTAATCTTTCTTTAATCTTTTATATTTATACATTCAGTAATTTGTATATTTAACGTAAAAGAAAAAGGTATTATACTGTCTTTTCATGATGTGGAAATATAATTAGTTAATATGTGTAATTCATAGACTGACTGAACAAATGCTTTAATTCTGCAGGAATTAACAAAATTACTGGTATTAATCAATAAACAAATTAAACAAAGAACTTTTTTATAATTTTGATGATATAGATTAATACACCTATACTAACTAACTAAATACTTATTTTTTCTTCTAAATTTGATAAAAAAATAGAAAAAATTCTGACAACTTAATTATCTTCATATAATCAAATAACTTTGATGTATGATCACTCTCCTTTTAAATTTATAGTAGATTGGTGAATTGAATAATTAATTTGTATTAAGGTGACCTTCACTAATTTGTATTTAATTAAGTGAAGCAAAAAAAAAAAATACTATTTTTTAAAAATATTAAAAATCATTAAATTTCAATAAGAAAAAAAGAAAAGCATTAATAAATAAATATATTATTTAGTTAGCTAGTCAGTATTAAAAGATGAAAAGCAAGGATTCAGATTCTGGTTCTTCATAGTTTGAGTAGATTGATTCAGTGAATATGAATGATATTCCAGACCCATTTAGAGATAGCATTGGTAAAATAAATTATTTTTAATTCAGATTAATATAAAATCATTTAATCAATTTAGCCTATCGTGCTTCAATGGCAGCAAGAATTGGAGATGTAAACGATATCAAGACTTTAAAGCAAAAAATTAAAATACTAAAAGCAGCTGTTCTCAAGGAAAGAGAAACCAAAATGTAAATGGAAAAGAAAATAGAATAATTGAGCGCAAGCTATGTGGATGCCTAAAAGCTGATAGAAAAAAAAGTGCTTTTTTAATTTTAGAAATTACATTAAATTTAGCTAGCTGTTTATAATATTCACTGATCTTTGATAGACTTTTACAGCACAAAAATTTTTAATGACAACCAGTTCATATTTATTTTAAAATAATTTTAAATAGGAGGAGACCATAATTTATTAGGAATAGCAACTCTAACAATTCCGTGAAAAGTTAGTACTACTAGGTCATGAATCTAATGTAATAAATCAATCAAAAAAACAAATAATTTCATTTTAATTTATCGTTTAATATAACATTGATTTATTTTATGATTTTGCAAGTGAAACATGCGAAGATCTCTTAAAATCAATAAATAAAAAAAGAATTTCATTACTATTTTCTTCATTTTTTATTAGTGCTAGCATAATAAATCTAAGGAATTTTGTAATTGATTTTATAAAATAGAAATATTTAGATCTCTACCACAAGACAAAGAATTAGATAATTCAACAAAATGATAGTACAGCAATTAAGCAAGTTGAAGATGGTGATTCGATCATTTCTAGCTTTAAGCAAATTATTGGATTTTCTAGTGGCTCTAGTAGCTAGGGAAGCTAAAATGCTATTGCTGAGATCTAAAGACTTCAAAAAGAAAATTTTATGTTAAAAGAGGAAATTGAAAAGCAAAAAGTTGCTCTAAATAATGCCGAATCAAAGGGGAAGTAAGATGCCATGGACATTAGTAAGAAGCAAATGCAAGAAGTTAATAAAAAAATAGAATAACTCAACAGTTAAATATAAGAATTGAAAGACAAAGTTGTAGATACAACCACATAGCTCTAAAATAAGACCTAAGAACTTTAAGAAAAGGACCAGCTCTTAACTTAGCTGAAACAGGAAACAAATTCTAAAAATTAAATTATAGAAAAAATGAAAAATGAACTTGAGTTCACAAATGATAAGTGCAAAAAGATGGATTCAAAAATAACAAATTAGTATATTTAATTCAATTTTATAAAGAATAAAATATTAATTTAATTTTTTTACACTTGCAATTAAATAGTCTGAGTGAAATAGAATAAAAGACAAATAAGATCACACAAATAGAAGCTTAATATGAACTAATTAAAGTGGATAAGGAAAGCTTATAGCAATAAGTATTTTCTTCATTAAAATTAAAATATTTAATTATACAAATATAAAAATAATTTTAAATTTTCAATGTTAATTTTTGTCTTAATATTTGTTTAATTAAATAGGTTGACTAGATGGATTCTAAAGTTATGCTATTCACTATGAGAAGAATTTAAGGTTTATATGAAGATCCCTGCTAAGTAATATTAAATAATAAAATTTTTATTAATTTTTTAATTCATTTTTTGCATAGATTATTTGCAGAAAGGATTTAGAAGGATAACATATCTTAGATTTTGATACAGTCAAGGAAAAATTCTCATTAAATGCTCTTGATATAAGAGATATATTATGTGAGTTTGAGCCTGAACCAATCCTCACTTTGCAATTAGGAGTAATAAAATGAAATATTCTATTAGAAAAAATAAATAAATTATGAACTTACTTTTTCTTGAAAAAAATATTCTAAAAAATTAACATAACTTAAAAAAAAATAAATTAAAAAATAATTCATTTTTAAACATTAATTAAAATTCTTCTTTATTTAAAAATATTAAATAGAAAAACCAAACTATAATATTCAAAGGTGGATCTGATTTAAGAATAATTGAAAAGAAGTTAAGGTAATTCATTCATTTTTAATTTATTTGGTTAATTTTTAAGACTGTTTATATTAATTATTAGAAATTTCTTAAATGGAGCTCCTGTCAAAAGAACTTTAACAAGATAATAAACAAACAAATAGTAATAAGGACAACAACAATAGGGATTATTAGATAATATGTTTTCATTCTTAAAGTAATGAAAAGCGAAAGTATAAAATAGTAACCATTATTAACAAATTAGTTAGTTAGTAAGATAGATAGATAAATAGATAAATACTAGATAGAAATATTAGTTTTTTGTGGATTTACTTTATTTTAAAAAGTTAATAAGCCAAAAAAATACATTCTAAACATAAATCAATCAATCTATTTATCAATCAATCAATCAGTCAATCAATAAATAAATAAATTAATCATGCATGAATTAATTCATTAAATATAAAATATTCTTAATTAATAAATCTTATAGCTAAATTATCTTATTCCACACTCTCTATTAATTCTATATAATTTTTAAGTAAATAAATCTTAATGTATTCATTATTCTTAATATTCAAATTTCATCTTACCAAAAATATTCCATTAGTTATATTCATTATAATTAATTAATTAATTAATTAACTAAATAAATAAATTGTTCATAAATAAAATTATAAACAACATTTTAGGATATAAAATATTAATTAAAATAAATTATTTCACAGTAAAATTTATTATGAATATCGAATTTATTTAGTTTTTAGAATAATTGTAAACTAATTAATTAATTATTAATTTGTTTTTATAATATTTCTAGTTTGATTTTAGAATAATTGTAAACTAATTAATTAATTATTAATTTGTTTTTATAATATTTCTAGTTTGATTTTAGAATAATTGTAAACTAATTAATTAATTATTAATTTGTTTTAGAATAATTTTAAATTAATATATTTATTTTTAGAATATTTGTAGTATTTAGAATAATAGTAAATTAATTATTAATTATTAATTAGTTATTAAATTAATAAATTAATTTTTTATAAAATTAGTAATTTTATTTGTTCTTAAATTAAACGATTAATCAAAGAAATAAAATAAATTTAATAATCATAATTAGATTTTAAATAATTTGCTTGATATTTTAAATAAATTAAATTTTACAAAAAATATAATAAAAATTAATTAACTTAATTTGAAAACCCTAAATTAATTTATATTTTAATTAAATAAAATCAATAAATTTGTATTCAAAATCACTAATAAAAATTGAAATAAATAAATAAATTATTTGTATTTGTTTAAATCATCATAGTTAATTTTAATTAAATATTTTTATTTTTAATCAATATTTTAATTTTTTACTAAATTATAAATTAAAATATATTTAAATCTTTGATTGAATTGTTTATATTAACGATTTTGCTTCATATAATTTATTGTTTCAATTAAATTTAAAAAAATTTGAATTTATCAATAGAACTAAATTAATTTTATAGAAGAAATAAATATGTTGAATATTCCCAAAATTTTATTTATTTGTGTGATTAATTTTTTTTTTAACAGAGTTTTATAAAAAAAGAGGATAGATAGGTAGTCGATGGACTATTAGTGATTTCAAAATTTAAAAAGGAATGTAATAGAGATTTTTTATTATATTTATTAATAATATGAAGAACAAAAAATAATTTATGAGTAATAAATTGGCTTTAGTAATTACTCTTAAAAATATATGAGTTGAAAAATCTTAATTATTAGATAATGAATGAATGAAGTACTATTTATTTCAACATACTTTTCATATATATGCAAGTGAATATCTACAGGAATTAGAACAAAGATTTGAGTGATTAAATGCATGAATAAATTCTTTTTTTTTGAAATTTTACTTGATCAATTTAGTATTTGGTTTAAAGATTCATATAATTTTCAAGTCAAAGAAAATATGTTAGTTTGTTTGTTTGTTTTTGATACACATAATATTTAATTGATTAATTAATTAACTAATTGCCTTCCTATAGCATAAAGTTTAAATTTCAACTTAAAAAAATAATTACTAATAATTTCATTTATTAATTTATAGATACAAAATAATTAGTGTGCCTCCGCTTTAAATAAATCATCCTAACTAACCATTTTTATTTATGATAAAGCTCAACAGGAAGGCTAGCCAAGGCCATGTTAAAACAATTTCTGCTAACAGTAAGGAAGATTATTTAAAGGAGCGCAATATCTTTTTTAAGGGAAATTGTCCTCAAATCTAAATTGACATATCTAACTCAAACAAGTTTTTATCTTAGCAATTCACAGTGCACTCAACAGCTTCGGCTTCAGTTTCTGGAAATACAACCACGATTGAGTAATCCAGTAATTCCTCACCTACGTCAAAGTACATTTATTCTTAATTATTACTTTCAAGCAGTCTTTACAGGCTTTTGATATCTATAAACAAATCCATAAAATTAATAATTAATCAGTTTACAATTTTAAACAAAATTTAAAATTTGTAATTTATTTAACTTATAAATGATTTTAACTTAAAGAAATGGGAAAAATTCTCACAAAACTCACAGATCAATTGAGATTACTTTAGTGGATGTGCCTTAGAGTTTGAAAGATAAGCAGTAGAGTAGCGGTTTGAACCAAATTTCAAACAGGCAAAGCGCTTCGATTTCTACTACTAGCCAGTAAAACAATACATAAACACCTAACTCCTTCTTAGAAATAAAGTCAATGCTTTCAAACACTTCTAAGATAAATTCGAATATAAATATGCCAAATTAAAATAAAGAGAATTGCATGCCATCTCCTAATTCTTGCGACAAAAATCAGCAATTTAATTCAATAATAGGAAACAATGCTCTAAACACATTAAGCTCTATTCAAGGAAGTTAATTAAATAATAACAATACAAGTATAAGTGCTAATTCTAATAGCAATTACTAAATAAATAACAATAACACGTCTGCAACAAATAATCAAAGTGGGAATAGTGTATTTAGTTTCAATGGAAATAGCAGTGCAGTGGGAACATTCTAAAATAATACTTCAAACAACAGCAATAATACTTCTAATTTTATTAATTTGGCAAGCACAACAACAAACAGCAGCAATCAGCACTTGAATATGCTGAAAGTAAATTGTTCTACTTCGCCTTCAAGTAGAGTTATAAGTACAAGCTTGCTGTAGGCTCCTTAGTCATATAATTCAAATAATACTTAAAAAGCATAAAAATAATCAAGTAATCAATTATCTAATTTTCAATACAAACAAAATTGCTCAGTAACTCAACAGTAAAAAACCTAGATTCTTTGCTATGATGATGAAAATCAACCTGATTGGTAGAATAGAATGCATGGATTTCAATAATAATAACAGCAGTAGCAACAATAACAGTTAAAAAATAGTATTTAGAATATAAATTCAACAAATAACTTTCAACAAAATTAACTCGGAGGAGCTTCAGGTGAAATCAAGTAAATTAAAAAAAAATAACTTGAGTCGTTTAAACCTACATCTAAAGAAAGAGCTATCACATCTCCAATAGGAAACTCAAAATTATTTCAAAATGTTAATAATTTAGGTATACAAAGCTTTAATTTACTACCATCAAATTCTGCATCGAATAACACCTCATTGATAGTAAACGTTGCATAACAAAGTAGCTAAATTAATAATAACATTAATACAAATTCAAATGTACTATTTACAGATTCAAAATCATAACAAAAGAGCAATAATCAATTATAGTCTCAAACTTAATCTCCTTTAGTTAATTAATAGCAGAAATAATCTCTCTTAAATTAAATTTAGCAATAAAATTAATAACAAAATAATTATCAATAAAATACAGTTTAAACTTAACCAAGTGAATCAAAATAAGGTCAAACTTAATTGAATTAGTTCATTCAAGGACATAAAAACATCTCATAATTAATATAATAGCAAATAGAAAATGATCTTAAAACAACTTAATAGTAAAAATAAAATCAATAATAATCTGTGTAAAAGAAAAAGGAATCTTCTTACATATATTCGCCTAACAAGGAAAAAACTCTGAAGACTGACAAATCATAAAAATCAATAACATTAGTTGTTGGAAAAGTAGACTCTAAAATAAGAGCAAGTGAAATTGAAGAATAAAAAGTCAACAAAAAAGGACAAGAGAATGCTGCAAGCACTCAATAAGAGGAATTATTTAGAATAAAGCAAGAAAATGAAAAGTTAATAAAAGAACTATAAATCTACAAAGTAGACCGTGAATTATATGATAAATAGAAAGAATACATGTCAAAAGAAAGAGAATTCTTTTAAAATGAAAAGGATCTCCTAAATAAGCAGATTGAGGAATTGTAAAACTAGCTAAAATCTAAAGAAAATAATGACTTTTCTTCTCAAAAAACAAAAGAGGCAGAATCTTAATTTTTGAAAGAAAGAATTTTCCAATACGAAAAGCGCAACAAAGACCTAGAAAATGAGTACAACATGAATTCTAAAATTTACAAAGAAACAATAACAAAGAATCAAGAAGTTTTTTAAAAATATGAGGAGCTCAAGAACGAATTAGACCAGCTTAATCAAAACTATAAAATTCAATCTACTTAACTCACCTCTAATTAAATAGAACTAGAAAGGTTAAGGTTAAAATCCATAACTATGGAGTAAGAAGAAGAAGACCTCAAGCAAAATTTAAAGAATATGAATGACAAGCTTCTTTAATCTCAACAAGAAGTTATAGAACTTAGAAAAAAAAATAAAGATCTATAAATTGAAATAGATTTATAAATACCTCAGACAACTACAATCTAAAAACTAGAATCTGAAGTAGAGTTATGGAAAATTAAGCACCAAACTCTTGAAAGAGTATTAAACGAAGAGCGTATGCGTTCTTCCTTTTCAGTAAGCTTTTTCTATTTCTAATAAAAATTACTAAAACTGTTTTGTTTCATTCCATCTAACAATATTATTTCTAATTAAAAAATGGCAAATAAGGGAAATATTTTTTTACCATTTTTGTTTAGATGATAAGTGGTATTTTAGTTTGAAAAATATTTAATAAAAAATAAGAATAAAAGAAGTCATAATTAATTAAACAAATTCTAAAATAAAATTTAATTAATTTTTAAGTACAAAATTTATTAATAAATAGTATCAAAATTCTGAACAGACAAGGTAAAGTGTAGCTGGTTTAGAAATTGGATATCTAAGGTAAAATTTGAGTGAAAAAGAGAAAACCATTATGGAACTCAGAATTGAAAATGAAAAAATAGTTTAATAAGTAAAAAACCTAGAAATAGAAATTTAATAGAAACAAAATATAATTGATTCTTAGGCTCAATAATTTTAGTAAAACATGGTAATAATCTTTTGATTTACTTCAAATATTTATAATTGTTTATTTATTTATTTATTTAGTTAATTATTTCATTTATTTATTTACTAATTTTAATTATTTGTATTTTTTAACTTAGGAGCACTAACAACACTTTGAATTTGAGCATTAGAAAAAGAAAATTTTGTAATTGTAAGAAGAGGCTGATTAGTAATTTAACTAATATATTTAGACAAGAAAGGAACTAGAAATGAAAAACAAAGAACTTGAATAACTTAAAAACCACTTGGCTCAGCAAAAGGAGTCTAGTGATCAAGTAAAAATTTTTCTTTATTTTTTTTAAATATTTTATAAATTTATTTGAATAGAATGAGTTGTAGTCTTATAAAAAATTGCTTGAAGACTGTAGAAATGAACTAGGTGATGTTTATTAATTAATGAATTCGAGAAAAAGAGATGCTGATTTAGCTCAGAAATAAGTATTGATTAACTTTGAATTAGTTTATTTATTTAATAATTTTTATCTAATTTTAACAGTTGGCTGAGTAAAAAGAGATAATGGATGAGCTTAAAAATAAAAGTAGAGCATAGGAAACTGAATTGCTTTGCTTAAGGGAAACATATGATAATGTTGTTAGGGAGCTTGAAAAAACAATAAAATAATATGAATAATATAAGAAAGTTTACGAAATGTAAAGTGTGGAATTGCACCATAAAAATAGAGAAATTCTTGAACTCCTGTAAGAAGTGGAAGTACTTAAAATAAAATATGAAGATCTACTTTAATAGTAGTAACCAGCTTCTGAAAACACAAAGCATTCAAGAGTAACTAACTAACTACTTCTTACATAATTTACTTTAAAAAACAAACTTTATATTCTTTTTATATGATTAATTTTTTATAAATTAAGGTAATTACAAAAATGACATTTTCTAGAGCTGAAGAAGAATTTAATGCAGATTTATTCTGAAATGGAAAGATAGATAGATAAATAAATAATAATTAGGAAAATAGATAAATAAAATGAAAGATAAAAATAATTATAAAATTAAGAACTTTAAATTACTAAATTTAATTTATATAAAATTACTATAATATATTCAATATTTACTAATATATTTCTTTGTAATAATTTCAAAGTCAGTATTTGTTAACTAGCTAACTAGCTAGAGATCAAGCTCCTAATAATTTTAAATTTAAATAAAATGCTTGCTTTTTTATAGTTGATTTTTATTAAAATGAAAAAAAATAAAATAAGAATTACTGAAAAAATAAATAAATGTATAAAGATTGAAATGAATTTACGATTAATATAAAGATTCATAAATATAATAAAAACAAATTTTTTATAGAAACTAAATATCTTTAATTAATTTGTTGTTTTAATTATTTAATTAAAATTTTTTATTAATTCTGTTCAACTATCTATCTCAACTGATTTAATAAACTAGACTATGTTTGGCCTATTAAGCTAATTTGCTTTATTTATGGATATTTGAGAAGAAATAAAAAATATAACTTGTTTGTTTGACATTCATTTAACAATGTTATAGACAAAAACTCCTAAAATACTAAGTAAATAAATAAGTGCTAACTATTTTTAGTCTATCTATTATTTTGATAATTATTATAAATGTATTAAAATAGAAAAAATTCCTGATAATGATTACTATTTTTATAATTATAAAGTTTTGTTTTTTGTGTTGAAATGAATAAATTGATCATTTTAAAGTAGAAATAAATGGCAAATAATGAAATTTAAAATAAAGTAAGCAAGTAAAATAATCATATATGTATATGAAATAGATATGAAAAATATAAAACATCTAAAATAATATTTTTGTCAATGTTTCTACTCTACTTTTATCTGTCAATAAATAACCTTAGTTTAATATCATAATACTAAATGGATATAATATATCAGATATTAGATAGCGATGATTTGAGTAATTATTATTATCATGATTTCAATCAATTACTACAATAAAATAGACGAGTTTGTTTGCCTATCTTATTTTGTCAAAGAAAGTTGGAAACAATTTATTTTGAGGTTTTTATGATTTTGAAGATTTAAACTAAAAATTAAAATATTGGTAAATTTGAAAAGTTAATTTATTATTAAATAATTTAAAATCTTCTATATAAACAAACAAGAAATCTATCTCGTACTAAAAGATCAAATTGTTATTGATTTATTGATTGATAGATTGTTTTTTTTATAGGTATCAGTTTTGGAAAAAGAGTTTGGAACAAGCAAACAGAAATTTCAAATAAAGATAAAGCGTTTCATAAACTTCTTAGGAATTAATTGAGATAGGGAAAGAAATGAGACCTTCAAGAACTCGTGAGGAGAGAGCGTAGAATAATTTATATTTAAATGAGTAAGATCTTGTTAAGGAACATCAAAAGTAAGCTGAGGAAAAGAGAAGGATGAAGTAGATGCAAGAACTGCAAGATAAGGAAGAAACACTAAACCATTATAAAAATAATATAGTAGGGAATGGCACCATTGACCCTGAAACATCGGAAATGTTAAAATAGCTTAAATAAGAAGAAGATTTTCTTAATAGATTAAAGGCATAATTAGAAAATTAGGATCCAGATCTATTTATAAAATTGAAAGATGAGCAAATTCAAAAACAAAGAAGAGAAAAAGTTGAATAATATCAAAAAATTTAGTCAGAAAACAATGACCCTAATGAATTTATGTTTGTAAGAGATCCTACATCTGGCCAATAGCTAAGTAAAGGAGAAATAGAAAGGTAAATTTTAAATTTAGATTTGCAATGAATTATTCATAAATAGATGGTTTTAAACTTACATTTTATTGGTGGTGGTTTGAGGCAGGAATTTTAGGTTCAAATTGGATAAGAATTTCATAGGATTTAATTGAAATGTTATAATATAATTAATAGAATTGAATTATTTTATCAAATTGATATTTATTAACTTAAAAATAAACTTAGGTAGAAGAGACTTCAACTTAGGGAGTAGGAGAGATAAAGGAGACTTCTGGGACAAGAAAATAGTGCTTATGATTAATAAAAAAGAGATTAACCACTCTCTCTTCCTTTCTAATTGGAATAGCAGATTAATGGAGCTACTGAAGAGGAAAGAAGATAAAAAAAACTGAATGATTTATTTGATGAACCTACTTAACCAAATATAAACAACTATGCTAACAACAACAATAATAATAACTTTTATGCTAACAATAATAATGTAAGCAGTAACGATGAAGATATCTTTAGATAAACTCAGTCTAATTTCCATCACTTAAATTAAAATGCTGCTTTACAAAATTAGAATTATGATGAATATGAAAATAAAAATAACGAAGTCTATCCCGCATAAAATAGTTAAAATTAAAGAAAGAATTTAATAGAATAATATGAAGAAACTGATATTTTTGGCAATAAGAAAATAAAAAAAGTAATTTAACCTGACTAATAAGTAAATAGACCTATTGAGAATGCATACTAAGGTGCAGATTTGGAAGGAGGTTATTAAAGTCCATAGCAAAATAACATTTATTCTTAAAACACCTAAAAGCTCTAGCAGAATTTTTCTAACAATCGTAGAAGAAGTTTTCATGAAAACTAGTAGGACGATGGTAAACTCCCTTCAATTCAAAGCAATAATAGAAAATCAATCGATCCTGCTAGCAAATAGAATCAGCAGAACTATGGAGGAAATAATAATATATTTGGTATTGGAGGTAACCAGATCGATTCTAAAAAAGAAAAAATGTTGAAGTATCGCTAAGAGTTAGATTAGTAAAAAGAAGTCAAAAATTAAATTGGGTTCTCAATCAAACCTTACAGTGCTCAGTAAGAAAAGAGAAATATTTCTAATTATTAGGGAAGTCCATCAAGTAAATTACCTCCACCTATTCCCAATAATAAAGATGGTTTTTTTGATAAATTTGGCTAGGATCCTCAATTTAAAAAGAATCTTTAAAATTGGGAATAGCAATAAAATAGAAACCTTTACAATGCGCCTGATTAATTTAAACCTTACTCTGCTTAGGCTTCTAGAGATACTAAGAATTTATAGAGCCGTCAATAAAATGATAACTTTTTTGATAAGTTTGGGTAAGATCAGCCTAGTAATAGGAATCAACTTCGCAGGCCACAAAGCTACTAAAATCTGGATGAATAGTAAAACATGAATAAAATGTCCAAACAAGAATATGCAGATTATATCATGAAAGATATTTCAGGAAAAAACAATACACAAAATAACAGAGGGATATCTAATTTGTACGATAACAATAATAACAATTCTTTTAGATAAGGTAACTTAAATAGATCATTAAATAACTTAGAAGATTAAAGAGCTTAAGATAACTACAATAACAGGTATGATAACTATAATGATGTTAGCCCATAATACAACAACGGTAACAACAATTAATAACAGCAGTAAGTTTAAAATAATAAAGCTGTTGGAGGAGGCTTTTTCTTGACAGATGAAGAGGAGTAGAAAAATAGATAGAGAGAGAAAAAAAGAGAACTTTAAAAAGAGTTGGAGGAGTAAATCAGACTCAAAAAGTAATAAAAGGAAGAAGAAAAAAGAAAACAAATTGAATATGACTAAAAGTTTGGATAGGGTTTTGAAAAGCAAAACAATGAAGTTTAAAGAGGAGCTAATTAATAATAATAATAATAATAATAATAGTAACATTAATAGTAACTTAGCTATTAGCCATCAGGAAAAAGCTTAGATTATGAATAATATAATAATAATAATAACTATGATTAGCAAGGCTTCGACTCTAATAATGGGAATTAGAAGGAATAAAATAGATATGATTAACCTTATCAATAAGCTTAATAGTAATAATAGCAGTAAGGAGCTAATTTTGCAAGGAATAAAGTGCTCTCGAATGAAAATATGGACAGAGAGGGTCAGTTAAAAGCTATGGAGGCTAAGAAAAGATATGCTGAAGAATTGAATCTCTAAAAATAAGAAGCTGAATTCAAAAAGTAGCAAGAAAAGAAAAGGAAATAGGAAGAAGACCTTTTAGAAGAGATGAAAATGCAAAAGTAGATCGAAGAAGAAAAAAGAAAGCACCAAGAAGAGGAGTTAAAAAAGAATAGATAGAAATAAGAAGTGGATGATTTCAATAAAAATAAAAAAGTAGAAATAGATGATAAAGCGAAAAATGAAAGAGTCAAAGCTGGGTATCCAGAGTAGACTCCAAACGAATAAATTGCAGGTAATAATCGCAAGCCTAATTATCATCATACTAAAAATACTAATAATCTCCCTGATGACTTTGATAATAGATTTACAGAATAAAATAAACACCTCACTAATGAGAGCACAAAAAGATTAGATATATTTGATAAGAACTTAAGCATATAGCAAAACAATGATATGGCTGCAGCTTAGAACTAGTTTAATTAGGCCAACGATTACAAAAATTTCAATAATTAGTTTAATTAAAATAATTTTTCTTAAAATGATATGAAATCACAACAATTTTAATAGAATTAATATGCTCCCATGCAAAACAATTAATTTTAGTAAAACAATCAATTCTAGTAAAATAACTAGTTCTAGCAAAATAGCTTCAATAACAATTTACAGTTTTCTTAGAATATGAACATGATGAATCCTATGATGCAGTTTTAAAATTAATATGATTATAATAACATGTATAATCCATATTAAATGATGATGTAGCAGCAGTAGCAATAATAATTCTAAAATATGATGCAAATGATGTAGATGGATCACTAGTATTTCAACTAGATGCCTATGGCTCCTCCTAATTTGTAATTCTATCTTTATAATAGAAATGAATTTGAGATTTAAAAGTAAATTATGGAAGAAAAGCTGCGTATCCACTAATTTGCACTGTAAGAATAAAATTTAATTGATGAATACAGATAGCGCCTAGTTAGGGCTAAAGAAGACAAGGACGAGTTCGAGAGGAAGATAAGTCGCATGAAATAAGAGCTTGAGAGCAAATTTGGTGAACATTTCAACATGTAACTGTTTTCACAAGTAATTTTAGATGATTCTTAGAGAAATAAGTAGGTTTCATTTGACTCTTTATAGTAGTCAGTTGCTAACTTTAGAAAGAATACAGAATATATTGACTAGTAAATATAAAAAAAGCAATCAGGTTCTAATTTCTATTTAAACAATTCTTAAAAACCTCCTCTTCCTTTTGACTCTGCTTCACATTAGTTTCCTAATTCTCATTTGAATTAACGAAAGAACACAAATACAGTTGGAATTAATGATTCTAACAATTCCTTGTACAATCAAATAAAGAAGTTAGAAGAACCCAACAATTTATTAATTCCTCCTGCATAGCCTTATTAAAGAATGAGTTAATTAGCTGGGAACCATTCTAATTTTGAAGGAACTCTGAAATGTGATACTAAATTGGAGGAAATAGTCGGATTTGATTTTGATCAGAGTTTCGTACGAGATAAATTGGAATTTGAATAATAGAATCAAGCAAGAAAAGAAATTCAAGATCAATAAAATAACAATAAAGTATTATCTGAGAGTGTCTAAGCTATGCAATAAGGATAAAATAAATAGTTTGAGAATAGCAATATGCTCAAAGTACCTGATTAATTTAAAAATAGCATTAACGATCCATAGATATAATAGTCTTTTATGCAAAAGACTTATTAGTCAGTCAACGCAAGTCTTGCTAATACTAATTTGAACAATAATGCTAATTTAATTAACGGTTAGCAGAGCTAATTCAGCTATCAAAAATCTAATTTTAATCAAAATAGCCAAAATTTAAATGAGAAGGGATCAGTGATAGAAGAGCTCCAAAACGAAGAAATGGATGATAGTTCTAAAAACCACGACAAGTCAGAGTCAAATAATAATTTCTAAATGCAAATATCGTAAAATAAGAATGCTTTGAAAAATGATTAAAACAAATTAAAGTTCCACAAATTAGAGAGATAAAATTTGATGAAAAATGCTAGTGATTTCTACAACGATGAAGAAGAATAAAATTTTTAGTTGAAAAGTAATTAAAAAAACCACGAAGAAGAAGATCAAGATTAATTTTACTCATCAGGATATGCATAGAGTGAAAGCAAAAGAATTGGAAATTCTCAAATTAATAATAACGAGTCACAATAACCATATTAGAGTTAGCTAATTAATTTAGAACTTAAAAAAACTGCTGATTACTACAAAGTGTTCTAAGAGCATTTTGCCTAAGAAGATGGCAAAGAGTCACGTTTTTCTAAATATAATCACACCAATCATGATGAGGATGAAGATGAAAATGAAGATGATGACGGATTTCAAAAATAAAAAAGAAAGAAGAGTGATAAAGAAGATTTCGATGAAATCGGAGAAGATGAAGATGGTTTTGAGCATGATGGGTATCAAGTTAATAAATATTACAATAAGGAACAGATAGTAGAAGAAGATATAGAGGGTACAGGCACAGGCAAAAACATTAATTTTGATGATAAGTTTCATTTTGATAGTGAACAAAAGAATAAATTTAAACTAGCAATTGCTGAAATAAACAGAAATAGCAACGAATTAGGAAATTTAGACAATACAAATAGGCAATCAAAAGAAAACACTATTAATCAAGGAGTTGCTATTAGTTAGAGCAAAGGAAACAACATCAACTCTAAAAAAGATGTGCAATTTAATTAAAACACTAAGCATAATTAAAGGGAAGTTTCTTATCAACAAATATAGCAGCATTTGGATGAATCAGTGAATGTTCCCAAAAAAGAAAAGAAGGAAGATGATGGGCTAGGATAAACTTAAATCAGTGAGATTCACTCCACTCTTAAAGAGACTGATATGGACAAGAAGATTCCTGCAAATGTAATGAAGTTGTTGAGACATCACACAGACATACTGAATAACTCTCAAACATTAAATGAAAACAATTAAATTAAAAACACAGCATAGAAGTAATAACATGATAATTAATAGTTACATGAGAAAAAAGAGTCCAGAACTCCTGCAGTGCCTAAAAATTCAAATATTTTGATTCAGCAAAACCTTGAAGTCAAGAAATCAGCTTAAGAAATAAACTGGGAAATGCAATAGTAACAGCTAATAGATTAAAAATCTTACAAGTTTTAAAGCTAGCATTGGAATTAAGATTTAGAAAATAAAAAGGCATCAGAAAATCAACAGCAATATGATGATGAAATTCCAGAAGTTATCGAATTTAATCACTAATAAGAAATAGAAATGAAAGATCCAGAGTTCAATATTCCAGAAAATTCCCTAGTTCTGCCAGAAGATGAAATTGATAGAGAAAAAATTGGATAATTCATTGAATCAAGCAGTGGCTAGAAAAATTAAACTAAATTATCTGACCCAGAAGATCAATAAACGATGCAAAGTGAAGAATTTGATAACAATGAAGATTTCTAGCGTCACATGTAATTGAACATGCTGAAAAACCTTAATAATTAGATGAAAGAACAGCATATCTAAAATATAAAAAACATGAAAATGAGACCATACAGTGCTAATATGCCACTTGTGCTCAACTCTGCAAGCAGATAAAATTTAAATCCTCATTCCAACAACAATAACAACGTTAATATTAATGTGAATAATTCAAATATAACAGCATATAGCACTAACAATAATTATAATTATAACTCCAATAACAACAATAATAACAATACATATAACTCTAATTACAACAGCATACAAGAAAAAAAGTCAAGTTAAGGGTTTAAAAAGCCTAAGACAATTGATGTGTTTGGCAAAATAACATCACCAAAGAATTAAATTCCTGCCTTAGAGTAGAGTTCCTCTAAAAATAAAATTACTAATACATATTTAGAAGAGTAACAACATCCTAATTAACCAGCAATATTTTAATACAAAAGTAACAACGTAAGCTACGAGCAAAGCTAATTCATAAATAACCTAAATAATAATAATAATCCACCTCACAAGCTAGTATCAATGACTAGAATGGATGATTAAACAGGAATTTACAATAATCTCATAAATCCTTCTTCAATTTTGTATGAAGAGCAATCGTACTAACTTGGAGGATAAAATAGCAGTTAGCCCTCATTTATTCGTCACGATATACAAAGCTAATACAATAGTAATAGCCATTTCAAAGACAATAATATTAATAACCATAATAAACCTGCCTCTTCAACTCAAAGCCTTCCTAAAAAATCCGAAATGATATTAAATAATCTAAACAACTTAATATCTAAACTAGAAAACTCCTAAGAACCTTAAATAGAAGAAAAACAAGAAAATAAAAATAATGCCTTTAGATCTAGTTTTAATAAAAAATGAGATATATATATTATATTATAATATCAACATTAAATCAACAAATCAATATTTTATATATTATGTGAACATCAACTAATTTAATTAACTAACTAACTAAGATTATTTGTGTATTATTTATATTTATTGAGTGATTTTCATGAATTTTAATTCATTTCTCAATCATTTCATTTCATTTTTATTAACCTTTAAGTTTATATTATTAAATCAAGTATTAGCTTTCTCCTTAACAAACTTTTCAAAAACTCTATCTATTTTTTCAAAAAGCTTGTTAACCAAAAATTAATTTTAATTTAGAATAATTAAAATATTGTTGAACATATTAATTGAAAATGTATAGAATAAATATTAATAGTTTTAGTAACATTGTTAGCTTTAAATAATTTTATTTTAAGCATTGAAAAATGTGGTTAAATAATGAAATGATTTAGAGAGAAAAGAATACATTAAACTACTTAATTAAATTATTTATTTATTTTTTATCGTTCAATTTTTTTTAAATATGAAAGAATTTCTATATTAAAAATATAGTTAAATAAAACAAATAAATATAATTAGCATTATTTTATTATCAAAAAATTGATTAGAATTACTATCATATTTTAATTTCTTTCAAGAATAAAGTTATTTCTAAATAGCTATTTAGTTTTTAATTTTTAATATTATCTGCAAAAAATACTCTACATCTTTTTTTTTCATTAAACTTTATTAGAAATTTAATAATCTTAATTGTAAAAAAATTTATTAGAAAACACACATTTGGATTCAAAATAAGTTAATGAAGAAAAAATTTAAATCATTGGGTTTATTTTATTGTATTCAGAAATTTTGCTTATTTTTAAAAATAATTTCAATGAAATTTTTAGGAATATAAAGAAAATTTTTGAAACTTTGATTTAAAAAAAGACATACAACAAAATAAAATATCTTATTATTTTTAAAATAATGAAAGTTTTTTAATTTAAAATAGTTTTGATTTTAATAAATTAATTTTTTTGAAAATTGTTTTTGTTTATTTGTTGTTAAAAATTATTTTCCTTATTTTATTTACATATGCTAAAAAAAATAAATTATTTATAAATTCAGATTAGATTTCAGTGAAGGTTAATAATTTTTGAAAATTAAGGTTTTTAGGCGCCCTAACATATATCTAATTTTAGAAAGCAATCAAAATAAAAATCATTCATTCTATTTAAGAGATGAGTTGGAAGAAATTCTAAATAAAGCTGCAAGCTCTTAGTAAAATAAAATAAATGCTTTTCGTGTTATTTATAATATGATTTTCAAATTGCATTTACTATATAGGTTAAAAAGAAATTGATTGATTGATTGATCAGAGGTAAAATTTTTGAAATAGCATTATATTGAAAGAAAGGAAGAACACTGAGATAATGTGGGAAATAATATAATAATTAATTTATATATTTATTTGATATTTGATTAGCTTGAATAAGTCTATTTTACAATTAATTTTTAAAAACAAGTAAGTGAATTTAAAATAATTATTTTTTGAAAAATATTTTAAATAATTAAAGAGTATTTATTTTTTAAGTGTTTGAAATAGCTAGAGAGGTGAAGTAATAAATAATTTTGCAGTAGAGACTAAAGTATTCATTATTTGAATCATCATCTTTATATAAATAAATAAATTAATAATTATTTAGGCTTTTTATTTGTTTCTTTGTTTGTTTATTAGCTTGTTTATTTGTTTGAGACCCTTCTTTCAATCAGAAATATCATCATGCATAAAGTGTAATACATTTTGATTTACTATTAAAAGTGCAAGAAAAACATATATAGATATCAGTAAATAAAATAGTACTTAGCAGGTTATCAAAAAGAGGAGTTTATCTTAGCTAATACAAATAGTTGAAGAAGAAATTTAGTTTCCAGATAACAACGTCACTGTAATGTCATCAATTCAAAAGCAGATTAAAAAGACTGAAAACTCATTTGTTCCTAGCTCAGGAAAAGACATTGGCTAGCTGCGTAAGCTAGTTTTAAATCACGAATATTATACAAGCATAGATGGCAATATCATTACTGAGAAATATATAAAATTAAAAAGGACTAGGAGAGCCATAAAAAAATAAAAATATCAGCAGCAATTTATGTTCTTGTAAACATAAGCTAATCCTTTCTCATAAACATAAACTGCCTATTTGCAACCTTAATACTTTAATTAACTTTAAATACAAAATATGTATTCTCCAGCTTTAGCGTAGAATTTATAGGGCACCAATTATGATTAACAATTATCTGCTTTTTAGTAAAATTAAATCATGCATCTATAAACTTTACCCTCCTTAGAATAAGCAAACAGCTAAATAATGAAGCAATAGTTGGGTAAATATTCAATTTATTATTTTTCTTTTCAAAATGCTTTAAGAAGCCTTAAATTTATCATTAAAACTCATTCAAATAAAATATTTTTTCAAAAATAAAAGGACAACAATTGCTTGTGCCACAATAAAGTCTTTAAATTCAATAATAACAATCTATGATTTAAATATAAAACCACTCCCAAAATGGAGAGTACTAAGGAATGGTTAACAATTACATGAAAATGGATAGAGTTTAACTAAGCGTTAAGAAAGATGTGTCTAAATTGGATGAAGAAAGTGAAAGCAACTTCTCTGACGATTACGAAGAAAGCAGCGAAAGTGATTAAATGGTTTATGAAAAATTTTCTTATACTTACAGTTATATGTAGAACGACAGAAAAAAAGACATAACAATAGAACACCACGATTTAAAAAAATTGGTGCCTAACCAATACCTCAATGACACAATAGTTAACTTTTTCTTGAAGTAAAAAAAGACTTTACTTAATAAAAAAAGAAAACAATATTTAATAAATAACATTTTTAACAATCTTGCATTTGTTTTAAAATAATAAAATATCTTTAATGAATCTTCTTATTTTTTGTCAATTTTGCTTTAGTACTAATAATAAAATTTGTTATGATTAATAAATTTTATGGAATAACTTACTTTGCTATTTTATAATAGCATTTTCAATTATTTATTTTAAATAAAATAGATTTTTTGAGGTTGAAATCCTAAGCTAGGAAATGAAAGAAAAGGTACTCATATTCAATACATACTTTATGTCTAAATTGGCGCCAAATGACCAAATAGAACAACTATCTTCAAGTAGCTTTGAAGTCATAAATGGCTTGTTTGAAAAAAATTACTAAGCTGTACGCAGAGTAAAAACTAAATAAATAAATACATTAAATTAAAATTATTTTTTACTTTTGTTTAAAATAAAAACGTTAAAAATATTGAAAAATGAATTCACATTTTAAAAGTATTTGCTTTTGAATAATTATTAATTTATTTGAACCAAATTAGCGCTTATTTTTGAATACAAAGTTTTTAATTTTTGCTTAATAATTATACGTTAAATAACGATCAATCTTTTAATTAAAAGTGGATTAAAGAAGATATCTTTGAAAAATAATTCCTAGTATTTCCTCTCAATTTACCTGAGCACTGGTCAGTCATCATAGTCTGCAACCACAAAAACTTATTCGACCAAGACGAAAAAAGCGAAGCTAGACAATAAAATAGCTCAGAAAATCCTACTACCATAGATGAAGACGATGAATAAGACTAAGACAAAGAAATAAAGGACGAAAACTCATCAAATAAACCAAAAAAAGAATATAACAAGCCATGTTTAGTTTACTTTGACAGCTTTGGACTACTTGATCCAAAGTACTCAAACATGATCAGATTGTAAAATTATTTTTTCTTCATATAAATTTATTTTTAACATCTCTTCCTAAGATATCTCAACAAGGAGTATGAAACGAAGAAAAAGAGTACCATATAAAAGAACATAGTTTATAACGAGAGAACATTACCTTCGCATTAACCTCTAGTAAATCTTTACAAAACAATCTAATTCATTTTATCATCTAAAAAGTTGTAAAAACAGTTTTTTCATAAAATCAAAAAATTCAAAATAAATTAAAAATTTTATTTTTTTAGTTTTTAATAGCTTTTTAAAAATGTTTTATTTCAATTAAGAATTTTAAGCTAATTTTTGATTGATTTTAGGCAATTTTTTTAATTGCTTTTGAAAAAAATAATTTAGAATTAACAAATAAGGTTTTTATTAAAATTTTTAATGAATATTGAATTGATTAATTAAAAGTTAATTAAATAATAAAAATTAGATTCCTAGATAAACAAACTACGTAGACTGTGGACTATACTTGTTAGAATATGTAGAGAATTTTTTGAACGACCCTTAATAGATCCTTAGTTTATTCAATAATGTATTAAAATTCACAAACTTAATTGTATTTTTAATTAAATATATAAATAATAAAATTAGACGGAATTTGATGAGTGGATCCATTTAAGATGGTTCCCTAGATGTAACATACATAAAAAAAGGAAGTTCATTAAAGAACTTTTGATAGATTTATCTAAGCTAAGTAAAGAAGAGGCAGCAAAGAATTATTAACAAAAGAGAGCTAATTTATTAGAGCTTAAAAAAGATAATGCTAGCTAATATGATGAAATAGATATGGAAGAATTTGAAGACCATATTGATGAGATAGCTGAGTATGAAGAAGACTATCCTAATACTTAGGAAGAAAAACATAGACAACTCTTAGATTTCTATATGAATCCCAATTTTAACAAATACGATGTGGTTTGAAATTGATTAGTAAAAATATTATTTATTCTATAAGTTAAAAAAAATTGCAAAATGTTAATTAAGTATTTAAAAACCTAATTTTAATGCTAGTAATCTAACTATCTGATTAAGATGGAACACTTCTAATTAAGCTAATTATTTTATTAATATTTAGATGCTATCTATATTAAACTTTTAAATGTACTTAGTTATTTTATTCGTACCTACCCATTTCTGTGTTACAGTTTTATTTATAAATATAATTCATTCATTCATTTTAGTAGAACTACTTTTTCTCGTAATATTTTGTCAATCAGTCTAGCTATTAATTTTAAATGTTAAATTCTCTAAAAATCCTATCCTATAGTCATAAAATTAAGTATTAATCATTCAATCCTTCAAAATGATTGCCATCTATATTTTATTTGGATTCTATGTTAATTTAAATGCAGAAAACTTGATTATTTAACACAAAAATGCCACTCTTTTATTTAATAAATTGCCTTATTTGTAAAATAAAAGATAGATTACTGAGAAATTTATTCAGTTAAAATTTTATTTTAATGTGAAAGCATGTTCATAAATTTTAATTAAAATGACTCTATCTAATTCAATATATTTGATCCATTAATATTAAATTAAATTTAGATAAATAAATAAATAACTTTTTCATATAATAATTAGTATAAGAAAAATGTAGATTTTTATCTATCCGAAGGGTATTTTTTATTAAAAATAAAACTCATCAATTTCTTATTGAAAAAGAAAAATAGTATTCTAGTTATTTTTTAGCTTTTATAAATTCAAATTATATTTAAGAATTATAAGTTACATTATTAGTTAATACTTTTTTTTTATTTAATTTACAAAAATTCTCAATCAACTCCATTTAATTTTTTAGATTGATTTTAAGCTGTTAACAAATAAAAAGAATTTAAGTATCTGTAATAAATTTAAACTATTAAAAAACAGGCATTTTATGAAATGTTTTTTTATTTCTGATATTTTAGAAGCTTTTATTAATATTATTTTTTAGTACCGAATTTCAGTTTAGGATAGGTTTTTTGTATTATAAAATGAAATTCAATTAAAAGAATAAAAAAATATTATTTAAAAAATATATTTGCCATTTTTAAGAAAAATAAAGGAGGATAAATATAGAAAATTTATTTAATAATATTAATCTTTTTAATAAATATATTTTAAGATCAAAAATTCATTTACTGGATATTTTTATTTTGCGAGCTTGCATTTAGAATTATTAGATTACAGCTTTTATTTTTGTATGAAGTTTGACTTTATTTTTTTTTTTGTATTATGTGAATGAAAGTATGCTTGCTTATGAAAAAGTTTCGAAATCTGCAATAAGATTTATTATTGATAAGAGCTATGGCAGGCGAGAGTAAATTATTTGTGATAGTTATAATTAATTAATTAAATTTCTAATTTACTGTTTATTTAATAAAGCGATCTTAACTATAAATTTAAGGCCCAAATTTCTTGTTCTATTTTTCTTATAGTTTTTATTTGATAAAAATACTGTGATAGCATTACCGCATTTATAAATATATGGCAAATTGTTTATTTTCAGGTTGAATTGATTTGGTTTATCTTGACTTATTTTATTTATTTATTTGTTTGTTTTTTGTTTCTTTCTTCTTCCTTTTTTGTTTGATATTATTTTTTGATTGACTTGTTTGTATTTGTTTGTTTGTTTTTTTGTTTGTTTGTTTGTTTGTTTGTTTGTTTGTTTGTTTGTTTGTTATGTTAGAAATAAATGAATGAGTGATGAATTTAACTTTGAGTGAATTATTAATAATTTAATAGTCTTTTAACTTTTTGGTTTTGTGGTTTTACAAACAAAAATAAGAAGAATAAAGAAATAGTAATATACATACTTTGCATAATCTATATAAACATATAGCTATAAACTGATAAATTAAGAAAAACTAGTTTTTAATTCATATAAAATATAGGATTAAGATCGATTAGATTTATTAAGGACTTAGCAATAATTCTTTAAAGAACTTAACTCTAATTTAGTAGGTGTGCGTGTAGTTTGTTAGCACTCAATAATATTCCAAATAATATCAGAATCCTTATCGATACTATCAAAAGAGAGAGCGAGAGAATTGTATATTTGTGAAAGAGAAAAATCGGAGGGAATCTGCTTAATTCAAATTCACATTAATTAATTAATTAACTTTATTGAATTAAAAAAATTTTTATGGCTGAAGACGAAAAGAGAAAATAATAAAGGAGTATAGTATAGTCATAATAGCATCACTCATAACAGTAAACAATGGCGTCTTCACAATAGCAACAACCAAGTCAGGGAATCAATACCTCCCAAAATTAGAATCAATAATAAAATTCGCAGTCTCAGGTTTCAAATAGAGTTGAGAATCCACAAGCATCTGATATAGGAAAGTGGTGGCCAGTTTTTGGCAGAAAAAATAGTGGATCTTCAAGCACATTTTGGTTAAAAAATCCCAAAAAGCTCACATTAGATGAGCTTGATATGGAGTAGGAAGAAAATGTTTTTAGAAGTAAGTTAAATCAGGACGATACAGGTACAGGGGACGAAGTTATTTAAAGTATAAACGATGGTCCTTTGAGTGTGACATTAAATCGTATCAGTAAAAAAACAAAGGTATCTAAAGAATACCTTTATTCCCTCAAGGGAAAATTTTTGGTTTACTACAAGAACAAAAATGACACTCATTTCAAAGGTTTCATTAAATTAGGTTAGGAAATTGTCATTGAAAAGAAGAATTTACAAGGTAAAAACGGTGATATTTATTACATTGAATTCCTCAAAGACGGCAACGTCCGTAAATTATACTCAAAAGAGTAAGATGTTGTCAATAGGCTTTTCTAAGCGATACGTGGCAAGTGTATTATTTAAAATTTCCGTGATAATTATAAAAAGCTAGAGCCATTGGGTTCCGGTTCTTTTGCAAGCGTAAAATTCATTTTCTTCATTTCTTTCAAAGCATATTTGTTGTTAATCCTATATTTTGCTATCTATCTATCTATCCTCAAAGCCAATCTTCCAAGTTCATAATTTCAAATGTGGCTATCAAAAATGAGCCTGAATAAATAATATAGTTAATAGCGATTATAGTTTAAGCTTAACAGTGAACTTTTATGGTAATAAAAATAATTTGCGTTTCTACTAAGTCTTCTATAAAAATACACTTTGAATACTACTTTCTATAGTTAAGTCCATTACATGCAAATAGGAGATTGATAATTAAAGACTATGTAAAAAAGTAATAACACTTATTCAAAATCTAATATAAAAACTCAATTTTCTATTGATTTCTATATTGAGATAAATTATGTAGATAATAGTACAGCTTAAGAGAAATATTTGAATAGTATTTTTAAATTATTTACTAGGACTTTTAAAAAACATATAAGGTCAAATAAATAAAATAACTAAAAATAGCTGGTATTAATCAGAAAGGTTCTATCTAAACAAAAACAAAAACAAAAAGAATGAATAAATAAATTATGTGAAAAGATTCATGTAATTTATTATGAATAGAGGAGAGAAAACATAATAATAGGACTGCTATAAGTTTGTATTAATATTTAGCTAGATAGATAAACATGATATTATATTAAGAAAGAAGTATTCAAATTATAAAAATCCAAGCTTGAAAGCAATGATTCGACATTCATGAGGAGGAAAATAAATTTACATAGTTAAATTTCTTAAATTACTAAAGTGAAACAAACAAACAAGCAAAGAAAGAATTTTTAATTAAAATTAAAAAACTTTTTTATCATAGAAAAAAATAAGAAAAAACACAGAATTTCACTTGTCTGTCTATATTATTTAGTTGTATAGAACAAATCATAAAAATTATTAAGAAGAACTTACACAATTAAATATAAGAAAATGAAATACGATTAATAAATGTTAAAATATTTATTTCCTCTCTTAATTTTTTGCTTTTCTTTATTAAAAGTGTTTGAGTTGTTACAAATGCAAGCAAAAATATGATATAGGAGAGAGAGAACTAACTTGGTTTTGAAGATTTGAGTGAAGGATAAATAGCAACTCTTTTAAAAAAATATGCGCTTATATTTCAAATATTTTTAGCTTATATAAAAAATATTTAATATTACTAAAAAAAGGTATTTAAGGTGCAGAGAATTTAAGATGGAAAAATATTTGCAGCTAAAGTTATTAAAAGAGCGAAGCTTGAAGAAAATAAATACAAAGATAAATTTGTGGTAAAAAATAATATATTTATAATAATTTCATTTATTACCCAGCACAATATTGATTAATTCTGATTTTTTTTTTTTTTGCTCAAAAGGCAATGTTGCTCAATGAGTACAGGGTTCTATCAGAGTCAAAACACAAAAATATTATTTAAATGGAAGAAATATATCAAGACCACGATCAGCTTGTTTACATCATGGAGTTTTTAGTGGGAGGTGAAGTTTATTCCAGGCTTCGTTAAGTAAAGAGATTCTCAGAAGAAGTAGCAGCTGAAATCTTAAAAAATCTGACTGAAGGTCTACTTCATATTCATAAGTAAATTTTAAATATATAATGATATCTATCAAATAAAATTAAACACCAATATTAATTAGCATTAATCAATCATATTGTTTTTTTAATTTTTATTGGCTAGTATTAAAATCAAAATGGATTAAAATTCATATAATCTATTAAATAAAGTTATACTCAAAAACAAATTACATTCTGATTAATCTATCTATGAATTTTAAGCAAATTTATACAAAAACAAAAAAGTAAGGTTTTAAAAATAAAGAATGCAACTTTTGTAATTAAATCAAAATTGAGAAATTAATAACAACAAAATATGATAAAATGAGATGCTTTAAAAAGAAAAAGAAAAAAGTTTAAAAATAATTAAATATTATTAAAACATTTTTTTAGTAAAAAAATAGTGCACAGAGATTTGAAATTAGAAAATATTTTATTTGTGAATAAAACTGATAACGATTGTAAACTTATAGATTTTGGATTTGCTGAAAAAATTAATTACGAAAAACTTGAAAGTAGGGCAGGTACGCCAGGATTTTTACCTCCTGAGCTGTTTAAATTAGGCCCATATACTGAAAAGGGAGACATATTTAGTTTAGGAGTTATACTATATTGTCTTGTTAGTGGTTGCTCTCCTTTTAAGGGTAAGACTTATAAAGATGTGCTTGAAAACAATAGGAGATGTGCTATTTCGTATGACTAACCAGTCTGGAATAAAATTTCAGATGAATGCAAGCACCTGATCCGCAGAATGGTTGAAGTTGATCCTAAAAAGAGATATGCTTGCAATGATATTTTAAAATCCAAATGGATGAATAAATATTTCCCTAATTCTCCATAACATAGTTAAAAATCTTTAACAACAAATAAAACTGGTAAAACAAATAGAAAAAAACACATGAGAGAATCAAGTCTGTCTAAAAACTCAGTAATAAAATTATTTCTTTACAAATAAAATAATTCAAGATTTTTTCAATAAAAAATGAATTTTGGAATGATTAACTTCTCTTTTTTTTTAATCGAAAGATTTTTGGAAAAACAACAAAAAAACTATAAAAAAAAATGCAATTATTTTAATTTAGAATTACATGAAATAGTTAATTAATTTATAATTCATAAATTAATCAATAACAAAAAAAATATATTTAATTATCTAATTAAAAACATCAATAAATTTTAATGAATAAGTCATCTAATTTGATAAAGAGATAGTTGCTTTTTTTATAAAGAGTTTTTTTGTGTTTCTTTTAAATTTTTTAAATAATTTATTATGATTAAACCAAATAGCTGCTTGATGACGATCTAAAAAAATCTATTGGAAGCAAAGCTTCAGGAGAAAGTGTAGAGTTCAATACAAGTACAATAATAAATATGCACAGCGATAATCCAAAGTCGTTTTATAGAAAAAGTATGCGTTCTCTCAAATCAATAAAATCTTTAAAAAGCCATTTCTCACATAAAACTGTCAAGTCTCATAGCTCTTATTCCTCAACTGATAGTCTGGATGCTCCTTCATCGAATTAAGATTTAAATAAAGCCCTCTGCGATAATTACAAAGGTAAAAACTTTGATAATAATGTTGCAAAATTTAAAGAAGATATAAATAACTTTTGTGATATCGACGAAGACGAGTCAAGCAATTTAAATTAAAAAATTTCAAATCTTTTTACGCCCAGTAAGAAATTCATCCATCCACTTACTCTAGCTGCCTCTAAGAAATCAAACTTTTAAAGCATTTAGTGATAATTAATTATCTTCAATTTGATAAGACTTAATTAGCAGCGGGTTAACAAACAAACATAACAAATGCAATCTATAAAAATATCTAAACTATCTTTTAACCAAAAAGAATGAGGATTTTAGCTATAAATCAATCAAAGTATCAACCAAATAATAAATAAATAATCTCCTTGTATATTAGTTCAAATAATAAACAAAGTAAATTTAAAAAAGAATAAATAAGTAAATAAATAAATAAATTATTGAGAGAGAGTAAAATTCTATTGCAATTAAACTTATAAAAATTAAATTATTATAGTAGAGATATACTTAAAAACAATTAACTAACTAACTAAATATTACCTATAAAGCTATGTAACTAACAAAAAAACAATAAAATATAAATAAAATAATAAATAAATCGATAAACTTGACAAGTTGAAGTCAATACTGAAAAAAAAATAGAAGTAATTAGTTATTTTAAATTTCGAATTAAAAATCAACACAAATATAAACAATCAAAGATAGATAAATTTTCTTAATTTTCTTATTTCTTACAATGTACTCATAAATCAAATAATAAATAAATAAGCAAATAATTATTATTTAACATAATAAATAAATAAATGAAAATAATCTTGGAAAACTTTGGCCCTGAAATTATGAAATTAGTTAGATAAATAGCTTACTAACCGTACTTTGTTTACTCGTATATTAAAAAATTAAATGGTTGTCTTAATTAACTAAGTTCATCTTTATAAATCTTATATGCCAAATTTGCCAAAAATGAATCCAAATAAAACGTAACATTTATTCATTTAATAACTCACTCACTCACTGGCTGACTAATAAACTAACTGACTGACTCATTCAATTATTAACAAAAGTGCACTTATTTATTTACTTACTTACTTTATCATCTCAAACTTCTTTTTCTCTGAGAATAAATAATAATACATAATTATAAAAATTACTCACTTAATTAGTTTTAGAAAGTAAAATAATAATTATTACGAATTTATCTTTAAGTATCCCTCTATCTTTATGCTTTAATTTCAAACTTTACTTAGTATAAAAATCCTCTTCTACATTTGTTTTACCTAACTAATTATATTCAATCAAGCAATTATCAAAAAATCCATCATTATATTTATATTACTTTATATAACTAAAATAAGTCAAAGTTTTTTTTATCAAAATTTAAATCAAAAATCAAATTAAAATAAACACATTTTAAGATTAAATTATTTATTGTCTTTAAATGAATATTTTAAATATGTAAAAGAATATCTAAATTAATTTTTAAAGTAGAATTTTTTAAATTCTATATTTTGAATTAAATTTAATCAATAAAAGATTTTCCAATTAAAATGCAGATATTGACTTTAAACTATCGTTCTGTGAATAAAATTTCATTTAATATATATTAAAAAGTAGATTCGTTAAATGCAATTACAAAAAATGAAATTTTGAAAATAAAAAAATCACTAAAATTAATTAATTAATCTTAATTTAACAATAGTTTTGTTTGATTTATGGAAATAAATTAATTTAATAAATATCAAATAAAAATAATATTTTTGCTTGCTTGTTTATTTAATTATTATTAATCACTATTGAAGACATTCTTTAATGAAATTTTAAACTGCATCAAAATAAGAAGTCTAATCTCTAGTCCAACTGTTATTATGATCACCGTCAGGGATTATGTGCTATTTTTATAAATTGATTCGTTTTAAAAAATTAATTCGATTCTAAAAGCTTTCAAAGTTATTTTATAGATTAAATTCTTACTAATTTCTTAAAAGAGACTCTGGTAGCAGCTTGGTAAAGTCTCTACATTTGAACTGGAGGAACCAATTCATCTAATTCAGACTTGATAAATAACATAGGTTATTTGATTTTTGGAATTCTATCTATACTGGGCCAGTAATTTCTTAATACCAAATTTTTCAAAAATTTGACCTTACTGAAAATAACATCAACCATGTCAGAAATAGATGTAAAAGTGTTTTCAACTATAACTCCAGCTAGCTAAATAATAAATAAATAAATTATTTATTTAAGTTAAAAAGAATATATGCTTATTATATATTTTACAGGGAATTTCAAAGTAGAAGCACTGTAAATGGAAACAGCACCTCCCAAAGATCTACCATGTAAAAAGATTTTGTTAGTGTCAATATCAGTTCTACTAAAGACATGAGTTAGTATAGCTTCTGCATCGATCATTAAACCATCTTCGCTGGGTTCACCTTCACTGTTGCTATATCTATATTATTTTTAAATTTTGTTAAATAGTTCATGTTATATTTTCATAAACAATATATTTAAATTAAAACACTCTTAACAAATAAAAAGGAATAATTACCCTCTATATGCAACCAAAACGACATTAACATTAGCTTGATTGTTGTATTCTTTCATATAGAAAATTCTAGTACCAATATCTATTATATAGTTTACCTTTTAAAAAACAAATTAAAATAATTTAATGATTAAATACTTCCTGCATTTTCGTGGAAGTAGACGACGGTGGCAACATTTTTAGAATTAGGTCTTTTTGCAATCCATCTATTAAAGTAAATAATTCATATAAAATGATTAAAATCCTATTATTAAAACTTTAATTTGATATATATACCCATGCAAATTAATGTTATCTTTAGTTTTGATGTTGATGTCTTCATAATCAAGTCCACTTTTATTCAAAAAAAATAAAATTTATTTATTTATTTTTAAATAAATGTTTATTTTGTTAATGGAGTTAATTAAAATAATTAAAAATTAAACATAAAAATAAGAATAAAAAGGAATAAATTGATTACATTTATTATGGATTTTACATTCCCAACTAGTTTTGATCTTAAGATTTAGGAAGACCTTGAATAACTTTGTTTATTTTTATTTTTAATGAGTTTTACTTAAATTTTCAAAAATGGTAGTTTGCAATTTAATTAGCCATGAAATGAAATCTAAATTAAACTGTATTTGTTTATTAATGCAAATTACCAGGAATATATAATAGCTTATTTTGGAATTTATAAAGAAGGAATGCTATGACTACTATGAAAGCTGCAAAAAAAAGCCCAAACTTGAATGTAAAATAAGTGATTCCACTAATATCTGAAGCCATCCTAATTTTAATTTTCTTTCTTTTAAAACTTTTTACTTTGAATTAAAATTTGTTTTTAAGATATTTTTGATTTCAATTAATCAAAAAAACACTGCTCGCTTCTAATTAAAATAGTTAATTAATTATTAAAGTCATAAATAGTCTCCTTTTTTTATTCTTTTTTGATTTATATATCAATGACTGATGTCTTCTGATATTATGGAGATACAAATAAAATAGTAATACAATAAATACTATTTCAAGTAATAAATCAAAAGCAAAATTTGATCTAAAAAATATATTTATTTAACTATTTATTAAATAATTGATTAATTTTAAACTAAAAAAAGTAGAGAATAATCTTTATTAAATTTTAGAATTTAAAGACAAAGATTTAATTAAAAGATTTTTTTACTTTCTCTCTTTCTGTCTTTTCTGATTTGTGAATATTATTTTATTCGTTTTACATTATTAGCAAATCCTTTTATTCATATTTTTTTTAACCTCTATCCTACTTTTAGTATTTATATTTTATCTTACATTGATTGTCTTACCCATTTTTTATTATATAATTAAAATATTTGAGTTTACTTTTAAAATTATTTATTTATTTGTTGTTCTTTTCAAAAAAATATTAATCATTTGTAAAAAATTAATTTAATTGATTGTGTTTATATCTATTTTATTGATTTATATGTTTATTGTATTAAATAGAAATTTTTAATATCAAAGCATAGTCATTTTACTTATTTTTGTTTAAAATTACTTTAAATTTAATTATCATTCTTATTTTATATTGATGATTTAGTGTGTTAAATAGTGAATTTGTGAGATAAATAGGTATGTAAATATGTATGAAGATTAATTAGTAGGATATTTTGCAAGAAAAGAATAAGTTAAGCAACTAAATATGAAGATTTATTTATAAATTTTTACACATTTTTAATAATTAATTAAATTTAGAATATAATAGATTTTCACTCTCCATTGAATAAGTGGGAAACAATTTCGTTGTCTGAACCTCCAGAAATGACACTTGCACTGCCTTTAATTTTAAAATAATTGTTTATATTATATTTTTTTATTTATAAAATGAAACTAAAATTAAAAATTAAATGATTTACTATTCCAAATACCACTTAAAACTTTATCGTGATGAGTTTTTAATGTAAATAGAGGGAATGTGGATCTCATATCCCAAATTTTAACAGTGTGATCATATGAAGTGGTCAAGAATATATTTGAATCTGTTTCTAAACCTTTAATGCTGCTGATCCAGCTTGTATGTGATTTGAATACTTTAGCAGGAGCTTTATCTCTCAAATCCCAAGACCTTTTTTAAAATTTAAAATTGAGTTTTTTCTATTTATAATTTAAATGAATTACTTAATTGTGTTATCTTCATGGCCTGAAAGTATAAAATCTTTAGTGGGGAACATAGCAGTAACAGCTGAATCCTTGCATGTGATATCATTTACTTCAGCTTACTTTGAGGTATCATATAATTTTATATGGTGATCATGAGAGCTACTCAATATTCTATCTGAATCTTTCCAATAAACATTGCTAACTCTATCGTGATGAATAGAAATTTTTGTAATTGGGTCTAATTATTTCTTGCTTAATTTAACTTTTTTTTTGCCAACACCTTCTCCACCAGCCTAAATTTTATTGAATAATTTATTTTTTCTTCATCAAAAAGCATTGAAAATAATTTTTAAAATTTCTTTTTTGAATGCTAACTTTTTATTGAGAAATATATAAAATAATCATAAAAAAATTACTGAAGGAGCTTCTTCCAAATACTTGTTAGTGAGAGAATAAACGAGAATATCACCTTTATAATTACCAGCACAAACGAGATTGTTTTATAAAATATTTAAATCTAAACATTATAATTAGGATTCAGATCCTATGCAATCAGCTATTTCAGTATAACCTATGTTAACTTTGCCTTTTTAAACTTCGTAGCTCAAATTACCAACTCTCATAGTTTCGTCTTCACATGCAGTAAATACTAAATATTCGTTTGCAGAGCCACTTAAATAGCTAAATATATTAAGTAGAAATATCACTTAACTAATAAGTTAAAATATAATTAAGTAATTACTTTTATTAAACACCAATGGCCTTGATGGATGCATCAGTTATTTAATGTCTATAAAGATGCTTTAAATTTTCAGAGTAGACTGAGATGCTTCCATTGTAGAGAGAAGCAATAACAGGTTAACACTTTGAAGGCTCAAAAGGCTTCAAAAGAGTGAGACAGCTAACCCAATCTTCTTCTTCGGCCTTTTTATCTTCTTTAGGAGGCTATAAACTGAAGGTATACCAAATTTCGATAGTTTTTTCGGTCATTAAATCATGCTTCAAAATGTGAGATCTCAAAGTACCTCTAAGGAACTCTGATTTAATCATGAATTCAAAACGCATATTTTAAAATTTTGTTGGTTCTTCATCATCGTGTTAAGCTTGAAGCAATTGAACAAGATTCTGTTTAAATAAAGATTGAAATATAAATTTAATGTTATGAGTTATAATTTCAAAATAAAAATGTGTTACTTCGTTCAAAGCCTTCTCATTAAGACTTGTTGGCAATTCAATAACATCTTCTTCTACTTTGTATTCAGCTGGTAAATGAGTCTTGAAAATACAAAAGATAACACTTTAAATGTTTTCGCTATTTTCAAGATTTTATTTATTTTCGATTTCCTATTTTTCAATACATCAAGAATGAATTAATGCTACGAAGATGTAAGCTATGTAATTTGATATGAATTAGAATAGGAATTTACCATTTCTACTTTTGCTAACTTTTTATAAAAAATTTATTTTATTGGTGCTTCTACTATATATACCTACTTTTAGCTCAGATTAATTTTAAGAATAATTAATTACTAATTTAATTGCTATCAATTCATAATATCTTTAATTAAAAGAATACATTCATTTATTTCTAAAAAAATAATATCAAAAGCAAAGTCATCAATTTTATTATTTTCATTTATCAAACTAACAAATAAATAATTCTCATTTATTTTTACAAATAAGCTTTAAGAAAGCAAGCACAAAAAGGTCTTTCATATAAATAAATAAATAGTTCATCTTAAAAAAAGCATATCTCTCTCATATTCAATACAAAAATCTTTTTAAATATTTTAAATAATTTATCTAATCTCAACTGTTTTAACAAATATTTATAAACAGAAAATATTCTTTTTTATTAAAAGCTTACTAAAATTTTAATAAATTAAATTAATATATTTCTGCAGTTAAAAAAAATAATTTTTATTTTCAAAAAATTGAATTTATTTTAATAATTTTAAAATAAAATAAACAAAAAATTTTACAAAAACATTCAAACTAATTTATTAATAATTAGTTAGATTATAGAGATTTTTAAAAATTAATTTTTTAAAAAAGTTATTTAATAATTTCTTTTTAATATTAAAAATGATTTATTTTGTTAATTTTCCAAATAAAAAATAAAAGTTGATTTGGATTTGTTAAAGAATTCTTTTATAAATAACAAAAAATAGCTAAAAAACAATTTAATAAATTTTTAAATTAAAATTAATTCAATTTCTAAAAAATAATAAAAAACGCTAAACAAATTTTACAAGATAAATTTTTATGTTTTTATAAAATGTATTTAAAAAAAAATTATTAAAATAATTTGAATGTAAAAACAATCCCTAATTTTATTAAATTATTTTTTACTTATTTAATTTTAGAATTGAATACTTAAAATGATTGTTGAATCATAAAAAATCAAAATAAAATGACTAAAAAATATAACATAAAAAATATTTTCAAGAATTTTATTCAGTGGATAACAAACTAACTAATTAACTAACTAACTCAATAGTTTTTCAAATATCAATAAAACTTTTTTAATTTAATTAAAATTTAACTCAAAATATAAATATTGTATTTGAAATTGTTAATGAGAATAATTTCATTTTGTATAAATTTTGAAGCATTTCTTCATTTTTTACTGCATTTGATAAAAGTTATTGTAAAATTTTTTATATGTTTTTTAAATATTTAATTTAGAAATATTTTTGCTTTATACTCTTTAAATAAATGACTATTAATGAAGTATAATTGCGGGAATTTATTTTTATTTAACTTTTTAAATTTTCTTGCAAGGATAGATAGGTAGCTAGCTAGCTAGTTAGTTTTTAGCTGAAAGAACTATTAAATAAAAGACTAAGTTAGATAGATACCTTAAAGAAGGAACTATTATTATGAAGGCGAATAAGTTATTAGATTTGATTCTTGAAGATAATATAAAAGATAAATATTTTATCTGTCTATCAATAAATATAAATAAATGAATATCTTAATTGTACAGTGTAAAATAGCAAGAAAATTTATTTAAAAATAAAGTAATTTCACTTAATTAGGATTGAAGCTATTTATTTTGTAGTAAGAAATTATTAATTTATTAATCAAAAAATAGAATCTTTGATATATTTTGAAAATAAATATAAAAAGAGACACTCCTAATTTATACAACATAGCAGCTTAAAAATAGGGTTGACAGAGGTCTTAGAATAAATAACTTAATAAAAAAAGCTTAGAAAACAAATTTAAGAAACTAAAAAGCAATATAATTAAAACATCTTACTGAAATGGACGAGGAAGAATCATTTTTCGAAGGTGAAAACAGCGCACCTGTTTATGATGATGAATTAAATGAAAATATAGATTAAGATGACTGTTGGAAAATTATTGATGAATATTTCAAGGATAATGGTCTCTGTTCTCATTAAATTAAATCTTACAATCACTTTATTGAATCTCTTCCTTTAATCATGGAAGACTTTAAGATTGAAGTGAGACCTACTGAAAATTATATGAATTCTAATAAAAAGGAATAGCAAATTAGGAGCTAAACTTCATACACTTTAACATTTGACAGGCCTCGTAAACCTTTGCCTCCTTAAAAGTTCCATATGGAAAGAACTTTTGGATGGGGAAGAAGAGGATAGGATGCTTAATCTTCAAGTAAAAATAATTTTATATTCTATGAAATACCTATTTAATCACTCTCTCTAGCTAAAATTGATTGAATTATTACTATTTTAATTTTTACACCATCAAAACGTTGCTTACTAATGAAATAAGACAATAAATTGCAGATAGATTCGAATTTTAATTTACTTAAAAATATTTCTACTTGATGTTAACTTCAAACAAAATATTTTTAAAATGCAAAATGAGTTTATTTGTTTGCTGGAGAGAAAGAGATTGACAGATTATGTTTAAAATGAATGATTTTAAAAATAAAGAATGAAAGTGAAATAAGTTTGTTTTGTATTAAAAAATAGGCCATGCACAAAAGATCTATCCTATGATGGCTCGTATCAGTGATTTGGATTATTTTGTAGAAATTAAAATTCCAGTTTAGTTAGTCAGAACCATCAAACATCCTGATGGCACAGAACAAAAAGAGTTAATCACAAGCAGAGACAAAAACCAAAATTTAATCACACTTTTCAAATTACCCGTCATGGTTCAATCCATGTATTGCAGTCTTGCAGGAGAAAATCTTGAAGGTAGAATCAAACACGGTGAATGTTAATTTGATTAAGGTGGTTATTTCATTATCAAAGGTTCAGAAAAAGTCATCATTGCTCAAGAACGTATGGCCTTCAACTTCGTTTATGTCTTCCAACAAAAAGATCCAAAAATGCCTTGGATAGCAGAAGTAAGATATCATATTCATTTTAAAACAAATCATATAACAGAATGAAATTTCAATAAGAAATATTCGTTTAATCACTTTGAAACTAAATTATAAGCAAAAAATATAATTTAAATCTATTAAAAAAAAATATTTTTTAGAGTTAAAAATATGAATTAATTTAACAAATGAAAGTAAGTAACTTAAAGGATAATCAATAGATAAAGATAAATAGACGCATTAATATTTGATTTTTATTCAAATTTATTTAAACTAAATAAATAATTTGGTTATTTTAAAATGAAAACAGATCAGATCAATCAGAGACAAAACTAATGCTGTTTAATCTAAATTTGCTTTAAAATTAAAACTTAGAGACGGAGAATATCAACTTTATGCAAGATGCAAACTTATTAATGAAGATATCCCTATTTTCGTTTTACTTAAAGCTCTTGGTTGTGTTGAAAGTGATAAGGAAATGATGGAACGTATATTTTATAATTTAAAGGATCCTAAAAATGAATAAATGATGGAAATGCTTCGTTCCTCCCTCTTGCTCGCTCAACATTGTAACAATAAAAGAGAAGCCCTTATTTTCATCGGTTACAGAATTAATGCAACCACAAATTATAGAGGATCTCAAGAAGCCATGCAATCAGCAGAAGATACTCTTAAGCTTTACTTACTCCCTCATATTGGTACCCAAGAATCTGATAATGATAAAAAGCTTTTCTTCATTGGATATATGGTATTATTTATTTATTAATCTATAGTTAATACATTGTTATTTATTACACAGATGTTGATCTGTTTGAAATAAATTATTTATTTATTACACAGAAGTTTTTCTGTTTGTAATTTTTAAAAATATTTTGCTTAAAAATTTCATTTTTTGCTCTTAAATCAAAGCTAAGTTTAATATTTTAAATTAAAAAAAAAGATTTAAAAATTGTTAAATGCTGCTCTTGGCAAGACTCAAGAAGATGATAGAGATCACTATGGTAAAAAGAGATTGGATATGGCTGGTGCACTTATCAGTTAGTTATTCAAGGAAAGACTTAGAATATTCCAAAAGAATGCAAAGAAGAATTTGCAATAAAAAATAAATGACATATCTAGAGATGCTCAAAAATCTCTTAATGTTATTGTAGATATTTTCGATCATAAGTTGATTTCAGATCATATTAGATTGGCTCTAGCCACTGGTAATTGGGGTTAGACAGCAGACGGAGAAGTAGTCAAAACTGGTGTTGCTTAGGTATTAAAAAGAGATACTTCATTATTCGCAACTATGTCTCACATGAGAAGAGTTAATGCTCCTATGAAATCAGCTGCTAAGCTTGCCAGACCTCGTTAATTGCACAATACTCACTACGGTTTAATTTGCCCTGCTGAAACTCCTGAAGGTTAGAAAATTGGTATGGTTAAAAACTTGTCTCTATTGGCTTAAGTTTCCCTAGGTCTAAGTTCTTAGGATAACTTAAAGATTCAAGAATAGTTAGAAGAACAAATTAACTAATTTGATATTCTTAATCTTAAGCTTGAAAAGATTCCTTACTAAACAAAAGTGTTCTTCAATGGTAATTGGATTGGTTTTACCGAAACACCTGAATAAATTATTGATGTCTTTAAGGAAATTAGAAGATTGCAAAAAATCGATGGTTTTTCTATTGTCAGAGATATTATTAACAAAGAAATCAGGTAGATTAATTAATTATTTATGTGCATTTTATCAACATTAATTGCTAGATCATACAAAAACATACATAAATGTCTTTTTTATTTTTTATTTAACGTAATCATTTTTTTTAATTGATAGAATTTACACTGATCAAGGTAGAGGTATGAGACCAGTTTTTACTGTGTAAGAAATCTGTGAAGGAAAAAATAGACTCAAGATTACAAAATCTAAATTATATGCTATCCTCCAGTAATTTGAAGGCAAGGCATTTTAAAAATTAATTGATGAAGGTTTTATTGAACTTTTGGACGTCGAAGAAGAAGAAGGTGCTTTAATTGCTGTAGATATAAATGATTTTTACCACACTGATGATCCAAGAAGAACTAATCTTCCTTTCACTCATTGCGAAATTCACCCTGCTATGATTCTTGGTGTCTGTGCTTCCGTTATTCCTTTTGGACATCACAACTAAGGTCCAAGAAATACTCTTTAATCTGCTATGGGTAAACAGGCTATGGGTAAATTTTTCTATTTGCTAAATACTATTTATTTTATATTAAAATTGATTGATTGATTAATTGATTTAAAATTGCTATAAATTAATTTAGGTTTAAATTCAACTAATTTCCATATGAGACTTGACACTCTTTGCCATATTTTGTACTATCCTCAAATTGCACTTGCTTCAAGTAAATCTCTCTAATACATTACTGCTAAAGATATTCCTATTGGAAGTAATGCAGTTGTAGCTATTGCTTGCTTTACTGGTTACAACCAAGAAGATAGTATTATCATTAATTAGAGTGCCATAGATAGAGGTCTCTTTAGATCTATCCTCTACAGAACTTACAAAACAACAGAAAAGAAAGAACATATGGGTCTTAATCCTGTCATTGAACATATTAGATTCCCCGATGAAAAGAAAACTATCATCCCTGCAAGTTATTCGTTCCTTAAATTGGACTATGATGGAATCATACGTACTTCATTTTATATTTAGAAATTTCAAAATTGAAAGAATTCACTTTACTTAAAACAAGATTTTAAATTTTAAATCAATTAAATTATTTTTGTTAAAATAAAGCACCTGGAACTTAAGTAACTGGTGAAGATGTCTTGATTGGTAAAGTTGTTGAATTACCAAAGACTGAAGGATCTGACAAATAATATAAGGATGTTTCTTTGGGATGCAGAAGATCTGAAATTGGTTATGTTGACACTGTTATTCTCTCAGAAGATAAGGATGGTATGTATATTGTAAAGGTCAAGCTTCGTTCTAATAGAATTCCATAAATTGGTGATAAATTTGCTTCCCGTCATGGTTAAAAAGGTACATGCGGTATGACTATTAGAGGTGAAGATTTGCCATACAACATTGAAGGTATCATTGCTGAATTGGTTATTAATCCACATTGTATTCCCTCTCGTATGACTATTGGTCATATGATTGAAGGTCTTAATTCAAAGCTATCTTCTTTAAAGGGTATTTGGGGTGATGCTACTCCATTCTCTGGCATTAAATTACAAGATATTGCCTCCGAACTTCACACTTATGGATATCAAAGATATGGTAATGAAGTCTTGTACAATCCTTACACAGGTATGAGACTCTCTACTTAAATTTATTATGGTCCTACTTTCTATCAACGTCTTAGACATTTAGTCGATGATAAAATGTATTCTCGTTCTAGAGGTCCAGTTGTAGCAATTGTCAGACAACCTACTCACGGTCGTTCCAGAGGTGGTGGTTTACGTTTTGGTGAAATGGAAAGAGATTGTATCATTGCTCACGGTAAATTTATCTCATAATTCTATTTAAATCTTGTTTTTATTAAATGATATTATTTAAAATTTACTAGGTACCAGTAATTTCTTAAAAGAAAGAACATTTGGCGTTTCTGATCAGTTCAGAACCCATGTTTGCTCAAGATGTGGTTTGTTTGCTAAAGCAGATGTTACAAATCACAAGTATGACTGTACTGGCTGCTCTTAAGGTGATAAGAAGCACTACAAAATCGTCCAAGTGTATCTCCCATATGCAGCTAAGCAACTTATTCAAGAACTTATGGCTATGCATATTGTTCCAAGAATTAAAGTTGATGTCACTAGTAAAAAGTATGTTTGATAAATCTAATCATTTAAAAATATCATTTTTATGGTCTTAGTCCATCTATCCATAATAAATTGATATAAAAAAATTGCTAATAAATATTTTTTAAATTAAGCTTTGTCTGTGTTTCGTATATTAAAATTTAAATTTCTTGGTTTTAGTTGATTTTAGAGTTAATTAAATTTATTTATTTATTTATTAATTAATTGAATTTATTTTGTTTTTGAAAATATTAATTCAAAAATGTTTTTTTTAGAATTGTAATTTTTATGAAACTAAATAATAAAAAGAAAATATATATTTATAAAAAAATTTAAACTACACTAAAGATTTTTAAACTTTAAACTAAAAAGAAAAAATATTACATTAATGTGTTATTAGCTGTTAGTTTATTATAATTAATTAATATTGAAAAGCAGGAAGATTTCAATTATTTTATTTTTAGGTTGTTTAATTGAATTTTATTTTTAAAATGAAAAATTAGTTAAAAATCTATTTTTAAAAAGCAAACTTTAATGATAAAAAAGTTTAATAAAGTTTTAGCAATAATAGTAAAATTCATAGTTTTAATTTCTTAATTTTTAAAAATTTAATATTTAAAAGAAAAAAAAATAATATTCAGCATATTTATTTACTGCTAATTAAAGACTATTAATTATTATTTAGCTTTATTTAGTAATCAGAAGATTTAAAATTAATTCGCTTAGGTTATTTAATTAAATTTGATTTTTACATGAATAACTTGATTAAAAAAATATTTGCTTTATTAGGAAAATAAATTATAAAAAAATTTTTGAAATGATCCTATTTCCTCTAATAATAAATGCATTTATTTTTTTTAAATATTAAATTTAAATTAAAAATGATACTATAAAAATTAATTTAAAGCTGGTTAAAGATAATTTTATTTGATGATGATGATAATATTTAAGATTATTTTTTAAGTTGTTTTATTTGCAAAATAAGATAGTTAGAAAAAATTCATATAGATTTTCCAATTAATAGAGGCAGACCTACTAAATGCAAATAAATTTTTAATTTGAATTAACTTAAAATATGAAAATTAATTCAATCAAACATTTTTTTAAACAAACGGTAATTTATAAATAAAACCATTCTCACTTAAAATTTCTATTTTCATCACTTTTAAAATAGAAAAAATAATTTCTTTTTTTCTGACTAAAAAACAAATAATTATCAGAATTTTATATTTACATATTTCATCAAATAGGTTATGATGATGAATTTCAAAAAAAATTCATAAACAAATTTTTGATGAAATTTTAATGAATATTAATCAATCATTTCTTAGATCACATTTAAGAAAAGAAAAAATTTTATTTGTTTGATTGAAAATTAGTTAATTTTTATTTTTTTCTTTAATTAATTTGAAAGGAAGGAAATTTATTTAATTGAATTTAGAGATGTTAAATTCAAAACAACAAGTATTTATGTATATATATAGAGAGTAACAAATCAATTTTATTCATTTTTAAGTGATGTTTTATTTTAATGTTTGTTTTAAATGCGATTTTCATTCAATTCAGAAACCACCTCTTAATCTGAGGACTAAGTGGAGGGTAGATTCCTTTTGGATGTTGTAGTCAGAAAGGGTTCTGCCGTCTTCTAATTGCTTACCAGCGAAGATAAGTCTTTATTGATCAGGGGGGATACCTTCCTTGTCTTGGATCTTAGCCTTGACGTTTTCAATAGTGTCAGAGGCTTCAACGTCAAGAGTGATGGTCTTACCAGTCAAGGTCTTGACGAAAATTTGCATACCACCTCTTAATCTTAAAACCAAGTGGAGGGTTGATTCCTTTTGAATGTTGTAGTCAGAAAGGGTTCTGCCGTCTTCTAATTGCTTACCAGCGAAGATAAGTCTTTATTGATCAGGGGGGATACCTTCCTTGTCTTGGATCTTAGCCTTGACGTTTTCAATGGTGTCAGAAGCTTCGACATCAAGAGTGATGGTCTTGCCAGTTAAGGTCTTGACGAAGATTTACATACCACCTCTCAATCTAAGGACTAAGTGGAGAGTAGATTCCTTTTGGATGTTGTAGTCAGAAAGGGTTCTGCCGTCTTCTAATTGCTTACCAGCGAAGATAAGTCTTTATTGATCAGGGGGGATACCTTCCTTGTCTTAGATCTTAGCCTTGACATTTTCAATGGTGTCGGAGGCTTCAACATCAAGAGTGATGGTCTTGCCAGTTAAGGTCTTGACGAAGATTTACATACCACCTCTTAATCTGAGGACTAAGTGGAGGGTAGATTCCTTTTGGATGTTGTAGTCAGAAAGGGTTCTGCCGTCTTCTAATTGCTTACCAGCGAAGATAAGTCTTTATTGATCAGGGGGGATACCTTCCTTGTCTTGGATCTTAGCCTTGACGTTTTCAATAGTGTCAGAGGCTTCAACGTCAAGAGTGATGGTCTTACCAGTCAAGGTCTTGACGAAAATTTGCATACCACCTCTTAATCTTAAAACCAAGTGGAGGGTTGATTCCTTTTGAATGTTGTAGTCAGAAAGGGTTCTGCCGTCTTCTAATTGCTTACCAGCGAAGATAAGTCTTTATTGATCAGGAGGGATACCTTCCTTGTCTTGAATCTTAGCCTTGACGTTTTCAATAGTGTCGGAGGCTTCAACGTCTAAAGTAATGGTTTTACCAGTAAGGGTCTTAACGAAGATTTGCATTTTTAGTTTTTTGCTTTTTTTTGGAGGTTTTTGTTTAATAAGAATTTAATTCTTTTTGAATTGTTTTCTTTTTTTTTTGAAGGTAGCAAACGCAATTTTATAGGAAAGAAAGAGAGTCGATCTGTTCAAGTCTGAATGGTTTTCTCTATGAAAAAAGCTTTTATCTTTTTTTTAATTAATTAATTTGAATGAAAAGAGTTTTATTGAATGAAATAGATAAGAAAAAAACTGATTTAATTGATAGCTTCTAGAAGAGTTTATTCTAATGCATCAAAATTCTTTTTTATAAAATAAATAACAAATAATTTCTCGAATGAATGAATGAATAAATTAATTAATTTATGTATGAATGAATGAATAAATGCGAGACACTTTTTTAAACAAATTTGTTAATTAGACAAGCGATCAAATAAACAAAAAAAAAATTTTTATTCTATTTCAATTGAAAGTCTTTTCAGAGATTTCTGAGCAGAAACTTCATAAATATATTTAAATCATAAGTTAGTTTAATCATTTGCAAAAATTGATAATTTATTAGGTTGACAAATACTCTATCTTTTGTAGGCAAGTCAATATATTAGTAAGTAGTTTACTAAAATTTCTTCTAATAAATTAACTAACTAACATCAGATAAGCTTCTTATAAAAATTGCTTGTTTTCAAATGAATAAAAAATTCTTTCAAAATCTTGATCGATAATTGTTATCATATACTAACAACTCAATCAATCAATCAATCAATATTCTTTTATTTAATTTTTTGTATATAGCTTGTAATTGAAAATTATTAATTCCTTCACTAATTTAAATAAATTTATTTGGCGTAATTCTTAATTCCTGTTTAATATTTATTTAGCTTTAAGGACTACTAGCTTCTTTCTATTATTCATTCATAATTGATGAGGTCATTAAAATCACTATTTCATTTCGAGTGATCTTCAAGACAAACTACATCATAAAATTACAATTTTTCATTCCAAAAACACACGTTAAAAAAAAGTATGTATTTTTTTATAAAATTGTTTTAAAAATACAATTAGCTATCAAAGTTATAAAATTGAAATACTCCACTTAGAGATTTATTTAAGAACTTTAATAGTCAAGTTTTAGAAAGCATCCAGGCAGATTATTGATAATCAGCGCATTTTTTTATTTTGGCAATCACCATATTTTAAACAAAAATTTGTATGATAAATAATGAAGTTTCTGCTGTTTAGTATAAAAGTATTTTATTTCAAATAAATAAGTATTTAGTAAATTCAAAGCGTAAAATGGTACAAAAAATTATTTTATTGCGAATCTATTAACAAAAAAAAAGCTTTTACAACAGTAGGATCATTTAGTTTATTATTAAATTTGCATCATATATTAACTTAGTTAGTTTCTCAATAAATAATCAAAACCTTTATCTTCAAATGCAGTTTTTGTTGAACTGTCAGTATTATTTTTTATTTGAATATTTAAGACAAACAAATAATGAAAACAAAATAAACAATATCACCAATATAATAGATAAAACAAATGAGTAAAATAAAATGTCTTTTAAATTTTAAATAAATATGAAAATGTTAAATGCTCTTTATGGATAGAAGCGTTAAAAATAATAGAAAAATATATTTTTGATGATAATTGGTACATTAATTAATAAAGGAAAATTTAAAATCGATTTACTAGAAACAAACCACTTAAACAAACAATCTTAATCTATTTGATAAATTTGAATAAAAAATAAATAGATCTATCACAATTACGGAATTGCATTGTTTCTTACTATTTCTTTTTTAAGAGGTAGGAAGATAGAGTAAATATAAAATTTTCTGATTTTACTGATTTGTTTTAATTATAGAATATCAATTTATTTTAATTGTGAAATGTCTTTACTTTTTTATTCGATTGTTTTCCATTTTTAAATTGGGCAATTTTTTAAATTTATTGGAGAAGATTAGCAAATCAGCGTTTGATTTAAATATTCCGAAAAAAGTATCTGATAAGAAATTTAAATATTCTCACAAATCAGACAAATAAGCTATTAAAGTTTGATTGCTTTGTCTTACAAATTTTTAGGAAAAACTATAAAAAAAGTTTTTAAAAATATTATGAAAGTTATAATCGAATTTAGCAAAAGGATTAAAGTACCAGTTAATATTTTTAATATCAAATAATAATGAATAGTTGTAGTCATTAAATTCAAAAGAATTTCGCATTTTTAGCAAACTAACATTTGTTTTCTGATGATGATGGAATTTATTTTTAATAAATGTAATTAATTGTTGTAGTTATCAAAATAAAACTATTTCTATTGAGATTTTAGACTAAAAATGTTCATAGAAAGGCAAAAAATGTTGTTTTTTTAAGAAAAATTATCATTTTATACATTTCATAAAAAGGTTTTCCAAGTTTAATATTTAAAAACCACCTAATATAAAATATTATAAATAAGATTTAGCATTAAATTTTTCAAAAAAAAGTATGGATTTGCAGAATAAGATATTTATGAAAACTCTTTTTATTAACAAAATGCTAATTTTAAAAAATATTGACACTTAAAAACCTTAGAAATCAAATGAGGAATACTTTCATTATATTTTCTTATTATCATACAATAGATTATATTAAAAGAAATATATTTTAGACTAATAAAAGGAAAATAATAAATTATAAGTGGTAAAATTTAAATAATATGTTTTTATTTTAACACAAAACAAAGAATTTTATTATTTCTGCTATTTAAAAACCTTAGAAATAAAACTATGAATATGTTTTACTCATAATAAAAGGATAATCATAGTAAAAGTAATATTTAAGTTTATAAAAAAAAAACAAAGAAAGAAAGAAATTATTTATGTTTTATAAGTAAAATTGAAATAGAATATTTTAATAATGCATATTTATTTTTTAATAATTTTTGAAGATAAAAATTAAAATCATTAACAATAAAATGTCTAGGATGAAAAAATTACTTTGATAGTTTTTGATAAATTTATTTTTTAAAATTCTTAGTAGATTGAATAGTAAATAAGAATAGTTTGGCAAATAAATAAACAATTTAATAGAAATTTAAATTAATAAATTATAATGCTTATTTAAAATTTGAAAGAGAGAAATATTAAATATTCTTATTTCAAAGGAGCACAAAGACTAAAAATATAATTTATCACTTTTTAAAAATAATATAAATTTCATTTTAAAATATGGTATGAAATCATTTTCTAAATTGATTATTTAAAATAAACAAATAAATAAATAATTTATTTAGATTTTTTTAGATTAAAAAAATATTCAATACAAATAAAAAAATAATTGTTTTAATTCTAAAATATAAATATTATTTACTTAAATGAATCGAATAAGAGCAAATTAGATATTGAGTGAGTATATTTTATATTGTTTCTTGTTAAATGAATTAAACTTTGTAAAATTAAAAATAATTAATTTATTTTTATTTTGGACTTAGAAATTTGTAAGTTTAAAGTTAATAGTTTTTCTAATCATTCAGCTAATTAGAAGATCATGATGAGAAGAGTGTGGCTTATATATAATTTCTGGTTAAATTAGTTTGTTATAAACTATATTTTGTAAGAGTTAAGCTTATTTTCTTAATATTAAATCAAAAGAGAAATACTTATAATATGTATAATGTCTTTAACGAGTCAAGCAACCATATTTGAAAAAGGTTAAATAATTTGCCTCAAAAAAAATATTGGGATCTAAGTTTTAAGCTACTTATTTTTCCTATGGATTACTTTATGTAATTACGAGACACTGAAGAGAAGGTAGATCTAAAAACAATTATTTTAGAAATTATGTTTACATTGTCTAAACATGTATGGTTAAGGAATACAATTTAGTTAATTTTTTAACTATTTTACTAACAAGATCGTTGCTTAAATATCCTTTGTCTTTGTCACATTTTAAAGTTAGGCTTTCTATGTGACTAGCATTATGTAATTTTAGACTTTCAAATAGTTTTAATTCTACTTTATTATTAGCATAGCCATCAAATTAAACATGAATAGATTTTAAATTTGTAAATTTTTGAAGTTGTTCTTCCTAAAATGTGTTTTGATTAGGATAATATAATTCAATTTTAGATTTCTAGGTGTTTAATAACATCATTTAATTTATTAAAACAAAAAAATTTTAATTTTGCTCATAAAAACTAACTTATGTATTCTCATCACTCCATATATTATTTATATCACATTCACTCTTGCAAGTTCCTTCTCCTTCTTTACAAATTGTTAAATATTGTAAATTTTTTAATTCAAAAAGAGCTTCAGTTAGAATGCTATAATGCTCAAAGCTAAAGTTATCATTAAACTCTAATTATAAAGAAATAATTTTGTTATTTATGTTTTTAAATATTTAAACTAAGCCTTAGCAAGTCATAGATGGATTTTTGTTGTTTCTCTAATTTAGTATCACTAAATATAGGGAACGTAAATTAATCAGAGATTTTATATGCTTAGCAAAGTAACTATAATCTTCTTCGCTCATATTGCTATTTGGAAAATTTAAATTTAGCTTCTCTAATTGAGAAAATTCATCAAAAAGGGAAAAAAATTTCTTTCCTGTATTTTAGCTAGACACTACTCCTTATAAATAGAGTTCTCTTAGATTGGTAAATCTCTTCATTGATTAAATAAAATTATCAATATACTATGCATTTATTTTTTAAGAATCTATATAAACCAAGCTTTGCAAGTTGCTTGCTATAGTTGAAAGCTATTAAATGCATTTTATGGTATTATTTGTACTCAATTAATTACTACTTATGTTCAAACAAAGCTTTTTTAGTTAATTCATTTTTGAAATACTTTAAAATAGTATCTAAAAAAACTTGTAATCTAAACCTAAATTATTAAAGTCAATAGAGAGACCTTCGATCACATTTAAATTTGTTAATTTTTTAGATATATTTATAAGGATTTCCTTTTATTTGAAACTCTTCTCATCATATTACAATTAAATGTTTAGCGATTTAAAATTTAGCTTTAATTCACTTTATCTTTAAATACTAAAAAGAGCATTATTTAGAACTTACAAACAATTTATTTCCATTTCTCCATAACCAGTTTTTAATTAAAAGGAAATTAAATCTATATTTTCTAATTATTTTAATATTTAAATCATGTACTTTAGGGACAAATCTAATGGTTAGGAGTCTTCTCCACAAATAAAAAACTCAAAGAAAGTGAATTATTTCAAGGTAGTTTTATGTCTTGGAATTATTGTATTAAGCAAAAATAAAAATACTTCATTCACTTATTTATTTGATTAATTGTAATTTATATTGAATTATATCTCATTAATTTCATTTATTTAGTTAAAAATTAACACAAATTTATCAAAATCCTAAACAGGCCCATTTTCAAGACATATACTCAATGTTTTTATATTCTCTATATTCTTTTTTTCAGCCTCATACTAAAAAAATGAATATTTATTACTATAATCAATGCGATAATCTGTTTCTTTAATTGTGAAAATATTTATCATTTGTTAATCATAAGAAATTTTAGTTATATTTAATTACTTCTACTTTTTGATTTCTTAAAAATTTAGATTTTTTTGTTTTTATCTTGATAAGTAAAAAAATATCGACTAACAAAAATTTAATTAAATAAAAATCAAACTTAATATCTAAATAGCCTCCATTAATTCATCTTACCTTTTTAAACAAAAAAATTTCAATTAAAACTAAAACTATCTTTTATCTTGCAGATCCTACTATTTAGTAAGATAATTTACTTTTTTTATTATTATTAAATATCCTTAAATTTTTTAATCCTAGTCTGCTTAATTTAATTTTTATCTAATAAATTTTAAATAAAGCATAAAGAATTTAATTTTAATGTTATTGAAAATTATTGATATAAATTTTCAAACTTTATAAAATAAAATGATAAATAAAATAATATTTAGCACCTATTAGATAAGCTAATGAATATAGTAATTAAAGAGATTCAATATTATATTTTAGATAAAATAACATTTATTAAAATTAATTCTTTAGTTTGGAATTAGCTATCAAATTTATTCAAAAAATACAGTATTCTTGCTGTTTGTTTTTACAAATTACTAATTCTAAGCTATAATGATAATTATTTGTATTTATTATCTCATTTCGTCTAAATTTTTTTTATCAAGGAGGTATGTTTTTTATCTAAATGTTTTAAATATTTTTTTTGCTAATTAGTTTTTTATAAAGAGTAAGTTTATTTTTCTTTGTAAATTCCAAATAGTTTTTATTTTAGCCTATATTTAGCTGCTAAAATTAAAAATTTTTTCCAAGTGAACATGCTATAAATACTCTTTCTAACTTTAAAAATCTTGCAATTGTTATTTTCGCAAATTTTTTCAACTTTCATACTCCATAGATTAAAATAAATTGTTCATATTAGTGATGCAATTAAATTATAATTTATTCTTAAAATAAATTCATAAAATATTTATTTTTTTCGGACTAAATTGACTACAACTAACTAATTTAATTGAACTAGAATTATTTAAAATTAGAAAATAAAACAACAATGCTACAAAGAAATAACTTATATTAAAATTAATATATAAACAGTTTTTATAAAGAAGTATTTATTTAGTTGTATTTAACTCGATCTATAAATAGAAAGAAAATAAGTAAGTTAAGTTTGATTAGAAAAATACAATTATAAATTAATTTTTGTATCTATCTTTCTATGTTTTTATCTTTAAAATTAAATAAAAACAATTTAAGAATTTCAATAATTTTATGTTAAAATATTATTTTTTTTAGTTTATTTATTATAAATATAATATATTAGTGTTTTGTTTTTGCAATTAAAGTTCAAATATCAAGAGTTATTTAGTAGTCATTTAGGTAAGTAAATTTATCATTTTTTAAGTAGTGATTTAGTAGGATTGTGCATTGACCTAAATGCCTTTCTAACTGACTTCATTTTATCTATTTATTCTTTCTTTGTTTCTTACTTTTCTAAGAATTAGGATTAATTAAAATTTGAAGTAGTTTCAGAGGGTGTTGCGGCATGTTGATAATTCGTCCTCATATATTACATATTATTTTTGTTATTTGAGTCATTAGATCTTTGTTAATCACTAATTGATATCACATCATCTATTTATAATAATTAAAGTTATATTTACAAATTATTAATATAAAATTTTCTAAATAAATATTTTAAGTAAGCTAAAAATATTAAAATTGTTTGCTTTTTATTGTTTGAAATTTTATTTAAAATGACCTTTATCTTAAAAAATTATATTTCTAGTTTGATCTATTGTTTTAAGATAATTAATTAAATAGCTTCTTTTAGTTTTTATGTAACATATTTTACATTATTTGAAATTTAATATAAATAAATTGTATGTATTTAACTAATATTTATTCTAGATAATTTTAAAATGAAATCAAAATTGTTGAATAAAATTTCATCTTTTTTAATTAATTTTCCTCATTCATTTTAAATTAAATTAATGTAATAAATTAATTTTTTAAAAGCCTATTTATTTGCATACTTAAAAGTCAAGGAATAATAACTAATTTTAATTAATTTATTTATTTACGTGCACGCCAATCGAAGTCGTTATTACTTGCACCAATGATACTCACACTATTTACTGATTCATAAAACAACAAGCCATTTTCACTCAGGATTTCTTTGATCTTTATTTTCCTTAATCTTATTGAAGCAAAAAACGAGAATATCATAAAAAACAATAAGATTATATTAACTGAAAGGAAAGCAGCTCTCATTTTATCGAATTCTTATTGTACTTATTTAAAACATCCATTCTAGTTAGTAGGAATCCCTTTTGAAGTCTATTTATTTAATACATATTTTAATAAATAGAATAAATATGCTAATAAAAATTAAAAATAAGAAAGTAATTATTTATTTATAAATAGAATCATCATTAATTCATTCATTCATTACTTAATTAATAAATAATATTCTCATTAATATAGAATTTAATTGAATCATCTAAATTTGTATTTATGATTGCGAATTATTTATTTTAGATGTTAAAAATTTGTCTTTTTAACAAAAATATTGTTCCAAAATAAACTTCATCTATCTTATTTTAACTTATTATTTTTATTTATTTTTTACTTACTTTTCTAAATGAATAAGTTCAAAAAATAATTATCATTTTTGTTGTTTTTTCTAAAAATAAAGATGCTAAAAATGTGTATTAGGAATTATTAAAGGTATTCATAAGTAGATATTAAATATGTTTTTTCTATGAATTTATTTCTTTTAAATACATTTCCATAACAAAATTCATAGCTTATGTAGTATTTTTGGTCTATTAATTTTATTGTTTGCTTTCTACTTGAATGGCAAGCTACTTTGATTAAATCTTTTATAAATTAATTCCTTTTATGCTTTACAACAAAGCCTTATTTCTAATCTTAATAATTCGAAAGAATGATTATTAATCATGGAAATATTAAAGTAACAATAAGTCTATTTATGTAGTATTAATCTACAAATGCTTAAATTTATTGAAAATATATTATTTATACTCCAGCAAATGTGAAGGCAGGATTATTATTACAAAATCCAGCACAAGAATAAGTCCTTTCCATCTGTTTAAGCTTTTCGAAGGTACTTGTTTCTAACTTACCCTCTTCAGGCCTACAGAGTGAAATATCTTCAGCCCCAGTTACAGTAGAGTAGTTCATAGAATACAAAACAGATTTAGGATAGTATTATAAATCACTTTAACTAATTTTACACTAACAAGAATGACAAAAATTATTATACGCTTATAATCCTTCATCATAAACTTCCTTTCCCCAAAGATTGTATAATCTGCTTACTTTGCAGGTAGACTAATTAGAACTCGAAGTAAACTAGTGAATCGTAATTCCACCCATTAGTGTAACTATTAAATACAATAAGGCTCCAAATAGCAATGCTCTTATCGAGCTTTATGAGCCATCGTAGTTTTTATTAAAGCCAAGTGTGTATGAAACTCTAGTTAGAATTATTATGCAAAATAATCCTGCAAGAATCATAAAAATAAAACTGAACATTATAAGTTGAGGTAGCTATCCACCCCAACTATCACCTCCTTATATTAAGTATAATATTGCAATAATTAAAGGAACTATATTAGAAAATAGAGCCATAAACAACAATGCTTGCAATTAAGTTTTCATTTTTAAAGCAATTGTCTTAAAAAGCTATTAATACCTAAAAATTAGACTTCTTTTTATTTTTTTGTAATTAAATAGCTAAACAGCAATTAAACAGACTTATTTTTCTCAGAATTACCCAAATGATAATCAATTTGAAAACTTTTTTCTATTAAAGATGCTTATAGGAAATAATTTGATTCTAATCAAAAATCTTTGAAAAAAAAAGTAAATTATGCTATATCCATCATAAATACATATTTACTATTAGTACTAACTATCAAATATAATGCAAATTTTAATCAATGTTATGTATATATGTATGTGACTGGCTGGATATAAATAAACTAATTCTCAAATAAAAACATTCATTTCAAGTAGAAATTAATCAAGTATTTAATGTTAAGTAATATTTTTCTTTTATTTATCAATTAGTTAGTTTTATTGGCATCTATTTACTTATTTATCTATCTATTTAAAATTGTTATTCCTATTTGCTTAACTTTGAAATCAATCTTTACTGTAAAAAAAGTAATTTATTTACTTATTTATTTTTTCATATTTTTAGAATACTATTTTTAGCAATTAAAAATCAAATTTTATAGTTTCATAATATTTTACAAATATTTATTTTTATAAACTATAATTCATACAATTATTAATAGTTTAAATAATTAATATTTATTTAATTACATGCAATTAAATATAATTTTTCTAATTAATCTGTATTAATAAATATCTTGTTTACTTCAACTACTTCAAAAACATATTTTTTCTAAAAGTTTTTTTTACATGTTTAAAAAAACAATTTATATTATTAAATTAAATTTATTCATAATTATAATAAAATAGTTTGCAATGCTTATTTTTTATAAACTATATTAAAAAGAATTTTAATAAAGATATTAAGTAAATAAATCTTATTTACTTAATCTGGATTTTTGAATAATAAGTTTTTTTTTGACTTAACGGTCATTTATATCATAATTTTGCAAAAAAAAGTTTTTAGATCTTACTTTAAAGGATTTAAATAGATGAAAATATACCAACTTAGATTTTAAAATTGTAACTTATTTTTATTATGTAGTGAAAAAATAATATTTTTGTTAAATTTATTTAAAATATTGTTAAAAAATTAAATTAAATAAGAAATAAAAAAATAAAGGATAATAATGAATTATTTTTAATGATCAACTTACTATTTTATTTAAAATAATTGATATGCTTCATGTTCATATTTTAAAAAATAATTTCTTAAAGAAGGTGAATGCTAATTTGAGAGTATGTGTAGCTTTTAATATTTAAAGAATAAAATATATTTCTCAATTTTGCCTTATAATTTGGGTAATTTTATGTATGTTTAAAGATTATTTTTTCATAAATATATTTTTAAATAAATTTATTATAAAAACTTATTTATGGACAATTATCTTTAAAAAACTTAAAATTTAATGGACAGAAAATAAAATAATAATTATGATTTAATGTTTTTATACATACTAATTCTAAAAATCAGCTAAGAAATATGCTTTTTTCAATAATATTTGAGTAAAATAAATTTTAATAACTTAAAAATTTTTAAATGCTGTTTGAATGTAAAATAATTATCGTTTTTTAGTTGCACAATTGTTTTATGATCATTTTGCTGCAATAAAACTAATGCATCTGAAAGTATTTCAAATATATATTCCATCTTTAATTTTATTCTAGAATAGATTGCAAATTTAAAGAAATTAGATCACAAAGATTTTTTTGAATTTAATTTAAAGTAATTAATTTTTTAAAATGAGGTGGATTTTAATCTAAATGAATGTAAGAAACCTTTTAATCTATAATCTAATTAATATATCTATATAATAAAAATCTAAAATTTGATTTTTAGATATTAAAGTGATTGATGTATTTTGATTTGTTTAATAATTAACTGAATAGAATTAAATAAATATATGCCATATAAAAAATGAATAATAATAAAAAATATTAAGTATATTATAAAGGTTTAATTGTAAACTCTTGAAAGTATGATAATAACTATAGAGAGTACTATAAAATACACTACTGAGCTAAATATTGGTTCTTTTTCAAATAATATTTGTTCTGCATAGTTATAAATACGAACAAACTAAAACGATTTAATTACAAAAATAGGAAATTAATTAATATAGATAAATTATTTAGAACATAAAAATTATTTAAATTAATAAAACCTAAATTTGTAATTCAGGTTATAATTTAAGTGAAATAATTGATATATCAATAGCCAACGCATAATTAATTAATTTATTTATTTATTGATTTACTTATTTGAAGGAGTTAGTTTTTTATTAGTATGACATTAAGTTTCAAATACACATATTAAGATACTAAATTTAATATTATTATACATAATGAGAGTACTATAGATTAATAGAAAGATAGATAGATAGATCTATATGTTTTTATAAATAAATAACAAATATCAAAAGTCGAAAGAGACATCAGCTCCTTCACCTTTAAGTACGTTTTTCATTTTTTAGGTAAAATATAAAAGAGTTTCTAAGAGGACAAAAGCATTTATATTGCCACCTCCTTAGTTAATATTAATGTCTACTTCTCTGAAGGTACCAATACTATCAGCTTTATATTTGGCATTTCCGATTTCGACACCATCACCATTGACTATTGTGAATTCTGCTCTATTAGTGCAGCATTTATAAGCAAGTAAATAAAGAACAGGACAGCAACAGCAGCAAAGAAAACTAAATTAACGATTTTAGAAAATAGCAACTCTGTTACCATTTTACTCTGCAGCAACTTAGAAGGAGCCACAGCTTCCTCTGTTTAAAGCTACTGTTCCAAACATATCTCTTTGTCCAGTTTACAAGTTATATATTTAGGCAGATGTGTTTTTAACTTGAATAACACCAAAAGGATCATGGAAATCTACAACTTCGATAGTAGCTTCCCCTTTGGAGTTAGCAAATCCGTAAGCGAAAGGAGCTGATTTCTCTCTGCCATAAATACCAAATTTGTGACCTCCTTCTGGGCGGAAATTAGGTTCCATATATCTTACAGTAAAGTTATTACTACTTTTGACAGCATTTAAGAGAGCATCAATTTAAGGGAAAGGAGGAGATCCTGGAGTATGCATTTAGCCTTGATTAGGTAGCATCATTTGATTTGCAACGGGTAATGGTTGAGCAATTTAAAGGACAGGCTAAACAGGCTATGCAATCATAACTTAAGGTTAGACCATAACCTATGGTTGCATCATCATTTAAGGCTATTGCTGATAAACAGGTTGCTACTGGTAAACTGGTTGTTATTATTATTGGTACATTTATTGTTAAGGTGGATACATTGGTTGGCCTTGCATAGGCTGCATTTATACAACTTAGGGTTGTTAATAGTATCCTGGTTGTTATTGTTATTATACGTACATTTAACCTATATTGTTTATTTGAATTATATGTAGTTTATCTTTTTATTAAATAAGAGATGCGCTTTATTAATTTGTTATTTTAATAATTTTTTGTTCATAAAAAATTTATTTGCGCAACATATAAACTCCTCCTCTAATTATATTTATGAATTACATTAAACAAAGCAAGAGAGGTGGAGCCTTTTTGCTTTGTTAATTTTTGGCATGAGCATAATTTACATAGATTACTTTTTAATTTAATATGAGGGAATTATTGATCATAAGTAGTTAATCATTGTTTATTTTTTCAAGGCATTTAATTATTTTTTTAAATTCGAGAAAACAAATTTAGCAAGTAAATTTAGATAGGTATGTAGGTAGGTAGTTAATACAAATCTCATCGAATTAAATGTAAAAACAAGTGCAAAAATGTAAAAAATACCAATCTCATTATTCTACTCAAAATCTGCTATAAAATAATGTTAAGGATATTATTTTATCCCAAAACATTATCATGCTTATGATTTTATTCTTTTTCATTCAAAGATGCTTCTTAAAATTGTAAAAAATACAAATCTATTAAGAAAACAACCACTTATTTAGCAATAGAATAAATATATTTATATTAAAATCTCGATACTCAGAAGTAAATAATAAAACCTTTTTATAGTATTTTATTTACTTTAAGTATTTTATAAATAAATAGCAAGTTAATTAGGGTAAATTAATTAATATTATAAACTAGATCATACTTTTTAACTAAAAAATAATACCAAAGTATATTTAATGGATGGATATCAAGCAAAATGCTTCAATTATTTAATCAAGAAATAAATACATTATTTATTTATATTTATCAAAAAAAAAACAATTAATTCACATTAAACAAATTGCAATAATTGAGATAAAGCTCTTTCCTTTGTCCTTCCTTAATTCTTTCCATCCTTTTTTTCTTTTTTCTTTCCTTTTTTATAGATTCAAAATAAATCTATCAATTGAATTTCAAAATTTTCTTTTTAAAAAATTTAATGAATTAAAGTCCACAATTTTATTGAAACAAAAATAATTAATAATTAATTAATTAATTATTTAATACATTTTTGAAATTCGAGTAAGAATAAAAAATATGTGAAATTAAATTTGTTTGTTTTTATTCATTCATTTATTCATTTTTCTGTATAATTATTTTTTAAACGCCCAATATAAATTTTAAATACTGAGTTTTTATTATTGAATTTATGACTTATTTCTTAAAGAAAATTTTTTTCTGGCTTAGAATTTTTTATTAATAATAAATACTTCATTAATTTTAAAATAATTGTTAAAAATAGAAAAAAAGATATTTTAAATTTTTACAAATAATTCAAGTAATACACCAATAGCAAACTATATATAAATAAACAAAAAAATGATTAGCAAAAAAAATAAGTTATTTTATTTAAATAATCCATAGAATTAATTATTGCAATTAGAGTTATTTAAAGACAAAAAATATTTTTTTTAAATAAAAAAAAAATGTTTAGAAATGTTTTCATATATTGATATTTTTAAATATTTTTTTATAAAGAGCTAAACAATTTAAAATAAAAAATGAAAATACTAATAATTATTTACATTAAAAATAATAATTAGTTTAAATTTTATAGAATAAAAAATAAGTGGCAGTTTTATTTGTTATATTTATACCATATATATTCACTAAAGAGTTGTCTAAACTTACTAATATTATATGTGACTAAGATATTATTTATAATTTACTAATCTTAAGCCATGCAATAGCTAGTTTTTTACTTTTTTGTTACTGTAGCTAGCATGAAATCTATATAAATTAAAAAAATTAATTTATTATTTCATATAAAATCAGATTATCAATTAATTAACTTATCAATAAAAATATTTAATTTAATCAAGCGAGAACATCTGCTTATTCCTCTGATTAAGTCTCTCATTCCTTACTATCCTGCATTCAAAAAACTAAATATAAAAAATTATTAATTTTATTATTTTTAAAATATTAAATAAAAGCTAACTCAAAAATAACCAAAGTCAAAGATTTTAGTTTAGTCTGTTCTGATAAGATCACTCCTAACAATTATGAATCTTCTTAATTCACTTTATAGCCTCTTTTAAAGCAAATAAACAATATAAAAATAAATAAAAAATCAAGGAGTTTAATAAAAGAAGTAAAATTAAATTTTAATATACTATGGTATTTCTAGTTCTAAATTTGTTATTAGAGGCAATTTGCTTAATAATTCACATATAGGCTTAACACCATTAATATTTACTCCTTTTTTTTACTATTTGTTATCTATATGCATAGAAGTTCTACAAATTTTATTTGAAGTTTGTTTATTTAATAGTTTTATTTGTTAAATATAAATACTGAAGACTTAGCTATAATTTTTATAATCCTTGCATAGACTAAAGCTGACTAAAAAAATTTTAGATTCCTTTCAGAGAAACAGATGATGATCTTATATTAAAAAAGTACTTAACAAATAGATTTATTAAAAATTTATTTAAATATCATTAGTTAACTCATAATAAGCATTGATTACTTAAACAATTTTCTAATAAAAATAAAATTACTTTGTCATAAACTGCAAATAATTTACTTATTTAAGTTCTTTGATCCCTTCAACTACAAATTAAAGTCCTCCATTTCCAAATGAACTTTTTTATAATAAATTTAAAATAATATATAAATAAATAAATACACAATGGCTAGTTATTCTACAAAAAAATTTGTAAGAATTTTGCTAAAATAAAAATATTTGATTAAAATAATTTAATAATTTTAAAAGGGATCTGTAAAGAGTGATCTTTATTTTATATTTATAAATTTATTAATTATTTATTTATTACTCATAATATCTGATCTTCAGAGTTTGTAGATTCCCCTATTTTTTTAGAAAGTCTCTTATATATTTTCCACTCAACTCAGTGTGATTATAACCACTTAAATTACACAAAAAAGATAAATAAATAAATAATTAATTTATTTTTTCATGCAAAAAACTTATTTATTCTATCTTATTATCATTTTATTTATTTTTCCTTTCTTTGAACTTTTACTTCTACTTAGTATATAAAAAAATATATATATATATTATTTTACCCATTGTCTTCTTATATTTCTAATTCAAATTAAAGCAGACTTTTAGTAGTATTTAATTGCTAAAAAAACTCCTTTACTGCTTAATCGTCCAGTCCTATTTCCCTTGTTTTATTAAAAATAATAAATAATCTTACTCTGTTTTTATATTTATTTTATTTTACGATGCGAATATCAATTACAACTCTTAAAATTCGTAAACGCTTAATGCTTTTCCAAGAATTTAAAATCCTTATATTCCTAGTTTATTATATCTATAGAAGTAACTAAATAAAAATATAAACTGAATATATAGATAAATACTCTCTTATTTCCAGACTCAACTTTTTTAAATTTTGAACGTTTTTTAAAGCTTCAGATATTCCAAAACATCCTTCAACTCCTAAATTAGAATTTCTAAAAATGTATATATAAATATAAACTTTATCTAACAAGAAATTATACGCTGGTATAAAAATTGATAAAGCTTAAGATGCTGGTTTACAATTTTTTTAAATAGTCTTTTTCCAATGATCTAATTTATTCATGATTAGTTAGTTAACAAAATTTCTTTTTTAAAAGTAAAAATTTATTTATCTTTTAATAATTAAGATAGAACATTAAAATAAATTCGTAAGGAGACTCTTTAATCAAATCTATTTTTATGTGAAGGAAAACCAACTAATTCTTAAATTCAATATAAATTAATTCTTTTTAGATATCTCACTTACACATAGATATATCTTTTTATTTAGATTTATATGTAATAGGTTTTGTTATATCATCATAAAAGATATGTTAAAAATAGTCTAATTGAACTAAAAGCTGCTACTATAATTGAAATTTACTTTATTTTTACATAGTTTAATTAATTTTATTATCTTCATTAAATTCATAACTCTTCTAATATAAAAAGGAATAGATTATGGCTTTAATTCTAAGTATTTGCATTTATATATTTTTTAATCAAAAAAATTTGTTTTCTATATTAAAAACTTATTTGGCGTTCCTTAAAAATCTAATTTTTTGAATTCAATTATTACTGTTTAAAGCTTTAAAATAATAATTAAAAGATTATATTCTTATTTTAAATTAATTTCATTTAATAATAAATATTATTAAATTACAAAATAAATTTTATTTTGTTAATATTTTATTTGTTTTATTGTTTGTTTGCAGATAATTTAATTATCTGCCAAATAATTAAAATTTTAGATAATTATTACTTTAAATATCTCACTTTAAAAAACGTTTAAATAAAATAAAAAAATTAAATTAAATTAGTTATTTAAAAAACAATGTGAAAAATAGCTATTAACCCAGTTTTCATCTTTTATTGTATTCAAAAATTAAATAAAATATTCAAAAAATTAAAACTTATTTACAGAGCAAAATGTTATTGAATTAGAAGCGTTGGTTTCATATAAATAACAGAACAGATCTTTATCCAGATTAATAAACTAAAAAAATTCAATAATCAATCTATTTTATTTACTTGGATACTAAATCTTTAAGTTAGTATATGAGAATTTTTTTCAAAATCTTTTTTAGTAATAAAAAATAAATAAATAATGATTTAAACAACATTTTTTATGAACATAAAAATATCTTTAAAATTATTTATAATTGAATTAAAATTTAATAAATATTTAAAACAAGAACTAACTTGATAAAACTTTTATTAATACTTACTTTTTTAAAGTAACATTTCCATTTTTTATATTTCATTTAAGAGTATAGAAAAGTGTTTATTTGTTCTACTTTTATTATATAGAAAAATAGTTATTAATATTTTATTAGTTTATTATAATTTAAAAGCTTTGCAATTTATTATTGAAATTTATAGTTAATTTATTCATCTCTACTTCAAATAATTTAAGTAACAATAAATCTAATCATAGATAAATAAATAAGTCAATAAAATGGACTTATCTGTTTAACCCTGGGCAACAAATAAGAAAGATTAATTTCCTGAATTTAATGGATTTGGCTCTGATGACTCTGTTGATTACTCTGAATAAAATAAATAGCCATTAAAAAACTACAATTTATTAAATAAAGACATTGATGAAGATAGTAAAGATGACTATGATGATGAAGATCTAAAATCTTTAGGTAAAATAATTAATGAAAAATTTTATTAAAATATCAGAATATTTAATAAAATAGGGCAGAATACTGAATAAAGTGTTTCTTAAGCATCATCAAGTTCGTCTTAAAATTAGAGAAAGAAAAAGAAAATAGTTATAAAAGTTAATACTTCAAAAAGCAGATCTGAATTAAAGTTATTGAGAATTTTAATTGATAAGAATGGATGGAAGGAAACATTTGGATATGAAGGTAAAATATTATGGTCTGGACTATCAATGAATGGAGAATAACTAGCTTATGATGAAATATGCGTTAACAGATATCCTTAAATGGAGGAACTGGCTCACAAAAAGACAACTGGATATTTTTTGAATTTATTTAGAGAATACTTTCCAGAGCACTTTGATTTCTTTCCTAAGACTTTTCTCATACCTGAATAAATGGATGAGTTAAAATAAGAGTACAAGAAAAACTCTAAAAAATTATGTATAGCGAAACCAAGTTCTGGTTGCTAAGGTGATGGCATTAAATTAATTGAAGGAATAAAAGATTTACCTATCTCTTCATATACACCTCATGCCAATTAATTAGTTGTTTAAGAATATATTAATAATCCCATGCTAATTTAAGGCAAAAAGTTTGATCTAAGGTTGTATGTACTTATCAGTTCTCTTGATCCTCTTATTGTTTATTTACATGATGAAGGTCTCGCTAGGTTCTGTACTGAGCCCTATGAGAAACCATCAAAAACAAATATAAATAACTCGTATATGCACTTAACAAATTACTCATTGAATAAAAATAATCCAAATTTCAAGGTATCAATTCATCAATCAATTTTTTGAATTTGATAAATAAACATTAGAAATATAACTTTTAATGCATTTTATCAATCTTCAGTCTGATTTAATTTATTTATTTATTGTTAAAAAAAGCTACCAACTGAAGAAGATTTATATTAAGATAATGATGCCTCTAAAAGAACTATGTAGGTGACCTGGGAACAAATAGTGAAAGCTGGCTATGATAAAGAAGAGATCTTAGGAAATATTGAAGATTTGATATGTAAATTCTTAGCTAGTATGCACCCATACTTGCTTTATAATTATTAATGTGTCTTTAATAAGAAGTAAGCTAAAAGATTTCATGTGTTAGGATTTGATATACTTCTTGATGATAAAGGAAAACCATGGTTTTTAGAAGTAAAATGTTAAATATTTTTAACTAAATAATTACAAATTTATATTATAATTAATTTAGGTAAACGCTAATCCCAGTTTTAATATTGAGCATGAAGTATATCAGCCTGATGGTAAAAAGAAAGTAGAGTAAAGTCCTTTGGACAAGTATGTAAAGTGCAGAGTGGTTGAAGATGCCATTTTTATTGTTAACAAAAAGATAGAAAAATAATTAGAAATAGGAAGAGATAATCACTTCAGGGGTTTCAAATAAATAATAAGTGGAGATTTTGAAGAGTATAAAATTATGGATATGTTCTCTGATATTCTTAAAATATATGGCAAATTAAGCGGATTTAAATTTAATTCTGCTCTTACCTCCTCTAAATTTTCAAAATTAGCTGCATACTAAGGAATGTAAAATGATAAAGTTATCAAAAACGATTATGATTTAATATTCAAAAAAGTTTTATAAAATTCTTAAGAATAAGCTATGAGCTTTTACGATTTCATAAGATCAATTGAAATTCTAGCTTAGAGATTAAACCCATAGAATTTTGATCCAAAAAATAAATTACCTTCTGTATCATAATTAGTTAATAATTTAATTAGATAATTATGAAAAATATTTCATAGGCAAATAATTAAACAACCAAATAAACAAACAAACAAATAAATAAATAATTAATAAAATAAATAATTAAAATTAAAATTATATAAAATAAATTTTTATTAAAAAAAAATCCATAACTAATTATTTAAATGAAAATATAATTTTTGAAAAATATTTAACAAAAAGTGTTTATGCAAATATAAATCTTTTTATAATCAGTATTTTTTATTTTCTTAAATACTAAATTAGTCATAACTAAAATACTCAGCAAATAAAACATTTCCAGGAATTAAATTCTTTTGAACGCTGAGATACAAGAACTTAATTCATGAATTAGATATAAAATAGATTAAAAAAAATAATAAAAATTTATCAAATTTAGGCATTTAAGCCATTTTTTATATTTATTTTAAATAAAATTTATAATTATATTTATTTACCGAATAACTTTTTTAGTTCTTTTTCTCATTATTGATTTATACTTTTTATAAAAATATATTTTTTTTAAAAGCAATCAAACATTTGAAAAATTATTTTTTTATCTTAAAATTTTATTTTCAAAGAAAGTGTTTTTTAATAAAAGTATAAAAAAATTCAGATTGAAAAATGCTTTACAATTCAACTAAAGTTTGCAAAAAATAAAAATTAAATACATATTTTATTTTTTTATATAGAATACATAAAAGCGTTATCAATATATTTATTTAATTTTATCAAAAAATCAAGAAAATTATAAATAATAATAAGATTAATACAAACTTTAAGTTAGTTTTATGTGCAACACATCCTTTTTTATCTGAATTAGCTACATAACCTTAATTTACACAATCGCTACATTTTATTATTTTAATTAATAAAAGTAAAAGAACTTTGGATTTTTTATGGTTTAATTATGAGTTTATTTATGATAATTTGTATCATTAAAAAATTATTTAAGTAACTCATAAAATTAATAATTTAATACTTTTAGATTAAATTATCATCTGTTTCTACAGAATTTAAATCCATTTAGAAAGAAACAAAAACATTTATAAAATAACTTTTTCAAATACCATTTTCTTGTTAATTATGAAGTTTAACAAAAAATATTGCATACAATCAAACATACAATTACTTTTATTGATATATTATTTGAGTACTTTTCTAATCTATATTAACCCCTCATAAAGTTAGTATAACATATAATCCAAATAAGATGGATATAAACTGTAAATGGATTTTATGTGATTATAATTAAATAATACCTCCACAACCATTAAAATCTGAATTTACACTACTGCTTTAGCAATCGTTGCACCATTAGCTTGTATATTAACCTTACTTAGGATTAATAGAGCAGTTGCTTATAATACAACCACTTTTGTTTGAATTTGGATATGCACCAACCTATGAGCAAACTTAACACCAGCTTGCAGTATAAGATCCTGAGGCTATAGCGCTGCTACAATTTAAAAGTACACAATTAGATTTATCAGAATCAGCATATGGAGTAAAAGGTTAGCAGTCACTGCACCATTAGTTTGTAAATTTTCCTTAGCTTGGCATAGATTAACAGTTACTAACAACACAAGAATTTGAGTCTGAACTAGCATATTATCCACTTGAAGAGCAGGCTGAGCACCAGTTGCTTGTTACTTTACCAAAGCCAGGATAAGCTTAGCAATTTTAATCAATACAAGCTGTATTGAGTTAATTAGCAAACGGTGTTGATAGCTGACAATCGCTACACCATTAATTTGAAAATGATCCAGAACTAGGTGCTTTAGAGCAATTGCTAACAACACAAGAGTTTTTATCAGTACTTACATTTTTTTTGGTAGAATTACAATCACTGCACCACTAATTAGAAAATGCTCCTGCGCCTGGCGTTAATGAACAGTTGCTAACCACACAAGAGTCGTTATTAGGACTTGCATATTAAACAGATGAAGAACAACTAGAGCACCATTCATTTGTGTATTAACCTGATGTTGGGGTAGTTGAACAGTTTTAGGCATTGCAGCCTGTATTATCTTTATTTGCATAGGGAGTTGATGCATCAGAACAATCTGTGCACCACTAATTTGAGTAACTACCTGAGATTGGAGTTGAACTACAATCTGACCATATGCATTTAGTTCCCGTTTTGTTAGGGAAAGGATTATAAGGAATACACGAAGTGCACCAGTCTAAGGTATATATATTAGGAACTATTGTGCAATCCTAGACTTAACATGTGTTATAATCTCCAGATATATACTTTCCACTATAACCTGGACTTTGTGGCTAGCAATTTACACAATTTCCAGCAGAATTTTAGCATGTCATCCAAGAACCAGAAAAAACACCTTAGATGGTAGTAATCATCATCATCAACAATAAAATCACTGAGAGAATTTCTTTTTTCATTTTCCTTGATATTAAAATTTTGAAATTTATTTGATTGGCAATATATTTATTATATACTATTGTTTAGGTTTTTAGCTGGTACACTTTTGATATTACTTACAAATAAATTAAGATATTTGATTTAAATATTTATTTACTCATTTTGCTTTCAAAAAGAAATTTTAAACAAACTATTTGCTGATTATTATCAAAATCAATTTTTAATTAACTTTTCATAAAGTAACTCAAACATTCTATATTTGATCAGGTTTCTTATTATTTAAATTAAATTAAAAAGAAACTGTTTATAAATATGATTTAATATATATACTCCATAGTTTTCATTTATTTTATTTGATCCCCATTAATAAAAAATTTAAGTTTTTAACCTGTCATTTGGTAAATAAAAGCTTATTCTATCAATTTTCTTAACAAAATTAAACAGTATTTAATTTACCACAATTTTTTTATTGTTTTTTATATTAATTAAATTTACTGCCTATTATCTATCAGAATTCTCTCGAATTATTTTCTCTGACAATCACAATTAAGTAACCTTATTAAATCAATTGATAATTTCAGATTATTTGTTTCTCAAATCTATTTTCTTTTAGCTATTTCTCTCTCTCTCTAATAATCTCAAAATGATTAATTTGTAAATTATAACTAAAATTCTTGAAAGTTAATCATAATTGTTTACTTGATTAAATTTATGAGATAATGCTAATCCAATATTTCCTAAAACAAAATTTAACAAATTATTTCATTTTAGAATTTTATGTATTTTAAATAAAAAAAACATATTTAAAAATAAAATCTACTTTTTTTATTTATTTTGTCAAAACAAAAGTAGCTTTTCTCATTAAAAATAAGTATAGGTAGGATCAAATAACTTAAAAAATAGATATTTCCTCTTTACATTTTCTTTTTCATAACAAAATTAGTAGGGTTATCCCAGAATATTTATAAATTTTAATCCTTCTTATCTAAACAGTTATTTGTCTTCTCTCTTACTCACTATCATAATCACTACAACTATCTTCTGGATTATAGTTGTCTTATTTGATGTTGATTAATGCTTTACTTATCTCCTCTTTTAAAAACTAACAAACAAATTCTATTTTTTATATATTTATTTTCTATGTTTTTCAAATAATACCAAATAAATGGCATAAAATTCAAACTTCGTTCTTATTATTAATTCAATTTACTAATAGTAAAAAACATATTTAAATAATTAGCTTTTAAAACAAAAAGTAAAATATAATTTTGATCAATTTAGTTTCGGTTCGACTCAGTTAGGTTTAAAAAATGGTTTGGTTTGAGAGGTGTGAAACTCTATTAATTAATACAAAAAAAATTGTTAATTAAATAAAGATAAAATTTTTTTAAAGTGTTATTTTCAATGTTATTTTTCTAATTTACTGCTTTTTAAGTTTCATTACATTATGAAGAAGAATAGCATAATTATTCAATTTATATTGGATTATCTAATATTTTTTTTTACTTCTGAAATTATTATTAAATTATGAATTAACCAAGCTTAGATTCTTAAGAAAAATTACTTGAAATTAAAATATATTAATAATTATGAAAAATATTTCATTTTATTTTTAAAAATTATTTCTATTTAATTTGGCTTGAGAGAAGAAAAAGTTTTATCATTTTAATTTAAATTAAAAACATTTGCTTTGCTGAAATTAAATTAAGCTAAAAAAAATTATAAAAAATGGTGGCCTTAAATAAATTTCAGAAATTGTGAATAAATAAAATTTACTTTATTTGTTAATATATTATTTAAATATCAATAAATTAATGAAGATTAATTAAATAATTACTTATTTTAACTTTTTAATAAACATGATTTACTCATTATATGTATTAAATGTAAAAAGCTAATAAATTTCAAAGGATATTTATTTATTATTTGATTATAGTTCTACCAATAATTAGTAACAAAAATCAATAATTTGTCTAATTAATTAAATCAAACAAGTTTTATAAAAATAATAATAAGATCTAAAAATTGAACTGATAAAAATGAGAAACTGTATGTTCGATTTGTTTTCATCTCATTTTTTTTTTAAAGTTAATGGAAAATCTATAAAGCAAGGAACATCTTTAGGTTCATTTGTCTCTTTTGTCATTATTACATTGGGAATTAGTTATTTATGCTACCTCTTGAATTAGTACTTCAATAATTAAATAGATCCAAATTATAGAGCATAAAATTTTACTAATAACTAGTCAATTGATTTAGATTTATCAGATGACTTAATATCCTTCAGATTCGAATACGATTATAACTTAAGCGTTGATGTTTTGTAGGCTTAGACAAATAAAACTTATGTAGTTTACATGGCTTATTTTATTTAACTTCAATAATCTGGTTATTAGATGATCCCAATTAATATAGTAAAATGTAAAAATCCTAAATTACTAGGATATAACTGCATAGATTATTCTACAATTTCTAACTCAACTTTGCTGTAAGATAGCATTGAAAACATTCAGACGCAGATTTAAATATTTGTTTATGGATGTCTAGATTAAGATTTTCAGAAAACAACAATTCCTAATAATTGTGCTCAGTAATCAGAAATTAATGATGTAATTAATGGAATTAATGCTTTCTTCAAGCTATAAATAAAGACTTCTTAGTATAATGTCAAGTCAAAGCAATTTCAAACAGCCTACAGGAGTTCACAAATTTTTACTCTAACCAGCTAGTATATACAAAGTACTTTGAAAATTTAAAAGTAAATAACTACTGTGAAAGAAGGATTCTTTTTTTAATCTGAATTAACTTAAGAATCTCCTTAATAATATGATTTAGAAGTATAAACACTAGATAGATAATCAGCTATTTAGTTGATGAATCTATAGTGCTACTGTTAATCAGGTGTAATTGTAGATTAATTATACCAGCAAGTTCAAATTTAATATCCAACAATCCCATCTATTCTAGCACTAGCAAATAGTGTTTTTTCAATTCTAATGCTACTAGGATTCATAGGTAGAAGATTTTCTCTTAAATTAATAGATAAAAAATTTTTTATGATTTTATTTCAAAACATATTCCAATAATCCTATATTTAAGTTCTTAGCTTAAATAACTTGCTAGAGAAAAAAATGGAAAAAAACTAGTAAAATAATTTATAAAATGAGCAAATTTAAAGAAAAACAGATGAATCAGAAGAAATTAATATTTAGAAAGAGAACGAAAGTGCCATTGATAAGTCTAACAGCTTATCTCCCCCGCTTTATTTTAAACCAATGAAATTATTGAACATGCGAAATTCTGTGAATAATAAAGATGAACACAATTCATCTGGAAAAATAGACTTTTAGCCTTCCCAAAAACATATTTCTGAATTAAATATTCCTAATATTTTAACTTTTTAAGATTAAAAAGAATCATTAGAAGAAACTTGTAATTAATCAAAAGAATTCCTTTAAACTAAAAATAAATTTTAAGAGAAATTATTTTAAAACGAAAGATCATTTTACTCATAAAATGAGTAGAAAATTAACAGGATTAAAGTAACGAGCATTTCACTTTTCGAATAGAGATAAAAGAGTAATAGCAAGTATTTGAAAACAAAGAAGTTAATTTATGAGAAAAAGTAATTTTAAGAAGATTTCAGCAAATACAACCAAATAATCAAATCTCTTCAAAGCAGAAAGGCTTAGATTGAACTCTAAAAAATTTTAAACAAATCTAGGTATATTTTTTACATATAACTAATTAGCTAAATAAATATATAAATAATTTATAAAAAGAATTCTTTCAAGAAACAGCAAGGAAACTAAATCAAAAAACTTGAATGACATTCAAAAATAAAATATTTAGAATTTACTAGATAGAGAACTTGATATTTATTAGTTTTATGAAGATATTTTGTTTCTCAAAAAGGCTGTAATGATTTTGCTGAGCTAAGATTAGTTGGCTGCTTTGAAACTAGTAGGATGCTCTTCCTAATTTCTTGAACTTAATTTAAAAGAGCTAGAAGAGAGCTAACTTTAGTTGTGTAATTATAAAATAAAAATAATTCTTAAAGCTTATTTGATTATTTAAAATTAGAAAAAAACTTGAGCCATTTTGAAGAATAATTTGCAATTTAGTTATCAAATGAATTAAAAATAGAAAACATTAAAAAATTCTTACAAAAATGCTAAAACAAAAACAACTTATCAGACATAGATCTTAGAATAATTTCTTCAATTTCTAGCAGTTTAAATCTTTGAAAAAATTATATTATTACTTTTTAATAAATATTTTAATTATCCTTAAATAATTCCTTTATAATTATAATCAATTTACTTACTAAATATAGCTAGCTAGTCCGTCCTGAATTTAAAATATCATTTTTATGTTTTTAAATTAATTTTGTTTATTCTAAATCAAACTGTATTATTTTATTTTTCTAAAAGTTTAATTATTTTTGTCAAATTTCAATTGAATGTAAAAAATTATTATTTACGAAAATTATAAAAACCTTAAAAAAATTAAAAAAACAAGAGAATGAGGTAAAGAAAATGAAATAAAAAAAATAATAATTTAAAATGTAAAATTAATAAATTAAATTAAGATTTTTAATAAAAGTAAAATTTATTTTAATTTTAATTACATATTTTTAAAAAATTTTAATTAAAAATAAATAACATTTTCAGTAATAAAATTTCTTTTTTATTGGCTCTTTATAGCCTTCTAAGTCATTTTATGTTAAAGAATACTGATCAGTTACTACTTTAAAAAAAAAAACAAATATTATAATGAAAATTAAATAATTAAAGCATATTTTCATTATCGTTCTTTCTGATATATTATTTGATGATAAATAATTTATGATTAAATATTAAATATATAAAAGATTTAAAATAATAATAAAATATATAACACAGACGATATATTGTTAGATCTAATTATCACCTCAAAAAATACAAAAAAATTTCTATTCTTACTTTATTTAACTTTACATTTGCACATAGTAATCAATAAAAATTATAATCTATTAATATAAAAATAAATTGGTACTATCTTGAATCAATAGCAAGTACTATACTTCTACTATTGATAAATAATAATTAGAAAAAAGCAGCTAAGTATTAATTAAACTAATTATTAAGTAATTAATAATAATAAATACATAATAATCGCAAATGAACCAATACAAATTTGATTTATTTTCATCTCATTTCTTTTTTAAAGTTAATGGCAAATCTATAAAATAAGGAACATCTATTGGATCCTGTCTATCCTTCCTAACTTTCTCCTTTTTTCTGATCTATTTATTGTATCTCTTGATTCAGTATTTCACTAATTAAATAGATCCAACTTATAGAGCACAAAATTTCACTAACAATGATTCTGTGCATTTAGAGTTAGAAAATGATTTAATATCATTTAGATACGAATCTGACTATAATTTAAGTATTGATGTCTTGTAAGCTTAGACAAACAAAACTTACATTGTATACAAAGCTTATTTTTTATACACTAACTAAACTAATTACGAAATGATTCCAATTAATATTATCAAATGCAATAATCCTAGCTTGGAGGGATTTTACTGCTTGGATTATTCTATGCTTTCTAACTCTACTTTAGTTTAAAATAACATTGAAAAAATTCAGTCGCAAATTTAAATATTTGTTTATGGGTGCCTTGATATAGATTTCCAAAAAACAACTATCCCAGATAATTGTGCAAGTTAATAAGAGATAGATAATCTATTTAATGCTATTAATTCTGCACTTAAAGTATAAATAAAAACTACTTAGTATAATGTCAAGTTAAAATAATTTTAAACAGCCTTCAGATATTCTCAACTTTTTACTTTATCCAATTAATACTTATAAGGAACACTAAAAGTTTAATAACAAAAAACTACTGTCAAATAAGGTCTATTTTTTTAATCTGAAACAAACAAAGCATCTCCTCTCCAGTATGATTATGAAGTATAAACACTAGATAGAAGTTCAGCGATTTAGTTGATGAATCTATCCTGCTATTGTTAATCTAGTATTGTTATAGATTAATTATACTAACAGGTTTATATCCAATATCCAACAATCCCTGCAATTCTTGCAATAGCAAATAGTATGCTTTCAATTATGTTGCTACTAGGATTTATTGGTAGACGTTTTTCCCTAAAAATAATTGATTAAAAATTTTTCATGATACTGTTCTAAAATTTATTTCAATAATCCTATCTTTAAATTCTCACCTAAAATAAATTAATTGAAAAGTATCAGGACTAAATTTAATAACCCAATAAATAATAATAAAGTCAACCTATGCTAGACAAAACTAGTGAATCAGAGGAAAGAAGTGGCTAGTTTGAAAATGAGAGCGTCATAGATAAGTCAAATAGTCTATCTCCTTGTATATATTTTAAACCAATGAAAATGTTGAATGTGCAGAATTAAATAAGGAACAAAGATGAAACCTTTCAATCTATTTTAATGGAAAATTAGGCTTAGCAAAAAGATGAAAGAATTTTATCTTTTTAAAGTTAAAAAGAACCAGCTGCAGTTGAGAGCTGCAATTAATCTAAAGAGATTCATAAAAAGGAAAATAAATTTTAAGAGAAATAATTTAAAAACAAAAGTTGTTTTTAAAAGTAAGTGTTAGAAAAAAATAATAATATCAAAAATAATAATTAGGATATACATGTGTAAAAAAAGTAAAATCCTTGCAAGAACTAATAAAATAAAACTTTGATTTAAAATAAAAATTAATAATAAGATAATAACAAATATAATTTGATAATAAAATCTCTTTAATGTAATAAAATTGAGTAACAACTCAAAAAAATTCTAAATTAATCTAGGTATTTTTTCTTTTAAAAAATGAAATTTATTATTAAATATTTTTATAAATAAGCTGCTGTTCAAAAAACAAAGTAGAAGATAAATAAAAAAAATTGAATGATTTACAGAAATAAAATATTTAGGATTTGTTAGATAAAGAACTAGACATTTATCATTTCTACTAAGATATTTTATTTCTCAAAAAAGCAGTAATGATTCTCTTCAGCTAAGACTAGCTAGCAGCTTTACAATTAGTAGGATGTTCTTCTTAATTTCTTGAGTAAGATTTCAAGAAGCTTAAAAAAGGTTAACTTAAAACATGTAAATAAATTAAAAATAAATTTCTTAAATTAATAAAATTTTTTTTAATTTTAGAAAAAAGTTTGAGTCATTATGAAGAGTAATTTGCAATTTAGTTATCTGATGAATTAAAATTACAAAATACAATAAAATTTATAAGGAAGTGTTAAGACAATAAAAATTTAACAAATATAGATTTGAGAATTCTTTAATCAATTTAAAACAGTATAGATTCATGAATAATATGTTAATTAATTAGTATCTTAATTTAAGTGTTAATTAATAAAATTATTTATTTACTTTGTTTTATAATAAGAAGTTAAAAAAAAATTTGTTAGTTATTTTATCTAAGCCATACTTTTTTTTATTGCAAATTCAAATTAATTTTTTATTAATTACTTTCAAGATAAAAATCAAATACTGTAAGCTCTTATTAATTAACACCCACCCCATTTTAAAATTTTGTGTGATATTTTGGGTGTAATTTTTGGCAATTTAAAATAAATAAATAAATAAATAAAGTGAATTTAAAGTGAAGATGTGAGGTGAATACAATTCACACTCTCAATTTTTATAAAAAATATTTTTTGTTAATTTAACAGTATATTACGAATGAGGATAAATATAATTCAATAAATTATAACATTGCCTTTCCCTTGTATGACTAATTAAAATCTTTTTGGCATTGAATTTAAACAATTATATATAAATTTGAATGAGATATTATCCCAAGTTTTTATTAAAGCATTTCTAATTCTTCTTTGTTATCAATTTATTTATTTGATAATTCTTTTTTCACAAGAACCCATCCCATATATTTTTAAATGGGATTCAATTCAGGAGAAACTGACACCAACAGTCAATCATCAATTAAATTAAAATTCAAATCTGTTAGTTTTTGTTAAGCTATTCTACAATATGTGTAGGATCATTATCCTAAAGTAAAATCCATTTTTTTTTTCAATAAATAAATTTTGAATCAGGAAAGATAACAACTTGAATAATTTTTTACATAGATTTCTCCAGACATATTCTCTTGGATAGATATAATCTAGCAATAACATCTTTAGTTATTCCTGGAAGTATGTTGATTATTTATGAATAATTAGGAATTTAAAATGCAGAAACATTATCCTTTTCCCACCATATTTTTTTTCTAAGTTTAAAGAGTCCAAAATGTTGGTTGACTCATAACAGAATAAGACAGTATACCAATTTTAATTATTACATTTTTCAACAAATTAAACTCTGTTAATTTTATGTTATTCAGTTAATAATGGTTAAACTTTTGTGTATAAATAATAAATATAAAATTTATTTAAAATTTGTCGAATCTTAGTTAAGATGATCTACATGTGTATATATTTTCTCTAATATAATTACATATTTTAGTTTTCATCAATAATAGTATTTTCTCTTTCATTGGATTTTATAAGCAATTTTCTCGCATACTTAATGAAATATTTGAAATTATTGTAAATAGGAGCTTTTCATAACATAACCTATGAGTGCCAAAATCCTTGCTTCTAAATTCAAGTTATTAGGATCTTCCTCGTCCAACTGTAAATATGATGATAGTTTCAAAAATCAAACAAAACTTATTTTTTTTTGAAGATAAATTAAAAAATTCTACATAAAATCTAAGTAAAAAATATACACACCTCCATTTTAATGAGTTAATTTATAAAAAAATGGAATATATTTTTTTTCTTAAATACTAAAATAAAATTTTTTATGTAAACACAACTTTATTTATTGGTTATTAAATATATTTAAAATAAATATGGAGTTAACCTTTATGAGTAAAACTATATTCAATTCAGATAATTAAATCTTTTTTACCATTATGCTTAAAATATATTCATTTAGCTAGCATCTATCTTTCGTTAAGTAATTTTATTTTATCAAATTTAAATAAGCAACCTGCACAATCTTAAGTTATTCTTTCTTATTTTAGTGAGAATTTTTTTGTACTTCTATATGTTATCAAAATAACCTTTAACTTAGAAATTTAGAAGTATTAGAGTTTTGATGTTTTAAATAATTAGTAAAAATTATGTTGCTCCTGAGATATTAACATCATGTTAACAAAAAATCACTTTGAGATATTTAATTTAAGGTAATTTTACTATTGAGTTAGCAAAATATTCAGCACCTGCATGCCCAATTTCAGAATTTTTTATTGTCAAATTAAGATGAGTTAGTTCTAAAAGATGCGAAATGCCTTATGATAAGAAAGAAGCTCCTTGAACACTTATATTATTATGAAAATCAATATTTAAATTCAATTTTTCTAAGTTAACAAGATTCTTAATTCCATCACCTAAGGCAGAAGCTCCTTGGCTATCAAAGCCATTGAAAATGTTGATGCTTATGTTCAACTCTTTTAGATTTTATAAGGATCCCAAAGATGATCCAAATCTTTAAATTCCACTTTAAAGTCTCAAATTAGGGCCTATTTCAAAAGAAAGGACCTTTAATTGGTTTAGAAATTTTATGCTTTCTCCTAATTCTGCAGCTCCTTATTCAGGAATATTATTTTCGCTCCATATTGAGAATGAAAGCTCCTTTAAGTTTTTCAAACTCTTTACCCCTTCAGCTAATCCTATTGCACCTTCTTTAGAAACATTATTTCCTTCAAAAATCATATACGATAATTTGTTAAGATTTTACAATTTTTTCAAACTCATTCCTAAGGCATATGCACCTTCTTCGTTTATATAATTGTTCTCATAAATAACAAATGAAAGATCTTTTAAATTTTTTAAGAAGCTTAATCCATTTGCTATTCCTATCATTCCATTAGCTCCAATTTGATTACAGCCTCCTATGTTAAATGAAAGACTCTAAAGCTAGGCAATATTTTAAAAATAGCTAGCTAAAGATGAAGCTCCCTCCGGTCCTATATCATTTTAGTCAATTTATATCCTTAAATCTTTAAGATTCTTAAGATAAGAAAGACCTTTTCCAATATACTATGCACCTTAAGAATTGATTGAATTACTTCCTATTTCTAAAGTTAAACCTTCTAAATTGGTAAGTTTTGAAAGACATTACTCAAGATGGTACAAACCTTGAATTTAAATTTAATTAGACTCTTCAATTTTAAGAGTGAGATAAATCAAATTTGTTAGTTTTGAAATTCCTTGAAATACTTATTCTGCTCCTTCTATTCCTATTTAATTTCTAGGAATGCACAAATAAAGAGACTCCAGAGTAGTAAGTTATGAAATGGCTTTACCTAAATTTTCAGATCCAAAATAGCCAATATAATTATTTCCAAATTCTATTTGCAAATTTTTTAGCTGAGTTAATAGATTTAAGTTCTAAACTAATATTTTAATGCTTTAATTATTGAAGTTAGAATTATTTTTTAATATTAAAACAAAATCTTTAAGCTAAAGAAGATTTTCAAATAAATTGTTGATTCTTAGGCATTCTTCCTCACCCAATTTTATATTATGATTTATTTTAATTTTGAGAAAAGTTAAATTTTTTAAGTTTTTTAAGCTATCAAATATTTCAAAAAAAGCTTCTTATTACAATTTATTCAAGTTTAATTCAACTTTGGATAATCTGTCTTCGAATTTGAAGAATCTACAAATTGATTCATAATTATTGGAATTTATGGTGAAATAAGTTATTTAATCTTTGTATATGTTGCTGAAGACCTATTTAATCTAGTTTTATTTCAACATTTTTTTTTTTCTTTCTTTTCTTGTAAAATAAGTGTTTTTCTTTATATCTTAGATTAATTTTCATAATTTAATTTATTCAGATTATTGAAATTGTCTATGAGAATTTAAATAATATTCTTACAAATCTCAAACAGAAAAATTCTCAATTTATTTTAATGTAAATGAAATCTTTGTTTGTTTATCCATTTAATTTTATTTGATTAACAAAATTATTAATATTTAACCTATTTTATTTATTTATTTGAAACAAAAAAAATTCTCAAATTAAAGAAAAAAAAATTAAATTTAAAGTAAAATCTAAATAAATAGATAAATTCAATTTCATAACTTTTAACTAAAAATAAATTCAATTCCATCAAGTGACTATCCTTAATCTCTTAAAATATATCTAATTGATATGTTAAAAATTCTTTTAAAGATTATATTTATATTAAAAATTACTTAAAAAATTAATTATAAAATGATAAAATAAAAAATAGACAAATAAATAAACAAATGAAAGGAAAGAAAAGAAAAGAAAAGAAGTAAGGAAGGAAGGAAAAGCTGAAAATGCAAAGTTTGAGGTGTAGCAGACAAACATAATATAGGGATATATAACAAGTAATAACAAGAGTAAGATTATTTACTTTTTAATTTAATTTTAGTATAAATGTTTAATTTGAGGCTAATTTAATCGATTAGTTTTATTTGTGCTAGCTAGATATTTTATAATATAAGCTTGTATGTATGTATGATTTATGTAAGGAAATACTAAAAAATAACTGCAGCATATTTTATATTTATTTATTTATTAATTAAAAATCGATATTTTAAATTATTACCAACAAAATAGATAGATTTATTGATTGATTGATTCTTAGATAAATTGAATGTAAATTTAGAATTAACTTTGCTGAATTAGTTTGTTATTAAATTTGATTTATATTATATATATGCTATTTATTTGTTTATTTATTTATCTATCTCTGATTTATAGTCTTTATTATTTACAAAACTTATTTCAATTTCACTCAGGACCAGTTTCTTCATTCTTTTTAATCCTATATTAAATATTAATAAAAAATTCAATACTAATTACTTAAAATTTATTAAATTACCATTTAACTCTTTTACCATCACACCATTCTCCTTCCTTTTCTATACCTTGAGATCCAATATAAATACCTTTTCCATGTTGGCGTCCATTAGCCCAATAACCTTTGTAAGTTCTATCTGTAATAATAGAAATAAAAATAAAAATGAGATATTATCAAGTATTTAATTTAAAATAATTACTGTCAGGCCATTCGAAGACACCATAACCGTGCTTTTTATCATCTTTATATTCTCCTTCGTATTTACGTCCATCAGACCAGGTGAAAACACCGTTTCCTTCCATTTTATTATTTTTCCATTCTCCGTTATATTTTCTGCCATCTGACCAGTCGTAGCAGCCTTTACCATGAATATTATTTTTATAAAATTCTCCTACGTAAGTAGATCCATCAGCCCAATGGAATTTGCCCTAGCCATGCTTTTTACCATCAACGTAATCTCCTTCGTAACGAGCACCATCAGGCCACTCTTCAATTCCTTTTCCATGTTATTTATCATCCATCCAATCTCCTTCATAGACTGCTCCATCCATGTGAAGATATTTACCTTTTCCATTTGCTTTATCTTCCTTCCATCTACCAATGAAAACATCACCATCGCTGTGAATCAATCTACCTTTGCCTTATGCCATGTCTAAATAAATAAATAAACAAATAAATAAAAAATAAATTAATAATCAAATAAATAAAAAAATAAATAAATAAAGTAGTTTATTATGATAAATAATATAACGCAAAAGTTATTTATCTATTTATTTAATCATGTTAAAATTTTATCAAACAAAAAGCCACCCAAATTGAATATTTTTTTAAATTAACTTTTCAAAAGAAAATCATAAAAATTTATCATTCTGCCTGAAATTCAATTAAATTTTTGGAGTCTTCTTCAAATAAAAAATCTTAATACTGAATTGTTTGATTATATCGATTGATTAATATCTTTAATATATAGCTAATTTGTATTAGACATTTATAATATTTTTCTATTCAAAAGCTATTTTACATCAGTAATTACTTTTAAGCAAATATCAGCTCCTATTTCAAAATAAGTGAATAGGCTAACTACATAATTACTATAGAAAGTGAGTTTTATTTGCAGTAGATTTTAATTTTTTAGATGAATTCCTTTATTTAGTTTAATTTTTTTTGATTGGCTCTCATTTTCATTTTAAGATTTTAAACGAAAGTTGTTTGTTCGTTTGTTTATTTATTTATTTATGGTAACTAAATAAAAATAAAATAATTATTTACTATTTCTCCAATATCCTTCATACACTGAACCGTCTGACCAGTATTGAACTCCTCTGCCGTGTCTTTAACCATTTTTCCATTAACCTTCATAAACAGAACCATTATCAAATTAGTAAGGACCAAGTTTAGGTAAATCTTAATCTCCTGCCTCATCTTCATCATAGATAAAGTCACCTTACTCTTGTAGAGTTTTTCTGCCTTTTTCATTCAAGAAGTTGGGAATTTCTTTAATTGGCCATGCTACTTAAGAAGGAGGAGCATGTGGGTTAACATTTTCTTGTCCAGTTGTGGCTGGCTAAGTTACATCAGATGGACTAGGTTTATACTCTTCTTATACACTTTTTTCAGTGGGCACTCTGTTTGTTTCGCGTTAGTTATCAAAAGCCTTTGCATGAACATTCACAGCATAGTTTTCTCTAGCTTTTTACTCTATTTTACAAAATAAAATGGAAAATTGTAACTTAAAATAGCTATAATAAATGCTATAAGTTCAAGTAATTATAAAACTTATGTTTTATTATCAAATATGAATTCTTTTTTGCATGCCTACGAAAAATTAGCTATTGAAAGAAATAAACAAAGTGTATAAATTTACCATTAGCTCCCATTTCAGCATCTTATTCCTATTCCTCAACTGGCTATGGGTTGTTTGTAATCTATTCTGTTTTATCCTATCCAGGTTAGTTGCTACAGCAATTACCCATTTTTATAAATTAATTAGCTGATTCTTAATAATAATAATAATTGATTGTTATTAATTATATGAAATTTGATGAATAATAAGAATTAATTTGTTTTCCTTTAGTTCTTTACTAATTTATTTAATAACTAATCTTTTACAGTTAATTTTTTAAGACTATATTAGCACAGCTTTTTCTTCTTATTTTTTAAAAACTCTTCTTCCAAGTATCATCAAACAAAAATAGCATTCAAAACCCTTTTTAATACTTCGAAAAATTATTGACAAAAAAATAAACAAATAAATGAGTGAGTGAGAGAATGAATGAATGAATAAAGAAATAAAAGCTTGCTTGATATTTGTTTTTCTCTTTCAAACTAATTCCATTTGTTAACTTTCATTCATTCATTAACTTTCATATCAAGTTTTTTATTTATTAAATATGCAAATACTCATTCATGTAATTATAATAATAATTCGTTAAAAAATGTCCTGATTATTTAGCGAAAAATATTATTTTTACTACTGAATCAAATTTTTGCTAAAATATTTGTAAATATTTACTATATTGTTTTAAGCAGACAAAATATTCCAGTATTGAAAAATAATTCGAATTCGCTCTTATTTTTTGATACTATTTTTAAAGATAGAAAATAATTTAAATAGATCTAATTCGAATTACATTCATACATAGCAAAACCAACGGAATCTATATCTATTAATACATTAATTACTATTCATAAAAAAAGATATAGAAAAAAAATTAATTGCAAGATTTATATTAATTGTAATCCTATCAATAATACCAAAAATCACTTAATAATTAAAACATTTTTTAGAATATTTCAATTAAAAAAGTAATAAAAAATATTACTTTGTAAAAATAAATGTTTAATTTCTAAGTCCAATAAAAACCAGTAATATTTGCATTTTTTACCTTATATTAGACATTTTGAACAAAAATGAATGTATTTATTTTACAAAAATAAAATAATGTTAATAAAGTAATCACTTAATTAAAATCAAACAAACAGACAGACAGTCAGACATTCAGACAAATAAAAATGATACTTTTTATTTAAAAAAAAAGATAATATTTTTGTATTTTTTATAATTTACCAAAATAAATAAAACCTAAAATATTTTATTTTCATTAAATAATATCATGTAAATAAATTTTCTTAAATAATTTTTCGATTTAAATTTGGAAATCTAAATACTTTATTTTATTTTCAACTTTTGATGATATTACAATAATTGGATTACTTAAATATTTACTAAAAGTAAATAAATATCATAGCTTTGGTTAATAATATTGTTTTTTTAATTTATAATACCAATTAATACTCTATTAAAAGGTTTTTTTATCACTAAATAAATAGAATTGATTAAATGAAAAAAATTTTTTTTGTATGTTAAATTAAATCGTTTTTATTTAAAAAGATTTTAAAGAATTTATTTTTAATATATTAAATTTTAAGAACCTTTCAAAAATATTTAATTAATAAATAGAGGAAATATATTTATTACCATATGGCTTCTTTAATTAAAGATGTCCTTTAATTTAAAACAATTATTTAATCAGGTTGAATTTTTTTAAAATATTATTTTATCATTCATTTTATCCTAAAATCTGAGAAAAAGTTTTTTATTGTGAAATCACTCACTTAATGTCAATAAATTTTAACTTAATGATAGTATATTTTTAAATTTATCTATTTATTTTTTCAATTCAAATATTTGAATCGCTTTATTTCAAAATAAAATAAATTATTAAATTTTATATGTTTTTAAAGTTATAAATAAAGTATATAATATAGATTAAATTAATATTTTTGAGGTGTAAATTTTCCCTTTAATTATGTATGGTCCAGTACAAAAAAATATAGAATCAACAAAGTTAGCTTAATATCATAAAAATTAATGAATTATATCATATGTATATACACAATTAGCTAGCTATATTATAATTTTAGAATTAGTAATATTAGAGTTGTTTGATATTTTTATTTAATAACAATTGATATTTAGAAATTTTAGTTATTATTTACTAAAAATGAATGAAAAAATAAAAATAAAAATCTATCTTAATCATATCGAAGTTCAATATATCAGTACTACTTTTGTAAATATTCTCTTTCAAGAATAAAATAAATAAGTTAAATGCATCTTTTAATCAATTAAATTTTCTATAAGTAATTATTTAATATAATTATTTATTTATTTTCTAAAAGTAAAATTAATTTTATAAGACTATTTTTTATTATTTAAAGATAACTTTAAATAAATTTTATCATTTTTTTATTTAATTTGAATGATATATTTTTCTTTAAAGAAATAATTTTAATGAAAATAGTAATCAAATTTTTTATATTTATCATTAAAATTAATGGTAGAAGAAAGATCTATTAAATGAAAATTAAACTTTTATGTTAATTTATTTGTATGTGAAATATTCTTAGATTCTTTTAGATTAACTTTAAGGAGATTTTTAAAGATTAATTTGTTTTTCTTAACTTAAATTAAATTATATGAAAAGGCAACCATATAAATAAGCATTTATTATTATCTCAGTCTTTTTAATTAATTAATAATTAGTATTTTTTATATCATTGAAAGTAAAATTTATCACAAAAATTTAATTAAATTTTTAGAACAGTTTTTAAATTCTACTTTGGGTTTCAGTAAGTAAAAAACTTCTATTTACCATCTAAAAGATGAAATAATTAAAATTAGGGAGAAACTTAAGCTAGCCTCAGTTGCTATCTTAAAGTGAATGCTTTTCTATAACAGCAAAGACAATGAATCTTGAACAATTTCAAAATCCTCCACTTTTAGCATCGCACCCATAATTTTAGTAGAAATATTTTTAATAAGTACTTGATAAAAATATATTCAACTAGACTTTAAGAAAAAATGAAAGTTTAGAGAATAACAAGGACAGTAGCCTTTAAAGAGGCATTGGGACTAGTCAAAATGAATAGGCTATTAAAAATTCCCAAGATAGTATTATTAGATATCAATAAAAAGGTATTTCGTTTTCAGATTATATTGAAGATAAATATCAAAAATTGAGTACTAAATAAATAAAAATGATTCCAGCGTCTTTTCTTAAAACTTTTAATCTCATAAAAGAAGATTTTGTAGTCCAATAATAGGTCATTAAATCTCCTAAAAAGTAGAAGACTGATCTTTAGCTAATTAATGTATAGCAAAATATATTTTAAAACATGAAAAATAAATCGATCCCTCAAATCTAAATGTTTGATCCCTAAGATGATTAAGTTATTTAGACATTAAGTGAATAGTTTGTCACTAGCAAGCAAAATACCTTAATAGACGTAAATGGACATTAGAAAAAATAAAAAAGTAGAATAGAACTAAATAGATAGGTCCTTTTGATGAAAGAAAGCAGAAAAGTTATTAAACTTGATCAATTAGCAAAGGTAAAAGATTAATAAAGTAAAGAAATAATTTAAAGCAGCACCCATAGCAAAAACTATAAAAATGAAGTGCAATAAATAAATAGCTCAAACAATAGAGAATATACTAATAAACCAAGCTCTTAGAATAATATTTAAAGAAATAATCAATTTAAGAGCATAAGTATCTAGCAAAATTAATAAATTGATGATTTAAACTATTAAATTTAGAGAGCAGATAATAAAAGTAGAGATTATAAACAAATTGAAGAAAAGAGTAATTAAAACAAATTCAAACAAATATGCTAATACTGCTGCTTTTCGAATGAGAAAGGTGATCAAGTTGATTATCCCTAAAACTGTGTTTGCCTTTCAAAGTTAAATTTAACTAAAAAAAACCAACTGCTAACTGAAAAAAAGGTGAATAGTTCGGAGTAAGAAGAAATCAATCTTGATTTCTTAAAGCTCAGAAATTCTTAGTCTTATTTTCCTTAATTCAATTCCGAATATCCATAAAAGCAAAGTGGTGCTAATTAAAAACAATAGCAAAATATCTCCTAAGAAAGCAAAAATAAAAGATAATTTTTTTCTTTAGAAAAAATAGGGAGTAAAAACGACTAATACATAAAAAAATTAGAACTCTTTGAAGAAAAGCTTTAAAGCCTTAAAAATGAAGAAATTTAGGCAAAGCAAAAGACTTTGATGGAGTAATTCGAGAGATAGTTTTAAAAAAAGTCTCCTGTGAATAATTATCTCAACTTTAAGAAATAAATTCACAAGAGCAAGGATTTATATGATAATTCAGATAAAAACTCCTAAAAGGGCACTATTTTACAAAGTTAATTAGATGGAGTTAGGCAATAAGAAATACACAAAAGACTCTAATTGGTTGGTGAAGATGAAGTTAACGAGTCTGAAGATGGAAATTATGCTAGTAAAAGCTCATAAACAAAAAAATTGCAGTCTACTCCATAATCTCCGTTTCAAAGTTTTAGAAATAAAAATAATACAAATTAAAAACATCCAAATTAGATTATTTCTACTACTTTAAAAAAAATTCTTTAATAATAAAGAGAAATTGATGAATATGAAACAAAACCAATGATCGATTATGCCGAAATAGAGTAAACTCTTAACAAAAGATAAAGTAAACTTGATTCACCATTATCTAGTCCAAAATAAAACAAATAAAGTTAATTTTCATCAAGCAAAGACTCCTTTTACAACAATTCCTAAGATTTTGTAGTAGATTTTAGCAGAAATAACTCAGTCAATTCTCCAAAATCTGTGTACAGCAGTTAATCTCCCATAGCTAAAATTGAAAACTTTTCTTTAAACATGTAAATTAGCCAAATACAATCAGATGCAAGGATAAGATCATTTAGCTAAAAAGTTAATAGCAATTAAACAAATGAACAAGCGTAGAGATTAGATTTAGTAAGCAAATACTCTGACTAAAAAGCACCTGATTCAAAATATATTAAAAGTAAGTTTTAAGAGACTAAAGAATTTATGACACCTTAAAATAAGTCATAAATAAATAACACTATTTGGGGTTTGAACTCTCCTTAAAATACACCAGATTAAATTGAAAATCTCAATTAGGCAACTGGAAAGTTTTTTAATAGCAATGAAGAATTATTTAACAAAATAGGAAGTGACGGAAAAAGACTTTATATTCCATCTAGAATTAGAGGAATTAGTGAAATTTTTAAAAAGTAAAGCGAACAACAACTATAATTAAATTCTGATTCAAGAGATCATTCTATTTCTTTTAAGACAGGCTCTTTTGAATAATAAGATCCAGCTAAAAATCATGTGCAGAATATTGCTGGCTTTTAATCTTAAGAAAATTCTCTCTCAATTTTTAGTCGACTTGATGACATTAAAAAAGAAAGAAAGATAGAATCCTCTACTCCAACAAATAAAGCTAATAATTATTAAAGAGCAGATTCTTTTTCTTCATAAAATAAGCAGTAAAATGCTCAAAGAGAAAGCTTAAAAAACTCTATCTATGATGAAATAGTTAAAAAGAGAAAAGAAAGAACTATTTAACATTAAGAACTGCAAATAAAAAACAAGTAGCAGATGATAGAAGCTTTTGATCAGAAAATGAGGGAACAGTAAAAATTAGAAATAAACAGCAAGTTAGCCAAATTGAGATTGAAACATTAAGGCTCTATTTAGCTTCATTAGTAAAAATTAACTAATCAAAACTCTGGTCAAGATAGGGAGAGTGACTTAGCCTCTTTGCATTAAATTGAAGGATTAATAAAGAACGAATCATAAATTTTTGGTGTAAAAGATAATCAGATAAAATCATCTGAAAGTATCTCATTAAATTAGATTACCTTGAATAACAGAGATAGTGATTAGCTAAATTGCGAAAATATTAAAAAAGATGAAGAAACTTAAAATGAGTAGAGGCACGCTGAGAAGTAGCATATAGACTAGAAAGAAAAACCATAAGATTGCTAATCAGAATAAAAAATATCAAGAATTTTATCAAAAAGAAACAATATTCAGATTTCAATTAATACCTAGAATTTCAAGGAGGCAGAATAAGATTCTTAAAGTGATTTAAGCAAAAGTAGATAAGAAAATGAGAAATAAAGTCACTCACCTCTTCCTTAAATACATATGATGATTAATAATGATATGATGGTCAGTTCTTTAAATTAAAAGAGTCCATCTCGTCTTTCTATGATTGGATCGAGAAGAGTTTCTATATTTTAAAATATAACTTAAAAGGAGTTAGAAAAATAGCAAAAGTGTTTAAAAACTCTTTACGATGATACAAATAAAATAGTACAGCAATTTATTGATAAAATTTACTGTGGTGAATAAGAAATCAATGATGATGAGGATGAGGAAGAAAAGAACACAGGCTAAACTCAACAAATAAATTACTATTCAAGTATAAACAAAAAATATATAAAAGAATCATAAACTAAATATGATATCATTTAGCAGTACACTAAAAAGTTAAGAAAAATATTTAAAAGAGAAATTATTTATGCATCAGAATTGTAAAACATCCTCAAAAGCTATTTCGAAACATGTTTTATTGAAAATTGTGTACCAAAAAGTGAGATTTTTGTTTAATTCAAGCTTCAGAAAAAAACTCTTGAAATCATTTTTTCAGTTTTTATGTTCATTCTGGAAGATAATGAGTATCCTATTGATGTGATTGCCTAAGCAGAAATAAATTTGAAAAAGAATTATAAGTTAATAGCATTTTTGCCTGCTCTGCATGACGAGTTAGGGGGATCTAACTATATGAACAAAATTAATTTATAATACTCTGCAGTGCTGATGAAGAGATTGCTGGATTTGTATAAAAATGTAGAATAAGACAATTTTCCGAATTAAAACACAACAAATTAGGATATTGATCCTTCTACCAATAACATTAAATCAAAGCAAGAAATAAACCTAACTACTAACTAGTAGCCACCTATGACTATAAACATTTATCCCAGCGAATAATAAAATAACAAAAAAATAGCTTATTCTATAATTGAATCAAATATAGAAGAACACTTTGAGCAAGTATTTCTGAGAACAAGCATGAAAAGGATCAGTGCAATGAATTTAGAAAGCTAAAATATATTTTCAAATAATTCTGAGGCAGCTATCGAATCATAGCAGGATAAGAACATAAAGTACAAGTATACAACAGAGCAGATAGAATGCCTCCATTAATAGATATTGAATCTTTTAAGGTTTATTTATCACAATAATAGCTATTCTTAGTTGGATATGAGCAATATGGTTGATAAGTCGAGTATTAAAGAAATTTGCAAGGTCTTTGAGGTAAATTAGATTTGCTTTTTTGAAATAAAAGAGTCAATGTGGAATACGTTGTAAGATTTTAAAGTATATATAACAACTATTCTCAGACTTTAAGAGTAACTTGAAAGATACAGATATATAATAACCCTTGTCCCTCTTGTTGATCACCTTCTGTCTGACTCATCTCTCTATGAGTCGATAACTAGAGAAATGGAGTGGAGAGTTCAAAGCAACGATTCAACAGTTCATGGAATCTTTGAGAACCAGCAAACTTTCAAGGCATTCTGCCACACGCTAATCTCGGAAATCGTTTTGAAGATTAAAAGCAGCTACAACTTAGATATTTTCTTCAGATATCTAAATTTAAATGTTTAACAATTTGATTTTATTTCATCAATATTCATTAAATCTATTTCTCATGTTGGCTTTGATCATAGTTTTTGTAAAGATGCAGAAATAAAATTTAAAAAAATTAAGTATAAGCTTGATTTGCAAATATCTCCTATCAAACTGATAGGTGGCCAAGCTGGCTTAAGAAAAATTATTGATTAAGCCCATTAAATGATTTTAAATCCAGCATACGAAAATGAGTATACAGAGTATGTTAAAAAGTTTCCAGAAGACTTACATAACCTTCTTTACGAAATTCCACCTAACCATATTTCCAGTAAATATAATCGTAGACCTGGACTAAAATTTTTAGAATATATCATGCTTTCTCTGTTTTCACACGAAGATTGTTATAGTATTTAAGATCTAAGAGCAGGAGTGTAAACTTATAACATAGCAAAAACTACTCCTATTCATTGGAAATCTCTTTTAGAATATTCAATGAATAATCTTAAATATTCATAATCCACTATTAAAACTATCATTCAAGAAATTAATACTTAGCTCTTAATAGTTTTTATTGATTTGAGCGAATGAAGAAAGTTTAATTGATTGAAATGTTAAATAAAAAAGAACATTAAAATAAAAAATATTAAAACCTATAAATTTTATATTCATGTCTTATTATTTTTCCAACTGAATGTAATTTTTTCTTATAAATCCCTTTTTAAGATCAAAATCATATTTAAATAAATGCGAATTTTAAAGTATTTTTAAAACAAAAATAAAGTGTTTTTCTTATTTTGATCATATTTATAATTTTTTATTTTAAATAAGTTAAAATTTATTTTAATTTTTTTTAAATAAAGAAAATTTGATAATAAAAAAATAATGATAAATAATAAGTAATATATTTATCTATCTTCTTATTATTTATTTCTAAACTATAATTGACATCTTTGAATCTAATATGATATTGAAAATTTTAGAAATGAAAACGGTTAAGCAAGAAATTTATAAGTTTAAAAGTATTTGTAATTTTAAAAAAAGTTATATTAGATGTATCAAAAATACAAGTCAGTTAATTACTCTAAAACTATTTCATCTAATATTAATAGATTAATTAAAATTAAATTTAAAAAATAGAATAAATGGATAATGTATACTAATGTTTATTTTTGTAAACAGATAGAAGAAAAAAAAAATAGTTTTATAAATTTAAAATAACAAGTTAAAATAATAATAAAAATTACTTTGTATTGCAATATGTACAAAATTTTTAATTCATTCATTTTAAAAAGAAAGTTAAAAAAAAAATAAAAAATCCTACAATCCCATTTATTTATTATATGCCTATAAAATTTTTAAGAGTCAAAAGAAGATGATGATTAATTAAATTTTCTTTGATTATAATTGCAACAAATTTAAAAGTCAAATTAATTGGCAATTTTATTTTTTTTTATTTGATGTAGAATCTTTCTTATCAAATAAATATAATAATTAATATCAAAAAATATTTATTAATTTTTAATGATATTAAATAAATTAAAAATTCCTTTTATTAGGGAATCATAATATTATGAATATTTTTAGAAGGATAAAATTTATTAATTGTGGGAAAGTAGTAAATTTCTCATTTACTTAGTAGAAAATAAATTCATTGATGTATCAGAAAAAACTATACTTGATTTCAGCTGTGGTATTGGCTTATTAAGCGTTTATTGCTTAGCAAATAACTGTAAAAAAGCCATATTAACAGATATTTAAGATAGCCAGCTTTAGGAAATTACTGAATAAAACTTTTCCTTAAATTAAGATTTAATTAATTAAAAACACGCAGACAAAGTTATAAAATAATTTAATTTATCAAATAAATTTATTTATTTAAATAAAATGTTAGACATAATAAAATTGGTACTTTACTAGTATTGACTGGATAGATTTAGTTTAAGAACCTTTAAAATACAAGTCTTTATTAGACTAATCTGATGTTATATTTATGAGCGATCTATTCTATGATGAATCATGTAATTTATTTTTTGTTTATTTCTACAAATAAATTAAATAAAATTAACCAAAAATTTTAATTTTTGTAAAGTTTATGAAATCTTATTCACAATAATACTTGAACTTTTCTAGAAAAAAACAATATTTATATCATACTAAGAAAGAGGCAACACAGACTTAATTTATTGTTATGCTGATAAATTTAAAATCTAATTAAATTTGATGGCTCATACTCAAAATATACAGCACATCAATTTTTAATGTAGTAAAGAGATTTATGTTTTTTAAATTAATTTATGATTGATTTTTAATATTTGAAAATAGTTAAACAATAACTAACTAACTGTATGTAATTTAATATTTCTATGTTTATTATTTACATATAAATGAATGAAACAATCTTTTATATAAAAATATGATGAATTAAATATTGTGGAATCTCAGAAGCAATAATTTATTTCCTAAGTTGCTAAAAATAAGTTTTACAAAAATTTCAAAAGTTTAAAAATATTTGTTAAAGCAAAAATAATTTTTAAAAAAATAGAATATATGTTATTAACTAATTTTAATTTTAAATGTTGAATAATACTTTTTAATTTTGTAGATCTATCAGTTGGATTACTACTATTTAGAATATTTTTTTAAGTTATTATTTAATGTAAATAAATTTTTATTAGCAATGTGAGGAAGTTTGAATAAATAACACATTTATTTATTTGTTTTACTTTTGAAAATTGATAAAAGCTAAATTGATGAATTAATGAATGAATGAATGAATTAAAATAATGAAAGATTGAAAATAAATAATAAAATTTAAAAGTTACTTGAGCTTAACAATCAAATTACTCTATTTGATAAAAAGGATAAAAACAAAATTTCAGAAAAAATTATATTATTATTGTATTGAAAATCAAATTATACTAATATAATTGATTGAGTCTTGTTAGTTTGTGTTGAATTGCTTTAAAAATTAGAACAGATTGATTGATTGAGTAAACGATCTAATTTAAAATAAAAGATATCAGAAATAGGTACAGATAGTTAGTTAGTTTGTGATAATAAATAAATATTATAGACTAAGAGGCATGAATAGCACTGAATATACTCAAAGCAAATATAAAAGCAATGATGAATTAGGAATTCTTTCTCATGAAGCTGAGATGATTGTTGGAAAAGATAATCAGTAGGCATTTTAGCTGCTTCAAAAAGCTCTTAAAATTAATGAAAAAGATCCAAAAGTAAACAAAGTTATGGCCTACTACTATCATTACTAAAGAATGTTTAAGCAATCCATTTAGCATGCATCTCGCTCTTTGCATTATTTAAAGGACTTTAGCAGAGAGTATAATCCAAAGAAGATTTTTGCAGATGATCTCTTTTTTATAGGCGATTCTTATTTCTATGAAGGCTAATACAATTCGGCAGAAAAAGCATTTTAATAATTAATAAGTACGAATACTCAATCAACAGATTTATTTACAATAGAGCAAGTAAAGGCAAAGCTATAGCAGATAGAATAAATAAAGAATTTATCAATAAGGGTAATTAATTACATTTTTTAAAATTAGAATTTAGGTTTTTAGTTTGAAAAGCATTTAATTTCAATAAAATATAAATGATTATTAACAAACCTAGATTGAAACAGTTAAATAGCAGTGATGCAAGCATTTTCAATATAAAAATTAAAATTTTTAAAGACTTACATGTAAATAATAAATAATTTAGGAGTCAAATAGCTCACAGAATTATAATGATAACAAAGTAGCTCAGGAATTCATATAAAAAATGAAAGAATGCGAAAAAAATTAATATATGAGAATGCATGGAATGCCTGTTTTATTAATACCAAATAGATGGTTTGAACTTTGGAAAAAATATGTTAGCTATTAATAAGTTTAAGAATAGCTAGATGAAAGTCATGCTTAATCTAAATCAAGCAGTAAGAAGAGTAGTGAACAAGAAAAAAAAAGTAGAAAAGGAAGTAACACAAGTAATTAAAAACAAAGCGATGAAGAAAATAGCAACAGCAAACTTAGCGATTAGTAAAAATCCAATTCAAAGCAATCAAATAGCATAAAAAACGATTTCGAATGTGAAGAAATAGATTATCAGTATGTTTATCCAGGATCAATAGAGTGTGGGGAAATTCTTGAAACATATCCTATTTTAAATGCAAATTTAGGTGTTGACCCTGACAAAGTTAAGCAATTTTGCAACTTAGTAATAAAGAAAGACGCCTAGGAGAATAGCGATTTTGTCATATTTCCTGCTCCAGTAGGGAAAGTATTGTTAGATAAATATGGTGGAGTTAGAGTTAAGCGCTTATTATTATCAATCTAAGATGATACTCAAATCACCTAAGTAGAAATCTACCCTATGAGAATAGATTTTATTGTTATTCCTCATTTTTCTTCTAATCTGAATGACCAAATAGTTTACAAGACTTACATAAATAAAAAAGAAACTGTTTAAAATTTAAAATAAAAGATTTTTAGGATTCTTTCTGCAAAAAATGGAAACACAAATATAATTTCTCCCACCGTTTGTAAATTGTGGCGATGTGATAACTAAGTCAACTATAAGCAGCTTATTAAAAGCTACGAAAGTAGAGAAAATAGTTAAGTTTACATTAATGCCAAGCTAATTGATAATTCCAGCTGTCCCTTAGATGTAAGAATAAGTTTATCCTTAATTATGCTAAATATTTTAAAATTATAAGAAAGATTTTAAATAAAAAATGAATTTTTTATCTCTTCACAATATTCATTTTAAAGTAGAGATTTATTTAAATAAGCTTCCTAATCATCAAATTTGCTCAAAATTATAAAGATATTGTCTTTTAGTTCATCTAAAAAAGATAAATAATTTATTCAAATAGATCATTAAAAATACTTTATCCTACTTATCAAAGCTTTAAATATTTTTATAATATCCTTAACTAAAGAAAGAAGAAGTTAATTGTTTATTAATCTTAAACCATAATTATAAATGAAATATCTCAATACTAAAATTTATACGATTGTTCTATTCATTTTGATTTTTTAAAAGAGAACTAAATGATGAGATTAACATAAATTAAATAAATTTTTTACTTTTTGAAAGATATTTTCTGAAAATAAATATTTAATTTAATATTAATTAAAGGAAGCAGAAATAGCTGAATTTGATCTACTTATCGTGGAATATAGAGGATAAGATGGTGAATGGGTATTTTAGAATGAAAGCGAAAGATTGGTTGTAAATGTGTGTGGATTCTGTGGTAGAAAGGATGATGATTTATATTACTGTGAATGCTAATTAATTAGATATTGTAATTATGAGTGCTAAAAAAAACATAGAGTCAAACATAGGAATTTATGCTAGTAAACTAAAGATGAATAAAGACAAAAAAAGGAGATCTTGGATAAATTCAAAATAAAAACTAATAGAAAATAATCTGATAGAGTGGCAAATGGTGTTTGTGGTTTGTAAAATTTAGGAAATACTTGCTTTATGAACTCGGCTTTATAATGCCTAAGTAATGTTCAAGATTTAAGTGAGTTCATGATTTAGGATAAATTTATTCATGACTTAAATAAAGATAATCCTTTGGGAACCGGTAAACATTTCATTAATCTACTTAATTTAACTTTTATTTGTTAAAATATAGGTGGATATTTAGCTGCTTCATATGCAGAACTCATTAAGGATATGTGGAGAGGATCTGACAGCTATTCTTCACCATGGGATCTTAAAAAGATTATTGGGAGATTTGCTCCTTAAGTAGAATTATTAACAGTTTCTAGCAATTATAAAAAATAATTTTAATATCTAGTTTAGTGGATACAGTCAACAAGATTCTCATGAGCTACTATCTTATTTATTGGATGGAATTCATGAAGATTTAAATAGAGTTAAAAAGAAACCACTTGTTAATTAAATTGAATCAGATGGATAGAACGACCTAGAGGTAGCATTGAAAAGTTGGGAAAATTATTAGAAAAGAAATCGCTCAATTATAGTTGATTTAATGGTTGGACAATTTAAATCAACTATTAACTGCCCAACATGTAATAAGATATCAGTTACTTTTGATCCTTATATGGCCATTTCAGTCCCTGTTCCTTCTATAGCTTTTCTTTCAATAAATGTTTATATTCAATTTAAAGATGAAGTCTCACTCATTCAAACTAATTACAATATGAGAGGTTAAGATAGTATGAATGATCTCAAACTATTGATAGCCAGAGAATTCAAAAAAGATCCTGACACCTTAGAAATGGCAGTTTAAGACAAGAATTTGTCTGACTTTAAATTACTGAGTGGTAGAGAGAGTGTAGAGACAATTAATAGTCAAAAAGATTTATTATTGTTCTGTCATGAAAGATATTGTGCTAAATATGACAAAGATATACCTGCTGAAGAAAATAAAAGAGTAAAATTTTACTTACATAACAAAATCAAGTAACGATTCAATTAATCAAAACATATTTAAAATTAATTAATAGATAGTACTCAAAATAGGTATTTATACAATAAATAAAAGAGATAAATAGCCTGAAGTAAATACATATCAAAGGTAAATATAAAAATTAGTTTTATCTATTTAGAATGGAAACAATATAAATAAATAAATAAATGAGCATAAATAATATTTTAATAATAAAAAGAATTATTTATATTGGTCAGAACACAAGTTATGAGCTGATTCATGTCAAAGTATGGCAGATCTATAGATTTTAGATAGCTAAATTTGTTAACGATAACTAAGAGATAAAGTTTAAAGTTAATCTTGAAAAAGATAGTATGGAATATTTACTTGAAGAATATAAAAAATTTTTGAAATTTAGTTCAAACAATTCATTGTAGTATCAAATTAAAATCAATGAAGAAATTACTATTGATTTTGATTCCTCAAAATCACTTTTTTCGGAATTTGAGTAAATTGCCAAACAAGAAAGATTAATAGAAATAAATATTGGACTCTATACCTAGTTGAATGAAATTGAAAATATAAATGCCGTTACTGATAAGACCAAGTCTAAAGCGGAATACAATTTATATGATTGTTTAGATTTGTTCACATAAAAAGAAGTCTTGGATAAAGGAAACGAGTGGTACTGTAATGTTTGCAAATAACACAAATAAGCATCAAAGAGAATGGAAATATTTGATACTCCCAAAATATTAATTATCCACATTAAGAGATTCCGTACAAGCAGAGTCTCTTCGATTGGTAATTTCTACTTCCAAAGTGGAGGATAGAAATTAGATGATTTTATAAATTTCCCAATAAATGGTCTGAATTTGAGCAAGTACGTATTATCGCATTAATACAAATAAACAAACGAACCTCTTTTATATGATCTTTTCGCTGTTTCCAACCACTATGGAAGCATGTCAGGAGGTCATTATACTGCCTATGCAAAAAACCCTATTTACAATAAATGGTTTGACTTTAATGACTCCTCTGTTTCAGAATCCTCAACAAAAGAAATTGTATCAAAAGCAGCCTATGTCTTATTTTATAAGAGAAGGGAAAAATCTGTTACAAACTATTGATTGATTTATTGATTTGATAAACATTTTTTATAATACAATATTAAAATAATTAATTTAAAAAATATCAATCTTAATTCGTTCATTCATTCATAAATTCATTTTCGAAATATTTCCAAATTAGTTAAAATAAATTAAGAGTTAAATTAAATCAAGTTAGTTTTATCATTCAAATATCATATTTCTAACTACCAATTCTATTTATTTAAAAACCTAATAAAAAATTTTAATCATTTTTATATAGCTTAGATTTGCAATAACTTTTTAAATGTTCATTTTTATTGTTACCTAAACATATAAAATAAAATTAAAAGTGCAAACGAATAATAAAATAGTGTATTATGAAACCTCATTAATTTAGGTACAAACTTTTTTTCCAAAAATTTAATTTACAAATAAGATTTATAGATTAAATTTGAGAATTTGAAAATATTTAAAAAAGTCAATTTTAACTTAATTTAAGGTTTATTACATGAGTTTTAAAATATAATTTGAATGTAAAAAATGACTAAAATAAAATATTTAGTAGAAAATGTACATTGATTGTAATTATATTAATAATAGGATTAGAAAATTTATCAATTTTATTTTTATAATTTTTATTTACAATTTATTTATATATTTTTTATTTGTGTTATCAAGAGAAAATTTCACTTTTTTTGTCATTATTCCTTCATATATTTGTTTATTTATTTATTCGTGTATTTACTCACTCACTACTCATAGAATTGTGTGTAAGTTTTTTTCCAAGAATCTACCTCTTTGCACTTTTAATCAAATATCTTTTATAGGTGCTCGATTTCTGATTAAAGGACAGAGTAGCTTTGGTACTGAGATTAGTTAGATTGATTGCTTTAGTGTTGTTATTATTAGAATTACTACTTTTATGAAGATGAGAGTTGTTGTTCAGGTTATTTTGAATTTGATAAAGATCCTCTTTGCTATTGTTAATACTGTTATTCAACTTGCGATCTGATTGGCTATGGAGAAACAAAACTGTTTTAATTTTATGCTTGTCTAGATAATGGAGATTCGTAATTTCTATTCATGAGGACTTGATCATTTGTTTCGAGATAAAGCTAACCCTTTCCACCAGAAGTTGTTGACAGTTTACCCAATTAGCTAAATTGGGCTTACGATTTCATATAATAAGCAGGATTAGTCTTAAGTTCAATAATTTCTTATTCTTTAAGAAGCAATTATTTCTTGAGATTTTCGTTTTATCTCACAAGTTCCTCAAGCATACACATATCACAATCATCACAGTTTTCTTCTTCAATATTTTGTTGTGGTTCACCTGAATCCATTTAATTGTATCCATGAATAGGATCTTCTTATTGTTCATTTTAAACACTATCTAACTATTACTCATTTTATTACTGATAGTTCTTTCCTCCCTGACTCTCCTTCATAAATCTTGCACTACTATGAGCAGATGAATCTTTTTTTAATAGAAATTTAATTAATTTAAAAATATTAAAAATTAATTAACAAATAATGAGATAGAAAATCTGAAAGTAAAATTTAAATATTAATTTGATAAATTATATTTGTAAATAAATGCATAAAAAAATTAATTTAATTTTGTACAGCGATGAGAGTGCTTTGATGATACAGAATTATTTATATCATTTTAGTTTTGATGGTGAGATCTCTTTCTGTTATTATCGTCTTGTTATAACTCTTCTTCGTCTTAGATGTTGAGCTCTTTTTTGAGTTCTTGAATACTTTGCTGGATCTCGTCATGCTCTTCATCACCTGGACCTTTTTGCACTAAAATTGATTTTAGCTCTTGAGTTTCTCTTTTTAACTGTTCATGTTAATTTTTGCTGAGGCTGAAGTTGTGCTGAACTACTTGCAAATTATTTTCCATTTCTGTAAGACTCTTAAGTAATTCATCGTATTCAGCTTAGATTAAATCTCTTTGTTAGTTTAATCTCTCAATTTCTTAGTTCTTTTACTCAAGAAGCTCTTGTAACTCAGTTATGTGCTTGATTGCATCTTCTTTAATTTCAAGATTTTAGTTACGGGTTTCTTCAAGCTGATCTATTCTCTCCTTAAGTTCATTATTTTCTAAGATTAAATTGTCTTTCTTCATTTCTATTTCAATGTATCTTTGCTTTATCTGCTAAACTTCTTATTCCAAATAAGCTATCTAATCTGCTTATTCCCTAGCCTAATTCTAAACTCTTATCAAATCTTATTCAAGCTCTACATTTTTGGATACTAAACCTTCATTTTGCTATTCGTTAAATTCAATAAGTTATTTTTCACGGGTTTCATATTCTTCTTTGATGTTTTAAATTTATTTTTATAGTTCCTCTATTTATTTTTCCTATTCATTAACAGTGGCAGCTAAGGAATCTTGCATGTCCTTAGAAAACATATTCTTAATTTGTTCATTTTCAAGTAATTCATCATAATGACGAACTAATTTATTAGTCTTTTCCTAATTGAATCTACTAACATATTCAATATGCTAAGCTTGATAGAAACCTAGCTCATCTTTGACAGATTTTAGCAATTTGTTTAATCTTGCTATTTCATCTTGATAACTGACACTTCTCTCCTTTTATTCTTATTCCAATTCGCTTAGTCTTTTTGAGTAGTACTATTGCTTTTGCTGCATCTCAAGTAGCTCAGAGTCTCTTCTGACTTAATCTTATATTTATTCTTTGGGTTTATTTGAATCATAATTGCTTCCTTCGACTGAAGAATAGGCTTCTAAGCCTTATTAATTAACTTAGTCTAAATTATTGTTTTATCTCTATTGCTACATTTCTATAGCTTCTCTTTCTATATTATGCAGACGAGTTTTTAGTATTTCATTTTCTTCAAGGAGGAACTTGTTTTGATCTTTTTCCGAAGTGATATTTTAGATAAGAATTTGTAAATCTCCCTCCTTCTCTCTTAAGGCTTCTTGTAATTCTTAAATAATCTAGCTTTCAGGCTGATCTTTATTAATTGTGATAGGTTGTTGCTATGTGATGCTAGATCTCGAACCTCTAGACATTAAGCTAGAATATAAATCTTTAGTTTCTGCAGAAATCAATGGCTTCTTAATAAATTAAGCGTCAGCTATATTTTTCTTGAGACATTCATTTTCATCAAGGAGCTCTTTAATCTGCTTTTCATACAAATAAAGTTGCTATTCTAACTAACTTTTTTCTCCTTAAGAAGCTGAATTAGGAGCCTTATAGATACTGTTGATTAATTGCATACTTGTTTAGATGGATTGCTCTAGTTTCTGCTAAGCTGGAGATGGTTATTGATAAGATTAATAATTTGACTGATTAAGCTATTATTAAGGATTTGATTAGTAAAGTTATTGTAAAGAGGCAGGTTTTTTCTAAGAAGCTTTCAGGGAGTAAGATCCAGTTAATTAAGCTTGTGAGGAGCTGTTTTAATTTTCTTATTGATTCTAAAGCGAGTGTTAAGAAGATACAAATTGGGGCTAAGCTTTTTATGAATAGTTGCTCTAGTTACTGTAGTAGAGCTACTAATCATTTTTATCATAAACAACATTTTAAGGGTTTAAAGATGAAACAATGTCTTTGTCCATTTACTAAGAGCGATTAAGCACTCCTGACCTTTATAAATCCTTTTGGATGTCACTCTTTTTAGATTAGCTAATAGAGTTTTATAAAGACTATCTTTATGATTAATTGTTAGAGTTTCTTCCTTACTGATCAGCATCAAAAGGAATTTCGCCTTAACCACTCTGCAACTGGCGTTCTGTATTATTAGGATTGTTTTATTGATAGAAATTTTACTCTTATGTTGAAGCCATAAGAGAAGTAGGGTTATTAAGAATATCTTATTAATTTAATAAATTAGGATCATTTAAAAATACTTATTACTATCCTGTACTTTTATTGCTTCTTATTGACTATTACAACGGATTTTCTCTTTGAGAAGCGACCATATTCTGAGCATTACTACCAGATTTCAAACTGCTTTAGAGTGATCCTTGTTAATTTTATTTAATTTATCCACTTCTTTACAAATTAGTGTTATCTTCAGCTTGCTAATTATTGTCATTTGGAAGAATTTGCTAGTTTGGTTAAATTTCAGATTGACCTACTGAATTATATAAAAAAGGATTTTAGTAAATTTGAGGAGCATGCTCAGATTTTTCATTTGGAATAGAAGCCCTCTTTACTTTATCCTCAGATGCTTGCAAATTCTAGCTAAAACTCAAATTTTGAATATCTTCATTGATGCTTTAATAATCAGATTTCAACTTTTCAATTTCTTCTATTTTTTATTAGTCAATGTTAACATTACGATCTTGATCAAGATTTTTAATTAAGTCTATTAAATAATCCATCTATGCTAGGAGCTTTAATTCGTGTTCTCTAGCTGCAATTTCCTATCTCAGCTTCATTTAGTCGATATCTTGAGGACGAAGGGGAACGCCTTCTGTTGAGACGTAATTCTAGAAATGAAAAGGGGCTGATGGTGTTTGCATTTAGGCAAGCTTCTAGTGTAATAATGGCGATAAGTCTGCATGTGTTGATTCTGTTTGCTATCCTCTCTAGTGATAAGGTACTCTTTTTTATGTATTATCGCTAAAAGGAGAAGTGTAATCAATCTTTATGTTTATGCTAGCTGGCTCTTTGCTCTGAGAAGAAGATAAAATTGGCTATTGCTTCTGAGAGCTGCTAGTATTTTTATATCTGATAGGTGACTAAGAGTGTTTGTTGCAATAATGGTGACTCATTTCTTGCTAAAGGAAGCTATTTTAATAAATACGAATATAAATAAATATCTTTAAATATTATTTAGAGGTGTCTGCCTTTTTAGTATTTATTAACTTGTTTTTAATAAAATTAAGTCGATTCCTTGATTGAATAGGATTTTGAGAGTATTTATTTTTTTGCTTTTAATTCCTTCTTTATATTGTTATCTAAACGAATATATATTGTTTGATTGATTGTTTGTTTGTTTGGTTAATAAATTAATTGCTAATATTAAAAAATATTTATAAGTATGCAAATTAATTTTTATTATTCTTATTGTTTTTCTTTTGACAAATATGTCAAATTCAAATTTCAGCCATTCATTAAAACTTTTCTTTTCTCGATCTTAAATAATTATTATTCTAATTGATTTATTAATTTTTATTTTTGATATTTCTTTCATTGGTTGCTTACTTTCCACTTCTTTTGGCGAGTCATCTCTTCATTTTTCAATCTCAATTAGATATCTTTAGATTTTATAAATGAAATAATAAATAAATAAATTTAGATATTTTTAATTTGTTTTTATTTTTAGCAAAGCAATGCTTATTAAATTTTTAATTAATGTTTTGTTTTTTAAGAAAATTAAAATCCTTACTTTTATTTAATTACAAAATTATTTTTAATTTCAAATCGTTTAATGATGTAACATTTTAAAGTAATAAATTAGCTATAAAATTTCTAATTTCTTCCAAAAAATTAACAAATACAGGTGTTCTTAATTTTGTAAAAATATCACTATGAAAAGGGTAAGATTTATTATGTTATTAATTTATGTTTATAATTTAAATAAAATATATTTTTATGGAATCTATTCTCAAATTTTTTACATTAAAATCTTATAAAATATCTTTAACATATTTAATTGTTAATAAAAATTTTTGAAGTGAAAAGTAAATTTTTTTTAAATTATAATCTAAATGACATAAATATTTATATATAAATATGTTTGACAGTATAATATTTTTTAGATTTTAAGTGGTTTAATTATAATTTTAAGTTAGTTTAATTTGAAAAATATTTAAATTAATTTTATTTGAAAAGTTGTTAATTTATTTTTTATTTTATTGTCCAATTTTGTAGTTTTTTAAGATCAAAAGAAAGATGCAAAAGACTCTGATAATACTAATAATTCTATCACTTTTTCTACCTCTTCAAATGCTATGTAATAGTAAGCATTTGATGGCTTTATTCCAATAGTCACATAAAGAGGTTTCATTTTCTACATTAAATAAAGTAAGGCTTTAATTTTATTTTTAATAAAAATTATTTACTTCTTAAAATTCTTTATTATGATTTCTGTAAAACATTTGGCAAGCACAGAACATATCTTCGTCAGTCATGCTGCTTCCCAATATTAAAATGTAATCTATTTTGCCACACTCTATGATTTTCCTTTCTATTAGCAGCTCTGCAACTATTCCCTGTTTTTACAACACAAAAAAAACATATTAATAAAATAAATATGTTTTGTAAATGTAAAATATAATTAATTAATTAATTAATTACTTTATTTAGATTGCAAGGCCTAACTTCTACACTTTCGTTATGGTGTGATATTTCTAAGTATTTTAGCTAAGAAATATTAGATTCTAATTGTAGGAATAGTTATTCTGCTTACTTGGCCCCAAAATCTATGTTAACTTTGTTATATTTCCATATTACACTACTTTCTTTTACTTCTACAGAAGAACCTTGAGTTCTAATAGCATAGCTTTCCATGATTCTATAAACTGGCTCTTTCCAGCTCATATCCAAATCAATTAACCTAACCCACTCTGTATTTGGTTTTCCTCCTTCTTAGATCACTTTGTGGAAGTAACCGTTTTCACATATTAATCCCAAACCTTTTACATCTGAAAACCATTCATCCATGAAATCTATTGATAGTTCTGTTACTATATAAACCATATTCCTTTTATCAGCACATAGCTTTTTTAAATTCTCAATCATCTTTTCAGAAGGTTTTTAGTGATGTCTAATTAAATAAAATTAAAATGTTTAAATTCAATTTTTAGTATAATTTATTTATTTATTTATTTACCTTCTTAATTAATACTCTTCAGCTTGAATATACATGTATTTATCTAATGGAACAAGAGTGCCAACGTATCCAAATATTATTAATCTTCTCACACTTTTTCTATAAAACTCTGTTGCTTCTTTGATGTTTAGCTATTTAAAATATGCAGAATGAGCAACTTTTTTAAAGTTAATTCCTTTGTTTGACCCTGTCATGTTGGCTTGAGACATAAACTTTGCATTCTTTTTTAGTTCTCCAATATGCTTTTCAATCCATGTGTTAGTGTTGAATTGCTACAAAATTTCAACATCTTTGGAAAGTACTTTTTCCTTTAAGGACAACGAAAGAGATTAAATATCGAGTATATTTTTCTCAAATTCATAGTAACTGTTTGGATTGAAAGCTATACAACTTCTGATTTATTTGTAATTGTAAGATCCAAATTTATTAATCAATATAAATCCACTTTATTGGTTGGCTAACACATACTCCAAAGGATATATTTCATTTTCTTAGAAAACACTAGTTTTCAAAAATATATCAGCAAGTTTCATATAAGCCAGTCTTTCTTTGAGAGTCATGTTTTGATAAATAACCAGAAGCGGATTTCTGCTCCTAAAATTTTTTTGAATTTCATTAGCAATCCTGTTAATGCTTTTCATGAGTTCTTTATTACTATAATTTCCTTGAGTAGAATAATTCTTTTACTTTTAATTAAAATGATAAAAATATTAGATAAATGAAATCAAAAATATTTTGATACTTCAGGAAGTATGATTTAAATCAATTAAACTTTGAGATCAGGATGATTACACAAAAATCTCTCATATAGTTTAAATTTCAATTCAATTTTATTGTTTTCGTGCAAGGTATCCACAGAGAGCATCAGTAATTGATTATCTTGGTTTAATTAATTCACTCTTATTTTTGTCACATATTCTTCATAATATTGTTAATGCTTTATGTAATTAATTGCTTTTATATTTACTCCAGGGTTTCTAATGTGGATAATTATTTGGTTTCCCATATAAATTAGTCTTAAATTACCACGAATTGACTCATAAGGAAGTTTCAACTTCACTCTTATAAACTTCAAAAAATTTTATGCAGCTTCAAAATTCATAAATGAGACCATATTAGAGCATAGAATGGCATTAATGAGCTTTTCTCCAAAAGGAAGTATCATTAACTTATCAATATCAGGGAACTACGAATCATGAAAATAAGCTATACTCAGTTTATTTGCTCTACACTATGAAATATAAATGATAGAAAAGATTATCCTGTAATCAGCAATCATAATGTTTGTATCAACATCTATAATCTTACTTATTTACTAAGCAAATATAAAGCTTATTTTTTTGACTTCTTCAAATATCTTTGAATTATACTCTATAAATCTATATAAATAAATATTAATAAATTAATACTATTATGTTGGTTGATCTACAAAAATAATTTATCACAAATTCACAGAGTAATTTTAAATAAATGTTTCACAAATAATTTTTCAAGTAATTTTATTATTCTTTAAAGCAATTTTTCATTAAATATTTTTACTATTAATTTTAAGTCTATTTTTCACAAATAATTTTTCTATTAATTTTAAATCTATTCTAAGTAAATTAATTTACGAATTCTTTTAAAGCAATCTTTTATTCATTTATTGTTTTTACAATTAATTTTAAATCTTTTTTTTATAAATTAATTTTTCTATTAATTTTAAATCTATTTTTCGTGAATTCATTTTAAAATTCTTTTAAAGCAATCTTTCATTAAGTAATTTTAAATCATTTTTTTCATATCTTTCAATTTATTTTAAAGTTAATTTTTCAGAAATACTAAAATCAATTTTTCAAAAAATCTTTTTATTGAAATTATTGAAAATTGAAAAAAAAAATTATATTCAAATTAAATAAAAAATTTTTTTTATTTTCAATTTAATAAATCAGCATTTTGCATTTTGAAAAATAGTAAATTATTATTATTATTATTATATATAATATTAAAAAATAAAATTTTAGTTGAAAATGAAAATAAATTAAAAATAATTTTTAAATAAAATTTGTTTAATTAGTGATAAAACTTACCTGAAATGTTAGAGATCAAATTGATTTGTCATAATGTTATCATACATGTTGAAACAAAAGTTGTTTAGAAAAGAATCAATCATTTCATTCTCCATAAAAACAGGATAAAATCTGTATTTGTACATAAGATAGTTAGCTAACTATAAGAAAAAATGAGATTTAACTAGAGGTATTTTAAATTATAAATGAATAAATTTACTTTTTCATGCAAATTAGATGGAATTTAATAGTAATTTGGCAAAACACCTACCCATCTCAGGCTTGTATATGAGTTGTAAAAGTGAAAATAAAGTGAAGACTCTTAGATTTCTTCTTTGAAGGTATCGGTAGCTTGGTCATATGTAACTATAATAGGCAGGAAAAATGTAGCAAGACAAAGCTCATCTTTTTCAGACATGTTAACAAGAAATTCTTCACTTGCTTCAAAAACAATATCATTTTCTGAAGTTATAAATGAGTATTTTTAATTTATAATGCTTTTTTCATGAATTTTTTTCATTTTTTCTTAGAAGAGGGTTTGCAAGGTATGACCGGAAGACTAGAATAGTTTTTCTGCAAAAATGGATTCTTATTAAGTAGGTTGTCTTCTTCCTTTTCTAATTTTACTTTTTAGGCTTTATTCACTTTATATAAGACCACATTCATCAGACTTGTTTGAAAGTGTTCCGCTAACTTTATTCAGGCTTGCCAATTTTTTTTGGCTTTTTTATGATGATAAACCTGATTAATCGCTTTCTTAATCTTTATTATTTCTTAAATTATTTTCTTCAAAATCATCCTCCTCTTCCACTCCAGGAGAGTCTTGATCTATCATTTTTTATTTTCGAATTAATTTTTTATGCAGCTCAGGATCTCCTAAGCTTTAATTATCTGTTTCTTGATCAGTGTCTTTAATTTCCGAAGTTAATCCTGTAAATTGTAAGTTTTTGCGAGGTAAAAGCTTGTTTTTCCTCATATTAGAATTGAGATCGCTCATTCTATCTAAATTGCTCTCCGATCTTTCTTAATCACTCAAGCTGTCAACATTTAATATGTCTCCATTTTCTCCAATTTTTTAGATATTTACTTTCTTGCCAAACAGTTGTTTCTTTTACGCTCCAGAGGCTTCAATCAGGGAATGATCTTGTGTGCCCATAACCTATACTGTTTGCATAGAATCAGTATTTTTGAAATTAGATGGATTTAAAAGAGAAGAATTATTAATCTGATTGCCTCTTTAGAGAGCTTTTGTAGTGTTGCTGCTAGCAGCGCTATTAATAGTGACATTCATTTCATCAAATTCATTCTAAATACTCGCATTTTCATCAAATTCAGATGCAGGTTTGCTACTTGGTTTTATTTATTACTTGCCAAATATTTCATATTCTTTAAATTAAGTATTGAATATTGGATTTTTAATGTTCTTTTATAATAATTTTGGAAGTGACTAATCATGACTCAGATTAACGCCTTAACTTTAAACTTATTGTTGCTCACCTTTTGATACCTTTTTGATATCTTCATTATCTTAAATATGATTAATTTAGTGGCTTTTTAGAAGCAAAGCATTTGTTTTGATTTATTCGTCTGTACCAAATTACTTTTAGTGGTTTGCATTATATAAAAATTATTAACAATTGAGCAAGTGCTGCTAATTATTATAGCTGATGTGATAATTATTTTATTGACTACTGGGTTATTTCTAATGGTTGTGGGATGGAACCTAAGAAACAGGACTAGCTTGTTCTTTATTTTAGTTTGCGCTTTTATCATCTTTCAAGTTGAGTACTTAAACCTATTCCTACTCAAAATTGTTATTTTATTGCATCAAGGGTAGTGGAGGTTAAGGAAGTCTTTGTAATTTTTTCTTTACTATTTAAGTTGAATTATCACTATCATTATTTGTAGCAGGATTATTGTTATTATTATTTTCTTTAAAATTATTTTATTTGTTAAAGTCTATATTTTCATCATGCTCTTCTATTTTCTTTGCTGCTCCGAAATCAGAATCGTTCGAGGAATCTGTTCCTGCTTGCTCATAAGGAACGAATACTCCCGATATTTTAAATTTATGCACCTTTATTTCATCTATATTTAGATATTTAATATTATATATACATTTAAAAATGACAACATCAATAAAAAAAATGTGATTAAACTGGCTTATAATTTTTATTTAAAACATATGAGAGTAGTCAAAAAGAGTTAATTTCTTGTAAAATTAAATAATTTTATTCTAAAATATTAGTTTGTTTTGCTAATAAATTGATAGATAGCAAATTAGGTAAATTATAAAGTTTCAATAATAGTGTAGTAATGTTATAAATTAATTATGCAAAATATCAAATTCAGAATAATTTTATTCTAATTTCAATAAATAAATATACTGTTTGAAAAGACATTAGAGCTGGCATATTTTTTATTTGGAATTTCTCTTCCTGAAAAGTCATTCCACACTGCTTTCAGCGTTACTGATTGATACCTGGTTCTGTATTTTCTATTCAAATTATTGGGAAAAACCTCCCATTCTTAGTTGCCTTGTCTTAGCTTTACAAATTTAAATTGAAATTTGGATCCTATTATTTAATTGATTTATTTATTTATTCTAAAAAATACTTTTTATTCTTATTTTGTTGCATTTTTTCTAATTCATTTGCTTGGAGACAAATTTAAATTTAAAAATATCCAACTTATTAAATGATGAACCTTTGCTTAACTAGATAATTGACAACAAATTATATCGTCTCCATGTTTATATTGTCTGCTAACATAGTTAATTTTGCTTATTGGTCTTCATTTAATACGCTTGACTATTTTATCTTTTATTTATTAATGTAAAAGTGGTTTACCTTTTTGCAACATCAAAGGATTTTCAGTGTACCAATTTGGGTAATTATCATCATCTGTTTTCATTACTATTCCTTTGTATGGATTCCAATTACCTAACTGGGGAGTATTGCCTACGATAATAAGCTATTCCCCAAACGCTGTTTTGCATATAATTTCGAACTTAACTTCGCAATCTGCTATGATCATAATCGCTAAAAAAAAAATTTTTACAAGTAATCTTTGATAGCAGATTTATTTTCCTTATACTTATTTCTATTTCTTAATATATTCTGCTTGCTTGTTTGTTTGCTTAAACAAATTAATGATAATCTATTAATTTCACAGAGATTTTCATTTACAAAAGATGAAGTAACAAATTCATTCATCATTGAACATAAGAATATTTTAAAAGCTTACATATTAATAAACTAAAACAGAATTTTAATTAAATATCTTCCAAAAAAAATATTGATTTTTCATTCATAAATCGAAATTGAGCAATTATTGAAGACGCAAAATATATCACTTAAAACCCTTTTAAATTCTAATAATAGCTCCTAAGTATTCAACTTTATTTTTTTGATTTATTTTCTTTCAGGTTTTTTTTGATCTTATCCAAAGCAAAGACTACTAAAAAATTAGTTTTATTATTTGTAAAAAATGATTTGAATTTTATTTTAAAAAGTTTGAAAATAATTATTTTATAAATTGATGGAATATTAAAAATATTACAGAAAATTATGTTGATTCAAATAAATATATCTTGTTTAATAATAATTTCATTTTTATTTCAAGATAATTAGTGAGAAAAATAAAAACATACTTTGAAATAATATTCATAAGATGTTTTTATTTTAGTAAATGCTAAAAATATTAATGAAAATTTTAGTTTTTTAGAGAAATTTTATTAAAATTGTTTTGCATTTATAAAAAATAGTAAAAATGATATTTTTGATCTCTTTTTTTGAAATTATAGTTTATAAGATTGAAATTATTTAGATTGCAAACTTAAATTAAATAAATTTTTGAATTTAGTTTTAATAGACATAATAAAATTCTGAAATCAAGCTTTTAGAATGATCTCATATTAAATTAAAAAATTAATAAAGAATCCAAGAAATTTTAAATGATAATTAAAATTATTTGATTTTTATACCTTATAATTGAAATATTAAGATATAAATATAAATCCACATCCAGTAAATTATAAAAAATTAATAAGTTTTTGATATTATTTTAATGAATGATATGAGATAAAAAGCTTTGAAAATAAATGCTATTTTTTTATATAGAATTCTTTTAGTTAGTTTGTACTTAAAAAAATAAATTAAACCTAATAAAAAATAGTTTATAAAAAAATAATTTTTAAAATAAATATTTTTTTTCAAACTAAAACAAAAAAAAACTCAAATTTTACAAATTATAAGCAAATTTTTGTATTTGATAAAAAATTTTGATTTAAAAAAACAATAAAAAAGAAAACAGTGATTTTTCAATCTTATTTTTTAGAAGACTCCTGCTTTTACTATGTTGCATTCTCATAAATTTCTGAAGAGTAGAAGTATGTAACATTGCTAGGATCTTAATTTTTAATATAGTTGTATCTATCATTAATTGTTTCATAAGCAAAGCTCTTTACTTAAGAGCTACTAATAAATGGAAAGAGAATTTATTTCTTAAATTTTTAAAATCTTTGTTAAATTCTTGCTTGGAAGTTCTTTAGTGAGCCCTCTCCTTTAATAGCATTAGAAATAGAGTTAAATTACTACTTTTTGACAGTTTAAATTTCTATTCTCTTGTCCAACTCATTTATAGGATAAAGAATGTTAGGGTCATTAAATATTGCTATTAAAAACTTCTCTGTAATAGATTTGAAATCATTTTCTTCAATGTCTTATTATATAAATAAATAAATGTAATTAAATTAATAATATATTTTTTTTAGATAAAATTAAATTGTTAAAAATAAAAATTTAATATTTTAAATTTTGAAATAGAAAGATTTACCATATTTTTTAAATACCCAGCTCATTTTTCTTTATTCGATAAACTATCTTGACATACTCTCACACTCATAGAAAACTGCAGATAATTCTTCTTAAGTGAATTTTATATTACAGTTTGGAGGATTAGGATATTTCTTTTTCCTATCCTAGATTTGTTTTGACAAGATGCTTTGCAACTTAGCTATGTTTTAACTAATGAATTAACTGGAGCCTTATTGTAAGTCATAATTTCTTTATAAAAATAAATCAAAAATTAGATTTTTTTTGAAAAATATAAAAGTAAGTTTTACTTAAAAAGACTCCTAGAGAACTCTTCATATTCACTTTAAGGACCTTAAATTCTTTATCTTAGTCTCTCATTATATTCTTCTAACTCTGTGGATTCTAAGTGCGATCTCATCTGTTTATAAATTTAATAATAAATTAATTGTTTCTTGTATATAAAATATAATTACCAAAAATTTAACATCCTCAATATCCATGGAGTAGGAATACTATCTTGTAACTCCAGATCCTCTTACTTTCCAAGCAATGAAGGTGTCTATCTCGGGCTAACGTCCAATTTTTTTGGTTACAAAGAACATAATCTCATCACTTATTGAAGTCAAAATTTTTCTTAAGTAAGCAAAAATTACACTCAGAACTGCAATTAAAGGATGAATAAAAATCATGCTTATAATACTAACTATAATCTCAAATAGGCCAACAATTAAATCAAAAGAAGCTTTAACAATAGGTAGTCTTTCAAATGTCTGATATCTCAAATAATCATATGGGTAATAGATTTAGCTGTGTCTAGTAGGAGAATCAAAATCCCACACAAAAATGTGATACAGCCATCTAAAAACCAAAGTGATAGGTATCCAAAGCCAGCTTGTTATTGCTAAAGCAAAACTAAATAAGCAATTGAGTATTATTACAATAGGCATCAAAATGCCTACTAAGAATATAGCAACAAACAATAATCTAAATACATAGCACTCAATGTATTTCACACCTCTAGCAAAATTTTTGCCAAATAAACCTCTATCTGGTAATGCTTCAAAATCTTCCATTGTCTTTTTTATTCCATTTAACGTTGTTTTTAAAATATAAACATATGGATGAAAGTATCCATAGTTCTTTTCCTCTCCAGTCCTATACTCAACATACTAATTTTTGATATAAATTTATTTAATATTTTTGCAATTTAATTTCAAATAATAATTTAACATCAATAAAATTTTTTATTAAAAATCCAATATAAAAAAAAAAATTTATTTTATTTTAATCAAATTTTTTTATTTATTAATTTTCCTCTTTAATTAATCAGAAAAATAGAGAGATACTTCAAGAATAGAAAAATGTATTTTAAAAACATAAAATAAATTACTGTTCCTCTAGAAAAAGGCTAAGTATAGAATAGACTCTTGAGACCGAATTAGCCATTAATTAGATTTTAAGTTAGATTGATGAAGACATTGATTGTCCAAACTTTATATCTTAATACTTGCAAAACTACTCTCCAACCAAAAAAGTCAGTGTTTGTTTTGTACTCTTTACCATTTTCGTATTGATAAAAAGTTACTCCATTGTAATCTTTAGATTGAATGATTTTGTAGGGAGGCATATATTTTTAGAAAGTGCTAAAAACTCTGCAAGGAGTAGTGCTTTATTGTTGTATTCTTTTGTAGTTGTCATTGTAAATCTGCTTGAAGGCCTACTAAAATTCAGTGAAGCGAACAAATAGTATCACTTCGCTTTTTAAGTTGGCTTAAGTTAAATCTTTTAGTATTTTTTAATTGCAGTCAACTACTAATTTTTCAATAATTGGTTGCATTTATTCTTTTACCACTCTTGATTTCCAAAGTTCTACTCTTGACTTAATAGGGTGTTTTTCCTTAATCTCTTTAATTTTCTCAGCTTCCTTTTCGTTAATTTACTTGTTTAGTTCATAGTATTAGCGATTTGTAATCTAAGTTGCCTAAATCAAGTTAATTAAGTGCTACTAGACATCCTTTTCTTTGACATATGTGCCACTTTAAATCAAATTGAAAAGATAATTTTACTTTTCTTAAAATATCTCCATTAAGGCTTCATCCTCACTTTTATCTGATTTCTCTAATTCCTTTATTTTTTCGGTTTCGTATTTACTAGCCCACTTATCAAAATCTACGCTTAGCTAGTTAAAATCAGCAACTGCGTTTTAAAATTATTTAATTTCTTTTTCATCTAATTCAAACTTGGACTTATCTCTATAATACTAAGACTTAAATACGAACTCAAAGAAAGAAACACGCATTTGCTAATGGTGCTGCTTAAGAGTGGCTTTCATTCTCTCCTTAAGAATCTCACTGATGACTTGCTGCTTTGAGTAAATTTAAACTTTCTTTATACCAAAAGTTAGATTCAAAGCCTTTGAGAAGAGAGACAAAATTGTCTAGAACCCATCAACTAGATTTGGGTTTAAGATTTGTGATTTTAAAAAGTAATTTCTAGCAAATTTAGGAGTAATTCTGCATTGTATTTGCAATAATTAATGCCATGCCACACTAAGAGCCTACTAAAAGCTTTTTGTAATTTACTCCTCTCCTCTTATAATCCAATCATTTATTTTCCAAGTAGTGACCTGGTCTTCAGTTTGACCTTGCACTTAGAATTCACCTTTCTTAATTAAATTGAAAAAAATTGTATATTAAGTTAAAATTTCTGATAATTAATCAATATATTTTAATAATTATTATTGTATATCATTTTAGAATTTTTATTACCAAATTTAGATAGAATTATTAATAAAGTTATTAAAATAAATTACTTGCTTAATCTACAAGCATTGATCAGGAGTTAATTTTTTCATTTCGCTTGTTCCAATCTCCTACTTAGGTTAAAAGAACTGAATGGGAGCTTCATTTCCAGTAAACATAGTGGAAGGTAAGTTGAACTGCCAATTATTCACATTGTCCCATGTATAAAGGTGAGTTTCAAGTACTTTATCTATTTATTCAACAAGATTTTGGATATCTTTATTGCTTTTTTCAAGTTCTTTTCTGCTTGAGTGGTAAAGCTAAGAAGGCTTCACTTATGACTTAGTTGGTAGATTATAAACATTTTCGTCATCTAAACTGAAAGGAGCAATGTTGCTATCGCTTTATCTAATTAGATTTTTTTCCTCTTGCATTTATATTTTAGATGTATCTTCCTTTCTATTAATATTTTTTATGTTTATTATTAATTATAAGTAATTAAGATATAAAAACACAAATTTAATAAAATTTTGCGAAGTTTGTTTTAATAAAAAGAAAATATCGATTGAATGAATATATTTTTTCTATCAATGTTTAATATGTAAGATAAATCCTGAATTGGTGATGCAAACATAAAAACTGATTTTAGAAAAATCAACTATTTTTTTTAATATAAATTAATTAGATAATCACGCTTTCAAAACACTTAGCAATATCCTATTTATCTTTGGGGATATTTTACACTTTGAGATATGAATAACGATAATATTAACTTCATTATATACTAATTAATTAAAATAGAGCAAAATTAATTTGAAATATGACATGCATGCGTCATGATAAATAATGTGAATCTTTCTATATCTTCAACTTTTAAGACTTTATAAATTCTGGTTTGAGAAATTTCATAAAAAAAGAAAAATTAAAATTTTAGGTCAAAGATTAACAATTTATATTAAGATTATTCAATATCTATTTTGGTAGATGCATCTAATTGCATTTACTGTAAACTAAGTATTTTCACATTAACTTGCAAATAAAGTTTGATTTTTTAGCAATAGAAAATATCTTAATTACTAAAATTATCCTTAAGAAAATATTTCTAGATCTTTATTTTTTTAAAAACTTTAAATTCATTCAGTAGATACGTGATTTAAGTGACATTTTGAGAAAAGTAAAAATTAAAAATTATTTGACAAAATCTTGTAAAAATATTATTTAAATTGAGCCTAATTCTTTTAATTTACACTTGATGTTAGTAAAACTTAAATATTACTTTAGAAAAGTTTAATTTATAATAAGATAAAATAAAAAGAAAAATGGTATTTTAAGCTGATGATACAAAACTTATTTATTATTTTTTAATCAACATCTACTTATTTTTATTAATTACATTTTTGAATCAGGATAGTATGTTTGAAAAGATAAATCTAAAATATCTCAAAAACTCAAGAGAATCAAAAATAAGAAATAGTTTATAAAATTTGATTCTCAAAAATACTTCAAAGAATTCAAATATTTAATCAGCTAGATTATTGATAAAAATAAAATTTTATATCAATTAAATAGTATATTTTATATGAATTAATTCTAAACTTGATGAGAAAATAACTATTTTATTCAGTTTTAGTATATCTTGATCTATTAAAAAAATCAAAAGGAAATTGAAAATATTTTAAATATTTAAAAAATATGATAAATAATATAAGATTAATATTTGTTTGTCATAAAATAATCCATTAAAATTTGACGTTAAAATTGAAAATAGAAAGCTATTTATTTTTCATAATTTTGCCTTTCAGAAACCACAGCTAACAAAATTATTAGTAAATCCTTTTTTAGAATTTAACTTATAATAAAAAACTATGTAAATAGTACAAAAAAATTTTGTTCCAAAAGATATAAAAATCAAATAAAAGATAAATTTTATTAAATGATCAAATTAAATAATGTGCTTACTCTTTCAATAATTATCTAAATTAAATTTTATTTTTAATAAATTTTTATCAATATGATAAAAGAAGATTTTTTAATCGAAATAAAATAATTTTTTATATTCAAATAATTTAAATTAGATGATAATTTTGATATAAATAAAAGTAATTTGTTAGAACATTTAATTTTTTTATGTAAAAGAAGCTTTTTAAGTTAATAATTAGAATGATTTACGATGACAAATGAAGACCAAGTAATAAACAGAGAATGTATATAATGAATTAAAATTATTGAGATTTAATCTAAAATTTAAATAATAAAAAGTTGAGTTGATAACAATTTCATCCAATATAATTGAATTTATTTTCTTAGTAAATAACTAACTAAATAAGATTCTCCTTTTGTATCATAAATTTAATTGATAAGATAGCTTGATACTTAGATATATTGTATCCTGTAATTTACCGATAGAACATAAATTAGTGAAGCACACACTTGTCAATGTATTCAATCTTAATATTAGTGAAAGTATAATTTCAATGTTTGTTTATAAGCTTGGAAGTCAGCTTAGTATTATAGTTAGGATTTAAGAATGCTTTATAGATAGTTAGATTGGTTGGTTGATAGATAGATAGATTTATAGATTGTTTAGTTGATAGATTGATTTGTTGCTTCATGTCATATACTAAATTAAAAAATATATAATAATATATTAGAGATGAGTGATTGATAGATTTTTATAATGTCAAATACTATTTTATTATTAAAAAAATTTATTAAATTCTTTCACTTATCCTTAACTTTTAAATATTTAATAGCTCTTGTTTGTTTTTTTATTTATTTATTCACATAATTTTTTATTAAAATAAATTAAAAATCTTACACATCGTCATCACAGCCAGCTAATTTGATATAAAAAAAATAGTTAATATAAAAGTGATTAAATAAATAATAGAATTGTGGATTAAAATAATGTTATGTATAAAGAAAGATTATAATTTGAGTAGAAAATTCTTGAAAGATATGTATTAAAATTGAATGATTTTTACATTAAAAGGCAATACATATCAAATTAATTAAAAATCCAGAAAAGAAAAGAAATAAACGAATAGATTTATCATTCTATCTATTAACTAGTTAGTTAATTAATTAAATAAATAAATAATTACCAATGCATTCAAGTTATTCAAGCATAAAACTATTAGAGAAGAATACAAATTCAGGATTTGCTTTGCTTAAAGTAGATAGCTGAGTTTATTTCATTGACATTTCGAAATTTCTATTAATTTAATGCAGGAAAATTAATTTTATACAATTGGAAATATCTTTAAAGTTTAAGAGAAATTAAGATGCATGCATCATAAATAAACATATTCAATTATAAATTTAATGCTTATAATTGCAATCAAAATGTTAAATTTAATAAAAAATGATGTTGTTTCTCACATGTTTAAAGTGCTTATGCTATATTTAGGCATAGAATATGCTAAGTTAACGCTTTTATTAAAATTTTGGCTCTTTTAAAAGGCTCTACATGAATTTGCTAAGCGGAATATCCCTCTCATTATTCTTACTATATATACTTTTCTTAGTTTATCTTAAATTATTTTTGACAAATTATTTATTTCTAAGATATTCTCAAAAATACCATTCAATTTATCATCAAATTAAAACTCTCAATTTTCAAATTTCATCTTTTTGAAATTCTTTATTTTATAAAGAAAATGCTAATTTGATTTACAAACAATTAATTTTTGCACATAAAATGTTAAAAATAAAATTATTTTTATTATAAATTACTCAAATATTTTCTATTATTAACCTATTATTTCCAAATAAACTTAATTTTAAAACTAATAAAGCATTTATTGAACTTAAGAAATTAAATTAATAGGTAAAAAATACTAAAATTGAGATTAAAATTTATTTTAGTGTATTTCTTTTTTTTTTAGTAACTAAAAATGTTTAAGACTTAATCGTTTTTAAATAAACTTTGAATTAGAATCGATTATATTAATTCTTTAATTACTTTATAAAATTTTTACTTTAAACTATTCTTAAAAAGTTATATTGCAATAAGATAAATATTTATATTAATAAAAATAAATACTAGATAATAGACTTAGCAAATGTTAATAAATAATTAAAAAATATATTATTTTAAAGCTAAATTCTTAACGATTTTTTTTTGATACAAAAATATGTAAATTTAATATCAATTAAAATTTGCTATTAAATTTATGATAATGACTAATGAGTTTTTATATATATTTTAGAAAATTGTAGTGACCACTAAAATCTAACAAAAAAAAAAATTAATTTATTAAATAAGTAAAAAATATTTAATTTATTACTTTAAATTTTGCCTTAAAATTTTTAAAAAGTGTTATTTTTCATTCATTTAATTTATCAAGCTTATAGATATAAAAATAATTAATAATTGTAATTAAATTTGTGAATAATTTGTATCATTTTTAAGCTCTTTCTTTAAACCACATTAAATTAAGTAATAATACTTGACTTAGTAGAAAAAGATTAATTTCTTTATCATTTAAATTTATTATTCTTAACATAAATAAATAAAAATGTTTCATAAGTTGATATATTTATTATTTCATTTATTGATTGGTTATCTTTAATAGTTCTTATGAAGGAAAAAAAATGAATCCATCATAAAATGAGTTCAAATTAAAATAAGAAAATATAAGTTTTCTCTTTAATTTAATTGAAAATATTATGAAGGTAGAATAAATATTTATAAAAAACTATTTTTTTATTTTCAAATCTATTTGAATATAAAATCAATTGAGATCAAATCTTAAGGAAATGTTATTAAAATTTAGTAATTAATTGAATATATATCAGATATTTCAAAATAAAATATTATTTGAAATAATATATTCGTTTTTTTTATTATTTTATCCCAAAATGTCTAAAAAATATATCTCAGAGAATGCTTTTTCAGTAAAAATAAAATCTAAAACGAAAAAAAGAATCAATTAAATTAATTTTAAAATATTTTATAATCAAATAAAAAATATTTCAGAAGGAAACTTCATTTTTATATTAAAGATAAATTAAAGACTCTATTGACCATTATTCACATAAATAACTATGAAAATTATAATATGATTGAATTGAATAGAATTCAATTATAAAGAATATTTTTTTCAGTAGATTCAGAATTTAATAGACTTCTGATCTTATCTCTATTTATTTTGATATAGACTTAATAAAAAATAATAGTAAGCTTTTTAATGGTGAAATTAATATAGTAAACTAAATACCAATTTTTCTGAAAGCTTAATAAAATAATTAATTTAACATTTTAAAGATATTTGAATATTTAAAAGGAAAGTAGAAATGATTATTTTTATAAATTTAAAACTGTTATGTTATTAATTAATTGAAAGATAAAAAGGGTTTTGCAAAAAAAAAGATAGATATAAAGAAATTAATTTACAACAATTATATATAATTATTATTATATGAAATAAAATAATCATTTGGAATAAATAAAAATTTTTTGTAATTTTAATTTATTTGATTTTTATATTAGAGATTGTTAATTGCATAAAAAAATAAATGCATTCATTCATTTAATCATTAATTTTTTAATTAATTAAGTGAGAGTTTATTAATATTTTGATGTATTGATAGATAGATAGATGCAAATTCTTTGAGTTTTGGAGTTTGATTTTTATTAGATTTTACTTGATTTTGAATATAATTTAATTGCAAATAAATACATTAATTAGAAAAAATAAATTACAAAAAGAAAAAGTACAAAATTTCATAAAAATGAGCTTCTAGGTAAAATAAATGATTTGATTTTTTAAATAGCAATTTCATAATTACAAAAAAAATAAAGACCACTGACTCTAAAAAGGAAGAATTCAGAAAATATTTAGAAAAGGCTGGCGTTGTTGACCAATTAACTAGAGTTTTAGTAGGATTATACGAAGAGCCCAATAAGCCTAATAATGCAGTTGAGTAAGATTTGAAAAATTTAAATTTAAAATGGAACTATTTCAGTTTACAATAAACTTCATTTTTAATCTACTTTTATGCAAATGGTGAAAATGGTTATTAATTTAATTATTTAACAAAAAGTTACATCAAGAAATATTTAGGTTCTCCAACCGACATAGATGTTGAAAGATTGTAAGTTGAATATGAAAAGCTTAAAGACGAAAATTTAAGATTAAAAAAGACAGTAGAAGAACTCAAAAAAGAAGTAAACATTTTTCAATTTCAGTTTTAAATAAGCTACAAGCAGTGCTTTTTCTAAAACTTTATTCTAATTTCATTTTTATATTAAAAAAGCTTGAATAATTGAAGCCTGAAGACAATTGAGAAGCATTCGAATAGTATAAATTACAGCATCAAAATAAAAATATATAACTTATAGCAAGGATCATTAACTTTAAAACTACACATCAAGCAACAAAGCAACCAATCAATAAATCCAATGCAATAGCTATGTCTATAAGAAACTCTCTTAAAAATGCATTTATATTGCACAAAGCTAATTAAATAAATAAGCAGAGTTCAGTATAAATGTTGTTAATTAGTTAGTTAGTTTGTTATTAAGAATTAGATTAATAAAAATTTCAAAATATATTAAATGAGTATTTTTTTGTTTCATCAAAAGCCTTGTATGTATCTGCTATGACCTTGTTATAATTATTTTAATTGCTTCTATCTTTAACCAAATTTCAAATTTTTTTCAATATTTTAATAAAAACACTAAGTTGAGAAAATATTTCAAGTCTGTCTTTAAAAATTTTCAAAATATTTAAAGTTTTTTCAAATTTATTTGGATTGAATGATGGATAATTTTTAAGATTCAATTCACCATATTTGTTAATATGCAAATAAATTATTAAAATTAAATTAAATATTTTTCTTCCATATCGAATAGTTTTTTAATGAAGTTTATACAGCAAGCATATAAACATAAACGAAATACATTTTCGTTTGTTAATTAATTTATTTAAAATCTATGAAATAAATTTTTAATCAAATATGGTAGGTAATTAATTGGGCTGAATTTTGCTAATTAAGTATTTTAAGATTATCTAAATAAATCCTTGTATATATGTCTAAATAAAAGAAACAGTATAAAAGTAGTCACAATTAAATATTACTATAATTTAAATCTTTAATTAACCATATTAATTAAAATTGCAATTTTAGAAAAAGTCTAGAAGAAAAAGGAAAGGAAAAGTAAAAAGAATTTTAGATTTAAAAAAATTGTTGCAATCTTTTTTCATAGAATAGCAGCAAGTTTAAAGAATCACTTTGGCATTAATTTATAGAAATTAGGGGAATAGTCAACATAAAAATCACATTATTTTATTATATAAATGATACTAGTGTTTCTTGCTATTTATATTATTCATGCATTGCTATTGATATTGCTAATATAGTACTTTTTAACTGATGCGATTATGTATTTATGCACTATGCTTTTCTACTCTACAGAGTTTTTGATTTAATTAATTTTACAGCTTTAGTAATGGATTGCCGGGGATCATATTATCCTCTAGCATTTACTCATATTTCCTAAAGATTATTTAAATTGGTATCTATCACCAGTCGATTTCATTAAGAGCAATTTTATAGGAAAGTATATCATAAAATTAGAGCATACGTACATCATGGTTACTCTTATTTTAGTCATATGCTTCCTTATCGATAATATTAGATCCTATAGAAAGTTATGCGAATTAGCAAAACATTTGGAGGATTTTGAATAAAGTTGTCCTATTTGTCTCGAAGATCTAATTACCCCAAATGAAGAGGCTGAAAGAATTAAGTGTGGTCACTTCTTTCACAACTCATGTCTAAGTAAATGGTTTATGAGACAAGAAGAATTTACTGTGAACCAAAATTACACCTACACTTGCCCTTGCTGTAGACATCCGCTTTCATGAGAGACGTCTATTACTAATTAATAATTTTTTGCAAATAATATATACTAATAAATTTACTATCAATCTAAATAACTAACTAACCAACCAACTAAGTACGTAAATATATAGCTAATATATAATTAGAGGACTATGATATATAAATATGCTTTTAAAATAGCTTTAGTTGCTTATTTTCAATCTCTCCATTATAAACTATAATCAACTTCTTTGTAAATCAAATGAAGAAACAAGCAAACAAACAAAAAATAATTGTACTCAATTTAATTTAAAAAAAGAATGAATAAATAAATAAAACAGCTTAAAAATGTCTATTGATAATATTTATCTTATCAATTATTAATTAATAAAGAACAAATAATTTAAAGATTTCCTTCTTAAATTAGTATGAAAAAATGTTTAAAACAAATCAAAAAAAAACAATCAAACATAAAAAATAAAAATATTTTGTATAATTAATTTATAAGTTATGCTCATTTTTTAATTTTTATTTGTTTTTTTAACAAATAATTAAAAAATTAAAATTACTTTTATAAAATTTTAATAGTATCTTGGTTAAATCTCTTAAATGTTAATGTTCATTTATTTCTGTAAAATAATTTACTCAATAAAAATCACTCTACTTATGTTAATATCAAAAATATAGCAAGCAAAATCTGTTTTTTGTAACTAAAATGTTTGGTTTTAAATAAATAAATTATTTTGAATTTGCTTTAGAAGAATAAACAAACTATCTAAGCTTTTGCGATATTTCTAAAAAATTTAGTTAAAATATAATTGTATTCAATAAAATTAATTATTTTGTTTACTAATATTATAAGCTATTAAAAAGTTTTTGAATTTTAAACTAAACAAATTTTAGTTTCCTTTTTATTATATTTTGAAATATTTGCTCTAAAATTAATTTAAAAATTTTAAATTTAATTAATTTGGTTTCATGAAAGTTTCAATTTACTTAAAATAAACCTAAATAGATTAGTTAAACATTTAGTGAGTAATTTTTTACAAATATTTATTATTTTTGAAGAATTAAGATTTATTTATTTAATTTTGTTTTAAATAAGTTATTTCATTATTTTATGGTAATACTTTCTCTTGATGATTATTTTGGAGAGATAAATTTTGATGAGTTATTATAAATAAGTGTTGGACTTTTTATTTAATCTGTATTGTCTTAATGAATTATATGTTGAATAGTTTCATCCTTTTTATCATTACTAATGATATTCAGTTCTTCAATTGGTTTTAAGTCTTTTTTAACTTTTACTATTGAATTTCTATACAGACACTTCATTAGCTGTAAATAGAATAGCTTTACTAATATGAAAACTGAATAAACAAAAAATAATATAAAGACACTTATTGTTGTAGAGAGGATCAATAGCGACATAAGCTTTTAAAGGAATTCATTATCTGAGTACGATACCATAATTATGTACATAATGTGCAATATTGAGATAATTGAATCTATTATACACATTGAGAGCATCTGTTATGGATATTTAAGAGGTTTTGCTACAAGCAAGTAAATGCAGTAAACCACATAGCTAAAAAGTTGCAAACTCAGTTATGCTATCGGATTTTCTGTAATTACAACACAAGAAATCGAAATGATTAATTTACGTAAAACAGTTATTTAAACAAAGTGACGAGTCATTACGTTATCTTACTTAACGTATTTATAAATTAAATATAATCTTAATTTATAATAAGGAATTTGATTATTCTGTATAGATTAAGTTTTAAACTTTGAAAACACTGACTTTTCTTCTGATGTTTCATTGTAAGATGATTAATTTTTTGCCAAATCTAATTGAGATGGTCTTTGATAAACTATTTTTTAATTTGAGAAATCAGCCCTAGAAGGTGCTCCATAGCTAGACGAATTGTGATTCTAATCCGTTTTACCTTTCTTGTAAGAAGATTGTTCGTTCCTAATAGATTTGTTATTTTCTACATCTGAATAATATTTTTTAGCAGATTTCACTTTGATGTTTCGTTGAAGCTAGTAAGTTAAATAGAGCGACATTACAAAAATATAAACTATTGAAGCCAATGCAAAAGATAAGTTAATGATGTTTTATGTTGTATCATACTAAGGAGATTTCAATTGCAAAAAAACCAACAAGCTATATTCCTGGCTACTAAGTAAAAATATGACAACAGGAGCAGAAATACAAAAAATTCTTCTTGCCTTTGAAAGAAAGTTACTGTATCGCTTAATCTTAACCAAAGAAAAAATTCCAGCTAAAAGCCAAATTATAAAATTTACTACCACAATCAAAAATGAATTTTCTAAGAAAGATGTGCTTTTATCATTCAGCTAGAATTTAACACTATTATCATCTGGAGAGCTTTGGCTTGGCTAGACTTCCTAAGGACTATCAAGTAGCCTCTTATTACTCTCATTATCCGAGCCAAATATATTATTAAATATTTTTACTTTTGAGAGATTTATTAATGAAACTGAATTTAAAACGCTATCCAATCCCATAGCTGGTTTGTAATTAACGTAAGATAAATAGCTAACACTCTAGCAAAATTCCATCATCATAATAAAAGGGATAGGATTTGAATTTATTACAGCTAAATTTTTAAAAAAAAAATATTTTTAATCACAAACAAGAATTCAATTTGAAATATAATAAAAATATTAATGAATGTTGGAAAAAAATATTAATTATTAACCACCCTGTTAATCTTATAAAATTAGTTAACCAATGGAAAATATTTGAAATTTTTTATTAGATAGGGTCTTAACAAATACTAAAATAATGTTTTTCAAAACATCGAATTTTTGTTAATATTTAAGAAATGATTGGTATAAATTTTTAAAGATTTAAACCCTTTTTTATGTTTAGAAAGATATTTAAAATATATAATTTGACTTACATGCAATAGATATTATTGATGTAGAGACTGAGAAAGAAAGTTAAGAAGTTTTAGCAACTATTTCTTGCACATTACTAAACTCGCACTTTTCACCTCCGTTGTCTGTGGTTTCTTTAGGGCAATCACAAATTCCTGTTTAATATTCAGTATTTAAAATTTTTAACTCTCTGTTGGAAGAGCAAGCCATGCATCCTTGATAAGATGTATTGGTGCAAGATTTGCATGTTAAATGGCATTTTATTGTATTAGTGCAATTATTGTTACTGTCTAAAGTATATCCTTACACGCATGAATTACAAATTTAATTTGAAGAGCAAGATAAACACCCCATAGGACATTAAAGACACTCCTAATTTTACTCAGAAAAATAATATCCCTATTAACATTAAATACATGAATGATTTGATGTCAAATCGTATGATGGAAAACATAGCTCACATGCTTAAGGGTTATTAGGCAAGAAGCATGTTTTACACGTAGAATCGCATTTAACACATTCTCCTAAACTATTTAATTAAAAGCCATCTTAACATTCCAAACATTATAATTATGAGCTACTTTATAAGATATCACATTTCAAGCAATTAATAGAGCATTGTATACATTACCCTTTTACTGGTACTTAAGAGTTTTATTTAAAATAAAATCCTGTTTAGCATGTTAAGCAACTATTTTTATCATTTAGCTGCAAACATGTTAAACATGACTAATCACACTCAGAAACACATTGATTATTTTATAATTAATAATTTTAAATGCATGAAGTACATTTTGTACTTGAATCTACACAATTCTGGCAAGGAGATTAACATTCTAAGCATTTTGATCCTTATAGAAAATATTTATCAGAACAAGAACTGCATGCATTGCTATTATTAGGCTGTGTACAAGTCTAACAAGATTGATGACAAATCATTTAGCACTAATTACCTATTAAATTATACCCTGCATCACAGTTAAGACACTATCCGAATTATTAGCAAGAAATACAAGGATAAATGCATTTAGTGCAAGTATAAGGAGGTGCTGTTTATTATGAAAAATAATTTGCTGAACATTAAACGCATTAAGTTGGGTCGTTTGGAGCTAAACATTTTTAACATGCTTAATCACAAATCAATTCACAAACATTTGTTTAAGAATTTAATTAATAATTTGGAATGCATGAAATACACTGGGATTATGAATTACTACATTCTAAGCATGGAGACTAACATTTTTAGCAGGAGGAGTCTTGAGTGTTTAAGAAATATCCAGGGTTGCAAGATGTACAAGAATTAGGAGAATTAGCTTATAAACAAGTAAGACACGAGCTATCACAAGTAGTGACACAATTAGAGCCAAATCGAATAAAACCTGTATATTAAAATAATATTTTGATCATATAATTTTATAATCTTGATGAATAAATAAATTAATAACCTTATGAGCAATTTATACAAGATGTAGGTGATTAAGGTTAAGTGCAAGTTTTACAAGATTTATCGCAAGTGGAAATGCATGTTTTGTATTTCTAACTGTAAGTATAAAATACATTTGGAGTGTTTGAACATAAGGTACATTAACTTTTAGTGCTCTAACACTCTAGACATTAAGGACTGCATTATTAGCAAGTATTATTTTGATCTAAATAGAATCCTTTAAAGCATTTAAGACAATTATTTGCTTCTAATCCAAAGCAAGTTGCACAACTTGAATCACATTTTCTATCAGTACAAGTAGATGCACCAGCATTATATATATAGGGAAAGTTACAATTTTAGCATTCCTATTAAGAAGGACCAGTACAAGCAGAACAAAACGGATGACAAATTTAGCACTTTTAGGTAACTGCATCAGCATAAAATCCTTAAGGACATCCAACATTACAAGTCTAAATATAATATTAATTAAAATTTATTTATTTTTTTGTTTTTTTATTAAAATATGTTGGGTATTTAAGTAAATAATTTTATCAAAATAATGATAGTTATTATTTTTAAAGATTTATATAAGTATATTAAGTGATTTTGTAAATTCTTTAAAAATTTACTTGCTAAGAACTATGCTTTTGGCTGTATTTTCATTTCATTTTAAAAAAAAGATTGTAAGTAAAATAAAAAATGATTAAGATTGTAAAAAATTTAATTAACTAATCTCACTCATAATTTTTATTACTTTTATTCTAAAATTCTGATAAAAGAAATATTTTTAAAAATTATTTGCATCTTAATAAAGAGCAAATTATATTGAATTCCATTAAATAATGAAATCAAAATATTTATAAATTAATAAAAAATAAATACGCGCTTGCTGCTTATGTTTTTTGAATGTATTTTTTATAATAATTTCAGTTTATTTTTTTTGAATCATCTACAGTAAATTCTCAATAGTTAAGGTGGATTTAATTAAGATATAAAATTCAAATTTTTAGAAAAATAAATATTTTAAGCATAGTTTTTGTAATGATTATTAATTTTTTTTGAATCCACGCGCTATTTAAAATCTAAATAAATAATCATTAATTATAGTTATTATTATTTATAATTTTATTATAAATTTAAAGAAAAAATATATGGAATTCAAAAATAAAAAGCAAAGTAAAATAAATAACTCATAAATTTTATTTAAAAAAGTTTTTTAATTTAAAAATAGTTTATTTATGTATTTGCTTGTTTGTTTTAGTTTAAAATGCTTTAGCTATAATAAAGTAAACTTATTTTAAGGATTTATCAATAAATTGCTTTATAAAGAATACCAATACTGTATTTTAGTGTGGGAGTAATGAAATAATTAATCAAAATATTACATTATTAGGATTTTAGTATTTTCCAGATCCACACTTTTAAACACATTAGTTGTTATCAAGGACATAATTTTATGGACATATAGCAGAGCAATCTGCTCCTACAAAACCATTCTAGCAGAAGCAAATACCCTATTTATTAAATATAAATTTCAATTTTGAGTTAATTTTTTAATAAAATCTCAACCTTATTGCAAAATCCATTATTACTGCAATTTCTAAGACAAGTTTCTATTATAAATGTACTACAGAATATTTTAAAATTTGAAGGACAAGTAAGTTATCCAGAAGTTCCCATTCCATTTTTCGAAAGTTAAATGACTTCGTTTGCATATGTGCAAGTGACTGTTTCAGTTCCCCATATCGTGACTTAAATTGTTGAGAATGAAGCATCACATGTAGATTTAAAGCATTTTACGTTTGTCGTAATAGAACCTCCTTATGTTTAGTAGGCATTTGACTTAAAGCATCTGGAGTTGACTCCAGTATTCATTCTATTAATCTAATCAGGTGGTGTTTAACTTGAATTTTAACACAAATTAACAATTTCGATTTAAGGCATGTTGCATTATGAGTTTGTTGGAATTGAAGGAGTTGAAAACCCTTATTAGAAAAAATCACAGGCTTAGTCAGCACCCTTATTGAATTCCAAAAAATTTTAAGCTGTTGACCTACAACTTTTCCAAATGAATTCGCAAGTTTCAGATTTTCCCCACCAATTTTCTGACACATTAAGCATATTTTCATTAATTGTATCATAGAATCCTGTATCTCTTAATAGAAATACTGTCATTTAAGTCAATTAAGATAATAGGTATAAAAAAGTATTTTCAGTCATTAAGTCATTTCCAACCAAATCAAATTCAAAATGAGAAACTTAATTATTTACAATTGGTTAATTTTCTAATATCATACCCTCTGAGTTAGAGCAGTCATAATAATTGTTAACAAAATATTTTAAGTTGAAAGATTAAATAATATGAGAGTTAATATTTCCAAAAGAATATGTAGATAAAAGTTAGCTAATATTATTCCCATAAGGAAGTTTACTTTTATTGTCAATCCAAAATGGAAAAAGTGTATGAGAAAATCCTAAGACATGAATGAATTAATGAATTAAGCTTTTAAAAATATTTGTTGTAACATACTCTGACGGGTAATAAAATTTTATCACTGAATAATTGACCTAAAAGACTGCAGCGACCGGATTAGGATCTACTTCACACCACCCTATTTATTAAATAGATTGTTTGTTTTTTTTTAAATATTTAAGTTTAAAATTAATAAATTATTTTATAGAATTTGTATGAATGAATATTTATTTGTTTATCTAAAATAATAAATTAATGCTCAAAGTTAATATTAAGTAGTACTATCTAAATAACAATTGTAAATGTAAAATAACTAAATTTTAAAGTTACAAGCTTATACTGGAGAAGCATTAGGGAAATTAGAGTCTATATAAGTTATGAATAAATGAAAGTCAGAGTTCTGAATACCATTAGTTATAAAAGAAGAAGGATATGTGTAGTTATTACAGCCTAATCTCTGAGAAGCATTTTTTATTGGGGAAGATCTAGGGACAACCTTTATGAAATATTACATGTAGAGTACTAAATTTTCTAACTAAGCTTGAATGAAAGAGCTAGGAATAGATTAATATTAATCAGGAATTAAACTAAAATCATAAGTAACCCTAATTGGCTATGCGTTAACACTTTAAAACTATTGATTTGGGTAATTATTACTATATTATGCAAAGAAATTTTATGGTAATATGGTGGAATAATCAATTGTATCGTGAGAACATTAGTGTGAGCTAATATTGGAAACACAAAATACGCAGGAATAGAGTAAGATTACAAAGAATTTAAGCTTTACTAAGTTAACAAAAGACATTTGTATTTTTTTTTTTAGTTTTCTATCTATGCTTGTTGTATATAGGAATGAATGAGCTGCTTTTTATTTAATATATCACTTACTTGCAATACTTTAATCAATATTTGATGGTTCTTTTTATTTAATTTTTTACTGTATTAATAATAAGTTTACTTATTATTAAAATCAAAATATAAGCAAATAATCTCCTTTTTTCTTATTTAATAAATAACTATTACTTGCCAGCTATTTCTACTTAGCCTATCAAAAAAATAACAAAAAATAAAGCCATTAATGAAATAAAAATATTAAGCCTTTTAAAGAATAAGAAGCGCAAATTTTTAGAGACATAAATTTAATAATTAAATATTATCTTAATCACTTTGTAAACTAGAATGTCTTTCTAAAAAAATGTATTTATTTTTAAATGTTTTTTTATTAAATAAATAATAAGAAATATTTGTAAATAAAATGTAAGTAAGAAATAAAATATTTTTTGTATGTTATTAAGTGAAAATTTTAATATAATATTAATTTGCATTTGCTTTGTCCTATCAGCTTTAACTAGGAAAATATAACAATAGTTTTGTGGGTATTTAATAATATTTTTATAATTCGACTCTCAAGTGAATTGAGTTTTATAGATTTGAAAATATTGTGTAATATTTAGGAAAGATCTTTTAACAATTATTACAGTATTTGAGTTATTATTAGAAACAATTAAAAGTAATTATTCTAAAAAAAAGTATGTAAATCAATGTAATTAATTATTAAAAATCAATTAAAATGACTAAAGATCTTTAAGAAAAATAATTATAACTGAGCAAAAATTTTTTCTTCTTATTTGGCTCCACCAAATAATATCTTCTAGTACTTATAATTTAATAATTAATTCTTATAGATATTACAAATCTAAATTAATAACCTATTTTTATATTTGTAAAATTTAGTAGAGAAACTATAAATTTGATATGTTTTGCTACTTAATTTTCTCTCTTGAAAAATTTTATGACATTCCATTTTTATTCCTAATTTACAAAGATTATAAATGTCTATTATTTTTTCAACTAGGTTTAGAAAAACAAGGTAGTACGTACATATTAAAATAAGAAAAAATATAGTAATAGTTCAACAATTTAGAAAAATATTATGCTTAATAGAGTATTAAATTAAGAAAAAGTTATAACTTGATTATTTTATCAATGAATTAGTAGTTTATTTTTTAATTTATGTGATATTTATATTTGTTACTCACTTTAAAAAATCTGGTACAATTAAATATTTATTACAGATTTTTAATTTTTTCCTTTTTAATAAGAAAAAATTTTAAGCATTCAAAAGGAAAAAATTCAAGCATTCAAAAGGAAAATATTATCAAGCAAATAAATTGCTTTAACACAAAATTAAATTTATTCAATAAAAATATTTTATAATTAAAATTTTAATTTAAAATTTAACAAAAGTAAAATCGATTTTTAAGTTTTATTTAATTTTTTAGAGTATTAAATATTTAATAGTGAATTAAATTATCTCAAACAAATAAAATTTTTGTGGAATTTAATCTAATAATTCAAATTTTAGAGGAATATATTTTATCTTAAAACTGTAAATCAATAAGTGTAGGTAGGTAGGGAGGATAAACTGCTTTAATAGTTATTTAATGACTAAATTTTAATAAAGTAATTAACTTTTATTTCTTCAACTGTTTTAATTACGTTATTAACTAAATAAGGTATTAACTGAGATGAGTTGAGGTTTCAAAAAGTAATTTTTTTGAAAAATTAATTTAAAATAGAAAATTTTTTAATTTAAAGATTTTTTAGAACTTTTAAAGTCTGAGAAAACTGTTATTAAGAAAAGTAATTAAAAAAAATTATTTAAAGGTAATTCATTAGGTATATATGTATGTATGTATGTATGTATTTATTTATGTATGTATGAATTATTTAACTTAGAATTTTATATTATTTTCATAGAACAAATTATTTAAATATTTATTTATTTATTAACTAATAAAAAAAATATAATTATTATAAAAATATAACTATTAAAGTAATTTAAATTAACATTATTAAATTATTTTTTTAATTTTTAAGAATTGAGTTTTATATAAAAATAAATTATTAATTTTAATTAATTAATTAATCAATTTTTATTTAATTTACTATTAAAAAAAATTATAATCAAATTCTTAAAAATATTTTTGAAGAGCCATAGATTTATTAAAATGATATTGCTTTTCCCTCATTTTATAAAACCATTATCTATTTATACTACTTATCCTGAATCATCGCTACTCTCACTATCAGTATCACTAACTTCTTCTTCTTGTTGTACTTCTTCTACTTCAACATCCATACCATTTTCTCCGACATCATCATATAAAATATTTATCAAATTGTTATATTCATCTAAATCTTAACACAATTTAGAATAAATGTGAGCATTTATTTCAGCTTCTTCCATGTCTTCATTTTGTTAATACAAAACGGAGAGTGAAAAGAATGCCTCTTTTTCTTTGTTTTTTGTAAATTAATTATATTTTTTATAGTTCCAAATGGAAGCTGAAAAATTACAATTATTGTATTCCCTATATGCAATTAAACCATATGCATCAGGATTTCTAGGATTAATTTAAATAGATTTTTTCCAGTGTACTACAGCTTAGGAATGTTTTTACTGTTATTCATAGCAAACCCCTAAATTAAGATAAGCTTAGTAATTATTTGGATCTATTTCTATCACTTTTAACAGACATTCTTCTTATTTCTCTCTATTTTGCAATCTGCTATAATTATTTTCTTAATTTAAATAGGCATTTATATAATTCGAGTCTATTTCTATGCATTTATTATAGTAATAAATAGATTTTTCAATCTCATTCTTTTCAGAGTAATTGTATCCAATATTAAAATACAAATCGGCAGCAAAGGGATCGACTTCTAAACTCTTTTCATACCATTTTTGAGAATCTGAACTATTTAAATCGTCTTCAATATAGCCCTTCCTGAAAAAAACTATAGGAAATCTCAGCTTATTTAGACTAAGAGCTTTGTCAATAAGCTCTAAAGCAAGTTTATTTTGCTTCAAGCATAAATGAAGAATGGCGTCTAAAGAAATTACACAAGGGTCTTAGCTATTCAAATTTTTGGTCTTGTATAAAAACTCTTAGCATTTCTTATACTTACAGTCTCTATCATATAGCCATGAAATGTAATAAAAAATTTTCCAATAATCTTAAATTAAGTAATTGACTGACAACAAAGAGAGCCTAATGATAGAATAAAAATCTGAGCTTCTTTTTTAGATAGATATCAAAATGAAGGCAAGCAGTATTTCAATTTCATAAGGATTTTGGACTAGGGCCTTATTTAAAAATTCTATAGACTTAGAATAATTACGATAGTATCTTGAATAAATATTGGCAAGTATTAATAAGTTTTATAACACATCAGTGTTTTATTCAATATTTAGAAAACACATCTTTTCTTCGTTTTTTACATTTTAAAAATCAAATTCTACCTATGCTGAAATGCTGAAAGAAATTACATTCTATTGTTCAAACTAAATAAATGCTTATTCATAGCTGTTTTCAAGTTTTGTTGAAGAAAGCAAGCTTAAGACAATTATTTCATACAATTTTCTCTTTATTTGCTATAGACTATTCAATTTATTTTATAAAATAGACTAAGCCAAAAGGATTAACTGCTTTATAATAAATGTATTGATTTCATTTCTTTCCAGATAAATCATGCAGTTCTCCAATAAACTACAAATAAACATAGCAAAATCATCAATGCATTATTTCAACTTCATCTATTCTTCACACTAAACTTCTTCATATTAAATAAAAATATTATTTTTTTAAAGATTTTATTCAATAAATAAAATATTTTCATACTTGCTATATTTTGTTAGTTTAGAACAATTATTTATTGCTAGCTGTTTACGCATAGATTATTAAATTTCAAGTTCACTTGATGCCTTTAGGATTCCCATAACTTTTAAACTACTGAAAATATCTATGAAATGCAACATATTATTTTATATAAGCCACTCTTTTTTTAAAACATTTAAACTCTCCATTAATTTATTTCCTATAAAGGGAAAGTAGATTATTTATACTCGTAATCTAAGCTTTGAAATAAATGCTTCACTTCAAGAGTATTATCCTAAAGTATTTAAATTATTTAAGACTAATCACAATCCCTACTATCAATACTTTGCTAGAAATTTATGCACTCAACATAATAAGCTTTGAACTATCTTAAGCAGTTATCTTAACGTAAAGGCAGATATTGTTTCAATATAATAGAGTTAGGAAGCTACACAATTGAATCAACTTAAATACCTAACTTTTGTTTTAGCTCAAATATAATCTTTTCTATGTTAAAAGAGAATCCCAAATTATTCATATTTATTTTAATAAATTAATTTAAATACTCTTAATAAAGAACAAAAAGAAAATCAATCTAAAAAGTACAAAATTTATATTATCTTTTTTGTCAAATAACATAAAAAAGCAAGCTAAATACTCGCTTAAAAATTTGAAGAAAAATAAATATAGATGTTATAATATCAAAAACGAAGTCATCAGATTAATTAAAAGAAAAAAATTATATATTCTAATAATTAAGTCTATTTTTAAAAAACACAAATAAATATATAAAAAATTCATCAATTAGCAAAAGTAAATAAATAAGTGAAAGGTTAATATATGTTTTAAATAATAATATATTAATTTCTTTAAAATTACTAAAATTGCTTATTCTTTTAACTGAAGATATTTAGATTTTAATTTTTAATAAATCTAAACTTTTAAATTTTTATATCCCATACATTTTCATTAATCTTATAAAAATAATATTTATTTTTAAATAGCTATATATTAAAAAATTACTATATTTATTAGATTTAAACGTACCTAGATTTAATAGTTAATTTATGAGAATTTACAGCAATTTTTTAGTTATATCTTTGATATTATTGTGCTGGAATTTTCTGTAAAGCTAATATTTTAATTAGTTTATTACATTTTATTTATCATCTAAAGGCATAAATAGTAACAAATATAATATGAGAATAATTTAATAAATATTACACAGAAGAATGTCATTAAAATGATAATTACTGTATATACATTTTCTGCTATAAAGAATACATTCTTATGTTAATTTATTTATCTTAATTTGTTTTCAATTTATTATTAAATTAGTCAGTTAGCTTGCTTAAAGGAGATAACTTTTGTTTACTCATATAAGTAGCTTTTGAAAGAAAAAGAAATGCTTATTTGCTCATTATAAGAAAGTGTGGACGTTCTTTAACCATTTCATGTAGAGTCTTTATTCCTTGTCAAGAGAGTAGTGTTCAATGAAAGCGGCAACATCTTCATTTACACCAACAGACTTCAAGTATTCAACGAGGGCAGTTTGTAATCTCTGATTATTTTTTTTAATTGAAATTTTAAAATTATTTTATATTTTGATTTAAATTATTTATTTACTTCATCTAAGTTGTGGAAATCAGGACCATTGTAGGAGTTAGCAAGTCTGTCGTATCTGTTAGATTGCTTGTGAGATTCAACATCATCAACCAAAGTGATACCGTTAACTTGGATCTTTATTTTAAGTAGATTTAATTAATAAACGATTAATCATGACAAATAACATCCACATTATTGTTTATTTATAATTATAAATTTATGTATTTAAAAAGCTTCAAATTTTAATATCTGGAATGTTCTAAGTAGAATAAAGCTTAAACTTATTTAAAAAATGCAAATAATTAATATTACTTCAGAGTCGAAAGAGCTGCAGTCGTAAGCAATAGCCTTGCCATTGGGCTTAACAATGTAGACGATGAAATCGCAGTAGTCTTGCATATTTTATTATTCTTCTTCACCTTCTTATTATTATTGTTATTCTTGACCTTCTTCTTCTCCTTGGTAGTCATCAGTTTGGGGAGATCTGGATTAGAAAAGGATTTGGACCTTGTTTTCACCAGCATCCTTGTGCAATTCAATAAAAATAGAGTTTTCGTCTTCCTTTAAGATTAACTTGTTTTCTTCTAAGAATTCCTGTTATTTTTAAAGATTTTTTTTAACATTTGTTTTTTTTTTTCAAATTTCAAATCGTTTTAGTATTTCATCTATTTGTTTGTGTATTCCTTTTTAAAGAAAAGCAAAAATTTATATTTTACCTTGAGGGAGGGATCAGTGGCATCGTAGTTTTCTTCTTCGTACTTGAGTTCCTTTTCAACAGCCTTAAGGAGTCTAGATTAAGCTTAAAAAAAGGGTTTAAAAATGTGAATTTATACTTTTCTAAATTAAATGGTGTGTGCAATTCAATAGTTTTATTGATTGATGTGAATGTTAAAAATAAAATTTTGTTAATTATCTACCCTTGTTGACCTTTTCTAATGAAGAGAAGTTGAAAGCAGCAAGAGCTCTAGCACCGTTGAAGGTTTAAGCAACAGCCTTGGATCTTAAGAAAATGTTGGAAGCAGACTTGGCAATCTTAGAAATCATTTTGATTGAAAACTTTGTTTTTTTGTTTTTAAAAAATTCAATTAATTTAATGTTAGATATTTATTTAATGATTTTTATATAAGATCAATATTTAAGTATATTTATAATCAATATAAATTAGATTTATATCAAATATCTTCTATCTTCGGTTAAGTTTCTAAATAAATTATAATCAATTAAGGTGGGCTAAATTTCTTTCTAATCTTTTCTTTATCTTTCTTTTATTTTTTATGCTTAAAACACTCATATAATTTAAATAAAATTTATTTAATTGGTGTTATTCAAAGCTTATTTTTAAAATAATTATTAAACAATAAAGTAATTTACTAAAAAAAAACTATTTTTTAATATATTTTTCTAATAACTAAATCATTTACCATTATTAAGATTACATTTTCTTAAATAAGTTCAAAATAATAAGTAAGTTTGTATTTATCACTGTTCATATAAAATAATACTTAAAATTTAATTAATATTTTTAATAATAGAAAAAATAAATAGAATTTTCTTAAGATGTATTATTAAATGGATACTTCAGGTTGTTCTTTAAAAAATATCAACTTGAAATGTTTAATCATAATTAATTCCAATTTTAAATAAATAAATAAGTGAAATTTTGTTATTTAAGCTTTAAACTTATTTATATAAAAAATTTAATTTAACTTTTTTAATTTATAATTTAATTTATTTAATCAATAAAATAAATTAAAAAATTGGCTTTGATTTTTATTTATTACTATTTTAACATTTAAGTAAATTTAAAAAAGCTTTTTATGCATTCACAAGTAATTTATTAATCTTATTTTATTTGATTTAATAATTGATAATAAAATATTCTTAATATTTTTTAGTGAGAGTTAATTATTTCATTTATTTTTTTCTATTTTATATTTAAAACTCTATTTTTGTAAAACAAAAATTAATTTTTTATTTATTCGGAAAAACTCTATAAATTATTTTAATAATTATTACTAGATTCTAAAATATATTTGAATTTGCAATGAAAAATAAACTAAAAACTATTATATAAGATATAAGAAAAGATAAAAATTTAATAAATTAATTAATGTTCAAGTAATAATTTAAATGAATTAGATCTATCAATCTATCGCTTTGAAAAAGGATTCATTAAATCTAATGATTTATGTAAAATGAATTTAGTTATTTAGTTATGAATGAAATCAAATGAGTCAGCAAAATTTGACTATAATCGCAAAAAGAAAGTTACAAGAAGATTAATAATTAATCTGTAATAATAATTAATCGATTGATTTAACTATATTAATCAAATCAAATATATTACTTTATTATTGAATTAATTAATTGACATATAGCATTTAGGATATTAAGAAGAAAAATACTATTATTCTAAACTTAAAAGCCATATATATAGCCAACAAACTCAAGTTATCGTTTAAAAAAATCAGATACTAATTAAATTAGAAAATAAATGAATTTTGAAGAAATAGTTGCCGATCCCTACAATTGGCCTTTCCCTAAAAGATAAAATTTAATGAGCTTGCAAACAATAAGTACGATATACATTCTTAATCAATAATTATCATTGGTTTATTTAAAAAATAAATATGTGAAAAATCATTTATTGCTTCAAGTGAATTTAACTATTTTAAAAAAAATAGATTAGAGAGACGTTGGTTTTCCTAAATATGAGTTGAAGGAAGTTAGATAAAGAAATTTTGATTTGAGCGACATTAGAGGTAATAAATCTGATAAATTTGTATTTCAAAATAATAAAGATAATTTATCAACTAAATATTATGTATGAGCTAGTATTTATTAAGATAAATTTGATAAATAGAAAATTAATAATGCTAATTTATATTAAATAGGAGCTAGTCCAGAAATGAGGGGATATAAATATAACAACAAAGAAACATTTGTGAATAGAAACGATGATATTGATGGATCATCTCCTAAATAACTAATTAAATGCCTTTCTAAACCAGATTTTTAGCTGAACAATAAAGACATTAAAGGTGCTTAGCCTTAAATCAACAAATTTTAAACTACTCGTTAGCCTTTTAATCCTCTTCAACCTTAATATCAGCTTCCAAAGGCTGAAGTAAGAGTTTCAACTCCTCCAAAATTCATAAGAGATAATATTAACATTGATGTAATTTAAACATATAAATATATTAATAAATAAATAATTAAATACGATTTTAAGTTTTACATTGCTAAATTTTAATAAAGGACATAGAAGGTACAAAGCCTAACCCTAAATTCTTCAAAACTAGAAATGTGGACATTTACACTGAAATAGAAGGATCCAAGCCAAAAAATTTATTCATTCCAAGAGATCACATTGATATTCTAGATGTTAAAGACATTAACGAATTTCTTTAATTTAAAACAACAAGACACACAAATCCACTCAACCCTACTTACATAGGTTAAAACGAATAAGGGTAATTATTCAATTAATTAATCAACTACTTACATAAAATTAATCTTATTTTTTTCAACAATTATTTTAGAGAAAAAATTTAGTATGGACATATTGATGGTTCACTCAGCAGAAGACTTCATCCAGAAGAATCGAAAAAAGTTAACTTTAATTTGACTACTAATGATATCAAAGGAGCTTGGCATGGTACTCACACTGAAAAATTTTTAAAAAGAGATGTAAATAATTAATAAAAATGAATAATAGTTAAAACTGTTTTTACTTACTTATAGACTAGAAAGGACTTTAGAGTTACAAACATAACAAAGGATTTACCTGAAGCTTAAGTTGGCTCACTCAAAAAAGGTATTATAACCAACAGACATGTTAACCCATTAGTGCCAAAGTATTAGCTTTTAGGAGAGAAGGAAGGATTAAGGAACTTTGATGGATACACTAATCCAATGAAAGAATAATCAATTGTGAATGCATCTAAGACTATGTATGCAACTTCCAAAAATTAAAATATGTAGCAAAGTATTGCAGATACTATAGTATCATAAAATGATAGCAGATTCTAGAAAAAGGAAAAGTAATAATTTAGTTTTATTAAATGAAATAATCATTTAAAAATATTCAAATATTTAGTAATTTTGTTGCACCCACAACTAACTTACCAAGGTGTTAGTCTTCGTAATCTGTAGTTAGTGGAAAAAGAAGCTCTATTTAATCAACTAAGAGCATCCAATAAGATAATATTTAAAAACCACCTACTCCTCAATAATAAACTCAATAAGTCTAATTTCCAAAATTAGAGCATATGGACGTAATTATATACAATTTTTTATCTTTTATAGATTTTAATCAAATAGTTTTATTGTAAAAATAGGGAGACAAATTTGAAGGTAGAACACTTAGCAGAGGCAGCAATGCTTACAACATAACTTAACAGTAATCATCAAACCTTAAACAAATAATTTATTGATTTATATTTAAAATAATAAATAAAAAAATAGTGTTGGATATCCCTTAACAAATGCCTAGAAGTTAGACAAGTTTATTTGTTGAAATTAAAAGTTCATTCTTGACAATAAATTTAAATTCATTTTTGTTTAAAAATAATAAAATTTATATTAGTATTTATTATAATTTTTAAATAAAAAGCTACTAAAATTAATTTTATAATTAATAAATAAATAAAGTATTTTGTTTGAAATTAGGTAATTTGTTTTATACTAGTATAAAATACAAATTAATCAATAAACACGATTATCCATCCTTTTATTATTTGTAATCAAAATTAAAAAAATAACAATAAAACAAACATAAAATAATTAAACGTAAAATTAGTGAATGAGTAAATTAATAAGAGTGAATTAGCTTTTTTATTAAGTGCTATAAAATCAATAAAATTATTTATCTATATTCTTTGAGCTTTCAAAACTTTAGTTAATATTTGTAATTGATTGATAAAAAATTTAGTAACAAAAGAAAATTGAAACTATTTTTTAAACATGTTTTTCAAAATAAAATTGAATAAGTTTTCTATTGGCAGATATGCCAAATAAAATAAATAAAGATATTAATTCACATAAATTATGCTTTGCTTTAAACATAGGAGATTTATAAAAATTTCTAAATTAATTTTTTATGCACTCTGATAATAAAAAAGAAAGTTGATAGATAAAAAATTAATCACTAAAAATAAAATAATATAAATTATCAAGTTAAATTGATTCGGCTATTTTTTTTCTGAATTAGAATATTTATTAACAATTATACAATTAAAGCTAACATTAACTTAGGTTATGCATAAAGATTTATGAAGTATGTATATTTTGGGTTAAATTTAAAACATTATTTTGATATTTTAATAATAATTATTGTAAATTAATTTATAAATTGTATCCCTAATATTTTAAATATTAAATGTTTGATCAATAGATTACAAACCAAATAAAAAATTTAAAGAAATTACATCATTTTTGTGGATGGATTTAATCAAATAAATTTTGTTAAAAGTTCTAAGATATTCTAAACTATTTTATTTTAATTGTATTTTAAATTTGATAATACAAAAATTAGTTAATTGATATATAAAATTAGAAAAATTATCAAGTCAAATGGTGTTATTTATTTTTATTTCCTATTCACATGATTTTAAAAAAATTCAATCAACCCTAATCATATCATAATTAATAGTATTAAATGTATGTAGATTATTTTGAATAAAATTTAAAGCATAATATGGATAAATTCTTAATAAATACTAAATTAACAATTCTTTATTTTGCGAAAGTAAAGCATAAAATTTTTTTGCAGTTTAGTTTTTTTAATAACAAAAATTAACTCAAGAAAAATTAATAATAGCGCTTTTATTTTTATTTCTCCCTATAAATCAAAAAAACAATAAAAAAAGTGCTACAATTAAAGATTAATTAAGCTATATTGTATTTGTTTTTAATTATATAAGTAAAATTGTAAATAGGAAAGTAGAGTAATAAAATGTTTGAAGAAGAAAGTAAATCAAATATCCACAGAAAGCAAAGATACTTTATAGATTAATAAAATAGTATTTAAGGTTAAACGCTCAAGGCGATGTGCTTTAAAAACGATGAATTTGACTTTTTAGAGTATGAAAGAAATAATGAAATTTAGTTATATAATAAAGAATGCTATCTTAATCAACCAGAAAATCAACTTAAATAACTTGAATTATAATAAATAGGAGAATATAAAGAGGAAATTGATTTTCCAAGCATAGGTAACATCGTATCTCCAAATATTGATTAGGATTTGACAAAATTTCAAAACTGCAATGAAGAAACAATTGAATACATAAAAAAAAACTCAAATCCATTAAATTTAAGAGATAAAAGATTGAGCTAATCTAAATAGTACACAAAGAGTGGAAAGAGTTTTTGTTAAGACAGAGAGCTAAATAGATAATACACTACAAAGTCTATTATTAAGCCAATTAGATCTTTTAGCTCGTTGAACTAGATTTCATTCAATTGTTTGGAAAGTTAAAATAGGAAATTCTATGAAAAATTACGTAATAAAATGAAATTCTTCTACTTAAATGCTACTTTAAGTGGTAGAACAAAGTTAATTAACTTAATAATAAAAAATCAAATTAACGATTTAAGCGATTTTATTCCTGAGAAATTGAATAGTAATATTTTTTAAATTATTGAAAGGTATATACAATTTTACTTGGGAAACGCTAAGATACCAGTTATAAATCCACAAAGCTACTTTGGATTCTTCATTAAAATTATATTTACAATCATTAGTTGCCTCTTTTTATTCTTTTTCTCTCTGTAAATAGTGTATTAACTAAATTATGATACTTTAATCAATTTTATCATTTTTTTCTGGAGCATTGAGATTCTAATAAAATTCAATACAGCACAAGTTTAAAACTATGAAATAGTTGGCAATAGAAAAGGAATTATTTAGATATATTTAAGATACTCTGTTTTTTTTGATATTTTTCCTATCCTCTTTCTTTTTTTTAACCTAGAAGATAGAGTGCCAACTCTCAAAATAATATTTCAGATAGCTGTTTTTTTGAAAATAAAAAACATCCTTTAAGATATTTCTTACATTTAGAGTTAATTTTGCATGATGCTTAAGAGATATTATATTATTTAGGTTGTTAATCTTGTATTGAAGCTCTTCCTTATTGGTCATACAATAGCTTGTTTCTGGTATATTCTGTGCAAACTAGAATACGAAAATTATTAAAAAGAAAATTGTTGGATTAACAACTAAATGCTTTAAGATAAAGAATGGTGGTAATTTTATATCTTTAGCTTGTATTGGGCTTTAACCTTAATGACAACAGGTTCAAGCATAGCAAGCACAACCTTTGAAACTTGCTACACAGTTTTTATTATGCTTTTTATCACTATAATTTTTGGTTATATACTAAACGTTATTGGATAGATCTTGTCCGAAATAGAAGAAAAAGACTAAAATCGCAGAAGAGATGTTAACATCCTAAATGACTATATGAGAAAAAAAAATATTTCTAAGTAAATTCATTTTTTAAAAATAATCTAATCAAATGCTAAAAACAATAAATATAACATTGATTTTAAAAATATTCTTCTATATTGAAGAAAAAAATTTAATTTTAAAAAAACTTGTTTTTTTTGTTAGACTATTGCAGTCGAAGGTGAATCTGAACCTAGAGTATTATTATCAGCAAGACTTTAAATAGCTCCAAGAAAATTATGAGTAGGTTTTAGGAAAAATATCCTTAGACCTAAAAAATAGCTTGCTGAAGGAGTATAATAAATAAATAATAAATAAAATTGAAGTGATTGCTAAAAAGTTCAGTTAAAATGCTTTAGATCAATTATCAATCACGCTTTAGGAGGAATATTATTTCCCTAATCAAGCTATATTCAATTAGCATGATCTCTTAAGTAACTGTATTATTTACGTTGTTTCTGGTTAGGGTAAATAAATTTTCTATTTCAATAAAAACATTTTTTATTTTTAAGTTAATTAAAGATTTTTTATCAAAAATTAACTATAATTAATTAATTTTTTAGTACACAAACAATCATCATTAATTAAAATACCTCCCCATTCATTCAAATAATTTTATTCGCTTTACATCCTTGGGTTGAGCCTTAGTTAATTAGAATTTAAAAGTATATAATAAATTAATTAATTATTTATTTATTTATGGAAAGCAAATAAAAAAGACAATTTGTTTAATTATTAAAATAATAATATAATTTAAAAAACTAAATTTTAAACAATTTTTAAAAATAAATATAATAAGTGGAAATTAGTGCTTCTAATAATACTTGTAAGTAGACAAAGATATTGCTTAACAGTGGCTAATTTTATGGATTAATTGAATTTTTTACAGGAGTTTCTAACAATTTACATGTATACTCCAAGTAGTTCTCTTAAGTCGTTTTCATAAATAGAAATAAATTTATAGAAATTATTAAGCAAAATGAGAAGGATTTTTAAGAGTTTCATTAATTAAAAGATTAAATATTCTTGTATGGGTAGTTTGATAAAGTCAAATTAAAATGTAGTGTTTGTAACATGAAGACTCACGAAAAATAAGCTTGTCATTTAGTTCATTTTAATAAATCTTTATTTTATAGGAAGCTTGGTTATCCAATAAGTTAGAAATAGGATAGAGCTATTTTTAATAGAAAAAAAGAGTGTAAATAATAGTTTTTTGCAATTAAATCATAGTAACAGAAGGATGAATTTTTTAAATATGCTTAGACTTTTAAAAACTTGGATGAGTCTTATAACAGCAGTCATAGTTTGGGATACAGCTATTTGACGCAGAGCTAATAAGAAAATGAGGAATCTTCTGTCATTTAAAATAATAATTCAGTCTTTTTTGGAAGTACTGAAGGTCGTAATAACACTTTTAAATCTTAAAATCCTATTTCTGAATAAAAAATAAAAAAACCGCTATCATAAACTTGCCTTTCCAAAATCGAAATAGATTTAAATCCATAACTTGCTGAAGAAAGGAAAAAAAAATCAATTCTTTCATTTAAAATTAATTCTGAAATTAATGTACATACAATTTTAAAACATTTTTTTTATTAAATTTACAAACTTTAAATTAGGATAGTCATATGGATAAAAATTATTTAAAAAGAGAACCTTCAGATTAAGATATAACAAAATAAGAGGCACAACGAAAAAGTAGATAATCTTTAGATTCTTAGCAAAATTAGTAAATATTAGATCTTGGAAAAAATTACATATATGATAATGATATTGGTTTTTCGAATGATTAAAGAGTTAGGGCGTATAATTTTCAAAAAACGATATTAATTAATAGTAGTAAATTATTATAAAGTTACTTTGAAGATTTGAACAGATTCCTATTTTAGAGAGGCAGATACTTAAAGTAAGCTAAACCTGTTTTTGAAGTGAGTTAGATGTAAAACAATTTTTATGAACAAGAGGATAATCCTTGGCTGTTTGAATCTTTAGAAAATTTCAAATACTATTTTACTAAAGGAAATTCATTCAATGTGCTTAAAAAATTGATGAAACAAAGAAAGAAATCTAGAACTATTTATAAAAAAAATTTAAAGAGTGAAAATAAATTGAATAAATGAAGAAATAAATATTGATTGAGTGAATATAAAATTCTTAGATTATTTTATTTCTAAATTTTTGATATTTAAATTAAAACTCAATGAAAATTTAGCAAAAAATTGTGATTTTATAAATCAATTGTAAATTAAAAAATAATCCATCTAATTTATTTGTTGCTATAATCAATGTTCACTTTAGAAGCTACCCATTTTTATATTATTTCTTATTATGCTAGAAACAAACAAGATTTAAAAACAGATTTTTAAAAATTATATAATTATAGCAATTACATTTATTAAATTGTTAAGGATGTGTAAAATTAAGAATTTAATTCATGGGTTTACTTACTACCAAGTATATTAATTAATTTTATTTTACTTTTGATTATAAAATATTTGTTTTATAATTTTTTAATATAAATATATAATTTAAGAAATTTTATTTTTAATTAATAATAGATTTTATAATACTCTATTTCCTCATTTATTAATTAAGATACCACACCCCCTATATGCACTTTTTACCTATGGTTTGAATGTCTTAATCAAAAATTTTTATAATTTAATAAAATTTTCACCTTAATTAAATGAAAAATTTACTACCTTAATTATTGAGGTATTTTTTAGGTGTGGTTTTGTATTTATCTAGGAATGAAATATTTTTAGATTCTATTAATTTAAACATTAAATTTTTGATTGATAGATTGATTATACACCAAATAAAAAAGATAAAATAGTTTAGAATATCTTTGAAATTTTAACAAAATTTATTTGATTAAATCCATTCACAAAAATGATTTAGTGTCTTTGTATTTTAAAAAAAAAAGTTAGTTAATTAATATATAAAATGTATGAAAACTATTTTGGATAAAATTTAAAACAATATATGGATAAAATCTTAATAAATACTTATTTTTAATTAATAACTCTTTAATTGAAGAAAATAAAATATGAAAACTTTTGCAATTTAGTTTCTATAATAATTGAAGTTAACTCTAGAAAGTCAATAAACGAGGCGATTTTATTTCTATTTCTCCCTATAAATCAAAAAATCAATAAAATAAGTGTTACAATTAAACAATATATATAATCTCTATTGTATTCCTTTTTAATTAAATTAATAAATTGTAAATAGGAAAGTAGAATAATAAAATGTTTGAAGAAGAAAGTAAATCAAATATTCATAGAAAGTAAAGATACTTTATAGATTAATAAAATAGTATTTAAGGTTAAACGCTCAAGGCAATGTGCTTTAAAAACGATGAATTTGACTTTTCAGAGTATGAAAAAAATAATGAAGTTTAGTTATATAACAAAGAATGCTATTTTAATCAGCCAGAAAATCAACTTAAATAACCTGATTTGCAGTAAATAGAAGAATCCCAATAAGAAATTGATTTAAGAAGCTTAAATAGTATGGTATCTCCAAAGATTAATTAGGATTTAACAAAATTTTAAAACTGCAATGAAGAAACAATTGAATACATTAAAAAAAATTCAATTCCATTAAATTTAAGAGATAGAAGATTGAGTTAATCAAAATTATATGCAAAGAGTGTAAAGAGTTCTTGTATTGACAAAGAATTTAACAGATAGTACACTACAAAGTCTATTATTAAACCAATGAGGTCTTTTAGCTCACTGAACTAGATTTCATTCAATTATTTGGAAAGTTAAAATAGGAAATTCTATGAAAAAATACGAAATAAAATAAAATACTTCTACTTAAATGCTACTTTAAGTGGTAGAACAAAATTAATTAACTTAAAAATAAGAAACTAAATTAATGATTTAAGCGATTTTATTCCTGAAAATTTGAATAGTAATATTTTTAAAATGATTGAAAGGTATATACAATTTTACTTGGGAAACGCTAAGATACCAGTAATAAATCCACAAAGCTATTTTGGATTCTTCATTAAAATTATATTTACAATCATTAGTTGCCTCTTTTTATTCTTTTTCTCGCTGTAAATAGTGTATTAACTAAATTATGATACTTTAATCAATTTTATCATTATTTTCTGGAGCGTTGAGATTCTAATAAAATTTAACACAGCACAAGTTTAAAACTATGAAATAGTTGGCAACAGAAAAGGAATTATTTAGATATATTTAAGATACTCTGTTTTTTTTGATATTTTTCCTATCCTCTTCCTTTTTTTTAACCAAGAAGACACAGTGTCAACTCTCAAAATAATATTTCAGATTGCTGTTTTTTTGAAAATAAAAAACATTCTTTAAGATATTTCTTACATTTAGAGTTAATTTTGCATGATGCTTAAGAGATATTATATTATATAAGTTGTTAATCTCGTATTAAAGCTCTTCCTTATTGGTCATACAATTGCTTGTTTCTGGTACATTCTGTGTAAAGTAGAATACGAAAATTATTAAAAGGAAAGTGGTTGGATTAACAATTAAATGCTTTAAGATAAAGAATGGTGGCAATTTTATATCTTTAGCTTGTATTGGGCTTTAACCTTAATGACAACAGGTTCAAGCATAGCAAGCACAACCTTTGAAACTTGCTACACAGTTTTTATTATGCTTTTTATCACTATTATTTTTGGTTATATACTAAATGTTATTGGATAGATCTTGTCTGAAATAGAAGAAAAAGACTAAAATCGCAGAAGAGATGTTAACATCCTAAATGACTATATGAGAAAAAAAAATATTTCTAAGTAAATTCATTTATTTTTATTTAAATATTTAATTAAATGTTTATCTTACTTTCATAAATTCATCATTTTATTTTCAAATAGAAAAATAGAAAGATTATTAAAAATCAAATATAAATTTCAATGTTAAAATTTAAAAAGTAATAAAAACAACTTTGATTTAAAAAAATATCTAAAAATATTTAAGAAATTATTTTAATTTTTATGAAACTTATTTTTTGTTAGACTATTGCAGTCGAAGGTGAATCTGAACTTAGAGTACTATTATTAATAAGATTTTAAGTAGCTCTAAGAAAACTATGAATAAGTTTTAGGAAAAATATCCTTAGACCTAAAAAATAGCTTGCTGAAGGAGTATAATAAATAAATTATAAACAAAATTGAAGTACTTGCTAAAAAGTTCAGTTAAAATTCTTTAGATAAATTATCAATCACACTTTAGGAGGAATATTATTTTCCTAATCAAGCTATATTCAATTAGCATGATCTCTCAAGTAACTGTATTATTTACGTTGTTTCTGGTTAGGGTAAATAAATTCTCTATTTCAATAAAAAAATATTTTAATTTTAAGTTTGTTAAATATTTTTTAACAAACATTAATTAAATTTAAGTAATTTTAGAATATACAATAAATCTTCATTAATTAATGAATGACTCCCCATTCATCCAAAGACTAATAAAATTGTATTAAATTTCTATCTTCAATAAAAATTTTCAAAATTGAGCCTTAATTAATGAGAATTTAAAAGTATATTAATTAATAATTGAAAACAGATAAAAAGACAACTAATCTATTTAACATATAAAAGAGAAAATAATTTTAAAACTAAATTTTAAACAATTTTTGAAAATAAATATAATAAGTGGAAATTAGTTCTTCCAATAATACTTCTGAGTAGACAAAAGTATTGCTTAATAGTGGCTAATTTTATGGATTAATTGAATTTTTTACAGGAGTTTCTAACAATTTACACATATACTCCAAGTAGTTCTCTTAAGTTATTTTTATAGATAGAAACAAATTTATAGAAATTATTAAGCAAAATGAAAAGGATTTTTAAGAGTTTCACTAATTAAAAGATTAAATACTATTATATGGGTAATTTGATAAAGTTAAATTAATATGCAGTGTTTGCAAAATGAAGACACACTTAAAATAAGCTTGTCATTTAGTTCATTTTAATAAATCTTTATTTTATAGGAAGCTCGGTTATCCAATAGGTTAGAAATAGGATAGAGCTATTTTTAATAGAAAAAAGGAGTATAAATAATAATTTTTTGCCCTTAAATCATAGCAACAGAAGGAGGAATTTTTTAAATATGCTAAGACTTTTAAAAACTTAGATGAGTCATATAACAGCAGCCATAATTTTGAATACAGCTTTTTGACGTAGAGCTAACAAGAAAATGAGGAGTCTTCTACAATTTAAAATAATAATTCAGTATTTTTTGGAAATAATGAAGGTCGTAACAACACTTTTAAATCTTAAAATCATGTTTCTGATTAAAAAACAAAGAAAACAATATCATCATCAACTTGCCTTTCCAAAATCGAAAATGATTTAAATCCATAAATTATTGAAGAAAGGAATAAAAAATAAAAGCTTTCATTGAAAATCATCACTGAATTGAATGTACATAATTAATTTTTTAAAACATTTTTCTTTTTTAAATTTACAAACTTTAAATTAGGATAATCATATGGATAAAAATCATTTAAAAAGAGAATCTTCAGATTAAGATATAACAAAACAAGAGGTACAACGAATAAGTAGATAATCTTTAGATTCTTAGCATAATTAGTAAATATTAGATCTTGGAAAAAATTACATATATGATAATGATATTGGTTTTTCAAATGATTAAAGAATTAGGGCTCTTAATATTCAAAAAACCATTTTAATTAATAGTAGTAAATATATTTAAAGTTACCTTGAAGATTTGAATAAATTCCTATTTTAAAGAGGCAGATCTTTAAAGTAAGTTAAACCAGTTTTAGAAGAAAGCTAGCTGTAAAACAACTTATTTGAACAAGAGAATAATCCTTGGTTGTTTGAGTCTTTAGAAAATTTCAAATACTATTTTACTAAAGGAAATTCCTACAATGTGCTTAAAAAAGTGATGAAATAAAGAAGGAAATCTAGGATTTTATATAAAAGAAATTTAAAAAGCGAAAATAAATTGATTAAATGATTATAAATCTAAATTGATTGAATTACAAATTGTATTGTGAGTGAATATAAAATTCTTAGATTATTTTATTTCTAAAATTTTTAATTATTTAAATTAAAAGTTAATGCAAATTTAAGTTAAAAATTCTTATTTAATAAATCAGCTGTAAATCAAAAAAATAATTCATCTAATTTATTTATTTATTACTAAAATCAATATTCACTTTAGAAACAAAAAACCTATTTCTACTTTATTTCTTTTATTTTAGAAACAAAGAAGATTTAAAAACATGTCTTTCTTTTTAAATTATATAAATATTTACTCCATAACTGATCTAATGAAAAATTTTTTAATTTATTATGATATTTGACATTCATTAAAAATAATCTCTTTAAAACAAATAATTTTTTTTGACTTCTAACAATTTAACATGAAAACTTTTAGTATAACATAATTAACTATTAATCCTCATTTTTTTCCACTTCAAAATTTTTTCTTAGTAAAATAAAAATTTAAACCAAAAAGAGTCACATAGCCCTTCTAAGTAAAGTTTTTGTGGTGTAAATAAATGAGGTTATATAATACATAGAAATGAGATTTTAAATTTTCTATTGTTAATTATTGATATGTAAAATTAAACCTTTAATTCTTAAATTTTTTATGTATTACCTTTTGATAATATTAATTGCTATGATTTACTATATTTTTTAAATAATTTGATTCTCTGTATTATTTAAAATTAACATTTTTACTTTTATTCATGAAAAACAGAGTAAAATAAATAATAACATTCTTTCTTTCTTCTTTAGTTAAATTAATAGGCATAAAACAATCAAACTTTTTTCAGTTTAATATTAATTAATTATTTTTTTCTGAAATAAAAAAAAATAAAAATTGATAAGGCAAAATAAGAATAGTTTAAATTAATGTAAGATTATCTATCAAATAAAATAAGTCCAAAAGTAGAAGATGATAACGATTTGTTTCATAAAAATCAGTTGAAGTTAATGAAATATCAATAAACATCTTGTGAAAATAGAGAAATAAAAGATTTAATAAAGTAGGAAGACGTTTCTTGTTGGAGCGAAACATAAAAATCAATAGCCTTTGAGTAAGATTAATGTAAGGAGAAAGAATTATCTGTTATTCACACTGAAAAAGTTTAAGATAACTCAAGTGTTTAAATGGATATGCTCTTAAACTTAGAAAAAATTAACACATCGTGTATCAACTAGAAAGTGCAATAGGATGTTTCTAATTCTTAAGTAATGCACTAGCAAAATGCATGTATTTCAAAGTAGTCTATTTCTTCACTGTTAAGCAATCGCCTAAGAAATAATAGCTTTCCTAATGGTATCGAAACCACTTATAGAATTTACAAAGACCATCACTTGCAGGGCTAATAATAAAATTGTTAAAAAGCCAAAATAAATTTATGTGAAAAATCAATTGTCCTTTAAAAAAAGATTTTGTAGCAAGGACAAAATTTAAGTTTAATAAAACATATGTTTTGGGTTAAAAAGAGATTTTCTTATTTCTTTAATGGTTTTACTGACTTAGGTCGTAAAAAATAAATAAATAATCATATCAAAATGTTTATTAATGATAAAAGCGACTATATAATAGAGCAGAATGTTATATTGGCTTTTATTTCTTCTTTCATTCCAACTTACCATTTTGAAAATTTTGCAAAAGCGATCAATTTAGGAATAATTGATAGTCAAGGAAACAAAAGTAAAGTTATTTCTTTTGTCTTGATACTTTATAACAGCTTTTTCTATTTATTTTTGTCGCTCTCGATGGTTTTTGGAGGGTTTACTACTTACATTTATAGAGTTTTTTTACTTACTTTTATAGTGTGGGTTATAGAAAGTTTAGTATAAATGAATAGTACTCTATTTATTAAAACAAAATTAATTACTCAAAGGTCAGAGATTATAGCTTTTTATGTTAAAAAAAGACTTATTTTTGATTTGATTCCTATGATAGTAATAACTTTAGATAATAAGAATCATATCATATTGTCTTTAGCCTTTTTGAAATTGGTTAATTTGATTTCAAATCTCAAGGATTTTTAAAGATACTTATGTATGACAGTGAGAAAGTATTATATTGTGATCCTAATTAACCTTATCATTAAAATGTTTATATTTGCACACATTATCTCATGCCTATGGTATATGATTTCTTACATAGAAACACACTTTTTTGATTCTCATGGATGGGTAGAAGAAAAATTTGATAATTCTCAAGATTGGTGGTTGCTTTATTTTTAAGCTATCTATTGGGCTTTAACCTTGATGACTACTGGCTCAAATATAGCTTCGACAACTATAGAGATTATTTTTACTTCTTTTATTATGATATTCACTACAATCGCCTTTGGTTATCTTTTAAGTGTGGTAGGGTTTATACTAGAACAAGTAGATTAGCAAAGTGAATAAAAGAGAGCCGATATTAATGTTATTAATGAGTACATGAGATAAAAGAATATATCAAAGTAATCAATTATTCATTCATATTTCAAATTAATCAAAGAATTTATAATTTTTAAAACAAATTTTTTCTTGAAAGGTCTTTGTAAAAGCAGAGTTTGAAAACTTATTTTTAAAATTAAATAATTTTGTTCTTTATAATCAAACAAATTGCAAGATTATCAATTTAAAAAACCAGGAAAAAAATTTTTGTGATTTTTTTAGTTAATTTTTTCTATAACTTAATTAAGTTTTTCTTTAATATAATTTAAAGGGCACTATAGCAGAAAATAAATCTTAGTTTGGAGTACTACTATAACAGTAACAAAAGCAAAATTCATTAAGAAAGTTTTATGATCCTAGACAAGATTTCCCAAGATTTAAAGAGTTAGCTGACTAAAGAATTTAATAGAAAAATTATTAACAAAATATCCATTTTAAAGTCAAATTTTACAGAATAAACACTAGAAAGATTGTCATCAGTGGCTAAAGAGGAGTACTATTTACCTAATTAAGTTATTCATAGCTAGAACTAAAAATAAGAAGCTTCTCTCATTTTTGTTATTAGTGGATTAGGTTTTAATTTATTTTTTAACCTGTTTCTTTATTAAATTTTTTTAATTAAAAAGTTGAAATAGAAAGTTATTAACTTTATAATCTTGATTTTTAGAAGAAAACCAGCCTAGAAATTAAAAAAGGAGAGATTGTCGGATAAATTGATTTATTTACAGGGATTAGTTAATTTAGCTTGATTAAATCATCAGATTATACATAAATTCTGAGAATTACAAATTCTGATATGGTAAACTCAATAAGAGAACAGGGTAAAGATTTTGAAAAATTTTGTTAAATTAAAGATAAAATTTTGATGTATGAGTAATACTCTTAAGTAGAAATAAAATGTCAAGTCTGTGAATAATCCACCCATTTAATTTAAGGATGCCCATTTGTACATATTTAAAAGCACTCTGTGAATACAAAAATAGGATTGATAAAATCGAAGGATTAGGAGAGAGTGGCGAGAGCAAGAAAAAAACCTAAAACAAGCTTTTTTGTTTTGGAAAAGAATGCTTAGATTTTTAATTTGCTTTTTGATCAATTGCAAATTGAAGAATATTTGCTAAAAGTATAATAAATAAAAATAAAATAATTAAATAGAGATCTTTCATATTCTGAATATGATGATTCTGAGTGCCAAAGTTTTTAAAAAGGCAATGATGATTTAGAAACAATACAAGAGGAAATCAACAGTGAATAAGCAAGAAAGAAAGAAACCAGCTAAATTCAGCATAATAGTTCTAAAAATTTATAAGTTGGGAAGGATAAAAGATGTTCCATAAACTATCAAATAGAAGAAAATGAGGTAATTGATTGATATTTATTTATTTATTTACTTTAATTAATTTTAACTTTTTATTTTTATTGAAAATAGGAAAACTCATCTGATCATAGAGTATTAAACTCAGAAATAAATATCAGATAGAAGGAAAAGTACAAGCAGCAAGTTAATTTTAGCAATAGAAAAATAGATTAAACGTTTGAAACATAAAAATCTGACATAAATTTAAAAACATTTTCTCCAGATTCAAATAAATTAATAAGCAACAAAAAATTATCTCCTGTTAAAGAATAAATTATAAATGCATAAAATTTTTAAGATTTCTTTAATTTTGAATAGGATGAGTCATAGAAAAAAATGATAAAAAAATAAGAAGTGTCTAAATACAGAAATAGTAAATAGTTTAATGTAAGAGCCTCTTAAATTATTAAGCTACATTAGTTGACTTACTAAACAGCGCTTGATGACTAAGATTTATTTAATCCTTGGAATTTTGAAAAGCTTTAAGATTATAAATTCTATTTTAAAAATGGTAATTCAGGATTAAAAATACAAAAATATTCTAAATACTAAAGCAAATAGTTAAAAAAGCATAAAAAAAATTTAATTAGTAAACAAGATAATCAATCTACGTAGTAGACTAAAATGCAAAAAGAATGTTGAAATACTCTGAAAATCTTTAATCTTATAATTAGAAATTTAAATAATTTTGATTCTAACATATCAAATCAAATAAATTATTATTTTGTTTACTAATTTTAAAAATATATATTTCTATTATCTATTAACTTTTTAAACAAACAATAAATCTTTAATAAAAAATACATTTTAAAAGTACTTGGATGGAGGACTAAATTTTAAAAATTTTTATTTATTTTTTACAAAATTTTTAACTTAAAATATGAGAATTTATTTAGAGTATTTTTAATTTTATTTTTCAATCAGAATACATTAAATATTTAATTATTGAAAGAATTATTATTTAATAAATATTTATATTACTGAAATCTAAATATATAACATTCAAGTTATTTATATAATTATAAATTCTAGCAAAAAATTTGCTATTTTTAGTAAAATTTTATACATAAATATAAAAAGTGTTAAGTATTGAATTAAAAGAACATTAAAAAAAACTAATTTTAGGTTTTGAGATTTAAAGATTAAATAAAAAGTAAATTAAATATAAATAAATAATGGATATATAAATAGATCTAGAAGAAGACTCTTTACATAAAAATCAGTAATAAATACTTCAATAGTAGTAAAATTTTAGTCACCACCTTGAGTTAAAGAACTTAAATAAGTCAGAGGAAATATCGTGTTGGAGCGAAACATAAAATTCTTTATTTAATCGTTAACATGATCATTCTTAAATTGAAAGCTTTACGAACAATGTGACGTTTAAAACAAAAGAGAACTAAATTACTTTTACTGAAGACATGTCTGATTTAAAGCAGACGAAAAATGAAGAAATTAGTTTGAATGTAGAGCCATATTATTCAACTCATAATAAGGATGAGGGGTAAAAGAAGAAAAGTTTGATATTAAAAGTTAGTAATCTAAGATCAAATAGTCTTAACTCTTAAAATTAAATTAGAAATAACTAGGTCGATAAGAGTTAAAATTGCAATAAAGACATTTCTCATTCACTTCAAAATATAGAGTTAATAAAGCAGAATTTTAGGTTACCTGTGAATAATAACAATAACAACAGTAAAGCCACTCTTATGAATTTAGGGTTGATGCTTAAAATTAAACTGAGATTTTAGTATTTCTTTAGAGCCTATACTTTAATAGGTAGAAATAAATCAATTAAAAATAAGATAAAGAAATATATAAATGATAAAAGCTGTTTTTTTGAGAACAATGATTAAATCAACAGTCGATAAATGTAATTTTTACCACTTAGTGTAATAGATAGTTTCTTTAGACTTATTAATTTAAAATTGATAGATGGATAAGGTAATTTAGGAATGTTCTTAACGTTTTTTTTTATTCTTTACAATAGTTCGTTTCTATTTGTTTTATCTCTACATATTATATTTCAAGCATGTGCTTCTTAAATTAATTAAATATTTTCTTTGACGAGCATTGTATGGGTAATAGAGTTTGTAATAAAAATAAATAGCACACTCTTTATTGATTATCATTTGATAACAGAAAGATAACAAATTATTAAACATTATTTAAAAAAGAGGCTTGCTTTTGATTTTGTTCCTTTAGCAATCGCAGTTAGTTCATAAAATAATCTGATTTAAATTTTTATTTTCTTAAAATTAATAAATATAATGTCTGAATTAAATTCTTTTTAAAAATACTTATGCTTATTGATCAGAAAGTATTACATTGTATAGCTGATCAACTTATTTTTCAAAATATTTATATTTGCGCACATTATTTGTTGCATGTGGTTTTTAATTGCTATGATAGAAATTAATATTTTACACAGATAAAGCTGGATAGAAGAAGGAACAGATATAAAGTAAGATTGGTGGCTTGTTTACTTTTAATCTTTATATTGGGCTTTGACATTGATGACAACAGGATCTAATGTTGCTACAACGACTCTATAAATAATTTTTACTACCTCAACAATGATTTTCACTACCATAGCTTTCGGTTATCTATTAAATGTCGTTGGGTTTATCCTTGAAACAATTGATAAACAAAGCGAACAAAAAAGAAGTGACATAAATATTTTGAATGAATACATGAGAAAAAAGAACATATCGAAGTAAATTTAAATTAGTTTTTTTATTAGCTAAAATTTTGATTATATTTTGGAGTACAAAAAATAGTAATTTAAATGAATTAATTGATTATTTTCTTATTAAATTTGTAAAAATCATTATTTTCTTTTAGTTCTTTTGTGATTGAATTTAAAAGATCAAACATAATAATCTATATAATACAGAATTATAAAAATTTCTAATTTAAAATAGAATTTACAATTTTAATCATTTATCTTTTTATTATTATACGCTATTACCTATAATAAAGTATAAATTTAATGCTTATTTCGATAATTATTTTAATAAAATATTCAATTTAAAGTGCTTTATTGAATAAAAGAAATATCAACAAAAATGATTAATTAATCTGAATTCACTGTTCGTTCTAAAATTTTAATTAACTATTTTGTTATTATATATAATATAGAAGTCTCTAGTAGTAGATAAATTTAAATTTAGAGTACTATTACAATAGAAATATAAAGTAAATCCATCAAGATAGTCTAAGTATTTTAGATAAAATACCCTCTGACTTAAAATCTGCTTTAAATAAAGAATTTAATTATAAGATAATTAGCAAAATATCTGTGATAAAAGATAATTTCAGTTAAAAAACTATTGATCAATTATGCTAAGTTGCGAAAGAAGAATATTATTTACCGAATTAAATTATATGTGATGGGTATTAAACTTTAGAAAATTCGTTAATTTGCATTGTCTCTGGATAAGGTAAAAGTTAATTGCTTTTTAATAAAATTTTTAATTGATTTATTAAATTAATTATTAGTTGAGGTTAATAAAATTAATATCAACATCAACAAGGAAATTTATGGCAATAAAATAATTAGTTCATAAATTTAAAAAGGAAATACTTGCTGTGAAATAGATTTCTTTACTGGAGTAAATTAAAACAATTTTATAAAATCAACTGAATATACTCAAATACTAAGGATATCAAGAAGTGATTTCATCAGCATAGTTAGAGAAAACACAAAAGAATTTTAAATTTTTTGTTAGATTAGAGATAGAATACAAATTTATGAGCAGTATTCTTCTTTAGATATTAAATGCGAAATATGCAGTTACAATACTCATTTAATGTTAGATTGTCCTATGGCTCATTTCTAAAAAAATTTTGTAATCACTAAAATTGGATTTACGAAATCATAGAATTAAATTAGAAAAAAAAGTGATCGAAAGAATGCTATCAAAAGAAAATTTTAAGTAGTAAATTAAAATGATATTTAATATTCTATATTTTAAGAAAAAGCTGAAATAGAGGATTATTAATTAAAAGTATTATCTAATTATCTGAGCCAGCAGAATAAAGAAAACTCTAATTCAGAATCAGAATAATCTTAGGATTCTTTAAAATAAAAAACTAATGATTATATTTTTATATACTCCATACTTGAAGAAGATTAAAAAGAATTAGAACCTTAAAAAAGAAAGAAATCAAACAGCATGACTTCTTACAACAACACAACATCTAAGATATAAGAAAAAAATAAAAGGAAAAGATGTTCTATCACTTCATAACTAGAAGAAAGCTAGGTAAACAATAATATATTTATTAGTAGCAATTTAATGGTCAAAGTCTAAAAGAAGATTTTAAATTTTTAATTTTGTGAGTTAGCTTGAAAAAAAAAAATTTTTAAACCAAAACTCATTAAAAAAACACATATTTAGCAATTTAATATAATCCTCCCTACCAATTACCAAGACTATTTGTAAAATCAATAACTAAATAAAAGTTAAAATAAAGTATAAAAAATAATATTTTAAAAATTTTACTCTATATAAATTTATTTTTTATAATTAAGTGGAGAGTTAATATTTAATAAATATAACTAAAAATATAACAAAATTCATATTTTTCTTGATTTTGAAAAGAAAAAACCATTTAATTAAATAAATAATTTATGAATAGAACATTTTTAATTTATTATCAAATAAAAATCAATGTGATAAAGGAATTAATAAAAATTTTGTAAAATAGGCTGAAGATTCACTTGAGATAATATAATCTGATTCAGATAAATATATTCAATTTAGAGATAAAAATAAATAATTTCAATATGTGGCAAGAAGGAGAACAGAAATTAGTTAAGAAGATCCCAAATCAGAGCAAAATTTAAAATTAATTGAAACAGAAAAGCCTATCAATTAAAGAAATTATAAAAAATCATACACCAATTAATTGAGCTCTCAAAGCAATTTTTAGTAACTTGTTTAAATAGACTCAGAGGAATTAGCCTAGAGGAATCAAAAAAAACATGAAATAACTTTAAAGCAATATTCTCATGATCTGACTTATAAACAAATTTCAAGCCTATAATCAAATTTCAAAAATTCTTAAAATTATAAATCTTAATAAATATCTTATCATAAAATGATGACTGAAAGAGATCAGTAGTATTATTGGAATTTTGATAAATTGTAAGATTATAATAATTACTTTAAAAATGGAAATTCTGGTTTGAGAATATAAAAGTACTAGAGATTTCAAATGAAAATGCTGAAAAAGACTAAAAAAACTAATAACAAATATAGCTGATTTAAGCTAGATATAATATATAAATAAAATTTATAATTAACTTAAATTATTCAATAGCTATTAAAATATATATTCTATATGTTTAGTCAATTAAATAGAAATAAAACCTATATAAACTAATTAATTATTATCTTAATTTTCATTATGCAATAATTCCTATTAAATCTATTAAAGGAATTAATTAAAATTTTTTTAGAACAAATAATTAAAATTGTTGTTAATTTCCTTGAGAAATTTATAAGTAGAATAATCAATCAATCAATTAATCAATCTTTCATTAAATTAGTATAAAGTAAGAATGGAAACGCATGATTAAGACAATTTATATAACACCCAAAGACTCTTTTAATCATTTTAGAAATAAAACTTAGATTAGGAATATAAAGATTTGAATTTGTTATAGGATGTGTCTTGCTGGAGTGAAACGCAAAATTCTAAAATATCATGTATTTAATCTTAGACTGAAAATATTCGAACCGTCAATAGCGCAGAATCAAGGGTCTAAGGTTTATAAAATAACAAAAAAGAAGATGAAAAAATTGAAACATCAATAAAAAATCAAGTAAACTATTTTCAGATACTGAAATAAAATAAAATATTTATTATTTTAAATTAAGTAAACTTAAGATGAACAAATTATTGTTCAAATATAGTAGATATCTAATCGTAATATTAAAAGCAAAACATTTAGTGGTGCTCAAGATCGTTAGAAGGAAAGTGACAAAAATAAATTGAGTTCTTTATCTTATGGATAATATAAAACAATCGCTATGCAGAAGGGTATGAATTCAAATTTCAAAAATAAAAACATTACTGATAGTATTTCATTTATGATGAAACTAAAACAAAAAATAACTTACTATTAAAGAGTTTTAACCTTATCTGGTAGAAGTAAATATATCACTGAAGCAATTAGGTAATATATAAATGATAAAAGTGATAGTTCTCATAATAAAGCCTAAAACTGGCTATTTAAGTACGATATTACTTAAAATGTGTATACTTATTTACAGTCATTGAATTTACCCTTAATAGACTGTTAAAGCAGCACAGGAATAGCATTATCTTTTTTTTTCATTGCATATAATTGCATTTTTCTTTTTTTGTTTTCTCTCTCAATTATATTTAATGGATTTAAGACTTAAATTGATAATATGTAATACCTCACTTTTTTCTTATGGCTGATTGAATTGCTAATTAAACTAAATACATCCTTCTTTTTCAAATAGAAGTTAATCAATCAGAGACAAGATATACTGTTACATTACTTATAAAAGAGAATTTGCATCGACTTAATCCCAATCATCATAGTATACAACTAGAGTAGTAAGATGGTTTAAATACTGATATTCATAAAAGCGATAAATGTATTATCAGATATAGCTTAATTCTAGAAGTATCTTTGCATGGTTGTTCGAAAGTACTACTTTGTAATTTTGGTGAATTTAGTATTTAAAATATTTATATTTGCCCATATTATTTCATGCATGTGGTATATTATTGCATTGATAGAAATTAACTACATGAATATCAAAAGCTGGATTGAAGATAATGTTGATATGGAAGAAGATTGGTGGAAATTATACATCTAATCTTTGTATTGGGCACTAACTTTAATGACAACAGGTTCTAATATAGCAACAACTACTTTATAGCTTTTTTTTACAGCATTTATTATGATATTTACCACTATTGCATTTGGTTATTTACTAAACATAGTTGGTTTTGTCCTAGAAACTATAGATAAGCAGGATGAACAAAAGAGAAGTGATATAAATATCATAAACGAGTACATGAGACAAAAAAAAATTTCATAGTAAGAATTTAATTAAAATCATAATTTTCTAAAATGTTTAATCTAAATAAATATTTTTTATAAATTAACCTTTCTTCAAATAAATTTTTAAAATAAATGGACTAATTTTAAAATAGTAAAAATTAATAAATAGTTTTTTAATAAGATGGATGATACATCTTTTAATTTAACTATGTATCATTACTATTATTAAAAATGTTTAATATAATGATAATAATAATTATTTATAATTAAAAAAAAGAAACTTATAATCAAAGATAAATATTAGTTTAGAATACTACTACAGTTAGAATACTAGTAAGCTCCATTAATAAAGTGAAGAGATATTAGATAAATTGTCTTTAGACTTGAAGGTATCACTTGCTAAAGAATTTATTAAAAGGATTCTCAATAAAATAGAAATACTTAATAAAAATTTTAGCAATTCTGCTTTGGATTTATTATGCTTTTCTTCTTTAGAGGAATTTTATTTACCAAATCAAATCATATTCAGCGAGAGTCATAATACAGAGCCTTCATTAATATATGTTATTTCTGGATAAGGTAATTTTATTTTACTAAACAGCCATTTATTTTTATGAGCTTAATTTAAAAAAATTAAAATAGTTGAGGTAGTTTACTTTGATTAAATGGAACAAGGTGTTCCAGTCTAATACATCAATTCTTAGATTAAAGAAGGTTAAATTTGTGGATAAATTGAGTTTTTTACAGGAATTTCTCAGTAAAGGTATTTTAGATCCACTGAATATTCTTAGATACTTAGGATAACTAATAAAGATTTAATTGACATTGTAAAAAGAGACTAAAAAGATTTTGAAAGGTTCTGCTAAATTAGAGATAATATTTTGATGTATGAATAGTATTCTTCCCTTTAATTGACATGTAGTATATGTAATTATTCCACTCATTAAGTAGTAAATTGCCCAATGATACATTTATAAAAATATTTCCTTTTATCAAAAATTGGAATTAGCTAGAAGTAGTAATAAAATAGGTAAAGTCATGACCGAAGGTTAAAATTTAAAAGAAAAAAAAAGCTAACAGAAAATAATGTTATGCATGGACAATTTATCTAGGAGAACCTTTAAAAGTAGCAAGTTCATTCTAATAGCGATGTTGAATATGTATCTAGCGAAGAAACAGATGAACAAACAAATGAATTAGAAAGTAAAACTAATACACAATAAACAGATGCAGAAGAACATTTTAAGATACAAAGAGTTTCTGATGATAATTAAGAAACTGAAATAAAAACAGATAAAAGAAAATCTATACATATTTTATAGCTTAACATACCTCAATAAAAAATGCAATCAGGCAATTATCGTTAATCCATTCTCTAATAAGTAGAAGAAATCAGTGTAAAATAATTTCAAAAAAAATAAAATATAATTAATTTCATTAAAGTCAAAAGGAGAATTAATAGACTTAGCAAATTTAGCAGATCTTAACTTAAAAAATATGGCTAAACGTAAATAATCAGTATTAAATAAAAAAATGGAATTTACTTTTGAAATCTAACAATATGCTGATACTAATCATAAAGTAAGAGCTAGTGATTGTGATTTTTCAAGTGTTTTATCTCCATAAAAAAAGCAAAGTGCTATGTTCTATTAAAATAATGCATCTTAACTAAACAATTCATAAGATTTAGAAGATAGGTCATAGCCAATTAGAAAAAAGGATCGTAATAAAACCTTTACAAGAAATACGAATAGTCATCTTACACAGGTAGTCAGAATGTAGTAATTTTAAAATTTAAACAAATAATAAGACGATGAGCTTGAAAATCCTTGGACCTTTGAGAAGCTCTAAGATTATAAATTTTATTTTAGTAAAGGAAACTCCAAAAATTATTTATAAAGATACAATAAATTTTATAATAAAAAATTCAAAGATTTTTTGAAAAAATCTATGAAAAAATGATTTTATATTTTGTAATTTATTTAGTAGAAAATTCAAATTAAAACACATTAAAGTTTATTTTTTTGATTAATTTTAATTATTTTTTATTTAAATTAATTAAAAATACTTTATTATTAACTAAAAGAGTTATTAATTAATTTAGCATTCTTAAATTTTCTTCAAAGCACCTGATTGATATGTGCAAAAGAGAAGTTATTTTAAAATATTGTATTTTACTTAAATTAAAATAAGCAAATAAATATAAGTCTTAACACTATTTTATTTAATAAAATTAAACTCATAAATTATGAACAAATATATTTAACCATAATTTTGTTTGCCATTTTATCAAAAGAAGATAAAAGCGCAAAAAAAGTTTAGAAAAATTATCTATTTCGTTTAATTTAATATATTACTTTTAGTAATCCTAAACAAAAAAATTTTTAATAAAGTAAAATAACCTATTTCAGTTTTTAGTTTATTTTTGTTTGAATCTAAGTTTTTAGTACATGAATTTATTTACTTTTTAATATGACTAGCTCGCAATTTGATAAGCAGATAAATAAATAAATAACAAACATTAAATAATTTAAAAATAAATCAAATATAGAAAAAATCAAAATAAAGCTATTTAATTAAAAATGAATGAGACATCGGAAAACAAAAACCATCTACATACAAACCAACAGCTATTTCTCAAAGAGAGAGAAACAGATGATGCCTTTAAATTAAGATAAAAAAATATGTCAGACGATATTTCGATTTGGACTGATTCATCAAAAAACTCAGCCAACTATAATGCAGATTTTTAAAACAGCTAAGAATATAGCAAAAGTATCAATATATTAAAATTAAAACAAAATTCACAGTCAATACAACAAGAAAATTCTATTTTCTTTAATGAAGAAGATATTACCTAATATAAGGAATAGAAGTTTAATAATGATATAACTGCTCTATCTAAGAAAAACAACATTAGTACAATAAAATCAGTTTATAAATAAAACCTTATGAGTCCTTCTAAGAACTGCAATATTAATGAAAGCAAGATGGAAATATCTCAAAGTACAATGAACAACAAACATCAGACTTTAAAAAATTGCAGATAATATACTACTAAAGTTTTGAGCAATCACATCAAATTAACGATCAAATTAAAATAAAAATTCAGCTATTTTTTCAAAGCCTTCACTATGGCAGGTAGAAGTTAAGCTCTTAATAGTACTATAAGAAGTTTCATTAATGACAAAAGTGATAGGCTTGGCTAAAACTCAAAGATTTCTGCTTATTTAAGAAGCATTTTCTGGATTCAAAGTATATTAAGAGCAATCAGAAAGCTAGGCATAAAAATCATAGACTGTTAAAGCAATATTGGCATTATTATTTCCTTTTTCTTTATCGCTTTTAATTGTTTGTTTCTTTTTTAGTAATCTTTCTATATAGTTTTCTAAGGCTTTCTTTAATTTCACGCTATTTTTTGCAAGATTTCTTCTTTTTTATGGGTAATTGAAATAGTTATCAAATTAAACACATCTATTTACATCAACTCTAGGTAAGTAGTAGAAAGATAGGAAATTATATTTTGTTATGTAAAAAGTAAACTTATTTTTGATCTTTTACCCTTGATTATTGTAATAAATGCTTCGTAGAATACTCTTATAAATATTATTATATTTTTGAAGATCGTTAATATTATTTCTGAACTTAATTAATTCTACAAGTTTCTCTTCAGAGTCGTTCGACAATACTATCTAATCGCTTTGATTAATTTAATTATTAAAATGTTCTTAATTGCTCATATTTTAGCATGCTTGTGGTATTTGCTAGCACTCTATGAATACGATCAAAATCTTGAATCAGAAAGTTGGATTAAGAAGCTGGAAATAGAAGGTGTGTGGTGGAAATTATATTTTCAAGCTCTCTACTGGGCACTAACTTTGATGACAACAGGATCTAACGAAGCAACTACGAATCTTTAAAGGATTTTCACTTCAATAATAATGATTTTTACCGCAATAGTATTTGGCTATTTATTAAATGTAGTTGGGTTTATACTTGAGGCTATAGACGAAAAAAATGAAAAGAAGAGAAGAGACATAAATATCCTAAATGAGTTCATGAGGTCAAAGCACATTTCTTAGTAAAATTGCAAAAAATAAATTATTCATTTAATGTTTTATTACATAAAATAAATAGAAGTCTTTAAGCTAGAATAAATTTGAATTTAGAAAACTATTATGACATGAATTTCAACAAAGCTCATAAAAAGAGTCAGTAAGTTTTAGATAAAATATCCATAGAGCTTAAAAATTCTCTGATGAAAGAATTTAATAGGAAATTAATCAATAAAATAACATTTCTAACAAAAAATTTTAGCTAAGAAACACTAGATAAGTTAAGTCTAGTAGCAAAAGAAGAATGCTATTTACCCAGCTAAGTTATATGCAATTTAAGTAAAAATCATGATTCTGCTCTAATTTATGTCATTTCGGGTTAAGGTAGAATATTTCTTTCTTTCTTTCTTTATTAATTAATTTATTTATTTATTTATTTATTTATTTATTTATTTATTTATTTATTTATTTATTTATTTATTTCTTTCATTCATTCATTCTTTCTTTCTTTCTTTCATTTTTCATTTGCTCATTTGTTAATAATATTTAATTTTAGCTGAAATATAAAGGACTAATAAAGATTAAAGTTATGTAGACATATCAAATTTAAAGGTAAATTAAGGAGAGATTATTGATCCTACAAATCTATTTACTGGTCTATCTTAACCTTTCCAAGCTATTTCTACACAATTCACTCAGGTATTAAAGATCTCAACATATGATATGATATAAATTATAAAAGAAAATGAAAAGGATTTTTAAATTTTTCATTAGATTAAAGACTAAATTCAATATTATTAATTAAATTCTGTTATAGGACTCAAATGTAAATTCTGCTGCTAAAGCACTCATTATATATATGATTGTCCTTTCTTACATTTTGGAAAGCAAATGATTTATTCCAAAATAGGATTAAAGTAAAAGTAGGAACAAAATCGTTAGCATTTTGAAAGAAGGACTAAATATATGAGGACTTTACTAATATAAAATACAGACCCTACTCTCTTACAATTTTAAGAAGATCATTAATTTAGTAAAAATAAAGAAACCCTAACTTCGATTGGAGTTACAATCCTATTAAATGATGATGTAGCAACAAATTCAGAGTATGATGATAAATAAAATGAAGAAATCTTACAATAAAGAATAGAATTTACAGTAATAGAAGAAGATGATGAAAAATAAATTGATTATTCTCCAAGCATTAGAGAACTAAATCATCAATAATAATCTCCGATTTTAACAAATAATTTACTAAATTCATTGAAAACATAGAGAATTAATACTTTCACTTAGTATCTGGAAGATTAAGTAATAATGATATTTATTTATTGATTTGTTTATTTTTTTATTTAAAAAATAAACTAAGTTTTTATTTTATCTTTTTTTAACTAATTAATTAAAAATAATTCGTATTTTTTTTAAATAGGAATTAGCTTCGCCAGTAAAAATCTAATTAAGTGAAACGCAAGCAAAAAGTAGTAGAGAAAGCTATAAACAATTAAAAGTGAATACTCATAAAAGATTTAACTCCTTGCAAGATAATTCAAAAGATACAAAAAATCCTGAATAAGAGGTTAATTATTATTATTAGAAAAAGAGTCTATTCTCATAAATAAATTCAGATATTTTGAATAGATAATAAAGCACTTAGAGTATTAACGAATCAGAAGATTCAAAGTAAAAAAATCAAAAGAAAAGGGAGGTAATGAAATATCCTATCCCTTTAAATAGAAAACTGTTAGCCCCTTTATTATAATAATTCATTAATTAATAGTATGACTAACATAAAAGTAATGAATAGGAATATGTATAATTTAATCCATGGGAATTTGATTAATTAAAAGATTGGAATTATTACTTCAAATATGGAAATTCAAAGTATGTTTTACTTAAGCACAACAAATATTAACAAATGAAAGCTAAGTAAATCTTAAGAAAATCCCCATATAAACGAGTGAAAAACGATGATTGATTTTTTTCCTAAAAGCCAGTAAATATTTAATACACACATAAAAATATCAGATAAATTTAACACTGATTTATTCAATTAATATGCTTCCTAAGTCATTGAAATTCTTCTAAGAACTCTTTATAACTATGTTATTATCTGTCTATATTATAATTTATGAATTTTTATTGTATTTTTAATATTTATTGAGACCATAGAAATAAATCTGTGTTTAAATAAACAAATTTTAGTTTTCAAAGCATATATATATTTATCTCTATATCAAATAAAGAGAGAATTCTAATCAAAGTAAAAAATATACCTTTAATTAATTATTAATAAAACATAAAGGATTATATATAATCAATAAATTGATGGAAAGTATAGTAACTCTAATTAGAGAAACAAAAAGTATTATAAAAATAAAATAATTCATAAAATTTAAGGATTAATGTAGGATAAAAAAATATTTTTAGTTTTTTGAATAAAAAATTTTCTTAATTAGAAATATGAAATTTCAAACAAGAATTTATTTTAAAAGTAATCATTAGCCATTTAAATCTAATAAACCACATACTCCTTGAAACCACTTTCTTTGCTATCTTGGCTATAAGAGGATCACTCTCCATCACTTTTCATTAAAAAAAAATAAAGTTAAATTAATCAAAATATTAGATAATAAGTGTTTATTTCTAAAATAATTTTAGTTTTACTTATAAAATTAAATAAAACATAAAATTCAAGTTTAATGATTAAAAAATTTAATATATGAATTTTATTTTTTTTTGTAACAAATGTTACTAGATCAAATTATTAAGCATAGAAACAAAAAATTAATGAATTTCTCTAACTTCTATCTTACATTCAATCAATTTTAATTAAAAATGAAGTTGAAATTAAAAAATTATTTGAATATATCTAATTTATTATATCCCAACAAACAAATAAATAGCTTTAGGTCATTTAAAAACAAATTGAAGTATTAGTTGTGAAAAAAATTATAAATGACCTATTATAATTTATATTAATTATTGAATAATTGATTATTGAGCAAGTAATTAAAAACTTTTCAAAAATATAAAAAATACATAATTTAGTGACTTCTCAACAGATTACATATATATATATAGCTTTGTTTATGAGTATTAATGATTTTATAAATGACCATAGCCAACAAGGTATTCTATTAAAGCTTTAATATACAGAAGACTCTAAACAGCTTAAATTTAGGAATGAAGTCCTCAGTGATAGGATTATTTGGGAGCTACCTGCTCATCAAGAGTAAGTAGCATAGAGTTAAACAAATAGAGATATTGATTTATCAAAATAGGAATCTCAAAATACATGTAATTAAAACTAAGAATAATAGAAGAGTAGATAGGAGTGCGATGATATAAATAAAACTTATTTATTTAAAAAAATAAACATTAACCAAAACATTCTAAATCTCACAGACTAAATTGAGGGTTTATCTGAAATGAGTCCTTCTTGTAATGAATGCTAAACATATTTTGGTTAGTAGAACTAAAAAGATTTTCATAACAAGTCGTAGTATAATTACATTAAAAAGGAAAAGCTTAGGCGATAAACTCAAATTGATATATAAAACAACAATAAGAGAAGCTTTCATGAGAATTTGATTTTTTGGACAAAGATTAAAAAATTGGCTTTGAAATTCTTTCATCACTATACAATATCTGGTAGGACTATTTATTTAACTAATTAAATTCGCTAAAGAATTAATGACAAGTGTGATTTTATATAATAAGGAAAAGAACAATTCACTATAACTAATTTTATAGCAAAATAAATTAACGCAATTCTTTAAAAATGCCCTTCAATAAATGTACCGTTAATTAACCCCTAAAGCAATTTTGGTTTCATGATATAAATATATTTTATAACATTTAACTGGATTTTCTTTTATTTGTTTTCTTTAGGAGTAATTTTTAATTAAGGCATAATGACATACTTAAATCTCTACATGATTGGAATTGCAGTTTGGTTAATTGAAATATTACTTAAAATAAATACTCTTATCTATAATTATACTCAAAAAGTATAAAAAAGAAAGCATATCATATTGATTTACTTAAGAAAGAAATCAATTTATGACTTTATACCAATCCTATTTCTTTATATTCTCTACGTTTATAAAGACTCACTTAACTTAATTTTAAATATCATTTTAATTATTCTAATTTGTTTAAAATTCAAAAATATGTCTTAAGATATGAATTAAATCTAAAATTAGTTCTGCAAAAGAATCAAAAGATATTATCTCATTTAGATTTTCAACTTAATCTTTAAAATGTTTATGATTGCCCACACCATCGGATGTCTATGGTATTTAATAGGCTTGTATGAATAAAAAGTTCTAAATGTCTAAACATGGTTTGATCAAATGTTTGAACCAACAAACGTTTGGTGGTAGCTATATATTTATTCTTTTTATTGGTCCTTGTAACTTATGATAATGGGATCAAACACTGCTAATTCTATAATATAGATTAGTTTTACTATATTTGTAACATTTATTACAGCAATCACTTTTGGATATATTCTAAACGTGATAGGTATGATCCTCGAGGAACTAGATAGTAATGAAATTAGTAAAAGACATGACATAAATGTAATAAATGAGTATATGAGACAAAAAAATATATCCATGTAATTTACTATAGTATTTAATTATATCTTGAATTAAAAATTTAGCTCAAATCAAACTTATTTGGATTTTAAAATCCACTTTTTTAAATAAATTATAAAATAATGTAAAACCTTATTTTAGATGGGATAACGGATGATGAGGGTGATCATTATTTTAAAAAATTATTTTTTTAAAAAAATATCTTTCAAAAAAAATTTAATTATTTTATTTTAAGTAAAATCAGTTAATATTTTTATTTATTAATTAGGGATTTATAAACTCAAATAAATCTAGATCTGAACTATTTTTATGAAAAAAACATTAAATAAAATTAGTAAGATGTCGAAAATGCTGTGAGTAATTTGTCTTCTGAAATTAGAATGAAGCTAAAATTAGAATAAAATCTTTAAGTATTAAAAAAAATTTCATTTTTTGAGAAGAATTTCTCTAAGGAATCGCTCTTAGAGTACGCTTCTACGTTAGAAGAGATAACTTATTATCCCAACTAGACTATTTTATTGAAAGATAAATCTGAAGATTCAATTATTTACATAGACTCTGGTAAAGGTAAAACATAAATCAAATTAATAAGTAAGTACATTTAATTATTATTTTTAAATATAAGTTGAAGTTACAAAATATTGTAAAAACAACTAAAATGATAGTCATTATTCATAAATATTTTTAGAAGGATAGTATTTTGGTCAATAAAATTTCTTCACAGGAAATACAAATGAATTTCACTGTATTTCTTAAGGTTTTACTAAAATTGTCAAGCTAAACAGGTAGACATTTGTTAATATAATTTAAAATGAAGAAAGGGACTATGAAATATTTTGTCAAATAAGAGACAATATTCAATTCTACGACAATTTAAAAGAACTTGGAGATAAATGTACTAACTGTTCTAGCAGGTGCCATAGTGCTTTAAAATGCCCAAGAGTTTATTTTGATAGGTTCTCTGTATTTTAAAAATGTGGTATACTTGAGTCAAAATTACAAAGTAGAAGTAGTAAAAAAAGAAGAAAATATAAACTAAATAGCTTAAATATAAATATTCACATAAACTATGTTGCTCTTGAATATATAAATGGCTTATAATCTAAATATTTAGAGAGTATATTAAAAACAGAAACTAAAATTGGTGAAGAAGAAATTTCATTCAGACTACTATCTGATTAAAATTCTCAGAATACTGGAAATATTCTGAAAGGGGAATAAAAAAACAACGAAGATATTATACAAACAGATTAAATCAAGCAAAGCTATTTTTAAAAAATTAAGCTCTATACATAATAATCAATGGATGGCTCTAATTTTTTATCTTAGCATAGCTATGATAAATATTTAGATGAATAAATTTAATCGTCAAAAATGTAATATTTATCAAAAATTACAAAATAACTTTCAAGGCAAAGCAATAATGAACCTGAATAAAATAGTGTAATTAATTAAAAAAAATTAATTTTATATTTTCTAAAATGTATTTTTTTGAATAGGTTATTGAAATAGACAGTTCAAATTAATAGAGTGAGGAAGGAATTTGTAAATTAGAAGAGGATTATAATGAAGAATAAAATCTAAATAAAAATAAGGAGTAGTTTAATTAAAAATAATTAGCTTTAAAATTTAAAAAGAAAATTACATCCTAATCTCTTGACTAAAAATTTGTTTCATTTTTTGATTAAAATGGAAATTCGTATGAATAGAAAGACACTAATGTACTAAGTCCTTATCAATTGTTTCAAAGTAGTTTAAGTAATAACTTTCCTTGGAATTTCGAAATGCAAAAAGACTATAAATTTTATTTCGTCTATGGAAACTTAAAATATCAACTAATCAGGATTTAGAAAGCTTAAATAAAAAACTTAAAACGCAAAATGAAGAAAAAAAAAATATTATGAAAAAGATTTATTTTTATTTGGAAATCAATTAGCTTTAAATATTATTTTTCATTTTGTTCTATTGAAATTCAAAACTTTTATGAATCAATATATCTTTTGTTAATTTATAATCTTAAATACAGTTAAAATTCTAAAAATTAAATGCTATTACACTATAATTCTTTTATTTAATTCAAAAGATATTTTCAGTATTTATTTTTTAACTTTATTTATATTTTTGAATAATTAAATATTTTTTATTTATTCAATTAAATTTTAATTCTTTCATTACTTTTAAATTCTTTTATATTAAATATATTTAAACTATTGAATAAAATGTTCCTTTTTAGTTAATTATTTATTTATTTATTTAAGTACAAATATAAAATTTCAGAAGTATCTCTTATATTAAATATAAAATTATTTTATTTTTCTTAAAAACAAAAATTTAAATACTATAAATCATCTTATATATATAATCATCCACCTCTAGCTAGCCCAAATTCAGCTCAAATAAAAAAGGTATCTTACCTCATTATTTGAAATTAGTAAAATTTAATGATTGAGGTATTATGGTAATTCAATAAATACCTGTTTTATTAATCTTTATTACTTTTATTAGTCTTTTACAATTTTATTTGTTACTCTCTGAAATTCAAATAAAAATTTGATTAAAATTAGATTTATCTTAACATGAGAGAAAGACAGACAGAGAGACAGACACTACATAATCAAAAACAGTTTGGTCAATAAATTGAAAAATAAATAAATTAAATAATAATACAAAATTAATTTTAAAATTTTGGATAAATACTTTTTAAAAATGACATCAAAATTAATTTTTGGATATTGGAACGGTAGAGGAAGAGGTTAATAAATTAGGTTCTTACTTGAATATGTAGAGGCCGATTATGAAGAAAAGACTTATATTTTCTCTGAGCCTGAATAGGACGAGTGGTTTAAGAAGGATAAAAAAGCTTTAAAACCATTCCCAAACCTACCTTACATTATAGATGGTGATTTTTATTTAAGTGAGCATGATGTTGTAATCAAGTATATAGTCAAGAAGCATCCTAAATATCACGAATTAATTGGTATAGGCAAAGGACCAAATGACGAATTTATTGTAGATTAGCTTGTTTCTGTTATAAACGATATAAGAGCAACTATTAAAGATCTATGCTTTAATCCTAAAGTCCAAGAAGTCAAAAAGGAAGTACTAGCAACTACTCACACAAAGTTCAATTAACTAATCGAATTTAAAAAAACAAATACCTTCCTTCTTCCATACTTAACAATAGCTGATTTTAAACTTATTGAAGTCCTTCTCTACTATAAAGCTCTTGACGCAGATTAATTCGATGCAAATTTAAATGTTTTCAATCCTTACATCTATCATTTCCATTCCCTGCCTAGAATTTCAGAATATTTAAAGACTGACAGGTACAAATCCAACACTGTATTTTTCCCAATTCAAAAAAGTAGCTTTACTGGGTATGAATTTATAGAAGAATTTAATAAATAGTTTGTATGAAGCCATGAATATAATAAAAATATTGTATTTTCTTTCTTTCTTGATACTTTCTTCTAAATCACAAATTCTACTATTACAACTAATAAAAAAAAGTTAATTATTAGTTTCTTGATTATGAACCAATTTTTTAACATATAATTTAATCTAAAATTAAAATTTTTTCATACATATTAAATACACAATTTATAAATTTTGTAGAAAATTCTGAATTAAAAAGTTAAATTTTATAATAAAGTTGTTATATTCTTTTTAAGTATTTCCAAAATAATTTAAAACAAAAACAAAGTTCATTCATTTTTATTAATGACTGATAATAAGCATAGCATACCAAATGCCATGCCGATCAAAATCAAGCTTTGTAACTAAGTTGAAAAAAATATTGTAGTTAGCATTATTTCTTTTACTTATAGTAGTTAGTACTTTTTATATTTAAATGTATTTACTAATTTCTCTTTATTTTTACACTATTTGAGTAAAATACTAAAATGACGAAATAATATGATTAAGTAATTTAAAATATTTACAAGCAGAGCTAATTATTAATATGAAATATTCAAATAAAATATAGAATTTTAATATTTTGAATAGTTTCAAATAGAACTTTATTTGTTACTAAATTAATACTGAATTTACATATTTTTTGATTAGATTTTATAAGTACTTTTTTTAAAATTTTACTTTGATTTTTCTTTTATCTTTAACAATACCTAAATATTATTATGAAAAACTAAAACTTTTGGATCAAGTTATTCAATCAAATATTTATATAAGCTTATCAAGCACAGATGAAAATCACTTTTTAATAAATTTAGTTTTATGTCAGATGTATTTTTGGTAGATGGCTAAGGATAGCATCAACAAAATAATAAATTGCATGCTAATATTTTTTATATAATAAGCACAAAATATACTTAAAAATAACTAAATATTTATTTTTACTTTTTTAATTAACTTTGTAAAAGAAGCTCAGTAAGTAATCTTTAAAAAGTATTTTAACAGAAAATTTTCTCTAAAAATTGTATGCATGCATTCTTTTGGCATTTATTCTAATCTATCCTATTTCCTTTATAAAATAATTCAAGTTTATAAAAAAATGAATACCTCAGCTACACCCATATCTTTGAATAAAATATTTCTTATAGCTCAAATAACTAATTTTGAGAGCAGCTTTCTGATTTATTTATTTATTATTTTAAAGCTAATTCATTAGTTTTTATTTATTAGAAAGATACTCATTCTTTCTTTAAGCAATTTTTTACTCTCAAATTTTTCCAGAAATTTGCTATTTTTAATTCTGGTTGCTTATGTTTATAATATGGGAACTTGTCTTTTCTACTCATATCTTTGAATATAGTATAAAATTTATAAAAAATAATTTATTTTGAAAAAAGCTTACTGTTTTTTGATATTTATTATGGAAGAAATTAATTAGTTTTATCTAATAGAAAGATATTCATTCGCTCATTAGGTAATTTTTTATTCTCAAATAATTCCAGAAATTTTGATTTTAATTTCTGATTGCATAAAAATATATTTATCTGGAAACTTATCTGATTGTTTATAATAATAAATATAAATAAAAAATTAACTATAGCTATAAAATACTCTATTTAAAGATTTTGAAAGAAAATGGCATCAAAATTAGTTTACGGATACTGGAACACCAGAGGAAGAGGTCAATAAATTAGATTCTTACTTGAATATGTAGAAGCCAGCTACGAAGAAAAGATTTACCACTTCAATAACCCTGACGAGTGGTTTTAAAAAGACAAAAAAACTTTGAAGCCTTTCCCCAATCTACCTTACATTATTGATGGGGATTTCTATTTGAGTGAGCATGATAGCGTCATTAAGTACATAGTTAAAAAACACCCCAAATATCAAGAGTTAATTGGAGTTGGCAAGGGTCCTAATGATGAATTTGTTATTGATTAGCTAATTTCTGTTATTAATGATCTCAGATAAACTATTCGTGATTTCTATTTCAATCCTAAAATCTTAGAAATCAGAAAGGATGTTCTTCCTAATACTCATCCAAAATTCAATTAGCTTATTGAATTCAAAGGTAAAAACACCTTCCTTCTCCCTTACTTAACTATTGCTGATTTCAAGCTTGTCGAAGTCCTTTTGTACTACAAGTGTCTTGATGAAGAACTTTTCAACACTCATTTGAGCGTATTTGAACCTTACATCCAAAGCTTCTACTCTCTCCCAAGAATTTCAGAATATGTCAAAACCGATACATACAGATCTTACTCTGAATTCTTCCCTATCTAAAAAACTACCGTAACAGGCTAAGAATTTTTAGAAAAGTTTAATAAATAATTTGTATGATTATTGATCAATCTATAATTAATTTATTTATAAATGCATGCATTCGTTTTTGTAAATCTAATTAAGACTTTTGAAATAATCAAAAATATCTAAAATTTTGCAATCAATTTATTAATTAATTATTTGATTTCAAAAATTGAAAGTACAAATAAGAGATTATAAAAAACAAACTTTTATTATATTACCATATAAACCTTTTCCATTAGTAATTTAAGTAAAATAAAACTTTCCATAAGCCACACACACAATTAAATAAAAAAGATATTTTAGATTAAGATTTTCAATTCCCAAATTTATAATAAAAGAAATTATAAATTTCATTACTAATTTAGATATACAAATCTTAATAAAATTTCTACCTGCCTGTTCATATTTATTAATAAATTTATTATATAAATAATATCTGCTTTATTTATTTTGGAAATACTTAAATCCATCCTTTTATTGTGAAAAGTAAATCTTATTTAAAAATATTTCATTTGAATAATTTATTATAATATCTATTTTTATTATAGAACTACATAAAATTCTAGTTTGCTTGATTTCGATTTAATATCTAAAAAAAAATAGTAAAAATAACAATTTTTAAAATGAAATCATAACTTTTATTTGGGTCCTGGATTTAAAGAGGAAATGCTATGCCTATAAGATTTCTTTTAGAATATACCTAAACCAATTATAATGAAAAAATATATTATTCAGAAAATGAGAGTGAGTGGTTTTAAAAAGATTAAAAATAATTCAAACAATTTGCAAATTTGCCCTACATTATAGATGGAGATTTAAAATTAACAGATGTACAAACTATTATGAGATATATAGCAAAACGTAATTCTAATTATATCTAATTGCTTGGTTAAGGACATGGAAACGATGAAGACAGAATTAACTAGATTAATCTTGTAATATCTGAAATAGGACTTTATGTTAAAGAACAATTTTTTAATCCAAAGGTTCATGAAGAAAAAAGAGATTTTCTAAACAGATGCTAAAAAAAATTTGGAAGTTTTGTTAACATAAGAGGTAAAAATAAATTTATTTTTCCTTATGTAACCACAGCTGATTTTAATTTAGTTGAGCTTCTTTTGCATTATAAATGTTTAGACAATGAACTTTTTGAAAAAAATCTTCCCAGTTTAAATGAATATATATAGCATTTTTACAATTTACCGGCAATTAAAGATTACACAATAACAGAAAGATATTAGATGCATACTGAATTCTTTCCATAGAATAAAGCTATTATTTCGGGAAAAGATTTTATAACTAAATTTAATTCTTAATTTAAAAAATGATAAAAAACCTGAAAAAAATAAAATATGCCTTGCCATTCTTTACTTTGCTTTTGTAATACTAAATTATATATTAATTATTTATGATAAAGTCTTATAAAATGTTTAATTAAATATTTGTAACCATAAATTTTTATTAGAATCCAATAAAAAATAAACATAGTTTTATGATATCTTTTTTTTGCACATAAAATGATATTTTTTTATGGCTACTAAAACAATTTTTATTGTTTTTTTACTTTATTTATTTTAAAATTTAAATAACTAATTTAGATAGGGTTTTAGATAGATTTCTCTCATACACTTAACAAAAATTATTTAGTAGAATAAGAATAAAGATTCTACTTTAAGTTATTAAATTGTATTATCTTTTATTTTGACTGTATTCTATTAATTATTTCAAGCAGTCAAGTTTATTAGTTTTTATATTAATAATTGTAAAAACAAATGAAAATAATTTTAAGATATCTTTTTGGAATTAATAAAATTTCTTTTTTTATGGTTAAATGAATTATTTTTAATTGTTTTTTTAATTTTTTTGATCTAGCTTATGCACTAAAAATTGATTATTTTTTATATCTGGAATAAATTTATTTCTTTTGGATCTAAATAATAATATTTTAATAAGATTATAGCTTTATCTTATGCTTTAAGTAAGCATTATAATAAGTATAAAGACTCTACTTTTATTAATTAATTACTAATTTCATAAATCTTATCTCTATTAATAGATTAATTAATTAAATAAATAAATTATTTAAATATTTATTCAACTTTAAAATAAATTTCATGTTTTAAATTTTCTTGAAATTTTATATAAATTTACATAAAATAATTTATTTTAACAAAATGCTTCAGTTTTGATTGTTTTATGGGTTTAGTTTTTCTAAAGTCGGTTTATATTCAGCTATTATTTATTGTTTTTATAAATAGAAATTTATTAAAAAACAAATGAAAAAACCAGCAAACATTTCAATTAAAAAATACTTAATTAATTACATTTGATATATCATTTTTTTTAACTAAATTTCATATTATTTATTACTCATTAATTTTTAGAAAGTAACTTACTTAGTTTTTAGTTCTTTAAATCAAAAAAGTAGTATATTTTTTGACAAATTACTGACCGAAATCGATTAAAATGATAAAGGGAAAGCTACCCTCAATAAAAAGGTTCTTCGATTAAGATCCCAGCCTTGTTTCTATATCTATCCCTATTACTTATAACGATAAAAGGTTGATTGCATATAGAAATAAATATTGCAAAAAGCCTGAATGCATTTATGATAAATTACAAATTTTAGATAAGCAGAAAAAAGCAACTTAAACATAAACCCAAATTCCAGAAATAGATGATATGACATTTTGGTGTAACATATGCTTAAATACAATCGATCCAAAGGAGTTTTTACCAGATGAAGAACTATAAAGGATTATTGATAATACTTGGAATCAAATTGATGAGTTAAATAAGAACCCAAACACAAAAATAAATTGCAAAAGAGTTTAATTGTTTAGAGATGGTTCGTGGGAACCTATTTTTGTATAAAATAGAGAAGGGAGAATAGTACGCAAAAATCAAACTGTAATAAACAAGGCAATAGTGTTACCATAATTAGAAAACTGAAGCAGTGAAGAGTTTAAATTTCTCTATGAAACATACCTTAATGAAGCAGCAATCAAGTAACCAGATTATGATGAATTAGTTAGTTTCTCTCTCTTTCCTCATCCCATTCGACCTGATCAAGGGTTAAGAGAACTTAATGCTTATTTTAAACTGAGCACAATTCATTCTCTTACAAAGCAATACAAAATGGAGATTTATCATGGAGTAAATAATATAGTGAAAATAGGAAAAGACCTTATGAGAACATACTTAAAATATCTAGAAAATTAAAGCTACGTAACTTCAAAAACTGGAAGAAGATATTATGTCATAGGTAATTAAAATAAAATACTTTATGTATTTATTTCTGATAAAAAACGTAGGGTGTGAAGTGATGATAAATGAAAATAAATCGAAGGTTGAAAAATATAAGTACTTCTTTTTTGATAAAGGAGAAGTTATTCAGTAGTACAGATTGAAAGACTATGACGATTTGATCTTGCTTTTTAAGTTTGATAATTAGTGGTTTGTTACTCTATGGAAAATACATGAAAATGAAATCTACTTAATAGATTATAAAACAAATTCAGAGGATAAATTTGGAAATGTAATTCAGATTGTTAAAGATTTTCACAAGAAATTTTTTGATTTTTAAATCCCTGGGAAAGGTATCATTATTTTGCCTGATAACTTTAGCTATAAAGTGCAGGAATCAAAGAATGACGATTGTGGAGATTTGTGTATGGCTTTTCTCTATTTTTATATTATAGGTAGTCTTATTATTGAAATCAAACTCACTCCTCCTAAGAGAGCTAATTTTGCTATTTCTTTTGGATGGCTTCTGCTCAAAATATATCACGAGTAAGAGTACAATTTCAAAAAAAACATTAATAAACCTCAAACGATGCTGCTTTAAATTAGTAAACACGCTCCTTCTTCTTAGAGCAACTTAGAAGAGGAAATTTAATAAAGAGACTTGCAAGAACTGTAAGAAGGATTCGGATTTAGGGAGATATTTATGGGAGATGGAATAAATAAACTTCCTAAAAATGAAATAGGTAATACGGAAAATAAGGTAATAAGAAAAACTCCTATTCCGAACATAGAAGATTATCCTGTTTCTGAGGAAACTTTAGAGATGAATGATCAATCAGAAGAAGAATTTAGAAAAAAAATTATTTTTGTAGCATCATAGAAAGATCGTGAGGAGTTGGATGAGAATTATAAAAGACAAAGTGCAAAAAATTATTAAACAAAATAAATTCTTAATTCGTTCGAAATAGAGCCATATAAATTCAACAATAGGAGTACTGCTTAAGATTAAATTATTTAAGAAAAGCGTATTTAAATTTATTTTTTTAATTTAGTTGAATGAAAATCAATAATTTTGTAATATTATTTAAAAGCTGCTTTTAACTAACAAGAAAGGAGATCTGCAAACAATAAATTAAACTAAGATTCCTTTTAGCTTAAACCTGAAAGTATTTGGTAACACCTTTCGTCTTAGCCTGATCAGTTAGAATAATCCTCAATTAGGAAAAAGGTAGAAAATAAAAGTTAGCTGCAAAAAGCAGGAGACTAAATTTTAAGCTAGTCTAGCTATTTAAGCAGTAACTAAATGTCTTAGCAATAGGTAAGTCCGATAATGAAATAAGTTTAATAGCAAAATCAGTAATCTAAAAAAATTGCTTAACTTTCTAAGCAAGAGTTTGAAAAACAAAAAAAAGAACTTGAAGATAAATTAGTGTAAATAAACAATCAATTCATCAAAAAGCAAGACATCATTGATATTTTAGATGATATTAGAAAAGATGTCAATTTCGAAATGAAAATAGAAATGAGGAAGCTTGCAGAGGACATCAAGCTAGAATAAGAAAAAAAGGCTATTGAAGATGAGCTAAGAAAGAAACACTTCGAAGATTATTTTAAGTTTTTGTTAGCTTATTATTATGAAAATGATATTTAATAATATTATTAATTACTAGAAGAATACAATAATCGTTTAAGATAGTTTGCTGTTTCAAATTTACCAGACAATTTATTTCTATAATAAGTTAATTAGCCTTAAATGAATAATAACTCTTCTTTGTCAACTGCAGGATAAACACTTCCTTTTGGTAGTAATATTAATTCTTAACATACGCCTTAGAAGGGTTACAAATCTAGTGAACAGCTTTACGAAGGTTATTTCAATAGAGGATCTATGAAGTATGCTTCTAATCTAGGTAATAAGCCTCAAGCTTGGAGCATAGAACCCAAGTACTTAGATAATGATAATAATTTTAATAATGGTAATATAAAAGTTCCAAAAAATGCTGAATTTAGAAGCCCTGGATTTAATGGATTTGCAATTTCGCCAGAGAAGTCTGAAAAATACAAAAATAGAATTCAAAAATATCTATTTGACGACTTGTAATTTGGATAAGCAAGAGCAGACTATCTCAAAGAAATAAGAAAAAAATAAGAGCAGAAAGAAAGAATCTAGCATGAACAAATTGAAGATTTAACCAGGATAAACGATAGAGGATTAAAATTATTTGGTGGCGATTATTACAAACAATAAAAAATATAAAATTAAATAGAACAAGAACGTAAATATTAGCAATTACTACTTAACCCAGGTGGATAGCAATAAAATTAAAGAAAAAGTTAATTATTTTCAAAATACAACTCTTAAACTAACCTTTAAGATTTATATAATATGAACTAAGATTTATATACATCTAAAACTAACAATAATGTTAATACGGTCAGTTCTGGATATAAAACTTTTGTGCCTACATCTAACTCTATTAAAATTACTAACAACTCATACTAAAATTTTTGAAATTTAACTTAAATTCATAATTTTAAGATTATTGATAAACTTAAATTAATTTGCTCAAATTATGCTTAACCGAACGCTCTTACTTTCAATTACTTGTAGGGTAATTTTTATTAGTTTTCTTGAAGGTAGTCATCTCAAATCTGAAAACTTTTAAATCTAAAATTAATTTTAAAAAGATAATAAATCTGAAATCTAAAAACTGGACAAAAAATAAATAACATTGATTGAGTCTGTTTGGCAAGTTTGAAAAGATTAACATATATATTGTGATTTAGGGTAGAATTTTAACTCTTGTTCTGATGCCTAAAAAGCGATTGATTTAGTTACTTTAAGATACTCTATTAATTAGCAAGGAGTTTAAATAATACCTTTATAACTAACTCTTTTAATATAATAATCAAGGCGAAGTAATAAATTATTGATAATTTATTTATTTGTATTTTCCACTTATATTGATTATTTTCAATATAATTTATGATTGTTATATAATGAAACATTATATTCCTTCATTTATTTTTTAACATTTCAAAAATAGAATTCATTGTCTTTTTGGATATTTTAAAGATATTAATACAAATTTATTTAATAATAAAATTAAAAGTAGGTTCAAATAGATAAACAAATAAAATACAAATTCCCTTTTGTTTAATTATTTTAAAACTTCATTTTGTTTGTTTGTTTGTTTTCAATTATAATTTTTTACAAAATTTAATTTGTATTTTGTAATTAAATACTAAATTTTTAAATACAATATTTTATGTAACTGATAAATTATCATGTCTAAATAAGATTTAATTTCAAATCATGCATTATTTTACATAATACAATCATTTTTTATAGTTTTAAAATAAAAATTAATTTATACAATCAATCATAATTTTTTATTTTATTAATCTAATTTTTATTTCCAAAATGTAATTAATAAGAATTTATTTTGTCAAGCTTTGAATTAAATGAATTCATTTTAATTTTTTAGTATTTACTTTTTAAAAATAAATAATTAGGATTTCTTTTAGGAAAAGTTATTAATTTCTAGGTTATTAAAATGTGTTAAAATTGAAAAATATTTTTTTTTTGTTGCATTAATCTGATTTAAATTTAAAAAGAAATATATCTTGAAGAAATAAATTAGCATTGAGTGATTAATTGAGTTATTTGGTTCTTGTGATAGATAGCAAACAAAAAATATATCTTAAGGGTTTAGTAATTAGAAAGATTCCATGATAATAAATATAAAATTACGCATAACTCACACAGAAAATAAAGTTGCTTAAAATATATTTTGCTTATAAAATTAATTTATATTTAATTGATTAAATGAATGTGTTTTTATTCATGGATATTCATTGTCTTCAGATATTTCTTCATAACCAGCATACTCATTTTAGAAATCATTTTCGTTGTAATTTTGCTTATTTTAATCCTGATGATCATACTTTTAATTAGATTCATAGCCTTCATAATGGTCATCTCCTAATTTTTGAAATAAGTAAGTAAATTATACTTAAAACATTCTTTTTAAATAAAAAATGAAATACCTAAATTAAGTTGTTGTTGGATTCTATGAACAAGAAGAGCTACCTATTTATATTTATGTTAATATTAATATGAGCACAATGAATAAATTCATTCCAATTATTTAATTTACTTATTAAATTGATACAACATTTTTATTGAGGTAAAGTGGATGTTCTAAGAACAATCTTTTTGCAACCTTTTCACAGTCAGGGTTCATAACTAAATCATTCAAATCTATGATATAAAGTCTCTTTTTTTTATCTTTTTCATTTAATTTATATACAAGTCCAATTTATGCAGGATTGTATTTTACAACCCATTTCAAAGGAACTAACTTAGTAGGTAAACCAGTTTACATTTTATTTTATATGCTAATATGTTATTTTATTTTTTAAATGTTGCTTCTTCTTCTTCTTGTAATAAGATTTAGCTGCTGTTCACTTAAACGTTTCTTCTACCTTTAAATATATTATCTAATAAAGTTATGGTCTTATAATTATTTATTATAAAAATTAGCTTGATCTTTGTTATATTTTTTGAATTGGCGTTGAAAAATTTCAAATTAATTTTAAAAATTGCATCAAAAAGACCATATAAATATAGAAAGGTAGTCAAAAAATATTTATCTAATCTCCCAAGCACATATAAATTAATAAATAAATAAATATCTAACTCTATTTTATTTTTTTATTTATAGAGTGAAATAATTATCATCATATATGACATGGAGTTATTTGTAACATAAGGATTGAAATTTAAAAATAAAGCTAAAGAAAATAAAAATCTGGATTTAATTTTTAAAAATTTAAAAATTAATGAATATTTGACTCAATAAATCATCCAATTAAAAGATTATTTTTTTTGAAAATTTACAAAAATAATTAATTAATAAAATATTTAGCTTGCTTTGTCTTTCATAAATAATTTTTCATTTTTTGGAACTTTTTAATAAAGAAACAGTTTTTCTACTTGAATGAATAAATGAATTATCATATCATATTATTATAGTTATTTTAAAATCTAATTCTTTAACAATTATTTAAACATATATTCCATAAATAAATATAAATAATTTCAATTTGAAATTTCATCAAAACCATATCTTTAGTTAGAATTTCGAAAAAGATAAATAAATTATTTACAAAAATTAATTCTATTAATTGATTAAAGAATTATTATTTAAAAATTTAGCTAATCAAAATTAATTCAATTAGCATTTAAAATTTTAAAATTAGAAGTATGTATCTATCAAATATGGTAGGATGACCAATTTTAATATTTTTGTAAATTATTTAAGTATGTATGTATATCTTTTATATATATAAATAAAATATTCCAACTTGAAAATTACATTAAAGGTGTATCATTTTTTCTTCTTCTAACTTTTGAAATAAGATAATTAATTAATCTATACAGTGCATATAATACTAATTTCATTTTTAACTATGGTATTTTAACTTTATCTATGTTTTAAATAAATGTTTGATAAAGAATTTTTAAGATTTAAAAATAAAAAATCATTACAATTTTATTTTTAATTTAACATTTATTTGTTTACAAAAAACTAACAAAACTAAAAAATAAAATATATTTATTTATTTATATAAAATTGATTGATTATTATTGATTATTTAATCTATTAAAACAATTCATTTAAATCAAGCTTAAAATACTATTTTTCCTCTAGTATGTCTGTTTTTCATTTCTAAGAGGTAGTGCTTTAATTCTTCAAGTTTTATAACTTTTTTCTCTATGGTGATTTTCTTATTTCTATATAAATCAAGGAATATATCTCCATAATATTTAAGATCTGATTTATGAGCAGATGAACCATATAGATATGCCAAACCAAGGGTAACATTATGGACAGATTTGCTAAGACCAAAAAGACGATTAGTATAATCAGTATTTTCTACTGCTACAACAAGTTCACCTCTAAAGCCAAGAGTTTAAAGACCTTCTTCAGTTGTTTTGCTATCAACCAAGTCAATCCAAACATCAAGTTGATTATCTCCAAGGATTTCTTTAACCCTTTTGCCTACATTTTCAGTATTGTAATCAATTGCGTGAGTAGCTCCTAAAGAGAGAACAAAATCGAAATTGCTCTTAGAACATGTTGAAATAATTCTTATGTTCTTCTATTCTTCTTCATCGAAATTGTTTTCTTTCCATAATTTGAGAAGCTACAAAGTAAAATATCCAACACCACCAGCTCCTGCAGTAACTACAATATTTCTAATATACCTATTAGAAATGCTATTAGGATCTTTATAAATAGGTAATCTTAATTTAATCATAACAATTTAAAGAGCAGTGTATCCTGCACAAGGAATAGTTGCTAAATCAGTATAAATTGACTCTCCAACTTATTAAATCAAATCTTAGGGAACGATTGCAGCAGTTCTAATGTCTTGTACTTTGTATTCTCCAAAAGCTCCGTATTTACTTTTAAGGCTTCCATGAGCCAATAAAACTGTCTCATTCACCTTGTATACGTTAGAATCTACTTTAGGGCCTAACTTAACTACAACACCGATATGGTCTATACCAACAGTTCTTGGGAACTAGAAATCAAAAGGACCACCTTCATTATCACAGCATTTATAGTCAACAGGATTGAGAGCTGCAGATTTAACTTTAACAAGTACCTCATATTCCTCCAATTCAGTAGGGAGAGGCTTTTCGACTAATTGAATACTTTCAACACCCTTTTGAGGGCATTCCCAAACTCTGTATACTTAAGGAAGATCAGTCATTTATTAGATAGGTATTTATTTATTTTGCGTTTTGCTAATAATACAATTTATTTTATTCAAGTATCTTTGTTTATTTATTAAATTATTACTAAATATTGATATTCTTGGTTCTCAAATTTATATTGATATTAGAATGGATATCTTTTTATATAAAAATAGATAATCTATCATCAATAGAATAATTCTCGAAGTTTTGTAATACTTAATCCAAATATAATATTTTTAAAAGGTTACTGTTTAAAATTATAATAAATTTAAATATGAAGAAAATGCATTAAAATAAAATAAATTTGTTGAAAATATAATAAAATAAAATAGATTTGTTAAATTTAATCCATATAAAATAATTTTTATTATTGATATTAATAATAAAAATAAACTAATACAAAAAGCTGTAATTTGTGTTGTCTGCCATTCATTCATCATTTAGTCATTGTTAATTTTGCATCTAAATCTTTAAAAGTAATTTATAATTTGCAAAGAGTGAATTAATTAGTTCTATTTATTCGTCTCTAAATTAATGCATTTAATTAATAAAAACATTCTTTTAGAAAATTTAAAGAAAAATTAATCAAAGATTCTGATAAAATAAAAATGTAAATAAATTTATCTTCAAGTAATTAATGTTTTTTTCTTATTTTAATTAATAACTAATACTCTGACTAGTAATAAGCTAATCATCATATTTACAGATTTAAAATTTATCAAAATTGTTATTTTAGGATACTTTATTTTTAGAAGACTATTACTGTTAGTTATATTTAGCAAAAGTAAGCTATTTCCTTCAAAGTTCTTAGAAGAAATTTGATCAAGTTAATGAATCACATTTATATCTAAATATTATCATTGAAAATTATTGAACTGCTAAGTTCTTAATTCAATTTATTTAAAGATAGTTAGATTATAGATAAAAAATATTTTTTTAATCCATTAAATTATGAATGCTTAAATATCTGTTTTTAATCAAACAAAAATATATTAAATACAAATAAAATAGCTCATTTTTTAAGACAAGTTTTTAAGTTGATGCTTTGTTTATAAAATGGGTTATTTAACAAAAAGGTTTTGCCTTTAAAAATTATTTTTTAAATAAAATAAAAATTTTTTTAGAAACATTTTCTGTCATTAATTATGAAAATATGAAAAATAATATATAAAAGCTTAATTAAAATTTACTATTAATATTGCTAAATACATTTATTGGTAAGCCAACCTTTTTAAAAACAAATTTAATGTTTGTAAATTGATGCATTCAAAAAAATACATTAAAATTTTTAATATTCAAAGAAAGTTTTGTTTTGAAAAATTTGAAAAATATTTTTTAATATAATCAAAATATAAATGAAAAAAACATATTTTATAAATATATTTTTTATTTATTTTATCATTTGCCTGTCTTTGAAAAAAATAAACAATCAATAATATTTTTAATTATTTAGTATGATTAAAAAATCATAATTTTCTATATATGAGTTGGCATTATCGAATAGTTTTCATTATTTTATCCTCATAAAATGTAAAATAATCATTGTCTATATATTCACTAAGCTTGTTATAAGCCAAAACATATTTTTTTTCATCATCTCTATCTAAGCAATCTCCAACTTTTATAGCATGAAGAACAAGATTTGGATTGTCGTATTTCATTATTTTTATTGTTTTGCAGAATGCAGGGATGCAGAAATTAGCATCTTTGATATGCTCAGAAAGATGGTTTAGTTTTTTAAGGTAGAAGGGGCATTCTGGACAAAGACAGAACTTCTTAGCTAAATTTGAAACATTATTGAAAGTTATTTTGACTTCTTTTTATCTTAGCAACATAAAAAGCTGATTATGGCTGACTGGTTTGATATTTATATGGAGTGGAGCCATTTTTTCTTTGTACACAGCCTATAACTTTTACTGACAAATTTGCATGACCTTTTCAAACTTAACATTCATAATTTTATTGATTTTTTATGCCTTAAAAGTTCTGTAAACTTTTTTAATGTCAGTCATCAAAGGTGTGGAATTTCTTACATAACTATTATTATGTCTCTAGATATGATAGAGCCAGAACCATAAAATCTCTCCTTTGAACTTTTCACCACTCAGGAAGTATTCACAAATATTCTTAAGACTTACAAAGAAATTATACTTTCCAAAATTCAAATATTCGAATTTCTTTTTATTCAAGCGTAATCTATATGATTTATCAACAGAAAATACCTCATCAATTCTTGAAGTACTCTCAACTTCCATCATCATTTGTCTCACTGTAGGGAATTCAAGGACTCTATCAATATACTTGTTGACTGTTTTTCTACCAAAATCTTTTAACTTTTCTACATCGAATCCATTAACTTCGAAATAAGAAGTCATCTTTGCTGGATTTTTAATTCCTCTAAAATTGTATAAAAAATATAATTTAAATAGTTATTTTTGACATTTTTTGTTACCTTGCAACTATTTCTTGCATGATAGCCTCAAGAATTTCTTTGATTAGAACTCTATCGGTAAGTTCACCTTTTTTAACAAGGTAAAAAAGGACTAACAAACCTTTTGAAGGTCCTTGACACTAAGTTGGATGACCTTCATGATATGTTACCATACTTAATCTTGGATTGGTAACAAGCATCTTGCAGAATTCGACGAAAAATTTGCTTTCACTGTAAACAATACAGACAGAATGATAGATTTTATCAAGAAGATCAGTAATAAAATCTGATTTTTCTTCATTCAACAAATAAATGAGAGTATTTGCTAATAGTGCAAAATAGGCCTCTTAGAAAATGGTGTCAACATTGTTCATCACATTAAAAGTATTCAATACATGGAAAAACTTGGATTAGAGTAAAGGCTTTAAATCATAATCCTTTGGTCCAAATAATGGAACAACTGCATCAATAGTTTCTTTGATTTGGGTGCTTTTTATTAATAATTAATTCAAAATATTTAGCTTTTATAATAAAATTTACTTGTAGTCGTCTTAGTCTGTCTCATATCCTGCATTTAAAATAAGCTTTTTATCAGGAGTATTTTGAATAGAGATGGTATCTACATACTAGTTGATTCTAGCAATATCTATCACCTTAACAAGATAAGGGTTAATCATTGATCCATTTGTGCGCTATAGTCTTTTGATAAATATAAAAACATATAAATAAACACATATTAGAAATATATTTAATAAATATTTTTTACTTTACTCCAAGACCAACTAAAGGAAAAGAGGAAATAAGGTTGTATTGATTTTAAATAAGTCCAATAGCATCAAAAATGTCCTCTTGTAAGATTATGTCCTTAAAATTTTCAAGAGTGATTATAGATCTTACTTCATCACTATCAGGATTAATTTCTTTCTAAACTTACCTTAGTTTAGCAGCAAAATTCTCTTTAATTTTAAGAAACTCTTAAACATCAAGGCCCTGCATTTAAATAGCTCTCTAATGGAACTTGCCTACAATAGTACCAATTTTTTATCTTTCTTTTAGCTACTCATCACTTAATTAATCTGAAAAAAAAAATAATTAGAGCTTAAATGAATTTGAAAAAGTTAAAATTACCTAAAAGATTGTTTTCTCCTGATAAATCTTTTAAGGATTTAATTAGTAATTGAACCTAGAATTTAATTTAATTTCTTTGTTTAGAGAGAAATCTTTACTTAACAGTTAATTTTTAGCCGACTGTGATTTCTTCTTAGTTTTAATTTAAGGCTTCATTCATTTGATATTTTAAAAAATTTTCCAAATAATTCTAGATTTCCTAAATTTCCTCTTGACCAACAGCATCTATCTAAGTGAGTTAAACGATTTCATTCACCCAAGTTGTAAAAATATTTACTAAAGACTCTATATCAAGGTTGTTTAGTCTTTCGATTCTGTGGTTTTAAAAATCACTCTTCGCCAAAAACCACTCGCCTTGATATTGATGAGAAACTGCGACACTTCCGCTATTTAACTTAGTATTTTAAAAATTAAATTTTTAAATTTAAGTTTAATGAAATTTATTTAAACTGAGATTATTTTTTAATTCTAAGTAATTCAAATAGGAATTTTTTTTGAAAGAAATTAAATGAAAAGAAATAATTCATTTTTTAGAGTTAAAAGTTTAAGATTTTTTCTTTAAAATTATTATTTAAAAAAACAATTTAAATTTGATAGATTTTTACCAGCTTTGAAGGTTTTGACCAAGGAAATTACTAAAGCTCTTTTTCAGCATTTAGTTTGATAGTAAATTTTAGTTGTTAAACTATTTTTTGAGAAATTAATTCCAAAAACTATAAAAAGCTTTCGTCTGTTTTTGGCTTATTTTTTGGCATAATTTGTTCGTAAATAAATGCTTATGAAGGATCAGAAGGGAATTTATTGAAAAGGTCCGAAACAAATGCTTGCTTTTTTAAAAAATCTAAATCTCCTGTGTCAATAAATAGAATTTTAGACTTTTCTAATTTGTGAGGATAAAAATTTTTTGTCAAATCTCTGATACCGATACACTCTATGGATTTCATCATCAAAACAACAATTAAATTTGATGTCTATGACAACTAAATAGTTTTTTCAAGGATTTTTTCTAAGATAGAGTTTAGGACAAAATACTTAAATTAGGATGCCTTTTCTTGGTTTATTTGTTAAAGCTTGTCCTTTTTACAGTAAAGGGAAAATTGCTGAGCAAAGTATTCTTTTGTTTTATCTGAACATTATAAGTTATAACCCTCAAATAGCTATCTGTTCTATACCTTTCTCCAATCTTGAATACTAAATTGAGACATCGAGTCCTAAAACCCCATAGTGATCAATTCGAAAAATTCAGTATCTTGTTTTATGAAATCGTATAAAGAATTTTCAATCAACTTAGTATAAGTGTCTTCATTGTCGTACACAACTAATATATTTTAAAATTTAGATTAAAATTTATTTTATTGTTAAAAAATTACAAAAAACTTTAGTTTTAGTTTTATTTTCTTAAATCTAAGGAATCTTATAGAATTAAAGCTCCTTGATTTTTTCTGCTTCTTCCATATTTTCGTTATTTTATTTATTTATTAATTTAATAATAAATATTCATTTGAGCTAAACGAAAATGTTCTATTATAAAGAGCCTCCTAAGCATAGAAAATTATTATTTGTATATTTTATTCGTTCTTATAAATATAAAAAGAGTCTATTAAAATTCATGTTAATATTTATAGAGTCTATTCAAATTCATGTTAGTATTTAAAGAGTCTATTAAAAAATCTTTTATTTTTGAAATAATCTAAGGAAAAGAATTACTTCTAATTTATTTATATTTGATCAGAAATATAATAATAAATTTATAAAGTGGATATCATCAATTAATTATTCATATCTTCATTTTACTTAATAAAAGAAATACAGAAATATTACTTTCATTTGAGCAAAATTATTTTGCAAATATTTTATTTAAAAGTATTTAGAATAAATAGCTTAAAATTGAGAAAGAGGAAAAAATAAAAAAATATCTAGTGGTATAGATGCCACTCCATTATCAATAGACATGTTTAGTAGATATTTATTAAATATATGCTAAATTATATAGTTAAATTTTCTTTTATAAAGTTTAGTATATCCTTCTTTGAAATTTGAATGAAAATTTTGTAGCTCACTCTAAAATTTAATTTTAAATAAATAAAAATATTTAATAGGTTTTTATTTACATTGATTATTATAGTTAAGAGACCAAAAAATGCTGGCTCTTATTCACTAAAAATGGATGATAAGTATTTCAACTTACAAAAATATATTATTTGATTTACTAAATATATATTTTTACCTACATAAATGAAGAAAAATTTAAGAATAAATAAATGAATTAGATTGCTAATACATTATTTTTCAATATTTTACTTAACTTTTCATTTTTAAATTAAAATAAATACAGTAGATTATTGTTAATTAAGAACTTTTTGAGTGGTATTTGTATTTCAAAAATGTCTATAATATTGATTTTACGTTTTATTTTTATCAAATTTTTAGGTTTTTAGAAAAAAAGGAAACTGGGTGTATGCAAAATAATGATTTTTTATTAATAATTACGAAAACGAAAATGCCTTTACAAATTATAAATACAAAATATAAAATAAATAAAATTAACATTTTATAAAATTCAAAATAATCATATGAAATAGTAATAATTACTAAAATACCTTAAAAATAAATTTATAAATTAATAAATATAATAAAAATTAATTTTAAGATGTATTATGAGTGCATTTATATGTGCGAGTATTTCTATTCTATTCTATTCTATCACCAATTTAATTCACACTTTTTAAATATTAAAGAAAAAACATATCATTAAATAGTTAATTAGAAGGAAAAAAAAAAAAATAATAATAAGATTAATTAATAATAAAATCAAAAGTTGAAAATAAAATGAGTAGTTAAATTAACAAGAAAGAACAAAAAAAAGCAAGTACAATAATAAGAAAATGAAAAAGAAAAAAGAGCTTTATTGTTTTAATTAGTTTTTATAATTAAAAATATCACAATCCAAAACAAATAAACTGTTTTTACCCAAGGTTAAGTGCCAAATAGAGAGGTTAGTACAATTTGCTAAACCAGAACCTAAGCCTGATGCACCTTTATAACCAATTTATGATTTGAAACAATAAATAAATCATTTGATTTGAAACAATAAATAGAAAAAGGTTATTAAATTACCAAATTTCTTTGGATTTTTTGAGAAAAAGAGGAAACTGGGTGTAAGTTAAATAATCAAAAATTAGATATTGATTGAATTTATAAATATAATAAAAATTAATTTTAAGATGTATTCTGAGTGCATTTATATGTGCGAGTTATTCTATTCTATCACCAATTTAATTGTTACTTTTTAAATATTGAAGAAAAAAAATATATTGATCTTTGAGGATTCTTTTTAAAACTTTTGTTAAATTAAACTATGTAATTTAATTCATTAAATAAAACAATATTTTTATCGCAAAAGAAAAGTACTAAAGACATTATTAGATATTATGAGAAGATATTTGCATATTCAAGGGAAAAATTTTTTTCAAAAAACTTAAATAATGAGAGTATAAAATATACTATTTCTTAAAAATAATTAATTACATTTATTTTTATGAAGAAAATTAGTTGACCGTATAATAAATATTATTAGAATAAGAGATATTAGGAACATTTAGAAATAAAATTTAAAAAATCATTTTCAAACAAATTTATTCTTTATGTAAAATTCAAATGATTTAAAAATAAATTTAAATAATTTTAAATGTCAAAAAACAAATAAATAGATTGAAAAATAATTTATTAATTATAGAGAAAAAACAAATAGATAGATATTGATTACTTTTTAAATGTAAAGAAAGATACTAAATATAATATTATTTAATTAATTATAGTAGTTAGTTAGTTAGTTGTGATCATTTTATTTAAGGGAGAAATAAATATTAAGAAAAGTTGCTTTATTTTCAATCAAGCTGATTGATTTTTAGTATAATGAATTTTTTTAGTAGATAGATAGATAAGTAAATAGGTGGTAAGTAGGTAGGTAGGTTGATTATTTGATTTTTATTTGGAAAAACTAGAATTTTAAGAGTTTCATTTGTTAAAAATTTACATTCAGGAAAATTCTTAAGGATAAATTACTTAGTTACCGAATTTATATTCAAGCATGCTACTACTGCTGCTGCTACTAAAATTACAAAGCAGCATTTGATTCTATTCGCATTCCTGCACTTTGATTCCTTTGATTTCGGGAATCTTCATTATTTTCATTTACACTCTTTTTAGAAATATCATGCTAAGTTTCAAGCTTTTTAGATAACTTTTCTGTAAACACATTTTCTGTTAATTAATTTATTTAAGATGAATGCCCTTACTACAAAGTAGGAGCTTTTGTGTAGGCTGTAAATATTTGTGATTGAGACTACTATGCATAATTAAGTTAGTTTAAGCATTAAGAATTTCCCCCAATAGAAGCCTGTATGTGCTGTAACTAGATTATTTCGTTTTTTTAATTCTTATTTCCTGTTTTATTTTATGTAGACATTGAAAAGCTAGAGTTTCCACTAGTAAAAGGAGTTCCACTGAGTGAAAACTAAAAGTTGTTGTTAGTAACTTTGACTGTCTTGCTTGAATCGCATTCATATCCCTTAAATAGCTGTTATACTTCATCTTTTCTAAGCAAAATAGCATTTTGTTTGTCAATTTCTGTTTGCTCACTAGCTATCTTTCCTGCAAAATTATAAACACAACCCTTCTGTTTATTTAAATCAAAAATAATTTAATTTAAGCTAGAAATAAAAAAATTAGCCAATAATTCATATTGAAATAAGCAAAATAATTAATATTCCACTATTTAATTTCAAAATAATGTATGATTGATTGATTGATAATTATTTACTCCAACTAAAAATAATTTATTATAGATAACTATTTATTTTTAGAGTTTAAATTCTTTTAAGTTTAAGAAACCAAATTTATGATTTTTAAAAACAAAATAGTTAGTTTACTATCTTAAAAAAATTATTTATTTTTTTAGATATTCATTAATTATTCTCTATGCCTATAAATATTATCAATAGTTAATTTATTATTTAAAATAAATTATTCTTTTTTGACTTAGAATTAATATTCATTTTCTTTTTTTTTTTCATTCAATTTAGAAGGAAATTTAATGTTAAAAAAATACTTTAATTTTTTCAAAATAAATTCAAAAGAAAATCTTTTAATATTTTTTAATACAGGCGGTTTATATGGTGCTTCTATTTCATTGTTATTCAGCTTTTACCAAGGAAAACTTTTAATCCAAACATGATCTTTGACTTCTTGTGGCCCATTTACACCTAAACGATTTGAAGGCTTTCTTTAGATTAACTAAAAAGAAGATTTAATACTACTGTTTATTTATTCAAAATTAGTTTTTTACTCTGTTGATAAAGTCAATAGCTTCTAGCGACCATCCTTTGGGAATTTCTTCTCTCTTTATTTGAACTTACTTAGCCAAAATTTATTCCCTCAACTCCTTTCTATCTTTAGCTTTGTAAGGCCTCTGTTAATAATTAAACATAATTTATATATTTTTAGTTAGTAAGTAAATATGTAACATATTTATTTACTTTTCCCATTGCCATTTCATACATAATAATACCAAGTGCATAGTAGTCTACAGCGACTCCATAATTTTATCTCATTAATATTTCAGGAGCTGATTTATTTCAAATATTTTAATAAATTAAATTAATTTTAACTAAATTATATATTTATTTTAAATATGATCAAATAACTATTGAAGTAAGTTTGTTTTACCAATATAACCTGGAGTTCCACTTGTTTCGTTTGAGTTATCTGGTTTCCAAATGCGAGAAATGCCAAAATCAGTTACTTTTAGATAGCCTATTTATTTTGAATGTAATTTTTTAGAAACTAAAGTCAAAATTAATTGTTTGTTTTTTGCAATTAAAATGATGAACTTTTACATAAATTACTTGCTATTTTTCATTATGAAAAGTTCAATAAAAATAAATTCAATTCATCAGCTAGACTCAAATATAAAATAAAAATATTTTTTACCACTTTCATCGAATATCAAATTTTCTGGTTTTATATCTCTATGAAGAATGTTTTATGAGTGAATATATTCAAGAGCACTGACTATGCAGCAAGCAATGAATTCTTTTTTTAATTTACAAATTTTATTTAAATATATAAATTTCGATGTTTATTTACGTGCTTGAGTTTCACTAAAGGGCTCTGTTTAGTGAATTAAATGATATCTGAGATCTCCGCCTCCTATAAAATCCATAGTGAGGTACAAGTTTTCTCTGTCTTAAAAAGAATTGTGCATATTAACAATTAGCCTTTTAAAATAAAATTATTATTGAATATTAAAGATATTTCACATTTAACTTTATTTTAGTTAGCATCTCTATTTAATCAAACATGCATTTTACGTCTTTTAAGATTTGTATTTTCATATTTAAATAAATCATTTTGTTTTTATTTTAAAAATATAGCCAAGTAGGAATAAAGTTTTGAAATTAGTTATTTCACTAGCACATAAAATTTTTACGGATGATTAAGATGACTTAGGATTTTTCTTTCGTTTAGAACAGAATTTACACTCTTTTTGCTGAGTATTTTAACCTTTGACATGATTTTCATGGCTAATACTTCTTTGTTCTTGCGCTTTTGTACGTTCCAAACCTTATTATTGAAAAAAATATTTATATGATGTTAATTAACAGTGAGCCAATAGCTATTTTTAAATTTCTACTTTAAAAATTCATAAAAATTATGTCAGATTAAATAGAAATCTTATCAAATATTGAACTGAAATTAAAAACTTATTAATTACTTTTCCAAAGCCGCCCTTCCCGATTACTTGATTAAATATGTAGCCTTGCACATTATCTAAAATATTTTTAAGTTAAAAAACATAAAATAAATAAATAAACAAATCAGAGGTAATTGAATGAATATTCTCCAAGCAAATTATTAAGTTAAAAAGTGAATAAATAGGTTAGTTAATTAATTAGTTAAGACGCACAGCGTATTTTATAACTCTCATTCTTATTACAAAATGAAATTAATTAAAAAAAACCTGATGAATTCTTCTTTGCATTCTCAGATGAAGAAGTGCAATTACCCATCGCTTATTTCTTAGATTTTTTGTTTTTTTATTTATATAAAATTAATGTTTTATATCTAATTAGACTTTATCTATCAGCCTTTATTATTATTATTATATATATTTTTTTAATACAAAATAGTATACATTACACTCATATATAAACAAACATACATTTAGACAGAAAGAAAGACAGACAGACAGACATACATACATAATCTACTAAATTTTTTTATATAGCATAATAATCAATCACTTTTGGCAGTTTTTATCATTTAATTCTTAAATTTTCACATATTTAAATTGAAAAAAAAAAAAATTAATCCATTCAAACGAGGAAGAGGTTATTTTTAAAATCAATGTTTTTTCATTATAACTGGCTTTTTAACCTTTTAAGTATAAAATTATCATAGCTTTTAAGATAAAATTTGATTTCTAATTCCTCTAATTATTGTAGGCCTGTCACTCTACACCTATTTAATTTATATTACTATAATATAATAGACCTCTCCTTTTTTGCAAATTAAATAATACTAACTTTTCAAAGAGCTTCTTAAACTTTATCATATTTATATACAAAATAAACCCACACAATACAAAAATAATTTTTTACTGTTTTTATTTATATCTATGTTAAGAAAAAATATCTTATTCAGCTTTATTTACATTTTTTATATTACTAATTATAATTTATTATTTGTAGTCAAAAAGTAATCGCAATATTAATCACTAAAAATATGTAAACAAAAAATTTTTAAGAGGAAACATTCAATGAAAAAAAAACCATTTAAATTAAAAATATTTGTAAAATTTAATTAGAAATACTCTTTGATAAAAAAAATGAAAAAAATTGAAAATATTTGTAAAAATTATTCAAAAATAAACCTATTGTTAATATTTTTTATTCATTTATTAAGAATAGCAAGGAAAGGATATGTACTTCATAATAATTTTTTAATTTTAAATATTTATTTATATCAATTCAATAATAATTATTGATCAAGTTTAAAATATAATTTATTTAAAGATATTAAAATAGTTCTTTAAGTTAATAAAGTATTTATTTTGTCTTTTTAGTATTTTATTGAAAAAGATCTTGAAAAAAATTCTTGTTATTAATTACCATAATAACTTGTTATAAGTGTTTAAACGAATCAGTGATGCTTTGTATATATTTTAAAAATTATTCACTCTTGTTATTTAAAATGCATACCCAAAATAAAGGATGAGTGAATGAAGTATTATGGTAACAAATATATAAAAAATAATAAAGTTTCTCGAAGAATAAAAAAATCATACATTTTTTAAAAGTAAAATTAGATTAAAAAAATTAGTTTTAGTTAGCACTTTTAAAAAAGTATTTAACATTTTACTTATTTTTCAAAATTTATGAAGAGTAAAAGCTATTTATTTGTTTCTTTCTTTATTTATTTATTTTTTTATTTAATTATTAATGAATTTAAATTAAATTATCTTGAAGGCTTTTGACTGCAAAGAAAATTATAAAATCAAAACTTACAGGCAAGCTGTTTAAAATTATTATTTAAAAATAAACAAACTTGATAAAATATATACATATTTTCTTATTGCCTACAGAATTGGCATTAACATTGTTAATACTTATTATTTCAAAGTTCAAATAATCATTCATTCATTCATTCATTCATCTTAAGCTCCTGCTTTGAGCTCTTCAAATTTACTCTTGTGCTTAGTTAGTCCTTTAGTTAAATAGTAATAGTAAAATCCCCAAATTATTACAAAAATAGTTCCAATAATTAAGTCTAAATAAATGTATATGTAAATTAAGAAATCGAAATTATCTAAATAATCTTTGTAGCATTTTGAAAGAAGTTTTAAGAGATAGCTGTTATGCAACTTAATATTATAAAGAGATGATTCAGGGAATTTTGAGTATTGTTTATTCATGAATTCAATTGTCTTTTAATATTTGCTTAATGACTACTAATCTTATGAATCATTTACTAAGACAGCGCTCCATTCATCTCTTATTTATTTTATCAATTGTTTTAAAGCTTTAATCTAGTTTTAGATTCCCTATTATCCATTTTCATTCTATGGTAGAGCGCAGAGGAATTTGCCTGACTCTCTAAAGCTCTAATAATTCTCTACTGAAGGTGTATCTATGGGTTACTTTTAGCTATAAAAGTAAAATTTAGAAAATATAATCAATACAATAAAGAAGTTACTTGTTGTAAAACACCAAATTGGTTTCACAGAATTCTGCACAATCTTCCAATTTAAATTGGTAATCAAAATACTAGTTGCACTTATAGCTATTCTATAAAACCGACAACTCATCATAAAACCTGCATAAATATTTTATTGAAACATTAATAAACTTGATTTAAAAAAATTACGGTTGAAAGTGCTTGGATAGAGTATTTACAGAACCTTTTGTAGTTTTATATATTCTATCATCGTTTTATTCTACTTTTGATAGAATATTCTAAATAATTTCATTATAATCATATATTTTTACTGAACCTAGCATAATAGATTCAAATATATAGTCAGATGCAAATTAAATATCAGTGTATCTATTTATCAGAGAAGTTGAAAGAGAGGTAGCACTGCTAGTGTTGTGACTGAATTCATTAAAAAATTTTACTTGCAAAACTGAACTCACTATCATGACAACAAACAATAAAAATAGAAGAAACCCTCTCTTAGACATGGAGTACTCCTCAAACGATATCAAAACTTTATTCAAAATACTTATTGCAGAGTACATTCTGAAAATTAAGATAAAAAAAAGGAAGAGTTTAAAGCCTACAAAAATATAGTATATCAAAAAGTATTCTTCCAAAGAAGAGTTGTAGTGATCATTCATATGACTGATAAAGCTTTCAAGTTCTTTTCTGTAATATGTAAAAATATATTGCTGTTCTTCCTCAAATTCGTTTTATTAGTTTTTTAAAGCAATTGATTGTCTTCCTGCAGTGAAGATTAAGTTCATCAGATTCTATGCCAATCCAAGTCCATTCTAAGAGATGTTTCTTGAATTTAGCATATCAATATTAGGTATTCCAACTTTCTTCTTTTTGCCTTAGTTCATCCTTATGCTCAGCATGAAAAATTCCTGAGAATCTTTATTGAAAGTTGTCTTTGTGTAATTTAGCTATTTTCAATAAAATATTTTTTATTAATTTATTATTTTTAAAAAATTGTTGAATCTCATTGAAAAAAAAAAACATTTCTTATTCTTCTTTATTTGATTGTTTATTTTAAAACTTTTAGCTTTTCAATTTGAATGAATTTTTCAAATGCAAAAGCAAAAAAACATAAAAATTAAAAATGGAAATCTATAAAGCATCTAACAATTCTGTAAATAATTGAAAACAGCTTCAATAATGGCCAATAAATTTAATTGTTTTTAATCAATTACCTAATCTAAATGGTGATACAAAGCTGTAGTGTTCTGAATCCTGTTTATTTAAATTAATTTTTTGATTATTTATTTAATTATTTGAAATAAAAATTTACTATTGATCAACATTGATTTGCCTAACTTTAAATCCAACATACGGAATAAAACTAGATACTTCATTCGTTGTGATATAATCATAAGGCAATTCTGTAGTTATAGCTCTCGCTTAAAAAGCATATCTATGAACTGCAAATGTTGCCATAGCTAAAAATACTATAAAAATTCCTGATGTATTACAAACCATCACATTTGCTTTTTGCAAAAAGAACTTTCTTCCTTTGGCCATTTTTTCTTTTATCTTTAACCTACTTATTATAACAAACCTACTCTCTTTTATATTGCTTTTGAGTTCTTTGTACTATTTTTTTGAGTTAGTTGTGTGTGTGTGTTGTTCTGCTTATTATTTTATTATTCAATTATATTTAAATATTAATTATCGCTTTTAAATATTGCAAATTTTGATCAAAACAATTTAAAAATAAATTATGTGAATGAACAAATAAATAAATATATGAATCTATTCATATATCAAAGATTTATTTTGCATAAATAAATTATTCATTCATAAATGCGTTTGAAATTTCAAATAGAAGGTAGAATCAAATTAATTAATTAATCCTTTTATTTATTTATTCTTAGTAATTAAAGAAAAAACAAATATCTACTAATAAACATATAGATAGACAAGCATATAATGCATAAATTAATCTGTTTATAAATAAATACAAATGGATTGATTGATATTATATTTGATAAATTTTATCATAATTAGTTAATTATATTAATTAAACTTTGATTTATGTTATTAAATTAAATTTATTCAGTTTAATATATTTTATTTATTTATTTATTTGTTTTATATTATTATTAAATTGAGGTTTTATAAAGGAAAACTATTAAATTCAAATTTATTTTAGAATTTCTCTATGAGCATATTCAAAAAGAGTCATCTGATAAATCATTTGAAGACTCGTTTAGTTAGTTGTTGAAAGAACGTTTTGTAGCTTGAGTTGTAGCATTTGATTGCTTTCTATTTAGAGAATTGCTTATATAATATTTTCCATTTATTTAACAAGGATTTGTGTTGAGTCTTGAGGAAAGATTATTACTATTATGTGAAATACTAGATTTTCTAGAATTAAGAGGAGGTTTAAACTGAATTGGAACCTCTCGACTGATGCTAGCTGAATACAAATCATTATTTTTTGCTTGCTTAGGTAATAAATTGAGCTGCTGACCTGTAGAATGGAATGAATTACTAAACTTTCTTTTGTTGTTACTTGAATTATTTACAAAGTTAAAATTATCTATCAGAGAATTTGAATAGCTTGTATTTAAGGAATTCTATGCATTACATGCTGTAGACTGTGCTTATTGTGGAATAAATTAAAACTATGTGGTATTTTATTATCCGTTTGGAGTTTAGGAGGTAGACAAAGTTGGGTCTTCTTAATAGGAAAGTTTTCTAGAAATAGTGAAATTCTTTTCTAATTAATCTAATTTGACATTATCTTATTATTAAAATTCCAAAGCCATCTGCTACTAATTTAAAGTCTATTACTATTCATAAGATTAGTTTATTTTTTTATATTTTTTTATCATTTGGAATATTTCTTTGTTGTTCATTTTGTAGTTTGACTCAATCAATTTATGAATAGGATGATTTGAAGAAAGCTATTTGCAATTACTTTTGCTTTCTCTTTTTTTAAATTTATTATCCTCCAAATCACTACTGCTGCTCACACTGCTGTTACTTCGGCTTCTTTGCTGTTTATGAGACTAGCCTTTTCTATTAAAATTGCTGTAATCTTATTGGTTAATAGCATTTGATTTATTTGAATAATCTCTGTAATTATTTGTAGTGGCTTAACGCTCACTTTTAATAGAACCACATTTTATTGCAGTATCTTCTTAGTTAGTATAAAAGTTTGTTTGTCCGAAAAGAATTTAAGGCTTTATTTGAGAAACATGAGTTATTTTCTGGCTATAGTAAAAGTCATCTAAACTAGATTCATCTTGGTATTTCTATTAAGTTAGTTGCAAATTAGTCCCCTATTTTATCTAACTTTCCAAATTTTTAACTTGCAATTAAATTGAATTTTGAGTTCTCTCCTTTTCTTTTTAAATGTCCTTTTCCATGTCTTCTTTATACTTTTAAACCTTTTACTCATACTCCTCTTTTGCTCTTGAACAGCACTCTTCAAACCTTTCATTTATTTTTCTAAGCTTTTCTTAGAGATTAATGTTTTCATCCTTCTCAATATCGCGCATTTTAATCATTAGTTGCTCCATTTAATTTTGTGCCTGAATAATTTCCTATTTCTTTTTATCAATAAAATTCTACTTTATTGACTACATTTTTTCTTCAAGACTGATAATTTAATGGTCGTATTTTTATGACTAATATTGCTTTTCTTAGCATTTATTACTAGAAAAATTTCTCTAATTACTTTTAAAGTTTTTTTCTCCACTGTTGGTTGTTTAATTAAGTAAATTCCAATTATTTTCTTTATCATCTTATGTAAAATTATCTCTTTCTCTCAACTTTGAAGTTCCAATAAGAGAAATATTAGGATGCTACTTCATCAAGTCCATTTCTTGCTTTAGTTGCTTTATGCTTCTCTAATAATCTTTGATACCACTTTTATTCATTTCTTAATATCAATCTCAAATAAATAAATAAATCTTTGTTTGTTTGTTTGTAGTTAATTAATTCAAAAATCTTATAAATAATACAAATCAAACTTTTTGAATCAATTACTTACTTACTATTAAACTAATATTTCAAAAATTCTAAATTAATTAATAAGTTAAAAATTAATTAAAATGTTCCTCTTCTCACATTCAATTTTCAAAAGTAAATTATATTTGAAATACAAACCATATTTTTTATTCGTTAAAATCCATTCTACTTTAAAAAAAAACAAAAGATTATTTTTATCATTCATTATTTATTTTATTTGATCTTTGGTTTCCATTTTTATTTGAAGATTTTTATTGTTTAAAATTGAATAAAGAAGCAACTATAAATTAAAAATTAATAAAATTTAAAATTATTATTTTTACTAATTCAAATACCTATCAATAAATACAATTTAAATATTTAATTGAGATAATTTATTAATCAATTTAATAATAAATATTTATAAATTATATTCATGCTAATAAAAAAATTAAGGTCTTCAAAATGTTTGTTATTTAAAAAAATCTAAGTATTCTGATGTTACTTACTAGTTTATAATTAGTAAGAATCTTTCTATAAATAATAATAATTTAATTTTCCCCAAACCCATAGAAAATTCTCCAACTCAATTTATTTATTTTTTTTTCCATTCATAAAAAGCATTTTTTTATAAAAGAGATTTAATTTTAAAAAAGCATTAAATTATTGTTTTAGTTTTTAATATAATTTTAATTCTCTTATAGATTTATTAGATTGGAAACATTTTCTATTTTTACATTTTTTAATTTTGAAAAAAGAACTTTATTTAAGAAAAATATAATCAAAATAAGATAAAAATATCTTTCTCAAAATTATAATTTATTTGACAGTGATTGAGATAATCTAAAAAAAATCTGATCTTACTAGCTTACAATTAATTAGAATCTGTGTATAAATTAATAAATAAAAATAATTTATTTTTCCCCAAAAAAAGTTTGTCATTTCAATTTATTTTTTTAAATTTTACATTCATAAAGCATTTTTTAAAAAAGCATTAAGTTGTTGTTTTAGTTTTTGATATAACTTTAATTCTCTTATACATTTATTAGACAGACAGACTGGATTAATATTCTATCTTTACATCTATAAATTTAGAAAAAATAATGTTTATTTAGTTTCATAATATAATCAAAATAATATATATAAATATCATCTCTAAAATGAAAATTTATTTGGTAGAGATTGAGGTAATTTAAAAAAAATCTGATGTTGCTATCTTAAAATTGATTACAACCTGTGTATAAATAAAATAATTAAGATATTTACAAAAAAAAAGTATCCACTACATTTTTTTAATTTATTTTTCCATTCATTTTTTTAATTTTATTTAATATAAGATATTAATTATTAAAATGCATCAAATTATTTATTGTTTTATTTTTTAAATAATTTTAACTTTCATATACATTTATTTGAGAGACTAGATAATAAAATAATTTAGTTTTTTAAGCAGCTTTTTTTTCAAATCTAAGAAATATAAAAATCTGATGTTGCTAGCTTACATTGATTAGAATCTGTGTATAAATAAAATAGTTAAGTTATATACAAAGAAAAGTCTCTAACTTAATTTATTTTTTATCTTTTGATTAAATAAAAATATTTTATTTTTAGAAGATATTTCATTTTTAAAAAATACATTGAATTATTTTATGTTTTAGTTTTTAATATAATTTTAATTCTCATATATATTTATTAGACTGGATAAATATTCTATTTTTAAATCTATAAATTTTGAAAAAATAATGATTTATAAGCATAAAATAATCTTTAAAAGTTACGAGGTTTTGATAATTTGATATTTTATCTTTCATATAAATTATTAATTGTAATTGTTAAGTTTTTAAAAATCTGTAAGGGTAATTTATTCATTTAACAAATTTTTTTAAATTTTTAAAAACTTGTTCGTTTCTCCCGAATAACGAGGGACGAGGTCTGGATCATTACGGTATTAATATAAAAAAAATTCAAGCATAAACATAATAAATTTAAAAAAGAAAGAAGACTTTTTATTTAAATTTATTGATATTAATTGTTATTTGTTCTTCTGATTTTTTCAAACCATATTGAAATAATTTAGATTTCTAAATTTATACTATATAATTACTTTTTCTAACTTTTGATGTATTGGTATAAATAAAATAATTTGAAGAAGTAGTTTTTTAATTCTTTTAGATACTTTACAGTTGATCATAAGAAAGATTGTAATTAGGGATTTCTATCTTGACCAAATTTCATAATTACACTTATTTTTAGATATTAGAAATTCAATATTTATTATAATTTGAAGAAATATTGTTCTTTATTTAATAAATTTAAAAATTTTTAAATTAGCTCTGCGAATACTTTAATAAACTTACTTACACTTATTTTTTAGAATTTCTAAATTTCCTTTTCTTTTTCATGATTACTTAAATAACAATTAGTGCATGAAAGTTAAATGATTAAGGATATTTCATTTTTGTATTTGACTTTATTATTTAATTTTAAAGTGCTGTAAAGCATATAAAAGAATTAAGAAGGGGGTTGTTTACATTTATTTTAGTTGCTTTTATCCTAAAACATATTAAGATACTTTAGACTACATACATCATTTGACTAAACTCTCTTTGTTTATAATTCTTTTTTAGTATTGAAGATAAATAAAATAATTTAAAAAAGGTTAATATTTAAGTTATTTCTCATTAATTATAGTGCTTTCCTAAAGTAAAATACTTTTAATTATACTATGTGACTTTACTTTATCATAATAACTTAAATGATTAAAGTATAAATTGACTATTTTAATAAATAAATTATTCAGGTTTACTATCTGATTTTCTTTTAATTTGAATTAGAGATATCAAAGTCTGTCTTTAGAAAATAACAATTTAATTTTTCTATTAAAGAAGGATGTATTTAAAAATTGCATCGAAAATCTATAAATCAAATAATTACAAAATAATCAAAAAACTTATTAGAAAAAAGATAAACTACAAACGCAGCATAAAAAAAAGTAAATAATAAATATCTGGATTAATAAATAAAAAAAAAAAAGACTTACTGCAAAATGGGTATGACTCCTTCCTCCAAATTAGTTTAGCACATTTAAAACTAGCAGCGCGAAAAATGTAAATTTTAATGTTGAAGGAAAAACCCCTCATTAACTTTATTTTTTAATCTTTAGAATTGAAATTTTTAGAAAAATTATCATAGTCTTTAAATAAGACACCTTAAGAGGCAGAATAAATAACTTGGATGATGCAAAATAAGCAATACGAAATTGACTTTTTAATTCTTGGAACAGGTGGTAATGGTGTTGTAATCAGGGGTTATGATAAACAAGAAAATAAGCCTATTGCTATAAAAATAATGAAATTTAAAACAAACGACTAGTGCGAGCGCCTCCTCAATGAATTTAAATTACTTTAGCAATGTTAAGGAACTTAAATCTTAAGAGTAAAAGAAATTTACATAAGCTATAAAATGAAGCTCTAATTTATGATTATGGAATACTGCCCATGTAATTTAATAAAAACATATATAAATTCTTTCAATGAGCATTTATGCAATTACTTTTGGTTTAAACAAATTAATTTGTGAGCATAAAATTAGATTGTTTATAATACTCCTACATAGATAATTAATTAATAAATACATAAATTAATTCATCTATTTATTGATTTATTTGCTTATCCATCACTAATTCATTCATTGATTCATTAATTATTTCTTTCATTTTCTAATTGATCTTATTTAATTTTTTATTAACTCTTTTTTAATATTTACAGTTGACCTTAAGACGTATTTGAAGAGAATTGAAGAAAAAAGAAGCAATATTAAAATAGCTTATGTACTTTAAATTTGCTAAGAGTTAGTGTCAGGCTTAAAATAAATACATGAAAATGGAATTATTCACTTAGACATCAAACCCGCAAATATTTTATTTAGTCCAAATTCAATCTGGAAATACTCTGATTTCGGACTTTCTCGCAAGTTCAAACATGTAGTAAACAACAATACTAAGAAATAGACAGATAACACAAATGATAATTAGGGCTAAAATGGATCAGACTCACCAACTTCTCCTAATTCGAGCGAAACAATTGAAGAGAATATGATTAAATTCATTAAAATAATTCCAGTAATATTTTAGTATTTCATATTTCAAAATAAATAAATGAAAAAGGATAACTAGACCTAAAAATAAATTACAAACTTTGATTTATTCATAGTACTTTTTCCAACGCGAATATCCTAAATTGCATAACAAAAATAGAAAAAAACTTCGATACTAAATTCCCACTTTGTGTAATAAAGTTATCATTTAAAATCCTTAAATATTTTTCATGATAAATTTTAAGGAATTCGCGCTTGTTACTATTATTACTAGATTGATTTATAAGAAAAATATTCAGTCTTGTTTATCGCCTGAATTTTTTTTAAAAAAATTCATAAAACTGGGAAGTCTACAACTCAATTAATTTTTCTTACTGATTCACTAACTGGCTTAATGCCCACTAAAATTATAAAATTCTATTTCATTTATTCATTAACTTATGTTCTGAATGTAAATTTATAACATTTTTTTTAAAAATTAAATAGGAAGGTTATACACCATAGTATGCATCTCCAGAATAATACCAGATTGTTAACAACAAGGATTTCACTAAAAACGTCACAGATAAAAGTGATATTTACAGCTTGGGTATTGTCTTTTTGGAGCTAACAGGCGTTAAAATTTCGAATGAAATTATCTAAAAAATGAAAACAGACGCTAATATAGATCCATCTTCTTAGTTCAACCCATAGTATCAGATGTTTAATGAAACTGTACTTAAGAGAATGCTCTCTTTTGATCCTTAAATGAGACCAACTCTAGAAGAAGTTTAACATCAAATTTAAAAAATCCTAATTAAAAATAGAGATAGAGGAATTAGTTCAATAACTAACTCACCTATGAATGTTGTAAGAGGAGAAACTTAGAAAAAATAAAATTAAGTCGATATAGATTTCACTAAGCTTGCCTGCGTTGATGAAAATGAATTCTCTAATGATTACCAAAAGCCTGAAATATTTTATATTAATCAAGGCGGAATAGATTTAACTTAATAAGATATCACAGAAATAGTTGCTTCAACAACTAAAAAGATCGATATAAACGTCAATTAGCAAAATATAGACTTCATCAAGATCAGATGATGAAAGGATAAATGATATCAAGCATACATTTCTTAAATATTAAGAATTAAATCTAAAATTAACGAAACCTATCTATACAAAACAATTCTTTAACATATATAATGTAGAGGTGAAAAGCATTTCTCTTAAATCAATAGCAATTAATTTACACAAAAAATATCTATCTATCTATCTCATAATAATTAATAAATTATATAATTAAAAAAATACTTATTTATTTTTGCGCATTCTGTAATTATCAGCCACAAGAATGAAATTATCTACAAATCTTACTAATAACTAATATTAATCATTTTAAAATCACAAAATCCCTCTAAATAAATGATACAAATAAATATTATAGAAGAGTATTGGGTATTAGGGAAAAAACTAGATTATATCTATCAAAGGCGCTAATCAAATTGATAAAATTAAGAAAATAAATAGTCAGTCAGTGAGTCAGTTGTCTGCCTGTCTATATTCCCATAGCACTCAAAAATATTTGAAAACAATAGCATTAATAAAAAGAATAAATAAATTAATAATTAATGAAGCAAAAATGCTAATAAATGAACCAATCAATCAAATCAAATACTCTTTGTTTTAAAATGCTCTAACTTCTTTTTTCTATATTATTTTTATCTATCTATTTATAAACAATCAAATAAATGAAAGAATAAATAAATAGATAAATCTTAATCTTCATCTTCATCTTATTACTTAAAAACCAAATTTAAATTATATTCAATTATATCAAACAATTTACTTTACAAAACCTCTTAATATGCATAAAAATCTCATATTACTATTGATGTGTTTTATATTAATTTGTATTAATTTTAATCATTTTTAACATTAATATATAGACATTTATATAATTATAATTTTAAATAAATCTTTACACTTTAACTATTTTATATCTATTAGTGTTATGAAATAATATTTAGAGGACTTAGTTACAGATTTCTATATATATATTTATTAAATTGGGATAGAAAATAATTAAGAAGAATTTAGTTAATTTGTCTCTGATGATTATGATTAGAAAAAAACAAATAATAAAATCAATAATTAGTTAATTAATAGATGCATAGAAGATAATATAAGTGAAGATTCTTATCATAATTATAATAATTAACATTAGTATTCCCTCAATAATACTAAAAAGAAAAAAATTCTCAAATATCAATTTAATTTTATATACTCGAAAAATAAATTAATAATGATACAGCTGCGATATTAAAATTAAATTCATGTGTCACTTTCATAAAAGCTGGGCTTATTTAAAAATAAAATTTTCTAATCAGTAATACTAAATTGTATTAAGTTGTTAATATTTTTTCACCAAAAAATAATTCAATCTAAATTATCGCATTTTAAAAAGCTTGAATAATAATTAAATGAATAAACCTTTATTAATTTCCTCCTTTACAAAACACCATTACATATTTTATAAAAAAATCTAATTATTTGTAACCAAATTAGCACATTTATTACCTTAAAATACAATCGAAAAAAGGGAAAGACTCTGAATACTCAAATTATTTTGAAATATTTACCAAAAAACATAAGGTTATTATTTTCATTAAGAATTTAAGTTAATTTATTTTTTCTTAACCAAAAATTTAATCAATAACGCAATTTGTATTTCAGTTAAGGGATAATTGAAAATTAATTTATTTTATAAGCACAGATTAAACATTTATCGATAATTATTCTATTTCTAAAATAGATTAAATAAAAAAAAATTAAAATGTTTCTAATCTCCTTGACAAGCAAATTTAGCAATTGGATTGGAATATAATTCGTAAATTTTTATATTAAGAAATTTTGTAATTATAGCTAGATCGTCTAATTAGTCTACATAGAACTAAACATAAAATGCATGAATTTTATATTTAAAAATATTTAAAAAAATATTTATTTTAAAAACATAATGTAAAAAAATAAGCAAACACTATTACTAAAAATATGCTATTTTTAATATTTATTAGTAATATCTTTGTAAAATAATTATTCCAATCTACTTTGCCTATTTAAAACAAGTAAAACTTAATACAAAAAACAAATAAATAAATGTAATAGTAATTATAATCAAACCAAATAGAACTTTAGATATAACTAATAATTTTAAATTGAAGATTATTAAAAAACTCTATTTAATTTAAAAACTTAACTAGACACTCAATGAACATGATTGTTACTAAAAATAAGATTTTATATTTTAAATTTATTAGTAATATCTTTGTAAAACAATTATTATAAATATGTATATTAAAAACATTAAACAACTTAATACAAAAACAAATAAATGTAATAATAATTATTATTAAAATAAATAGAATTTGGATGTAATAAATAATTTTAAGTTGAAGGGTAATAAGTAATAAAAACATAACTTAAACACTCAATGAATATGATTGTTATTTAAAATATGATATTATTCTATAAATTTATTATTAGTAATATCTATATAAAGCAATTATTAAAAATATGTATATTAATAACATATACAACTTAAAATAAAAATAAATAAATTAGATGATAAGTGGAATTTATCCATATAGACTTTTACTTAGGATGTAATTACTTACTAATTTTGAGTTCAAGGATAATTAAAAATTATATTTACCCTAATATACCAATTAGAGCCCCCCGATATTAGAACCCCTCCTCTCAAAATTGAGAAAATCATTGAAGGATGATAAAAATTATGTTAAATATAAATAAAATACAACTTAAACCCTGAATATATATGGTTATGCTAAATATATTTATCTTATTTAATTTTAAAATTTATAGCTAATATTTTCGTAAAACAATAATTAAAATTTTATTATGTACATTTTTATACATAACTTAAGCACTCAATATAATTATTACTATATTATGTTGTTAATTTAAAATATGTATTAGTAACTTCTTTCCAAAAATTTTTATATTTAAATTAATAAAAAAAACTAAATAATGAAATATTAAATATAATAAAGCCAATTAAAACTTCACTTAGTTTACTTATGATTTAATTAATAATATATTTAAATTATGATTAATTTAAAAATATATCTTAAACCCTGAATACATACCATAGTTACTAAAAATATCTTATTCTATTTAAATAATTATTATTTATATTTTTAAAAACAATAATTAAAACTCCAAAATTTATATTTACAATACATAACTTAAACACTATTACTATAATATGCTTATAATTTAAATACTTTATTTGTAATATCTTTTTAAAATAGCAATTATATATAAATCCATTTTGTATATTTATTAAGCAAAAACATTTTAAGCATCTTAAGTATGATAAAAATAAATAAATTATAATTAGTATGAAATTGCTAATTTTAAGCTGATAGATATAAAAAGCCATATTTAATTTAAAAATCAACTACAACGTTGTATATTTTTATTAATAAACATTTAATTTTCTTTAAAAATTTATTAGTAATATCCTACAATATAATAATTATTAATCCATTATTTTTATTTGAAGTTAAAGTAAGAAATAAAATTCATTTTAAAAATATAACTTAAACACTAAATATTACTAAAATTAATTATAATATTAAATTAAATTATTTAATTGTTAGTATTCTTATAAATGATCATAAATTATTAGTTCATTATTGATAGAGAGATATATATATGTAATTCATGAAGCTTAATACTAGAACTTTAAATAAAAATAATCAAATCAAATAGTTTATCACAAAGTTTACTAGTTTTAATTAGAAGTAGAAAAATAATATTCTTAATAACATGAATACATTTTTTCTAAATAAATATATACCATTCAAATTTTTAAGAAAAATAAAAGTTATAACTTGATTCTATGTATAATCCATAAAGTTTAATTTAATGATGCTATTTAAAAAAATTTTAAATGAATAAAACAAAGTCAAATAGTATTTTTCGTAAATACATTTATTAATTTGAAGTGAAGGAAAACTATTAGAAATTATATTAATTTTAAAAATATAACTTAAACACGAATTAAGTATTACTAAAATTGTACTATTTAATTAAATTATTTATTAGTTAATATTTGTATTAAACTATAAATATTAGTTCATTATTAATTGTAATATATATATAATTCATGTAGCTTAATATAATGAAGCTTAATAATCGAGCATTAAATAAAAATAATCAAGTCTAATAGAATTTTACAGAAAATTTATTATTTTTAGTTGAAATAGAATAATAACTTTCTTAAATTTAAATAAGACTTTAATACTGAATGAATACACTTTAACTAATTAAAAATATACCATTCTTTTGATTAAATTAAAAAAAAAATTTATAACTAAATTCTATTTATAATTAATTCATAAAGCTTATTATAAAGAGGCAAATTAATAAAATATTAAATGAATAAAACAAAATCAAATAATATTTTTTTAAAATGAATAATTTTAATTTGAAAATAATAAAATTTATATTTATTTTAAAAAGAAAGACAATTTAAACAAGGACTATTTCTATAAATATACCTATATTCTTTAAAATTTTAAATCTTTAAAAAATCATATATTAATTTTCTATCTATCTATTTATTAATTTTATATAGAAAAATAATGCAATTTTTAATTTATTTTAGAAAAATAACTTTTACAAGAAATAAATTATCACTAAAAATATATTTTTAAAAATAATAAAATAGTAAGTAATATCAAAAATTATATTATTTTACTTTAAAAGTGTAAGTATAAGTTAAATAATTCAATTTTTAATTTATATTTTGGATATTTTTTAAAATTTACTTAGTTTGTTTAAGCATTTTATCTTTTATTTACCTTTTTCTCAAAAGTATTTTATATATTTATTAGATTTATAATTTATTCTTAGTTCCATAATAAATTAATAAAAAAGTTAATAATCTCTTTTGTAAAAATAATAATAATATTATAATTTTTACTTTAATAAGTAATTAACTTATCAATAAAAATTTTAAATAAAGTATTTTGTTTTTAACTAGATTATTTTGAATAATTTAAAATCTCAATATCTTAATTATTTAAGTAATAGTAGTAGTATTTTGAGATAGAAATAAATATAGTTTTTTCATTTTATGTGTTTTGCTATTCATTTAATAATTTTAATTTTTTTAAATTACAACTTTATGTTAAAGCTAGATATTTTTGTTTAATTAAATTAAATGAAAATTACATGCTTTTTTCATTTAAATATGCTTATATAAACTTTTTTAATCATAGGAAAGTAAAAAGACTGGAAAAAAATATAAATTTTAACTAAAATAGGTGTAAAAATAAATGAATTACTCGAAAATTATTGTCAAAGGAATAACAAAATAATAATATTTATTTATTTACTTTGGACAATTATTTTAATTATATATTTAATAAAAAACTTATATTAAAGTAATTTTTTTTTAGAATTATCAACGATTAGTGTGTTGATAGGCATCATATGTAGGGTATGGAGTTGTATAACTGCTATTTACATTTAAATTATTGCTTATCATGTTGTTGCCCATTGACTACATAGAAGTATTTAGCGAATTTCGAGGTGGTGTTAAGCTGCTGTTAGAGAATATAAGCCTTCTTTATTTTGGTTTCGTTTGGTCCTCCAATCTTCTTTTTTGTATATTTTGTAAGTAATACTAACTGTTAACGTCTTATTCTTTATCTTATGGTCTAAATGAATTCATTCCTGAAGTTTTTAGATCATTGTATGGAGTCACATTTGCTATCACTAAATTTTATTATTCATCTGAGTTTTATGTTTTTATTACTCCGTAATGAGTTCTGCTTTATGGACTTTAATCAAATATTGGTTTTTTTTGAATTTGCTAGCTTTATTGCTGATAGTTATTAGGATTTTGAATTATTGTTTTTATATATGGTTGAGGTGATATAATTTATTATTGCTAATAAGGTTAGTTGCTTTTGATTAAATTTGTTATAGTTCTTTATGGAGTAGTAGGGTTTGAAATTCTAGAATTATCACCAACTGTGTTAAAGAAATTTGAGTTCTGTTATGGGCTATTTATAGATAAATTATTTTAGGTAACTTTTGTTTGCGAGAAGTTAGGGTTAGCTGTTTTTTGAGGTGAAGGACTAAGTGATTGTCTTTCATATTATTGCAGCTATTACTATTAGTTAAATTTATTTTAACTAGGAATCTATAAAAATTTGGTAGATGTGTTAGTCTGATAATATGTAAAAGAGTCTTAAGTTTGTCCAAGTGCTCTAGGAGTTAAAGATATGTTGTTTAAAGAGCTATTATTCAAGATATAGTTGTTGTTATTATTATTATTGCTATTACTTGTGTTTTATAATCTGTTATTACTAAAACTGTTGTTAGTTATATTTTAGGACAGACTTACACTGGTTGATTTGTTGGGGGTATAAAAAGGTTGTTTGTTAGTTATTTCATGCAATTATTGCTCTAAACTTATTTTTTTATTCTGCTAAGTAGTCTTGCTTGCATCAAATAGATCAACCTATTTATGTTAATTGTTCTAGAATAAATTTCCTAAATCCATTGATAAATTAGATTTAGAATATGTGCTTCTTTCATTTTAATAATTCGGAGACTTTTGAACTCTATCCTCAAAGAAATAATTTTTAGTTGATTAATTTTAAATATTTTCTATTGTGTTTAATTCAGGTTTTAAATTGTGAATGTCATTTAGCTCATTTTGCTTTCTTTTCAAGTTAATAGTCATTTCATAATGTTTATTGTTATTTTCCTGAGATTGTTTAAAATCAAAGTAACTTTATGCTTTACGATGACTACCTTGATCGCTTGTATTTGTATTTGTATTTATTTCTTATTTCTATTTTTAGATTGCTATTGATATTTCCTTCGGTTAATTTTAATCCTTAAAATCAATTTCATTCTTTTTAATAACTAGCTCATATTGGTTTACTTATTTTGTTAATATTTAAATTTATTTCTCAAGACCTTGTATTTTATTTTTTAGTTTATCATTCTCAGAATTCAATTACAATATTTTATCGATTAAAACCTCCTTAGTTGCTAGCTATTAATAAAGTTTATTTGTTGAATATTATTTATATTATTAAAATAAAATTAAATAATACATTTTATGCCTATGGAGAACTATAATTATTATTTTTCATGTTATCCTTATTGACACTGCTCGCAGAAGGTGTTAACTTGAAGTTAATTTAATCTCTCTACTTGAGTTACTAAGTCAAATTCTCAATGACATTATCTTTTTCTTTTAGTAAAGTTGCAAATTGAGAGTTCTCCTCTGTAAGCTAATCAGTCCTCTTTTTTGTTTAAATCTCTAAGTGCTTTAATTTCTAAATTTCCTATAATTATCTAAAAAATGTTCATTAACAAAATACAAAATTATCATTTAAGTAATAAAGTTATAAATTTATTAAAAAAGTTGATAAATATTTATTAAATATTTACTATTGTATTCTCTCTTTTAACAATTTAGATTCCTCAGTATTTTTAATTAAATCTTCTTTAAATAACTCATTTATCTTCTGGTGCTATTGGTTTTATTCTCTTAAATCTAAAATTTACTTTTGCTGATCTTCTATTTTCTTTTAAAGAAGAGGAACGTTTTGATGCTTTACAATATCTTATTTAACTTTATCTATCATCATTAACTTATTCTTTAATTCAATATACATGTCTTTAATTCTCTCCTTTTAAATTAATTAAAATTATGTTCATTTATATGTTTTATTTTAATCAAACCAAAATAATTAGATTTTCAATTAATAAAATTTCAATTTTTAAATAAACAAAAAAAATTTTTTAAATTCATTTTTATTTATTTATTTAATTTAAAGCTAAAAAGTTTAAAATAATTGTTTAGTATTTACTTATTCTTCATTTTTAGGCTATTTTTTTTTAATTTCTTAGATCTCTTACTTAAGATCCTCGCACTCTTTTAAGGAATCTTGCTTATCATTTTGAAGCTTTGTATTTAAATTTAATAGTTCGTCGATTTTCCTTTACAATAAATTATTGTGATGAGTAAAATTTTAGACTTATTTCTGCAAATCTGTGACTATTTTTTCGTTTTTCTTACTATTTTCTTAGCTATTTAACATTTTTGTTAGCTACTCAAAGTTATGTTCTGGCTCTTTCATATCTCTAATTTTATGCTAAGAATTTGTGGCATTAATCTTTTATTGATTTTTTATTTCTTGTCCAACCTAACTTATAACTATTGATTCGTCACTTTCATCGATGTGATTGCTCAGGACAGATGGCAAATTATTAAGCTTGAATGAGTTAAATTTTCCTGATCCTGCCATCATTTATTTAGCAGATTCATCTTAGCTATATTTTTGGTTGCTTGAAGATGAAGAAGAAAATCCACCAACTTTTGAATTGCTTTGGTCATTGTTGACTATTTAATAGTCTTCTTTGATTTCATTAGAATCTTTTCTATCTACAATTCTTTATTTACTTTTATGAGCTGAATCTATTTAATTTGTTTAAAAATTTATATTTTCAAAAGAATTATCTTCTGATTAATGAGTAGTGTTTGATAGAAGTCTTCTATGAGCAGGTACATCACTGTTATTCTGTAATTATTAGTTATCAGTGTTTATTAATCTACTCACTGTCTATGTGAAAATATTTTTATCTTCTGATTTTTAAGAAATCTATGAATTGGACTAGTGATTCAATACTTGAGGTGCAAGTTATAATTATTCTTAATGGTTTTTTTGGGTGAATAAATTCAAAGTTTATTATATGGGCAGGCTTTCACCCTCTAATTCATTATCATTTTGTTCATTTTTCTGTGTAGAGATTGGTTTTTAACCAAAAGTATTACTGTAATCTATCTACTTTAGCAGACTAGGTGGTAGATTTAAATTGATTACTTTATTGTTGTTAATAGGAGGAGATATTGTTTCTGGTACATTGTTATTAACTACTACATTTTAATTCTTCTGCTAAGAAGTAAAGTTTTCTACTTTATTTTTAGAATTTTGATTGATTGGAGATTTTTGTTAATCTTAAGAAAAGTTATCTTTAGGAGACAGACTTACGTTTTGTTGATTAATTATTTGTTAATTGTTTTGATCAATCAATTACTCAAATTACTCTTAGCTATTTAGGTTCTGCTCAGAATTGTTTTAGTACTGCTAGTAATAAGAATCTTGATTGCAACAGGCAGAGTCGTCTTAAGTTTTTAAGAATTCAATTTGTCTGTCTAAGTGATTGCAGTTTGTTCTTTTTTATTCATTAGAATGAATAGCCTGAGGAGATAGGTCTATCATTTAGTTTCTAATGAGGATTTCGCTCTTGTTCTTTCTTTCTGCTTCACTGTCTAAATTATCATCTTCGAATACTTCATTTTTATCGCTTTCTGGATAATAATTTTTATCATCAAGTGTGTCTTATATGAGGATCTAGTCATTTTTATTGTTTTGTAAATGAGCTTTAATAGATTAATTTTCTATTAAATTTTGACTATTTTTCTTGAAGCTACTTTTGACATCTCTTAAAATCTATTCCTTTCGAGATTTTTGAGCTTGATTATCTGTTTCTGAGTGATCATTTTAATCCTATTAGAAAAAATATTTTTAATCTTAAAAAATGTATTAAATGAACTTACTTTAGGAAAGACAATAGCTTTCTATCTATCTTCATTTTTTGGAGAAATAAATTATTCGCTATTGTCATGATTTGAAGATATAGAGGGACGAGAGTGATATCCATTATGGTCAATTTATTAAGAAGAGTTTGTTTGAAAATTATGTAAGGATTATTATGACCTGTGACTTAGCATATTAGATTTTTCTGAGTGCTCAGTAAGTTCTTCTATGATATCAAGCTATTCTGGTTAAGCTGGGACGCTGTTAAAGCCGATGATCCATGCACGTATTTTTCCATCATCATCTCCAGTTATAAAACCTTCTGAATTGAGCATTTAAATTGTCACAATATTGCCTTTGTCCTTACTAAATTTGTCTTTGTTAAAATCCAAGATGTTATAAATTCATATGGAACTATCACAGCTCAATCCCATTTCTAATTCATTGATTGCATTTACAGCATTTATTTTATTATATGTGATATTTTCTTTTATTTTTATAAGCTTCGTTACCGATTTATCCACAATATCAAAATTGTTATTGTTCATATTTCTATCTGCAGGAACATTGTTAATCCCACTATCAGATTTAGTAGATTTTATCGAATTATAATGGTTATTGCAAGCTTCAGCTTTAGGCAATTCCTCTATTTTTAACACAAAAAACCTATCAACTGCAACGCTTACAATCAAAGAATATTCCTCAAAATATATTAGCTTTAATATTGGCTGATCTAAACCGCTGCATAAGTCTATCGAACTTATGACGCTCTTCCCCCTCGCATAATAAACATTACCATTGTTTAACCCAATAACTATATCTTCCTACAAAATTTACAGTATGCATGTTACTCCTGAACCTTAGCTAGTCTAGGAGAAATCGAAGAGTACTTCCTTCAAGATGTACTGTTTATCTTCTTGTGTAAAGCTATATTTATAAACTAGTCCATTATTGCACCCGATAAGTATATCTACATCATTGCTTAAGCAGCAAATTGAAGTAAATTGAGTAGTGGCTTCATCATATTCGCCTTTAGCCTTAAGAGGATGATCTATCTTCTTTTCTAACTTATGAGTAAGCCAATTAAAGTAAAGAAATCCTGATTTGGCCAAACAAATTAAAAATTCTCCATTTATTTATAAAACAAAAACTTCTTTAAGCATCTATTTCGCCTCATCATTCTCATCTATTTGCATAGTCTGCAGCATTTCCCCACTTTTCCAGTTCCACACTTTTACTAATCCATGTTCACACACGCTCCCAAAGCAATTATTATTAATCCTAACAATACTTTTAATGCCAGAGCTATGAGCCTTATCTTATTCAGTTTCTTCCCTTTCAATACCCACAATTAGCTTTGATTGGAGCTTTCCCTTATTCTCCAAATATTTGCGTGCCTCTTTATAATTTCAGAAAGCTCAAATCAATAAAATTTAAAATACCAAAAAAAATTATAAATTAAAATCTTTTCATGCAAATTTGTTTAAATAAAATATTTTGAACTTATTTTATAGTAAAAATACCCTAAAACAAATCTAAAAAGATGTTAAAATCACTTGAAAACCACTTAAATATTTAAAAAAATAAATATTTATCTTGAGATTACTTATAAACGAATTTATTGATGCAAATAAAGTGCTTGCTTTAATAATTCTAGTTCAATATATTTTTATCCAACAAAAACACTTTTGCATTGAATATAATTAGGAAAATTTCCGAATTTACTTGAAATAGGAAGAGAGTTTGAAGAAGTAGTTGTGATCCACTCATGGAGCAAATCGATTTTTTCGTGATTTATGCAGTTTATTATAGTCTACCTTTGTGTTGACTTAGATGAAACACCTATAACGCAGTAGCCATATTAATAATCATTTACAAATGCAATATTGTCATAATTTATGACATTAAATACTGTCAAATAATTATATGTGACATCCATAGCTAATGTTGTTTAATATTCTATCATTTCATTGGAATTAAGCCCTAATAATATTATAGGATTAGAGGCTGTTTGAATATCAAAATCATCACTTTTCGCATTTGCTAAAATTCCTAAATAACCTAATTTGTTTCCAAAATCTTCTGCTATTTATATAATTGCCAAATCATATTCCTAGTTTTTATCAACACTTTCGAAGAGCTAATTGTATTTTATACCAACAAGAGGACAACTGTACTCTTTATTATAAAAGCTAACGAATTTTAACTTTTGACACACTTCTTAATTGCCTTTTTCAATGTATTTTACTAAACTATGACTACTTGCTAAAACCTGATTCTTGCTGATAAAGCAGCAAACTGTTAAAATTTAATCTTATTCATTCATGATTGCTCCGAATGAAGAGAAAGGATACTTCTCTTATTGGTCATTTTGTAAGACTACAGATTCAAAAAGCTCAAGCGATTAATCTAAGCAATCTATGTTTTAATAAAAACCAACATATCCTTTTTTAGCTTCATTAATTATGATCTCAACTTGTTGATCACTTGATTATTAAATACTCATTTATTTTGAAACACTTTTTTATTTTTAAATCACTAAGTGCTTAACAACAACCTAAAATTCAAAAGAGCCTAAAAAACTATTTCTATTTCACTTTTTGCTTCTTTTTTCTGCCTTCTATATTTTGGTAATAAAAATACTTTCTCCTTAAATAAGCTTCTAATAAATAGACTTTATTATTGATTGTGATTAATCTGCTATATTAAAATAATAAATTTTTATTTTTTCTTTTCCTAACAGAAAAATTTTCAATATAATAAATTATTTGTTTTATAGATACCACTAAATTTTTTGCAAAATGATAAAATCTTATTAAACAATATATTTTTTTAGAAACTTTGTGATAGTTAAATTGTTATTTTACAAAATTTTGATTAATTAATTTATTAATTCTATCTTAATTAATTAACAACCATTATTAATGAAAAGAAAGAATAAGTAAATACAAGCATAAAAAAAGAATAATAAATATCATAGAAAATAAATCATCTAAATAAAATATTATATTTTAAATATTTATCATACAATATTGAGATAAATTAATTATATATATATTGACATAGTACCAATAATCATCACTCATAAAAATAATATAGTAAATAAATATAAAGAAGCTTAATCAATCATTTTTATTTATTAAAATAGAAATGAAAACAATCATATATTTATATAAAATAAAGTTATTTTAAAAAAAAAATAAGGCAGAAATATTTAATTTATTTGAGAAGATAATTTCGGAATAAATTGAAATTTGCAGAAAAAACTTGAATTATTTAGATATAATATATTTATTTATTTATTAATAATTATATTTATTGATAATTTAATATTTGATGGATACTTTTTTAATTATTTTAGCAAGAAAAAATAAATTGAAATTAGAATATATCATTTTTGATTTAGGAAAAGAAATCTAATTTTTGGATCACTTTAATTAATTATAGAGAATCAAATATATTTATTTATTTATTTATATATTAATTAATAAATACAACATATTTATTTGCATACTTTTTTATTCAAATCAAAACTTTTGGGTTTAAAATAATATTTAATATAATGTTTTTAATATAAATTTGATCAAATTTTTCTGCTTTTTTAACACAGACAGCATGGACATAACTTTAGCTCATGAGATATTTATATATATCTCTACGGAAAAAAGATGTCAAACGATTATAATAATTGATAAATTCTATAAAGCCATCATATCCTTCATACTATGGATCTTTTAGATAGTCGTCTCTTAGCTAAGTAAGCAATTGAAACTCTCTTTCTTAAATTTTTAATTATGATTATCTTTCTAAATATTAATCATCTTGTAAAACTTCTTCATCTGGTTATATTTATTCGTATTGTTATTAGAAACGTTAACTTAAGTATAGTTCATAATCTTCTTAGGTGGGTTTGCCTGAGGAGAAAAATTAATTAATAATCAAGAACAAATCAGTTTTTTTGTGACATCCTTTCATCCTCTCAAACATTTTCATAGGAATATCAAAGTCAAGAAGATTCTCTCTTTTTTGCTTAGAAAGTCTTTTAAAGTATTTTGATATGAATCCCTTAATTTAATTTTTAAATTATAATGTTTTGTCATTTTTAACATTTTAATTTTAATTTGCTCTATATTAAATCTTAGTAGGAATTTCTTTATGAATTGTCTTTCTTTTTTTTGGTTATTATTTTTCTTTCATTTCTTTTTACTTCAAATATTTTTTAGGAATATTGTCTCCATGTTTTAATTAATCATCTTCAATTAAAGTAGAACTAGAAGGTTCATGTCTTTTTTCATTTTATAAGTTATTGCTCTAAGATTGGTGTATATTTTTCAACTCTTCTTCTACCCCATTTCCTTATTGCTGTCTGATGCTTTATTGTATATTTATTATCATGGTATTATCTTCTTTTCCTTGCTCTTTATTATTCAGTATAAAACTTTCATCATTAAAATCTTTAATTTATGGAGTGAGCATAGAATTAATCTGAAAGCTTTAAGTATCTTCATTAATCTAAAAATCATTTTTTGGTTCATAATTTGAAAAATAGTTATTTTCAATTTACTCAAGGATACTATTGCAGAAAGAAGTGAAATCTTACTAAAATTTCAGTAATGCATCTCTTTATTAAATGAGCTTAGTTCTTATTTACTATTCAAAGAGAATTTAGTTTTTTTTATCTGAATAAGTGATAGATTCTTAATTATTATTTATTTATTAATTGAAAAGTTTATTATTTTTGTTATCAAAAATATCGCAGCGATTACAAGTTGCTATCATTCTATCTATCTATCTAACTAACTATCTTTTGATTTTCTTCTCTAATTTAATTTAATTTTCCTAATAATAATAATAATTAATTATTTATATATCTTTTTAATAACAAATATCTCTATTTCGTGAAGTCTCTAATTAACTCTAAAATAGCGAATTAATTTTTACTTTTTCCACGATGTATTTATTTTCTTAAAACAAAGATAATTTAACAAAAAGTTTATTTTTACTTTTATTTTTAAAAAAAGCTATTTTTATTGCCTATCTATTCTATTTTTCTTACTCAAATACCTTCCTTTAAAAATTTCTTATTTTCTTCTTTAAATTTAAAAATTGTTCAAGCCATATTTAAGTAATTTGACATTTATTGTGATATATTCAAATATCATTTATCAAAGATAAAATGCATAATTTTCTTAAGATTTATATATTCTTATTTATTAAATCAAATAATTAATTTCTAGTAATATAAACAAAATTAATAAGGAAAAACTTTTTTATTTATCTACTCTATCAATTTTTATACTACATGCAATTAATTTCATTCACTTAAATAAATGTATGAGAGAAAAAAAGAAACATGAGTTTTAAATAAATCCATTTTCAATATTGCTTCTTACAAATTTCTAGAATAAAAAAACGAACCTTTTAAAATAATTTACTAGTGGTCTATAAATTTTAACTTATTTCTCTTTTTTTAATAAAACAATTAGTAAAAGTGAAAAGAGAATTAATGAAATTTATTTACTTATGTAATTTTAAGAGTTAGTCTTAAAAATTATGACACATTAATAGAATTTACTTAAAATTAATAAACAAATAAGAAAGATTCTTTTACATGAATTTCATAAAAACAAACATTAGAAATAATTAATATTTTTATTTATTTTAAATAGATTATTTCTATAAGAATTTAATTTTAAATTCAAGCTGTTCGTTTAAATGAGCTTAATAGTTTTATCATTTACATCATACTTATAAATTATTCTATTTTAAGATTCATTAGATTTAAGCTAACAAATATATTTAAGTGTCAAAACTTTTTGTATCTAAATAGCCAAAATAATTTTTTATTTAGATAAGTATATTTTAAATTAATTGATAAAATATCTTATTTTATAATTTAAAAATATAAAACAACATTATAAGTAGGATAGTTTTTATTTAGACTTTTAAATCATTTAAAGATTATTCAAGTTCTTACACATAGATTAACTGGTTAGTATTAAATTGCTTCATAGTTAGTTAAAATATTGATATGTAGAAAAAGATATTAATCATTAAATTCCTTAAATTTAAACAACTTCACGAATTCTAAAAAGAGAATTGCAAATATATTATTCATAAAATATACAATTTTCTTTTCGAAATTAGATTAAATTTTTATTTTTCAATGGTAAAACTAAATATCTCACTATTAAAGGCATTACAAATATATTTTAGAATAATTAGATCATTTTTATTAAGATTATAAATTGATAGAAACAATAATTAAGCAATATATATTTTTAGATTAAGTATTGATATGCAATATAATTAGTTAGTTAAAATATTTATAAAAATACAAATGATAACAGACATTAATTCTAAATATTTAAACTGCTTCCTTAATTAAATATAAGAAATTTAAATAACCAAATTTTAAACTCTTTTATCTAATTTGATTCAATAAAAATTAATGATTTATTTGAGTATATATATTTATATAAAAGAAAGACTTTTATTTTACTACTTAATATTCTACCATACATGTATCTATCTATCTATCTTTTTGAAAGATAAGTAAAATTCATTCAAGGTTTTTTTTTTTTTTTAATTATTATGTTAATTTTTTATTAAAATGATATAGATTTTGAGCCATAATCGATGCTATCTAATGCTTTTATAATGTTTAATGCATTTTTTTGAGAATTAAAAATTAACTTTGAAAAATACAAATTTATAGAATTGTTTTGATCAAATATAAAATTAATAAATATGTTTGTTCATTTTTTATATTTGAATGAGAAATGATAATCAGATTACAGATTATTAATATTTAACAAATATAATATTGATATGAATAATAATCATTTAAAAATTTAATACAAAATAAAAAAATACAAATAGATAACACTTCATAAGGTGTTTGTTTAATTCGAATATTCTGCTAATCTTTTATATCTTAACAATTTAGTTTTCTGTAAATCAAGATCAGAGAGTATAAAAATTATGTATATTGATTTTATTTGATTTTTACTAAAATTTTTTTCTTAATGGATAATGGAAAAAAGAATTTTTTTAAAAAGAAAAAACATAAATTTTTGATTTGATTTGCTAAGCATGTACTTTAATATAAAGTTTACAAATATAAATATGCATTTTTTGATATGTAAAAAACAATACAAAATATCTATAAAACTAATTTTTGAGTTTATAAATTTTATTTAATTTTCCTTAAAAATGCTTAATACAATTTAGAATTTAGTCTTAAGGTATATCATGCAAGCAATTCTGAATTAATAAATTATTGTATCTCACTCATATTCTTTGGTAATAGTTGTTCAAACATTTTAATACCCAAACCTGTTATATGTATTATGATTGGGATTTAGATCAGGAGTTTTGGGGATGTTCAATTCTATCAATATTACTCTGATTTTATTAATACATTATTGTATATCGCTCATATTTTTTGGTAATAGTCGTTCAACCCTTATTTTAATATTGCCCAAACTTGTTCTATGTATTATGGTCTATGGGATTTAGATCAGGAGTTTTAGGGATGTTCAATCCTATCAATATTACTCTGAATTTGTTCATTAGCATCCCTGTACGTATATTTGCAAGTATAGTTTTTATTTGATTTAAGGAGAGATTAAAAATAAAAAATTATTTTGGCCACTCGTTAATTTAATAAAACTTTATAATCAAAATAAAATTATTTATTTAATTTTAATTAAGAACTTTTTATTAATTAATTTAAAATTATTAAATTTAATGATATGATATTACACAAATAAAGAGCAAACTATCTCTTTATGAAATTTATTGTTTTTAGAATAATATTACTGTTAAATATTTTATCTCTAAGTCTATGTATTTATGTGTGTATCTAAAAAGCAGGTTTACTTATTTCAATCTAAAGAAAATGAATGATGAATAATTTTTTGTTGATAAATATTAAGAGTAATAAAAAATACTAATAGAAAGGAACTGAGAAACTCATAAAGAACATCAATAAAATAAGAAAGAAAGATTAAGATTTTATAGAAAATAAATCATATTAAATAAAAGATATCTAATTGATTATACTTACTTAAATTGTATTTTTAAGTTATTATTTATCGCAAATTATTTTTGATTACTATATTTTAATATTAATTAGAATATTTGGTAAAAGATAAAGGAAAATTTTAGTAAAAAAGGTTTTAAAAATTAAATTAGCATGGATCCATTTTAATTGCATTATTAATAATAAAAGGAAAGTATAGAAAAGATTTTATATAATGTTAGGGAGGCAACCGAATTAGAAGTAATGGCTAATACTTTAGATTTTATATCAAAATTATGCTAAGGCTAAGCTGAGGTAAAGCTGACTTAGATTTAATGCAAGCTTTGCTTAGAGGCTATTTCAGGAAGAGATGAAGAATTATTTTAAGTAATTTGTGAATGCAAATAGAAAAGCTTAAATAAAGATATTTTCCATAATAAATGCTTTTTAAAATATTGCTTAGCTTATGGCAAAACCAATTTTAAGTGTAAAAATGATTAATGTTTTTAAAATAAATTGAAATAAATAGAAACATTTTTAAATATCTAAGATTTTGTTTGCTAAATATGCAATTAAACACTTTCAAATAATTTCGAAGATACAGTAAAAACAGGATGTGAGTGTCCTTTTAAAAGAGTTCATAAAGAGTGCTTAAGTAAGCAATACAGAAATTTCTAAATAAAATAGCATTAGGTACTTTGTTAAGAATGCAATAGCTATTTTAGGGAAGAAAATGTCATTTAGTGTATCTAAAATTATTAATATGGGTGTACTACTTGCTACAATTAAGCCAGTAACCACATTTATTGGGATTGTGTTCCAATCGACTGTCATCCTTACATGATGTGCAGAATTTGTTATGAAAACTTTAATTTTAATGACTTAGATTTTTCTTAGCAACTTCTGAATTAAATTAGATGTCATCATCAAAGAGATTGCAATAAATATCTTAGCTATCATTCATTGAATCAGTACTTTAATAAGTTAGAAAAAGTAGAAAATAAATAAAAGGCACAAGAAATTTTAAGCAAAGGTATCAATTTAGAAAATTATTTTGATGTAGCAAAGTGTCCTGGATACATATTAAAGCCATCAAATAAATCATCTGCATATTATAAATATTTGCAATAATCAAGCAATACCCATTATATTCTTTATGGATGTTTGTTTGACAATAGAGAATTAGAAGAGGCAAGTTATGATCTAGATGATGATAAAGTAGAAATTGTTAAATGCTAAAACACTTTTGAAGCAGATGTAAGATATCAAATGCAGAGATGTTCTAACTGCAATTATAAATTTTGCTACAAATGCTAACTTCCTCATTTTGGTATTCCCTGCTCCGTTTTTAAAAATATCAAAAATAATGCAGGTCTGACAGAAGAGAGTTTTTTAGAATCCAGCAGTTTTGGATAAAACACTGATGATCACAGGCCTTTGCTATTGTTGTTAGATTTAGATATGAAATTATTTTAGTTATGTAATTAGGTAAGATTCAATAATGAAAATACATAGAATTTACAATTACAAAATAACTAATTAAATTATTATTTCAATTACCCTAACAGGAAAGATGTTAATGTAATTCAAATTAATATTTAATACCTTTATGGACAATAATAACAAAATTATGATTCTTGGCTCTGCATGTATCTTCCTATATTGAGTATTGAACATTTAAAATAGTGTATTAGACATGGAATAGAAAGAAATGCAACTAATGAAATTTCTTAAATGACTGATAAATACAAAGAACAAATCATTCAAAATGGAACCATATTGTACTCTGAATATGAATATGCCTTAGATATCTCAAATAGTCTTCCTTTATCAGAAAATCAAACAGTAAAAATAGTTCTACTTTGCAAGGCTCATCCTGAGTCCATAAAAAAACCATTGTCATACTAAAGTCTTTATGTGTCAAACTAGACACTACTAAATGACCAAAGTTAAATTAACAAAGATTAAAATGCAATTATAGCTTTCTAAATTTTAGTATTCAAACTTTGAATGAAATCTAATTTGCACACAAATATGTTTAAAACAAACAAACAAACAAACTAATAAACTAATAATTTATAAATAATTCTAAAGATTGAATTAAATGAGAATAAAAAAACAAACTATTTATTTTTTAAAATTTAAATTCATATTTTTGTAAAAAATACATTTATTTGCTTTCTACAAAAGTTAAACCAAAGTATAAGATATTTATTATTATTCAATAAGTCTTTTAATTAACTAAATACTATTTAAAATAATGATAAAAAACACCCTGTGGTAGAATTATGAAAAAAAAAATTTACTATTCTATTATATTTAAATCAGGTGACTAAGGAGGGAAGTAATTCTTTTTATTTTTATTGTAAAAAGCTATTTACTATAAATGAATTATGAAAACTACTATTGTATTACTAAAATATTCATCCTTCCATTGTAAATTACTCTAAAAATATCTGCAAAATTTAACTGTATAAGGTAGAATCTATCTATTTTTTCTTCTATTCTTTCAATTTATAATCCCCTTCTGTTGATATTATATCCCAAATGAATTTTACTAATTAAATATATATATAAGAAACCACATAGGATTATAAATATATTATATATATTTAAGAAGTAAATAGATTGTATAGATATTGTATCATATAATAGTTAATAGAAATTTAGTTTATAAATTATGATATAATGAATAGTCTGGAACAAATTTATAAACACAATTGTGCATATATTTTTTAGAAATTTACTTTCCCATATATTAATTTTATATTAAACAAATTTTAATAAAATTGGATATTAATTTGATAGGAATTTTAATGATTTAATTAATATTCAGTGAATTATTTATTTTGAGGATCTTATGAAATAGCTAAGTTCATGGCATGTATAGATATATAGATATAATATATGTAGAGCTTCAATATTCAAATAATTTTAAATTAATAATTTCTCTCTATTGATTAAAACTTAAATTTTGTAAAGTAGGATTCAGGATTACTAGAATTTATAATATGTGTGATTTTATAAATTATTTAAAATATAATAACACAAATTACTTTCATTTGATATAATAAATAATTCAACACTTTTATAATAAAATATAAATAAATCAATAAAAATCATGTTCTTTAAAAGATAAATAGAACAATAAATGATAGGAAAGTACTCAATTAATTTATTGATATCAAAATTATTTTTGATAAATTTTTAGTAAAGATAATTTATTTTATGTGCTAAATTAATTATTCATTAATATCAAATTTATTTTATTTTTGAGAATAATATAAAATATTTTAATTATTTGTCTTTAACTTTTAGTATTAACAATAATTAATGAAATAATGATATAAAAAAATTATTTATTTATTTATCTTTCTATCTATCTATCTATCTATCTATCTATCTATTGATACAATTTATTTGAATTTAAAAATAATATATCAACTTAAAAAATGGTTTTTTAAAAAAATATATTTAGAATATTTATAATTTCTAATTTTCAAGAATTTTTAATATTTTATCAAATATAAATAATTTTTATTTTATTTTTTTATATCTTTTTTTTACTTTGATAAATTTATATCAAAACTCTTTATTTATTTTCTAATTTTCAAGAAAAGAAATTAGAATATTAAGAAAAAATATCAATCAAATTTTTATATGTATTTATTTACTTTAATTAGATAAATTAATATAGAAACCTTCTTAATTGTCAAAATAATCAACTTTAAAATGTCTCAATAGCTTTAATATATTTAAATGATATTAAAAAAACAAAAATAAGAAATAAATTTATTTGATTTTAACTATTCAATTGATCTAATAGAAAAGTTATGCAAAGCTAAATGTTCTTCTGTGAAAGTTTCAGAAATTGAAAAAAAAAAATGTGTAATATGTAATTAATTTATTTAGTAATAACAAAAATAATTCTGCGATTGTTTTATCCATGAGTAGTGCTTTAGTAATTACTACAGATAAGAATATGAAAACTAAATGTAAGCGGAATTTTCCTCAATATATAAAAATATTCCAACTTCAAATCAAAAAATAATAAATTGTTATTTTTGCTAAAAAAAAATTTTTTCATCATTGGATTTTATTTTTAAAGAGCTTAAAAATTAAAAATGCTCACATTATAAATGCAAAAAAGCTGTAGGAATGTAAAAAATAGAGTATTATTGTTAATGCGGCTAAAATATATAATTTCTCCATTAAGAATGCTTTATTGTTGAGTATAATGAAGCAAATTTTGAAACTGAATAGATGAAATGCTAAAAATGTCGCTTCAAAATGAAGTTCATAGATAGCTAATTAAATAATCGAAAATAAAAATTGTAATATCATTGTGATTTGTGTCAAAAATAAGACTAAATTGATAATTAAATTCCCTTTTATTCAGCTATAATTTGCAATTGTAATAAAATATATTGTTAATTATGTTTTTCAAAGTATCTAGAATAACATTAACAACAATCTTTAATTTATTTTTAAGATGAAAGCATTACTGAATTCTAATGTTTAAGTCAAGTACCAAAATGCAATGTGGATCAGAGATAATTAAAATAATTTTAAAGGACTAAGGCAGGCAAAAAATTTCTCAATAAGGTATATGAGTGCCTTAATGAGGAAATGATTAAAAATGAAAATATATTAACATGCCCTGGATTTTATTTTAGGGATAAAAATAGTGGAAAAGTGGAAAAGCAATCTGCTTAAAAATATATTACTATGAAGAGATAGTCTGAGTTTGATGAAGATGTTAAAAAAGAATATTAAGAAAGTCTTCAAAAGCTTTAATAAAAGTATGAAATTATAGAATGCAACAACAAATTTTAAGTTGATTTTTAAGGGGATGAAAGAATATTTAAATGCAGTAATTGTGAATATCTTGATTGCAGAAATTAGGAATGTAAGTCTCCACATTTCAACTTATCATGCGAAATATTTAAACAACTTAAATAATTTAAAAATCGAAATTAATAAAATATAAGTTAATTAAATAGTAATTATCAAAATGCAATTTATAAAGTTAGATATGAAAATTAAATAATTATTGTAGATTAATAATTTTATAATCGTTTAAAGGAGGATCCGAAAAATTAAATTGACTTAATTGAAGAAATCAAAAATCCATTTTTCTAAGCCTGCAATTTACCCTTTGATCTATTTGATCCTCAGTATGATAAAGATTGGGAGTAATATAAAATTTAAAATAAACTATAGTCTTCTAGAGGAAAAATCAAAGGAAAAGATATATAATACAATTATCCTATTCATTAAAATTTATTTGGATATGGAATTAATATATAAAAGCTTTACGGTAAATAAGATAATCTAAAATGGCTGAGCAGAAATACAGATGAAGACACGTACATTGTGGGTTATCATGGGACTAAATCAATAGCTGCAGTATAAGGTATTATAGCAAATGGATTCTAAGCTGGTGCTGGCTAGGCATATAAAGGAAGTCATTGTCCTTATACAAACACGATAGTTGGAGTAGGAGTTTATTTTGGTGCAAGTATCAATGTTGCATACGGGTATACATCTCCGATAAGAATATAGAATCAAATATATCGAATCATATTCTAATGTCGCTTAAATAGTAGAACAGTAAAAAGCGCTTGTTAAATAGGAACAGTCGGCGAATACTATGTAGTAAATAACCCAAATGATATTAAAATTTATAGAATTTTACTAATTAAAGAATAATGAAAGTTATAAATTACATTCAAAATATAAAAATTAAAAAACTTTTATATATTTGCATTAATTATTTTATATCCTACGATAATACATCCATCTATTTTATAAAATATTACAGAATAATCCGAATTAAATAAGTTTATAAATAAATGAATAATTTGTAGATGGTCTTTCATTTATTAATAAAAATGAATTATTTTTTTGGATTTAACTCCGCAATTTTACTTAAAGAATTTTTTTTATAATGAGTTTATCAGATATATTATTTGTTAAAAAACTATATAATATAACAATAAAATTACCTCAATATCTAAAATTTCAGTGCATAGTCTTGAAAAAGGCAGTACCCTAGGGTACTTACTATAATTCAATAATAAAACAAGGAAAAAATGTTTTTCAAAATGATTAATTAATGAGAATATACAGTAATTTAATAAATATAAATAAACATATAAATTTTAAATTCATTGACTTTGCATGAGAGAATAAACAAAAAAAGTATTTTTTATTAATTATAATCAAAATAAATATTTTCAAAAAAATAAAAGCAATTTTTAATTTATAAAATGGAATTAGGGTTTATTTATTTATTTAATAAATACAATAACTTAATAATTTAAGAATTATTGCTATTCTTTTGGAAGGAAATAAAATGATTAGTAAATCTAATTGCTTACATTGATTGATTGATTTGTAAAAATTAACAGATAAAAAACAAATAAATTATTTGAAATTATTATTAGCCCTAATTTATTTATTTATTTTTGATTGATTTATTCATTTTGAGGATGGTTGGTTGGTTGTTTTTTTAATTTATTTCTTTGAAAAATAGTTGTTAGGATCATTTAATATTTTCTAATTAATTTAATAATTAATAATAAAGAAAACATTATTTTATTTTATCGAAATGGATAATTAGTTTTTACCTCCTATTGAGAATATTAGTTTGCAGCGAGGATTCAAGCAGTTTAATCCTGAAAAGGGTGGATCACATTTATTAGAAAACACTAATGAATTTGATAAGTTTCCTTATACATGCTTCGGCTACCTTAGCTTTAAAGACAAAAATACTAATAAAAAAAAATTAATAGGTTAAGCAGTTCTCATTGGACCATCGCATATTCTAACTTCTGCCAATAGTATTTACGATTTTACAAAGCAATATGAATCTCTATTTAGCTAGGGAGAATTAGAATTTTATGGTGGTATTGATTTAGATATTTAAACCAAGGTTGTTTCGATTTACTGCAATAAAGAAACAATAAAAGCAAGCAAATCCTATGATTAACAAAACTTTGCAATGTGCATCTTAGAAAAAAATATAGGAGAAAAGCTAGGTTATTTGGGAATAATCACACCTCTGCAAATGGCTTTATTTGAAGAAATATAATTTAAATAGCAGCCTGTATTAGTATTTGACAGTCAGCAATTATTAAGTGGTTAAATTTGTGATGTAGATGATAAAGAGATGCTAATTTAATTCAAAAATAGTGATGGAGTAATTATAAATTAAATAGATTAAGAATATCACTCAATTTAGGAACAAAGTTTGGAAAAAAATTAAGAAAGTGTTGATGACGAATAAGAAGAATAAGAAAGGGATTAAGAATAAATGAGAATGGAAATTATAAAGAACAACGCATAGGCCACATCTTAGTTACTCAATAATATAGTTTTTATACATGACAAATTGTTTGGTTACGCCATACTTTCAGCAGACGCCTAAAGAGATGGAATTTATTACAAAAGTCAGTACCTTACATGCTTCCACCTCTATCAGATGGTTTTCTGGTATTAAGGGCTTGAAGTAAATCAAAAAGACTAAACATAAAAGAGTAAAAATTTCTTTATTTAATAAAATTTTAATATTTTCTTAGAAATTATCTTTATTACAAATTTACAAATTTGTTGTTCATTCATACTAGCAATATGCGGTATCAAATATATAAAGATACTATTTTATTTGATTAAATTATTAACTAACATCTCTTTTTGTAAATAAATGTTCTTTTTTATTTTAGTTTAGGAGATGAAATATCTTGAGAATAAGGGAAATATGAAAGTTGAGGAACCAGCTGAACAGGAGAATAAACCATTGGTTTGTTTAAAGCAGCTAAATAATTAGTTTATTTTTACAGGAAATGAGGACAGCAGTGCTAATTTTTGGCATTTAGGTTCTATGAATATCGGATAATCAGTTTAGAAAGAAGTATTCGAATATAATTTCAGAGATAGTACTTTCAATGGTATTGCAGACATAGTTAGTGAAGGATATTATGCAGTTGCTATAGTTGGAAGATATGCAATACTTCTAAACTGGCTCAATTTTGAATTGCTCGAGGCTAAGTAGTTTGATTATGATCTCACCTGCATTATTAAGAGATAACAGAGATTCAAGTATTTAGTTGGGGATGCACAGGGATAGGTCATATACTTAAATTTAAATTGCAATACTCTCCAGCTAGAAGAGGATTAGGAAGGCTCTCTTAGATCTAGATAGCAAAAAAATATGCATGGACACAAAAATACTATAGAAAAGCTATGCCTAATCCCAGAGAGGAATCAATTAGTTGTAGCTTCTTCAGATGGAATAAGAATTTGGGATGTAAAATCAAAGAAATTAGTTACTAATATTGAATCTGAACAGAAAAAAGCTGTCACCTTTATTGGATATTCAAAGACGCGACTTTACATTGCAGGTGAAGATTAATATCTTAAAATATACGATCTTTCGGGTAAATAATAGAAATCAATGAGATTTTAGTATCCTATTAAATGTGGTGTGTTTTTGAATTCTTCAGAAATAGCTTTATCTGATGGCAAAAACTTGAAAATTATTAATGTTATTACAAATGCTTAGGATTACTATTCGATTCATAAAAACAATATAACTCACATTTGTAAGATAAATGAATTTTAATTTATCACTGCTGATACAAGAGGATCATTGTACAAGTGGACTCTAATGTCTAATGAAAGCGAGTCTAGTCTTTAGTACAGAGTTTCTGTTGAATTAAGTAAAGCGGCTAAGGTGAACTTCTCTGATTATTCTCCTGAGAAAGTCGCTAAATTCTTTTAATCTAATTAGTCTCCAAACACAAGCTCATTCCACTCTTAAAAATTTTTATAGATGAAAGCCAAAATTGAAACTCAAAGAAACCTAGCTAAGTAATTTCAATCAAATAAATTATTTTTTATAAATCAATTACTAATGAAAATTTAATTTAAAGTTAGGGGATTTATGAAGGAAGCTAGAAAATGGTGGGAGATCTCTATTCTTAGGAGAACTATTATCTAAAAGCAAAAGTTAGAAATTTGGAAAGTAAAGTTAATGCAGCTAAGGGTGAATACAGTGAAAGTCATAAGGATTTTATCAATAACTCGTCATACAGTAAGCTAAATGCAAGCTCGATAAATAATAATAGTAGCACTAGAAATCTTAGAGAGAATTCATCTAGCATCACTTTGAAAACTTAAAAGGCTTAGATTAAAGTTATGGAATAAAAGTTGAAAGAATAAGAGGATCTTGTTCTTAAAATTCAAGGAGAAGAGTAATTGCTTAGAAATAATGCTGAAAAGAAAGTGAAGCAAGAAAAAAAAGTTTACATGGAAAAGAATGTTGATGATATCAAAAAAAACTCTTAGCGATTTGAATCTATGATACCTTTGATTCAAAATGATATTGACCTGCTTAGAAAACAGCTTAGTTTCATGAATGAAAAGTTGAGTGATAAACAGGAGAGAATCAGAGATAGGTCAAGTTCCCTTCAAAAGAAGTAATCAGAATTAAAGCAGTTCCACAACTAAATTCAAAAGAGAGAATAAGACGTGTAAGAAGAGCTCAATAAAAAAAGAGAGTAAACCAAATAGCAACAAGAACAAGACAAAAGAGAAATGGAATAGCAAAGACAGCAATTTAATGAGTTTATTAAGGTAGATTAAGACCATGTGTAAGAAGATGGTGATGAAGATGATAATCAAGCTTTACATGATAACTAATTTGAGCACATTTCTTAAGAGCTAGATTAAACAATTAAGAATAGCTAGAACTTCATCAATAGCTAAAGAAACCTTAATTCCTCTTTGCAATAATATGTATAGGCAAATATCGATGAAAGTAATGAGTCTAACATGAAAGCCTCTTAAATTTCTTCAAAAAATAGAAATGATGAAATAAATAACTCTCTAGGAAGCAGCTGTGTTTTAAATAATAAAAAAATAACTAGTTCTGCATAGGCTAGAAATATTATGAAATCAAATAGAGAAGAGTAAAGTTTTTAGAACTAGCAAGAGATGTCGTAAAATATTAGTAATTCTTCAAGAAATAACTATAAAAATTAAATTAGCAACATAGAAGAGGAGCAGAATTCATACAAGTATACCAATAGAAAATCCTCACCAAGCAATTATGGAAATTCTTAAATTATCAGTGAAACCAATGAAAAACTATCTCACAGGAATAAAATAGAAATTAGAAAAGCAGCTGATTAAGAGGGATAAAATACTGAATAAACTGAAGAAAATCTTAAATACAGCTTTATAGAACAATAGTTTTTTAAACTTTAGCAACAGGTAGCCCAGTTGTAGCAAAATTATGAAGAAATAAAGCAATCAAATTACTCTCCCTCTAAATTGTAGACTATTATCATTCCTCAATAAAGTTAATTCATAAGACCTAGTGAATTTAAACCTGTTTTGAGAATTCAATAAAATGTATAAGGTTCCAGTTCAAATTAAATCTACAACACTCCTGAGAGTCCTAATTAACTATAATCTGCTTTAAGAATAAATAATTTTGTAGGTTATAATTAAAATATGCAGCCTCAATAAAGCAGTAATATTGCTTAGAATTCTCCTCCTAAGCCATATTTTGGTACATCAGCAACAACTCGTTCTCTTTCTCCTAACTTAATTGCAAATAATAGTGGATAAACTTATAATCAAATGAGCTAGTTTGGAAATTCATAAAATTTATAATTAAACAGCAGTTCTCAATTTTACATTAACAATTCTCCACAAAAAGGTTATGATTAATAAATTTTGCAAAAATCTTAAATACATTAATCTCCTGGATAGATATTGCTCCTTAATAATTCCTTGAATTAATCATTATGTGAAGGTATTTCAAGTAGCAACACTAAGTAGAAAACTGCTGAGTAGGTCAATAATAAATCCATTTAGGGAGCAACAAGCAGCTCATAATAAAAATAAAGGCCGTCTTCTTCTTTAAAACAAAATTAACTATAATTGGAACTAATGAATCAAAGTAAAAATACAAACTAATTTAACATTTATAAAATGAGTTCTCCTGCTGTACAAAATATATCGTAACTAAATTAATTATTAGCAGCCAACACAAGTTCTATCAATAATCCTTCATTGCAACAAACTGATTTTATTTAACAGCAAAAGTTATTGTTATAACAATAATAGTAGCAGTTGATGTAGCAATAAAATCCTTTGCAAACGACTTAATTTTAAAACAACATCTAAGCAAATAATGAAATAAATTATGAAAATGAGTAAAATTAAATAGCTGATATTTAAAAAGAAAGAAAAATTAGCAGCAGATAATCCAAACAATCTATCATATCTAACAATCAGAATATTAGTATGGAAGTGACATAAGTAAAGCAGCTTTAAGAAGAGAATTTATCTCTCAAGAAAAAGCTTCAAGAGCATTCTAAATTGATTTAAGAATTGCAATAAATAATGCAAAATTAAAGCGAAGAAAATTCCAAGCAATAAGAAATAAGCTTATCAGAAAAAGAAAACTTTAAAGCTCAGTACTAAAAATTAGTTGAACAATCGAACGCTTAACAATAAAATATCCAATAGATTTCGGAGTAAATTGTTAAATAAACTCAATACATAAATTAATTAGAATAAGAAAAATAAACTCAGCTCTTTTCTTATAATGAAATGGCTAAGCAATTTGACAGAGAAAAAAATTAAATGGTAAATCAAATAAATTTGAAAGAACTTGAAATTTAATAAAAGAATTCAGAAATCTTGTAATGTTAAAACAGCATAAGCTAATTGAATATCACAATACAGTAATTAAGGTAGATGACTACATATGAAGAAGTAGAAAAATTAACTAAACAAATAAATGTGATGGATAAGATGATAGAGTAGCAGAAGAATGAGTCAAAGACTTAGAAGTAGCTTCTAATGGGATAAGAAAAAGCTATTGTTGATGGAAAGAGAATTGAGCTTGAATTCTAGCAAATTCAACTGTTGAATCAACAGTTAAGTAATGAAAATGGCATTCTAAAGTCAAGAATGTAGTTTTTAGAAGCCGAAAATAAACAATTGAATTAAAAAATGCTTGTAATTAGAGATGAAATAGATGGTAAATATTAAAACACAATTTTGGAATTGCAAAAATTGATGTAGGGTCATGCAAATAAGCAGATCAACATTACTCAAAGTGTTGAAAATATTAAATAGGGAGTTCTCAATGGTTTAGATATTAATGCTTTGGACAAACTGATTGAAATATCACACAAAAAGTAACAGCTATCAACTACTTAGAACTTAAAACAATCAGTGAGTTCTATTCCAATAAGTTAAGTACAAGGAATGCAATAGCAAAATATTATAAATCAAAGTTATCAGCCCATGAGAATTACAGATTAGTTGGTTGGATCAACAAATTACGAGCAATAAAAAACTTATTAAAAAAGAATAAATTATAACCAAGAATAGCAACTAGTGAATTTAGAATCTACTTCATCTATCAAAACTTTCAATCCAGACGATTAAAGAAGTGTCCAAGAGCAAGGAACTATGAATGCCCAATAAGGTCGCTTCTAAAGTAGATCAGTCTCTCCTCTAGGTCTGAATAGCCGTGGTTAAGGTTAAGGATTTAATTCATCTCAGCAAAAATCTCTAAGATCAGATAGATCAAACAAAAAATTTGATTCAGAATCTATAAAAACCTTCCAGCCTGATGGTTTAGAAGTCTCAAGATCAGATGAAAACAGTGATTCTGACTATTTAAGTAATATGAGTAATCTGTAAATAACAAACTAAGATTAATATCCATTAAACAAAAAGTCTTCTCTCAAAACTAGTAAAACTATCATAAAACAAGGAAACAATAAATAGTAAGTAGTTTTGGTTGATGAAAACGATATTTAATAGAAAAAAAGGTAAGAAGAGTAAGGAATGTGTGCATAACAATGAAAAAGAAAAGTTGTTATATTATAATTAATTTAAGTCAATTATTAAAATATATTAAAATTTAATTATTAAAATTTTTATTTGTATTAAATTTGATAAACAAATAATTTGTAATTTAATTCTTAATAATTAATCAAATAAAACCAATATGTATCAAAAGCTTAAATACATTCTTTTCATTTCTATCAACTTAATAAAAAAAAATTTAAAATGTATGTAAATTTATTGGAATCGTTTCAAATGTAAAGTAAATAAATAATTTCAAAAATATTTATTAAATTAATTAAAAACAATAAATTAATTAATATTATTTTTTATTAAATGTTTGTTGATGCATTAATTATTAAAATGCTTGATTATGTTATTTATTTATTTATTTTTTGCCATATTTTTTAAAACAAAACCTTTTTAAATTATTTTAATAAGATTTTATCAATTAAAATTTTTTAATATAAATTAAGCTCTTGTTTCATTAAAAAATAAATAAATAAATTAATTAATGGTGATTAGAAAATAAGCTAATAATCAATTATAATAATTAAAATTATTTCATAATAAATCATTGAATTATAAGATTAAAAAAACAACAAAAATAAGATAAATTTCTATTCTTAGGAATTAATATTTCTACTAAATATATAAAAAATTTAATCTATAAAATCTCTAATTTAATTGATTTTGTATTTTGAACATACTCAAATGACTAATGATGATGGGTTGACTTCACAAAAAAATATAATTTTTGAGATAAAATTTTTTTAACTTAAATAAATTAACTTTTTTTGTTCAATAAAGTTAACTAAGGTATTTTTTGATAATAAGAATCAAATATTTTAATTTTGGAAAAGGAATTCTAAAAATTGATTAGATAAATGCTATGATTACAAGTAATAGTATTAATAATATATCTTTGAAATTGCAGTAAGACAGACAAATAAATATCTGTTTTTTTTGTTGAGTAATAATTATGAAAAGTATTTTATAATAAAGTTTTGTTTTGATATTCTAAGTGTTTTCTTGATAATTTTTATTACTTTATAAATTTTTTCTTATTCGTGATTTAGTTTATTAATAGATCTTTCATTAAGCTTAACAATTTTTTGCAAATTAAACATGAATTCAGAATTAGAAAAATTAAATTTTAGCTCGTATTTTCCTTACCTAAAAATTTAAAAACAATAAAATGAGATTGTTTGTGGTTACCATTAGATAAACACATAGTAGATAAACTAATTCTGTACTAGCCAGTATTTTGGATTAGTTAAAATTCATGATTTCAATACATAATTATTACTTTAAACAAATTGCTGTATTCTCATTTCTCCAACCCATGCTATTACTGTTAAAGATTAATTTTTGAATGAAAAAGGAGAATTCATTTATAAATTAGACTAAATTAATGTGGCTTTTAGCGAGTATAGAACATAAATTATTTCTTACATCTTACTTGACAGATTTATTATATTCAACCTCCAATTAAACTTAGGTGATATATTTGGATATGTAGGATTGGCGTAAAGATAACATGATACTATGAATTAGGGATTGAATTTGAATAATTAAGACCAAACTCCTTTCATTCAAGGGTTTAATGAATACGGAAGTATTTCTTACTTCTAAGCTATTGTCTATAGAGAAGATTCTAAAGAATATGAAGCTCCAAATTGTGGATTTGTAAGATTATTATAAGGTTGTGCCATGCTTAAATAAGATAGTGAATTTGGGATATACTTACATGGATTAGTCAGTTACAGTGATGAAAAGTAAAGAATAATAATACAAAAGTTAAATTTTACAGATATTTTTGTTATAGCTGAAGTTATCCTTGCAGCTGGAAATACTTTAAGTGAATAAAAATTAGATATTTCTGCACTTTATTCAATAGACTAAAAAACATTTCTCAACCCAAAATCTAATATATATAGAAAGAGTTTGGGATTTGAGGAGAACATATAGTCGTTAGAATAATTAAATAAATAATAAATTTAGCTGATTGATATTAAAGTAATAAATTCTCAATTATTGTGCGCAATTTCAAAATAAGGCACTTTATTTATTATTAATATGGATTAAAATTTAATTGAACACACCATCCAGCTGGATGAGCAGCCTTCTATTGTTTAAGTTATTCATGATGAGTTGTTTATTGGTCTTAATAAAAAAATTATTGTAATTAATTATGCTTAGGGCTATCAAATAGCCAGGACATATAATTTTTATTCTTAAATTTTAAGCTTGAAATAAATTGATGACAATTTAGATTGCAATTCATAGAATTGCTTATACATAGTTGGATGCTATGATGGACTTTATTAAATTAAAATGAATGAAAAAATACCTTAAAAAATAGAAATTCCTAACTTTAAGATAGACAAAGTACTTAACATTCAGATTAATTAAGAAACAATTGATTAAGCTCCTATGAACTAATATAATATTCTTTCTAATTTTGACTAGCTTATCATAAGTGCAGCAGAAAAAATATTAATTATTGATAGAAATTAAAGGATTGTCAAAAAAAAGTTTATTGCACATTCTAAAAATGTTTATATTATAGAACAAGTGAGAGTTAATCTCCTCCTCTCAGGTAGTTCTGATAAACAATTGATATTGTGGGACAAAAAAACAGGTCATTTATTGAAAACAATACAGCACACTAATCCTATTTATAGTGGTTACTTGCTAAATTAGTCAGAGCTGATCACAATAGATTATAACACAATTTGGATATTTAACACTATAACATTCTAGAATACAAAATATGAATACCACAAAAAACCAATTACTTGCTCAACCAAAGCTTCTAGTAACTCATTCTTAACTTGCGATACTTCTAACTAAATAATTTTGTGGAAGGCTGATAATTTTGAAATAGAGTCTTTTATGGAGTCTAAATTTGTAAGAACTTTTTTCAATATATTTTTAAATTTATTTGGTTTTATTTTTTTTTCATATTTATTTAAAAAGCACTGAGATATTTTATTTAATTGATTAAATAAGCAAAATTAAATAATTCTTTTAGGAATTAAATGCAAACAATTTTTGAAAACATAAAAAAATTTAACTCAAATGTAATTTTTAAATAAAATGTATTTAATCAAATGAATTAAAATTTAAATAATTAATTTAACATGAATTTATCAAATATAAGTTTTAATAAAATTATTATAAATACGAATTAATTTATAGAAAATAGGAAAATTGCCAGAACTTTAAACCTATAATGAAAGAGATTCACATTGCTTAGAGTAAAGATTTAGCGAGAACGAATGTGATTTTAACTATATTCCTCAAAATATTAAAGGTCCTTCTCTATTAAAGTATTAAATTGAATTATAGGAGTAAAAAGCTGCTTAAAAAGAATTGCATTTTATGTTGGAAGATTAAATATGCTAAAATATAGAAGAAAGATTACTCTATTAACAAAAAATAAAGCAAATGAAATTTTTTATAGAGGAAAAAAACAATGATGTTTAGAAAATTATAACTACATTAAGCAAGAAAAAAGAAAAAATAACTAATGTATTCAAGGAAGCAAATCAAAACTAAGAAAACTCTAATTTAAAAATAGCTCATTTGAATTAGGAGTTAAAATAATAAATAGATTTATAAACATCTAAAGTCCTCGATTCAGCAAGTTTATAGAATTAAGAAAATCAAATGACTGTCAAAAAGCAAGCTAATATTTACATTGATGACTGTCTTTAAACAAATTAAAAAGCTCCAAGTCAAATGCTCGGTGCAGATCATTTAACAAAAAGCTCATATTCTTATCAATTTTCAACTGAATAGACTAATAAATCAAATCTTAATTCCTAAAATTTAACATAATTTGAGATAGGGTAAACGAATAACTAAAATTATAACAATTATGGTTCTTTAAATCAAACTTAAAGTTAAAATAACAAAGCTGATTAAATAGGATAAAATCAAATAAAATCAAATGAGGATCCAGTCTAAAAATAATAAGATGTATTATCATAATATTAAACAAACAAAAGGTCAAGTAATGTTTAAAACAATGAATATTAATATGTTTCGAATCACTAGTTTGGCTACGAAGAAAACTAAAATTTCTTCAGTAGACAATTAGAATAGCTCACTTTGCAAAACAGTCAACAATAAGGAGGACTTCTATAACTAGAAATCCCATAGTAATAAAATGAACATTTTATCAGATTTACAGAATCAAATTTATAATATAATAAAGAAAGTGATGACATAGAATAAATTCAGATAAAATAAAACTAGGATGAATTTAATACAAAATAAAATTATGATCAATATAATACAAAATAAAGTGATTATTAGTTTGAACAAAATGCAGCAGAACAAAATTTGTATCAAACTTAAACAAATTTTACCATAAAACCTATTCCTGTATAAAATACTTTAAGCAATCTTACTGAGTCAAGTGACCAAAATTTTAAGAATCGTGAAATTAAGTATGAATAAATAAGAGATTAAGATGAGTAATTTTAAGAGAGACAATCTTCAAATAAGTCATACATACAATAAATTAATTAAATCTTAAATTAAATGTAAAATTTAAAATAATTGTAATCAACCTCATAAAAAAGTAAAGATTCTCAGTAGAATTCAATTTCTAATAATAGTTAAAATCAATAAAAGATCTATGACTCAAGTAGATAATAACAAGGTGATAACTCTTAGAATTTGATAAATTAGTTAGCATTTATTCTTGAAAATTCAAATACCAAATAAGAATAAATATATGAAATTTTATCTTAGTAATTAATTTAATAGTAAAATTAAAATTTAGATTAAAAAGATGAAGGATAGTTCAATTAAATATCAGCAGGATAAGATAAATAATAATCAGATCAACCAATTTAAAATAGTAAAATTCTACCAAACTCTGATGAAAAGAAAAAAGAATAAAAATTAAGTAAAAGCAAAAATATTATCTAAAAAATAGAAAAAATGTAAAAAATGGAAGAAAAACTTAAAAAAAACGATCCAATTTTAGAATAATTATATAGCTTAATATAATCAAGTAAGTGAAAAACAAAATGCATACATTTTATCTTTGAATAAGATATATTAATATTCTTCCACTAAATCAAATTATCTAGTATAATAAATAAATAATAAGTTTATCATATATTAATTTTGTAAATATAATTTGTATATAATCTTATATTCTAGTAAGTAAGAAAACCAAACAAAAATTTTATATAAAATTAACTATTTTAATAAAAATATTTAAAGATTTTTTAAAACGCAGTATTATTAATTACTATTGCGGTTTATAAAATTAGAATGGAATATTTAAAATTTTCTAATTTTTTAAAAATAATCTATCTTATATAGAAATCTATATTAATTAATTAAATTGAAATAAAATTTATTATATTGAGTAATTTTGTTACAATAATTAATTATGCAAATAAAAACAATAAACAAACAAAATCATTAATTCAAAAAATTAGAAATATTAATTAATATTATAGCAAATAATTAAAATTTTAAAAATTCAAATAAAATATATTAATTAATTACTCAGTGTTTATGCAACTCTTACTTTATATTAATTTTATAATTTTTTTATTGTTAAGTTATTTGTGTCAATGCACTTTTATTATATAAATATAAATAAATGATTCATTGAGTGAGTGAGTGAGTGAATGAGTTAATTTGATTAACCAAATCATTTTGGCTTCGATTTTCTTAAACATTTCAAACACCTCATGGATAGTTAAATTTGGGTTAGCTTGTCATCATAAACTTTGGTACATCAGCAAAATAAACTGGAATATTGTAAGCACCAGGGCCTGGTTCATCTCCTCTCTTTGATTGAGGTCTCAAGCTTGTACCGAATCCCCATTTAGGACCTATATATAAATAGTTTAAAAATTCATTAAATAATCATTTAAAATAAAATTAATTTTCAAATTTACCATGTTCTCCTGCTCTAATATTATAATTTCCAGGGCCAGGTGCATCTTTAAGCTTGTACATTGAGGGTCTTAAGCTTGTGCCAATTCTAAAAAAAATTGATTTAATATTTTTAATTAAACATAATTTTTTTTTACTTAGCTGAGCTAGGTCTTTCCTTAATAAAGATTTCACTTGGTTAGTAAGAACCAGGACCAGGTACTTTCATTCTTTCTCTTTCTACTGGATCAGGCTTTGAAACACCTTTAAAAGAGAGCTTTTTATAACAAAAATAAATTTATAAATAAGAAATCTAAAATTTATGATCAATAAAATAAATTTACTTTAGGGCCATCTGCAGTTTGAGGACGAACATTATATTAGCCTGGGCCGGGATTATTAATAGTCATATTTAGTGGCTTTCTCTAATCTGAACCAACCTTTATTTAAGGTGATTAAGGTCTGTTGGCTTCGATACGAGGTGAGTATCTATATTTTCAATATTAATTAAATAAAATTATATATTAATTTTTCATACGCTCCAGGTCCAGGTCTGCTATCTATTTCTCTATCAAATGTGTCTCTTGTTTATGTGCCTATTCTATATTTTTAATTTACAATTTAATTAAAAAAATATCAATCTCAAAGCTTAAATTTCTCATAAATATTGATAATTAATAAATTGTTCTTATTGTTTGTTTTATTTATCACTAAAATAAATGTTGATTTATTTATTCAAAATAAATTTAAAAATTAAATATTCATCCATTTATATTTATTTCAAAATTAGCTAGATAGATAGGTAGGTGTGTGTGTGTCTCCTACTATTTATTTTTTAGATAATTTTCTCTTATTTTAATAATTTTTTATCACAGCTATTAATTTATTTTTATCATTTAATTTAAAATGATCTTAGAATTTAAATATCAAATTTAATTTTTATTCAATTATTAAAAAATAGAAGAAATAATTAATTAGCTTACTTAAAAGCAGGATTTTGCTTTTTGTTCTTACTTGTAGGATTATAAGCTCCAGGGCCGGGGAATTTAGCAATTTCGTTTGCAACACCATTAGCTCTTCTTGAAATCATAGTAACACCCTTGCTTAGATCAATACAGCTCCTCTGATCGTATTAACCAGCTAAGAAAGATAATTAATTTGTTTTAAGAATAATTATTAAAAAAGTAAGTTATCTTACGTCCAGGAGTTTACTAGCTTGCATATAGTTAGTCTCTTTGGCTTGTTCCAAAACCTAGAATTATTATATATTATTTGTTATCCTTAAATCTAATAAAAGATTCTCCAATTAATTAAAATAAATAAATACCAAATTTAGGAGCAGCTGATGAGGGTCTGCTAACATTGTAATCTATTGTTTTAAATAAAATGAAGCATATTAAAAAACTTAACAAAAATACTTGCAGGACCAGGAGTATTTGTTCCCTGATAGAGTTCGTTTCTTGTAGAAAGAGGGAACCTAAAATAAAAAAATTAATTAAGAAGCTACTCCAAAAATAATAATCTTATTACTTCATAGAAGGTTGATTTAACACAGATGATTTGTGTTCATACTAACCAGGGCCTGGCTAGAGATGTAATTCAGAATTTGAGTGTTTCATTCCCATACTTAAATTTTTTGAATATAAAAATAAATAAATATTTAATTTTGGTTACTTTATCATAATTTTATTTGCATATCATTAAGATTCATTTATATTTTGAATTAATGAATCAGTTACTTACTTTTAATAACTGCATTTATTTAAGATTTTATTATAAAATTTCTAATTTTTATGAAACTAATTATTGATTTACTTATTTAAAATAATCATTAAGATTTGTTTATTATTTAATTATCCTTATTAATATCTCTAGTAGCTTTTAAATCTCTTTTTCTCTAAAACAAAAATCTATTTTATATGTTGAATTTTACCTGTAATTAGGAGAAGATTAGTAAATAGTTTTTCCAGGGTTGTATGCGCCTGGTCCAGGGACTATTTATAAACAATAGTTTTATTTAAATATTCACTCATTGCTAAATTTCATTATTTACCAAACAAGAAAGTCTCAACTCTAGGCTTTGATCCAGTGCCAATAGAGAATTTAGGGCCTGATTACTATTTACATTTTTACATAACGAATTTTAGTTTCACATAGAAAAATGCTAGAAAATGAAAGTGAATGATGAAATTATATTATTTAATTTGTTGTTCAAGCAAATTTAAATCATTTTACACTGTTCTTAAGATTGTACCTGTAAATTAAATAATAAATTATTAAATGCTTGTTTTAACAGTTAAATAATGCTAATTACTATCCAGGACCAGGAGCGTCATTAGTTACCAAAGACTAACGATTAGAAGAACCAAATCTAATAAAAATATTTTAAAATTAACAAATAATGAACAAACCATCCAAATAAATTCAATCAATTTTGGTTTAATTTTTTAAAGCAATACTTCCATTTAGGAGGAATGATCTTAGAAAATTTATCGACTGTATATGCACCAGGACCCTTTTTGTAAAAGAGAAATAGTTATTTTATTGTAGCTAGCTCAAGTAGTAAAATTAAATGTGATTTTATTTAAACATGGATTAAATAAGAATTAATTATCAGCGTACAGGAGCGAACATTGAACTGCTCTTGAATTCACCTAATTTTCATTATTTATATTTTAAAAAAATTTGATTCAAGTTGATCGATGAAATGCTTTCTAATATAATTCTTAAGAAAATAGAAAAATTTACCTCTTTTTCCTGTGCCAATTGACCAAGCACTAACCATTTTTAATAATAGACTACTTGCTGCTTATATAAATAATAAATTATTTTTAAAAACTTGCTATGTTTAATTGGAATTACTTACTGTAAAGCTTCTTAATGTTTAATAAATTGATTATATTTTTTATTTATTATTATGAAATATACTCAAATTATAGATTCTTTATCTCCTCTGTTTTAAATTAAAGCAAATTGAATAAGCAAATCAATTTATTAAATAATCAACTATCTTTTTACTCATCAAATCTTTCTTTAGCATTAAATTTTCTATTTGAATTCATTTATTATAAATATCATTCTCATAATTATTTTGCTTCTTTTTTTAAAAATTTAATATTTTCTTTTCTTATCTTTTGAAACGTTATCTTCTTCTCTCATTCTCATATTCATGTCTATCAATATAATTATTATAAGCCGTTCCTGATGAAATTTTAAATTTCCAGCAAATCAATAAAATTTTAAAAATATATATTTAAAAATTTTCTATTTTCTTTCATCAAAGAGAATATCTATATATCTATCTATGAAATTAATTTCAAAGATTAAAATATATTTTTAAAAGTAAAAGAAAAATTAATAACAAAAATATTCTAAAACAACTTTCTTTAAAACTAAATTATTCTCTAAGAAATCGAATTTTTCAATTTATTTATCTTTTCTCAAATTCAAAAAATAAATACCATAGATAGATATATTTTTAAGACAGAGCTTATCAGAAGAAATAATAATTTTATATAATATATTTAAGACCAAAATAAAAAATAGTATTTAAAAAACAAATATACATTCCTTAAAATATTTATCATTATTTTTAAAATAAGTTTATTGTTTGTTAAACAGACAAAATATATTGATTTTAACCAATTAATTTTAATAGTTTTATAAACAATGCTAAAAAATGAATTTTATTTATTTTATTAAAAAAAACCCTAATAATGAAAGCAACTAAAAAGCTCAATTATAAAAAATCATGTTGCTTAAAACAAAAATATTTGCCAGTATGACTTCTGAAAAAAAAGTTCTTATGCTATATATTTATTTAAACTAAAAAGAAATTAATTTTAAAATAATTAGCTTATTTTGAATTTAATCTCTCAAATTTATCACTCATTCTAAAGTAAAAAATATTTATTTTACAATATTATATATAATTTTTTTATAAATTAGCTTTGAAAGAAGAAATATTAGGGCGATAAATTTATTTCTTAAATAATATTAACTGTTAAAAGGTATTTATTTTGAATCAGTATAAAAATTTTTGCGATACAGAAAGAAAATTAATTTTTTGAAAGATTTGTTTTCAATAAAAATTATTTTTTTATTTATTTTTTGCTATTTTTTTTAATAAATTTATAACTAATATTTGTAAATAATGGAATAAATTACAATACCTAATTCAAATATTCATTATTAATCCTAAATAAATACTTTTGAAGTTTTAAATAAATAAAGATAGTGACAGAGGAAAGACTATTCATTTATTATAGTAGTCTAAGAATATTTGTAGAATAAGCATTGCAGATATACCGTCTTTTAAATCTTTGTGCTATTTAAGATTTAGATTTTCGTTATAATTAAAAGCTATTTCTTCTAGTATTTGCTTTGAAGCAAAAGTAGTAAATGATTCATCAACCTTTTTAATGTTTTGATAAATAAGATTAATAAGCAGCTAAACCAAAAACTTAAAAATTTACAGTTGTGAATGGAATGTTTGAATCCACTTTATTTATCATAAAATTTATCTCAGCATCAAAAAACTATTTTATTTTATATTTAGAAAGTTCTACAGATGTAAACAAACAAACAAAATAACAAATCAATCTATTAATTATCAATTTTAAGTTACCCTCTTAAAGTTAGTAGCGCCAATAACTAAACCTTTTACATTCTCTTTTTAAATATGCTTCTTTAATTTAGCGATCACAATAGGATTGTTAAAAGTCCTAGCATCTCCAGCTGTTTCAATTGTTTCAAGCATCTTTTAATTTTTAGAATGTTATCAGCTAAAAGGTTAATATTTTATTAATAAACTAACTACTGACATATGCTTTTTTAAGTTTAGTATCTGTAATAGAAAGTCCTAAAAATTTAGTCCCGTAATCCACTCCTAACAGAGTAAAACCTTATGGACTCAGCCTCATTTACTTCTGAAGATACAGTCTAAACATCAAATTACTCTTTTACATGATTTGCTATTTCAAACAATAATAATAAGTTTAATTTTAGTTGGTTAGTTTTAATATATTACAATCAATCTAAATCTTCTGTTAAATTTTATTAGTAGAAGATTAATTAATAATAATAAATCAATCAATCAAAATGGAATGTTTTCTAGTTAAAAAATATCTTTAATAACTTCAAAAAAATTATTCTACTTAATAATAAAGCTCTACTGTGAAAAACATAATATCTTCTATTAAAAACTACAAAAAATAACCTACCTCTATTTCTATTCTTTTAGAATGTTAGCTTAAGAAAAATATTAAATTTTAAAATAAATTTTATACATTTAGTTTTCCTTCATCACTAGAATTAAATTAATTTAATTAATTTTATTAAATTATAGTAAAAAAATATGATTTTAATTGAGCAATTAAATAAAGCAAATGAAATATAAACTTTGAAGTATTAAACTCCTCCTAATAATATTTGTATTTTCTTAAAATGCTACATTTTGATAAATTATTTTCATTTTTGTTAATAAGCAAATAATTTAATTAAAAATATTGTTCTAAAAAATAAGGTAAAGCTGTGCTTAGTATAATTAGATTTAGTAGAGCAATTAACAAAGTGCATAAGTGAATAAATTCGAATTTGGAGTATTAAGCCAATAAACAGATAGCTTAAATTAAAAAAATATTATTGAAAAAAATCAATATAACAATTTTTTTTAAATTATTAAACTTAAAATGAAATAGGTTAAGCGAAAACATAATAGAAATACAATTTTGAAAACAATTATGTAAATAAGTGGCTAGTCTGTAGATAATCAAATATTAAAAATATCTGATTATACTAATTTTATAAATGGTTAATTTCTACATGAATAATATAACTAAACAATAACAAACAAAGTATAACCACCAATTAAATAAACATTATTTTAATTTATATGAAAATTTTTATGAAAATATAAATAGTGTACATTCTTATTAAAAAACACACATTAATATTCTATCCAATTTCTCTTTCACGGAAAATCAAATATTTTTTGTAGCCTAAGTAGAGTTAGATTATTTGAGAAAATTTATAGAGTATTTACAGTAAATGAAAGATTAATTTTATTTGATATCCAAATAGAAAAAATTAGTTTTTTAGTTGTTTAAAAAGTTAGTTATCATCTAAAATTAAATTTGTTAGTTTTCAATTGTACTTGCTAGTTACTTAGTTTTTCATTTTTTAATAAATTTACTCTAGAAAAAAGTTATTTAATTTTCTTTACTGAAAAATATTTGGGGCTTTGAATTACTTGAAGTTTTTTTTAGACTTATAAACAAACTATCTATCGTCACATTTTGATTGTGAATTTCCTTAATTTTTGATAATTTGAAATTCTCTCAGAAATCCCTTATTTTCTCTCAAATATAAAAAGCAGAAAATTTGTAAGTTTTGGAAAGTCTAGTAATTGAGCTAATTTACTTCATAAGAAAAGTAAATATTAGCATTAAAGTATCATAAATTGGTTTTTTATATTGAATGGAGTAAAAATAAATATGTGATATCTAATTAATTAATCAATCAATCAGTTGTTGCTTTTTAAATCATTAATGAATCTATAAAATTATAAATTAATAATTTTGTTTTAAAGTTAAGACAATTATTTAATAGATAATCAAAATCAATATTTTTTATTTGAAAAGTGTTCACTTGTTCGTTCCTTCATTCACACTAATTCAAACAATTTGTACAATGAAAAGTGGATATTTAAAAAAAATATAGTTAAGCTAGCTTAGTTAATGAGATGAATACCAATTTAAAGTGAATATAATCCAAAAAAAGTACATTTATTTTAAAGAATTAGGCATGTATATAAGGATAAAAATAAAATATTTAGAAATTTATATTACAATTAAAAATATTTTTGAATTTTATTTATTTATTTATTTTTACACTTTTCACTTTTTTTATTTGCAAGCAATCAAAAATAAAGAATGCATGTAATTATTTATTTGTTTGTTTGTTTGTTTTTTATATACGGTGTGGCTGATTAACTATAATTAAATTATTCATTTTCTTTTAAGATTATCTAATTAAATTATTAAATATTCTGATTGGTTTGTGAGATTTGGTTAATTTTTTTGTTTGTTAAGTATTTTTTGATAATTAGAAAAGTTTGTTTTTTTTTTTTAAGGTTACAAGTAGTACTATTTAATTAAAATTCTATGAATCAATAAATCAATCACACATTTTATATTAATTTTTCACGGATTGACTTTGTATTCTTAACATCTTAGTTTGTGTTATTAGATGCATTTAGATTTTGAGTTAAATTATTTACTTATTGCCCTTGTTACTAGTTTCCATTAGAGAACAAGTTAGAAGGATTTTTTATTATAGGACTTTGATAGACTTCTTTGAATTTTTTAGAATTCTTGTTATTAAGGTCATATTTTTATAGGTTTTTCATGTTTTCAATTAAGGGAGAATGTGCATCTTCCAAGGAGCTAGGATCGATATCATATTCATCCATGCATTCAGGTACGGACTACATTTTTATCACAGGAGTTTCTTGCTTTATTTTAGAGCTACCATTAGAATCTGGTGTTTTCTTGAAGGGCTGGCTGTATTAGCTTCCTCCTGGAGTTTTAATCTATGGAGAATCTTAAGCTTGACGACTCATAGGACTATCAATATATTCACTAACAGAGTTTCTGCCTTATTATTATTATTTTTTCCAAGTTTCGGGACTTTGCTATTCCTATGGCTCAGACCACTTGCTATTCATTAGTGGAGTCTTACTCTTTAATTGTAAATTATCCTTTGGTGCAATGCGTACTATTTAATCTCCTTCTAATGAAGTCTGAGAAGAAACAACGCTCGATTTCTATTAGGTAGTGGGAGTTGCAGCCTTCATTTTTGCAAACCAAGGATGATTGAGAGCTTATATTGCTGAATAACGCTCTAGAGGATCTTTTTTGAGCAGCTTCTAAAGTAAGTCAAAGCACTCAGCCGATAAATATTTGCCCATTTCATTGTAATTAAAGTCGATAGTGCAATTGTAATTTTTGATTACAATTTCGTCATAAGATTTTCCTTTGAACGGAGAGCTACCTGTTAAAAGTATGAACATTATTACACCTGCAGAGAATGTGTCTACCTTAAAATCGTAAATCTTATCAGCAAGAACTTCAGGTGCGACGTATCCAGGAGTGCCACAGCGCTGGAACATGTATCCTCCCTTAGGATCGTAGTAATCAGCCAAACCAAAATCAGCTAAGCACAAGTCAGTATCGTTGTTTTTAGAACGTAGGATAAGGTTTTCAGGTTTAATATCACGATGCAATATGTTTCTTTGAGAAATGTAATGAATTGAGTCGAGGAGAGTCGTCATTAGTTAAGCAACATAAACTTCGTCAAATTACCCATGGCCTTTTAACTTGTGGAATAATTCTCCTCCCTTTAACAATTCATTAACTAAGAAAATATGAGTTTCGTTCTCATAAACTTCATACATTTTAATGACACCAGGATGATTCATCTTACGTAAAATTGAAATTTCCTTAATCAATGCTGGTCTGTCAATCTCAATTTGAGCAAATTTATCTTTTTCAAATGCCTTTACTGCAAATTCTCCTCCAGTTAGCTTTGAACGCGCATAATAAACACGAGCAAAATTACCCTTGCCCATAAGCTTAATAGTAGAATAATCATTCTAAAATGTAGTTAATACACACTAACGCTTGACTAATTCAAACCACATAAGCATATGTTCTTTATTACGTGCGTATAATTCCACAAATTTGCAATTATGTGTCAAACGAAATCCATACTTAATATCTTTGTCTCCCTTTTCTTCAAGTTTTATTTTCTCAAGACGATAATTTTCAATGTTAGCAAATTTCTCAGGTTTACCGCTTTCAGCTGTAAATTTTATCAACTTATTACCAATAAGCTAGTATGTATTCGATTTCCAATATCCTTTCTTAATCGACTTTCTGAAAAGAGTGCCTTCGATTGACCTCTAATCAGTCTTCTTTGGGATTAAAGGTATATTTTTAGACCACATTTTGTAAGATTCTCTAGTATTTTAATCGAGATCATCGAAGAGCGATTCCTTCACTTTAGAGGCTTTTACTTAGCTGTTGATCATTTTTTTTCCTTTTACAATCTAAATAAGTATTCGTGGAGTGCTTTTTTTTCTTTCTATAACTTTAACTTGTAGATATTCTCAAGCTTTTAAGTTATTGTATTATTTATAATTTTTGTTCTTCTATTCTTACTCGAGTAGATAGATAGATAGTTAGATACTTTTACTATTTTATCTTACTTAATAGATAGCTTGAATGTTTTGTATCTAGCTTTTTTAAACTATGTAAAATGGTTTTTTAAAACAGTAAAACTAATAAAAAATTGTTCCTAGTTTAAATTCAGAGCTAATCAAAGAAAAAAGAATCTATTTTTTTCGTTTACTTACTGATTATAAGTTCCTTTTTGTATTTGTAGTAATTCACCTATTTTTTTTTTTTGCTTCGAATTTCCGTCTCTTTAAAGTGATAATAATTAATAGCTTTCTTTCAAAGGAAATATTTATCTTTTTTGATGATTAAATTTTTTGAAAATTGTACTATAATAATTAATTATACTATTAAATGGTATTTTTTAAAGGTTTTTATCAAAAAATATTAACAAAAATGATAAAGTAATCAGCAATCATATAATTAAAAATTTTTAATTAGCTAATTAATAAATTAATTAATAAATAAATAAATTAATTGATCAATAATGAGCTGTGTAAATGTATATGCTTTATATGTAAATATATCGATAAATTTATTTGTGTGTGGTATATAATTAAGTTAAGATTTTTGTAAGTTGATGCAAAAAAATTTAAAGGCGAAAATTCCCATTCTAATTCAAACTTGCATAACCTGATATTTCTTATCAAATAGATATGTAAATACATACAACCAAAAATTTAGTTTAAAATATAAAATTATAAATTTTTCAGACAGATAAAAAGATTTTTAGTATAACTAAAGATAAATTATGTTACTTTTATTTTTATTTATTAAGTGTAATTTTTAACTAATCAAATCTGAAAAAAAAAAAAAAACTCTGTTTGGAATATTTTCCTTTTACTACTAAAATATAGTTTGTTTACGCATAATTTATTAATAATTCATGCTCTAGCTAATTAAGAAAGATGCGCTTTTCTATTTTTTTATATTTACTTGAACTTTTGTAAATACTTGCCAAAATATTTGAAACATATAAGTATTTAATCAGAACAGAAAATAAAGAATCTTTCGAAGTATTTGATTATTTGTGCTATTATTTTAAATTTGAATATATTTAACAAATAAAATTTGAATGAATTCATTATTATAAATTGTTAGAAATACTGAAGTAGCAATAATTATACATCTATTTTAGCTTATTATGAAGGATTATATTCTTTATATTTAAAAACTAAATTTATTAATAATATAGAAATCTTTTCAAGCGAAAAGTTTTGAATAATATTAACAAATTTTATTGTGAAATCAATTACCTTTTTCTTCTATTTTAAGATTTGTGTTTAATTTTGTTTGTGAAATTTTAACTAGTTTGATTTTGATTATGTAATTTGATTTATTGACACAAAATACTAAGAACGATTACAACTTCTTTTTCAAATATTTTTGAAACAAAGTATTTAGAAAAAGAAAAATAAACTTCCTTTCCTTTTAAGAATTTTTTGAAGAATTTTGATTTTTTTCTACATTATTGTTTTGAAAAAACAGTAAGGAAAATCTGTAACAAGATGTTTAATTAATTTATTTTTCTACAAATTAAAATTCAAGTTAACACCAAATATTATTTGTTTGTTTGTTTGTTTTTCAGCCTGAAGTGATTATAAACAATTTAAATCTAATTTCAGTTCGCCAAATAAAATAAGAAACCAAATTCTTTAATATTCAATTCATATAAAAATTTATTTTCTCAAGCTTAATACTTTTTTCATTAAAAGAGATTGCATTTTATGAAAGGAAAAATAGTTCCTCAAGCAGTTAAAGTAGATATTATCCTTTATAAATTTACTTAAGTTAAGCTATTTTTATGCTTATTGTAGACCTTACTTTATAATATTTAATTTCTAAAAGAATAGATAGCAAAATTTAAATTAACACATCATTTAAATAAATAATACTTATTTTATATAAAAAATAAACAAATTTGTTTTTGGTATTTAATTTTAAGAATTTTTTACTTCCGTATTTTTCTTTTACCTTATAATTTTATTGATATTAAGCATAGAAAATAAGTAACTAATTATCTGATCAAACGTATTCTTTCTCGCTTAATTTCTACTCTAGATGTTTAGTTTTTATTTATGTTTAAATAATAATGCTTGCTTTATTCTTTACTAGAAATATTTAAATTTTTTATAATAATCTATTTGCTTTAGAAAATACATACAAGTTCTTGAATGATATTTAATACTGTTTAATATTTATTTAAATTTGCAACTTTTTTAATTTAAAAAAGAAGGAAGAATACTTTTCAAAATCAAGATAAAAATAAATAAATAAATGATGAACTTTTTAAGAGAAATAAAACATAAAGATAAAATAAAATAAAAATACAAAAATGTTTATTTTTGAATGAATAAGTTTTAATAATTATTAAAATAATATTACATTAAAATTAAACATTTAGATAATTTATTTTTTATTTATTTATTTACATTATTGCTTATTTAAACATTTTTTATATATGTTATTTGTTGTGTGTGTTTTTTAATGGAGAAATTTGTTTTTTAAGTTAAATTTATTTCAAATTAATCTTATTGTTTTTGAAGTAGGAGTTTTATTATCAATTAGTAGTGAAAAATTTTTTATTTGTTTATTTTGTTCTTACTTGTAAAGAAGTGCTTCATAATGAGGGATTTATAATTCTTATGATAACATTGATACACCACTGCTGAGTTAATTACTATGGTTTTATTGGGTTATCATGTTTATTTGACTGACTGATTATGTCTTTGATTTACTATGAAGATAATTATCAAAATTTTCATTTAATTATACTTTCACTTAGTGATTTTCTTAAAAAGAATTTAAGAGTTAATTAAGATTTTATTTTGATGGAGATTTCTAGGCAATCTATTTCACCAAATAGTCGCTTTGTTGAATGTTAGCTGCTGCTGCTTTTTAATCAATTCTTCTAATTTAAAATAAACAAAATATTTAAAAATTATAAATAAAATTAAAGAGAAATATAAATTTATTTACATAGTGTGCTATTGATTATGAGAATGCATAGGACGAGGAGATATAAACTATGAACTCTGGCTATTTATTGATTTTGAAGCTTCTTGCTGTAAGTTACTGCTACTTTTCATAGTTTGTTAGCTTAGATTATAATTAATATTTGTAGTATTTTATAAAGGTAGTTGATTGCTCACTAAAGATTATCTATGGTTTAAATTTATGTAATATGCTTCATTGGCTCTATTAGAGTGGAGATCATTTAATCCACTACTATTGTCTTTGGATTTTTATCTATTTTGACTATTTTGCTTTTACATATTGAGCTATTCGTTTGGTTGAATAGAAATTTAAATTTGTGGAGAATTTAGTTGAGATTTGCTTATTTATAAACTGTTGATCTTGTGGAAGATAGATTGTCTTCTTTTTTCTTCGTTTTCGGTTTCAACAAAAATAACTGGCTGCTTGTTTTACTAAGGTAACTGATTTTACTATTATAGTTATGAAGCAGCTAGAGTTTCTCTTCTGTGTAAATAGTTTTTCAAAACAAGCTATTCGTTGTTATGGTTACTTTATGAGACTTGTCTTTGAGAATAAGAGTTATCTATCAGCGATATTCTTTTATTTTCATTCATCTCTAATGGAAAAATTATTGGTTAAGATGGAATTTTTCTTATACCAGTTATTGGTGTGAAACTTGCTTATTTTTCAGCTTAATCGTTATTTTATTTTTATTGTGGTGGTGTTGTTGTAGTAGTTGATTCTTAAATTACTTTAGCACTCAGTAATTCCCTATTATTTTGGTTGCATAAAGAAATTCTAGTTGCAAACTCAGAGGGAGCTCGAGCCTAGATAAAGCTTGTTTATTTTTTAATTTGATGATCTTGCTTATCTGGCTATCCTGCAGCAGGATTTAACTAAACAGGTAGAGATTGCTATTTATGTAAATTATTTTAGTGGTGTTTACTTTATACTTGATTTTATCCCTCTGACTGTCCTGTGTGATTTGTTGAAAGATTAAAAATATTTCTATGCTTTAACTAATTGATAGATATGTTATTATGCTATTGATTTTTATTATTCGAAATAGGTGAACTACCTTCATTCAAAGTTGTAATATGATGACCTTTATTGTAGGTTTATTCAAATGTATGAGACTTTTCAGCTAGATGGTTTTTTTAAAGGTGCATAGGCTTGATGCTATTAGTGCTTTGGGAGACTGATATAGGGAATTTATAAAGAGCTGAAGTAGCAGCAGAAGATGATGATTTTGGAGTAGTAGTAGATGTTTCTAGTTTTTGATTAAAAGTAATCATTATCTTATTAGATGCTAGAATATCCTTAATAAAATTGATTATATTATCGAAATAATTTTCATCACGAAAAGCGTTATGGTCTCCTGAGAATATGAATGATGAAGATTTTCCTCCGTATTTCGAAATTAGCTTTTCAGAATGAGTGTACTTGATGAGTTTATCTTCGTGAGAATAGCAGAACAAAGCAGGAAACTGGGTGCATCTACTCACTTGCTTATCAACTTCAAGAGAAAATATATCACTTCCATGAGTCATCTTTTTAACTAATTCTCTTATGTATTCAAAGCTCATTTCTGCAATAAATCCACCTAGGAATGCCATTTTATCATCTGCTATTTCAGTAGCCAACTATTTTAATGAGCAAAAAGGAGAGTCTACAATTATAGCTATAACGTGCTTTTAAGCAAATGGTCTATTTGCACTGTAAAGTAGAGATGTTACTCCTCCCATAGATCTACCATACAAAATAAACTTTTGATAGTTGTATTTAGAAACAAGGGTTTCTAAAACTACTTGCAGGTCATCTTGCTCTTTTATACCTAATGTAACAAAATCACCTTCACTTCTCCCACATCCACTAAAGTCAAAGCTACACAAATCAACTCCTAATTTGCTGACAATATGCTTGACAGCTGGCACTGAATCTAAACGAGTTCCTGCATTACCATGCAAATAAACAACAGCAACAGATTTAGATTAAACTAAGTTGTTTGAGTAAATAGAGCATTAAAGTTTTTCTTTTCTGAGATTCTATACTTAAAAATCTGTCCTTTCAACTTACTAGTGTTAAAACATCATTCTAGGAGATATCATTTCATCCAAATTTAATTTACCATATCCTTTTATATAAAAAAAACCTTAATATATACTATGAATACATTTGATAAATTTTATTTTGATTGAGCTACTTGGTGAAATTCTTACATGAAGAAAAAGCTCATATTTTTGTAAAATTAATAAGATTTAACAGAGCAGATAATTAGAATTATAAAGCTAGAAAGGAATTTGATAAATACAGAGAGAAAAAAAAATCATAGATACCTAATTCAGAAACGGAGTAACAATATTTCTTTGGCTTGAAGATGAAGGCAAGCTTGTTTTCGATTTCTTTATCGTTGAAGAAAAGATGCATATTTTATCAAGTGGAAAGTAGGTAATTAAGTAAGATGTACGTGTCTATGAATTAAACTTATATCAACAGGACTTATGCTAACTAAATATTGTTCCCCTTTTGTTTAAGGCTACTACCGCAATAAATCTTTTTTTATATATTTTAATGAATTAGTAAGTGTTGCTTGTTAAAACAAACTAACTTTTAAATGATAATTTTTCTATTTGAAATTTAACTTTTTTTGTTTCGTTATAAAGTTAAAAGTGTAAAAATTAATTAATCTATCAACTGTAAAAAATTTTACTATGACATTTAAAATTATAAACAGACAAAGAAAAGTTTTGATGTTATTAAAATACTGCATTCACTCTACATACAAACAAAAACTACATATAGCGAATTAAAAGACAATATTATTCATTCATTTTATTGAAAAACCAATTAGTATGATAACAATCTATTTATGGTGGACGGAGTATTAAAATTGATTAATCTTTATTTATATCCAATAAGCTAATCATACACACAAAAATTCACAACAATTTACATTAAATAAATTTTATTTATAATTTATAAATGCTCTAACATTCAAATATTTTTGATTTGATTCTTTGGTATTGTAATAAATAATCTTTATTTACACTTTTTAATTTTTAATAAAATTTACATTTATTCATAAAACAAAAAATTATTTTAAGATTTATTTTAATTATTTTATTTTGTTAAAATCAATAAAATCTCAAATAAATTGCTTGTTAAAATATAAAATTAAATTTTAAAATATTAAACATAATTTTTAGAAAGCAAATGAAAATAAAAAATACAAAATTTAGTCAATTTTTTTTTTGAAAAATCGAAATACTACAAAAATTATGTATGAATGATAAAATTAATGACTTAAAAGATTTTTCTTTTATCAAAAAAAGAATTAAATAACAATAATTAAAACATATTTTTACAACCAAAAATATTATTGAATAAATATTCTGCTTTTTTATTTTCTTATAAATTGATAAATGGTATTTAATAACTTTGTCTTAATTTAAGTGAGCTTAATAAAAATTAAAAATATTTTTCAATTAATATTAATTTAAGTAATTGTTAAAAATTATTTTTATAATTATTTAATATAAATTAAAATAGTATATTGATAAAAATATTAAATAAATGTTTAACTAATTAAATTGTTATTTCATTTGCAATTAAAATAAGATTTTGAATTATTAAATTATTCTAATTTGGATAATTTTTATCCTTACATGTATTAAAATTAATTCCATTTTACTAAATAATTAGTGACCATTTAAAATCGTAATAATATATTTTATAGATTAAGCTTAAGCTATACAGATGCTATTCGACTGTTTGCTAAAAGAATTAATTAAAATTAAATAGTAATAATTTAATGAATTTCTTATTTAAATGCTGCTATATTTTCATAATCCCCTATAGTCTAGCAGGTTAGGATAGAAGGTTTTCACCCTTCAGACCCGGGTTCAAGTCCCGGTGGGGGAAATATTTTTTATTTATTTATTTATTTGATTTAATTATCATAATCTAATTTTTTAGATAAAAAAATAAGGCCACAATATTTTTTAAGTTATTAAATTGATTTAACTATTCTTGTAAATAATTTTTTAAAAATTATTATTTTTTGAAAACTACAGAATTGAATAAATTTATTAATATTAATTTTATATTTAAATTATTGCAAAAAATATATATTTATTAGAAAAATAATTTTTTAAATCTGAGATTAATCAATAAAATTTTCTATAATTAAAATAGAAAATTAATTTATTAATTTTGTCATAAAAAGTAAATTCATTTATAAATATAAAAGCAATAAATTTCATTTTATTCAAATAAAAAAATAAAAAGTTGATTTAAATTTCTTTATTAAAAATATTGAAATTAAATTAAAAAAAACAGTAAGAATTAAAATATATTTTATTTGAATTATTTAACATAAATAATGCTTGTTGGTTACCACTTTGAAGTAAATATTACTTTATAACTAACTTTTTTTATGAAGTTATTTATTATGTTATTAACAAATTTATTTCCTAAAAAATGTAGATTAAAACAGGAAAAAGAAACTTTTCATAAAGATAAATTAATGAAATAGTACAATTTGTTAATTTAAGCCATTTAAAACAAAAACTTAAAAATATTTCAAACTACATCGTTTTTCATAACAGATTAAATTAATTTTTTGCTATTTGTTATATGAGTAGTAGCAACTACTATTTCTCTCTCTGTTTTTATTTTTTAAAAGGAAATGTTTAGTTTTTTAGGTATTTACAAACAAATTTACTTGTAATCTTAGAAAGAAGTCTGATAGCAGATATTTCACCATAAGTTACACCTCCAATAAAGTAAACCAAAATCGCACTTTTATTTTGTAATTTACTGTACTTTGAAGGCTCTGGAAAATCTTATTTTCCTGGCACATTCTTAATGTATTCAGCAATGTGTTTCCAAGTCTGTCTCTTCAAAGCATGTTCAACTAAACGAACTCTTTATAAAAAAATGTTGAAATTTTAAATGAATTAAATTATCTATCTATTTTTACGTTAGAGGACAATAACCTGAAAAGGCATAAGCAGGATCTTGAGGATTATCTATGACTACCTCGTCATCTACAAGTTTTAAGTTCTCTTTCAGCTTTGGCCAATAATTTTTACTGCCATCTTATTTATTTAAAATACCAATTTAATTCAACCTCATCATGGTAATTAAATGTCTAAAACCATATTCCTATTAAATAAATAAATAATTATTTTTATTAGTAAAAACCAAAATTAATATTTAAAAAATAAATCACATGAACTATTTCTTTTCTGATGTCATCAAATTATTTTGGTTTGATACCTTTGTCGACCAAGGACTACAAACACAACAATCTTAAAGCCTTTTCTAAAGGAGCTCCTAAACCTATTATCATTTCAATGTATTCAAGAGCTTAAGAAGAACTAACTCCTAGAATAGTACTTTACTCTATCATTAAATCTTTATAAAATTCTATTGTTCTCATCTTTTCAACAATACTGCACTGTAAATTTACATCTTTAATTAAATGTAAATAATAAATTTGATTCTGCTAATATAAAAATATAAATAAAAATACGATCTTCTATATGTTTTTGGTCTTTTGTTATCTTCTCAACAATCTTAATGCACTTTTACAAATCATCTTATGTTTTATTTTACTTATAATTTTATATTGTATCTTTAATTCTTTGTAATTCTAAAGCAGAGCTTGTAACAATCTCTCTCGACTTAGAAATTTACTAATCTCTTATAGAAGAATAAATTGTATTATTTTCGCTAGACAACTTCATAAGTACTGGCTTACCAGCTTAAAGGCCGATAAGAGCTCCATCGCTAATTCTTAGCAAATTACCATTTATACCATAAAAATCATCAATTAAACCCTCATATACCAATTATGAACATAAAGGTGTAATAAAATCAATGTTTCTATCTAATAAGATCATTGTTTCGAACTCGCTTTATGAGTAATCTTGGTTAATTCCTTTAGTTTCTTCATCAGCACTCAAAATATCCATCACAATCTTATTTTTCATAAAATTTATTGAAAAAATAAAATTATCATCATTAATTGCATTATTTATAATCATTTTTTCAATTGTTTTTAACTAAAGTAATAAATAATGTTATTTTAACACTATACGCAGAAAAAGCTCTATGCTTTTTATATCCAGGAATATTTGATATCTCAAAATAAAAACAAATATTACTTTTTATTTGGCTAATTAATCTAATTAGGAATATCAAAAGTTAGTTTTTTATATGTTTAAGCTTTTTAAATAAAATTTTAAAGCAAAAACTATTCCAATATTATTTTATTTTGAATAAAAATAGTTAAATATTTATTTATTTATTTACACTTGCACCATCTCCCTTTAAGAATATATTTGGTATCTTTCCATAAATAATTTAAAGCCTTTATATTGATTCAGCAACATAGCAGTAAGTAGAAAAGTCATTATCTAAATACATGCTAATAAAAGAACTAGGCATTTCCAAAGAAAGGAGATCTTAGTCAATAGGTATTAAGTCAAAACTAAAATCAATAATTCTTATTTGGTCATCTGTAATACCTTTTTCGTCCTGGGCTTCCTTGCATAGAGTAGTCCTCTTAGGCCAGTAAATTAAATAAAATTCTCTCTTTGGTTGCTATTAAGCGTTTGCTGCTGCTTTTTTACCTTAATTTGGCTTAGGTGCATTTTCTTTATCTAAGTATTCTTTAATTTAATCTAAGTACTCAACATTAGGCTAAATAAATATTATGATCTTATCTGCAGATAAATTTTCAGGCTAATATTAAAATAAATAAAAATCATTAAACTATGCACAAAAACATTGAATTTCAGCTTTATAATATCTATTCCTTGAGTTTATTCATACGAGATTGACTAAATTAAATACATATCAATCAATTAATTAATTAATGTTTTTATTTATTTATGAAGTACCTAAGTATTGTTAATATGAGAGATAACCTCTACTTAAAGTTTGCTAAGAGCGCTAGATTCTAAAGTCAAATTTAAAGCCACTTTAACTTAGTCATCAAATATTAAATGCTTCTTTCCTTCAATCTGAAGATTTATATATAATAAAATATCTATAAAAATATGATGTAATTAAAGTTAATAAACTCACTTAATCAAAAAGCTGAGTAAGCTTTGTCCTCAAATATTCCTAAAAAAGAGAAGAACTAAAAACATTTTCAACTTCTTCTCCTTGATTTTAAAATATTTCATTGTAAAGATCATTCATTTTTCTAAATTTATCTAATTTTTCTTATCAAAACCTAATATTTGCTTATTGGCTAATCTCTTTTAAGTAAATAAATAAATTGATTGATTGAATATTTAATTAATTAATTAATTTTTCTGATAAGTTTCTAATTAGAAAGATTTCAATATCTTTGATTCTCAAAGCACGAATATCTTCAAATATAGGTTTTATCATAATTCCCTTACCACTAAATCAATAATTCTTGAATAAATGATTAAAAAGTAGTTCATTCTCTCTATTTTTGATAACAATATTTTTAAATATTCATTTAATTTTTATTAGAATATTTAAAATTTATTTTTTCAATTCTATTTCAATAATGAGTTAAAATATTTCTAAAAATAGCATCTCATTACGAAATAATTTTAATAAATTCATATAAAAGCTTTAAATTTTCTTATTAAAATTTTTTAAAAATTCTAAAAATTAGTATATCAAGTATAGATTTATGTATAAATAGACAATTTTGTATTGCAATCAACATTAAATTAACAAATTGGTAAATAATTAAAATCTAAAATCAACATCATCTATCATATTTGTCAATACTTGATATTTTTCATAGTAATTTTATTTCTTTTATACTAAAATTAATTAAACAATTAATAAAGATAGATAGTTAATTTCAGCATGAAAAAATTTTCAGCTTTTAATAATGAAGTAGAAATGTATAAATCAAATTTTTATTTGCTTAATCTCAATTATAAAAATTGATCAGCTGAAATAGATTAAAAATAAGTGATTATAAACCTATTTAAGATGAATCAATATTAATATTTTTAATAGTTAGTGAGTAAGAAATATAAATACAAAATTTAGTTTGATAGAGAAATTATAGATTGGTTTTTATACATTTTTATATACAAAATTAATTTATTACTAGATTTAAACGTTGATCTTATTTTATTGTTTGTCAGTCAATTACCTTCTCCAAATTTATTTTATTTTAAGTATTACAAAAATAAGTTATTTTCCATGATTAAATTAATATGGAAAAGTGTGAGAAGATTCTTTGACTTCGTTAGGTCTCTTTTTAATCTTCTATAAAGAATGTTCCAAGTAATTGAATATACTAAGGTAATCATTACAATTTATGATACAAAGATAACAGTTTATCTAGTGAATAGAGAGTTATAGTAATTTTTTTGATAACTGACTAAAAAATTATCCATTCCATCGCAAATGTAACCCAAATAACGAATAGAATCATTAAGATCTGATATAAAATAATTTTATTGTTGTTGTTGGATCAAAAAAGGGACTAGTTATTGAATGCCTAGAAAATTAGGTTTGTAGTAGAAAGTCAAGGTAGAGAAAGTATAAATCATCTTTTTAATTGATAAAATTAATCCTTGGTTAAAAATTCCTTAACTGTAATTCTTACATACCATAGTTTTTATGTCTTAATTAAAGTACTATGGATAGATTTCAGCTGTTGAACAAATATTATCATTCAATAGTTCTATAAAAAAGTTATGATAATGACTTGAATCATAATTGAAGTCTCCTTCCTACCCTATTAACTATTAAAGACTATCCATTTCTTAATTTGATTATGGTTACAGTTAATTCATGATCTAATCATAATTGAATGAAATCATTTTATTAATAAAATCATCATCTTAGCCAAAATAAGCAAACATCCAAATTGAGTAATGATTTGCTTGAGAACTAAACATGTACTTTTGCAAGTTTAGCATTGTTATTCTTTGCTATACTATTACATTGCATTCATTTATAAAATTATTAGTTATAACTAAACTAATTGTTGGGAATATCATCAAAATCAAAACAATAAAAAGAGTGACAAGCAATATGAATTTATCCAACTTAGGTAATGAAGTGAAAGAAGCTATAGATCTGTTTCTCTTTTGTGGTAGTCTTTTAATATATGTGGTTTATATTTGGTTTGATTTAAGGCTACCATTTTAGTTACTCTGAGTACTTAGAATTCTTGGTCTTTAATTGCTCGAAACTCCATTTTGACGAGGAAAAAAATTATTTCGTTTATTTGTTTTGTCTCCGTTGCTGGAATTTTCCTATGTCTACTTTTCCGCTATTGATTGTATTTCCTTATTTATTTTATGAATTGCTTTATTCATTTTGCTAATATTCGAGTTTGACAACTCTGCCATCTCCATATTGAATAAACAATATTCTATTAAATCTACATATTTCTATATCTTCTCAGGAGAAAAGCTGCCAAAGAGTTTTAAAATTTTTTCTTTTTGCTTCTTTATGAGTATGCTTAGTGGAACTAAAGTAAACGAGATAAATACACTAACACCTAAAAATACAAACAAATTAGCATACATCATATCTAAGATGTAGTTAAATTTAGATTAAGCAAATTATTAAACTTCCTTCTGCAATTAGCTAATGTTGGTATAAATAGTCATAAAATTTGTCCAAATCTCTATTAAATCGTTTTAGTCTGAAATATCATTTTACATCGTACTCAATAAAGATGCAACGTTAACTAAAAGATATAAATTAGGGATTTATACTGTAAAAAAAGTTCCTTCTCCTAAAACAGTTAATGATGTTGGTGTTTACAGATCGCTCTAGTATGTTAGAGAGGTATCTAAATTCTAAATATCTGAATAGAGCAATTTCAAATTTTGAGAATAGCCCTTAAAGTCTTTTTGAGCTATTGTATATTCAGACTGTTATATATCGGGCTAAAATAAGTTTAAACTTAATTTTAGTAGCAGTGTGTATGATTCATTAGATAGTGATCTAAGAATATCAAATAATGCACTATTAAATAAATCTAAAGTATTAAAATTTGTATTATATAGAGTAAAAGTAGAGTTAATTTGTTAGAATTAGACGATAGTCAATATCAGCAGTAATGAAAAAGAGGCAATCCCTGTAAAAATAAAGAACTTGAGTCCACCAGTGTCTTGCTTAGAATATATTTTCTTTATTATTAGCCTTTTCTTTTATTCTTAAATGCTATAGTTACTCGATCTCAAGCTCGATATTTCATGCTGCTCCTCTTTTTTGGCTTCATTTTCGTCTTGGATGATACTATTCGAAGAAAATTTAGAACTTTTTGAATTTTCTTCCTTGTCTTTCTTATTCTATTTTATTACTTTTTGTGCTTCCTCTTCTATTTAGGCTTTACTTTAAATCTACTTCATGCTGTCATTGTAGTTTTTTAATGTGTATTGTGAATTAGTTATACTTTTTTCATGTGCTTTAACTCTTTAAATTTTTTATTGTTAGTTTAGCTAATTAAAAATAATCTGCTTGTATGAGTTTTGTTGTTCCTTCATAAAATCACTTTGATTTTCTTAAATATTATCAGCTTTTTTATTTATTAAATTATAATAATTCAAATAAAAATTCTAAAGATGATTTTTGTTAAATATGTTTTACTTTCAGGTATCTATTCTATTTTCTTCAAGCTACTTATTCTTGTTTCTGGTCTTATTTTTACTAGTAAATTATAATCTATTTGCTTTAAACCTCTATTTAAATTAATTTCTTCAAATTAAGATCTTGGTGATATCAAACTCCTGTGAGATTCCTTTGGAGACAGCATATTGTACATATCTTTTGGCTGAAAATTAAATTCATGCTGATATCTTGGAGAAGGATAAGTTATATCAGATTAATACTTTTATATTAAAGAGTTTTGGTCATGCTCTTACTTATTTTCTAAAATCGCCCCGACTGTTTCTCTTCTAGTTTAAATTTCAGTTGATTAATTTAATCCATTACCTTCCTGAACTATATGCCTTTCAGGCATATCTATAGGAATTATCATAGTGCTCTGTTTTGCTATGGGAGATAAAATCTGATCTACTTCATTCTTTTCTAGTGGTATTCTTAGCTGCTGCTACTTAAAAATACTCTATGCATGTTACAACTATTTACTATCAGTAAGTATAGTTCCTTATTAATTTATAGAATAAGCTTAGCTTTAACTATTAGAACTTTAAACTTCTGTTAGCTCATCATTATTCATATAAAATTTCTGTTAGCCATCATTTTTAAGCTTAGTACTTAAAAGTTCATGATTTATGACGTCCTCCTTCTCAAAATCAGTAAAAATTTATATACACTATTTTAGCTAATTAATACTGTCTATTTTTTTTCTTTTTACACTTTCTTTTTGAAAGGAAGTGATCTCTATAAATTTAAAAGTAACATGTAACGAAGTAGGAATTAAACTCATTTTAAATGCTATATTATAAATAATATCAGATGGTTTTATATTATTCACAATTTTTTCAATCATCTACAATGAATCTACAGCAGTGTGTGTTTGTTAAAGCCTTTTGCTATTAGAATGTTTTTTTACCACCAAAATACTATAAAATGTCTCTTCAAACTATTCTAATTTCTGAATACCAAAAATAATAGGAATAATATGATTCATATTCAAAAGCCTTAAGTCATCTAATTAATTATTTCAATTTAAAATCAGTTTGTTTTGTTAAAAATGAAAAAGAGTTTAAATTTTTACTCAATGAAATCATTTGCTAAAATACAGTTTTGAAAAGATTTTCAGATATATCCAAAATATTTCCTTCGTTACTAAAAAACAAATAATCTTTTTCTTGATTAACTTTACGAAGATGAGAGCAGACTCCAAATTCTCCAAACATATTTTCTAGCTTTAACCTGATCATTAATGGAATAATAAAACCTCTACCATTCAGGCCAAACACAAGTCTTTCACCTTTTTAATAAATAAATAAATAAATTTTTTTTTTGAATTAATAAATTTTTAAAAGGTATTTTTTGTCTAAAATAAATAAAATTACCAATTTTTATAACATTCATTGTTCCTTTGTTTCTAAAATTTTTCATGAAATCATCATGAGCTCCATACAATCCTTTAGGTATTAGCTAGTTGATTGTTTTACCCAGTATTACTTTATTATCAATGTCATAGACTTCTTTAAATGATTTGGAAACCTTCGTAATTTTGCCATCAATAGTGTTTAATGAGGCGTAGACGACGCAAGAGCTTTTTGTAAAGACTTTAATGAATTTTTCAGATGGCAAGAGATTTTAGCTTGGTAATCTTTTTGACTTTTTAATCAATTCGGTAATTTTTCTGTTTTCAAAATCGAGGACAGAATTGTAAATTGTAGTGAGAAAATTTAATTATTTGCTTTCTGGGTTCAAATCATATAGAAGCTTTATGAGAGAAAGTATTTGCTAATTATCATCATAGAGTTTTTTACTTTTCTATTCTAATTCTTTTAAATCAAGAAAGTTGCTACACAAATAATCAAAAAATTCAGCTATTTTTATCAAATAAGAGTGTAATTTTTTCTTAAAATCATCAAATTACTCATCAAAAACAACCATAGACATCATATAGAGTCTTTAGTTTTAAATGACAGCATTTTTAAAAAACTGCTAAAATTAATGATTACAACGAGTCAATAATATCTATGTATAATACATATCATGCATAGATGCCCCAATCTTTATTAGCTTAGATTAGTAGGAATAAATCTCACTGAAGGATTTAGTGGAAATTTTCATAATTTCAGTAACAAAACTAATATAAGCAAACATAGCACTTGAAGTATGCTGTTTCTTTTTAATTTTGTTATCAATAAATTTCTCAAATAGATCTACCACATAAAAAATAACATATTTTCTTCTATATTCCTAGCCAATATATTCTTCTAAATTGAAAGTATCTTCATCCTTTTTTTCATTATAAAATGTACATTTTAGAAATTGAATTTAAATTTGACTTATTTTTCATTAAAAAAATAATGTCTTTATTTTAAATATTTAATTAAAAAAGAAGAGTTCGAATAAAAAATTGTTTAAAGAAAAATAAGATAAAATTCAACCTATTTTATTAAATTAAAATATATTTATTTGTCAAAGCACAAATATTTATTTTTTTATATTAAAAACAGTCAAATTTTAATATGGTTTTGTTTAATATTCACATCAATCAGTCATCATATTTTAAATTGCAATTGAATATTTTGATGGAATTTAGTTTTAATTAAGTTAACTATAAATAAATAAATATAATATTGTCTTGCTTTTGAAAGTTTTGCTTATAATGTTAATAAAAATAATACAAATATTCAAATAAATTTATTAGATTTATTTAACAATGAATAAAACTAATTTAATTAATGAGGATGATTTAATAAATTAAAAAAATGAGTTATTTATTTACTCTTTTGAATTCGAAGCAGAAGCATTTGTATGAATTAATCTCACACTCTAGTGTATGATTAATATATATATTTTCAAATATGAGAGCCTAACCTTTCTCTATGTAGTCTTCATAGAAGAAATTCAAATTTTTTTTAAGCTGTCTGACATATATATCAAGATGGAGTAATGGAATATGGTTTAAGTTAGTTTTACCAATGCATTCATAAAAAATATTACTAAATATCTTTTACTACTTAAACATACAGAGTTTATAGCATAGAGGAGAACATACAATCATTAAAAGGAAAGGGTTATCTGAAGTAATATTAAAGTATACTAGAATAACAATTGAGAAAGACGCTAGTATAGAATTGAGAGTTTAATAAATAAATGAAATATCTTCATGAGTGTAGAGAAATTCTTTATGATAAATGATTAGTTTTACTATAGAGTAGATAAACATTGTTATACTCTGCAATTTTTAATTCATAACATAATTTAAAATAATAACTAAACTCATAAACAACTATCTACCTATATCATATTTACTTTCTCGTCTTGATAGAAAATCTTTTACTACAAAGGTATAATCAAAATCATGATAATTTAATATAATCCCTATTATAAATATAAAATATTTATTTAATTTTGATGATATTGCATTTTAAATGTTAGCTTAATATCAATTTTCATTATTATTTTTATATAATTTTTTCATCATTTGTGCATAAATTAATTTGCTACTCATTTTTATACTCTTCATGTCAACTCAAAAATAAATAGGTTATTAAAAAATAAAATTTACATGACTGAAGATGATAATTTAAAATTTTCTTAAAATTTAAAAATTTTTTAAAGTATTCAATCAATATTAATGATAAGCAATTAGTATGTAAAATAAAAAAATAATTATATTATTCTATTTAGTTATATCTTCTAATATATGTTTGTTTTTTTTTTGCTACTTGTGTTTTTGTAAACTGATAATGCATCAATAGAATAATTAGAATAGAGAAAAATAGAATATTAATTTACCTATAAAAATAGTAAAAATTGCATTTATATATCCTAAGTAACTAATCGAACTAAAGTCTGAATTTTGAATTATTTCGATACTGTTAAACAAAAAAGGTATATAAAATAAATAGTTGTATATCTTAACAGCAAGGGAATAAAAATAACAAAATCCTTTTATATCATGCGATCTGTATTGATTGTGTCTATAAATTAAGCATGCTATACTCATTAATAATATCAGCAAAGAATTGTAGATGAAAGAGAAGTAAAAGACAGAATATTTTGTGAAGTTACTAAATGAGTTTTATGTATCGTATTTAAAATTAAAATAATCTAAACTGTTGATAATATCGTTTGTATAGCTTTATTCTGAATCCTCAAAGTCAGTGTTTGCAATAATTACTAAACTAGATTCTTATAATGTGTTTAATATTAAAAGTCCAATTGAAATTGCTTTGCTTCGCAGAAAACTATTCAGCATTTTTGGAACAATCCTGAAGTAGAACAATTTCGCTTTATTAATCTTAGAGAAATAATGCACGTATTATTGTACAGAATCATCCTAAAAGTTCATATTATAATTTCCATTCATGCTTAATATAAATATAGAATTTCCTCCTGGTAGTGATATACCAATTTTTATTGATAGTGCTCCGAAAGTAGGAGGGTAGTTTATATTTAATCTAAAACGTTCTTTATATTTAAATAATCTTCAATGTTCTTGCTTGCTTGCTTTCTATTCAATTTATTTTTTGCTTTAATCTCTATTTATTTTTTACATATAATAAAAAATACAATTCGTCAATATGTAATGTAATGTAAGAAGATTAACTAATAATTTAAATAAATTATCAAAAATTTCTTGCATGAATGTTAAAATTAACATCTACTATATCAAAGGCTGTGCTTAAAATTTTTTTCTATTTTATTGTCATACCACTTAATAACTAAATAATATATTTTGAATTTATATCTCATAATTCTGTTAGATTTTGAATATCATTCATTATTTTGCTTCTTACTAACATCTGCGAGTAAACTAAAATTTCTAATATTTCTTTAAGCACAAATATCATTTAATTACTTTTCTTTTTGAGCAAAAATTTAATTAATAGATTAATCAAAAATACAAACAAAATACTTTCGAACAATTTATTTTTAAATATATTTCTGCAAATCAGCAAAGAACGCTTTAAAATTAAGCTATTAAATTAAGGAAATAGTTTGTGTAGAAAAAAATTAATTTGATAGAAAAATTGCTCAATTTCTTTCAGCATTTTTTTGATAACAAAAAAAACTAAGAATTTATAAATAAACTGAATTTATTTTCAATTAAAACTCCATTAAGTATAATATTTTGTCTATTTTCTTTCTTTTGCGATTATCAAACACTAGATCTAATATATTTTTTACATATAGACTTTACTCAATCAAAATGTTTATTAATCTAAATACATTTAGATTTTTGTATTATCAAATGATCAAAAGGTTTAAAAAAATCCTATTTAAAAAAAATCTTGTGGCAATGTTTGATTTAGGATTCAAAATTATTAATTTAAAAATTATTAAATAAATCTATGGAAGGAATTGTTTAAAAAATATTATTTGATAAATAAGAAAAAATACAAAATTTAGATTTTGATTGTGACATAAATTTTAACAAAGATAGTATTTCAGAAGAAATCTGAAAAATGTTTATTTAATTTTTAATATAATAATATATATTTTTTTTAAAAGATCAATCAAATTCTTTAATGATATGCCTAAAATTATTATTTTGAGGTTAATACGCATACTTAACTTTTCATATAGAATTTATTTTTATTATTTCTTTACTATTTATTACAGAAATATTTACAGTAAAATCTGTCAAAATTGTTTACAATTTAAATCTACAATCTGAGCACTCTTTAAAAGTTGGTAAAAATTTTTATCCAAAATTCGACTTTTTCATTTTAAAACCCATCAATAAACTACACACAGGTATATCATGAATAGAATTTTTAGTTTTATAGGTAGGTGCTCAGTTTAGATAGATTCATTTTAGTATTTATTATTTTATTATTCACCTAATTTAAATTTTGAGTATTGTAAATCTGTTTAGATTTTAATTTTGAGTGAGAGTAGCTTATTAGATTTGAAATTCGTGTTCGATCATACTAATTAATTCTTATTCTTCTTAAAGTAAGCCATAAATATTTAATTATCTAAAATTAAATTGATATGGAATAATTTTAACAGATTTTTCACTTCCTTTAACTTATTTGTGAATTTCTTATAAAAGAAAGTCCACCCAAAGATAAAAGTCATAATGATGATAATTAGCTGCATTATAAATAAATATTGATTAAGTTTGACTATGTAATTGTAGTAATCAACCTGACTTTCGAATAAGTAATTATCTAAGGCAAAAGAAATAAGCTTGAGATATCTTATCAACTAATTATATCCATCGATTAAATTTGACTGTTTTTAAATATCAATAAGATATTAAGTAATACTTTTTTGAGGAATAGAATTGCTTTACAATTGCTAGTATAACTGTAGAAACCCAGTAAAGTACTAAGATATCTATTTCATTGTTATTATAAAACCTCTACTCAACACACCACTCATAATATTCTCGCAATCAATTTATTAAATTTCTATTGCAAAGTATTAAGGATAATTTTAAATGACTTGACAAATATCTTGGTTTAGCATTGTTATAAATATATCTTCAAACTTTTATTAGTTTTTTCTTTTTATTTGAGTATCCGCCATAATGTTAGAAACTTTTTATAAATAATCATCTCCAGATTAGTGAAGTCTAACTATATTTTGCATTTGCTAATCAGCTCTGTAGAAATCTTGGGATGAAGGAGATTACTATAATATGTAGTTAGTTAGCCAATACCCATAGTGGTTTGCATGATAATCTAAAATAAGACTTGTTGCATCGAAGATTGAAATTCTTTCTGAAATTACTACTTCACCTTCTTTTTTAAATTGAGCAATTACAAGCAATGACACTATTGGGTAGATCATTTAAATAAATATAACAACAAGACTAATAAAGATGATCGGTAAGCTTATTTTCTATAATGAATTAAAAGATGCCACAGAACGAGTTCTTTTATTTTGAATACGGTGAATTATATTCATTTTATCTCCATTAACGTTTGATTGTACATTAATGTTTTTAGCTTCCTCTATATTCATTTCTTTGTTGTAGTGTTCATTTGAGGAGACTATTTAATTTGAATTCTATTTGAGCACTTCATCAAGATCTCTATAATTTATTTGCTTGTTATCTACCATCTCATCAACTTTTATTATGCAATATTCTATTAGATCAACATATTTTTGTAACTTATCTGGCTGGAAAGACCCTAACAGCTTCAATATCTTTTCTGCTTAAATTTAACCAAGAATGTTCATCGGAACGACTAAAACAACTAATACACCAACAACTACTAATAGCACGATGAGATTTAATAACTAAACATTATCGATATATGAAAATTCTTATTTTACTTAATCTTCAACAGCTCCTTGCACTGTGTATGAAGATCTAAAAATATTTAAGTAGTTATCCCACAAGAAATCCATCCTATTATTTGTTTTTTCTGCAAGTAAACTTTAAGTTTAAGGAGTGAGCACTTCAAAATATTACTATCTGAATATAAGAAGCTCATTGATTACAGTAAAATTACGAATGTATTAATTACTATTTTCGACAGTATAATCTGTGAAATTTAAACTTGTGTTTTTTGTAACGAAGACCTTTTGATAATTCTAAGATGGATCAGCATTAATTGCTCTTAAAGTTTTTAATGTAAAATTTGCAAGCTATTGATTCAAATAGATTTAACTTCTCTGCATTTCTGCTTGCAAAAAAGTTTAGTTGAAAGTTGATTGAGCCAATTAAGGACTATTTTTGAATAATTCCAGAAAAGTTTTCTAAGAGAGAACAATTAAATTGATATCATTCATTTAGTTAAATAAATTTAGCTACTAAAAATCCAAATAATATCTGTCAATAGATTGATTTAATTAATCATATTAGATGGAAGAAACACAGACCAATGTGATAAAAGAAAATATAACAGATATTATGAAAATTTTAACAATAAAAGAGCTGTTTTGAGAATTTATCTAATTAATAATCTATTATTTTTTTTATTCACTTAAATTTGTATTTACAGATTGAACACTCTAAGCATCGTTGCCTTTGTCTTCCTTCTTTTCATAAAAGTTATTTTGGTCATTTGAAAATTTGGAGGAATCTTCACAGATTCTATTTGTGGATTCATATTTTTTAATCACTAATTTCGTTGTCTATCTTCTACCTTTTCTTCTCTAGTTTCTCTTCTGTTTCTAACTCATGTTCCTCTTAAATTAACTTTGGTTCTTCAATGTTGGACTTGATGCTGTTTGCTGCTCTTATTCTTAAGCGACTTTAGAAAAGACTATTTTTATTTTTGTATTTTAATGAAACTAAAAATAATATTTTAATAAAATTATACTTTCTGTTGAAATTTATTGAAACTTTTTTGAAGAATTTTAATTCTGCTGAAATAAATTCTCTTCCTCTGCTTAACTATTTATATCATTTGTGTTGTGTTACATCAATAATTGCCTATGACTATTTTCTTTGGGAGAGAATGGAAGTTGATTATCTGCTGAATTCAAATCATTTAACTGTAATTCCTGAAGAACTACTTCCTCTTGCAAAGGGAATCTAGAAAATTCAAAGTTGAAATACTTTTATAACTATGATTACTCTATAGATTTTTCCTAAATATTTTAGTTATATAAAGACTAATAAGCAGTGTTGCCTTGTTGAGCCATCATGTTCGTAAATAATATTAATTCTTTTTCATTTAGATGAGTTCTTTTTACTGAATTTGCCATGTGACTCCTCTTTTTTACTGAACTTTCTAATATTACTGTCTAATCTTCCACTTAAATTTACTCGCTTACAGACTCGTTAGATTGACTAAGCTGTTTTTCTGAGTCAAAATATCTTGAAGCAGTTTAATCCAATTTATTTAGCTAATCAAATTTTAAATTGTTAATTTCACTGAAAGTCTTCCCATTTGCATTGGCTTAATCATATTCTTCATACTAATCTAAGCATTCTCTCAGCTTATTTAAATAATTTCTTTTTTCATCATAGTCTCTTAGATGATTAATATGAGATATTTCCAAATAATAGTATTTCTTTCCAATTTAAGTGAATATTTATCTTATTTAAACATTAACTGCAAACATTGCATCTCTCTCTGAAATCTCAGCTAATTTTTGATTTAATAACTTGAAAGTCTATCCTTAATTAAAATTAAAATTTTCTGTGCCCTTTTTAGGGGATTAATACAATTATTTTTTTTATAATATCATCACTGTCTGATAGTTTAAGTTATATTCTTGAAGTTGCTTAATGATCATTGATATAGGTAATATTTGATTTATATTTTTTTATACTAATTAACCTATTTAATATTAGAATTTAAAATCAAACTAATAAAAACAAAATAATTTACTCTTTGAATAAACCGTTGAAAATGTATTTAAATAAAGGTTTTCTGTTACATCTGAGATATTTTCATTACTATCAATAAAGATAAATTCGTTGGTTTCATACAAATTTGTTATATAAGCGCAAATACCAAGCTCGCCTAAAATATTTTCTATTTTAAGTCTAATCATTATCGGAAAAATGAAGCCTTGAGAATTAAAACCAAAAACCATTCTTTCGCCTTTTAAAATAAAATTCAGATCAATTTAATATGCATTTACTTATTTAAACTTGTTGAACAAACAAAGATAAAAAATTAGTTGGCTTAATTTAGAATCCAATTTAATGAAATTGAAAAATTAATAAAATTTTATTTAATAAATAAATAAATAAAAATGAAATTTATTAAAAATAAATAAAAAAATACCTTAATTGATAATTGACATATTGCCTTTACTTTTAAAGTTACTAAGAAAATCATCATGGTCATTAAACATACCACGAGGGATTAATTGATTTATAGATTTACTAATGATTGATTGATTTTTAAAATTGAAAATGTTTGAAAAGTTGTTTGAAACTTTTTTAATTTCTCCACCTGCTGTATTAAGAGAAGCATAAATTGCACATGTATTTGGGTTAAAAAATTTTTGTAAATTTATTTCTTAAGGAATAATAAACTATTATGTGAGTTGTTAGGATTTTGTCACAAAATCAACTAATTTCCTATTCCTAAAATCCAAAATATTTGAATAAATGGTAGCTAGGTAGAGCAATTGTTTATCATCAGGATTAATGTCGAACAACCAATTTTACAATTATTAGCATTTTTCTAATTTTTCTAGAATTTATTTGCTTTGATTGTGTAATTCTTCTAACTTGATGAAATTGCTACACAAATAATCATAATATTCACCTAAAATTAGGAGGTAATACCTTATTTACTGCCTAAATACTTCAATGTACTCATCAAAATCAATGATTAGCATCATTTATATCCGCTAGTTCTGTATTTTTGGACTTTTGAAGAAATTTTCAAATTGCTTATTCAATCTCAAAAAAATTGTGTTGAGTGATTAAAATTCTTTCAAACTCAACAACTATCTTTGGAACATTTTATTTTAATAATTAAATATCATGTTGTAGGATCTCGTAGAAATATTCATAATCTCAAACAAATAACTTATGTAGCTTAACATCATAAAATGCAAATCCTTAATATCTGAAGGATTATTCAGAATAGTTTCATAGACATTAGCAAAATACTGAAATATAAATTTTTTGCGATATTCTTATCCAATATATTCATCTAAACTGAATTAGTTTTCATCCTATTCATAAAAAATACCAATTAATAAAATCTTAACAATTCATTCGCTAAAAAAAATTTTTAATTTGATTTAATTATCTATTTATTACCACTAAATTTATTAATTAAATTTTTCCAGAATTAATTGCAAAAAATTACAGTTTTCTATATGTATTAAATCAATTTTTGACTTTGGAAAAAATATTAATTGAGTGGATAAAATTTAATTTTCAAACAAAAAGTTAAGGAAGAAGTTAGCAAGGGTAAGTAAGCTTTTTCCTATTGGAAATAGTTGATTAGCAAACTAAAAAAACTATTTATTATCAATAGAATTAATGAGTAAAAAATTATTAATTAATGAATGGGAGAATTATTCAATAAATATTTGTATTTATATAATTTAATACTCTTTTGAACTCATAACAGAAGCATTTGTAATCCTTTGCGTCACATTAAAGCTTGTGACTTATGTAAATTGTTTCAAATATGATTGCTTGTCCTTTTTCAATGTAATCTTCAAAGAAGAAACTTAAATTTTCATTCAGTTAGCGTATATATATGTCTACTTTATTTAGTTAAAGAAACCTCAAATCAGATTTTCCTATGCAAATACTTGTAAGATTTTATGAAAATCGTGTATGGATTTAGTATCCAAGTCTACAAGCCAAACCAATTTGCAGTAGCCAGAGTACTCCGATGTTAGAAAACTCTTCAATAATATAATTTATTGCCATTAGTAATATAAAAGATAAAAGTGTGCAGCATAACATGATATAAAGACAGGATACCCACCTTTTAAGATAGAACTACTCTCTGTAGTACAAAATCAACTTTATCACGGAATAAAAAAATATAATAATAAGAAGTAATTTCTCACTAATATAAACATTAAGCCAGCAGATAAGACACAAAAAAATTTATCTGAATACTTCGAGTTTAGTTTCTCTTTTAATAAGGTAATCTCTACTGGTAAAGCTAAAATCATGGTCATGGTACGTCAAAAACAATCCTAAAAATAAAATATAAGTATTAATTTTTCTAAATTTCAAAAAGATGAATAAATTAATTCATAAGAAATGTTGAGCCTAATATTTTTTGAAAATTGATAAATCGAAGTAAGATAAATATTTGTGATAATAAACTCCTCTAAAGTATATTATTTTAGACAATCAATTATTTCCAATCAAAAAAATAAATTTCTAATAATTAAAAGACAGTTTTGATGAAATATTATTTAAGAGTTTTACAATTAAGTTTTTAATTAAAACCAGTCATCGAAATAATAAAATAGATTATTTTTAGTATTTTTAAATGAATTAATTTATTTCATTGTACTGGATTTATTATATTTTTGTTTACTTTTTAAAGTATTATATAAAAATTGATTTAAACTATGATTAATTTATTGATTATTTATTACCAATTACTAGCGTTATAGGTAAGTTAATATATGCAAAGACCTAAGACTAAGAATAGTTAATAGAATCGTTCAAAACTAAAAAGCTCAAATTGAGAGCAGGGACGAAGACAATATAATTATAAAAAGAGGAGATAAATGCACAAATTTTTGCAATAGTAGTGATTGCATTGGTTCTCTTCTGAGAGCTGAAATAGAAACAAATCGTTATTCCTACTATCGAGATGAATAGTAAGTTAATTATTGAAATTGTAATAAGTACCGCATTTACACCTTAATTAAAGCTTAATGCGCCACTAAAAAGCTACTTTCCATTAGTTTTATTTAGATAAAATAGGATTAAATTGGTAGTTTTAGAGTTCTAATTAATAATTTGCTGTTAAGTGATTAATAGCGCTGCCTCTTGAAATAAGCTAATAATCAGAAGTAGAAAAGAAAGCATCAAAGGTCTTTATAATGGCTGGATAATTAGAGGGAATATTTCAACATAGTACCTCTGATAAAACTTTAAAGATTCTAAATAATGTCTAAACTAATCTTTCTCTCTTTAATCAAATTCCTTTTTTGATGTTTTGCTAAAATTGCTTGCCTTTTTTGTTTACTACTTTAAAGAACTCCTCATTTGTCTAAAGCTCACTAAATATATTAATAAAAATTAAGAGATGATTTCAATTAGAATTGTTTTAATTAATTATTAATAGCTTATCAAAGTATCAATCGAAAAACTTGTTTTTTACAGTTTGTTTCATACCATGCAAGTAATAGTGAAATTAATTATATGCAAATTAAACATTAACTTTATCATGCATGTTTTATTATTTTTGTTTACTGTTGAAATAAATATAAATTTTTTTCTCTAATGAAATACCATTTTAAAGTGTAATTTATGATAGAATCCACACTTTTCAATTTTTAGAACTCTTGTTTACTTATTTACTTGTTTTATTAATTAAATGATCGTTTCTTCATTTATTTTATTAATAGAAAGTCAAAATTATTTTGAATGAAAATTTATTAAAAAACTTTTGTGTAAATAAAAATTTAGTAAAATCGTCAAATCTTTTCCAAAACAAAACAAATAAAGCACAGTATTTTGCTAAAAATAGGCAAAAACAGGTAAAAATTCCATCTTTTTTATATGATTACATCAATAATTTTTTCTTACACATGGAAATAATTAATTTATATGAATTAATTTTTTAATTTTAAGGCAAAATCGAACAATTTTAAACAAACAGCTAACTAAAGATATTGATAGAAATAAGATGATTGAATTCAAAAGATAATTTGACAGATGTGCTATATATAAATAAATATATTACTTATTCATCATTATTTTTATTACATTTCAATTTTTTTTTTTATTAATTACAAATTAAAATTATTTTTTTCTCACATTTCAATAAAATCACTATCTTCTTCCATATCGATGTCATCATCATCATCTTCATCGAAGTTGATATTTTTATATTTTTCTTATCTTTCTTTGATGTGCTAATTAATTTATTAATTATTTAAAAAAATATTAATTTTATCTTTTAATTTTCTTTATTCAAATTTACTTATTTGGCTGCATTGTCAAAGTCTTAGTCGACATCACTTTCTTCTGAACCCATAATGTCGTCGTTATCTTAACCTTCTTCTTCACTTTCACTGTCGCTTTCACTGACACTATCGCTAAATTCTTCTTCCTTTGATTTTTTAGAATTCTTTTTAGACTTAGGCTTTTATAAAATCTTTCTTTTATCTTCTTCTTCAATTGTATTATCACCTATTAAAGATCAATTGTTTTAAGTTATTAAATATTTTTATTAAAATAATAATAATATACCTTCTTCATATACAACGAGAGGCTTTCTCTTAGCTTCATCAGTAGAAGTGGCGTTAGTAGCTTCTTATTCGACTTTAGTCTAACGTCTTAAAGCTAATACCATATCGATTTTACCTCTGAGACCAATCAATTTATCAATATTTTTAGTTCTATTTTCAATTAAAACCATCAAAGGTTAGAGCTTAACATGAACAGAAGGAGAAGTAATTAAAATAGTAGAATGGTATTTGAGAATAGCTTTTAACCATCTGCCTAAATTTCTTCCTTTATATGGTAAACTGTTTAATCTTTCATATAATTTGTCTATAAGGATTATAACTTTAGTGCTGATCATACCTCTAACAGTTTAATCAATTAAATCCTCATTCTATTTATTTAAATTAAAAAAAAAATTCAATCAAATATTCTTTAAAAAAAAATATCAATTTAATGTATTCAATTATTTACATCTTTTTCTAAGCAGAAATCAATTAATTAAGTGTCATTGTTTTAAAGAGCTTGTAATAAGACGACAGCCAATGACTAGACAGAGTTTATTTCAGGGATTTTAGATTCATTGTTTGTATCAACCTTTTTAACATATTCTAAAATAGTTTCATTGTTGGCTTATTTGTCTTCTTCAGTCTCCATACCATTAAGGTTTTTGGTTTCAGTTTAGTCTTTCTCATTAAGTACATAAACTTCCTTTTCTTTATTATCGATTTCAGCTTGTTTGCTAACTTTAACTTCCTTCTTTGCGTTAATAGTAAGGATGCTTTTTTTAAATTCTTCAAAGTCGAACTTGTTGTCAGTAAAAGCTTTAACATTTTAGAATTAAACACTAACATTGTTTCCATATGCAACTGATATGGTAGATGTTTTAATAGGAGAGTGAGCAATATAGAGAATATTAGTTTGAGTCAACTTTATAGATTTATTAGAATTTTAAGTAACTTTGGTTTCATCTTATTGCTTAGAAATAGTGAATTCCCAAGTTTCAATAAAATCGTGGTGAAGAGCAATAATAGTAAAACTATTCTTTGAGGTATTCTCAAAGACAAAGTTTATTAAGTTTGACTTGGATAAAATGTTAACTGAATGGACAGGTTTTTCTTCCTTGATATTGTATATATTAATAAAGCCTTCATCAGAAAAGGAAGCAAAGTGGGTATTGTTTTTAGCTACTCTAATCATTTTAATATTTTTACTGTGTCCTTTATATTTTAAGATTTCGCTCTATTTGAATAAACAAAAGTTTAAATAAATTTAAACAAAAATATAAATTAATACATCGCTGACTGTATCTAACAATGTAAGCTTATTTTCATATGCAAATAAAACATTATCTTTCACAGGAGCTAAGACACCACTTTCCAATAAATTTTTTCTTTTAATTTCTTTAACATATGTAACCTATATTATTAAAATTATTATTAAAAAATATAAATAAATATTTTCTTTAAATAAATATCTCTCAACAGATAGATAGTGCTAGTTAATTAGTTTATTTATTTATTTATATTTTCATAAGATGTTAAATAATCTTTTTTAATTTTTTATGATATGCCAATATATAGCTCTCATATTAAATATAATTGCTGCTAAATAACTAACTAACTAACTTACTATCTATTTTTTGACATTTTTTGAAACAATAATTGCTCTTAATATATTAGTATAGTTAAATAATATATAAGTTACATCTTTTAATTGAAGGTCGTACTTGAAGAGCTTCTTATCAGAAGAAATAGTGTAAAAATGAGTGGAATCTTCATTGAATTTGATATCGAATACACTTCCTGTGTGGGCTGTAAATTTAAGATATAATTTTTTAGAAATGCGAATATCTTCTTTAATGATAATTACACTTAGCAAGGACACTTTATTCTTGGTTCTTTACATTGTAAAGAAGAATTTTACCCTAATTATTTGCAAAGACAACAATTTCTAATCCTTTTTTCTTTTAATATTTATTTGAAAATAAATTAATAAAAGACTGCTTTATGATTCATTAAATTTGGATGGTACCTTGGCCAAATCCAAAGATTCGATTTATGTGTTCAAAAATTCTTTTTATAACAATATCTTCTATTCTGTGCCATTCAAACAATTCCAAAGCTATTTTAAAAAAAATAAAATCGTTGATTGATTTGATGATATTTTATTAGTCTAAATTAAATGTTTTTAATAGTAGGATAAGATTCCTATTAACAATAGAAGCAAATTAAGCCTATAAAGATTTGCACAAAAGCATTATTTGTAAATATATGTTGAATTTTATTTACAGATGCTTTATTGTCCTAGTGGGCTAAGAGGAATTTGTCACAGTCTTTAGAAAAACTGTAGAAAACCTTTGATTCGATGCTCATTTACTATTTTTTAGTGTGCTATATTTGAGTAGAAATCTTAATGTCTTTTATTTATTTATTAATTTGTATTTCTTAATATTTTGTTTGATAGATGATGAATGGTTTATTAGTATAGATATTAAGATATATATATTTTTTTTGCTTTTTTATCTAAATAATAAATATGATTTATTTTTACTTTATTTATTAATTTTGGCTAATTTCATATTCATTCTGCATGCATCAAAATAACTAATTATATGTCCCAACCTATTTCTAGTTATTTTACTCATTCATTCATTCTTTCTTTATTTAATCATCCATCCTTCTTGCTAAATGTGCAAATTCTATTTTTTGTTTTACTCTACTTTGACTCCTCATTGTTCTTTTTCATTATATTTAAATCTTCTACTGAAAAATTTATTTGTTTATCATTTTATGAATTCTATTTCCATTTAAGTAAAATGTTTTAGCTTTAATTAATTTTTTTATTTTATTTGAAATTAATAATTTGAGTTATTAGTAAAATATTATTCATTAAATTTAATATATTTATTAATTAATTTTTTTAATTTATAAAATAATTTTCAAATGAAAAAAAAAAATTTTTAATTATTTGAATATCATTTAACATAAAATTTAATTATCTTTAAATAAATAACCAAATTTATTAATAAATAATTCAGAACTTTTTTAAAATTAAGTTATTCATTTTAAAAGTTTATGCAAAAATAAGTAAAAAAGCTATTTTAAAGAAATTTAAATATTTATTTACACTAAATTTTTTATTTGTAAGTAAATGTAATAATTTTTATAAATAAGCAAAGAAAATTTTATCAAATTTAAGAAATAAAATCTATTTACTTTATATAAAATAAATATCAAAAAAAAAAAATTATCCTAGATAATTTATAAATAAAAAAAGTAATTTAACTTAATTAAAAACTAAAAAAAATACATAAAATTATTCAAACAAACTATAATATTAAAAATTTGTTTATTTAAAATATATATCATATGATAACTTTCTAGAAGTATGAGTAGATTTAATATATGATCTATGATTAAAACTTACTTTTGTTATAAATTATTTATTTTAAGAAATAGAAATTATGTAATTTATATTTTAACTTAATAGTTGATTCTATATTTTTGTTAAAATGTTCAAATATTTTAGTTTGAGATTTTTAATTAAAGTATTAATAAGGAAATTAACTACTACTTGGTTGCTCGTAGCTAATAATGCTGCTTATAGATAATTAATTTTAAATTAAGAAGTATTTGTGATGGGAAATAATTAAAAAATTAAATATTTAAAATAAATGAATATAAAAAAATATACTATTTTTTGAAATAAAAAAGATATTTGCGAATTTTTAAAAAGAAAACAAATTTTTTTGTAAAATTAAATAGGACTTCTTTATATATTTACATTAATCCAAATAATATAAAAAAAACATTCAAAATCAGTTTAATATTTATTATATATTTATTAACAAAATTCAAAAGATATTAATAAAAGATAGATAGATTAATTAATTAATAAATAAATAGAAAAGAAAATGGAACAATAACAATAATAGGTCTCTCAAGAAGTCGTTCAATAATATAACAAGCTTAAGATGGAATATAGCGAACTCTTAAGAACTTCTATGGATATCGAAGAAGAAAAGAGAGAAAACTAGCTCGTTATTGAAACTATCAAGAATTTAGAAACTGAAAGAAGATGCTGGAGATTAGTTGGCGGTGTTTTGGTAGAGAGAACTTTGGGTGAAGTCCTAAACTCTCTCAAGGAAAATGTAGAATCCTTTGAAAAAACAGGTGTTAATTTCTCTACTGCTCTTAAAAATAAAGAAAAATAATTACTTGATTTTGAAAATACTCATAATTTAAGACCTAATAGAGACAATTTTGGTAAAAAAGATGATGGTACTAAAAAAAATACTGGTGTCTTAGCTTGATCGATCAATATGCATATATTTATGTATGTATACTATTATAAAGCTTAAATACTTTAATAAAACTAAAGTTTAAATTAAAATAAATTTGGTTGTATCCTTAAATATTGTCTGCCCTTTGTATTTTTATTCTGATTTATAATTCTTTCACAATTAACATTATTTATTCTGCATTAAATAATATGCTTAGCAAGCTAAAATTTTGTTAGCGAATTCAAAAAATTGAGCAAAAAAATTTATGAATGGTAAATGAAAATGAGATTGAATGAAAATTTTGGATAAATAATAAAATCATTAGATGAAAAAAATATTCAATTTATTTTATCGATTATTATAGATAGTTTTCATACAAAAATAGTAAGTAATTGATAATATTTGTGCTATTTTTAAAACTATCTATTTCTAAAATATTTTTTTTAAAAAAAACATCTTCTTTTTTATTTGTTTTACTTTTTTGAATTTTATGAAGAAAAATAAATGTCATAGATGTTCAAATTTTAAAAATAATTTACTAGCTTACATATTAATTTAATGATTCAATAAATAAAATAAATTCATCTTAATTCAATATTTAGAATGCTAAATTTTGCTAAATTCTCTGAAGAAAATATTCATTCTTTAAATATAAAAATGATTTACTAACAAGAAGCTAAATAAATAAAATAATAAAATATCAATAAAAAAACAAACATAAAATAGCTTTTGTTTGAATAATTTATGAAATAATGTTAATCTAAAAATAAAAATCCATCCAAAATGTTTTATTAAAAAATATATTTTTGAGTAATATTATATTATTCTTAATTAAGATGGAAATTATTTTTGAAATTAACTTGATTGTAAATAAAATAGAGATAAAATTTTTCGAATAATTAAATATATTTATATATGTTATAGTACCCTAGGGTACTGCCTTTTTCAAGACTACATACAAATAGAATACATATGTAAGTGCTAATATATTCAGTTATTATTCGTGTATGTAGCCTTGAAAAAAGTAGTACCCTAGGGTATTTTATTTATATATATTCAATATTTTAAATATCCTAATTTTTACATTAATTTTTTGAAAAGAATATTTTAGAATTTATTCTAAAATATTACTGATTTTAATACTAAAAAGTTAAATAAATCATTTTAACTTTATTAATAAAACTTTCTAAAGTATTCAACTCAAAAACACAAAAATGAAAAATAAATATATGATTGGATTATTGAATAAGAAAAATAATAACTTAAGATTGATAATAAATGGGTTGATTAGTATTTTTTGAAATAAATACAAATCATATATTAAACTACTTTGGTTGATAAATTTTAAATTAATTTAAAATACATAATTAATTACTTTTGAAATATTTTTAAACAAATTTATTACTTTTTAATCCTTATAGCAATCACTAATTTATTGAAGAAAATAGCAAATTATTTCATAAAATCATATTTTAAATTTGATATTTAATAAACTAATTTTATTTTTTAATTTTTTGAATATATTTTATTTATTTATTTTATAAATATTTCAAATGATTTTTAGAATTTATCAGAAAAATGTGGTGTTAAATTTTATCAAAATGTAACAAAAAATAAAAAAGTATTTAACCAATTAGTAATTAAAAAAAATTAATTGATTTGTTTGTGTTTCATTTCTATTTCTAATATCTTTAAAGAAAAAACAATTAAATAATACTTTATTTTTAGGATTTGATTAAGTAAACAATTATTTGTAAAAAAATTAATTACTTTCTGAATTTTTTTCTATCAATGACTAAAATTGTATCTTATAGACCATGTGAATCTCTATCTGACTTAATCGTAAATGATGAATTTCGCTATTAGCAGAAAGGTAAATTTTATTGAACGCTTTCACTAATACTCATACAATTTAAATATAGGTTATCATGTCATAACTTCAGCAATAATGATGTTTAGTTTTTTCTACTTTGTACCTGATCTGTTGCATACGTTTTGGAAATTCATCATTCCACTTGGATATTGTATAATTTTTAAAGCAATTTCTAATAATTAAAATTTAGATAGTTACAAAATATCTAAATTCATTTTATTTTTACAATCCATATTAGGGAAAAACGTATATTTAGTACTTAACATAATATTCCCACTGGTTAGTCATCTAATAAATAATCTCTTTTACTTTTTGATATATCGTATGAAGCATCCTTTCTTAGAAAAATACAGAATTCTGCAAGTAAAATTATTTTGCTCAATTTGAGCAAACAAGCTATTTAATTTTAAAATATATTTTCATTAACCATCAAGCTGCTTAATGATATTAGTTTACTGAAATTTTTTGATAATTTATTATTTTCATGTATAAATAATTAAATGATATATTAATTGATTGATTAATATATCATTAATAATTCTAAATTTTAATCACATTTTAAAATATTTTCGATTAAAAATGAATTAAAAATTGATGAAAATTAAATAAAATTAAAAATTAAACAAAAGCAACCTTGGCCTTGGGAAAAAAGTAAAGAAGAATGGATTCCATTTAGAAATCGTATGATCAAGTATATGTCTATGAATTTAATTTTAATAAATATTTCTCTGGTGGTGATTGAGTATCTTCAAGGTGTTGATCATTACAATTATGCTATAGAAAACTTGCCTTCTAAAACATAATATTTTCTGTAAATAGTGTTTTTTATGATAGCTGAGGATTTCTTCTTTTACTTCTCTCATAGGTTCTTCCATTGGAAGCCTATGTACAAATTTCATAAAATTCATCATGAGCATTACAATGCTTTTAGCTGCACAGTAGCTTACACTCATCCTGTAGACTACTTTTTTGGAAGTGTCTTACCTTTTGTTAGTGGATTTAAGATATTAGGTCACAGAAGCCACTTTTCTGTCTATATATTTTGGTAATATTATGTATTAAATTCCATATGTAATACTTTTTCTTCTTAAATAAAGGTAATTATGGAGAATCTTAGAAACCTATGATGGCCATTGTGGATACGAATTCCCTTGGGCAATGTTTAGAATATTCCCATTCAGTGGATCTTCTGACTATCACAATTTCCATCACTCAAAAAACATGGGAAATTTCTCTTCATTTTTTACATATCTTGACTCCATTTTCAAAACAAACAAAGATTACCTTTTGTTTAAATAGTCTTAAAAAGTAAATTAAAATAAAATAAAATTAACATTCAAAATTAATAAATTATCTTATTTAGTAAAGTAAGACATAATGAGTATCTCACTAGTAGTTATAAGTTGGCTATAAAAATCTTACTATTTTACCAAATAATATAAATTATAAGAAACTATTCATTTATATTGCTATTGTTGAAATTATTTTAAATATTTGTAAAGTTCCTTATCATTAAATACAAAGAATTGGTTTGAATTCACATTTTAGCCATTAAATAAATAAATAAAAAAAAATAATAATATTAAGAATGATAAAATAAGTAGTAATTGTATTAATATTAAAACTCAGAAAGCGAAAAGCCAAAAAAGCCTATTTGCTAAGGAATTAAATTTTTTTAAATATTACATATTAGAAAAAAACACCTAAGACATTAAATTAGACTTTTTTATTTTAAAAATTATTTTTTTTGCCTTTTATGTTAATTAATATTGATTTTTTTTTTATCATTTAAAAATTATTAAATAAATAAACAAAATCATATTTACAAATTTCATATTTATTTTTAAAGTTTTTCCTATTAATATTTAAACTTTTTAAGTTTTAATTTTTAAAATTAGCTTTCTTAGAGTAAAATTTTCAGGTACATTTTTAGTAGTAATATTTATTATTAACAAATAAGTGTATCAATTCATGAATTAGCTTGGAATATCACCAAATAATAAATAAATAAATTAATAAACTGTAGATTATTAAATTACCATTTAATTTTATAAAAAAATCCATAAAACAAATATTATACACTAAAAAAGTTCTTAGATAAAAATTATTGTCATTTTGCCCTTTTAAAGAGAAAAGAGTATCAAAATATTTGAAAAATTACTTTAAAATAAAATTATTACGTTTTTTCTAAATAAAATAAAATACCAATTAAATTAGAAAGTAAAACTATAATATTCGAAATAATATATTGCTGACATTAACTAATATAAATTACATTTATTTATTTACTTGCATCTTGTTTACTTGTTTGTTTGTTGTTTATTTTTGTTAAAAAATCTATATTAAAAAAGTCATCAATAAAGAAAGTAATTATAAGCAAATACCTCAAGACAAAGTATATAATAAAACACATACATATCTCTATATTTACTTAAAATATATTATTTAATTTTCAAATCAGAAAACAAGAGCTAAAACGAATAAGAGTAAAGCAGATAAAGATAAAAGAGAGCCACTAAGCTTGCTGGTACAGCCATTCATTGAACTAACATATGAGGAAAGATCACTACTTTATCCAGTTGCAGTAGTACCACAGGTATTAACACAACTGTTAAAGTCAGAATATGAGGTTTTAGACATACAACCACCATAGCATGACATATAAGCTGTTAGAGCAGTGCCACAAGCAGCTGCATTTGATGAAGCACTACAAGGGGTTTAAGTCATGATAGGTGCAGTACAAGTGGAATAGTTTTAAAGAGCAGTTTAATTAGTGGTAAAAGTAGGAACATATGAACTACTTTGTGCATTAACTGAGCTTAGAACAAGAAGGGATACTAAGATAAGAGCAGCAGATTTCATTTTTTTTTTAAGAGGTGAATTTAATTATTTATTTATTTATCTATTTATTTTTTTAATTATGTAATTTTTTATAAACTGTTAGCAGCATTTGAATTTGAAGTTTTCTTTTCAAACTGGCTATTTTTTTCACATTTCTTTTTAATTTTGATAAATAAGATAGATACTCTTGGGTGCATGTTAATTTTTTATTTTATATTAATGAAATTTTGATTATTTTTTGATATGTATTGATGTAATTTTAAAAGCAATTTTATCAAATTTGTGTAATGAATTACATATAGATAATTAACTGTAATTACAAAAGCACAAATATATTTAAGGATTATCAATTTTTTGTATTTTTTAACATTAATTTTATCATTTTTATTTTTAAAAAACAACAAAAAAGCTATTCTAATATTTTATCATCAAAAATGTTTTACATATTAAAATGAAATGTTTAAGTAATATGCTTTTTTTTATATTTGTAATTTAACTTTTAAATAATTTTAGAACCGAGAAATTAATCAATCACTTTTTGTCTATTTTATACTTGTGATGATTAAATTTCAAGAAGTCAAGTAAAAAATAAAGGATAAGTATATTGCCTGAATTTAAATTTATTAAAAATAACTTATTTTACTTTTTTTTAAATTTACTCTATTCAAACATATTTTTCTCAATTTTACAAATACATTTTATCTAAACGAAAAGCTTTTTTTTCATTAAATGAAAGATGAAAAATTTGTTAAGTCAAACATTTAAAGTAAATAGATAAGTTTAACTATCGATTAAAGGGATTTTCATTAGAAAATGATAATAATTTAATAATATAAAAATCGATAAATCATGTATATTTATTTTATTTGTTTTGAAATTTTAATGAAAGTAAAAAAAAATTTAAATAAATTTTCGAATGAAATAAATAAAAATTATGCTCCACAGTAAAAGTTGCTATAGTTGTAAATTAAGGAGAGATAATAGATCTATATAATAATAAGTTATCAAAGAATTAGAAAAAATAAATAAATTCAAAATTTCATAAATAAATTTTTTAAATGTGATAAAATTCTACATTATTTAGTTTAAAAATAAATAGATAAATTATTTTAAGGTTTACTGCAAAATATAAAAAATGTATTTATTTAGTTTAAATTTTAAGAAGAATATTGCACAATAAATATTAGTTCGCTTAAAATTGTCAATTATTTGAAAACGAAAATGTGCATCTATCTTCAAGCATAATTCATAAAATTATAGTCAACCAATTAAATTTTGATATATATAAGTTTTTTTAGGAAACATAAATGCTTATTTGATAAAATATTAGTTGTGAACATAAATATATAATTTTTTGATTTGATTAAGAAAAGCCCCCAGTGATGAAGCTAGTATCAACTGGAAGCTGCTAATTAAATTTTTGGTTAAGTTACTGACTTCAATTTTAAAAGATAGTTTCAAATTAATTTTACCTCATTATGATGTCAATAATAAATAAATAACTGTCTGTGTTATTAAAAGTATACCAGAATTTTAAAATATTAGTAACAATCAAATAATCCATCCATGTATGGTTAAGATTATATTACAAAACTTGAAACTTTGTTTATTTTTTTAAAAAAATATAGTTAATAGCATTAGCAAGCGTCCAAAAGATGGCATAACTTCGAGAAAAATTTAAATGATACAATTTTCTAATTATATGAGTTAATTCATTCAAAAATTTACCCATAAAATTTCAAAATTTTTTAAGAATTAACCTTTAATCTAGAGATAATTTTTCAATAAAATCATTTAAAATTCAATAAAACGCTGCTACATATAATAGCGTTACCGTTAATTTAAGCTTTTTAAATATCATTTGAAGTATTTATTTTTTATTTTTAAAGTAGAAAAAAATGTTTCATTGATAATTCATATGAATCACTTAAGATTCCAGTCAAATTATCTTCCTTAACTAAAAAATACAAAAAATATATAACATTTTCTAGTTTAAGGCAGTTAAAAAACTTGATTGTATAGTTAATTTTAATGCTTGTTAGAAAATATTTCTATTTGATTCAGTTAATATCGTTTATTTTTCTTAAAATGATTCATCTTTAAAAAATGAATTGCCTTTGTCCTTTATCAATGAATCTAGCTTTTCGTTAATATAATCTGAAACAACTATTACTAAACAAACAATTTTTGGGTGGGAGATATTGAAAGAGAAAAAGATCACTTAGTTACTTTATATAATTAAAAAAAAATCATCATCAATAAAATTTTATCATCTGTAAATGACTCAAAAAGTAATTGTCGCTGATTTTGATTATTTTTAATAAAACTTATTTCAGGTTTATTATCAATAATTTTTATTAAATTCAAGTTAAAACAAACAAGCAAGCAACAATCTTTTTTATCAATCAAATTCGATCAAAATTAAAACATAAATTAATAAAATTTCTAACATTTTTCCCAACTAAATTCACAAAGAGTTATGAATTTTTTTAATCGAGGGATTTAAACACAAATCAATACAAATAAGTAAATGATAAACCAAGCAAATTTTCTTCTAAAACATAAAATTTTGTTACTACAAAACCAAATTTAAATAAAAATTGAATAAATTTTTCACTAGCTATCTAAATTTATATTCAATCATACTTTAAAGGAAAATCTCTAAATATTACACCTAAATTTTTATTAAATAAAAATTAAGCTTATACTAGAAATACTTTCAATCCACAATGAAATATATTTTATGAATTATTTCATATTTAAAAAATATATAATATATGCATAGTTGTTAAACGCTCAAGTGTAACATACGAGTTATTTAGTTTAAAATTAAAAATCAATTAATAAATATAAAAATAATCAATCTATACTCTATTTATAACTTTCAACTAATTTGTCTCTACCTAAAAAACACAAATTATATATTAACTATTTGAGGAAAATAAATGATCTAACTTTTTATTTATATAATATATCTAAATTTAGGCAAATAAAAGTTAAGCGAAAGTGAGAGTTAATTATTTTTAAAATAACTGCTTGCATATTTTAGCTCATTCATTCATTTATTTTTAATTATTGAAAAATTATTTTTGTTTTTTAAAAATTATTGACTTACAAAGTGCACTCAATAATTTTTCTTTTTACTTATCTATTTATTTGATATTTTTCCTTCTATGATAACTTATTAGAATGTGCATTATCTATAATTCTAAGCATAAATTTTGTGAAAAATAAATTAGCTCTAAGAAGTTGTTAATTCGCTCAACTTGAATATCTTCAAAAATACTTTTGTCATTTAAATATAAGTGTGAAAAACTTAATCTTCAAATCTTTAATCATTTATTTGCTTAGTTAGCCAGTTTCTATTATATTTATAAGTAAAGAATATACTGTGAATTCATTCATATAAATACATATATTATTTAAATAAGTGGTTTTAAATTAAGTCATAAACTGTTTTTAGTCATAAAAATGGGGGGCGAGCGTAAATTACGCAAATATGAGAATCTATAGTAAAGTATTCATATCATATAGTAAACAAAAATATTTACAATTCATGATTAGCTAGCAAACATGTTGTTAGTAACATAGTTAACTAAAATTTATCAAAAATAATTGAAAAGTAATATTTTTTTAAAAGAAACTTGGATAAAAGTTATATTATTTTATGGAAAAACTAGTTTCTCTTGCAGTCGTTTATGAATTAACAATCGATACATATTGCATTTTATTATTTAGATTCCTATTTCAACTTTAAAATATATCACCATTATTGTCTTATTTTTATCAAAAGCTTTGTATTGATTCTACGAAATATAACTCAAGTAGAACTATTGACAGATAAATGAATAGGTATATAGGTTAGTAGATGAATATGAACAACATATTTGAATATAAATAAATCGAAATATTTATGAATTTTTAAAAATTAGTTAATAAACACTTGTTTTATTATATCATAGTATATATTTAATATTCCTTAGGAATCTCCTTTTGAAGAAAGTGAAAATTAAAATAAAATTACAAGATTGTTTCAAGTAAATATGCAACTGACAGAACATTTTTAAATTAATTTTGAAATAAAATATAAAATAAAACCATTTTTTAATGATGAAAGGCAAATAATAAAAATTTTAAATTTGAAAATTATATTGAAACCTTTTTATAATATTTTCTAAATTTAATAATTCATCCATTGAATCTCACCGTTTTTATACTAAAATGCACGATTGCTACAAAAAAGTCAAATAACTAAATTATTTAATAAGGTAAATTATTAATTTTTTTTTTTTAAGACATAATAAATAATTATCATGTGTTTAAATGGAAATTCTGTCTTACATTAATAATTTAATATAATTCAAATTAATAAAAAAAGAAGAGGAGGATAATTTAAATATTATTGGAGTTTTCATGATAGAAATTCAATCATTTAATTTCTTTTTTAAGAACATAGAGTAGAATCAGAAGTGATGATAGTATTACCAGAATCATTACTACATTATTGAAATTGTGAGAAAATATTTTTTAAGTATCACTAATTTTAGCAAGTGAAGTAAATATTTTAAATACCTTACCATTAATTACTTGGGGCCAGAAAAACCTAAATAAAGATTTAAACTATTAATCAAGAAACTTAATAAGCCTTCATTATATTTTTAAGCTGCTGATTAATTAGTAATAAAAAGAGGATTATTTATTTACATAAATAACTAGGAGATGCAGGAAATATATTAAGTTTAGTAATAAAACTAACTATAAAGTGAATTATTTATATATGTGGTTGGAGAAAAATGACCTGCGATTGCTGTATTATCACAATTAGTGTTAAATTTTTAAAAATCAAGAAAAATAGTCTTTTAAATTAAATTCATTAAACAAAAAGCTTATTCAAACAAAGTATTCGCTCAACCATTATTGTTTCAATCTTCAGAAAATAAATGGATTAGAATTTGAATTATGAAAATTTTTTGTAAATTTTCCATTATCCTCCACAGCTGATTAATTATCCGTAAATATAACAAGAGATTATCCATTAACACAAATCAATAATGAATATGACAGAAAAGGAAAGAAACAATTTTTTCAATCTCATTTTATAAAATTTTAGATTTCTTATTAATACTATCAATTACTATTTAAGCTTTAAGATATTATTTTAACTTTCTAAAGTTTTATGTAATTAAAATTGAATGTTACTAAAATAAATCATACCAAAATCACCTTCAATGTTGATATTAAAAATTTAAAAAGGTTTTTCTATTTTATCAATAAAATACCAATGATAAGTAAAAGGATAAAAATCTTTTATTACATCATTGCTATTCATGTTTAAATATTTTTCTTTATTATCTCTCAACTTCTTAGTAGGGCATTATTTTTTAGGTCAAAATAGTCTCTTTATAAATTTGATCAAATGAAGGTTTAGTTTACTTAATGGATTATTCAATTATCTTCAGATATTATACTCTCTCAGTGCCTTTATTAAATTTAACAATTTTATTTATGTAAATGATTTTATGCTTTTTACCAAGAAAAAACTTATATAAATTTTAACTAGAATTATAGTTGTGAATATTTTAAATATGAACTATATTTATTTTTGTATCTTAATTGATAATTGATTAGTGTATCTATCTTTCTAATTTATTAATAAATAATTATATTTCTCACTTCTTTTAAAAAGAGTAAATAGAAAAGTAAATATTTTTAGAGTAGGATTGTTATTAATTACTAAAAATGTAAGGATTAAGCAAGCGAATTTTACCTAAGCTAATTGTTTTCGATCTTGATATGTGCTTATGGAGTCCTGAAACCTATGTTTTAGACGAACAACCCTCCAAGAAAATAATAGGTAAACTTGGAAATATTGGAGAAGGTGTAATAGGAGTGTAATGCGGTTCTTAAACTTTAAAATTATTCCCTGATGTTATAACAATCTTACAAGATTTTTACAATAATAAATATCCAGAAGTTAAATTAGCTATAGCTAGTTCAGCAGATACACCATTTGCAGTTTAAATTGCAAAAAATGCGTTAAATATGCTAGAAATTCTACCAGGAGTAACCATTAGATAAGTTATTTAAAAAGGATGGTAGGATAATTTTGATGGGCATATTTAAATTGGAAGAACTCCTCCACTTTCCTCAAGAAAATCCAAGTCCCATTTCCCCCTGCTTTTAAAAAACACAGGGATTGCATACACTGACATGATTTTCTTCGATGATTGTAACTGGGATGATAATTGCAAACATGTAGAACTAGATTGCCCAGGAGTTGTTACATAAAGAACTCCTAATGGATTACAACTTCATGAATGGAATAAAGCTCTAGATAACTACTAAAAGAAACAAGGAGCATAATAAGATAAAAAGTGATATAACTTTGTTTGTATATTTGAAAAGTAATTACCCTTTTTTATATATATAAAATTATTATTTAAATTGTAAATATATATATTGATTGAATAATTCGAGATTAAATTAATAAGTAAATTATACATCCAATAAAATTCATAACAGATATAAATAAAAAGAAAATTTCTAAATCATTGATCTTCGTATTTCAAAATGTATTGTGAATTATTTAATTGAATATTTATTAAATAATTTGGTTGATAATAGTAAACAAACAAACATTAAAAAAATAAAAAAATATATTAGATAATTATTTTATAAATAATATAATTTTTTTATACATAAACTGGATACTGATTATTTTTTAGATATTATTTATATTATTAATTGAATGGAAACTAATGAATGAGTATTGATACTATAAATTACTTTATATTTTAAATTGATAAAATTTATAATATAAGATAACAATAATATTAAAAAACATGATTATTGAAAATTATGGTTAAAAGTTTCATAATTCATCTTATAATTAGATATTTTAATTTTAGTTTTAAAAAATTTTTAATTTAAAATAACAATATAAATAAATACAATGAGATTTCATATTAATACATATAATTAATTTAAAATAATTTTTATTAATTAATAAGTTTAATAAATCTAGAGCAATATGCCAAAGAAAAATTTAGTGGTTTAGATTCCACTAAAAATTTCATTCTAATTTTAATAAATAAAATAAGATTTCATATAAAGACATATTATTAATATAAAATAAATTTTTATTAATTAATAAGTTTAATAAATAAAGAGCAATATGCCAATGGAAAATTTATTGGTTTATATTCCTCTAAAATTTTAATTCTAATTTTAGTTTTAATAAGATTTTAATTTAAAAGAGTTGTATAAATAAATAAAATAAGATTTCATTTAAAGACATATTATTAATTTAAAATAGATTTTTATTAATTAATAAGTTTAATAAATATATAGCAATATGCTAATGAAAGATTAAGTGGTTTATATTCCACTAAAATTTTTATTCTAATTTTAGTTATAATAAATTTTTAATTTAAAAGAGCAATATAAAGAAATAACTAAATACAATAAGATTTTATATAAAGACAGGCATATAATTAATTTAAAATACATTTTTAATAAGTTTATTTAATAAATATAAATAATATAATCAAAATCAATTTAATTTTTAAATATTGTTTTTAAACTTTCAAATTAATCTGTTTTCATTATAGCATTTTTCACACCTGTCAAAGTCGCATGCTTAGCATTTATATGAGCCTAAGCCTGTGTCTTTTAAATTTTATTTACACACATCACAACTGAAATTTTATGCTAAAAAACTGGTACAATGTTCCAAAATATGACCTTTGTTACATAATCCTTTAAAATTTTATGAGCAAAACTATGCTAAAAGCTTAAAATTATTTTCTAATTGCATGATTTTTTGATTTTACTCATCATTTTGTTTTACTTGTTTTTCTAATTCACATATTCTCTAATCCATTTACAAGATTTTTTCTTTCAATGCTTGATTCTCTTACTAAAGCTATTATGGTAAGTTGTTTGCTGTTAGTAACATTTGAGGACTTTAAGTATTTAAAGTGTTTTGAAAATCTTATTATGGAGCAAACATACTCTTGTAATTATTCTAAGAAGTTGATTATTGATTAAATATATTTTGGGTATTTTAAAATATACTTTTTTATTGATTAGATGATACTTATTCTTATTTATTGTTTTTATTTAAATCATTCAAGAAATTTAGAGATGTATTTTAATTTGTTTAAAACAATCCCATTTTTTAATTCTATGTTTCTAATTGCTAAACTGTTTAAGCAGGTTGACAAGTCAAAGAATTTTAGGTATTCTAATTTTGCTAATTGTTCTAATTAATATTGTTGAGAAATAAAGGTGATGAATTTTGTCCTGTTTAGAATAGTGACACTTATTATTATGATGTTTATATATTTAAACCATTCTTAGAATTAGTTTAAGATGTATTAAATAAGCTTTAACCAACAGGTTGTTATTGCTGAGATGAAATAGAAGTATTTGGAAGAGAAAATAATCCTTGAGGTTGCTATAATGTATTTTTTTAAGTTTAAGTTTGAATTTATGCAAACATTTTACAGATATAGATCAAATTTTTTTTATTGAGTAAAGTAATTATTTTTATTAAATTGTTTATGATATTTTTGATTAATTTATTTTTCTTTGATTACTTTTAAAGTGAAGTTATATATTAAAAATTTCTTGTCTCCTTTAATTAATTTTTGTCTATCTTTATTTGATTCTGATAAGTAAATTAAATTTTTGATACAAATAAAAGCTTGAATACAAAATTTCACCTTCATTTTTCTTTCACTTGTCTCCAATAAAAATAATCTATACTTAACTAAATACTTACTTTTCCACCAAAAACTAAAAATCTGATAATTCTAAAAATATTTCAATTAAACCAATTAATTATTTTTAATATAAATTAATTTAATTAGCTAAAACATTAGATTAAGAGATATTAAATAAACTAAATAGCTTCAGATCAATTAGATTAAGGGATATTAAATAAACTAAATAGCTTACTAACTTGAATATTTTTTAAGAGTATTTAAATATAATTTTTGCCTAAATGAATGCAAGTAATGTAGCTCTTTTCATTTTATTTATTAAGTTTTTCAATAAAAAATTTTTAAAATTAATTTATGATTAAATCAATATAGAATTAATCTAATGTAAAACAGTATCTTATTTATATTATGGATACTTCAATATTTATTAGGTATTCATTAATATATATCTTATTTTACAATTTATTTTACCATGCATGTACTTCTTTAATTTAAAAATATCATTAATTTTCCATTAAATAAGTAAAATTTTATCAATCCATTAATTCCATATATTTTCATATTTAAATATAATTATTTAAATTATAGCCATCTAATTTTTTAGATTATACCTCTTTATATTTTTTAATAAGCCTTTTTTAACAAATAAATATGAATTCAAATATTTTTGTTTAACAGTATTTCAACTTTGATATAATTTTTACCTAATACACTGGAAAATAAATTAACCATTTTCATTTTATTTATTCACTAACTGTATTTTCTATAATAATTGGTTCTTACTTAATTAATTTTATCAATAGGTTCTATCAAATTTATAATAAATGTTTGAATATTTATTAGGCATTCATAAAAAAAAAAGTATCTTATTTTACCATACATGTATATATTTCTTTAATAAGTATAAAAAGAAGATTTTTAATTAAAGTTATTAATATTTATATTCATAAGTGTTTATAAATAAGTATTATAAAACATCAATGTACCAGCTTTAAAATTATGGTCTTCTTACTAAATATTTTTGAATATGTTAAAAAAAATATGTTTAACTGAATTAGCCTTTTCTAATTAATAAATATTAAATTTATATTTTTCAATTTCAGAAAAATTTTTGGGTAAAGATATGCAACATTAAATAATCACTTTTTCATTTTATTTATACAGTAACAGTATTTTCCACAATAATTGTTTCTTAATTAATTTCTGATTAATCAATAGACACTATCTAACTAAATAAGAACAAAATGTTTAATATATCTTACATTACTATTTATTTTACTATTCATTTATTTTTTCAATATAAAAACAAATTAAATAAGATATAAGTAAATAACTTGTACCAAACAAACAAACAAATAAATATTATAAATAAACAAGTATGTAAGTTTTTAAAATAATTTTCTTAAGCATTAAGTAAAAACATATTTTTAAATAAAAAATTCTAACTTACAAAAATTAAATCAATATTTTTTCAAAGTATTTCATTTTCAGTGTAATTTCTACCTAAATGCAAGGAACATAAAGTAACCCTTTTCAAATTATTTATACAGTAACAGTATTTCGAATAATAGTTATTTCTTAATTAATTAATTTCTGATCTAATCAATAAGATCTCTCTAATTTTAAACAAATTTAGAAATATATCTTATTTTTACTATTTATTTTACATTCATAAGAACATTTTTTATTAAATATTTTTTCATCCAACTTTTTTTAAAAAAACAATTTTAAACGAACAAGATTGCTTTTAGTTTTTTAGATTACATTAAAGCATCTTTTTTTGAAAGCAGATATTTGAAAATTTTTTTGTGTCAAATGTTTGATGGTTGAAAATAATACTGAGTTTAGATATTTTATAAAAATGAAAAGAAAATTTTATTGATTACACAAACTGAAATCTATGTCTTTAGCTTTTTTTACTATTGTTATCAAATATCAAGAGAAGCTATTTTAAAATATATTAAAAATTGATTTGGGCTGAATAGAGAGTTATTATACATTGGTTAGCATATTTTTTTATTAATAGAGTAAGTCGCTTTTATTATATGTAAAAAAATAAATTCATATTCAAAGAAGAAATAGAAGGTCACTGCTTAATAAAAAATCATTTGATTATTTTAATTTCGATTACAAATATTTCTTTGATATTTTCCCAAAAAATAAATAAATCCTCACTTTAAAATTTTTTTTTAATGAATTTCCACTAAGTTAAACTAAATTGTACATATTATGCTAAATTCAAAATTTTTTAGGTTAAAAAAGAACTATTACAATTAAAAATATTTCAAAATTAATTTGAGTGTAACTCATAAAAATAAGGATTTTTATTCAAATATCAATTGGTTTTTTCAAAAATTGCATGCAACAAAAATTAAAAAGAAATATTCCTGTGCTAGTATACTATTTTTTAACCTTAAAATAATATTTATGTAAACTGTACATTGTAACAAATGTAATATCACTGCCCAATAGAACTGTTAAAGCTCAGTATTAGGCCTGAAATCAATTTAAAGCTTTAATAATCTAAATTTTAGGCTTGTAAAAGGTTAATGCATATATGTTTGAATGAATGTGAATTATACTAAAAAATATGATAAAGATTACTTTTACAAAATAATTGATTATGTTATAATGATGTTTTAATTCATTCACAAAGATAGATCTCATTTGTAATATATTAATAAATAAATAATTTACCAAAATCACAATTATTCCATTAAAAGGAAATAAATAAGAGGTCAAAAATTTAGATTTTTTACTTTTACTAAGTAGGAGAAATAAACCAAAAATGATGCTGCTCAAAGATTTGGATTTGTTTAACAGCCCTTTTGAGTTTAAATTCTTTAACTAAGATAAGAAAATTAAGAATATTCTCATCAGATTCTTTTTTTCGATTATCCTGATTAGTGCTACGATATCTTTTTTTGCTTATCTCTTCCTCCTCTACTTTACCAATTAAATTAATCCTATTTTTTAATCGCAACCATTTTACACCAATGAAGAAAATCAGCTTTTACTTGATAATAATTATTTTGGATTCTAGTTCGTTTAGCATTCAATAGTTTCATAAACTAATAATTTTGTATAGTAAAATAACTTGGTCTTTGTTGCGTCAATTCTTATTAGAAATTAGTCAGGATCGCGCCTGATTAATCTTAAAACACTAGATTGCACGAATCATAAACTAAATGGATATAAATGTATTGACTTTCAGAATTAAGAGCTGCTATAAGTTAACAAGTTATCAGGAGAAGAAACTCTCCTGCAACTCAGAGCTTATAGATGCAGCGAAGTTGATAAAATCAAAACATAAGTAACTAATAATTGCACTTAAATAAGTGCAGATGACTTTCTAAAACAAACAAACTATACACCTTAGATACAGATTAATTTATTAACATTTTAATATAATACTACAAGTTAAAATATGTAAAATAATTATAAGACAATTACACTATCTCTCAAAAATAATATTTAACTAAACTCATAAATCAGCACAACTAAACAAATTTTAAATATTCAGAAAGGTCTATTTTGGTAAGAGGATTTGATATATGAAAATCCATCAGATTATTAAATTGAAAGCACTGTTTACAGTAATTTTAATTTAGACAGTAACTTAATAACTGATAGCAGTATTGCTCTTATAGAAATAAAGCTAGATAATAAAATACAATACAGTAAAATAAAATTTGCTTCTATTGTTGATATCGTAAAAGAATTTAACAGTTTAGCTGTATTAATAGTATTCTTAATAGCAATTGGAAGGTATTTTGTTAGAAAGCTAATGATAGAGGACATCTAGTTGGTATTTTTAAGACATATTTACTAAAATACTTATCTAAATTAGTTAGACCTGAATTAAATCTTCCGTAAAAGACAAATTAGAAGTCTCAAGCCTCAGTCTCCAGAAGATTTAACAGAGAAGAAAGAAAGCATAAATATTCCATCTATTGTAACAAAAAGCAGAAAATATTTAGAACCCTTCCAGTACATCTCTAAAAATATGCAAGATTCTATAGTAGAAGGGAATGATTTTAAACATTCCTATATTTTAGGAAATACTTTTGCTAATAACCAAGCAGGAGACTTCTAAAAAAAAGATATATTTGAGAATACTGTAAATAACTATATTAATTCTCCTTCCAAAGAGCCTATTTTGACAAACCCACTCTAAGAATAAATTTTACAACTCAGTGAATCCTCCTTTCTACCAAACCCAAGCTCAAATATAAATTAAAACTAAAATGGAAATGGAAATTATAACTTAAATAATACAAACAATCATTTGACTAAAATTGCAAGCCATTAAAACTTAAATAAATCTTCAAAGTACATTAAAAAGGATATCTCTATTATTCCTGTCAGAAGAGAAAGCATAAAAGTAAAAAATAACCCACTAAGTCCTTTTAAACTTACTCATTCTATTAAACTTAAAGAGAACTCCAACAATTAACAATCGATAGTCAGCAACATATTCTCAAAAAACAATCTCGGCTAATCAAATTATTATTTAAAAACATAAAACAAATTGGACTCAAGAGGAGATTAAAACTTAGACCAAAACAATCCATAAGGAATCAGTTAATTTTGTGTTCTAAAACTTGAAAATACTGAGTCTTGTGCAGATAACCTCTATGCCCTTTAAAATAAAAATTTTGGCTCAAAGCTAAAAGAAGTTATCTTCAAGATATGGTAAGATTTATTTTTAATTATTTATTTTAAATATTAAACTAAATGTATGAAAACTAGGAACAAGCCTTAAAAAAAAGGAACTGAAGAGTGGAAAAAAACTGAAAATTTACTCAAAAAGCAAGTCGAAAAAAACTTAGATATCCTTCAAATATACAAAGATTTAATTATCTTAAAAAAAGCTATTATGCTTCTTCTAAGCAAAGAGCAATATGCAGCTCTTTTACTAACAGGCTGCTCCATAAACTAAAAAGACTTATCAAACCCTCAGAACATGACTGATCAAACATTCAAAAATCTGAATGATAGTATTAATTTATTTTAAAATAGTATTTATATTTTATCAATTAAAACTTTGAAAAACAGATTTGATATTTCTTAAAAATGCTCAATTTTTATTTTTATTTAAAATATTTTTGGCTTTATTATATTTATTTATTTTCTTTAATTAAAAATATAGTTTATACTTAAACAATACCTCAAGAGTATACTGCAAATTAAATAAAAGGGAAATCTTACCAACAAATTATGTACGAGTCATAGCATAATAAAATGATGGAAAATTATAAAGGTTAATAAATATTTGGTCATTTAGACGAATAATTTCAAATCTATGAATCAGAAAAATGGCAATTAAAATATTTGAAATAGTTTATTATGAAGTGTAAAGACTCTTAAAATCTGTCTGAGTTAGACAAAAGAATTTTGTCATCTCTTACACTCTGAGTCAATAAAAATTAAATAACAATTTGTACTTGAAATAATTTTAAATAAGTATTTGCAAAATTTAAAGCTTAAGCTTTTATAAAAAAATTATCAATTGAAATTATCGTTAAACAAGTGATATTAAATGTATTTAAAAAAGTAATCTAAATTTTAAATTTATGAAATAGTTATTAGGGCTATTATATTTTATAAACTCTTTGAAATAGTTTTTTTATAATGATTGTATAGAAGTAATTGATAAGGTTTAAAATTCAATTTTTTTGAAAAAGAATAAAAGTTTTTTGTTAAAAACAAATTTAAATATTCAAATTCAACTTAAAAAACTATTTAAATTGCTTATTCATTGATTAGAAAAAACATAATTAAGAAGTTTTATCTATAAGATTGCGTTTTTGTCATCAAAGTTAATTAAAAATTGGTGAATAATTTTTATAATTAATTATAAAAAATTCATTACACTTTTTATTATCTTTTAGGCTATCATAGACGCATTCAAAAGAAGTTAGTATTAAAGTTATCTTTGTTAAAAAAATATAATCAAACACTGGTGAATTATAAAAAAATTAAATAATTATAATAAATTTTTAAGCTAATAATGACAAACTTAAACACATTAGATATTTATCAGAAAATTAAACAGACTATTATTATTGCAATTTTCTAAAAAAATTTATAAAATTTACGCAATTAAAATATTTGAAATCAACTTATAAGCTCAAGCAAATTAAATTTATGATATTTTAATATTAAATAAGCTTAATTAAGTAGAATAATTTCGCCATTATTTAAAGAAATAAAAATTTAGTATTAATTGAATAATAAATTCAAAAATCCAAACAAAGTAAAAAAATTAATTTATTTTTTAGATAATAATTTTTATTTTATTATTAATATTATTTTATATTAATCTAACTTAAATTAAGACTGCTTCCAATTGTAGTTATAGTTCTAAATATTTCTTTTTATTAATTTTATTATTCATAAAAAAGTTATTTGAAGCTAGATAGAGATTAAATTTATGCTAAAAATACTTACAGTCTTATAAAATTTTAGTTGATTTTCCTCAAATTTTTCAATTTATGTTTATAAACAGTCAGGGTCTCTATTAGATCAATTTCGAAAAAATTATAAAAATATTGTTATAAATTAATCAAATAATTGAGCTTGAAAATCAATTAATTATCATCAGTGATATCTATAAACAATTAATTAATAATTATATCTTTAAAAACAATTAAAATATAGATAGATTTAGATTTAGAAGACAAAAGCATAGATATATCGTGTAACAAATGAATGGAAAAGAGACAATAATCTGTAATTGTTTGCTGTACACGTTCATATTTTATAGTGCAGTGATTCGCTTGTTCTGTGGAAGCTTCGATACAAATTTAGACCAGAAGCAATTCCCAACAATAAGGTAAAAACCATTTGAAGTGGTCACTGAGATATTAATTTAATTAGAACAAGATAATTGCTCTGACGATTATGTTTCATTAGCTCGTTTTGACTGGTAAAGCTTGCAAAACAAATATTTATGTAAAGATGGTAAAATTTACTAAAACAATCTTAACTCTCTCAAGGATTGCTTAAAATTAGAAGATTTTTCTCTGAAGTAAATGAAATTTTTTGGCTTAAATGAATTGAACAGCAGATTAACTTAAAAATTTTTAATTTGTGGTAAACTTGAAAGCTTTGAATATCCTGATAATGATGACTAAATAAACCAATATGAAAACGAAATTGATGATCAGTAGAAAGTAGATGAATCGCATTTAGATGCTGAGTAAAATACTTTAAATAGTAATGATAAGAGTAATAGATTTTTAGAAAGAAAAATTACTAAAAAACCTAAAAATAGCTCTGGCTGCTCACATAAATAAAAAGCTTGTAAATATTAAAAGTAAGTATATTGTCTGGATAAAAACCGTAAATGCCCAGTTTCTAATATCAAAATATTTTAAAGCAATTTACCGAATAGCAGTCAATCAGATAATTAAATGCTTCAAGTAGCATAAAACATTTTTTTGCAGATAGAAAGAGAAAGTGAATTTTATCAACCCATAGTAGAACTAATAGTTGCAGAAGAAAATCAAATATGTAGCTAGATATAATAGAAAGACTCTCAAAAATACTAAGAGATAAACTCAAACAGCATTTAGTGCAACTTCTCTAATGAAAAATATAGAAGTATATTTTTTAGCGAACCTAAAACTTCTCTGTCCAGTTTGCTTGAAATGAATTAAATTCCCATTCCAAATGATTTCAAGAATACTCTTGAAGACTTCAAATATAATATATACTCAAGGTAAAATGATATTGATTACTACAACTGCATTCAGAGTTATGAGTATGACTAGTATTTAGATGACATACATACTGCAAAATCTTTTTCTCAATATCATCTTAAATTTTCTTTCTTTTTGGTAGTTTTGCTAATATTAGCTTTGGTAGGGTCAAATCCTCCTATTTAAATATCCTAAATAATAGATCCTTATAAGCTGCATAAATATTCACTTTTATTATCTCTATTCATATACTTAAACATTTTATGGCTCATAATAGCAATAAAGTATTAATTAGGAGAGATTAACAAACAATTAAAAATTTACTCATCAAGAGATTGCTTAGAACCGAAAGCCATTAACCAAATAAATATGCATCTTTTTAGAAATTAGCTAGATATTCAAATTGGCTTTGTGATTGCCTTCACTTATTTGCCTTTACTAGTTTATGTTTCATGGAAGTTAATAAACAAATTCTGCTGGATGAGAAAAGTAAGAATTACACCATAAACTCCTATTGAAATGTAATTTCTATCAAAAAAAAGATAAGCTAAAAAATGATAAAAAAATTAAAAAACCAAAATTATTTTTTAAAAAATTAATTTATTTTATTTATGGAAAATTAAATATTTATATTTAAAAATAGCAAAATTATATTAAAAATTAATTATTAAGTATTTTTTTGTATTTTACATTTGTTTTTATTTGAATTAAATTTTAATTATTAAATTTTTTATTCAAGAATTAATTTTTATAAAAAATTAAATTATTAATGGCAAGTTAAAATTGTCAATTTACTATTTTATTAGTCAATTACAATTAGATAAAATTTTATATTAAATTTTTTATTCAAGAATTAATTTTTATAAAAAATTAAATTATTAATGGCAAGTTAAAATTGTCAATTTACTATTTTATTAGTCAATTACAATTAGATAAAAATAAAAAAATTTATTTCAATTGATAATACCTAAAAAAAAGACTATTACTGTAGTTTCTTATATATTAACGATATCTTATATTAAGGGTTTTTTCGAAGAAATTGTGAATTATTGAATAAATTTATTCAAAAATTTTATCTGAGTAATTCCTTAATATGATAAACTGCGGTATCCATTTTATATAGATACAAAATATTTATTAATATTAATTCTAAAACTTAAAATTCATTTTAGCTTATATTTGAAATTAAATCGTAAGATAAATAGGTAATTATTTATTTATTATGAGTATTTTTTATAGAGTCTCCAAAATCATCTAATTATATGTTCTTAATATACTTTTTTGAAATTTTAATACTTTGATTATAAATAATCATCATAAAATAATTTCCTTTATTCATTTTTATTTTTTGTTAAAGTCAAAAATTAATTTTAAATATCTAACGATAAAAATATTTTTTTAAAGTTTTTTGTTTAAATTTTACTGCTTATTTATTTATTTATTAAAAATTATCGAATTTTTTCAAGAATTTAATTCAACACATTTAATTTTCTATTAGAATAAAATTATTTGTAAAAAAATCACTAATTTCTTAAAAATAAAAAAATTTGTTTTACTTTGAATCAATTTTCTTCAAAAAAAATAAAATCTAATAAAAGTTAAATTAATTTATAAAATTTATATTCATAAAAGAATATTTCAAATTAATAACAGTAATTTTAATTTTGAGAACTATGCTAATTTAGAAAGAAAGTATAAACATACAGCATCAATTATATTCAATATTCTCAAAATCTTTCAATATAGATTTTACATCTATCTTATTACTTATTTATTTATGTATTTATTTATTTAACTTTATATCTATCTATCTCTCTATCAATCTGATAAATTTAAGATTTCCTTCTCATAAGAATTTAATTTTTTGATGAATAATACGCAAAATCAGATTTAGATAATAGAAGATATTTAATTAAAAAAGGTAATTATTGAAAAAGTAGAATCAAATATATTTGAAGGACAAATGATAAAATATGAAAAATTTAAAAAATATAAATAGTATAAACATTGTTTTTATCGATGCCTTAAGTTTTACCTGTTATTAGCATTCATATTTGGATGGCTACCTTATTTACTTTATCAAATGAACATAGAAAACCCTGTATTATATAAGAGTAATTGGGATCATGATATGATTAGTGATATTATTTTTATTGATGGTTAAAGTGATTGCCCTAGCTAGTATGAACCACTGCTTTCTACATATTGGCCAGGTATCAAAGATGGCTGTAGAGACTCAAATCAACTTTGCTACAAAGATCCTAGGAGTACGAAATGTCCTAAAGACTGCTTTTACATTGAGGAGGTACCTGGTAAAACTTTGACAGCCTTCGCTTTTTAGCAAGCAGATTTATAAAGCTAAGTTTAATTAAGCACTTTTAAAATATGTGGATAAAAATTAAAGGGAGTTAATTTATATAACTCTAGCACATAAAAGCGCTAGGTTTGTGGTAAAAACTTAAAACAATGCTTTGTAAATGGAAAGTATTTTTGTATAAACTAGGACAGTGACTGCCTTATAGATAAAATTCAATGCTAGCCAGAGGAAATTCTTTGCAATTCTGAGGACAGGATAGTTTGTTTACCAGATTTTATGAAATGCAAAGATAATTATTCATTTTGTTCCAGATATGAAAGGGTTTGCTAAATCAAAGAATATACAGTTTGTGTAGATAAAAACAAAAAATGTCCAATTACAGATATAGTCATTTCTACAAAACTGAATTAGGATAAGTCTTTATTAGGCTTCGAGCAAATCTAAATAAAGCAAAGTAGTCTATATAATTTATATGTTAAAAGAAATGATCCTCAAGGATATCCCGTCTCAGAGTTTAGGATATCTGGTTCGAAAGGAGTTTGCTTAAATTACGGAGAAGATTCAGCTTTTTAAGCATATTTACTCGACAAAAGAGAAAAATGTCTTGATGAAGACACAGATGAGCATTATATTGAACTATTTCATTATAAACTACAAGCTTAGTAAGTATATGAAATTAACCAAGTCCAGTTGGGATTACATAAAGATTTGATTCCTAGCTACGATGAATATAAAATTTATTATAAGCAATACATAAAATACACAAATAATTGCTAGTCGATGCTATATGAATTTGATGGATTGTATGAAAAATTAGATGTGATTTTAACAAACTTAGATTTTTTACCAATATATTCAAGTTTGATCTTAATTTTTAGCTTGCTGATTAAAAGATACTTTAAAAAACATTAAAAAAGCTTTTATATATATGTCTACATTATAATCCTCTTTATATCATTCCTATGCATGTTCATTATCACCCTCAATATCAGAGTAGCTTTGGACATTGATATTTACTAAACTCTTCATTATTATAGAGTAAACAAATGTTTTGATGGTTTCACCAATAAATTAATTGATAGATTTTATATCGACTCCCAGATTACAGCCTTTTCCTACGAAATGGCCTTCTTAATTTATTTTATCCCTGGAATATTATGTATTCCTATCTCTATCTCAGCAATCATAATCTTGATGAGAAGTAACTAAAAGTGATACCAAAAATAAATTTAAATTTTTTATTACTTAAAGAACAAATAAACCATCAATTTTCTAAAAAGTTAACAATTAATGTATGAATCAAATCGAATATCTTAGATATAGATTTAAATAATGTGATATGATTATATCAGATACAAACAAATATCTAAACAACATAAATTGAAAATTAAATTTAAGTAAAATTGAAAAAATGTTAAATAGTATAATTAAACTTTTGATTGATTTTTATATAAAAAGAATTTAAAGTGATTATCAGTTGGATGTTTATCAAATTAAAATAATAATAATGAATTATTTTTGATAAACCATTAAATAGAATTAACTATAATTAATAAATAAATATGTTATGAATTTGTATTATGATTGAGAACAATTGCTATTGTTTTAATTAATTTATTTTGTGTATTGAATTATTTCTTATTTATTTCGTGGTAATTATTCTAATTATCAAAAATAGATATTTCTAAATAAGTAAATATTTATTAAAATAAATTCGCGCACTTTTGATTGAATTGTGAGAAAATTATCAAATTTAGAAATGAATTCTTAGCAAGAGTTGTACAACTTAAACAGCTTTTAAAATTACTAAAACATGAATTAGTATCCCTAAAATTACCCATACTATTCAAATAATTAAATTATTCACCCTTCTTAAACAGCAAATATGAATAATTCTGCAGGAATGCAATACATTAATCATGAATAAAACTATCCTTAATACCAGTAGTAGAGTTTTAACTAACAGAATTATTATCATCAAGAAGCAGCTTAATACCAAAATCAAAATATGTTTTAAGTACCTCCATAACAGGTTAATCCTTACATGGGCTATTAAAATAATCCTCCTATAAATCAAAATGTCAATAACTTAAATTAGAACAACTTATTACAAGATTAATAGTACATTATTAATTATTTATAAATTATCATTTTTTGTATTTTTAAAAATAGCAAAAGAAGTGAGACACAATCTAACTTTTAAAACTCTTACAACTATAGTCAGCAACAGCAACATGATATTGACCCATCTACTATAGGCATAGATTAATGTGAAGATTTTTTATTTTAGATTTGTTTTATATTCGAAATTTTATATAAATTTAAATAGAACTCTAAACAGTTAAAGACAAAGAAGAAATCAATTTAAAAACCCTTAACAAAAAAAGAAAATAGCAAGAAATTCAAGAATGTTTAATAGATTAAAATAAAAATGATGATTAGTCTCCATAAAAATAAGATAAAAACGAAAACAATTTTGTATAAAACTTGATGGACGACATTTAACTTTATTTTCCTTAAAAACCTTTAAGTGTGTTTCTTAGAGAATACTGCTCTAAAATGAAAAGAGCAATGGATATTATTTGTGATGAGAACGAAAAGGGGTTAGGGTTTTCTAGCTATTTAATAATTGATGGCAAACACTATCCAAAAGGTATAGGAAAAAGTAAAAAAGATGCTAGAGAAGAAGCTTCTATGAATGCATTAGCTAAAATGGGCGAAGAAAACAGCTCAGTAAAAAATTACTTTGCTGTGATGGTAGATAAAGAAAAGAAAGTTCATCAAAAATTTAAAAACGAGAAGGCAAAATCTTCAAGTTCTGAGTAAAAAAGCAAATCAAAAGACATATCTGAAGAGGAGGAGCGAGCTCTGGAGCTTTATGATCCACTCCATAACTACAGAGAAGATGTTTCATAATTAGCCAATTAGGTCTTAAGGTAATATTTATACTTATTAAAAAATAAACAAATTTTTAATAAAAATTTAAATCAAAGATTATCTGTTTCTTATGAGACATTAGGAGATTAAAATAATTGGGAGGTTATCTGTTCTATTGGAAAATCACTGAAAACGATGGGATAAGGGTTGACTATAAAAGATGCTAAAAACATTTCAGCTTACAAAATGATTCATTTAATAGAGCAATCAAATGAAAAAACGATAAAAACGTTAGCCCGAAAAGCTCTAGTTTAATAGAAAATAGATTAGACCAACTTAAAGCTTAAAGGTAAAATTAATTAATTTCTTTGTTTTTGAAAAAAAAATTTATTTTTTGGAATTTCTAAATCAGAATTATAGGAGTTGAAAGCTCAAAAAGAAAAAGATGAATAAAATACTCAGATAAAAGAAATCTAAAAAGAGCAAGAAAATCTTGAAAAAGAAAACAAATAACATTAATAATCTCTCTTAAATACTTATTCCTGCTTAATAGACTCTAATTATGAAAAACCTTAAGAACTATAAAAACCAAAAATTAAGTCTCAGTAAAGCATTATAAGTAGCTGTTTGAATAAATTCAAATAAAAAGATGTAGTTTCAGAGGAGATTTATATAAAATTAAGGTCTAAATTCGATTTGCTGATAAACTCAAAACAGTTATTTTAAAATTTAGGTTTAGTTGACTTTTGTATAGTCGGCTCTCACGAATTTAGACTATTGAGAAAAAACAAATTAAGCATTGATGTTATTTTGAATTATAACAAGGAATAATTAATTAATATTAATACAGGGGAAGATATATTTTATGAAGCTCAAAAAATATTAAAACAAATTCTTAACAATCATACAATTAAATTAGAAGAAAAAAACTAGAAAAAATATATCAGAGTTATTGATGATTTGTAAAATATTTATTTGTACCTATTTTTATTAAACTTTTAATAAATATAAAAAGAGAGAAAGAATTAGAGATGATTATTTATTTTTCTGATGTCTCTGGAGGCTCTTTTTGCAATGAAATCCATCATGCAATTTGGTTTTCTTAAGTAAAAACTAAAATATTTGATAATAAAGATATCAGTGCTATGTTGAAGTGCTTGAGAATGTGGAAAGAAGCAAGCAATATAAATATCAATACTTCAATAATAGATTTTATTATGCATACTGTGACACACAAATTCACTCTCATTAATGCCCCCAAAAATCTTGTTAGTTTCTTTGAATTTGTAGCAAACGAAGGAATACAAGATATTATTAACTTAAAAAACAAAAGAAATATAGAGGTAACTGAGATGCACTTTGAAATGATACAAAAAATAAATAAAGAAGATTTGGATTAATTTGTTCGATAATGCTAAAGCATTTATAACTCATGTGATTATACTTTCATGAAAAGTATAAGTCTATGAAAGAAAAATTAATAAAAAAATTTAAATTTTAAATAACTAAAAAATAATAAGTTAACTAAGAACTAATTAATTATAATAACAAGAATTTTATCAAATCTAACACTGTTATCATAATCTATCTAAAATAATTTATATTATTCATTCAAATCATCTATATATTACAAACAAATAACTAAATGTAAAAATAACAATTGTATTTAAAAATTAATTCATTTATATTTGTAAAAACTAAGTTAAAAACAAATTATTTAAAAATTAGAATAATCTAAAATTTTTTGTAAAATAATCTGTTTTGTAAAAATAAAATATCCAAAATTTAAACTAAACTAGCTATTACTGTTAGATCAGTAAATGAATATATTCTATTTCTTAATTTCTTATTAAAATAATCTTATCTCTATTTATTTTCTGACTATTATTTTTACTAAGACAATTACATATTTATTAGATAAATTCAGGGCAAGGGGTTTTTTCAACCTTACTTCTAGGAAATAGAAAAAAAAATTGAAGACACCCAATTTTATAAAATGAAAGCTCAAAACTTTTTCCTATACCTTCTCCCTGGTTTATTTACTAGATTACCAAAAATGAAATATTAGATAATAAGATTTTACTATTATTAGTAATAAGTTTATTCAGAATTTATTGTAAAATATTTACTTTTTTACATTATCTGTGTTAATAAAAACATAAACAACAGAAGAGTCAAAATTTTAAAAAATATATATTCCTCACTTTTAATAATTATAAAATGTATTTTCTTATTATGAATATTCATCAAAATATTCTATTTTATTAAAAGCATTGCTCACAGCGATCAAAATCACAAGCACCACATCTGTAGCTACCAACAGATTAGCTAGAAGGTTCTCTTTTACAAACATCGCAAACTACTTGACGAGTTATTGTAGAATCTCTACTTTCATACTTTAATTGATGACCACTGTTGCAATAATTCTTAAAATTTGCTGCACATATTTATTTAAGTATAGATATTTCATTTAAAACTTGCTTGAATTCAGCAAGAGTGACAAAATCTTAGTCAGTTTCAGGTTATCTAAATACAGACTGAAAAATATTGCTTTATTCTATTTGCCCTTGATTTAGGCTCTTTACTGGTGAAGATTAAGCCATAGAATATGCTAAAGTAGAATTAGAACCTATAAATTAGTTATTTTCTTATAAATTAACTTTGGCTTAGTCTTTAAAAGGACATGTATCTTCATGCGCATTTATATTTTCCATATTTAAGCAAGTAGCGCATCCATATTCATTAAATTTACATTTAAAAACAATTTAACTTAAAGCGAGCAGTCTCTGGTTAGGCATCAGAACTTCATTAATCGACTGGCAGTTTGGACAGCATTTGATTGCGTTGATTGTTTTAGTATCAAAGCAATCTGGACAATATACATTTGAGCATTTCTCACATTGTCTCATTTTTGGCTGAACTTGATAACACTTTTAACATGAGACTTCATCAAAAAGAACTTTATTTTCAACATAATTTGAGCTTTCAAAGATAAAGAATTTCCTTTTTTCAAGATTTGAAGATAATTACTGCATATTCTATTAGAAAAGATAATTAAATAAGCAAGATATTTTAATATTTTTATTTTTAGAGTTAATTTATAGTAAATAAGTTTTATATATAAGTAATGACATTACCCTTCAATTAGAATTTCTTTTCTTTCTAAACGTTTGTCTAAAGTTGAAATATATCTTCGCAAACAATTAAGTATAGAATATTGATCAGATGATATTTTTTATAAAAAATAAATTAATTGCATTAAACAAACAAACAAGAAAGATATTTATTTTACTTCAGCAATAGAAAATAAAATCTGTTCATTAAATCTTCTTAAAAAATGAATTGTAAGAAGCAAAATTGAATGGAAAATTAATATAATTCGAATATTAATATTTTACAAAAAAAAATTATGTATATATATGCATCAATAAGATCTACTAATTGTTAAATATTTGTTTAGACAGTTTTCATACTTACTGAGATTTTTATTAATATTTAAATCAAAATAGTCTACTTTGCAAATAGCACTATTCACATCTATCAAAATCACATGCTTCGCATCTATAACTACCTACTGATTAATTTGATGGAAGTTGTTTGCAAACATCACAAACAACTTCTCTTGTAATATTAGCATCTCTTGTTTCATATATTAATTCGTGCCCATTATTACACCTTTTTTTAAAGTTCACAGCACATACTTATTTTAAAACAGCTAATTCTTTAAGTAGATCTTTAAATAAAGCCATAGGAACAAGTTCTACGTCTGTGTAAGGATGTCTGACAGAGGCATAGTTGTTTGTTGATAGCTACTTTGGTCCTTCCTGATAACTATTAGTTAAGGACGATGAAACGCTTTATGAGCTCTAAAGCAATTATTTTAAATTTTAAACATTTTTTTAAAAATTGCACTGTTCTTCATGGCAGAATAAGCTTTCTATGTTAAGTTTTGTTTAACATCCATTTGTATAATATCTGCACTTAAATAAAATTTAATTTAAAGTCATCAATTTTTGATTAGGTATGAGAATTTCTTCGTTACAACCGCAATTAGGACAATACATTTTAGCTTATTATGGATCAAAACAATTCGAGCAATAAATCTTAGAGCAAGTTTTACATTACCTCATTTTCAAAGTTAGCTCAAAGCACTTTTGACAACACACTTCATCAAACAAAGACTTATGTTCCAAGTAATTTTCACTTCCAAAAATTAAAAATCTCCTCTTAAGTTATTCCTACATTTTATTTGAATCTGAAAATGAGTAATTCATTATTCTAATTAAATATTTATTAATATATGGATATTATTTTTATTTATATTTACAAAAATCTGCTGGCAAATAATTAATTATTATAAAGAAAAAAAGATCAATTAAATAACGGGTAAAAATCAATCTTGTCTATCGCTAGTCTATTGTTAAATTAAATTTATGGTTTAAATATTTCTAAACATCAAAGACAAAGTTTGATTTTTTTTGTAATAACAAAAATAAATTTATTTAAACCTATTTTTAATTAACTGGAAATTATTATTTCAAAGTTCATTCTTTGATAAAATTTTTATAAAATCTTGTCAGGAAAATTTAAAATATTTATCACAAACTTTACCTCCATTAAAACTCTTTTGAAATCTAAAAAATTAATTATTTATTTACTTATTTAGAATTACAAAAGCACATTTTATTACAAAAGCTTTTCGTTTTTTTGGTGAAAATTTGAAATAAAATTAATTTCATTTTATCAAATGTGAAATTTAGTGCTTTTTTTATTTATTTTGTAATTAAAATCTTTAATTTTATTCTTTTTTATTAAGATAAATTTATTGAAATAATTTTGATAAAATAAATTTTAGTTATTTTAAGAGATTTAAGTTTAATTTAAATAAATTGATTAAAATTTTTAATCATATAGTATAATTGTTTGTTTATAATTTGTCATAAGTATTTTGTAGATTGGTTTAAGTGAATTAAATATATCTAGACAATAATTGTATTAAAGATTTAAATACATGATCAATTATGTTATTTTTGAATATAAAAAGATATTAATTAAAAAACATTATAAGCAATATTTAATAAGTACTTAGGAAGGTAATTATGAGGATAAAATTAATTCTAATTAATCATCAAGTAGAAAATCAGTCTAATTTCTTAATTAGTATACCATTTAATGTTTAAACTTTTGGAGATTTTAATGAGTACTTAAAGGAATACTTTGAATTACCAGAATCAACCCATTTATAGTTTTAATTGGATGGATTTTGCATTCTCCATAAGGAATCAATTCATTAGATGCTCAAAGAATTAGATACTTTAAAGTATTTATATTATTATTTTACCTACAATTGCATTTATTTAAGACTTAATATTCTATAGGGTAACTTTAGCCAGCTAAGAAACACTGCTTTAAAAAAGAAAAGGATCTACTCTTTCATCTACCTCTGTCAAGAAATTAAAAAAAGAGGAATTTACTGAAAATAAATTAGCTGAATTCATTAATGATATGCTTTAAATATAAAGAAATATTGAATTAGAATAAAATAAAAATAATGAAAATGATTCTTCTTTTTCAAGTGAAGATAATGAAGAGCAAGAGAAAAAGATAAAAGACATTAAAAAATCAAATTTGTAGAAATAATAGAATTAAAAATCTCAAAGAGTAGTTAACAATATTAAGAATGATAAAAGCACAAATAGTAAGGACCTCTATTAAAAAATCAACTCCTTCAAATAAAACCTAAGCAAAGCAAAAGCTTTAAAAAGTTCTTCTGAAAGTAGTAGTGATAGCTCTGAGGAAAGTGAATCAGAAATTGAAAATGTCCCTAAATTTGGGAATAAAATGTAAGGAAGTATTTCAGCAAAATACCAGAAGGTTTTAGAAAAAGAGGCATCTTCAACAAAACAATAATAAATAGATGTAAAATCAATATAAAAATAAATAGGAAATATATAATTTTATTTTATTTAAAAGAAAAATAGTTAGGGAAAATAAAAAAATCCAATTTAGGCTACATTCTAAAAAGGAGAAACTTTTATGTAACCAATTGAAACATTGAATGCATAAGCCAAAGTTATTCAAAGTAAAAACTAACAACAATAATTAGTTACTCAAGCTATTAAATAGGCAGTAGATAGTAAAGGAATTTAAAATTTATAAGCAAAAGGTTAACAATTATAGTAAGTATAGATAAATTAAGCACAAGCACGTTAGCTTAATTCAATTTAAACAGAAAAGAAATAGGATAATTAGACTAAAAATGTTTAAAAATTAGTTGATCTTTAAAAGCAAAATACAAATGTGAACTAGAAAGATAATAATGCAAATAATAAAGTTGTAGCAGAAAAACCTACTCTTTAAGGAGTTTTGAATAAAAAAATAGTTAGAAAGGCATCTTCTTCAGATTCTTCTTCTTCCTCTTCCGATGATGATAGCGAACCAGAAATAATTTAAAAATAATCAAAAATTTAACTCAGTTTTGAAAAGCAAAAAGAGTAGTTGATCAAAACATCAAATTCTACAGTAAAATAATAAGTTTAAGAATAGCATAAAAGCTCAGAAAAAGTAAACACCCCATTAAGCAAACAAAATCAACAACATGAAGAAAAGCCTCAGTCATCTTAGACAACTCCATCAAGTAAACCAACATTATAACCTTTGCTGAAAGGTCCTAAATAAGAACATGTTTTGAACCTTAATTTGAAAGTAAATTAATTTTTAATTATTTATTTTGTTAATTTGAACCAACCATACCAAACGAGGGAATAATTTTTTATTTTCCGACTAGAGCCCTCTTGAAATATATGAAGAAAAGAAAATACTTTGGAAGTAAATTTCTCCATTTATCACAAAAATGGATAAAAAATTAAAGAAACTGCAAGTAATGCAATTAGTTAATCTGACAGCAATCAAATTTGTCAAATATTTTCATGTTTTATTTTATAAATATAGGAATAACAGGCTTAAAAATCTTAGAAAATTGCCAATGAAATTAATATTAATTCTTAAACAGATCAACACAATCAATAAAAGGAAAATTAAACTCTCTAAAAAAGTGAAGCTGCACACTAAAATCAACAAATCCAAATAAAATAAAACAAGAAAGATCAAAGCTAAATAAAACAGAATGACCAAGATCAAGATTTACCTCCTTTTGATCTAAAAGGTTTTGATAAAATAAATTTGAAAGACATTGTTGATTATGAAAAGTGCTTACAAAAAAATTTTTTTAATGAAAATGATTAAATATATTTCAAAGAAGTTGAATTGGATGAAGAAGCTTAATGCCCTAAATTAAGTGAATGGAAAAGAGGCACTGTTACATAAATTATAAATGTTAAGAAAGTAAAAGTTTCTGTCTCTGTTGACGGTAAAATGGAATCTAGTACATTTGATACCTCTGTCTTTAAGGCACTTTACTTAAAAACATCAATTGAATAAGCTTAAGAAAAGAAAGAGCAAGTCTAACAAATACAAGAGGAAACAAAAAAAGAAGATGACTCAAAATAGCAGCAGTAAAATGAACAAAACACCTACAGAGCTATAAATGATAAAAACATTCTTGTTGGAAGAACAGTAAATAAAAAAATAAAATTTATATTCTAAATAATAACTTAAATTATAAAAAAAGGTTAACTATTACTACAGTGACAAAAACTATTACTAGGACAAGTACATTTTAGAGCATTCTAATAGAAACTAGGACCATTGTAATTAATTTTAGTTTATTATTAATTAATTTTTTTAATCTTATTTTAAATAATAAAAAAGATATGCCCTTGAGCTTGTTATTAAACTTCCCAAAAATAAAGAAAGAAGTAAACTCTATTGAAGATTTAGTACAAAAGCTATAAACTTTCATCAAAATTACTAATCAAGTTATATAATTTGAGTTAAATGCAGATAAAACAATGATAAGAAAAAAACAACTCAAAAAAGATTAATCAAATGAAAAAAACTTTTAAAAGCAAAATAATTAAAATCATAACAAGAACTAAAAGCAAAATAATCATGACAGTAATAAAAACAACCAAAATAATAATGCTAACAAGAATGGTGGAAATGTGCCAAAGTTAAGTCAAACCTTAATAAACTAAATTCATAATAGTCATAAAGATTAGTCTTCTTCTTAGATAAATAATAATAATAATTTGAAGAAAGAGTTTTGTGAGAGCTAATAATTTGATGAAATATAATAAAAGAAGGAAAAATTTGTTGACAATTAAAAGGAAAGTGAAGAGGGAGAATTCGATGAGAAAATGTAAATTGAGTCTTAAGAATAAAATAAAGATAATGAAATTAATAAAAATACTTAAATGGAAGAAGAAAAAGAATAAAAAACAATTACCCAACAAATAGTTTAAAATGTCGAATAGTAAATTATCAAATAAATAAACGAATTATCTCAACAAAATCATTGATTTATGTTATGTAAAAAATAATTTATCAATAATTCTCAAGTTTTATTTAGAAAATCAATTTAAGTTATTTTAAATTTCAATTTAAATTTATCAAATATTCTAATCTAAAATTCTTAAAATTATTATCAAGAGGTCATTTTTTTTTCAAAATATATTTAGTTCTTATTCTAAAATCAAATAATTTTTAATTTTAACATTTTATTTACTAAAGTTGATAAAAAATATTTTGTTGAAAACTAATTTAAATTTTTTATCCAAATAATATTATATTTTTAATCATACATAACCTATTTTATCTTAGAAGTCTTACTCTTAAGTACTTTAATTATCTAAATTTAAATATCATTTAAAGAAATTAATTGGGTGAAATAAATTATCAAAAAAAGTTACATATTTTTAGTAAAATTCTAAGTATTTTTTATCTATAAATCTTAAAAAAGTTTAAGTAAAATCTAACTTTTTTCTTTGTTTTTAATCGAATTATTTCTTTTGATTGAAATATATTGGTTTTAATTTTTGAATTAGTTATTTTTTTATTTATGCAAGCGAGTTATTATTTTGATTAAAATATAAAGGGATAATTAATTTTTTATGGAAATTGAATATGTTAAATTTTACGAAATGAATGAATAGTAAATATATATAGATAGATAGATAAATAAATTTTAATTATTGTTTAAAAATTTAATTTTTTTATATGTGTAACATGAGAGTATTATCATAATTAATTACTTTTGTTATTTGAAATATAATCATTTATTTTATATGTAATGGACCTTAATTGATTATTGTAACAAAGTTTTTAGAAGATTGCTTTATAAGGATTTTTCAAAAAAATAATAAATTTATTTACTTCTGAAATAAATGAGCCATAAAATGATTGATAAAAAATATGTAGTTTTTAGATAAAGTGAAATAGATTTTACTTACACTTTATTATATAGTTTTTGAGTTTTCATTATTTGTTTGATTAACGGATATTGTTGTATGATTTTTCCAAGTTTTGGAACATATCTCTGTCAATCTAGCTGATGTATTAGAATTAGCCGAAATTTCTCTCAAAGTCTAATATTTCTTTGTAAGTGTTTCTTCTTGGTTAAATGTTGTATAAGTAATCATCAAAGAACTAGTAGGATTTCTTGATATTTAGATTTTTAATTCCATTACTATCGAATTAGTCAAATATCAAATCCTTTTCTTTTTGTTTAATCATTTTATATTCAGTCTAGATAATTTCAGAAATCTTTGATGATTATATAATTTACTAACTATTTAGGTAAACTTCAAACAATCCGTTGATGTAACTTAAATCTTTAATGTAGATATCAGTTATAATAGACTTTAAATCCTAATCAACTTTAAAATAAGACTTGAGCGTATTTTCACTTATCAATGTATTTTCTAACGTTTCAATTACTCCGAAATGAATTAATGAAAACTACTGGTCAATAATTTCGTTAATTAAATATTTCTTAGTTCCTGCAAGTCTGGTGAGGTAAGTCATATTTTTATTTTAATTTTTTTCTATTTTAAAGAGTACATCAATGAAACGCTTGAAATCTCTGCATAACAAGACATACCTTTCCCATATTTAAAAATTATCTGGTTCCTGGAAGAAATTGCTCATTCTTTTGCTCATTTAGCAAAACTTTTTATCTTAATTTTATCTGGTCATTTTCTAAATATGAGCTTACTTTTTTAGAATATCCAAATATTGATTATTATTAGCTTGGGTTATCTACGGTATCTTAGTAGTTGATTAAACTTATTTGTTCTTAAGCTCTTCTTCTCTTTTTGTCTATGCCTGAGAGAACTATGACAAATAGCTTGAGAGTCTATTACTTTTTTTTCTTTCTTAAGAACTATTATTGATTTATGGAGAGGATTCTGTTTAATTTTTCGATTTAGGTGATTACAACTCTTTTAGCGTCATGCTTTTTTTTGATATAGTAATAATAGAACCAACTGGGGTCTTCTTAAAAAAGTTAAATTTATCTTCTATGTTACTTCCTAGTTACCCATTTTAATAGAGATCTTCGTATTCATAAAACATAGGACCCTTTCTATTGAATCTAACACTCCTTCTACCTACACTCTAATTATTATTCATCGGAGTTTCGTTTTAATTGTTTTTTGGAGAATTAAATTGCGTTATGTTTTTAGTAACTAAACTAAACAAATCACTAAATTTTCGATTTTAATTTTTATCAGATATTTTATCTAGGTCAGGGATATTTAATCTTTAACTCAAATTTTGAGTTGATTCTTATTCTTTCTATTGCGTTGAGAGTATTGATTATTCGTTTTTATTAGATGGTGTGTAAATCTAAGAATTGTCTGTTTCTTTATTAGCATTAGCTGCTGCTGTTGCTACTGCTACCATTTTCTTTTTAATTGAAAGGGATTTCATTAAAGAATCGAAGATATCATCAGCCTTTTTTTGTTTGTACAAGTTATCATTTCCCAACTAATTTCTTTGGGTTGGTTGAACAGATTTAGAGTAAATAGATTGTTTTTAGGTTTATTTTTCATTTGGAGAAATGTATCTGTTGCTACCCCTCTTTTTTTAGCCTGCTAAAGAAATATGTGGAGAAGATCCTGAATATATAGGAGGAAGTTGAACACCATTCATTTTTTCCTTCAAAAGTTCTTAAGAAAGGGTGGGAAGACTTGCCTTCATCTAATCAATTACATTATTCTATTTAGAGATCTAGGCTAAGTGTGACTCAAATATCTTTCTCTGGTCTTACTCAAAATTCTTTTTCTCCCTCTTTGCAAGCTTATTATTGAGCATAATACTTTTCATCTAAGAAAGATTAACAGAAGAATGAGGGTATTTATTATGAGCCATACTAGAATCTAAAATATTACTAGAATCAATATTTTAAAGACTCTTACCATGGGAATAGAGATTAAGATAACTTTCTGAGTGTGCAACTTTAGTTGAACTTAAATTCGTCAAACTGTCCACAGAAGGGAAAACATAATTTTTTTCAGCTAAAGCTTTTTCTTTTGCAGTTAAATTCAAATCAGTTGACACATCTAATAAGATTTTTTGGTATTTGTTAATCATATTTATACAATGCAATTAAAGCAATTAACAAACTAATAATTTATAATTTTTTGATAAATAAATATTAATTTTTTGCTATTAAGTTAGTTAGTAGTCTTTATTAAATTATAAAAAAATAAATCTTTGCACTAATTTTTAGAGATTCCTTTATCAATTAAATATTTTTGTTTCATTTGTAAATCCACTGGTTATGTTTTAACTAAAATGACCACTGTATCATTTTGATTATAATGAATTTTCAATCAAAAAATCTTTATTTTCAAATTAAAAATTATAATTTTATCAAGCATTAAAATTGAAAATAATCTGAAAACTTGTTATACACATTCTCTTTTAAATTTTACTGAATCTAAGAAATTGTTAAAAAGGATAATTAATTTTTATTAAATTATTAATATTTGATTGATTACTAATTTGTATATTTAGTAGTTCTTTGTAATCTAAAAAATATTAATAATTTTATTTAGGAAAATTAACTAGTATAAATAAATAAGATTTTCTTGATAGTATTTAATCGTTTTATCAAAAATAAAATTTATTTGCAGATATTTTTTCAAATATTTTTAAAATAGATTTTTTCCAAAATAACAAAATTTATCTGGCATAATTGAAAATTATAAATTTTCGAGCATTTAATAAATATCAATTAATAAAAAGTAATATTAGAGAGAATAGAGTGAAAAGACAAATCACAAAGAATATCTAAAATAAGTAAATTCGCAAATTATTTCAACAAATAATAATACACTCAGTACTTTTATTAAAAAAAAAAATAACTTTTAAAAAATAATTATTTTTAAAATGCTATTTTAAATAATAGATTATTAATTTCATTATTGCTAAAATATAAGGATTTAAAAAAAAATTTTTAATTTAAATTTTAAATTTATAATTTAGCTTTATTAAAAAATGTAATTGACAAATTTAAAAAAATATCGACCATTATGTTTCTTTAAAAAAATAAAAAGTAAATCCTCATTAATTAAAACCCCATTTTATAGCCATACAATTAAATTAAATCTCAATAAAATAATTTTTTTTTATTAATAATTAAATTGGGTGTTTATTAATGAGGAATCATCATAGTATGTAATTATGAATTTATAATTACTATTTTAATTTCTCGGATAAATTTTCTAGTCATTACATAAAATTACAATATTTTGAAAAATCTAAACAAACACTCTTTTAATAAAAATTATTTTTATTGTATCAATTTTTTGTAAGGAATTGTTATTTCTTCATATTTATTTTGCTATTTTTTAAATTAATTTTAAACTAAGAAAAGTATATTTAACTAAAATATATATAATATAAATTATATCTTTAAGTAGATTTGAACACTGAATGCTTACACAAAATTAATCTTTATTAATAATTTCTAATTTATCAAAATCATAATTTATTATTTTGAATCTTATGAACTTTTTTTATAATCTTAGCTTTAAAGTATTTTTTTTAAAATCTATTGAAAATATTGAATTTTTTTATCTATTTTTTTGAATTAGATATTGATTATATTTATTAAGATATCTCTATTAAATATACAAAAATAAAATAAATTATTAATTATTGAAAAAATTTTTTGTCTTTAATTAAATATGGATGGTACTATAATAAATTCTTTTTGATACTTGATAAACATAAAAGAAAATAAAGAAAGTATTTAAAATTATAAAAAATAAAGTTAAACCGCTAGTACTTATCTAGAGGGAGCGAATTATGACATCATTAGTTAAGATATATTTACTTTGATTTTCAATTGATAACTTAAATTTTTGACCTTCAGCCTATATCAATTACGTAAAATAGAAATTAATACTAACTATCTATTATAAATTGTAAAATTTTAATGCACTTTCAAACAAAAATAATTCTATGCTTTATTTTATTTGAAAAAGATGATAGAAAATAATTTCTATTTTTTTTACAAAGGACAATTGATTTAACGATGATTGATTTAACTATGTTGAATTTTAACCACAGTATAAAATTATGTTATTTGTTTGTTTGTTTTAATACTTATTTGGATACTAAGAAAAATAGATGGAAGGCAGAGATAAGATGAGTGTGAGAGAGAGAGAGAGCACATTCTGCATGAAAATAATACAATAATATAAAAAATAATGATTAACTCTGGAATTGATTATATCTTTTATTTTTGAACACAATATATTTTTACAATGAGTCTTAAAATTAATTAAATTTAATTGTGTTGATATAGAGATATTTTTCAAAACAAACTAATAAATAAATAAATAAATCGTGAATGTTCGTAACAAATATTAATTAATGATGCCATTTTAATAATGGAAGTTAAAAAGTTTTTTTATCAAGAAAATAAAAGTTTTCAAATAAAAACTTGGCTGAAAGTAAAGCAAATCAAACCCAGAAAATTGAATAAAAAGAGCAGTGAAAAAGTATGAAAAAAAACAATTATCTCAGATAATAAAATTAAATAAAAAACAAATTTTCAATAAAATTATTAGATATTGAAAGCTAAAAAGCTCTATCAATATTTTTAATAAGGTTAGTAATTAGTTAAAAAACACATAAGAAATGAGTCTTGAAGGTTAAATTATAGCTTCTGGTGGCCATGAAGAAGCTGCTGGAGGTCATCACGGTGGTGGAGACTGTATGACAGATCACGAATAACCATATCTTATCTTATTCGTAATTATGGGTTTAGCTTTGGGAGGTCTCCTTAGATAGCTAAATAGAAAAACTGGTCTTCCATACACTCCTATGCTTATTGTTGTAGGTATTATAGTCGGATGCTACAGAGGTTCATTTGGTAATACAAACTTTATTTATATTTTCACATCTCCTAATTTTTATCACTTCAATTTTTATTTATTCTCATATTATCAACGAAATATATCATCTATCTATTTAGCTTACTTGCTCTTATCTTCTAAATATTTTTAAAATGGAGCGAAAGTGAAGGACTAATAAAACTGATTATATACTTTCGTTTTCACAATGAAGAACATATTTTTCTTACTCAAACCACATCTCCTCAAAGAGCTATCAATATTTAAGTCATTTATTGAGCATTTATAGATGAAACTTCAAAAATATTTAGATATTTCGTTTTTCTGCTATTATTTTTGCTATCTTTTATCGAATGATTTAAAATTCTACTCAAATTAAAAATGCAATAAATTAACACATTTTTATCTTTTATTTAACAGGTCTTATAGGTAGTAGTGCTGAACTTATGAGTCATATTAACCCTCACATGATTTTGTTCATTTTCATTCCCGTCCTCATTTTCGAATCTGGTTTCAATTGCGATTGGTATGTTTTCAAAAGAGCTTTGGTTAACATTCTCATTTTAGCCGGTCCTGGTGTGTTAGTTGGTGCATTTATGCTTGGTTTTTGCTTGAAATCAATTTTAGGTTATGATGAAGATTTAACCTGGAATGGTGCTTTCACTATGGGTGCTATTCTTTGTGCCACCGATCCCGTCGCTGTCGTTGCTTTGCTTAAAGAACTAGGTGCCTCTGTTAGATTCAACACACTTATCGAAGGTGAATCCTTGCTTAATGATGGTACTGCAATGGTCTTCTTCTTAGTCTTCTTCGGTATGGAAAAGGGTGAAGAAAGTACACCTGTTAGTGTTACCCTTAACTTCCTCAGACTTGCTGGTGGTGGTCCAGCCCTCGGTTTCATCTGTGGTATGGTTGGTTCTTTCTGGTTAAGAAGAATTATTCGTGATGACGTACTTACCTCAACAGTAACTTTCATCACCTGCTACTTCTGTTTCTACTTCGCCGAATTTACCTTCCTTGGTGTTTCTGGTAATCAATAATTTTATTTCATCTCATTATTTTTCAAAAGCAAGCAACTAATAAATAAGTAAATAAATATCTAGGAGTTAGCAAGCAAAATAAAAAAGAAATGTACAATCAAACAATCAAAAAAGTATAAAACGATATCAAAATTGATTCTAGTACAAATATATCAATAATAAATCAAAAAATAGATGAATATTTATTTAATGATTAATAAAGCTTTATTTTTATTACTAAAATCGTTATTAATTAATTTATTGATATTCTGCTGACTGAAAGAATGATTGACTAAATGACAAATTAATTAATTTTCTTTAGATAAAAACAAACAATTAGAATTTGATTTTTTAAAATTATAAAACTAGCACTTTTATTTGCAAAGTAAGTAACTTTAATAAATTATTTTTAAAAAAGGTATCTTGTCTATTGTCGTTCTCGGTCTATTTATGAGTGCTCATGGTAGAACCAAAATCTATCCTGAAAGTGAACATTCAGTACACACTGTTTGGTCTTTTGTCTAATACAGTTGTGAAACTATTATCTTCTTGCTTACAGGTGTTATTGTTGGTAAGGAAATGGTTTCTCAATCTACTATTGAATTTATGGATTGGGTTAAGTTACCAATTTTCTGGGTTTTGATGATGATTGCTCGTGCACTCATGGTCTTTATGTTCCTTCCTTGCTTGAAGTATTTCGGTTATGGTATTAATAAAGCTGAAATGTGGGTTCTTATTTGGGGTGGTTTAAGAGGAGCTCTTGGTTTAACTCTTGCATTAATTGTTGCTGTCGATACCGACCTTTAAGATGAAGTAAAATTCCCACTCGGTAGAAGATTGAGATAATTAACCATCTTCTATATGTCTGGTGTTGCAACTATGACTCTATTAGTCAACGGTACAACTTGTGGGTATGCATTAAACGTTTATATTTACTAATTAGGTTTTTAATTATTATTTTTTTAATATATAAAGTGCTTTAGTTAGATACTTGTAAATGATTGAAGTTCCTCAAATTAGAGCCAGAGTTGTTAAAAACTCCAAAAGAAATTTATCAAATGCATGCGATGATAAGCTCAAGGAATTAAAAATGAATACTTTCTTGAATCTTGCTGATTGGGAAAAGGTTGTTGAAATCTCTGGTTGCAGTGAAATTAAAAATGAACTTGTTTCCGGTGCAGAAGGATAAGCTAGTGGAAGAAGATCAACATATTCCAGCTTCGATGAATAAGAAATTTGCTCAGAAACTCGTTTCAGATTATTAAGAACTCTTAAGACTTACGTTTGGGAAGGTTATGAATAAGGTTAGATGGGTCCTGAAGCTGCTTAATTGCTCAACGAATGCATTAATGTATCTCTCGATAACACTAATCTTCCTCTTGTTGTTTGGAATAACATCTATTCAAACTTCACTGATTTTGCAACCATCAGATTGATGTTTAGATTAAAGAACTGGATCTTAATTGGTAATTTATTAATTAACTTATTTATAAATTTATAAAATAAATGAAGAATAATTTAATGTATTTTAAAAATATTTTATAAAATAGGTACCATGGCTAAAAATTACATCACACATCACATGGCTTTTGTTTATGAAGTTACCACTGCCTTTATTACTAGTGCTGAAGAAGCCGAACATTTACTCCACAACTATCCTCTTGGATAATAATTCATTAATAAGATTGTAAATGAATTGAAAAACCAAGTCAACGATGCTTACAAATACATTTCTGAATTGTAAAACAAATTCCCTGAAATTATTAAGGCTATTCACACTAAGCGTGCTGCCTCTGCTTTATTAGAAACTCAAAAGAAATTCTTGAACGAATACAAAAACAATGGTTATATTGATGATGGTGACTACAACGATATTCGTAAGAAAGTTGATATGAGATGCCTTGAATTAGAAAACATGACTTTTAACTGGTAAGAAGTATCTGAACTCTAATCCTTCAATACTTTTGTCCTTCGTTTCCCCATTTTCTCATCTCTTCTTCCTGAAGAAATCCGTCAATTAGAAAAATGCCACAAGAGTTTCAATTTCTATGCTGGCAATGAAATTTATCATGAAGGCTAAAAGTTCGATTACCTCTACGTTATTACTTAAGGTACAGTAACTGATGCTTTAAGTGCAAGTGACAAATCTCAATACACTATGATTAAGGGTATGGGTGCTTTCCTCAGTTTTGCTAACTGTGTTAATGAAAATAACTCTCGTTCTGTTAGTACTGCCGTTGCTGAAACAGACTGTACCTTGTACGGTATTCCTTTCGCTACCATTAAGGGTATCATGAGTTAAAATAAGATCTTCGAAAAGAAGGTTTATCTCTACTCAATGATCTACTTTATAAGAATATTCCCTGAGAAAGCCGGTCCTCTTCGTGGTATGGAAGAAAACCACCTTAACGAATACATAGTCAAATCTGAATTCCTTGCTCTCAACGCTCGTTAAAGCTGCAACTTTGAATTCGGTGGTTATCTTTTGGTAGGTCAAATTGAAAACACTGATTCTGGACAAGATAATATCATCGATGAGTTCAGTTACATTCCTCCTTCAAGCAAATCATATATAACATCCAAAAACAGTTATATTCTTAAATTTACTGAAGTCTTAGAACGCAAGCAATCCATAATGGATGCTCACTTCGAAGAATAAGGTGTCAAAAAGTTCAATCAAAATCTTGTTAGCAGCAGCAATCAATATGTTGCTGATGAGAGTCAACTTTGAGCAATAATTTTTTAAGGTTTTTAAGAGTAATTTATGGTAACTAATTTATCATATAAATAGATATAAAACGTGCATATTTTTTGTATGAAATTGTTGATATTTTTTATCACTTTTACCTTGTTTATTTTTAGCATCACTAATTAATTAATTAGTTAATAAATTAGTTTGCTTTCTTAAAAAATTTCTTATTTTTTACAAGAACAATAAAAATGATTCTTAAATCAAAAAAATTTACTTTAAAAGTTATCTAATTAGAATCAATCAGTTCATTTTTCAAGTATGTACTCAATTAATTTTCAACCAAGCTATTGATAAAAAGAGTATAAATTCTAAATAATTTTGATTATTATTGTTGAAAATTCAACAAAGGATAAAAAACTTTATTTCTATTTTTGAATTTGAAAAACTTTAAATTAAATTATTTAATAAAAAAAATCAAATAAATATTAATTGATGAATAGTCATAATTTTATTTTAAAGAAAATTTTCAGGAATAATTTACATAATTTAAAGATTGTTTTATTTATTTTAAGGGTGTTAATATTATTTTATAAAATTTGGGAAATCATTGATATAATCAGTTTAAGTTTAAAAATTAAAAAGTAAAATTAATATTTTCAAAATCTTTATAAGATAATTAATTTAATCTATTCACTAAAATTTGTAAGTAACAATTTTTATATAAATTAAAGTGTATTTATTTATTTATTTATAATCAGCATATGCAAATTCAACAAAATTTTTTGAAGAATTGATTAAATATAATGTTAATATAATCGATATAAAAATGATAGCAACCATTTTTTTATAATATCTAAAAAAATAATTATCAACTAATATTTTTAAAAAATCTATTTTAATAAATTTCACTAAATTGGTTTATAAATTAAATAATAATCATAAACTTTCTAGCTAAATTAAATATTTAAAATGTACTTAAAAGAATTTTAATATGTCGTTTTATTATGTATTTTGCCTTAATTTGATATTTAATATAAGCAAATAAATTATATTTTATGTAAAGAATTTGTGATAGAAAGTTTAAAAAAGTTATATGAGTGAGATAAAGAGTTTTAAAAGTTCTAATTTTACTGTCTATTTTAGGTAAGGTTTTTTAGCGTAAATAATAAAAAATTAATTAATTCTAAGATTACCTTGAAGCTTGCAGATATTTTATAGTTTATTTATTTTGAAGTGAGATACGTGGTTTTAGCTATTAATAGGAATTAAGTAAATACTTTAGACATAAATTTTACAAAGGTGATTTTTTCAAAGTTTTTGGCTTTTAGAAAAGGACTTCACTGTTTATGGCTCTTAATAACTTTAAAAAAAGACTGGGGTTGCTAGCTTTGCTTAAAAGAAGTTAAGCTTAAAAGTTATTTATGACATGTACTTTTAAAAATTTAGATTTTTTAAAATATTTGTTAATGAATGAATGAAAAAAGCGTGTTTTAATGAATAAATTAATGGTTTTTAGGGGGATTTTGTTTCAATTTGTGTATAACAAGAATATAAATAAATAGGTAATGTGTACGATGTAGTTATTATTTTTAAATAAAAAGCAAATGGATAGGCAGAAAATTCAGCTATTACTACTTTTTCTAGATAAAAAATAAATAATTTTTTGGAAATAAATACAAAGACAAATTCCGAATATACTCGGGGAGTCAAGTATAATAGGTTATTAATATACCAAAGAACTAATATATTCAAGGAAGCTACCTTGAAAAAAGAACTAAAAGTCGCTTTATACCATAATAGGTTCTCCTCAATTCCACTAAGCAAATAGTAGTTAGGCGAACATTTTTTACATAGAGTAAAGAAGACGAACTTTATAAAAGTAGGAGAAACATTATTTTTAATTAGAGATCATTCTCTCAAGTAGGTTCAAGACTAATTTTCTGCGGTTCTCAAATAAATAAAAGTTCAAATACGCTAAAGTAGCAATTGAAAAAGCACTCTTAAAATCAGCATCTTCTCAATATATTTCAATAATAAGGCATATTTTCATTTGTAAGTAGGAAGTAGAAAAGTTTAAAGCCAAGCATCATTTTAAGTTAAAAAACTAGTTGACATTAATAAGGAAATCATAAAAGCAAGATCTGGAGAATTAAGAAGATGATGCACATATTAAAAAACTATATTCACTCTGATACTAATTTACTAGATGCAATTTAAGGGAAATTCAAAGAATAAATAGTCATTTCAATTGCAATGGATGATACACAATATGAGGACGAATATATTAACTAGCTAGAATTAATTAGGCCCTACTTGAGTGAGATCTCTTTCTTAGAATTGTTAATTCAAAAAAATTTAATGATTAAATACAACAATGAGAATAAAATTTCAGTTTATTTAGCCACCAAGTTCTTTGCAGACCTAGGAGAGAAGGCATAAGCGAAAAGAGTTGTTTTTAAGGATATATACCATTCAGGCGCAGGTTAGCAAAATCTCTAAAATTAGCTTTTAGAATTTAACTACTAGCAATACGTTGATTGGATATTTAGGTTTATAGGGATAATCAAAAATATAGATGAGTTAGACTTAAATATTACTTCAAATTTCATTAATTAAGATAATTCTAGTGTGTTTAAACTCATAAAAATCAACAAACTGAATGTGTATGTCGAAAAATAAACAAATATTAATCATATACTATCTAATATATAGCAAGAAAGTTTGAAATTTATAAAAGTTAACGTTAAAGATAACACAGCTTAGCCAAAAGAGTTAATTGGTTTATAATAAAGTTTATTTGCTTACTTAGATTAGCAATAAAATCAGTCAATTCGTGAAGTTGTCATTTACAATGTGTTTGATGACATGCTTGCTAAACCTTGTTTGAATAGTTCGTTATTATCAAATGCTAAAGCAAACAAATTAAGCATGTTGAGTGCTAACATTAGCAAAGTAGAATTAACTCTAAAAGAAAATAGTGAATAACAATTGAATGAGAATTAAACTAAAGCTTAATTTACAACTAAATTTTTAGAGAGCATTTTAAATTGTAAAAACTTGTAAAAGTTAGTTTTAAACAACTTCATTTTAGATAATCTTTGCATAGAAACTCTAAAATAAATCCATTAAAAGTAGTTATCACGTGACACGTGCATTAATTCACAAAATTAATCTTTTTAGGATTTTCCTCTCTCAAGCTCACACCAATCAAGTTAAGTAATAGAGTAAAATAAAAGCACTTCGTAAAATGGGTCTTAATTTATAATAAATAAAAATGTATTTTAATACGAAGAATCTAAAAGCTAACAAAACTAAGTCAGCACTCCCTAATCTATTAGATTTTCTATGGAAACTTCATAGTTAGATGTGTCTAAAACCCTGAGTAACGGAACTTAACAGAGTCAGCTAAAATCTTCGAAAGCTGCTGTGTTCAAATCTCATGCTATAGATGGAATGATATTTTAGTATCCAGTTAAAATTGAATCATCAAAATAAATAGAAAAGAGACTTAAAAAATCTAATGATTTAAAAAGCTAGTTTTTGGAACTGGCAGAAACACAATCTAGTAGCAACGACTCAGCTAAAAAGAAGTATGCTAATGGGAAATAGTAAAATGGGCAGCACCACGAAAGCAAAAAGAGTGATTATGAGTTATAGAAATAGAATTTAGAAAATAAATTACCTGAATTTGTTTTATTCCCATAACAGCAAATGGAAAAGGAAAATTCTAAAAAGTATGATTTAGATGACATTCCATTTTTTTCTATTGATTCTGATTATCCCTGCAATAATGATCAAATAGTCCAAGATAAAAATTAAATTTCTATCGTTAAAGACTAGCAACAAGACCATTAGCAGCCAACACCTGTATTTGCTGAAATAGAACCAGAACATATTTTACTACAACACTAACAAACTACTCCTCTATCTATTACTCCTAGAAAAAGTTTTGAATAGTAAAGGAAAGGATCTTAAACATTTTTGAAACATCAAAGCTCTAAAGAGAGTAGTTTCAATATAGATTCCTCTATTCCACATTTAGAAAACTAAGAAGAAAATGAATCAAGTACTTCATAGATTAACCATACCAAAATGCAAACTTCAATTACATCGAATTAACCTATTGACTATAAACTAGATTAAGTTGACTAAATCTAAAAGATTCAGATTACTTTGTCTCTAAAAATCAACTCACATAACAAAACAGTGGCCAAATTTTTGATAGAATTTCTACAACCAAAAATCAAAGAGATTCACTTACAACTAAATGAATATGATGACTCTTAATTATCTGAGTATATTCCTCAAGACTGTATAATAAGCAAAAAGCTCCTTATTTAGTGGTAATATAAATTAATGAGAACACCTCCCTTAAAATCGGTAGAAGCATCTAACATATTTACCTTCTTAAGAGGTAAAAATCAATAGATTAACAGCCTCACTCTTTAATTGACAAACAAAAAGCATTTTTGCCCTTAGACTTGTTAATCTCTTTAAGATTTTATAAGCAGTCACTCATCACTAAAAACATTTAATTTTGAAACATGTATGTTCCCCAGCCAAATGGAATTTTATAAATTCCTTGTATGCATAGCTAAAAGCAGTATCCGTCATATAGAAATTTCTGGACCTAAATTTGAAGTACTTTCAGATGAAGCTTATCTAATTAGCCCTTGGAAATCATACCTAAATAATCGTTTAAGGTCACTCACAATAATAGGATAAAATTATTCTTAAAACATTCTGAATTCTTTCGAAACCTGGAAAATGTTTAGATTGAGCTTGGTTCATCTTTGTCCTTCTCCAACTTTGCCATTAAACATATAAAAATAAATAGTTACCAACAAATATCTGTTCAGTTTTTCTCATAAAAACCTTTAGCCAAATAATTTAGCCCATTAGTGTTACGATAAAATTCACATTATTATAGTCTAATTTGTTATATTCTCTAAGCTTTACTATTCTACTCTCTCCTATTCTCCAGAGCTAACGTTTTGGGATTTATTTTTTGATTGAGCTATTATCATTCCTTTATAAATGGAGACAAATAAATTTTATGATTAAAGTGTAAATTTTATTAAAAACTCTTAAATACTCATTAAAATTATAAAAAAAGTTAAAATCTAACAAACAAACAAACATACTTACTTACAAAAATATTATTAAAAAATAAAATAAAAAATTATCTTTGCTCAAGACTAAACAAATAAATAAACAAACAAAAAAACAAACAGACTCTAAACACAAAATAAATCACTCATAGATTCAAAGGTTATTACAAATATTCATTCCTTAACACAAACACCAATTGAACATAATTAAATTTTTATAAAGTAACCAACAATTTAACATAAATATCATGACTTAATTCTAATAACACTTGAGTTTTGTAATAAATTTTTTATTTCTAGTTTGTTTAAACTTGGCATAGTAAAAAGTAATTTAGTCCAAAAATAAAAATTAAATTATCAAATAACTTTTAAAAAAATTAAAAACTGATTTTTTAATATGCCAAATGACTAAATAAATAAATGAATAACTACCTAATAATGTAATTCTTTTTGCATATAATTTTTTATTTAAATCTATTTAAGAATTTCTTTCATTTTTTCATTAAATTCATTCTGTAATAATTTGATAATTTTTAAACATTAAAAATTATCTCTGTTTAAATTAAAATGATGAAATACCTGTTTTAAAATTCATTAAAAATATATATTTATTTAACAAAATAAATACTCTTATATCAAATTTCGAATAAGTGTCTTAATGCTCAAAAAATAATTTCTCTTATTGAAGAAAATTTATTATCTAATTTAGATCATATTGTATAGTATTATAGTATATTGTTATTGAATTTATAAAAAATATCAAATTTGGATCTTGATATTGAAGAACAAGAAGAGCAAAATTTATCAGATAAGCTTTTTAAATATCTTTTTCTTCCAAAAATAATCAAAAATTGTAAATAGGTTTATCAAACAAAGCATAAATTTCTTAATAAATTTCAATATATATGTCATGATTGTTTGAAATAAATGCGAATACTTTATTTATTTGTTTATGTAAAATTTTAAGTGATTAATTAATTAGATAGTTTGAAACAAACAAAATAAAATGAAATACAATCTACGAATAATATCTTTAAAAACTATACAACTTTAACTTTTAGTGAAGAATAATCAATATATGTATACAAGTAAATAGAATATCTTAATTATAGTTTAAATTTGTTTATTGCCTTAATAATTGTTACAGAAGGTTTCCAAATTATTTTTTATTTTTAGTTGAATAAATTGCTATACTTTTGTTGAGTCATGAATATAAGTTATTTCAAAATAATTTTGGCTTATTACTACTACTCCTTCAATATTTATTTATTTATTTTTATATATTCTTTCTATGGCTTCTTGGATGAAAGAATGAGTGAATGAATCAACTACCTAATTTTGCTTTTTACATTGACAGGCTCGCTTTTTAAAGTAACATACAATAACAAAAGTTAGAAAGAGAGTTAGTTAGTTTGTTAGTTAGTTAGTTATATTGTAAAGATTAGGATTAGCGGTTGCTTAACAAAGCTAGAAGATAATTAATTACACATTGACAATCTCCTGAATAAATATTGTTTGATTAGAACGGTATGTAAGATAGATATGAGAGAAAGCAGGTTAATTTGTATTTATTTATTTCTTTGGTTTTATATAAGATTTTTATTTATTTATTTATGTAATTTTTTTATTATAATTTATAGTTTATTTTATAGTCGAAGTAAAAGAAGTATGCACATCTAAATTTTCTTAATCATTAATTATTTTCACCAGCGTCTTCGCCTTCCTCTAACCATTTAACACGTTTACCATCTTCCCAAATTCCGGTCTTTACAGTACCGTCTAATAAAATATATTTACCTTTACCATGTTATTTACCTAATTTCCATTCACCTTCGTATTTACGTCCATCTGCCCATGAGTAAATACCAATACCCTTTAATTAATTTATTTTAAAAATTTATTTATTTAATTTTTAGTATTTAATGCATTAAAAGGCATACATGTTTCTTATCGTTGAAATATTCACCTTCATATCTTCTTCCATCTTTCCAAGTATAAACACCTCTTCCATGCATATTGTTATTCAACCAATCACCTTCGAATTATCTTCCATCAGCCCACAAGTATTTTCCCTAAATAAATTGAATAAGTTATTTTAAAATCTTTTAAACAAAAAATAAAAAATTACTTTTCCACAAATTTTGTTATCATTCCATTCACCATCATATTTGGAGCTATTTATTTACATTAATATTTTAAATAAATAAAAATTTTATTTATACTGAATCAAATAAATTAATTAAAGCTATTGATAATATTTGCAAATCTATTTTAATGAACTAAAACTAGAATAAATAATTTAGATTATTTTCAATCTTATTATTGAATCATCAATAGATATTTCATAGCTAATTTTTTATAATTTTAAATAATTTTTACCCATCTGCCCAAGTATAAACACCTCTGCCTTGCTTTTTACCATTAACATAATTTCCTTCATATTTAGAGCCATCATTCCAAGTTTCGACACCATATCCGTGCTAGAGATCATCCTTCCAAGAACCTTCATAACGAGCTCCATTGACATGAATATATGTTCCGTATCCGTTTGCCTTATCATATTACCATTAACCTTCAAAAATATCTCCATCAACATGGTAGAATTTACCCTTACCATGAGCTTTATTGTTTTACCATTCACCTTTATTTTTTATAAAAATAAAGATTAATTATTTATATTTTTATTTCTTATTTGCTTTCAATTTAATATTATTATTCTTCTTCCTTGACTTTTGAAGCTATCTTTTTATTATATTTACTAATTAATTCATTTTAAATAATTTACCTTCATATTTTGCACCATCAGGCCACTTTTATTCACCGTAACCATCTCTCATATTGCCTTTCCATTCACCATCATATACAGCTCCACTTTTAAAAGTATATGGATTTCTCTTTTCTCTTTTATCTGAGTTAACTTAATTGCCTTTATTAAAGAAAAAATTATAAATTAAAAAATGTTAAACAAAATTTTTTAAAGTATTTAAATAAAATCTCATTCCTATATCAAAATTGTAAGAAATTCTCAATTTCAAATGCAAAAAAATCATTAAACTAGATTTTTCTAAAATTTAAACTTCTTTATAATTTTTATGCAAACTCTAGTTTATATTCTTCTAACAGAAAAGTATTACAGATTTCGTTAGCAAATTTTTAATTAAAAATTAGAAGATTATAAATAAGAGTTAGGTAGGGGGAACTCTTGAGTCAGCTAATAAATTTAAAAATATCAAAAATTATGATATGGATGATTGCTTTGTAGTCTTTTAAGCAAAATAATGAACATAAAAATAAGATTTTAGGTTATAGAGCATGAATTATGTCTAATATTTAAAATAAAATTGATGTAATTACTAGGAGGAGGCATATCTTTTTCAGATTCAAAATATTTAGAGTTTTATGAGTGTTTATCGTTTTCTTATTCTTCATTGTTGTTTGTTTTTTATGCTGATTCTTATTGAGCGCTAGTGGGTGGATGCTACTTATCTATCATGTTTTCTTCTTCCCTTTAATTTGGCTTACTCATTTCGTTTTTGGGATTATGATTTTCTTGATATGTATTTGACTAATCATCATTTTTTTTGGTTGCATGATAATTTTAAGAATCATCTTCAGGCGCATTTCTATGCACTTCTTTTTATTAATGACTATTCACCTTAACTACACCTTCATCTCCATCCTGATACTTTCTCATTTCGTCTTCCTATTATTTTGAAATAGTTTTATCATAAATATTTACTTTAATTACACTAATTCCTTCTTATCGTAGAAAACTAAAAAATATATTAACAGTAAAAATCGCCCTTTAAAAAATTAAAAAAATACATCTATAATTCGAAAAATAAGTTATTAGTAAATAGAGACTTGATTGATTGATTGATCAATTGATCTATAAAAATATATGTCACTATTTATCGCTCTTTAAAATGTTTACAAATCAGAATATTTTTCTTTTAATGATTGGCGAGTGTTAAGAATTTTGTTCCGATTCATAATTTTGCTGAATTTTTTCTATTAAATCTAATTTTTGGCTTTAAGAGATTCAAGCTTTCTAATGCTACATGAATATAACTATTTAAAATAATTAAGATTACATTTATAGACTTGCTTGCTACCTTTTCAGCTTGAGTTTATCCATTTGGAGTAGAATTCACACTATGGGTTTCTGGAGGCTATTTAGTTAAAATGAAAATGTTAAAAAACAAATTTGCATTTTTTTATGAGTGTGTTTAAATCGTCAAAATTAATTTGGTGGTTAGAGTTGAATTGAAAATCAAAAATGATAATAAATGAAATTCATTTTTACAATTTAGGTGATTTCATTGTTAGGATCTTTACAGGTTGTGCAAGCACACTAGTTACCCATTTTATTTATTTACTTTTTTGTTTTGAATATTTATATATGATAGAATCTTGTTGCTAGCTGTAGTAGAAGTGTCAGTCCTTTGTCTTTTTCTGAAGTAATCAGATAGATGTAGTTATAAATTAATTAATTTATTATTGTTATTCACTATGCTTTAGATTTCTCTTTCCTATTTTTAATTTATTAGCAATAACTTTAATAGCGTTTGGTTGATTTTATGAATATTCAATACACTAATTATTTATTTATTTATTAATTTATTTGTTTATTTGTTTGTTTGTTTGCTTGTTTTCTCTTTCTTTCTTCTTAATTTAATTTTTGCAAATTTTTGTTTGTTTGATTGTTTATTTATTTATTTATTTCTTTTTTTCTTAATTTATTAAAGTTAGTAAGAACTCTTTTCGTTTTTATTTGTTAAACATCTTATCAATAATCCCAGATTTATTGATAGTAAGAAATAGAGACAGTCATAGAACTGATAAATTTCCTATTTACATGATTAAGTACATATTTTTGATAAGCTGATAGCATAAGAAAATATTCATTCATTAATTCGCTAACTAACTAAATAACTCTCTCAGCTCATTCATTCATTTATTTATTCATTTATCAATTAAAATAGTCTTCAAGATTCAATACATATTTGATATTATTATATGCATGCATCCAAAGTGACATTCATATTAAATAATATAGATGAAAAGCATTTAAATATATTTATTAATATATCAATTAATTTATTTTGAAAAACAACATCAAAATATGAACAAACAAAGTTTCAACTGAATTATCAACTTTTATAGAATGCATTTTTACTCTCCTAAATGAAGTACATATTAAGGTAATTTATCAAAAAATTTTAAAAGGTGCAATAGAGGTTATTTTTTAGAAAAGTAATGAAAGCAAATGAAAATATTCAGGTACTATCCATTTAATATACTATTGAATCTGTTTTTAAATAAAAATGTATTTTTATTAATACCTTTTTTATGATGCTTTCTAAAAAAACTGTTCATATAAATAGTTATTATTTCGTCATTTATTCAAATTTTTTTAATTATAAAGTATTTTAATAATTAATAAATAATGCATTTTCAAATTTATTATAGCTAATTTTAAAATATTTTGCAAAATTGTTCAAATATAAAATCAAGTAATTGTTTTCATTTAAAAATACTTAATTATTTTATTTTACAAAATATTATTTTAAATAAATTGCATTTTTAGTTTCACTCTTTAAAAATATCTTTGATAATTTTAATGGTTGTATTGAGATACTTTTTTAATTAACATAAATTGAAAAAAAGCTTTTGTCGTTAAAAAGTTGTAATTTTATATTTGTTTTTTTAGTTATTTGTTTTTTTTCTAATTTTATAATCAACAATAAAAATTTATTTAGTTTAATAATAGGCCTAAGAAAATTAAATTTTATTTTCTTTAATTAGAAAAACAAATTTAGGACCAATCAATTAACAGCAAAAAAACAAGAAAGCAAAAAGAAATAAATAAGATAAAAATTTTTCTCAAAAATAAGTCATAGTTTTAAAATAAATTTCATTAAAAATTAAAAAGAAAAAAAATATTATTTATTAAAATTTCTATTTTTAAATTTAACAAAAAAAAAAAATTATTTATTTTATTAAATTAACAGTTTATTGATTCTTTCTTATTTAAAATAATTTATTTATAGTTTAAAATGCATACAAATTAATTTACTTTAAATAAAAATAATTAAATTTTAATTTTGTAATAAGGATAAATACTTTTGTTTATAAATATAAGTGGATAAAAAATTTCATTTTTTATAGTTTTAATAATTTCTGTTATATTCACTTTCTTGTTATCTTTGTTTAGTCATTTATTCTTTTTCTTGCTAAATCATCTTGACATAGTTATCTAATATATCTTAAGCTAAATTTGAGGAACGTTCAGGATTAGTATCGTCATAACGGTCATTCAATATTTATTACTTTTAAAATTATTTTTTAAGTTATTATTTTTGATATTCTACATAATCTTGTTTTTTTAGTTATTCGTCTTGTTTTTATTCATCTTCATCTTCGTTTAAAGGTATGCCTTACGAAATTTTAAACCTCCTAATTTCTTTTTGAATAGCCTTTTCTGACTCTGATTGCTAGTTTTTATGGATGTTTTCAACCAAGAGATAATTTCTATCTTCAGCCTTAACAGGACGCATGTGACTAATAAGAAGAGGTTCTTTATTAAGCCATGTCTTTTATAAAACATCTTTATTTGCATCTTATAAAAATTCTTTGTCTCCATATTTTTCTAATAAGGGTAGTCTTCTATTTTTTACTACAGATTTCATGTTCGGATTTTATTCTGCAGGATCAAATTTATATGGAATATCTAAAATATCTACCAAGAACCTATTATTTTAATTAAAAAAAATATTTTAACTCAAACTTTTAACTTTTAAAATAATTAAATTTATTTTTCCAAAATTAATTTCTATTTTTCAATTTATTTAAAATTGCTTTTAAACATTTTAATTAAGTTTGAATTATAAATTCCAGTTAAGATTAAATTATTAAATGAACAAAATAAAAAAATATCTTTTAAATACCATAAAAAAATTCAGTTGGATAAATTAATTTTAAGATGAAAAGAATTCAAAATTTTGTTTAAAAATAGAAATATTTAATTTTAATATGCTAAACAAACTAAAGGATTGAAAGGCTATTTTATATTTAATTTACTTTTCATAAGTGGGATCGTTGATATATTTTGAGAATTATTCTCCTTGTGGTCTTACAAACAAGTGATCTTTTTTAATTTAAATTTTTCTATTTGGTTGATTTTAGTCTTCTTAATTCATGCTCTCTTCATAGCTGAAATCAGTTTCAAATTTGTCTAATTCATCCAAAAGTTTCATGATTTGCTAGTCAATTTGTTTTTTATCGCTCATTATTTTTTCTGTCAAGGGCTCCCATTTTTATTCTATTTTTCTCCACTCACTTTCATCCGGTTTTCCTGTAGCCATTTTTTCTTTGAATTCTTTGATCTCTTTTTGTTTCTCATCTAATATTCTTGTGAAAATATTGCTTTTCTCTTCTACTAATGATAGGTTTCTTTCCATCTAAGCAAGGTATATAAAAAATTATTCTATCTTTATAAAATCAGGGATGTGAGACTTCCTTTCTCTGTTTACGAGTTTTGCTAAATTACAAAAAAATAAAATAAGTAAGTTTTAAGCAAGAATTGAAATTATTCTTTTACAGTCCTGATACTTTTCTCTCAAGTATTTGATATCTTGATCATCCATTTTGTAATGTGTTTTGAAACCTGACTCTAATGATGTGATGAGTTGTCTATACTCCTCTTAATCATTATTAGTCAAATGATATTTGGCAGATATTGACTTAAACTACACATCTATCAAATAGAAAATATTTGCTACCAACGAGTATTTAGATTTTATTTCTGGGACTACATAAGAAAAGCAAAATGTGTTGATTCTTCTTGCAGCTTATATGTTAAATTTACCATTTTTACCATTATATTTCTCGTTTAATCTATTCATAAAATTATTGATATCATCTAAACGATTCAAGTACTTCTTAACTGTGAATTTGTTTTCATCATCTTCTTCATTATTTTCAATTTCTACTGCTTGTTTGTTATTTTAATTTAAAAGTCTTTACTATTACTTCAACCTTTTCTTTTCCTCATCTTCAAGAATTTCAAGTCCCTTTAAGATTCTTAAAACTTTGTTCTTTTTCGTTGTAATTTAATCAATTAAAAAAGTAATCTAGGAATCATCGTCTAAAAACTATAAACGTTTTTCAATATCAACCATGTCAAAAGTTGTTTCCTCTTCCTTCAATTTTTTTTTCAAGCTCTCACTGTTAAATTTCTATAATAATTTAAAATAAAATTATTGTTTTTATATTTAAATATATTTTATTTAGTGTTTTCGATTTACATTTTCAGTTTCTAGTCTCTCTAAATTTAATAGATCCTTAATAATTCCATTCAATTTTTTTATATCAGGCTTGAGATCAATACTTTGATCTCTATTTTCAAAAAATTCATCCTGTGTTTAGTAATCCTGATTTAGATAGCGCTTATAAATTTATCTATTATCGACTCTAACTCTAATATGCTCATTCTCTACAAAAGATGGGAATATCCTTCTCATGTCTTTTTATCTGCTCTATTTGAACACTTCGCTTTTACCTTTACATTTAAATTTTAATCAAACACATATTTAGAAAAAATGTTATTAAAATAAACTTACAGATTTCTCCTATTTTTGCTTTGATCCTTTCTATCATCTAAGATCTGCTTTCTGAATCATTGTTTCTATTCATCAATTTCATATCAGTTTTATTAGCTTCTAATTACTTTTTAATTTTTTCTAATATCTCCCTATACTTTTGCATTAAATTTTCCTCTAGTTCATCATTATCTTAAAATGTTCCTCTGAATTAACCTTAAAGATCACATATTATTGCCCCAAATCCATCAATTTAAGGGAATTCTAGATCTTCCATTTCCTTAACAAATTTTGCTAATTTCATTCCCCACATATATGTAACAACAGATCCTCTATTAATATTATTTCTCCTCATTGCAGACTACTGCTATTCAGTCAATTCATATTTTCTATAAAGTTTCATCTAATCAGCAATAGTTTCAAGGAAGAAACCACCACAGTACTCAGCTACATCAAAAATATGACTAGGTAAATTATTATAAGCCTTATTTCTAAATTATATTTCGAAATCTTTATAGTCAGGCATCATCCTAAACTAATAGCTTAATGGACATCTCTGCATATATTACTAGTTAATCAAACTGTAATACCAAGAAGTTAATTTGAAATTTTATGATAATCTAATCTATTATTATTATTGTTATAGATTAATAAAATACATTATTAATAGTCAATTATTACGTAATTTATTTCATAAGGTTTCAAACTAAGAGGATCGTGAATGCGCACTTCAAAGTAACCTAAATCTTCTGATTTAATTACAAAATGTTTAAACTCTTGAGGATATAAAGGATTATCAATTAGCTTTTCTTAAATGTCATATTCATCTATTAATTTTTGCTAGCCTTCTTATTCTTCAGATTACTGTGTATCAACCCTGCCAGATTGAGTTTTATCTTTATTATTTTCTCCAGCATCAGTCACCTTCTTTTTTTTCACTGATATTCCGGTGGCAAATGTAGATTCTAACATGTATTTGGCACAAATAGCCTTCTCTTCAATTGACATATTTGAAAAATCTTACCCATTAAAAATCCTAAGTTTCTAATTTAAAGAAAAAATTATTCATACAAATTATAATAAAATTGAATTTATTTACTGGATGAATATAATGCTAAGCTAGGTCATGAGCTTAGTCAGTATGACAAGGAATAAGCATGGATTTTAAACTGTTTGCTATAATAGGCTCAGTAACTTCACCCTTTACATATTCTATTTTAAAATCTTGAAGAAATGAAAGCATCTCTTTTCTACCTGCAGGCTTAACACAAGAAAAAATAGCAAACTATTCAGTATTATATGAAGTTTCTATGCCACGTGAATTAGCATTTTTAATAACTTGAAGAGAATCCACAAATTGCTTAGCATCATGAGCATTTGGTATTAAAAACTTCTTAATATTCCAAACTTTAAATTTTAGCTTTAAAAGTTGCTACTTAACTTCTTTTTCATATTAAATATACTGAGGTTTCAGTACTATATGTATTAATTAGATGTTTGCACATTCAGGCATAAAAACACTAACAATTTATTCAGTAGAAAGCTCATCTTTGGGGCAGTACAAAAAGAAGTTGAATCCTAATTTATAAAAATTAAATAATTTGTAAAAACTAATTTAAAGCATTTAAAGATTTATATTTGTATCCATTTTAAAATAAAAAATATCTTTTGCAAAATTTAAAAATTGTTTTTAAATTCTTAAAAATAAATAAAATATTTAATATTTAATGATTAACCAAATTAATTAGAAAACAAACGAATAAATAAATAAAAATAATTATTAATTAATTGATTGATTTTTTACTTTCTTAATTGATGTCATCAATAATTTAGTTTTTCTTAATAGGTGTAAAGTGCTTGCCCAAGTTAACAACTGCTTGCTACTTACCTTCAAAATGGACTTCTTTTGTCTATTAGTTTATAAAAAGTCCACCACTATCATCATCTTCGTTTGCTTAATCTTGGAAGATCAATTTTTCTAAATTAAAGAACTCCTTAATTCCTGAAAACATATTTAAGTTTGTGTAACTTTAAAAGACATTAAAGAAATTTTTTTGAATGATTTCTTTGAAAATAACACCATTTTATTCATGTAAAACGAACAATTCATCTAAGTAATTGGTTTTTTGAAGCTTAAGTCCAGTTATGCATCCATTAGAGAGAACTTATACTTATTTAACACCTATTTTTATAGCATTTTAATATTCAAATACTGATTGCTTTAAACTAAGTAAACTTACCTCCTGGCTTAGTTAGAAGGATAATTTGCACAATACCTTCACGCATCATGCTAATGTAATTCTCTTTGTTGGAGTCACTGATACCTTCTAGCTTGGCAAGCAACTTTGCTTGATCTAGAGTTAAGAGAGTGAAGACTCTATTTACAACGATGAAGTCATTTATTCTGAATATATTAATCAAAATTTCATCCATTTTACTATTCACAATTATAGGTCTTAAAACAACTGCTACTCTCTACGATTAGCTCATATCCTCACACAAATTATTTGCTATATTTTCATTATCATATTCATCTGTAATCCTATACACATTTGGTGCTTCAGCTCCTATTGTCTTTTTATTGTAAAATGTTCATATTTATACATGAAAAACTATTGATTACAGTATAAGTTGGAGGACCAATCTTAGCACAAATTTTTATATTCAGTGACTTTGCACCTACTTAACAAAATTTAAAGAATTAAGCTCTGCTGTCTTCTTCATCGTCAATAAATTCAAAAGCTTGCCCTAATTTTGATTATTATTTAGAGAAATCCTCCTCAATAACAACAAAATTGTTAAAGTCTAAATAGTCTCTTAGCTTATCATCATTCTTTTTAACTTCTCTATTTCTGATTTCTTCTTCTTTGATTTTCATCTTCTCATCAGAAATAGTAGCATCTGCTCTGGATTATAAAAGAACCTTTTTAGGTATGTGTTGAGCAAGAACAAAAGTTTAATAATTTATCTTAAAAAAGTCAGGAAAGAATTGCTAACAATCGATTATACCCTTGTATTTATATTTACTCGAATAATAATACACGAACTCATTAGGAATACTTTATTTAGAAGCAACTAAGAACTTTCTAAACTGTGTGTATGGGTTCTAGTATTTAGAAGAAATTAATAAAACATATACTTTGGCTTATTCAATATCTTTTTATTGGCTATGAGACATTTTATCAAATTTTGCTTATATTTTATCTTTGTAGCGCTAGTAAAGCTAAAATTTCTATAAATCTCTTTCATTATTAAGTAAATTTCTTTTATTCTCAGTGCTTTTATGTGACTTCGAAGAATGATCAGCTTTCTAAAACGACTTGATAAAAGCCAAGTAACTATCAATTTCTAATTAAAAAAATAAATACATTTTTCTAAATTTTAAAATTATTTATTTACCTTGTTTAGGCACTGGCTTTTTAATAGAAAAAATTTTCTTCTCAACTAATTTATCATATAATTGCGTAGGTGAGCAATCATAATAGCTTAATATATCAAAGCTTCCTTCATTAAATATTTGAACTAGCTTTTCTAAATTGGCACTATAAATCGTTTAATTTTATTAATGTTTTTTTCTTTGTTTGATGAAATCTGGTATTCTGTTGCTATTCATAATATATTTATCTTCTTCTTACGGCCATACTAAAAAGAGTGCAACAAGTGCTATATTTTAATTAAATTTTTTTAATTGAACCACACCAAATTAATCTTACACTTAAAATTGAGGTGAGTCGATTCTATATATTTGCTTGAAAGCTCTTCACTTAGTGTATTAGAGAATGAGTCTTACTTTAAAGGAATTTCATGTGAATTCATTGGACATTTGCAATTGATACATGAAAATAATTCAACACCTTGATATGGTTTGATATTATAACTACCTCTATATTAAGGACAAATTTTCTAGCATTAAGGCATAGTACATCTAGATCTTTCCACACCAAACAAATTTAAGTAATTACTATTTGCAGCTCTTAATCTCGTATTAGCTATTTCCTAAAGTTGCTTCATGATTTCTTGCTATTCATTAATTATTAAAAAATCACTTTATTAAATTGATAACCATTTCTATAAATTTTCAAATCAATTGATAAAAACTTTAAATCAAATCTATTTTTAATTAAGAATTCAAAAATTGTAAATAAAAAAACCATTTTTCATTTTTTTGGAATTTTTCAACAAAAAAAATGTATTTCTCATTATATTATTGATTGATTTATGTATTTATGCTTTTAACACTAATTATTTTAATTTAAATCTAGAGGGAATTCAAACCTAAAATATATGTTATGTTTGATTGAAAGCAAAATAAAGATAAAAGCGAAATTTACATCTGTCATTTCTTAAGGCTTTTTTTTCTTTTATTACTACTAGATCTAATCATAATCTATTTTACTTTTTTATTGAACTAATTTAACATCTTCATATTGATTAACATTCTTAACCATATCAATAAGATCTTCTTTATTAAAATTAAGATCCAAATCTTAATCATCTCCATCCTTTTCTTAAAATTAAGGCATTTTAATTCTTCAAATCTAAATAAACATATTAATTTACATTTAAGCTTTAGATCGACTAAAATAGGGGCAACATTTCTATTTACAGCTCTAATTAAATCATCTGTTATTTGGAATTTTTACTTTTTCGATTCTTAATATTATCGCTCATCCTATATCATTTCCTCCTGAGTTTTTGGCATTTTGCCTTTCATTATACTTTTCATAAACATTTCTTAAATTTCTGGTTTCTAATAATATAAAATCTTATTGTTGCTTCTTATTTAAACAAAAGTAGCTCAATGTATTCAACCTAAAACTTTATGGCCCTAAGTTTTGGTGTAAATTATACTATATTTTTAATTATTAATATTTGTATCAAACAATCCCTCGTTATAATTTATGAGCGATAATTTTTTAAATATTTTATAAAAATTAATTAAATCTTTGCGGGTTTAAATAATTTGTTATATAAATATTAGGGGTATAATACTGAAAAAATTTGAATTTGAGGTTGTTAATATAAAATATATTTTTTTTAAATAAATTGATATGTTATTTAGACTAATTATTAATAAAATTTCAATTTTTTTTAGATACAGCTTCAACTAAACATAAATAATTTTACTGCTGTGAATGCATGCAAAATATTATTTTTAGTCTTTTTCTATATTATATATAATATGATAAATTTAAAGTTTAACAAATAAAAAATGTAAGAAATGACTATGTTGATAGATATATTCAATAAATTATTATATTACTTAAAATATGTATTAATGTTTGCATGTATCTTTCAACTATTTATAAAGTTATTTTTTTAAAAATATTAGTTTATATCTTTTATCACTACTCACTCAATTAGTTATAAGAAGAATTTGTGGTTTCGTTGATAATTTATTGAAAATTTTCATTTTTTCTTTTTAAAGTTGTCAATTTTTGCAGTTCTAATTAATGTATCTACTTTTTTGATATGTTCATACATCTCTTTCACAATTATGAATTTCAAAGGCTCATTACTCTTATTAATTTCATATTTCTTTTTAGAAGCAAACTATATTATGTAAGATGCTTTTGGTAGTATAAATTTTACAGCAATTGCTAATACAAATGAACATAAATAAACGAAGGCATCTTAGTATCTATGGAATCTACCTAACGACGAAAGATAAAATAAACCTATAAATAAACATGCCACTACTGGATAGTAGATCAACCTATTAGGCTATCCAATAACTCTAATTTCATCATATAAAGCCCACTAATCATGAATATCTAACTTTTTAAGATACTCATTCATATCATTTAAGCATTTTTGCTCTATATCATTTTGATCATAAGGTTTTTTATCCTCTTTTTCATTTATTTTAGAAACTATCTTTCCGTCTAAACTCATTTGTTAATTCTACAATATTACTTTTTTAAGCTACTCTTAAATATTTGGATTATTTCAATTGATTAAAATTAAATATCTTAAAAATTTTTAATTATCACCAAAAATCTTAATCATCAAATGCTATTTAATAAGACGATAAAAAGACTAATTTAAATTTAATTTTTGTCAAAAGTTAATTTTTAATAAGAAAAAAAACAATTAAAATAGATAAATTTCATATTTTATATTTTATTAAAAAATGTTTTTTATTTTTACTACAATTTACATTTATCCAAAAATAAATTTAAAACTAAAATCTATTTAAATCAGTTATAGCTGATTAAATAAATAAACTTCACTTTTTAAATTATCAAAATTAGTTATTTTTGACATTATTAATTTGCTTTTATTTGGCTTTACTTTTTATTTTGAATAAAATTAGAAAAAAATTATTGTAAATAATATTTTTATAAATATTAAAATAAATAAAAATAATTTCTAATTCAATGATGCAATTTAGTTGATTATGAATTATTTATTTAATTACTAATTTATTGTTATTTCTTACTTACTTACTGGCTTTAAGAGATTTAATATGCATTATATGGAAATCAAATGATAATTAATTTATCTTAAAAAGATATTTAAAAATTTTATTATTAGAATTTGTTCACATTATTTTCGATCTTTGATTTTATTTGATATTGATTTTGATCAAATTTTTTAAACTGTTGAAATGAGTTCAGAATAAGAGTTAAATAAATTAATAGCTTAGTTTTTAAAAGAGGATTAAGAGTAATTTTCATCGGAAACTTTTGATTCAACTAGATTCTTAGTTTCCATTTTGATTGATCCCACTAAAAAGTCCTAAGTAATTATTCTATTGCTTGTTTTTAATTTGAAAATAGATTACATATTATGTCAAATCGGCTTCATCTTTTCGAATATTTCTACTTTACAAATTTATTATAAATTAAAGATATTTTATCAGTTTTTTAAATATTTAGTTGGAGGAGATGTTTAATAGATTTATTGATAAAGAAAATGAGTGTGAAAACCTAATAACACAAATCATCAATTTAAAACATGAGCAATTTAATAAATTGATGAGCAAACCAGATTATTATGGAGTAAATAAATTCACTTTGAATGAAATAGATTTTATTTAACAATAAGAAAGAAAAACAAATATATTATCTTTTGAATAAAAAATGAAATCTTAAAAAAAAATAATAAAAGGAATAATACGAAAAAGTGCGTTCAGTTACAAGTTAATCAAGGAGAATGATTCTAAAATCAAAAGAATACCTTGAAAAGAAGAAAATAGATATGAATACTTATTATATGAACTAAATATATGTTAAAAAAGTTAATGAAGCTCTAGAAATGGTAGAATCTTACTAGCATCTAATTGTGATGATAGATAACTTTATTAAAGCTGATTCATTTTATGAAGCATGCACTCATTTCCAAGAAGCAAGAAATATACTATATTCCTTTGATGATTAGTAAAGATAGACTGTTTTGATCAAATAAATGAAAGAGTAAGACAAACAAAAAGATGAAGAAATCTATAAAATACTTAAGAGACAATTATCTTTTTATTCTTTCTATTACAATGAACCTCTACTCATAAACGATCATGACGACGATGTGAAAGCTAAACAAAGTTTTGCACTTGAAAGACTCTCAATCGTTTAATTGGATATAACGACAACATTTTAAAATTCAAAGGAATTCGAAGTATTTCTAAAAGATAATTTCAACATAGATTTATCAAAATATAAATCATTCCAGAATAAGATGAACTAAATTATTGAAATTCTAGATGAAAAAATTTACGATTTAGATAATGACTACGAACAGTTTTTCGGTTAGCTTAATCATGAGAATCTTATGAATTATTTACGTAAGATTCATCTAAATACTACTTAAACCAAGCTATTTAAAAAAAAAATTTTAAATGATAGGCGATTTCTGCATGAAGTTTGACGATTTTGATAGAATGGCTTAAGTTTGGGATGAAATAGGAGAGGATTTAGATCTTCTTGTGCCTAGTTGTCAGAAGAGTGATTTAATTAATTTAATGATGCTACTGCATTCTTCTAAAATTGTTTAAAAGACTTAAATTCTCTTAGAAGAATACTATACTCATCTAACTGAAGACATCAACACTTGTTTTTGGTTGCTGAAATTATTTTTTTTATCAAAATAAATTGATTTAAAGAAAGCTCACTTCAAGTTTACAAGCACAGGTATTAACTAGATTATTGATATTTTCATTCATAATAATAATAAAATCTATTTTATAGGCATTGAATACTTTTAGAAGTGCAATTTTATAGATCCCTTTAACATAGAAACATTCCACTAGTTTACTAAATTAATCATTTGTTTTAGTGCTATTATTATCAGAAAGTAAATTCTCTTAAGGAAGGCAATCCGTAAACTAGATCTAGAGACTGAATCTAACGTTAGATCTGTCTCTCATATATTGGTTGTACTTATTTCGTAAATTGAAATGTGCTTACATACATTCTTAATTAGACCATTTGATTAGCAAACAGTAAAATTCATGAAATGAAAGTTTAAATTTGGATTTAATTTTATTGTTGTTATTATTGTAGAATGAATATAACAATGAAAGCACACACCTAAATCTCCTAGTCCAAGAATAAATTAAAGATGCAGTGAATCCAAGCATGATCAACTTGCCTTTTTTAATTGGAATGATAAGAGATTCCTTTAATGTTATTATTGAAAAATTGGTAGAGGTTATCTCAAAAGATTAAATGTAAGATGAGGAAGAAACACAAGATTTCGTAATAAACTAATGAAATTTACATATTTAATTTATCTTTAAAATATTAATAGGAAATTAATTAGAAAAGTGTTATAGAAAGCTGGCTGTAAGCTGATTTGAAAAAATTCTATCAATTTTCATTTTAATTTTATAAAGATTCTATTTGTTAAATATTTGGTTACGACGATAAAAATAAGAATGGCAAAGTAAATCCTGAATACTTAATTATGGAAACAGCCTAGATTTATAACTAGCAAAACGAGTAAGTCTAAAGAAGTTCGAAATAATATGATGTGGTAATTTAGAAGATGCTTGTGAAGCATGAGCAATCTTTAATATCACTTTACACTTCTTCTAAATTTTTGTTCCCCTAAATTCCAATCTGTCTTAAAAATATTAAACAATGGTATTCTTTATACAAGATATCTCCTACGAAATTAGAATTCAGTGAAGCTATTAATGTGATCAACTACTAGCTTCATATAGTGATATAATAGTAAAATAATTTATATTTTTATTAGTATGTTATTCTTCTATTTATTTATAGATCGAACTCAAAATTAAGTCAACTCTTCTCTGGGACATATGTAGACACATTCCTAAAAACCCATTAAAAGCTAATATTCTCGAATCCAGGGTACATAAAATGGATGACAATAAAATTCTAAAAATTGAAATTAACTCCTAGCAATTTCGGAGAAGTTATTTCTATGAGAGATTATGAAGTTATGCTAAAATGTAAACAAAATTTAAATAAAAAAGTTTAAATAAAAAAATTAATTTTAAATTTAGAGATGTATTTAAAATACTTCCTCAAAGATGATGTCCAAATAGATGAAGATTTTTTATTCAACAAATAATTCAGTGTGAGCTATGTAGCAACTCTTCTTGTTACTCTGGAATTATATATTAATTAAATTAACAAGTTCTTTGAAGATGTAAGTTTTTTTATTGATTTCTTATTATATATATTCCATAGTTCTTTTAATAATTTCATTTTTACATTTTTCTTTGAAATGAAAATATTTTACTGTAAAATTAACAACAAAATAAAATATTGATAAATTAATTTCTTTAATCATTTTTTTAATAAATTTCTTATGAAAAAACATTCTTGCATAATACTATAATATTATTTATTTTAAGATTAAACCTCTTTTCTAAAAATTCTGTTGAATGACATTGTCTTTCTAATAAAATAATATTTTTTTAAAAATAACAACAATAAATTTAATAATGTAATCTCTAATATTCATGGTCCTTTTATTAAAATAAGATATTAATTTTTAAAATTTTAACTTTTCTACCTAATTTCTTAAATTGTTGATGAGTTTCCATAATATTTCACAAAATTACCATAAATTACTTATTTTGAATAAAATTAATTTTTTTATAAATCTCTTATAATCTATCAATCAATCTTTTCATAATTAATAATTAAATTAAATAGTTTTTAGAAAGAGAATATCTAGAAAAATTGAAAGACCAGATGTAATATTAGTCTTAAGAAAGTTAGATTTAGTAGGCAGGTGGGAGCTAGATGCAAGGAGCCTTATAATTCTAGCAATTAATGCAGAAAATAAAATTCTTTTAAGAGTATGATAAATAGAATATTAATGTTGATTCATATGCTGACTTGGATATTTTTTAGACTCCTATAAATTAAGAGCTATTAGCTGTTTCTATTCCTAGATTAATAAAATATTTTAAATAGCTACTTTAAATAGCATCTAAATGCTATTTTGCAATTAAATTAGAGTTGCATTTAAAGTTTTTTGCATATATTTTCAAAACTTAAAAAAATATGAATGCAATTTAGAGAGCAAAAGAATTTTCTGCAAATAATATGTAAGATTACTATTAAGAGTTGTATCGTTATTACTCAACCATCTCATAAATACTACCTCCTGAAACAGTAAAGCAAAATAATTTTAATTTTATTGTTGAAATTTATTATTTATTTATTTATTAAAAGCTTGATTTATTGTTTGACGATTACGTATACATGCTCAAGAAAAGTTTAAAGTATAATTACATATCGGATAAGCAGTTTAAATTCTAAAACACAAAAACCTTAATAAAGGATATTAAAATATTGGAAAATGAGCTACTTAAAATACCTTAAGTAAATTAAATAAATATATTTAACTTAATTTAAAAATACTTAATAAAAAAATAGATATAGAAGAACAACAAGAATTTAATTGATTCTATTTTAAAGTTGAAGCAATTCCTTAGTTTAAACATGGTTGAAGAAAATGATTTGCTAGAATACTTAAAATAAAACACATATAAATATTAGTTTAAGCATATTTAAAAGTATTTTAGTATGAGACCATCTAACGACAAAGATGTTATATAGAAAAGATAGGCTCTTTTTGAAGAAGCTAAGAAGTACTTACTTCAAAAATAAGGAGATTAAACCCCAACCGAGAAGAGCTAACTTAATTAATAGTTATAAAAGAATTGAATTTCTTTCATATTACCTCACATACATATTAATTTTTATAAAATGTTGATAAATTATAATTTTTTTTCTTTATTTTAATTAATAAAAAGAAATAATTGCATTTAATTAGTATTTTCTTTTTCATTTTATTTTTGTAAATAATTATTTTTTTAAAAAATTTCAAATCAGTTATCTAATTTAAATTACAAAATACCATTTAACTTTGTTTAAATAATTTATAAAATAGTCATATTATTCTTACTTTATGAAAATTTATTTTGCAAATTTAAATTGGATTAAAACGTTTAAATTGCTTAAGTAATTAAAATAATAATTTTTATTATAAATTGGAAATTTTTTATGATAAACAATTTTTTAAAAATATTTAATTTTTATTTTTATATTTAAAATTGATTTAAAAGTTTAATTAAATTAACACTAGTATTTAAATTTATTATTTTTTATCATAAAATTACAATTTTTAAAAATTTAATCATTTATATATTATTTTAATTAAAATTTGTTAAAATAATTAAGAACCCTACTCATTAATTTTATTTAATATACATATGAGCCTTGAAAGGTCATTACTTAATATAAATATACAATTTTTTATTATAATTTAATTTGCTTAATTTCATTATTCTTCAAAAGTTATTTTTAGTTTTAAGTTGCTTAATGTTGTTTTTTAAGATGTTTTGTTTTGGAATGCTGGGTAAAGTCCTCCTGTAGGTAAGCTATTATAAACCTCTCCAAGTGGTTAACTTGGGGTGTAAATAACCATTATATTTTTATTAAAATCTAATTAGACTTTTATCTTTAGGGTTTCACGATGAAGCCCGTAATTAATTGTGCTACCAACAATACTGAATTTTTTATTTAGTTTATTTGTTACACCTTTTGTATAAATAAATAAATAAAAAGATATATATATTTAATATCATTCAAAATTATTTTACCAACAATTAAACATGCTGTGGTATCTTCTCCGCAGGCATGTGAGGCAACCGAAGCTGTGATATCCCATGAAATTTTACCATAAAAATACGGATAAAGAGTTGTTGCTATTCCAGGTGTGTCATATTAAAGAATTATTTCTTTTTCTTTACGAGTGATTTAGGCACACTCAGAAGGTTCGATTGATTGTAACTCTTAAGTGCACACAGACTAAACATCACTCCATTCACCACTTGTGGTTTCTTCTTCAACTAAATTACTATCACTCTTATGAATTAAATTAGAGTTTTCATTTTTTATTTAATCTTTCATATTTTCAATCTGGTTAGCATCTTTTTTTTTGCTTTAAACAGCACAAACTCTCACCTTATAAGTTGTTCTTAAAAAATAAATAAATTAGATTTATACAAGATTAATCAATAAATAAATTTCTTTACTTTGATTGCAATCCTTCAATTATATATTAAGGAGATGAACCTAAATAAACTTATTTAAATTACTCTTTTCCACCAATCTTCATTCCTAATTAATTTACAAATAATCTCAACTAAAAATACCAACGAATAAATGAAATAAATAAGCTAATAAATAAATAAACATCATTAAAAGTTAATCAAAATAAATAATAACTAAGTAATTACCTATTCCAAACTCTACAGCATACTTAATGTCACCTTAGTAATAAGCTGAATGAGTCCATTAAAGCTAAGGGTTTAAAAAAATTTATTAAGTTTTTATTGATAAATTTTAAAGAGTTAATATTACCATAATTGATTAAGATGTAGAATAGGTTTTTGTAATTATTCTTTTGGCTAAAGGATTTTTTGCTAATTCACTGTATTAAATTAGATCGTGATTAGAAAGCATGTCAGTTATGTCGTGAAGACTCTTAGCCACTGATTTTCCATTTGTAGAGCTTTGATGTGAAGATCTGCTGGCTGACTGCCTGTTGGAGTTTGTGAGTTCAAGTGACTTCTTAGTTACAGAGGGAGACCTCTTTACAGGTGTATTTTGTCTTTTCGTTTTTTTACATAAATTAGTTTCAGATATAATAAAGATTAATTTTACTAATTAGTTTAGGTGTTTGGCTATTGCTAAACTCTTGATCTGCTTGATTCTCTTTAAGTTGAATTTTACTATTCTCTAGCTGAAGATATTGTTGAAGATGAAGATGGCATATTTTTATTTGTTCTATCAGGCACTTTACTTGGTTTACTTGAATTTGAATTTGTAGAGTGGAAGTTTGAATCTGTTGGCGATAATTTTTAAGATAATAGTTGTGAATTTGCTATATTTGATTTTTAATTTTTTGTTGAAAGCTAATCGCTGATATTAACTCCACCTGATATGATTCCACCAGCAGGAGTACTGCCAATATTTTCACAGAAGCTGGAAACTTGGGAAATTCCAAAGTTTCCAATATTTGAAGAAGCAGCCTTTTTAGCTGAATTCTTGCTTTTTTCAGATTCAATTGTTGTAGAAATAATTGACTGGTTATTTGTGAAAGTAGATCCACATTTGGCTGAAACAATTGAGTTAAACTCAATAGAATTTGCTAGCGGGTTAACATTCAAGTTAGAAAAGCTTCCATTACTTTTATTTATTTAACTAGTAATTGTATTTGTTTTTCTAGTTGTTTGCTTAGGAGTGTTTAGTCTGTTACTGTTGCTATTTGTTGAGTTTAAATGATTGCCAGAAGCAGCTTGTTAATTATTATTTAATTAATTTAGACTATTATGGCTGATCATTTAAGATAAAGAAGATGAAGATGATATCTATCCTAAAGTATTTTATATATTATTTTAAGATTTCTCAATATCTGTTTAAATATCTATTTCCTTTTAAGAAGCATTTTGTGAGGAGCTATTGCTATTTTGCGAAGAATGCTTTCCAAATATATTACTTTAAGAATTGCTGTGAGGACTTTTCAAATTATTTTTCCTAAAGGCATCTTGTTTACTAAAATTTGCATTAATTTAATTATTATTGATAGCTTAAGATAAATTAACGTTATTCTTAGAAGGCAAAGTCTATTCATCTTTTTTGAATTTATAAAATATTAAATAATTTTATTTAATTAAAGTTAAATTAATTTTTTACCTTTGAAACCCTTAAGTGATAGAGATAAAAATAAAATTTTGGCCTCCTCAATCTAATTTATTTCAACAGGTGAAATTTACCCTTATAAATTAGCAGAAGCTGAGTACAAATCAGAAAGTTATGTGAATTAGTTTATTGGTTTTTTTTAATCGAAGTTGAGTGTTTCTTTATATTTATTTGTGAAAAAAGGGAGTGACCCAAGCAGATCAAACTTGTAATATTCTTCAGAATTAATAGCAGCATACATCAAATCACTCAAATTTGTGTACTGTTCAATTTTATTGAGTACTTCTTTCATGTAATCTTAAACTTAGAGCTATTTTTGAGAGATATTATTGTCAACTTAGCGTAGAATTTAATCCTCCTTTGCTTTTAATAGCATAATCAGATCTGAAATTTAACTTTAAATATGCTTTTTAGCATTTTGCTTTACTTAATTTAATTATTAAATGACAGATTAGAGAGTATCAGCTTCGCTTCTTAGCATGTTTTTTTAAAGTTGCAAATTCTCTACATTCAAAAATAAATTATGAATGAAATCTCTATGAGCAATATCCACATTTATAATGTTTCCTGAGCATATGTTCAAGTGCTTATTAGAGCATGAATCACATAATATTTCAAAGTCTTTGCTACAAATTTTTTTGTAATTTTCATTAATGTGGATCTTACATTTATTCGTTTTAGTATTATTTAAGCCAGATTCATGGGATAAACTAATATTAGACGAATTAAAAATAGAGTCATTATTATTACCACTATTGCTATTGTGCTTTAACTCAAATTGTTTCTATCTATTAACTACTTGCTATTAAAAGTATGTAGCAGGAATTTTTTGTATTGAGTGCTTTAAATAATCTCCGACAGAGTGAATAATATCACAGCATGCTTCGCATAAATACTAACTCAAATTTACATTAACCAATTAACTATAATCTTAAAATAATACTCTATTTGAACTTTAGTTCATCTTTTCTCTGCTAAAAGAACTTTTGTTACATGTTTCACAAACACAAACTGTTTTGATATTCTCAGAGCATCTTCCACAGTTAATTTTTACTTAAAATTTTTAGTTTTGAATATCTGTTTAAGACAAATCTGAAGATGTATCCAAAGTCTTTGTCCCTGGCCAATTATTTATTACTTTTGATTATTAAACTGATTCTATTAACATTCCTAAATATGAATTCTTTTTCAATTTATTATTTTTAACTTCTAAAATGCAGTTTTAGCAGTCAAATATGCGTTCGAATATCCCTTCCTCTGAAGTTACTAATAAAGATTCTACACACGCTCTACATATTACTTTACCACAACATCCTGTATGCTAAAAAGTATCTTCATTAAGCTATAATCCACATCTTATGCAATCAAACAAAGCCATTGAAATCTAATTAATTTATTGTAATTTTTCTTGTTTGAAAATATTTTTATGAAGTTATGCTAAAAAATAATTATATATCTTGATAAGATTATCCTACTTTAAATATTAAACAACTAACTATTCTATTTTAAGTTTTTATGCTTATATATAGAATTATACTTGCTATCTACTTTTATCTTTTACTTTCTAAGTTTTTTTAGAATCTAGCTAAAGTTCAAAATGTTTTGATTAAATTTTTAAAAGTTAATTTCTTTCTGGTAATCTTTTTTCCGACTTAAGATGCTATTAATATTTGAAGAAATTTTGTCAAAAAAAAATCAATATTTATGCAAAAAAAAATTATACTATAAATTTAGGATTATCAATTTAAATTTTAGTGCAAATTAGTAAATTATGTAAGAATATCATTTGTATTTATCAAAAATATAATTAATTCATTCAATAACTTATTTGAAATTAGTTATTAACGAATATATTTTAAAACTCTATACTTTTAAATAATATTCTAAATTTTATTTAAATTAGCTCAATTTAATTTATTTCATTCCAGCCAAAATATTTCAATTTGTCAAACAAAATTTAAATAAAATAAAATATCAAACAAGCAAGCATTTCATAATTTTTTCAAAATTTTTCAAATTTCTAAAAAAATCTACATTAATTATATGATATAATTAAAACTTAATTTCTAATCCAAAGCTCAAAACACACAAAATAAATAAATAATATATAAAAATGGATTTTTTTATAATTTAAATGTGTATGAATGAATTTAATTTATTAAAAAAATGACATTTTTAATTTCACTAATTTAAAAAAATTTTTGTTTGTATAAAATATTTAAATAATAAATAATTTTTTTTATTTAAATTTGAGATAATTTATATAGTTTAAATAAGGAGATTATATGGGGAAATAAAATTAAAAAAAATATTTTATTAGGAATATAATTTTTTTTTTTCACTAGCCAGATATAATATCGATGCTGGTGCACATGTAATCTCTTTAGTTAATCATATATAATATTTTTATAAAATTGACCCTTAAAAAATATTTACTTTTATGTAATAATTTTGAATTTCAAAATTATATTTCATTAAATTTAAATTAATACAAGCAAAATAAATTATCAACAGAAATTAAATTAAAAAATTACAAAATTATTAAATATGCCAAAACTAACAATTTAAGTGAAGATAATTAGAAAATTTTATAATTCAGCACAGCCTATAAATAAATAAAAGATAGATGATAAATAATCAATCTTACATAAGAAATAATAAATTTATTGTATTAATTTATTTAATATTTTTTATTTAATATTTTAAAACTAATATTTTTATAATTAAATTGAAATTATATTTGTCTTTTTATTTTACTTTTTTATATATCAATTGTTTTTTTAACTAATCAAAAGATAGATCAATATCTTACTTACTCACTCACTAGATTCCTCAAAATCAAAGAAATCATTGATAAGTTTAACTATTTTGTTGTAAACAAGATCACTTGAATGAATTTGAAGGTTTTAAATGATTTCAATAAGACCAGTGTTAGAGAGTTAATTGAAGACCAGACTTTCTTGTTATTCTCCATCTAATTAGTTTTCTCTATCAAAAGTTAATAAAATATTGAGAATATCTATGCACTTTATAATTAGATATTCATTGTTTTCTTCTTTTAAAACATTATACAAAACTTATATAAAATCTTTTTTAATAAGATTTGATATTTGTTCTTTTGTTGCCTTTTCTAGAGCATTAAATAAGCCTTGTAAAAGAACGCTTTTTACTTCTAAAGTATCAATAACTATCAAAGTAAGGATTTTATTTAATAAAGCACTGTAATTAAATATTTCGTCGATATCTTATTGGCTGCATGAGAGAATATTGCTAATCACCCATCCTGCTCTCTTTCTAATACTTTTTTCTTTAGTTTCTAAGCAAATTACTAAACTTTAATTAAATCCTTTCTCTAAAATAACCTATTTTAATAAAATTAATTTTCAATAATTATGCATTAAATTAGTTTGATTGATTGGTTACTCTAGCAAAAGATTCATTAAGATGAATTAAATTTCCAACACACTCTAAAATAGATTCCAAATAGTAATGATTGTGAGTTGCAAAAATCAAAAAAATGAGATTCATTAACTTGCTGTTAAATTATGTTCTAAGAATCTGAGCATTTTTTTCTTCCTTTGCAATATTGTTGATAATTCTGATCAAATTAAAAATAATTTCATCATTTTTAATATCTGAGAATTCATTTATTGTTGATAAAATTAATTGCACCTAAAATTTTAAATGTTAATTAATTTAATGAATATAAAAAATAAATAAACTTTTACGCTTTTTTCATCCATAGTTTTAATTTAATCTGTAATATTTAAGTAGGTGTAGCTAATTTAACAAATAATTTCTTCATTAAATTTCTTCTACTCAAGGATGCTTGTGATTTTTCCTATCACATTAGCTTCATATATGATCTAAGTATAATTTGGGTCACCTGCTAAATTACTTAAACACCAAAAAGCCTAATTAATTAATTAATTTCCGCAAAAAAAAGATATTAATTTAAAGCTTACTAAAAATTAATATTTTGAAAAATTTAATTACTGCATTTATGGACTCTATCTTTTCAGCATCTAAAAGCATTAAAAGATTTTGAATAAGCTCCTTTGGCAAGTTTTCATATTTTTAAAGGTTAAAAGATGGTTCGCAAGATAAATTAGCTAAAATCCAGCACACATCTATTTAAAGCTAATTATATTATCTAAATCCAGGACCTACTAACACGCAGAGATACTTAACTACATCTGTGTTTAGCAAATATCTTTAACTTCTTTATTCTTAAGAGAGTTCTTTCATTTTACTTATAGATAGTTGCAATTACTCTAAATTTGATTCTTTTTCTGCCTTGTAAAATATTTACAAACTCTCTTGACATTATTCTTCACACTATTTAAATAAAAAATTTATTTCACTTATATATATTGAGTAAGATAATCAGTCATTAATTAATAAATTAATTTATTTTGGTAAAAAGCACATCAAAATGCTAAATAAAAAGTTTTATATCAGTGAAAGCTTACTTTTTAGATAGCATTCTGCTTAAAGACTCTAATACGCTTCTACTAGAGGGCGCTATTCGTTTTTGATTTCCTTATATCTTCACGAAAGTCTTCCTTTTTATAAGAAATCATCTTTCTAACATCATCATTTTCTTCCTTCGAAAGAGAAGTACTACCAAAAATAGAATTTGGGTTGATATTGCTGTTAATAATAGAGCTAGTAGGATTTTCCAAAGTTGTCATTCTTAATAATTCTAAAATTTTAATAATTTAACTGCTTAATATGTTTTTACTAATTAACTAAAACTAAGTAAATTGCTATCCTTCTTAGCTTTTGAAAAGATTATTTAATTAATACAAAAATTAATATTTATTAATTTAAATTGTGTAGAATTTTAATGCTATGGTTAACTTGATCAAAAAACAGCTACTAATTAAAATCTAAAGCAAGGCAAGTCCATATCAAAGTCTAAGCAAAAATTAGCTCAAAAATATTAAATTTGGCAAGATTAATTTATTTTTTTTTAATTTATGCATATTAATTATATGACAAAATTGATATGAGCCTAAAAGAATATTAATATTTTCATTCTTTTGAATTCTAAGATAAGAATAATTATTCAATCAATCAAGATCATAATTAAAACATATCACTTCTTATCTATTTCCATTTTTTAGTTATTCATAATATTTTTTATTAAAATCAGCAAATAATAATTTTGTAAAAAAGTATTTAGAATAATTTAATTCTTTATTTATTGAAAATAAACTTCATATTATATATTGAAATTACATTTTCTTTTCATTGAATAAATAATTTATTTATTTATCAGTCTTTATTATTTTATATGTTTTTTAATATTATTTTTATATTAAAATTGTCTTAATATTTTAAAAAGAAAATTTATTTAATTGAATATATATTTAATATTAAGGCTTTTCTATTCTTAAAAAATATAATAGATAAAAATTTATATTTAATAATATCAAACAAAATTAATTGATTTAAAAACTTTTAACCATTTTATTTTTAATTAATAATTAAATATTTACAAATTCAAATAATTTATATTTAAATTGAATTATTTTATTTGTGATTTATAAAAAAAAGTTGATTAATTCAAATAATTTATAGTTAAATTAAGATTGATTTTTTTACATTGCAAAAATATATTTAAATATCAAAATATTTGGCTTAAAATTATTATTTAAATTTTACATATTTTATTTATTATATTCAATTAATTCTTATATTTTAGAGTCTATTCTAAATAAATTCATGATTTTTCTTATAAAAGAAAGGTTAATCTATCTGGTTTTTTAGTTATTATTCTTACTCATTTTTTCTTTTTTGGAACTGATTACGCTTAGTTTCCTGTTTTCTTAGGCTTTTGTTTATCTAAAAATAATTTTATTTAAAAATACTCTAAAGTAAATTTACCATTATTTGTATTTGCATCATTTTAATTTGGTATAGTAGGTTAGCTCTATGCATTATCTTTAGGATCTTCATTAGAATAATCAGAGTCTTCATCACCACTTTAAAAATTAAATAAAATAATAATTGACATAAAAATAAACATTTTTTTATAATTAAAAAAGAATCTTTTTATGTAAAAACAATTTAATTAATTTCATCTTTTTGTTTAAAAGCATTTCACAGATTTGAACAGTAAAATATTTCAATTTAACGAAAAAATCTTTTCGTGAAAAACCTTAAAAATAAATTTTAATAAAAAGTTGCTTTTTAAATACCTGTTTTGATACTTATCACCATCTTTTCTTTCATTCTTTGACATCATCTATTCAATTTCCTCTTGTATCTTCTTTACCTTTAATTACTCAGGCTCAAAGCAATCAATTATAGATTAGCAAAACCCTTGGGCTATTTCTTTATATATGTCAAGGTTGAAGTGGAAATATTCATATTTTCCTAGGTCTGCTCCACAAAACGATATTTCAAGAGTGTAGCAGTTAAGAATATTAAATTCTTTCCAAATTGCAATCTTTTTAAAAGAAATTAATCAATGAGATAAAAATTTTGAATAATTAAAAATAATTAATTACTCTTGCAGAGCCTTCTCTATCTTTCTAGATTTAAAATGAGCAGTCTTTGAATGAGAATACATTACAATTATTTCTCATCAAAAGAGGAAAGACTTGTTCTCTTTTATTTGGATCCTTGCCAGAACAGCCATACATAAATATATTCTTTTTTCTAGAGTGTCCATGGAAATCACAATAGAGCAGAACTTCTTTTTCATCTTTCAGTTTTTTGAGGAGCTTTAAAAAAATTAATAAAATTAAAAATGAGAAAAAGAAAGATCAATTAATTAATTTCACTTGTTTTGTTGAAAGAATAGTAGGATGAAGTTTTTTATTTGGGTCTATATACTGTCTGTTTAAATCTACTCCTGCTAAATTACATCTATAATTACCATTTAGAACACCATCAATATTCAGCATTGGAATAACTTTAAATCTAGTTAATATTAATCAATATTTGATGAATTAAAAATCATTAAATAATTTATATTTTACATAAAATTCTCTCTCAATATTCTTGCTTCATGAGAATTTCCAATTAGAAAATCTATAACATATTCTATTACATAGCTGGCCATACTCTCACCTGGGTGAACTCTGCTAGTTAACATTATTCCTTTCTTCTCTTTTCCATTATTGAAATCACTGATGATTAAAAAGTCACAGCTATAATTTAATTACATAATTAATTTCATTTTTAAAATCTTATTTATAATATTACTTATTTCCTGCTATGGTCTAGCATAAAGTCTTTCTTTTAACTCTGTTTCTCTTAGAAGGATCATTTTCAACTAATCTCAAATATCTGCAAAGCTAACTATATGTGTAAGGATAGCAATGTGCAAAATAAACAGTATCATTATCATCTATTTTAAGTAAATTATTAAAAATAGTTTATTTAGCTATTTATTTTTTATGGCTAAAAGTTAATATTTTTACATTAAAATTTTACAGCAAAAGTTAATGAATAGTAAAATCCTGCATTCTTTCTTTTCATATTATTTTGATAATAACAAATATCATATCCATCTCTATACCATCCATGTTCTTTTATTTATCAAAAGAATAATCAATTAATAATTTAATAAATAATTAATTAATCAATTAGCTAGTTATTCATGAATCAATAAATAAATCAATCTATTAAGCAATGAATAAATCCATGTATTAACCAATCAATCAAGTATGATGAATGATTAAAATTACTTTTAAATTTAGCTTGCTTCTCAGAATACATGAGAGGCTTCATTCCTGAATTATATAAACTGTCTGGCTTCATCATATTTATAATATTGAAGCGATATTCTACGTCTTTACGAGTGTTAGCTACAGAAAAATAATACCACTAAGTATGTCCAGTTGTATAATAATCTGGTTTTAATATCAAATTGTATTCATAATCGCAACTAGATAAAAAAATTTTATTATAAATATTTAAGCATTTTTCTTTATAAAGTTATGAAATACATTTATATAGCTCTTCTTAGATTTCCTGATTCAAACCTAGATTCAAAAACTAAAGTTATATCATCTTATGACTGAGGAATATAGAAAGGTAAAACATCCATTCCATACTTAGATGGCTCTAAATCCTATTATATGAATCAAAAATAGTTTATTGAAGATATTTAATCAATTAAAATGTATTTTAAATATCATAAAATATTCAAATTAATTTATTTATTTATCAACTTTTTTATAAACATGCATTTAAATATATTTATTTGTTAAATTAATTTTCAAAAAATATAAAAAATAAATTAGTGTTTGTTTTACTTTAGTGTACAAACTTTAATCTACACAATCGAATACAACACGATTTATTAATGTATCTGCAAAACATATTCTCTCTATTTCTCTGCGCAAAGATTCTTCTAATATAGTTTGCTTTGGAATATACATTGGCTCAAAGGGCTCAGAAGTAGCTATAAATTCTGGGCTTCTTGGAAGCAAAACAAATTCTGTTCCTCTGTGTTTTAAAATAAATTATAAAAATTATCTTCTAATGAACATAATTTAAATAAATTCTTACGTTTTTAAACCTGGTTCTGGTGGATAAGCAGTTGGTATTGGAGTATTTTCACTAAGTTATTTAAATTGATTTAATGGTAATGATGAGCTAAACGAAATATTAAATTGTACGTTCTATTTAGCATTTCATTTATTTCATTTTGGTCTGGTTTCTTATAAAGCAGCTTATTGATTCCATAGAATTCATCCTTATTTTTAAATAAAAATTATTGAATTCAAACTAACATTTTTTGCCAAATTTTAGTAAATAAATACATTATCACTTATTTGAATTCCCTCTTCCTCATTTCTGTTTGAGCCATTAGGCCTAGTATTAATTACTGTCTTTTTACCGTTATTATTGTTTGCATTTTAGTTATTGTTGTTAGAGTTCTAATCAATATCATTGCAACTTTAAGAAGTAGCCTCACTAGATTTATTTTTATCTTCGATTTCTTCTTCATCATCTTATTAAATATAATTTAAAATAAGCACAATCTATAAAATCAGAATGAATTTATTTTGATATGCAATTTATTTATATCTCTAAATTAATTTTCAACTATTATTGTATTCCTGAGGAATGTTGTCACTTTTATCTTAATCTTCCTCTGGATCTTGCTATTGAATTTCTGTCTCTTTTGCTTCTACTTGATTTAAACTCATTTTTAAACTTGTTGTTTGTTAAACACTTAAAAATTTATAAAAATTGAAAAATTTGTTTTAATTTCTAAAAATAATAACAATTTTTTGTTGGTAAATTTAATAATTAAGATATTGATTTAATAATTAAATTTTGAATGAAAATTTTAAGAATTTAAAAATTTGCAAATGTTCATTCACTATTTCTGATTCAAAATATATTAAATAAATAAATAAACATGTTTTTTTATCTATTTAAACTTCAAAATATTTTATAATTCGGATTGTAGTATTTATAAGTATATTTTTAAAAAAATAATTTTTAAAATAAAAAAAGCTTAATTCAATAAAATAAAATAAAAAATAATTAAAGTGAATTAATTTAAAATGATCAAGAGCAAGCTACAATTATGTTTTTTAAAAATTCTCTTAAGAAGCAAATTTAGTTGCATTAGCTCAAAATCATTTTAGAGAATTGTTTTTTTCTGAAATTCAAATATTTTAATATATAATATTTTATTATTTAAAAGGTTATTTAATTTTAAAAAAAATATGATCACAAATAGTAATAAAAATTAAGTTCTTTTACCTAAAATAATATTTAATCCTTTTCAAAATATAATCTTTTAGATTATAATAGTTTAAATATTAGAGATTTAATTAATTTTTTGTGATTTAAATACATATTTAGCATACCATTTTTTTTTTTATTTAATGATTTTCTATAGTTATAATTGAAAAATAAACATATAAAAAATAATTAATCTTTTCAAAAAAAATATCATCTTTCAAGTTTTTACAATAAAAAAATTATTTTAGAGATTTAATTTATAATGAAATTCAAATAAATATTTAAATACAAATAATTTTATGTGAAAAATTTTTTATAGTTATAATTTAAATTGAATATTTTTAAAAATTTAATTATTTATGTTGAAGCAATTTATTTTTAAATAAAATAACAAAATTCTTTCTTAAATGTAATTTTTCAAGCTTTTAATATTTAAGAAATAATTTTAGAGGATTGGTTTTTTAGAAATTCAAAAATATATTTATTTATATTCACATATTTTTATATTAAAAAGGTTATACTTATTATAATTTAAGAAAGCATTTTATCAAAAATGCAATTAGTGCTGAAGCAATTTTTGATTAAATAAAAAATCAATGTTTTATAAAATTTACCTATCAAGTTTTAATAGTATGTAAAATCAAATATTACATTTTAAATCACTTAAAACTCCTGAATTGCAATTGAAATTCAATGATTTAAATTAGAAATTTTATATATTCAACTTAGCAAATAAATCTAATTCCATAAATAATTAATTATCAAATTAAAAAAGTTTATATGATAAATATTCTTACTTATTTGATGTAACTCAAATCAAAAATTACAAATAGTAAAAATAAAAATAAATTCTATACAGAATTTTTGTTTCATAATAAGCAATTATAAAGTTAAGATGAATGGTGATTTTAGAACTAAAATTGCTCTTCAGGTCTATTTAAAAATTTTTTGATCTAATTTATAGCAATTAAATTTATCATCAAAAATCTATTGAATTTTTGAATTAGAAAATTTTTCTTATCTTTTCAATTAATATAAAATTAACTAAAATATCATATGAATTTTTATGATTAAAATTTTGTTTGCTCATATTAAATTTACTTTTTAAATGTTAAACCAAATAAATTTAAGCCATAATATTAGCAAATTTATTAAATTCTTTACTTTGAATATAACTAAATATGTTATTAGGATTAAATTAAAATCAATTAAAGGATTTAGATTTTAGTTCGAAGGAAAAATTAATTGCCTTTATAGGATTTGGATTTCAAATATAAATTTAATTAAAATTATTGCTTGTTTTTCCTGCTTTTAATAATATGATTACCCATCTAATATTTAAAATATAGGCATATGTAAACTAAAATTTAAATATATTATTGATATTATTAATATTTTTTATTATAAACTCTACATTGAAGTATCAAATAATAAAATTAGCAAGTACTGATAAAAAGATCTTAAAACACTCGCTTTTCTTAAGCTAATGTAGAAAAAGTTAAAAAAGAATTTTCACTTTTATTTTGATTAACTTTACATAAAATAATCAGAATGAAACATAATTTACAGTCTATTTTTTCAAATATTTTTAGATAAAAATTTATTGTACGAGTATAGCCAATAAATAAGAAAAAAATCTATTTTTCTTATGAAACTGAATAGTCAGAAAATTCATCAGAATATTCATTAGAAGTTGAGAAATACAAAATTTTATAATTTTATGGACTGGTAGAAAGCTTACTGTAATCATAGTTTTAGTTAATCAGGAAAATAAATTAGCTCATATACGAAGATATGATAGTTTGATAGTGCTGTTTATGAGTGTAATACTCTGATATAATTTATTGTTTTTGAGAATAAAAATTAAGCTTGTAATAATTTTTTTGTGGTTGTATTTTGAGGATTTATTTTGTCTTTTACTTTTTTAAAGTTAATGAATGAATGACTTAATTACCCTTATTTATTTTAAATATTTAGATGTAAAGTAAATTACTCCGCTTGTGATCTTACTCTTTTTTAAAAGCGAAGATAAAAAAATTCGTTAATCACACTCAGCTCAACTATAGCCAAAAAGCTATTGACCTAAAAGTCTGAGTGATTATGAAAACATAATTTTTAAAAAACTTTTTAGATAAATAAAAAAGTTGTAGAAGAAATTTAGATTATTTTTTAATTTTAATGAAGTAGTTGTTTGTAAGGTTGAAATAGAGAGAAAGAGAAAAAGTTAAAATAAAAGTGTATTTCATCTTATAGCAATAATTGTAAGCTAGAAATGTCTTTTTTAACAGTGGGCAAATACAAAATAAATTTTAACTTACAAAATATTTAAATCTTTGTTATTCTATTAGAAAAGTTATCAGAATTAAAATAGGTAATGATTGGTATGAAATTGATAAAGAAAGCATTACAATAAATACCAATGATTTTGTTATTTATTTTAAATTTGATTTTTTCCTAAGTTCAAATGTAGAGTATTATTGTGGAATATTTTAGAATATATATTAACATTTCATTAATTTTTTTTACTAAAGATTCTTTTATCACTTTTTTTCTTCCATCAAACATAAATATACAATCATTGTTTAAAGAGGGGTCTTTTGAGTCTTCACATATTTTAGAATTTTTCACGAAATTCTGTTTGGTATAAATTTGAGATGGTTGGTTTGCTGTTATAGAAAAGGCTAAAACTGTAATAAATGCAAAAAAAGAGTGTTTAAAACATTTGAAGCAAGATTTTGCTAGTGTAAAGTGAGTATTTATTGAAAGTGAGATGGTTTAGCTTACATCTTGGCATCCACTAATAAATTTTATTTAATTGTTAGCGAATTTATATTTATTTACTGTACCGTATTTAGCATATTGAGAAGAAGAAAGATATTTAATTATGTTTGTTGCTAAGAAAAAAGAAAATTTTTTTAATGGTCAAGTAGCTAAGAATGAGAAATTTGGAGTGTAAATGCAATTATTTGCAATAATAGAAAGATATGGATATAATTAAGACTTATAAATGTAATGGTGGTTGATATTTGAAATATTTTTAGATTTCTTATTATACGTTAGGAGCGAGCATTCTAAACAGTTCTTCTATCCATTAAACAAATAATTATATATATATATTCAAAGGTTAAATTGATTCCACAACTTAATTTCCTATTAAAAAATTAATGATTAATTTATAAGAAGCACCTTTACATTTTATTTTTGATTAGTATTATTCTTTTATAGTGGTGAGGGAGCTTGTCAAACTAGTTCAGTGAATAATTTCGATTATAAATTTCAATGAATAACTAACAACTTATATCTATCTAATTAATTACCTTCTCATATTTATTCTAATCATTTTTTCATATTGTCAGAAATATCTTTAAGTATTTATTTGAGCGTTAAATATTTTTAAACCATTTTCATTCAAATATGAATCAAATATCTAAAGCTATTCTTCTACCTAAAAAATAACATAAAAATATTGAATGGCGCTTAAAGAAGCTATCATTAGATATAAATGGATTCACTTGTAGGAAGTAGGGTGCCTTAATAGGCTTTGGAAAAAAAAGACGAAGTCTGCCATCTTAGTGCAAATTTAAATTTTGTAGATAAAAATCAAAAGTCAAAAATATCTCAAACGGAAAAGTTGATAGTAAGTATTTTTTATTTTATTGGTACAAGAATTAATATCTATGGTTAATATAATTACGTATATGGAAAAGAACGAATAAAAACCACCACTAAATTCAATATTTCAATTAATTATAATGTTTTTATTTCTCTCAACTCATAATATAAGCCTTTCACAAGCACTGATAATATATTTATTAATTAATTAATTATCGAATATTTTAAAAAGCTTTCACCGGGTAACCATGAAATTTTATTAAAATATCTAACATTCTCACTTATTCTATTCATTCATTCACTCACTAATTTACTAAAACATATATATTCTTTCATACATTAAATTTTTATTTGATCATTTTATATTCGGCATCTAATAAGATTATGGTTATAATAATTGCAATCAAATTATTTAGCCACATTTATTTGTCTTAGTTTTTATCAAATCTTTCGATTTATAAATTTAAAGATAAGGAGTTGCAGTCGTAGTTCTTTAGTTAATTATATAGCAATGCCATCAATATTTTTTCTTTATCAAAGGAGATCAATTTATTTTCTTCTTGAATAAAAAAAATACAATTAATCTACATTAATTCTGGTCATATTTTAGAAACCTCTAAAATAAGCCTGAAAATATTAAAAAGTAGGTATGAACGCTCACACATCCAAAAGATAATTTCCAACCAAAATTTTTATTACTGAATTGGCCTACATCTTTTGCTTTGAAAGCGTGCAATAGTATTTAAATGGACTAAAATTTTAATTATTTGTACACTAGAATGCAACAAAAAATATAAGCCAGCCTTACAAAAATAACTTATTTCAATTTGAATGATACAAGAAGAATTACAAATAGAAAATAATTGATAATTATCCATCTACAAAAGTCTTATCTGAATAATATAAAATGAGTTTTTTCGATGGATTTCTAGTCATTTAGTGAAAAAAAGTAACAACTATGAATGATAAAATTAAATATTAGCTTAGAAAACAATTTAGCTTATAGCAAAAGTAATCAATCAGACAAATAATAAATTTAAATCTTCTAAAACAATATTACTTAATATCATCAGGAAGTTTACTTTCTAATTTGATAGTAGGAATTATCTTTCACCAAAAATAATTTGACTTTACTTTATTTCACACTAGATTCTGATGTGCTTTAAGTAAATTAGCTTTTTTAAAGTATCGTATTTTTTATAGAATTATATAATTTATTTAAAGCATAACATTATTTATAGTCAATCTGAGCAGCGCAGGATCATAGGATTTAATCATTTTGAAGTTTATTTTCACCAATTATTATCAATATTTGAGCAAAATTAAGTACACTCGCTATCAAAATATTTAAAAATTTTCCACTAGTGATGACTCAATTTACTAGAAAAACAAAAACAAGAATGCATTGGTATTAGCTTAGATTAGATTTACAGTCTTAAATTTGTGATTATATTAGGAAGCAAAGAGTTATTTAGTTAGTTAGAATGCGAATCTATAAAAGACAAAATTAATGTTATAGTAATTTACTTCCAAAGGCTAAATAAAATATTTATGGCAAATATTTAAACAAAATTCATATGATAATTGGCTTTATTTTTATATATAATAAATAATTAGTTTAATGTTATACATGACTAATTAAAATAGCTAATTAAAGTCTATATACAAATCATTAAAAAATATTATTTTTTGATTTTCAAATTTAGTGGGTTTAATGGGGTGGGGGAAATTCCATCAAATCTTAGTAGAGACTTACTTGGAGGAATAAATTCAGATTAAATTTATCAGCATATATTTATAATTTCACAGGATGTTCAATTCGGAGTCTTGTTAAAATTCAATTTATTAATTAATTAATTATTTTTATTGATAGTTTGTTAGTTAGTTTTTCAAATCAAATCTATTCAAAACAAAATAAATCAAACAATCAATCAATCAATCAAACAAGAAACAAAGAAATAAAATAACAAACTAAATTAATTATTTATAAATAAATTGATTGTAGTGATAATAGTAGGTGATTACATATTTTTCCTTTAATCTAGTGAATAAAAAGAAAGTGGTAAAAATATTGCTTTTACTTCATAGTTTTTATTCTACAAATATTACATGTCTCAATCTAAAAATTTAAAGAGAGTACCTAAGCTATAAATTGTAATAGAGGATTGAATTTATTTGGCTTACATTAATATTCGCTCATCTAGTATAAATAATTAAATTTAACTTTCTCAATTTATATCTAACACGGACATGCATGCGCTCTACTTTTTATAATTTATTTATTACCCTTTTCAATGCGATATTGACTTCTAATTACTGCAAAATTCAAACTTGGTGACAAAATTCATAAGAACGGAAAGAAAGTGCTATTTTAAATCATCAAACCACTCTACTAAGCTAGAATGATAAAAAAATTTATTTTTTGTTCTAATTTATTCAATTTGTGAGCTACTTTATTTTTTTATTTTGTAGGATAAATTTAGAGTAGTGTTTTTAATTACTCTGCATTTAATGGCAAGCCTAAAATTTAGAATTGTCCAGCGTTAAAAAATAGGATTTTTGACTTCAATTAATTTGGTAGGAGTTTTTTAAAAATAGTGAATTTAGAAAGTCATTTTGTTTGCGTCACTTTATTTAACTTCTTGATGATTTATTTTGGGGAAATTAAATTAAATTTAATAAATAAATACTCCAAATTGCATATATTCTCTCTCTGCACTATTATTTGATTATAGCTAATCAAATTTTCCCAAAAGATACTTGCATTAGAGGTATTTTACTGAATTAAATTAATTGTTCCTTTAATAAGTTAATTTGGTTGGCATTACTATTTGACAAGAAAATCAATTACCAACAAAATCATAAAGGAGTAAAATACTAGTGCATCAATCTATTTAAAACCAGTTGTTACTGCTCTCGAGTATCCTTTAATTTAGATTACATTATTAAAATTTATTTAGGCAAGCTAGCAACACAGAGAATTAAACCATTTAAATTCATACGAATATAATTCTATAATAACAAATTTTAGCAAGTCTCTTATTCTGCTTAAAAATAGTTCATTCCATTCATCCTTGCATTTTTGATTACTGAAAAAAAAAAAAATTATTGAAATTTTGCTATCAATTGCTTCTTCTAATCGCAATATCTAGTAGTAAAAAAAATTAGTAGTCTAAGATCAGAAGGATTTGATTAATTTTTGTAGTCAAACAATCAGCAAAAATAAATATAATTGCAATCTATTACTAGATCTTTTAGAAGTTAAATTTTCACTTTTTATGTACCAAATATAAATAATTTTTCACCTATTTATACAAAAAAATACACTTGCTTCTCACTTATCATATATTAACTTTTCAATTATAACTTAAGAAATTAAATTTTTAGATTTTTTAACTTTTTTCTTTATTATATATAGTTTAGTGTACATATTTAGCATGAAAATTTTAAAAAAGCAATATATATGAACAAACTTGTTTTTTACAGTTCGTACTTCTTAGTTTTTTAAAAGAAAAATATGCATAAAATTTAAATTTACAATTACAAAAAACACTATTTGAAATATAAGTAAGTGTAAAAATATTGATGAACAATATATCATATGAAATAAAAATTATTGTGTAAAGTAATTTACAAAGCAACAGAATTCGATCGGTGTATTTTTTAACTAAAAATTAGTTTAGAAATATATATAATTAGTTAAGCAAAATATTCAAAAAATTTAGCCTTTTTAAGAGTTTTTTTTATTCTATAGACTAAAATAACTATTTTTGTATGTAAAATAACTTTATTTTCATACTAACATGAGAAACAAAGGCAATAAAAATATTTATTATTTTTTTGAAATGTAAGGGTTTATTAAAAGCCACACATTTAAAGCATTAAAAGATCAAAAACTATACAAAAAAAGACAAGCTTTATTAAAGGATTAATTATATGATAATCGAAACAAAGTTATATTAAAACCTATTAAGCTGCTAATAAACGAGTTTTTAAATAAGGGAGGACAATTTATTAGTAAAATTTTAAACAAATCACTATTTGCACGATATTTTTTGCTACAAAGCAAAAGCTGATCTTATATTTAATTAGACTTTATATGAGAAACTGTGAGATAACTTACAAAATATAACTTCATTAGAATAAAAATTGCATATTAAAAGCAGTAAAGCATGATAGTAATAACTCAGCTAATCAAAAACTGTAAGAATCGAAAGAGTATCTTATATGAAGGAGGTGGTAATAGCAGTCGAAATTGTATTATTAATTTTTGCAAAATACTAGGATACTAAATTAAGAAAATGCAATTGCAAATCAATTTATAAAAGAATTTAATTTTTGATAATATTTAGAGCTAAATTAGCAAGCAAGCAAGCTATCAAGAGAAATATTTCTGTATGATTGTGATTGATTTTTATTGAAAGACTACCAATAATTGATAATAAGAATTGTATCTAGTTGCTTTTGAAATTTATAATAATTCATAGTATCTAAAGTTAGTCGTGGAAAATAAAATTCATCCTTCTTTGAGCTCAGTATTAAAAAGAATTTATAGTAAACTTAAACTCTTTTCTAAGATTCTGCATAGAGATCTGGAGGCTTTTATAGAATTGTTTTTGTATCATTTTTATATAAACACAAATTATATGAATGTTTATTCAGATTTAGCAAGTAAACACGTATGAATGGATTCCTTTTCTCATATATTTTCACATGTATGTTTGGAAAAAGTTTATTAAAAAAGTTGAAATTTTTAGCTTGTGAGATAGAGTTAAACACAATTTTGCTAACAAAATTAAAATTTAAATAAAAAGTAACAAATCTTTATTCAAAGATATTTAATATTATACCATGAACGTCAACATATTTTACTTTCTTTGAAATAATTAAATTAGCATATGATTTTTTATTTTTAAAACACCTCTCTAATTTTAGCTCTCCCTAATCTATTGCTTACTTCTAAAAAATTAAACCACCTAAATTATTCTTCTAAATTAGATCATACTATCTTCATATTCATACCAATTAATGAATGAATGGGCATACTTATTATTTTTATCAAAAATCCAAATTTTTAATTTATTTACCCTCATTGGTTGGTATGTATGTATGTAGGTATCATAGACTTTATAAAATCTTATAAAATTTTGTATCTAGTTCAGAAGGATTTCAATAATTTACAAAATCCCAAAGCTAATTTTTATTCATGCTCTATTATTGTAAACTAAATGATGTGGATTGTAGTGATTCAATGGGGATAAATGTAAATTAAGTAAAATGATGGATAGATCTATTTATAGAAAAATATAAATTATCATCGTAATGAAAATGTCGAGTGTTAATAGCTTAGAGCCTAGTTAAGCCATTTATTTTTAGTGTTAAAATTAATTTGAAATATGATTAGAATAATTAAGATAAAGACAAATTTAGTTTAATTATTGAAAAAGAATTTAAAAACTAATTCAAACTATGATAAGAGCTAAATATTTAATAAAATTTATAAAAGTGGTTGCTCAACTAAATGAAATTTGGTATTATCAAAATTAAATTTGCATTTAGGCACATTGGTTCTAGTTAAAATGAATTTTATACTAATATGAAAAGAATGCTTGAAAATAGAAAAGCTTTAAATTAATAATTCATTTGTCCTATATATCTATCTATTCCATTCTCAATTAATCAATAAACAAACAAACAAACCATTTAATTCAATTATTATTTTTTCACATTTTTACATAATTATTTATTTATTTGCTTGCTTTTAGTACTGAGAAAATTCTTACATATTAATTAGAAGGAAAACAAAAGAAAAAATAAATATCTATACCATATATATCTAGTGTAATTACATTAATTAATTAAGCTATCTGATTATTTCTTTTTACAAATTTCTACCCAAAAAAACTTCTTACACATACATTTTCTGTGCTTGCCTTGATTTAACATAATCTAAAACCTGAATGCAATTTTGTTTATACGTCCACACTTGCACATTTACTTTAAAATTATAAAGTTGATTTACACTTTTTTTTTCTTTATTTTTCTTCATTTAAAATAATTTGCTAGAACAACGCTTACTCATTTTAATTTATTTCTCGAAAAAAAATACCCCTTTTTTGCTTTTAATTTTCTTTCAATATTCCAAAATATTTAGCATCCAATCTAAGTATATCATCTATCTATCTATCTTTTGCTAATTATCTAAATAACTAACCAATTAAAGTTCAATCAAACAAAAATACTTTTCAATCTAATCTTTTAACTTGAATCTGTAGCTAAAACTTACACGATCCTTTTTTTAATCATGTAAGCAAAAAAACCTTTTCAAAAATAATCAAAATCAAGTCATTTAGTTACATGATAATCAAGATTATATTATAGTCAATATTACACTGATTTTTCAAGTAATTTTTTTACATTTAATTCATCAATCTTACTTTTATTTTTAGAGAAATATCGTTTAATTAAAAAAAATAACAGTGTAAGTTAAAATTAAAAAATTTTTACCATTCATTTAGTAAGAAGAAGAAGTGAGTGCAACTGCCCACTAATTATTTGCTAATCATTTTGCAGACTATTTTAGAAATAAACAAAATAATAAATATATAAATAAATATAAACACGAGTATTGCAATCTAGTTTTAAAAAAAGTACAAAAAAATAATAATCAAAATTATTTGTTAACGCCTTTCTTTATTTGCCAGTATTTTATTTGAAGGTGTCCAAAATTAAATTGAATTCCAATCTATTTGCTTTAAAAATATCTTCAATATATTAATTTTAACATCTTTGAGCTCTCTCTACTATCTATCATTTATAGTTTTGACAAACTATTTATTTGTTCTTTAACTATTCTTTAAGTCAAGTAAGTGTTTATGCTCAATCTTTTTAAATAAAAACTTATTGCAAAGATTACATTTAAGATAAATTTTTAATAAAAACTCAAAAAAAATGCTAAATTTATCAGTTGAAAAATATTTTGAATGGGAAAAATAAGGTTTAAATGAAAAATGCAAAATTATAATTTTAACAATGATTTTTTTATTTATTAGCACTTGTTTTTTGTAAATATCTAATAATTAATGTATATAAAAATAAAAAATAATAATAAATTCTTTTATTCTGTAGCCTTACTGCCTTTTTGTAAAAAATAATTAATAACTCACATTAAGTAAATTATTTATTCAGTTTAAATATTTTTAAAACATTACCAATTAATTTGCTTCTAAGAAACATGCATAATAAGAGTGTTTGAGTAATAATAATTAAGTGGTTGTTATGTCAAAATCTTAATTTATTTTGAACTATCAACATAGTAATTAGCATATTTTACAAATTTTAGCTTTGCTTATTGCGAAATAGCAACAATTTTTGAAATACTTCAATAAACAAAAAATAAGAAAAGCAAGAAAGTGAGTATAGCTATGAAATAAGCAATTTATATATAAATAAATAAATGCTACATCAATTCAAAATTTGTAGAATGAGGGAAAAGAAAATTTTATATTAAAAAGAAGTGCTTACACGAATTTAATAATATTTTTTTCTTACTTTGATTTTTAGGTTATTTAAAAAGAGAGATTTTAATTCTGCTGGTTATAGTTTGACGAAAAATTTAGAGACTGGAAATGTAAGATGTAATAGTTGTTATTCAAACATAAATTGAAATGAATCAAAGGTATTTTCGTACACTTCGAATTATATATTAATTTAAAAGATATTAGGAGGAATTATATAGAGAAATAGATACACTGAAATTTTATAATTTAGTGGTTGTTAAAATATTAAAAAAATAATAATTAAAAGTGTATGGAAATTAATAATTCATATCTTTGATTATATATTAATAACTATTATTCAATCATACAGTCAATCAAACAATCAATCAGTCATTCATAATTAGTTAATTAAATAATTCTAATCAATTCATTTAATGAGTTAAGAAAGTTATTCTTCAATTAAGAAATTTATTTTGTCAATTTGTATTGAATTTCTGTGAGTATTTCATTTATTTATTTGCTTTAAATCAGTAAATTGATCACAGACTATTCTATTTCTTTTAATAATTACATTTCTGAAATTTATTCAAAGTATTACAAACATACAAATTACCAATACAAATTAAAAAATATAGGTACTTTTTTTTTCAAACTGCCTGTTTCTATCTAGGAATTTTAGAATTTGTTTTACTTGAAATAATTTAAATCAACTATAGAAAACAAAGGGAATTATTGAATTTTTTCCTTTAGATAATATTCAAATTTTAACTTAATTGAGATTCTAATCATTGCTTGCTTAATATCTAAATAACAAATAAACTCTCTAACTTGTATTGATTTTTTTTGTTCATTTATAGATATATTTGTTTATATTCTACTACACCCATTTATTTGTTATTCTTATAGATCTAAGTATTTATTTTTAATAATTTATCAAAAATTTTAGCTAATATGAAGGTGAATAGTAATATCTCAAATTAGACTACTTACTGAGAAAGAAAGTAATTATGAAATTAAGATTAAAATTTCAAAAAGAAAGTTTAGATTCATCTGAAACATATTAAAACTCTTCCACTAGTATTTAAAAAATGACGAATTGTCTGTCTATCTGTCTGGCTAGTAATTTATTTCTTTTATATTTTAATTATATTTAATTTTATATTACTAAGACACTATAGTTCTAATCATCTCATAACAATTTAGAAATTTAATCAAATATTTTTAAAATATTTGTTGCTTATTTTCTATACTTTTACATTTAAGGAATTTAACTTAGATTAAAAATAATTTAGAGTATTTAAGTACTGCAAATATTCATTATATTCTATTATAAATTTTACTTGTCTTTTTAAATATTTTCAAAAATATCTATTAATTAATTTTCTTCAGCCAATCAATTAAAATATTTATTCGTATCTCTCCTTTCATAATTCTACTACAGCTTTCAGAATAAGAAATTTCCTTTAGATGAATTTTTATTATCGTTATTAGATTTAATTTACATGATATTGTTATATTTTTAAATCCAGTAATCAATAATAGTATAAAGTAAGTAACTAACTAACTCAATAAACTTTCTATATTTATCATTAATGTGTCCATTTATTTATTGAATCAAATGACGAAAATGAGAAGATAATCATTTAAATGAATAAGGCAAAAAATTTAGCTTCTTTTTTTACTTGTTTGAAGGATTTATATAAAATGAAATATTCATTTAATAGTGGCGGTACTTAAATTTACTAAAAATGTGTAACAAGATATACTCATAAAACTAAATTATTTTTATATTAACAAATTTCTGGCTGAAAAATAAATATTGAATTTGGTTAAGATAATATTTAAATAATATTTGTAAGCTAACTCTAGAAAAAATTGAATTCTTTGGTAATTAATGCTAAAATATAATAATTTTTCTTAGAAATGGTAAATAATAAATAAAACAACCAGAAATTTCATCAAAATTAGATTAAAGTTGACTCATTTAATCCTATGTAATAATATATTTTTGTATGGTAGGCAATGAGGTACAAGAGCCTTTAAGACTTTTTAATAAAGATAAATTAACTATCCAACGCCTTCAAAAATACAATTTAATTACAAATAATAATATATTAGTGTGGAAACGCAGCCAGCCCTCTTTTGTGGCAAGTAAGAAGTCCTTATTGTTTGCAGCCTAACCAGTTAATTGAAGTCATAAAGAACATTTGAAAACAGGTTTTGGCGAAATGATTAAAAGACAAAAAAATAAAAACTAAATCTACTGCTTCATTCATTAAAAAGATATAGAAAACAAGTTGTTTTTCAGTTAAAGGATCAACAAATTTGACGCAAAAGATTGATTAATAAAAATTAGGAGTAATGTTATTTATGCTATTTCTAAAAAATTAATACAGTAAACAGAAGGATTTATTTTTTTATAATAGTGTAATTTACTAAATTTAATTATCACTCTCTTGGTCAAACTGGTCAAAGTAGATTTATTTTTTTTCAATACTGGATGATTAACTTGAAAACTTTGTATTATATTGCATCCATAATTGCATAGTGTTTGTTTATAACGGAATATTATTTTGTTATATATAGTTCTATTTTAAAATGATCAAACCAATTTTTTGTGGTATTTAGCATGGTTAATCATCACATATATTTTTAAATTATATTTTGTAGGGATATATTAGATAGATGTTATTTAAAGTAAAATGTTAATTAAAAAAATTAATAGTCCTACATCTTTTGTTGTAATAGTACTATTTAAAAAATTTATATTTAATTTTTAGTAATTTGCACATACAGACAGACAGACAGACAAACAAACATACATGCATACTTCTTTTGATTCTGGTGCAATATTAAAAGAAGATATAATGCTTTACAGATAAATTAATAAATAAAATTAACAAATTTATAGTTGTTTTATAAATAACAACGGACAAACTTATCCCAAACAAACAAACAAACAAACATAGTAATTAGAGTTTTCTTCAATTCTTTGTTTGTGATTTGAAGATTGATCCAGTGAAGAAATTACTCTAGTGAAATTAAAAATTGATTTTTTTGATAGCAAAAACATAAATTCATCCTACTACTAAAATTGTAAATCTCCAACAAGCAAAGTTGAAATAGAAATCAAGTAAGTTAGCATATCAAATTAATAAAAATTTATTGATTGGTTCTATAAATATGTAAAGGCATAGTAGATATATAGACTGACGGCACATTTTTGGGTAAAATAAACACACATATATATTTATTTGTAACTTCAATTTTCCAAGTGAAAAATAAAAAAAACTAAAATATTATCTTAAGCAGCACCAACTATTAATTAGATTTTGCTTAATTGAAATTATATACTAATATTGTTGTAGTGGTGATTCATTTCAAGGAGATTTTTACTAAAAAGTATTAATAATAATAATATTAAAAAATTTATTTTGGACTTAACTTTTAAAAGTATTTATAGATTGATAAATATATTACTATCATTTTAAATGATCTTTGATGAAGATTAAATAACCTTTGAGATGCTCATTCATATTCAAGTAAATGATGATTAAAATATAAAAAAATGGAGAGAAAAAAGATATGCGCAATTAAATTATCAAAATAAAAATGAGGGCTTAAATTTTATTTATCTCTTCAATTTCAGAAAAATTTTGATGGGAATATTTATTTATTTATTTATTTATTTGTTTGTTTATGGTTATAAAAATATTATAATTGTTAAAGTGCGAAGATTGAAAGCAATTAAGAATCTATCTATTTAAATACCTGTGAATGAATGAATGAAAGATTGAAAGAAAAAAAGAATCAATAATGACAAAAAAAAATATTTAAAAGGAGTGATGTTTTGATAACATTGAGTGCTTTGAATCGAAACCTCTTTTTGGAAGCTTTTGATACAATAAAAAAGTGGGATGGACTGGTGTGGTGGATGGTTAAATGTTCGCAATCAAAGATATATCTTATATTGAACTTTGACAACATTAGTATAATTGAGGGAGAAAGATATGATAGAGATAAATGAATAAATGTATTGAGAATTGAATGGTCTTTTAAATTTACTTTTATATATATGGTGAAATTTCCTTTTAAAATCCGTATTATCTATTAAGTTTTCTTTACTTTCTTTAATTTATGTCTTTTAGCTATTTATTTGTTTTTGAATGCTTGATTTTAAACTAAAAATTGATTTAAAAATTAAATCTTTGATTGATTGATTGATTGATGCGGCTAAGGAAGTAAAACGCTCCCTCCCCATCATCATCATTATCATCAATATTTTCCTAATTAATTAATTTCTTCCTTATATTTTTAATGTATGTAATAACCTAAAAAAATCAAATTAAACCAAGCAAAGCTTAAACTGCATTTAAATAAGTATTTATTATACTTACCCCATAATTCCGAAAAAAAAAAAAAAAATTAATCAGTGCTTTTCTAAAATAAAAAATTTACATATTTGATAAAAAGTTGTTTTAAGAGAAAGCAAACCTATTTATTGATATAAACAATAAAATTCAAATTAATTTACTACAGAAAAAAAATCTAAGAAGAAATAATCTTCAAAAGAAAAACTACCCTCCTCTCACTACTAAACTAACCCTCTCACTAAAATCTCTCTAAGAGGTTATCACCCAGCTAAACCCTTCAACAACATCAAATATAACTCACAATCGTCCAAAATTATTCTAAGCAAAACATCCTTCTAAGCAAATCTCACTTAAACCTACCTACCAACATATTAAATACACATACATTAAAACTTTCAAAAATCTATCTATCTATCTAATAGATATTATATTCTTTATTGAGTAATCAAATCCTTACTAATTAACTTGATAAAATTATAACCAAGATATCTCTCTGAAAATAACTAAATAAAAAAATAAATAGATCTAAATCCAAATAACATATAAATTAACTTACTATCACAAGAACTCAAAAAAAATAAGATGCTTAACCTTGCCCTCTTACAAAACAACTCTGCAGTTACAAACTCCCCCCTTACCACATTCTCATCTCCCATTAAGATGGCTACTCCTTAATTGAGCCACTCCTCCTCCCAACCTGGCTCATTACTATCCCTTAATCCCTTCTGCTTAAACAATACTATGCTTCCCTAACAAGTCAATTAATTTGCCTTGAAAAATGCTACATAATAAGCTCCCATTGACTAAGATATTCTTCTTTAGCACATCAATCATCTCCTTATCTAAAAGGAAAAGCAAGAATAACAACAAATGCAATAAAAATTACTAATTGATGCACTCTTAAGTTAAATTCAAGCACAATAAAGCTAATAATAATTGTAATAGCAATAACGCTAGTTACTTTTACAATAAATCAACATGCCTACTCTTAGTTGCTTGAAAAACGCTAACGAAGAAAGCAGCTATCCTAATAGCATTAGCTCCTCCATGACCAACATTAATGTCTAACCTTAAATTTATAACATGGAACACAAGCTTAGTGTTAGCTCATTCCCTTCCTGCGATAACATCAAGCGTGAAGAAGAATAACAATAAATACAATAACAACCCATCTTCTTCCCTCAATAATAATAACCTACTAACTTTTTCTTCCCCCAATAATCCCTTGTATAATAATAAATCTAATAATAACAACAACTATTCCAACAATCTTTCCTCAATGCCTAAAATCTCTTAACTCTCAATCCTCTCACTTCAGAATTGAATGTCAAGAGAAAATTCGAAGAATTGGATTCCTCCTCCTAATCAGAATCCACTTCTATCCGTAAGAAAAAATTGATCGCCAATGGCGAAGAAGAGCGTTGCGTAGATATCAAGTCTAGCATGAGAAATACCACTTCCTCTACTCTTCCCAACACTCCTACTTTACCCTCCAGCATGACTAAGTCAAAGAGCGAAATTAAGAAGGAAGATTTAAAGGATCCTCGTAGCAGATCTCGTTTCCATAACTTGACTAAACTTTTCTTAAACTCTCTCCTTTCTATTTTCACCCGTGAAAATATGAGCAAAATTAACATCGAACCCCTCTACTAAGAAGAAATCATTAAATGCATCGCCAGAGTTAAATAATCAGGAAGAAAAACTCAAGGAAAGGTTTGCAAGACCGATCTTTTCAACCACTCTCACTACAACGTTCTCTTCTTGAAGTTAACTCACGAAAGTATTTAGGAAATCGCTAACAAGCCTAAAGATGCCAATATCCACAAGGCCTGTTTTGAAATTGATGTAACTCTTCCCATTCCTTAATTCTAATTAGAACACATCAACAAAATCAAGAAATACATCTTTGAAATCACTTAATCCGTTCTAGGAAACCCTGTTGAATCCGACTCTGTTCGTGATGAATACTGGCTCCGTGCTATGGTTGGTATCAAGTAACTCTCTGAAGGAAAGTTAATTTACAGATTCTAATCCATTTCCTCTACATAAGCAACTGCCGCTGCCCTTACTAACAATAAATCTTCCTCCGAAGATGAAGAATAAGAAAGCATCTGAGATAATTTATCCGATTCATCGATCGTTTTTTTCAATAATATTCCTCTTTCTTTCTCTCACATTTCATGAGATCAGATTAATTAAGGATGAATGAAAATGACTCTACTATTTTGAATTCAGCAAGTAGAAAAGGAGTTTATTTAATTGCTGGCAGAAAACGAAAAATGGAACAGCGTGTTACTGATAATTTAATTAATAATGAAAAAATAGACGTATTGATGAATTAAAATATAATTATAAATGTATCTGAACTCGAAATTAAGAGAATAAGAGGATTTAATTTAAAATAATAATAATAGCTATAATAAATATAATTAAATAATTAAATAAATAAACAACTAATTATTAATAAAATAAATAAATAAATAAATGTACAAAATTTATAATTTCATACAACTTAAACGCTTACTAAATTTTAAAAAATTATGGATATTAATTGATTCATTCCTTCCTTCCTTCACTCTATTTATTTATCTGTCTTTATAAATTTAAATAAACTTTTACAACTAGAATGAAAAGATTATCTAAGACACCAATAATTAACCAAAATAGACATATTAAATATTATAGTAAAGTACCTATTAAGTTTTTTTAGCTCATAAAATAAAGCTAAAAGTTTTGAAAAGCATCTACTTTGATTTTTTTTGGTTTGTTAAGCCCACAAAATACATAAAAAGCTCAATTAAATATCTCAAATCATACTAAAAAAGCTAAACAACTCACTAAATCAATTATTATGTTTCATGCTTTGATTCGTTCGTCTAAAATAATAGTACATCTATTCTAGCTTAATTCTATAAAATTCTCTTTAATCAAAAGAAAAATAAATAAATAACTAATAAATAAATAATATAAATTGAGAAACACTTTACTTTCAATTAAAAGAAAGGAAAAAGAAATAAATAAATAAATAAATACATTAATATCCACTTATTGTAATAAAATCATCTTACAACATTTATCAACTTACAATTATTCTCATGTTATAATATTTGTTAATTTATATATTTTAAATTTCTCAGTAAGTAATATTCTGTCTTTGTATATAGTATACTATAACTTTGTAATTTAATTAAAATAATTACTTATACTTTCAATTTTATCTAAAACACACACAAAGGAATATAAAGATATATACATAAATAAATAAATAATTTACTCACTTTTTTTATTTACTATTCCTATTTGAACTTCCGTAAACAGCGTCATCAAAAATTAAAATTCAATTACTCCAATTACACTTAAATTAATGTCCACATATATATTTTACTTTTGACATAGAAAAATACTTTCTAAGGAGTAAGCTACTATTTTATTTTAAATCAGCAACTATTTCTAAATATTCATTTATATCTTCTCTTTTTTATGCTTTAGCTACAGTGAATAATTTCACAACTATACTTAATTTTGAAGTAATACTATTGATTATATATTACACAAACTTATTTTCAAATTAAATTGAGCTAAAGAAAATAAATATCTGTCTTATTAAACATACTAGCTTACACAGCTAATAATTTTTTTTCTAAGTCTACATTATTTTTGATTTAGGAATATTATCCTAAAGCTATCCTCTGATAATATTCTTTTAAATAAAATTCTGATAAATCCGCTTTTTAATTACTAATAAAACATTAGCTAAGCATATGCCAAGTAATTTAATATTTTGTATTTGATAATAGAAAGATAGTTAGCTAGCTAGCTTGCTTGCTTGCTCTTCACCTTTAATTTCATAGTTCCAAATTAATTAATTTATTTAAAAAATTGAATTCTGTTATTACATGTAATCAATCAGCTTTATTTATTTATTTATTTTCTATTTGAATAGGGAAAAATACGACATATGTTAATTTTATAAATTACAATAGATAATAAATAATGAACCAATCTTTTAATGTTAAAATTATATCTAAAATAATAAAGATAAAGAGATAATCAAAACTTTAATTGGAAATGTAACAGCACTGATGATCAAATTTTTAATTAGAATAGAGGGTAGTAGTATTCAAAGTTAATGTCAATTTATAATCATACATTACTAATACAAAATAAAAGAAAATTAATCTAAATCAGTAAATGCATGATATTTTTGATATATCTCCTTCATTAAAAGAAATCAACATTAATTTTTATTTTTATTTCAATATCTGGTTTACATTAATAAACTATACTCAAAATTTTCTATTTTTACTATCGCTTTCACATTATTTTCATGCTAACACAAAATGAGTCATCAACGCATAAAATATTTTTTCAGTTTCTGAAAATCAAGGCATTTATAAATCGGTTTATAATGAAAAGAGATTATTTCATTTTTCTGAATTAAATTTCTACAATAAGTAATTTAGATTAATTATGCCTGTCTGCACAAAGAAAATGTGTGGATTCAAGATAGATACTGATGATCTATCGGAAGCGCTTATTTGGTTACACTAAAATTATAAATTTCTTTATTTATTATTTATTTGTCATTTATTTATTACTTTTATCTTTCGTCAATTTGAAAACCATATTTATACAGTTAGTATTCAATTTGGAAAAGTGAGTATTTAAACAATATTTATCTAACTGAGATCAAATATATATTGGTTGAGCAAGTATTCAAAAAGTAAGACATACATACAATTAAATATATAAATTAATAAATTTTCTCTATTATGTATTAGCAAAACCAAAAAATTATTTACAAAATAAAAAAAAAAAACACCTCTTTCATTAGTTTCTAATAGTTATTTGATAGCACAGCTCATATAGTAGTCCAAGCACATCTGTTAAATCCAATTTATATTAAGTAAGATTTCCCATTTGTGAAATTTAATAAACTAGCTTTCTTACTTCAATTAATGAAAAGCTATAAATTTAGTTCAGCAGAGAGATTTGGACTAACTAACTAGACTACTAGTAGTTTGATAAAAATAATTAGTCTGATAAATGATAAATTAATCACTTTTGAATTTTAATAAGATTATTTCTATCCATTATATTAAGATTTTATATAAAAAATAAGAATATAAAATTAAGTGTTTTCATCCTATTTCTTTATTTTCTTTAAATATCTTTAAAAGGAATTTTTTTAATAATCAATTTTAATCACTTCGCCTTACAGATTATATATAGTGTATGCATACATACTATAGTAACTAAACAAAAAATTTTTACTATTATTTGAGTTACTAGTCTCATCTAAGAAATGTGCACATCAAAGATAAGTGGTTTATATAAAGCAAAGTATAAAAAATATATTATTCTATCAAGGTAAAAAGATGTGGAAAATTAAATTGAAAAAGCAGCAAAATTGTGAACAGAAGTTGTTTTTAGGATTAATTACTTTATTTTTATAGAATGATTGGAAAAAATTGAGATGCGTATGCACTAAATAAATAAATAAGATGTAATAATAACAGAAGCACTTACAAATTAATAAAGGAAGATATTTATACCATTAAAATTGCTATGATAAATAAATATGCCACTAAAAATGATAAAAATTAATTAATTTTTCATGCACTATTTATTTATTTAGCCTGGTTGGTTCTATTAAACATCATTTTTTGTGTAACTCGCCTAATTATTTCTTTAATAGTGAAATTTAAAAATAAATAATAAATTTCATTCCATTTAACTCAAATCAATGAAATATTTCTATTTAGAGCAACAAAAAATTTGATTTTCCTTAATTTTTATTTTACTCTACTATTAATTGTTGCTTAACCAAAAGCAGCCTTCTTTACAGTAAATTAAAAGTAAATTGAGAGCAAAGTTTTTATTTTAAATCTAAGGAAATCTCTTTACGCTAAGGACTCTACTATATCATTAAAAACAATACTTTGTTGCCTACCAGCCAAATAATCAGATGCTTACTAAATTTTAGATATTCTGCTTTGAGTAAATAGATATTAATTTTCAAATACTGGAAAAAATGCAAATAAATTTGATTGACGCACTAAAAATGCACATACAAATTTAATTATGTATTTTGAATGACACGCACTCCACTCAAATTTTAAATCTTTCTAGTTTAAAGTATTTGATAAAACTATGCCACTAAATTTTAGCCTACCAAATATAACTAATAAAGTGAATGATCAAATATTTAAGTGAGATGTCATTTCTAATTACGAATCAAAGGAGACATATAGATAAATATATTGATTATATGCATCATAGATTTGAAACATTTACTAAAGCTGAAAAAATTTTTGGATTTCTTAGTTATCCTTCTTAGGACTAATTTAGACCTTATTTAATTTGCTAATTTCTTAAAACATTTAATTTTTTGCTATAATATTTATTTTATTTTATACATTTTAAACAAAATAAAGAATCTTTTTCATAAAAAAAAAAAACAATCATCAAATTTTAATTCTTTTCTAGTAAATTTTATTTCAACTTTCAAGAAAAATGTACCGACTTAGTATAGTAACTAACAACGAACTATAAATATATTTAAGAAAAATTCTAACCACCAAGATTTTTGAAGATAAATTGCAAAATTAATTAAAAAGATTGAATTACATTATTACTTAGATATTTTTAATTAGATGAATATAGCTATTTACCACACAATATTAATTATTCTTTGCCAGAACTCACTGAATTTCAACATTTTAGTCTTGTAAAAACATTAATTTGCATCATAAAAGCAATTAATAGTTTTTACTATTTGATTATTCTTTGATTAGCTACTAGAAAACAAAAAAAGCATATCTATTATTAGACAAATAGAGACAGATAAACAGACTGACAAAAAAACAAACGACTGACTCAGAAAAGACTCTAAATGAAATCATTAAATTTTCACTAAATCAAAGATCAAATATAATAATTTGCTAAATAAATTGTATGGTATAATAGTCAATTCAAATCATATAGCTAGAACTAAATAAACACTAACTGCATAGTTCATGCTAAATTTTGAAATAAAAATATTATTAAATCTTCTTAATTCGTATTAAATTTTACTAAGGCAGTAATGCCACCTTAGTATTTACAATAAGTGTAAAAATTTAAATCCATGAATAATTTTTCATGCAACCTCTTTAACAGTGATTTACAAAATAATACTTTGAATATCTACTTTCTACTTTCTACTAAGGAAGTTATTTCGTTATTTAAATAAAGAAATTTTTCACCTAAAATAAAATAAATGCATCTTAAAAATCCTCTTTACATATTGCAAAATAAAATGAAAGTTTTTGTAAATTTTATTGACCGCATTTACAATTGTCGCATAGATGTTAGTTAAATATTCTTCAATAAAACAAATATTTTAAATAAAATTAGAGTATTTATGGTTGGTTAATCGATTGATCTCCTATTTGCTGTGATTTCTTTACAAAATTAATCTATTTTAAATACATTTATTAACATTAGTATTTGGAAATGAATGCATTTGTAAATTTGTTAATGACCATTTACAATTTTTAGTTATTGATTTACTAATCAAATGAAAAAAAAGATTCTTTTATCATAACCATCAAATTTCAATTAGCTCCTTTTTACTCTAAATATAACAATTTATATGTGTAAGCTTGCTTTTTATTTCAAATTTACTAAATGATTATTTTCCCTTCGTGAAAATTTGAATATTCATTCTCTTTATTAAATTATTATCACCCATTTCAATTTTTGTATATTTTTCAAACTTAAAATCTTAAATTTCTCACACCCCATTTTAATCTATGTCAGATTTAATTGATAAACCAATACAATTTTTAATTTTAGAATCTACTATGCTTTATCAAAACTATAAAAAATCTCTATAAATTTTGTTCACTTTGTCCTTTTAGGAAAGCATTTATCAAAATTCCTATATTTTTTCATCCCAAACAGAATCAATTTTCACACACACTATTTTAATTTTTTTTAATCTCTCATTTTTAAAAGCAGGGTTAGTTTTTTTTATTCATTAACTTCCTTCCTTCCTTTCTGCCTGAGTTTTCAATTTCTGTTAAATGAATATAAAAAACACTTTTTACTTTTTATTCTGAGAGAAAAATCTTTAGTTACAAATTATATCAGATGATGAGAAGATATTATAGCTGTTTATGTTTTAATTTTTTCCACGAAAAAATTCTGCTAGAAAAAAATGAAGAAAGAAATTACGTAATATGTATATATATGTATTCGACGAGCTTACTCATATTCTTTTTATTAATTTATATTTATTTTTAAAATAAATACTAGCTCCTTGTCATTTATTATAGGAAGAAGTGTAAATTGACCAAGGATTTAATCTAATTAAGAAATTTCAATTAAGTGTAATTCTATTTATATATTTATCATTTCAAAACGTGTATTTACCACTAAATCTGTTGATTTGGATATACTTAATATTATTAATAACAATAATATACTAAAGTACATACCATACCATTCAAAAAGAATGTTTCATCAAAAAAAATAATACTTAGATAGATTTATTTCAAATTTAACATTTCTCTATTTTTTCATTCAAGCTTATGCCAACAGTTATTTACAAACTACTAAAAATTACTCCTTATTCAAAACAAAAATTTTTAACTGTTAAAAATTGCTTTATAATCTGACTTTGTTTAATTACTCTTATCATACAGTTTGTTTTATTGATTATTGTCTAACTTAATTAACTAATTTTCTTTACATATAAACTAATTTAGTTTTTCAAAAGAGTCTTCTTTATTACTAACTAACTAACATCGGGAATTTCAGTAGTATTTTATTCACTTTTGTTTTTCAAATTCGTAAATTGAAATCAAAATTGGTTAATAAATACCATAAAATGCAATTATTACTAAAGTAACAGTTAAATTTACATTTAGATAAAGTGTAAGATATTTTAAAATATTTCTATAAAAATCTTTATCTATTTATGGAGACATTGATTGTCAATTAAAAAAAACAGTATATATTTTCATTTTCTATTTTAGGAAATGCTTACACTTTCTTAAATATTTAAAATTGATATAAAATAAATCAGGTTATTAAGTAAATTATTTTCTTAATAATTTTAAATCACTTCTAATTTTTTTTTCTCTCTTTGTTTTTGATTAAATAAAATAAAATTGAATTGGCGAATTAATTTTTTTTTTTTAAATTTTTTTAGATCTATAAATTAAACATTATTTATATAGCAGGATATTGCCAAATATTTGAAGCAATAAAATAATTTATTCTTATAAAAAAAGTGATTTATTTATTTTTAAAACGTACAATCAAACAATCATTTTATAAAAAAATTAAAGTATATTTTAAACGTTTTTTCATTTTTCAAATTTAATTGTTTGATATTTTTAATAAAAATAAATGTTTCTTCAATATATTATACTTAAAAATTAATAAAGATAAAGATTAACTCTAAAAAAATATCTTTAAAATCATTTAGGAAATTATTAATAAAAATTATTTTTATCAGAAAATTATTAATATCTCTAAATTAAAATAAACTAAATTATTGAAGAATATTTACAGCATAGAAGAATAAACTTCAAATATAAAATTATGAAATATTGAGAGTAGTTTAATTTAAAAATAAAAGATAAAAAATTTTAAGCAAATATAAAAATTTAAATTTTACTTATCTTGAAAATATCTATCCTATTGAAAATATTTAAAAGAATAAATTAATTAAGGTAATTAATTTATTTAAAATTTATTACTTTATAATTACTAAAAATATTATTATATTTCAAAATATTTTAAGTAGTATGCAATACAATTTTAATGTATTTAAAAAAACAATTAATATGTCTTAAGATAAAAATAGTTATTAATACTTAGGGCAAAAACAAACAAACAAACAAACAAAAAATTTAAAATTATTTTCAAAATATTTTTCAGAAATCTATTGAAAGATCCCAATGAAGAAAATCTGCCTGGTATGAAATGAAAGGTTTTATCAACTAACAGTAGATAATTAGATGAACTAACATTGCCTGCTTAGTATTAAGATATTCGCCAAATGAATAAGACTGATTTATACAAAACTATGTTAAATAATAATTATTTTTTAATATTTCTTATTCACCTTTATAAAAACCAGGATATCTTAAATAAATAGGTTTAATGCTTCCATCAAATCTTACTATCGAAGGTAATTTTTTTAATATATTATAAGCCATCTCTGGTGACTAACCATAAGTTTTTATTGAAATAACATTAGGAAGTGTTTCTATTCTATCATATAAATAGCAATTTAAATGCTTTAAGGAGAGCTTATTCATATTAATAATTTTAATCATTTCATTTTAGAACATTTATTAGTAATAATGAATGATTGTGAATGATTCTAATTAAAATTACTATAAATGGTTTATCAGATTGTCTAAAGAAAATTACATATAAGGTAGTGAACGTTCATTAATTTAGAGATTTTTTAGGTCCTGCATCTAAAAAAGTATATTAAACTCAACATTGATCAAAAAAGTATATTTTTCATAATTATTCATTAAAAACGTTTTAATTCTTCTAACATTTTCGACTTCGTCTTTCACTGCATCCAATTTAATAACATTATCTTCAAATTAAAATTAGAAAATCTTAAGATTTTTTAAGTTAATTATATTTCTAAATGTTTCATACCCTTCCTTACAATCCTCCAAAACGCTAACTTAGAAGCTAAGATATTTCAAAGTTTTCTCCATAGAAAAGAGAAGAGTTTATAGATCTAAATAATCCTTTTTACTAAAGAAATGCTCTGAAGGATATACTAAATTTAACTCTTCTATTTAACTACAATCCTTCAAATTTTAATATAAAAGCTAATTCATATCTAATATATCTATTGGTGAGTCTGAGAAATCAAGTGTGATATTTTTCAGATTATTGTAGCTATTGAAATAACTCAAAAAGGATTCAAGTTATGGTTTTTGCTAAAATTTAACTCCTTTGATACATAAATCCTCTATATTTTCAAATTGCAAGAGCAGTTCTTTCAATTATTTTATATCGCCTGGCTTGCAGTAATTATCTGATAAAAATGTGATTTCCTTTAAAGATTTAGCAAATTTAGTTAAATACTTGAGATTCTATATTTGCTACTTAAGTGAACAGTTCTTACTCCACAAGTCTAAGCCTACTTATTCCAGACTTTCCATTTCAGTTATTTTTTGATAAGCACTTTTGTAAAAATCTTAGTTGAAATTCATATTTAAAATGCTAATCTACAGGTTCTTAAGGCTTTTGAGAGTAGCAATCATTTAAATTATTTTATTTTAGAATCTCATCATTTCATTTTTCTTTGATCTAAAGGATTCATCTTCGAACTCAGTGTTATCTTGCATTATAGATAAATATTCAATTGTCCTGAATTAATTATTTGATGTAAAAACATCTAAAATCTCCTGTAACATATTTCCTTTCTCAATTTAAAATTATTAATAACTGTGTTCAATCTAAACTTATTTTAAATTTTTCAATGGAAGAAGTAAATCCAATAAAATGCCATTTTTACTCGATCCTTATTTTTTTTTGGATAAAAGCTAAGTAAAATTTACTATAGTTAAATTAGTGATTTATTCAGCATATTTAGCAATTAAATTTTTTATAACAAAATCGATAAAAACTTAATGCTTCTAAATGTTGAATTCATTAAATTAAATGTACAAATGATCAATCTCTAGCTAAAATATATTAACAAAATCAATCATTTAATTTATTTTGTTATTTTCAAATTAAGTTTTTCCTCCGCTACATTCTAATTTCAGCGTTTTGAAATCACTTAATTTTATTCTCTGCCAATTTAGAATTTCAAAATTAGAATTAAAAGCTATCATTTTTTCTTTTCTTTTTATTTTTTTGTGTGAATTTTAGCTTATTTATTATTTTTTTAATATTTAAACAGAGTTTGATATCTTTTATTCTAAAATCAAATACTAATGAATTTTAATTAATTCACTTTTTGGATTTTTGGAGGTATTTAAAAATAAGTTTACAACTGAATTTATTTAATTATTAAGACATCTAGCTTTCTTTTTAATTTTTTTATTAAAAATTTAATTAAAATTAAGATTTTATTTATATTAAAAATTATTTTTTTAGATTTTTAATGTTATTTTAATAAAATAAATATTAAATAACAAAATAAATTTTTATTTAATAAAATACAAAGTTTCTAATAATGATAGAATGAAATTAGAATATATTTATATCTCATTCCTTTAGACGGTCTATCAGGATTCATTAAAATATCTACAATAAATATCAGATATTTACGAGTACTGTATTCAATAATAGAATGTATACGAAATTTCTTTGATTTTCTAAATTTAAAATACTAAATCTATTAAATTATTATTATTGTGTTGTGTTTTTTTTGTGATATTTTTGTAAATTTATTTGATTGAATTATATTAAAAATTTATTGAAATGAGCACTTTTGGTAGAATTTATAGAGTTAGCACATTTGGAGAATCACATTCTCCTGGTAGATTAAATAAAAAGCTTTAAATATAAAAATTATATTTTATTTATATTTTTAGCTGTAGGATGCACTGTAGAAGGATTTCCTTCACTCATTAAAGTTTAGAGAGTAATTCATTATGATTTATTAAAGCCCCTAACTCTTTAAACCAACAAAAAATAAATATTTATTAGGAAGAAATTTAGAAAGCTCTTGATAGAAGAAGACCTGGATAGTCTTCCTTAACAACAAAAAGAAACGAAACAGATTAAGTTGAAATATTATGCGGATTAGAGAATGAAATTTCAATAGGATCTCCAATTGCATTTTTAGTTAGAAATTAAGATCAAATCAAAAAGGTAAATGCGGTTATTTTTGCTAAATTTATTCTTTTTATTTCAATCAAAATCACATATTTTATAGGATTATAGCGAAATGGATCAAATTCCAAGACCTGGTCATGCAGATTATACTTACTTGATTAAATACGGAGTAAAAGCTTAATCAGGAGGAGGAAGAAGTAGTGCACGTGAAACTATTGGTAAATTTTAAATTAAATAGATTTTCAATATAAATGATAATTTTTATTTCAATAATGATAATTTTAAAAAGTTTTATTTCAATAATATTTTAGAAATTAGCTTTAAATTATAATTTTTAAAGTAAAATCTTTTGAAAGCAGTGATGAATGAAACACAAAACTAACTTTAAAATAATTTCTCATTCTAATTTAATGTTTTTAAAATAAATATTTTGATTATAAAGGAAGAGTTTGTGCTGGAGCTTTAGCAGATATTTACTTAGAAAAGTAACTAAATATGAATGTATTTAGTTTTGTTACTAGTGTTGGCGACATTTAAGTTCCAAATGAATTCATTGATAAAATTGTTAATTCAACTCTTAGAGAATACACAAAAGAGAGAATAGATGCTTTAGGAAGCATTACCATATTCAAGGACACACTTGATCATTTAATTTATAAATGTGATAATATCTTCTACAATGAATAAGGAGATCAAATTTTATCATGTGAAGAAAATTTACTAGCATAGCTTGAAGTGGTTAATATGAGATGCCCCCACCCTCCAACTGCAATTAAAATGATCTAAAAAATTCAATCTATCAGAGGACAAAAAGATTCAATTGGAGGTACTGTAACTTGTGTAATTCAGAATACACCAATTGGTTTGGGCGAGCCTTGCTTTGACAAAGTACTTCTTAAAAAATATAAATATAAAAATCAATACTTTAACTTAAAAAGTGATTTCCCACCCCATCCATCATGAAAATACAAAATTAATTTTTGGAATAAGAAATAACAAAAAACTACATTTTTAAATCAATAAATAAATAAATCAACTCAATTTTTATTTTTATTTTTAAAAAGCTGCCAGCCTTGCTTGCTCATGCTATAATGAGCATCCCTGCTACTAAAGGGTTTTAAATAGGGAGTGGATTTGAAGGAACAAAGATGCAAGGATCACAACATAATGATACATTCTATAGCGATAAATTGTAGAATACATAAAATACTGAAAAGTAAGAGGAAACTAAGCAAGAGAGTGTAATCCTTAAAACTATGACAAATAATGCAGGAGGAACTCTTGGAGGAATTTCTAATGGACAAAGCATAGTAAGATATTAAAATTTGGATAGTAATGTCATATTACATATATGATAAAATAAATGCACAAAATCTTATTTACACTAAAATTAAAATGCACTATTAATTTACTATAAAATTCTAGATCATTTAGATTAGCCAATTTACATCTTTTTTTAATTAATTTTTTTGTTATAGTACTTTTCTGTTGCGTTCAAACCTGTATCCACTATAGGTCTACCTCAGAAAACAAGCAATTTGGAGGGTGAAAGCACTATCTTAGAAGCTAAGGGAAGACATGATCCTTGCGTACTTCCAAGAGCACCCCCTATTGTGGATTCTATGGCTTCAATAACTTTAATGGACGCATATTTATTACAATAAACTCACGTTCAAAAAGTAAAAGAGGGTTCATCACAATGGTAGTATTTCTGATATTTTTAATTTTCATATTTGTTTTTAACTAATTTAAAAAAATTGTTTTATTATTTTTATATGTATATATTGGATAGGTAATTTTTTATATATCATAGACATATTATGATCAACATTTTTGTTATTTTTTGAGATTTCTTTTTGTTTAATTTTAGAGATTTTCATGGCAAAAGTATTAAAAATCTAAAAGAAAATTAAGTGAAAATAGAAGATTATTTAAATACTAATTTTCATTTATTTTACATTTTTTCTGTTTTTAATTTACATTTGGAAGGAGAAGTTTAAGAATGTAAGTTAAAACTATTAAAGTACATAAATCCTAATTATAAGCTTTAACAGTATAGATTGTAACAACTTCAATTTATTACAGTTTCTACCAGTAAAATAGAATAAAAATTTAAAATTTGTATTTTTATGAGAATCTTTAATCAAAAAGTATTAGTTTATTTAAAATTCTTGCTGCTCATTTTGGCTTGATTTTACTAAGTAAAAATGTAATCATTAACTTTTAAAATAACAAATGAGGTTATTATTAAGGACTATTTTTGTGATGTAAAAAAAACTAAATCTATTTTTCCCCACAAAGATTTTATTTAAAGAAAAGCATGATAAAAATAAATTATTATAAAATATTCTTGAATGTGTTATTTTCTTTTACTACCTTTCATAAAAATACAAATAATTTTAATGAATATTTCTTTGTATTTTTAAATCATAAAAAAAATAATTAAAATCAGCCATCAGATACCATTAAAATATGTAAATAATATTCTTTATTTAAATTAGTTTGATTATAAAAAAATAAATAAATGAAGAATCGAATAAATATTGAAGTAAGTATTTTATATTGTATTTTTGTTAATTTAGATTTTTGTAATAAAAATATTAAGTAATAATAGCTGCATGTCACTAAATGATATTTAAACAATATATTTTTTACCTAAATAAGAGTAAAGTAGAGAATTATTTCAGTAACTAGTTTTATCTTTATCTAATTTAATTTTGTTACAAAAATTACATTCATGGCTTAGATAGAAAAAGGAGTAAATCTTAAAATTTGAGTGATAAACTAAATTGTGTTTTTAGCTGTAAAAATAAATTTGTTACAATATATATTTGGATATTAATAAATTGACGACTTACTAGTGATACATATATATACAATTTTACTAGTAAAATAAAGTGATTATAAAGTTAAAATTCTTATTCAGTAGAACTAAAGAGTGGTGTTTTATAAAAAATGAGAATGTTACTCAATCGAAATAAAATAATTTAAATCTAATCAGAGTAAACAAAATTAAATTTTTCAAATAGTGCTAGGGTCGCCTAAGGGAGCAGAAAATAAATTAAAAACTGTTATTTGATTGTTTGAAGAAACTAATATGAAAGGAGCTTCATTTATTTATTCTTCTTAAGAAAGAGAAGAATTTTCCTTTTTAATCTTTTATTGCTAGTCAAAGACAAACAAATCAGAGATTTCTTGCTTTTCTCCTATTCTTCTTCTATCCAACTCAATTCCATTATGCGCATCGTATAGACTAAGATATCCATCTATTTTTTAATGTAAACAATTTATTTCTTCAGTTATTTATTTAAAAACTTTACCTTAGTGGCCTAGGAAAATAATGTCACCTTTTTCATTAAGAGCAATCTTTTTGGGTGGGCTCACTAATGCAATTTGTCTTACATTCTATTAAATTAGATAATTATTTAATAATTTTATGTAAACATTAATGAGATAGTATAGTAACTTAAATATTAATTAATTTCTTTTTTTAGATTTAAAAACGCTAATAAATTAATTGCTTACGATGTGCTCTCTATAATTTCTTATTTATATAAAATCGATCAAAGGAGATATTACAAGATATTCATCTTTCTCTTACTTTGAAAACAGGGCTTAGCAGAATTGGACCTTATTATTTTAAACATTATACATTCAATAAAAGTAAAAAAATAATTAAATCAAACATGCCATCCATCGATCCATCATTCTGATGAATTTTATTATTTGGCATTAATAGGATTTTTTTTGTAAGTAAAATTTATAAATCACTATTAATCCATCCATCCACATATTAAGTAAATGGAAATTTTTATAGATTTTTTATTACTTTAGTTGTGTTTATAATTTCAAAAAACTAAATTTTTTCATTGTATTTATGAAAGTAAATTCAAAATAATTTTTTTACTTGATTTAATTGCTTATTTTTGTAGGTTTACAATTTGTAGTTGTCGATTAAATAATACTCTAATTCGTATATTTTCATTAGTTCTTCCACTGGGTTTTGTTTGCGCTTTAAGCATTTTCGACTCCAAACTTATATTTTTGAATCTTAAGTTGTCACTAACCACAGAGAGAGTGGATCATGGACTGAGATGTCCATAAAATCTGAAGCAAATCCAATATTATCAGCTATTTTATTTATCTATATTAAGAATGGCTGTAGTTTTTCTACATAAAGAATATATATATCCCCTAGTGAATTAGCTACTATTACATTTTTTGTCTAAGGTAAAGCTCTTAGTGCATTTATGCTTAAGTTGGGTAAATTAGAGTCCCCTTTTTTGTTAAGCTTTTTAATTTCCCCTTAGTCATGAATAAATGAAGCTCCATAATTTTCATAATTAATGTAATTATAGAACCTCACATACCCGTCATTATAGCCACAAACAAGGATATTCAATTCATCCATTGTATCCATGCAAATGCATTCTTTTTTAGGTGCATAGAACTCTGTTTTTTCCTCTATTGAATCCAGTTCCCAAATTTTTATTGTATAATCGTTTGAAGAAGAAATAATAAGACCGTTGTATCCAACTCTAGGAACATATCTGCACGACCTTATAAGCTTATCACTTTAATGAGTAGAAGAAATCCTAAGTGTTGCATTATCTTCGAAATCAACTAGCCACATCAAACCGCACTTGCTTAATAGCATGATTCCAGCCATTGCTATAGGTTAATCTAACCCTTGTCTAATATCATCATCTCCCATACTAGAATAAGCTATAGGGTAAGAATCAAGGGTGTAAACCTAGCTATTCTAACTAACATTTGTAGCTAATTTTTATATATCCATTGTATTCAAATCTCCTAAATTAAATTGATACACATTTACAGTGTTACTCAAAATTATCAAATTATTCTTTATAACTATAAGCTCGCTAATTCCTTAGTTAATTACTCCTTAGCACATACACAACATGCAGCCAGATCGTAAATCAAATATCACTATACACCCCTAATATTCCAAAAATAAATTTTTAAACATCATTTTAATTAATTGATTTTTTCAAATGCTCTTTCACCATAAAATGATATTTAAATAAATAAGAATTCCAAAAATTGTAATTAAATTTTATTTTTAAGAAAAATAAATTAAATTTTTTTAAACATTTTTTTTGGTAAAATTTATTCAATTTTTTTTTTACAGTTTTTAGATTTAAAATATTTTTTAGCTTTAATTTATTTTTTTAGTGGTAATTTAAAGAAATTTTTACTGATGAAGTTCCAATAAGAGCTAGGTGCTTTTAATTATTTTATATGGAAAGATAGTTTAAGGAAACCAAATTTCCGGTATTTTTATTTGTAAAGTCTGCTTGTTAATACTCTAAGCTCATTCTTGAATTGAGTCTCCAAAATTAAAGTCCATTTTTATATACAACAGCGAATTCCAAAGCACCTAAAGTAACATTATTCCATTTAGTACACACAAATGTATCATTTTCATCTATTGTGCTACTAGAAACTAATCTACCTGAAGCAAGTTCCCAAATATTTATCAACTAGGCTCCATTCTTAACATTTTATTATTCTTTTTTTTCTTCTGTTTAACTAGCAACTAGTAACTAAATTACTGACAATAAATAATTTGAGCAAGGAGATATTTGTATGCTTAGCAAGTTGCACTCTTAAGGATGATATAGCTCTTTAATTTATGCATGTGAATTTGAGTCATAAACTTTTATTGAAGAAGCCTAAAATAAATTATATTTAGAAAATACTTATCAATAAAATTAAAAATTCCAATTTTAAATATTGCTTGAAATCTTTAAAATTTTTACTTTATTTTAGAGAGTTGCAACGTAATATCTACAGTTTGGACTGATCTCTATTTTAGAAATTGGATATTCAAGTTAGGTGACTTTTTAATCTCTGCTTGGTGATTGCATGTGAGATACAACTAAAAAATTATTCACAAAAGTAACCAAATAACGATTCTTTTAATTCCAAATAAACTTTTCTTAAGGAATACCTCCCTTTGTATTGAACCCAATCACACAGTTAATATCTAAGTATTACCCAGGCCTTCTTTCTTCAAAAAGCCTTTCTTATCTTCCGTTTTCATTCAAATTAAGGTTCATATCGTACTGTTTTAATTACAAAAAATTAACATAAATTTAATTTATAAATTTTTATTTTATTGTAACTTACTTGATAATTCTAAGCTGTATTAAAAATTGGAGCTTTTTGAATTTCTTTTAAATCATAAACATCGCCTAGATTAAATTTTTGTTGTAAATCATCATAAAGACCTCTAATTGGCTTTGATAAAAGAGATTAATCTTCATTATTATTTTTTAGTTCTTCTATGTAGTTATTTCCTTCTCTTCTCACTGATAGGTTTGAAAATAAAACTTTTTCTTCAGGCTCATTAGTTTTTAGCTAGGTTTCTGGGTTATTTTACTCATTTTCATCTTCTAATGGATTATTTTCTAGCTCTTTAAACAGCTCCCCCTAAAATTTCCAGCAATATAGACTCTTACTACTTTATCCAAATGCAAAAACCAAATTGAGCTCATCATCACTAGTAATTACACCTTCGACAAACTCTCCACAGTTATATGCCTAAAAAGCTGGGCTAACTCCTCCTCTAAAATGATAATCCCATATCTTATTTAGATTTATGAAATACAATAAATTTAAAAATGAAGAAACAATGATTTTTTATCTGAACGAAATAAATAAATAAATTTTTACTTTTAAAAGCTAATCCTCGCCTGTTGTAAATATATATGAAGCATTATAAGATATAGCAACGTTGTTAATTTATCCTTTATGAATATTGGAGTATTCACGAAAGAGTTTTATTTCATCAGGAACAATTTTATACTTTTTTATCTTTTATCTTTTAGTATATACTATCATTTCATCTTTTCTTGTAGTAAATTTAACATCTTTAATTTCTTCTAGTGAATTTAAAGCTAGTTTCTACTCAAAATTGTTCATGCTATGAATTTTCACACAATAAGAATCACTCATAATATAAAAATAATCACCAACTACATCGAAGCCAGTGCTAACTAAATTTTTAATCTCTATTTCTTTTACACATTAAAATTATTCATTAAAAATAGCTATTTTCTGAGAATCTGCACTCATTCCATATTTGTCAAATCTGCTCACATCAACCCTAATAGATTAAATAAATTAAATTAAATCAGAAAAACATTTCTTAAAGATTTTAAATAAATTAAAAATATAATTTAGAAAATAAATTTCATTTTTACTAAATAATTTAAATTTTTATTTAAACAAAAAATTCTTTATTTAAAAATTTGGTAAAAAAATCAAATCAATAGATTTTGTCGAAGTTAATTGCTTTAAAATTAATTTAATCTTAATTTAGAATAAATGTGTTACTTTAATATACGAGACTTATGAAGCTCAAGCTCACATGCAACTGTGTAGTTTCTTATGTCAAATATTCTGACAGCACCTGATTCGAAACCACATACAAATTTATCTCTGTTATGATATGGTTAAACACATGTTACTTACTCATCTAAACATCTGAACTCGTAGACTTGCTAGAAGAAAATATTATTTGAACCCTTTAATTTCATTAAATCCCAAATTCTGATTGAAAAATCCTAGCTTATTGTAATAAGCTTTCTGGCAGATTTATGGTATTTTAAATCTATAATTTTATCATTGTGACTTCTAATTATAATTGTAAATTTCTTTTTTTCTATGCTTAAGGCTCCTATAGTGCCATTTAAACAGCCACAAACAATATAATCGTTTATACTTAAACTACAAACTTGGCTGTCTAGTTTGGCTTCTAAAATTAACTCAGAGAAATCCATTTTCCAAACTTTTATTTTTCCGTTGCTTCCACAAGTAATAACATACTATTTACTTGCATCTTAACTATCGTTGTGTAAGCCTATACATTTTATAGGTTCCTCATGAATCATAAAAACACCTATTGATAAATTATAATTTGAGTCTAAAGAATTTTAACTGCTTTATTATACCTATCATTTCCTTTTCAACTGAATCTAATATGTAAAGATTTCCGGTGTTTCCAACAACAAGTATTTTGAAAGATTTCTAATCTGTTTAAGCAATAGCAAAATCACTAAATACATTATCTCTGGCATGTTCACCTAAATAAGCAGAGTGCTATGCCAAAACTGTTTCTTAACCTTTACCTTTAATCCACCAAAACCTAATATTTTCTTTTCCTACACTTATTAAACCCTTAGAAATGTCTTTTTTATCTATAAAACCAAGCTTTACTATGTCAAAATTGCTTAGATTTTTCACAATTACCTTTATAAATTTTGCAAAAAATGTTTAAATTCTTCCAATTAATCAAAAAAATAAAAATTGTTCATTTTCTTTTTAAAAAAATATATAACTGATGCTAGTTTAATAAAAAAGTGCTGATAAAATATTAAAAAAACTGATTCATCTGTTTAAAAAACGATAAAAAAGCTTTTTATGCTAAGAATTTTTTGAATTTTTTGTTGACATTTTTTGACAAATATTTTTTTTTTGTTCAATTAATAAAATTTTATTCAAATCAAAGTAATTTTTGAGAGAGTTTTTTAAAAAAATAATTAAATTCAAGGCAAAATTAATTAACAATTTTTATTACCTAATCTCCTTTAATAATCATAATTCCTGGACGTTTAGCATTATCTAAACCAGCCAAAGCAACATAAAGTTCTTTTTTATAATAAGTTATGTCTACTGATAATATTTGCTAGTAGCCAGTATAATAAAAGCCAGTACGCTAAAGGGTGTCTGAATTCCAAAAAGAAATCTATGTGCTGTCTGTTGTAATAATTAGTTTATCCTTACTTGAAGCAACTACTTGCTATATTTCGCTATTTTGACCAAACATATATTTTTATTCTCTAGTCTTAACGTCTTACATTATTAAAACACTTCCACTACTATATAAAATACTTCCACTACCAAAGCTGCATACATTTCTTTTTCCACCACAATAACCCTTTTAAGAAAGTAAGTAATTTAAATTTAAAAAAATAAATACTTTTTTATGATTAATATATACATGAATATGAGAGAGTCTCATTATTGGTGTTGGTTAAAGTTAAAAGCAATTTTCATAAACAATGGGAACACTTTCTTTTTCTTACTCTTACAAATCTTCTAATTCCTATTCATCATAATTAATGCCTTTATCTTTATTTTTGTTCTTCAAAGAAGATTTTAGCCCATTTTAAGATGGAATTTTCAAGTTTACATCTTCGAAAGAGCTGTTTTCATTGTCAGAATCAACATGCTCCTCATCATGTTCTTCTTAGTCTTATTAATTTTATTCTTCTTAACCAGGCTCAACAATTTATACTTTTTTTTTTAATATAGATTTTAAATTTTCTTTGCTCTTTTCAGGTGCGATGTATTTTTAGCTTTCAGTTTATTTTGGAGGTTCAAGTCTAGGAGGTCTTGTGTTAGCCTGCCTTTGATTATTTTCATTAGTTTATATAGAATGAGTTATAAATATCCATTAATATCTATCATAAAATGTTTCATTCTTAGGAAGAATTAAATGCATTTCTTTAGGCATACTCTCTACATTATACAAGTTATTAGAAGTAAATATACCTTTATATTTTGCATTCGCACAAAGTTATATGCTTCTAACGTTATAATCAATATTTGCGTCTGCTATGTTTGGCACTAAAACTTGTAAGTAACTCTTAGAATCTATACAAACAATAGCCCATTTATTTGGCACTTCTGAAAAATTCACTTATAACTCTTTATCAGCTGATTTCTATATATTTTGACAAGTTAATTAATTATTTGACTGCTAATAAATCTTAAATTTGTTTGTTTGTTTGTTTCATATAATTGATTGATTTTTACCTTCACTTGCTTATAAAAATTAGAAAAAGATATTTTGTATCTCTAGTTATTTACAGAATAAATTATATGGAATGCGAACACACTTCCTGCTGGTACTTGCATTTAAATATAAATCTAATTTTAAAGAATAATTATCTTAATTTATTTGCTCATTCATTTTTTTGAAATGCTAAATAAATACATAATTGCCTATCAACTAAAGAGATGAAATTTCAGCTGATTACCCAGGAATAGTAATATTATTTTATGTAGAAACTTGTCCCTCAATTTTTAAAATCTTTCTTGAAATATCTTTATCCTTTTGTTTATATTTAAATGATTTATAAAGTTCTTTCTTTATTTATTTGGCTAAAGAATAATTTGAAATTTTATATTTATTTATTTTCTATCAGTTCAAAATGCTATGCTTATTTATATTTTAAAGTCTATTTATTATTTACCATAGCAACAGCTACCCTTCCTTTTTTTTCTACATTTTTCATATCATGTACTTTAAAATGTTTGAAAACATCCACAAAAGGATTTTGCCAATAAAGGTTAGGTTTCATTTCTTTGTTTTGCTAAGAATCTACTATTCCTTGTTTAATCTATTTACTTATAAGTAAGCCAATTAATTTTTTAAATTTATGGAAATAAATTAATCAAATAAAATTCTTTTCAAATTCAAAGATTTGCTTTAGAGTTGAAAACAAAAAACTTATTAATTAAAAAAAATAAGTGTTAACTCTTTTTTATGAAAATACAAATTTTTTCAGTATCTATTTTTAAATTAGCACTAAAGCACAGATCATTTAAATTATAATTGTTAAGAGTCTTAAAAAATAAGTAGAGTTTTGAATAAAATAAATATCTAACAAACTTTATTTTAAAAATAAAAAATTAAATGAATTCATTAATTAATTAACTATTATAAGTATATATATATATATTTTTATTTAATAAATTAGCAAAGTATTTATTTATTCTTGAAATTTGTAAATAATTTTATAATACACAATAATTAATTAATTAATTATAAAATATTTCAATAAATTATTAAAAAAGATAAATTTTTGTTTAAAAGTAAAATTTTTAGTTAAAACTAATTAAATAAATACTTCAAAGGTATAAAACATTTATAATAATAATCCTAATATAAATAAAAACAGTATTTTAATATGATCAAATTTATTCTGAAAATATTATTAGAAGATTTCAATTGATTCCTTTTGTAATTTGCATATGATTTAATTAATTTTATATTTTGATTTTAGAAAAAATTAAAATATTTTTTATCCTATTTAACATTTTTATTAGAAATAATGGAATAAAATTCAAAACAGTTTTAGAATATTAAAGAAGTTATTTAATACTTTTTTATTAATTATAAAAATAAAGGATAATTACATGAAACAACATTGCAATTCATATATTAAACCATATCTAAAGAAGTATATTATTTCTAGATTTTAATTATATGGAGTTTTTTATTTTTTAGTCACTGAACAAAACTCTCAAAATATAAATTGGTGAGGGATTGTAGTGTAGTGTATTGTTTTATAAGAGATTTCAAAAAAAAAATATGGGTTTTTAAATTTTAAAGAGTACATTATCTTAAATTTAGAAAGATATTTTAACTTTGCAAACAAATATAGAAAAACTAGGAATATTTAATATTTGGCAGAATTAAATAGGAGTGGAGTTATATATAGGAATTTATAGCTTGTCCTTGGTTATTTATTAATTTGTTAACTAATCTTACTTGTTATTTTAAAGCTGGTATGAGAGTTTCAGATATATAATTAAACAAACAGGCAGACAGACAGTGAGATAGATAAATATACAAAAAACACTTAAATCAACAAAAAAAGAGACAAAGAAAGCTCGAACATTTATTTAAAGTGTTAATTTAAGAAAGCAGCATCAACAGAAAAGAGAATTCTGACAAATATTTATTCTTTCTGAAAATTTATTAAAGATGTTTTGTCGATCCCTTCATTTGGTAGACAAGTCATCAATAATAATTTTAGTTCATTCCATTTGTGAAAATTGAGATAGTAATCCAACATATTCATTATTTGCTTTTAATTATAAAAGGACATTTTAATCAGAAAGGTATCTTTCTTTCTATGCTTATTTGCTTGTTTGTTTGTATGGAATGAAAATTATATTAATTCTTTTTTATTAATGAATATATTTGCTAGTTATTACTTCTTCAGTCGACAACAGTATTGTCTTGATAACAAAAGAAAATTAGATATCAAATAAATATTTAAAAAAAATAATTAGAAAAGAGTACGTACGATCTTGAGAAAAATAGATAACCAAAGAGTAGAAAAAAAACAAATAGAAATGGAGGATGATATTATGGACGACGACTATGATCAATACGATGACGATGAAGATTATGATCATGCAGATTATGACAATGCCTTAACTAAAATGAGTTCATCGGTAAAAAATAAATCAATTAATTGATGCACATATTACAAAAAAATAATTCTTTTTAAGGACTTTCTTAACTTGAAAGCTAAAGCATAAAGAAAAGAAATGTTGCAATTGAATGAAATAATAAATAAGGCGATCAATAAATAAATAAAGAAAATTATTTTAAAAAGCGAATCTTAGCAAACATTTTATATTTAAATAAAAATAGAGAACATTAGTTTGGAAAACTACCAGTGATATCTATTAGGTCATCGATTAAAAGGTTAGAGATTAAATGGAAACATTGAGTTTATCATACGACGATACTCTCATCATTTACAAGTATTTCTAATGGAACAAGGATAAAATGGACCAAGAATATTTTAGCAAGCCCGAATAAATTTAAAAAAATGCAGGTCTTATCTATAATGGCATGCCAAAAGCAGCTCCTCCTTCTACTAAAAATTTTATATGCCCAGTTTGTTATGATACTGTTAGCGAAATAGATTATCTTCCCTGCAATTAAGCTATTTGCAAATCTTGTTGGAGATAATACATTACAGACAAGGTAATTTCATTTCATTAAAGTCAATTAATTTACTTTTTATGCATAATTTAAATTTCTTTGATGCATTTTTTAAATCTATACAATTATAATCTAAATAGACACTTGGAAATTAGCTACACATGTTCTTCAAATGCCCCTTTGAAGGTTGCAGTCTTGTAGTTCCTTAGTCATTTATTTTTAAGTACCTTAAAGACGATAAAGAAAAGTAAGATTACAAGCGTAATTTAGGGAGAGTTTATTGCTCAGAAAGTAAAACCATGAAATGGTGTCCTGCTCCTGGTTGCGATTTTGCTGTCGAAAATACTCATTTTACTCATTAATATGTCCAGTGTATCTAGTGTAATACATCTTTCTGCTTTAAATGTGGCAAAGAACATCACTCGTAATTCTTCTAATCTAATATTTTCTTTTTCTTACTATCTTTGAGCAGCAAAGTTAATTAGAGATAAATAAATAAATGAAAAGACTAAACCATAATTTTGATCAAGCATATTTTGTTTCAAAATTTATAAAAATTAAAATTGAGCGAAAATTTTATTATTCAATCAAAAATTAAGACATGCATTTATCATTTAAATATTAAATATTATAGGCCGTGCACATGCGATATGGTTCATGAATGGGAATTAAAGAATTCTTCGGAAAGCGAAAATTTGAGGTGGATTTAACTTTACACAAAACTTTGTCCTAAATGTAGGAAACCAATTGAAAAGAATTAAGGATGTAATCACATGACTTGTCGTCCACCGAACGGGTGTGGCTTTGAGTTTTGTTGGTTATGTTTAGGTGACTGGAAAACGCACGGAGAAGCGACAGGTAATTTTCAAATAGATTTTATTAAAACTTAGTGAGAATAAATAAAAAAATACAAATAAATAAATAAAGGTGGATTCTACAAATGCAATAAGTTTGAAAACATGGGCCAAGACGAAAAAGATAATAAAAAGAAGGAATTCGATAAGGAAAAGTCATTGTTAGAAAAGTATATTTTCTATTTTGAGCGTTTCAATAACAACTAGAAAGCTGAAAAACAAGCAAAGGAAGATCAGTTAAAGATTAGTGCATTGATCAAAGATATTCATGATAAACTTGGATAAGATTAATAATACTTGCAATTTTTAAATGAGGCAAATAATTTCTTGATAGATGGCAGAAGATGCCTAAAGTGGACATATTGCTTTGGCTTCTATTTAGACCCTAAAAAGAAGGATTTGTTTGAAGATTAGCAAAGTTATTTAGAAAAAACAATTGAATCTTTACACTCCAAAATAGAAAAAACAGATTTCAAAAAAAGATTCTTAGATGACTTAAAAATTAAAGAATTTGATTAGTATAAAATAGACATAGTTAATCTCACTTAAGCAGGAATTAAGGTAAAAATTCATTTACTTACGTTTCATTTTTAAAAATAAATATTTATTTTAATAAACAGTTCAAAAAAGGTATTCTAGAATCTTATGAATCAGGTACTTTTTGAGGTAAAATAGTATGTAGAGATATAGCTAAATAAGCAAGCAATTAAGAAATGCAACATTTACTAAAATGAATTTTAACCTGAGAAAATTTTTTTAATAAGATGATATGAAGAAAAATTATTATCAAAAATAAACAATATATTAAATATAGAAAATAGTTCAAATATTCATCAAACACAAACACACACACATACACACTACATAACATACATGCATTAACACACTCTTATAAATAAAACATTTAAACTGATTAATGTATCTAAATATCTATCAATCTATTAGTTCTTAATTACATGTTTATCTAACTAACATCATAGTATAACACTAACTAAATTAACAAAATTTTAAACCATTTTAATACATTTAAAAAAATGATTATTATAAAAAAAAACAATTAATTTTTTCAACTATTTATGTATTTCATATTCAAATAATATAAAACTACTTTATTATAAATTCTTATAAACCACTAAATTGCCTTCGATATAAGTTCAAAATATCGATATGTTTATATTTTCTGATTATGAATATATTCAATATTGTCATAAAATTAATTAAAATTTTAGTTAAAATTTAAAAAACAAATATAGCAAATATAATTCTAAATATGTTTCATATATATTTTTTATCGTTTACTCCTGTTTATTTGAAAAAAAATTAAAATTTTTATTTTGTAGAATTTGAAGAGTATAAAGTTTTCATTTCATACTTTAAATGCTAGATTAGAAATATTTTGCTTATCTTTCTTTCTTTTTGTGGTATTGAGATATTTAAGATTCAAAAACAGATAAGCTGTAATGTAACAAAGTATAATTAAATATACAAAAAATATGACTAATATATAACTTATTTCTTTTATTTTAAAAGCAAATTAAAATGGTAATAAGTTCTTTATAATAAAATGAATATTAAGTTAATTTAGTTAATAGCTTTTAAAATTAATTAAAATTTTACTTTATGTAAAGTTAAATTATTTTTAGTTATGAATTTATTCATTTATTAACAAAGAATTAAAAAAATTTAAAAATTAACAATAAATTTGTAAAATGTTATTTAGATAGTTTTTTATTCATGGCTTGTTCCTAGTTCATTATAAATTAAATAGAAAATTTCTTTATCTGATAAACAAAAAATAAAATATTAATTTAATAATTTAAATTTGATTAAATTTTTTTTATTACCTTTTGTAAACTGAAATATTATTCCCTTTTATTAAAAATATAAACTTTTATAAATGTTTCAGGTAAAATATAAACTATAATAGTTAGTTAATAGATTTGATATTCAGCTAAATATTCTATACATTTATATTTGAGGTTAAAATTGTTTTCTTAAGAAAAATAGGTTAACATTTAATAAACTATTTTTTAAAATGCTTATAATATAGAATATCTTATCATATGTGGAGTAATATCAAACCGAAACACTATACTCATTTTTATGAATGGTGGATATCATAATTCACTCAATAAATTTAATAAACTATTAATTGACAAAACAAGGAAAAAAACTAAACATAAATATGTCATTAATTATGGAAACTTTATTGAAAAATTGCTCTTTATAATATAAAATAAATTCATAAATTATTTAAACAACAAGTTATGACTTAAAATTATTTTAATTGAAAATGTTAATTTTAACTAATAAATTATATCATTCATTCATTATATATATTTTTATTTAATTGTTTTCTTAATCATAATCTAAATTTTCTATTTTTATCCAATTATAGATTTGATTAGATTATAATTTAATTTATGGAAGGTTTGTTATTCATTATTTATCTTTCAAATTTAGAAGCTCTAAATTTTGCTATTGTTACGGTATTACTTAAATTTAATTTTGAACTTATAAGACTTATTAAGATTATTATCCTGATTTATTTTGTACAATTTCATTTTGAGTTGGTTTTTATTAATCATCAATAGGATTGCACTTATAAGAATTTTCATTTGTGTTTGAAGATTATTCTTAACTAAAATCTTCAACTAAAATAACTAGCTTAGTATTACTATTTGGAATTTTATAGTTTAAATCTCCTTCAACATTGCATTTAAACATTTTGAATAACTAAGCTCTAAAAATGACTAAACTAAACCCTGCTAAAAAAGTTGCTAAATTATAGGCTATAAAAAATCTTAGATAAACTTAACTTTTAGGAGTAAATTAAATGACAAGCCAAGGTACACCAAATGACAAAGCTAATAAAATAATATCAGATATTACTCTCAATAAGATTATTTTTTTAGACATCTTTTTATAATTTTCTAATAATTTTTTTTCGTTGTAATTTCCTCTCATGAAAATGAATCCTATAAAGATTCCAAACACTAATCCAAATACTCCCATATCAGAGAATGTTTTGTGATATAAAGAAACATGAAGCATATCTGAGTCAAAGGGCTTATTACAAGTCTATACAATTCCTTCAATCCATAATTATGGTATTTCAAAGTAACTTTTACTCAACTCATAAACCAGAATGCACATTCCTACTATAAAGCAATAAGCTAATACCAATACAGCAAGAAAATATTTTTTCTTATTACTGAAGCCATCATCTTCAATTATTCTAGCAGAAAAGTACCTGAATCTCTTATAAAATACCTATCCATTAAAAAAAAATATTTAATCTCATATTTTTTAATATAGCAAAAAGTAAAATTTAATCTTATTTGATCCTCAAAATTTCTCTTCAAATAAAATATTAATATTTCATTAAAACAAATCAAAATTAATAACAAAATTTATTTTTAATAAATGTCATTAATTAAAAAGTGTAATCTAATTTTTTTAATCAAAAATTTCTTGCGATTTTTTAATTTTTTAAAAAGATCTTTGCAAACTAGAGCAAAAATCAATAAAATGAATGTTTGTTTAACCTCAAAGAATAAAGAATAAATTAAAAAGTTACACAAATATAAGCCAAAATCCAAAGTATTCCCAAAACCCAGCCTAGTAGAACTTAATTTAGTGAATGCATACCTAAGCACACTCTAGCCCAGCCAATTAAAATGCATAAAACTAATCCTATTAAGTTAACCCAAAATCTTCTTTAGTGAAGCTTGTATTTTCCATTCTCACCTTTTATTAACATTTTAAAGCAATCATTATCAGCAATATAGTGCGACACATAAACCATGACTAAATTATTTACACCATGTCCGGAAGGATTACCAAACTCAGGGCCACATTCATCAGTTTTTATGTCTAGATTTACAAAATATGGTCTTGGGTCTTAGTAAAGACTTTTTAAAAATGTCATTTAGAAAAGAGAAAGAACAGTTATTGACAATAAATATAATCCGTCTATTTATCTAGGCGTAATCCAAAAGACATATGCTATCATAAGAGCATCTAAAATCATAGATAATGTTGATATCTTTCTATTAAACCATTCATAGCCGCTTCCAGTATTTTGCATAACATGAAGTGTTACTTCATTTGATTTATCAAAGAAATCATCTCTAGTAAATATATCTTAAATGATATACGAAATACACAAAATTACACTAACCCAAAAAACTAAATTCAACTTCTTAATATTCTTTCTTCTATTCTATTCAATCTATTCAGAAGGAATTATGGTCTCTTCTTTTTACTCCATTTTTTTTTACTTTCTAAATTTTTAATGCTTTAGACTGTATTCTTATCTTTTAATTTGATTACTTCTTTTGAGATACAAATTATTATGAATTTTATTATTTTTGATAAATTTTAATATAGCAAAAGTCTAATTTTTTTGACAAAAAAACTATATTAATTAAGTATGTTATTAGTAAATAATTTAATAATTTTGGTTATTCGACCATTATTAAAAGTCTCTCTCTATCACTTTCTTTCTAGGTAGAATTAAGTAAATACCAAAAATAATCTTTCGTAATTTAAAGATTACTTTTTTTTATTACATTTCATAATCTCAAAATAAATAATTAGAATAGATAGTTTTTTTCCTATTCCATTACTTGCTTAATTTACTTGATGCAATTATTCCTTGACAAAATTAATTAAAAATCCTAATTTTGCTTAAACTTAATAATATTAAAAATTACATGGCTATCATCATTTAGACATGTTAAACTTTTTAAAGATAAAGAATAGCAAATTAAATTCTACTAATAATCCTAAAATAATTAAAGCAATATTGAGAATTGTTAAATAATTTATAAACAATAGCATCAATAATAAATTAAAATCTAGAATAAAAGAACATTTATGGAATTTCTTAATATTTTAATATAATTAATCGTATTTCTAAATATTTAAATCACTTGAAGAAGAAAGGTTGATTTCAAATTTAATTTAAATGATCATGGTTGTTTTAATTTATTATTTGTAATATTTAGATATTAAAAATAGTAAATATTATTTTAAGAACCATATTTAATAACTTTTCAATAATAATAAAGTTGAATCACTAAGAAAATCAAAGTTTATAATGATTATTTGAATTATAATATCATTTTAGAATTATTTTTTAAATTATTTTTAAATTATATTTAAAATTAAATATGAAATTAATTAAGATCCATAATTTAAATTGATAAAAATAATATCAAAAGTAGCCAAATATTGCCAAAGGTTACAAATTATTCTTGATAATAACATTATGCTGTAAAGAATAACTAAAGATAAAGAAAAGTAAAGTAAGATTTAAAAATAAAAGTATCAAGTTTTTTTTTTTTTGAAATAATACTATAGTAAAATAATAATTATGTTAAAATATGCAAAAGTTAAATAATTTAATAGTCAAGCTATAACAGTCAAAAATCTATTTCATAGTCTTCATCCTCTTCTTTTTAGAACATCTCTGAGAGATCAACCATTTTTTTGATTCTCTTTTTTTTAAAATAAATTAAGTTGATTCAAAGTAATTTATAAAAAATGTATCTTAATAAGTTACGTTTATCATATATTTTATTGCTTTAAATTTAGAAGTCGTAGACATTTTAAAGTGATAAAAGCTGACGGTATGTTTATTGCTTAGATTAGAATTGAAATTAATAATTATTTATCCTGGAGGAATTTGTATGCTGATAATACTTTCATTTTCATCTGAAGAAAAATGATCTTTTGCATCAATATTTATCAAACCAATAGAAATACAGACATTAAATTATTTTGTATCTATGTATTCATCAAGTAAATCTAAAAATTCTATTTTTTTTTCTTTTTAATTCATTTTTTTCTTCTTCTGTCCTACTATCTTTTTATACAAGTAATAGTTGAAAATTTAATACAACTAAATTTGAGATCTTAATAAACTGAGCCTTGTATTCACCTTGCTTTCTCTGCCTTGTAAAATTTTAGAAAATTCGCCATCTTCTTCTATTTATTTATTTAATTAATTGTTTTTTTTGTTTATTTATTTTTTAATTAATTTTTATTAAAATATTTCAAATTAATTTGATTTTATTTGATAAGTTAATTTTGAAAAAAGGAAATTTAATATAAAATACTTTAAAGGTTCAACTACTTTGTATTTGATTTATATGTAGTCTATATCATTTCCATAGGATCTTCCTATATTGCTTCTAACCTGCTGGGAAGATTATTTGAAAACAAGGATTAGTATTCTTTTGGAAAGTTAGGTAGATTTTTTATATCTTCCAAATCAATATAATCTTAATCTGTATTTTAGGAATGGATGTTAGTAAAATATTGTTTTGTATCTGTGTTCTCATTTTAGTTTAAATTAGTATAAATTAAATCATCATCGTCATCTTCAAACAAATAAAGACCATCTTTTTAGTTCTTTTCTATATCAAAATTTTCTTTGACATTGATTTTAGATTAATTTTCTGCTTACTTAGCTCTATTTTTTGAATTTGCTAAAGGTCTCAAGAGAGATTGAATTTAAAGTGATGAATTAATCTTGTATGAACCATTTTTATATTTAAGGAAATTAGCTTTTTTGACTATGCTTGTAACTTTTTGGTAGTCTCTTTTAGAAAAGCATTCAGCTATACAATTAAGAAAGTCTCTTACTGGGAAACCTTTGAAGTAATTTAATATTTCTTTGATATCCCTTGTATCTTAATTTATGTGAATTTCAGAAAGTTAAACGTTTAGATTAACTTAATTTTTTGAAGTGTTTGTTTAGAATTTTATTAAGAAATTTGTTTTAGTTTCAATCAAGTCTCTTCTGTCCTTTGCTTTCATAATCATTTCATTTAAATCAACTTTCTTTTTCTCTTTGTTTTCTTTGTGGGATTTGCTATCAAAAAATTCTTCTTAAATTTCAAAATCTTATTCAAATATTTGTTTTCTTTTCTTCGACTTGGGAGAAGAAGAGGAATGCATGCTTGAATTATTATATTATGAATTACTATATTTAGAATCTTCTTTTATTACAAATTCATCAATATCTTAATTTTTAGCTTGCTTTGCATAATGTTCTGAAAGCGAATCAAATTAAACAACGTCATTATTCGATCTTCTTGTTGCTTGTTGAGAAAAAAAGTGTTAGCTATTTTATAAGCTACTGCTCACTGGGATAGTAGGTACTCCATCTAATGATGTAAATATTTACTATTTATTATTATTATTATCGAAAATCTTTCTTGAGCTCTGCTTTTTCTATGCTAAATCAGCCTATTAATATTGCAAGCTATAATTGTTTTTATCGCTTGCTAGTTTTTTATCATAAATGCTTCTTGGTTGAAAAGGAGCAACTCCTAAAAACAAACTCTCTTATTAAGTATCTTATTTAACCTTCTTATCACTGTTGGCTTTAACTACTTTCTCACAACCATGAAGGTATACACAAATAGGGCTCAAATCAAAAAAAAATATATACTCATTGTATTTATTTGAAAATTCACAGTATAACAAATTAAAAAAAAATGTGAAAAATCTATTATTTTTTTCAATAAAATAAAGCTCAAATTTGTTAATTTTAAAAATAATAGTAAATGATGATTCTTTCAGTTCTTCTAAAAGCTGCAGACTCCTTTTTTCTGCCTCTTTCATATTTTAAATCATCTCAATTTCCTCATTCAGCTCTTTATTTAAAATTTCATTAAAAATTGTCAGCATTTGCTATTAATTTGCCATGTTAAGCTTTTAGTTGCTTCATAAGTTGAAAAAAAAATTAATAGTAATTTTTTCAATCATAAAATTAATTTTACATTAATTAAGGATTCTAAAGACTATATAATATACTTGTTAGTTAATATTTTTTATAAACATCTGGATATTACTCTTATTGTGACTTTTATAACCTAAGTTTCCAAATAACTACTCTAAACCAGTCTCTAATGATTTGCTGATTAACTTTTTTTTGCACCTCTGTTATTTAGTTATTGAATTGTTAGACTATAGGACGTAGCTTCGGTTTGAATCTTTGAAGGTAAGGCCAGTAAGTTTAATTTTTCAAAAATTCAGTTATTTCTTTTAAGGTGATAAAATATTCTTTATTTATGGTAATTTCTGGCTAAGTTATACTCATTTAGATCAAATAGTTATTCTGCATGTTTGCAATTTAAGAGTTGATAAATTACAAATGACTTTGTGAAGAAAGCATGTTTACTGAATTCATTTAAACATTTGTAGTTATGTGCGAGTTATTTTATTATTTAGGAGAAGTCGTATGAACATAATTACACTTTATTAAATTTATTTTAAGTATTTTGAAAATGTGCAAATCATCGCTAGATTAAAAGAACTACTTGATCAAAAAATTCCTTAAATCATCAAATTTAATTGCTTCTAAAATCCCCATATTTTAATAAGCAACTTCTCTAAGCAAACTATCTGGTATAGCTTGTTCTGATTTATTCTTTAAATAGACTGTCAAATTTGTTATCTAAAGAAATTTTAGCCACTTAATGGATTCCCTATTTTACTAAATTTGATCAGCATTTAAATCAATTGCTTTAGTACTAATTACAGATAAAACTTCACTTTTTTAAGGTAACAGCAATAAATTTTCAATAAGTAAACCAATAGATATAGGATTTTAATAAGAAATATCATCATCTTCAAGTCTAATGTGAATTTTATTTATTGAAATCTATTACAAATTTTTGAAAATTTCATGATAAATTTTAAATAAAGCATTTAATTTACTTTTAATTTCTCTAGCATTTCTTTTAGTTTTTCTTCTATCGCTTTTTCAAAAATTCCTTTATCATCTTGCTTTGAGTTTTATTTTTTTTCATCTACAAAATCATAATTATTTGATATCTTACTGCTGTTTCCACCAAGCTTTTTCAACCCTTCCTATTCCAAATTAAATAACCTTATTTTTATCTTATCCAGCTCTTTTAACATTCAAATAATTTTACTTGTATCTAGCTTATAAATTTTTAGAGGTTGAATGTCTTGAAAATACTTTTTTCACTTGCCTTTAAAGCTATTTCATGCTTAGTATAGTTTTAAGAAAGTTTATCCATCAGCTCATCAGATTCATAATAATCCTAAAAAACATGTTTATAATAATTGAATTCTAAAACATAATTTACAGCTCCTGATTTTATTGAATTATAAGAAGGCTTTAGTACAATCATCAGCTCATCAACTTGAACTTTCACATTTGATATTTGCAAAATTGAGCCATATTCTACTGAAATTTTTGATATCAATCCCGCCTTCATCTAAAATGGAATATTTAATTCGCTTTTAATCAGCTTATTGATCTCAATTGGCTTTAGAGTTAGCTACCTTAGCTCAAATTTTCCTTGCATTATCCCTAAATTTAACTATTAATCATTGAACCCATATAAATACTATCCGATTTTGTTGTTCAAATATTAAAAAAAAGCTGCTTTCATTACTTATTATAACTAAATCAAATTATTTAATTCCGCAAAAAAAAAATTTATTAATAAAAACAAATCAAATATTTAATTTGAAAATATGTCTGGTAAATGTTAATAAAAATTTATTTATTTAATAATTTATTTTTTATTTTTGAACAGCCAAAAAAAAACAATTAGTGATTTTCAAAAAAAGTCTAAAACATTTTCCTTGAAATAATGAACAAAATAATCAATTAATATTTTAAATATTTAAAAAGTTACACTTATATTATATAAATGAAGTAGACAAATCAAACAATCATTTTATAACGAACTAATAAAAAACTACAATTTTAATTTTATTTATTTTGATATTTTCTCAATTTATATTTTTTTTTACTTTGAGTTATTATTGCATAAATTTAAATATCTATCTGTATAATAAGATTTTTATATTCTCTTTCTTTTTGTAAGCTTAAAGGAGCTTGTTCTTAAAAAATTCTCTTTGACTGCAAATTTATTTATTCATTTTACTTTTCATAAATTCTTTTAGAAAAATCATCACTTTTTGAGATTTTTATATTTAATTTAGGTAATTGGTTTGATTTTAGTAATCTGAGATTGGGAATTTCTCTGCAATTAATTATTACTTCTAGTTAATCTAATTTTAGGCTTGCTTATTATAAATACTTAAATCACCATCATAATTTTATTGAAATTAAAAAGAATTACTTATTTTATTAATAACATTTTTATTTATCGTTTTTACTTAATGAAAAATTTATTTTATTTGTTTCTATTGAATTATATTAAACCTTTAATTTTTCTAGCCTTTATAAAATTTAATTTAGTTATTGGCATTCTTAAAATTCTTATTCAAATTATTCTTCGCTCAAATTTAAGATATTAATTATCTAGCAATTAGAGTTTGATTTGTATTTTAATTTTTATTTCTTCAATATATATTTTACGTTTTGAGAAATTAAATTTAAATATTTAATTATAAAATAAAGTAAATTTATTTACAAAGCTCAATTTTAAAAAATAAAAATCTTTAATTTCAAATTTGATTGATAAATTCACAAATATAATTAAAAACATTCATTCATAATAAATAAAATCTGACTTGAAAATTAAAATTAATATAAATACAACTAATTATTTTGTTTTTTCTAAGAAGATTTAAAATTATTTAGGATAGCGTCATTCATTTTTGTTTTTGTCTTCTTTTATTTTTGATAATTAATATTAATATTTCATTTTATACATAAATTTTTATCGAAAGATTAAATTCTTACATTTTTGTTTGTGTGTGTGTGTATTTATTTTGATCAAGAGTTTAATATCACATTTATGTTTTTAATTCTTTTATTTCTACTTTTGAAAAAGTTTTAATTTATTATAGAAATAAAAATTTCTTTTACAAATTGGTGTAAGTTATATACTTAGAATCATTTATATTAATTATAAATAAATAGAAATATTAAATTTTAAGAATTTATAAATATTTGTATTTAATTTGTGCTGAAAAATAAACTTAATAAATTAAATTCATAAATAATATTTAAAATATATCATCAGAAAAAGTTGTTGAAATCCTTATTGCAATTTATGTTATAATTATTTTAATAATTGTTTTATTAATGTAAGGGAGGGATTATTGTTGTATTAACAATTAGAAATGTTGTTTTATTAACTTTATGGTTAATTGTTATATCGATTATAGTTTATATAATATTAGTCATTTTTATTTGTCAATTATAATTATTAGATTTAAATTTTTTGGATGGCTCCTAGTTTAACAGGTCAATTGGATGTGTTTAATGCTAGTTATTATTTTGTGAAATTTTATTAAAATTAATATTTTCTACTTATTCTAATTCATTTACTATTTATTAAACTTAAGGAGGGATATCAGATTCTTAAAGTTTCTTACAAAGTAAAATATGTATAAAATAGTATTTTTTGAAATTATCTATTCCTTTTTATATAGCTTCAGCATCTATACAATCATTTGAAGCTAATATGTTTTCTGAATTATCAAGGAGATAGTATTTTTTAATATATTTTTAATCGCATTCTTCGATTATTGAATCTACAAATTTTTTAAGATTTATTTATTTTCCATTAAATCCTTCAGTTAGATTATTTACAATTTAAAAGAATTTATTATTATTACTAAACCATTTAAGCATACTGCGTCTAAATATTAGATCTTTGGTTTAATCTTTTTATAATTATTTTATATGTTGCTCTTCAAATTCATAGAATCTAATTTTTCTTAGGGGCAATAAGCAAAGCCTGACTTTCTTTTAAGAGGAAAGTCCTTCTTACAAGCTTTATTATTCTCTGATCTTGCCTAAGTAGAAACCTTGGTAATCTACCAGTAGCTTATATTGTGCTTCTGCATCCCTTAAGTAAAGTTCAGTTATTAATACTTCATTTTCATTAGAAGAAGTCACAAATAAGCTATTTATATTTTCATCTATACTTTATTAAAGATATATTTTGGTGATTTGCATATTTCTTAAAAGCAAATATTCTTTTAAAACTGAAGCAAATTTTTTCAAATAATTATTTTCTTTCTGAGAAAATTCTTTTGAATCATACATATCTTCATTTATGATACATTAAAAAAGAAATTAATAAGCACATTTTTATTTTTTTTAAATATTATATAAATCTGAACTATATATCTTTAAGTCAGATTCACTATCTAAGTTATATGATAAATAGCATAAACAAAGATCTTGAGACCTATATTCTATGAATTTATTTTTTACAAGTTCTCTTTTACTATCATAGATGGTGATACAATTATTATTTTCATTATTAGAATGTGTTTATTTTTCAAGGTCAAGGTAATAGCTTTCAGCTATTTATTATCTAGTTTATAGTTGAAAAATAAATAAGTATGAATTAGTTTGATAAATAAAAAGTAAATGAATTTCATATTTTGGAGAAAAAATTTATTAGATTTTCAAATAAAATTTTAATTTTTACTTATTGTGCATAATAACTCCTTAGCTGTTTTAATCTGGTAAGTTAAGCTCGTTTAAAATATCTTTGTGAGATGGAATGACTTTTTAAATATTGTTGTTAAAAGACTATGTAGTATTATCTTCATTTTAAATGTCAAAATTGTTTTCTAACTAGCTTATGTCTCTCTTTGAGTTGATATTTTAATTGTATTTGCTTTAACTCTCAATTTAAAGTTTGCTATTAGAATTTTAATTTTATTATTTGCTCAATTCAGTGAACTTCTCATCTAACTTATCGAATTCATTGAAAATCTCAAAAACTCTTAATTCAATTTAATTAATTTACTTTTAAATTTCATTCATAGACAAACTACCATCAATATACATTTTTTATATTTTTTTTATTAATGATTCATTTATATTAAATTTTTTACTTAGTTCTACTTATAAATAGGATAGTTTACTCTAAATTAATTCAAGAGCTTCTTTTGGATCCATGCCTTAAGTTTAAGTTACTTCATTAGAATTTTCATTTTATTAAACTTAATCATTTTCTCTTTAATAAAAGCTTGGTGATTAAGATTGCATTTTGCTTTCATCTTGAAAGTTATTTGTCTGGTTTAGCAAAATAATGTTTTGAATTTCCTTATTCATTTAAATATCATTAGACTTATCAAGAAAATCTTATTTATTTTCTTCTTCTTCTTAAATTTAAGCAGATTTTTATGGCTAAATGTTCTAATTTTATGTTTGCTAATTGATAATTTAAGGAACATCTTCAATTTGATCATTTAATCTTATATTTTTTACACTAGTTAATTTAATTTCGTTCTACATGTTTGTGAGTGAAGTAGAATTAATTTTGTCTATTTTTTTTAAATCTTCTTCTTCTAAACTAGATACATTTTCTTATTCTATTAATAAGTTTTTTTAAAATTATTAACAAACGTTTTCTTAATTTGTATCAGAAATCAAAGATTTTATTTCGCTATCGATTGAGCATATGCTTGCATTATTTTATTACATATTACTTATATTTTGGTCTTTTTATTTGCAATCATATTAAGGATAAGGAAGTTTATTCTTATAGGAATCATTATCATCCTTTTACTTAAGTTCAGCTTAATTAATAAGCTCTAATAGGGGTTAGACCTTTCTTTCATCTGATGAAATTTCAATTTAATTGCTTAAATCTTCCAAATATTTATCCACCTCTAAATTTTTATCTGAGCAATCCATTATTGAATATTTTTTTATATATATTATGATTATTTTTTTATTTAATTCTTATTTTTTAATATCATTAAAGATATAAAAATTAGAATCAATACCAAAACAAATTTAAGATAAAAACTTTTTTTCTTTATTTAAATTATTCTCCATTCAATTTTTTACTAACCAAATATACTTAGAGTGTAATTTAAATATTTTCCAAATTTTATTTTGTTTTTTATGATAAAAGGCGGAAATATTTGTAGGACTAATAGTTTAATTAATCTTAGCTGTTTTTAGATATTTTTGAAATTATAGATAGCAGAAAAAAGCGCATCACTCCTTTTTATAAACAACAATTAAATAGTTGATGAGTAGAATTTACTTAAATAATAAACATCAATTAAAATTTTATCTTATCTTAAAATTTAAAGATTAAAATTTTTAAATTTAAATATAAAAATTATTTTATATTTTTTATTATTTATTAGTTTCAAATTGAAATTTGAGTTTTTAAAAAATGAAAATTTATTATTGATATTGATTTAATAATTAAGACAATGCATAAGGATACACATTTATTTTGATAATAAGGAACTAAAAATTTATAGATACAAAAATAATCCTAATTAAATTTTCTTTTTCAAGAAAGAAAAATAGGAAACTTTGCTCTCAAATATTTATTAATGAATTTAATTTAACAAAAATTTAAGTTTAAATCGTCATATATTGATATTGATTATTTCTCAGATGTTTTTTTCTGATGAGTAATCAACAAAAAGATTGATAGATTTTATTTAAAATATGTTATTTATTTTATTTTTTGTAAAGAATATTCTAAAACTCCATTTGATGTAATTCCTTGATTATCATCGACTTGACTACAATCTTTATTAGAGATGAAAATTGAGGTCTTAATTCTTAATTTTTGTAGATACTATCTTTATTTTTTAAAGGCGCTAATCAAGGAAGGAATTGCAGTATATTAGGTAATTAAAATATTCTTACTTTTTCTTTTATTTATTTATAATAAATATTACATAAAGTATAAAAACAAGCATAAAAAGTACATAATTTATTTATCCTTAAAATAATCTTTAATCATTTTTAATATCTAAATGAGACAAATTTAGTTAGTTAATTAATTTATTTCTATTATTTCAGTAAATCGTAAATAATTAATATTACATTTATTTAATTAAAAAATAAACTATTAAAATATACATATACTCATCTATTTATAATATTTACAGTTTATTAATTTACTATGATTCAATCAATATTTATCATAAAAATGTTAATTACCGTAGCTATATTACCTTTGGTAATTTCCATATTATTTATACGGATAAAACTAATTTGAGCCATACTATAAATGCTATGCGTAATCAAAATCAGGATTTTGAAATTATTAATATTGGTTATATAAAGCAGGATTTTATTAGTATTGATGTGGCTATTATTCAAAAGCTTAAGTGTATTATTAAAAAGGTGGTGAGCTCAACTGCAAAGGATGTTAACGCTACTAAAAAGATTAAGGAGACCATTAATTAGATTCTGGAGATGGTTATACTGAATTAGATAATGATTTAAAAGATTAAGGAGACTATTATAAAGGTTACGGATGCTATTATTATTGTTATTATTACTATTATTATAAATGATTAGATATAGTTTCCTCATTTAAATTATTTTTTTATATAATTTAATTTGTGTTTTTCATAGTTTTTTAAATTGAATCCAATATTTATTCATTTAGTTAGAGGTTATTGTTTTAGCTGAGCTTTTAGCATAGAAGCAAGTGTATGTAATAAAACTAATTAAATTACTTTTTGTTAGATATTTTTTTAAAAGAATTTTGAGAATCTTATTTGAAAAGGAGCTCATCGGAGTTGTTAAGATCTATGTAATATTCTATTTATTTAATATCTACATCTTGTATTATCTTGTCTACTTGCTATTATACAGTTATAGCTTACCCTTATGCATTATATGAATATTCGTCTTTTAATTTTGGCTCATCCTTTAAATTTTTTAGGAATATTTTAAGCATGCTCTTTTAGAATATAGGATCTTTTGCTTGATTAATTTAAATATTCTAGATATCTTAGTACTCAAACTCTACAAACTTAATTTGTTTTATTTCTTGGAGAGGTAAGATACAAATCCTCACTATCTTATTTGTGTAAATCTACTGCAAAACTTTCACCTAATTCAGAAAATGCTCTTGATAGTCAACTAAAATCTTATAGTAAGCATCTTAATTACTGAATTTCCAATCAAAAATCAAAGCTTCTTTTTCATTTTCAGCCAATAAGTCGTATCTTTTTGTCTCTCCTTCGCTTTTAAACTCACCCTCAATTCCTGTTACTTTCATATCTCTAATAGAAATATAGTCTTTAATAACTTAAACATAATGTTGAAGAAATTATTTTTAGTTTTAACTCAAGCTGTTGCAAAACTTTAACATATTATGATTGTTTCTGAATAAATCTGCAACATACGTATGAATTGATTACCCTTTTTCTTTTTTCATTTTTATTTCATAGTTTTCTTCAAAAAAAGCATCATATTTTATCTCAGCTCTAGGATCAAGTAAATATTTAAGATACTAAATTTAACACGAATTGTCTTTCACAAATCCTTTTTTTTTCAACTACTCACTTTACTGATTTATTACGATAGTCAAATCGTTAGAGTTTCTGGTAAGCTTGATTACATTCTAATTGTCTTCTTAAATTTCTTGATTACTTTTTGATAGTTAAGTATTTATTTTTTATATAATAAATAACTTTAATAAAATAATTAATTACTCAACATTCTCTAAATTTTTAATTTCCCCTTAATGCTTAATATTATTTTAGAGTGAATTATCAATTTGTTGATTCAAATTACCCTCAATTTATTATTTGATTTCTTAAATGCTATCATTTTCTTGTTGTTTTTTTTCACTTTAACTATTAGGGAATTTCTATTAATCATCAACATTTTTTTAAATTGAATGATTATCAAATATATTATAATTACTGTCTCTATCATAGAAAACTGTAACTTGTTATCTTATTTATAATTATTAAAATAAATTTTTTTTAATTAAACTAATAAAATAAAAATTACTTGATTTAAATTAACAAAATTAGTTAAATTAATTTGTTTACCTTTTTTAAGTTTATTAATTTTAAAATTCATTTTTGTTCCAAAATCTTTTTTTAGAGGGATCCTCAAAGAATTAGTTATTAGATAATTATTAATTATTGCTCATATAATCAAACCTTCTTTTTTCATTTAATATATATGGTTATGCCCTTTAATCGTAATTTTTAATTTATGTAAAGTTATTCTTCATTATATTTGAATAGCTTTTTATATTAAAAGAGATTTTAAAAAAAAAATTTAATTTAAATAAATTTTATTTTACTTTTAATTATACAAATTTTGAATTTTTACTGATTGATTTTAAAGTTCTTATCTATCAAAATGTTATTAAACGTTCATATTTTATAAGAAAGGTATCCTATTATAATTTCTTAAATCTTAGTTTGAGTTTATTTATTCTGATAAAATGTTTTAATCTTAATTATTTTTTTATATGGAGCTATTATTGCTTAAATTTAAATCTCTATCTGCACAATATAAGACTTTTATATTATCTCTCTTTTTTAGTAAGCTTAAAGAAGCTTGTTCTTAAAAAATACTCTTTGATTGCAAATCTATTTATTCATTTTACTTTTATTAATAAGCACTTTAAGAAAAATCATCTCTTTTTGAGATTTCAGCATTTAATTTGGGTGAATTATTTTGGTTTTAGTAATCTAAGATTGGGAATTTTTCTGCAAATAATGATTACTTCTAGTTAATCTAATTTTAGGTTTACTTATTTGAAATTCTTAAATCAGTATCTTGATTTTATTGAAATTAAAAAGAATCATTTATTTAATCACTTTTTTATTTTTCAATTTCAGTCAATGAAATCAAATTTATTTCTTTGATTTCTTTTTAATTACATTAAACCTTTTCTTTTTCTAGCTTTTCTAAAATTTAATTTAATTATTGGTATTCTTAAAATTCTTATTCAAATTATTCTTTACTCAAATTTTAGATATTATTAAGTAATTAGAGTTTGAATTGCATTTTACTTTTTATTTCTTCGATATTTTACATTTTGCGAAATTAAATTTAAATAATTAATTATAAATAAAAGTGAATTTACTTTACAAAGCTAGATATAGAAAAATAAAACTCTTTTATCTCAAATTTTATAGATGAATTCACTAATTTTATTAAACACATTCATAATAAAAAAATAAATTCTTAAATTTATTGACTCAAATATTAAAACGAAAATAGATAAATATTATGAATTTATATGTTTTTTTCTAACAAAATTTGAATTATTCAAGGATAGCGCGATTTATTTCTGTCTTTTTCAAATTTTATTTTTGAATAATTATTAATAATATTTCATTTTATCCAAAAAAAAATTATATCAAGCAACACCTTTTTTGTATGTATCACTTATTTTGAGCACAACAGATTTTACTGTCAAGAGAGATTTTATGAGCCTATATTGTTTTATGAAATTTGACATTCATTCAAATATTAAAAAATACCTGTTTTTACTCGTAATTGATTGAAAGAGTTTTGAATTGTTAGAGAAATAAAAATTTATTTTACAAATCAGTTTAATTTTTTACTTAAAATTTGAAGAATCTTTTAAATTAATTATTAAAAAAATAGAAATGCTAATTTTTAAGAATTTATAAAATTTTGTATGTTTTAAATGTGGAAATAAACTGTATAAATAAATTCATTTAATTAAAAATTAATCATCATTAAAAATTGTTGAAATCATTATAGTAATTTCTGTTAAAGCTATTAGGTTAATAGTTTTAATATTAAAATTATCGGTTGTTGTTATATTAATTTTAGCGAATGTTATTTTATTAGCTATAGGGTTAATTGTAATATTAACGATTATTAAAGGAATTGTTGTTTATATTATAATTATTATGTTTTAATCTTTTGTATGGATTCTAATTTAACTACTAATATGTTGGATACATTTACTACCTGTAATCATTATGCAAAGCTACATCTTAATTAGTATTTTCTTTTTATTATAATTCATTTATTATGTATTCAACCTACGGAGGAATTTCACCTTTTTGAACTTTAAAGAAAAGTAAAATATGTATTAAATAATATTTTTTAAAATTATTTATTCCTTTTCTTTTCTCTTAATCATCATTGCAATCATTTGAAGCTAGTATGTTTTCTGAATTATCTAGATCATAGTATTTTGTTATTAATGCTTTATTACATTCTTAGATTATTAAATCTACAAATTTTACAAGACTTACTTATTGTCCGTTTAATTCTTCAGTAGAAGTTTGTATATTTTATGAGAAATATTTATCATTACTAAGCCAAGTAAACATACTCTTTCTAAATTATTTTATTTTGGTTTAGCCATTTTATAATTATTTTACATCCTGTTCTTCAAATTCATAGAAGTTAATTTATTTAATTTCTCTTAGGGGCAATAAGCAAAGTCTGACTTTCTTTTAAGGGAAAAGGCCTTCTTACAAGCTTTATTATTCTCTGATCTTGCCCAAGTAGAAACCTTGGTAATCTACCATCAGCTTATATTCTGTTTCTGCATTCCTTAAGTAGAGTTCTGTTATTAATACCTCATTTTCATTAGAAGAAGTGATAAATAAGCTATTTATGTTTTCATCTTAGCTTTCTTATTGATATATTTTGGTGATTTGCATATTTCTTAATTTTAAATATTCTTTCAAAACTGAAATAAATTTTTTAAAATAATACTTTTCATGAATAGTAAGTATATCTAAACCATAAATTTCTTCATTAATATTAATGAGACACTTATAAATAAATTCATAAAAATATTTTTCTCTTATTTTTATTTTTTTGTCTTGATCATACTTATGGTTTAATATATTTGAAAATAATTAAGGTTCATTGAATAAATCATATCTTAAAAAGCCAAAACCAGACTTATGAAACCAACCTTCTGTGAATCCTTTTTATTACAAATCTTTTTTACCAGCGTAGATGGTGATACTATTATTATTTCCATTACCTCTATCAAGTTAATAACTTTCAGCTCTTTATTATCTAATTATAGTATAAAAAAATATGAATAAAAAATAATGTTGAAAATAATAACAAACGTTTTGAAATAATTAAAAATAATATCTTTTTTTATTTAAAATTAAAGAAAAACTTGTTTAATTAACTTTCTAAATGAATTAAAAATTATATTTAATTAAAAGATAAACAATTTGAGTGGTTAAAAATAAATAGAAATTCGACGAATCTCATATTTAAGTGAAAAAAATTATTAAATTTTCAAATTAAATTTTAATTTTTACTCTTTATTCATTGTAATTCCTTAGCTGTTTTGATCTGGTAAGTAAGGCTTGTTAAATAGAGTGTCTTATGCAATATTTTTGTCAAAAAAATATATAGTTTTAACTTCATTTGTCATGTCAAAATTGTTTTCTAACTAATTTATGCCTCTCTTGGAGTTGATATTTTAATTGTATTTAGATTAACTCTCAATTGAAATTTTGCTATTAGAATTTTAGTTTTGCTATTTGTTCTTTAATTTAGAGAGCTTATCACCCAACATATCTAATTAATTCAAAATCTCCTCAATTTTTTATTCAATTTATTGAATTTACTTTTAATTTTCTTTTTTTTCAGATGATTATTTTTCATCTAAAGACATTTAATCTATTTTCATAATTAATGATTCTTATATTTCAATTTTTTTTTTCAGCTCTACTTCTAAATTTGATCGTTTCTCAATATAAATATCTTCATTTGGATCCATGCCTTAAGTTTAAGTTTCTTCATATGAATTACCATTTTATAAAACTTAAACGTTTTCCCTTTAATAAAAGCTTGCTGATTAAGATCGAATTTAGCTTTCATCTTCAAAATTACCTGCCTGATATAACAAAAAATTATTTTAATTTCCATTCCTCATTTAAATATTATCAGGCTTATTTAGAAAATCTTATTTATTTCCTTCATACTAAATTTAAAAAGTCTTGATTGGCTAAATGCTCTAGTCTTTCTAGTCTTAAGCTTGCTATTTGGTAATACTAGGAGAATTTTGAATTTGATCTTATAAACTAATAATTTTTCCTTTAGTTAATTCAATTTCATCCTACAAATCAGCAACTAATTAAGTAGCATTACTCTAGTCTATTTTTTTTATTTTTTCTTCTAAACGAAATAAATTTTCATTTTCTTTTTACAAGTCTATTTAAAGTTATTAACGTATATTTTGTTAATTTGTATCAGAAATATTAGATGTTATTTCGCTTTCGATTGAGCATTTGCTTGTATTGTTTTATTACAGATTATTTCTATTTTGATCTTTTTATTTAGAATTATATTAATAATAAGGAGGTTTGTTATCGTATTAATCATCCTATTGCTTAAATGCAGAAAATTAGACAGGTTTATTTTAATCATTACTTTTAGAGATATTTTAATTTTCAATTAAGTCTTTATATTAGCAAATAGACTGCTATTTAGCTTGAGGAGTTTCAATATCATTTTTGATACTATCTTAGCAGAGATATTATTTATTTTCACTCAAATAAAAATAGTCTAATATTAGTTCTTATCTTCTTTCATCTGATGTTTCATTTTCAATTTATTACTTCAAATTTATCAGATATTAATCAAATCCTCTGTTATCATCTGAGTTATCCATTTTTGCGTATTTTATACTTATTTGATTATTATTTATTAAATATTTAATTCTTATTTTTTAATACTATTAAAAAATATATCAAAATAAGGATCTATAGAAAAACAAACTGGAGATAAAAGACTTTTATTTCTTATTTTATTTTAATTATTCCCAATTCAATTTTTTTCTAATCAAATTTAATAAGGCTGCAATCAAAATATTTTCGTAATTTTATTTTATATTTTAGATTAAAAGGCGGAAAGTTTTGGAGAACAAACAAACAATTTAATATAACTAAAAAACTAGCTGTTTTTAGATTTTTTTGAAATTTTAGTTAGCAGAAACAAACACATCATTCCTTTTTTTAATAATAAATCAAATAGTTAATAAGTATAATTTACTTAAATAATAAATATTCATCCAAATTTTATCTTTTATAAATTTCAACAATTAAAATTTCAAATTTAAATATATTAATAAATTTTTCAATAATACAATTTTGTAATATTTTTGTAAATATTTATTTATAAATTATATAAAATTTGAATCTATTAAAAAATTTATTTAATTCTTCTTTCATATTTTTTTAAATAGTTTGATTAATTCATATTTCTTTAAAGCTAAAATGTGAATTACATATGAAGGTAGCAAAGAAATTTAATTTGGTTGCATTTATCAAATTAAATATTTAAATAGATTAATAAGAGTGTATTTATACTATAAAATCTATTGAAAAAATTTAATTTAGTTTATTAAAAATTTTAAAAATATTTTTTGCAAATAATTATTTAAAAATGATTAACAAATATATATATTTAGTTTTTCATTGATTTTTATTAATAAATTTCATAAATGAATATCTCTTTAACATTAACAAGTGAATTTCCACTAAAGGCTAGCTCCATAGATAAATTTATCAATAATTAATTGAATTTTTAAGTGAGTGAATAAAAGTTTATTTATACTAACAAATACATTAAAATTAATAATTTAATTTATAAAACTGTTTTAAAATATTTTTTGCAAATATTCATTTTAAAAAAATTGAATAAAAAAGAGATTAGATTTTCGTTCTTATTTTTTAACAAATTTAATAAATAAATGTATGTTTAGTTAAAATTAGTATGTGAATTTCTTAGAAAGGTAACATAAGATACACAAAATTAGATTGCATTTGTAGGTTATTTACTTTTCATAAGTGAATATACGGAAATTGGTACTAATGAATGAATCAATCAATTGAATACTTTTAATCTTTTAAAATTACATAAAGAAAAAAAAATTATATTAAAATTAAGATTTAAGAAGAATTAAATTAATTGCAGTTTAATAGAAAAAAATCAAACATTTAATCAACAATAAATAAATAGCAACCACTTGCTGCTGTTTATAATATTACTTTTACTAACTTTTAAATTCTTTCTCAACCAACAACTAAGAAAATATATCATAGGAATTACATCTCAATCAATTAGCAAGCTACTTCATATTTATTATAATCATTAATATCAAATTATCTTATTAATCAAATGGTTGACGCAGGAGAAATCCTTTTTGGAGTTGGATCATTTCTGTCTTTGACATTTACAACTTTTTTGATTCTTGTCTATATTTTTGGCAGTTATCCTAGGACGTTTGCTTTTCATTTAGTTTTTATGGTATGCTTGAATAATTTTATATGGTCTTTTGCTGTATTCCCTGCTATATTCTTTGATTTAATTACTGAAGACGCGTATTTAAATACATATCTTTGCAACATTTAAGCTTTTTTAATGTGCTTTTCAACTAATAGCGGATTTTTTTATGTAATATCGATATCTTCATCTCTTGTTAGGACTATTATAAAAAAAGAGGATATCTCTGAAGCCATGAGGAATCCACTCAAATACTATGGCCCTCTTAATATATTGCTACCTCTTATTATGGCTATAATTCCAATAACTGTGAGAAGATATGACCATCTGGCTCCCTTTGAAAATGTTTAATGCTACTTAATAGTAAATGGACTTTAAGACGTAGTGGGTTTACTTTTGAGAATAATTATATTTTATGCACCTTACATTTTTGCTATTACTTATTAAATTTGTACTATAGTTAGGATATTATCTTTTATAAAAAAATCTTCATCTCTAAACAATTCTGAAGTAAATGAAATAAAAACACTTATTCTATATCCTATCATACTATGCTTGACATAAAGTTGGTTAATTATAAGCCGTACATTTGAAATATTCGCTGATATAAAAATTGAATGGCTAAATCATATTAATTTATTTTTCTTTTCTCTAGAAGGATTTTTAAATGTTTTAGTTTATGGTATAATTTCGCTAGACATCTGCAAAGGAATTAGAGGTTTTTAAAATAAATCCTAGATCTGGAATAAATAAACTAATCAATAAGAATAAAGCAATATCAGCAATAGTCAGAGTAGTAGTGAATATATAGAGGAAATATAAGCACCTCTAAAAGAGAAGACTAATGATTATTCATCTGAATTCACAATAAATACAAATTACAAAAGCGATACATTTATATATGAGAGAAATAGCTCTGCTGATAACTATTGAAAATTATTAAAAAAAATCCTTTAATATAATTAATAAAATCTAAAAAACAGTTGGTATTTTCTTATTCTTTTATTATTTATTTATACTACTAATGCTTTACAGCCTGCCTCTCCTCAACTTTCAGATTTGTAACCAAAAAATTTAATTACTCTTTATATATTGCATTAGCGTCATCAAAGAGTAAATAACTAAATTAATGACTAGTACTATTCTTTTATCTTGTATACATTTATTGCAAACAATATCTACTAGCTTCTTATTAATTTACTCCTGTAATTTTAAATTAATTTCCTCCTTATTCAAAAAATAAAATTCTTTTAAATAACAATTATTAAAAATACTCTATTTAACTATACAAATTAATCTATAGATATATTTTTAATTAAATACACAAATATTCCGTAGATTATCTCTTGTTAATTAAGACCACCTATAAAAATAATTTTTCTCAAAGAATGGCTTAACTGATTTTTTTTTTACTTATTATAAATCTCTTGAAATTAAATGAGATCAAACAGCAGGTATATATTTTTGAAAATATTATTACCTGATTTTACATAAAAAATTCAAAAATAAATAATTTGCTTTGCTAAAATATTTATATGTAGTAGTAAAAATTAGACTTACTATATAGATAGAACATATGCATAAAATAAATGTCAATAATATTTTTATAATATAATTATTTTAATTTATTAATTAATACAGTTTACTTATTAAAATTAATTATTTTATATACAAAATTGTTTTAATTATTCATTTTTTGGTAGTTGTTGTTTTTGTTATTGCTTTAGATGGTGTTCCTAAATTAGATTTTTAAGTGGCGCTGTTACTAATACTCTTTCCTGATTAAGAAGTGCTTAAAGAATGTGCTTTTAATATATAAATAAATATATGAATTCTAATTAATCATAAAGTTTAAAATTAATTACATGATTTATTATTAGAAGCACTGCTTACAGTAGAAGGCACGTATTTTTATGGCATAGGCTCTTTTACAGGTGGTTTTGCATTAGGTTTTATTGTTTTATCGAATTTTTAAGTATTTTAGAATTCCTGGCTTTAAGCATTAACTCTGATCACTTTGCAATCATCTATATTATTGAATGTTTAATTTTTAAATAGAAAATATATTTATTTATTTTTGTTACCTTCTTGATTGAAATTTGATTGCTGATCTACAAAATTAGGCAGAATAGACTAGTTTTGCATAAAATCTTATTGATTTTCTTTATTACTTAAATTTTGTGTTTTATTTGGCAATCCTACCACAGGAGCATTTTTCCATCTATGGTCTTTTGATTCTACCTTAGGTTCTTGGAAGATTACTATTTTCTTTTGTTAAAAGTCTTCATCGTTGTTAGCAAATTTTAGATTTTATTCATATTAATTTTAGTCAGGTTCTGTTTATTATTTGGAAGCATATTAATTTTATAATTGAACTCCTGCAATCTTTTAAATTTATTCTAACCTAAATGCAAAAATTAAAAAATGTTTAAATGAAAAATTATAAAAAAATAAAATACTCTTTTTTTAGGAATTCTATTTAATTGATTCTTTCAAATTCTAAAGAGTCAATGTTATTGTTATTATTGCTGCTCGAAGAACTCATATTTGTTTGTAAATTAGATGATAAGTTGTTTTATATAGAATTAATTTGTTGTATTTATTATGCCTAATTAGAAAGAGTTTGATAGTTTGTATTATTATCTGCATGATTAATTATCATGCTACTATATTATTATGGATTTTTTTGTACAATAGACTGCATTAAGGCTACTTCATTTTAAGCTTATTGAGCTTGAAGCTACTATTATTACATTTACATGATTTATTGTTGTTGAGCTGAGTTTTAAACAACATAGGATTGTGAAATTGCTGATGTAGCTTGAGAAATATTCTTTAGTTAAGAATTATTATTTACTTAGGTTTATTATGGGTTATCTAATTAGCTTAAAAACACATCTGGATTAAAGCCAACTTATGACCCTTAGATGACATTCATAGCCTCAAAGTTTAAGGCACAGACACCTCTCATAAATGCCTTTTTAAGATTTTCTGACATTTACTCTTTAGTGTACTAAATACTATTCAATTATAACTAAGTTTCTTGAAGCTATTCTTTTAGCAAAGCCATTTCTTTGTTAAATCTGTTTGTGATTTCATCAATTTCAATTAAATGTTGCTTTTCTTTCTTTTCTAGGTCGGATTAATGTTTACCCTCTTTGCAAACTTTGTAAAAAGAACTAAAAACTCTTTATTTGAGATTCTTCTCTGCAACTAATTGAGCAAGTTTATTTTTCTATAAAAAAAATAATTTATTTTCATTGATTGGATTTATTTTTTGTATTCATAAGATAAATTTTTATAATTGATAATGAATGAAATTACTTTTTTTTATTCTATTTTGTATTTTTTGTAGCTTTTAATTGCTGCAAAGAAAAATTGTAATGATTTCTGAGTGTGAAATCTAGCTTTGGCTTTCTAAGTTATTGCACTCATCTTCTCAAGTCTTTCCTTGAGGATTCCATTGATTCTTATTTACTCTTCTAATTTTTCTTTTGTCTCTGTTTACTATTTGATTAGACAATTAAATCTTATACAAATTTGAATATGTATTTTCATTATTTTATTCAAATGAAATCATTTATTTTATTTTATGATATATTTACTTCTTTATGTTTGTCTTCGTACATTTGCAGATATCTTTCAGTTTAATTTTTAACTGAAATTCTTTAATCTTCAAGCATAGATCTTTTCATGCCCATAAACTCTGAAATTGCATCAGTTTTAAAAACATTTAACAAATGCTCAATTTTAACTTTAAAATGCTCAGTATCTTCATCAATTACTTGAGGTGCATGATTTCTACCTCCTATTATTTAGCTTCCCGCAGTGGAACTTGCTTATGCTTTAGACATTGTACTAAATTTTTTAGCTTGATTAGACTTATATTAATTTGCAGAAGATAAGTCATCGCAAAAATCATGATCTGGTTATCTAGATGTGTTCATTTTAGAAATAGATTCAGTGTCTGCATTAATTGTGTTGCTTTCACTTAATTCACTTTCAATATTTGCTTCATAATTTTATTTCTTGCTGTATTCTTCAAGCTCATTGAAGTCATCAAGTAATGTTTTCTTCTTTGGTTGATTCTTATTTGAATTCATAAATGTATAATTGTCTGTCTACGCTTTTATTAAATAGAATTTTTACTTTTGAAAAATTTCAGTGTAAATTATTTAAATTAATCTTATTATTTTTCAAGATAAATTATTATGACTGCATTTTGTTTGTTATCAATAATAATAGCAATCAATACAATTAATTGATTTTTCAGCTCATTCAATAAATAATAATATCCACCTAAAGATTTGTTTAAAATTCAAAAAAATTTTAATCTCAATTCCACATATCCAAAACATTAAAATATAAATATGTTATTTAGTTATTATTAATATTCAAATTGTATCCTAATTTGTTTAAATTCTTTAAATTAATTTTACTTAAACACAAACTCTCATTCATTTATTAACAATTTTCCTAATATTTTTAAGCTCTAAAACTGTAAATTTTGATTAATTTTAATCATTTATTTTTAATTAATTATTTTATTTTTAAAAATCTGCAAATTCTACTACAAAAATATACTTGACGGTTGAAAACTGAAATTTGTTGCCAAGTAATTTAAAGAAATACTTACCAGATCTATAGATAAAATCAAATTTAAGATTGGAATTTAATAAAAATTGGATGACTGCGGCTGCATTGATAAATCGAATTATTAAATCAAATATTAACTACAAAAAATTAAACGATATTTATTCAAAAAATAATTTAATTGAATATAATTTTGCAAAATATAAAGAGAGATTCAATAGATAATTAAATAATTTATTTGATTTAGGCACTACAAGTTTTAATTATAGCGAGGCATAAATAAATAGACTGATTTATAGTTTTAGCAGCCCATATCAATTATTATTATATTACATACAACAAATGAAAGGAATATTATATTAAAGACGCAATTCAAAATCTTCATAATCAGGAGAATCAAATAAGTAAAATTATTTAGTTTTTACAACTTCATCTTTTTTTATTTATCAATTTGTTATTTTGTTTGTTTAGGATTTAATCATAAGAACAACCTTAAAAGTTCAACAACATATAGCAAATGAATGAATAATTGTAAAAGCTTAGGCAATAATATTAGCAATCGAATCTAAAAACAGATCAAATTGCAAATTCTTCTAATAAGAAAATTCAATTTTAAGAATCACCTTCTAAATAAGATAAAATCAACTAAAATAATTCTCCCTACAGCATAAATTCCAACAAGCAAATTCAAAATCAAGTAAATCTTATTTCAGCTGCTCCTCCTTCGAATATGTAATCATTTAAATCTCTTGAACAAATGCCTGCTACTCATCAACAATAAGTAAGCAATTTTATGATAAAATTATATAAATTTTTTTAGTAAAACTAAAGTAAAAGCATCAGCAATGTTATTAATGTTATGTTTTAAAACAATATTCAAATTATTAATAGTAGGAAATTAAAGATCTTTAACAAAAAATTCATGAATACGCTTAAAGTAACCAAATGCTAATTGAGAGAAATGCAATTTTAGAGAATGATTTACTTTTATAAAGAAGTTAAAATAATGTTCTGTAACACTCTAACTCACATAGCAACGGCGTAAATAGCTTAAACAATACAGTGAATTCTATTAATATTGATAGGTAATTACAAGCTGCCTTAATAGAAAAACTTCGACTAGAAGAAATAATTGAATTCATGAAAGAAGAGAATGATAAAACTTTGGAAGAGTTAAATATTTATAAAAGTAAGTCAGACTCATTAGAAAAAGAGTTAAAGGATACCTCATAAACAGTTTATCAGAACTAAAATTAAGTCCAAGCTTTTTATTCCCAAAATAAAAAGATAGAAGATTAGCTAAAGCTTTCAAATATTCATTTTGTCAATGCATAGAAAAAGCTCAGCCTTTTGGAAAAAGAAAATAAAGATTTAAATGAAAAATTGAATTTTTTAGAGCAGGAAAAGAAAAAGATTTCACAGAAATGGCATGCTGTAAATTTTAAAAATTTATTATTTGTTTAAAATTAAATATGCAAGAATTATCAAATTTTAAATTGGATATGTCTTTTTTAAATCAAATTAAATCAAATTTTAACGAATAATTTTAATTCTTAATTAAACAAATAGTCTTCCATATATTTATTTACTCATATTTTAAATAAAAAACAAATAATTTTAGTTTTAAATATTGTAGGGTTTTAATTATTAAATTTTCAAAGTTAAATTTTAAAGCAATTAAAAATTTTTAGCCACATTTTTATTGACTTCAAATCTAAAATTATTTAAATACCCCCTCAAAAAGAATAAAAATCAATAACAATTATTAGCTGAATGTTCATATAGAATTTTAGAAAAATGCTTAATTTTTTAATTAAATAGAAATTCGAGTAACTTTTAATGAAGCTATTTTTAAACACAAATAAATAAAAATTTTGTGACAAATAAAAGAATAGATTGATAGAACTAAATTTTAGATATTATTATTCTCTTAAAAATTAGCAAATTTTGAAATAGATAGATAGATATCTATCTTGCTTTACACATACTTATTTGAAAATTTTATTAAAACAATAAATTAGCTTAATTTTGTTCAATTAATATTTTTGAATTTAAGTAATTAAAATTCAAAAAAGAATGTAATTTAAAGAATTAAAATATTGTAGATAAGTCTATGTCCTAATTAATTACTTGCTTAACCATTTTTAGAAGTCTAAATTAATTTAATAAAAACATAGGACACATGATAAATTACAATCAATTTTACATTTAATTTATATAAAGGCTTTTATTTTAGTAATCTATAAAATGGTAAAGTCAAATAGATATTTTGCAAAATTAGTTTACTCGAATGAAATTTTTGCATTAATTTAGTTGTACACCAAAGATTAAACCCTTAATAAACTAAATAAATTATATTTTTTTACTCTAGTTATCTTGTTACATCAACTAATAATCTAAAATATAAATTAACATTTTTATAAATACTTTCTCAAAAATTAAAAGCGAGATGTTTACAGTATTAATTATTTTTAGTGCTAAAATAAGCAAAAATAAAATTTCTCAAAATGCAAAAATATAAATTTGTAAGTTGACAACTTTTTTGGAGTAAATAAATATATGTTGTAAGTGAAATTGGGAAAGACAAAATAGAAAAAGGATTAATTAAAGAAAATTGCTATATTTTAAAGTAAACTAATCAAATCAAAAAATTTCTTTATTATGCAATTTTTGTTTCTCTCTTGTATTTTTAAGCTTTAATTATTTTTTGCTTACTTCAATATGGAGATTTTCATTTTGTTAAATAATTTTAAAAAAAAAGGAGTTTTATATAACAATATACATCTTTAAAATATTTGATTTAATTTATTTTGTTCCTTTTCAATTGTAATTTAGGCCAGCTAGAACAGAAAATAAGAAGAGAAGTTAAAATAAAGGGTCAAGGAGCTAGAAGTAGAATTAAATGAAAAGTCAATCGAATGCGAGGAGTTCAAGAAGAAATATGTATCTACAAATACTGAACTGAGGGTCTACAAAGAAGGAGAATTTAACTACAAGGACGTAGTAGAAAATAAATTTAAAGAACTCAAAACTAAATGGCAGGAAGAAATCAGACAGAAGGATGAATTGTTAAAATAAAACAATGAATTACTTTCTCAACTAGAATAATTTTCATAGGAACTATAAAATTTGTAGTAAAAATGTGAAAAACTCTAAGATGAAAAATGTGACATTTAGCAAAAAAGTTAATCGTTACAATAATAAAATGAATAATTATAGATATTAGCAGTCAAAAAGGAAATAAGTTAAGGTGCTAGTTAATCTGTACAGCTTACTCGTGATGAATTGACTAAGAGGCTGTAGTAAGCCAATTAAGAAATTACAAGCTTAATAAAATAAAACGAGGAGTCTAATTAATAGATTCTGATACTCCAACAAGATAAGCACATTATGAATAAATAAATTGAGGAGTTTTTAAAGTAGAACGAATAACTGTAAGATGCCATAAATGCACTCCTAAGTGAGAATCAATAGGAGTAAGAACTACTTTCTCATTTGACATCTAAAAACATTCATGGCAGTGGAAGTAAAAATCATAGCACGCAGCAAATAAATGTTTCAATGATTCAGCAGAAAGAGTTGGATTAGGAATTCTAATAATCTGGAATTGAGAAATAAAAGGATAAAAAAGCAATAATTTTGGAATCAGAAGAATATTAAAAATTAATCTAAAGCGTAGAATCTGTAAATGATGAGACAATAACTGAAGAAATAAAGCAAAAGATAGAAATTTTTGTGTAGTATATTTTATTCAGCGCAACATAAAACAAGGACATTGGTGAAATATTTGTATGCAACACTTGTAAATAATCCTGCTAAAATTAAAACTCTAACAATAATCAAAAGGGATTTGAAAAATAGTATTATGAAATTAAACACCTGTACGACAGGCTTTTGATTAAATACTACAATGTTTAGAAAAAATTTTAAATACTTGAGGAGAGTGGCAAAATAAGATAGACAGGCAATTTGAATTCATCTTTTTAAATGTAAAATAGATTATAATAATTTCTTAATTTATAGACTTCTTTTTTAAATCAAAATTTTTTAATTTTAAATTAGCTTTCGAATCAAGTTTTGTTTCTTTTTAATTTGAGTAATTTTAATGAGCTAATTGTTTTTAGGCTTTTTTCAATAACTATCAATGAGCTCATTCTGATTTGTTTTTCATTTATTTTTACAATTTTAGCTCATAATTTTTCTTCAATTTTTGAGAAAAAATCTAAATCAGAAATTACAAAAGTAAACTATCCCAAAATTAAACAGAAATAAGTGGGAAAGTGTCTGAAATCTACCTGATTAGAATTGCTAGCTAATATTTGCTTTTATAATTTTGTAACACCAATAAAAATCTAACTTTAATTTTATTTGAGTTAAAATAGAAGGAAAAGAAAATTTAATTCAATTAAAAACCAATCAATTTTGGTTTAAAATAAATCTTATGTTTTATTTGAAAGAAGAGAAAGATATTTCTTTATTAAAAATTTTATTTATTTTCTCACTTTAATTTTAAACAAATAAAATAATCACTAACAAGAAACAAACTACATTTATTCTTCTATCATTTTGTAAATTTACTAGTTTGTAAGTTTTTAAATTAATTATCTAACAAAAATTATGAGAATGAATAAAAAAGTAAGTAAGGCTTTGAGAATAGGCAATTAATACTTGTTTTTATTGAATATTATAAACGAAATATTTCATAAAATCTATGTTATGATTCTCCACATAACAAATAAAAATTATTCTACGTGCCATGATAAATAAATGTGTAAACTAAGAAGAAAAAAATTTTAATAAAAACTGTCATAACTATTTTGCATTTAACATTTAACGTTTGCTATTTATACTTTTTTTACAGAATATAGTAAGTACATACTCTGTTTTGTTGTACTTACATTAAAATGTTGATTTAAAACTTTTGATCAGCAAAAAATTAATTAGATAATTTTATTACAAAATAACTTAATTTGTTACTATTTTTTTGATGATCTAAATTTGAGTTTACACTTAATTATTTTTTGCTTAGATTTGATTTTTATGCAATGAAAATTGTTGATATTTATGAATAGCAATTATTGATAAAATAACTTTTAAAATAATTTTTACTTTTAACTATTAAAAAGTAATAAGAATTTAGTGAATCAGATTTCTCCATAAGAAGGAAGCTTTGAAGAGTTGCATGAACAAAAATCACTCGCATCCGCTTACAAGTCTGGGGCTTTTTTAATTAATCAATAGAAAAAAAATGCTGAAATTAATGATTCTTTTGAGAGCATAAAATAAATTTCCTCTAATCAATTAAATTAGAATTATATTAATCATTAATAGACTGATCAACCACTGCCGTTGTCTTATTAAATTTAGTAATAATCTGATTTGAGGTTAAGAGAAGCTAATTAGTAAGATGATTTGTAGAACATTAATAATAGTCATAATTATCATAGCAATAGCACCCTTAATAAATCATACAATTTTACTAGTGCACTCAACTCAACCAATACAAATCTTATCCAGAATATATTAAAAAATGACTTCAACATCAAAGAAACTTTGAGCGAAAATTCTTAAAAAATGCTGAACACCATCTTAAACAAGTTTCTTAACACCTAAGGACTGAATTCTTCACAATTATTGAATTAATCCTAATAATATAAAAACTCGAAATCATTTGGAAACTTGAATGAAACTAATTCTACTGGGAGGTTAATAAACAATAGTGGTGTAAGAGGAACTCAAGAAAATAATTAAATTATTAATTAAGTAAAATCAGGGCCTCCTACAAGAACTCTAGAGCGCTCTCTGCTACGTAGAAACAAAAGCAAAGAAAATTACCACCTAAATAATAGTTCAGGAAATTTGAATAATACTTCTCATAATACATCAAACAATGTCATGTTGAATTAATCAGTAGATGCTCATTAAAGGCGCTACTAAGAGATCCATCTTAATAACTTATTTGCATAGTAGAATAAAAATGCATCTAATGGGCAAACTAGCTATGCCTCAACCCCATACACTAATATTTTAAAATAAAGGAAAAATTCCAACTCATATAACTAAGTAAATGGCACTCCAAGCAGTACAGGAGGTGGCTATCAGTCCATCCACCAGTTAAATAGATCTTTTGATGGGTGTCAATAGTCAGGCTCCAAGGGATCTAATTCAAGCTATAGCAAATTCATAAAGAGAAAGACAGGACAGAACTATTAGAATAATAACAATATGAGTAACTATGGTAATAATTAAAGTGGCATTAAAAATAATGTTTTCACAAACTAATAGCAAGTTTCATTTGTTCCATCAGATCAGCAGAATTATTTGCAGAATCAAAATAAATTTAACGAATTTTAGTATCATAGTGTTCCCCAATATAGATAATTCTGAATGTGATAATTAAAATAAAAGTATAAAATAATAATCAATATTCGAAATTATTGTGAGCAAGAGTGAGTGAATGGAATAATAAATAAAGTACACCCACTATTAAAATTTTTGGGAATTAGAAAAATAGTTAAATAGTAAATTACCTTAAAATACAAGCTGTAAATTGCTATTATTGCATAATATTTATCAATAATTATCAGTAAAATTAATACATAAATTATTTATAAATTATGTGGATATTAAGTATTAATTACTTGCAACAACTTAAAGGGTTTAGATTTTTAAAATAAATAAAATTTTTTTCTTTTACAAAAAAAATTGATTTGATGAAAGGTCGCATGATTTCTCTTCAATCCTTAAGAAATTTTTTAAATACTTTTTTATAATTCGATAACTCCTCTCTTATCTCTTTAATATCAAATTGCCACCAAATTTATTTAAATTTTTAACTATTGTAAAGCGATAATTTTAAGATTCTATGTTGATTGTTTGATTGTTTATCTGTTTTAAAATAAGCAAGTAATGCTTAAAAAAATTTACATTAGTTCTAAGTATTAGTTGGAATGTATCAGGAAAATTGTAAATAATTATTTAAAAATCTTATTAGATTTCATTTGAATTTTAAGTATTTTTTTTTATTTCTTCTTTACAAATTTCTTCTTTTTTTATTATTTACAAATTAATATATATTGAAAGTATGAGAGGAAAACCATAGGTATTCCCAAAAGCAATAAAAAGCAACCAAATTAATTAATCACTACTTAACCAATAAAAATATTTTAAAACTGATAGTTTCATTCATTTTGATGTAATAAGATAATATTAAAGCAAAAAAAACATTCGAATTTAAATCATCAAATATGTGATTTATAATTAATCATTGAATTTGGATTAAATACAGAAGAATAATGAAGTCACAAATAAAAGCATTCGCTTATTGATCGTAAGGAAGGTAGAAATGAAAATGTAAAAAGCTAAATTTCAAAATAAATTAAAGACATTCTTCGATTAGTTATTGTGTAAATTAAATTTTGGTAATAGCCAAACCGTTTATTGAATGAATAGTGATGCAATTATCAGCTTGATATTATAAGTATTATAAATTTACTTGTAAATTATTATGATATAAATAGAACTATTAAAATTTCATTAATAAATCACACTCATTTATCAAAATTTTGTGATGTTATCGTACTAAAATCATATTGATTGATTAATAATGTTAAATAAAATAAATTTTAACAAATATTTGCTTTTTAAAAATATGTTATTTAAAATGAAAAAATCATGTTTTGTAATTCATTCATAAATTTGGGTATAAGCTAAAAAAAATTTGATAATTTAAATAATATGAGGAAGTAATTATTTTCAATTTTTAGGATAATCAAAATGGGCTGTTTGTTAGTTCTAATTTAATTTATAAAATTTTAGTAAATAAATCCAATTTAGATTACATATATAGTTTATTCATGAATAGTTAGGTTTAATTACTTTGAGTCTAACTAATATTTGAGAGCATCTGATTTAAATTATTACTTATTAATTGAAATATTTTTACAAAATTTGTCATGAAAAATCTGATTTGTTTTGCTATGATTAATGTCCTTCAAATCTTACAAATTATGTTTAACAGGAAAAGAAATTGAATTAAATTTACATTAAGTGAAAAAATAGGTTCTGAATTAAGCAGGAGTCAAAGATAAAAGAAAAGAATCATATAGTTAGATTTAATAAGAATTTAATTCAAACAATTATGAATAAAAGAGTAATCTGTATGATTTTATTAAAATAAGTACCAAGTCAAGCAATCTCATTGATTAATACATACATATGTATAATTAATATATTTTTTATCAAATAAATGACCAATAAAAAACTAACCAGCTGAAAATTAAAAATTTGATAAATAATTAATTATAAAAAAAATAATTAAAACTCAAAAAATTACAAATATTAAAAAAACAATTATTAGTCTAATAAGATTAATAATAAATAAATAAACATATTTAAGTAACTAAATCAAACACTCATACATTCATTTACACATACATAAATTATCAAATGAAAGATATCCTTAAGCAAGCTGCTTCAATCGCTCTCGAGTACAATGAAATTATGAATCATCTCTCCTAGATTCGTCACGAACTTTACGACTGTGCCGAAATTCCTCACATGTTCGATTTCCTTTTGGAGGAAAACCTCCTTTAAACCTTTGCTAATGATTAAGCTCAAATTACTAATTCTCTAGAGTATATGAAGGAAACTGGATAAATATCCTTGTACATCTAAACCAAATAAAATATAAAGAACATATGCAAGAAAATAGAGGAGCTTGCTCCTAGAATCTGCAATGCTAACAAGTAGTTCTTGAAGATCAGGGGAGAATTATAAGGAAGTAAAAATAACATATCAAATACTCTGCTTGATTAACTTGACTGCTAAAGCTATATGATCAACAGATACTTCTAAGATATTTGAAGCTATTAGCTACAATTAAATTAATCTTTGGTTCATCTATATAACTTCATAACTTCAATATCTATGATCGAAATCAACTTTAATTCTATTAAATTATCATCAACAACCAATAATAATCTTACTCATATATTAATGAATACATTAAAAAACATTCATTAATACATACATAATAACATTATAAAAACCTATTCAAAAAAATATTTTTCAATAAAAATCATTTACTAAGAATGTATTTAATTAACAATTTGTCTCACAAATCAATAATTTCCTTAAACAAATTCAAAACTTAACCACAAAAGTACTTTTAAAATATTTTAAATTGATACAGTAATAAAAAAACATACCAATAAACCAATTAAAGGTGTGGAGCTTTTTAAAACAATACCACAAACAAACCCATCTAATTATTTAGAAATTCAACATAAAACTTCTTAATATCATTCAATTATTTTGTAAAAAATTTGATATATTTACATATTTTATATTTCTATCATTTGTAAATATCTTACTTAAACTGACAATAATCTTCGATAAATTCATTCATTTTTTCTTGATATTTATGGATACTTAGTATTTAAAATTCTAAATCAATCAGTTTATTTCAATATATTGTTTCGCAGTTTTTTTCCTTACCCCAAAAGAATCTAATTAATTCATTTAGAAAATTTCTATCCTTAATTTAATAAACTTTATTAGTTTTATCTTAAGCATCAAAGAAAAATACTCATATATTTCTTAACATATATACTCACAAACACACACAACATATATACATGCACTTCCTTCATAATTATTTAAATATCAGTTTTTATTAAATTTTATATAAAAATGCAATCAAACTGAAAATGTGGCTAAGATTAATTAATTATGAGGGATTAATTTTAATTGAAACATTTGCTGTTGTTAAATATTTTTTCGTTATTCGAGAATCTATTCAAATCTAAATAGAGTTAGAAGAAGACATTTGATTAGTGATAGCGGTGTTCATAATTACTCAAAAAAAAAATAAATAAATATATAAATTAAATATGTAAAATCTAGCTATAAAAAATGAATTAATCCCTAAAATTTTAATTCATACTGGATAAAAAAATATTAGTGAAGTCCCAAAAAATTAACAACGCTCATATACCAAAATATAATATTAAAATACTTGTAATTGAACATTTTAACCGCTTAAAATAGAAGAAAAAATTTAGATTACCTCAATACTAGTACACTCAAATTAAATATTAAATATATCTATTTTTAGTAAATTTAGATTATTTTCAAATTCTAGTAAGATTTATAGACTCTTTATTAGACTTGATTAATTAATAATATCATTATTAAGACAATTAAATATTAAGTCGCTAATAATTTGCTTTTAGTTTAATCCTTTGAGCAGTGAGTATAGTTATTTAATAACCAAACGTTCTGTATTATTCAACTCCTTACTGGAGCGATTGTCAAATTTAAAGTAATCTTAGTATAAAACAGGCTAGCAAAAATTAGCTATAAAAAATAACAAAAATTAAAGCAAATAAATTAAGTTGTACTTATTCCCTCCCTAATTTCATTAATTTTTTAAGGTGAGTGAAAAGACTCTAATTTATTCTCTATTAGAAATTTAGTTTTTTGTCAATAATAAATATATAAATAAAATCCTTGGAACAATTAACTTCTCCTGACTTAAATCCTTTTTCTCATCTTAAATTTATTTTTTTAGGCTTTGAATTTTCAAAATTGAAGATAAAAGAATTTATATTTTCGGAATTTTATTAAGATAGATAAATAGAAATATCTAAATATAAATTTGTATTTACAAAACAATAGTCTAGGATTATGAGATTGTTAAACTAAATATTATGAAAAAATAATTTATTTTCATTTTAAGAAGTAGACAAAGTGGATAGCAATAAATATGATTAAAACAAAATAAAAAAGTGTAAATAAGATTTAATATTTGGTAAGAATATTTTATTTTCGATTCGGTATTAATGATGCAATATTTTAAACTTAACTTACCAACTTAAGTCCTTTATCCATTCCTTACAGCATTTACAAGCATGAGATACACATTAATTTAACAAAATTATATCACCAGATTTAGTTTCTAATTTTTAAACTTTTAATTTTTGATATATTATGTAAATTAAAATTATACAAATTTATATTTTAGTTTGGTTAAATTTAATTCATAGATTGTAATTTCCTTGCTTTAATACTATACTAAATCAGAAATAGAAATTATTTATTTGTAAATTTTGCATACACTTTCTTAATAATTTTCTAATCAATTTCATATTTTCTAATGCTTTAAATAGCATGAGATCTAAACTTTTTTTATAAGTCTACTAAATTTTCTTACATAAACAGTCAAAAATAGACTGACAAAAATTACAAAAAATATGAAGACAGTAGAAAATAACAGGTACTATTTCTTTGCTCATATTTTAAACATTCTTTTGATTTTTGTATTATGAAATACTCAAAAATTCAATATAGAATATTCCTTAATAAAGGAAAGGATTAGGCAAGAATTTTCCATTGTAAATAATCTGTATTTTGAAATTTAAATATTCGGTAATACTTTTTTATTTGATTGAGTTCATATAAAAGATTTTTAAAACTATCACTTCTGAAGTGTAAAATCAGAATAAAGATTATAATTAATTACAACTCATATTTCCAAATGCTTTTCATTTATTTATTCATTCTACTATTACTTTCTATATTTACACTAGCTATTTTTTTTTCTAGTTTTTATAAATTCTAAAAATATATCTGAAGAAGCTCCATTCTCAATTTGGATTTAAATTATTTTAACTAAAAATTCCTCAAACTCTGTTTTAGCACTTATATTTATTCGAATAAATTATATTTGGAAATTATTTTATGGCTTTGTTGTTTTTAAATGCCTTTTATGTTTAAAAAATAAAAGAATTTATTGATTTCCTGAATTTTTTAATTAACTTATAATATTAATCTACTTTAATTTAAAAAGTAAATTGGCTAATCATTTATTAAGTAAAATAACACAAAGAAATCTATTTTTAAAAGAGTGTTCCAAAAAATGGAAAATAAAAGTAATAATTTGGTTTAATAACAGCTCAAAAGTTTTAAAATATTTTTATTCTCATAAAAAATGATATACTTTCATTCTTTATTTATTAATAATTATCTTCAAAGGCATTTATTTATTTAAAAGCTAAATATATAGATCTAATAAAGCAAACACTTACAAAGTCTATGAAAAAAGTTAAGTTTTCAAAAGAAGAAAACTCCATTTAAATAAAAATTTTGATTATGCAATACATATTTAGATATTATTTTATTTAAACAAAATCAATAAGTTTTAACCTGAAATTTATTTAAATTTTAAATAAAAATATATTTGCCTAAATAAATTTAAATAAATTCTTTCTATTGAATAGGCAAAAAGTCTACTCAAATAATGTGCTCAAGTCTGGCTTTTTATATTTTACCAAAAGAATAAATCTACCGTTTTTTTAGTAAATATCTATTTTTATAACTATTAAATTTTTATGGTGATTTTATCTATAATAAAGAATATCTATTTTAAGTAAAAAAATTTGCAAAAACATTCTGTCAGTTGTTACCGCTTAATTTTAATTAAGAATTCAAAATATTAATAAATAAATAGTGTTTCATTTTCTATTAAATTGTTGTAAATTAATTTACTGGTTAAAGAAAAAGTTTCATTCATGAATACAAACTAATATTTTAAGAAAAGATGTTCTTTATTTTTGTCCTAAATTGCCTAAATTTATAGAAAAGAAATCTTAATATTTTTAGGTAAATTTCTTAGAGTTTCATATAAAACGTCAGAATCCTTACAAATTTAAATTATTTTACATTTGAAATTTACACAATATTTAAATTAAAAAAAACCAACTTAATCAAATATAAATTATCTTTACAAAAAAATGCTCTTGATTTTCAATAGATTTATGTAAATACAATCTAATTAATTATTTAACTCATTATTTATTATATTTTAAATAATTTAAGTATAATAATCACCTATTTTATGATTATAAGAAAATTATTTTATATAGAAGTCTAAATTTTCTTTTATATTTATATGCTTAATATGAATAAAAGCTTTTATTAAAGTCATTCAATATTAAATATTAAAATATGCGTTATAACTAAAAAATACAATTTTTAGACAACTTAGGTTCTAAAGTAAACGAATTTTGTAAAAACATCCACTGATCGAAAAGTTTTTCTCAAATAATTTGTACTTGATTTATTCAACCTTAAAAAAAATACTAGTTGAAGTTTGAAAGAAATTTTTTTAAAATTATAAAAAACTAACTCATAAATAAAATCCTTATCTGTTTAATCCTTTTTAATGTGTAATGTGGGAAAATAAAAAAAAGTACTGAATCGTATTAACTGAAATATTTCAATTTTTTAATTTGTTACTAAGCTTTTAATAGTAACAAAAGAAAAATAATAACGATAAATATTATATATAATAAATATATTTCTTCTCATTTATTAAAGACAATAATTATAGGATACTGGTCATTCATTTCCTTCTGTCTGGTTTTAATTGAATTACTAACAAAAATTTTTTCATCTTTTTTCATTTTTGTTTCATTTTAATGAAATTTTACCTCATATTTCTATTCTATTTTTATTTTATTGTTTATTTTTAATCAAAGAAGGAAAAAATTTTATTATTAGTAAATGTTAATACCTGCTTTTTAATAAATAAATACTTAAATGCCTTTATTTGACAAAATAAATTTGTTTTTCATTTTCTCAAAGAAATAAATTAATGTTATTTAAAATTCTGATTTCTTCTAAAAAAATTCACTTTTTATCAATATAAAGAATCTTTTAATAACTCATCAGAATCTAAGATTGATTTTTGAGTGTAGGTTCTCTAAAAATTAATTTTGGTATCAAAAAAATCATTTATTTACACTCAATCAATATATTTATCCCATAAAACATAGATTAAATTTGCTCTGTTTTTTAAAATG